ATTCTTTTAACTTCTAGCCTCTCTTCATGCTCAAAAAATTTAGCTCGACCGGTCTCTTAATGGCCGCAATTTTGAAAAAAATCCTTTTATTTCGGCTAAAATAGTTTCAGAAACATTGTTTCCGAAGGAAGAACAGTTATTTTAAAATTGAAAACTTTTTGAATTTCCGAGCAGCTAATGTATCCAGTAAGGTTGCTCCATAGACGACTTTTGTGGCACTACTTTTTTTTCCCTTTTTCCCTTTTTTGTTGAATATCATTCGATTTCTGATGTTTTTCAGTGAATATATATGTCATAGGTAAAACTGAAAAGTTCCTTTGAGGATCCTCAAAGGATCCTGAGAGGGAGATAAAAAGCTTCCTCTAAAAGCTCCTAAAATGATGTAAAAAAGCTTTTGAGCACCTTTTTCATTACCTCAGAGGATCCTTTTTGAATCCTCTCGGATCTTTTAAGTTGCTTACCAGCATCCTTTTTGTCAGAGGATGTGAAAAAGACGCAAAAAAGAATTGAAATGATGTAAAAAAGATCTGCTGGGGACCCTTTCAAGGTCTTTTTTTGAGAAAAGCTTTTGGGGAGCTTTTCAGTTTTGCCCGAGGTCTCTGACAAAATTTTCAAAAACCTCATTTTTTGATCAAGAAGTTATTATTGAGAACTGAGTTCGGCGGAGAAAAAAATAATCATCTGATTTTTTTTCAAGTATTTTTTTTGTAATCCTTCTGTCTTTCCCTAATTTATTTAATTATTCACTTTTTCACGATAAAAAAATATTAATTCCTTTTTAGTCTAAACTTCATTTTATTATTTTTCGGAAGTTTATAATCATTTCAATCTTAGAAGAAATTTTTATATGATATTGAAAGACCCAAAATACACTTTTTAGAAAAAAATTTGTAAAGTTGAGAATTTAATTTTTTTTCTCGGTAGACTGTTATTTTCTTGCCAAAACGCGTAGCGATTTTATATTTCTTATTTTTTAATGTTGATTGCTTTCATATTTCGAACCTTTTTTTTTTTGAATTAAAGAAACAAAGAAACTTTCTGTTCAATAAAGTTCTTTCTAAAAAACCATGTGAATGCGTTTTCTAATCTGGTCCCTTTCTTTCAATATTTTGAAGCAAACTTCGATTTCCCGTTGTATCACTGTTTCTCTGAGTCTTTCCGAAGACTCGTAATGGATTTCAGAACTCTCAAAGAGTCTGGCTCGTTCTTCCTTAACGACATTAGACGTCTTTTAACTTGGAAGCCTGCACCTCCTAAAAAGGCGATCCGACGCCTAATGAGGACCATTTGAGTGTTCGTTTTTGGAGGCGGCGCTGGCACTGGTTGCGGTCGCGGCGAACAAGCAGAGCTAATTCGAGGCCGCCGGATCCCAGGCGCGCCGCCTCTTGGGAGCCACGACCCCCGGAAACTCGATTACTTTTTCTTCCGTTTTCTTCGACTTCTTCCCTTGCTCTGCGAGCCCAACAAGATGTCTCAAACTTGGCCATAAGTCAGTGCGTCCAATTTTTTGATTCGTTCTCTCCTAGCTGTTCTCCGTCGCCGTGGACTTAATGTCGGGTGTAGGCTCTTCGCGTATAGAAGCTTAATTCTTTTCACAGCTTTAATTTCTCTTTGTTTTCCGAGTGATCATTTTGTTGTAGAGAATTACCAGAAAATGTTTTTCAATTCATGCCGTTCAAATACTTTTTGGGAGATTTAGAGACCCGAAAGTCGTCTGTGGCCTGAAATAATAAGTTGAACTACTTTTAGCCTTGTGAGTTTGAGAAGTAAAACTTTTGAGCGATCTTTATATGAAAATCAAGGTTTCGATGGTTGCGGTAAAAAAAAAATATATCAACGCTTTTTTATTCGAAAGTTTATCGATTGATGAAGTTTCCCACCTTTAAAAATAAGTGGATCTTCCATATTTTCCTGTTTATGAGGCACTACAAATATGTTGAGACATTTTATAGCCGATTCCCAGAAGCTTAATAATACTAATAGGTTCACTGTAGACGATATAAAGTAGTTAGGACAAATTAAAGCGCATTGGAATAACTAGCTTGATTTCGTTTTCAAAAATAATACGCGGAAATTCGAAAATTTTCAATATTGAAACTTCGAAATTGATTTTCGCATTTGTGAAAAGCAGATGTTTTTTTATATTACCACAATCAGTCATTTTTTACTCGGAAAGAAACTAAAATCTTTCCTGAGTTTGATTCCGAACTTTTTCCCTTTTTCAAATTCAATTTTACCGAATTTTCGCGCTTCTGACTCAAAGATCAGCGATGATTCGCCTCAGCTGAGCGCGGGTGTGAGATTCGGATCATTTGTCGACGTTGATCTTCGCCTCCGCCGATAAAATGTTCACTAATTTGAGTGATCCGATGGCTCGCTGGCAGAGAAACAGCACACGTGTCCGGAGAGATTCCAGACAAAACGGCATCCAAAGGTGTTTTGTGACAAATTGTTATTGTTCCGACCACCCTTCCTCTTAGAGAAAAAGAAGAAAAAAAACACTGATTGATCTTTTTCTTCAATTTTTTCGTTTTTGTTTTACGCCTTCTCTTTCATATATCGAGTTACGAGGCGAATCCACGCTGCTCCGTTTCAATTCGCGGCAACTTTTCGCCACCTCGCGGGGGCGTCTTCATGAACGCCAAATCTCTTTTTTTTTATTCCGAATTTTCCCAATTTGAAATCCGATATTATGAATATCCTTACTATTCATTTTTCTGACTGTCCCTGAGCTATACTATTTTTGTACACTACTAGGAAGCGTTTGCTATTTTAAGCCTCCAAATATTTCAAGATGTTCTGGACAATGAAGTTCGAATTTTCAATAGGAATCAAATTCATTTTTTTAAAACACGTACAAACCCTTTTTTTCAGTGAAAAGAAAGCATTGACTTTCCTTTAAATTTTCAATTTTTTTCGGCGATTTCTTTTTTTTTTTCGTTTACCTCAGAAATTACAATGGAAGATCTGATTAAAATTCTGTTTTTAATCCGGATTTCTCCAGCTTAAATATATTTGAGATTGACCTATAGAAAAAATTTAAGAGCTTTTTTTGAATATTATTTTTCATACTAGACGCAAAAGAAAATATCTTCTCAAAAGTTTGTAAATCAGCTCTTTGAGAACACCGCGGAAAACCGAAGAAAAAAGCCTTGCAGAAAAATTGATAAATTGTTGAGAATCCGGGAGAAACTCGTCAAAACTTAACGATTTGCCGTCACAACACCTGTCCGGCTCGGTTTTATTGAACTCCCAACCAGATGTTTTGCAAAAACTTCCGATACTTCGAGCCGAAATTGCTCGTTTCGCATCGAGGAGACTGTTGCAATAGACAAACATCGTCCAGAAGAAGTTACTTTTTTTGAGTTAGCAAAATAAAGCTGGATGTAACAGGGAAGATTTTCAGAATTTTTTTTTTCACGTTTTAAAAAAATAGAACAAGGTCTCAAACTAGGCTTCCTAGTTGAAAATGGTCAGTTAGTGTGCGAAACCAGCAAATGAATTATTTCTTGGACCTTTATTCATTGGAAAAAAACATTAATTGTGAGTTCAATTATGAAGTTTTTTTAGAAAATAAATTATTGAGGCTTATAATTTCGATTGAATAAAGTATTCCTTGTCTCCAATTTTTCAAATGGCTGATGAGTATTCTCAATTGATTACCTTTTCTTAATTTACTGCGCTCGTCATACCCTCTTCTAATGCATTATTTCATAACCTATTTTTCAAATGCAATGGCTTTTGAAGCCACGATTTCAAAATCTTTACATAAAATCCAACTTTTCGGGATGATTTGTTGATTTAAGGAAGAACCTTTGGGGCTTCCGGGATCGCAGGCGCCTCCTCTTGTCAAGAGTCTTTGGCTGACTGTTTTGTCGGACCCAGGGTTCGAATTTCTCGCTGAGTTTTGCGAGATGCCATCTTCAAAGTCGCCTTTCTCTTTTTTTTCTGTTTTTTTTTTCATTTGGTTGACTCCTATCCATTCATACCCGTAAAAAAGAGCGAAAAAGTAATTTTGCAATATTAGGAAGCCTCTTGTCATCGTGTCACTTACTCGTTGACTTTAGAAAAATTCAAATAAGCTTCTATTGCGACGTGAATGACCTTTTAAAATTCAGCAATGATTTCTAAGCACTCGCCTTTAATTTTACTTAAATTTCGTATTTTATTGCATGATTTTTCTGCATATTTCAATTTTTCATGGCTCTCGAATCTTCTTAACGCGAACCGGGTGCACCCGGGCGTTTCTGGGCAATTCTAGTGATCATTTAAGAACACTGACACTGCTAAAGAGATCACTACAAATTCTCAGAAACGTCCAGTTTCCGTTACGGTCCGAGTTATTTAAAAAGGTATTATTTTCCTTCAAGCACTTTCTTCAATATTTCCTATAGTGGAAACAACTTTTTATTCTGAATTATTTTATTTCTTTATATTGTGTTTTTCCGTAATTGAACTGACTTTTAATTAAACTTCTGGTCACCTTTCGATTATGTTCTCTTCCTAAGTTACGATTTCAATATTCAGGGCTTTTCAGAGCTCAAATCTTAGTTTTCCAAAACCTCTTACGCGCCGTGTTTCATTCGTTTAAAAAAAAAGAAAGTTTCACTTATAACTTTGGAAAATTCTCATATCGACCAAGATTTTCTTAAAGTGAAAGAAGATGTTGAAGTTCAAGTTTACCGAACTATCATTTCTCCAGAAGGAAATCCTTGATTTTCTGAGTTTTTTTTTGTTTATTTTCGAAGCGTTCTTTTATCAAAATTAAAAACATTACCTTCTTTGTCAGACATCGGAAGAGACAGGAGTGTCTTTGGCAAGAAAAAATAGGGATTTAGAATATTTTTGATGTCTTAGAAATATCGCGTCCTTTCCAATATTTTCCGTACACTCGCTGTTTATTTTCTGTTGCTCATGTTTCGAAAAAGATGGTTTGAAGAATGACGGTGAGCGAGGAGGGTCACTAGCTGCGGGGCGAGACCCCACCGGAGTATGCGACGATGGATTGCGGCATGTGGTGTATGTTCAGCGAACGGCGGCGGCACGTCGAACGTCTTTGGAGACGTCGTCTTCTCGTCACCGCCGACGAGCGCCGCGCACGCCGCCGGTACACTTTTTCTGTCTTTTTCCGTTCTGGAACTTGGATTCTCCCATAGAATGAAAGACTGCGGAAAACGAGCTTAAAAAACCGTCGATGAAAAATAAGTCTAGAAGACTTCGGACGTTGGCAACGCGAATTGGACGCACCCGGACGTGTCGGAGAATTTCTAGTGACCACTTTAGTAGTGTCAGCACTCTTAAGTGAACCCTAGAACCCTATAAATCAGAAACGTCCGGTTTTCGTTACCGAAGTCCGAAAATGAGCTTCAAAAATTTTAAAGTAATGGCATAACTTCGTACATGTACTTATTGCGCTCCATAATGGCTCCAATCAATTTTTCGGTTTCAACGAATTTTTAGTCGATTTTTCATACTTGAAAAGCGTTAAACGCAATTTTTGTGACTCGTTGCGGTCGCGGTGCGTCTTTTGGCGGGGAAAAAATATTCAATCCCTATCAAGAATTTTGAAAAATCTGGCTTTGTGAGCTTTTGTGAAAAAATTAGTTTTCTGTTTCAAATGATAATTGTAAAAGATAATATTTTCATTGAGAGTTAGTTTTTTAAAGAAAGACGTACAAAAGAACACGGTTTAAAGTTGGAAAAAGAAAAGTATGTATGAGAAACTTTTTCGATAATTTTTATCAGATTTCTTCCACTCTTATCAAATTATTGTTTTGATTGCTTGTTTACTTGTTATTTGTCTAAAGATGATGATGGGAAAGTTTGACAAGATTTCTGATTTCAATTCGACGGTCATTATCATTGGAGCGCAATAAACTGAAAATTCGACCAACAGCAGAATTATCGCGGCTCGTTTTTCGCAGTTTTTTCTGTCACATGCTCAGATATGATGTGAAAAGACCCATTTACCGAGTTTCAAAAAGAAACGTCATGAAACAGAACGAGTAAGTGTTGGTCCTGTGAGGAGATATCTTCCACACGGAAATATTAATCGGCCTCCCGGGACCCTCGCAGTCAAGCTCAGAACCTTTTTTGAGTATGGACGGTGATAAATATTTTAGTGTTGGTCGTCTCAGAAATGATGCAAACGACGAATCTTTTTTTGTCAAGAGAAAAAACGGCTGTTCGTCCTTTTTTCTTTGAACTGTGAACTTCTGTTCGGAAATCTTTTTTGGCCTGTTTCGAGGACCATGCACAGATCTTACAAAGGGTCTCGAGGCGAAAAGCGATTTTCAGCATTCTCATGAAAGACGCGCTTCTTTCAGCCATAATTTTTGAACATGAATGAATGTTTATTTCGCTCACAGACAGATCTGTGGCGTGGAGGAAGAGAACCATGAACCATGAACATAATAAAAAAGGAAGATCATTTTTATATAGTGTCACTGAGCTTCAATCGAAAATTGCAAAAAAATAAATCATCTTCAAATCCTGAATTAAAAAAATCTAATTTTTTTAAAGGATTTTTTTCAATTATTATTTTTTTCTTCATCGAGGAAGAAATTTCCATGCAGAGTCTTCAAAAACTCAAATAAATATTATTAGTAATAGAATTTCATTCAAAAAGCTTGAAAATCTCTTAAAAAACAAAAAAAAAATCAAGTCGCTTTTACCGTTCCTTTTGAAGCCGTCAAGCTTCTCAGAAAAAATTGAAAAGAAAAATGGATTTTGGAAAAAAAATTTCGGGCTTATCTAACTACTAAAATATACCTTCTTTAATACAAATAATTTTCAGATTCCTCCGCCTGATGCGTGGCTTCGACGCCGAAGACGTCGAAGTGATACGCAAAGCAGTGGAAACGGGAGGCGTCGATTCCAAGGTGAGCACGTCGTCACGAACCTCTGATCTAACCTTATTTTATCATTTATTCTGTTTTTAACTGTAATATAGACTGACATACCTATTCTTGCCATTAAATAACTCTTCAACAATCATTTCTTCACATTAATATTATGGCCAACGCTTGAAGAAAAAAAGCAAAAGGAAGAAAAATATTAGTCAACCGTGAGTTTCCCGGAAATCACTTCCTTTTAAAATTAAATTTATGAATTTTTGTAACCTTTTTTTCTCGTCCGTATGAATTTTTTTGTCAGGCAAATTTTTTTAATTTTTCGAAGATTATTCTAAATTGATGATCCCTACTTTTTCATAACTGTTTTATTCTCGAATTTGTTTGAGACTTGCTGTGAAGTAAATTGGATTAATTTTCTCAATTTCAAATGTTTACTTTGTTAGCTCCTTTTTTAAGTGAAATATTGACTAAAGTCAAGGTCATTTAAATGTGAAGTTTGGAGTTTTCTATATTAATTTTTGAACAATATCTGAAGGTCTAACTGGAGATTTCTCATAGTGACTAACTGCGTTAATTCAACTTCTTTAAGTCATTACTTAGCAAAATTGCGAAATATTAGTTTTAGGTTAATTCTGCGTTAAACGCCGACTTTGAAAGTTCATATCAGAAACTAGTTTTGCACTGGAAGCACTACTAAAAGTCCCTTCAGTTAGTCTTTGGGCAAACGAATAGAAAATTTCAAGCTTAATTCTGAAATTTCCTCCTTTGTTATTTGTTATTACGACTCCTACCCAAAAAAAAGTAGAATCTGAGAATATTCAACTTCAGGCTTGCGCACCGGGGCCGCCGATGGACGAACGTGTGGAAGAAGACCCGCCGGACGAAGATTCCGGCCTGATTCCTCAAATCGACCGGCCGATGAGCATGCCCTACCTCTGCTGCAAACTCTGGCGGTGGAAAGACCTCCAGGTCCTTTCTTTCTCTGTTTGTAATATACTATTGATATTTTTTTAAGAATTTTCGGCTGGAAGTAATTATTAACCCTTTTCAATAATCCAAGTTTTCCTTTTTATTTAATTGTCAATTTTGAGCTGGATATAACGTGCGTTACGTAATACTCACTATAACATTTTTTTAGTGCTCTGTTGAGAAAAAGTTTTCAAAAAAATGGGCTTTTAGATCTCCCGATTCCAGGATAATTTTTTTTTTTTTGATTTTCTGATTTTTGGCTTACAGTCGTGATGGAAAGATTGTATAAATTGAAAAAAGAGACTTTTTTTTTTACGGTTCTCCGATTTGCTTTGCCAATGATGACGTTCAAGATACTTCCATTGACGTTTTCGCGAAGTCTTTTCTTTTAAATGATCAATCATTAAACAAATTCTGGCATGTCTAGAATTCCATAGTTCTGAAAAATTTTGAGGCATAAAGCCGATCTTAGTTTTTATTAATAAAAATATTTATTTAAACAAAAAAGAAATCGGGTCAAGGGAAAATAATGAGATAAAATTGGATAGATAGCAAAACTAAAAGGTCATAAGATGCCCTAAATAGCAACATGACAACGAACTTTTATTCAATGTGTTCGAGATTTCTCCGTCTTGAAAGGGCCCAGCGAGTTTTTTGAATGAAATCCAATTTTTGGTCAATCGAAATCTCGGATTCCAGGTCGACGCAGCGTTACATCGGTTAGAAGCCTTGCCCTGGTGTCGGTTCGGTCGCGTAACCATCAACAACGCTACAGGTATACTTTTCCTCTCAAGTTTTAATTTTCTGATTAAAATCACTTTTTTACCTATAGCTCTATCTCATAAATCTTCGATTTAATTTTTTTTTTTCTTTTCCAATAGGAATCGACCCTGGTCTAGTATTCTTATTCGGTTTTTAACATGAAATCCTCATTTTTTTTCATTTTCTCTTTTTTCATTTTGTCGTTTCCGCGATCGAATGTTTTTTTGCTGCCTCTTTTCTTTCTGTGAAAAATTCGTTTATTTTTTTACTTTTTAAGGTTAATTTTTCCGTTTTTTTTTTTGCGAAGCTCAATCTTCTTCCGATTCAAGATCTAATTTCAAACGATCCAAAATAGAAAAGTCTACGAAAAATGCTTTACTATTTTTTTCTGAAAAAAATATCGCTTTCCTTTGTTCTTCCCATATTCAACCATCCTACTAAGAATGGAAAAATTCGCTTTTGTAAATATAATCTGAAATTTTTCCAACAGAATTTCCTTTTTTTGTTTCTGGTGTTATTCTCATCGAAATATATCCATTTAGCTTTATAAAAACAAAAAGTGGATTTCCAATATTTTTGAATTGCGGCAAATCCAAAAAAAAAATTTAACATTTTCGTCAAAAGAAACCTCATTCTCGACCAAATTAGATGGTTTTACAGTTTCCTGCTGCAACCCATATCACTACGCCCTGTGGATCCGGCCAGAGACCCACGGAGACGACGATTCGGCCGACCGGATCTCCCTTCACGCCGTCCATTCCAATCACAGACCTTCGGTCATCGGCAACGGCCATATCACCTACCGTAATCGAGATGGTGAGTTTTTATTTCCATACTTTTTTCCGTTTTTTTCTTGGTCAAGTCGCGAAAAACTCATTTCTCCAACAGTTTTGATTGAAACGACGTATATTTTTTAGATTTCATTTTCCAACGGATTTTCAGATTTTTTTCATCAATTTCGAAAGTTTTTTGTGAGCAAATATCATCAAAGAAAAAAACTTTGCTCAGTTTTTCCGAGATTTCTAGGAGTTTGGTCAGGACTTTTTTTAAATTTTTGCTGGTCTTTAACAATTTATGATCGGTTTCTTTTTGATTGAGAGCCCATAATCTGACCACTGGCGCTTCAGAAAATAGGACATTGTCGAAGTTAAATAGAAAAATGTTCTAGCTCGGAGTTTGGTACCGAAAACCGGACGCGCCCCGGACGTTTCTGACAAATTCTAGGGGTCACTTAAGAGTACTGACTTTACTAAAGCGGCCACTAGGAATACTCAGATATGTCCCAGGCGCGTTCGACTGCTTTCTCTGCTACTGATCCCAATTTCATGCCGTGTTCAATTTGATGACGCGAAATGCAAAATACCCGTTAGAGAAAGGAAAAGATCACTAAATTTTGGAGAGTCAGAGATCATTTTGCATTTCGCGGAATCAAATTGAACACGGCATTAAGAGCTATACTTTCGATTTGCTTCATTTGATATTTTTGTACAACTTTTCATTATTATGGACAGTTGTTTTTTTTTTCCTTGGAGTTGAACCTGAATAAAACTTATGTTTCAGTAGCGCACGAGCAGCAGGAAATGGCAAAACGGTTGCCAAAACTTTTGCCTTCGGACGTACCAGATCGACCACCGCCGTCAGTCCCTTCAAGTACTCCGCCGGTGCCGGAAGACTCGCCGCCGAGCACTTCTCGCAGCTCTCCGGAGCCTGACCTCATCCATCTCCACGGCCATCACCACTGTAAGTTCGCATCGTGATGATTATAGCCCATTCCGCGGAAACTTGTGCCTAAATCTTAAGTTTTCCGTTATATTAAAGGCGCATTCACAGAGGCATGCTGTCTGCTAATTTTTGCTTCCAATTTCTAAAATTTGTCGAAAAAGTATGTTGACTGCAGATTCTCGAAGCCGATTTGCGGTGATGTAAAAAAAATTCAAGCAGTTGATTGCCGTTCATTCCAAGCGAACGAGAGAAAAAAGGGAAACTCTGGTCGAAATTTCTGGAAACTTGATACAGAACTTGAAAAACGACCCTCTAGACAAGCTTTAAAAAATAGTTCCCGTGTTCGTTTTGAAATACAATAAGTCGTTTTTTGTCTAGTATTTTCAATGATCAGGTCTTCGAGAATTTCGGCTGCTGTATCAATATTGAAGGGGACGAAAAAGCGTTGATGAAGATGTTTGAAGGATTACTCTATGATTGATCAATATTTGATAAAAAATATAATCATAAACGCATAGTCATCTCCCCGAGACTTTGTAGTTTGCTAAAATTGCGAAAAAAGAAAGCTAAAAAAGAAAAAATTACATGTCTAGATTTTAAATCTTCTAGAATAAATGTAAAAATAAAAAAGACATTGTGAGCTTGCGAAGTAAGAGTAAAACCTAATGGAAATTGTTACTTTTTGAGAATAAATTTTATAAATCATTCTAGGCGTTTGCGAAATAAGAAGAGAGTCGGGCTTGTGTATAAACTCGAAGATGCAAAAAATAGGAACCAAACTTTCTTTGCAGCCTGGGGACGGTTAACACGTTGGGAGAGGAAAGAACAAGTTGGCGAGTCCGTCCTGTTGCAAGGCCCCTTTGCAGCCGTCGGCGTCTTGACCCAGTCAGGTTGGAAATGAATCGAAGATTCGGAATCAGAAAAAAGAATTGTTGCAGTACATGACGCTCAGCCCGTTTGTAGTGACTGGGATTTGCGGAACGAGGTCTCCTTTTCCTTAATTCGCCAGTCGGACCCCATCGGCTCCGACAATCCCGAAGACGTTTGGTTGTACAACAGGTTTCTTTTCTTTTCTCCGAATATCTGTTTTTTATTTGGTAAGGAGCAGGTTTTTTCTTTGATAATCTTCTAATCTGTTATAAAAGTCTCAAAGAATTTTTCTTTTAAAATTGAAGTTTTTCCTTTTTTTTCATGCTTCTTACTGACTTCGAAAAACTTTATTATACGTATGATAGAACGTATTTTTTTTCCAGCTAGAATCGACTCTCTTTTATTCTTGTTCAATTTTCCTTTCAATTTTAAAAATCCATTCTTTTCTTGGAATCTCCGAGGCTTTAAAACGAAACAGTTAGCTTTCTCAAAAATAACGGACAAAATAATTCAGATTTCAACGAATAATTTCAAGTTCCTACTGGTCCAATTCATTATCGAAAGCGTTGTGAGATCTCGTTTTCTCATCCAAAATTTTAGTTCTATCTGCAAAATAAACGGTTATTCGAGCGGTTTTCCTAAAATCTCGCTCATATAAGTCCATATTGGTATATCTCAAGTTCAAAAAACCTCAATTCCCCTGATCTTTCAGCGGAACGAGACCCTTGTTTCTGTCGCTGTCGCCGTCGACGTCATCGACAAAAGACACTTTGCGACGGCTGTCCCCTGGCTACTGTATACGAGTGTATCGAGGCGAGGCGACGGCATCGGCTCCCGTCAGCGAACGCGCCTACCGCAGACACAGTCGCGTACGTCCTCACGCCTTTTTCTACAGTACCCCGTGTCGTTTCAGGACCCGGCGCTGCTGCAGAACAACCTCGTGATATCCGTCGGCAAAGGCTGGGGACCGAACTACTCCCGGATGTACCTCACCGATATTCCTTGTCGCTACGAGATTTCCTTTGCACCTTGATTCTTTCTAGTTTTGTTCGCAAGAATATCCTATTTCTTGCTCCATCTGCTATCATTTAGGTATTGATTTGTCAAACTCCATTCTAAAACGTTGACTTTCACTCTTTTCCTCCAAAATATAGATCTGCAGCATCCGATCTCACTTCTTTTCTTCTGCCGAAAATTCCGCCGAGGCTTTCACTTATTTTTCGACTCTTGATTGACTGATGAAAGCTTTTTCTACAATTTGGTGATAGCGATTAAAACTATACCCATTCACGATTCCGAGTGAACGTTTTTTCTGTTTTACAAACTTGTCCACCATTTCGACTGTGATTGATTTTCTCAATATGATCAAAATTATGATTTTTTTTTTCCAATCGTCTTTAGGTTTTCAATTTTCCTTTCTGTTGTTAGAGAACCATACTGACGCCATTCAGCTAGTGAGTTTTGTACCCCGAATTCCGCTTTTCTCTCAGAAAACGGGTTGCAATTTTTCTCTAATAAATATTCTAATCATGTTTTAAATTTTCCAACTGTTTTTTTTCCTCAACTTGATTATATAATCAAACAATTTTTCAACTTCAGTGCTTTCCAATATGTTCCAATTTAATTATTCTTTGATATCATCATTCTTAAAAACTTGATCAAGTTTCTCATTTTTCGTTCTCAACGCTTTGCCTTTTCACTGCCAGATTTTGCTGATTATTAGGATTTTGAAATAATATGAGATTTACCATCGCGCTAACGCAATAAATTTTTACGAAATGTGTTACAATACTAAATATTCAGGAGAAGTATCAGGAAAATACCTTCGTTATTTTCAAAATGAACGCCAAGTTTGAATTTTCTTTGTTTATTGCGCAATTTCGCGAAATTTGTCTCGGTCCCTTAAGAGCTCCTTCATATCACCAAGTGAGAGGGGGCACACTTACTCAATTTTTTAAATTAATTCCCTAATTAATTTCAGCTTCTGCTTTTTTGCTTTTTCTTTTTTCATATACACGTCGGGATCATAATCAGTTGCTTTGCAGTTCGATTAAAAGGTAGATAGTTTTTCGAATGACGCGTGGGAAGATTGGAAACTTATCTGTTAAAACAAAAGTTGATGAATCTACCGTCCAAGCGATCAAACGACCGAGAGGACGGAACTCGAAGCATGGGAAGTTTTTCGTTATAGCACTCGAAAAATACACGATTTTTATAGAAGTTAGCATCGGGAAAGCGCTTGGTGATGCTGAAATCGACCCACCAAAAAGAGGCAGAGGCCGTCCTCGCAAAAGCTCATTTCCCGGTTTAATATTTCATTCACTCAGCAACAATCATTTGTTACAGAGAAAGTCGGTATCAAAGAAACGAGGGATTGTCCTGAGGAACCACTAAAATGTGATAGGGTTCTTAGAAGCTCCGCCCACAGTAATTTCAATTACTTTTTTTCAACAAAAGAGTATGTTCAGAGATAGCGGTTATTAAAAAAATAGTTGATAGCGATCCAAAACCACGCAAAACCGGCAAACGACGTCTTCCTGAGAGTGTCAGTCGTGGTATTTTAGTAATTTTTTTCTGAAAAAATGTTAGCCGTTGCAGCAAATATCAATATATCAAAAGAAGTTAAGACCGGCACGAAAGAACAGAAACTTCGCAGGAGCTCTCGTTCCAAAAGTGCAATTTTAGGTGGTTCACAAAAAATTTTCTCAAAATGTTTGATTGTTACAGAAAAAACGGCTGTTGAAAAAAAAGTCGATAACGCTTCAAAGCCACAAAAACGCAGTAGAGGCCGTGCCTCCGAACGTTCGATTTCTAGTAATAGACTTGACAATTCTTGAAGGGATTATTCAGCTTTTCTAGGATCTATCACAGTTCAAAAAGGAGCTGATAGAAATTCGAAACTACCGAAACGTACCAGTAATCGTATTGCTCAACTTTCTGTACCTGGTAATTTTTTCGATTTTGCTCTCTATTAAACTCGTAATTCGTTATAGAGAAAATAGTCATGGAAAAAGAAGTCAATGCTCCAAAAAAGCGAGCCAAAAGCTGTACTCCTAAAAACCTGGTTTCAGGTAATTGCCATGATTTTCCTCACGTTGAATTTTATTTTTCAGTTGAAAAAGAAGCGAAAAACGATAAAAAACCACAAAGACGTGGCAGAAATTGTGCTCCGAAACACCATGTTCCCGGTAAAAGAACTGTTTATTAGCATCTAAATGTTCTATAGATTCGAAAAAAGCGACTTCTGAAACAGGAAATGGTACGCAACCGCGAAGATTCACCAGGAGCTGTGCTCCCAAAAGCTCCGAAGGAAGCAAGAATGAAAAAGAAGAGAAGAAAAAACTACGAAAAAGTGGCAGAGATTGTGCTCCTGAGACACTTCTTTTCGGTACATATATTATTCATACTCAGCCAAGTAATCTCTAGATTCAAACGAAGATACTTCTAAGAAAGTAACCAAGAAAAAAATAGAAGTGCATAAAGATGAAAAGCGACCGAGAAATGGCAGAAGCCGTTCTGCCAAAAGTTCGATTTCCAGTAAGTCCTTTGATAATATTTAAAGTATTCATTATTTATTCTAGAATCTGTCACAGTCAACAAAGGAGCTGATAGAGATTCGAAACTACCGAAACGTGCAAGTCGTCGTATTGCTCAAATCTCCGTTCCTAGAAGTTTTCTTGATTTTTTTTTTCCAAAATATTAATTATTTGAAGAGAAAACAGCATCTGAGAAAGAAGTCCAGACTTTAACAAAGCCTGACAAAAGCTGTGTCCCTGAAAACTTAGTTTCAGGTAATTTTATTGTTACTCTTTAGTTATTTTTCGTTTTTACAGTTGAAAAAGAAGCGGATAACGATAAAATACCATCAAAATGTGGCGAAGGCCGTCCCTCCGAACTTCCAATTTCTGGTAATTGATTTGATAATTTTTGAAGGGTTTATTCAGCTTTCCTAGGATCTGTTACCATCAAAAAAGAAGTTGATAAGGATTTGATACCATTGAAACGTGCAAGTAGTCGGATTTCTCAACCTTCCGGACCTGGTAGTTTCCAAATATCGGCTTTCAAAATATTCATTTTTCGAAGAGAGAATAGCTTCTGAAAAAGAAATAAATGTTCCAAACAAGCGAGCCAGAAGCTGTACTCCTGAAAACCTTGTTCCAGGTATTTTTTTTGATACTTTTTAGGTTACATTTCGTTTTTACAGTTGAAAGAGAAGCGGATAACGACAAAAAATTGTCAAAAAGTGGCGAATTCTGTGCTCCTGAACAACGTAGTTCTGGTACATAATTTATTCATGTTAATCCAAATTTTCATAGATCCAAATGAGGAGACTTCTAAAAAAAGACGATTATTTTTTTATACAAGTTTAGTTATTCGCTTTAGAAGAAAGGGCTGTCGAAAATCACTTCGAGACTGTTACGGAACCCGAAAAGCTCGGCAGAGGTCGTCCGAATTTTTTTGTTCTATTTATTTCGAGGGTTTCATCCATCCGTTTTAGAAGAGGTCTCTACCAAAAAAGAAGTTGTTGCTGAAACGAAACCAAAACTTGCCAAGAGTTGTGCTCCCGAAAGCTCCGTTTTTGGTACTTTCCAGGAATTTTGAAAATAAGTCGTTTTAATTTTTACAGAAGGAACTGTTGGTAGAAAAGATGTTGATAAGGATGTGAAGCCAAAAATAAGCGACAAAGGACTTTCTTCTACACAACCGATTTCCGGTATTTATCTTAATATTTTTTTGTGGTGAAATGTTTTTCTAGACTCTGTAACCACTAAAAAGAAGGTCGATGATGATTTGAATCTACCAAGAAGTGCTGTTAGCCGTATTTCTAAAGGCTCAGAGCCTGGTGGTTTTCACTTTTCGATTTTTTTAATGAAAATATTCTTTCGTTACAGAGAAAATTGTCATTAAAAAAGAAGTTAAGAATTCTGAAAAGCGAGTCGAAAGCTGTGCCTCTGCAAGCTTGGTTTCAGGTATGTTTCATGATAATCTCAGGTTGGACTTCATACTTACAGTTGTAAAAGAAGAGGGAAACCATCAAAAATCACGAAAACGTGGCAGAGACTGTGCTCCTGAGCACCGTATTTCCGGTGAATATTTTATATCGGGCAAAGTTGGAATGGTGGAAATGGTCGCTGAAAGGGAGAGGCTCGAAAAAGGTCGCAGAAAGGCAGTAAAAAGATTCCCTTTATCGAGCCACTTGTTTTTTCTAGAATCTTAAGGTCCATGAAATTTTGGAGAAAGAGAGGCAGAAAAAATGGTGGATAAGAGCCCATGAAATGGCGCAAAAAGGCTGCAAAATCGGAGCCTTTATAACCTTAACAGGAACATTTCTTTGGTGCCTTTTTCGTCCCTTTCCGACTTTTTTTTATGAATAATTTGCAGCGATTCGTTATATTGTTTCAGAAAATGAGACTTCTGAGAAGACTGGTGATACGAAACGACAAAAACTCGCCCAAGACATTCAGTCTGAAAGCTCTATTTCGAGTAGGTTTTAAAAATTTTTCATGATATTACTCAAATTTATAGAAAAAGTCGCTGTTAAAAAAGAAGTCGCTAACGATCCAAAACCACAGAAACGTGGAAGAGGCCACCCCTCCAAACGTTCCGTTTCTGGTAATTGACTTGATGAATTTGGAAGGGTTTGTTCAGCTTTCCCAGAACCTGTCACAGTTCAAAAAGAAGTTGATGTGGATTCGAAACTACCAAAACAGGCGAACAATCTTGTTTCTCAGCTTCCCGTGCCTGGTAATTTCCGTGATATTTTTCTTGAAAATAATGCGTTTGGTACAGAGAAAACCGTTGTGGAGAAAGAAGTTGCGACCGAGGAAAAACCAACAATTCGTCCCAAAAGCTCAGCTCCCGAACACTTCATTTCTGGTAGTTTTGATTATCCAATTATATATTTTTTTTCCTCAAATCTATTGCGAAAAAAAGGAAATGTTTTTTTGATAATTTGTAACTTTAGAGAGAATAAATTTCGGTAGTTTCGAGTCTTTATCTTTATCGTTGAGAATAAAAAAAGATTTTTTTGTTACAAAATTAGAGATTTTTCGAATTTGGCTACTTTTATACTGTTTACTAGCTTTGGAAAGAGTCCTTTATTCCAATTCCAATTTCGATTTTTTTTTTTTTGGTTTTTTTTCAATATTTTTACACTTTTTATGTGAGTTCATTCACATTCAACTGTGTTGGGAGATTTTTTACACCTATTTAATTATTCGCTTCAGAAGAAAACGCTCTCGAAAATGTTTTCGATCCTTTTACGGAACCCAAAAAGGTCGGCAGAGGTCGTCCGAAAAGTTCGTTTTTTTCGTTCTATCAATTTTGAGCATTTTAACCATCCGTTTCAGAAGATAAAGCTACCAAAAAAGAAGTTGTTGCTGAAAAGAAAACCAAACTTGGCAGAGCTTGTGCTCCCAAAAACTTCATTTTCGGTGATTTTTTTTTCAATTTTTCCATAAGACGAATCGTTTCTCACAGAAGAAATCGATTCCGAAAAGGATCTCGAGAGTGTGGCGAAACCAGGGAAACTTAGAAGAGGCCGTCCTCCCAAAAACGCTACTTTTGGTCAGTCTGATATTAATGTACCATTTTTCCTGTGTCTTTCAAGAAAAACCGTTGAAAAAAGCAGTGAAAGAGTCGAAACGTGCTGAAAAGAAGACCGAAAAAACGAACATCCAGGTTTCGGAATTTCGAAAGATCCCATTTTTAGAGATTTTTCAGTTTTTATCAGAGGAGGTAGAAGTCTTGGACGATGTCGATGAAGGAGTTTCGTTACTTTTGCCTTGCGATTTTGCGAGATTGAAAAGTTTATGGACTGCGATGGTTAGCGAGTGCGACGGGGATGTTGTTGAACGGTTTGATAACCATTTTTCCAACGGTTTTTTGTTATTTTTTTGAGTTAACTATAAAAATTTTTTTCGAGATGTTCATCGTAGAAGGGATAGTAGAATTAAAAAATGGGAAAATTCAGAAAATTCAGAAATCAAAAAATTTCCTAAAAAAATGCTCCTGAGAAAGTATAAAAAAAGTTACTTTATGTCGCCTTTCTGGTAAGATTTCCAGGAGAAATTTCGAAAGCAAGTATAAAAATATCCTGCTATGCGCCATAGAAAACCGAGAAAAATTTCTAGGATGTGTACAGAAAAAGTTTACTTTTTTATCTGATTTTTTGGTTCCCAGAAATTTTAATGAAAAAAAATCTTGTGATTCCGTTTTCAATAAATGTTTTCGATTGCCTTCTTTCGATTTTTTTAACTTTTTATTTTCCCTACCCAGGCCTCTTTCTTCAAAAGTTTGGACCAGATCCACGATTTTATTTTCTCGGATAAAATTCTAGTTTCATTCTACACAGAATACGATGACAATTTCGATTCCAGGTATTATTTTCTCGCCAAAAGCTTGCTTCTTGGACGCATTTCTTCTTATCAACCGCTGGATGTTCTGGTTTCCCTCTGGACTATTCAGTTAATTCAAAAAAATATCTTTGAGCTGCACGATTTCCCCCTTCAAATCAAAGAGTCCCATCTCGAGTTTTTTAGCTGCTTATCCCAAATTTCCGGCGTCGTAAGTCCAATTTTTGCTCTTCAAACTCGTTTTGTTCTCAGTTTCAACACGAATACCATAACAAGTCGGCACTGATTTCAAGAGTTGGGTTTTTCTTCCTTTTCGCCATCCAAGGAGTCAAATTTTAAGCACATCGTTCCGGGTGTCAAGGAACTCTACGCGTTGCTCTTGCTCCGTTCTTTGCTCCGGAATGTCCGGCTGGCCTATTCTGTCGAGGGCCACGAGGCCGCCTATCAGATCAGCAGCATCATCCGAGTTTGTTTTTGGGCAATTTACTGTTTAAAACGATTGAAGTCTTTGAAAAAAGTTTTTTCTTTTTTCATATAGTCTGTTTTTCGCGACTTCTCTGCGCCCTCCTCTTCTCTCGAAGAATCTCTCATTTCGAAGTGCTCTTTTCACGTTTCTCTGATTTCTCCGGTGAGGGAACAGAGAGACGCAGACACTCTGAAACTGTCAATTCGCGGCGAACGGACTATATTGACGAGAGAACAAAGTTTAGAATAATAGTAGGATTTTTGAAAGTTTAGCTTGCTATCAAACAAAAAGTCGATGTAAATTGATAAGGAGTATTCTTTCTTCAATAGGGCTATTTTTGATTTTTTTTTTTTTTAAACGTACATGCGAATACCTTTGAAAATAAAAAATAAGTAAATTTCGGATTTAAAGTCAACTTACAGAGTTTCACAGATTGAGTAGGAAACGTGGTTCAAAACTGAGCAATTGTTTAAAAAGTCCGTTATGGAGCAAAAATATGAAAATAGTACGGTATGTCTTGACAGTGCACGTCAAAAAAAAATTTTCCGTTTCTGTCTTTTTGCAAGGTATACATTCAATATACATGATGCATCATATTTGCTAGCTTAATAAACCCTTATCACTTTCATTTTCACTGTAGACGTGCCTCAAAGATGAAGTAGACGGCGCGTTAGAAAGACAAACCGAAACTCGAGGAAATGGAGAAACTCGACTTCTCAAACTGCAACACTTCAAGCTGCCCGTTTTGGTCAGTTTTTCCTATCAATTTCTCAGTTTCTCCCCTTTTTCAGTGTGATCTAACCCCCAATGTAAAGCTATTTTTCAGACGGAGTTATTCCCGAAAGAATGAAGAGAACACCTTCATCTCAAATACTGGTCGTGTGAGATTATCTATTTATTTATTGTTATGAACATTATTTGCTTCAAAAATCCAACAGAAATTTAATAAATTTTTTCATTGATAATTTGAAACGCTTTTAGATCTAAAAATTCACATAAGCCCGATTCGACAGGAAACATCTTCGAGAAAAAAAACTCAGAAAAACCAGGCTTTCCGATTTTTGACGGATAAGAAAAGTTTCATCGAAAACGACAGTAGTTTTTAAAAAGAGGAAGTCTACTAATCTTCGGTGTCTTCGACGATTCATTTTGACGTTGTATCGAAAATCCACAACATTTTAATAGTTTCAAAGGCTTCTTTCTGAAAGATTCACATTTAACTGAACAATCATTCTTGAAGGAGAAGTACCGAAAGAAGCCAAACATTTTGATGTTTGATCCGACTTTGTTTCACTCTATTAACAAAAATTAGCTAATCTCTCAAAGTAGGAGCTATTTTTCATAGGATGAACCTTCGTGCAACCCATCAATTACCGTATCACCTGCCTGTTGCGTTTTTTTTTCGCAGATCCCCGAGCTTTTCTTCTAATTATGGGGCTTGGGCCTTTTCAGGTAATCTGGTAGCAATCGGTCTCAACGAGATTCAATTTGTGAGCCTAGGACTTTTGGTTTTTTTTTCTATGTGGACGCTGTTCAACATGCGTTTTAAGGTGTATTTCAAGTTAAGGGGTTGAAAAGAGAAAATAATTAGGAAAATAGTTTGTAAATCAAAAATGTCTAAAATCAGGTACGACACGTGCAATTTTTACTGTCTTTTTATAATTTTTTAAAAACCTCTTGTTGTAAAAAAAAAATGGTCGAAAGTTTTAAAGAAAATAAAAAATGGTTTTGAAGGAAACGATGAGTGGAATGCTTCTCATTTACCGTATAAGTTCGCAAGCATTAAGAAAATTGCGACCTAAATAGTCCTAAATTAGTTTGATTTAGTTTTTCGAAATCGATTTCTGAAAATTTCCTTTCTCATGAAAAAATAAGACTTATTTTTTTAAGAAATTGCAATTTTAATTTGATTGTCCCCAACAAAGGTGTGTTATTATGAGTATTTTGGTGTGGCTGAGGATTAATCCGAGCGGATTTGGTTGGCCTCACCACTTGGGGGAGGGTTACGGTAGTTGGTCAGCCTCTGTGATTACGTCTCGTCCCTCCTCCTAACCTTAAACGGCGAGGAGAAGCTCGATTTTCCAGACTTGCTTTCGGCCCACACCTCATCTAGGCTTTCCTTCTCATTTTAATTGGATTCAGGGGATTTCATCGATTTTTGAAAACAGAATTTTACCAAGATATTTTCTCGAAAAAGGTTAGGTTAATTGTTATCAGATTGATTATTCAGCCTCGATCTCTTTGTATCTTGACCAGACCTTTCTAGGCTCCAAATTTCATTTCTATTGTTATAATTAGTAGAAAAAATACCCCACTGTCCCCATAAGAGGTCCCTAAAACCGTAAGAGACTTCATCATGTCCTACCACTACCAAGACAACGACCGCGACTACTTCGAGGCCGCCTATCTGCCTCAATTGCCGCTGCCAACCCACGGCTACGAGTTCTACGCCAGCGACTTGCAAGTCGCGGCTCCAGTCGCCCAGGCGTCTTCCGTTGTCCCCGCGTCGCAGCAACTCGTCGCTCCTACCGTCGCTTTGCCCACCGGCGAAACCAATGTGTGAGTTTTTTTGGACCTAACAGGGGAAGTAAAAATGGACACAGCTTGAGAATTTCATTAAACCTTTCTGAGATTCCTGATTAGAACAAACGAAGAATTTTTTGACTTCTGCTTTTGGACCGTGTTATGGCGCTTTAAAGTAGGCATTTCACTGCCTGAAGTTACTTGAAACTGTAGAAATCATGTCGACGGCCGAATATGGATCGCTTAAAAAAAAAGTCCATTTTATTTTCTGATCAAAGCGCTTAAGAAAAAAGCATCAGGAAGTTTCGAGAAATTGTCAAGCTCCTTTTTTTGGGCTTTTCTTCTTAAAAAAAATGACATAAAACAAAAAATAAGTGTTTTTAGAACATTTAGGCTGAAAAGTTCAAAAAATTTCGCGCGAAAAAATATTTCTCATTTGATCCAAAACTTCTTCAGAAGATCGTTGAAGCAGATTGGAATATCGATTAAAAAATTTTTTTGATATGGTCAAATATCCGGTTCATTGGAAGATTAAAGAGATCCAAGTAGAGAGACTTACAAAAAAACGGTTCAGGTTTAAAAGGAGAAAGGTGACTGAACTTGGAATATTCATGGAGTTCTATGATCCGTAGTTTAGCAATCACTTTTCGAAAAAATCTCGAGGAAAATTCTGATTTTCATCACTTTGATCCAGATGTTCCGAACATCCTTCTTCTAAAACTCAGACAAAAAAAAACATAGAGACAGACGTTGAAAAAAATTTTTTTCGGTTATTCAGAAAAATTATTACTTGGATTAAGCCGAAACAAGTTTTATAACTTTAGGTTCAATTTTAATATTTTTTTGTGGGGAGGTTTGAATTTTCATTAAAGAGAATTATTTTTTTGAAACTCAAGAGGACTCGAAAAATTCACGCACGAAATTTAAAGTTTCTGATAGAGGTAAAGTAAATATAATCAATTTTATGAATTCTTTTCGAGGTCAGAATCTACGATTATAACTAAATCGAGTAGAAAATGAAAGAAGCAACCGTCTAGAGAAGCGACAGAAACGGCGAATGGCTGCATGTAGGCAAGTGTGTATGGGTTCATCCGAAGCCTAACCGACCGAATTATTGAGGGGTACAGCTTCATTATTTAATATATACACATAAATGTTTCTCTTGTAAACCTTACAATCGCCTTGGTTGGGTTTCCGCGCGGCGAAGTCGTAGATTTTCCCCCGGCTTATCGCCAAATTGTTTGGTTTCTGTGTGCGAAAAATGTCTAGTTTCATTGATTTTTTTTTTTAGATTTTCATTTTATTCAATTTGAATAAAATTCATTCCTAATCAGAACAAACTAGTTTCCGGATTTAAATTCAACTTCAATTTTTTTTTTTACCTTGATTGTTTTTAAACTTACTTTTCGAGTTTTTGATAGATATTCTCCCAAGACTCAAGTAATGCCAAATTTTATTTATTAGCCGTTTTAAAACTTTTAAAAGCTTCATCAAAAACTTCAAAGAAAAGCCCTTTACTGAGAAATTCAAAGAAAAAATGGAAGAATAATTGCAGAGTTCCATATGGCTGGCGGCCTGACTGGGCGACCTCGAACCATTGGATTTCCCACGTTGGTACCAATCCTCTGCCCACAGTCAATCTTCCTGACACCTTCAAGTGCGATATTTTCCTACAATACTTTGAAAATATATCAAAAGCCATGAACTTCGCAAAAAGATTAACTTCTTCAGCACTTATGCGTCGATTCCTGAGCCTCAAACCTCCCAAGAAGTGATAGTGAAACGACCGACAAAGTCGGCGATCCGCGAATCGAGCAAACCTTTTCGGTGTCAGGTGAATCAGAATAACTTCATCGAATGTGAAATATTGAAAATGTATTTTAATCGGTAGGAAAGGAAATAATTGACGAAAATTGGAATCAAAATGAAAACAGCGAAAAAGTATTACGAACAATGGGTTTATAAAGGTCTTTTTGATGAAAAATAAAATATTTTATAGCGGCATTTAAAATTTTGAAAAAATTTTGATAATGAATAATAGCATGATTATATTTCACTAGCTTACGTTTCATTATTTTCTTCATTCAATTCGTTGCGTAATGGGATTGTTGGGGGCGTGGCCAGCCAATCAGAGTTTTTCTTTTTGGAGAACGCAAATTTTGCCCTCAAAAGCCACGTGAAAACAGCGAAAAAATGTAGATAATGATGAATTTTATTTTTTCAATTTTTTTCGCAGGGTTTAAAATATTTAATTTGCGGACGAAATTTACTAAGATCTCGAGAAGAAGAGCTATAACTTCTGCTCCTTCAACCTCCTTGATATGTCATTTTTTTCAACATTCTTTCCAGTTTCCTATAGAATCTTAAAATTTTTTTATTTTTTTTCTGAAATTTCTACAAACGAACGTATGTCCATATGTACGGTATGAATTCCAGATTTGCTGCAAATCTTTCTCACAAGCCGCTAATTTGACCGCACACAAAAGGATACATACAGGTATTTCACTTTTTATTTTATGAATTAGAAAAAAATCATTTAGGCAATAAAAGTTTCTTTTTTTCGAATTCAATATTTAATCCGCACAATGTCTTCTCAAAAATTGATTTCGATGAGGATTTTTAGGAGAGAAGCCCTTCACATGTTCCGTCTGCCATCGCCCGTTCTCCCAAAGCTCCTCCCTCGTTACTCACAAACGGTTTTCCCTTTTTCTCATTTTTTTTTTCACAGTTGCTTGAAAGTCGAAAAAACAAATAAACTGAGTTTCCGAAAAAAATTTGTTTTAATGTGATATCATTTGAAAATTGAAAGAAATGAAAAAAATCGTCACGTAAAATTTTTAGCTTACTAGAAAAGTGTCTGAGCTTGAATATATGTGGTTCAGGTTTTGGTAGGTAGGGAGGGTATTCGAGAATGAAAAAATTTTCTTTTTTTTTTCGTTTTTCTTAATATTAGACCTTTCGCATTAGACTCCCCCTACTTTTATTTATTTTCGAGAGTCTTGTCTGCAACTACTTACTGCAAAAGTTTGGGTCAGATCTGCGATTGACACCTAACAAACTTACCTTGTGAAAGTTGACGAAGATTCAGAACGCACACTGGTGAGCGGCCTTACCCCTGTGGACACTGCGAAAAAGCCTTCACGGACAGTTCCACGTTGACCAAACACCTTCGAACTCACACAGGTATTTGAACAATCACAAAAAACTAATGAGAAAAAAGTTCATTTTCAGGACAAAAACCGTACTCATGTCCCCTGTGTATGATGAGGTTCACACAGAGCGGCAATCTCCATCGGCACATGAAAACTCATAAAGCAACATGAAGCAGGCGATAGGAAGTTGAATAAAATCTTTAGGAGTACTGTACAAGTAAAGAGAAATTTTTGCATGAGAAATTAACGAAAGGAAGAAAAATAAATTTCAGTGAGATGTGATACAAGAGAAATTCATTATGCACAGTCAATACAGGTGTGAATAAAAAAATTCGAAAAAAAAAAATCAAAGGCGTAACTGATATCTTTTTGTTTTTTTGTTCTGTTTTTTTTTGTAAAATTGATGGAGAAAAATGGTGAAACATTTGTGGGCGTTATACAAAGTGTGGTTTTAATGTTTTTTTTTAAATAGCGCGAAACAGATCGCTGATTAGTTCGCATCGAAAAAGCGTTTCCAATGAACCAACAGTTTTCTAATGTGAACTTCTTAGAATCCTGGCAATAAAAAAATACAAATACAAGTGTGATTTGGAAAATATGGGGAGAGCAAACATAAAATAAACAAAATTTAACATAATCTCTTTTTTCACGTCTTCAAAAGTTCAGTGAATAATATATTGTCTTCTATCAAAAATAAATAAACATCTGACTAGGGAACTACTCGGACTCGGGTGCACGTTTCGAGTTGAAACTTTAGTGGTTTATAGACCTAAGTCAGAATACTTGAAAACAGGAGAGAATATCTGCTAAACCCGGGAGAGAACGGAGAAAAAGTTTGAAGAGAATGTGAAAATTAGGCCTGAAAATTCTCAGAATACTGCTTTATTTCATATTTTAATACAATCGCCTTGAATGAACCGACTATGATAAACTCTAAGAAACTTTTTTTAAGCTAAAAGACGGAGGAAAGCAAAAATTTGATGATTTCCAAGCCTAAACTGTTCATTTTCAAAAAGCTCTTTCTTAGAAGCCTATGGGGTCTAGCAGACATTCTCTCTTTTTTCCAAGTACTCTTACACGGGTCTATAAGCCACCAAAGTTTCAACTCGAAACGCGTACCCGAGTCCGAGTAGTTCCCTAGTGAGAGTTTTCAAAAAACGAAAAAAAGATCGTACTTTGGAATGATAAGAAATTACGGAATGGTTCAGTAGAGATTGAAAAAAACTGGAGTGAGACAGCAAAAACGGAGAAAAATTCAGATAAACAAGGTATGAAAATTGCTGAAGTGCTTGTAATTCGGTTAAATAAGAAAAAAAAAATGTAACGGCTCGAGGAAATCGTTCACCGCGGGTAAATGATTTCAAACGTAACAATGAGCTCGCCGCGCTTTCCACCGTTTTTAGGCAATCCGAGACGCGGAAATCTGAATTCGATCAGGACGTGGAATGGCTTGGAAACGCTGCGACCGACCTTCGGACGGTTCCAGACTCGACCGGCTCCATCAGTGTGAATCTGACTTCGCCCGCCAATTCTGGCACACAGATCGTCTTTCCGCAGACATTGTCCGCGAAGGGAAGGCGATGCGTGTAGTGCAAATCTGCACCGTCCCGTCGGAGCTCGGGATTCGACTTTATCTTAACAAAAAGTGTGCAATACATTAGAAAACGTTTAATGGGTCCATTATACAACCATAGAAATCAGTAAAGGCTATTTACTTTTTTTCGAAAATGAATTATTGCTTCAGAAAACAGATCCCAATTTCTTTCCTCTTCATCGTTATCTACCTTGAGCTCAAAAATGAGATCCTGTGGCTTCTTTTTCGGTAGCGAGTCTCCATCGCCGGGGAACGTGAGAACGTCTCCTTCTATCATTCCAGGCTCGATTTTCAGCTCGAAATTCTTGTTTTCGAGTCCTGAGCCGTTGTTCCTGGTGACGGTGACGATCTTGGTGGCGCCGCACATTATTTCTTGAAAAGTGACCTCAACTTCGACTCGTTTCGGCTTTACTGGACCTGGAAACGAAAATTCGACTTCTGAAAGGAATCGATCTTTTTCGCGACAAGAGAAAAATTCTACCTGAGCGCTTCTGTTGTGAAAGAAAAACACATTTTTGAATCTCACTTAAAAAATTTCACGAGACAAATGCAAGAAAATTTCAGGAAAACTGTTTGGTTCAGGAAAAAAATATATATTAAGATTAGGATATAAAGAGCTCTATAAGAAAAAAGATCAAGCCTGACAGGAAGAACCAAAATTAACAAATAGATATATCTATGACACCGAGTCAGAAAAAAATTTCAAGACCTTTCTCATGTCTAAAAATTACATTGTTTTGAAAAATACTAAACAGAAACAAATTTTAGGAGAACATTTCCAAAAAAATCCCTCACTCTGTCGATTTTTTTCGGGCTTGCGCGATTCGGATACTCAAAACTGATAATGAGGTCGCCACGGCACGTCGGGTCGCTTTTCTTCGGCAAACCGAGGTTTTTAATTCTTCAAACGGTATATTTAGATTTTTCAATGATTTTCGATCAGACCTTCTGGTGCCAGAAAGAACAGAATCAACCACGATGAAAGATCCGTCAATGGTAGGAATATTGAGTTTCGAACGATTCTGAGCTTCTCTCTGAAGCCCCCGGTCGACATACAGCAGATCGTTCCCTTGTCGTACAAATGTCGCATGCGGCAAAACCTTAACGTTTTCTTGATTTTTTCCATGAACATAATATTTTTTTTCCTCTTCAAAAGAGACCGTTGAGAGAACCCCATTTAATTTCGTGTTGTTTTTTTTTCTCACTGAGAGTTCTACTTTTTTCTGATTTTTAAAAGCTGGTCCCGTTACTTTCTGCTGCCAGTTGAAAAAAATAGTTTCCACGAATTTGATTAATTAAAAAAATTCATCTTGAAATAATTGCCTCCTTAACGTTTAAAATAAAAAGTAAAAAATGAATTTTTCCTTAATTTTCGATATGGAATGAGTTTAATTATCAAATTGACGAAAAAAAACATATTTTTCAAGTTTAATCTCCGAGGCAAAGAGCCCGATGTTTTTTATTCGCCTTAAAAATTAATGAGGGTTAGAGATATGAAAATGAAAACCCGTCTGACTTCCCACAAGTCAATGAAATACCTTGACAACGAAATTAACGCGTTCATTCGGAAAACAGATGACGTCATCGCTCGTGGCTCCAGGCTTGACAGTCACTTGCAGAGTGACTTCTTTTGTGGAGTAGGGCGATAATTTGGCGACTTTCACCGATTTGGTCGTTCCCGTCAAAACTTCTTCCAAAGTGATCTCCAGCGTCTTTGTGATGATGCTCGTGTCTGTAAGTGGCGAGAATAAATACCATAAAACAATTAATAAAGAGGTCACTTTGCAAATGACTTGTTTGACGTGAATCGAAGTCTGGGAATGCAAAGTTAATCTTCTGAACAGCAGTTCGAGCACTAAATTCAAAAAAAGCAATGATGAACAATAGAAAATTCGAACAAACCCACGCTTTAATCAATTTTTCACGGTTATTTCAGCTTTCTGTTTAAAAAAAGTTCTCAAAAAATTAATTTTTGAACCGGGAAAATTTGCCAGAAAAAAGGTGGAAAAATGAAGAAGCTCAAATTGAGAAACGAGGTTTGTGTGAATTTTTATTCTTATTAATCTTTTGAGGAACATTACCTTAAGATTTGAGTATTGAAAAAAAAACTTTTTAAAAAAAAGGTCATCACCTTTATATTTTAGATTATCGGAAAGAAGTCATTTTCGACTCACATGGGTAAAAAGGCTGGAGAATGACAAAGTCGACGACTAAATCTCCGCGAACAGTGGGTGTATCGAAGAAGGGCAAACCAAAGTAGGGAAGTCTGAAACTTTCGAAATTCCTGAAATCATAAGCTCAAAAAAACTTTATTTTAGAGTTTGGCTTGATTTCATCTTGCACAACGAGCTTATAAGTGCCTCCGCCGATGGTCGGGATATCCAGAACGCTTCCGACGACAGTCTCGCATGGCGGCACGACTTTTGTGTAAAGAAGGTTCTCCTTCTTCCGTGTAAAAAGGTGGTGGCGGTTTTCCTGATTTGGAAAAAGCAAAGTAACTTTATTTTTAATCAAAAATAGAGTCAAACGAAGTATAAATTATTTCAGAAGGGGTTATATGTGAAGCATCCTTCTTTATCAAAAAAAAAAGCTTGAAAACATCTTTTTTTTTAAATCGATTCAATGTTAAATCTTTCTTTCTAGTTATAATTCATTTAAAAGATATTTTTTCTTTAAGGACGAAGAGATTTTTTTATTGTATATTTAATACTAACTCAAACCAGCAAATCTGAAAAATGGAAAATTCTGTGAAATTATTTCAACTCGCGATTCCTTTACTTGAAATGTTAGACTTTTCATTTATTCAAGGAGTTATTCTGGAAAAAATTAGCGAGCTTTGAAAATGTTACCTATAAGACTTTGACCACAAAATGCGTTCAGTATTCATCCAAGTTTGCAGAAAATAACATGATTGTTAGAAAATATCAGACCTACCCATTGAATCAACAAACAACTCATAAATTTCCTTCAAGAACGTTCCAACCTTGACGACGAAGATGAAATCGGCCGGAATATTTCCCGGAGTGCGGTCGCCGGACACAGGAAAGGTGAACTTGAAGTTGGCCGGACAGCCTGGCTCGATTTTCATCGTGAAAACCGGCGATTCGGTCCGGCAGCCGAAAATGTCGACAACGAGCCGATCGATTCTCACGTTTTTCGTGGTCCCACGAAAAATCTCCTCCAGAGTGACGTAAACGTTGTGGAACACTGGCGGATCTTTCTTGGGACCTGAAAAAATGCCCAAGGTAGAGACAATAGTTTAATGAATCTTTGAAAAACGACCACTTACCGCTCGAGAAATTCGATGAGAATGGGTGGCTTTGTCTGAAATTTACATCATCAAAAAAAAATTTCTTAACAAAAAATACCCACCCTCTCCTGTAAGATTTGAAGAAATCTTTGCCGAAATACTGTTCGAAAGGATCCTCGGTCGTTCGACTGTTCTAAAAGAAAAGGAGGAACTTAGTCATACTTTCAAACTCTTAACCGCATCTTTCTTCTCATCGGAGCTTGGAGATTTGTTCTCCTGTTGAGATAGAACACGATAGGCTTCCGAAATTTCCTTAAAATCACATTTAATAATATAATAGTCTCTGTGAAAAAAAAAACCTTGAACTTTGCTTCTGCACCAGGTTCCTTATTCTTGTCCGGATGGAAGGCCAAGGCCAGCTTTTTGTACTTCTTCGTAATTACCTGCATACTGTCGAATCTCGAAACGCCCAGGATTTGATAATAGTCCTTCGGCATGTCGCTTGAAATGAAAATAAGGAAAATATCTTATTAGACGAGGAGTAAAAGACACAACGCGATGTAAAAGTGATAAGCAAGTGAGTAATTCTTCAAATAAGCTAATATGTGAATCGGAGCAGAACTTTTTTGCGAGGAAAGGGCAAATCTTCGCGCTGATCTTTCTCTGCTGACTCATGATGTGCAACAATATTTTGTTGTGCGCTATCCCTCTATTCTTGGAAAGAAATATTGTTTTTCTCGCCTTTCCGAACACTTATCGAAATCAATGAACATGATTTCATGTGAAATGTCTATCCGCCATTTCGCAATTCGCACAGCAAATACAAATCAATCACACGTCGTGAAAAGCAATTGAATCTAAGCTGATCTGTGGAAACGGCTGGTGGAAAAGGTTATTTGAATAGATGGTACTGACCCTCAGAAATTTGCAACGCTTCGAGCTTGCGTGTCACCGTTGCGCAGGTGCCATGCTACTTCTCCGTATTGTTCCAATTATAGTTAAAGTTCTCGGAAAGATTTGTCGAAATTTTTTCTTCTTCTTTCAACTGCAAAATGGTCTTATATAGCATGGCCACATTTCAATAATGCTATGATTATAAAAAAATAAAAAAAGGAATTAATTTGAAAAAAAGACTTTATCCTAACAAAAAAAGGAGAAAATGTAACACATCTACAGATTTCAGACTTGAAATCGAATAGGCTTAAATTTCGAAAAAAGGAGGAAAAATAAATCGAGAACATGATAATGGAAAAGAAAGGAAAAACGAATTCCGTGTTCAAAGTGATTTCCGCGAAATTCAAAATCTTTTTTAACTCTACGTATTTCAATTTTCTTTTTCACCTTCTGGCAATTTCGAATTTTGTGGAACCACTTTAAACGCTAAAAAAATTTTTCTTTGCAAATATTTGCAAAGCTATATGAATTAAAAAAATTATGTATTGATTAATTAATCAAAAAAATTTTTAAAAAAACCTTGCGTAATTTCAGTGCAGTACTTGCTATAGCCGGCGTACTTGTTGAATACAGTAAATATACTTTTTTCTTGCAAACTTGCGTTTTTCATCTTTTTTTCACTTATTCTTTCATAAACGTTCGATTTAAAAAAATTAATGGATTATTGAAAACTGATTCAAGTTGTTGTCTCTCGATTATTGAGATTTCCAAATGGTTTGCCGTATACTTTCTACTGGATTTATATGTATAAATTATTCATGTCATTTTATTAAATTGTTTAACACAATAGGAGATGTAAATTTTATTAATTATTAAGCTATGGAGCTAATCTTTCTTTTCACAGGCTCAAAGTAACGTTTTTTTCCTGATGTTGCGGCCAGGGAAGGTCAAACTTCGTTGCGTAGTCCAATGCAGACACGCTGTACCTCAAAAAGCTTTCTAATATTACTTTTTTCCAAAGCTTCATTTACAGTGTCTGCTCACTATTTTTCTAATGAGTTGAATATCCGCATGTGCGTTTTGCGAACTTGCGGTTATTCTTCATTTTCCCTTGGCGGCGAAGAAAAAAAAACTTCTGTGAAAAAGTTCTTTCTTCTCACAATAAGTCAGACATGGATGACAGGTTGCTGGTAAAGATGGTGAAGCGGATGATTCCGTCGGCAAAAAGAAGGTTTGGGAGGTCCTTGTCGACAGAAGAAGCCCTCCCAAAGAAGTTTTGACGGGATCCGAAAACTCAGTGCAGTGCTTCTTATCGTTACTTCGTGAAAAGGGGTACAGTAGAAAGATCAAGTTCTGTTTTTATTTCTTTATTTTTTTTTAGAGTTTCTCTCTTTTTTTTCGAAATTTTTCTTGTAACTGAGACTGAAGTCAAGAGTAAATGCGCTCCTCTGGCCTCCGTAATTCGAGTCTTGAGCCCGTTTGAGCGTCGTTCAAAAGCTCATTTTCTTGGATCTTTTGACATTATTGGTTGACATTCTATGAGAAAAATTGGAAGAAACTTTAAAAATAAGAAAATTTGTGTTTTTCAGCGGCGAAGGCTTCATGAGAAAAAGGAAACGATTTTTTTTAGTGTTTTGCTGATCGTTTTCTTTCTCGCCTTCGTACCTCTTGGGTTTTTCTACCATGCCCTTCTCTTAGAATCAGAGGTTTTCTTTTTTTTTCTGATAAAAAAAGTAATAGGAGAAATATGATACTTTAATATTAATTATTACTGAACAATTTTAATTTCTCTGTACACGTTTTTTTGTAGGAACCGGAAGAATTACAATCACAATTTGATGCTTCGCGTTTTTACAGTGATCTGTTGAAGTTCAATCAAAGCGGTTCAAATCCTTTTATATTCGAATTGCAAATATGAATTCAGAATGTGCATTTTTCCCATCTAATATTGCAAAAACTCATCCACAATGTCTACGGAAAATGCAATGGCTGCAAAAAGGCTGGAGGTGTGTTTTTTTTTCTAATTGGATTAATGAAGTGGGGATTCGTCAACTATTGATTCTGAAATTCAAGATCACACACTTGTTATTCGCAACAGTTGGTCGACGGAAGTCTTTGTTCTTTTCGGAGATACCTCTCAGTAGTTGAAAGGTTCTGTCCGTTGGTTGACAACAAAGAAATCAATCTTCAAAACGAGGAATTGCATTTTGCTGAGGTCCGTCATTCAATGTTCATTTCGATTTTAATAATTTCAGATAAATAAAGACTATGAAGAACTTTTTTTCAAGAATGTCCGACGTTCCCGAAAAACTATCTGTACATGAAGGTTTTCTTTCTTTTTGAAACCTTCAATTTTTTTAATATTGTTTCGAATTAGTGAAGTATTTCAGTCCCGAATAACGAAATTCTGGCCGAATTGGGTTCGAGGAATCAATGAAGCTACAGCAAAATATCCGAAGACTTTCCAAAGAAGGAAACGATTGAATGTTGGTATTTTTGCACGATTCATAAGTTCGTTTTTTTTTCCAAAATAATAAAGCGGACGTTCTAGGGAATTTACCATGACTGATTTTTTTTTTCGAAAAGAGTTGGGTACCAAAAAATATGATTTTCCAGGTCCGTAATTTATGGAAAGGCTTTGAAACACTTTTTGTTGTTTTTGAAAATTTTTCAATTGCAGATTATTGTTCTCATCGGCTTTCTTGCTAACGAATCGTCCATCAAATTTGCTCAGAAGTCGGGACAGGGTACTTTTATTTTTTTATATCTTCATATTTCACCGTTCTGCTTTGAAAACTGAAATGTGTCTTTTTGCTCTCGATTACGGTTTTTCATTCACGTTTTGAAGGCCCTCTACTGAAGACATGAAAAACCCAATTTATTGTGGAAAAAAAAAAAATTAAAATAAAACGAATTTGAAGGCGGACCGCTCGGCGAACTGTTGCAATGGTCGGATTTGATAGCTGCCTTGTCAATTTTGGGCCATAATCTTCACATTGCTTCCGACAGAAACACACTGAAGAGGTAATGGTGTATTTAATGTTTGAATAGTACTTCTAAAAGATGAAATATTCTTAAAACGTATAATGAACCTTTTTCGGACCTAGTTGTTATAAATTCTGAAAGTTTATTGTCCACGACAGAATTCTGTGACGTCTAGTAAGAGAACCAGGAAAGCTATATTTTCTCGAATTCAATGATGATTTCAATTTTGGGAAATGATCAGTGAAGCTCGAAAAATTTTTTTAGAAGATTTTGAAAATTTTTTTCAAAAGAGGAAAAAGTTTCATTTTCTCGTTATCTTACAAACGGATCGTTTTTGTATAAGCTCTTCAAATTTCCATTCTTCCTTACAAGAAATTTTTAACCTTCGTCATAATTATATTATTTTCTCTCATGAAGCTTTCACTTTAATAGACTCTTAAGAATTTGTATGAGAAAAAAATTTTGATGATAATTTTCCTCGTCATTTTACTTTTCCATACTTTCTATCGAAAATTTGATGTTATATCTTTTTTCAGCATAGTGAATGACTACTCCGACAATCAGCCTTGCCCATTTGCCGATGGCCAAAGTTCCCAAATCGATTTGATTTTCACGGACATTATGGGTTTGCGCTTATTCCGTCGTCACAAGTCCTTCATTACCGCCAATAAGTTGGTTTTTCGTTGAATTTTCCATATAATCCACAATATGATCTTCGAAATTATTGAATTTAAGGTGCCGAGTCCGACTTTTGGACAGTTTTGGAACCCACGCCGAGTTTTCCAACAAAAACTACTTTTTAACCCACAGAGACGAACTTTCTGGTGATTTTATTTTTGAACCGTTTTCAGTATATTCAGACATTTTTACTCTTCATTGACGGAAATTTAGGAGTGTTTCGCTCTTAGATAAGATGAAAAGAAGCCCAGAGAAGGTGGATTTTGTTGGAAAATTACCATGTGAAAATTACCATGAACGAAATCAACCTTTCATTTCATGTATTAAATTTTAAAGAAGGCTTTTCGAGCACGAAAAAAGTCAGTGTTTTCAGGATTATACTCCCGCAAGAATCCGTGGGGTGGTCACGGACTCCGCCTCCAGCAGCACTGGACCTTCTATCCTCATTCCCACGACAATACCTTCTTGGGCTTTGTCGTCGATGACGCCGCTTCCCGCGGAGAATCCGCCGAAAATCAAAAAACTTTGTTCTCACGGGATTCAAAGGATGCAGCTTTGGTGTATGGCAAGGTTCTTTTTAGTTTAATCGAAAAAAATCCTATTTAATAACTTTGGTTTTTGATAACAATTTCGGAAGGGTTTCATAAAAACTTATGTTTTTTCCCTTCAAGCGGAAAATTTCCATTACAATAAATTATAGTTTTTTATATATGTTATACTGTTCTCCAAAGTTTTTCGACCATCTAGAAAAAAACTCTTAGATATTTTATTATAATATTCGAATACATCAATCAATCTCTCTAAAAATGTAAAGTTTTTTTAATTTTTTTCGGAAGAAAAAAACATCTTTCTTCAGGAACAGTACATGTGGAAAGGCGTCGAACGTCCGATCGAGATATTGAAGGAAATGACTGAGGTTGGAATGTTCAAACTCATCAGTACAAATCCTGTTTCAAGGTTCACGCTACTGTGGCCGACGCTCTGAACGTCACTTCTCTGGATTTGTTCAAAAACGTGGTCAATCACGGTTTCCTGCACGCCGATCAAATATCCGCACTTTTGAAGTCGGTCAAGATCTTTTTTGGAATGGGATTTCCGCTGGAAGGTGTGGAATCATCCAAAAGTTCTCGTCGATCTCAAGAATTAGGTCCTGCTCCCCTGGAAGCGATCGCCAACGGCGCCGTTTTCATCAATGCCGCTTTTCGAGAACCAAAAACTCGTCGCAACAATAAATTTCTGTCCGAGAAGCCGACTTTAAGAGAGGTTTATATATATATATATCTTTTTGTGCCTTTTATTTCTGAAGAAGGTTATTTTTTTCGAATCTGCTTGATGAAGGTACACTGCAAGAGACGATTTTAGCTCCTATAAAATGCAAAGAAAGTTCTTGTTACAGTGGACTAGTCAATGTCCTTACATGGAAGAATTCGGGCCTCCTCACGTCTACACTATCGATATCAATAATGAGGAAGTCTTGCGGGAAACCATTCGAAAAGCGTTAACCAACAAGGTTTTTCTTTAAAAAGTTGTATTTTCATAGCAAAATGGTCCTCTCATCGCAGGAAATATTTCTCAATTTAACTTGTCCCTTTTTATTTTTTCATGAGTTTCTTTATTTTATCTTCTCTAGGCATCTTCTTGAGAATTTGTATTGAAACTGTTGAAATTTCAAAACCTCACTGTTTCAGCTCTCAACTTTTCTGAAAATCGGATATAATCTCGTTTTTAAAATATTTATATAACAATTTTCCATTGAAATGCTTTGATAAATTAGATGTAAAGTTGGAAAATTTAATTAAGTTCAATCACAATGGCTTGAAGCTAGGTCCAATAAGGGTTTTGACATCATTGGCGAAAATAAATTCGAGTTTTTTTTTTCCTTGATTAATAGAAATTGGAGTGTAAATCGCATAAAATATAATATTTTTGAGGATTCTAAACATCGGTTCTAACACGTGAACCATGTAGAATTTCCGACGGAATTTCAATGATCCTTTTTTCCGTAACAACAGATTTCAAGATTTTTTTTTATCACAGTTTGCTTTTCCTCATGATCAAACTTAAGCCAAGTCCAATAGTCCCTGAAGAGTTTTCAACCCGTGGAATGCTCTTAAGAGTGTCTCGCCTCGTCCAAAAGCAGGATTTTTGCGGACAGATGGACGAAATCGCGTGGCCGCCCGTAGATGCATTGAAGGTTTTTCTAAGTACTTCGTATCATTTTTTGAGAAAAGTTCCAGATTGTTCTGTCGAGCCCCGAAAAGTTGGAATCGTGTGAATCGGCGTGTTGGAGACATCGATTCGTGTGCGAACCAACGTTTTTCCCACTCGTCAATAGACACGAGCAAATTCTTGAGTTGGTTTTTTTTGTCAACCACCGGAAGTTTTGTATACTTGAAACGAAAAATTTTGAATATTCCTATAGGGCCCCCAAAAGCTTGCAAAGTTGGCCCCTATAGGGTTTTCAGTTGGGGGCCCCTAGAGAGGTCGGTTTTTGTTATATACTTTATGAGAAGCAGCTTTCCATGCAAAAAGCTTAGTGAATAATGAATAGTTCAACAGAGGATAAATTGATCAATTTGTCATTTTAATTATCGGAGCTAACCGAAAAAATTAGAGAACCCTATAGGGACCACTTGAGCTTTGGGGGTTACGACCAGACCCTAAATTCCTACAGGAACCACTAAGCTCTACCTACATGAGCGCTTTTTTGTTCCTTACATACATGGGCTAACCCACATTTTTTCGTGACGTCAGAGCGGGCCCCCCTTGAAAAAGAGCGTACCCCCCTTGGAAAAGAGCGTACCCCTCCAGAAAAATCTATTGATGTGAAATATTTTTCAAAGTTGGGTTATGGATTAATTAGCAAATGTTTATTGATTTACGATTTATATGTAGTACATTCAGCTACGTCTCGCGCCGTCAAAGTGATTATCGGTTGATGATTTGCGGGCCCTCCGGCCTATCCCGTTTCGCAAAAATCGATCCGATTTTGAAGTTGAAAATACTTATAAATCAGAATCTACGATCTGGCCAAGTTTCAGGCCGTTTGGATGAGTTTTGAGAAAAATGATTTCTCCGACCTCTCAAAAGTGATTTTTTGAAGTTTCCAATTTTTTTCGGCTCAAAAATCATTAATAATTTCGAGATAACACCTAATAACAACAAAAATACTCAATTTGCAACCTTTTGGAAGCTTTTTTTCAGTCCAATTACAAGATTTTTGCGCTTGTGAGAATAAATATCAATTGGTGGCTTGCGGGCCCCCCGGCCTATCCTGATTTGCGAAAAATCGATCCGATTTCGATGTTAAAAATAATCATAAATCAGAATCTACGATCTGGCCGAATTTCAGGCCGTTTGGATGAGTTTTGAGAAAAATGATTTCTCCGACCTCTCAAAAGTGATTTTTTGAAGTTTCCAATTTTTCGGCTCAAAATCATCAATAATTTCGAGATAACACCTAATAACGACGAATTACTCAATTTGCAACCTTTTGGAAGCTTTTTCAGTCCAATTACAAGATTTTGCGCTTGTGAGAATAAATATCAATTGGTGGCTTGCGGGCCCCCCCGGCCTATCCCGATTTGCGAAAATCGATCCGATTTCGATGTTAAAAATAATCATAAATCAGAATCTACGATCTGGCCAAGTTTCAAGCCGTTTGGATGAGTTTTGAGAAAAATGATTTCTCCGACCTCTCAAAAGTGATTTTTTGAAGTTTCCAATTTTTCGGCTCAAAATCATCAATAATTTCGAGATAACACCTAATAACGACGAATTACTCAATTTGCAACCTTTTGGAAGCTTTTTCAGTCCAATTACAAGATTTTGCGCTTGTGAGAATAAATATCAATTGGTGGCTTGCGGGCCCCCCCGGCCTATCCCGATTTGCGAAAATCGATCCGATTTCGATGTTAAAAATAATCATAAATCAGAATCTACGATCTGGCCGAATTTCAGGCCGTTTGGATGAGTTTTGAGAAAAATGATTTCTCCGACCTCTCAAAAGTGATTTTTTGTATTCTGTTTTTTTTAGAGCTCAGAGTCACCGCTAACTTCAAGTTAACCCTCAACAAAACTTCTTTTTCGCCATTTTTTGCGTATTCGTCAACCAGGATAAGTTTTGTGCGCCCATCGCTTGTCATTATAGCGCTGCGTTGGTTATATAATCTTTTTTTTTCTTGTTAAAGGAAAAATATTAAATCTTCTATTTTTCTTAATTTCTTCATCGAATGAATTATTATTTTCGATATTGCAGTTTGTAATTTTTTTAAATTCGTGATTTTCAATTTCTTTGTATTTCATATAATTAAATTTCCATTTTTTTTTATTGAGTTTATTTTTTCTTGTCCATCTGTGGATAGAATTGATTTTCAAGACGTATTGGAACTGTTAGTAAATTTTAAGCTTATATATCTATGTCGTCAAGAGAATGTCGAAAAACGCGTCGACTTCAGTATGAACATAAAATTGGTCAATTCTCATCGTAGTAAACGAATTGAAAAATAAGAGCACGTCGGGACGCAAAAAACTTAGCTTGTTGTAAATTTTTTCATTCCAGCTTCAAATTAAAGTTTTTTTCATCAAAACCTTGCATAAGACCTTTACGGAGAAATCAATTTTGTATTTCGATATTGCTTATTTGGGATCGCGGTCTCACAAGCGCAAAATCTTGTAATTGGACTGAAAAAGCTTCCAAAAGGTTGCAAATTGAGTAATTCGTCGTTATTAGATGTTATCTCGAAATTATTGATGATTTTGAGCCGAAAAATTGGAAACTTCAAAAAATCACTTTTGAGAGGTCGGAGAAATCATTTTTCTCAAAACTCATCCAAACGGCTTGAAACTTGGCCAGATCGTAGATTCTGATTTATGATTATTTTTAACATCGAAATCGGATCGATTTTCGCAAATCGGGATAGGCCGGGGGGGCCCGCAAGCCACCAATTGATATTTATTCTCACAAGCGCAAAATCTTGTAATTGGACTGAAAAAGCTTCCAAAAGGTTGCAAATTGAGTAATTCGTCGTTATTAGGTGTTATCTCGAAATTATTGATGATTTTGAGCCGAAAAATTGGAAACTTCAAAAAATCACTTTTGAGAGGTCGGAGAAATCATTTTTCTCAAAACTCATCCAAACGGCCTGAAATTCGGCCAGATCGTAGATTCTGATTTATGATTATTTTTAACATCGAAATCGGATCGATTTTCGCAAATCGGGATAGGCCGGGGGGGCCCGCAAGCCACCAATTGATATTTATTCTCATAAGCGCAAAATCTTGTAATTGGACTGAAAAAGCTTCCAAAAGGTTGCAAATTGAGTAATTCGTCGTTATTAGGTGTTATCTCGAAATTATTGATGATTTTGAGCCGAAAAAAATTGGAAACTTCAAAAAAATCACTTTTGAGAGGTCGGAGAAATCATTTTTTTCTCAAAAACTCATCCAAACGGCCTGAAATTCGGCCAGATCGTAGATTCTGATTTATGATTATTTTTTTAACATCGAAATCGGATCGATTTTTCGCAAATCGGGATAGGCCGGGGGGCCCGCAAGCCACCAATTGATATTTATTCTCACAAGCGCAAAAATCTTGTAATTGGACTGAAAAAAAGCTTCCAAAAAGGTTGCAAATTGAGTAATTCGTCGTTATTAGATGTTATCTCGAAATTATTGATGATTTTGAGCCGAAAAATTGGAAACTTCAAAAAATCACTTTTGAGAGGTCGGAGAAATCATTTTTCTCAAAACTCATCCAAACGGCTTGAAACTTGGCCAGATCGTAGATTCTGATTTATGATTATTTTTAACATCGAAATCGGATCGATTTTCGCAAATCGGGATAGGCCGGGGGCCCGCAAGCCACCAATTGATATTTATTCTCACAAGCGCAAAAATCTTGTAATTGGACTGAAAAAAAGCTTCCAAAAGGTTGCAAATTGAGTAATTCGTCGTTATTAGGTGTTATCTCGAAATTATTGATGATTTTGAGCCGAAAAAAATTGGAAACTTCAAAAAAATCACTTTTTGAGAGGTCGGAGAAATCATTTTTTTCTCAAAAACTCATCCAAACGGCCTGAAATTCGGCCAGATCGTAGATTCTGATTTATGATTATTTTTTTAACATCGAAATCGGATCGATTTTTCGCAAATCGGGATAGGCCGGGGGGCCCGCAAGCCACCAATTGATATTTATTCTCACAAGCGCAAAAATCTTGTAATTGGACTGAAAAAAAGCTTCCAAAAAGGTTGCAAATTGAGTAATTCGTCGTTATTAGGTGTTATCTCGAAATTATTAATGATTTTGAGCCGAAAAAAATTGGAAACTTCAAAAAAATCACTTTTTGAGAGGTCGGAGAAATCATTTTTCTCAAAAACTCATCCAAACGGCTTGAAACTTGGCCAGATCGTAGATTCTGATTTATGATTATTTTTTTAACATCGAAATCGGATCGATTTTTCGCAAATCGGGATAGGCCGGGGGGCCCGCAAGCCACCAATTGATATTTATTCTCACAAGCGCAAAAATCTTGTAATTGGACTGAAAAAAAGCTTCCAAAAGGTTGCAAATTGAGTAGTTCGTCGTTATTAGGTGTTATCTCAAGATGAGTAATGATTTTGAGCCGTAAAAGCGAAAATAAAAAGTTGATTTTTTTCTAATGGCCGGAAAATGACTAATTTTCAAACCCTTCCGATTGGCCTGAAATTTTGTGAGAACATGTAATATGTGTAATATTCACTTTTTAAAAAAAGAAATTGAATCGATACCTATCATTCTGAAGTTTTTTTAGGACATGATTTATACGATTCGCCTCAGTATTTTTCGACCGTTTGGCGCTAGTATAATATTTTGTCAATAATTTCACCACTCAATAAACTTCAAAAGGCCTAATGAATAAAATAAACCGATTTCCTGTAACTTATCGACTCTTCTTAAAGGATCGGGGGGCCCGCATGTGCTAAATGGGCTGCTAGCCCACGTATGGTTCCTTATTCGGGCTGCTTTTACCTTAACCCCTATAAGGGCGCTCTGTTGATCCTAAGTGAGTCAGAGAGCTTTGGAAAGAAGTTTCTAGGAGGAGCATGAGGAAAATTTTTTTTCCAGAAAAATTCAGCTTCTATTAATTGAAAAATGTAATCTGATAAGTCTTTCAAATAATTTCCACCTTTCAGCTTGTAGGTAACCATGCCTTTTCCAGACATAATTCGTCTTGCCGGGAACTCGTGCGTCGGGTCGCCTCGCCCCTGGCGCCGTTCAACTGCGAACTCCAGGCTTCTCCACAGCTTTTCAGCTGCGCGAGTCGTCCTTCCAGCGCCGAGACTGCGGTCACTCGGCTCTGCCCCTGTCGGGACTTCCTTTCGCAGCAACAAGCGCTCTGTTCCGATTGCCTTTGAGCGTCTATTCTTGATTTTTCCATATTTTAACATCACGCAGTTTCATTCAATCAAACTTTCTGTTCATCCTCCACAATTTACATCAAAAAAGTTATTATAACAGAAATCTTGACGCGCTTAAATTCATTAGTATCCTCTGTTAATTTTCTCCAAAGCTAATAGGTTATTCAAGTATACAATTCATGTCTTATCAAAGGGTCCAAAAGCTTTTATTCGCATTTCCCAAACCAGAGATATTTTTAGTCGTATTTTCAAATTTTACTGTATTTTTAGCTCAAAAATTCTTGTTGAAATTTGAAACTATACATTCTATCGTGTTGTTGAATGATGATTGAGATTTTATTTATCACCTAGATCATAATTTTTGGTTTCTCGGGTTTTTGGAAACAGTGAAATTTTAGTCATACTTCGGGTTACCTTTTTATGCATTTTTGAATTTGAAACATGTTTTTTTATAATTATTTTTTTACCGCATTTTCTCATTTCTTTTCATGTATCCGTTTCTATCGAAACAAGCTTGTCGAACCTGTGCAATTATTACAAAAATGTCATGTCTTCTTCCATTTTTTTGAATTTTTTTCAAATGTCTTTTTTTCTGAATTTTTTTATTTTTCTCATTGCCATATGTTCATATATCTATAGTGTTGGGACATATCTGAATTTTTTGAAGGAAACAATAAATATTTTCATCTCTTTTTGCTTTATTATTTCGTTTTCATGTCGTATCAAACGACTAATTGTATATTTATCGAACGATAAAAAGACTTCAAAAAAAAAAATATCAGCATCTTGAACCTTGAGAAAAGTATGAGCGAACGAATCGTGAGTAAACTCCCGCGACTGGCCCTCGCAAGACCGATGGCGCCGAACGTCGGCCTCAACTGTATCATGTGGGCGGAGCGACTCGCCGAGCAGTGGACTCTGGGGGCCATCCATCGGGCAGTTCGGCCCGACGGGAACAACAACGCCCTGCGGCTGTGTGGCGCCGCGCCAAGCAGCCCTTTCCGGTGGTTCAGGAGCGACCTGAGGCTCACCCAGCACTGGGAGGCGTCCCGGAGTGTCGGTTTGGCCGAGTTTGCCTCCAAGTGAGAGTTCTACTACTAAATAAAAAGCAGAAGACGTGCGAATTAGCGATCACGCGATTCGTAATTAGTTTTTTATGGTTAAAAAAAAAACGTAAACTTGAAATTTAGCATGGTAGCTTGCTGAAAACAGGCTTTCAGTATCTCACCGATAATTTTCGATTTTCTGAACTAGAAAAAAAGTAAGAAAATGGATATAGGACATTGAGAAGTGAAAAAAATGCCACACGCGAGTCGTAAAAAATTTGAAGAAAAGTTTCGATAAAGAATTCAAGACTTCTTCCATCATCAAATTTTTCAGGTAAAAGACCTCGTCCTCCTTTGGAGATTCGCTTGGACGCTGATTTCTTTGTAATCACTTTATTTCTAGCACTAGTATTCAATTTTCTTCAGAGCCGTTTAGTTTTATCATTATTCATATATATTTTTTAGCCAGATTTATTTTATTTCACCATTCATTCACTCTCAGTAAATAAAATGACGAGAGCCTCCGTTAGGTTCAAAGTTTTTGCTTATCTAACCGCGGCCCCTCAAACTGCCTTCCTAAACGTGTTATCAGTGATATTTTTGAACGAGCGAAACTATTTGAAAATCTCTCGTGTTGTAAATTTTTGTATAACGTTTTATTTTCCGTTGTGATGACGTCGTTTGCTAATTATTGGATTTTTTTCAACGTAAATGTGCTTTCTACCTCATTTTTTCTCTCAGCTTATCCATGCATAATTTTCGTCTGTTCATAGTTTTTATCTCCGTAATCGTAAAGTGAATGCCTTGAAATAGTTGCTCAAATTATAAATTTTTTGTTTTACTTGTCTACTTTTTTGTTATTTCGTATCCAAGCGATTTTCCCGTACTTTTCATTTCGCAGAGATTTCAGAGTTTTATTTTTCCACCAGGTGTTGAATGCCACCAGCGTCTAGCGATGTCAGACCGACGGCCCAAGTGGCCCGAGCTGGCGACGGCGGAATTCCCGAGTCGCGGCCCGACGTTTTGCATTTGTTGGCTGCCAGCTCCTCCACCACTGCCGTAGATGCTGCTAGATCATTATTAGGTTTTTTTTTTGTTTTTTCCTTGTTTGAAAATTGTTTCTACACTACCTTGAATAAATTAGAATTATTCGGGTTTTGAAAAGAAAAATAAAAAAAAATAACTTCGAACTTCGTTGTCGCAATGAAAAAACCATCAAGAGAACTAGTAATTTTGAGTTTTCTGGAATTAAGTAAAGCGAGTTATAAGGAAAGGAGAAGAACGCTTTTTTTGACATTATGATCTTTTTTGCAGCCCGCGGAGCGAATCCACGCGCGGCAGAAGCCGACGGACTGACGCCTCTTCACGTGGCGTGCGCCTGGGACAACTTGGCCATGTGCCAGTTGCTGCTCCATTTCGGCGCCGAGCCTCTCGTTCAGGACGCCCATGGACGGACGCCCATGTCCATGGCCGAAGGCAACACCGGCAAGTGAGGCTTTGATCAGAGGAGTTTGGACGAAGTGAAAATGGGATTTCACTTTTCCAATTATCATGGCAAAAAAGAAGATTACAGTCGACGTATGAGTATTATAGCGTTTTTCGCACCTTCATTGAACTTGAAGCTCAGAAAATGAGCAGTTTTTATCAAGATACTAATAGTCGTTTATTAGCTAACGCTGCCGAATAGCTGCCCGGTAGCAATAGGGAATGTCAGGTAGAATAGCAATGGTATCCAAATACCTTCTGATACCGCCTCTAAGGTATTTGTATGGTACCTGTTAGCTAATAAACGACCCGATTGATTTCGAAGTAGGTACCCTGTAGTTACATTTATTATCTCTTCCTGATCGACCTGTGTTCAATTCATTTCCCCCTCCCTAGGTTCCTGCAGCGCTACTTGGCGAGGAACGCAGCAGAACGTCGCGGAGTTCTCCGTCGTCTTTTCGCCTGCCACCTGGGCAGCGGTCATTCCAGTCCCTACGTCGCCAAGTCGATCCCTTCCGAAAACTTCCACAGAGGCAATCCTCTGATGCGAAGTGTCCGCGCGGCCAAAAAACGAATTCAGCACTCGATCGGAGTCCTCCGAAGGCGTGGAAGTGTGGAAAATGTTCGTTTTTTTTTTTCGACTATTCGTGTAGGATTTTGAGATTCATGGCAATAGTTTTAACGATTTATTTACGTTTTAAGAAAATAATTCCAACAAAGACTTGTAACCCGAGAGGAATTTATATGATCAATATGTTTCCCATTTTCGAAACCAACTAATGATTATATAATTTAAAAATCTTGCGTTAAAAAAAGTGTTAAAAGTTTTCTTCTCGAAAATCAGCTCAGGAGTAGTTTTTTTTTTTCCGCTTTTTTTTTCCGCTCCACTCTAAGAGAAAAAAAGTTTAAAATAATTTCCGTTTTTGCGACTCGAAAGAGCTTCTCTGCGCCCTTCTCGTCTCTCGGCGACTCTCTCATTTTTACGTGCCGTTTTCTGTTTCTTTGACCTCGTCGATGATGGAACAAAGACACGCAGACAATTGAAAACTTTCAAGTCGCGGCGAAAAAATTTTAGCTAGACTTAAAAAACTTTTTTTTTTGGAGGCTAACCTTAGTTCTGCAGATCCTGGATGACGTGCCAACATCGGAAGGCGTTCGCACCTTGCCAACCCCATCAAGACCGGCAGAAAAACCGAAAAATGCAGTTTCCACTACGAATATCCCGATTCCCGACCGAAGAGCCATCGAAAAAGAAGACAAAGAGGCGCGGAAACGGTCCCAGACCACGAACGTCTTGGATTCTCTGCCCCAAGTACCTCACGAGAGAAGATCTCAGACGCCGGAGCCGTTCCGGAGACCGGCAGCAAGTGATCAGCGCAATCACAGGTTACTAAGTTTGGATAGTTGGGAAATTTATGAAAAGAAGCTTGATTCGTATAATGATAAAGCCCATGAGTGTATTTTCAAGTATAAATATGAATCTGCGCCCTTAGAAAGATCATATTCGAAATATTTCAATTTTTTTGTTTTTATAAAAAGTTTTACGAGGAGATAGTTTCATTTTTCATTTTTCCCTGAAGATTGTCTTTGAAGTTAATTTTGAGCTTTGATAAAATTTTAAACGAAAAGGAGATCAAAATTGAGTTCTGAAAGTTTTTTTTGCTTGAAAATCAATTTCTGACGTGTCGAATCCTTTTTACCTTCAGCGACTTCAAGAACTAACGAGTTGAAATTTTTTAATGAGAAAAATCAGAATTTTCGAAGTTTGCTGCGAAAGATGTGTATACAAAAGCTGAACGTGTATAACTTTTTGCTTTAAGATCAAAGACGCCGGATGGAGGCCTCGGAAGAAGTTCTTGGCAAAATGCTGCCAAGGCTGTAGAAACTCCAAAAAGCCGCCGGACCAAGACCGAACCGTCGGCGCCGCCGCTCACTCCTGAAGTCAGTCGCAAGGAAAATAAAACTCCAGCGACTGGGAGAAAGGCACAAAAGTCGAGGCAGAACAGCGAATCTGGTAGGGTTTTGCAAAATTTTGGGGGTATTTTGCGATCATTAAAGGTAGAAAATGACAAGAATGGGATGTGTATCAAAAGAAAAAAAAAATCGGTAAGAAAATTATTTTTTAGGAGAAGCATAATGATATTTGAATTGTGTAACTTCTATAGCTTATTACTTCATTTGAAGGTGGTATGAAAAAAACACCAGCGAAAATTCAAACGGCGACTTTTCCGATTTTTTCATATCGCTAGGGAACTTTCCGACGGCCACCTTTCCGACGAAACTTTTTTTCCGACTTTTTTTCCCTTATGCTTTTCGGTTTATAAAAACATCTATGAACATTTTTTTCCTATTTCTTTGTGTTTTTAATTATGAACAAACTACCTACTTTATATAGGAAGATGTTAAACGAAGAGTTTATCGAGAAAAAAAAGTCGGAAAAAGTTTCGTCGGAAAGGTGGCCGTCGGAAAGTTCCCTAGCGATATGAAAAAATCGGAAAAGTCGCCGTTTGATTTTTCGCCGGTGTTTTTTTCATACCACCCATTTGAATGATTCCAGAGATTGAAGACGAGAGAAATAGTACAGCTCATAGTATATACGCGACGGCGGAAGAAAGTTTCGACCTTGATGAGTTGAATAAAAGAGTTGGAAAAGTGAGGAAATGTCTTGAAGTCGAAAATAACGGAGCTGAGCTCAGATAAAATTGAGCGCTCGAGGGGAAACGCCGCCAATCGTCGACAATGTCTTCGTGGATGACGGCGAAATGCGCAAAATCAAAAGGTTAAAAAGTAGAAAAAACATTTTAAAAAGAAACTTTTCTAGAATGGGAAACGTCGAATTTCGAAACGAATTGAAAAAAGCTGGCATTTTGGCAGGCCCGATTTGTGTCAGGTAAAACTAGCAAAAAAATTAACGCATTTGAAGGGAAATTTGCAGGACAAGACATATGTACGAGAAAAAGTTATTGGAAACCAGAAGAAAATTGAATGAGGAAGAAGTCGTTCAGATTCTGACTGTTGGAAAGGTTAGTTAGCGCCAAAAAAAAATCTTGTCTTCGTTCTTTTATTGATAATTTTTTAGAGATTTTTTCGACGTTTTTCTGCGCGCTAGCTCAAATTAAAAAAACATTTTAGTCAATGTTATATAATATTTTCCACAAGATGGGAAGCCTGGGAACGAAGTAGAAACACAAAATTAGTTTTTTGTTTTGAAAAATTGAATAAAAATTTCGGTACTATGTGAGTCCAAAACTGAGCCTGACCTCGAGCGACTTTGTCCAATAAAACCCGATGCGATGACGCGCAGCTCGCTTTTTGTCGGATGCAGGACAACGCGCAAGTCTTGGGCCTTATTTGCGTTTCAAATTGTGGGAAACGGGGTTTATTGGATCCTAAAAGGAAATTCATTTTTCTTTGCCGCTGGGATTTTCCGGAGAATTGGCCGGAGAATTCTTTGATCTGCCAGTAGAAGTCTCTGGAAGTCTTAACCTCCACAACTTACTATTTTTCGAGAAATAAAGACTCAAAGCCCTAAGATAGCCTAGTATAACGAGTTCTTAGGGTTTTCATCGACTTTCAGGTTTATTTTCTCAAAAACTAGAAATTTGTGCAGACGGAGACTTTCTGAATATTTACGTCAAGGAGTTTTCTGGTCAAGTTTGAAGAAATTCCCAACCACAAAGTGAACTGATCTCCTTGTTAGAAAGTATTAAAACTTCGTGGAGAATGTTCATTTCAAAATGCAACTCACCATAAAACTAGTACAGAAGCTCGCAAACCGCCGCTTTTTCCAGAAATTCTCGAATCAACTCGAAACTTTTATGCGAACTGGCACGATTCCAACGGAAAGCTGGTCCAAGGTCAATGGACTCGATAAAAAAGTTTGAAAAACAGGATAAACTTGGAAAATTCTTTTCTTTTCAAGATCAGAAGTGAGTACGAAAAGGACGGCGTCACCTCGTTTTGTTACCTTCTCATGGACCCGAAAATTCTCGGAAAATCCACTGAAAACGTGACTTTCGAAAAGTTTGTCACTTCTATTTTCTACGTCGGGAAAGGCACCAAGGTTGGTTTTTCATTCTTCCTGAAAGATATTTTCAACTTTTTTTTTTGGAATTCGTTTTTTTATCTTTGAAAAAATCAAAATAAACTAAATTTTCAAGCTCCGCCCTCTCCAACATTTGCAAGACGTGAAAAAGAAGCGGGAGATCAACTCTCCCGATTTGGTTTGATTTATGTGGAAGATTGGGGGAAAATTAACTTTTTTTCAGATCACAAATGAGAAATACAAAAGGATCGATGAAATCTGGACACGTGGAGATGGCGTCGCCCGACATGAAATCGGTATTTTTTGAAAAAGTTGAATGCTAAAATAATATTTTAGATTAATGGATTAATTGATTTTCTGAGAATAAAGGTAGAAACCAGGCTTTTCGTGGATCAAACGGGGGAAAATCTTCAATTTCCTTTTTTAGGAGAACCTAATACACTCCCTATAGGGTCCACTAAAATTCAAACTCCCTATAGGACCCACTTCAGCTTTTCCAGTAAGCTAGTCAATTTTTTGAAGGTCATGGAATATCGAGCGATGAAGCTCTGGTCCGTGAAGCGGCGCTTCTCGATGCGATTCGTCTCGAGAATCTCACCAATATCAGGGTTTGCGCCTTTAATTAGAGCCTTTTGAAACTGGATTTCTCCGCTTCTTCAGGGAGGAGATTGGCGCGGATCTTCGAAAACCTGGAATGCGGTCGTCAGAGCAGAATATGGCGTTCATTTGTTACAGAAGTTAGTTTTTCTATAAATAAATAAATTGTGTAATAAAAAGCTGGCTCAAAAAATTGAAAAAAGATGTCTTGACAAGATTTGAAGAGTATAAGGCTTAGTTGGCAGAGAGGACAAACATTTAGACGTATTTTCAGGCCCGAGCTATTTTTGAATAGGCTATATTATACGTGATTTAAAAAAATTGTTTGAACTGCAAAGGTTTTTTCAGCGCCCTGACAACATTAAAGGCCGAAGGTATACGGTTGGTTCACGAGGATACGGTACCCGAGATGACGTATCCGCCCAATGTCAACGTCCGTCGTGGACCCAGAACTCCCAAATAACTCCTCACTCCAATTGATGAATGTTTTCCATTCCCTCATTTTCCAATTTTCTTACATTTCGAAGATTGAAAAAGTTTGTAAATTTGTTATTTTATGTACACAATCCCTGAAAACGTGTTGATGAACGATCTTGTAATTTTTTTCACTTTTCGATTTTTTTGCTGTATATCCTTTACTACATTTTAATTTTTTCAATGTACATTTATGTATAATTTTTTTTTTCGTCCAGTCCGAATTGCTTTCATAATTTTGCAAGCCTAGTCTATTATTCTTGTATTTATTGCTCATCTTTTTGCAAATACTTTCATTTTTCAGTCTCAAAGCTTCAATTGATGTTTATCAAATACTTCAATCACGTAAAATAAAGCTGAGAAGCGTCATAAAATGTGAAGAAACGTGAAAAAAATTACGTAAAAAAAGATCATTCCTTTTCAAATGCAAGCGCTCCTCTGTCCTAGTGAGTTCTTTTCACCAAAACTTGAAAAAAAAAATCGAACGCCATCTTTTCAGACAGATGGAGCTTACTGTGGGATCGTAACTGTGTACCGACTCCATTCTTCTTCAAAATCGTCAAATTTGGGGGTTTTGTAAGTTATATATATATTTTTTTCCTATGTCGTATGTTCATTGCAAAGCAATTGACGAAAGGGACATATTCCCTCAATTGGCCTCGCTTCGCCGCAGCCTCATTGGCTCAGTGGCAGAGCGTCTGTCTAGTAAACAGAAGGTCGCTGGTTCGATTCCAGCATGAGGCACAACATCTTTTTGATACTTTCTAAACATGTTCTTTTTTCAGATAGTAAGTTCGTTTTGGTACATTGCTTCAGTGCTGCTGATTTTCGACTTTGTAGTTATCATCATTCCATATGAATCCCTGTCAGTATTTTCTTCTCATGGTGAAAACAAATTAATTGTTTTTCTAGTTTCCGTTCGTTCCCTGAGATGATCTTCCTGACGCTCTGCTCTATTTGGATACAATTTGTCGTCCATTTCCACTACCACCGGACACGGTACTCCTGTCCACTGCCACCAGGGGTTTCTTTCATTGTTTTTGAAGAAGTTTGAAGCCACATTGAAATTCCCAAGCATTTATTAGATTCCCATTCGAAAACCTGGATTCCTAGCATTGGTCTTTGTAATTTTTTGAGACTAGACGTTGCAGGATGTCACGGATCGCCGTTGTTTGAAGTGCCAAAGTTTCAAGGGCAAGCGAACTTCCCACTGCGGCGTCTGCAACAGGTTCGCTCACCGTTCTAACCACGAGAAGAGCTTTCTTAAAAGTTTCAGAATGTCCAAAAAAAGTTTTTAGTTGGCCCGGCTATAATTTTCTTCATAGAATCTGAAGAAAAAGCATTGAGATCAAACTTTTTTATGATCTAATTTAGAGTAATTATTTTTTGTGATTTCACTGATTTACAGTTGACATATTGAGCTCGAAAGTATTAAATTTCACAGTAAAAATCTTTTCATTTAGCTCAAATTCAGAGATTTTTTTTTGCTGTGTAGTCTTTTTTCTAACCTATCCATTTTTCAGATGCATCGTTGGTCTGGACCATCATTGTCCGTGGGTCAACAACTGCGTCGGCGCTCATAACCACGCCCACTTTTTCATGTTCCTCGTCTATCTTTTCATCGGCATGGTCTTCCACTTGTACTTTGCGTTCAACACGTTCACCACTCAATTATGGGTACGAGCTAACTTCAAATTTATCATTTCTACTTCTCTTTTCAGAACACCTATGGCGAAACATATTATTGCAATACGTACCTACCCCACGCCTGGTTGAAAGATTGGACTTGCAGAAACCTGAGTAAGTTAAAGTTAGATAGAAAAAAGTTGAAACCATGCAAAAAATATTGTGCATCATGCTGGACTCGAACCAGCGACCTTCTTTTTACTAGACAGACGCTCTGCCACTGAGCCAATGAGGCGTCGATCTTGCAAAGCCTTGATTGAAGTCTAGTTTTAAATCAACAAGACAAAATTGTGAAATGACAGAAATGGTTCAAAAAAGAAGCTGCCTCATGCTGGAATCGAACCAGCGACCTTCTGTTTACTAGACAGACGCTCTGCCACTGAGCCAATGAGGCGTCGATCTTGCAAAGCCTTGATTGAAGTCTAGTTTTAAATCAACAAGACAAAATTGTGAAATGACAGAAATGGTTCAAAAAAGAAGCTGCCTCATGCTGGAATCGAACCAGCGACCTTCTGTTTACTAGACAGACGCTCTGCCACTGAGCCAATGAGGCGTCGATCTTGCAAAGCCTTGATTGAAGTCTAGTTTTAAATCAACAAGACAAAATTGTGAAATGACAGAAATGGTTCAAAAAAAAGCTGCCTCATGCTGGAATCGAACCAGCGACCTTCTGTTTACGAGACAGACGCTCTGCCACTGAGCCAATGAGGCGTCGATCTTGCAAAGCCTTGATTGAAGTCTAGTTTTAAATCAACAAGACATAATTGTGAAATGACAAAAATCGTTCAAATAAGAAGCTGCCTCATGCTGGAATCGAACCAGCGACCTTCTGTTTACGAGACAGACGCTCTGCCACTGAGCCAATGAGGCGTCGATCTTGCAAAGCCTTGATTGAAGTCTAGTTTTAAATCAACAAGACAAAATTGTAAAATGACAAAAATGGTTCAAAAAAAAGCTGCCTCATGCTGGAATCGAACCAGCGACCTTCTGTTTACTAGACAGACGCTCTGCCACTGAGCCAATGAGGCGTCGATCTAGCAAAGCCTTGATTGAAGTCTAGTTTTAAATCAACAAGACAAAATTGTGAAATGACAAAAATGGTTCAAATAAGAAGCTGCCTCATGCTGGAATCGAACCAGCGACCTTCTGTTTACTAGACAGACGCTCTGCCACTGAGCCAATGAGGCGTCGATCTTGCAAAGCCTTGATTGAAGTCTAGTTTTAAATCAACAAGACAAAATTGTAAAATGACAAAAATGGTTCAAAAAAAAGCTGCCTCATGCTGGAATCGAACCAGCGACCTTCTGTTTACTAGACAGACGCTCTGCCACTGAGCCAATGAGGCGTCGATCTTGCAAAGCCTTGATTGAAGTCTAGTTTTAAATCAACAAGACAAAATTGTGAAATGACAGAAATGGTTCAAAAAAGAAGCTGCCTCATGCTGGAATCGAACCAGCGACCTTCTGTTTACTAGACAGACGCTCTGCCACTGAGCCAATGAGGCGTCGATCTTGCAAAGCCTTGATTGAAGTCTAGTTTTAAATCAACAAGACAAAATTGTGAAATGACAGAAAATGGTTCAAAAAAAAGCTGCCTCATGCTGGAATCGAACCAGCGACCTTCTGTTTACGAGACAGACGCTCTGCCACTGAGCCAATGAGGCGTCGATCTTGCAAAGCCTTGATTGAAGTCTAGTTTTAAATCAACAAGACAAAATTGTAAAAATGACAAAAAAATGGTTCAAAAAAAGCTGCCTCATGCTGGAATCGAACCAGCGACCTTCTGTTTACTAGACAGACGCTCTGCCACTGAGCCAATGAGGCGTCGATCTAGCAAAGCCTTGATTGAAGTCTAGTTTTAAATCAACAAGACAAAATTGTGAAATGACAAAAATGGTTCAAATAAGAAGCTGCCTCATGCTGGAATCGAACCAGCGACCTTCTGTTTACTAGACAGACGCTCTGCCACTGAGCCAATGAGGCGTCGATCTTGCAAAGCCTTGATTGAAGTCTAGTTTTAAATCAACAAGACAAAATTGTGAAATGACAAAAATGGTTCAAATAAGAAGCTGCCTCATGCTGGAATCGAACCAGCGACCTTCTGTTTACTAGACAGACGCTCTGCCACTGAGCCAATGAGGCGTCGATCTAGCAAAGCCTTGATTGAAGTCTAGTTTTAAATCAACAAGAAAAAATTGTGAAATGACAAAAATGGTTCAAATAAGAAGCTGCCTCATGCTGGAATCGAACCAGCGACCTTCTGTTTACGAGACAGACGCTCTGCCACTGAGCCAATGAGGCGTCGATCTTGCAAAGCCTTGATTGAAGTCTAGTTTTAAATCAACAAGACAAAATTGTAAAATGACAAAAATGGTTCAAAAAAAAGCTGCCTCATGCTGGAATCGAACCAGCGACCTTCTGTTTACGAGACAGACGCTCTGCCACTGAGCCAATGAGGCGTCGATCTTGCAAAGCCTTGATTGAAGTCTAGTTTTAAATCAACAAGACAAAATTGTAAAATGACAAAAATGGTTCAAAAAAAAGCTGCCTCATGCTGGACTCGAACCAGCGACCTTCTTTTTACTAGACAGACGCTCTGCCACTGAGCCAATAAGGCGTCGATCTTGCAAAGCCTTGATTGAAGTCTAGTTTTAAATCAACAAGACAAAATTGTAAAATGACAAAAATGGTTCAAAAAAAAGCTGCCTCATGCTGGAATCGAACCAGCGACCTTCTGTTTACTAGACAGACGCTCTGCCACTGAGCCAATGAGGCGTCGATCTTGCAAAGCCTTGAATGAAGTCTAGTTTTAAATCAACAAGACAAAATTGTAAAATGACAAAAATGGTTCAAAAAAAAGCTGCCTCATGCTGGACTCGAACCAGCGACCTTCTTTTTTCTAGACAGACGCTCTGCCACTGAGCCAATAAGGCGTCGATCTTGCAAAGCCTTGATTGAAGTCTAGTTTTAAATCAACAAGACAAAAATTGTAAAATGACAAAAAAATGGTTCAAAAAAAGCTGCCTCATGCTGGAATCGAGACCAGCGACCTTCTGTTTACTAGACAGACGCTCTGCCACTGAGCCAATGAGGCGTCGATCTTGCAAAGCCTTGAATGAAGTCTAGTTTTAAATCAACAAGACAAAATTGTGAAATGACAAAAATGGTTCAAAAAAGAAGCTGCCTCATGCTGGAATCGAACCAGCGACCTTCTGTTTACTAGACAGACGCTCTGCCACTGAGCCAATGAGGCGTCGATCTAGCAAAGCCTTGATTGAAGTCTAGTTTTAAATCAACAAGACAAAATTGTGAAATGACAAAAATGGTTCAAAAAAGAAGCTGCCTCATGCTGGAATCGAACCAGCGACCTTCTGTTTACTAGACAGACGCTCTGCCACTGAGCCAATGAGGCGTCGATCTAGCAAAGCCTTGATTGAAGTCTAGTTTTAAATCAACAAGACAAAATTGTGAAATGACAAAAATGGTTCAAATAAGAAGCTGCCTCATGCTGGAATCGAACCAGCGACCTTCTGTTTACTAGACAGACGCTCTGCCACTGAGCCAATGAGGCCACGGCAAACGGACTGCAAAAAGAAGCTTCCAAATTGGCCAGTATCGCTGATCAAACAAATCTTCCAGCCTTTCCTGATTGAAGTTTTCAGACCCGACGCTTTTGCTCATGATTCTGTGCGGCCTCACGTGCGTCACGCCGGTAGCGATGATCACCTACATAAGTTGGAATGTTTTTTTGATCTCCCGCGGCCATACTCTGATCTCTTGGCTGGTAAGTTCATTTTATTTCCTTTTTGACTTGTCCATTTTAGTTTGAGAATGAAAAACGCGAAAAGATCCTAGAATTAGGTGGAGACTTGAAAGTTTGCATGTTCTGCCAGTTCGAAATATTTCTCAGAGTTCCTCATTTTGTAAAAAAAAAAAATGATTTCAGAAAGCATTTCGCGATAGAGCACCGCCCAGGCCGGAGACGATAACAGAGAACTGGCGCGAGTTTTTCGCGTTGTCGCGTTGCCGACCACTCTACTACGTACTTCTTTGGCCGTCGTCGTTCCCCCGGAAGACTTTCGTCGGCTCTCTGGACAGCGTCGCGTCGTACAAGTATTCTCTCTGAGCTTTTTGCTTCTTTCGCTCAGTCTTCTGTTTGCTTTCTCTCTCTTAGTTCAGCGATAAACCTCGATTGAACGAAAAAAAATAATAATAAATTGGCCTTCTGTTTTGAAATCGTTCTGGAAATAGCCTCATTCAAGGCTGCATTCACAGACCTTTATACGGAGGAAATTTGTGAGCGTAAAGACAAAGGGGGTCAACTTGAATTAAACTTGAACTTCTTTCACTGACTTGAAAGCATTTCATGCTAGAAATTTTAAACAAATACAAAAATGGAAACACAATTTTTCGAAAAATCTCACGTTTGCACTTTTCGAACCGTAAATTTTGGCCTCAACTTTTCGAGAAATATATATTTAATGAAACCGTCCGAAAATGATAAACGATGCTTCAGCTATTTTTTTTCTAACTGAGCTTTTTCAGGATCTAGTTTATCCCATAGAAATTTGATTATGGTAATTTTTTTGTTATCAAAGATTCATTTTTTTAATAAAAAAATTTTATTTCTTTTCAATTAAGGAAGTTTTGTGAAGTCTTCTTGCAGGTATAGAGATTTTGAGGCATGGAGAATTGTTATTAGCGGGTCATTTGTACAAAAAGAGGCGGGCCTCGATCAAATCGGAGTTTTCAAGTGTTCAGGAACAGTTCGAGTCTTGTGGATATTCGAGTAGGCGTAGTACTCGTCGAAGAACTTGAAAAGCCGGTGGAAAGACGGCCTTTTCTCGGGATCTTTGTGGAGACACGCGAGGAATACCTACAAACCGCCTGTTTCAAAAATGACGGGACATTTGTTTCAGCCGGGAACTTTTGAAGTGAAGAAACTTTGTTCCGAAACTCTACTGAGTCAACTTGGGACAAAAGCATTAAATAGAAGTCTAAACATCATCTTTTTCCACAAATCTTTGATGATTTTGTGAAGATCTAGATATGGCCTCCAGTAACGGTGAAATGTTTTGATTCGAAAAAAGGCTCCTAAGGGACAAAAATTTGATTTACAAACTTGCTTAAATTAACAAAGTCGAAGAAAATTATCAATTAGCTTAATTTTGAGCTTTACTATCTCAAAAATTGAGGAATTGTGGAAGTTTCAAGTTGCGGGATTTTCATCCGAGCGTAATTTCGAGTAAATTCCAAACGAAAAATAAAATACTTATCTTTTTTTGCCAATAATAAAGCCGGAAAAAACGTCTCACATTTTCATAAACGACTTCTGGGACGACTTCTGGCCTCGGCAACCTGTAGCCGTGGTCAACTTTTTCGGATCGTTTGCTCAGCAGTGAGACCTTGAAAAATCAAAAATATTTATTTAATATTTCTACAAAAATTCTTGCCTTTGTATGGAGTTTGACCCTCTGTAACTAGCTCGTATAAAAATATTCCATATGACCAGACGTCACTTTTCGAACTGGAAATGGTGTTTATTGTTTATCAAAAAATTAGAAAAGCTGAGCGAGAAACCTGAAAGCCTGGTCGTAGTAGGACTCGGGGGACATCCACTTGACCGGTAGTGAGGTATTATGGGACATGGAGTAGACCTCGTCGCCTGGCTGAAGTTCCCGCGCGAGTCCGAAGTCGGCTATCTGAAAGAATCAACTGCTTTTCAGGTTGATTCTAACGAGAGACCTTTTTTCTCCCCCGGTTCAACTTCTATTCATTATACATGTAGTTGGCAGAGGTTCACGACTCGACTATGACAAAGAAAATAAAAAAACTTTTTTCATGTTTTAGAATCAGAAGGTCCTTTTGGTCAATTTTTCATAAAAACGTCAACCGAAGTCGAAAAGTTGACATCTTTGAGTGAACTAAAATCAAAAAAACGAAGGAAAAAAGATCTGATGATACTCTCGCCACACTAGAAAAATTCGAAAAGCTAGATGCAAATTTTTTTTTTCTAAAAATCTTAAATTTTTTTTAAAGAGGCTTTCAGGTGAAATGAAAATGTTATGAAATAAGCTTGTAGATTAGGAAATTCTAACTTTAATTTATCCACTAGATCCAAGAAAAGCAAAGGCAATCAGGAGAAAAAAAAAATGAAAGTACTGAGCCGAACCTTAACGAAAGGGACGTTGTCGGTAATTTCTCCGACGAGAACGTTTCTTGCCGCCAAATCGCGATGGATCTTATTACGGTCCTCCAAATAAGCCATTCCACTCGCGACCTGAGAGCAAATTCGCGCTTAAATCTCGAGGAGAAGTACGGTACTTGAGCCGCGACGTTGATCGCCCCGGGCACCGTCAGATGGTTCTTCTTCACTCCAAGCTTCAGCAATTCTAACAGAGATCCGTTTCGCATGTATTCTGTTATGATGTAGAACGGTTTCTGAAAATTCCCGCTATTTTTGAATCTAATGAGCTCAAAACCTCTTTCGTGCAAACGGCGAGGAGTTTCACCAAATTAACATGGTCCAGCTTGGTCAGGAAGTTGGCCTCACTTCAAAAAAAAATAATAAATGAAGAAGGAGCTTGAACTTCAGAGAACCTGAAAAAGTCTCTGGAAGTTGCGTCGTCCTTCAACGTCTTCACAGCAACGTCCACGTTCTCCCACTTTGCCTGGTACACCTGAAAATATTTCACGGTGGGAAAAAATGAAGCTTTTTATTTTTATCTTTATATGGACCGAAATGGTTAGTTTTTTAAGGCGTTGTCGGTTAGCTCTTTTTTTCTAGAGTCTGTCCAGATTTCTAGTTATAGGCAGCTACTCTGCTCCCTGGCTACAGTCTCTTTCGTGTCAATTGTTTTTTTTTCGCGCGCTATGATGCTCCTTTAATAGTGCTGCATTTTTCGACTTTTTTTTACGAGCTGTTAGATCAATAAAGATCAAAAAATTTAACGCTATTAAAAGACCATCGTAGCAAGTAAGAAGAAAAAATCGACAAGCAAAGGTAATTTGCTCGCGGGGGCGATAGTAGCTGGAAACTCAAAAGGAACAGCCTCCATCCAAAAGTCAAAAATAAAAGATTCGACTTTTAGCATTTGATCTCAATCATTAGACAGAAAAATGTAGATAATAAAAGATTTATTTTTGAATTCCTGTGCGAAAAATTCAAAAATAGAGCCTAAGAAATTTCGGAAATTATAACATTTTTTTGAAACGATTATTAGATAAAGATTTATTTTTTTCATTTTTTTGCCATTTTTTTAAATGGGAACATTCCCTGTCTTCGACCATTCTGGACTGGACAGCTCACGAAAATTTGCAGAAATGCCAGAATGAATTGGAAATTTCCAAGACAAACCTCGCCGAACTGTCCCTGGCCGACTTTCTGGATGAGTCGGATGGATTCTCGTTTGACCTCCCAACTGGCCATCGTCGTGTAGAGCATCTCGGTCTCCTCTCTGACTGGCGGCGCTCCTTTCGTCAGAATCGTGCACAGACCGCCGCTCTGGCCTCAAAAACCCCAGTACTACAGGCTGACGGAGTATTGCCGCGATGAACTAACAATTATTGTTTACACGATGATATATATTGGTCTTTTCTGGAATAGGTTTTAGTAACTCAGTACTCTAGTTTATGTTTTCTTAAAATTTCCTCTGAAAAAGCTAGGGGGAAAAAAATAGAACAGCTTGATTTTTGGTGATCTAGGTGCTTCAACGAAAATGTGAATAACTTTGACAGCTGCAAATTTTTAGTTTTTCATGTTTTGAATTCATCAATTCCAGAGTTTACAGCCAAACTTCCAGCTTCAGGAAGACTTTCTTAATTTTAAAGGAAAAAAAAAATCAAAGTTTCAACTCGACACGTGGCTGTAACAGAAGGCCAAGTCGACTCGGTTTCAGTCTATTTTCAAAGATTCTTAAAAAAAAGCAGAAGTTTCCAGCTGAATCCATAAACTGTGTTAGAAGTTTCGATATATTTTCTATAAGAAAAAAGTTCAGGAGCACCCTTTGAATCAAAAAATCTTCAAAAACCCACTTCTGTAGTGCTCGACGAGATCTTGCAGGGTCGTGAAACGCATTTCATCTCCCAGTGTGAAGCCTTTTCCATTGCCCAACTGCTTGATTTCGTAATGCCTTGCATCGAGATCTTTATCGGCCAAGTTGGACAAAATCGGAAGATACAAACTCACATTGGTCCTTGATAGTGAGAACGAAGATGTTGTCGGCAGGTTTCTCGCGGACCAGAAAAGAGCCGACGGGGAGGTCCGGCTGCAGGACGCGTCTCTCGGCCAAAATACGCGAAATGTTGCCGGCCCACCAGCTGAAAACAAGACTTGTAACCCGGAACCTGACATGACTCACTCTTCTCGGATTTCCGCTTGACAAATGTGAGATTTCGGTACAAATCCCCGTTTGGCTGTCGTTTTGCTTTCTACGTACCACCAATTGGCTTCACTGAAAAGGCAAAACCAATTTAATATCTTCGAGAAAAATTGTCAGAATAAGCTTGACAATTAAAATAAGCTTTTCTAAAGAACTTTAATTTTAATTGAAATAGGAAAGGCCAAAAAAGAATAAAGAGTCGTAGGATTAAAATTACGTAGTTTTTTTTTTCTCCTCAAAATCAAAAAGGTAACAAAAAAGCATCACTACAGTACTTACTTTATAAAGTGAACAAATTGTTCCGTTATCAAGTTTTTCTTTTCCAAAACTTCCCCTCTTTTGTCACTAGCATATTTTAATGATCAATCAAGCTATCTGCTGAAATACAACCGATTTTACCAGTCATCAAGGAGATAAAGCTGATCGCCTTCCTCCAAACTCATTTCATTGTCGCCGTCCGCGACAAAAGTGAACTTTGCAATCATCAAAGAGCGCTCTGAAACACAAATCGATGATTATCAATGACTCATTCGAAAAAATAAGGAAGGCCAGTGTTTCTAGAAAAGTCAAGGGAAAACAGGCCCTCTAGGGGTCAAAATAGTGCTCTCAAGAGATTTGGCCCTCTTAATTAGAGGGCTATAAGTGCGATGGTCCCTCTAGAGCCGTATGGTCTGACCTTTAAACCCACGAGTGTTCCCTATAGTGATCTTTTTTTGAAAGGTATTAAGAGATATTAAAAAGACGTATAGGACCACCAGCATGCTCCCTAGAGTAGCCCACTTTTGAAAGATTTAATACCCCTAGAGGGGAACCTCCAAAGACCCCTAAGGTAGTCCCTCTAGGGACCATTCTGGTGTCCCTGACCTCGGTTGAAATTTTCCTTATCAAAATCAAAAAAAGAGATGAACAAACTGTATTCCCGAGGGCAAGGAGAAACTCGACGAGAGACGGTTCCCGTCGGCAGAGAGGCCGTCGATGCGTTCGACTTTGTTCTTGCCAATTTCTGGGCTTCTGGAGAAGAAAGTAAATTGATTGATTCGAAAAAAAAAACAAGAAACCTGGACTGGACGTGGTGTTGCCGAAAGTGCTCATGTTAGTGCTGACAGACTTGCTCGGAGCCAAAGATTCTCTTCGAAGCGGCAGAGGCGGATTTTTCGGATCGGCCGAAGATCCAGATCTATTCACGACCTGCAGATATCTTTGAAAACAATTATTTCGATGTCAAAGTCATCTTATAGCACTTTTTATTCTGTTTCAAAATTTCACATGATTTTTTACGGAAAGGCTTATTTTTTTTAGAGGAAATTAAATTCAGAATGAAAAAAAGTTTAAAACAAGTTCGCAACACCTATTTTTCTCTTTTTCCCTACATTTACTCCGTAAACTTTAGTACGTGTGTGTGAGAAGTAAAACATTTTGATTTTGATTAATAAAGGCTCATGAGAGCGCTCAAGTTGCTCTAAAAAGCACAAATTTCTCATTTCAGAGAAATTTTTTTTACATTAGGACAGCCAGGTAGAAGTGTCCTCTTAAGTAGAATTGATTTTTTTGGAGATGAAGAGGCTTTTTCGGTATGGAACCAGTTTTCTTTTTCGATGAATACCCATTGAAAATACCGACTTCTGTGCAATTTTAAAAACAGACTCAAAAATGCCATTCTCTACAACAAAACGTCTTTCATATCTCAAAAGGGATGTGCCATTAATGTGGGGATGCTCACAAGATTCGGATTGGTGGAAGGAGGTCGACGTTTGGCGACCTGTTTGTTGCGACTGAGTGGCGGCGCCGAGGGAGCCGATGGCTGCGGCTCCGGCGGAAGATGAAGCTTCGCTGAACATCGACTCATTATAATTTCTGAGCCAGGGACAAACCAATCATCACTGAATTAGCAGAAAAAAGAGAATCGAGATCGTCAGTCAAACATGCAAAAAAGGCTCACAGAGGTCAGGAACGCCGAAGTTGGGCAGGAAGATGGGCTCGAGGGAGTCGATGGAGAAGAGGGAGTGGCGCTGGTCGCCGGCGCCAAAGCCGCTGCCGCTGCTCGCCGTCCGGCCGGCCTTCGAAGGCTTCCCACCCATGACACAAATCCAGCTTCAGCTTCTCTCTGAATCACGAGGAAACTTAATTAATTTTTTGAACTAGAGAGAAAAAAAAAGCTCAGAAAGGGGTTACAATGAAGAGAGCCAAAAGGACTAGATACAGTCGTCACACCCATCAAATTAAAAAAAAAAACATTTTTTCTCTTGAAACTGTTACCAAGGGTCTCATTGATATTTGAATTTGGAAGCTGAACTTCAACCATAAAAATTTCCAAGCTATATTCCTACCAGAAAATATTTAGTTTCAGGAAAAAGTTAAGTTATTATACACCTTAAGTTACCTTTTCCAAGGCTTATCAATTTACCAAAATTTTATGAATAAAAATTTGTAGAAAAAAATTTTTCCGAGTCCGTAAAAGGTGTGGAAAACATTTTCTTGAGTGAATCACATTTTAGGCAAATATGGAGTCTTCTTTGGCGGGGTTATTTCCAGCTTCTTCGTCAAATATGGGCGCATCCGGGTCCGAAAAGTCTTCAATCTTGTTCTGTTTTTCCGAATATTTTTTGTAGAGCAGACTAATTTCATTGAGTTCCTAATCAAGGAAAAAACATTCATCATATCACAAGGAAGGCCCCCCATCATTTATAAACTTGAATTTTTCGCTAAAGACAAATAACTTGCCCTTCAAAGAACTGAAAGTTGAAAAAAATTAAAAATTTTTTTCTAGAATCGTCCGTGGAAACATTGAATAATTTTATCAACAGAAAAATATTCTGCAGATAAAACCTAGTAGAATCGACATTTGAAGTTTTAAAAAAATTTTTCTTGAATTTTTTTGAGTTGAAACAAAAAAATTTTTCTCACTTGTTGTCAGATGCTGATTTTATCTTTCTTTTTTGATGCTTTGAGGATGACTAAGCCGTTCACTATCATCTTGTTGTTTAACTTGAAAAACTGATCACTGTCAGACAAATTTTTTTAAAAAAACTTTCGAGGACTTTTTGTAAAATTTATTATTTTTAAATTTCACTCCTCAGAATCTTAATAATACTGTTCAAAAAAAGCTCTCTCATTATTATGGCAGTTCGCTTCATTTCAAAAACCTTGAGAAAGCCCAAATGTCGAAATTTTGAAAAATTTAAATACGAAAAATAAGTACAGTGCACAATTACAACTGATTTCGAAACAAAGCACAACGAAGATCGATAAAACCGCGGCGAACAAAATGATATCAACTTTGGCGGTTCCCATATCATTTTGCCTCGTTTTCCTTATCTGAAAACGTGGGTACAAATGAATAAACATTTCAAAATGAAGTAGGAGACGAACTTTTATCGTTACACAAGTTACATCCTCGAAAAACTTTGATCTGTTACAGTTTTCCTCCCATAAAATGGTTCCAAGACCATTTGTTGGGCCGTCGCTTTTTTTGTGGTTATCTTGGAATATCCATGTGAAAATGGCCGCGAAGTGCCAGGCCAAAAAAACTCGTTGTCGGACCGGAAAACCGATTTTGGGTCCGACGCCCTGCTGCAGCAGTTTTCGCCTCTCTCCAAAAGTCCGCTCTCTCATCGCTTCTCTTATTCTTCGGTTGTTCTGTTTTTTGCACAGCAACGCAATCCGTGACCTTCGGCTTTTCAGCTTAGAGTTGAACAAGCTTTATTTTTTGAAGGCCATAAAAAGTTTTCTTTATCTTGAGGATATTCTAAATTAATTGTAAGCCTTTTTTCTGCTGAAAAGAAGACACTAGAAAAACAAGAAAAATTTTCTAAATTTCTGAAAGCAGATTCTCCTGGAACGTTGGTTTTCAAAAAACCTTATACCAAAGTTGAATAAAGTCCTTATATGATATAATATCGCTCGAAAATGCTTATCTATTTAACAAAAAAAAACAAAAAATTAAAAATTTCACTACAAAAGGGCGGCATCAAAACATATTATTACTTTTCAAAAACTTACCAACTTCGAAGAAAAATATGAACACGAAAGCATCGCCAAGGGAAAAGAGAGCGCAGACAAGTCAGAGGGATTCCAGGCTGAAAAAACTTGATCAATTTTTCAAAACCGGAGATCGAGTTCTTTGAAACACTTATCTATTTCAAAGGAACAGATTATCGAGTCTTTTTTTCTAGTTTCTTGGAGCGATTCTCATCGACCACCTCATCCATTTTATCTTCGGATATCAGACTGCGAAGACTATTCGGACCAAGGCCAGGTAGAAAGTGATAAATTGTAGGCAGTTTCAACTCTTTTTCCTTTCTTTATCTCCCACGGAGATTAAGCGTTTTGTCAGAAAAGAAAAACCGTAGCGCTGTCCAAATTTTGGCGCCTCTCCGGCGGCGTCATCGGCAGGATTGATGGCGGAGGTGAAGGCGGAAAACGCGGTCAAACCGACGCGCAAATGGGTTTCGCGGTTCTTAGCTGGATGAAGTCCTGGATGATACAGGATGATACTTCCAAACTTTTTGTCGATAGAAAATCAAAAAAAAAACTTGGGATCACATGTCAACTATGATTTGTTATAACTGAACTTTAAGGTGATGGAAAACTTTTTGACATTGTGGCAAAGTTTTGATCAGGAGCTTGTCCTCTAGCTTTGAAAAATATTCAAAAAAATAATTTTTTTGATCCAAACTGATTTTTAATGCGGAAAAAAAGATGCCGGAGTTTCAAAATTATATACTTGAACCTGAAACAAAACTCACTTTTCCGTACGAATATCTGCCGAGACACAACAGACTCCAGTTGAAAAAACACACCTGAAATCAGAAATTTTAGTATCTCCATCGTTTTTTGAGACGTGTTCATCCAGCTTTTTCTCATTTCTTCAACGCTTCTCTCATTAAGAGCGAATCAGAAAGAGAATGAGGATTCAGAAGCAACAGAACAAGAGAAAGGAGGCGTGGCCGCGGGGCTGGCTTCTGTCCAGTTCGGGAAGCCGACGGCACCTTATAAGGCCCGCTAGCTTAAGATCTGCTAGCCATCTATCTGTATATTTAAGATACCGTATCTCAATCTTCCTCTTTCTTAGGCAAAGTCCGCCGATTTTGCGATTATCAAAAATGCAATCAGTTATTTTTTAGCTTTCTTGCGATTCCAATAAAGCATATTTCTTAAGATAATCTTGTTCATCCTGAGAAACGTTAAATTTTTTTTTCTGAACTTCTATTGTATATTTCGTCGAGGCGCAGCAATTGCAGTAAGATTACTTGCATTAGAAATTTCGAGTGAATGAAAAAAAATGAGCATTAATGCACTTTGTGAGTTTCGATCGCTTCCCAAATTATTAACTAGCGCGAAATGAAACACTGAAAACTCTGAGACTAAGAACAACTCTGAAAACGCTTCTTAACCGAAAATTCTGCACCCTGCAAACATAATTAGCTAATTATTTTCGATTTTTGAACGGTTTTTTTGTACCTCGACCGAATTTGTCAATTACTCAAGTTTGCTTTTGAGATGGTGAAGGCAGCCGTATCGTTCGGCGCCGCGTGCGGCTTTGCGTGTATTTTGGCCTGTCTCTGGGCCGGAATCGTCATCACGAATGACATCAACAACATGTACGATGACGTCATGGGAGAGCTCGGCGGCTTCCGAGTATGTTTTTTTTTCTTTGCTAAATCTTCATTGAGATTTCTTAGAAGTTGGTTGCTTATATCAAGCCTTTACGATTTTAGGGAGTCTCTGACGAGGCTTGGGGAACCATGATGAACCTGCGACAAGGCTCCGTCGAGAGCGCCGAGGAGTACGTCCGCGGCATCTTCGGCCGTCACAAGCGTAGCAACAGCCAGTGCAGCTGCGGACTTCCAAGCCAGAACTGCCCACCTGGACCACCTGGAAACCCAGGAGCTCCAGGAGAACCAGGAGCCACTGGTCCCGACGGCAAGAACGGCCCAACTGGACTTCCTGGCCTCAACATCCCAGTCGCCAACGACTTCCCCAAGGGATGCATCAAGTGCCCGGCTGGACCACCAGGACCAGATGGCCTTCCAGGACAAGAAGGCTTCCAAGGAATGCCAGGAGAGCCAGGAAAGCGCGGACCACCCGGCAAGGACGGCGAGCCAGGACGTCTTGGAGAGATCGGAGACGAGGGACAGCCAGGACAAGACGGTCAGCCAGGAATGCCAGGACCCCCAGGACGCGACGGACTCACCGGAAAGGGAATGCCAGGAATGGCCGGAAGACCAGGAATGGCTGGAGCCCGAGGAGAGCCTGGAAACTCTGGCAACCCGGGAGAAGATGGAACTCCAGGAACTCAGGTCGGTGCTATCTTTTCCGAGACTCGAAGAACTTCTTTACTTTCAGGGACCAACTGGCCAGCCTGGAAAGGACGGCTTCAACGGAATGGACGGAACTCCCGGCCAAGCTGGTCCTCAAGGAGCCGTCGGCGCCGACGCCGAATACTGCCCTTGCCCAGAGCGCCGCCGCCGCCGTCATTAGGCTGCCAATTCACCAAAAATGCTCATTTTCTCCGTAATTATAAATATTTCTTCATTCGATTTTCGCTCATTTTCATCAAAAAAAAAAACGTGTGATCAGTTTTCTCGGAGCGTGCTCGAAACACCGCCGACTTCAAACTTTCGCTTGAGCGATTCTGAAAAAATTCAATAACAAAATTTAAGAAAGGCTTTACCATTCGTGGAAATGAACTTGACAGTAATTCCACGCGCTAACAAACTTTCTGTCGCCTAAACTTTATAGGAGCTTGCAGAATTTGAAAGAAAACCCGACCTGTTTCACGGCAATGACACCCATGTGGTCGGTACTGGTAACGAGGCCGAAGTCCAACACGAAAATGCTCTCTTTCACTGTTTCCTGAAGCATTATTGCAACTTTGATAAAAGCTCTTTTCTCAGGACTTTTCGACTTTCCCAATTTTCCACTGCGGCTTGAAAAGTCTTTTTGAACCTTTCCACGTTCACAAAAAGCAGAGGGCCATCAAATCGATAGACACAAGTTTCTGCATCTTCTTTCTTCGGCTTCACCTTCATCGCGTATTGCCATTTAGGCCTGAAATTTCAATCAAGATGCTGTGGAAAATTAAATAATAAATTAAAGATCGTCGAAAAGATATGTATGTACGAACCACTGGACGCGGAAAACGACGCTGAGCAAAGCGCAGAAAATCGCCACAAAAAGGCCATCTCTAACATCAATTATCACGGTCGCCCAGAAGGATATCATCCAGAGAGTCTCAAAAAATGAATGAATGAACGGCGATGGATATAAGGCTTACATAAGGCAAACAGCTTACAAAGTCGACTTTCGACAAAGAGTATAAATTTTTCAAATATTCGTATTTCTTGAACATCAATACCAAGTTGACAAGGATAATCGCCGATAAAACGCACTTAAGAACATCGATTAGAAACGTAATTTGATTATTCAAACATTTGGCAGATCGCTGAGCAACTGACCGACCCACATCATGACGCAGAACAAAAACCCGGAGCTGAACACCGTGGAAAGCTAGAAGAGAAAAATCAGAGCAGATCTTATTCTCTTATAGACTATTCAAACAGAATATATTCAGTCTAATAAAAGATGGCTTCTTCTTGATCTTCCTTCATTTAAAAAATTTCTCTGACCCTTTCCCTTCTCGAAACTTTTTTCTTCTGACTTTTTCCTGATGCTTTCTTTTCACGTCATCGTCAACCATGAAATAAGTAAACTAGTCAATTATATACTGAATACCGCCTCAAAAGTTTAAAACTTCTTCTGTCTGATTAGCTTATTAATTCCTATCCCCAACTTCCCAGGTACTGTAAACTTATTTCTTCTTTTTTGAATATTCCTCGATCGACAGGAAGCTCGTTAGGGCTTCATACGACCGTTTCTTTTCAAACTAATAGTCCTTTCAGGTCTCCAGATAGTTTTTTAATGTTATTATCTAACTCCGTTCTTCAATTTTCATCATTAGTTGTAACCATAATAAAGCACCTTCATCAGTAGAAGCAGAAAATCTTCCTCACCAGAGAACTAGAGCCGGCCTTGGCGTTCTGCACGGTTCTGCCGAGGCCGTTGCTCGGCGGATAGACCGGCAGAAAAGCGGAAAAGAGCGAGGTCAGACTCATCGCGTAGACTTCCTGCTGCTCGTCGAAGGTGACGTCGTACATCTGAGCCATGACCTTGGCCATGGCGACGTGGACGACGATCACGACGACCGCTATTCCGAACGACTCGACCAGGCAGTCGAACATGAGAAACCCTTGGGGCAGCATCAGGGACGGAATTCTGCAACGAGGAAGCTATTTTTCAATTAATTTAAATAGAATTACAGCTACAAAAATAAACCATCAAGGTACGAGAAAAAGTTTGTCGGAAAGAACTCGGAATGTTTACGAATTTTTTTCACTGGGAGTTTGTCTGACCGAAAAAGAGTAAATCGGGTCTTAATTTTTTCTTTTTTTTTTGATGGATAGATCAAGAAGAGAGTACCGGAAGGATAAGAAAAACTCAGCTTCTAAGCGTAAAAAGACATAGAAAAAAACCTCATTGCAATTTAAAAAAAAAATCAACGAGAAGATGTTTCTGACCCTGTCGGAACGTCTCCGACGACATTCAAGCCCCAACGGTGCTTCCAGTCCATCGAGCGCGAAAATGCCAGAGAAATAGCCATCTTCAATATAAGTTGTATCGGCAAGGTCATAGAAACGGACAATGGCAAGTTCAGTAGGCAGAGGGGCTCTGAGGTTGAACTTCTTCTGAGCCCATGGCTTGACGACGTCTTGTGCAAAGAAAAGGACGATGAACGTGCTGACGCCGATGCTCAGCGAGTATGGATTGATGTCGGGAATTCGCGAAATGAGTTCCTTCGCAATCTGGAACGAAGCGAGATGAGAATAATGAAATGAAATTCGAGGCAAAATGTCTGACCCTCCATTCATGGAACTTGTAGTATCATCTTTAGACATAAGTTCAATGGTAAGCTTGACCTTGGCCCAAAAATCAGCCTTCCACAGCATCAGGAAAAACATTTGAAAGAAAGAATCTTTCTTCAGCTCAACGACCAAAAATTAGCTTGATTTTGTTTCCGGCCATAATTTTTTCAAGAGATCTTCATAGCACAAAAATCTTACATAGCGTTTTCAGTATAATTTATTAGTCTAACTTTAGCCAGAAAAATAATAAATGAGAACAAAAATCTAGACTTGCCAAACAAGCGCGTAAAATTGGAAAACTCAAAACCTATGTTTTCAAAATTCGAGCACAACTATGAGCAAAAAATATGAACATTTTTATTTTTATTCTTCCATTTGCATGATCAGAATCCTTAAAATTTTAATTTTCAATATTCATCCAAACGAATACTTTTTCAAATAAAAAAATCGATTCGTTTGGAAGAAATCCGTTTTTTTGGAGAACTGACAATGAAAGCCGTTCCAGGTCCGCTGACGCTGGGCAACGTGACGCCCATGACGTCATCGAGCTGAACGACGACGATGTGAACGACTGCGCCTGGAAATTCCATCATTTTGAAGCTAGAAACGGCGCAAAACCAGTGGTGTAGCCGGAAACTAGAGCGTCGGACAAGTAGGTGAAAAAGAACTGGAGACGGAAGACTGCAAATATCAACTAAAGCTCAAATCAGTTGGAATTTCGGTTGGGCTCATTTCTCACAAGCCAGATTCCTACGCAAAACGTCAACGTCGAAGAAATTTGAATAGGGGTCGTGGCAACTTCAGAAATTGTCATATTCGTCAGAAAATGTCCCGGCGCCGTGTATTTTTCCAGAATCTTAAAATTGATGGGATGAAGTGAGAAATTAATTTTTTTAAAGTTCAGCAAACTAACTTTTCTATTGGCGGCACCGGAAAGAAGAGACACCGCAGCGAAAGATCCTTAAGTTTCTCTATTCACGATTATTTTTTGCAAGAAGAAGCATATAGACTTCTGAAATATTACCGATAGAAGCGTGCTGAGATGTGCCGAAAATCATGTATATCAAAGCAGGAAACAGTGAAGTGTAAATACCAACGACGGGGCTCACGTTGGCCAGCAAAGCGTATGCCAGGCCTGCAAATCGTGAGAAAATCTTAAAAAAAAATTATTTTTTCGCTGCAGAGTTTTTTCAAATTTAAACTTTCAATGTGTGTTTTTATACAATCTTCAAAAGTTCTCTAAACGTCAACTTTCAAGGCGCATTCGTGAAAAATATCGTCGGCCTCAAAACGCGCACTGATAGAGTCATGAGCTCCGAACGCCTTTTGCAATTACAAAGCCAATTGTGAGAAATAAAGTAAACAATTTTTCGCAAGTTCATTCAAATTTCGATGAAGAAGTTTTTTGAAAGCTTTATTGATTGTATTTCTTTCGAAAGGACCTTGAGGGACGTGCATGACTCCAATAGTCAAACCACCTGTGATGTCGCCCTGAAGACGATTTCTAAAAAAAGAAATAACTTTGGTTGTTTCTCATCGTAAAAGGTCACCTGTAGTCGTACTTTGGTAGCCATTCCAAGATGGGAAAGAAAGCCAAAAGCGCTTTTTTGAAGTTACGCCAATTTTTGAAGGGTTCGATGTAGGCCCTGTGCAGCTGTCTTGAATCGTTTATTGTGAATAAAAAGTGAAAAAATTATTTTTTTTTTCTAATCACGAAAAAAAGAATGGACTCCCAAAAATTAGAGAAACTTTTGATTAATGAGACCGCTAGACTTGTTCTTTCATCAAAAACCATTCGTTTCCAAAAAAATTAAACGTAAGTTTTTGAAATATATTTGCGATAATATAATAATACAAACCTCGGCAATTTTTGAGCCAGAGACTTCTTTTCTGACGCCTTCACTTGAAACCCATTTTTTTCGAGTTGATCCTGAATTTCTTATTAAAAAAGTTGAACGTTTTCTCAATTTTTGAGATTTAAAAATCAAACGAAGCTCACCAAGTTCTGCATGGAAAACGAAAAAAGACGAAAAAGATTACCATTGACATGAAATGTAAAACTTTTCCGCAGTTTCGTTTACATAATCCAGACCAATAACCTTCTAAAATTTTTGAATGAACACGAATTTTTGGATGGATGTTTTTTTTTCTGAAAATGATTACAATCTGGACATTAAATTTAATGCATTAATGACCAGATGACCAGATTTCACTGTTCATTAATGAAAATGTTGTGTTCTTTCATAGTACACTCCGTTCGTTTGGAATAAAGTATTCTGCATCTAGATATCAGGATATCCAGTATGCTCCGCAGTTCCTAACTCAATTTTACAGTCTGCGCGCCATTCCGAAAAATTTAAGTGGTTTTTTTTTCCACTGAAATATCATGAAAATAAGTTTCCTGAAAACAAAAAAAAATATAAATCAGAGGCGGAACATGAAATAAAACTTACTTCCGATGATCAGAGTTTGTTCAGAATTTTATTTTATCTGGAAAAAAACTACGTTACGCGTAACTTGAAAGGAGGCTCTTTTTTCTAACTTTTGCGCCGCAATCCACTTTCCAACGACACTCCTACACGAAAAAGAAAATTGTATTTGGGGGTCGTGGCGACATATTTTTTCTGTTTTCGACAGTCAGAATAATCATTTTATAAAAATTTTATGATTCAAATAAAAAAACCAGAAAAATTAAATGGTATCAAGAGATTCAGAATGATTCAAATTCTTCTAAAATTGTCGGCTCGTGTTTTCGGATTTGATCCCTCAAGTAGTCGTTTGAAAGTAGCCTTTGAAACAGCTCCACCAGCGATCTTACTTTCTCGCCGTCGTTCTCCTTAAATTTTATTTTGTTACTTGAATATTTTCTGGACAAGCTACCGTTTTTTTCTGGGCAAAAATCACATCCCAAGGGTAAATGTAGTCTTTGACGCATTTGCGTAATCTTATGCTGTGATATCTTGAAAACAACTTATTTTCTTCCTCAAAGTAAGAATGGAGACCTGGAAAAGGGCTCTAGGATCTCACTGGAATCGCCGAACTCGCCAGCCCATTCGTGGTAACCTCTACCGATTTCTGGACCCGTTCGGAAGTTTGATATTGTTAGCTGAAATTTCAACAGTTCCCTCAGGGGTTCGTTGAATTTTTTCTAAGCAGTTTCATAGTTTTAATAGAAGAGTAATTGAAAAAGAATAGAAGAGATTCACGGTTTTTCTTCAAATTGTTAAACGATTCGAACCTTCTCTTAGCATTCGAAAAGCTTCCTGGAAAAGACACAGAAGAGAAATTTGAACTGACAATAACGTCGCCGTCCTCGTCCAATTCGCAGTCGATTCCTTCCGGAGTTTCTGTCATTTCCCTGACCGAATTTGGAAAAACCAAGCTGTTCTTCTTTTTTAGTCGTTTATCGTACTCTGACTTTCTGAAAAGGAGTTTTTCTTTAGAACGAAACCCCAAAAAAGCAAAATCAATGTCCTCAGAAATTTTCTACTTTTATAAAGTCTTTAAAAGCAGAAAGGAACTTACGAAAACGCTTGAAATGGATCACAGGGAGACCTTTGTGTAAATTTACCATTATTTTCAAAAAACCAGCAAAGATATTTCAAAGTGAAGTTAGTTAATGCCCACACTCACAGTATAGTTTGATTCCATTAAATTCCAGCTATTTTGAAGCAAAGTACATGTGAAAGTGGTGTGCAAACGCACAGAAAAATATACATAATAGTTTTCATACGCGAAAAAGTTCAATTATTTATGCGCACAATCTAGACTTGTTAGCTGTTTGAAAAAAGGGAAGCTCACTTGGCTTGGAAGTGGACGAAAGTTCCGACGACAGGAACTTGTTTTTCATACATGGGATACCTAGCAAGGAGGTCCGTGTAGCTTTGACATCCCTTGGTGAAAATGTAGAAGTTTTGGAAATTGTTGCAGTATTTCATAAGAACTAGTCCTTGGCCTTCGATAATGTTCTCTCCTTCTTGGTTTTGCATTCCGGTCTCTGTAAATCAAAATTCAGAAAAATTCGAACCAGCTCACAAAAAAAAACTAATTTAAAGGGAAAAGACATATGAAGGTGTTCATTTGAATAAGAAACGGCGTAAGAAATAAAGTTTATCGGTCGGCAGACTGATAACACAACGAGGTGAGTAATGTTTGCTTGACATTTTATGTTACTTCAAAATAACATTGATGAGCTTTTGCTCATTTTCAAGCTGTCACTGATAATATATTTCCGCATGCGACTTTTTCGAGTCAAAAAAAAGTCGGAGAAGGAAATAATCGAGCCATCATTTGTCATGTACTTGTCACTGGATCCAACCTCGTGCGTGGGAAAAATAATTACCTCCGGCAATCAGTTTTGCTATTGTGACTATAATTGGTGAATTGTTTGAAGGGCTTGATTTTTCGGAGAACCACGCGAGTTTGGTTTTTTGGTGGCAAAAATCTTTAAAAAAGCTGAACTTCCTATAGGCCCGACTGAAAAAAAAGCTCCTATCACTTCTCCAGTGAGACTGTCTCGAAATTTAGAGAAAGCAGTCTTCAAAATTTTGAACTTTTCGCCTCGCTAATTATGAATTAAATCGTTAAAGTTGAAGAAAGAAAACACAATCAAGTTTTGTTTTTACATGAAAATTTTCATGAAAAAACACATATTTTCTTCCCGCTGCTTCAGATGTTGTCCAACAGACGTTCTCTTGTCCATTTTCGGGTAATTGTTTCAGAAAACCCCTTCCAGGTCGTTGAACCAAACATAATCGCCCTCAAGAACAACACAACTAGGAAAAGGTGATGTTATTCAGACAATTTTCAAGCTCTTTTTTTGAAAAAAGAAGCTGAAGGTACCTGTGTAAACATCATTTGCAATCGGAATGTCCAAGTGTCGGTCTGCACGCAATTTACTTATTTATTGTAATGGGAAGTTATTGGCTCTTCGACCAAAAGATTTATAAGTTTTGAGTTAATGGCTCTTCTGCACGGTTCCGGCTTCAAATATGACGAACACTCCTAGAAAAGTTTCTACGATCGGACAGAAATCTGGAAAAAGAAAGCGAGCTTGACAAAGAGCTCCATTGTCCCGCCAAAGAATCTTATTATTTTCTTGCCTTCCAATACTTTTGGACAATTTCTTTGTCCTCGGCAGAGCTTCACAGCCATTTTTTTCTCGGAAATTTCATCAAAACTTCAAGTTGGCGGATCCTTCTTCTCAAACTCTGCTACACGTGAGAAATATTTCTTCCGTTTGCGAGTTTTGTACGTCAGGTGGAGATCGAAAATTGAAAAAAGGAAACAGAAAAAAAGACTGAGGGAGGAATCTCGGGAAAATATCTCCAAAACAAAAAACGTTGGAAATAGTTCGACTTGGTTTAAATAGATTCTCAGTCAACTTAAAATTCATCATACTGCTCTGAGCTTATCTGATGCCCTCACGCGAAATTCGTTTCAGGTCGGTCGCTTCGTTTTGCAGTCGGTAAACGTGGAACAATTCCACTTGCGATCATAGTTTCCAAAGCGAGACCACTGAGTTCAAAGGTTATGAACTGGAAGAAGATCAATCTAATCAATGGCTTTTTAATATAGTCTGTGAGCCACGACTTGAAATTTCACCGAACGACATTCCGTTGTTCCGCTGCGTGCGTTCGCGAAGCGTCTTTCGAATCAAGGTCAGGCTTTCAATTGATTTTTATTGCTGTGGGAGCACATGAAAGTAGAGTACCTTGATGAAAGAAAAAAAAAAATCAAAATTGCGACCAAGGCCCGCAAAGGCGCGCAGCGGAACAGCGGAATGTCGTTCCGTGAAATTTAAAGTTGTGGCACACAGACTATATAGTAGCCTTTTTCAAACAAGATTTTCTATTCAAAGATACCTACTTAAAACCATCAAATCATAAGATCCACATTCGAAAATCGCATTTATAAACCTTTGAGATGAAATCTTCGTCATTTAATATCTCATTTTTTTTTCTGCTCTAATCTAAATGCGGATTTTTTTCTCTTTTTTTGATATTGAATTGTCAATTCGAAATCTTGAAAATGCATCTCAGCATGGGGGAAATCTCCCAAGAACTGTTATTTCCTTCTTTCGTACGTCATCAGTCAGGCTCAATATGTCGAAGTGAACGAGCAATTTTCTTGTCGCCCAAGTTGCAGCTCAAAGGCTCCGCCCACAGTCAAACCGCCTTATTCGGAGCCGTTTGTAGCGTAGTCTCAGATCTGGAGCTGTCCTCGACTCGGCTCTTTCTTTTCTTCCTGAGAATTTCCATTTCTATCTTTTTTGGCGATCCATTTCTGAACTTGCCTCGGACTTTGCGCCCTATCCTGGAAGTATGTAGGGAGCGTCGAACAGCTGAAAGTAGCCTTGAACTCAAGCTTCCCTTCTGTAGTTGACAAAAAATTGTTTTAAGCTTAACTTTCTATACAGAAAAACTGAGTGTCTTCTACAAATTAAAATAGTCGATTTTGCATGTTTTTTTCTTGTTGCAAAACGTTTTGATTCAAAGAAAGCAATATTTGGATTTCAAGGGCTACAAAAAAACTTCGCCTAACTTGCTAAACACGCTTTAATTAGAACAAAAAGAGTTTTCTTTAAAACTAAACGGCTAAAATTTTCCCGCTCAGTATAATTCGAGCAGAAAGTCAAAATAAGAGCGAGAAACTTCATTCAGTCGACCTAGAGTCTTTCAGATGAATCTCTAGTAACTTCATCAAGATCTGATTCCAAATTGTCCCAAAATCAGAATTCTCATTAAAATCTTCTCTGGCACTGTTCGCAAAACTACTTTATACTCGTCGCGCTTTGAGTTCAACCCCATCTGAAAGCCGCAGAACTTGGCAAAAAGCTCGAAGCGGTTGAAGGGAGAAGATGAACGTGCTGTTGGTTTTGGCGCTGCTCGCCTCGGTCATGGTCTTCGCCTGCCACGCCTACACCCTCGACTACGGCGTCTACCCTTACGCGCAACCTGGAGCTTTGCGAAGGGCCGAGCTAGAGTCGATCATGAAGTTCGTTGCAGATTTTCAAAGTCTTTTCAAAGATAATTTAACATTCATAAACTCTCCAACAGCTAGTCGCATATAAAAAAAGCCTACAAGTCTAACAAAAAAATCATCCTAGTTTGAAAAAATGCGAATGCTTTTTCCAACATTCTCGATACCATGAAGAAGTTATTTTTAGACGATTCATGCCTCAAAAGGAACGCCGCGGACTGGAGGGCTTCGAAGACATGCCAGGTCTGCTGCGGAGCCTTGACGGAATCCAAAAGCCTCGGTTTGTTTTGAAACCTTGATTTAAAAATCCCCGGCATGCTTATAGTTCCCAATAAGATTGCCACCATTTCTGAGCACGTTTAGCTTTTCCACTTAGTATATCTAAAAACGAAAATTTAGAGGAAACGCTCCGTTAACGAATTACCTAACGAAACTTGGGAAGTAGGAGTGTAGAGTCGGGCAGGTTTCGCGTAGGCCTCGTTGCCCAACTCCTGGCTGTTTCAGATTCGGCTGAGACTCCGCCGGAGCTGCACCTTCTCGTCTTCGTCGCCGATCTGTCACTGTCGCACTTGCTCGCGTACTCGCTGTCGTTTTTGGCAATAAATAATTGATTGGGGACTTGTTGTTGTTGCACAAGAAATCTGAAGTGAACAAGCAATAGATGTCCTAATTAACACTGGGACTGTCAGATTTTGGCACTGCCAATTTTGGGATTGCTAGGTTTTTGGGCTGTCAATTTTTGGGGCTGCCAGATTTTCGGGCGGCCAAATTCGAACACTGCCATTTTTGCCTATTTCTGCCAACGACAATAACTCAAAAATGAAGATTTTCAGTTTTGACGTCATCAGTCCAAGTTCGAACCGGATGACTAATTGGCGAATTGGGAAGTAAGGAAGAGAAAATCGAGCGAAGTATAGTAAAATAACATTTTTTGAATATAATTGAGCGGATTAACAAAAAGGAGTTGCTTGAAAAAAAAATTGTTATGGAAAAAATTGAGCAAACTCAAGGTCAAATCATTCAAAAGTCTAGAGAAAAAATACAGAAAAGAATCAGATTGAATACAAAATCTAACGGATATGAAAGCAGAAGAAGGAACCAGTTGAAAAAGTATCAAACTAGAAACTTTCGCTTTTTGGTTCTGTTGACAACCTTGAATAAAATAACTTTTGCCCCAGGACGTTTGATTGGATTTAGCAGAACCTCGGATGTTTATCGGGCCAGTAACCAGTAGCCGTCGTTGCTTTGGCAAGATCCTCGGTCCAGATTGAGGCCTCGTCGTATTTATATTTCTTCGACGCATCTTTCGAATTCGTCCCATCGACATGGAGGCCATCGACTTCCGCATCAAGGTTCATTCCTTTTATACCTACCTTTATCTGTTACATTCAGTTAAAAAATTTATTTGAAGATTACCAAACTCCAAAAAAGTTTATAGCTTCAAAAATTTCAATGTAGCTTTTTTTTCTCAAACTTAAAATCTATTCTAAACATTGTATTGAGTATTTCGAAAAGACAAAGGCAAGATAATACGATTTTAGCTGAAAAAATCTTTGTCACGTGTTAGTATAGAGACACCGTAAAAATGTGCGCCTTCCCACAAATGAGGATTTTCAAATTCTTCAGTTTTCTTTTAATTATTAAAATAAGCCCTTTTCCTAGGCTCTTCATGTAGCGACAATCACGTCGTTGATTATAACGATTCTTTCTGTATCGACCATTCTCTTCGCCCTTCCCATGGCCTATGAATTCAGGACTGAAGTCATCGCGAAAATCTCGCACAGATCTGAATTATGTTCGGTATGTTCGTAACATATTTTCACAAATGTCAAAATAAAAAAAGCAAAACAAAATAAAAACCTTTGAAAGGTGCACAAAAATATCTGCACGAAGTGGGATTCGAACCCACGCACCCATACGAGTACCAGAACGCCCACAGGCCTCGAACTCGAGGCAAGCTATCGCTTGAGTCTGGCGCCTTAGACCACTCGGCCATCCGTGCTGGTGTCGATGTGGGTGCAACGGTCGCTCCTACTTGCTATGTTGTATGTTACCGTTGGGATGCTAATGAGGAAAAAATTCGGATTTTTCATTCTTTCATTATAGCCCGCGTATTATTTCTTCAATTTAAAAAGTTGTGAGTAAAGAAAACTTTAAATTAGTTAAACAATTCCCTGCAATCAATAAGAGAGAATAGAAAGAGAATTATGTTTTAAAAATTTTATTACCCTAATGAAATCAGATTAATCCTTTTCTCTTCTTTCTTTCTATTTTCAGTTTTGAACCACCTTCGAAGTTTAAAACAAAATCTCCCCGAAAAGTTGAGTTTTTGGTCTTATGAATGCTCTGAAAAGTCACGCTAAACGTTCTGTTTTCCTTGACCTAGAAGGGTTTCTCGGTGATATCAAAGTTCGAAGATTTTTTTTTATCCGAGTAACAGTAGTTTTTGAACATTAAAAAAAAATTTGAGATGACGGTGTCATCAATAATGGCGGAAATCGAAGATATCAACAGCATGGCGACGAATCGAAGCGCCAGAGCCGTCCGTTCAAGACGCCAGAAAACTCTCCGACACGGCAGCGTCCGTCGTCGACAGGTCTACTCGATCGGAGGCGACAGCTACATGACCAGCGCGCAGGTCCAGTCTTACCTCGAAGATCAACAGCGGAAGCAACAGCAGGCCAGTTGCAGTCCAGGTCCTCCCGGCGTCGCTGGAAATCCTGGTCGACCGGGAAAGCCAGGAAAACCTGGAGCTGCCGGTCTGCCCGGTAATCCAGGAAGTCCAGCAAAAGCTCCTTGCGAGCCAATCACACCACCTCCATGCCAACCATGTCCCGTCGGACCTCCTGGACCTCCTGGGCCGGACGGAGAAGCTGGACCGGCTGGTCCGCCAGGAAGCGATGGAGCTCCGTCACCACCGTCCCCTCCTGGTGCTCCTGGAGAAGTTGGACCGGCAGGTCCTGCAGGAAACGACGGTCAACCAGGAGAAGATGGACAACCTGGTAGGTCATCTAGTTTTTGAGGAAAAAACCAACCAAATCGAAACCTTCCGAAGAAAAAACTGAAAGCCGTGATGAGAATGATGGAGAAAGATTTGAAAGTTTCTCTAATTAGCTCATCTCAAACGAATTTCCCGATATGTGAATTTCAAGCTCTATCTCTCTGAAAGATTTGAAAAGTTTCGCACTCTGTTTTTTCTATTTTTCATAGTTGAGTTGGAAAGAATAAATAAAGTCTTTCTACTACGTTCCATTTAAGAGCTACAAAAATATGCTCACATGAAAATCTAAAAATACTGAAAGTAATGTTCAAGGCCATTCTTTCTAGGACCTGATGGAGAAACGACACCAGTCGTTCCTGGAGAACCAGGCCCAGCAGGACCGCCAGGAGCCCCAGGACCTCCAGGCGCCGACGGCGAAGCCGGGAAAGGAATTCCAGGAGAAGCGGGACCAAAAGGTCCTCCTGGCCCAGCCGGAGAGCCCGGAACCGACGGGAATCCCGGTGTTGCAGGACCGGCTGGCAAAGCGGGAGCGGAAGGCGAGAAAGGCACTTGTCCCAAGTTAGTCAAAAAAATAAACCATTTTCTATGTTTTTTTAAATAAATAAAAATTATCTCAAACTTCAGGTACTGCGCAATCGACGGCGGAATTTTCTTCGAGGATGGAACTCGGCGATGAAACTTCTAGTTTCAACAAATTTTTGTATATTTTTTCCTTAAGTTTTATAAATTTTATGCGATTAAAATTTATTGTGTTCGGCATGAAAATAAACGTCGGACTGCGAAGAAATTGATCGAAAGAAAAACAATTGATTTTTGTTCGAATGAAACTACTTTTCGGCGGCGATTCCAGACTTGCATCGAGGTGGTGAATATTCGAGCTAAATTCCATCCTTCTCATCGCTTTTTCTAATGGCGACTCGACTGCGGTCCACGCGAATTGTATCATTTTTGGTGCTTTGTTTGGATCGACGGTGCGTTTCATTCCAAGTTTTGTGGACTTTTTCAAGGCTTGCGAGCTGTTCATTCCTCTGTTTCTCGTTGGTGCTCTGCTTCTTGGGGCGCTGTTCCTCACGATGGGTCTCGTTGCTGCGACTCGCCTTGGGTTTCCTCAGATGAAAATGGTCCATCTTCTGACTTCCCCTCGTCTCGTGGCTGCCGCCGTGTTGTACATCGTGAACTTCGTCGTTTTGCCGTGCGAAGTCTCGGCTTCCGACCTGGTCATTTCTATGTTTTTCGTTGCTACTCTGCTTTTCCCGAGTCTCGGACTTCTTCCCACTTTTCTTCAACTTTTCGTCGCTCTTCACACCGATCCCCGGATTTAATATCTGAAATGAACATATTATCATCAAATCAAAAGTTTCTAGACATTATATCACTGAAAGTAAAAATCAAGAGATTTTCGACTTATGTGACTATAGAGCTCTGAAACTTTTTCAAAAAAAGACAAACCTAATTTTAAACAAAATCAACCAAAACTTGGTTAGAGAAAAAAGAGATTCAAGAACTTGGGCTTATTTTTTTCTAACTCCTACTCTCATCAGTTTTTCGCAGAGAAGACGTACCCCAGCCGGAGACTGTCCGTTGCGACTTGCGCCAGAAATCGTGGTTCCTTCTTGAGTCGACTGCGGCTGCAGAACCTCTTCGTTTGTCACCAGAGACGGCTGCGTTGACTGGGCACTCATTTTGTGTTCGATCGATCGGACCGATTCTCTGGCACGAGGAGCGTCGGAAGACGACATTTTCTTGTGGGCGGCGTGCTTCACAACGACTTTCTGGGAAGGGCTCGACATTTTCGAACTATTCTCAAGAATACCATGTCCGTGTCGTGAACAATCGAAATATTATCGCTATCATTCGTCGTGCTGCTCACGTCGCGGAACGTCTCCTTGTCTATGTAAATGTAGCCGTGCTGAAATATTACGGCTATTTCAGAAAATTGAAGACAATTGGTTGAATGCTTCAAGAAGATCAAGCTGGCCTGCAGAGCTTTCAAGAAGGTCCTGAAAGACCTGCGCAAGTTTTTCCAAACGGACGCGTTAAATTTTAAAAAAAAACTATCAGAAATCGACTAAATAGGTCATTTTGAGACTTCAACCTTCTCTATTGGTAAAGAGGAGATTCAGGATATTTGTTTGTGATGTAAGGTTTCTGGCTGATTCAGTAAAATGACTTCCCTTTTCAGCTTAGAATACAGCCCAGAAACTTGATTCAAGTCATATATTCCGGGCTCAAGTATAAAAATAAAGATTCAAATATTCATTAAAAGTCTATTACGCGACAGATGTTTTGTACACCTTTTTTCTAAACTTCTTTGTTGGTCTGAGAATTCTGGTCTAAACTTTCACGCGTCTATTTTTGCATCTTTTTCAGTTCAGTTTTAAAAGACTGGAAAATCGTTCGAGAAGCCGACGAAGAGAAAAAATGAAACGTACAACTTTCGGACTGACAGGCTCGATGCACATCGCAGCCGGTCCCCTGACAAAAAGCAAATTCCTATCCAGATGGATTCGTGGAACAATCGCAACGATATTGGTCCAACATCTTAAAAAATAAATCGGGGAAAAATAGTCAATATTCAGGAAATTCTGACCCAATGAAAGCAATTTTTCCATCTGGAACGTTTATGGTCTCCCTGGTAGAGATCGTTCTTCCGTGCCGCGCAAAATGATCCCAAAACTTTTCTTTGATGTCCGGAGTCCTGAAAAACTCAACTGGACCCCAGATAAAAACGAAAAGAATTACTTTACGACGTGGCTAATTTCTGTTATAAGGCGTGATGATTGCACATATGCCCCGACAGCTCTGAAAAATATTTGAGTGATTTTTGTTCTTTTCAATTAATGAGCTGGCTTTAAAGGCATAGGGGCAGTAAAAAATGGGGTTTCAGGTCAAAGCAGTATCTTATATAGTTTTTCATTGCAAATCGAATGGTGTACTCAAAAAAATTACAGATGTGACAACTTTAGAAGAAAAACGCGATTTTACTTTCCCGCCTTTAACTTTGAAAAAACCGGAAATTGGCGAAGCCTGTTGTCCATAGAGCAACTTTACTGCAAAGCGCCCTTTTCGCGGGAACTCAAACTTTCCTCTCTCCGACTTTGAATTATTTTTTCTCCAAAACTAGGAGGTTTGGTACATTTCCAAGTTCACCGTTCGATTCGCAATGAAAAGCTCTACAAAGTACTGCTTTGAACTGAAACACCGTTTTTTTTACTGCCCCTATGCCTTTAAAAAAACGGCAATTTATTTCGAATGTAACCCTTTAAAAATAAAAAAACTTATAATTTAAACTACAATAATTTAATTTTAAAGTCATTAATCCTGGTCAAGAAGTTTTTACGCTACATAAATAAATCACTAAACTCATTTTTAAGTGGATTTGTTCCCCAAAAAAACTGAGAAACTATTCCTTTTTACTTTTCAAACTATTTTGAAGTTTTTTTTCTACCTCTATTCAATTATGGCAAAAATTGTTTCATTGGTAAAAATTAGTGGGAATAAAAAAACGCTTAGGAAAATTGAAAAAGTTTGCGTTATTCAAGTCTCAGGCAAGCGAAGGCTTCTTAATTTTTAATCAAAAATTTCATTCGAGATATTATTTTGAATTTTGCCGAAATTTCGTTTCTTTTCCTAATGCTTTGACAGAGTAACGGCCACATTAATTGAAAAAAAGCGCATTTTCATGCCCTTTGATTCAAAAGACTCACTGGCAAAGGCCGCTGTCCGCTTTGAGCATTCGTTTCATTATGTCGCCGTCGATCCAAATAATCTCACAGTAGGTGGTCGTTTCATATCTGTTATTTCTTCGTGACTTGGTGGATTCTCGGAATCTTGGCACCTTCTTTTAGGGAAAAGCAAGGGGAGAGCCTCGTTTTCCCTTCGAGAATCCATCAACAGAAGGTTCCGAGTGCCAATAAAATCTCCCTGCATCTGGTAGACTTCGTTCCGGAATTCCAGCTGACACGGTACCCATTCTGTCATCCTGAATAATAACCGAGCTTTTGATGCTAACAAAAATCTTTGGCAACTTCACGATTCCCTTTTTGATAAAGTAGAAACACGAGCCGTTCGTAGTGATCATTTCTTTGGCCGCAAGTCTTATTGGCTCCTTAAAAATTGAGAAACCACAAACTTTCAGAATCCTCGTTTTCAAACTGACCTTGGCGCTCAGCGCTTCAGCAAGGATCCGAATGACGTCTCTCCTCGTTGTTTCTCGCAATTTTTGGATCCATTTAACATTGACGAGGTAATCACTGAAAGAGCTTTGCAAAACCCTTTTTTCTCTTTGAACCCTAATAAATACGCAACAAGCTGAGTCATAGATTTTCGAACGTTAAAAATTATGAGAAATTTTAAAAAGTGTTGCGTGTTTCGAGAACATAGACTTTGTAGACACTCAAAGAACAACATTAATACAGCCAAAAAAGAATTTTTTGCAACAGCACCTATAGGAGAGCTGCGCGACAAACTGCAGAGAGTCGGCGTTGGATCTCAGCTCTTTCACGACCTCATTCCATCGTTCTTCCGTTTCGCTGGGGATGAACCCTTCCCTAAAGCTGTTCCGTAGAATCGAGAGGCGTTATTCGATTCTATACTTTTGCAAGTTGTTAAGAATCTTGTGCAAATTGTAAGACATCATTCTTATCGCCTGCCTCGTTTTGATCACTGCCACCACGTCCAGCTCTAAATTACGGAAAATTTCGCATCCCTGTCTATTGGAAAATTGAATGATGAATAGAGATTGAGGATTAATAAAAAGGTTGCATTTGGAAAAGCTCAAAGCGTTTCGGTAACGGTAAGACTCTTAACAGCAACTAGCTCGCAACCGTTCCGCTCCAATCCATTCCCTATGCGACCATTTTTGGCAAGTGAGTAAACCTTCTACGTTTTCCTTGAATTCGAGGCGCATCAATCCCTCCAGAAGCTGAAAATTCAGTAACACAGCCATTCCAAACGCAAATTTCGGACTTTGCTGAAGTGACGAATTTCTTTCTTGACAATTTTGTAAGCAGAGTCTCCGAAAAGGTCGTGGGAAATCTTGGAGCTCGCCTCGTGCATCAAATGGTGCAAGAAGTAGAAAACGGCCAAGCGCAATCGTTCCCGAGCCAGCTGAAAGGAAGATCATTTAGCTGCGCATCAACTGGATGCCCGCCTTCCTCATTTGACAGTACTCCCAGACAACAATTATGAAGATGGGCGTGGCGCGAGTGATGCGATACAGTGAAATGATCATCATGATGGCCAGAACGGCTATCGACATGTACAGACATTCAAAGTCTGCGAAAAAGACAGTTATTAAAATGAAGTTCTATTTTACTCAAGGAGTTGGAGAAGAAACAGCGTCCTCCGAAAAGCATTGTAATTTGGATTCCGAGCGCGGAAATCGCCATCGAGAGCTCCAAGGAAGTCGTCACGATTTCGAATGCTCTTCTGAAAAATATTCTGTTCGCAATTTTTTCATTTCACGCGAAAAAAAAACTATTGAAACTTTTTCTGAAGAATAATTCGGACCACTATAATCGCGACGCAAGAAAACTTTCAAAAAAACAATTTCCTATTCAGTTGAGAAGCGGAAAATGCATCAAGACGTAAAATTGTGATTATGAACAAAATTTGCTTTGAAATGTAGTTTTTCATAAATCAGAAATTTCTCGAATAAACCCTGAAAAGACTCTTCGAATTTATTTAATTGTGCTCTTCAGAGAAAAAAAAGACCAGAAACAATTTTAAATTTTTTTTTCTGCACGTCTGATCTAGGCAAGAATTATTATTTTTGTGTCGCAAAAAAAAAGTCTGAAAATGCGTCTTTTTTCATTTCTTTTGTCCATAAAAAGACAGTTTTTCATGACTTACTCGGTACTTGGAGGATCTTTATATTTGATATGCATTATGGCCATCGCTTCGAAAGCAATCGACAGGAGACACAAGAGGAGCAAAACCAAGTTCTCGCATTTCTCGACATCATTCTGAATGAACAGCTCAAAACGCTTTTTCAGAAGTACAACTTCTTTTTCGAACAAGTTGTAGGCCAAAAAGATGGTGAAAAAGACAAAAACGAGCGTGTGAAAGATGTACCAACTTAAAGAAAGAATTTAAGAAGCAAGAAATTGATATCACATTTCAAATGTTCTGGGGATGGCCTTCTGAACTTTGGCCTTCTTGCTGAACGTCACGATCAACGGGTTGGACATCACCGGAGCGACGTTGCACAGCCAGCCGCACTTCCGCAGCCATTTCTACAACCTCTCGTGTCCTTTCAAGAGGATACGCGAACCCGAAAGACTCGGAAGACCGACAGAAGAGCGAGAATGAAGAAGGAAGGCTCGAACATCTGCATGTGCTCCTCGATGTCGAGGGCCGTGATGTTGCCTTCGTCGATGCCGTGCTCCAGAAGCGCCACGATCATGTGGGCGCAGTTTCCCGACAGCGCTCCCGTCTCCCAGGAATCGTGAACCTGTCGAAAGTTCCATCGCAGAGAGTTCTGAGTCTTACTCTGGCCAGCAAAATGCCATAGAGTCCGATTTTTGCTTCGGTCACTTCTGCGACTCCCTTGCTCTCTGGAGAGGCCCACTCTCCTTCGTCCAAATCAACCTCAAACGCTGGTTTTATCCTTCAATTATTTTAATTAACACCATTTCCTGTTCCAATTCATGTGTATGATGTGCCAAACAGGAAGAAACTTCTGCAGAAGCAACTTCCCAATTTGCTCCGATCAGATACGAGCTTGAGAACTTTTTGACAAGCACTTATTTCTTCTTGAACCTGTGAAAAAGTTTCAGTAAAGACAACAGTTCCATTGAAAAAAACGGAAAAAGAATAACCATTAAATTTATTTCTAAATTTTAGCTGAACCAATTGATATTTTTCCCGCTTGTTCAAAAATTTGAACTTCAAAATGGCCGCGAAAGTATTGCTTTCTCCAGCTTTATCTCGAGAGGTAAAAAAAATAGAAATTCATATTCAATTTCAGGAGAGAATGAGACGTTAAAAAAACAAATTTTAGCGCTCGCAACACAGAAAAAAATTAAAAAAATAAAATGCCTGAATGATTCTGAAAAAAAGACCCTCACACTGTATTTTTTTCTTCATTTTTATATATATGATGAGGTTTTTCACTAACCTTGTTGGTCAGAAAACGAGACATTCGCGTACAAGTTTCCTTGACGTATTTCGACCTTTTCGTGCTTCCTTCTTTGAAAGCGACAGAAGAAAATGTCATGCCCTGAAAAGTCGTTGATCAATTGTAAAAAAATTGAAAATGGAAGACCTGGAAGATCAAACAAGTGACGGTTGTGGCAGAGACAAGGATGAGGACCTTCTTACAGTCCGGGCTTCTCACCTATTGAAGACACCTTTTTTTCAGAATAATAGAAAAATAAAACATCTTTGACAAGTTCCATGGAGAGAATGAGTCCCAAGGCGCCGCGAAGGCCGGCATAGGACAGAATGACGAAATCTTTCGGCGCAGGCATCGGACGTTTCGAGAAATAGCCAAATACCTTGAGAAAATTACAATAATTGGCCAGGAAATGCAATCAAAAAATCGGTTTTTTTCAGAGAACACGAGCTCAGTCGGTAAATTTGTTTTTTTTTTCAAAATTTTGAATAGCTTTCTAATTTTTTTCACAAGCCTCGAAGACAAATAGAGTAGAAAGAGCGTAAAATTAGGACACTAAAAATCCTAGACTTATCAGAAATCACACTTAAGCGGGAAGCTTTCTGTAGCTCTTGAAAAAAAGATCAAACATTGTAGAACATATAAAGGCTCGCAGCTCTGGCGAAGAACGGAACCGGCGAAACCAAGACGCCCTGGAGGAAAGTGAACATTTCGTTGGTCAGCACGTCCGCGTAATCGTCATCTCCGTGCTCTCTATGCACCACCTGGAATCATCTTCTTATCGAAACAGAATATTCAAGATCTCAGGTACATCCGTGAACATTTCCGATCCGACGAGATATCCGGCAAACATGAAAATGAGGCCGTTGGCCAGATATCCCAAGACTTGCCACAGTTGCAGGGCCATCTCACAGGTTTCTGGACTCATTTGTTCCCTGAATCAGACTTTTTTCCTAAAGAAAGGTTCGTTCCCAACAGACTTGCAATAGTTGAGCATAACTCCGAAGAAAACTAGGCCGACGGCCGAAGAACCGTGAATCTTGTCACAGAAGATGAAAACTCCGTAGACAAACAGAAAGATTATGAGCTGAAAGTTGTAACCAAACTGAGAAACCTTGATCTTGAAAAGTATGATAAAACATGATAAAACAAAGATGAATAGGAAAATCCTGCAAACTGCGAAGATTCTAATTTATCGAGATCGATTTAGAGTTCCATTGTCTTGCACAGTTTGTAGGCAAGCAACGTTAGATACTACCTTTTTACAGAAAAACAAAATTTTCAAAGTTTTTGCGAACCTGTCGCTGAGGATTGCCAGCAGCCTTGCTGACGAGAAGGGCGCAGAGCTGAGCGGCGACCCAGCCAATCAGAGGAGAGCCCGCCAAACACATCACGAGTTCGATGGCCATCCATTTGTAATCGACTTGGAAGTCTCGGATAGTCTCCATCTAGGAAATATGCCGATTTTCAGATCCTATCCATAGAAAAAATACCCTGAGGTAGCTGACGAACATGTGGTAGAACATCAAGGCAGCGCCGTCGTTCAGCAAACTTTCACCCTGAAAATAATATTTTGGAAAATGAGAGGATTTCTCAGCACCTCAATGAGTACACGAAGTCTATGTGGCGCACCATATTGCTCTAAAATCGCCACGACAGCCACCGGATCTGTTGACGAGATTATAATCAGGAAAAGGAATACCTGGAAAAAATATATCAATCGACAAAACTTATAACTTATATTAGAGAAGAGGGACAACATTTTAAAAGAAAGATTATTGAAATTATTAGTGAAATTAAGAACTTTGAAGTTTTCGGTGTTAAAAACGCCCAAGCTGCAGAATGACGTAATGTTGCACAGAAAGGCGAAAAAAGAAAAAAATCAATTAGAAATTTTTGCTAACAGGCGCCTGTCAACAGCCTAGGCTGTTGAAGTCAACATATATTTTTTAAAAAAACTGAATTATTTTTTTCGAGTTTTTTTGAAAAATTATATTAATTTTATTTCAAAAATCTTTCACCGGCCATCAATAAATTCCAATAGATAAAATCGCTTAATTTTTTTAAAAATTTTAGTTTAGTCTCAAAGTTGAAACCAAAAAGCTCTTCAAAGTCATCGAGGAGGAATTTTTTTCTGAATTAACCGAAGAAAAATTATATTGATGACTAGCCGAGCTGATTCTGAGGTAGTCGGTGATGCAGAACATCGGTAGTAGCACGCCGGCGGAGATGATGATCGTCCCTATGTAAGCTGCTCCTGTCAAAGAGACGATCAGCTTCAACTTGTTGAAGAACATGTGCGATTTGACGCGAAATGCCGCTTCGAAAAGCAGCGGCGGTAGTGTGATCTCAAGAACAGAGACTTATAGATACGGTCATTTTAACTCACTACTAAAATCGCCTGAGGCGAGACTTGGTTCCAAGTGTACTTTTCAGTAACCTCTTTTGCGATTTCATGTGGCAGAAAAAGAAAAGTCGCCATTCTGAAGAACTTTGAGTTGCTTGACCAACTTCAGACCAGAAACATACGCCGCAAAAATGGCAAAAGTGAATTGGAAAACGCTGTCGGGGATGCCAAGAAATCGTACCTGGAACATTTAATGTTTAATTTGAATAAAAATGAATAAAACGTAACCTTATTATTGACAACTTCCAAAGTGAGGGCCACCACAAGGGACGCCGCCGGAAAAACGAAGATAGAGAGTTCCGACATCCCCACGAATTAAAATAAAAGTGTTTAAAATAACTACATCGTCACGCACTCGTAAATTTATTTTATTTTGGAATTCTCTCCCATTGGCCGCTTCATTGTGCGGTAATATGGCTGTTTTGTAGGCCCTGAGCGTCGTGGTCATTCTGGCCGAGTGGTCTAAGGCGCTGCGTTCAGGTCGCAGTCCTCTTCGGAGGGCGCAGGTTCGAATCCTGCGGATGACATACCTTTTTGAAAAATTTCTCTCACGATACTTCAACATTTGAAAGAAGGTTTAATGGTTTACAAACGTTACCGTTTTCAAATAATAAATTTTTGAAACTGCATATTTCGAAAAATTTTCATATAATCTTTACCTACTTGTTAGCTAAATGGTCTACTTTCTTTTCGTGTTCTTTGTTTATTTATTGGTTCATCTCATGAAATTTCGGACATACACTTTTTTTAAATAACTTTTTAAAAATTGTAAAGCTTTCTAAAATGTTGAAAAAAATTGAATGGAGCAGTATAATTTTAAAATGTTTTTTTGATCTCACAATTTATAATCATTACACAGTGATAAATCGTACTCTTTTTTTCCAGGGCCCTTGTGGCCGGTTTCTCGAGAAAGAGATCTCCCATATGCATAACTTTTAAGCGAGCGTACTGTAGGAGAGGACAAGCGCGTTCACCAAAAGCATTTGAGTTGACGAAAATTTAAAGCGGGTGTGTAAAATTTTCCGCTTTTTTTGTTTTGTTTTGAGCTCTAATTTTCCATTGAAAGGCCGTTTTTTATTGAGTTTTGCTTTTCAACTAGCATTTCTTGCAGATGGGAGGAATCTTTTCGAAAAAAAGCTCTTCGCCGAAATCAGCTCCTGTTTCAGAGCAAGACCAGGCAATTTTGGTATTTTTCAATCATTTTTCTTTTCTCATTTGCCTTTTTACAGCAACTTAAAACTCAACGCGACAAAATCAAGCAAATGATCAAAAGGAAAGAAAAATGCATGGAAAAGGAAAGGCTCTTGGCGAAGAAACTGCTTCAGGACGGTCGGAAAGAGTGAGTTTTTTATCGTTTGCTGTTTAATTGAATTATTTTCCAGCCGAGCTTTGTTATTATTGAAAAAGAAACGTTATCAAGAGAATATGATCGACCAAACGCTTAAAAACGTTAGAAAAAAATCGAAAGGATGGTGGGTCTTCTAGAGTTTAGAACTATTATTTTTTCTTTTTTCAGGTTCAAGATTTGGAGTATGCAGAAATTCAACAACGAGTCGTGGAGGGATTGAGGCAAGGAAATGACGCGTTAAAACGAATGAACTCTGTCAGTTTTTTCTTTTTTAAAAGCGGCTCTTTATTCACGCCAGTTCTGCGCTTTCGGTTTTGCTCGTCACTAAAAAATGAGTCACTTTTTTTTGAATTAGTTCGACTATTATTGAGCTTTCTAGATTAATAACTATCCTTGTAACACGTTTTCGCAATTAGAAACTTTCTCTATTCGCCAAATTTTTATTTTCTTTTCCGAAAAGGTCTATTAAATTTCATCAACGCAAAAATTGCCTAAATTGTCTAAATTCAGCCAAAGCAGGATGTGCAAGCCGATAGTGTCCCATGGCGTTGATGTATATTCATATTCACGACTAGAATTTAAATTTGATTATTATTATTATTGTTTTTTTTCTTTTTGCAGCTGTTTGATTACGATGAAATCGACCGAATAATGGATGAAACCAAGGAAGCCGCTGAATATCAAGAGGTAATCAGGAAAAATTTGAATATTTTAAAGCGTTTCTTCTTACTAAAAAGTTTCTCATGTTGATGATAATAAAAAACCATTCTTTTTTTCTTTGAGATTTGTGTAGAAATAAGTAATCTTTTTCTACGAAAAGAATGTCCTTCAGGAAATTTCATCAATGTTGTCCGGAAAGTTGACGTCGACAGACGTGGCTGAGGTCGAACAGGAGCTGGAGGAGCTGCTGGCGGTTCATGCGGAATCTTCCGGAGCTCAACTGCCTGAGGTGCCGAGCCACGAACTCCCACAGCCTGTGCCGGAAGAGAGAGGCTCGTTTTTTCTCTGTTTCGGTATATACGTGTTTCGAACTTTATCGACAGAAGCTCAAAGCTATACTTGAAATTTTGGAATGCATCCTTGCTCCTTAATTTGGAAAATTCGATTACTCCAGTCAATTCGCTTGCAATCAAGAGATCATATAGTTAAAAAAAACACAGCTTTGAAGGTGAAAAAATACACTTTTAAGTAATTTTTCGCTCTTCTGCTCATTTCTTTAAGCTGAATAAGTAGACATTTTATTTTTTAATTTTGCGAAGTTTCTACCTTTTTATGTAACTTGGCAAATGTAACTTTTTGTGTAAGGGTACAAAATTTCTTGAGGAATTCGAACATTTTTCTCGAAACGAAAATAGATGCCTTTTTCAATATTTTTTGAAATGAATCCTAATTGAGTTTAAACAAGATCTCGAGACGCAGCGGCCTTTTTCTCTGATTTATCTTTTTATTCGGAGAACCTTTTTAAAAATATAAAGGACTTATTTCGATCTGGAATAACATTAATGAAAAACATAAATAGAATAAAAAAATATGTTCAATGTTATTCAAATTTAAAAAAAAGACATACGAGAATTTTTCTCACTTTTAAATGTTCATTTGACTTGAACTTCGAAAATCACAGAATAACTGCAAAAAACATCATGAAACGGATTTCAGAACGCGAACGGGTCAAAGCTAAAAAGGAACGTGTTGCACTGGAAGCTTAATATTTTTTTCCCAAAATTCATGTCATATCTCTTACTATTCGATGCTCTAAATTGCCTTTTATTCGATTCATAACACTTTTCTATTGCCTCGATACACTCAAACTTCTGTAAAATATTAACTGTGATTGATTCATAAAATGACTTCATTGTAACTGTGAATAAATTTTTTGATTTTAAATCTATATGCCTATTTTTCAACCAATGTCCGGCGAAGATAAAATACCTGTGTTGATTTCGATTTCAAAATTGTGCTAACTGCAGAGAACCGTATTTGCAAAAGAAAACTGATCGATCGACTGTTGCGCAAATAAAAAAAAAAACACTGACCACGGCCGAGTATTTCAATTTGGACGACTTCCTTCGGTTTTTCCCTGCTTCCCAGCACTCAGATGATGTTTCGAAGATCTCGAAGACAAATGGAGGAGACTGAAGGTCAGTTTTCCTTTCAAATTTTCTTCACATCTACATGTTCTATCATTGATAAGGCATCTGCGTGAGTAGCTGTCCGCTTGGTGAATGTCTAGCCATCGTAGCATCGGTGGTTCAGTGGTAGAATGCTCGCCTGCCACGCGGGCGGCCCGGGTTCGATTCCCGGCCGATGCAATTCTTTTTTGTCTGGACTTGAATCTCAATTCATTCTGAATATTGCTTTTTTAAGAAGTACTTTTTACACTCTTTGGAAGCACTGTCATTTGGACAAGAAAAAAGGAACCTTGAGAAAATCCTTTTTTCAATTTTTCTTGAATCGAAACGTTCGAGTATTCTGTCAAGAGATTCAAAAAGAGAGAAAAAAATCTCCAGATCTTCGGAAAAGGATTCTTACTGAAGATCGGCTTTTCCACTTCTTGAGGACCTCTTTTCCAAAAATATATTCCGAGAATTATAAAATAAAACGGAGGAGCCTCATATTTTTGAGCACTAGTTTTGTGAATATTTTCAAGACTTCTTTCGTTGTAGTTACTTCGAAATCGAGCGATTGAAGTCTGTTAACAAGAACTGTGAGGGATCTCATGAAAGTCGGATCAAAATGAAGCCCTGGGCGACAGGACAAACAGCCGCCGGAAAGCCCACTCGATGTGTCGAACGGCCGGCCTTGCGAGCCTAATCAAATATTTTTGCGCGGTGCTTCTGGAGCTCCACTGGGTGCTGTTTCTTCGCGCAAAACTGTTGCCATTATGTCCACACTCGAGTGATTGGTCCTTTGGCAGCTTGTCAACAACCTTCCAGCTGCCCAGTCTTCTTATAAGAGCCTCTCTTCTTCATCTCGTCTGTAATACCTGCCCTTCCTCATTTATGACAATATTTTCTGATTGATCTGAAAGAAGAGGTTATTTCATCCGAAATTTTGCTGCAGATAAAATATTGAGAGCCCGAAGGTTACAGAATGGAATAGAAATCAAAAATTTCTACCTACACACAGTTCTTTTTGGAAACAGCTGAAAGAAAGAAGAATTTCCTTTGGTCTCCTTTTCAAAAGAAGGAATTTCTCTACTTTTTGCTCCTTTTTGTAATTTTTTTTATCGTCTTCTTCTGAACTCCTTATCAACGCGTCACAAAAAAGTGTTTCTTTCAAAATGTTGATTACAAGCTTTTTCCTCTCTATGCTCAATGTTTTGTTAACCATTTTCTGAGATTCAAAAGTTCGAATCAAATTTTTTTTCAAAGCTCTTCCGTTTTAGACCTCTTTAATTTATTTGGAATTTCCCAGAAATTCGTGAGTTTCCCGTAGTAGTAAATCCATTATTCAATCCTTGAATCACTGCAATCTGAATCTGGGACTCTGATCCAAAAATCATCTCTCGAAAAATTGCTGTTTTTCAATTATTCACCTAACTAATTGGGAAATTCTCTCCGACTCGACACCTTCAGAAATGATCCTACCTAACGCCTTGTTGTGGATGACGTGGTTCCGGCCGAGGCTCCGCCTCTTTCCGGCCCTGTTCTTCTGTATTTGCGCTCCGTTGTACGTTCGTCGTCTGGAAGTTTTTTTTTTGCTCCAGTGAGAAGCTTTCCGCTTAATGGACACTTTGCTCTGGTACCATGTTGTTTTGGCGCCTTGCTTTTTTTTATTGGACTTGGCGCATTCTGGACTGGGTTTCTAATTCTTCTATGTTGTTCAATAAACTTAGATTTAAAAAAAGTTTTAGCTTTATCTCATCTTTCTAGGTACAGTGCTTTAAAAAGAAGAGCTTTTTATTCAAAAATCAGTTTTGGGTACCCTTTTTATCTTAAAGTATTCGGCCGATTCATGAATACTTTCCTCTTACTCTCAACTCCCTAGTTGAACTTCCTCTATAAAACCTGCTTTTTTTTTCGAAATAAACCTCACCCTGGGAGAAAAGATGTCAGACTTGAGCAACTGATAACTCTATGACGTTTTGTGACAACCGACGAACACATGGCTTTCATTCAACTCTAGAATGCGGAAGATTCTTTTTTTATTAAATTATGTATTTGAGAAAAAAAGGAAAGCAGAAATTTGTTTTTTTATGATTTACGATAATCAAATTATTATTTTTTTCAATTCTCTGTTCGATCATCGACTTGAGAATTCCTCGATTTTGTTAACAGCTTCATAAGAAAGAGTATTCCGAATATTTAAAGAAACTTCTTCCTTATGGGACAATCCAGCTATAAATGAAACATTTTTGAACTTTGTGACTTTATTCGTCTTTATTCGTTTAATTTCAAAGCCGTTCTTTATTTGGTGTTGGTCTCTTAATTTTCAATTTTTTTTTCGGACTACGCTGTTTTTTTAATGAAGAAATGCGTCGTTTTTCAGCTCCAACAGCTGTTCTGGGCGGAGCTCCGGTCGTTTTGATTTCACAGCGAAAAGCCGAAAGATTTGTCTTCTTCACGCCTTTCAGCCGCGGCCTGGCTTTTCCTAATAAACCTTCATTTTTGATGTTAGAAAGAAATTTATGGCTCGTTTTCTATGATAATGGGGAACTGAGAAAAATTTGAAATTTCTTTAGAACTTTTACTCTCTCATCATTGAACATATACTTTTCATAGAGTTTATTTTGATCCTTGCATCTTCATTATAAAATAATTCGTTGATTTTTTTCATTATGGGATATAACTCAACAAAAGTTTTATATGCGTTTAAGGGATGAAAGAGTGACTTAATTCAGAAAACAGACATTTTTTATGATTTTTAATTGATTCCAGCTTTTCTAGATCTTCCGAGCATCTTTTTTTTTTAATGTTCTACGCATTTCTTCGGTTTTGTTCTTCAAAACGAGTTGTAGATCTCTTCTTTCGAGTTGATTAAAACTTGAAATTGGTTCCAACTTCGTCTCATTTGTTTGCCCTGAGGGTCCTCCACTTGAACGTCACCCAAAGAGTCTGGAGTTCACGCCCGTGGCTCATCTCCCAAATATTCCCCCAATCAAGTGTCTTCTCGCTGACCAGCTCTTCAAAACGCGCAGTTTCAAGGCACGAGGCGTGATATTTATCTCATTATCAAAGTTTATTCGCCCGTTTTGGAGAAGATCTTCTTATTTTTTGTTTGAGAATTCTCAGGAAGTTACGCAAAGCACTTTTATGAACCAGATGAAGATCCTAAAATTATAAAGCTCTATTTTCTTGTTCTAAAAAAATCCCAAGCTTTTTTTCATGTCTTTTTTGTTGACTGAGAATATGAGAAGCCCGTTTTAAAAATTGAGAAGTTGTCCTATTTGAGAATTTCAGAATGTGAATCTGTGTTTTGACCCGAAAAAATTTCAACCGGAAAAAATGGCTTTCCTTGTCAATATTTCAAAATCCTTGTAGAATTTTGTCCAGTGAGGAGGTTGTTCAAATTTTTAAATAATTTTACGCTTTTTTTCTCTTATGAACCGTTCTTTTTTTGAGATTTAATTTTTTTCTTGAACTTTCTAAGCTGAGCGAAAAGGCCTAGGAGCCGTTCTAATGAGGTCGGAACGCTCAAAGGAAATATTGAGAAATTTGTCCATGTAATTGCAAAACGAGATGAATTGCCAGATGTGCCAGTCGTATTTCCCATCAACCTCGGCTCAATTTTATGAGCTTTCGAAGATTTCTGTATCTCATTGACCTCACTAAAAGTCATCTTTTGAGCTTTCTGTTACTTTTTTTCTAATTGGTAAGTTCTTAGTATCTCTATCTGTCGATTTCTCCAGTCTGATCGAAGGACGGGTCATAACGAAAGACAAGAGGATTATTTTGGAGGAGCCGACGCCACGACCCAAAACGGGGAATCGCCACAGTCTATTCTCACCTTTACCCTTCCCTGAGACGGTCTTTTTATCTGGAAGGACCTATTTTCTGCTCTTACGAAGCACCAAGGACTATTATCCCAGAATGGAAGGTAGTTTTTTCTCATGTAAGGATAACGGAGGGAAATTCCACTCTCACCAATCAAACTTGAAACTACGACCTAGGTAGCAAATTTTGAGTTGATTTTGAATGAACTGTATGATTTCGCAGTGATACTTTTCGTTATAATGAATAGGCTGCACAGGTTTCAATTTTTTAATTTTTACTTTTGATTTAATTTAGTCAATTATTTTGTACGCTTTTTGAGTCGGTCCCGGATACATACCGTGTTCTCTTGACTTTTGTATTTTCGGATTCTTTGGCTTTTTTCTTACTTGGACCCGCTACCAACTGGCTTTTCAGAAAAACATTTCAAACTTTGCTGAAAAAAATTCTTAATTTTTGGATTGACTCTTTTAGCAATTATATCACGATTTCTTGGTCAATTTTAATATTTTCTCTTTTATTCTTTATATTTTTTTCATTTTTTTGAATCTAATTTCGAAAAAAATTTCTGTTAATTATTTTTCATCATTTATAGTTATTTTTTTCTGATTCCTTCAATAATTCAATAATTTTTCTGACTAGAATTTCTACACAGTTTTTTTCCAAATTTTATTTGGTCTATAATTAGCTCTGCCGTGGCGGCTATGTTTCCGCTGACGGCGGTCCTGTCAAATTCGGCCGATTTCCTGATATTTTTTTCGTCCGCCCAAATGACCGCTGAAGCTGCCGCCAAAATTCTCATTTTCGGCTCCGGTCAAAACACACAGAAATTTCCCCCGTGTTTGCTGTTGTTTCTTGTTTTTTGAAGCTTTTTATTAAGATTTTCCATTGATTTGATCAAAATGGCAGTATTCTAATTCTTTTTTTTGTCTGAAAGATCATTTCTTCGGGGTGACAAAATCCTAAAAAAAAATCTGGTTTCTCCAGCCCTTTTTGTCTCTAATTTCACGTTCCGCATTCCTGGGAAATAGCTCATTTGTTTTAATAGAAAGATGAGATGAAGGTCGATTGAAAACAGAATAATGGAGCACGTTCTTGTAATCTAACCGTGTGCGAAACGTCTAGGGAATCTACAGTTTTTTTTTTCTGAGACTCGTTTTTGTCAATCAAATTGAATTTCAAGAAATTTAAACTAATTCTGAAAGTGTTTCGATTTTGTCGTTCTTATTTTGTTTTTTATTTCTGTCCGAAAATTTTCAACCTAGAAATTTTTACACAAATTTTTGGGATGCTTTTAAAATTTATGGCTGCTTTTTTGGGAAGGAATATAAGTGTTGCGTGATTTGAAACAACGCAAAAAATAACTATTTTTCAAATTCTTCTATACTCTTTCAAAAAATCAAGCAAGGTTTGTTGTTCAACATAATAAGTTGGAGGACATTCTCTTTTGTGTTTTGAAGAAGAAAAACTTCTGCGGCTCTTGTTACTTTCTTTTTTTCATCCTCAATTGGAAGTTTCCAATGATAGAAACTGCTTTCAGATATGTACCCAGGACCGAAGGAGCAGCGAGGCTCTTTCGAAAATCACCAGAGACGAAAAAAATGCGGCTGGGTGGTTTGCATGGTCGTCCTCATCGTCGGCCTCATCCTATTGGGTAAATTTTTGTTATCTATTGTTCCTGCGAATATTTATCAAAATTATAACTTGAAATTCTTCTTTTCTGATTTTTGACATGCATACCTTATGAAATTGGCTTTTTTTCGAATTTATTCTGAAATCATGTAAAAATCGAATGAGTATCGGCTAAAGCCTGATGGAAATTCTTAAAGGCTGTACAACTTCATTTTGTAGAGCGTTTTATGGCGCAAATTCAAATTTCTGCTTCCTGTTTTTCAAGCTTTTAAAAGATTATATATTGTATCTCCTTAAATAGTTTAAGAGAGAATGAGGAACTCCAAAAAGTTGCTCTATTGAAGGCGCTCTGAGATTTGCAGGCGCTCTGAGATTTGAATAAGTTAAGTTGAAACTTTGATCGTGGTCCAAAAATAAAAGTTCAAATGGCGAGGTTTGAAAATAATTCGGAAATGCCCTGAGATTTCCTGTAGAATCCTGATAGAAATGCAAACAACTTTTTTCCTTTTTAACCGAAAAATTTCAAAGCTCGATTGTTCGAGACTGCCTTTTGAAATATAAATAATCTAAATTCTTGTTTATCATTTAAAATTCAAGTTGATTCGGACTTGTTACAACAGAGCATTGTGACTGATGTGTTGAATAAAAGGTTGGTAATTCCAGGTATGTTAGTTGTATACGCCGGTTTCGCGTTATATCGACACTATGTGACGGATGTGAATGATCGTCGAGAAAATGACGAATATTTGCGGAAACTCGTCCGGCAAGTCAACGATTCGCCTGAAACCACCTGGAAGGTAGGAGCAACGACAAAGTATAACTAAAAAAGTTGATTTTATTTGAGGGCTCAGAATTTTTAAAAAATCTTCGAAATCCTAGATGATTCTCTTTGGAGTCAATGACCTGCGCAAACTTTCAGTTTCGAAAATATAATTTTCTTTAAAGATACTTTTAATATTGAGCCCAGATCTGAAATCACTACACATGATTTTTGAAGTGTCATATCTAAAAAAGCGTTTCACAGGCGATTTTTTGAGATTTTCTTTCCGATTTGCTAAACATTTTTGGACCGACTTTAAGGAAATTTTGAGCCGCCATTTTTGCTATCTTATTGCAGTTTAGGCCAAATTCAACAAGTTTGGCGTGCGCAACGAAGCTTACGGGTTCACTTACACGAGGAACAAAACGGCGATCGAGGAGTACATGGAGCACATCAACAAGTTCTTCACGTCGGACGCGATGAAACGGCATTTGAAGTGAGTTTTAGGTAGGGTCCGCAAGCCATTTCTTCAGAACGATTCAAAAAATATGTTTTTCACACTGTTCGATAGAGGAGACTGTCCATTTTCATAATCCGTTTAGTTTTTGAAAAAAGGTCCACTAAGAAAAAAGTTATGGCCAGAAAACTAGCGCGCGCGGCGTACAACTGGAGGCAAAATCTCACGGTTTACCCGCTGCCGCACGCTTTCTTTTTAAATGTTTTTGCGCATTTCTGAACCGTTTTCGAATCAGTTTTCTGTTCTGAGAGGTTGTCCGAACTGAGCTTCATGTTTTGGTATGAATCTTTTGTACAATCTTCATAAGAATTTTTTTGATAAAATATCAAAAAAACTACTTAGAAAAAAAGGTCAGAAGGAATTTTCAGCTCATTTTTTTCTTTTTTTCTAATCAGAAAAAAATTATTATCATTTGGTTTGGGAAAAAAAGAAAAAAATGAAAAAAATAATGTTATTTCGAAATAAAAACAGGAAAAATGTGCAATTTGACTCCAAAAAAACGGCTCCTGCAACATTTAAAAATGGCGCATCGGTGTGTTTGACGCGAACACAGCTACGAATGCTTGCACGAATTCTTCCAAAAATTTCAAAAAAAGTTGTCATTTTTTTCGAAGTTTTCAAAGCCGTTATTTTTTTCGCGTCGTTAGATTTTTTTCATAATTTTTTTATTGATAGAGTTTTGAACGCTTAATAACCTGATCAAAAAGTATAAACGCGATCCTATTCTCTCATGCGACAACGAGGCAGGCGAAAAAAAGGTGGTTTTTGGTAAAAATTCAAATATAATTTAATTCGCTGTCCCAATAATTATTTTCATTCTGAATTTTTTTATTTTTTTGAACACATTGTGAGTTTTTTTAAATCAAATAAAAAGTATACCATGTCGCTGAAATTTTTTCGCATTTCAGCTTCAAAGTTTGGTGTCACTTTACAAGCTTCGATTTTTTTTTCGCGTCGTTAGATTTTTTAAAATTTTCCCTCGAAAAATAAAGAAAGTGTTAATATATAACATACTCAAAATTTAGAAGCGTTCCTCATTTGGTTTTCTGAAACGCGACGATTTTGTGAAACTTGTCAGTTTTTTTCGTGTTAAATCTTACTTTTTCGCTTATTTTTGAAAAATACATAGTTTTAAAAATATTCAGTCTTGTAGAGCGTTGTCGATTACATAGATTAAGAGAAACAGTTAATTTTTAAAGTGGGACTTTAGCTAGTATAAACGCCTCAAAACCGTTTTTGCAACAAAAAAATCGTCATTTTGGTGGCGTGAAGGGGCGGGGCTTTGCGCCCCCTAGTTTTAGGTGAAAAGCCCCACCGGAGGCAGTGACAATGAAGTCGTTCAGAGAGCTGGAAGACTTCAAGGACGAGGACATCCCCAAGGAGTTCGACGCGCGGATCAAATGGCCACACTGTCCGTCGATCTCCAACGTGCCCAACCAAGGCGGTTGCGGCAGTTGCTTCGTGAGTTCCAGAAGCTCCTGACCTGGAAGCCATCAAGGTTCTCAGGCAGTCGCGGCGGCCGGCGTCGCATCCGACCGCGCGTGCATCCACTCGAACGGCACCTTCAGGGCGCTGCTCTCCGAGGAGGACATCATCGGGTGCTGTCCCGTCTGCGGCAACTGCTACGGCGGCGACCCGCTCAAGGCGCTCACCTTCTGGGTCAACCAAGGACTCGTCACAGGTCTCTTTTCGAGAAGCCTTTTCACATCAAGAAGCGGAAAATTACAAGCTTTGAAGTATTGGTGTTCTTTTTTTTCGAAATCGAAGAAGCAGTCTGATTCGCTGCATTCATGTAGCCCATTCACGGCTATCTTGGGACGCTGTGGGGCGTGTCGTGTCTGCGCTCTCCACCAACCAAGCATTATCTCTTTCATTATCGTGTGAAGGACCCTTTTTTTGATGGATCAAGGCAGCCGTGAAACAGCTACAAATGCAAAAATTATATAAAGAATTGAATAGTTCAAGCCCAAAAAGTTTGATGTGTCGGGCTTCTCTCAGAATCCTTACCAACCACATTGAAAATTCAGCAAGTTTTTAAGAAACTGAAGTTTAGCGTGTTTTTGATGGTGACATTTTCCCGTTCAGGAGGTCGCGACGGCTGTCGGCCGTACTCTTTCGACATCTCGTGCGGAGTTCCCTGCTCTCCGGCGACGTTCTTCGAGGCCGAGGGCAAGAGAACTTGCATGCGTCGCTGCCAGAACATCTACTACCAGTCCAAGTACGACGACGACAAGCACTTCGGTTCGTTTGACCAGACTGCAACGGGAGACCAAGCAGTTCAGCTACATTCGCCTACTCCATGTACCCCCGTTCGATGGCCGTTTCTGCCGATGGAAAGGAACGCGTCAAGGTTCCCACCGTCATCGGACACTTCAACGAGACGGCCTCCACCCCTCTTAACACTACTCAGGTCCTTTTTCGGGTATTCCGGACTAAGACTCCAAAGAGGATAAAAATGGAAAATCTCAAAGTCAAGCTGAGAAAATCTAGCCTCCACAGAAATGACGTCGCTCTATCGGAACAAATGAAAAATACCAGCTAAAAAAAATGAGGTCACTTTTTTGTCCAAATGCCATGCCGCGAAAGTGGTTTCATGTCGGGAGCCATTCCACTCGTAAATTTTTTTTTTTTGATTTGTTTTCTGAGATTTAAAAACTTACTCTTACAAACTGAATCATTGCGGTCCGTGGAGAATGTTGATATAGTAGTAAAAGTTGATAAAACGCCTCATTATCAACAAATAGAAAGCCGAAAAGGACGTTCATTTTACTTCTCCAAAAATTAGTCAGACGATTCTTCAATATTAGATCAACTCTGAAAGTTTAAACCTGTCCAAACTCATTTTTTCATGAAAAAAGGCCCATCCAATAGGGTTTGGAAGATTTTCTTCGACTTTTAAGGTTCTCCTTAGAAACTAGAACATATTCAGGCTTCCAGAATCTTCATGGGGTATACCAAAGAGCGTTCAGACCTATTTTAATAAAAATTCAATTTCTTAAGAGTACTAAGACCAGCCCATTTTCATCTTGATTAGAAAATTTCCATATTTTGCAACAACATTTCAGATCCGCAACATAATCATGAAGGAAATCGCCTTGTTCGGTCCGACGACGATGGCCTTCCCAGTGCCCGAAGAGTTTCTCCATTACTCCAATGGTATTTTGATTCGATAGACCGATATCTCCCAAATTGTCCATTTTCAGGCGTTTTCCGGCCGTTTCCCGTGGACGGGTTCGACGAGCGGATAGTCTACTGGCACGTGGTCCGACTCATTGGCTGGGGCCATTCAGACGATGGAAGTCACTTTTGGCTTGCCATCAATAGTTTCGGCTCTCATTGGGGTGATAATGGTACTCGGATATCTCTCATTTGTCTTCTAATCCATGTCTTTCAGGTTTGTTCAAAATCAATACAGACACGATGGAAAAGTACGGTTTGGAATATGAGACGGCGGTCGTGTAAACTTGTATTTCTCATTTCTCACTTACTGATCTTCTCATTTTTTCATTTTTTGAAATAATCTCGTGCTATCATACTTTGAGCCGGAAACCGGTTACCTCACTATATTATTACTTTTTTTCAGACCAAAGTTTGTTTACAGCAATCATTGAAAATTTGCTGGAATTTCTTATTTATTGAAAGTCACATTACATCATACGCGGCTCTTCCTAAAGTATTTTTTTCGTGCCAAAAAAATTGAAAAAAACTATGAAATAAAAATATCGGATCAAGTACAATTTTTCGTTAATATTCTAAGAAGCTATAGTGTAAAAATCGATCTGAAATTTTTAAGAGCATTCAAATTAAAACCTTCCTGTTTTCCATTGTCTAAAAAATAAAAATATCACCAATAATTTATCGTAATCAAAAAGAGAAATCAAACAACAAGATATATATGATGCTGAAAAGAGAGAAACCGCAATTCAAAATCTGCGACTGATAAGAAAAACAATTAAATAGAAGTTATAGGGAAAGAAAAACAAAACCAACAACGAAATTTACCTTTCGGCCTTTGGATAGAGATTTGTTAGAACGAAGAAACAGAAAAACCAAGCGGAAACCCCTACAAAAAATGACTTCCTCTGAGTTCTCCTAACGACCTCCAATGAAATAAAACGAGTTGAAACTCTCTACGAATTATTCGGCAATTTTTTTTAGATCTTCGATCGTCGTTAAGCTGAACCAAATGAAAAGATGATGGAAAAAAGCAGGAAAAGAACCAGTAGAGGCAAAATTCATCGGGGAAAAAATTAAGCATCTAGTTAATCCGTAACAGGAGGAACCGTTTGTCCTTTTCTGATGGTACCCCAGCCGATAAGACGCCAACTCTTCTCAAACCGACGCGACATTGCGATTTTCTCGCCGACCTAACCAATTTGAAAATCCAATACAGAATACAAAAATTGAAAATCTCACCTCAGTGCAAATGGGTTCGTTGAGGCGGATCTTCGCGGCTTCCCCTTTCACTGCTGTCACTCTTCCTCCAGTCGACAAGGAGCCAATATTCACTAATAACGTCTCTTCTTTCACCAATTTTTGAACCTGAAAAATTCCAAATAACATTGTCTTCACGTTTACCAGACAAATTTTTAAAATCAGCTGTTAGTTGTTGCAACCCTAGCGTCCGTTTTTAAAGTGAAAAAATTATGCGTAAAAAGCTAAACTTGGCAGGAAAAATTATTGCAAATAGATTCTTTTCAAGCATTTATAGAAAAAAAAAATGTAGAAGTCAACATTGTTTTCGTTTTCTTTTTTTTGAAAAAGAATTAACTTTAAGACAAAAATATAACCGTAGACTGAAACGCTGAAGATTCTTTGGAAAACGGAATAATCATGATACAGGGCAAAACTGTCTTGCACTAAAATCTTATGATTTTCTGTATTTTTATGCTCTCATTTTCCAAGATATGAACAGGGAAGAAAGGCGGAAACTTTCAAAGCCGTTTACTTCTCTATAATCATCAGCATTATCACTAGAGTTTTTTTTTTCAGAAAGCTACATACGCAAGTATTTCTGAAACATAACGGACAATGGGAAATCTCACGAAAAGATCAAAACGGATTTTCAAAAATCATTAGATTACTTTATCACGCAAGAATCCATAATTAGAAAGTTAAAATCCCGGAACCATTCAAAAATATGTCAATCGAAAAATTTACGAAAATATTCAAAAATTTTTCATTTTTACCGTGCTCGCCAATCTTTGAATATAATGATAAAGTACCTTGGCGCCTTTCTTGTTTCCTTCCGTACGAACACCAAGCAGCCGTCTCAGCAAGTAGAAAGTTATTTCGATCTCGATGAAAATATCAGGCAACGTTCCCACAGCTCCCAGGATGTGACCCACTAACCGATCACCACGGCAAAGAGTCGGATCGATTTTGGTTCCCACACCGATAAGACCTAAAACTTGCTCATAGTTTTAGGCAAAAAAAGAGAAGAAAAAAACTATTCACGTGGTTAAAAACAATTATTTTTTATTTATTTTTCCATATCGGAAGTTCATGCCGTGTTCAAAGTTATTTCCGTGAATTGAAAAGTGGTATTTGAATCTCCAAAATTTAGTAATCTTTTTCACGGCTATTTTGAATTTCGCGGAATTGAACATCAGATATTGGGGTTCATAGGTCCATCGACTGAGCCCATTATCATAGGTTCTTTCAAACTTTTTGATGTATTTTATTATCCAGCCTCTTCATCCTGTCACATGAGTACATTTGGATGATTTAGAAAGTTGAGAAAAAAAAATCAGCTACTAAGAAAATCATCACAGCGGGCAAAAAAAAGGAAAGTGAAACAGCTAGTTCATAAATCACGGCGCTTGAAGAACACATGTGCAGAACTCTTGACAATAAAACTATATAATAAAAACGATCGAGCCTAAACTAAAATTTTGTAAAAACGAACCTCCGGGAACGGCGTATTCCAGACTGTTCTTCTCGGCAAACAAAGAATCGATTCTTGAAAAAATGGGTCGGCATTGAAGTTGACCGTTTGCTGTTTTTGACACGATTCCTGGCCGTACTTCAATCTCTTGACCAACGCGAAGGATACCTATAAAATGAGTTATTCATCGGATTGTGCATCTAATACAGTCCCTATGAAAGAAATAACAAATCACAGGGTTATCGGTAGACGCTTTGGATTCATTTTCGAAGGTAAAAGTGCCGCAATATGACACCAGTCTCAAGCGGGTATCGCACTTCGTGATATTAGAATTATAGTTTTTGATAACCTACCTTTAATGAGAGTACCGCCTGCAACTCCTCCTTTCAAGTTTTCGACCTCAGATCCGGGTTTGTTAACGTCGAATGAACGAATGATTATGAGTCGCGCGGGAGAAGTGAAATCTCGGACAGGGACTGGAACCTTTTTACAAAGGTACTCGCAGACCAACTGAATTCAGGTTGTTGAGAAAAGATTTGCTTTTTCATCTCCTACATCGACATTATATTTCAGTTGTGCCGAGATGGGAATGACGGGTGCATTTTCGGCGACAGTTCCTTGGACGAATCCGACAATTTGTTCGTAGTTCTCACGCGCTTGAGACTCTTTGATGATGTCAACCTTCGAATCAATACTTTCTCTTTAAGAACAATGTGAGCAAAAAGTTCACAAAAAAAACAATTTTTGAGAAAAAGAATACTCGAAAAAAAATACCTTGTTCTGCAAAATCATCAAATGCCGTAGCTGCATAATCTCAACTGCCGCCAAATGTTCTGAGGTCTGAGGCTGGGGACACGGCTCATTACCTGTATGAACATGAATTCTTTGAAAATAATGAATTTGATCTCACCAGCAACAAGTAAAAATGCGGCGTCCATCACCGCGGCTCCGTTCAACATGGTGGCCATGAGAATGTCGTGACCAGGACAGTCAACGAATGAAACATGTCGAACACAAGTGAACTGACCCCCGCAGTTGGGTCTTTCACAGGGGAATTTGTCAGGAGTTGAAGACCCCGCAGATCTGCAAGAAAATTTTTGTAGGAAATTATAGGACAGTTTTAAAAAATGTACCTATAACACCCAGGCCGTGGGCATTCAATGTTAGAGCAGCGATAGATCTTGGCATTCGCATAGCCGAGCTTGATAGTAATGTTCCTCTCTAACTCTTTCTTGAACTTGACAGTATGTACGCCTGAGAACGCTTTGACGAGCGTCGACTTTCCGTGCGCTACATGTCCAATAGTTCCAATATTAATTGTAGCTTGACGGGAAATAACCTCAAATAATCTTGAATAAGAAATTACAAGTTTTAAAACAAACCTCTTCTGTGAGAGGAGTCAAATTTCCTACACCAATCTTTTCCAAATTTTGCTTAGACAACCAACTTTGAAACTCGTCTTTCTCAACTTCTGCAAAAGGCGTGAAATTAGAAAGTAAAAAAAAAACAAACCAGAAGCCATCTTTCCGGAGGAGCCAAGCGATGCAAATAAAAATCTTTACAACTGCAAGAAAAATATTAATTAAGACGTTTTTTTTGCTCGCGAGAGTAATTCTATTCCAGTATAAAATGAAAAATATCGAAAAAAAGAAAAAAACAAATGTTTCCTTGAAAAAAAGCGAGAGATGCGAATCCCGATTAAAGGAGCATGCTACGAAGCCCGTTTTTTCGTCCTCAACAGAGCGCAGTTGCTAAATGTTGAGAAAGCAACATTTTCCACAATTACGAACTTTTTTTTTCAAAACTAAGTTTCATAGTGTTTTAATGGGCTGTTGAGTACTAACTGGAATTTTATTTTTACTTCCAGATGTCACGAAAAAGCGCACCGCCACGAAGCACGAATTTTTCGGATATGTTCAAACCTTTTGCGATGGAAGATGAAAACGACGATTCTTACATGTCAGCTGACTCTCGCGACTTCAGGTCTTCAGTTTTTCTCCAGTTAATAGAAAATTGGTAGTTTGTAGTAACCGAATGGCAAATATATTTTCTGCACTCGATGAAGACACAAAAAAGGAAAGTCCACTGCAAAACGAAGGGAGAGAGACGAAAAAGGCTGCACCTATTTTTACTTCAACAGTGTTTTATGCTCTAAAAAGCACAGAAAATCCGCCGATGAAAGTCGGACTTGCTCTTGTCAACAAAGAGGCAAAAGTAGAGAAATCTTAAAAAAAAAAGAAGAATTAAGTTTCTTAGGGTGTCGCGCTTCTGTACGACAGCTCGAAGAAGGTGATAGAAAGCATCAGAATAGAAGAGAGCGGCCTGACTGTTCATCAATCGACCCTCAAATGCGAATTGGCTGCAGATCTAGAAGCGGGAGTGGACAAGAAGAATGTCTATGAACTAACTTTCATCGATTCTCCGGATTTCATTCGCTTTGTTGTTACGGTGAGCAAGAATCGGTTTCAATATGGCTAGAACTTGCGTCTAGGTGTTTTTCCTAACTAATTCTGAATGTTACGTTCTGAATGAAGGTTCGGGGAGATCCATCGGCGAAGGCTGCTCGGTTCTATACGACACTGTCGAGTATTCCATTGATCATAATGGCTGCCTGAAGGTATTTTTTGCATTCTCGAATCTAACCATCAAAAAGTAGTTCAGCCGCCAATCAAACAGGTAGACCAGAAGTGCAAGATCAGTGAGACTAGTGAAAAAACTCTTCCGATGTTTATTCGCAATAGAATGAAAAACTCGTCTTTTCTGCAACGCCTGAACTCGTCGAATGCGATTTTGATAAACATCAAGAAAGTGAAGTTCCCTATAGATCAGAAGCCCGAGGCTCTCGAAGTTTCTCAAAATATTCCGGAAGTCGAAGAGAGAACGGAGGTGACAGAAGAGGCCTCCGAAAAAGTTTGGTAGTCTACGCATGGCTTGAATATCAATCCACTTTGTAGAAAGATGAAGAAATAGACACGGAATTGAAGGCGCGAATAAGCCGAATCGGTAGAAATGTTCTTCCAGGACTTTCGATGTCTTCTGCTATACCCTCTCAAGAAGAATCGCAAAGTAATTCAACTTATTATTTTTTCATTCAAAGGAGATCTCTTTTAGCTTCGCTGACAAGTTCCCACGAGCCATCAGTACCTAGGGACGATGATTTAGCAGTTCCCACGAAGACGGATAAAGCCCCGGAACCAAAGCCTCGCAGTACGACACGCGAAGTTGGTTTTTCTTCTCTTCTAGGAAATGAGATACGTTGCAGGATTTGCGATGTTCGTTACTCGATGTTCACGAGACTTTTCATCGAATTATTGGTGTCGAAATCGATCGGTTGGAAAACAGGCTAGAGTCAAGGATACAGCAATTACTGGCGCCGCTACAGAAAGAAGTGAGATTTTCTAGAAGCCTCTTGCATCAAATAATATTCAGGTGGAATCGATAAAATCTACGCAACAGCAAATCCTCGAAAAGATGGACCAACTCATCAAGCAACATTCCTAACTGCTCCCTTTTCTCTAAAAATCTTATCAAACTCAAAAATGAAACAGGTAAAACTTTCTCATTCACTTTCCCGAAGATTCCTATGCATTGAGATAAAATATCAAAATTTATATAAATTATCAACGTTAGCGAGATCGCAAGCAAAAAAAAAAAAAACGAAAAATGAAACCGGAAATTTGCAATAAAAAGGGCTGAAGTGAAGCAAAAAGGAAAGAAGAAAAAAATCATTCCATGTAAGGCGATTAGGAATATTTTTAGAATGGAATTTTAAGCGACGACGCCTTCGCAGAGCCCGAGTTGCTCCTGCGCGTCCTTGGCCTCCTGGCTTTCTGGGTCGAGTTTCGCCTCTTCGAGAAGTTTTCGCAGCTCCGCCGCAGCCGTGGCGCAACGCCGAGCCGCGTCTCCCACCATGTTACGTGTTTCCTGCGAAATTGACAGACATTTTGAGAGGAAAAATGTATTATATTCACTTTATAAGTGAGAAAGACAAACCTGAAGTACCGCCTCAGCTTTCTTCGCGGCATACTCTTCATCTTCATTAGACGCCTGCGCCTTCATCGCCTGGACCTTTGCCGTTTCGTTTTCCGCCTCTTTAATGTAAGAAACTCGTTCCTAAAATTAAAATTTTAATTATATCAAATGACCCTGACTCGAATCACCTTGAGAAGTCGCTTCACCACGCCGGTTTTGATTTTTACTTGTTTGATAACTGCGGCGTCCGACATTACAATCCTGAAAAAACGTCTATGAAAGATTCAACATACTATATCCAAAAAAACATTTTGACAAGAAAAGGTATAAAGGACGACATAGCAACAGAAAATCGTCAATAAAAGGCTCGTGAGTGACACGCCCCCATTGCGAAACGTCTTTTTTTGTGTTTCCACCGGTATGAACTTTTTTTCAGATCAATCTTTCTAATTCGTATGATGAATCATTACCGAATTATGTGAACAATCATTTCTAAAAAAATTTAAACTTTAGCTGGTACCAGGTAGTATTAATTCTTACATAATCGCCCTTAAATAATAAAAATTAGATGGTTTAATGGAAAAAAATGTCTGAGAACACTGTAGCTACGAAAAAAATCGTCGAAGCATTTTTCGAGCAAATAGGAATCCACATCTATGAAAGATGGAATTAAAAAAATATCAAAAAAATTGCATGGATGATTTGTTTTGGGTTCACTGGCTTCGAGACCCAATTGTACCTAAGGAAGTAGTGAGAATAGGATACGATAAAAAGCAGAATGTACTTATGTTTTAGACGATAGATCAAACTTGCAAGAAAAAAAGATTGAAAAACCATGAAAAAAAAAACGAAGTTTTTATGAAAATTTTTTGAATTTGAAGATTACGGTCGAGCCGTAGTCCGTCCACACATCAGGAATAAAATGCATGTTGCGAAATTTGAAACTTTCATAAAATTATTCCATTTTAAAAACTTCTACAATTTCAATGTTAAATTTTTCGAAGTGGCGTAACTGCAACAGCAATCTCTAATGTCATTAATGATCGAAATATATTTGAAGAATACCTTTTAATAAAATAAACGGCTTTTTCCTCGTCCTATATTGCATTTTGCGTTATTCCATCTTTTACAGCCGTGATGGAAGTAGAAACAGCTCCATCCACATCAGAAGAAGTAGATGTTGAAGCCGCTAGACGCAAATATGAAGATCGTCGTCGCAAAATCATAGAAGAAGAACAGCGAGAGCGAAAAAACGGAATGAATTTATCCTCTGGTGAAGATGACAACGTCGATGAACTCTTTTTGTCGGCTTCTCAGCGAAGAAAAGAGAAGGTTTTCAATAAAAAGTGAGCGGTATTTTTATAATAAAGATTTCAGTTGCATAGAAGGGCATTGTTGAAGCAGGTGCTGGCGCCAACTTCCGCTCAACAAGAGGAAATCGAGAGGAAGAGGAGGAAGAAAGAGGTGGACAAGCAGAATGAAGAGTCGAAGAAGACGTTGCTCGAGAAGCACGCGGAAATCAAAGAGATGGAGGAAGGTCTGTTGAGAACTCCAGCAAAAGACATACCGAGAAATAATTTGAGATATCGATGAGGAAGAGAGGCAAAGACGTGAAGAAGAAGATTTATTGAACAAAGTGACTCAAACGAGTGGACTTTTGGCCGTGGCAGAAATGACAAAAGGCGCTCAATTCGGGAAGTCAATTGAGACGGGGTTTGTTCATCGAATTCTTCTATGAAATGCATTTTATTACAGATGGCGACCACCCAAACACATTCGAAATCAATCAGAGCAAGATTTCTCCAAATTTCGTAAAAGGCGGGGAATCACTGTCGACGGCGACAATCCTCCCCCGCCCATTGGCAGTTTTTTGGTGATTTTCTGGTTTTTGTGTGGATTTGAAAAAAGGAAATGAATTCAGGAGATGAAATTTCCGCAGTCGATAATCAAAGGGCTCAAAAAGAAGGGAATCATTGTGCCGACCGCCATTCAAATGCAAGGAATCACTGTAGGGTTGGTGGAACTTCTTCCTGAAAGAAGGAAGGAATACGTATGTTGCAGGCTTTCCGGTCGGGACATGATCGGAATCGCTTCGACAGGTTCCGGAAAAACCATCACTTTCGTCCTTCCTTTGGTGATGTTCTGTGCCGAACAGGAGTACGCGTTGCCTTTCAAGCGGGGCGAAGGTCCTTTCGCGCTGATTATTGTTCCTTCCGTTAGTTTTTGGCTTTTTTTTTAAATTCCAGATGTTTCTGGAAAACCTTTTTTTTCTTTAAGCCAGTTTTCTGTCATAGAGAACAAAGGATACTTATGAAAAGTTATTTGTTGAAGGAGAATGATATGGGGTTACGAATCAGGGATTTATTTTTTCGTATGCGTAAAAATTCGAAAGTTTCAAAATTATCGTAACTGTAGAGAGAACTGGCGCGGCAGATCTACGAAGTGATCGTCGAAATGTTCGAGGCTCTGAGGGAAGGCGGCGCCCCGCATCTTCGGGCCGGCCTCTGCATCGGCGGGATTCCCATCAGCGAGCAAACGCGCGATTTCAGAGAGTTTGGTCGTTTCTTTCTTTTCTTCCTGACTGAAACCAGTTCAGCGGAATCCACGCCTGCGTTGCCACTCCGGGGCGTCTCTCCGACCTTCTGACGAAAAAGATTCTCAATCTGGAAGTTTGTCGGTATCTGGTGCTCGACGAAGCCGACAGAATGCTGGACATGGGCTTCGAAGAGGAGATCAAGTCCATCTTCTACTTTTTCAAAGTTTTCCAAAGAAAAAACTTCACGTTTCACTGCCTTTTTCAGGCCCAACGTCAAACATTGCTTTTCTCGGCGACGATGCCCAAAAAGATCCAGGACTTTGCCAAGTCGGCTCTCGTCAAGCCTATTGTCAGTTTTCGTTGGAAAGTTTGAAGTTTCTTTCTTCTCCAGGTCGTGAACGTCGGACGAGCTGGAGCTGCTTCGCTCAACGTCCTTCAGGAGATCGAGTACGTCAGGTCGGAGAACAAGCTGACGAGAATCCTCGAATGTCTTCTGAAGACGGCTCCGAAGTGAGCTTTTGAAAACAATACTTGAGAAAACAAAGAAAATTGTAGGGTTCTAATTTTTGCTGAAAAGAAAATCGACGTCGACAATATTTACGAGTATTTGTTGGTCAAAGGAATCGAGGTCGCGTCGATTCACGGTGGAAAAGGTTTGTTAATGATGTGAGAAGATATCTTAAAAGCTGAAATTTCCTGGAAAGTTTATCAAACACTCTGTAGATGTTCAAAGGAAGGTTTCATATAGTTTCAACCTGCGAAAGCTTTTCATTTTTGAAAATACGGGTTTTTGAATTTTGCGTTTAACAGAATGTGCGTGAAGCCAAAAAAGGCAGTTCTGAAATTTTCTATCTCTAAAGCTGAGAGATTGGGCAGGTAGCGACTGTGAAGAATATTTGACTAGAAAGTTTTTCAGAAAGTTCAACCGCAAAGAAAAATTATCTCAATTGTAAGGTTATTATAATTCACGAAATTATCAAATAGAAAAACAGAGAGCTTAATTGAAAGATTCTTTTTCTTTCCTTTGGTGTAGTCTAACGATCGCTCGGTCCTGAAAAAAAAAGATTCAACTATATCTTTACCCAAATTTCAAAAATATATTTTTTTCTTAGATTTGATGCAATTTTTTTCAGATCAAAACGACCGACACGCAGGAATCGACGCCTTTAGGAAAAATGAAAAAGACGTTCTTGTGGCGACGGACGTCGCCTCGAAAGGTCTCGATTTCCAGGTACCGACAGATTTTGCCCGACTTTTTCAAAACATCCCAATTTTAGGGTATCGAACACGTCATCAATTTTGACATGCCTGAAGACATTGAAAAATTATGGCGAGTTTTTGTTGTTTCGAGATATTTTTTTAATTTTTTTTCTTCTGTTTTCAATATCTATTCGTTAGAAATTTCCATGATTTTTTTTCCAGTGCATCGTATCGGTCGTACTGGTCGATCCGGTAAAAAAGGTCTCGCCACGACTTTTATCAACAAGAAAGCAGGTGGGATTTCTTGAGTTAAAATTGATCTAAAAAATTCAAATTTTTTGTGCGGATATATCGCGAATCAAAAATTCAAAAAGTGGATACACGCCAACTTGAGAGCTTTCGCTCTCATTCGAACTGACCTGGCCCGCAATTTTCCATACGCAACAGACTTGAAACGGCTTACGCACAGCTACCTACAATTTGATTAGAAAAAGTTGCTAAAATCCAAGTCTTATATTGCTACCGCGAGTATTTGAGATATTCCAAACACAGTTGTGTGCAACATTTTTCGACGCACAATATTTTGTCACAAAAGATTGTTTTCAGAGTTGTCGGTGCTCAGCGATCTCAAGCAGTTGCTGGTGGAGGCCGGCCAAGAACTGCCCGACTTCCTCAAGGAGATCGCCGGCGAAAGCGCCGAGGCGCCTTCTGGCAAGCTCGAGAAGGTCCTTTTTACGTTCATTCTATTTTTTCTTCTCGAAAAAAAAAATACTTCCTCATGTTTTAACTGATAAGTTCATCAAAGTTCTTGCACGTAGTTTCATTTTACAATAGGCCTCAAAGTTAAAAAAAATTATTTCCTAGATTCACTTTAAAAAAAAAGAAAGAAGTTGTTGAAAGGCGAATGAAAAACAAAAACGAGGGGTTTTTCAAACAGAAAGATTTATTGAACTGAAAAAAATACTTGATTTTTTTGCTCACCTCCTTTCTCGAAAGCTGATAAGAGTTCAATTTTATTTTTTTCTCATATGTCCAATTTCTTTGAAAAACGAGCTTTTTCAGGGCTGCGCGTATTGTTCCGGACTCGGTCACAGAATCACGGACTGTCCCAAATTGGCCGGAATCGCCAACAAGGTTTGTTATTGCTTTTTTTCTATTTTTAGGTCTGTAATTTGATGTAATAATATTTTAAATGCTTTCAAAAACGCCGATTAGATCTTTTTGACTTCGCATAAAATCTCAATGACCAAATAAAGTTCTGAAAACATGGAATTGCTTTTATATAAAATGTTCGCAAGCGCTATTTTTCAGACTACCCAGGCGATCGCCCGCGGTGGCGGAGACGACGGTGGATTTTAAGAGATTTTGTTTCATGTTTTTGTTTTCTGTTTCCTTAACTGTTCTAAACTGTTTGCAAGAATAAAATTTTCTCAATTTTTTTTACCTTTTTCCTTGAGAAGTTGAGTAAACAAAACGTTTTGACGTCACGGGAAAGTGATAATAATTAATTCAACACAAAAATAAGTCGAAAGTAACTCGAGACTCCTTTTTGACGTCACATTTCTCAGAAACGCGAGTAGTTTCAGAATAGAATAATTTTTGAAGCTCGAATTGAAAGCAAAGATCGGCCAATGCTTTTTTTGAATCAGATGTTTTCACCGCAGTCGCAAAGAGAGCGATTTTTGCATGCAGATGGCTGTTTTTTTTTCGATATTTTTTTGAAATTTGCCGAAAAACGGTGCGGCGAGGAATGGCAGCTTCTTCGGTCCGGTCGGAACATGCGTTGGCGCAAAAAGCAGCAAAAAAGGAGGCATTTTTTGCGGCCGATTCGTCTTTTTCCGTTTTTCTGGCGCGTATTTGTTCTACGGCGCGTTTTCGCCTGTGTCCGGTGTGTGTGGTCTGCCATTCGTCGGCTTCTGCCTTTGTCTTTTGTAACTCATTTCCCTACAAAAAATCCTCCTTTTCCGTTCTCAATTTGATTGATTTTGTCTAATTTCTTTTTTCCAATTTATCCACGCTGAGAAAAGCTTTTTCACTGTTTCCTCTTTGAAAGAAAAGACTTTTCCTCAAACATTCTTTTTTTTTTGGAAAACTTAAAAGCTTTCACAAAAAATATTAATCCAACGACCTACGTTTGAAAAAAAAAGCTTCCGTCCACACGACTAGATTTTCTCCGAAAATAGGAGAGTGGTGTTAATTTCTAGTTTTTTTCAACTCCTTGATTTTCTTTTTCATTTATTTTTGAATTTTGAACGACCAGAGCCAAACATCATGATCGTTCTATGCTCAGGAAGCGCCGCGGCAAAAACCGAAATAGTCAAGTTTTGTGCTCGCCGAGCACAGTCCTTTCTCTCTTTCTCTTCTTTCTCTCTTCCATCTTTTCTTGCGGCTATTTTTATTTGGAAAAGCGCGCTTCCGTTCCGTCTCGTGCAAACCTTGCACTTTTTTTTTTGTTTTTTTGGTCTGTCTGGAAGATTTAATGAAGAGCAAAGGAAGAAAAAACTTGAAATCTCGTACCTGGGGCGGGAGGTTGAAGAAATTTTAAAAAAATCGAATTTTTCTTCAAAATTTCGATGAATGAAAAATTTTTATTCTCTCAATGTAATACGTGGAGTTTTAATGAAAAACTTTTTTTTTTCAAAATAGCCCTGAAATTCCCAATATGGTCTATTATCAGTTTCAAAAATTGAGTAGTTTCTTTTGTATGCTTCGAAGAGTAGAACTTTGACGTTACCAGACTATAAAACGAATATATAAAAAAGTTTCGAAGCGAGATATTTGTAAAATCTATCAAAGAACCTGAAAATATATTTTTTTCTCTACAAGTTTCAGAATTTACTGGAATTCGGCTAAAAGATTTTTGAATGTGCAAAAATTATTTTCTTCAGAATTACAGTTACGTAGAGCTTCTGGTACTGAAAAACAGGAAGACAACCTAACCAAAAAATCTCGAAAAAAATTCAGACAGATCCTTATTCTAATACTTTTCTCTATACCTTGTTTAAGTACATTGAAAATTTTTTTGGCCACGTTAGAGCAAACTGACAGAAATTCTAGTCTTGATTTTAATTTTTAACTAACCTTTCAAGAAAACCTTCTCACGCCAGTTGTCCTCTAGACTCTTGATACAATCGAAATGTCCACAACTCAAATTGCCACGAAAAAAAAACCCGTCACGGCGATTTCTCTTTCGCGTTGGCAGCTTTCTCCTCCAAAGTCCAAGCCGAAGAACCGGGGATCAGTCACGAGAAGAAAGTGAGAAGCGACGGCAAGGACACATTTTGTGTCTGGCAATCCCTTTTTTGGCATTTCCGAGAGATCATCGACGTCATCGAAATCCCTCATCTTTCGCACCTTGACAGATCATCAAGATTAAGACCAAAGAAAATCTAAAATAAACGAGAATTTAATCAATGAAACTGTTATTGAGGAGCCTAGCAACATATTGACATAAAACTGAGGAATCATAACAATTTAAGATGAGTAATTCAAATTCATGAAAAAAATATAGATTCTCTAACTTTTTTCGAAATTTCTCTACCATGCTTAGAGAACTAGTTCATTGATTTCATTGGCGATGTTTCTTTTTTCCAAATTCAGTGTGTTTTAAATTTCCTTTTTTTTGTTCATTTTGTTAAATGAGAAGAGAATGAATAGTTGAATTTTAGAAAATTTCAAGGAAACTATCTATGTAAAGACTTTCAAAAGTATTATTTAGTTCATTTTTGAGGAACTTTTAGCGTTCAAAACTTTTCAAAATCGAAAAACGTGAAGTTTTTTTCCTGTCCAGATTTACATTATCACAAACTCTCTTTAAAAAACTATTCTCTTCTTTCTGCATCCCAGAAACCCTTTCCAAACTTCAGATTAACTTATCAGATTCAAGTTTACGGTAAAACTTTTCAGTGTCCACTGTAGGGTTTTGACGTTTTAGTGACCACTACATTAGTCGAATCTGCGGCCACTCATGAGTCTTGTAAGTCCGATATATACTACCAGACCACTAAAGTTTTAAAAACTTCTATAGACATTGTTTTAGGGGCCACCTTAGTGTCCTCTTCAATTCCTTCTTGAGGAACCTCTTAAGATGTCACTAAAAAATTTTCCTGCTTTCCAGAAACTCGAATGAGTTACCTCACTTCGATAGCAAAAAAACGTCCATTCTTGATCCCTCTTCGAAACTTGCGACACGCTTCTGCACTCGGCTGACCTGAACATGTCAAAAGTACTCGCTCCACATTCGGTCCCGAAATCGACTCAATCAACTTAGAGAACCGAAAACCTTACCGTGAGACTTTCAGCGGATAATTGGATCATCGAAACGGCGCAATTCGCTAGCGAAAGCCGCCCCTCGGGCCTATTGCGCAAAAAATTCTCTCCATCGAAAACTTTCGCCTTATCATCTTCAACCGTTTTTTCTTCCTTTCTCAAAAACGCAACTGGAATATTTTGACCCTTCAAAAACGTTCCTGAAGTTAAAGTGAGGAGTCGAAAAATGAACCTGTTTACTTTTTGAGCGAATTTCAACTCTTGACTTGAGAATGCCTCATCTTTCTCTTTATTCAAGTACTTTCGACGTGATGGGCTATACCGAATACCATTTTCTTCACTTCGCTTTTGAAATCTAACAATTTAAAGCTCATAGAGAAGACTAGAAAATAATTTAGCTCGTCGATCTATTCAATCAGAAATATTCAAAATTGAACAAAAAAGGATCGCCTTTCAAAAAATTCAGAGTCATTTGAAAAAAAAACCTCTGAAAAAATAAAGACCATTGGAAAAAAACTACAAATTCTTGAAAATCGAGAATATAACTTACTTTCAAAGTTGATAGAAGAATAAAAGAGCCAGTTTGAACTCAGTTTTTCGTTTTTTTTTTCAAACAATAATTCGGAAGTTAGCTTTGGAGCGCACTTTTGCAATTTTCAGCGGACTTTTCAAAATTTCCCTTTTTTCGTTACCATTTTTACTTTTTTCATCTCTTTTTTCGTTTCGAATTGCTAATGACTATCTCATTTACTTGAGTATATTACAAATCTATATATTGGTTTGATTTAAATTTGGCCTTACCGAAGTTTAGTGTCACTTGTAACTCCTCCGTTTAAAAAAATATTATTTTAACAACTGTTTCATGGCTGGTTTTGGAAATAATTTTTATAAAAAAATAATCGTTTGCTTCTGTTTTTTTGTCAACATTAAAATATTTGGATTTTTTTCGCATTTATCATCCCAGAAGGATAATCGTTCCAACGTGTTACAAGAATTTGAAAGAATAAAGAATTTGGAGGAATAAAAAAATAAAAAAATGCGAGATCCTTAAAGCAACGCCATAAATTATAGTAGAAAAAAAGTTTCCGTTTTATGATATCATATTTATAAGAATAATAAGAAAAAAATTTTTTTGCATTTTGAAGCCTCAAAACAAAATGCATACGGTCTCGAGTTTCTATTAGGGTACAAGTAAACGTAAAAACTTTTTCTGTTACAGTATTTTTGCAATAAATGAAGACCAAAGTCTCTCTTTTTCTTCTGCCCATTTTTGGTAAACTACTTGACCTCAGGCCAAAAAATGTCACCAATTCAACTTTACAATTGGCTGACAAGTCCAAAGATTTTGAGACGGGGGTAGCCGATGGGAAGAAGAATAAGAACCATTCTATCAACTGATTGGCGTCGCGTCGCGATAACGTCCCATCCTCTCTATTAAACAACCTTTTCCCAATTTTTATCACCTTTTTTCTTGAATTCAAATTTTTGAACTTCAAAATATTGCTGAGTTTCTTTTGCGAGTTTTGGAAGATTTTTTTTCCAAATAATGTCTTCTCCAAAGGTCCCCGAGTATGAAGTCAGACTGATTAAATTAACGGAGCATCAAATCTTGAATTTCTTTTCGATAAATATATGGTTTTTTTCTTGGATCTATAATTTTCAAGTCCATTCACAACAACCTGTTGCAAATTTTGTTCCAGGTCAAATTTGTAAGGTCCTCACGTATTGAAGCCAAGCTCTATGCATGAAAACACTCAGTAAAACCTTGAGATTATCGTGTTTTTTGTTTGAATCTACCACAGTTTTTGAATGAGGTCATTTGCAACAAAAGCATTGACACAAATTTACTCTACTCTTTTAATAAGTATACCATACTAAATTGCAGATGGTTTCCAGTGAAACCCCCACTTTTTTCTTCGAATGATTATTGCCCTCATCAGTTCCTCAGTAACCAATCATCTTCCAAAACCAGCTGGAATTAAACTCGGCAATGTTTTGACACAGGCGAAAATAAAAGGTGTAAATAGGCGTAATGTGGAATGTCGTAAACTAACTTTACAACTGAAACGAGATCGCTCACACTCTTTCCCAAAATAGTCGCATCCAGAAAATTGCAATCAAATTTCCAAATTTTGTTTTTTTTTTCCGCTCAAAAACTGGTCGGGATCAAAGTGATAGGAAAACCCGCGAATTTTCGCTGAACAAAACAATTTTCTGCGATAAAAAGTTTGATAAAAGATAGCTTTTCGTGATGGTTTTCTTTGCACAACTGATTGAAGTTGTTGATAAGTTGATAAGTCACGAGAATCGAAAGAAAAGACCGATTTTTAAATGGTAGTTGGACCTTTGATGTACTTCTTAGAGATTAGTGTTTGTTCTTGATCGTTTTCTGGATGGAATTAGGGGAAAATCTCTTGGATCGTATCTTTTGGACCCACGGCGAAGCAAACAAAAACAGATCCGTTAATTTGCATCGTACGATGTTTCTCGTTTTCCGTTCTTGGCCTCGTGCGGATCGCGAAAGGAAAAGCGGCCAAAGTTCGCGGAACGACGCCAGACTTCAAAGAATGGCTACGACGGTGTTTGCTGCAAGTTCCGGTGCGATTCTCAGTTTGGTCGCACGTGGAATGGCTCCAAGCGTAGCGGTTCAAATTTGATTAACTGCAGCCTCGGAATAATGCTTCGAGGCGCAAATAGTTTAGAGTCGGGCGCGAACTGGAGCAACCGCTTCGGACCATGACCGTAAGTTCCAAGTCGGCGATTTGAGTAATGTAACGTTTCTTGAAGGGAGTAGCTATGAATTAGGTAAGAAATAAGTAATAAATTTAAAATTTCCCTTTTTCTTCATACTGAAGTTTCTTTAGATATAACGATTCCACGCCGCGATCAGGCCTTTTTTTTCGCAACATTTGCAACGGCTCACTTTTCCGGCCAAAGTCTAACTGTTTGCATAACGCCGGACTCGTCCGATGAGAAACGCCGGAAAAAAAAACAGGCAAAGAACAACACGGAAGAGGAAAAAAAAAGGATGAAGCATCTATTTGTCCGGAAGAAGCACGTCACTTTTTTGCGCTACTGGGAGCTTTCCGGAACCCAAGTGATTTTTGGCCTTTTGCCACCTTTCTATGGATACAGTAATCCGTTTCCCAGTTTTTGAGTCGATGACGAAACTGTCATCACCCAGAAAAATCCAGGACAATCGTCAAAAACCGAAAATCTGACCTTAATGCGGTCACTTACCGTAACACCTTTTTCAATAACATTCATGACGCCATAAGCGCAAATTGAACCGCTTATAATTATGTTTTCTTTTTTATTATGAAGACGTGAAAAATTTCATCCTTTAGGTTTTCACCCCAAATTTGATATTACGATGAAAGTAGAGTTCAATCGAATGCTGTTTGTATCCTTCCAGTCGAATGGGATCAAATAGAGTAACTTCATAAATATCTTAACTTTAGCTTCAATCTGGTGTCATTGATTTTACTTACTAATCAAGCTATGAACTTTCGAAATTTTTAGAGACATCCTACTCACTTGCTTCTTGCTACAGATGAATTTTTTCCACATACAAATACCAGAAAGCAATATTAATTCTACAATTCGAAAAAAAATGGAAGTATCTAATCACTAAAGTCAAGTTTTCCTTGCCTTGTTTACACCTTCTGAATCCTGATGACGTCCACCTAGAATCTCGAGAAACAAGCTTATTTTTGCCGTTGACACCTCATTCGAAGCAAAGAACAGTTAGTCATCAAAGCTTCGACCGGTTTTTCGCCAAGTTCAAACACAAGTTGGCGGCCAGAAAAAGTGAATAGTTTAGTGGATGTTGTGAAACATTGGACAAACAAAAGTACATTCCGGAGTTTCTTTATAGAGTTGCTTTTGTATTGCAACTGGTGGTGAAAAGTGTCCTTCAGGAATTCAGAAGGCGAGAAACTCGTTGAAGAATTTTTGTTTTATAATCCATTTTCACCTACTAGAAACACTCAAGTTGAATGCGTCGCGGTCGCGTTGCGGTTTCAAAGCAGACTTGCTCTTTTGGTTTCTAATTGAATTGCGCGCAAGTAGTTTTTAATCGGACGCGCTTTGAAACGACCGCTTCGCAGCCGTTACGCGTTGAGACATTCCACAAGCGCCCGAATTGAGACTCATTGAATACACAGTTAATAATCTACTGTGTCTATAAAATATTTTTGTTCTAATTGAGCTCAACTCCTGTCTTTACTGAGTCTAGTAGTTCGATTTAGATTTTTTAAATTCAGTTTTTTCATGTGGTGTCTTTCCTCCGTAGATTTATCAGTAGATAGGCTGCTTTCTTAAAACAAACATATTTTTCAATGCTATCAGTCTACTACGACTTGTCCGTACTTGTTAAGCCTATAAAACTTATTCTGGAAGTTACCGTATCTATAGGAAATAGGCCGAACCGCTGGAATTTCACCTCTTTTTCTCTTTTTCTCTCCGCCTCACTTTCTCTCTCTTTTTGCCTCTCGATGCAAAACACGGACGGTATATCCCCACGGTGTCACTTTCCATTTCGCCTCGATTGTTTTTCTGTTTTTCGACTTCCTTTTGCGAATACCGTCGTTATTCTCGAAGCTTCTGGCCTTATTTCCTCTGGAAATAGTGTGTGAATCGAGGAGAGTTCGAAGGTGTTCGCCGAAACACGATTTTCCAGCTGAACCGCAAAACTGAACCACCGAACGAGAGAGAAAGGACCGCATTTTGGGCGCGAAAATTTATTTCGCTTTCATTGACAAGGGTCAGGCTCCGCCCATGAAACTGTCGTCAGCTGTTGAAATCAGCTTTTCCTTTAGCATTTTATTTTCACTTTTTTTCTTTTGCGAGAATTCTCATTCGTGAATGTTTTGAATGATTTGACCTGTCTGCGTCTCTCTGTTTTTCTTGTTTACACGTTGCACAGCTTTTCTATTTCTGCATGAATTCTGTCAAAACCGGAGCACAAAAAGTTTGACTTTTTTTGGAATTTTCCTGGAATCTTGTCAAATTCATTCAATCTCGGCTTTTCTCACAATTCGTTAGCCTACAAACAGTTGGTTCTTCTTGTATTTTTTTAAAAAATATGTATTTTATAACAGATTACCTTTCACAACCCTTTTTACTCTAAACTTTGATGAACTTCAGCTAAGTTATTCTCGATTAGAACTCGTCTATCATTCGATTCTGGGCTCAATTCCTTTTTAAAGGAAGATAAAGCTTGATGAAGGTCATGAAAGTTTTAATCCTTATCTATTTCTCGATGCTTCCGGGTTCGGGTAGTTGGAACGCCTACAGCTTTATGTGGAGTTTATGCGTAGCGGTCACTCTGCGGATTTCAAATTTTGCAGTTCTTCTATGAATTTTTTGAACTATCATCGTTTTTAACTAGTTTGGGCTTTCAATCGATATTTAATACGGAGGAGAGGAAATGTTCAGGTCTCCGCTTCGCGACCGCTGCGCGTCAGAGTCCCAACTGTCGTGCAGCTTCCAGGAGCGACAAAAAACTTCTGAAACTCCAAAAAAGACTCCCAAGAACCTCAGCCATCGCTGAGAAGAGATACTCCTCGATGCCTCGAAGAAACGCTTCTGAAGGCGTCAACCACAAACATGAGTCTTGTTGTAATCCTCATCATCTTCCTGCGCCCCTCATTCTGTAGTGATAACGATAGTGCGAGCGCTAACTGATACGTGTCAATCACACCATCCAAAAACGGGATATATATTGGGAAACTGAACCGTTGAGAGGAACCGAAACGAAACCTGCCCAGGCAAGAATTCCCTTTCAACCGGGGTCAAGCTCCGCCCACATTTTTTCCATACTCACCGCCGGTTCAAATCCTCCGTATAAGGAAACGGTGGCTTCCGACTTTTCGAACGCTCTGAGCCTGCCTCTATTGCTCATGCTAGGAACAGTTGGTGGAAAACTTATTCTGATCGCAAAGGCTTCTTCGTTTCTCAATGGAGGCCGATATATGCTTATTGCTCATGTTAAAGAAATTTTCGGTCAAGTCAAATCTGCTCAAAAAGCTTCGAAATCTCTGTATGTGTTAAACTAGCTTCACTTATTGCTTATTGTTCATGTTATATACTTCATCCAGGATACTTTTCCTAGCAATGCTCATTTTATGTGCATTTATTAAATTTACTTTGAATCTCAGAATTGATTTTTTTTTTTCGAGTGTTAAAATGTTTCATTGCTCATTATAGTTCTCAAAAGTGATCTTTAATAATATCAACCTTTATTTTGATTATTTTATTCTCTCAAGTTCGCTTTTCATTTGCTTCAATAATTCATTTATTATTTTTTTATTTTATCAGAGTTCTTACATTTTTCAGCTGCTCAAAAATTAAAAACTGTTTTTTGTCCACCTTCTTTCCGATTTTTTTAAACTTAAGAACACCACTAAAAAAATATTTGAAAAGTTATTTTTTTCCAAAAAAGTAAACAAATACAACGCTTTTTTTAGGTAATTTTTTTAAATTTTTTTTTAAAAAGTCGGCTTTTAAAAAAATCTGAGAACATTTTTTTATTTATAAAAACCAAAACTCCATTTCTTTCATTTTTTTTTTCGTTTTTTCGACTGTCGACTCGAATTTTTTCACTCTTTGACTGATATGCTCGATCGCAAGTCATTTTAAGTCGGACGCATCGTGACAGTCAAAGATTTAATTTTCAAACATTCACTTTTATTTATTTTCGAGAAGTAATGAAATAGAAATTTTGCAACATTCGAAGCTCCACCCAACGTTTTTTTTCGGTCAACTTGTCCACTGACTTCACAAAAAAACGGCCGCCTTCGAAGTGGGCGTGGCCTGTCTCCGAACACTGTTGAAAAACGCCTTCCAAGTTGCGATACTTCCATTTATCCCTTCTTTTTTTTGCACTTGCAGTTTTTATTTCGATTTCCAACTTTCAATCTTCTTTTCTCTTGTTTCCTTTTCATCCAATTTAAAAATTTGAGATCATTGGAAGAGTAATGAAAGAACTTTACGATTCCTTTCTAATTTATTGAAAACCTTTATTTTTTGGTTTTTTTTTTCTAAATTTTCACAGCCCAGTTGTTTTTTCGTTTCTTCTCTGCATTTTTTGCTTCTGATTAGAAGTTTTATAAATTTGTTTCAGAGATTCTCCAGAACACTACCGTTCAAACCATTCCACCTCAACCACTTCAAAACATTCCAAACTTCCAAAATGAAGTCAGCAATTTTCTGGTGAGTCATTTTTCGCCAACAAAATCAAATTAAGCAAGGTCATAGTATTCTCAAATTTTCCTCTTTGGAAAAAAGGTACGGAAAGTAAGAATATATTTTTTGGTAGAGAGAGGATATCTGGAAAAGAGAAGATAACGGCTAGACGAGTTGAACCGGTGTGAATCGACGGGGAAAAAGTTCACTTTGGGCGAAATTTGACCCCGATTCTGTAGACGGCTAAACTCTCACTCCACTTTTTATCTTTTTTTATCTCGGAAATCAATCGTTCAATTTGCAAGCGACTCAAAATTCGGTTCGAAAAGCTTCATTTAGAATGTTTTTTTTTTTTGAAATATAAAAAGATTACAAATAGATTTGGGGCTATTACCCAGTCGCATCTGGAATGGAGCAATTTTTGAAATCGGTTTCTCCGATAGAGTTCGATTTGAATACGAGTTTCAAATGATTTTTCAAGATTTCACGAATTTTTTGAGAAAGTTCATTATCAAGTCGGTTCACCAGCCGAAAGTTTTTTGTCAACTTTGAACTTCTACAACTTTTTTCACACTTTTTTGAAAGTTTCTGCTTTCAACCAGCGTATAAACCTGCCCTCAGTGAACCATGTCTTATTTAAAATCTCGACGTTGAGCCGACAAGGAAGGTCATTTTGTTTTGCGCTTGGAAATTTCTCTCAAATTTGACCAGATGTACCAGGAGGAGGTTCTGAGAGTCTCAACCTGTACAACTTCTTAGGTTTTGGGAAATAAGGGTTCAAAGTGACTCATTCTAAAGGATTTTTCTTCATGATCTTCATCAAGAATTATTTCCAGCGAACTTTCTAGAAAATCTCGAATAAAAAGACCTTTCTTGTGAGACCATTCGCAGAAAAAAAAGCTGGTTTTAATGGTTTGATGGTTCCATTTTTCGAAGCCCAAACAAATATTTTTATAATTGTCAAATCGAATCGATTTCCAGGATCTGTCTACTCTGTCTGGCGACGTTGCACTCGTCGGCGTTCCCGTTGTTCGACTCGATCTCCCTGAGCGACTACGAGTCGACCACCCATTCCGGCCATTCCCATCATCATCACAAGGTTCTTTTTAAACTATTATATTCTTCATTCAAAATCAATCATGTTTCATAACAACTCTCAAACTATCCCTATTTTGTAAAGTTAAATAGACTTCTCGGATCTCAACTAGGAAAAAAAGAATTGAGATTTTTCTGGAGCCCGCCTGACAAGGAAGGTCATTTTACTAGGAGCTACTACTTTTTTTTTGGTAAAAAATAAAACTTCAATATTTCCTTTTTTGCATATGATTATTGAAAAAACAAAAATGACTTTTGAGGTGACCATTCCTCGAAAATAAGCTCTTCACCTATCCAGGAGTTACAGGATAACTTTTTAGAAAAATTTGAAGTTACTTTGACAATAGTAGATCGGAAAAGACTACAGAAGCTCAAAAACTCTTAACAAAATCATCAATCGACTTTTTGCAGCACCACATCCGTCGGAAGCACCGCCGACGCAGCCTTTCCTCCAAGGAAGAGCCGACGAAGCAGCACCGGAACAAGCAGATCATGCTCACCAAGCCCTACTGGCCCTGGCCTTGAGCTGATCGCTACCGTAACCTCAACGACTACAGTAGCCCTCTGTGGAGGTCGTCGACGCGTTCCGAACCAAGTCGCATGGTGTCGCAAATTGTCATACCGATGAAGAATCTCAACCAAGAAGGAGGATCGCCCGGTTCTACCGTAACCTCAGAACACCGTCATAGTACTCCACCGTCAATTACTCAAAGTTCAAAGCAACATGTATCCGTACAAAGCTACAGTATTCCAAGCTCAGCATCAATCGTTCCATGTCCCACACAAGATACAGTAACCTCCATGACGACCTTACCGTACAACCAAAATCTCTTGCTACAGTACTCCATTCCTTGCCCACATGAAGAAATAGCCTGATCTCACATAATCAAATAATTAAAAGTACGACCCGTGAGAAGAATAGAACGAGTAGAAAATCCAACTAATTATGTTAATATAATAATTATTATTCCGATAAATGACACAGAAAGAGCGCTAGAGCCCCTTTTCATCATCAATTAAAAACAAAGATCCACCTCGACAAATATCATGTGCAATTTCATCATTATGGGTTATATGTACCTATTTGAAACTTTAAAATAAAAATTCTTAATTATGTCTTTCCAATGCACTGAATCCATTTATCATCTTATTATAAGACACGAAATCGTATAAATAAACGAAAAAAGAGATGAAATCATGCGATCAAGGTGCTGAAAACAAACTATGAGTTCAATACGAAAAAGTACCGGATGCAATAAAATGAACAACGGGATGACTACGCCTAACAAAAAAAGAGACTCACGGAAACAATTCTTCACGAGAACTACCCAGAGCACAATGAAAGGAGAATAAGAAAACTGATAAATTATAGAAATTGAAGGTTTAAATATAGTTTATTTGCGTCGTTAGTTGTTTTGAAATAAGAGACGCGTGAGAAATTTGGAGAAGTTTCCGTGCCGATAAACCGCGTTTTGTTCCGCACCAAAGCTGCTCAGTTGGCCGTGATGATGCGCAGAGTGTTGGTAGCGCCGGCTCCTGCATTATATTCGTGTTGAAAACAAAAAATTTCAGTCGCTGGATAAAAAAACGAATATTTATGTTCATTATAAAACAGAAATAGAGATAATTGTCTTGACTTCCTAATATTAACTTAAAATTTCAATGATTTCAAAAAAAAAAAGTCGAAATGAAGCTGAACTGTTTTACAGAGATCTGAGTTAAAATTGGAAATGCCATAAGTTCTATCTTCAAAGGGGTTGTTCGAGAAGTGAATTTTGAGTGTGAGAGATATTTTTTTAAGTTACTGGTCAAAAAGTTTTTTTTAAAGATATAACTCTTGAGATCAACGAATTCCCATTGTCCTCATCATCGTCCTCAAGTTGCGAATTCGATTTTTTTTACATTTTCCTTCCTTCATTCCGTCAATTGATTTATATGAAAAAATTAGATCATTTAGATCATGTTCGATTTCCTTTCGCGTATCGGCGATTACATTCAAGGAACAATTAATGCGATTTTGAGAGGGAAAAGGAATTACCCTGTCGCCAGCCGGTGATGACGACGAGGAAGTCGCCCTTGTGGATGAAGCCGCGGTCCTTGCCGACCTCGATCGCGTGGTTGATGCGGTTGTCGACGTCCGTCGGCCAGTCGGCGGCTCTCTCCGCGTTATAGTGCACAGGGAAGACGCCTCTGAAGAGAATTTATTAACTTCCTTCTTGTAGGCTCAGTCGAACCTGTAGAGATGAAGCTGACGGCAGACGCCAAGGTTGCGCGAGATGGTCATGATGGGAACTGGCGGCCGGAATCGCGAGCACTGAATGGCCGATCTGCAAAGAATTCTTCTGATAATCTTGGAGCAAAGACGATTCGACCTTCCAGTCGTTGTGATGAGCAGAATGGCTGAAGCGTTGCAGCTGACAGCGGCCGACGTCGCCGCCAGGGCGATCGTCAACGTCATGTCCGTCGGCTTGGGCGTCAGCTGCTGCAACTCGTCGAAGTACTTGCGGTGGTAGATGGCCGCCTCGGCTTCTTTGCAGATGTAGTGCATGATCTTGAGCGCTTCCAGAGGATACTCGCCCTTGGCCGTTTCTCCGGAAAGCATCACGCAATCAGCTCCATCAAGAACCTGAAAAATTTTTTTATAAGTTTTTTTTGGGAAAATCTTTAGAATTTTTGATTTTGGTGAATTATTGACTCCAATAAATTCATTTTAATATCTCGATGTATAAAATGTTATACTAAACGTGTTCTAAATTAAAAAGCAAAATGTACGAATTCTTACATGGATAGCCTCACTGAAAGACGACGACCCATGTCAAAAACCCATCAACTATTTCGGGACAACTTAGCGCAATCGCCTGTAGATCAAGCGACTGCAACTCTGTGCCCCAAACGTGCCGAGGAATCGAACCTGCGACGCGCTGATTCGCGACCAAACGGTTATCCGCTGCGCCATCAGAGCTACTGACTGGCTCGCCACTCTTGGCGCGCTATGTGGCTATACGAAAAGTTAGAAAATTCAATTTTTTAACGAGAATATCTCAAATACGGCAAAGAAGTAGAAAATTCTGTGGATTCTAAAAAAAAATACGAGGAAAATTTAAAAAATGTGTTCTATTTAGGTTAGTTATGAAAAATATGAAAGCGAAAATCTTTAGAAGGAAAAAAACCGCGTTTTACCTATTGTATTAATAATTTTTTTCTTAAGAACCAAACCTCGCGTTAATTTCGCCCAGATTATTTCACCCGAAGCCTTCTTAAAAGAACTACTACTTTTACCAAGCTATAATTTCCCTGACGAAACGAATAAAACAGAAACTGACAGCGTTGGCGACGTCACTTCCTTCGGCGCGAGTGGGGCGCGGCTTGTGAACCATCGACTCTAGCATTTGAGTCGCGCAAATGACGGGCTTTCCGGCGCGGTTGCACTTGGAAATGAGCATCTGCAAGAGGAAACTGTCCACTAGAGTGGCCTCTTCAGACCAACCTTCTGTGCCAGGAACACCTTCTCCGCGGGGATCTCAATGCCCAAATCTCCTCGAGCGACCATCACACCGTCAGATTCGGCGATGATCTCGTCCGCCTTGTCGACGCCTTCCTGGTTCTCGATCTTGGCGATGATCTTGATGTGCTTTCCCTTCTCGCCAAGAACCTTGAAAAGAACACTTTGGACAGACTTCCCGTCGAACATCCAACCTTGCGGATAGTACGAATGCCATCAGCATTGCGGATGAACGAGGCAAAGATGATGTCAACGTTCTGATCAACGCCAAACTGAAGGTCCTTGATGTCTTTCTCCGAAACGGCAGGCAGGTCGACAATCGTTCCGGGCAAGTTGACTCCCTTTCGGCTTCCTGAAAATTTCTTTTTGGTGAGGAAAACCTGAAATCCTAGAACACAGAAAGCTATCAGTTGGAAAATAATGACGCTACCCGAATTTTGTGCAAAATCCTTGAAAAACCTGTAAAAAACTTTTTTTTTTCTATGATCAGCTTCTTTTTCTATAAACAGCAACATGTGTAAAAACGGAAAAAAGAATTCTTCAAAAGTCGTTTCGTGTTGAAAAAATACTTGATACAATCCCAACTTGAGTTTTGAAACTCTTTCCCGGAATTATTTGTAGATCAGCAGTTTTAAATGAGACAAACCGAGCATGCCGCCGTTCTCGACGTTGCAGACGATGGCGTCGGTCTGAACGTCTTCAACAATCAACGAGATGAGACCGTCGTCGATGAAAACGCGGGAGCCCACTTTGACGACCTGAACCAACGACTTCAACCAATTCGCGAGAAATAACTAAACCTTGGAAATGTTCTTGTAGTCGACGAAGAGGTTGATGGCTGTGCCAGAATCCTGGAAGTGGTTGTCCGTTGTGAGACGGATCGAGGCGCCCTTGACGAGCTCAATCTGAAAAAGCTCAATTATAAAAAACTTGAGAAAGTTGAACCTCAGCCGAAGGTCCGCCAGCGAGGAGACCAGTTCGGATTTCGGGTCCTTTAGTGTCAAGAGCGATTCCAATGGGACGCGGTTCGCTGAAAGACTCGGCCGCCGCTCGAACGTTGGTGATCGTGTTGGCGTGGTACTGAAAACTATTTGGTCAGAAATGAACTATTTCTTGCAGTAAATCGAAAAATAGAATCTAATTATCACTCACTCTTCGACCTGAAACCTTTGAAAATCTAAAAATCGAGCTTCTTTAAGACTAGGTGATTTTCTGTAATCAAAAAACAGGTCACTTTTTGTGAAAAAGGCACATACAAGGTAAATAGCGATTGGCGCTTTCAAAAAGATGACCTAAGTTTGGAGACAAATTTTTTCCTTATTTTTTATCGTTTTTCAGTAATTTATCACAATTTTTGCGCAAAGAACCTCGTGAGATCCGTGGGAGAAGTTGAGACGAGCGATGTTCATGCCGTTCTGGATCATCTTCTGGAGCATCTCGACGCTGGCACATGCCGGCCCGATCGTGCAAATGATACCCGTCTTGCGGACGACGTGCGGCGCCTCTCGGATGTCCAGCCGCGACAAATGCTCCAAATGGGTGTTCGCTGGCGCCAATTCAATCTGCTGCTCTTGGCTGAAAAAGTGTTTTCTTCCAAACTAAAACAAAATAATCCATTTATAGTCCCCAGTAATCAGTTTCTATATTTTTATAACTCCATTGAACAAAAAACCAAAAAAAAAAAATGAAAATGAACCGAAAATTATAAATTTTTAAATATTCATCCAGGCTCCTCTGCGCCACTGAGCACCTTCCGGGATAATTGGATGGAAAAAGTTTCTACCACTAAAATTACCACCCAACTTATGAAAGAAGTCTTAAACTCGAACCTTCCAGCACATTCATCGCCCAAATAATTTCCTATTTTCTCATACCGAAATCAACCTCGATTCGCAATATTTCCGTCTCAAAACCCGAGGGCACTACACAAAAGTTTTGACAAAAGCGTTACCGAGGTCGATAAGGCTTCTGGGTGAAGAAAGGCATGGAGCAGACGTGAGTCTGCGGGGCCAGTCTAGCGGCCTTTTTGTTGTCAATGACAGTGTCAGCTTGTGGGGCCGGAGTCATGATTCTTCGGTGTGGAAAGCGAAGAAGCAGGCAGATCCGTTTGAGGAGCACCAGTTACAAGAAAAAATCAGTCGAGAGGCTTCGAACTACGAGTTCGAGGCGTCGACGTCGAGTTGATCAGTTGAAATGGCCTTTTCACTTCATCATCTCAACACGTGGACTTTCAAAATCCACGTCATTTGAAAATGAAAGAAAAATTTAGAAGTTGGAGACCACTTATGAATGAGAGAAACTAGCTTTTTTCATTCCTTCATATCGTATAGACAGAGAAAAATTTTGTTGATTAATAGTTCATGAAAATTATGACCAATGATCAAACTCTCACGAAACAACAAAAAAAATGAAATAATCTTAATGAAAATACTATGACGTCAAAAGAACAAAAAAACTCGCTTGGTGACAATCATCTTTACCAATGTTTGGTATTAATTAAAAAAAGAAATTATAAATTCTAATTCTGAACCGAACCGAAATTCAAATTCCTTCTGTCTACTTACTTACTTTCTTGATTTGAAAATAAGAAAAATAAAAAAAGCCTTCATAAAAAAATGATTGAGGAAAAATATATGACACCTGATCTGTGTTTATTTCATCAGTTCAATTTATCAACTTAAATATCCTACTTTTTCAGATTTTCATGACGCTTGTTTCATGTTGATTACGTTTCTTATCGTTTCAAAGTGTGAACAAATGATAAAATACTTGAACTTAAGCCAGGGAAGTTGTGAAATTTTCGAGGAGTAAACGCTTCACAAAACATACACGTCATATGCAGCTTCGTTGAGCTCTTTGTTGAAGGCTGCATCGTCCATCGCAGCGATTCTAACGGTGGTGTTGGTCTCGTCGTCAGATGAGAACTCGTCCGAATCGTAGAAAGGCGCAGAGACGGAGGGAGGTACGCCGGTTGAGAAGAGCTCACGAAACGAGGAAACCGAGTGAACGCCAGCGGCGGGGCTGCGGACGTTGGCCGAAAGAGCTGCCGCCGATTTGGGCGGGATTGCAGAAAGCGTCGGAGGCGGAGCTTCCAATCGCGAGCCGACGTCTTCCGACCGATTCTCGACGTCTTCAGCACCTCCGTCGCTGCTCAGATGATGATCGCCGTATTCTGAAGATTCAGAACCGCTGGACGTCCTCCGGTGCGGCTCCTCTTCGTTTTGGTCGTGGGTAGAGCCAGAATGGCTTCCCAACGACCACAGCTTATTGATGAATAACGCCGTTTTTGCTTTTGATCAGCCAGAGGCGAAAAGTCGAAACCTGAGAAAACTAAGTTTCTGATTGCCAAGGAAACGAGAGGGAAAAAAAGTCGAGATAACGTTTCTTTTTCAAAAAATGAAGAGAAAAAACTCTAGCTCAAGAATGAAACGAAGGAGTTTATAGAAGAATAGCGCTAAATGATTAGGTCAAAAATAGAAATTAATTGGACGCATCTAAAATGGATAATTCACACGTCAAAATATCAAATGAACATGGCGCAGAAAAAAAAGAACTCGTTGGGAGATCGATACGTTGCAGAGCAACAACAGAAGAAAGCCGCGGGGAAACCCCTCGGAAATTTCCTACGGCATCTGCGCGTCAGAAAACATTTCAGCGGCGAGTTAGCGAAAACAAAAGAGCAAACCGTAGTGGATCTTTCTTCTTTAAAAAAAAAGCCAAATTTTGAGATTCTCTCAATTAAAACGTGGGAAAAAATCTTTTCAATCAAACTTATCAGAAACGCAGTAAAACTTTTTGGTCAAACCAATTCTGAGAATGACAGACGAGGAAGTCGAAAAAATATGTTTTCCAAATCAAAAAGTTCTGGGGCGGTCTCTAATCCTCTACCAATAAGATGCTATTTTCCAAATTATGGTTCACTGACAATTTTCGAATTCAAACAACTGAACGTTGTCACGCGCCTTTAATCTTTCAGTTTACAACGTCACTGTCAAACTGAAAAATAAAACGGGAAGGGTTTCCCCAAACTACGCATGGCTTCACGACTATAAATAAATTTCAAAGAGAACCACAGTCCAAAATCATTTCTAAACAAACGTTGTCCTGATTGAAAACTCTTACGATAAAAAGTAAACCATGTCATCATAGAACACTTGTCCGAAAAGCTAACAGAGTCGGAAAAAAAGAGAGCGAAAAACCCCTTTTGCACCGCCCAAATGACTAATAAAAACAAATAACGTCATAGGCTAATTTACGCAAATAGTCTATGAGTTCACTCATCACAAAAATGTTCCTTTTCTGTCAGTTCAAAATTGGCTGAAATATTGACACGGAATTTAGCCCTTTCTATTAAAGGTGTAGCCAAACATTCTGAGAGCCTTGGATACGAGGAAAGAAGGAAAAAACAAAAATTAAAGCCGAAAAATAAGGCAGAGGATTCTCGAAGTGGGCGGCGCTTAGTGGGAATCATTGAACAGAATGAAGACAAACATATTTCAATAAAAAATGTGAAAAAAAGTGAATGCGTATTCGAAAAAAATAGTTCGGAATAAGAACGTCATTTTTTCTGATGACAAACGTTAGCCATTCGATTACATAACACAACTCCTGACAAATTTTTCATAATACTGTGAAAACTCCAAGGAACAACTTGAATAATTTTACAAAAGGTGATTTGAAAAAAAAAAAAATCAAAATAAGTGTTGGATTCCCATTTCCGAGTTAAAGGACATGAAAGAAAGCGAAGCTTTTGGCTTTTGGCTGAGATGAATCTAAACATAAAAAGTTCTGGAAAAATCCATTTCTCTCCGGCGAAAATGTACTATGTATTTACGCTTTTCCCCAAAGTGTCCTTTTTGATGAAAATATTGAGGCACTTCGCCGGCCCATTTTTCAAGCCTAACTTTGAAAACATTTTAACTATTTTCAAATTTTTAAATCTTGTATTGGATACTCATTTAATGAGTTTGAATAAAAGCAATTTATCAGAGCTTTATCGATTTCAAACATTTCTAATTATGAAAATCGAGCACGAATAGTGAGCGCCTTCTAGAACGAAAAAGGGCAGAGTATTTTGCATCATGCAAGCGTCTTCCAATGTTCGGAACCTTTGAATATTCCGATGCAGAAATGATGCAAAAAAGATTGCGCAAGAGAGCAGTTCGAGTAGACGTATCCGCGATGTTTCACTTTTTTTTAAAACAAAGTTTTCAAAACTTGGGCACAGAAGTTTCGAAAACTGGTTTGCATATCATTTTTTTCAGTTAAGATCAGTCTGTATGAAATATAAAAAGTTGTGCTCTCTTCATAAGTAGTCTTCGATCAGATTTTAGCAACAAAAAATTTTGAAAACCAGCTTAAAGATTCGTCCAAATGATATGGATGAAAGCTAAAGAAAACTGAAAAACAACAGTTGCGATAGCATGAAAACAAAAAAATTAGAAGTGTCGAAAGATAATTTGCTCGCCCTTTCTCTTCTTTTTTTTTCTGCGGTTGTTCAAATTTATTCCTAACCTAGAAAACGAACTTTCATTTTTCCCTCTGCCGTTTACGAAATTCAAAAGCTTTCAACTGTTTCATCAATCAACGGCAATGATATCAAAAAAAATAATATCCAGACAGAAATCTGCAGAGGAAAAAAAAGAAGAAAACTTGTTGTTTTCAGCAAATATATATGTGTCCATGAACGCACCTGAGGTGCACGTGAATCGAGTACCTCAAATTTGCCACCAGTCTTTACCCGATTTACGTTATTCGAATGAAGAGCAAGAAATCGCACGAGTGCACGAAAACGAGGCTATTTTTTTCCGAACAGAAGACTCGACCAAGGTTGTTACGCATCAGTGAGTAGTCAAATTACTCGCAAGAACCACAAAAACCCCTTTACTTCAGTTAATTCCCATTAGTAAAAAAAAAAATTCAATTCTCTTGTGAAAATAGAACTTTTCTATTTTTTTCGCTGAAGTCGAAAAGCTTGAAAAATGTTTAAAATTGGAAGGCACAGAATATATCCTGAGAGAATTTACTTTAGCTAGATGTTTAAAGAAAGAGAGTACCTTTTTCAAGAATTTCTGTTTTTTTGGTATCAGCTAATTTGAGGTTGTTCATAACGCTGCATGCATCTAAAGAAAAAAATTTCTCAAAAAAATTTTTTTTTCGTAAAAAAAAAACCATATCATGAGACTTGAGAAATTCTCAGTGAAAGTTCAGAATTATCTCATATAAAAACCCATAATTTACATCTTATTACTCCAAACTCAATATCCCTCGTACTACTTTATGTCCGTTGTTAGATATAAATGGAAGGTTCGCCCTATTGCATCACTACATGAAAAAACCCCCTCAACCTCTACCTACGCTCTTCTTATCAACAGTATTCGACGAGAAAAGGCATATTCTGACCGGAAATACGCTCCGGCGTGTTCCTCTTCGATGGTCATCTTGCGAGCCAAGTGCCGCTGTGGCCTCGGCGGCGTCTTTGGCCTGCCCAATTGATCGTCCGACTCATCGCTCTGCAATTAATAAAAATAACTATGTGGAGCTTTGAAAATAATCTCGTCCATCAAAATAATTATCCAATCAAATCTTTCTGAAAAAATTGAATGCTAACGTGTGATTACAGAAGGTTATTCTCATCGGCTTTCTTCCGGCAAAAAGATTTTTTTTCCACCTTTTAGTCAACAAGAAAAGGTTTAATGATATCTCTTTCGTGGCTTCTGGTTCTTTCATTGGAATTATACCAGACTTGTTTCTTGCGTGGAGGCGTCTTTAGCTACTGCTTGAAGAAGAAGTGCAACGACGAGTTATTTTCAACCTGACGTTCAGAAGACTGATACTCGCACGGATCCGCAGCACTTTCAGACAGCACAGCCGCGCATTTTTATTTTATCGGATAAATGGACTAGTTTCTAGTTCAGCTTGGAAACTGTGGCTTCGAAAGCATGCGGTCACGCTGTGAATGATGACTCAATTGAAGAAAAAAGTTATAAATCGGATTCGCAGTGAAAGTCAAAAAAGAAACTATTACTTTAAATTAGAGCTATTTTTTTTATTGAACGTCCTCGTTAACATTTAGCTGAAACGATAACTATCAAGAGCTGAAGTCATCTAGTCAAGATTGGCGCAGGTCCCTCATTGCATTTGCATTAGACGGGAGTACACTCGACCTCTAGATCTCGGCTTATTACAAACTAGCGGAAGAGTGTGTACGAAGCTCTTCAATGGCCAGTCAAGCTATTGCCTGTTCATAGCAATCGCAAATATGTTTAACAACTCGTCATTTTGAGTATCGACAGTTCGCTTCCACGAATAAGGCAAAAAACTGAATCGAAAAAACTTTTTGCGAAAATTTCCACGTTTTATATCGCAGCAAATTGTTTGAAAATTTCCTGGAATTCTTGGAAGAAGAGAGGCTACTTGCAGTGAAAAACTTTTGCTGCACGATGAAAAAAGTCCAGAACACAATTCAGTCCCTTGTCTCACGACTATTTGTTATCGACTTCCTTTCCAAACATCACCTCACCGGACTGATCACGCCGTTGTGCAATGTCTGGCGCCTCTTGCAGCCAAGTGCATAACCAAACGATCAATATCCGTTCGGTCAATGGAAAAATAGCGCGGCAACCGCTCGGAACAATGATATACTGACGCCTCCATTGATAACGGCGAGAGAAATGCTAATCATCTTTGAAGGACATCGCGAAAGAAAAGCGCCAAACAAACTTTGAAAAACAGGACAAAGTAAAATATTATACCTAGAAGTAGATAGGTTAGTGAGTTACTGTTCTTTCACTATTTCTAGTTGAGTGTAGGGATGGTAAAAGCTAAGCCGATCTTAACATTTATATTTTGTTTTCCAACTTCTTGTTTGCAACTTTGAACTGAATTTGCATCATTTCCATCTGAAAGAGTTTTTGCGAAACTTTTCATGATGCAAACGGAAATTTCGCACTTCGAAAGGATGTTTATACACACTAGAATCTTACCATGGTTAAATAAAAATACTCGCTTTTGAAAATCATTTCTGTTCACTATGATGGTATCAGAGAAAATTTGTACATTTTTTTAATCAAGTATAGAAGAGCCATTTTTTCGAAGTGTTCCTTTGTGTTCACGCGAGTCCATTCCACTCCAAACACAAGTTCTTCGACGGACCTGCGTCAGCATCTTTTGCTGCGCGGCATCCTGCACAAACCTTTCACGTGATTCACGTGGACAGCTGCCGAGTAGTTTTTACTCGACTTTCTATTACTAAAAGCTCTTTCGAACACAGCAGACCCACTGACTCTCGCAAAACGCGATGAAATGTTTATTGAGAGTTGGAACTATCCGAAAGTTCGAATTTATGTGAAACTAACGCTTTCAAAGATACTTCAAGGATTTCCAAAATTTTCTGTATTAAAACTTTTTCTATTTTAAATAGCATTGCATTTTTTTTAAAACGTACATATATAGCTAGAGAAAAATTTAACTGAAAAAAAAACTCGAAAGACTCCCGCTATGTAAGCTTTCTATGCGAATTCTCATTCAACCTCGTGATCTTGATTTTCGGAAGAAGAAAATTGATTCGCAAGGGGTCACTTGGCCGATGCAAACAGGAACTGCTGCGTTCAACCCGGCAAAAGTCACAATTCTCAGAGAACTATCGATCAAACTTTCAGATCAGAAGAACTATCAAATAAGGAAAAAAAAGCCGACCGAACTTGAAAAGTTTTTCAGAATAAAAATCAAGACACGGTGCAAAATAAAGAGAGAGAAAAGCCTAATTACCATTTTCCAAAAACCGACATATAAATCCCTCATTTTTTTAAATTTAAAAAAATCCGAACAAAAAAATTTACGTGATCTGCGACTCCCATGCTGAGAGCTGACGCGAGCTTCTCCTCGACCTCGACCAGCTTCTCGCCAACTTTTGCGATTATCTGAAAATTCCAAAGTTTTGATTTCTTTTTGCTTGTGACCCGTGATGATCAAAGTTATTAATAAAGTGAAATTTTCATAATGAGAATCGACATATTCTGGAAAAAATACGCACGTCAGACATTTTGTAGTTTCAAAGTCGAGCGGATCAGTCGATTCTCTGAAAAAAATTTCAAAAAGTTTGCATACTTTATCGCAACAATCTTCTCGAAAAAAAAACGTGAAACAAGGGGAAAATGAAATGTAGAACTTACAAATTAATCGTTTTCTTTGGTTGTGATTTTTCAGTTTTCCTATTTTAAAAGGGTATAAATCAGGGTTGCGGCGTGTTACGATAACATTTGACGCGGCGCAACCGAGATGAAACATTATCAGAGAAAACTAAATGCACTAAAATGTATCAGATTGGAAAAAGCTGACTCTTTAAAAAAAATCTTCAAAAGAATTCTCAGAAAGACGAATTTTTCGAAAAAAAAAATCACATGAGAGAAAAAAAAAATCGATTCTTGTAGATGTTGACATTTCATGGTGAAGGGCGGAGCGATGTAAAAAAGTTTTCGAAGGGATTATAAATTCTGGACACAGGAATGACAGACACTACTTGAATCTACAAAATACTTCACTGTTTTCGGTTGAACCACCCTGTCGACTGAACATTGCCGGTATTGAACAATTCTTTCACAAAACCTGACAAAACCGCGAAAGCAGTAGAGACAGATGGGGCAAACGAGTCGATCGGAAAGAAAGACAGCGGAGGGGGGAAAAAAAGAACGTGGACTCAAGTCGAGGCAGAAAACTTCTTCTATTGCTCCGCCTCAGCTCGTCTGGGAAGATCTGCACATTTTGTTTACATTTTTTTTTACCGTCATAAGATTAAAATCATGGATAGACGTATTAAAGATAAATTCTCAGTCTGTCTAAAATTCCGATTTGTAAAGAATCTTTTTTTTACATTTTTGAAATATCATGGAATTTAACTCAAGTGAGAGGATAAACAAGGTAAAAAGAATACTCCAGAAAGAAAAAAGGCTATGCAGGAATCTAGAAAAAAGAAGGAAACGCTCCGAAGTAGACAAAACACCAAAGAGACAGCGGCACACGCGTCGAATGGAGAGAAACAGCGCTCAAGCAGAGCATCCAGAGGCCGTTGGCAGAAAGAGAGAAAATGGCGGTAAGGCCAAATGGACGGGCGGCCTGGGAGATATAATCCACAATTGATAGAAAACTTTTGAACGCGATTCAAGTGGTGTCAACTGACAAAATTTTTGATCTTTAATTTTAAATTTCAATGTCCTCAATGCCCTATTGCGTCAAATTATCATTAAGATCATCAAGCCTTTGAATTCTAAAAACTTTTTTCTTCACGCAATGCATGATCATATTTTGTCCAACATAAAACTATGTTCACAAAAGAACCACATTAAATGTTCTAAAACTTCTTTACTCCAACCTTCGACTCGTGAAAAAATATCAACTTTTTTGTGACCCACAATGAAAAATGAATCGTTTCAAACGTGCATAAAGTCCATTGAAAAAAAGCAATGTTAACAGATTTATTGAAATCCACTCGATAACGTATGGACCGACCAAAACAGAAGGAAAAACAACCGTTTTAAACTTAATTAAAAGACAGGTAACAATAAACAAAGTTCGACAAGCAAACGAATTACATCTTGTCGAGATAGTTGTCGAGGGCTGGGATTCCTTCCTTGAGTCCCTTTCGTTTCCTGGTGTCCAGAACAATTTGGTAAGGCTTGCTCGACGCGTCCAGCGGGTCTCCGGGAAGGATCTGCCAGTGATCGAACACGCATTGAGGGAAAGCTTGACCTCCAGTATTGGAGCGGAGATCGGCGGTGAAACCTAAAAATTTTTTATTCCCCATAAGTAAAACATCATTTACCGAAAGATTCGTTGACAGGAAGGTAAGCCTTAACGACGAACATCGGAGTACCCGTGACTTGCGACTCCTCGAAAACGTGACCTCTTCTGCGGTTAAGCACACCATAGATTCCTGAAAACAATTACTATATTTTTTGACACATTATTTTCAAAAATCCACCTCCAACAGCGGCTTCTGGGCACTGAATTTCCACCAAGTACACCGGCTCCAAAAGGCGGGGCTGTGCAGTGAGAACTGAGGCGTAGAAGACACGACGAGCCGTCGGGATGATTTGACCGCCTCCTCTGTGGATGGCGTCAGCGTGAAGAGTGACGTCGTGAATGTTGAAGCGGACACTGCGCATGTTCTCGTCGGCGAGCACACCTTCGCGAGTCGCCCATTGGAAACCAGCAACAACGGAGTCCTTGATTTCGTTGAGGTACTGCACTCCCTTGGTGACATCGAACAAGAGATTGGGTCCAGTTCCGTCAGGACCGAAAGCCCAGATCTTGCGAGCTTCGGTGACGTCATATTCATACTTTTCGTTGAGGATCTTGGCACGGGCCTTGAACTCATCTCGAGCGTTGACAGTTCCTCCTTCGATGTCGTCAGCAAGACCGTCAGGCATAGGAAGGGCTGTGCAATGAAGACGGTTGTGCTTGTTTGGCGACTTGGAAAGGCAGATCTGGTTAGATTCGGCGCTGACAGTTTCACGGTAAGAGACGACGGGGTCTGATTTCTTGAGAGGAATGCAGGCGTGGTCCTCTTCCAAATCCTTGAGGCAGATTTCCAAATGGAGTTCTCCAGCACCAGCAATAATGTGTTCTCCAGATTCTTCGAAGATGCATTGCACCATGGGATCAGACTTGGCCAAACGCTTCAAGCCTTCGACCTAAAAATTTAAAAATGGATAAAGTAAGGCAATTTTAAATTTACCAGCTTCGGCAGATCAGCAGGATTCTTGGCCTCAACGGCAACACGCACGACAGGAGAAACGGAGAACTTCATGACACGCATGTTGTGGGCATCCTTGTAGGTAGTGATGGTTCCTCCCTTTACGAGATATTGATCGACTCCGACAAGTCCAGCGATGTTTCCGGACGGGATATCCTCGATAGGTTCGATGTACCGGCCCATCATCAGAATAGTACGTTGAATGGTCTTTTCGTACAGATCCTCCTTCTTGCCAGGAATGTAGTTAGGACCCTGGATGCGGGCCTTCATTCCAGTAGCAACCTTTCCAGAGAAGACGCGTCCGAAAGCGTAGAATCGGCCCTTGTCAGAGGTGGGGACCATCTTCGACACGTACATCATCAGCGGTCCGTTGGCGTCGCAAGTCTTGATGGCGACAGCGGCTTCGTCATCATGAGGTCCCTCGTAGAGCATCTCCATACGATATTTCTGAGCAGTCACAGGAGACGGCAGGTGAATGCAGATCATTTGAAGCATGGTGTCACCAGCAGGAAGCCACTTACGCATGAAAACCTGAACTTCGATATGCTTTCAAAACTAACAAAAAACACTCAAACCTTCATCAGCGGCTTTCCTTCAAGATCTTTCTCGTCGATAGCAAGCTTGATTCCGAGTTTCTCAGTGAGAGCAGCAACCTTGTCCTTCTTGATGTTCATGATGGCATCGAAGACTTGGAAGATAGGGTCCAACACGAACTGGTTGAATCCTCTCTTAGATCCATCAGTTTGAGTGCTGCTCCACTTCTTAGATTTCAGGTCGAAGAAACGATCTCCCCAGAGGTTCTTCATGAGCTTGTCAACCTGAAGTAATTTTTATGCTTAAAACACATTTGTTTTCTATTACCTGCACGCCGAACTTGTCAGCGTACATTTCGGCGAACTGCTTGAGCGTGAAGGCCCAGCCGTGGAGTCCAGAACCGAAACCAACGTTTCCGATAGAAGGATCGACCATGATAGCTCCCATCGGGCCGTCATCGTCTCCGTAAGTGGCAATAATGACGTTGATGTTTTCGACGATGCGCTGTAAAGATAGAGAAGTTATCGCAAAATCGCCGGTTTCATTCACCTGGAAAGTTTGGAAAAGCTCCTCTGATCCGAGCTGCAACTCGAGCAAAGCGCGATCCATTTTGTTCATGAAAAGGATCGGCTTGATGCGCTCAGCAATAGCTTGACGAAGCACAGTTTCGGTTTGGACGCAGACACCTGAACGAGAAACTTTCAATAAAGAAAAATTGATAATATTACCGGAGACGCAGTCGACGACAACGAGAGCACCATCAGTGACACGAAGAGCAGCAGTTACTTCAGAAGAGAAGTCGACGTGGCCAGGAGAGTCGATCAAATTGATCAAGAAACCGTTGAACTTTTCTTTCTTTCCATCGGCTTCCACTGTTTCGATTTGAGTTTCGCCCTTGATGAAGTCGATGTCCTTGCGCTCAAGCTCGAAGAACATAGAGATGGCGCTAAAGTTTGGAAATTATAATTGTTAAAAATTAACATCGAAATGATTGCTTAAACTTACGTGGACTTGATGGTAATACAACGTTCTTGTTCGTCCTTGCGGGTATCGGTGAAACGAGTTTCTCCAGCCTTGGCTCCGGCGATGATACCGGCTTTCGAAACAAGCGAATCCGTCAGAGTAGACTTTCCATGATCGACGTGGGCGATGACGGACATGTTGCGGATATTCCGCTTGCGGTCCATGAGGGCGCGGATTTCATCGATAGTGAAGTTCACCTGAAAAAAATATTTAGTTTTAACGGAAATATTTCTGTTTTTTTTTTTTTCATTGTTAACTTTTTCCAAAATTTTTTTTACTTTATAGAGGCAAAAAAATAAGCCAAGAAGCGAAGGACTGTTTTTTTTTTGTCCGAAACCCTTTTTCTACTCCTTCAAACAAGCCAGCGTGGAAATAAAAAAGTTAATAAACTAAAATCAATTCGACAAGATTTTTGTTTAGAAAAAATCTACCTTTAAATTGCAACCAAGATTCTCGAGCTGGGTCAAAGATTCGAATATTAGGCCATTTATTTCGCAACTAAACATAAATTGCGAAACCACAAAAAAATGTTTTATTTCTTGAAATTAATTTCTAAGAAAAACTGTCTCTCCGTTCGAACTGAGAGAGAAAATTGAAAATTACACAAAATTAGATACCAAAGCAAGAAAATAAAATAATTTATCATAAATCCTAAAAAAATTTAAAAATGATTACCATGAATTTTAGGGTCAAACCGATTGAAAAAAATTTAAATGACACTAAACTAATAATTATACTCACCATTTTGACTACTCCTGAAGCAAGGTTTCAAGGAATAGAATAACAACCGCTCAAAAGTGGCGGGTACAATGAAGTAACAGCGTCGAGGAATCCAACCCCGGACGAAACTGCACGCGTTAGATACTCAGGTTTACGATACGGTAGCGCGGGAACTCAAACTTCAATTTTTCTCTCCGTAAAAAGTTATTTGATGCAGTCGTTTTCAAACTTACTTTTTTTAATGTACAAGCGCTTGTGGCTTTTTTAAAGTTGTCTGTAAGAGTATCTTATTTAAAGTAAGCTTATTTTTTTCAACCATTCAGCCCTTCATGGTGGTTTTTTCTCGCCTTCATCAATTTGGATATTGAAACACAAAATGTTTCCTTGGTCAATTTAAATTCTGCATTTTTATGTATTCTCGGCTTAAACGTTTTTTAATCATAATTTCAAATACGAAACATAGAAATTTGGGGTTATTAGAAAACAATTTTTTATCTTTTTTTTGTGCCCACAGAAGTTCGATAATAGTGTAATTTTTTTTGTTATACTGTGTTCAAAGAAATTTCCGCGAAATGCAATATGGTCTCTGACTCTCCAAAATTTATTTATCTTTTTAAAAAGATATTTTCTATCTCTGACGCCTTTTTCAGTTTCACGGAATCACTGAAAACAATGAAAACGGCATCACGTTTTGAACTCAAATCCCTTTCACTGACGCATATGATGGTTTCAGTCGAAAAATGGAAGAGACTTCAACTGCGACAAGAGCGTTGTCGCCATCATCTATTGCTGCCGAGCCGACTTTTTCGGACTCACACGAAAACATGGATTCTTCCGCTGAAACCACGTCTCAATTGGTTGAATCGATTGGAAAGGAGAAACGTATAAATCGAAGGATTGCGTTGGCGACGCTACGTGCTGCGCCCATTCCAAAGTTGAATCGAAATTCCAAAGTGATGATTGATCTGACAACGGAAGATGTAAGCCCTCCTACTCTAAATTTTCAATTCTTTGAGAGATATTCGTTTTAGGATGACCCGACTAACAAATGGTTTGTCAATACCTTTGCTTCAAGGTTGCCCGCGAAAGCTGTCAAAGTAACAGTAAAGGAATCTTTATTCGATCATGTTGATGCTCCGAAAAACGTTCCTCACAGCAGTAAGTTTGCATTCTTTTTTCAACTTTGCCCTGTTTGAATAGTTATTCTAAATCATGGTATATTTTCTGTCAAGAATTTAAATGCGGTTCTATTTTTTTGTCCATTTTTGAATATATTTTTTTTTCATTTTTGCTAAATGTGGTTAGAAAGACGGCTATTATATTAATTTATCATCTCAGAATTCCTATTGCAGTTATCAAACAGAAGAAGCTCAAGAAATTGCTGCAAGAAGGTCTTGCTAAGAAGCGTAGGGCAGGATTGGAGAAACGCCAACAACAATACCAGCTAGATAACGAGCATTTGATGCCTGATGAAGATGATGAAGAAGAAGATTTCAAGTTTAAAAAAACCAAAAAGTATGTGGGATTTTTATTTTCCCACTTATTTCTCATCAGAAAGGTGGAGAAACCTATGGAAAGTGACTACGACAGTGAGAACGATGAAGATTACAAAGAAGCTAATTCGTCTAATGAAGAAGAAGACAGTGACGATGATCCAGATATGAAGCTCATCAAAAATCGTTTTAAAATCAATAAACCGCAAAGAAAGGCAAACTGAAAAAGCCATATCATGAATTAAAATCTCTTATTTTTCAGGAACCAGAGTCTTCCTCCGGTGACGTTTTCGCTTCTCCGACGAAAATTGCGCCCGACGACGGCATAATTCTCAGTATGAACGTTGGTGAAACATTGCAAATTTTTTTTTGAAATGTTAACTTTCATAGAGGCCGAATGCAGACGAGTCGTTTGATTTCAATCTTTACGGTTCAAAACCCGGCCCAGGATCAACAGTTTCTAACTGGCTGGACAATCGTAGCGAAATGTCTTTTATTATTGAATCCTCGATTGAAATCAAATTTTAGGTCTTTCCGTCACGATGAAGACGAAAATCATGGCGGATTCAGAGATTTTGCTGCCACTCAAAAAGCTTTCGGAGGTGATGATATGGCGGATATTCTGAGCTTATGTTCGGGAAGGTCGGACTCGGAATGTTCTCGTTAAAATTTTTGCAATTAAGATTCGGAACCCAAGTTAAGTCTCCGAAGAACACGTTCATTGATGAGAGTCAGAATTTACGCGATGATTTCGACATTCCGGACTCATACGACCGATCTTTGCTGGAAAGGTATTCTTTTTGAGGAATAAATGAAAAAAAGACATTTAAACCAGCTTTTTCACGTTTTCTTGTCAATATATGTTGAACATTTTATAGTGACGACGATGAGAAAAAAGAAATCGCCTCCAATGAAACGGACGCAAAATCGAAGAAAAAGCGGTTAATAGAGTCTGATGATGACGGAGAAGAGGAAGCTTCAACATCAAATGTTCTTCTCGATAGCTTACCTGAAACGGCGGTTCTTCATTTAAACTGAATTTTTCTCAATGTCTCTCATTATTATAGCCTTTGGAAGAAGACGAGGAAAACAAATTTGCGAAAGGAGCTCACGAGATTGACGAGCATTCGGCGGAAACAAACCCTGGGAACAAAGCGCGCGCAGTTTTGGAATCATCGGATGAAGAAGAGGGGGCAGATGGAGATGACGAAGCTGGTCGGTTCAGATTTCATTGAGAATGTATTTAAAAATTGAACTTGATCTTTTTAATTCCCCCGACGGTTTTTTTTTTGCACGGTGTATGCGCTTTGATATTGAAGTTTTCATAGATTCCGACGACGGCGACGATGAAGGTGATGAGGAGAAAGAAGACGACGTGGAAGAACAAGATGATTATGAAGAAAACGATGAGGAAAATGTGGAAGACGTTCCTGCCCCTAACTTCGATGACGAGGATGACGAGTTGGCTGTTCTGAAAAGAATCGAATACAACGAGACGAAGAGAAAGTGATTAGTGATGTGCGCTATTGTCTTAACCCAGATGAAAGCAGGGAAAAGAAGAAAAACTTTTTTGACGATGAGGCTTCGCTGTCTGGTGATGATGTGGGCAGCGATATCGACGAAGAAGAACTCGGGGTCAATGAATACGAAGCCGAAGAGGGTTTGATCACCGTAAACTTGTATCGAATGGTTGAAAATATTAAGGGGATAATGACGACGTCCCGGACTTTGACACGATCCGTCGACAGAACCATAAACTGTTGATGAAGCAAGAGTCGGATAAAGAGTACCGAGAGCTGGTTAAGCTTCAAGATCGGCTTCTTGCCGACGGAGACCTTGCTGGCACAGAAACCAATAGACAGTTCCGTTTCCGGATTCGCGATGAGCTTGACGCGGCCATGTTGTTGGAGACGAATGAAGAGAGAGGGAATGAAGAAGAGGAAGTCGAAAATGACGATGAATCCGCTAAAGCTGAGCGCGCCGCTCTTCTGAAGTTTCGGATTGAACAGGTGCGTTTTTTGAAAAGGGTTTTTTTCAAATGAAAAAAAAATGTTAAGTGTAGAATATGTAGTTTTTGATTTACAGTCGGAAAGCATGGAGCTTTTCCTCGATGATCCAGCTGCTACTGAAGAAGATCCATTCGAGCGTGCCGCTAAGATTGTTCAGGCTTCAAAAAGCTGCATGAATCTTATCACTGAGGTAACTTTGAAACATCTGGAAACTTTTTGAATCAGCTATCAAATTTTATGGTCAATTGGAAAGGAGTTATACTTCCAAAGAACTTCTTCTTTCAGAAACCAAAGCCATCTCTATTGTCCAAATCGACGTTAAGCAGTACCTTCAAAGAAACCATCGGCTCAAGTAAAATGAATTATATTTGCCTGAAAATTTAATTTTTTAGGCGTCAGTGGTCCGAAGCAGCTGTACGTGAGAAACCATCGTCCTGAGAACGATTCACGAGCTCAGAGCGAGACGGCCTTGAATGGTCTCAAAAGAAAAAGTATTGTCTCACCTACTGGTAGAAATGAAGTCGTGAAAAAGGCGCGTCCCAGCAAACTTAGTGTTCTGGAACAATCCTAAGCTTCATATGAGTTAAAAGTTAAAATTTTACTTTCCCCCTCAAGTTATCCATTTGTTCCAATTTTTTCTTTCTAACGAATGATTATTGTTTAAACAACCAGAAAAAAATTTTTTTTCCCGTCTTTGAAACATTGTGAATACCTAATTCAAGCTCGTTTGTATTTTGGAATTCTCAGATTGTAAAAAAATTTCAAACTCGTCGTCTAGGGCTCCTGAAAGGTTTTTATAATTTTTTCAATAATTTTCCAAGATTTTATTAACTTTTCAGTGCTAACTTCGTTCTGTAAATTTTGCTTCTGATCTATCGAACTGATCAATCGTGTATCTCATGACTATTACGGTTCATAAAATCAGTAATTTTTTTTCCATCGTTTTGTATAATTTTTTGAATTCCGGTTTTAATGGTTTTCAATATTAAAAAGTTTTGTCAAACACTTGTTCTTTTTTAAAACTTGGTTGATATGCCGTTGACGTTCTTGTGGATGGGATGATTTTCAAAAGGACGAAGAAATTATTTTTAAGATGATCCGAGCTGCTGCCGGTTGCAGCAAAAACCTATCTGGTTGTTTCATCAGAGGTAATCAGGGAATATCGCAGTTATTTTTCGATCGATTCAGTTTTAGTTGGATCGAAACGAACTTTCGCGGCTCCCGCAGCAAAAGCAAACGCGGCTGGTGCTGTTAAGGCAAGATTTACTTGTCCGTGTCTGCAAAAACGGCCGCTAATTTTTGAATTCAAAGAGTTCCTAGGTCGACAAGTCGTTCGTGGAAGAAGATGCTGAAAAGCTGGCCACTCACGTCTGTATAAATGCCTATGTTCAAGGTATATTTTGTTGTAAAGAAAGAGTTATCAAGGTTTCTTTTTCAAAAAAATTTTGGCTCGTGTAAGCTCAAAAAAAAAAACGAAAAAAAAATCATAGTTTTGGTTAACTTCTAAACTCTAAATGTCCTATTGAAGCAATTCATCCGAATGATTGCCTGTCTTTTTTATTTCCAGCTACTTGCTTAACTTTATCATTTAAGCTTTTAGTAGACATAATGAACATGAATATTCAGGAGAGGAACCCGGTCCGAAAATTCTTCCCGACTCTGAGTATCCAAAATGGTTATTCGAACTGGATTTGAGTCCACCAAAGTCATTAGAAGACTTAGATCCTGAGAAAGTATGTTTATATCCATCTCTGTTGTTATCTTTTTATGTTGAAGGATGGTTGGGCTTATTGGAGGGCCCTGCGAAAACGGCAACTTGAACAAAATAGGCGAATCGCTAAACTGAAAACTAGGTTGGAAATATTCATAGTGCATGAAATTATCTTCATTCTGCAGGTTCCTTCACCTCCAAGATAGCCCGAGTATGCGGAAAACGTCGAAGTAAATAAAAAAGAATAATTATAGAGAAATTAGTTCTTTTTGTCTTATTTTTGATTTTGTTTTTATACGTCTGGTTTCTTTCCGCTGTACATCTTGTCACTGAAATGAATTTTTTTTAAATTTGAAAATCCCCTGTCAAAGCATGCAAGAATTGAGTATCTTCAATTCATTGCTCTAAAAGTGAAATTTGAACGCGAGTTGTCATTAACTCTATCAGTCATAAGCAAAGTAGAAATAGTTTAATGCATGAGGTTTTGACAAGCTTTTTACAATCCAATTTAGCTAAAATCTAATTAGAAAATCTTTAATTCTGCGCGTGTCGCGAGTTTTACGTGCATTTTAACGCCAGAGTGAACTGATTTTTTCAAAAATTTGGGCGCCAAGCACAAATTGTGCGGGAAAAAAGGCGATCAAAGTTGTAATTTCGACTCCTTTTTTTTTAAAGATCTCTCTCATCCATTGTCGTATATCGTTTGTTAAATTTGGAGTTTAGAAAGTATATTGAGTTTTCAATTCACGAAGGCTTGAAACTTTTTAAAATCTCGCGAAATACGAGATCTCGTATTAGCCTTTTACTGCTGAGTTTGAAAAGTGCAGTCATGTGAATTTTAGATCGACGACTTTTAGGTGAATATATAAGCAATCAATAATATTTCAAGTTGGAGAATGTCCGCCAATTCTTCTCCTCGTCACGAAGAACCTGAACCACAAAGCGTCGGAAGCTTCGTGGAGCCTGCTTCAGTTGATTGTGAGATTCTTTTCTCAAATAGTGAATATCTGGTTTCAATTCAGCGTATGCCACCGGCGATGTAGCAAGTTTGCGTCGTATGCCAAGTGATCGAGGGCTCGGAGGTGGTGGCGAATCGCCGACTTCCAGTGAGTTCTTTTCTCTTCAAGCTATCTGATTTCGAAATTTTTTTGATGAGATTATTTTTGCAGTGGCGTCAGGTCTGCACTATGACTCGGAGATCGGCTCCTCGCAAATGTCAAGTCTTTCGACGGCGCAGTCACGTCGGGGCGGCGCTCGTGGAGATCTTGGCGTTGCTCCAGCCGACCACAGGTTCTGTTCACAGCAGTCATTTTGAACATCTATAACTTTCAGGACTGTTCGTGTCGAAGGAATGCCGGATGAGATGGCGGCGGACGACGGCCAACCGCGTCTCTACATTTGGGGAACGCGGATTTGCGTCGCAGATGTCCAAAGGTGTTGTGAATTCTCAATTCAAGATAACGGAGGCCCAATATTTCAGCTCTTTCCGCAAGTTTATCACGACTTTCAAGATTGACGAGCTGGAAGAAGACGAGAATATGCTCAATTATAACGACAAGGTAACATATTTTTTCTGAGTTTTTGTTCAGAACTTTCGAAGATAAAGAGAATTTATCTTGACCCTGCAAAATATTTCCTTCTGGATATTTTAAAGGTAGTATTTTAGCACCGCCCCGTGGACACCAACCAGCCGTACTACATGGAGCGGCTCTACGAGTGCGATGTCGCCGAAATTTCCTTCGTAAACTTAAATTTGGCCCATGTCCAATCTTTCAGCGACGCCTTGTATCGTAAAATCATCGCCTATCCCGCGGTATCATTTCCGTTATTGGAATGACCAAAATACATTTTTGAGGATGTGATTCCCTATTTGGACATGACGCTCAATGAGATTTACACGGAAAGATTCCATCGTGCCCTCCCTTTGCCCATCGAACTGCGCCCGTTCAACGCCGAGAAGACGCGGAACATGCGCGGCCTCAATCCTAATGGTAAAAATGGCTTCTTTTTTTTTGGAAAAGCAAAGTTCAGCTTAGCTTGAAGAACAATTCGAAGAAATAAGTTTTAATTTTAAAAACACGAATTTTCCAATTTTAGATGCTGATAGCTACAACTAAGAGTTTTACGATGCACAAGATTTTAGTTTTTAATCAGCTTCCCAAAATTGGAGAGGAAATATTTATTTTGAAGACGTCGACCAGCTGATCACCATCTCGGGAATGGTCACGCGGACGTCTTCTCTGATTCCCGAAATGCGCGCGGGATTCTTCCAATGCTCCGTGTGCAACTTCAGCGTCGAGAGCGAAGTCGACCGTGGAAGGTTTTTCTTCGAAGTCTAACTCTACAAAAACGAAAAAAACATGAAGATCACTATCTTCAAACTTGTTTTCTGCATAATTTTTTCATGAGTATCATTCTTTATCTTTCTGAAGTCGTTTCATTTATCCATAATTGGCTATCGCGTTGAGAACAACGTAGACATCTGGAAGCCTATCCAGAGTATTTTCCGAAAAAGAGCGCAATAATAAAAAAAAAGCAGAATCTTTCGAACTCGAAAAAGAACAGAAAAAGTCCAGAAAAGTTTTAATTTCTTCGCAAAAAGCTTAGGAGAGAAAGATATTAACCGCTCTACAGCTTTATACATAAACTGGAGAGAGATTAAGAAGAAGTTTTTGAGCACGTCGTTTATTATAAAATAATCGCTGTAGAAGGCAAAAGTAAAGCTGAGAGCAAATCATTTGTGAAATCAGCATGAAAATTTACTTCTAATGCTTCGACTCCCATCGAAAATTCCCCCTGTGAAGTAAATTTTCCTGACCAAAAAAAAAAATGAAACATTCACAAAATGACCAACTTTGGGTATGAAAATCGAGACAATGCATCTTATCGTATGCAGAATCGAAGAGCCGGCCGTGTGTACCAACTGCTCGAACACGCATTGTTTCCAGCTGGTGCACAACCGTTCGATTTTCCTCGACAAGCAGGTCATCAAGCTGCAGGAGTCGCCCGGTACATTTCTCCTGGACTGCTCTCCAAGTTTCCATCTTTCCAGACGATATGCCGTCCGGAGAGACGCCCCACACGGTCTCGATCTTCGCCCACGGACAACTCGTCGAGTCTGTCCAGCCCGGCGATCGGATCACTGTCACCGGTATCTTCAGAGCCAGCGGAGTCAAGGTGAATCCCTTATTTGGGATATGATGAGGATCTAGTTAGCTCCTTGTTAATAATCCGAAAAGCTTTTCTATTATTCATCAAGAATTTTGCAGATTCATATACAAAACTTCTCGAAGAAGCTTCATTTTTGATAGTTTTTGTTTCTGATGAACACAGGGTGTATGTAAGAGGAATGAGAGGAAAAAAACGGCTTCTATCTGTTTTTTTTTTAATAGAGAAATTGCCTCAAACTTGCTCTGAATGGATTAAAGTTAAAGTATTGATTCAATTAGGCTTCATAGGGAGGTCCGCGTCCACGAGAAAATGAACATCACAATACGGCCTAAATTATTTTCAGAGTTATCAGAATATAAAAATAATTAGGGTTTTTTGAAGTAAATATTGAGCTCTTTCTGTTGAAGTTAGCCTTTAACTTTTCGATTTTTTCTGTACTTATGCACTTACAAGAAAGGACCTTCAATTTCGCAGTTCAGAAATTTTTGAAAATTGACTTTATAACACTCCTAGATGTACCAGATCAATAACCAACCTGCAAAACTTTCTAGTTTTTGAGAAAAGACACTAAGAATTCAATGACACTTTTCAAAATCCGTTAAAATAAGCAAATTTGGGGCTTTGAGACCTCATTTCTAGAAAACTAGAAAGATGTGCATGTTGAGACTTTCAAAATCTTTTTTTGGTACTTGGAAGACTGTTATGGTCACTTTTCAAATAATTTCCAACCGAAAAGAAAAGTGACCTTGTTAGCTTTTCCTCGATTGCTCATCATTAAAGACAAGAAATTGAATTACAAATATCAGACGAGTTTGAATCTTTTCGGTCTTTAGATGAACCCGAAACAGCGCGCTTTGGCCTCGATCTACAGAACCAGCATCGACGCTCTTCATTTTCGTAAAATTGACACTTCTCGGTTACATCAGGATAATGGGTTAAGGTCATTTTCTCTGAAATCTTAATGAAGTTCATTTTTAGTGAATCTCTGACCGAAGAAAGAATTCAACAGATTGTCAACCTTTCCAAGAGACCTGATCTGATGGAGGCGTTGAGCCAAGCTATCGGTACTCTTTCTCAGAGAAAGAAAGAAAAAATAAACTTTTTTTCCCCCAGCTCCTTCGATTTTCGAACACGACGATATCAAACGCGGTCTTCTGTGTCTTTTGTTCGGCGGAACTCGAAAGGACGACGAGACGAATAACAAGACGAAACTTCGATCTGAGGTAAAAACAAAATATGAGTGGTTCTTTATATAAAAAAAGAGGTTTTTTTAAAACATTTCGGCTCATATTTGAAATTCCCGCCAAGGAGAAGAGTATGCGAGTTGGCGCCACAGTGAACTTCATTTTGGGAATTTTCAATGACTTTTGCTACGAAAATATTTTAAAATTTTTTTTCTCTCACTTTCTTGTTTGTAATAGACATTTAAGAAAGGTAACTTTTTGTTTGATTATAAAGAAAAATATTTTCTGTGTTCTGTTTTGGATCAAAATGAATTTCAATTTTTGGCTATCTGTTAATTTTCTATTTTCGAAGATCTTGCAAATTTTTTTGATTCGTTCAAGTTGTTTTCGGTATTCTCAGTTCATGGAAATGAATTCAGATCAATATCCTTTTGTGCGGCGACCCGGGTACCGCCAAATCTCAACTCCTCCAATATGTCTACCGGTTGATCCCTCGCAGTCAATATACCAGTGGAAAGGTGATTTTTTAATTTTCGGATTCAGGAATTGAAGTAGAAAGTTAGTAGTTTGTGTTTCTAAGTCCTTTTCAGTAGGCAGAAATTTAGAATTCGAATAATGAATTTTCAAAATTTTTGTACTATTTCGTAATACTTTCCTAGTTTTAAGAACGACAAATAACTTGTGTTTGGCAGGTTGATAAGAGTAATAATTTTTTTCTTTTTTTCAAAAAAACAATCAGTAATTCAAGTTTTATGAAAATTTTTGAAATCTCGAAGAGGAAACGAAAATAGCTCAAAATGAGTTTTTTTAAGTTCACTTTTTCCTGAACTGAACCTTTCGAGAAATTTCCTCCTAGAACGATTTCTTTCGAAAAAAAAATATTTTTGACTTATAGAATATTATATCAACGTTTACTGCCTTTTTTTAAAAAATTTTCTCACAACTCCATTTTTTTTCATAAAGCTTCTGTGAAGGAAAGCTCATTCCCGCGGTTAATTGGCGATATTTGTCAGCACTTCCGTGATTATGTAATCAAAAGTGTAACGCAGAGGTTTACTGTGTTGTAGACAAAAAAAGTATAAGGAATGTACTTTTCCTACGTCTGCGCCGCTGGGAATTCGTGCACACCCACGGGTTCTGACTACGATTTCTTCTTCTTCTGGGATATCTTTAGATTTTATCTTTTCGCAATATGACTTTTGCAGACTTTTTCGACCCTTTTTATAAAGATAAAGAAAAAGTTCATAGGCAACATGAAAGTGAAAAAGATGAGGATTTTTGTTCGGACTTCAAAGTTTTGAGATATGAGAAAAGTTTCCAAATATCAGGATAATAAAGAAAAAATGTTTCAATCGAACTCCATAACTTCAAAAAAAGGTTATCTGAACATTTGGTTCTATCATATAAATTTATATTTAAACATTGTTCGAAATTGATCAGTCAATAATAACAATCAACGCAGAGATTTTTTTACGGTTTTTAAAAAATGTAGACTTCTGGTTTTTACAACATAGTTACTTCTATTCAGAACTTTTCCCATTGTAAAATCATTGACACGTTTCAATTTTTGGCCTTTTATCTACTATACAGCACATTATACGCGAATCAAACTTTGACTCTTGTTTGCGAAAAATTATGATTTGATTAATTTGCGGTTTCTAACGCAACCGTAGTTCTTCATGTCCAATTACCCATTAGGACTCGAGAAAAAGGGGCGTGGCGTTGATTTAGCCACGCCCATTTTCTTTTTTTTTGTTTCCAACATGAAAGTTGCGGTCTCTTGCAACTGATATCGTTGGCAGGGGTCGTCGGCGGTCGGCCTGACGGCGTCCGTGTCGCGGGACGCCGACACGCGCCAGCTCGTCCTCCAGACGGGAGCCCTCGTCTTGGCCGACAACGGCGTCTGCTGCATCGACGAGTTCGACAAGATGAACGACAGCGCCCGGAGTGTCCTTCACGAGGTACGGTTTGGTTTTTTTCGAAGAACTTTCAGAGGTAGTTGAGTTTATATCGCACCATTGACTTTTTTCCCTTTTTCGGAGTTGTAACACTGTCAAAGCGACATATGACTATCAAAGGTTCCTGATACTTTCGAGGAAATCTCTGAATATCTTAGAATCAAATCAGAGTTGAAGAGCGTTTACGAGGCGTTCTCAGACACGTGTAGAACGGAAACAAAAAATAACTACCTCAAAAAGGATAGCGTTAGACTTTGCGCTCCCAGAAATTTGGGGACTTTCAGCGAGTTAATAATAATAATCTACTCAGTGAAAAGAATAAATAAGGTTAAAAACGGACTGTAAGTCACGACAAAAATTAATTTTAGTTTTTTTTCATCACTTTTTCAAAAAAAGTTGAGCATAACAGAACAAGGAACAGAACACGGAAACCGTTTTTTTATTCCCTTTTTTTGGAGATTTTTTTAAAAATTTCTTTCATGAATTTTTTTCCTTTTTTTCTTCTTTTCCAACTAGATTCAATTGAGCCGGAGCCACTCATATCCATTGGTTTTGAGGTGATGGAACAGCAGACGCTGTCGATCGCCAAGGCGGGCATCATCTGTCAGTTGAACGCGCGGACGTCGATTCTCGCCGCGGCGAATCCCGTCGACTCCAAGTGGAATCGCGCCAAAACCATCGTCGAGAACATCCAACTGCCCCACACTCTCATGTCTAGGTACGAAACAAAAGAGAAGAAAAATAGGAAATTTTTAAAAATGCTTCAGAATTTAGTTCTTTTGGTATTTGTATACTGATAAGAGATTTTGAACATATATAGCTTTATGTGTTTTTTAACCACTTTTTTGGTTCATTTTCTCATAGCCCTAATTGAAGATATAGTACTATTTTACAGTGTAAAAGTTGGAAAAAGTTTGATTTTTCAGACTAATAGAGTTATTTTTGAGTTCTTGCTGCTTACGAAGAACCTTACAGGGAAGTTGATATCATATTTTGTGAGACGATTCCTGTATATCACCCAAAATATTCTTTGAAGTAACAGATAAAAATCCGGAACGTGTCAATCCGCAATAGATTTTCGAATAATGAAATCATCGAAATCTGTTAAATGAGCCATGATTAGACTTTGAGCGCGGATTTCTTAAAAACTGAGAACTTTCCCAGGTTGAAGCTTCCAAGAACTGCACCTGAGACATCAAGAAGTTTTGCGGCCAATTTCCAGAAAGAGAAAAGTAAAATTACATTTTTCTCAAGAGCAAACCCGGAATTCAAGTGCAAACCCCCAAAAAATGGCTCGCTAATTAGAGAGCCGTGAAATGCTTCCTCCTTTTGGAATCTCATTGGGACGCGGAAACGGCGCAGAAGAAAAAAAGCCGCGAAATACAAGAAAAAGAGTGTGCGACGGCTGGCTGCAGGTGCAGATATCCGCTCGGCCTCCATCTTTAATTCACGGCCGTCTCCATCTCTCCTTTTTCTGTTACTTTGAGAAACTGACATAATTATCATGATTTGGACTGGAATCATATTCATTCCAATGAGTCAGAAATTTCACTTCATTCTGAAGAAAGGATCATACAGGAGATGGTGATCTAGAAGCATTTTAGGGGGAGAAAATGGCTGAATGTTGTAAAAAGATTATAAAATGTCTGATATGCTACATTTCAAGATGAAACTTAAAAAAGGAGAAGCTCGACATGAGCCCTGAAAGATAGGCTTCGGCAGGGCTTATACACCTCCCTCGCCGTAAATGAGCCGATGATTGCAGGTTCGACCTGATCTTCCTGCTGGTTGATCCTCAGGACGAGATGCACGACCGTCGCCTCGGCAACCATCTCGTCTCCCTCTACTTTGCAGCCGACGGCGAGCAGCAACGCGCCGAGAAACTCGACATGGCGCTCCTCCGCGACTACATAGGTCAGACTTCTTTTGCAGTCTGCCGCATAATAATGAGCCTTCATACATCAAAGCTCTCCTCAAATGACCTTTTTTTTGGTTGGATTGGCTTCTCACCTCATTAAGTCTTTGCGTTGTTTGAAATTTGGCGTTGAGATGCTTGTTTTTATTTTAGATCTTCCGCATTAAAAGACAAAGAAGGCATTTTGTACTGAAAAATAGTTCAAGTTTAGCGTTTTGAAGTTTTTTTTTTCCTTAATTGTTCAAGGCTGCTTCGCTTTTATATAGGAGCTATGAAAAGCTCTCGTTTCTGATTGAAATAGTGCGAATAGTTTTTTGTTTTTACCTTTCCAAAATTCAAATCCGTTTGAAGCTTGAAATTCCGTTTTAGTAGAAGAAGATATGGTAAGGCACAATTTTTTTTAACCAGATCTTTTATGTGTCTGAAAAAATATACCGAAGGAAAAAACTTCACCTAGTGATTTTTCCGTTTCATGGATTGCTCTTTTATTAGAATTTCTATTATTTTCAAAAAAACTTCTTCCATTCAATCGCACTTCAAGCAAAAAATTGCTTGAGGAAGTTAAATCCTGTCAAAATGTCTCCCAATTTCGCTTCGAACCCCGCGTAATCTGAAACTGAGCTATGAGCTCTTTCTATGGCTTTTGGCTTCGGATTCAGAGGCCCATTTCATTACATTCCTCGTTCATTGGTTTTGACTCGGCGTCGAGCAAAATGTGTGCACGCCATTTCCACAACATAACGAAAAGGATCCATTCTTTTTCCAGCCTACGCCAAGGCGAACGTTCATCCGAAGCTCGATGAGAAGACGTCCCAACACTTGATCAACAAGTATCTGCGCATGCGACAGGTCTCTTTTCGAATAAGATTACGACCTCATTTATATAAAAATAACTAAAAGAAGTTCTTTTATTTTAATGACAAGGGATTTCATTAAAATTTAAAAATCTGCAAAAAAAAGGCAGTGAAAAAGTACTAGTTTCAAGAATTCGCTAAATTTTTAGGAAAGCTGTAAAGTGCACTGAATTCAACCAGGAAAATTTTCTCCCTACCAGTGAGTCGAGAAATAAGTTTTTTCCAAGGGCTCACTAAGGAAATAGGAACTTTTTGCTGCTCCTGAGGCTTCGTTACTCGTTAAAAAAGCGAAAGCCGTGTTGAAAAACTTTCACTTGGAATAATTGTGTTCCAAATAGAGTACGTCACTGCTAAATTTCAGCAAGTTTGAAAAAAAAGAAAACATGGACTATCCTTGCAATGTATATTAATCTTTATTGTTATAACTGGACTCGTTTGCAGGCAGGTGCGCAGCATGGCCAGATCTCGGCGTACCCGCGACAACTAGAGTCGCTGATCCGACTGTCCGAGGCACACGCCAAGATTCGCCTCTCCCAGGAAGTTACGGTTGAAGACGTCGAGAACGCCTACACGTTAGTATCATCTCGGAGAGCTCCCAAGGTTCAAAGTTCAGACTTTATCGCGAAGCTCTCAAACAGTCGGCCGTCGATCCGGCGACTGGGCGTGTCGACGTCACGATTCTGGCCGCCGGCATGAGTGCCACCAGCAGAAAAACTGTCGAAATGGTGAGCAAACATGAGCAATGGGGAAGTCGTTTGATAGGATAACATGATGTGAAGCGGATTTAATTATAAAAATCCTTTTCAGAAAATTTTTGGCGGTTTAGGTTGGAACTTCAAGTGTTTTCTCATGAGTTCATCAAAAATTAAAATAAAAAATTGAATTCTCAGGTCACGGAAGCGATCGTGAAACAACTGGAAGCAACTAAGGGATCGACGACGACGGCGAAAAATCTCTACGCCGCTATCCGCGCTGAAAAAGTAAGCTTATTGAACAATAAAAGGTTCTTCTCTAAATAATGATGATTTGTTGCAGAACTGCACGCGCGAGGTGTTTGACGAGGCTCTGAACGAGCTGACGAAGAAGGAGACGATCATCCGCACCGGAGAGCGGATCCGTTTCCTCTCTCCCACAAACTAACCATTTTTCCTATAACTAATATTTTTGTTTTCATATTGACTTCCAGCTTGATAATTTTCCATTGTCACTAACTTTGTAAAATTTTCCTAAATGTAGAATCAAAAAACTTACGCGGAGCTCCAAAGCTCCCAAACTTGTCTTTTACTTTTTTTTTTCCCTGTCGCTTTAACATATCTCCTGATCATCAACTATCATATCATATTTTTTTTCATCAATCCTTACGTGCTTTTAACTATTCCTGTCGCGTCTGAGCGGCCCAAATCCATTTGGTGATGTGTTCAAAAGTACTTAACGATTTTTGTTGTCATTTTGGACTGATTCTCATATTATCAGCTCCTTTTACTTTGCGATTGTAATCATGATAAAGACGTTGAAAATATTAAATGACCACTGTTTGATTTTTTGTGGAAAGAATACCGTTTGGAGTACTTTTTGTGTGAGATTTCGAAAATAAATACCGAATATTTCAGAATGAGCGCTGAGAACTTTAGTTGCACGGACTTGGCAGCTCTCGTTAATCGGCTGAACTTCTTGAGAAAGGTGCTCCAAAATGTTGAAGACATAGGATGGAGTTTATAATTGTGTGCACTTTGAAGAAAGTGGTTGATTCGTGATGTTTTTTTGAACAAGAATAGCTAATTAGAAAAAAAAAAGTGCATGCATAGAAATTTGCACCTTCTGCACTTTACAAACGTTTGTTCAAAATAGAAGATTGTCTAACAACTACTGTTTATTATCCTAATTAGCTCTGAAGATCTTTGGTGGCTTACACTTTCTATTTCCATAATTATTTCGTCCCTAATTTCGTGCCATATTTTCCAATTTTGAAAAGGTTTTGCAGACGGATGACTCTGTTATTTTGGAGCTGAATGACGCGCTTCCGACGAAATCTTTCGATGCGAACAGCCAGATTTGCAAAAACCATTGTAGCCGTTTCACAGAAGTTGTCAGTACTTTAGGCTATTAATTTTTTTAAACCTCATAACTTTCGCCTTTTTCAAAAATATATCATCAAATTTTCAAACTGCTTTGGCCACAAAGTCGTTTTTTATGGGAAAGAAACAAATGGAAGGCTCACACGCAAGTAAATGAACCAGACATTTACACTTTCTGTTCGAAAAGGCAATCAAATAGGATATTTTACTCGCTTCAAAAAAAAAAAAGAACTTGATTCGAAGAATATACATACTTTACAGTTAACTAAGTTGGCGACGGAGCGAATGCAGTTGCTGGAGAAATGTATCGAGGAAAACGAGAGGAAAGCCGCCCAAGTCCAAGGCGTCGAGGCCCAAATTCTACGCGGAGCAGTGAGTCTTTTTCAGTGGAGTTGATTGAGAACTTGGAAAGTAGTCATGAAGTTATTAGTGTACCTCGAAAATAATCTTACGGCTTTTCGAATCCTTTTTCCAATTTTTTAATACACCCAAGCGATATATTTTTTTTCTCGTATTTTGTCATTTTTCCGGTTTAGTACATCGAGAAGTACAACTAGTCACTAGGATGGTTCCAATTCCTTTCTTTCTCAAATAAAACAGTCATGATTTTTTCTGATTTATCCTTCTCAGAAATTAACTCGGATGTCGTGCTCGGAGTAATTCCGCGATATTCGAAATGGTCTCTATACAATTTAGTCATCCTTTTCTTTTTCACGCTTTCTACTCTTACGACTACACGCTAGGACTTCTAGTTCGCCAAAGGCGGTTGTTCGTTATAGCTTAAGCAGTTCTTGTTCACCGCCTAGTCGATTGCATCAGACTAAAACAACAAAAATAAATGATTTGATTTGATTTTTTCGACGGCTGTTTTAAATTTCGCGGAATCACTTTGAACACGGCAGATGGTTTTTATCAATTTGAGTTCATCAAAAATGACGTTTCCTTTTTCCTCTACTTCTCAATTTTGATGACGTTGTGAAGCTGCAAAAGTTTGCAAGTCGGCATTTGCACTCAATTAAATTAATAATAATTGAATTGAGAGCCGACAGCTGCGGTTCGAACGCGACGTGGAAGAAGTCGTGACGGAGAGAAGTTCGCAGGCCGTCAAAGACCGCTGCTCGAAAATCTTGTGACTTTTGAATTGTTCATCAACTCTTAGGGTCCTGCTGATGTGCCTAGACATTAGCTCAATTAATTGGAAATCCTTCTTGTTCAAAAAAATACCATAATTTTTGGACATCCCTGGTTTGAAATCGACGGATCATTTGTCTTTTAATTTTGGTTTTTTTTCTTCTGAGAATTAGTTTTTTGTTTTAGTGGTTGTTTCATTTTGAAGTTATTTTTAATTATGCCAAATTTTGTTTGTTACGGATAACTGTGAATGAAGTGCCCTTGGTTTTTTAAAAGGAATGATTTCATTCACATGAAGCCCGTGCGTTGAGAACTTGACAATATGAGAAGAGAATTTCGGAGTTTGAAAATAATTTCGTTATCCTTTAAGAAAGCTTACGAGGGCGGTAAATTTAGTGTGTGGTCCAGAATTTTTTTTTTTGACTGATAACTCAAAAAAAAAGCATGTTTGCGCAGATAGTGACTATAAGGAATATCAATCTAAATTTTCAAAGAAAGGTTCGAAAAAATTCCAACTTCACACAAAGTGATCCCTTGTTGGAAATTTTGTGAAAACATGAGTTACTGATGAGATTGTCGATTCGCGTTGGACTGATTCCGATCGATTTTCTTGGCGTCGCGCAGGAATCCATTTATTGTCCGGTTGATGGCCGATTTCACGTCGGCGTAGTGTTCAAGGTGCACAAAACTGCAAAATTAAGGTATAAAAAAGTTGAGTCTGGACTGGGAATATTCGAAGTGAAAAGGTTTGATGAGAATTTTGGAAAATGTCAATTTATGGGTCGTTCGAATTTTTTCGTTGAGGTGAAAGAAACTGAATCTTTGATTAGTTTTTTTTTTGAATTTCAACTTAAAATGAACCGAACATGTCGGCCAGCCACGAAAAACTCGGCGGCAGATTCTGAATCCGTCGCCCTGATGACGTCCGCATCACGGATTCTCATATTCAAATAAGAGTCGCAGTCTTCGAGTGTGCCTGAAAAGAATCGGTAATGACTTCTGAAAAATCAAATTTCAATGAAGTTGATAAGAAATAAATTGAATCCTCAAAAATTATGTTTAATATCCAAAAAGAACTCACCGTACACATAATTATTATTTCGGAGCTCGATACAAACTTTCCGGCCCACAATCCCTTTCACAAAGCTCACGAGCCCTTTTTGGATCCTCTCCCGTTCAGTTTTGTCCATATTTTTCTTAGAATTCGGTAGGAAACGGATCAACTTTCTCCCGTACAAGATATAATCCTTGTAATAAGCCACTCTGATTTTCGAATTCCAATTGGCAAAAAAATCAACAATAAGTTTACTAATTATGCGGACCATCATACACGTCAAGCAATTGAAGATTGAAAAAATTGAATAAAAGAATAAAAGCATGCAATATAGAAATGCGGGAGGAATGAACTAGCCAGGTACGGGGAAACACAACCAGAAACGCGATGGGATGAGGATTAAAACAAGTTATTTACAATCATACAGTTAGTACTTTGGTGAGGGGCTCTTTTAATCATTTGGGACAAGAATTCGACTAGACGTGGTTAAGTAGACATGGGAAATGAATCGAAATGCCAAAGTTTTGGTCAAAAAAGGTGAGATTCTTTGTGGAAAATAGGGTAATTTCAAAACGCGCAGAACGAAAAAGCTATCCGAGTCTAATGTTAGAATTTCTACAAAAACAACAACAACAATCAAAAAACAAACAAAAAAGATTCAAATGGTCCATTCGTCGGTCCTCCAGATCACGATCGAGTAAACGTCTGCGAGCTTCGTTTCACTGACGAAACGGTGGGAAAGGCTTCTGAAACTTGTACTTAAGAGTCAGATTATTCTCATTCTTTCGAAATTTCGAAGTGTGACCGATGGAAACTGGAAGAATTTCAAATATAAACAATTTTTTGAAAGCTTATGTGAATCATAATGACTTGAACTTTCAATGAATTTTTTTCCATTTTTACAGTACGAAAATCAATAGAACTTTAGCTAGTTACGATATTTTATAACTATCTTGCCTCCAGCAGCCGAAATCAGTGGAGACTATGTATTCGGGTCAAAAAGAAGGCATTCCGCTAATACAGGAACGTGAAAAGTTTAAAAATTTCTAGTATATAACTTACTCGAAAAAATTTTGAAGGTCTAGATGAAGATAACTCAGACTCGCTACCTGCTCGAATTTCTATTTTTTTAGTCAGACATCCCTAAAAATGCGTTAGGTCAAGACTCACAAACTTTTAGTTTCATAGAATCCAATTTGCAAGTTTTGCGTTTGACATGGAACCTATCACGTAATTTGAAACTATATTTCCGAAAAAAATTTCGAGCAGGTAGCGACTATGAGAAATCTCCATTTAGACTCTAAATTCTAGAGAAATATGTAGATAATTGCGGACATCACACTATGAAGGCTCAATAGTTACTTTTTCACTTTGTATTTTCTAAGAAAAACGAGCCTGAACTGGCGTCCGATGGTTGCCAACAGCGCGGTTCCCTGCGGGTCCACCGTCGACGACGCCGTTCGGAACCTGAAAAATCTTCAAAGTGTCGGAGATTCAGTTGGTTGCGCACCTGTCGACGGTCTCACTGACGCGTTCGCGGACCCATCCGAGGCCGCTCTCCGAAGACGCCGTGCTCAGGGTGGAACGGCCTCTGAGACTGTCGCGGTCGTCCTCCCGCGGCGCCTCTTCCATCACGCTCATCGACGTGATCTCGCTCTCGTAGGGACGACAGGCGCTGATTGGTTGGAGCTGAAAAAAGTCTGAGCGTCTTTGAGATACTCCATCTACACATCATAGGACCTGAGACTTCAAAAAAAATATTACAAAAAGTGTATTCCAATTGAAAACTTATTGTTCTTTATTTTTTATAAATTTATTGAAAAAAATTCTTATGTAGCCGTGGTAAACTTTTTTTTGCTGCTGAAAATGTAATACTTTGAAATTTTCACATCTTCAAAACTACAATTTGATTTTTCTTTCTGATTCATAAGTGGGCAAGTGAATGACTGAATAAATCTCGTACGAAGACTTGAATAACAAAACTTTCGAGAAATGAGGAATACAATCAACGTGCTGTGCAACGCGACTTTCAATCTTAAAAAAATTGTAAATTTTAATTCAACTTACTAGTTAGAAAATTCGAAAAAATCTTTGCAGAGTTTCTTTTACGAAAATTTAGTTTGATTAATCGAGGGATGTCTAAATTGAGAATACAAGTTCTAAATCAAAGCAAGTTATGATTTCCTGATGTTGTTGCGAGACCTTTTCCTTTTTTAAAATAATGATATTTTCTATCTCTGTGTTTTGGTAACAAAACGAAACTTAAAAAAGGAAGAAAAAATTCTGCATATAAGAAAATTGAGGCGAAGCAAAAAATCTCACGAAAGGTTCCCATAGAAACTTTACTTTTTTTTATTTGGAAAAACTCTTTTGTTTTTTTTTAAAAAGAGGAAGTTTTAGGTTTTATTTGTGCTGATAGAGACTAGAGACTATAGAGCAATACTTTCCTTTGTTTTTGAGAAACGATATAACTCCATCCTATACTTTCTCATCTCTTGACATTTTCCTATATTCTGATCAACTCCTTCTCCCGTTCGGACATACAGTGGCGGCCTGGGCGACGACGACGAGCCCGCGACTCGTCCCGATGTAGAGATGGTCGCCGTCGCTCTTCTCCAGAAGACACATGCACGTCACGACGCTGTCGCAGGCCAAGTCGACGTCGATCGTGTGGATCGTCTCGCTCCCTGAATCCCTTCAGTTGAACCTTTCAAACCCCCTTCCGAGCAACCTGGCATCACTTTCCGAACATCTAGAGAGGCGCAAACAAGCCTCTTCTCGACGTCAACGCATTGAATTCGAGACCCTGCAAACAAAGATCCGAATAATCAGATTTTCAAAAAACACAAAAATTTTTTAACAACGCCGCCGCCAAATTAGTAGACGCTTTTTGGTTTCAGTATTTTGAAATTAAAAAATTTCCCTCCCTAATACTTTTCCACTCTGTTCCAACTGAAAGTGCACCTCATGTTAATTGATCAAAAACTAAGTTTCCATCTTTGATATTTTCTGATTTTCCCTTCTCCCAAATATGGGGTCAAGAATTAAAGTATCCTTGTTTGCACTTGTGAGACGCTAGTACGGACGTAAATATTATGAATCATTTGGAGACTGAAAAAATTTAAACTTTCACGGCTTTGTGAGCTTTCTGCATGAATATGCCAAAAAGGTCCTCTTCTTTCATATCTTGGCAGTATCACCTCTTCGCATTGCGCAAAACTTTACTCTTCACCACAGTTATTTCATCTTTTTGCAGATGGAATCGCACAAGTTTGAGATTTTCGGCGCCGTACTATCCCTGGGAATCAACACGTTCTTGGTGTTGCTGATAGGATTCCGAACGAGGACGAATCTAGGTTCCTACAAAACTATCATGGTTTGCACCTGTTTTTGCCATCTATCTTACGCAGCTATGCATATCCTTTGCCTGACGGTGAGTTGGGAAAACATTATTTGAAAGTAATAATTCATCTCAAGTCCTACTACGACCGCGAAGGAATTTATGTCATTTTTTGTACTGGATTCGTCCGACATTTCTCTGCACTTGCGGCGCAATTAATACTGGGTAAGATTCATTCTGTCTATGCAGAAAACAATAAATTAGTATAGAACTTTACTGCACCATGTATGCGATAACTTTGTTCATACTAGCGCTACATTTTATCTACAGATACTTGTCGGTGAGCAGGTGAGTTTTCAGCAGAATTTTTAAAGAAAAAATTTCTTGCAGGCCTCGGATGTTGAGGTTTTTCACCCGTAGGTATTCCTTTATCTGGGTTCTCTTGATTGTCGCTATCGGAGCCAATTGTTTCATTCTACAGTTTTACACACTGGGTCCGGTTCCAGAAGTTACCGAGGCTGTTAGGTTTACATTGAACACTGATAGTGAGGTTATTTTACTCGGAGCTCTAAAATGGCTGTTAAATAACAGAAAGATTCTTCTCTAATGAATATCTTGAAAGTCTCAACCGGTTGGGATTTTTGAGAACGTAAGCTTGTAAGTATTAGTTTACTGCAAAGTGTTTGAAAAAGGAAATTCTGACGCATTCTTTCTCAAAAATCAGGTACTGTGTAAGTAGAGGGTTTTAGTACTAGGCTCAAGAAAATAAAAAAATTTTCTAGTAACACGTAAAAAATAAAATTTCCGAATAAAATGACCTTCTTTGGAAGTGAACAAGTGCAAATGTTTAATATTACTAGAGCTTACATCTATCAACAATACAAAGAAAAGATCGACGAGCTCCCCTACAACCACGTCCGCTACTTTGTAAGTTGAAAAAGTAAGCGCAAAGGCGAAAAAAGATTTCAGATAGTCGGGGAAGGAGGAAAACTTGAGTTCAACATAAGACAGCTGAATGCCATTTTTGGCTTGGTTTTTTGTCTTGTAAGAATCTGATGGAGAAAAAAGATGGACAACATTTTTGAGCCTGCAACAATGATCGCTTCATTGCTGTGCGGTCTGAAGACGTGGAGCTGCATCAACAATCAGTTATCAGTGACGGCGGCAACGAGTACGATTCGCCTTCAAAGGCAACTTCTCTACGCACTACTCGCTCAGGTGAACGTTTTTTGAACTGAAGTTTTTTGATAAATCAAGCGTTTTCTGTTACTGTCGCTCGTTCCGCATGGTAAATTTAAGCTCCGTGAAACCATTTTCAAGAACTTTTTTTTCCGAAAAACAACTCTAAAAAATCTCAAAAGACGCATACAAAAAGATAAAAAAAAAGACACATCGTTCTAGTTTCAGTACATAATACCGTGTTTCTTCAACTACATACCTCTCCTTGTCACTTTCCTCTCTCCCGCATTTTTCATCACCTTGGATCCCTACACAAACGCGATCTGCAGTCTCATACCCTACTATCCAGCCCTAGACGGGATCGCAGTGATTCTTATCATCAAAGACTACAGAACACAGTTGAAATGTGAGTTTTCGATCTGAACTCTATCCTAATTTCTGTTTTTTTAGCTCTTGTCGGCATCAGACGACATATTTCCACGTCAAACATTTCCATCCACAACATTACACATACACATATTCGGCTGCGTTGAAATATTTTTATTTCCAAAAAAATTTTTTTCTTGCGCGAAAAATCTCTATGCTTTTTTTCTTTCTGACGCCAGAGGAGAAAAAAATAATTTTTTTTATGTGTACAAATCTATTTTTTTCATAAAGCATGTGAAAAATCACACAAAGTTCAACCACATCAAGTAAAAATAAAACTGAAGCTCTTGGAGATCCAACTTTTTTGGACGTGAGAAAATTTTTTACTTCCACGCGTATAAACAAATCAAGAACCGAAAGAGCTAACAAGCTTCCTGGATCATAGAGCGTTTGCGAAAAAAATTCTTTCAGCAATAGATGCATTATCACTTCTTGATCAATTATTTTTTACTTGATCGACTTTCTCAATAAAACTCGCCCTTACGTTCCCGGGACCACATGCGAGAAAATGATAACCCCCTCGAAATCGCTTTTTTGAAGTTGAAATAAGTTTCTACTTGTACAAACCCTTTCATTGGAGTCTTCCATACACTACAAGACTACAAAAACTTTTCGAATTATTGTTCGATATTAGGCAAATCGGCGCGCCCTAGTGGAACAGGTTGCGTGCCTGTCTACGGTCCAAAGAGTCACAAGTTCGATCCCCGCCGCGACACAACCAAGGACTTCAAGAAGTTTTGCAAGTGGGACACCACGGCTTCATAATGAATTGACAAGGATGAATATTGCACTGGAGCTAGTCCACTGATCATCACTGATGTCAGGGTAGGACCTGAAGCCAACTGCGCTTACGCGGTACAAAGGCGTAAGAAGAAGGAGAAGAAAAAGGTTGGACGATCCACCATTTCTCGATAGTCCGTTTTCTACTATCTCACATGCCTCTGGCTATTCCACCCATGCTCTTTTCTCAAAAGCTACCTCTCTCGACAGAAACCCAGACGCGGGCGGCGTCTTTGCTGCCGATCATCTGACGGACGACGGCCGTCTCGTCGGTCAAGTAGAACGAGCTGCAGAAGGAGAAGGCATCGTTCGTTGCGAGGTGGTGAATCGAAATCCGTCCCTCGCCGTGGCCCGTCCAGATTTGTCTGCGAAAGAAGATTTTTAAGGCTTTTCAAGGTTTTTCCAACCTCGAGTTTCCATCGAGAAGCACAGCGCACCGAATTTCATAAGGACTGTCGAATGTGCCGATTAAAGACACCTGAAAGTAATCAATTTTACTTTCGCAAAACTCGCATGAAATTTTTTTCTGGACTTATCAAACTTCAGTTTGCAAAATACGCGAATTGTGACAAAAGAGCGCTATTTCAAGATTTTGAAGATTCATAAACCGAAAAAAGATCTATTGCGAGAGTTTTCTCTTTTTCTAAAATCAAAAGATCCTAAAGTACACTTCAGCAAAACTTCTCCAAAACTTCAACCGAGGGATAAAAAACATCTAACATCGTGTCCACGAAACATGTCACCTAGACTATAAATTTTATTCTAGATGTCAAAAATCGTATACTTTCTATTTCTCCAAGTCGCCAACTCTTCACCGCCATCGATTTCTATTCAACCTACTTTGTAAAATACATATTTCAAACTAATTTTCTTTAATAATCAAAAACGATATTTATTTATTTATTTTTACTTAAAACGGCATGTTAAGTCGGCTATCAGAAGTTCAATTTTTCTTCATAATAAAGTTGCTTTTTCTCGCTTTTTGGTGGCTCAAACCACAGACGTCAGAAGACCTTATTTCTTGCCACATTAATCGCCTCACCGAGTTTGTTTCAGTCAGCCGCAGAAGAACGATTTGTTTGTCAGAAATCAAGGCGAGGACGTCATTTCCAAACAATTCGGGCGGTCGAATCTGAGGGATAACTCTGTTTATTATAGGGAAAAGCAGCAGAGAAATATATCCTCAGAATCAAGTTATTACCAAAACTCCATTCAAAGACGGCAATTGAAGATGTCCCGTCTCGTACAGCGTCACACCGAATACCGTAACTTGGCCGCATTCGTCACAAGACCAGATCGAATCTCGAATTCGGGAGAGGAACTTGGCTCGGAACGGCAAGGCTATGGACTACAAAATACGTTTTAAAATACCAAGAAGAAGGAAAAAAAACCTTGTTATCGACGAATCCGTACTGTGTACAGCTCATCACGTTCATTTCTTTGCCGCTCATCCAAATCTTGAATAGTTTTAAAAGATAGAACTCACATTCGTTAATCAAAAAAACCTGAGCTTCAAAATCGTCAGGATCATCGATTTCATCGGACATTGGGATAGGAAGAAGACATGTTGGTGGTAGGGCTTCTGAAAGATATTTATCATATTTTAGAGAAAAGTAGGAATGAATCATGAAATACAGCTAGGACTTCAGTGTTTTAAAAAGTCCAAATTTACGAATTTGAAGATTAAACCCATAATGGCGATTAGTCTATGGCAAGTTTATTTTCGTTGAGGATTTTTCGGCTCTGAAAAATTTTTTTAATTTGGAGCAATACGTTAAGAAGCGATTTTGCCTTGAGAAATTCCTTCAATCTGTTGGAAAAAAAACTGACAAAAATTAAAAAACTTGAGAGTTTGTGAAGATTAAAGCTTTTTTTAAATAAAAAAACTGGAAGAATAAAAATATTTTACTAGTTCGAGTTATAATGAGCATAGGGACAAATGTTTTGGGAATAGTTTTTTGAAAAAAAGTTATCCTGGCCTTCATTGAAAAGCTCTCTTTATACAAACACTTATATTCCCCTATCATTCCCTGATTGAAACCAACCATTTAGTTCACAAACGTCCAAGACGTGAGTGAATTCTGGCGAGGCGCAGAACCCGACGAGTTGTGAGGAAGAGGGCCGAGAATCCGGATTCGCCGCCCAACAGTGCACCAGAAGATCCAACATCGGCGTCGGAAACAACAGCTCCTGCAGTTGTTCATTTCATAGTTTCTTTTGGACATGTGAAGAGAACTCAGAGACCTTGTCCTTATTACTCACACATTTATTATCCGTATTTCTTCAAGTTCAAAAAATTAGAAAAAGATTGAAATTTGTCTAAATCGCAGTTGACAGACATTGGCTCGTAGTTTGAGCCGATTCAGGGCTAACTTGAGACTTGAGGGGTGGTCCGTCTGCGCACTCTATCAACCAGACACTGTACCTTTTCTTATCGTATCAGGACCATTTTTTCGATATCTCAAGCCAGCCGTATATCAGCTACGAGAAGAGAAAAAAAAAATTCATGAAAAATTGGATTATGCTGAATATCCCCTCAAACTATTAATAAACTTTTTTTACGGACTCCGCGGCCGTTTTTGAGACCAGATTCGGAATAAACGTGAAAAACTATATCTAGTGAACTTGGCCCCATTGCGACCAGAAACCTTTCCCTGGTCAGGAGCTATTCTATTTGAAACTTTTAGAGGTTTCTAAACTATCCTGTTACAAAATAGCTATTTATTTAAAAACATAATTTTAAGTAATTCTGGATCCTTTTTACTTTCCAAAAACTCGATTCGAAACGAACATGAGGGAGAAGAACGGGCCGGGCGCCGTCGAGAAGTCGTTCCTTGACGTGTTCCTCGCCTTCGAAGGGCAACTTGAGCGTGAGCAGCTCATAGAGGAACATTCCGAACGAGAAACAGTCCACCTTCATTTCAAGTCTTTTCGGGAGATGGACTGGCCCGTTCAAACCTTCTGCGTGTACTCTTCTTCGCCGTTGAATCGCACGATTTCCGGCGCCATGAAGCCTTCCGTGCCGCCAAAGCCCTTCGCTCCTCCAGATGGCAGGACGGATCTCGAAATTCCTGAAAGCACTGATAAAAGTCGGAAGAGACATGAAGAAACGGACCATAATCACCCAGTTTGAGAAGGACGTCCAGTTGATTGCTGAAAGGCGCAGGGAATCTCCAACCGAGAACGTTTTCGCTCTGAAACTTTTTTTTGAGACCGATTTTTTAGGACCGATTAGACTTCCACAAATAAATGACGAACTCAAAAAAAAAAAAGTTAATGTTTATAAAAACTTGATTTTGTAATAAATTCTTACAGAATTAACTGTCTTTTTGTTGTTGACATCTTTAAAATTTAGCAAAAAAAGAACCTTCAGATCTCTGTAGATGATATGCGCCGAGTGGAGATATTCGAGAGCACGAGCGACCTGAAAAAAAAATCAGGGAAACCGACAGGATTCCCAACGAACTTGGACGGCGGACTCTTTGATCACTCCCAAGGACAGCTTGGCCCCGCTTTTCCTGTGCGAAGCCAACAATTGGCTCAGAGATCCCAGAGGCGCAAGTTCCACGACGAGAGACAATGGCGAGGTACACACCTGCCCATCAAATTACTGTAATTCAGGAAGAAAATATGAGAGGAACCCCGACAAGTCCGATGACGTTCGTATGGCGCATGCGGCTCAGCAAATTCAGCTCTTGCCGCGAAGTACAGTATGCCCGACAAGCGAATTCCAACGAATCTCTTCGCCATTTATCCGCCGCCGCCTTGAAATATTAGAATATATGTTCACTTCAAACTAAAAGGACAGCGGTCGCACGTGAAATGGCTCGGCGATTAAACCGAACCGAAACTACTTGCGCGCAGATGCACGGATCTCAATTCTAAGGCCATGGCAATCAAAATAAAAAGAAATATGATAATGAATTTCAATAAACTTAGTTGAGACATCAAAAATCATTAAAATTTCCTTGAGGCCGAAAGATTACTTATTTCATTTACGTTTTGTACTTCACCATAGTTTTTGAAAAAATATTGAAACCATCTTTTTTTTTTAAAGCCCTTTTTCGTCTCTTTCTTTCAAAAACACTGAAAGTAATCACTTTATAGGCAGCCAAGGCGGAAGGTCTGCCGCCAGGACCTGGGTCCACAGGTTCCAGCATTTTCTGCGCCACTTCACACAGCTCTCCATTCTGAATTTAAAAACGAGTTCTCCCCTCTAAATTGATTACAGTACCTGAAGTCTTACGGTGGCGCGGAAGACGAATCCGAACGCGCCACGGCCCAACATCCGACCACGACGCAGCTGATCCGCAGGGACCAACAGACTGCACTCGATGTCCGCAAACACCGTGTCCGGAGCGACGTCCCGCATGTGCACTCCGCTGTGAGTCGGACATTCCAGCCAGCCGTATTCTCGGCCTTCAAGAGGGATAAATTAGAAGCCGAAACTCTTGAATCGTAGCTTCAGGGTCTAGATTTATAACCTGCGCAAGGTCCTAACTTTCGGGAAATGCCAGCTTGTCTTAGAAAGAAGGGATTTCAAAGGAAAAAGGCATTTTATGTGTTTATATGAAACTACTTCTCAAAAATCATACTGTTCAACTTTTTTCTTACCGGCAAGCATGCACTCTTCGATGGCGAAGCAGTGAAGAACTCCGACCGAAGCGACGTCTCCAGCCGTCTTCGAGTTGCGGAACTGGCTGGAACTTTCAGAATCTCAAGAGCCGCCCGATATCTCGACAACCTGTTCAGAGGAGTGCGTTGTCGGCTGCCGGGACTCAACAGCTCGCTGTCGTCGTGCGAACGTCGCGCCTCTGCTCGCTGGGCGGCGACGCCGACGTCGGCCGCACAGTCTGAACAGGGCACCATTCGCGACACGAGGAGGTCGCCTTCGGAGGAGTGCACGAATCGAGTTCCCAGCGCCGGGTACCTGTATTAGGTAAACTTTTTTCCTAGAAATTTATTGAATTCGATGAAAAATATACTCGTAGAAAAATTCTGAAAACTTAATTATCAATTATTGAGAACGGAAAAAAATTTCTAGTTAAACGCAAATTTTTTTAAAAAAGAAGAAAAAAATTGGACGTTCTCGAAAAAAATTCGAATTTTGTCCAAGTTCAGACTTTCAGGGAATCAAGAATTTTTCAAGTCTTATATTTCAAAGATTCCGAGTAAAATTACCTTCACTGTCAACTATTCTGCTTCTATAGCTCTTTGTGAAAAAAAAAACTTCTGATAAATTAAATCTCGAACGCTAACGGATCCCTTCCGATCGCAGTGGTACAGTAAAAATTGAAAAATACTCCCATTTTTTTTTCTGCATCTTTCTATGGCAAACTTCTCACTAAGCCCCGGTAATTCACATACTTTTCTTCTCTTATTTTTCCTTCAAACTCTATCGATTCGAAAATATTACCAATCCTCCAGAAGCGTGTCCAGAAGATCGACGATCAGAGCCAAAAGCCGACTTCGTCCTTCCAAATCCGTCTTCATACACATTTTCTCACCGGAAATCGCGGCTGTGATACTGTAATTTTTCCGGTTTCAGGGCTGCTTCCTCAGAAATGCCTCAAAGAAGAGAAGAGGATCTCCAGAAGGGGCTTGTGCTCGTCGGTGTTCCACGTCCGCCACCGTTTCTGTTCATCTTTCGCCCGCATTTCAACCGAGTTGTAATTGACGTCCCTAACTTCTGCCTGCAGAAGCCTTCTTTTAAAACCAATGTATTTCGGAAACGGGAACCTGAGGTAAGAACTGCTTCAGAACAAACAACGAGTGGCCCTTGACGTGAAGCTGAAAGAAAAATTTAAAAAGATTTTGAAGCGCAATAAGGATTAGGAATTCGCGACAAATATTTTTTTTATTTGAGGCGGAAGTTAAAGTCATGTATTTTCGAAAGACCTCAGCAGAAGGAATGAGCAAAATGAAAGTTGGAACCAATTCAAGAATTCTGAGGGCAGTAAAAGGCTTTGGAGTATGAAAAAAATGCATTTTTATTTTTTTATTGATTCGAAACATCAGAACTTCTGTAGATCCATTTTCAATTTGCAATTAATTATTGAACTTTTCTCAATCTTCATTTAAAATTGAATTTAATACTTAACCAGTAGAAAATTCCTCAACACCTAGGGTCACAATTTCTTCAATTTTTTTCACCCTCTAACTTTATCGTTAGCGGAGCTTTGAAAAATCATAACTCCAAAATTTTTTTTGAAAAACATTATTCCTTTTCCGTTACCAGAAGTATAAAAACAATATCAATCAAAAATGAGCTCAATTTCAGACACTAAAATATTGGACTTCGCAAGTCCATAGCTTTTTTCACCGAAGTATTGGGCCGCCTTTGAGACCGGATTTAGAAAACGTAAAAAACTACATCTAGAAAGCCTAGTCTAATTCAGAAGTCTCACGGTGAACCGGAACCATTCCCTGGTAAGCTTTTCGATCGTCTCAAACTCCTAAAGATACCTCAATTCCCGTCTGCCAGACGACCCACTCGGCCTTGATTTGCGACCCACAGGTCGACTTCATCGCGACGGCTTCGCGTTCCGACGTCGCCGCGAAGATCGACTCCGCAGCTCGACAGACGTTTTTGTCGCCCATCACCCTGAAGTTGCAAGAAGGTGAAAAATGAGGCGTTTGCTTTCCACCTGGTCACAAGTCTGCTCCAGAAGCCGGAAGGAATGTAAGCCAAGGCATAGACTCTTCTCAACACGTGATCGTCTTCGTATGAGAACGTCATCATGAGGTCTTCTGAAGCGGGTGACGTCGTCCCGTTGGTTTCAGAAGAGGCGACCGCGTCGACGTTGGCCGTCCGGTGGAGGACAGTCTTGGCAATCGGCACGAGGTTTCCCGAGTAGGCGAAGGAAGTTGAGGCTGTGGTCGGAGGCGGAGGAGGAAATCGAAGACTCCAGGACGTCATATGCATCTTGATCTGAAAAACCCGGGTTAGATAAGTAGATTCATATCCCGCAACTTTGACGGCTTTGCTGAAGAAATCGGCGCGGAGTTGGTACTCGTCGGGCAGGAGTCCTGGAAGGATCAACTGCCTGGGCGAAGACGTCAGGGCCAGCTCGTACTTGTGTAGAAGATCCAGAAGTTGGGCCTGAAAGTTCGATGAAACCTGTTTTGAACTCTTTCTCTGTATTACTTTTAGTTGAAGGGCTGCCGGAGTCTTGAACCCTCTGACTAATGGATTTATAGCATCCAAGGAAAGTAATCCAGCTGGCAAAGAAGGGGATCTGAAGAATAAGGTGATGAAGAGTAGGCACGTTTTTTTCGTGTGCTATACTTGCAAAAACAAATTAAAGCTGAAAGTTTAAATATTTTCGATAACTATTTTTTCATCAACACTTTGTTGAGCCTCAATTTTTCATATACATTGTGAGCATTTAAGATTCAATTTTTTACCTGAGAGCTACAACTCCAGCCAAAAGCTCGGCGAGCCAAAGAGGATCGACGAAAACGAGATCTCGGAGAGTAGCGTCCTGAATCATTCATTGATTCAAAATCAATGGAAATTTGGCTTTAAAAGGGAGTTTTTTCTACTCGAATCAAATGTATTACATTTTTTTGAAACGGCAAGATGGATAGTTCTAAAGTTCTGCACCTAAAAAAGGTCAATTTTCAAAGCTTCTGAATTTGTAAGTAAAGTGGCCTCTCTAGTGATTTTTTTTCTTAATTTTCCTATCCGACCTCAAACCGAACAATTTCTCCGCAGTCGTGCAGAAACGAGCAAGCGCCGTGGAATTCGATATCGTCCCTAAAGATACCGAGAATTCCCATATTAACAGAATTGGACACACCTGAACGGCCTTCCAAGTTTCCCGGTCATTCTCTTTTTGGCCCTTTCTTTGTAGGCCTCGAAAGTCATGACGGCCGGTTGACCTTCCTTCGAGAATTCAGAGGCCAAGTCTCTTGAAATCTGAAAGTTCCCTCAGATTCCTGGAAGTTAGTTCCTCTCTCAACCTTCATCAAAGCGACGTAAGAGGAGGAGATCTGTTGCTCGAGGGCCCGTTCTTTGCCGACTCGAACTTCCCACGCCGTTTTGTAGATCGTGTTGAGAAGTTTCTGCAATCAGTTGGCGGCAGAGATGAGAATAGAAAAACCTTGATGTCTGGCTTGTTTTTGGCAGAAATGAACAAGACGTCGACTACCCGGGGCAGGCCCGTTTTGTCCGCGTCGGCGATCATGAAACGCTGTCGAACCTTCAGAAGAGCCTTTTCAAAAAGCAGGGACAAGAGAATGATACCTTGTTTTCCAAGTCAACCAAATAATTGGCTGGGAATTTGCTCGAGTTGCTCGCGACCTGATCCACGTTGGTCCCGACCAAAATGACTGTGGCGTTAGGAGCTCTGGCCTGCAGGGAAAGTGATTAGACTAAGCTTTGAAAAAATGTCATTCTTTACTTTTTAGCCGGATCACACCAATATTAGACAGAAAACATAAAAAAAAAGAACGGAGAGTTTGTGTAGAAAGCTACTGACTTCCAAGTCCATCAGAAAGTTAAATCTGGCAAAAAAAACATTTCCTGGCGAGTTCAGAGACACTAGTGAGACATTCAGAGTTCGATAAACTTTTGTCACTTTATGACGGTGAATTCTTCCTTTTGTAAATTGTACAATTCAATTTTTTTTCTTTCTCACATACATGGATGTTGACGAGCCAAGAGTCGAGCTGGTCCAAAGCCTCGTCGCCGTCCATCACCCGCCACAGGACCAGGGTCAAAGAGCGTCGGCAGAGGAAGTACTGATGAGTTGAGTGGTATTCTCTCTGAAGGAGAGAACGAAAACTGCACGAGGACACGTCTGTCCAACCTGTCCTCCAAAGTCCCAAGCAGTGAGTCCAACTGTCCCAAGCGCCGGCTCGCCCTTTCCCCGTTTCGCCTCGTACTTCCATTCGGCCACGCGGACGACGCCCGTTTCTGACTGCAATTTCTTTTTTAAACTGTTCAATCGGGATGATGAAAATGGAATTAATTCACTCATCTTTAAAAAGTTGATTTGTGGAAATTTCATAACCCAAAGACTTATTAGATCCAGACTTGAATTAACCCATTGCAAAGCTATCAATGTACTTTCTATGCTTTCGAATTTTCAAAAATGGAGTAGAAAGTGCTTCATTTCTAGAAACGATACCTTTAAAAGATTCTGTTAAATGCAAATTATCCATATCAAGCCATTACCCAATTGTATCAAAATTTCAAAGCAGCAAAAAATGAGATTAATTTTGACACATTCGAAAAAGTTAAGCTTCCAGCCTTTTTCAAAGCAGCATTCTATAGCTGATTCACGGCTGGCTTGAGCCATCGAAAAAATGGTCCTGACACGATAATGCACGAGATAGCGCCTGGCTCGTGGAGAGCGCAGAAAGGACACGCCCCCTTAGCGTCCCAAGCTGGCCGTGAATCAGCTATAGCAAAATGATCAAACACCTGTACGAAAAGAAATTTCTTTCACTGATCAAAAATGAATTTTTAAAAAATATTTCTGCGAAGCTGGTAGGAGTCATTTTATTTATTATGTTGAATATTTTGTTTTGCTCCAAAACTTATTTGGTTACTTCCATTGTGAATAATGTTCGTGGAAGAGAATTGCGAGAATAAACTTAAGAAAAAAAAAGTTGAACACGTATGTTAAAAAATAAATAAAACGTGAACTGTTTATTTTTGTTTCACTTCTAAAATCAACGTAAACAAGACACGTATTCACCACGTGTTGCCACGTTTCTTGTTTTTTCTTCGACGGTGACCTCGTTTTGGATTCATATCACTTTTGTTCTTTTCGCGAGCTGCGGAAGTCCGAAGGCTCTCCCTTCAATCGACTTCCCGACTCCATCAATCCCCGGTAAGTTCAAAGCTTCTTTTTTTAAATATCAATAAGAATAGAAAAGTGAAAGATGAGCGGTAGGTTAGGAGCATGAAATTTTTTTAATTTTTTAGAAGTAGAAGAGGTTTTTTTATCGCATTTATAGATTAATTTTTTATTTATTTCTCTTCGATTCGGCCTAAAATATTTTTTGAACTAAAGTGGAAATATAATCATGAAAAAAATTGAGCAAGAAAAATTTGTTTTCTTTACAGTAGGGGTTAGTTAATTCAACTAGTGGTCTTTTTCGATGGTACGTCTCAAGTCCGCAAATCTCCGGAGTTTTATCTCAAGTCCGCAAATCTCCGGAGCCGTTATCTCAGAGTACCGTAATCTCAAGGCCCATAATCTCCGAAACCATTTATCTCCGAAAACAAAAAAGTTCAATTTTCTTTGTCTTTTTTGCATTTTGTTTTTATTTTTTCCTTGTGTTGTGCTCAGAATACAATCTCCGACCGAAACTGCGTACGGAAGCCAAATATTTTCGTTTTTCAAACTTTTTTTTATTTTCTCCACTGAGTGAAAAAAATTTTCAATTTTCAAATTGATATTTCTTTCTATTTTTTTTGTTCTTTAGCTTTTCTGATCACTTTTGCATGTGGACAGCAAAGAAAGAAAGAGTGAAACTCGAGCTTCGAAGTGGCTTAACTTAAAATTGTTCAGCTTCTCAATGAAAGTGGAAACTTGATGAATAAATTAGGATCCGGCGAAAAATTTGGATCGGAGATTGTATTCTGAGCACAACACAAGAAAAAAAAAACAAAATGCAAAAAAGACAAAGAAAATTGAACTTTTTTGTTTTCGGAGATAAGTGGTTTCGGAGATTATCCGCCTTGAGATTACGGTACTCTGAGATAACGGCTCCGGAGATTTGCGGACTTGAGATAAAATCGTACCATCCTTTTTCCCTCACTGCAACATCATCATACCATCATGATGTTGCGAAAATAAACTGATTGATTGATTGATTTTTAAAAAAAACTAAGCTTTCATATCTTCATTAATCTATAGCATTTCACAGTGAAAAACAAAATAAAATAAAATTTTTTTGAAGCTAAAAAAATCTCATGAAAGAAAATAACTAAAAAAAAATAAGTTTCACGTAAAAAAGTCCCTTTTTTTTTAAAATGAAATTCCCCATTTTTCCTTTTTGGGTCTAATTCAATTATTCATAACCTTCTTTTCAGGCGAAAAAAGTCGAGAAACGTTCGAAATCGAAAAATCTACTTCTTCTACAAAATTCTGCTATTCAATCTACTTGGACTACTACAGCTGTGAAGAGGTACCACTTGAAGTTCGTAAAAGCAACTGAAAGTGTTTTTTTTTCGTTACATTTTTGCGAAATATAAGGCGATTACCAATCAATCCAAGTATCATGTACAAGGCAGAAAACACTGTTTTTTATCAACTCGAAATAAATTTGAACTCACACTGGCCGGTTGTCTTTTCTGAACCGCCTCGTTTCTCAGACCGTCCCAAACTGTCGTTTTGCCGACTTGGTCCGACCCAAGGATCATGAGTCTCAAGTGATGATAGGTTTTCGATCTTAAAATGGCATTATTGGACTGGGAAACTAATTCGAACCCACTCTTCTAGAATAGTCTTGAGGTAGGCAACAATTTCGACAGTTTTGCAATTTTCCACGTTCACCATTGACTCAAGTGGCTCCTTCAGTGAGCAGCCTTTTAGAGACAAAGACCATAACCTTAAAAAAGTTAAAGAATTACAAACATGGGCGCTTTTTTATATTTTTTGACGATAGCAAATTATAGCGAATTTTAAGATAATGCTATTAATTTCGAAAATTTTTCCCGCTGTAATGTATGAAAATTGAAATTTTCCGCTTAAGTGGCTACTATAGAGGTTCTCTATTTAGTGGCCACTTCAGTAGTTTTTCACCCAGTATTCCTTTCAGTAACTCTGATGAATAAAAAAAAACATTGAACCATTCATGTTGATATATTGATCCCTATAGTGGCCACTGAAAATTTTCCCAGTTAGGTGAAAATTGGTTAAATGAGAGCGAAATCGGACGTTTTTAAGCATTTCTAGGGGTCCCTTAAGGGTTCTAACGCTACTAGAGTGGTCACTGCACGTCTGTTTGACGTTACCAATGTCTAAGAAAAAAAAAAATTAAGAATGGAATGAAAAGCGCTTTTGTAAAGGCAGGTCTTTGTGAATTTTGAAATTCTTATCCACCTGGAAAGCATTCCCAGATCAGGGGGCAACTCCTTGATGTTGGTGTTGTTGGACAAGTTCAAGACGGAGAGCAGAGGTAACTTCGACAATTCCCCAGAAACGACGTTGAGCTTGTTGTCGCTCAAGTCCAAAACGTTCAAACCCGACATAAGGATCTGGAAATTCATTGGAATTGAAATCATTTGTGATTGGGTTAGACTTTTCCGTCGGCTCTGACGACAGAGATGGTCCTGAGGCGATTCCCGGCCAAATTCAGAGTTTTGAGCCATTCCAAGGAGTCGTGACGTTTGTGGACGCATTCCTCCTCTTTCTGGGCGTCGACGGCCTGATGTCTCGAGACACTCAGAGATCTTTGCGACCTCACTGCCGACTTGGAACGGCTTCCTGAAAATAAAAGATTTCCAGGAGAACTTTTTTCGTCTATAAACCTTTTAGAAGTCAAAAATTCGGAAGTTCTTCAGGTTTTTTTGAAGTTATAAAAGAAGAAAAGAAAAGAAAAATTTTTTTGATGGAAAAAACTAAATACCAAATGGTTCTTCTATTTCAAAAGATGCCAACGTCGGATATTTTCCTTCTGTTAAATTATTTGTTCGGGATTTTTCCTGTGGATTTTGGCGAACATTTTCAACTGGCAACGTGGCGCAGTGGCTAGCGTCTTGACTAATAGATACTGTGATCCTGGTTCAATCTTATTGAGCGCAAAAATGAATATTTTCTTCTTGAAATATTCAAATCGTTGAGGTGAGCTTCCCAGTGTACTCTCAATAGAAATGACTCCTACGAGTGGTATTGAGATCCAATATTTTGCGAATAAATAGCGGAAAAAGCTGACTATGCTGTCGGACAGGACTGTTTCTCCTTCGCGGCATCATTCCGCCGGTCGTCGTCGACGGTGGAACCGCGTGGCAGACTGTGTGCAGATGCGTCGGCGGCGTGAAGTTCTCCTACAACTTCTCTTCAGTTTCAAATTTCTCTTTCTGTGGCCACCTTGATGTTGTTGAAGGAGAAATCGAGGGTTCTTATATGAGCCGGGATGCAGGAAACCGGCGGCAGAGCGGTCATCGCGTTGTTCGACATGTTCAGGACCAGAAGCCGCGGACAGCAGCACGCCAAGCACATCGGGAACGCGTGGAACTGCAAAATGGATGTTGTAGTCGATTTCTTGTCACAATATTCGAATCTTCAAAAAGTTTGTAGGCGAACTTGAATGAGATTTCAATATTAAACTAGGTCAAACTATCTTTTCGTAGTTGTTAGAGATGATAGTGTCGATTTTCAAAATCGTGATTATGCAGAAATTTAGAAACAAAACTTTAAAATATTCAAAATGGTAAGAAGTTTTTGGATTTCTCACTCTTTCATTTTTATTTTTTTGCTAGCCGTTTTAAATTATTTTTCTCCCAAAAAGAAACTTATCCAAAAGCCAAAGTTTTCAAGCCTAAGCCTATCCTTGCGATGATATCTTCGAAAAATACTTTGTTATGCGACAAATTGATGGTGGTCAGAGTGTTGGATGACGTCACCGGGAAGTCCGGAAAAAGAGAATCATCGTCTACCTGAATTCATAAGATAATCTAATGAGACAGAACAAAAAAAACTTTTGATAAATTGATATCGGCCTGCCAAACGTTTTGGCGCTTCAGAGGATGGTTTGTAACGTTGGAAGGGCCATCGATGATACTGTTATCGCCAGGTAAGGGGACTGGAAATGGCGGTTATGAGATCTCAGATGAAGAGAAAGGAACCAGAGATGTTTTGGACGAGCCCGGGCTGGAGCTTGGGCCTTTCGCCGCGGGCACTTCTTGAAGCGACCATCGGCAGGGAACTCAGCCGGTTGAAAGAGGCGTTGAGTTCTTTGAGAGAAGGACACAGCCAAATATACTCGGGAAGTTGGGCCAACTCGTTCTTCGAGACGTCCAGAATTTGGAGCTGCGGCAGCGAAGAAAGAAGCTGCAACAGGTTCCCTTTTCATTTTGTCTTTTCGAGCTTCTCGCGCTTTTTAAAGGCACAAAATGACGATTTTTCGCATGATTACAGCACCAAATTATGAACAAAAATACCTGCGCAGTCAAATTTTCCAGTTCATTGTCTTTCAGATTGAGTATTTCCAACGAAGTGGAGCTGATGTAGTAGCTGGGCATCTCGATCGTCTTCAAATTGTTGCCGGACATGTTCAAAGACCTGAATTATTTGTTTTATGCTTCAATTTGAAACGTGAAACTACCTTAAAGATGGCATTTGAAAGAGCACAGATGGGAATATGGCCAAGCGATTTGAAGAAAGGTCCACGCGAGTGATGGCGGCGAGAGAAAGTCTAAAATTTCAAATTAACTCAAGACTTTTGAATTATAGAAAAATTTGTGTTACAAAAGGTCTTCTTGACAAAAATATGTCTCTTTTCTGAGCTCTCATCTAATTTTTTCGCAAGTTTCGAAGAAGAACCTGGTGGTCCGAAGACGCGGATTGACGTGGAGCGCGGCGCCGATGAACCACTCGGCCTGGACCGAGTCCAAATTGGCGGCCGCCCAATTGAGCTGCGCCGCTCGCGAAGGACACAGCGACGACGGCAGCAAGTTCTGTCCTACTTGGATCTGCACAAATTCCAATTTCCATCGAGTTTCTTTCACTGCAAACTTGGCCAACGTCGATGTTCTTCTTGTTGATCTTGTACTCGGGGTCGGGAAACACGAGTCGCGTTAAGAAAACCCGCATCAACTTGTCGTTGTGGCTCTGCAAAATCTTTTTTTTTCAGACAAGTTTGATAAAATTAGAGTTCAAAAAAACAGATTACCGGAACTATTATGAAGAATTTTTGATAAAAACCAATATTTTTTTCGACTGAAACAGTTCAATTTATATGAATTTGTGTCTATTTTGACAAGATAATTTGAAAGATCGCAATCTTCTTCGAAGGTATGAATACGCTTTTTCATTTGACATAGAATAGCTCTTTTTTTTTATAAATGTCTGACTTCAGCTGCCAGCCGAAGACCCTTGTTGTCGGTATCCAAAGCTCCTTTATCCAACAGAAAGTGAACGATGTGAACGGCATCAGAACGGACTGCTTCTACTAAGGCACCAGATCCTGAAACGAATAGATCAGAAATCCATCTTGTACTGTTCGATAACCGACCTATACACCTTCCTTCTTCTACACTCTGTTCAGAATCCAAAACGGCCAGCGGCAAATTTATATCGGCCCCTGCGTCCAGTAACAAACTGCAACGTATTATCTTCCTTGAGTAAAGTTTGAAGGATGAGAAGACCCACTCGTTATCAAAATCCGCCTGGGCCAAAAGGGAAGCAATCATTGTGAATAGAACATGAATAAGGGATACTTGGAAAACACTGGGAAGTAGAAACAGACAAAAATTTCGTGCAGAAATTTCAACTATTTGCACAGTTGTGCAGAGCAATTGCAATGATTCGTGGTGGGATTGAAAAATACGTTATTGTTTTGTTTTTGATTCAATGCGATAATTAGAATTTTCTGTTGCAATAGAAAAACTATTAAGATTTGAGGTAAACTTTTTTTCGAATTGAATTTCAGAGTTACTATTGGTTCTTCTTGGAATGAAAGAATGAAATGAAATGAAAACTCCTGACCAGTCCCTTGAAACTAACTTCAGCATTTGAAGTGAGTGGTTATAGGCAGCCAACATAAGCGGCGTCCTTCCGCGGGTACAGTAAACGTCGACTTGAAAAGGACACCGTCGAACTCCATCCACAGAGTCACTAGTGAACTGCAAAACTTGAGGATGAAAGATTTGGAAAAAAAAATGTGCACATTTCACTTTTGAAGCTGATTTAGACTCGGCACAATTCCGAGAAAACCGAATGTGGAAATTGTTTGATAATGACTAATTTTTTCTTAACATTTTCGTGGAGCTGTTTTGTTCCATATTTCATAAAACTGGAACTTGTTTCTCCCTAGACTTCCACTCTCAAAACAAGGGACCGCAACGCTGTTTTTGAATCTCATCCAATAACTTCGATTTTGATACCATCTTATAGCTAATGTTCCCCATAAAAACTTTAAAATAATCTGACGGACTTCGAGCATCGCCTGAACTACGTTGAGATGGTTTTCTGCAACGGCGAGGTACATGGCGGTCCGACACTCGCCGTCGCCTTCGTTCACGTCGATCGCGTGTAAAAAAGCTGGAGCACCAACAGTGTCGATTTCGCGAACGATACTCGCCGGGTAGTCATAAGAAAGGATTCTGCAAAACAAGAAAAAAACATTTATTTCAGATCTATATCAAAAAGACAGCTAAAAATAGACCTTTGTGAATCATATTTTATTGTGAAATCAATCCTCCTCTCCCGTGTTCTTGTTTCTTTTGCGACGTTAATTTCATTCGGCTGACTCTCCTCTAGCATGCTACGTAATTTAAAAGAGCTCTCATTCTTCACGAAAAAAAATAGTCTCAAAATTTAGAGAGCGTTTATCTAAAAAATCCAGAAGAAAAATTTTCTCTCTGAGTTTTTTTTTTGAATTTTATTTTTTTCGGTTTTTTCGCAGCCTTTCCACTGTTATTAAAAAAAGAAAACTAACAATTTAACTGCTTCTGCTGATCCGCATCGCGCCGCCCAATGTAGACAAGTAGAACCGTCGCAGTTCGTATTAGAAATCAAAGCAGGGAAATTCTGAAATTGATTAATTTTTTTACAAAAAAATCAGTTTCAATCGGAAAAAAATTCAAATTTCGCGCCAAATTGTCATTCGAGCAAAATTGACGTTAATTATTTTTTTCTCGTTCCCAAAAATTTTTCACTTTTCAAATTTGTTTATTAAAAATATTTAGATATTTGCTAATTTGTTCTCTCAAATTTTTTTACAAGAAAAATTCTATTTTAGTAAAGGTATGCTCTCCGACATTAATGCGTTTCGTTTGAAACTATTCACTTTGTTTCATTTTTTTATAAAGGCGTACAGCTTTTTTTCTAAATCATTAAATTTATTGTTTTCATGGATTTGAATTTATGATAGGAAGAAGAGACTCAAAACCAAAACCTCTTCTCTCAAAAACAATTCTTTCATAAATTTTCAAATCCAGTGCTTTCGCGCGTCTCTTTGTTCTCGATTTCATGACGTCACTCAGACCGTGACGTCACTGAACCCTTTGCACTCTCGCATGCTGAGCAGGGTAACCCCGCCGTGCTAACACGGGGTCTCCGCGGGTGCCCCCGTATTAAACCCGTAAAAGCCCAGCTGATAGAACTTTTGGCAATTTTTAGCCCAACTGAGACCCCGCTTTAGCCCAGCTGGGTTACATATTTTTCTTACACCCGTTGTTCCCCCGTTTTAGCCCAACTGAGACTAAAATAACCTCAGAAACACGGGTTAAATACGGGTACACCCGTTGAGACACCTGATCAGCATGCGAGCTTGTCTACGAACGAAGTTTCAGAGATCGTTTCGCCGCGAGTTTTGAACTTTTTGCGATCACTACAGAAAAAGATTTTTGAAAATGTTACAGGTAAGAAGGCCAACGTTTCGGAAAAAGAATAAGTTTGCGTGTCGCCACTTCATTCTCTTCCCTAACATTTTTAAGCCAACGACCAAAAGAGATAATGCAAAGTAAAATTAAGCGGTTTTTGCCGTCTTTCATGCATAGTCCAACTTCGCCTCACCACATCGCCAAGGCATTCAAACAAGCTCTGGAGGCTCTGCAGAAGGTCACTTATTATATTATATTTCTTGGACATTACATTTTCAGGGCACGAAAAGTGATGAAGATATCCAGAAAAACATCAACAAGTCTTTTGAAGCTGTCAAGGAAATCATTTTGGGTACTCCTGAACACCCACCGACGCCCGAAGCGGTTGGCTTTTGAGCGCTTTTTTTTTAAATTACTCAAACTGTTTAGATTGCTCTTTTCATCCGCGAAATTGTGGATACGAACGCTTTACAGCTTCTAATCACGAATTTGAGCAAATTTGACTTTGAGAGCCGCAAAGTATGTTTGTAGTAGTTTGATAATCAAATTTTAATTTTTTTTTAACCGGAAAAAAGGTGTTTATTCAATGATGTAAAACCTTGTTCGAAGTTTAAAGCTCTAAAGAAAACTTTCAGGACGCTGTTCAAATTTTCGTTAACATTCTGCGCCGTCAGTTTGGCAAAGGGTACAATTTGCCGGTAACGGATTATTTGATTCGTCGGAGAGAACTCGTCTGCGGTTTGGTCAAGGGGTGCGAAATCGAGGCAGCGGAAAGAGATTATTTGATTATTTAGATATGAATACCCGGAAATTGCTGCACACTGTGGACAGATCATCCGTGAATGTTGTGAGTTCGAGAGCCTCCACAAGGTTGGTCATCGATTGAAAAAAAAGAGTACACCGAGAAAGTAATAGCCAGAAAACCTCCAATTTTGCGCGTAAAATTAAAATTAATTTTTAAAATAAAAGAAATATTGAAGGTTGTTGCAAAAAAGCTTCGGAATAAGAAGAGAAAAAGCGAGAAAATCAAAAATATTGGTAAAAAAAAAACAAATAAAATGGGAAAATCAGAATTTTCGTTATAGGATTCTTGTAAGAAACTTTAATTAATTTTCTTTTTGGTTTTTTTATAAGACCTCGCTCAAGTAAATTTTTGTCGTTTCCAGCTAATGTTGTACGACGAGAGCTTCTATGACTACTTCCGACATGTTCAAAACAATGCTTTTGACATTGCCGCGGACGCCTTCATGACCCTGAAGGTAAATTTCAGTAATAGTTTCGCATAGTATTCTATTTCCGCACTTATATTTCAGAGTACAAATTGAAAATAAATTATGTGATTTGAAGACACTGCTAACGAGGCATCATCTCGCCGCATTGGATTACGCCGAAATCCACTTCGATCGTCTTTTCGGTAGAGTTTTGGTTGAGAAGAAAAATAATGAAATAATTTTCAGCCGCGTTCAAAAATCTGCTCGTTTCTCCCAACTTTTTCGTGAAAAGCCAATCTCTCAAGGTTTGTCCCACTTCTATGAAAAATTTGTCAAAGGTATTAATGATATCTGTTTGCAGTTGCTCTGCACTTTTCTTTTGAATCGGATCCACCACCCGGTTGTGGAGACGTTCATTTCGTCGCAAGACAATTTGGTGATGATCATGGAATGTCTGAGGTCGGAAAGCGGCGTCATTCGTGTCGAGGCTTTCCACGTTTTCAAAGTAACTCAACTCAAATTTTCGACTCTCAAAATTGAATTCAGATCTTCGTGCTTCATCCGAAAAAAGCTCAAGGAGTCCATGAGATACTTTTCCGCAATAAAGAAAAATTGGTTAGTTTTATTTGCTTTATTCTGAATCTTGGAAATGAATTGGAAGAGAAGAGCTAGTTTTAGAATAGAAACGTCAACCTTTTATAATTTTGTTTTTCTTGAAAATCGTTATAGCTGATTCATGGCTATCGAAAAAAGGTCTTGACGCGATAATAAAAGAGACAGTGCCTGGTTGGGGGAGAGGGCAGACAGGCCACGCCTTTTTGCATCCCAAGCCAGCTGCAAATCCACTACAAAAAAGTTAACATGAGTTATTTTTATATCAGTGCTATTGAAAGTTGTGTACGCAGGTATGCTAGGCAAGGATAGCAGAAAACAATATACCGAGTTTTTCATCGACTTTTTTTTTCAAAAAAAACTTCGTACCCGAATAAGGATAGAAAAGAGATTTAGGAAAAAAGTCATGAGATGTAATTGAGCGAAAGTTTCAGAAAATTTTAAGCGGAGAAAACCATTCATTTGGCCACAGGTAAAGTCAAACTGCTCTGTCCCACGCAACTTTTCTCAAAAATGAGCTCCGCCTCCTCTTGAGAGAAAATATTTTTAATTTATAACGAAAGATACACACGTGGTAGAAAATCAAAACTTATTACTGATTCTTATCCAGCTTCTCTACTTCGGCAACTTTGGATCGAAGCGTGGCGAATCTCCGACTGATGACGACTCGGCCCTGGACCTGATGGCGGTGGTGAAGACAATCGAGGAGTTGCACCCGTACGAACCGCTGCTCGCCGAGCACGACTTACACGCCACGGCTCTCCGCGCTTGATCATCTCCTCCCACTCCTTCATTCTCTATCCCACCCATTCTGTTCCACACCATCTTAATGCAAGAAAAAACTTTATTCTTTCTCTTTTTTGAGAAATAATTATCGTTCGAGACAAATTCATTTCTTTTGGCAGTCCATCATTGTTTTTACATATCACATAAGACGCTCAATACCGATAAGCATTCGGAAAGTAGTTTCTAAAGAGAAACTCGTTTGATTATTCATTTTCATTTCTCGCTCTGTAACTGCCCCGTTTGAAAATATTTCTTTTTCATTATTTTTGCCATGTTTTTTATTGTCTCGCTTCGTTCTTTTTCCTGTCCCATTCATCCTTGCTTTCACTATTTTTGTTTTCCGACTTCTCTTAATACGAATTAAAATGATTTGCTATTTTGTGAACAGCCACACCTTTAAAATCGCGCGCAGGACATCGACGTTTTGAGATGACACCGCTGCGTGGAGTACGGTATCTTTCGTGCCGGTGTTCACAAGCACGTGGTCTTGGTGCTCCAAGAGCTTTTCGACGATCTCCAGCCGCCCGTGTGTGCAAGCTCTGCATTGGGAACAGTTTTCTCCTTGTTTGGATTCACAAGAACAATACGAACAGACAAAAGCGAACCAAAAAAGCCTAGGAACCGCAAAATTTTTATAAAAAACGAACATTAAAAGCGCTGTGACGTCATCAGATGTTCTGCCATTCAATATGATTTCTTTGTCGGGACGTCTGGAAAGTTCAAATTATTCGGAAGAACATTTTTATATAGAAATGCAAGGAAATTATTTCAAGGCTCTCACTTTCTTGGTCTCCCGCTCAAAACTTCTTCGGCAGTCTTGGAATCTCCTTCGATACATGCGGCGATCAACATCTCGTGCGAAATGTTCAGCTCCTCATTTTCTTTTTCTGAAAAGAAAATTTCAAAGCTATTTTCTACTTCTTTCTCAACAGAAATCCATTTACTTGATTCTCAAAAAATTTAAAATAGTTAAATGTAGTCAACAAAAAATATACTCAATGTAAAGAGTTCGTTATTTGCTCTAAGAACTCGACCCTTTATTTTATTGAAGAATATCTTACGAATGGCGTCGATAAGGGCGGCGGCGACGTTTTCGTGTCCGGCCATCTGGGCGATTTCCAGCGGACAGTGGCCGTCGACGTCCAGCCGCATCGCGTCGGCGCCTGAAACGGGTCTCGAGTGGAATATTTCGTTTCCCTGGAGCTCACCGGACTCGAGAAGTTCGCGAGCCGCCGCCAGCTCTCCGGCCTCGGCGGCCATGTGCAGCGCCGTCTTGCCACGCAAATTGCTGAGCTCCAGAGAATCTGCCAACGGAGCAATTTGTATGCAGCAAAAAATCTCTGTACCGGTGCGCCTTAAGGAGCGCCCTAATTTTTCTCTACCGCCTACTGTTTCTTCGTTTTCTCGCAGTCAGAGAGTGAAGAAATAGCACGCGGCAGAGAAAGGGCGCGCTCTAAGGCGCAACAGTCCAGAGATGATAGTACATGGAAAAATTACTGAAACATTAAAAAAAAAAATCATTCTGTAGAGCAGCAGCATATTTTCAACCAAATCGGTAACAAGTCATTTCTTTCGGACTTGGTAATTTCAAAAAAATGGATTTTTAAACGAGTTCTTTGCTACAAATTGACGGAATTTTTTTTTTGGAAGAATTGTGACTCGGCCTCACGTTGATATCAAATAAAATGATTGAATTCAAAATTACTTCCTAAGAATTCACAATCTTTTCCTCCAGCCGTTTCCACAGATCAGCTGTTAGATTGTTTTGATGTATTATTTTTTTGTATTTGTCGTTCAGATTGCGGAATGGCGAATAAACACTTGAGATGAAATGAATTAACAATAGTTTTGAAACAGTGATATAAGAAAATCTGAAAGCTGATAAAACCATAGCGAAAATTTGTAAATGAGCAACAAAGCAAAATGCAAACGCATCTATTATTAATCTCATAAAAAAAAAGAAAACTTTTGAAAAAAATACTAAATCGGGAAAATTTTCACTCGGGCTTATTAAAATATTTGAACGAAATTGCTAGTTGAGCGGAAAAAAAAAAGTCACCTGGGCAGCACATGAGAAGAGCGCGGAGACTGTTGGTCCTGCCGTTGTGGGCAGCAAGCATTAAAAGAGTCCTGAAATCCAAATAAAATCGAATTGAGAACATCAAAAACGATTATTGGTAAGGAACTATCGCCGAGTACAGCGCCATTTTGAGAACTTTAAGGAAAGACAGTCGATTCGGTTGCAGAAGTCACTCAGGAAGATTTAACAGCCCTAGAGAGAATACTTGGATGTGATTCGCCCCGGTCATCAAAATATTTTTGAACGTAAAAGAAGAAAACTCACCTTCCGTGTCGATCAACTTTGTCCCATGCCCAGGGATTCTCCTTCAGCAAATCCGCTACCAATTCCACATTTTCGAATAGAACCGCCTTGAAGTTTGAATTTATTGTCGAATTCTACTATATATCTCATCATGCTAGAAGTATCTTTTTTGTTTTTCCTAAGAATGAACTGAATAAAATTAAAAATACAATTTGAAAAATAAATTATCTATACGATTGAAGAAATATCGTGTGCATGAGAAAAAAAAAATTCTTGATTTTCAAGAGTACTCTTGCGACAACTACACCTGCCTGGTCATCCACAGAGATTATTATAAAATTTCTTACACCACTTCCTTCAAAACTATGAGGCGTTGAAGATAATTTTTTACTCAATTCTGGAATATTTGCTTTGAGAGCATTCTGTAAACACTATAGCCTACCTGAAAAAAATTGTATTAATACAAAAAAAAAATTGTATTAATAATATATTGTTAATGATCTCGTCTTTCAAAATGATCATTTACTGACGATCAAGGTAACCAACCTGTCGGAGGAGCTGCATACTGTCGGAATTGTCGAAATCTTTGGCTATTCGAGGCGGCGGCTCCTCTCCGCCGCTACTCGCCGCCATCTTAGCCTTTGCCGAGGCTTCTGAAAATTGCGACATCAATTTTCCTATAATCAACGGTCTGGGAACAGTTTCAAACAAAATAATTTATTAAGAGTTATAATTTTTAACGACCTTTCATTTATAACCCCCTGTAAGACAACGAAATGACCTTGAGGTAATCTTTTGATCACATCTTGCGTTTTAGTTACTAAGAGAAATATATTTGAGTCATTTGCGTTTTTTGGCATGTTTCAGAGCACATCCTCAAACTTATTTTTTTATTATAAAAAGAAAAAAATATATATTTCCGAGCGTAATCGTTGGATAATTATTAAAAAAATCTATATCAAAAATGGACCAGTGTGAGAAAAGCGGTAAATAATAAAGAGTTAATAAAAAAAAATCTATATACACAATTATTAGGCTCATAATTAATTAGCACTCAATTAATTTTTTTTTCCAATTGGTAAAAATAAAAAGGGGCAGAAACCGCGCTCTACAGCTAATCGATTTTGAAACAGAGTGTGCAGTTTGCTCTCGAAGTGTATACATCAAAGACTCTCAGCTACGTGCATAACTGCCTGTAATTGACTTATTAATAATAATTGTTATTAATTTTTAATAAGTGTTAATACACAGTCAATGAAAAAACTAAGACAATGAACAAACTAAGACAAAAGCGTGTATACCCGTGTACCTTTTTGAGGGATTACTAAACATTAAAGAAGATAAAGATTGACCAAGTGAAAGATTGGTCGGAGATGTTTTGATGTTCTCCGACCACGTGCTGATTGGTGATTGATTCGCGATCAACATTTGCATGAGTGCTTCCGTACGGAGAAAAAGATAGGCATTAATTAGAGATTTCCCAGGTGACGTCAGCACAGGAAAGTCTTCGAAATCGTTGCTGATAAAAAGAATTATTTTCGAGATTGGAGAAAAGATTGTTGGAAACCACAGATTTGAGATGCCCTTGCGATTCATCCACTTCTTTCAGTGCAAGGTCATTTTTTTTTTCAACAGATCCACTTTCATAAAGCCCTGCTTCCATGTGCGATTTTTTAGAATTAACCATTTATCGAATTTTTTTGAAGTTCTTTGTTTTTGTACCCATGGAACAATCACTTTCCGCCGAGGGCGGAGAGTAAAAATGAAAAAAAAAAAAATCAGGTGTGCGAATGGCATTGAGAAAGATAAAAAGAGAATGAAAGAAGCTGCAAATCTCATTCAGTTGATCTGCCATGGCGTCGCCAGCGAAAGTCCTCCAATTCATGTGTCTGAAGCTTTGGTTCTGTCTGGCCACTTTCCTTTTATTGCCATTCTTCATCCCTGTTAAGGATTTGTTGATGCACTCTAATGTTAATGGTTTTTCTCTGAACTAAAATTTGCAGTGTCCATTCCCAAAGAATTTTCGTCTCATTTTACCTGAAAATAAATATTTAAAAAATTTTGAAAGCTCCAATCGTCCTAATAACATTCTTTTTCTTTATAATTTATGTTATGGAGAAATAACTAAAGAATCTAATTGGTATGATGGTCGCAAAGATTTAAAATAAAAACATATATTATCTCAAGGATTCTACAGAGAAATTCTGAACTTTAAAAAAAGCCACATGATTTCCTAGGATTAAGTTATTGAATTACTACGTAATTTTAGGAATATCTTCGTATAAAATTGAGTTTGAGCAAGTACTGACTACGATAAATCTTCATGTAGATCTTTTTTTATGAAGAGTTTTTTTATAGACCGAAACCTTTCATCTCCACATGATGGCTTTACTGAAAGTACTTTTTGCCCCCCTCATTATCGTCCATTAAATCTAGATTCGTGATGGGCGGAGACAATCTGTCCAAGCCGCCATTTCCCTTCTGATAACTTCAAAGGCCAAAAAACAGAAATTCAGAAAGAGCAGCTCAAACAAAAAATTTCAGTTCAAAAACGAAGATGTTCGGAGCATAAGGCTTCATTTGATCCAAACGTATCCGATGTCTGTTCTGACACGCAAAAAATGAAAATGTTGAAAAAACATTTCCGCGTTTTTTTTTCCCACCGTCGTCTTTTGTTTTCCTTGTCTTCACACTGAAAAGGTAACGCGTTTCGCTTCGAGACCCACTTTTAGATGCTTCTTTCAAGCCGATGGATTATGCACATTCATTTGCACAGTTCGTCACTTCTTTAAAAAGCTAGTAGGAACGCTGTTTTGCGTATTTCTAACGTTCGCCTCGCTAATTTTAATCCTAAAAACTCCATTTTTTTTTTAAATTTTCAATAAAATCTAATTTCGTCCGAGCCAGATAATTTTTTTTCAGAAGTTCATATCAATCCAAGAAACATAGGCCCTTTTTGACAGTTCCCAATAAATTTTTCCTCAAAGAAAGTTTTCATCTTCTTCTTCTTCTTCTTACGCCTTTGTACCGCTTGAGCGGCGTCGGCGCCCCAAGTCGATTAGCCGAGGTCCTATCCTGATATCAGTGGACTGGCTCGAGTGACATATCCGTCCTTGTGTGTGACGGCTGGGGATTTTGAAGTCGTGGTTTCCCACTACCAATATTTCTTAAACCCCTTGGTTGGGTCGAGGCGGGGATCGAACTTGTGACCCTGTGGACCGTAGACAGGCACACAACCTGTTGCGCTACGGCGCGCCCAAAGAAAGTTCTCATCCAATTCTGTGAAATCGACTTCAAACTTTGTTTCAAGGTGTTATTTTCTCGTTCTAGAACTTTTGAGTTCAATGAGACTGGAATAATGTCTTACAATAACTTTTTTCTTATTTGAAGATTCTCTTTGTTTTCGTTCGTATGCGAATCCTTTCATCCACAATCAGAACGTCGGTTGTTTCAGAACTTCAAAAAGAGCACCACTTCAACGAAAACCTTGATTTTTTGAGAATAACTTGTGTTCTTTGAAAAAAACCCTTCGAAGGTTTTCCTAGACCTAAACTCGAAGCGAAAGTACTTGTAGGGACCGCAGACCAACTTTCGAAAAAATTTTTTCAGCATTGAGCTTTGCATGGTTTGATAGCTGTTTCGATTCGAAACTCAGAACCGTTTAGTTTTTCGGAAAATATTGAGGATGAAAAAAGTTATGACGAAAAATGTGGCGCGCCGCGCACCATTTTTTTAGTACTGAAATTTTGGTATTATCCATTTTAGACATTTTTCTCGATTTTTCTTTTAGAACAAGTTTTGATACTGGTCTATTATGATGTAAGAAATCATAATAGAGCTCTAAAATGATGAAAATTAGCTAGTTTGCCGAAAAAGTCGGTATTTTCCAGAAAACAAAAAACTGACGCTTGTGGGCATCGAACTCGCGACCTCAAAATGAAAAATCGCAGCGCACGCGCTGCGCCAAGCTGTCAGGTCTAGCGCGGGGAGCTTCCATCCGCCATAGCCTTGAGCCGTTTGAATAGCACAGATTGCCTATTTCAAAAATAAAAATTTGAAGTAATTTAGCTATTTTTATCAGAATATGTTCGCAAATCTTTACTCAAATTTTCCGTGGAAATTCACTTCGAAAAAACAGTTTTTTCAGTGCTTTTTGCCTCGTTTAACGATCACTGCATTAAAAACGGCCCCGTAAATTTTTTTGGCAAAGACGAATTTTTTTATTTTATGCTTTTTAATTGAAAGATTTTTTTACTAATAAATGTATATAATGGTTTGAAAAAAACCTGCGTTCGACCGCTTTATGTGTGATAAACGCCGCTAATTTTTTTTCTCTAGTTTCAAGAGCATTTTTTTGCGTATTAAACAACTTTTTTTCAAGCAAAGATGCTGTAGAGAAATATTTAAGTAAGCTCATGATCTAAATTTTGAAAAAAACAAAAAAACTCGATCATATTCGCTTATTAACGATATTTTGAATTATGACTTTCGGCACTCCCTAAAATTTTTTTGGCAAAGACGAACTTTTTTTATTTTATTGTTTTAAAATTACCGTTACTTGAATCAAAAATCATTATATAAAAAGAAAGAGTGCGTTCGACCTGAAAGCACATGAAAAAAAGCAAAAAAATGACAAAATTTTTTTAGTTCCATTCACGTTTTTTTGTACGACATTCCGCGAGAACGCATCAAAAAAGCGTGAAATATTTTTTAAACGAAAGAGGAAGCTTTTCTGTACATGTGTGTCAAATTTTATTCGCCAGTTCCACATATTTTACAACTACAACAAAAAGAAAGTTGAAAACCAAAAAAAAGCCACTTTTTCTATCGCGAAAAGGGGCGTGGCTTTGCGGTCCCTAAGTACTTGATATCCTCGAAGATTACTGTGGCTTCCCTCCACTCTTTCCCAAGACCTTTTTGTTGTTATTGTGTATGTTGGCGACGCTTCAAGAATGCATGGAGACGCCCACGTGGAGGGCCACCTCTCCTTATGACGTCACATCCTTTTCTAATGGATGTACGTGAAGTTGTTCCTTTGTTCCAAGAATACTTTTTCTCGGATGGATTAATAAATTCGGTCAGAAATCGGCAAAAGTCGTAGAAGCCAAACTTAGTTCTGCTCGGCAACAACGGACTATTACGAAAATTTCGAAAAACAAGGCGGAAAGAAGCCTTTCGAACCAGTTTTTTGGTTCCTTTTTGGAAACGTGTGCTGGGATTACTCATGACTGTTTTCTTCTCAGAATCCATTATGGAAAACTGAAACCTTAAAAAGAAAAAAATTCAAAACGATTTGACAGCTATTCAGCGTTTCTTACCAAGAAACTTGCTTCTCAAAATCTTTTTTTAACCAATAATAAAAATTTAAAATTTTTTAGTGTTCATCAAAGAAAATGAATGGGCGTGTCTGCAGCAAATGGATGGCCACGCCCATTATTTGGATGCCTTTTTGAGTCTATATTTTGGACTATTTTTGCTCGTTTTCTGATGATCGTGGTTACATTCCTATGAGTTTTGCACTTCAATTGAAAACTTTCAGAAATTATTCCAAAACTGGCCCAAGTCTTCATAGCCCCAAGTTCTAGACGGGAAATGCAGGCGTCTTTTTTATGGTGAGTTCCGGAACATTTATTAAAGGTTTGTTGAGAGGAGCAAAAGTTCGGAGAAGATAAATAATAGGTTGAACTTTCTGGACTGTTCCTTCAGTTTTGAATCAACAAATGTGCAATGCAGATGAATTTTTATAAACCTTCTTTAGGAAACTTCATCAGAATTCCAAAAAAGAACCTTTATCTCTATAAACTTTTACCCAGGCAATTTTTTAGAAACCTTTTCGGAGCTCAAACAGGTGAAAAAAGTCCTTTTAACTAAGACCCTTTTCTAGAAATAGACACTTTTCCGATAAAAGGCACAGAAAGGCGCTTCCAAATGTCTTTGTAAAAAAGTCCTTATTAGTTCCTTTTTGAGTTGATCCGTGAAATTCCTATTTTTTAGACGTTTTCGAACTTTCTACGCCTCAAGAGAAACATTCAAAACACAAGAAAAACTCCAATTTTTTCTTGAACTCTATCCGTTAAATATGATAAATGAACCTCAGTTTTGATCCGAAACGTTTCAGGATCCACTTACTGTCGCTGGCGTTTCTCGTCGCCGAATCCATTTCGATGCCGCTTTTTGACGCTTTGATGTACGAGCCCAAGATTTTCGGCTTCGACTCGGTTCATCATCACAAGGTTTGGAACTATCCGAAATCTGCAATAATCAGTCATTTTTTTTGTTGTATCTTAAACAAAACTTTTCGAAAACCGATTTTTCGATGCTCAAAATAGAAAAGAAGACATCAAATATCATCTCTTTCATGAGAGAAACGTCATTTCTGAGTCACTTCGAAAGTTAAGAATGGTTGAACATTCGAATTCTACTCAACCTTTCAATTTGCAGCACCACGGACATCACAAGACGAAATATTTGACAAAACAAGACGGAGGCGCGTCTCATCGCGCTCAAATCTACAAAAACCTTCTAAAAACGAAGCCTATCTGGCCGTGGCCCTAAAAAACCAACTATGAACGTCCGAAAAAATTAAACCACGTGTAAAATTATTTATAATGCCTTGATATGATGAACTAACCAATTAAAAAAATATATTGTTTAATTTTTTAAAATATGGTTTCGGTTCAAGAAAAGAAAAAGCTATGATACTTCAGTTTCCTAATATTTTTCATGATTTATCACTAGTTTTTTGTCGCTCTATCTTTGATTTACTGAACTATTGCGCTAGAAATGTCTGTTCAAAAGGTGCATTTTTCTGAAAATATGGGTCTTCTCTTTTCCTTTTTTGCTTGTTATTGTTAAATATATCCTGGAAATGAAACGTTTCTTCTGTTAAATTTCAGACTCGAATAAAAATGACATCTGTTCATTCAGCACAGCAACTTCGAGTTGAAGAGTTGCTTCCAGAGCCTTTGAGAAAGGAAAACGGGAAACAGCTCACGGGAACGACTACCTGTAGGACGAATCGACATAACGGGGACTCAATTAAATATTGCTCATTGATTTAAAAGAATTATAATTATGATGAAAGAACCATATAATAAACAAAAGTGATAGGATCACATAGATTAACAATAAATGTAACAAACCATTTAAATACATAAAAGCAAAGGACAAAGAAACTGAAAAAAGAAATGAGTAAAAAGTGATTATGGCATATAATTCTATGTTAAAAATCAACGAGAAGGTAAATTGCAGGCGTCGATGATGAATCTCAGCATACAGGCGTCGAGATAAGCCGCCGACTCTGAACTCCGAACTCCGTGCCGTTCAGAGGGGAAAAGCTGAAATCGCATTCACTTTAGCTTAAAAAAAGAATGGAAGTCATATTTTACTGAGTCTTTTCATTTGAAAAAAAACTGTCCACTAGAAAAGAATATTAAAATTAAAAAAATATTAAAAACTATTTTTTCTCGTCTAAAGCTCGCAATAGTTTCTTGTCCGTTAGTTTGAATTCCTCGTCATTTTCCAACTAAGTCTGAAACTTTCATTGCACGATAATGAAGTACTATCAAAAAAAAAACCTATTTTTAAATGAAAAATTACTCCATTTTTCGAAACGTAGTGGTGACAAGTGGTATAGAGAAAAAGAATGGACGTTTGGTAACCTTTCCTGACCTACTTCGATGCATTTGCGCGCAAATTTTTTTGAGTTATAAAAGAAAAGGTAGCCGCTACGCAGTCGCGAAGCCACAGATCATTCCACAAGCAAATCGAGCCTCATACCTTGAGATCGTAGGGTTTTCCTCTTTTAATCAAGGTGTTGATAAGGCGCTCCATGTGCGTGAAGTGGACATTCTCGTCAATGAGTCCGTGGATCAACATCAGTCGTCCAGGTCTGAATGTTTCCAGTCAGGACACACAGAAAGACAGTCGCTCACTCCTCGGGGAGTGCATGAACGAACGGCAGAACCGAGCAATTGTCGTAGTTTTCCTTGAGGGGGTATCCCATGTAGCGTTCCGTGTAGGCCGTGTCGTAGAGTCGCCAATCCGTCACTGCTCCGCCGGCGATCGCAGCTCGGTAGACCTGTCATATCACGTGTTTCACAGTTTCAAGCGCTTCATTTTTGTGTAAAATACTCGCTGAACAGACGTATCTCTTAATCAGTGGAGCCTGGAAAACGAGGGCTAGCACGAAATCAAAAAAAAAGAACATTTTATAATAATTTCAAGCTGTCTTTTTCAGAAACAGCGAATAAATTTTTAAAAAAATCGGTATTTTTTTAAAAAAAGATTTTTTTGAGATGAAAGCCCTGTTCTGTTGAATTTTGGATAGTCTGAAAATATTCGTTATCTTCAGACTAATCTTCAAGTTAACCACAATCTCGAGAAAACTTTTTTGATCGCCGGCTGAGAACTTTATAAAACTTGCAAAAAAATGCCTTTTAAGTAGTCGTGGTTCCCGGTCTTTAGGACGTCAATTTGAAAAAAAAAGCAAAAATTACGAAAAAATTTTTTCGATCTGGAATCAGTAAAATGGATTTCGGCAAAATTTCATAAAATGAAAAATTGAGAGAATTTTTCTTTTTGTCATTTTCTGTTTTGAAATACTGCAAAGTTTTAGAAATAATCAACTTTGAAAGCAGCGCTCCGTTATAAAAAATAACCGGTATTTTAAATCGATAATAACTTCACAAAAAGTTGATTCCCAAAGTACGAACATTGGGATGTTTGGCGAGCATCATCAAGGCCATGTATCCGCCGTAAGACCATCCAGTCACGACGACTCGTTCCAGGTCCAGAAGTCCGCCACATCGTTCTGCGACTATCCGGAGGCCCTCCAACTGATCCTCGACCTCGACGACTCCCTCAAAGAAGTCCTTTTCTTGGACGACCATCTACCGACTAACCAGTCTGCGCTTGATGGGCGACTCGAAGTCAAGTCCTCGGTTGGCGGATCCCCGTCCGTCGAGCATCACCACTGCGAAGCCCAGCCTCGTGTACTTCTGGAACGGAACCCAGCTGAAAGGAGAAGAGGGTTGTTTCTTCGGGAATCCTCTGACAAACGTCGAGAAATCGTTGCGAACAACTTGGACGCCAGGGCCGCCGTAGACGTATTGCACGACGGGATAGCTTCTGTGCGGCACGTAGTTGAACGGCTTCATGACTAGCGCGTAGAAGGTGAATGGTGACGAGCTGAAAGTGAGGGATGGAGTCTAGAAGAGAGGATCAACTTTAAAAAAAAAAAGCAATTAGACTTTAAAGTTTCTTTCATCGTTTTTCTCCTTTTCAAATATCTTCAAACTATTTTGATAAAAGAAATTGCGTTTAAACAGGTGTAAGTGCAAACAAAAATTTTCTCAAACTCTTTTTGGAAATGAAGCAAGATGGAAAATGCTGAAGGGTCCAAATTTAAGCCGTTCATTTTTGGACTCGAATCGGCCGCGTCGTATAATTAAAATAAATCCAATTATTTGTTTTCCATAGACTTATGGAGTTTCAAAAAGATTGAGCTAGACAAAGTTGTGAGCAAAAAAATTTTCCAAACTTTTTTTTGAAATTCTCTCGTTTCTCTGCGCCCTCTCTTATCTCTGCTACGACGCTCTAGCTTTTACATAGTTACATTTTTTTGATACCTCATAACGCCATTATTGAACTCTAAAAAGATTTTAAAAATAGTTGCCCAGTAAACTTTTGAGAAACTTACGCCGTTTTGTACTCGATCACTTCGGGGACCATTTCCTTTTTCGTTGGAGACGGAACGGGAGCTGTTCCAGCCAAGATTACCTGAATTATCCACTATTTATCATGCTTTCCGTTCGGAGATCCACCTCGGTGACGTACTCGGCGGTGGGCAAAACGTCGTCTTTCGAGTGGTGCAAGGCGTAAAACCGGCAGTGCTGCTGCTGGTTGAGAGACGTCGCCCAGCAGGCGAATCCGACCTCGGGATGCAGAGCCAACGAGTGCGAAGCTCGTTCCGTCCTGTAGAGTCGCATTTTCGATAAGACTCTCGGACGATCATTTCAAAGATAATCCGAATCTACTGAGTCTTATTGTGCCGTAGGGCCTTTTTCCTATTTGCTTCGTTCTTTTCGTTCGAAAATATGTAATTCGGGTAAAAATTGGGAAGCCACTGCTTTCGGTCCCTCGGAAGGCGTTTGGAACTTTAGAGTACATGGTCAAACACTTTCATATAGCTCAAAACCTTCAATTTACCTTTCAGAAGCCTGTTGGAAGTCATTTGTTAAGAATTTACATTTTTTTCAAACCTTCCAAAGACCTTTCCTGGATTTTTTTTCCCAAACTCACTTGAAGGTGATTCCGTCGGGAGTTAGTTGACGGAATAAGATTCGATCACGATGAGAATAGCTCGCAACGCAACTGAAAACGCCTTTTTTAAACCTAGAACTCTAGAGGATTCTTAAAAAGGTCATTTTACTTCTTACTTGACAGTTTTTATTTAAAATCAGACCGAAAATTTTCAATGTATGATTCATTTTCGACAGCTTGAAACTACCTAGGGCTATATTTTTGGCCGCTAAAATCAGTATTTTCAACTTTGACTCATTATTTTGCAGCCACCCAACTCAAGCGGATCCCAGAAGCCAAAAAAAAATTCAAGACGAAATAAATGCTTTTTGATTTTTTGCAGCTGCTCCATGGCTAAACTGAACTGCCGCCGTCAGGAGAGAACGTATTTTATTGAATAGAGAACCCAGAAAAATGAAGAACATCTCGTTTCATTTGAGACTGTGTCACACATTTTTTTTCGAGGAATAAGCTTTTCAAATTTGCAAGTTACACAAACAAGGAGAAAAAAGCGTTATTTAAGAGGGATATATATTTTTCTTGTTCGGAGTCAGGAGGCCCTGCAGTTCATTTTTGCCAAGCTTCCTCAAAGGTTCAACAGGGACCGTCTTTGAGAGCTTTTAGGCGTTTTATCTCGAATATAGGCGGTGGCAGATGATGATTTTTTAATTAAGAATGTTCCAGGCAAGTCTGAGAAATGCCGAGAAAAAGATGAGCTTGTTAGAAGACTCACACATTCCACTCGATAGGGTTGCTGTGGTTGGCCAAGAAATAGACGAGTTTTCGGTTCTTGTCGACGTGGACGTTGGTCGTCTTGCAGATCGAGAAGTTGGCGTCTTCCGGCAACAAGGAGAACTCTTGTTGGCTGAAGACCGTTCCACTGGAAAAAGGAGCTCTGTTCAGGGGCCATTTCGAAAAAAGCCCCACTCGTTGTTCAAAGTGATGTTGACAATGAGAAGTTGGCTTCCTTTTCCCGTTTCCTTCGAATAGACGAAACTGTACTCGCCAGGCCGGTCACTAGAGTCCAGAGGCACCGTCGCGTTATGGACCTGAACAGATTCGGGTTGAAAATAAAAATGTAAAATTTGAAAATCTATTTCCCTATCTAAAAAAGGAGGCAATTTTACTCTGTGATTTGAAAATGTTTGACTTAGTACTATGGGAAATCTTGAACTAGACCTTCAAAGAGTGTTTGAGCGAATTTTTAAGAAATTCTTTCAGTCCTCAAACGTGCTTTTCTCTCGAAACAGCTCTCCTCTTTCTAATACTCATTACGGATTTCTCTTAATTCAATTTTTAATTTTTACATAGATTCGAAGTATAAAATCTAGTTAAAATTGGCCTTCGGCAAAGAACTTTTGAGAGAACTGATAAACGGTTTCCAAACAATTTTCTTTATCCCGACTTCTCTTTCTGCCTTCAAAGCGAATGGTTCGCGGACACCACCTATCACTCCTACTCTCACTTGAAATTCTTGGGAAGGAAATCGGAACTGACATTGATCCAGGCGTCAGACTCGTTGGCGTGGACGTTGACCCAGTGCTTGACGAACGGCGTCGACGGCGACGGCGAGCAGCTGCCGTTGCGTTGGTCCGTCGACTGGCAGCCGTCGATGATGAAGTCCTTCTCGGGGATCAACACCAGCACGCACGAGTTCTGCTGTCGGTTCATCAGCTGCGCCCAGACACTGGAAAAATATTCAGATTAATAGAGAGGACGACTTTTTGTACGTTCTGCCGTCGTTGGCGAATCCGGCGCGGACGATGTATTCCATCGTGTGAAAGTAGGCTCTCAGCGAGTACTTCAGTCGCGCTTGTAACACCTGAACTTTCCCATTGATTCATCCATTTGCTCAGAGATCCAACTTTGCCATCTTCGATGATCAACATTCGCAGCTCGCTGGTGGCGTTTGAGAGGCCGACGCGGGGATATCGCATCGGAGGGTCCGCGTCGAGCTTTCCGGGACAAGAAAATGAGAGATTGTCCACAGCTCGCTCGTCAACACGCTCGAAAAGTAACCTGTAAAATGAACACAAAAATATAAAAATACTGGTGAGATTATGAAAATTGAAAAAAAGTCCCATACCTCGAAAAATCCATGTAGAAAATGCTGATTTTAACGAATCGACGTAAATTTTTCGAAAGAAAACTGTATATAACTATAAAATAGTCCTCCTAGGAAAGGCCGGTGACCGTAAAAAGCTGTGTCGATAAAAAATCAAAAAAAAAAATAAAAGAAAATTTTGAGCAAACTTTTTCTATTGATATATCTATATGATGTAGATATGCAAGTATTTTTCAAACTATTTCCAATTTTCGAGCATGATAACTTCTCAGGTAATGACTATTTCACATGTGCTTCTGTAGAAAAAAAAAGAATTCGGCTGAAGAATCGCTAACCTTGGAGACGTCGGACTCCACCAAATGGCCTCGAATCTTTCGAGTTCCTCCTGGGCTATGTAGGGCGAGACGCCGTTGGTCACTCCTTCCGCTTCGGCCGTCGAAAAAACGACGACGCCGTTGATGTCGATGTAAATCTGACACGATCACTTTTTTCGTCAAATTGAGAGATCAAAGACAACGGATAAGAAAAATTGATGAGCTTGGAAACCTTCTTGTTGAGGACAAAGGCAATTATTCGGTTGTCGGAGGGGCAAACACGGGCGTCCGAAACGAAACCCGGCCTTTTTCTGAGAGAAAAATGAGATTTCGAAACTTTGACCAAGACGCTCACGAAGAGAAGACGGAAGTAAGTTCTTCGACTTCTTGGTCTACTTCCAAGTCCACAACTCGTATGGCACCGAGTGACTTTATTCGCCCGTCCAACACTCTGAAACTTCAAGAGTGAGAAGGACAAGAGGGGGATTCCGAATACTTCGGCTACAAATGTAATAAAACACCAAATATTTCTACTCAAACAGGATCACCTGCTTTAAAGATAACACCGCTTTAAAGAAAAAAAGTTTTGATTATTCCAAAAACTTTTCCTGAAAGGCGCAATTTCGTTATCAGTTTTTTCAGAATTTTTTTGAAGTAAAAAGCGGAAAAACGCCTCTAAAACAGTCAAACGAAACATTATAAACTCAAAGCCCCCTTGAAACATTTATAAAATTTTTTTCCGAAGAACTAAAACCTCGTTTCGAGAGAAATTCCTGAAAAATAAAATTTGAAAAATTAGGTCAAATAAAAAGAAGTGTAACTTGGAAAAAAACTTTCGAGCCCCTTTTTTTTCCAATAAAAGTTTTTTTTGAAAGCCTTTTTTTCAATTTCCCAGCTATATTTACTGAACTTTTTGACACCTTTTTCCTTGTGAAAAAAACTTCTCTGAATAGCTATTTTTGTGAAGAGGAAAAAAAGTCTGGACAGCGATTGGCTCAACTAATTTGATGAAACAAAAAAAGAAAAAAATGTAGAATTAGAATTTTTTTGCTTGAATTTTTTTCTCCTTCTTACTATTGAAAAAACCTGCTCTACTCTATAATCATGGGTTCTTCAATTCGAAATAAAAATTCGTTGAAAAAGCCTGGGAATAGTCATTGGAGAGTACCTGTAGAGCCTCTCGCCGGTGTTGAGCATCAAGTTGCTCTCGTCGAGCCCGATCGAGTAGTCCATGACGCCGGAAACGACGGCGGACCTCTGTCTCTCGCACATCAGAGAGAACTCGGCGGAAGGCGCCGCTCTGATTCTGCAACACGTCGGCCCTCCGCGGTCCGTCGACCCACTCTCACTTGATCTGGCTGTCGTCGTACATCGGCGTGAGGCGGACCACATCGGAGTTGTTGCCGTTCGGGGACTTCGGAAGCGACGCCGACAGCAGCGTCTGCATCGAAGAACACTGGGGTGTGCCCAGGGCGTACCTATGAGAAAGCTAGTATTTTCACAAGTTTCGAAATTTTTAGACTAAAAAGTGGAAAGTTATCTTCGGAGAACTGTGGGTCAAAACTATATGCACTTTTCATTATAATCTGTTCATTAGAATTTTAGATAATCAAAAGTAATAGAAAAAAGTGGCTGGAGAATAATCAGCTGACTGACAACTTTGAAAAATTTTTTTTCACATGTGGACTCAATTCTTTCAATTTCAAAAAAACTCAAAAACTTATAATTATTTTTTTTTGCTGAATCAAAACAGTCAAAAATTAAACAGAAGTCAAAAAGAGTTAAAAAAACATAGAAACTACAAAAATTTTTTTTGTTATATGTATTTTTTTTAAAAATCCTTGATAACATGGTATTAATAGTTCAAGGAAAATCAGCCATCAACTCCTGGGAACTTTTCACTCTACAATTCAAAAAAAAAAACATTACGACAAGCTTTCCCTAGGTTTTCATATGAATATATCCAATAATTACGAAAAAAAATTAGTTTTTTTATTTCCTTTTTCATCTAAAGTTTTTTTAAGGAGTAAAAATGAAAATCACATTTTGCAGCCGCTTTCTGTTTTGACGATCGTCATCTTGGTGAACGTTATCGCGAGTACAGTTCTGACCTGGAAAAAGATTCTCAATCAACAAAATCAGTTTTCAACCTCTTACGAACGTTTGAAGCCTTCTTCATTGCCCTTTTTATACTCTCCATGTTCTTAACTTTTTTTGAATATCCGCTGATTTTTTTCGTTGTTTAAATGAAATTGATTCGTGAGCTTACAGCTTCAGACAGAAAAAAATAAAAAAATCAAAAAAATTTAGATAAAAAGTCTCTGGTCGATTTAATTTGCTCGAAAATAAAACCAGAGAAAAAAATTTGGATTCTTGAAAAAGCCAGCAATGCTTGGAGCATTTAAATTTTATTGGTAAAAACTTTTTTTCACTGATAAATAAGAAAAATTCCGAGAACGAGTAAAGGACCTCCATCCTGGTTTGTTTGGCGTGCGAAATGAGATCGGGGAACGAGACGACCGGCGTCGGCGCGGCTTCACTGGGCGCCATTTTTCTCCGGAAGACTATACCGTCAAATCACACAAATCCAGGTGAGGTCAAGTCCCTGAAAAATTGGGATCAGTGAAAAGGACATCAAAATAAAATTGATCTCGAAAAGCAATAAATTGAATAAAATTGTCGAAAATTTATCTATAACCCAATGCTATGAACCGCTAGTCTCTCGCTGCGACCTTGCAAAAGAATTGCGCTATATCGCTCTCATAAATGTTTTCTTTTCTTCGTACCACACAAAAACTAAGCAAAAAGATTTCTTTCAAACCTCGAAAGAGGGAGAGAGAGCGATATTGCAGCGAGACTTTGACGATATCACAACAAAAAGCCTTGGCTATATCGCGACCCGCTGCGATACGTTCAGTTTTGTAGACTTTTTATAAACATTTTTGTGCGATTATTTTCAAAATAAGTGAAATTATACGAACATAAAGCTCACGTTGTATCTCAAAAGTACAAACGCGAAGCATTCCGTGAGCCGCGAAATAACTTCAACTAGCTTTTCGTCCAAAAAAACACATTATCAATCGCGTGACAAGAAATTCAAGCTCGATAGCGAAAACAACAGCTAGAAGTTCCAAAGTATAAGAATTAGTTTTCGTAACAGTTATCTTCAGAGAAAGTGTGGAGGACTTCTTTTGAACATTTATTACAAAAAAGTACAGAGGGAAAGGAAGAAAAATATGTTTGTAAAGAAATCAGAAAAAAAGAGGGAAAGTTCTGGAAAATGTTTTTGAGAGGAGGCACAGAAAACGTGGTGAGCAGGCATTCTCGAAAAGATAAGAACACTTGAAAATCAAAGTTTTTTGGCCGCTAAATTAGCAATTTGATCTACAACCTCGCATGGCAACGTCATTGATTGAAGGATTACATACAAGGGACCAGAAATCTGAAATTTCTAATGGAAAAAAAAACTTCTCACAAATTGGAACATTATTTCCTTTTTTTTTTTTGAATCATGCAAGAGTAGGAATTTTCACATGGGGAAAAAAGCTTTCAGCAATTTTATGATAAGAGCAAATAGCGTTCAAATTGATTTCGGCAAAATAGGAATGGTCTGTGGTTCTTCGGAACTTTCGTTTTTTTTTTCTGATGGTTATTATCATGTCTACCTTGCTGAATTTTCTTTTTTCAACCAAAAGGTTTCCGGGCCTTAAGAGACAAGAACTAAATTGTCTCAAAAGAGAAAGTTTATCTTAATTTTGCCTCAAAAAATCGTATGTCTTGAGGCAATAATTTACCGGGAATATGTCTTGCCTTGTAGATTCCAGCAAGCAGATCTTTAATGACCTAAATATGAACTTTGAAGGGCTAAAAGGGGCTAAATATTGCGAAAACGGATGACAATGAAAGTGAACACAAGCTTCGTTCGAGGAAAATGTACATATGAACAAGTGAGATATTTTTACTTTCGGAAGTAGGATTCTGGAGGTTTGAATTCGTCGTCGCGTTCGTCGCGCTGCTTCTCGATCCATGTCGTGTAACGGCCCTTGCCGCGGTCCCATTCTCGGTCGCTTTTGATCAGCCGCTCGTGCTGAAACTTCCTTTTGTTCAGCGACTCTTGCGCGTTTTTTACGTTAAGTTGATTCAAATATAATTGAAAAGTTACAAAAAAAAAATTCTCGAAAAAATGAGAAGTCTCTTCAAATTCTCAGACATCGAAGAAAACAAAAACTGAGCTGTCTCTCCTCCAAATTGAGATCTTTAAGGGAACACTGGAGAAGTCTAAGTGATCCCTTAGAGGCCAAATGCTCTGTTTTTTCTTCGGGGGATTACTGCGGTTATCGCCCACGAAATTGTCAGGTTTTCAGTAACTTTGAACCTCGTGACAATATGGAACACAATGTCCTAAGAGTTTGTTCAAAATTAATCTGAAGTTGGAAATAAATTAAATCTCTTACTAGTTAGTATCATTTCCCCGAAGAAAGAATTGCAATTTGTAAATAATTAATGATATGGCTATGCTATTCTCAAAAAGTTGTGCAGTTTATCACAGCTTATATTTCAATTTTCACAGCTTTTTTTTATACTGAACTAATTGGTTTAAGGATCGAAATAAAAACAAAACTCACTCTTTGTTCAGGAGTTTCGTGTGGAGCGGGAATCGGAATCTCTTCCAAATTGACCTCCGGTTCTGGCGACGGTTCTTTTTCTGAAATATCAAAATTTTCTTGCATGTTTCTCCTTGGAATACCTGGAAGTCCGGCAGCAGCGCGAAGCTTTGCAATTTTCGCTCTTCGCAGTTTTTCTTTCTCCGCTTGTTGCATTTTTCTCTTATTTCGCTCTTCCAGTGTCTTTTTCGACATGTCCAGAAGCTCCTAAAATATCAAACGTAATAAAAAGAAACTATGGAACGTTGGAAAAACCTTGATTTCCTCGCTTCTTTTTTCCTCATTGGAAGAAAACCGCATGTGAGAAACACCGTACACGCGCTGTTCTGAACAGAAAAATTCTTTAATTAACGTGAATTCTAAGAAGACATCCTTATTCTTTTTGAAAACGCAAAGCGCTTCAATAGAAAGATTGAAAAACAACTATTTTCAAAAGATCGAAATATTTTTCGTGTTATTATTGACTTTTTTTCGTAAACATTTTTCCTCTCAAATCATACCTTCTGCGTGATGGTACCGTTCAATTGAAGGTTCCCTCCCTCTTCTGATTGGTCCTTCTTCTTCTTCTCTCTCTTTCTCTGCCTCTTTTTGCCGCTTTTTCGCGTTGAAATCAACCTACGAAAAGGACCGATTATAAATTAGATAAATTCGAAAGAAACCATGAACTCGATCGGACTATTGTCTGAGTTGTGAAGAACAACGTTTTGCTCTTTCAACCGGTCGTAAAGTTCCGCTTTTTCCTGGAAAAAGATAATTTACAAATATTCCCAGATGCATTCAAAAATACTTCACATGACGTCTAAAAGTTGAGAAGCCTTGATAAACTTGAAAGTTAAATGTAAAAACTATTCTCGATATTTCTGAATTCAGTCTACGTTTTCTCAACGTTCTAGCAATGTCTTTTGAAACGATTATGAAGAAAAAGAGCTTATAAAAAAAGTCAAGGAGTCGAAACCTTCAATTTTTGATTGGCTGCAGCAAATTTCTCATTTTCCTCTCTCCGTATTGCGTCTTCATTTTCTTTTATCCGCTTTGCTCTTGCCGCTTTTTCACTCAAAAGAACCGTCTTCTCCTCCTTTTTCATTGCGATCACATTCTGAAACATAGATAGAAATGATTTAGAAGAAATTGTCTAAATTTAAACTTTCTTTCGAGTGTACTTTGAAACTTTTATATCTTTTTGATCAACTAGTTTGTGAAAAAAAAGGGCAAACTTGCCGATTTCCCAGCAACGTAGGCATCCGGAAGCTTCGTTTTGATCAATGCATTTCTCTTTTTTAGAAACTCGTTTTTCAGTGCGAAAATCGACTGTGTCTGAAAATATGACTCACAACTATAAAATTTAACTTATTTGCGTTACCTCTTTCGCCCCAAGCCTTTTCGGCTCTGGCTTTGACTGCTCCTCCGGAACCGACGTCCCTGAAGTAGAAGAAGTTGGCTCATCTTCCTCTCCGTCCGCGATTTTCCTTGCAAGTTCCGATGAAGCAAACGTTGCCATTCTAGAAAAAAAAAGACATACACAAGATGAACTAAAATTTTTGCTGAATCTTCATTCGAATCGTTGTTCAACTCATACTTCGAAATAAAATGCAAAAGGATATATGCAAAATCGAGAAAATTTAATAAAATTTCGGTCAAAAATAAAAAAAACGTCGCTACAGTGTTGACTGGGCAAAGACGCGCCATGGAGAGAGAACGGCCCCGCGATCGGGGCCAGCGCTCCGCTTCGGACTGACGCTGCATCTCTTCTCATCGCTCTCTTATTTTATCTCATTTCATTTGAACGCGCTTTGTTTTTTGTTCAAATATATGTTTCCGATAAACTTCTGGCTCCTAAAAGTAGTGAATCTCCTGTGCCTATTTTTCTCTCAGAAAGGACGCTTATTAATTGCATAACAGGTTTTGAATGGTTGGATTTTCGAAAAATGAATTACTTTCATATTTGACCTTTTTGGATACAATCTTCAAAAATAAGTATAATTTATTTTCGGAAAACAACTTCAATCAAATGTTCATTATGATAATTTTTGTTTGAAACGGATTTCGATTGCGTAACCAGCTGCGCGTTTAGAGTGATTTCGCGTTCTTATTTAACTGACGTAATATTTTTTTTCCGTCTATTAACCTCTTTTTTCAGTTTAAAAAGCGGTTTTGTTTATAGAATTCTGCGAAGATAACAGTTTTCTATCAATTTACTCGAATACGTGTTCATTGGTCAAAAATAAATTTCTTTAAAAACAACAAAAATTTCAAACCAAAAAGTGTATAACCCAAATGATACTAAAATGTCTAGTAGAAAACTTGACAGTTCCCGTGAAAGGATGGCATTATTCATTTCAATTTTTAGACCGGAAATGAGCGTTGATTTAAAAAATTTCCATTCTCACTCAGTTTTGTTGAAAGACGTTGCTCAATAATACGTAGGACCGTTCGTCATGTCGCTGACCAGAATTAAAAATATGATCGCAGCAGCAGCGATGGCTCAGTTCGGAGGAATGCGAGGCGGACGCGGCGCTGGCGGTCGAGGACGCGGCGGACCTCCACGAGGTGGTGCTTACGGTGGAGGTGGCGGCGGGGGACCTATGGGTTACGGTCCTCCGATGGGAATGGGAGACTTTAACGGAGTTGGTCCTGCCTATGCATTCCAAACTTTTCTCGAAATTTATAGATGGGCGGTGGCTACGATGATTATGGTTACGGCGGCGGCGGCTTCAACCAAGGCCCTGGCGGTTACGGCGCCTTTGGAGGCGGCTATGGAGGCCCCGACATGTCGAGTCCATTGGACGCTGAGATTCAAGTGAATTTATTTTCCTTTACTTTTGACTCACCAGAAAAAAATAAATTAGATAGACACGAACTTGCAGAGGGGTTTTCTTTTATGAAAAAGAAAAAGGAGCGTTTCGAAGTGAATTTTTTTCTGATTTTAAAATTGGATTGTTGTTATTATTAGCTTTCCTTTTTCTCAACCAAATGTTTTTCTTTTCAGGTGGTTCTTCGCGAGATACACTCTGAAATCCAATTGTTCGAAACTTCCGGCGAGTACGGAGAACAGTTCCGCAACGCTCGACGTCTTCTTACGGCCGGTACGCTGACTTCTGAGAGACGGAGACTTTTAAAAAAAGAAAAATGCGAAATATACAATATAATAGAACCTAATAACCTAAGATGTAATGAACCAATTTTTAGGGGCAAGCTTATCATTAAATTTAAATGAAAATATAGTAATTTAGATAAATCTAAAAAAAGTGTATCAATTAACTTGCTGGGCTGTTGAAGCGTAGAGAAAGTTCTGAAATAAAAAAACTTCTGAAGTGTTTTTTATGAAAAATTCTCATGAAAATTTTCGATGCTGCTCCTAACGCCCCAGCAAATTTTTTTTGGTTACGCTTTTAGAATATTAAAAAAATCGTAGCAAAATAGAAAATATCTAATGATGATTATCTCCCATGAAAAATAATTAAAAAAAGAAAAAAAAAATGAATTAAGGTAGCTAATGAATTTCTGAAATTGTTTTATAATAATCTTCATCATTTTGCAGCAGTTAGAGGGCATTGAGGAATTCGTTTGAGCTCATTAAGGGCTCAAATATTTCTCAGCTTTGCATGTCAGAGAGTTCCTCGGTGCCCAGGTAGCGCCATTAATGAAAGCGGAAACGATTTAGAAAAGGACCGTCTCGAAAATTCGATCGACCCTGAATGGATTGAAGTAGACATTCCGAAGCCAATCAAAGTCACCAAGAAAGTGCTGATTCCAAATTACCGTCACCCAAATGTGAGATATTTGTCTGATTTCTACTTTCATCATCATAGGGCCAATCTCATTATAGGTAGTTTACTTGATAGAGTAGAATAAAAATAAACAAACGATAAGAAATGTAGCAGATTGAATTTTCTATTATTTTAAAAAAATGAGATTGGCCTTGAAATATTCAGGAAATGTGAGGGCTTGTCGCGCGTGTTTAAAAAATATAAATCATATGAAAAAAAAAATTTTAAATCAAAATTGAAGTTTTTTTTCCCACCATATTCTCGTTAAAAATATATCAAGAAAAATCAAGAAAGTTATTCAAAATGAACGGAAAAAACGTGACTGGCTCAATATAAACTTGAAAAATTTTTTTAAATAAAATGGAAATGATATAAATTGAAGTTAAAAAAACACTATAAATTTTAAAAATTCATCAATCAAAACTAAAAATTTAAAAACAAGGAAAAAAATTATCAAGTTTATCAAAGAAAAAAGATGAATCGCGCCCGAACGGTAAGTCCTTTTCAAATTTCCTTCAGTTTTCGTTTTTATCACTGTCTCCACATGTGCTGTGTAATTGATCTTTTGATTTCTTGGAAATTTGCATTTACTGTAGGGAATGAATTGTTCGTTTTGTAGTTCAACTTCGTGGGCAAAGTGCTCGGACAGAAGGGCGCGACTCTGCAGACGATGGCCAAACAGCACAAATGCCACATTTTCGTGCTGGGACGCGGATCGACGAAAGACAGACAAAAGGAGACTGAGCTTTTCGAGACGGGAGACCCGCAATATGCTCATTACGGCGGACCTCTTCATGTCAAGGTGTCATCTGAATTTAAATAAGTGTTTTAATTGTATTTTGACAGGTGGAAACTGTGGCGCCCGCCAATGTTGCTTATGCGCGAGTCTCGTCAGTACTGGAAGAACTTAGCCGAATTTTGCAACCGGTTCGGTTTCTTTCAACTTGTCAACTGAAATATAGAGGCTCATAAAATTGAATTTTCTTGAAGTTTGAGATTAGGAGCCACAACAAGAAAACACTAACTTTTTTTTTTTGAAGTTTGAAGGCGATTACTCTGTTTTCAGATTCGAGAAGATACTACGCCCAAGGATGCGCTCACCAATGACAGCGGAAACGGCTCAAGTAATTCTCGCAAAGTCCCAGTAGATTCTCAACAAATGACTTTTGAGGCAACGGTAACAAAGAAGGCGAATCTCCGTCGTCACGAGGCGACTTTGGGGGTCGAGGTCGGGGACCTTCGCGTGGATCAGGCGGACCTATGCGTGGAGGCAGAGGAGGCGGACGCGGGTTCCAAGGAGGTCCTGGCGGTCCAGGATTCGGCGGTCGAGGCGGCGCTGCAGGGTTTCTTTTTTGTCTATCTATAGTCTGACACGTAAAGTAACAGATCGAAATAGTCTGTCAAAGTTTTCTTTATAAAATCAATCAAACGGAGCATAACTACCCCATTTTCAATCGGGACTTGATACACACTCCAAACTTAAATTTGTTTTTCTTCCATCGTTTTACCAAAATAATCTTTCAGGTACCGCCCTTATTGATTCGAAAAGCGTCAAACAGTCTTTTGAAACCTTTTCAATCGAAGAAAATTTCCACTTTAATAACAAGTTCCACAATTTTATTTATATCATGTTGTTTTTTATCTTCATTTGTTCGAACTTATTTCATGTTGCGTACTCCTGTTAGTTCAATGAAGTCATCGATCATATAATGATTCAGTATTTCCAACGGCCACTCTAAAATTTGAAAAAAAAAAACAATTTTTAGCAGTTTCCACCACTTTGAAGCGACACTTTGTCTGCTTTTCACTCCTCACGCAATTCCACTATCGCAGCGTTTTATCATTATTTATTCTCGATCGTGTTATTTTTCTGTCTGCTAAATTTATGCCCGATCTCTTGGTAAATTGAAAATTTTCCCTCTTGTTTCTCCTCTGAAAAATTCTGATTTGTTTTTGTATTCCAATGAATCGGTTTGTGACGGAACGAAACAGGTTTAAATTCCCAGAAAGTACATTATTCGGCAAAATATTTGAAAGAAACGACTGCGGATAAAAGAGCGACGGCAAAAGTTAGGAGAAGAAGTGAAGTCCGGACGTAGTGCACAGGACTCTTTATTTGGTCTGTAGAAAGCCTCGTTGACGTCACCAGCAAAGACGCTACCGACACCTTCAATTTCATTGAAAACAAAAATTTTGCTTTATGCGGAAATCATTTTGGAGATGGCATGAGGAAGATTATTTCATTTTTCATGACGAGAAAAGTTACCTTTTTGTTTTTCCGTGACTAAAGTTTGAATTTATAGTTTCTACCGCGGGAATTATTTGAAATTGTGCTGTTGTATGAAAATTGGCCAATATGTTCTTTGGCGTAAAAGGTTAGATGCTGGAAATATTCTAGTTTTTGAACAAAAAGGGCAAATTTGGGATTCCATGATTAATTACAGTGTCTTCCGCGCGAAATGTTTCGAAACAATATCAGAAAAAAGAAAAGGTTTCTTGTGTAAAGCTTACTTGCAGCAGTTGTTTTCCCTCGTCGAGCTTGAGCGTGGGCGTGTCGTCGATGGAGAGGAAGGTCCAGAGAAGGAAGAGGGTGAGAAGACCGCCGCCGACGGCGCTCACGGAGGAGAAGACCCTCCAGAATTTGGAAGAAGGCGTCGGTCGGAGGCTGACCAGCGCCGCCAGGACGCAGATCGGGGTGTAGAGCCACCAGTTGGGGTTCGTCTGTTCAAGTTTTGAGAGATAAAGACTCGTTCTAACAAGGAAGGTCATTTTACTTCCTTCTAGAGAATTAGCTGAAAATTGCCTAAATTATTCTTTGATTTGCAAAATGAAGATCCTGAGAGTCTCGGCTTGCATAATTTCTTAGTTTTCGAGAGAACAGGTCTCAAATTCAGAAAAAAAAACCGAATCTGTTAAAATTGATTATTTTGAGACTCTGAATGCTCAGTTTTTGGAAACCTAAGATTTTTTGGAGGTTGAGACTTTCAGGATATTCATACAAAACGGCAAGGTATATTCTAACCAATTTCAGGAAGCTTTCAACCCAAAAGTAAAATGACCTTCTTTGGAGAGTCAAAAATGACTTAATCAGGGCTTTTACTCCAAAGTTTTTAAAAAAGGATCACATTTTGGCATCAATATACTTTAACATTCAAAATCGAACAAACCAAAAATTGATGGGCTCCGTGAGCCAGCAGACCAGTGCCCACAACATTTCTTATCAATGAATTCATCTTTCTGCAAACAAAAAATTCAAAATTCAAGATTGAAATAAGTCGAAAAATCGACTTAAAACCCTCGAGAAACAAAATAAAGCAAACACGGGTTTTAAGATACTTGAAAAGTTTGAAAAAATAGGATTGTCAACAAGAAAATACGGTTGGAAGACAAAATAGGCAAGAACGATCGATAATTTGCGAAGGTGGGAGAAGACAGGTCATATTTGGTATGAAGGAGAGGTCAATCGGTATGAAGGCGTTGAAAAATAGATACAATAAAAGTTACTTTTTCAAAAAGAAAACTATTCCTATGGAATTTGAAAAAGCTCCAACGATTTTTTTCAACCTTTCCTTCAAAAATTTTGGTTACGTGAATAGATGAGAAATTTTTCGAATTAGAGTACCTTCTTTAAATTTTCCATGACTCCTGTTTCTAGTTTTAAAAACTTATTTCGAAGGTTCAAACGTTAAATTTTAAGAGGAGAGGATGTGGGAAATTTTTGAAATGATTATCTTGAGAAAATCTTGGAAGGAAACGCCCATAACAGTAGAAAGAAGAACTCGGATACGATGAATGACGACATTAGGCAACGCCTAAACATTTAGTGGGTCTCTAAGGACGACCCGGGTCGACTGTTAAGGAATCTTGACGTCAGAGATACCTGTGACGTCAGACGTCACGGTCAACAGGAAACCCAATGTCGCGAATTGCGTCAAAATACACGAAATTAGCTCGGAAATGCCAAGAAGTAGCTATAAAAGAAAGTTGGTAGGGTGAACCTGAGGACAAAACATTTGGTGGGCCTTTGGCAACACTCCAAGCTTCTCTTTTATCAGTTTTGTGTTTGGAAAGACACTCGAAACGTCGGCCAAGCGGGAATTTCTTTGCGCAGTGAGCCAATTATTTTCGACCTGCTTTTTCACTTTCTGAGTATCCAATCGAGCCGCGTTCCACTTCTTTTTGCATAATTGTTGTATTTCTTCATTCAACTTTCACTTGTCAGATCATCATTTCAATTTTTGCTGATAAATGAATACTTTTTCAAAGTTTTTCAAATTTGAAAAAAAAAAGGTTTTCTGAGGTTATTTCAGGTTCATTTATGGTTTTTTTAGAAATGTTTCAAATGATATTTGGGTTTTTTTGCTATGTAAGTTGTATAAAGACGAAAAATTCATTCAACCAAAAACGTGAAATCCTGTAACTTTTTTTTGCGATTCTGTTTGGTCCAATAGAAAGTTAACCCATTTTTTTAAATTGAAAAAAAGGGGTTTTCAATAAAATTTATTTTTTTCCTTTGCTTTTTGATGCGAAACCATCCATATTGCATCTTAAAAACTTTCTTTCAGAAAAAAAAATTTTCTTCTCTAGATCTTGGGTGGCTCTGGAGCAGCCCGATGAGTCATCATGAGAGAGTACACCGTTGATATCTGTAACATGAGCAATGGCTTCGCAACGACCAGTCACACGGTGAAATACTCGGCAACCTGGACCGAATGGACTGTGATTTTCAGTTGAACGAGTTGCACTTGTCGGATCTTTCGCCTTTCGTAGAAGCCATTGCCGACTTCACCAACTACAACAATCCCATTATACAGTGTTCGTTCTTTTTCCGAATGTTCAGGAGTTCATGGAATGAGGTGTTTCAGATTGCCAGAGCGGAGGAATTTTGAAGGGAATCACGGGAAAGCAAGATTTCAAGGGGTTTCTTCAGCACATCGGCCTAGGAACCGAAATTCGGCTTTTTGTTAGTAAGTCCGCACTTTTTCCATTCTTAGTGTCTTAATGTCAGCAAGAAGATCGAAATTTTTTCTCTGTCTAGTGTCTTTTTTCCTGTGTAGAGATATATCTAAAAATATAAATAAGGACTTTTTTCACTATTGTTATCCGAAAAAAAAAACCGAAAAAAAGCTTCATTTTTAAAAAAGTTTTGATTATCTAAAAAAATAACGGAATAAAGATAGGAATAAAAAGATACAGAAGTTAGAAATAAATTAAAGAGATGAAACCCGATTTTTCTGTTCTTTTTTCTCGCTTCTCAAGCAATAACAAAAACTATACGGTGACAAAAAAGAATTTTCTTATTTTCGTTTTTTTTTTACTTATTTTCGTGCCGAAAAACGATTGTTCAGCCCGGCGGGAGCCGACGACGCCGGAGTACGACGACTTCGAGCGATTCAGAAGTTTTGTCTACTCCCAAGTCGGAATGTTCGCGAATCCGATTGGCTACGGAGCTCAGGGCAGGGTTTATTCGTAAGCTTTCGGCCACCGGAACACAAATTTTCTCCTTTTTCAGGGTTAATATAGAGGAAAAAGTTTACGCGGTGAAGATGATATTGAAAAGATATGAGACCGACGAAGTCGACAACGAGGTCGACGCCTTGCAAAAGGTCTCTGGAGATTCTCAAACCGAAGTCCTTGAAGCCGGTCTAGGCTTGGACTTCTCGTAGTCGGACTCTTTAAGAGATCACTCATTATGAAAAATCTAATCTTGAGACTACTTGAAAACCTTCTAGTGATCACTTAAGCAGAAGCGACTATTTTTGTCCAGACGTGAGGTATTCCTTACGGTCTCAAGTTTATATTACCTTTGTGAAATCTCCTTATCTTTTGAAGCACTTTTCCGGATTCTCTTTCACTTTTTCTTGTAAACACGTCAAAACAGAGGAAGTTGTACTTTTATCTCATCTCATGTATTTTCATGCTAGAAAATAAGTTAACTTTTTGAGTTTTCAAATCATAATTTTGCAGTGTCGCGGCGATCATATCATCAATCTGGAGTACAGCATAGTCAGTTTTTTTTTTCTGAAGCTTCCTTTTCAGTTATTTTATGTTTTCAGAAAGAAAACAACATTTATTATCTTTTCTTGGAATACATGGACCGAGGACATCTGGGAGATTTGGGTAATTTCTTTCAATCTTTGTTAAATCATGAAATAAGTTCAGTTAAAGCATAAAATATGAATTTTGAAGCGGGGAGTTTTTCTCTTTAAGGCCTTTTGCGGGCTTTTAAATAGAAGCAGCTTTCATCATCAATCATCAATATTTATTGGTTGTTTTAGTCAGATGGAATCGACTAGGCGGTGAAAAAATAGCTCTTTTGAGCGGCAATAACACTGCCTTTGGCGAAAAATAAGTCAAAACGTGTAGTCGATTGAATTGAAGGCATGGTCTTACGGTCCTTCGCCTCGTTTTACAAGTAGATCCCTCAGTTTCGCGGGTATGGGCACGGCGGTGATGGTGGGGCTCGGGCACGGCGGTGATGGTGGGGCTCGGGCACGGACGCCGTGTACACTCTAGGGTAGCCTCGGCCGATTGAGAGAGCTACCACTTCGAGTGAAGAATACACGGAATCTTTGAAAAAAAAAACACTAGAAGCTCATTTATTCTCAAATTAAATCTTTCCGGACCTCGGTAACGCAAACCAGACGCGCCCGGACGTTTCTGAGCATTTTAGTGATGCCTTTAGCGAATTCAGCTCTCTTAAGTTTCTACTTGAAATTCTCGAAAAGGTCCGTTTTGCGTTCCCGATGACCGAACTCATACAATAAGAAACATTTTATTGACTGTAATTTATACGGTAAAAACGTAAACTGTCGCTTTTTTCTTTCGATGAACAATTTTTCTAGTCAGAAGATGCGAAGGATCTGTTCCGCCCAGAGTTCTACAACAAATCGCTTGGGCGACTTTCCAAGGCCTCCGGACTCTTTGGACCCGCGGCTACCTTCACAGAGGTACAGTCTCTCACCGTATTCTGGGCCTATTTCAAATTGAAGATATGAAAGAGGACAATATCCTGTTGAGCAGCGACGGATCCGTGAAGGTCAGCGACTTGGGCCTCGCCAAGGTAACGACATTTGGTTGGGTCCCCAGTTTATCCGTTTTAATGCAGAAAGTGGACAACACTTCGAAAATCGCTTGTACGGAGCTAGGAGCAGAGGGCTACCAATCGCCCGAAAGAGTCCGCGGGCAAGACTACGGGTACCCACCTCATGTCCTTCGACTTCCAACTCTCCTTTGTAGAGAAAAGGCCGATGTTTGGGCGTTCGGAATCATTTTATATCGGATAGTCGTCGATGAAAACGTCGTCAGTCGAACTAAGGACCAAATTATTGACGAGCAGCTGGAAGTTCCGTCTTCTTCCGACGTTCCCAGCGACCTCAGGCAACTCATCAACAATTGGCAAGTCTTTTCTGATCTCTTCCATTTCAAAGGAACATTTTCCAGCTTACAACTGTCCGAGGAACTCCGTTGGGGCGCCGCAGAAATAGCCGACTGCAGCTATTTCACTGGAGTTCAGTTCGAAAAGGCATTAATTGCCGAGTTTTTGGCGCAGAATCCTGTACAAAATGCGGAAAAAATGTAAATAAATGTTTTTTTTTTCGTTATTCTCGTTGTGACGAATCTCGGTTGTTAATTTGATCAAGTTCGAAATGTACTTTGCTGGAGATTAACACGGATTCCAGCCGCCGATACGAGTTTAATTGGTCTAGTAGCCTCTGAGTTTGGATTTAAAATCAATTGTTTTTTTCCTCTCCCACTTGTTCGAATGTTGTGGTTCGACAACTGCCTTGCCCCAACTTTCCAGTTTCTTTTTTTGAATAAAACGTTTCTAACTTTAAATAGGATTTTTGGTAGAAAACGTATCTATGGAAAAAAGAAGTTGTAGCGTTTAATTTTGAACTTTTGAGGATTGTTATTGTCAAATTAGAAATGTTAAGAAAAACTCGATTTTATCCTGTAAAACTTACTTTTTCAGGATAAACAGTCTGAGATGAAACTCGCTCTCGTCTTCCTCCTAGCGGTTCTCGCCATCAACGTGTTTGCCGGCTCTCACGGTAATTGATACATTGAACTCTTCTGAATAAAAGTTCAATTTTATAGAAGATAGCGATTCGAGCTCTTCGTCTTCATCGGAAAGCTCTTCGGGAGAAGAAGACGTGCGATTGACGCAGAAGCCGGAGTCTCCGAGGGACCCGACGACGTCGGGACCGGCGAATCCTCCTCCTGCGGCTTCGAACTCAAGTTCCCTGCCGTGAAACTACTTTTTTTATTAAAAAAATAAAGGGATTTTTTTCTTGTTTTCAAGCACAAGATGAGAATGTCGTGCTGATTGCAGAGATTCCTTAGACACTCAAGAAGGGATTATTTCAGTTTAATAACCGCAGACTTATCTCTAATAACTTCGTGACTCTCAAAAGATACATGCGCCCCATTTTCGCGCAACAGTTTCCAGATTCACCAGAACTCATCGTTCTTCGGTTTATTTCTCGGTGTCCGGACTGATAAGTGACGCGATGGTTTGATCTGCGGCTGAGTCATCTTTTATCAGAAGATGCTCCATTCCTAGCGTCACTTTCCTTCAAACCAGCATGTATTTAGTGTCTTTCCGTCCAAAAATACGGACCTCATTTTCTCGTTCTTTCTCTTCAAAATTTCTCAACTCTTTTTCGAAGCGATAGAATCAATCGATAATCTTGATATCTGGGCATTTTTTGGCTTCGAAAAAACGATCAAAAGAAGACTTCTAAAGAACTGTAAAGTTGAACGGGTTTGAAGAAAATAATTTGACTTTTTTTTTTTAAGATTTTATCATTTTCCAATCGTTTTGCTCGAAAACTTCATCAAGAGATCGAAATCAGCTAGGTAGAAATAGAGTGGGAATATTTCATTCTTTTGTTGTTTTGGAAACAAGCCGTAAAGCTAGAAGTTGTGAAATTTGTGCTGAAACTCCAGGCACCGGTTTCAGAACAGCGATAAGGCGGTACACAAAAAAAGGCGAGCCGAAAATTTGATAAAGGAATGATAAAAAGAGAAAATTCGTGATGTGTCAGCCGCTCTGAAAGACCACGAGTCAGGTCGGTAATCGTTCTTAAGTTGCTTGATTTCATATTATCTACCTTCGGCTGTTTTCCAGTTTTTACTCATTAACTTATTATCATAATTCATTTATTCTTCAGCTGAACTCTCACGTCTTGTTCATTTAAGTTATTATTTCAACCTGAGAAGTACCTGTATCGATATAATTATAAAAAAATTCGAAGAACGTTTTTTTCAAGTTTCCGAAAAGTTCTCTATTATGTGAAATTTTTTTACGAAGCTTTCCAATAACTTCCACTAGGCCTTTCCGAGTTTTCGAACACAGAATGAAAAACGAGAAGGTGCATAATCTAGAGAAAAGTTGGAAAAAATTTGTCAAAAACACTTCAAAAATTGATATACTGTATATGATGATTTCACCGAACGTCTGCGTCGTATATTCCCCCTGTAGAATTATCAATTCCAATACAGTCAACGATTTCCATGATCAGGTTGTTGCAAAGGATCTCATTCTCAATTGGATGCCATGTGCTGCTACAATCCGAAACGGCAGACTTACTTCTGCTGCATTCCCGCCAAAGTTCGACAATTCTCATTATCTCTTTTCAACTTTTTCCTTTCAGCTGATCGGCGTTTTCGCGTCGGCGTTAACGCTAGCGATGCATCTCATCTTTGCGATTTGTTTCCTGGTATACGGAAACCTTTACGGATTGATTCCGCTGATCGCCACGATCATTGCCCATGCGATTTTCCTGGCCATCAACTTTGGATTCATGGCGAGAATGGTTAGGCTGTACGTCGTGTTTGAGGTGAGATTCCGGATAGATGGATTGAAAGAGATAGAAATTAGACTAACCCTTGAAGAAATGTGGAAAAGGACCTTGTAGATCCTGATGTCGATTGCGATGTTGGGCGTCGGCTGCTGGATGATAGTTCTTGTTTTCATTCCTGACAATTCGTTTATTTATCAAAAATGCGTCGACAACCTTTGGGACGATTGCAAAAGCTGTAAGCCCTTTCTTCGACTTTTTCTATCTTCAGTTCAAAAATTGCAGTCAACAGGGCAACATCAGCCTCTTGGGGCGGTACATTCATACTTTTCTTCATCGTCAATATTATTCTCTTGCAAATTTTCAAGCAGTTCTCACAAAGCCTGAGACAAGGAAATTCGAGAAGAAGGTCTGTTATTTTTGACATAAATCTCGAATTGGCACTTTTATCCACATAACGTCGTCATAAAGTCGGGAAGACCATAGGACTGCGTAAAAAAAAGAAAAAAGTTTGCGTGTGGCTAATTAGACGTTCAAAGCCTAGCTCAATCTCACGTTCCCTTTCTGCACGTAGTTTAACCAAAAATGCCTTGCCTTGCTTAGCTTCACGAAGGGCTGTTTCAGAAACAGCTCCTGTTCGCACCCGGTCCCGTTGCCGCTGCATCATCCGCAGCCGCCTCCGCAAGCGGCGCCGACGCAGATCTTCGTCGGCCAGCAGCCGCTGCAGACCGCCACCGTCCAGCCGCAGATCGTCTACCTTCCTGCTCCGTCGGCTCCTCCCATGACGCCGGTCCAGCCGCGGATGCCCGCCCCCCTCTACCAGATTCCTCAACAAGAGACACCGTATCCGCAGACGACCGCCACAGGCTCCGCCTATCCTTACTCCACCAATGATGCTCCACCGGCCTACGAGAAAAACAAGTATTAAAAGTTCGAATATAGATTATAATTCCGAAAACGGGTGCTTCTCGAGTCGAATCGACATAAATCCTTTTGATAAATGTTGTAAATAAATATTGAAACTTATTATAAATATAAAGAGTTTTTGTTGGCTCAAAATTGCAAAAAATAAAAGTGAGAATTTTCTTCAAAAATGACAAAGCTTTTCGAAAAGGAGCATGAATAAAAGCCCCGACAAAAATGAAGTATATGAAAAAGAAGCAATAAGAAAGAACTTCACCAGCAGATATGTATAGAATTGATGACAATGAACCACTATCATACCATAAAAATCCAAATAGGCCACTTTAAGACTGAGAAAATCATAAAGTTGGCTTGTATTCAGTCCATAGCCTTTTTTATGTTGAAGAACTATCCGAGTTTTGACAAAACAACTAATTTCGACCGGAAACTCCTGAAATCTTCAAAATGACGTAAAATAATCACTTTTTTGGTATTTAAAAGAGTTATTAGTCCGGAAACCCTTTATCATCCCAGATAATTCTTATCAAAATGCCAACGTGCTTGGAAAAGCAAAGAGGAGGAGGTGTCAAAAACCCTGTACCCAAAGATAATTCCCGTTCGCAATCTAGTCCTTTTTCGTAAGCGGTACTCGGGACAATGTGTTCCTTTAACTTGAGGCAACAGACCTACTGCGGATTCGTTTCAGTCAGGGTGAGTTTCCTCGCTTTTCTTGTACCTACCGAGAGTTGGCAGTTCATAGGCCTTCTGGCGGCGAGCGTCACTCTCCTGCTGCACATCACCTTCTCCATCTACTTTCTGCTCTACGGAGAGCTCTACGGCCTCATTCCGTTGTTTGCGACGATCATCGCCCACGCCATCTATCTGTTCATCAACATGGGCTTCATCTCTTTCGTCGCTTTACTCTATACATCCTTCGAGGTGATTTCGAACTTTTGTAGTTTAGAAGGCGTTTTCTTTCCTTTTTCTTGAAAACCTGCAAAGTAAGAAGACAGTTTTGAAAAAGGATGACCTTTTTTCTAGCAAATCTAGAAAAAATTAATGTGTGCCTGCTGCCTTTTTTTTCGAGAAATCTAGAGCTTTTAATAGTCTATTTGATCTATTTCGAAAAATAATATGATAGTAAACACTTTGAAAAATTGCAAAAAGGCAGGAGATCTCTGAAAAAAACTTCAAATGTTTCTCAGCGCTTTAATTATTTTTTTTCTTACATCCTTATCTACTAACTAACTTTGGTTTTTTTTTTTACTAACTTTGGTAAAACTATCAACGAACAATGAGGTTAATCTCTTTGAAAAATTCCTATTGCTCGTTCAGAGTCTCAAAATCTCAAATCAGCAGAATAAATAAACTAACAAGGCCAACATCCTTCCAAGGAGTCCAAAATCTGATCTAACCCAATATTTTCTAGTAAAAAAGAAAAAAACAGGCTCTGATGTGTCTCGCGATGTTGGGAATCGGTTGCTACACCTGTCTATTCGTCCCCTACCCGGAAAAATCCTTCATTTATCGACATTGCGTGCAAAACGGAGGTCGCAATTGTCACTCTAGTCAGTTTGAAAAGAACAATCTTCCTCTGATGAAGAAGGTTCAGCGACACGAATCACCGCAGCAGCCTGGGGACCGGCCCTCATCCTCTTCTTCTTCGTCAACGTCTTCCTGATCCAAGTCTTCGCGCAAGGAGCCAAGGCAAACCGATATCTGAGCAAACGAAAGTGAGTTCTTCTTCTTTCCTTCGACCCATTTGAAGTTCAGATATTCATCAAGTTCCTCATACAGTTGCAATTCGTGTTGCAGCAATCACCCGCCCAGGATCGCAGGAGTCGTCCCACCTGTCCAGGTGATCGTCAACCAAGCGCCGCCCGTCCAGAATCCGACGCCGATTCAAACGACCTCTTCCTTGCCCAACTTCTTCCCCATCATGTCCCCGATCTCCCAACCTCTTTCCGGCTCCGACATTCCGCTCCAGAATCTGCAATCAAGGAGTACTATCCACAGCAATTACCAGCCGGTGGCTAGAAGAGCGATGGGCCAAGTGATGCCCTTCGGAAACGACAACGTCTACATATTCCGCTTCGAAGAATGGCTCGTGCCTGGGAACGCCAACCTCCAGCCTTTCATGGAGAGGTTCAATCAATACTCCACTAATCCCATGGTTTCGCAAAGATGAAACCGAAAATTTTACATTATTGAAGCCTGTTTGCAACAAATTGATCTCATTATTAATGTCTTTTCCAAAAGGGATATGGAAAAGGGAAAATCTGCACAACGGTATATTTCAACTGATGTTTTCTAGATTATAGCTGGAACAACACATTTTTGATTGAGAAGAAAATTTAAAGTCTTGCGAAATGTTCTGGTCGGAAATTGTATCTTGCAAAGGCTTCAATTAAAGTTTGTTATATTTTATTCGTAAAAGTTCTGAAAAATTCAACTTCCAAAGAAAAGTGTTTGTATATAATTGGAGAATCGGTTTTTATTTGATTATTCTCAGGTTTTGTTGAAAAAGTCTTTCTTTTTTTTTTGAATGAATTTTGATGCTTGGAATATTATTTTTTGAATTCGAGGAAATCTGTAACTCTCCAAGAATTTTGTAATATTATTGTAAAATTTTTTCGATCTACCAAATAAACCCATTTTTACCAGTCTCCAGTCAATCAATTATTTGCATCCCAGAAAAGATTATCATGCTTATTTATTTCGAATAAAATTCATAAATGTACATTTGTGCAGAGTGTACATCTTTCGATTGTGCTTAGGAATTATTTGCAGCAGCTCTCCCATTTGCCGGCGACGCCCCAGCAATAGCCCCAGTTGCCGACGTATTCGTCACCTGAAACTCATTGAAGGAGTAAGAAATCCTTGCAGAGTTTTTTAAAGTTCTGAACACATGTTCTCTATTCACAGGTCCAAAAATGTTGAGCTTCATCTTTTTTCCGATTGACTTTCTAGAATAGTACGTTTTTGGCGCCTTGATAAAGCGATATTCGCCCTCGTCTCCCGGCAACCCTCTCACGTTGAGGTACTAGTTTCATGTTCTTCTGACCTCGCCGCGGAGGGAACAGAGAGCCGCAGACACTCGAAAACAGTCAAGTTGCGGTGAACGGACTATAGTGTCAAGAACCTAATTGAATAGAGTTCTAAGCCAGGGACTATTGAGGATATCGGCATGTATTGTAACGAGAAAGAACCAACCAGCACACTCGTTCCGAGCACTGTGAGTGTGGCAGCCGGTTCTTCGGCAAGTAACGGCGTCGGTCCCGGGAAGAATTCCGACGGAGAAGACGGCGAGGATGGCCAGGAGGAGGACGGTGGCGCGCATTTCTCGATTCAGCTTTTTGGAGCTTGACATTCTCTTTTGAACTTCCTTTTTATAGGCTTTAATTTGAACTTTTTGAAAAATAATAATACAAAAACACCGTCTGGATAAACATTATCGGATGATCAAAGTGTCGCAAAAATAGCAGCGATCTGTGAAGGTGTTGCAAAACGTTTCGAAAACATTTATATTTCTATTAATGAACTTAATTTTTACCTATTGAGCTGAAGTAGGATAACTATGAAAATTCCAAACTTGCCAAAAGAAAAATTACTTTTTTTTTGCAAGAAAAAAGTTTTAATTGTTAGCGTTTTCGTTGAATTTTTCATTCTCATGACGTTCATATTATATTAGAATAAACAATATTTGATTCGAAAGCTATTAATAACGGCAAAACGTGTCAAAGCTTTTATTATCGTATTACCAAGAGATCAAGCTGGAACCTCGCTTCAACAAATTGCGTCACTAAATTTAGATGTTTCATATATTAACACCTCGGGCGCGCCATAGCGCAACAGGTTGTGGGCCTGTCTACGGTCCACAGGGTCACAAGTTCGATCCCCGCCCCGACCCAACCAAGGGGTTTAAGAAATGTTGGTAGTGGGAAACCACGACTTCAAAATCTCCAGCCGTCACACACAAGGACGGATATGTCACTCGAGCCAGTCCACTGATATCAGGATAGGACCTCGGCTAATCGACTTGGGGCGCCGACGCCGCTCAAGCGGTACAAAGGCGTAAGAAGAAGAAGGAGAAGATATATTAACACCTCATTATAGATTCATGATCACAAAAATGCTGTTGCTTACAAAAATAAAAGTCTTCCGTAAACTTTTTTTTCTTTTCTGAAGAAACAAAGGCGACCTTGAACCGGTTCTCAACTTAAATCTTTCTCTTCACCTTTTGGATAAATAAATAATTATTATTTAGCAGGAGTTCAATCGTTTTTCTCGAAATAGGCCTCATAGAAATTTTATTTTTTTTTTTCATTTCTTTTCATTTACTGATATACTGTATATTTCGCTGTAAAATCGTCTCTTTTTTACAATTTCTTCATTTAAACAGATTCCGAAAAATTAAGGTTTTGCAAGGCTCAGGATCTCTTTCTAATATCACGTAACTTACGTGACGTAAGGGCTTTTTTTAAGCTTTCGCTGTGTTTTCCGCTTTGCATGATGGAAATAACCCTTTTCAACTTTTTTTTATGACCGTTTGTTCGAAAAGTTTTCATAAGTTTTTAACCCAATAAAATATTACCCAGGTCCCCATACGAACAAAAGAGCTATAATTCATTTTATTCGAAAGTTTACTTTTCCTTCTTTTTTGAGCCAGAGGAAACATATACAGTATGAGTTCATTAAAGCGAAATATGTTGCCAGGTATTTACAACAAGGTTTCTCATAGAAAGAAGAGGTTTCAGTCTTTGCAGCAGCTCTCCCATTTGCCGGCGACGCCCCAGCAATAGCCCCAGTTTCCGACGTGCTCATCTCCTGAAAAAATCATTATTCTGATTTTCAACTTTTCTAACGATTAAAAAGATCTCTCGAATCAGAAAAGTTTGAATGAACTTGAAAATGGCTAGCACTGACCATCGCACTCGTTGCGGGCGCTGTGGGTGTGGCACTTGGTTCTGCGGCAAGTCTCGGCGTTCGTTGGAGCGAATCCGACGGCCAAAAGAGCCAGAATAGCCAGAAGGACGGTGGTGAACTGCATTTTGCGTTGAAACGGAAAGCTGATGATCGTCGAGGTCGACTTGTAGTTCCAGCCTTTGCGTTCCCTTTTATACCAATCACATTCGTTTTGTTTGGTGAATTTTTTTTGGCAGCCTTTTCAAATACGATAAATAATTTTGCTGTCAATAGAAATGAACAGCAAACATTTTGAAACGAGCCGATCTTCTGATTCGAAACATCATTGATCGCTTCATTTTCAGATCTCTTTCTCTATAGAAATTTTTCAGGAATTTCGATTTTATCGCCTTCACGAAATTTATTACTGATCTTGAGTTTGAATTCAGGCGGGTTTAGAAAATCCTGATTCCATTTGAAGTTTTTTGAAAAGGCATAAAACCTCCTCATTTATAAGAAATAGGAGAGCAGAATTTTCTGAAAAAATCTGATCATTGTTGAATGTATTTCTCAGGGGCGAGTCGGGAAGGTTTGTCCACAAATATACGGTATATATATATATACCTCTCAAAATTGATCGTGAATATCCCATTACCAAACTCAAATCAAATTGTTGTCCAAAATAATGTTGGCTGAGAATTTCAGGATTACCGACGAATGCAGAAAATTCTACAAGTAGAAAAAAAATTGTATACCGATTTCTGAGATTAAACCTCGAAGTCAGAAAACAAATAAAAGCTTCCGAATATTTATTTAGAAAAAAAAAGACTTCGAAAGAAATAAAAAATATGGTTTATTTACAGCAGCTCTCCCATTTGCCGGCGACGCCCCAGCAGTAGCCCCATTTGGCGACTCGTTCATCTCCTGGAAGGATTTCAACAATAAGATTGACTGCTCGAAAAAGATACCGTTGCACTCGTTCTGGCTGCTGTGTGGATGGCAACTTGTTCTTCTACAGCCCGCCTCGACGACGTTTTTCGGGAGGACGGCGATGCTCAGAATGGCGAAGAAGGCAAGAAGCAGGAAGGTAGGGCGCATTTTTGTCGATTGGAAAGAAGTTGATGAGGAATAAAGATATTCGCATGCTTATATAGTGAATTGGATAAGAAAGCTTCTTGTTTTCTTGTGTGTTTTTGTCGGAGAAACCCACGCACCGTAATTGTCTGTTTGTTTTCTGCCGTCACTCTGCGAAAAAGGGAAAAAAGAATGGATTGAGAGGGTCAAACTGGAGAATCTGTTCACGGCTTTCACAGGAAACTTTTCGAAAACCTTTTCGTAATATGTAATTTGAGCGTTACGCCGAGAGCCGTAAATTGCCCGGCGAGAAAAATCCTTCTAATTTCAAGTTTCAAGTTGATGTTTATTGAAAGTTGTTTCGAGCTTTCTTTGATCTGCTAGAGAAGTATCAGTTTTATAATAATGTTTTATTTTTTTCACAAGTTGAAAACTCCGAAATGGCATAGGCGAAGTCGGAAGGGCCCTCCGAGGGTATAAAGGCTGCTGGAAGGGTCCATAGAAATTATCCTTTTAGGGAGACGAGGGCTCCTTTTTGCTGCCTTTTTGCGCCATTTTATCGGCACTTATGCACCCTTTTTCCACCATTCCTTGAGCCTTTAAATTTTTAGAAAAAATGAAATGCTCGATAAAGGGACTCTTTTTGCTGCCTTTCTGCGGCCTTTTTCGAGCCTCTCACTTTGAGCTACCATTATATTCCGACTTTGCCCAAGGGCTTGTCTGAATACTCCGCAAGAAGTTATAAGCTTAAGTTATAAGCTTGAAGGTTGTTAGAATCAAAAAATGTTTAGATTACAACTCACATAATCTCAATTCGATACTGAAAGGGGAATTTGAGTAGGTTTTCAAGAAATTGCAAAGGCTCTTCTCGTATGGAAGAAAGTGTCTTTTTTTTCTTTGATCCTCGTAAGCTATGCTGATTTCAAAAATTTGGAGTGTTTTTTTTTCGGATTGTGTTCTTTTTTTTTTTTTGAAATCGCAGAAGCCGTTTATTAGAATATTGCACGATTACAAATTTACAATATGTTTTCGTCATTTCGAATAAAGATTTATTTGCAGCAGCTCTCCCATTTGCCGGCGACGCCCCAGCAGTAGCCCCAGTTGCCGACGTATTCGTCACCTGAAAAGCTCACGTGATTACTCATCTTTGATCATCCTTTCGAATAACGACTAACCATCGCATTCGTTGCGAGCGCTGTGGGTGTGGCAACTGGTTCTGCGGCAGGTCTCGGCGTTAGTCGGAGCGAATCCGACGGCCAAAAGAGCCAGAATAGCCAGAAGGACGGTAGTGAACTGCATATTGTATTGAAAGCTGGTGATTGTCGAAGTCGACTTGATTACCTGTTTCCATCGCAGCTTTTATACTACTGCTTTAGATCGTGTTTATTGACATTTCCAATGAAACAGTTCTAAAAAGGAAAGAATAAATGCTCCTGAACAAATAAATCAATTGAGCAAGGCTTCAAAAACCGGAACATCAAAAAAAAAATTGTTTTTCAACATCAGTAGATTAATGATGGGACTAGTACAGATGTCCTGAACTTTACATAAGACTGAAGCCCAAAAAACCTGCTCAACGAATATGAATCATGATATTTTTGTTCCAAAGTCTATTTGCACAAAATTTAATATATGCCGACTTTTCCTGCTATTTTCGCGTTGATGAATGTTTTTTCATCTTCTGGGAACGTGAGTCACCACAGAAATGGTGAAAACCGGGAAAATCATGGAAGCGCAAATCAAGCGCTGATTAGTTGAAAACATGACCTTTCCAGGCTTCCCATAACCTGCTCTGCAAACGCGGAAGAAAGCTAATTTGAAAAAGCAGCCGGCTTGCTGGATGGGAAGGGCACCGGTTACCAAGGTGAGCCGCTCCTTCAGTCCCCATTCCCTCACATCGAAACGTGCTCCATCATGTCGACTGGCTGGACGACTTTCGATCCTAGCCGGGGAATCAGCGACTTTTCAAGGTTTGCCTTCCTGGATTGCAGGGAAAAAGATGTTCAGCTGGGACAACATGTTCTTCAACCTTGTCTTCGGCGCCGAACTCCTTCTCAACCCGTTCTGTCTCATCCTGTTCGTACTGGCTCTTTGCTCCGTTTGCCGGAAATCCGACTACCATCTTCCCATTTTCGATGTGAGACCTCGCTTTGGAGCCAAAAAGTCTTTGTCCTTTTAGCAACTCCAGAGAATCGCTGCCTACTACATTCTTGTCAGCAACTTCATTTCGAACTTTTGCAACGCCTACACGCTTCTTTTTCGAGGGTAATCGGGAAACCAACTCAAAAACTAACCTCAAACCAAGACTTGCTCCGAAATTCGCCGGCTTCTCCCGTAGCTATCCGTTCTTGCTGATTTTCATCGCGTATTGGCGAACTATCCAAGCCATCGAGTACAACTTCCACGATTGCTACCGGAATATGTGAGTCTTCACCTGAAGATAAATAACAAGGAGAATTCAGCGTTTTCTCGCACTGCTTCTGCCTTCTGACCTTCATAATCTGCGTTGGATGGACGGCTTTGTGGAGTCCGATTCACGACGCCTACGACTTCTCGGATAGTTATTTGATCCCGGGTCCCAACTTTGAGCTCCAGCCTTCTCGGCCGCTTAGCCATGTCGAGGTCGACTTCCTTTACATTTTTCTTTGACAAAAGCTTTACAAAAATAAAAGGTCTTTATTTCAACCCAAAAGTCGGCGTTCAGCAAAATAAAAAACTTGAATTACTTCTCTCAAAGAATGAAAAAGATGTCACCTAGTCATCTTTGGGTTACCTTCATAAGATCTTTTCAGCCAAACTACTTTCTCGACTGTTTCATGCCGCTCTGCGCTTTGGGGTTCAACATCTACGTGATAACCGCCAAGCGAAGGACGCGGGCGCAGATTGGAGTGAAAGTCTTCAGAAGATTCTTCTTCCTCGCCGTGTTCCAAGGGGTGAGAACTTTCCAGGAGGATCCTTAATGAACTCAAACTTTAGATGAACGCTTTGCTGCTCCTGGCCTTCGCCATCACGGACAATCCCTTGCAAGTCCAGTGGATGCACGTCGACCTGACAACGCCGCTTCAAAACGTCCTCATCTACGCCTTGGTCATCAGCATCGGCGACTTCGGCTGCCAACGCCGGAAGAAGTCTGTCTCCGCCGTGGACAACACAGGTGTGAAAATCTCCAAGCCCGTGACGCCATCTGGATTGGAAATGGCCGTGAGATCGAGGGACACCTGCGTTGGTGTGGAAAACCCGGCGTTCATCGAAATTACCAAGGAAATCATCCAGGACCTTGTAATCCCGCCGAGAAACTCAGAAACGCCTGATATCCCTGAGAACGAAAGCGATCTGATCGAAGAAGAAGAAAAAGTCAAGTACGAAGAAAAAGAACCACATGAAGAAAGACTCGAGGAAGAAGAGCCAAAAAACGTTTTATTGGAACGAAAACTGTCCCTTTCCCGCCAAAGCATCACTTCGATGGAAGCAAAGGATGGATCTTCATCGAAAACAACGGAAAGATGCGAGAATCGCCCGGCGGAACATGAACAGTTCTCTTAAGGCTGACAGCCTTCATATTATAACTAAATATAAGACTTATGTTTAACAATTTTGTTAAAAAGTTTTTGAAGTTTACTATGGGACCGCCTGATACCAGAACAAGTATGAATTTTTTTCGCAGTAGATTTGGTTTTCGAGTTAAGACGCTTCAAAAGCTTGAAATAGCGCTTTTTGACATAATTTGCGCATTTCGCGAATTTTGAAGCTTCATTCATGAATAAAAAAAACCGCGAGAAGTATTTTTCTTGTCTTGGAATCAGGAGGTCCTACAGACTTTTGAAGGAACATCTCTAACGTGCCCTTGAGGCTGAAGTACACTTAGAGATGTTTCATCAAAAGTTCAACCGGGGGCTATATAAAAACGTTTCCTGGTTAGTACAAATTTTGTGTTCAAAACTTATGTATCATTGATGTCTTTTTCCATTTATTTTCAAAATATATATGCTTATTCTATTTATAACAAATGACAATAAATTATCTCTTCTACAAAATTCAACAGATTCTCAAAAAATGTACAGAAAGAATTGACAAGATCAATATATGACAGAGATTCAAGATGTGGAGCTCAACATGACCCCAAAAAACTCAATCTATTTGAACAGATATCCGCTTCCGTTTCCTTGGAGTTTCTTCAGATCCCTAAATTTTCCAGAATGATATCCAGGGTAAATACGTGAAATACCGTTCTTTTTTCATCATTTCGTAGCAAGTTCTGTTCAAAACTCGCGAATTTGGTTCTGAATTTATCGTTTGAATGAATATAGCCATCATAACGATACGCAGGTGAATCTCCTTGAGATTTCTGAAACTCAAGGTTTTTTTCTCAAGGAAAATTAAAATACCCTTTGCTCGACTTTAGGGAATGACTTCTCCGGCAAAGCCATCTTCACTTCCTGAATATTTGAAGAATTTTGACCGAACTCTCTTGAAAATGACAGAATTTGCAAAATGAAAATGAAATTTAACATGCAATAATGAAAACGTAAAAACATGGAGTCTCAATTTTGGGAAAAAAAACAACAAAAATTTTTTTCTAGAGTTGTCATTTCCTTTATTATTTTCATAGAGCGAAAATTAATTTTAAAACTATAAAGTTGAAAAAAGACGAAACTTTCACCTTCAAAATGGCAAAAAGAACCGGGAGTCCATGAAAATACACTGTTCGAAACTTACGTCTTTTGTAAGACGGGGTTTTTTATTAGGAATCATGTCCAGTACATTAAGAAATCTTTCAGCGCTCCGGTCCACTTTTTGAGAAGCTTAAAAATTTTCTTTATCTAGTATACGTTTTATTTGAATCTTACTGTTACAAGCGACGCCGAAGAATTCCATCTTGCGACTCTTCAAATCGTTTTGAAACTTTTGCAACGCGTCCCGAAGAGAATCTTCGCGGCTCAACATACTCATCACAGGATCTGGATTGCTCGACAAAACGCAGTAAGATGGGTACCTAAAATGAAGTTAGAGGAAAATCAAGAGCTTTGAGATTCTACAAAAAAGGGTCGCGCTCGCCGTTGAAAAGAACATCGCAGAAAAACGGAGGTGGACCCGAAGGAAGTCTGTAGCCGTACTGGGAAGGTATCCAAACATTTTCCGGTTTGCAAGTCAACCAACCACATTCTTCCAGTAAGTCTTCACTTGAGAATAATCGGAGAATGGAGAATCGTTGGGAACTTCGCGATGGATTCTAACAACTCGCCCTTTCCCCAGCCTGAACTTCAGCGTGACTCGAAAGTTTTGTCGCAAAAGAAAGGAAAAACAAATATTTGAAAAATGTATGGATTTCACTATAAAATCTGGACCAAGGTCATCGTCAACTGAATTTCTTAACTAAAACTCAACTTCTGAACTGAAAACGAACGAACTTTGGCAAGCAGGTCACCCAACGTGACTTGACGTTCTGCGACTGCTGTCGAAATGTTTTCTCCGACTCGCCCAAGTCCCACAACTCCAAAAACAGCATACTGAAAAAGTTTGTGATTTAAATAAATCAAAGCTTGTTACTACAGAGTGAACGACATCTTCTTAAAAAAACTTTCTACAAAATTTCAAAACTACTCGGCATTTTTTAATATATAAGAATACTGTTCTTTGAAAGAAAAAAAATCTCTCGTCATACCTGTGAGATCCCATAACTAGCTCGAACAGTGTATTATTATCGAATAGCTAAATAATCATTGATTTATTACAGAAAGAAAAGAGAAATGACTAAAGTTTAATTTGTGGCTACTTTTGTTTAGATACCTATTTGGCGCCGGAACGTTTTTTGGCTCGTTTTTTGATAAATTTGGCTTTTCAAGCGCTAACTGACTAGTTTACCAGTGCATAATCAGAATGGTAAAAAAAAGAGAAAAGTTATACTTAAAACTCGGAATTTCTCAAAGAAATCTATGTGTGAATTCCTATTTTACAATCGTTTACAATTTTTAATTTTTCACGACACACTTTTAAATAACAATTTTTCAATATTAATGTACCTCACAAACTCTGCGGATGTTTTCATGTAGACCTCGCCGCTATTCGTGCAGTGCAAATCGATTTCTTCAAGAAGAATACTTATCCGCTTTTTATTGTTCGTGACAAACTCATTCGTGGACAATAGGTGTTGGTCTCGAACAGATTTTTGGCGTTCATCAATGTTGTACCAACCTTGAATTCCAACAAAACTTATACTTGAGTACAAATGAAACGAAATTATGCCGAGGAAAACTTCTACGGATTATTCACATAAAAAAACTGACTTTATTCCATCCTGCCTCCTGCATCCAGCAGAACAAAGAATATTTAGTACATTTTTCGAGAGCATATGAATTGGCATCTTCTTTGGAGAAGACCTCAAAAAAGGACTTTTCATATCTCTCAAAAGCCACAGACCGTCAAATGAACTTGTTGCAGCCACTCCGAAAACTCTTTCGAATCTATTATATCTCTTTTCCCAAGCAATAAAACTGAAGATAAGTCCCGTTGTGGAGATACCATCGATCCCTTCAAAAAAGACGTGTTTTGTATAATATCCCTAAAAACTACATTTTTTTGTTGCGATTCCATGAGTTCTTACCTACAGATCTGCTGCTGAACTCCATGCTCTGCTGCGTGTCGATTATCGAATTTCATATCTATCTAGACATGAAAAAGAATATCATTCAAAAATAAAATTTCAAACCTTCAAATAAACGGCGATCAAATTCTCCAAGTTCACGGACACCAAAAGACTTGTATTTGTAGTCATACTAAAGAACAATAAAATTTAAAATGCGAGCATGAACAGGTGTAGCATAAAAAACTTTTCTGTTCAAAATAATTAATTGATTTGGAATCAATTGAATAAAATTTGAAGGCGCAGAGAACTTATATAATCGAAAATTAAGCTGAAAACATGAACAATGTTAACAGCCTTTGGTCTTGATAAAAGTTTATGAAAACTTCCTCTAATTTTACGAGTAAGGATTTTCGAACCAAATATGAATAATTTTATTTTGAGTCGTCCGCCGCCTATGGCAACTAATTGCAAATCCAGAGGATGGTACGACAAAATCTCAAGTCCGCAAATCTCGAGGACCGTAATCTTGTGTACGCAGATCTAAAGTCCCATAATCTTGGAAACCAAAATCTTGGAGACCAAAATCTTGGAAACCACAATCTCGGAAAGCAAAAATCAACGCTTTTGCGAATAGATTTTTTCAGAAATTGTATTTGGTGATCCAAAAAAGAGAGTATAAGTAGATAAAGTGAAAAAAAGAAGACTAAAAGGGAAGATTTTTGCTTTCCAAGCTTGTGGTTTCCAAGATTTTGGTCTCCAAGATTTTGGTTTCCAAGATTATGGGACTTTAGATCTGCCTACACAAGATTACGGTCCTCGAGATTTGCGGACTTGAGGTTTTCTCGTACCATCATCCGGATATCCAGAGCTCTAAAAAAAAATCCGTCCACAAGAAGTCGTCAGATATGTTGTTTTTTGTGCATATAGACGAAAGTTCACATACTGCCTCCATTTTTAATACTCAACACACCAGTTCAGACCTACAGGGACCCGTCCGGTTTGCACTGCGCCGTCTTCGCTGTCCATACTAGACCATTTTTTTGATCATTTTTTTGTATTGAATACAATTAAGAGGGCAATTTCTGACATTAATAGATAAAAAATTACAGAAAAAAAGACTTCTCATTTACTAAAGACGCATTTCCCAGATTAGGCCATTTTTCAAGGCTTGCCAGCGTTCGCAAAAACTTGATTATTAAAATTAAATTTGTATCTTTCAATGTTTTATATGTGTTTTTCTTCAAATTTGTTTATTTTTTCGTACAAAAAGCGCGTTAACAACGAAGATATCGCCCAAAAACCGCTATTGGTGTATGCATAATTTAAACGTACAGTGTGCCAAACCGGACGGGCTGAACAAATTGATCAATGAACTCAAAATTTTAAACTTTGAAGCTGAGGTACTTAAACAATCAGAAGTTGCTCATTCACGAACGTATTTTCAAAACAGAAGTCTACAGAGATCAACATTTTGAAATAAATTTCAAATGCATCAAAAAATTCGTCGATCTTCGATTGGCTTATTGCGGCATTAGAGGCGGAGTTTGAGGGAGGACTTGACTTTCATGCGATGACCAAAGGAAATGCCGTTTTCAAAGTCTTTTCGGGAATTTCAAAATAAATATCAAAGAATGAAAAAGATAATTAAATTTTGAAGAGCCAGAAATGATTTTAATTTTCGCGGGAATTAATTTGAACACGGCATAAACTTGGGAAATAAAAAATTTGAAGAAATAACGATTTTCTCGTTCAATTTGAGAACGCAAAACCCAGAAAAATTAGCATTTCGAGGAGCCTTGCAGAATATACATGCAAGCGTTCCTAATAAATATTTTTGAAAATGAAAGTCGAAAAAAAAACTGACTTTTTCATAACTTATCTCAATTTCAATCTATTAAACTAAACTAAAGAATTTTTAAGTTTTTAGAAACTTCGCAAAGTTTAAAACTCGCCATAAACAGCGCAACTTCCGTGTAATGCAAACCAGAAGTAAATTTTCATATTTTATTCAAAATTTTTGTCATTTGCCCTTCTCTTTCGTATCATGAGACAGAGATCATAACTTCTTCATTATTGACAGAGACCAAAGCTCAAGAAAAAATAGACGTGACTCATGTTTCTTCTGTACACAATCCACCGTGTGATCGCACCGAGCCTGCTGACTTCAGTGAGTCCGTTTCTCAGCCGCTCTTTTTCGATTCAAAAAATCGAAAAGAGAAGCGAAAACTCCCGAACAGAACTTCCTTATAATGAGCCGATGCCGTTGCTTGAGTATTTGTGAAACGGATCATATTTCTTCATGTGTTCTTTCCAATAAATTCGCTTCCTTCCATCGAAAGTTGGGTTTTTCTTATTTCATTCCGAATGTTATGGATTTAACTGTTTGGTTCGAAATTCTGACAAGCGGCGTATCGATGAAACATAATCGATACTGATAAGAAAAGATAAGAAATCATCTCCCGACACCCGAAAAGCTTCATATTTACATCTGCTGCTAAGACGATTTTTTATAATGCTTCTGTGCATTTATAATTTTTTTCCATTAGTATCTTCTTTATTTTGAAAATATGAATTTTCATTTAATAAAAGTCGCAAAAAATATTCAATTTGCTTTTTCCTGGACAAATAATCCAACAGTTTGAAATATTTATTAAATATCGCGAATATTTATTAAAAATAGTTGGGGGATTTTTTTGGGAAAGTCATTAGCCAACTTGTTGGCCGATGGACCAACCGGTCCTCTCTGTTACAGCGAGAAAAAGCGACGAAAAAGAAAAAGACGATCCGTCGGTCCCGCTGTTCAAACAAAACGTCCCTGTTTCCTCGCGGCTTTTGCGACTTTTCCCGCGTTTTCCAAACTTTTTCAGGTGCTTTCGAACAACTTGAAAATAAAGTTGTTTTCATTCTTATCTTTTCTGTTTTGTTTCAATACTTTTCACCGTTCTCTTTTCAAACTGTTTCACCTAGACAGCAATGAATAAAAAAAGTTTTGAAGAATGCTTCTCAATTTCTGAATAGAAAGGCTGTTATTATTCTCAAGTTTTCTCCGCTGCGACTCCACCTTTTTAATCATCCGAGAATCTTTTTGTGAAAAAGCTTTTATTTAATTTTTTTGTTTAATGTTAAATGAGATGGTTTTTAGTAAGATTCAAAGTATATTCGAAAACGAAAAATCAGAAAAAAAGATTTGAATTTGACTATTTCTCTCACCATCTCTGTTCGAACTCCGCTCTCTCTTTCTCTCCATCTTCTTAAAAACCGACCGGTTTGGCCAAACGCTATTTTTTGTCACATTTCCCCGTTGACCTCTGTTTTTTTGTCATCTTCTTATTTCGACTTCTACTGACTTCGCTCCTTCTGCCAACTTTTATCGCTTGGCTGAATCAATATTTAGTTATTAATTCTCTAAAGCATGGACTTTCAGGGAAGAAGACACACTGAAATTTTAGGGATTGCCTTATTTAATTAATTTTTTCTCTTTTTTTTTCGTAAACTCGAACACGAGTGAATCAGACATACTACAACGGTCACGTCAAAACGCAATTAAAAAAGAAGACTATACACTTTCCCTTGGATGTTTTATACAAAGAGTGACTGGCCGTGTCTAGTTTTGGCCGAATTACATTTTGTTCGACTTTTTCAACTTCCACATTACCTTTTTCCATGTGTACCTCGGGTTTTTCATTGCTAAAAGTCGTATTTTTTTATTGATAAACGTGTTTTTTGAAATTCGAAATTCAAACAGACCTAAATAAACATTCTTTTTTTAATTCACAAGAAAGCAAAATTTGTGTGTGAAAAGAGAGTTCATGAACTTTATTCGATTATCAATAAGAAATATATTTATACCTACTCTATTCAGAACTTCCAGCATAACTTATTCTGGAAGTTCTGAATAGAGTAGGAATAAATGCTGCATAAGAAACTCGCACAATTGTGAGAGAAATTCAAGTTTACCACTCTTTTCAAGTTAATAGGAATATTCAACTGTTTCGAAGCGTTTTGGAGGAGTTTTGCAAAAAAAAATTCTCGTTTTTCCAATCGTCAAACTCTCGAAAAATGACAGTGAACGTATCCTCCATTACCCGCTACCTTGCAGAAGAAATACTGCAAAAATTTCAACTTTTTTCTTTTTGCAAACTCTTTAACCAGGCATCAAAGTTTGTCTCAAGCCAGCGGTGAATGAACTGCGGATGATTTTGTAATAAAATGTGTTTTTTTCTCTCCAATAACGCATAATGACTTGTTGTAATAAAGCTTTTGATCAAATTTTATGATTGAGTTATGTTGTTTTGAACATTTTTCGAATTATTGAATCATCTCGCCTTTTGGGGGTTTCGCAACAAGCTTAATCTCCATGGAAGAATATGGCTTCCTTCAAAGCTTTCTTCAGTTTTTATTTGATGGAAACTGCGGGAGCTTCTTTTTTTTCTTACAACAAGAAAAGTATCAAGAAGTAGTCATTTTCTCAAACTTCTTAAATTTAAAAAGCCTGGAGAATGGCTTCAACAAACACCCACACGTTTCCGTTGAACTTCGTTTCAAACTTTAGTTTCCGCCTCAAAAGTTTTTTTCCAGACTTTTCAATGCTACCTTGTAGTTTCGCAAAGTAATACACTTGATTTCATGATCTTTGTATTTTTATTTTCCTATCTTTATAAAGAGTTTTTATTTTCATCAGATAAACATTTTTTGATAATTTTGCATATTCTAGAACTTTCGAATTCTTCCCAAAATATATCCTTTTATTCGTCGTTCCAAGTTACAACTCGAATGGAATTTCGAAAAGAAGTTGGTAACTTTTATTTTTTTTTCACTCAACGTGTCTCCTTTTTCGAAGGCCGTTTTGTCCACTACAATCTTTTGCGGAAGTTCAAAGAGCCTTTGAGGCGAACTTTTTGGTGAAAAGACATGTGTTTGGACCAATTGAAACCGGTTCAAACAATGGGAAACAACGGATGGAGAAGAATAGAGAGAAAAAAGCTGTTGGATGGTTCCCAAGGTACCCAGTTCTTCAAAGAATTATGCCCTTTCCAAGTTCGCTGGATAGCCTTTCTGAATCGCCAAGTCCCTCTTTTGGCTTATTAATTCAAACTCTTTTGGCCAGAAGCCAAACCTTTTCTCGCTATCAACATCATTATTCATTACCTGTAAAAGAACTTCTGGCTTCTTCCCAATTTTTGTAATGAAGTTCATTTAATTCCCACAATGAAGAGTTCTCAGGATGACGTCATCATTTATCTTGACCGCCATTTTATTTTCCCTGCTTCCGGTGCTGCCTGCTTTGGAATACAACGATGAACAATGCATTAATGGAAGGATGTGAGTGGATTCTGAGGAAATTATTTGGAAGTCCAGTGAAAAATTCTCTAGTAATATTGAAAAAAAAAATTAAAAATATCCACTCATTGGTAAAATTTGAAAAAAAAATGTCGCACTGAAGATGAGCAAAGAAAATGGTCTCAAACTGTTCATTAAAAATATTGAAACCCACATTTCTCTCATAAATTCGCCAAATCATTCAGATTCATGCTCAGCAAAGAGAACGGCGTCGAAATTTCCACTGACACGAATGTCTGCTGTGACGGCTACCAAATGATCGACGACATTTGCTACAGTTAGCTTTCGTTTTTTTTTTCTCTACTATGTAGAAGACACGATTTTACGTATTATATACAGTTTTCAACACTTTAACCGCTGCGGAATGACTCAAAAATTGAAAAGTCAACTCGGAAAGGAATTGAAGCCGCAGAGAAGCCATTCCAAGCTTTTCTTTCATGACGAAAATATTTTGATTTATTTTTTGGTTGTATGAAATCTAGTTCAAATGAACTGAATGTGGAAAATGAGTGAAAAACTTTTTAACTGAAAAAATGAGTCAGAAGTTAAGATAAATTGAATTTTTTGGTCGATGAATATACTGAAACCCTGAAAAACTTTCAAAACTATTTTGTATGGAAGAAATGTTCTTGTCCATTCTCATAATGAAGCATCATGATGACGCCATTTTAATGAATATTCGTCAATTCGTTTACAGTAATCCCACGGAAGCCATTCCTGGAGGCAGATATCGCGCACCGGTTTCTGATCGCCATGGTCCTTCTGCTGGTCGTCTGCTGTGTCGTCGGGCTCCTCTCGATGCTCATCGCCTACACCATGTTCTACAGACACGTCTCTCAGAAGGAAATCTCCGAGAGGTCCTCCTTGAGCGCTTCATTCGAGAAAAACCTTCCGATTTCAGAATCAACTTAGCCGATGACGTTGACGATATCCCATCAAAAGTTTGAAACTGACAAAAAAAAAATAGAACCATTAGATATCGAAGAAACTGTGTCCGGGTACCTAAGTTTTTCTGTCAAGAAGAAGTTAAAAGTTTTTCTAAAAAAAGATAACTTTCTGTTTTTCAATTTACGTGTAAATTTTTCTTGCTCAATTTGTTAAAAAAACTTTTTTTTGAAGAAAAAAAGTTCAGATGATAAAAAAATACGAGCGCAATTGACACGAAATATTCAAAGGAAACTACAAAGTCAAGAAGAACCCGTAGATGAACAGCACAACATGAAAAATCGGAGCCAAATGTTGGCGAAAAAAATGCAGCAGAACAAGGTGATTGAAAGATGAGAAAGAGATGCGAAGTTAGTTGCTCATGTTAGGCGGATAAAGCTTTCAGATTAATATTATATAACAAAGACTAAAGTTTCAGGAAAAATATATGCAGAAAGTAAAGACTAGACGCACGTCTCCTTCTCGATTTCTTCTTCTTTGATTTCTTCCAAGCTCGGTTTTTTCTTGGTCGTTTCTTGAGCAGAAGACGTGCCGACGTCGTTGTAGTAGCCGGCGTCAGGTTTCGGCTCGTTGTAGTACTCGTTGCTGTTGACGAGCTCTGCAAACAGCTTTTCTGGAACGAATATCAACTGGCTGTCTTTCAATTTTTCCTCACTGATGGACCGGCAGCCACCATATGGTCACAATCGAGATGAATGGTTTATACGACTATATTTGAAACTTTTTTGGCAATATTCAAAGCGAACTTTTTGAAGTGTCCACCTGTCAAGGAAGCTTTTTTATTTGACTGGGAAAATGTTTAGTGGCCACTTTAAGGTTTTGATGTTTTAGTGGCTACTATGGTAGTTGAATTATTGGCCACTTAAGTGACCTCTAGATGATATCACTAGACCTAAAAAACTATTTTAATGGCCACTAAAAGAAAAATAGTGGCCTCTATAGAGGTGTTTTTAGTGGCCGCTATATTGTCCTCTCCAAGTAGCCTTCGAGGGACCTCTTAAGTGGTTACTAGAGCTTTTTTCCCTCGTAGATTTCCTTTTTTCTGACGAGAGAGAGTACTGCTTTTAATATGCAGTGAAAGAAGTCGATAATTGAAGAGAAGAAGAAATATTGAAACCGGTGGATCCGTGCTGGTTGACGACGACCGGCGTGTAGAGGGTCGCCTGCTGTTCGCGACATTTCGTGTTCGGCACGAGATAGTTTCCCTCGTCCATCGCCACTTCTCCGTTTCTGGCGTCAGCTAGAAAGGAAAAAACATTTTTTGAAACAATTGTAGGTAGCACGAACAATTAGCGAATGGAACGGCCTGGTAGCGTTGTGAAGTCGCCGATGGGCCTCGCTGGACCGCTCGAGGAAGAGCAAACTACAAACAGCTTGTGTGAAACTTTGAAACAAAAAACATTCTTCAAACATTCCAAAATTTCCATTTTATGGTTTGTAAATGTGGAAATTTAAATCAATTTAAAGATCAAGGATGTACGATTTGCAGTTTCAACTAGCACCCAAAAATCACAAAACTTGTGTACCATTTAGAAATTTGGAATATCCCTATATCGCAATAAAAAGTCTCTTAGCTTCATAAATAATCGGAAAAAGATCCTTTTTTGGAAATCCGAAAGCTTAAAAAGTTCACCGTCGCAGCCGAAGTCGGAGAGTTGGGAGCACTTGGATCGGATTCGAAATAAGTCAGGGGATCGGCAAAATCAGAGCCGTCGAACATTTCCCGAAGCCTCTCATTTTGATAGTTCTCCTCCGCCGTCAGATCCACCAAAGCGCTCTCGTTGGCGTTCTTTAGTTGTAAATTTGAACCGATTAAGAAGATTTGAAGTTTGAGAACCTCAATGAAAAGTTGCGGCACTTTGCAAAACTCTTTGAACCGCGAATACAAGGTGGGGAACGTCGGACGGGAGTCCGGGTTCGACATCCAGCCTGGAAAAGAGTTCTTCGAGTTGAATTTATCACGAGAACCGATTCACATCTGAGAAGCTCCTGGTAGAGGTCCGGCGAGCAATTTGGAGGCTGGGCGAGTCGATTTCCGTCTTTCAGGAAGCCGTGGATCGCATCCGCCGACATTCCTTGGTAGGGACTCTGAGAAAAAGGTTCATTTTTTTTCTGAATCAATAATTCTGTTCTGTTAGACGCTCATTTTCCTTCCTGCAGTGTAGTCAAAGTTAGAAGCTGAACACAGGGCAAATCCATAAATTTTTGTGTGAGAGACTACAAACTGTACAAACTCAATGTTCAATCTTGCGGGTGCTTTGAAGTCTGAAAATCATGATTTCAATTTTGATGAAAATGAGTATGTATCGTGCATCTCAAGATGAAAAATAATCCCATTAAAAAAACCACTGAAAATTTTTCTGCCAAGCCTACTTCAAAGAGAAAAAAAAAATGAGAAGGCTTTTTTTCCGAACTTATTTCGAGTCTCACCTGTCCAAAGGTGATGATTTCCCAGCAAGTGACTGCAAAAGCCCAAACGTCGCTGGCATGTGTGTAGCAGTGATCGGCGAAGATTTCGATGGCGAGCCATTTTATCGCAACCTACAGTAGCCCTCCGTGTTTGCTAAATATCACCACCGTACCTTTCCAGACTTGACAGTAACCGAGTCAGAGTCGTATTTGAGGATTTTAGAAAGTCCAAAGTCGGTGATTTCGACGTGGTTGGTTTTCTTCACGAGAACATTTCGAGCCGCCAAATCTCGATGGACGACGCGTTGCTCGAATAAGTATTTCATCGCCTGAACTCGTTTGAATCTGAATAAATATACAGGAAAAATCAACTAGCCGAAGAAATTTGATAGCAGTAGAGCATTTGTTCGCGGGCGCCAAGACTCGCTTTTTGCTGTTTGAGGAAATTTTGAAGATCTCCAAGAGGTCGGTAAATTGTGACCTGAAAAATCGAGTTTGAAATAAACTCCATTGTGAGCATGCTTGCCAAAAAAAAGTTATTCTAAAATTGGATTACGATTTCGAAGACTGATTTCGCGAAATTGATTGATTTTCTTCAAGTTATAGTCAGAATATATTTCTATAAAAAATCATTTTTATTGATCGATGGATGCCAAATTGGAACCCCCTGGTCGTACGTAGCAAGACTCGTTACAGCGTCAAAAAAGTTCCGTTAGAGCTCGCCGGACCCCTTCCGACTTACGCGTTAGAGTACAGAAAAGTTAGAGTTTTGGCTATTTTTACGTTGAATGTAACCAGGATCGATCCGCGAAAGTGTGCTTCATTCTACATTTAATAATGACATGGGTCCGAATCGAAAAATATAACAAGAGAAAAAAACGGACGATTTTGAGTCCGTCTTCGTGCATGCAGAAGCCCAAGATGCGCAACAAATGTTCGTGTTTCAACCTGAACATATTCGTCGCTTCTTCCATCATTTCGTCCGACTGAAACACGTAAAAAGAGTTCTCAGCAACGGCGAATCTAACCAACCTGTTGAGCCGTGACCTTTCCACTCTGCTTGAAAATCTTTATCGCCACGGGCAACTTCAGATTCTTCTTCGGAATGTACATTCCCTGTGATTTTGTTCTCTTTACTTTTTTCGAGCTTCAACTCACAGCATAAACAGTTCCGAAGGCGCCAGATCCCAATTTGCAATTCTCTTTGATTTGCAGCTCCGAGGCGGGGATTAGCGAGATTCGACTCATATTTGGACGAATCTGAACACAAAAAGTGAGGTTTACGCAAAAGTTGTAAGTTTTCACGTTCGGATCGATTCGAGACAGTTCTGGCATGTCCGAATAGTTATCCATTTCAACGATTTTCAGCTTTCGGGCGATTTTACGGCTTTGACAGTAGAAAAACTGAAAACGAGCGGTTAGGAAAAGCATCAAAACGAAGAAATCACCATAATGACGAGGACCATTAGGACAAAGGCGCTGAGAACCGTTCCGACGATAATGGTCTTGACGCGACTTCGATTGGCCTGCGCGTCGTGGTCCAAACAACGGCGATTGTCCGTGTAGGGGAGGTCCGGCGGGCATTCTTCCACGCAAGTCTTCAAGAAATAGTCCAGCTTTTTAGCGAGTTTTGTTCAGGTTTTGTCTTACTAACCATGATTGTACTTTTTTATATCACTACCTACGTAATCCAACACACTCCTTGGAGACAAAAAACTTTCAGCCGTTTGAAGAAATAAAAATACTGGTTTAATTAACAGAATTTAAACATTTTTTTAGGTAATTAGAACTTCAAGAATCCTTACAAATAGTTTTAAAGGAGCATAAGAATTGCAAGACTCAAAGTAACACTAAAAGATGCTCTTCGCCACGAGACCTTTGCAAAATCCGTACATAATCCTTCAACTCTAGCAAGATTTTTACCTGAACATTGGTTTGCGGATCCAAAACGTAGTGTTCGCGACATCTGAAGCATCCTGTTGGCGTCGAATCGTTGCATCCATCGTTCAAGTCGCACAGAGGGTGACATCTGAGGGAGATGAGGCTCAATATTTCGATAATTCCATGAACATTACCTCCCACAGACTCCGTACAGCGTCTCGTTGCGCTCTCGCTCCAGGTAAGTCTTCGGAGGACATTTTCCGATGCAAAACTGCAAATCGATAATCAGGGAATGAACAAATTAACTGTTACCTCATCGCTAGCGACACGATAGGAGTAAGTTCTGCAGACACACCCATTCTTGATGGTACTGCGACCAGCGGATGTACAGTTACGGCACTCGTCGTCGCATTTTGCGCAATGCTGCAGAAAAAGGTGCTATCAAAATGAAAATGGATGGTTTTTCGAAATCATAGGCATTGATAAAGTCCAGGTAATATATGCTGATACGAATCTTTTTTGACTATATATATTTAAAAATTTATATATGCGACACGCTATCGTACCGGGAAAAATCCGTTTGAAAATTATTCTGAAAATGCTTGGAAACTGTTTTTATAGAAAGTTCTTTCTAAAAAAAATGTTTTCGATCTTTTTCTGAACATTTTCGACCGTGTTTTTCTTGGTAGCTTATTTTAGTTGGGCATTTCATAAAAACTGGCCAGAATACTCCTCGATGTACCTGATGAAGGTTCTGAAACCTTCCACCTGCAAAACTTTCTAGCTTCTAAAAAAGGACACCTCAAAGTCAGTGAAAGCCGTCGAAACTCGTTGAAGTAGGCTTTTTTTAGGCTTTGGGCTTTATTTCTTGGAAAATTGAAAGTCGTGCAGGTTGAGACGTTCAAGACGTTCTTTTGATATATCATGATCCTTGCAAAGAGTGTTTTTGCTCATTTTCCGGAAAATCTCAACCGCCTAGAAAAATGACCTTTCACGTGGGACCTTTCCCTAGTGAAGAGGGTATTCTCTCCCTATTCCAAAGCTGTTTTTTTCCCAAAAAAAAAGTTCTCAAAAACACGCAACTGTTTCCACAACGCCCTCGACTTCGGCCGTCGAAGTGTAGTGATCATAGAGCTCGTTGTCCTGACAAACAGTAGTCATGCTCTTTCCCACGAGACATCGAGCCACTTTTAGACTCTGAAAAAAGCTTTGAAAAATTATTCGTGTCAAATTTTATGGCTATAAACGTTTTCACACTCCTTAAGAATTCATCCAGAAACTTACTCAATGCCTTTTAATTTTTCTGGACATCAGGCCCTCTTTTTTATTTCGTAATGTACTCCTTTTTTCGACCTAAAACCCACATTTTGCGACGATTCCGCGCCATCAACCAAGGCGAATTTGCACTTATTGCAGCCTCCCTCACCAATGTGCACGCCAGGTCCCGTGCATCTAAAATCCGCAGTTCTTTTTGGAACATTTCATATTTCAAGGACCCGTAGTGGTAGCACGCATCGTTGCAAGGAAGACAGGTCGAATCTAGGTGGTAATGGGAGGCGGGGCACGTTTTCAGGCATTCCAGACGTTTCGACTCGTTGTTGTAGAGGGAGAAGTGTCGACAGGCGAGGCAGTCCGTCGCCGTTGGGCCTCAAATTTTGGAAGTTTTTCGATAAATTGTAGAAATTTGAAAGGTGAACTTTTATAAAACCCCATGGAATGACTTAAAAGTATAGAAACTCGAATAATTCAATCTGACCTAAAAAAGAATGAACCGCATTTAAAACATCTTCAAATCTGAAGCTTCGACGGTTTTCGTGCCTTCCAAAAAAAAAAAATAGAAAAAATTTTTACCGTTACACGTTGAACATTGTTCCGCACATTGCTGACACTCCATGGAAGATTGATTTCTCATAAATCTGAAAAAAAAACATCAAAACATCAAAAAATTTAGAGACTGATCAAAATAACTGTTAGGGCGCCTTTCACAAAATGCTTCGCTGATTTTTCTTATGTATCCTAATGGAATAAACTTTTAAAAATAATTCCAAGACGTTTTCGTAAGCATTCAGCTCAAGATATGCTATTATTTTTCCTTGATTGAAACACAGAGTTACAAGATTCACACACGCTCAAAGAAAATTGCGCTCTCAAAACTATTCTAATACAATCCGAAATATCCGTCTTCTAAACATTAGAAACAGCTAGAAAAAGCTCAAAATGTCTCAAGACGTGAGTAGACAATCTAAACAAACCCAACGGAAGGACATTCGGGGACACACTTGCCGAGGGCTCTCCAGGCCTGACACTCGAGACAGGCCTCAGGTCCTGGACCCCAGCAGCCGCTCTCATTGCAGTTCTCATCGCATTCGAGGCCTTCGCTCTCTGAGAAAAATACTTGAATATTCCTTTCAAACTCTCAAAATTCACCACAAAAGTCCTGGTCTCTGTTTCCGCGGATCGAGGTGTGATTCGACCGCATCAACATGCCCCAGTCGATGCTGTCGACGAAGCAAAGTCGGCGATTTTCACGCACGAAAACGTCTCCAGCTGCAAATTTCTCAATCCAAGCACACATATGCTTTCAGAAGTTCAGTAATAAACAGAAAGAAATAGGAGATACTGTTCGTATGATAGGAAAGAAAGAAATGATTAGCTGAGAAGATTTCTAGAAAATAAAAAAAAAGTTGGCGAATCCAAATTACGATTACGATACATTTAAAGAGTTTCATTTATTTATTTTTTTTTCTAATTTTTTTTAAACATTCAATCTCAGAGCTAGATGAGAGGTGAACAGAGACATCTGGAAAATAGGAACGACCAAATAAGAGAAGCATAAAAAGGCAGAAAGAAAAAAAATTTAACTCCATTTTACAAACTTAAAAAACTTCCGATTTATCTACGTGAATTCTCAGCAAAATAATAGAAGTTTCGCTCTGAAAAATAAGACCTGGCCTTTCTGAACAGCTGAGCACTTGCTTTGTAACGATATGAGGAAAAAACTCGCCTTTAATAATTTCCAAGCTGGTGAAGTCTAAAGAGCCCAGGTTGTCACATCGGTAAATGGCGAGCGCCCAACGTTCTCTGAAATTTTCATTGAGGATGATCAGACTATAAACATATGATCACGTGTTGAGTTTCCGTCCTTCGATCGTGGTGAGATTGGAGAGGAACTTCAAATCGTAGAACGGCTGATTGACGATGAGAACGTATTCGCTGACGCTCGTCACGGACTTCAGAACTTTGAGATCCTCGTAAGTGTATCTGATCAAGGCGTCTTTGCAGATGTTCATCGAGTCTTGGCCTACGGTGGCGGATCTTTGTCGAATGTCAGATGGCCGTCGATGTGTTCGCACCCGTCCAAGTTCTTCAACATCGACGCGTTCAACGGCGTCTCCACCGTGCAAACTGTAGGTTCAAATTTTCACCGAATTTTTCAAAAGCATTCATTAAGAATTTTAAATATTCGAATTTTATATTTTCAAATATGCAAATTTTTTCTCGCAAATCGATGAAATCTCAGAACAACATCACAAGGGGGCCACTTATATCGAGAATTCAGAGTATTCAAAACTTTGGCAAGAAAATTTCAAGTCAAATTGGATACTGCTATCAACCTGCTCTAATGTCCTTTATTCGAGAGAGAACTTCTTATAAATCATCAAATCAGAGCTAATAAAAAATTTTCATTATATTGCACACGATATCAGTTTTTAATAGGAAATGAGTTAAGCCCCTTTTCTCAATGATAGAATGATACTTTTCAAAGGACTTTCAAATAAATTCGACTAGAAAACCTTTAGGACATCTCAATCCGCAACGTTCGCACTTTCTAGTATCCTTCTTCGGGTCGTGGTAGTGACGGTCCGAACAATGTCTGACGCAGACGTCGTCTTCAATCAGAAGTTCGTCTGAAAAACAAGTTCATGGAAGCTGAGAAACTTTTTTTTTTATTTATTCGAAAAAAGAAAGCCTTCATTTAAGAAACCTCTGAGAAAATAGAGCTGAGATCGAAGGCTATAAAAATACTCCAAGTTAAGTATATAATTTCATTAATTAGACACAAAAGAATGACCTGGACAGCGTTCGACGCAGTGTTTCCCGTTTTGAAAGCGACCGTTGGGGTTGTACATGAGTTTGCCCTTTTTCGAGTCGAAAACCTTGATCGGAGGACAAGAATCGACGCATTTCCCGTCCATGCTGAAGTTCTCGCAGGCCTAGAAGTGGAAAGATGGAGTTTTTCATGGAGAAGAAGCTGTACAATGCAGTGTTCGGGGCCCGGGGCCGTGCAGCCTCCAACGCAGGAGGCGTGGCAGCATTCGTAAGTTTGCTGCGTCGTGTTGCGGTAGCATTGCGTACACGGCCATTCGCACACCGACCGGTACACTCAAACCGTTGAATTGTTGGATGAGTGTTCAATAAAAGACAAGAAAAACCTGAACTTACGAAACTGAAAAAGCTTGTGGTAACTTCTCATATTTTTCATTCTGTTCGAAGGACATCCGCAAAATTCAGAATTATCTCTGACCCTCCAAAATTAAGTTATCTTTCTCACTCTTCGACGCTTCTTTGAACTTCATTAGTGAATATGGGAAAATAAATTCATCCGCTTTTCTTTTGAAAACTGACTATCTTTAGTTCCCTCCAACACCTCAATCAACTACTATAATTTTAAAAATCTTTAAAATATTTTCCTTTCAACTTTTTTTCAACAAAAAGAAAAAATTCGAAAAAAAAAATTTCCTCACTTTTCTGGCAATCTTCCTCTCCGCCGTCCCAACAGTGCGTTTTGCCGTCGACTTTCGCAGCTTCACAGTTTTTATGGCAACTTGAAACACACTCTTTAAATTTAAAAAGAAGCTATCAAACTTGGCTAAAGAGACGCCTTTCTCGTAGCAATGTTGGTGCGAGTTTTTCTTCTCAATTTTCTGAGTTTTGTTGTCGAAAAGAAGCTTGAAATGAATTATTCATGAAATATATCAAATGTTTGGAAGTTACCTCATTCCAGTTGACACGATCCGCCAGATAACACAGTTTTGGATTGTCTTGCAGTGTCACGTCACCATTGCGAATCACTGGAAAAATATGATACTTAAAGACTTTTTTTGCTCTCTCACCTCTCAAATCTTTCATAACAACTTCGTGAAGCTCAACATTCTGGTGGATATACACGGAAAAGTTGTGGAAAACTTCATCCCCGAAAATGACTTTGAGCTTTGGAAAGACGAGTTTCTGGATATTCGTGCGGTAAATTATCAGACTTCCACGGATCTGTAACAACTTTCGATTTCAAATAGAAAAACGAATGTGTGAATAAGAAAAAGGAAGTGAAAAAGGAAATATTTCACAGAAAATTTCGTGAATTTTCAACTGAAAATTATATAAAAATACTCCGAAACGATCACGTTGCTTCACCCATCCTGCCTTCTTATCTGAGCTTCAAATCTTCGGCTTACACGTGATATATCAAATCGCGTGAGCCGTCCTCACTGGTCCTACAAGTGAGCGTCACTTCCAAAAGTCCCTCCGAACTACTCGAGCCCAACTACAAGGTGGGTAGCCAGAGGCGCAAGCCTACCGTAAGTTAGCGTTACTAAAACTGAATTCATAAGGAATTTAGGCCTTAATTGGCAGGGTCATAAAGGTCCACATCCGAAAAAGTCCGGGCAGGGCATAAAAGGCCCTAAAAAGATGATCGAGGAACCATGTAATGACTTTAAATTCAGCATGGACAGCGACGAGGAAATGATACTCGACTCGGGCTAACTTTTCAAAAGCAGGATGCTTCGCACAGTTCCGGAAAACCCTCAAGGGAGTCCGAGAGCAGCGACGACGATCAATCGATGGAGTCGGATCAGCCGGGACCAAAGAAGTCTTTGGGTCCGAGTGATGCAGGTTCGAGCAAAAAGACAACAAATAAGAGAGTTTTTTTTTCAGATGAGGAAATCTCTCCACCGCAAAATGCGGTCCGAACCAGGGTGAAGCTACCTGAGCAGACGGCTTCTCTAGCGAAGTCGTGTATGGGTGGAACGTTTAAGATCTGGAGTGACAGAGACTGATCGTTTCTCCGTATTCATATATAATAAATATTTTACTTCAACAACTGCGTTTTCTAGCAAAATATAAAAATATTTATAAGTTTAGCTAGTACAAACTGATAGCAGCAGAATAAATAAACTTTTAATTCCTCATAAAACTATTCATAGACGTCAGCAATTCACGATCTACCATATAAAGGGCCTTGAAAAGAGGGACTAATTCAAGACCTTGATCTCTTAAGAACCTAGGAAAGTACGTACCTGCGAAAAAGATTTGCGCGTAGCTTTCAGTGTTTAAACTGCCCTAAAGTGAATGCGGCCAAAACTTGAATTTCCGATTATTTTTTTTTCAATCGCTTTTTTTTCCAATTCCCAGATATAACTTGATTTTATATTAGGCGTACAAAAACATCTGCAGATTTTGGAATCATAAACGAAAAATGTTCAACCTCTTCAATATTATCAAAGAAGTCGACGGTTCGTAGCAAATTCGTACGGTTTTTTGTGAATTTTAGGATTTCGCTCTCTTCAATCCATGTGATCTCAAGGTTACCGTACACTCGACGGCAGCCGCTGTACATCTGAACAAAGAAATTGAAAATATTTTCATTTTATTGTATCACTTACAGCTTGAAGATCATTAAGAATACTGCCGGATCCAAATCTCGAAATTCCATTGTTAGTGCCGGAACAGACTGAAAAAGTTTGTTCACAGGTTATTTGATACATTCAGGCTTTTTCTAGAAGCTCCATGAAGGTTTGCAAGCTCAGACATAAGCCAATAGATATTTCACAACAATGGTCCGATTGTGGGAAAAAAAAACAAGACACGACAAATTTCTTCATTTTCTTTCAATTGAAAGCCCAAAATTTTGCAGTTACAATAATTTTTTGATTTGAAGGTCTTTTCCAGGTAAAATGCATATGAAAGTCGTTGTCCAAATGATCGCGACCTTTTATCAAAATGATAAGGAGTAGGGAAAACGGTTATTTTCCCTTGCCATGTGATAGATGTAGAGATATTTGGTTGAAATGTCACTGTGACTTTTTTGCGAAAACTTTTGAACTCATTATTTTGAATCATTTTCTAATTTTCGGGTTCCTTCTCACAAGTCTTACCGCACTCGCCGACTTCTCCTTCCTTGCACGATTTCTTCCACAACTGAGCTTGGCTCAATCCAATTAAAAAGAAAATAGTGTAAATGTACATACAATAGGAGCTACTTTAAGTCCATGTAGTTCTGTAAAATACAATTTCTTTATTGGAAAACGAACAAGAAGCACAGCTTCGGCCAAAAAAGAGCCTATTTGTGAGGAAATATTTCTCAATCATGATTTTTTTTTTTTGATTAAACAGGCTCGACAAAATTTGTTCATGAAAGACTTCTTACTCAGATAAACAGAACATTTATTCAAAGTTTATATTTTATGACGAAAAATAAAAATAAAAAGTTCCTAAAAATTATTCTTCTGCTTCTGTCTCGGAAAAACAAGACAAGGTTCAGGCTCTAAGAGAAAGAAGGGAGAAAAAATCCTGCAAGGTTGGGAAAATCGGTAAAAAAGAAGAGAGGTCGGTCTCAATTCCACAAAGAGCACGACCGGGACGACGCCTGGGGCAATTTGATAACAAATGGGCGAAAAAGGCGAGGCTTGAAACGATTAGGTCGCCTGTCAAAATACGATAAAAAACTGGAGGCAAGCAGCATTTCTCCGAATGAAAAAGCTCTCACGTCGATTGGAATTTGTTGCCATTTTGGAAATTGAATGCACCCAGATTTTTCATTTCATCGAAAAAAGCTAATTTCCACATAGGACATATGAAAAAAAAAATCCTGAAGTAGATGAATTTCGAAAGTACGGCTCAGACGAAGGTTTATCCTTTTTCTTTCTAATAAAAGTGATATATTTCTCATTTCGCCTCGAGGCTCAATTTTTTTTCTCATGAGAAAATGAAAACAAACACCGTTCGTTTTGGGGAAAAAAAGTGCATGAAGATTATTATTTTCTTTTTTTAATAACTGCAAAATTAAAAAAATACAAGCCCATGAATGAGCTTATAAATTAGCGTTAAAAAGAAGCAGCGTTCATTACTAGACTAGTAGTAGAGCGCCGTGAGAGAGGGTATAGGGGACAAGGCACATTACCAGACACATCAGCACGGATGGCCGAGTGGTCTAAGGCGCCAGACTCAAGCGATAGCTTGCCTCGAGTTCGAGGCCTCTGGGCGTTCTGGTACTCGTATGGGTGCGTGGGTTCGAATCCCACTTCGTGCAGAAATCTTTTGCAAGTTTCTGTATTTCCACTTATTTTTGTCCTTAACAATTTCTTTGTTTTCTGATTAAAACATAGGGGAAGGATAGTAGTAGCAGACAGTCACAGTAAGATAGAAAATTTACCTTACCTCCATCATGATTTATGTTCCCTAGAAAAATATTTTATGAAAAAAAGACTGTTGAAAAAGAATAATTTGATTTTTAAAAAGATATAAGCCTATTCACGGGTGATTTTTGTAAAAAACTATCACTAGAACGTGAATGGACTCAACATTTTTTACACAAGAATTATAAACAATAACTGAAACGAAAAGTAACCAAATTTTCGCTCAACAAGTTTTTTTGAACATTTCCCAGATTTTTGTCTAAAACCAATAAACTCGAACATTTTCTGATAGTCAGGCCCTGCTTACAAACTGGGAAAATAAAATACTTCATGGTCAAAAAGTAGGAAGATGAGAAGTTAAGTCGGAAGACTTTTATTTTGTACTTCTCGGAACTCGGTAATGAAAACCGGACGCGCCCCGGCCGTTTCTGAGAAATTCTAGGGATCACTTAGGAGTTCAAAAAGCTGAAGGCACTATAGCGTGAATTGCTCAGAAGCGTTAGTAGCCCTTACCGAGGTCCGAGTCAACCTATAACATGTCAAAAAAGCAAGAAAGGATCGAAAACTGACACTCTCGAATCGGGACGTTGGAGGGAATCTTCTTGACACGACGTCTGGTGGAAATGACGGGCGGTCGGGCCTCAACGACGTCGCCCAAGGAAATTCGCGCCTCGTCGAGCACCGCCAGAAGCAGTACCAACGCCTTCCATCGGCGCATCCCTCCTTTTCCTGAGCTTTAACAAAGTCATGATGTTTTTCATATCTTTCTGCGGGGGCGATTTCAAAAGCTTCATTTTTTTACACGAAAAAAGGACCAAGAAAACTCTATATCGACAATTTTTTACTATTTTCTGTACGTTTTGAAGCTATGAAAAATTGATAGATTCTCTACAAAGAAATCAGTTATTTCTGATATTTTTTCCGAGCTTTGTATGAGAATAAGCAAGTTCACGAGAATATACCATAACTCTTATTATGAAAAAATAATGAAATTTCATTTGAAGGAAAGGAACTTGTATTGCAGTTGAAAGCAACTGCTATCAGAAAACAAACAAATAATCATAAGATCCCGAAAAACTGCTTATAGACCAATTTGAAATTTCTCGCCGATTAGTTTAGTCAAACTGGAAACATAAAGACCACAAGCTACCCAATCAAGCAATAACTTTTTATTTTATAAAAAAAAGTTATCTTTTTTTAAGTGAATAGTTTGCGAAAAGCTTATCAGTCGGTCGGCGTGACCGGAAGAAGATAACGAAAATATTGAAAAAACAAATCGAACGCAAAATAATCGATTATTAAATTGTTCTCGCGTCGGGGCGATTAAAAGAACTGGTGTCGGACTGAGGATTACCTCCAGCCGTTTATCGGTGGGGTGAAAAGAAATAGCATCACTTTGTGACTGTAAGGGACAGTCGAGAGGTCACTTGAGCAGTTACCAAACCGGTTTTTGGAGTTTCGGGACCAGGGGGAGGACTTAGATTCTTGAATAGCCGAAATTCTTGTTTCATCGTGAGCCTATTCAGGTTGAGGACATTAATATCCACATTTCCTTATTGCTTCGAAGAACCTGACTATGAAGAGCCAGATAAGATTTGAAAACTTGAAAAAGTTTCGGAAAAAAGAACGGATCCAGATTGTTCGTGTCAGCAATGCGGCGCCTGCCGATAAATGAGTTGAATGTGGCGCGTGCCCAAAAAAGACACATCAAAATGTAGCAAATGGCCGACGGCGATTCAAGGTTGCGGCTCGACGTCTTGATTCATCGCTTCTGCTGTTGCTGAACGTCCCTTTAGCCGCCGTTCTTTCAGAAAGGCTTCCGGGTCTCGTTATCGCTCTAATATTTTCACCAAATTTTGGCATTCTTCAACTTTTTGATGTTAGTTAAAACTTTTAGAAATTTGCCTACATTTTTAAATGAAAAAAATCTATCTTTCCGTTTTATCTTTTTCAAGCCCTTTATAGACGTCAGTCAAAAATAGATTTAAAATCATAGGAGGGACAGTGAAGTTCTCGAAACGATGAAGATTACTTCCTTTTTCCTTATATCTCTATGGGGGCTTCAGGGTAGTTTGGTGTTTTCTCCTACTTCATTTCGAACTTCTCGGCGAGTTTATAAAAGTGGTGAATGTTGAAAAAAGGTAGGTTGCCATCTTATGCTTATTCCTTCAATTCTTTTCCACGCTAATCCTGCTTCTTACTCTTAAACCTGTATTTTAATTCAAAATGATTTCGGAGCAGAATAGGCGGAAATAATGGGTCCATTTCATGACAGAGCATACCGGACAAGGCCCGTTTTACAACTTCTTATGGGACAGGGCGATGTAGTTGTTTTGAGAAAGAAGAGTCGGATTGTTTTCGGATGGTTGAAATGAGAGCAAAAGCAAACTAAAAAAAACGACAGAGCAATTTTAATAACATTACTTTTATCAAGCAGAATTTGAAAAAAATAATACAACTGTAAAAGTCATCAATTAATTTTAATTGCGTGTGAGGAAAGTTTGAGAAAAGAAGCGTTTATTTTCCAAATTTCATTATAAAACATCAAAAATAGGCTGGACAGTTCTAGAAAGAAACTTCGGAAGACTGAAAAGCTGAAAAATCTCGGAAACCATCAAAACCTTTTGTTTTTAGCGTCAAAATGGCGACAAAAATGTTTTGAGGCGGGCTGGTGAATCAGAACCTTCTTGTTGGAAAACTTCATCGAGGAAAAACTTTACGCTTTAAAAAGTTATTTTGAAACCTCCGAAGTTTCTGGATAAATGAAGCTCGAGAATTTTTTTGTTTTGTGCAGAATTTTCAAAAGTCCAGCCACACGGAAAGAAGTGAGAGAAATTAGCAGCGAAGAAAGAAAAGTCGATGAAAATGAACTGCTTTCCGACCAGGAGATAACGATAGCACCTATCGATAGCAAGGCAGGAGGTAAACCACGATAAAATCCGACTTATTATTTTGTTTTTCATCTGAAATTCGAACTGAAGTTGAAGCGCAGGCAAATTTGAACAAAAAAGTACTGGGATTGTAAATTTCAGAAAAGATCGGGCCATAAATCGGCGTGGTGAATAACGTCCGGTCGAATGGGTAATCAAAGCGTTTTTGATAGACCCTCTCGCAGAAACTCGGAAAAAAAAAATTTTTTTTTTAAAGGAAATCTTATCAATTTTCTTGAATAGAACAAGAATTTGAGAGCTGAATCTGAGAAAAACATGGAAATTGTGATCAACATGTTTGAAAAAGCAAAACTGAGATTTCCTTTATCGATTTCCCACCTCCTTTAATGAATTAGAAAAAAATTTCTCATTTTTGTAAGTTAAATGCAATTCGTAAAGAATCATAAATAATGTTGAGATAACGAGTATTGGTTATAGATTACTACTATAAATTCTGAATAAAGTGTTATTCCTGAAAAAAAGCCCTCGAAATACTTTTCAAAAGCGAAAAAATTGGATGCAACTAACGAATATGAAAAAAAAAAGTAATTAGAAGACAGACGCGTGGTCAAAGAGGAGGCGGTATAAATGATTGGAAGCGAGCGATTTTTCGGCGGTGAGGGCCAAGAAGGGGAGGACACATCTGGTAGGCCTTGGCTCGGAAAACTATAGAAAATGAACGGCTCACGTTTTCCATTTGTTTGAAACTAGAAAAACGGGAGAGAATAAACGTTGAAAGGTCCAACAGGAAGCCAAAGGTATTGCGTAAATGAGATATATAAGAAATAAATGCATGCGTAGAACTTTTTTGAAAGATACGGATGGAAATAAACGATCTACAAGATGAAATAATAAAAAAAAATCTTAGAGTTTCAAGCGTTTTTTTTAACATCGAAATATGACATTTTTCAATGCTTTCTGTAGAAAAGTACGTACTATCTTCGGAATTTTCACTCAAAAGAATTCGAAAATTGGTTAAATCACGGAGTTATTTTTCTGAATCGGACCGAAATCACCATACTTTGCTATTCAAGCCGATTCCTCGTCCGTATTTAAAAAAACTGAGCATAAATAATGAAAATTTCAACGTTAAGAAAACAATTTCACCGACTCAGCTCACTTGAAACGGTCACATAACTTCTTTAGTTTTTTTCGAAGCTTATTTGACAAGAACTAGAGTCGAAATAGAAAAAGTCATAACTGACACAGCCCACGCAAGAAGCAAGTTGGAGCAACGGCGAGTGGTGGCCAGGTTCGAGCCCAAGTCTGACTCAGCCGTGCTCGGTACAATGGACCCACCCTTTCACGTACATGGACTGAGAAAACGTTCATCGTCTCTGCGTAAACATGGATCGTTCTGGCTGGAAGGCACTCCGCAGCCCTTTTTATGAGACGCCAAGTTCGCATTGATTTGATTTTTTTGATTCACTGCCTTTGAAAATCCAATCAAAAAAAAATCACAGAAAACAATCTCTAAAGATTGGTGAAAGAAAAGCTTTAGGGATCGAGAAGAAACTTTTTCAAAAAATTACAAGGATAAAAAATAAAGATTTAGGTACTCTGAAAAAAAAACTCAAATCTAATAAGAAAATTTGTATTTGACCAAAGTTTTAGTTTAGTTCACCTTCAATAAAAGACCATCTTCAGAATGAAGAAACTCTCGAAAATGCAAAAATTTCTATTCTTCTCATTTTCCTAAAGGGAATTGAAGCTCGACTACATTCAAAAAATGGAAGAACGTGCGGTCGACTTCCGGCAGACAATTCTGAAGGCCTTTGATTCATAAAAGAGGTGCCGACAAGGCCGGAAACGACCGAGTCGAATTCTGAAGTTGAATGGGACGCGCGGAATGAGATCCGACGTGCTTCGGAATGGTCTCAAAACAAACTACGGTAGTTTTCGTACTGTAAAAATTGAAAATTTGCAAGATTAATGAAACATACGAGGTAGGCCGGTTAGAAATAAACGGTATTTTCGGAGTCTAGCCCACTATAAAAATATGAAATGAATGAACGGGTTCAAAAGGAATTTTTCGATTTCAGTTGTGATCTGTCACCAACTTTCACCCAGAAAATTGTACTCCTCAAAACCTTGCTTTTGAATTGAGTATAAATCTATAATCTCACCTTAAAATATTTTAATGAGTTTAACGCTCCTAATGATTCTCTTTAAGGACGAATCTTAAGGAAAGACGGTCGTGTCTCCGCCGTCGCCGTAATCCTTCCACTTGAACGGTTATCCGCCGTTTAGTGGGGGGCCGAGGCCAGCCGCCGTCACTTCAACTGCTAAATATGGGCCGTAAATCAAGGCTGTAAGGCCTTATTGATTTGATTGTCGAAAAAGGGACAGATTGCTGGAAAAATTCCTAGAAAAGGAGTAAGTTGAAGAAATTTCCGTGGTATTTGCCGACCGATTAGGAGAACTTGGTTTTTTTTCGGTAACCTGCTTTTGAGTTTGTTTGCTGACTTACTGTAAGTCTCAGTTAGTCGCTTTCGGCTTCGAACAGATTTAAGAAAAAAGGTTGTGATGATATATACTGGTACTGAATTTGGATCAAATCTCATTTCGGAATAAATTTATTTCACGATTTCGATTCAAACAAGGTTCTGAATCTTGCAAAAATAAAGCTGCTCCCAGTTGACCTTTCTTTATATCAAGAAATCACCTTGTGATTCTTCTTATTTTCCTTCAATATCAAAATTCAGTTTTTTGTGTCTGTGAGGTTTCAACTTTGAAATTAGGACCCAGCTATAAACTTTTTTTTTTCATTGAATCGAAACTGAATTTAGCGAAGATGGTACCTAGAAACTAAGGCGAAGACTTGAAATATTATGTAAACTATTTTAATTCTTTGAATGTATTGAAAACCATAATACTGACGTTTATCCCAGACAATTTCCTTGGCGGCTGAAAATCAGAAAGCTGTGAAATCAGGAAATATTCCAAGAAAGGAAACGCGACGGGCGGTCGCTCCTGCCGCACGCCCAACTACCCCCATCAGCTCCTTCCAAATGACTTTTCCACTCTCATTTTCAACCATCGAAATTGGGCTTTTGGCCACTTTTTTTTTATTGTGGAGCGTTTCTTCATATTTCGTTCTCCAAGAAGTATTCTGACGGTTTGAGTGAGCTCAAGAAATTTTCTATTTGACAAAATCTCCGAAATAGGAAGGGAAAAACTTGAGAAAAACTTTTGTGAGAATGAAAGATGAAGCTCAATGAGAAGTTGAGAATTTTGACAAGGCAAAAAAATTCAAAAAATCTTTTTTTGCAGCCTTTAATTTTAAACAATAAATTTCAGTTCTAATTATAGAAACATCGATTTTCTGAGACGTTGTTTTCTGAATCAAAACTCTTAATAAAAAAAACCAGAACTCAGTTCATTCAAAATGCAAGTGGTGAATAGGTTCGAGGACATGAGAAAAGCTTTCGAAACAAAAAAAGATAAATCCTTTTTCAAACTTGCTTATTCTCAACGGCACTTGACTTTTTTTTCATCTTTTTCCACTTTCAATGACAGTAATCCATGATATTTTCCTAACAGTCCTGTTTTTTTTTTTTTCATTTTTTCGTCTATTGAAACTCTTTCAAAATTGATCGAAAAAAAGAGAACTATACACGATCAAAAAAATTTATTAACTAAACATTGCGAATGTTTATAAGAGAGGTAATGTTTATTTTTTGGTTGCATTCAGATCTTGCCCAAAGGATGTTCGTTTCAAAAAAATGCATTTCAAAAAAACTAGAAAGATTCAGTTTGGATGACCGCAAATGCAGACTTTTTTTATGTTTGGAGTAAATTTTAAGTCAAACTTTTTTTATTTGATTTAAAAATCATAATATTTCATGTGCTATATTAAGGTTAAGTGATATTCGAGATAGTTCCTTTTGAGTGAAATTAGAAAAAAATATGGGAAAAAAAGAATTTTTTTGAAAAAGTCAATGACAATTTTTTTAAAAAGTCAGACTTGAAACTGTACATATTTTTAAAAGGAAAAATATACTTTTTTTCTGAAACCTTTGCTTTACCATATTTTTATTTCTAAACTTGAATGCACTATTCATATTAAAGTCGATAATTTTTGTCGATGAATGAAATTAAGAGCTAAAAACCTTCCGTTCCATTTTCATTATGTTTCCTACAACAAGGACAAAGCGTGGGGTCAAATATTGTCCATCATTTTCTCGTCGCCCCATTCCCATATGTCAAAAAGGCTCGAACGACAAGTTTCTCGCTTCAAGATATTTTCGAAAAAAATGGTCCCAGCAGAATTGGTTGCGTAGAGTGACAATTCTTCAAGAAGTTAAGAAAATACTATATTTAAAAAACAACAGTGAAAAAAAAGGCCAACTCAGAACCGACCTGTAAAATCATCTGTTATTAACCGAGCATTGCTTTCGTTGTGTAGCGAATCCTCGCATTCTGATGCTGGTCTGGAACAATTCAACAAGATGTACGGAGTGATGATTATCACGAAACGGCGTAAAAAGAGCCCCCAGCACTGCTCGAACCTTGGTGACGCAAACGCGTCGCGAATCGGACGTGTCGGGGCATTTCTAGTGACCACTTTAGTAGCCTCAGCACTCTCAAGTGATCCCTAGAATCGCCGAGAAACGTCCAAAGCACGTCCGTTTCCCAATGTCCGCTCAGACCTTGGTAACGCGAACGGGACGCGAATCGGACGTGTCGGGGCATTTCTAGTGACCACTTTAGTAGCCTCAGAACTCTTAAGGGATCCCTAGAATCGCCGAGAAACGTCCAAAGCACGTCCGTTTCCCAATGTCCGCTCAGACCTTGGTAACGCGAACGGGACGCGAATCGGACGTGTCGGGGCATTTCTAGTGACCACTTTAGTAGCCTCAGAACTCTTAAGGGATCCCTAGAATCGCCCAGAAACGTCCGTTTCGCGTTACCAATGTCCGAGCGCGAGTGGGTGGAGAGTTTGAGCGTTATCGATGGAGCAACTTTTCTTTCCATCACGATCGCGCGGGATTTTTTCAGCTTGCATCGTTTTCCATTTTTATTTTGTAAAACTTCCGATGATTTGTGAACTTTTTTTTGGGAACGTTTTCGCGCTTGTAATCGCAAATTTATTTCTATCAAAAAGAGTTTATTGGGTCAATCTCTCAACATTTATAAGACCTGAAACGGCCGCGCGTTACTTTCCTCGAAATTTAATCATTTGTTCAAATTTCCATATTGACGTCAATCTGACATGTTCACCCATTTTCTTAGTTTTCAAAACCTTATGATCTTTCCGTCATTTCATGATCTCGTTATATTTTTCAGTCTTTAAAAAAATTAATATTTTCAATCTCTTTACACGAAGAACTTTCTGGAATAATAAAGGTTATAGAAAGCTGAACTTTAATAGTTTCTTGAAGCAATCAATCATAGTTAGCGATTATTAAGAGAAGCGATTATATAAATAACTTGAAAATTTGTAACGACATTGATTGTATATTTTTTCTTACAAAATTTTGTCGTATCACCTTTGCTTTTGAGTAGTATCCCAAATTCGGAGCTCCATTTAATTGATTAAGCAGTTGCCGAGTGGGTGACAACAGCCAGTGAGGCGACAAATCCGGCCGCCCATCGCGATGGCTCCCCCGGGCCGTTTCCTTTCCGGCCAACTCGCGTCGTTCGCGCTCACGCCGCAGAATCCTTCCGTCTCCGGCCTGCCGTTGTTCGCCGTCGGTCCTCTGGCCGTGCCGCTCAACCGCCGCGTCAAGCGCGACGACAACGACGAAGGCATGAATCAGGTCGGTGAAAGTTCGTTGAGTTCACGAAAAAAGCTTGTAAAGTTACTCGATCGCTCTGTACTGTATTGAAATAAAAGTGAAAAATTGACACTGAAGTTTCTGTTTTCAACTCATAACATCCTCGGACATTGGAAACGGACGTGCTGCGGACGTTTTTGGGCATTTCTAGTGACCACTTTAGTAGCGTCAGCACTCTTAAGTGATCTCTAGATCTATAATCGCCCAGAAACGTCCGGAGCACGTCCTTTTTGCGTTACCGAGGCCCGAGATCAGTGTTCCACACAATCGTCTTTTTGCTAGAGCAACTTTTCTAACTTTTATACATATCCTATCATATGTAGAAAATTTAAAAGAGGAATGAAATTTGCGCTGATTTCGTTTTCTAAAACTTTATTTGGGAGTTGAAGACAAATGCTTGCGAGAATCGTTTAAGTAACGTTTTTGAGATTTCAGAAATCTGAAGGTATCCAGAACGTTTGAAGTATTGAGAAAAATTTTGGAAGATCAATTTCATTTTTCGAAGAGGACAAAAATAATTATTTAAGATTCAAAAAAAGGAGGAAACATGGCTACTAAATGAAAGAACCAGATATTTTCAATTATTTTATTCTTAGACTTAGAAAAATTGTTCGGCTTAGAAAAAAATTATTGAAATGCGAATTTTTTATCCTTGGGACTCACTGAAATTTGAACGTCTCTTGAATCTTCAGAATTCTGCTACAGGAGTAAAAAACTCTAAAATCAAAATCTGAGTTGTCTATCTCTTAAATTTTTAAAGTCGTTTCTTTTGTATTTTACCGCTTTCGACTGCTTGCCTATTTTTTCCCTAAGCTTTTCTAATAACTGATATTCGACCGGAATTCCTGACGAAAAAAAGTGTTTCCGTGATATCCGGCGAGATTTTAGTCACGTTCTGGCTCTTGCAAGTAAAAATTCTTTTCAAAGTCACAAAGTGAGAACCGAAAATTGCCTCAAGGCTTTTTAATTGCCCGCCACCTCCTTTCCATTTTTGGACTGGCAGTATGTAAATTTCCGGTTTGGCCGAAACGTCTGCAGTCGACTTGCTCTTACAATTTTCAGTCTTTTTGGTCTTTCCAACCCCTGAAGTTATTCTTGAGTGATTAGACGTTATTTGTTGGCAGAAACTTCTATTGAAAGTTGGTTTCATTGTAAGAGGATATGTTTGCCTAGAGCCTTATTTATTATTTCTGTCAATAACCAGATTCTTTTGTGGTTTCCCAGTTGATATTTTTTTCTTCTTCTACGGGAGTTCAGACTTTCTTTGTTGCAGGTTCAATTTTCGAGTGCTCTGAGCAGCGCTCGGCGCGGAGCCATCGCCGAAGGAATGGAACTTGAAGAAGAATCCGCGCCCCGACAAGGTCAGCTCAAAAAGAAAATGTCAATAAAATCCGAGTCGAAAATACGGATGTTCCGCTTTCAATGTTAAATAATATACATCAAAATAAAAGAATAGAACCAAGAAAATATTATTTTTTGTCGTTTTTTATTTCAAAGATGATCTCAGCAAAAATTCTGCCTATCGGAAACCTCCATCCGTTGAAGGCAAAAAGGCGGACGGCTTCGAGAGGCCTCTAACTTGGGATTAATCTACCCAAATTGGTGTTTGACTAAGACTCGGGTCGGCCAACCGAGAAGCCCCAGTTCATTTGGAATCATCTGGCCACGCCTCTACTTTTTTCGGCGGTTTCTCCTTTTGGCCTCTGAGCAATTTCACACATGCGCGCGTACGATGATGTCGCCACTTTGCTCGATTAATCTTCTCTAACTTTTTTTATTCGAAAAAGCTTCTATGCGTCCGTTCAACGACTCCAAAATCTCTGTTTTACAACTTTTTCCTCGTTTCAGTTTTTTTAATCTAGATTTTTTCTGCACTGAAGACTCTAGGGAAAGTTTGGATTTCAAGCAAAGGCCGTTTGCATTATACTTAAGGATTATAGATAGGGTTGAAGCCTGAAAATGGGATTTTTTACGATTTTGCAAAAAGGTAAAAATGCAAAGTGTAGTCTTTTTCTGACTTTTTGTAAGTTAAAGTGTTATAAATTTTTTGTTGCGTTTTTCAAAAAAGGATAGATAATTTCTGCGAAGGAATCAATACGAAAAGCGCTTTTTAGTGTTATTTCTGTCTTTTTTGTCCCCGTTTTGCTGATTGTGAAAGTTTATGGTATCAGTTGTGAAACTGATTTTTTGCGATATTCCCTGTTGGTTTATAATCTTCATTCTTTTCGGCTTTGAGATCAGACCAAACAAGAAAAAGAATGTTTGCCGGCACGTAAATATACTTATAGATATTTGGGGCGAGTTTGAAATTTGGAAATTGGGTATTGCCGTGTACGTCTTAACTCAATTTCCTCTCTACCCAAAAACTCTCCTTTCTGTTTCTACGCGCATATTTGGGTTCATTTTATTTTCCGAAGATTTTTGCTTCATCACATCATGAAAGCTTCGCGATTCGGACGAGAAGTCGGAAAATCGCCGCGAAATCGCCATGAGTTGCGCAGCTGCGAGAGCAGCGTTGTTTTGACAGGTAACAGCGAAAATTGGCGGAAATTCGGTAGTTATTATTGTTTTAACTGGGCGTCAAATTCTGAACACTTCGGTTCTTTTCGAATCGAAGTTGTGTTATGATATTAATATAGAGAGGAAAAAATTTGAAATAGAAAGCAAAAAGTGTTTCTTCTTTTAGAACTGCTGAGTTAGCGTTTCATTTACTTTTCATTCAAATGTTTTTCAGTGATTCGTCGATAGACACCGGAAGCTTTCATATTTTTCAATTAATATTAAACGAAGCATTTTTGTTTTATTAAAGCGGAACATCCGACAAAATTTTTTAAATATTAATCAAGCTTTTTTCAAGAGAACGATCAATACATGGTTTATAGGTCCTCTGGCCGGATGTATATCAGGATTTCGATTGGCTCTCCCTCACATCGCCTTGATAACGGCCACACTGCTCTATGTTTGCGTGGGAGGTTTGTCACAAAAGATGAAAATTGAAAAATTCGAAGAAAAAACGATCTTAAGCTGGAATCTTCGCAGCGATCGAACAGCCGTACGAGCTGCAGAATCGCAACAATCATCTGCAGGCGATTCGGGAGGCTGAGGTGATTCTCCAAGATTATATCCGAGCATGAGCTCTCCATAACGAGCTCCACTATTTCATCAATGAACAAATCGCTACATTTTTTCCCCGTAATCCTTGAAAACCCATAAAACGTCGTTAAACTCGGCTTTTTTCTGCTCGAGCAACGTCGAAGAATGGCGGGAAAATGTCGCATCTGGGCACTTTTGAGCCGTTCTTTGCGTTCTTTTTCTCAGTGGGCTCCGATTTGAACTTCCGAAACTTTTGAAGTCAGCTGGTGCTAGAAGAGATGATTAGAGGAAGTTTTAATTTTCAATCAAGATTATTTTTGGAGCAAATTTCCTAATGCAATGATAATAATGAGTTCTTTAGGAAGTGAATAAATGGGGGGGGGGGAGCGGAAGAATTTGACAGCTTTTTCAAAAATGACTTGGTGAAATGCATAGAAAAGGTCTTTACTCCTACTATTCAGCCAGAATTTTGAACCAAAAACATTTTTTCCTATCATAATTTCAGCTTTTTCCATGTCTCCTTTTTCAAATCGACTCGCTTCAACGTAAAATTTAAGAGTTAATGATTGTGAAATAAGATTTTTTTGAGTACCTGGTTTATAATGTTGACTTTATCAAAAAAAGTACATTTTATTAACAAGAGTTGCTTTTTTTGGGTGAAGGAATTCTCTGGAAAAAAATAAATTTAACTTTTTTTAATATCTTAAGTGGTTTTGAAGAGTTCGTCAATTATATTGTCGAGAGTTTCTTTTTTTCGATTATTCTAATTTAAATTTTCAAAAGGACCATTCCAGCAAGCAATAATCGAGTACGAATCGATGGAAGAAGACAATTCGACGGTTTTGGAACTCATCGACCAGCTGACCTACGTCACCTTCCGCGCTTTCGAAGACGGGATCAAGCCGACAGGTTTGCACTGATTTTTGAACGAGCTTCATCAATTCAATCACTCATTCTAAAAAAAAACAATACAAAAGTGTAGACGACTTGAAGCAGTTTTAAAAATGGCGGCTTTTGGCCGGAAACGAAAGTTCACATTTTTTTTTTATAAATTTATAATTCCCTTTCTGATAGTTTTTTCGGTAATTTTTTTCTTTGTTCATGAAAAATCTTCACAAGTCGAAATAATGACTGTTTTCATTTTTTTTTAATTCCCGATTATGCCGGCCTTAATTCGTAAGAAGCAAAAGTATTTTTCTTGTCTCCATAGGCTGTGGTCGCATTTGGAATGGATTAAAGCGTTTTGGTTGATCCATTTGACGTACGACCGATATCCAGGCGACGCGAGGCTAATAATTTCAGCAAATTCCCAGAAATTTTTCTCGATTTCAAAAGAACCGTTTAATTGAAGATCTTCGCGACGACACCTTCTCGACAAAATGGACGATGGCTTCTGCCATTTTCTTCACAACCACCGTTTTGACTTCCATAGGTTCATAGTTTTGTGGGTCACTCAAGCAATCGAGATCTTGCAGGCTACGGTCATTTGATTCCGATCTCGCCGCACGGGCAAATTTTTTGCATGGGTTATGCTATTTTTGGGTGAGTAACGATTTTTTTTTTGGAGAGCCGTGCTCAAAATAGTTCTCTTTTTATGTGATATATTTTTTTGATTAAAAAAACAAAAATATTTTATTCTGAGCTTTTCTTTTTTCTTTGATAAATTGTTTCTGTTTGTTCTGGATGAATTAAAATAATTAATACGGTATTTTTTGTGAAAAAAATGTTCAAATCCTTGGCTTTGAGAATCCCGCTGACTCTCATCACGATCGCTGATGTCGCCAAATTTCTGGCGGACTTGCTCGGAGGCACTGGCGACGATCCTTTGGCCGAGGTTTCTTTTTTCTCAAATTTTCCTCCAAGTTGAAGATTCTCTCTCCGAATCCTCAGCAATAACTCGTTTTTGCAGGTCTCCGGGTCCAGAAGAGCCGGTGTTCTGTTCAGTCTTTTCGGCTACATGTCCGTCGCAGCCTGGATATTCACCTATTACGAACCTACCTGGAACTTTCTCGATTCTTTCTACTTTTGTTTGATCTCCCTGGTGAGTTGTTCAATCTCATATCCAATTTCGAAAAAAAAGATGTTTGATGGTTTTGGCTCAGTGTCTTTGAAAAGATGACTTGGGCAGTTTTTTTTTTTGAGAGTTTAGAGAAAAATGGTGAACTAGGGATTCTCGAGATGACTCTTCCCTTTTTCAAAATCACTAATTTTGTCTGCGTCCTTTTTTGGGAGATTTCAAATATATTGGTTGACTTTTTGGTATTTTCGAAGCATTTTTTTTTCTAAAACTGTGAAAATGTAGAAATCGTTTCTTTATGACGTTTAGTAGCTGATTTTTTTCTGTTTTTAAACACAATTTTATTCAATTAAAAAGTCAACTGAAAAACTTTTTGTGCTTGGAGATCTTTATTTTAATTAATTTAGAATTGATGAAACTTTTTTTGGATTTAAAAAAGTTCTGAAAAAGAGTTTTGGAAAAAAAAATTCAATAGATGCTTGAAATCAAGCTCTCGAGAGAGTGAAAACTCAAAATTTCCGATTTTGGCTAATGTGTGAGAGTTCTTTGAAAAAAAAGTTTGAAACGAATCGTAAAACTTTGCTTCATTTCAAAGCACCAAAGGATGTCTTTTTTTTAATGAAAAATTAGTTTCTCTATGAAGTAAAGAGTTTCTATTGATATCAACTTTCTGACCATTCCAGTAGAAGATTTATCTCTCTTATAAAAAATAACATGTCTAAATTGGCAAAAAATGTCTAGATTTTCCTTGTGATAGTTCTGATGATTAATTTAATAGGCCAGTCGAATTCTGACCGACTTCCCTTAACTTTTTGCCGGCAAAGCTTGGTCGCGGATATCAAGGAACAAAGTGTCGGTTTTGTTCGACGGCGAAAATGAGGTCGTTCGCCCAGCCCCAAGATTCGCTGCCGAGATTGTCGCGCCGTCGCCAGCGGCTTCTAAACTCGCGACTTTTCTGTTTTTTTTTTCGGAGAAACAGCTGATCCGAGAAAAGCGAAAGGCCAGACGGATAAGCTCAAGGAAGCTAATAGTTTGGACATTTTAGAGCACCTTAGGGTTTAGTGACCTACCAAAGCATAACCGCTGATACACATTCAAGAATGATACATCTCAAAGACCTTGCTTATAACTGACTCCAAGAAAAAAATAAACCACTGACGAATATAAAAAAATTTTTTTAAAGGAAAAACGATTTTACTAAGAAGTAGGCAAAGAATAATGATTTTTGAATAGGTTTTGAACTAAATTAAGTCCCCTTATAAAATAAAAAGTTACAAGTCAGCTCCCGAGGTTGAACTTTTGATCCTATATGTTTGCCTTCTCGATTGGTAAACCTCTTTTTTCAACTTTCAAGAAGTGAATGATTTTCCTTAATGATCTTTTGAAAGGAAGATCGCATCACCTTTTTGACCTTGTGGGAAACGTTCTTTTTTCTAAGAAATGAGATCCAAAAAAGCGGCGTTTTCGAAAGGACCTTGACAGTGTCGGCAATCTTCTTAAATTGCTAAAGAATTAGGATCTCAGTGAATGATTGGAGCGGTTTTTTTTAAAGAATTTACCGATAGCAAAGTGAAAAAAGGTTTTTTCTTTCTCGAATTTTTATCTGAAGATTTTCCGACGAACGGACAAAAAGATTAGCAGAAAGAAGGAAGTACGAAATAAGGTCACGAATCTTTCGAATTCGTAATTTATTTCCAGTCGCTTTCGATGATACGAATGTTCCTATCCTTATCTTCTATTGGAATCCATTTTTTTTTCAACCTGTCAGTGACATGGATTAAATTGGTAGCTATTTTTGAACTAGAGAAAAAAATTACTGTTTTCTGTAGACTTCAAAAGTTTTCTATAGTTTGTTATGCAACGTCCCGACTCTTCTATGTCCCTTAACCAAGGGATTGATAAAATCGCAGCGCCGCGCAGGCATAACAACTGTTATGATAACCCCCGCAAAGCTCAACCTACATATTCGCTTCTTTTTTCTGCGAAAGATCTCATCCTCTCGTTTTTTTTTCCCTTCGTGTTATACACCAAGAAAGTTGAGTCAATGTAGGCCAGAACGGCGTGCGCTGTTCTAATTTTCGGTCTCGTCGATTCGTTTCCCTCTGGTCTTCGTCCAACTTTTCGAGTTTGAACAAGTCTTGGCCAGGGGAACTGAAAACACGCTCATTTTGCATATACTTGACACGTTGAGTGGAAAATGACCGCGTCGCGGACTATCTCTCTTTTTCAAAATATTTGGTTCTTTGCGGCTGGTAGGACTCTTTACCAGTTGGACGACCATGGGAAGTGAAACCTTCCATAAACTAATAGGGAAGGAAAACGGGTTAACTTCTTGCTAGACATTTTTTTCTGATGGGTTTGGAAAAACGGAAGAATCTCTTTGCATTCCTGTTCCGTTCCGAACATTCAAATCAACCAGAATATATTTTTAAAACGTTTTTTCAAAAGTTGGACAAATTAATTGGAAGCCTTCTATAACAATTTCAAGAAGCGTTATTTTTGAGCTTTTTCTTTTCGAAACCTACAAAATTTGCGCAGATTGAGCGTTTCTGGATCTTCATCTAGTACATCAAAGAGTATTTGAGCAATCTTCCAAAAGCTGAAAATCGCGAAGAGATTCAAAAGCATCCATGTTGGTATTTTGCAGATGACCGTCGGCTTTGGAGACCTCTACCCGGTCGGCGGCGTCGAGTACATGACGGCGTCGATCGTGTTCATCTTTGTCGGCCTGGTTCTGACGACGCTGGCCGTCGACGTGATGGGCTCTGCGTGCATCGACAGCATCCATTCGTGGGGCCGGGGCCTCGACGCCATGGGCATTCTGAAGGCGTTGCGTGGCGTCGCCCAGTTCGTTATCTTCTTTTTCCCACCTAGAAGTGAAGCTCTCGGGCCAAGACTTTTTCTCCGAACGTCCACGCGCGCCGCGCATATCCCTATTAGGTGTGTTCGCTTCGGGACCGCCAAGGTGAGCCGACTAAGACTGTGTGCAAACAAGACCCGACAGCTATCGATTTACCGGTCCTGTCTTCTCGCAAGTCCGAGGAGGTTTACCCTTTCTGTCGACGACGCGTGAACTCTCTTCGACAGTTCCTAACACGTCGCTCAGCTGTCCGTCCAAGGCTCTTCTCTTCTGAAGTGTGAAGTGCCTCGGCGAGTGTTTGTGGCGCCTCTTTGAGGATACCGGGCTTTGGAAACAAAAGTTCAGATTGGAATACCCATGAGCAAGCGTTGTAGGCATGACAAAATCACACCAGTAGTTATTCCACAGGACTTTCTAGAGCTTAAAAGTCCACAAAAATTTGAGTTGTTGAACAAAAAGTTTGCTTCTAGCATTTTTATGAATTCGAACCTTCATTCCTGAGAAAAATTTTCAAATTTTTCAAATATAATCGGACATAAGCGGGTTAATTCGGTTGTCAAAGAGTTGCAGAAGCTAAGATTGTTTGTATCAACTACAAGGAAGATCGTTTCAGAGTGGACTTTAGATTTTAAGGAAGGGTATTGTCTATGAGTAATCTTCATTCAGACCTTCAGGAAGTCTTTTGAGCACAATTTCATGCTCCAAGTTTAAATGATCCTTTTGTAAATATAAGGATTGAACCGAACCAACAAGACTAAAAATCAATTATTCACTGCACTTCAAGACTTTTTAAAAATTTTAGTAGTTGGTCTAGTGCTATAGTTTCTCTAAATATGTGGAGAGCTATACGGAAGTCGCCTCGAGCTTCACCAAATCCAAGGTCCTGGAGAAGCTTGACAGCAGAATCACGAGTCGGACAAAGACTTGCTCAGTGGGTCCTGTTGGAACGTGAAAAACGTCCCGAAAACGCTGCGATCCGTCGTTTCTTCTGGCGCGACGAGGTCAGCAACAAAGATGAAAGAAAGGACGGACGCGTTGCGAATATACACACAAAACACGTCACGGTAATGGACGACAGTCCGAGAGACGGACACGGTTGTCCAAAGTGGCCACTCTAGGATCGTCTTTTGTTCTTATTAGAACTCTTTCTTTGAAAAAAAGCCGCTATGAGTCATTCGTACAGTTTTTTTCAGTTTAATATAATTTAGTCAAAAAGTTTCAAATTAAGAAAAAAATAAGTATGAATCTGTATATAAAGAAAAAAATTATCCTAAATTTATGGGATCAAAAAGAATTTTTAAAAACTTTAAAGTTGATTCCGGCTTAGAGCAATATTGAAACTCTTTTTATTGATATACTGAAAAAAACCGCATTGATAATTCCTGAAATTTTTGATAAGGGAAGTCATTTTGATGTGAAACTTGGAAGTTCCTATAAAATTACTTGAGCTCATTTCAAAAATTGAGATTTATTTTTTCATAGTTTGTTTCCGTGCCATTTTTAGTTCGAAGATGTAAATTAATGAATCCTTTTCCAACCTTGAATCCGACTTGCAAAAATCCTTTGCCAGTACCATCCATATTTTTAAAGGAAATAATGGCGTAAGTACTATGAGAAACTTACACTTAGAAATTTTGAGCTTAATTAGTCAATTATACAGTTATAAGTAATTTTATATATTTCATACCAAAACAACTTCTTTCAAAAGAAAGGTAAAGCAAACTGTAGAACTTGAGAGCAAGGAATTCAGCTCATAGGTAATTAAGGTTTTCAGAACTTAGCCACGCTTCTATTCGTCCTTAAGCACTTGAGTCATCCAAGAAAGAACCCAAAGTTCAAAACAAAAGAAAAAAAAACTTTCTCGAAGTGTTTGCGTTTGGATTCTTCGAGGCTCGGAAGAGGAAGGCCTTGCTGTCAGAAAGTCGGGCCGGTGGTCCAAACGAACGTGAGTCTTGCGTAGTTAGTGGGAGGCAAGTGGCTGACTGTCGCTGCGGCGCTGTGTGACCTGAACAAAACAGTCTTGGTGCGAGAGTGACGAGAAACAGACTTCTCCGAGAGGAGAGTGCAGCGTTTGGCTTGCAGTGGCGCCGCCGGACGGACGTCGCAGGAGGAGGACGAAGGACCGCCTCCACGGTGGTTCGCTTTCGTGCCCAAGGACGCGGCGGCAATCCCCTACATCGACGCCGTCACCACGTCCGATGTCTTCCGCAGCAGCCACGCCGCCGCACACGCCGCCAATGGACCAAGCAGCGCCGTCGCAGCTGCTGGCCCAAGCCGCCAGTCGACTGCTTCTCTTGGTTCGGCCGCCTCATATCCATCTCGTGCCGACTTCTACGCACAGTGCATCTGAGCACAAAGGTTGAGTCTTCGTTTCATCTACAGATTATGTTTATCATCTTGATAAAGCATTTAATAAAGAGATGTTTAGAGCCACTTTAGTTGCTCCGGAATAGTCTTTTTATTCTCTTTCTTGCTAGACATAATCTCTTGCTCCGCTTGAACACTCCAGAAGATTTTTTTTTTTCTCATTTTTTTATTGAGCTTTTTCTGAAAAAAAAGAGTCAATTTTAATCTTCCTAGGTTTATCTTTCCCCTTTTCCCCTTTCAAGTCTTTTATTAGAGAAATTTTCTTTGAAAAGCTCAAAAACGTTTTTTATGACTGTAGATGAATTGGCTTGCCTTTAAGCTTGTTAGAGATATAGGGAAGCTATTTTTTAAATCAAAATTCCTTACTTTGAGAGGTCAAGCTTCTCCTTTCAGACTTGGGCCACGTCACCAGCATCTCGACGAGCAGCGCGACCGACGACGACACCAACAACAACGTCGTCGCGAAGGCGAACGAAGAAGTCGTGTCGCTGGAGCAGCCGTCGGCCCTCCGAGAGACCTTGGCCAGGCTTCCGGCCCAAGCGCTCATCTTCGCCATCGGACCAGAGCCGGTCCGGCAGCACCTCGTCCCAAGTCTTGTGCGGGACGAGTGCGATCCGCCGAGCATCGCTCTCCGTTATTTCGATCTGACCCTTGCCTTTGGCGATTTTTATACGATGGATCTGGAGCAGCAACGCGATGTCGCGCTGGAACGCATTCCTCAGCTCAGCACAGGTGCGATTTCTTTTCTTATTTTTTCGGAGTAGGTTTTCATTTTCTTTTCGCTTCTTCGTTTTGATCTCTGTGTGTTTCTCGAAGAATTTTGCCATTTTGAATCGAGAAGCTCGTTTTTTTAGTACGATGTTCTTTTTGAATTTTTTGTATTCATTTTAAAGCTAGCTCGGCACATGTTTAAGTACAGCTTTTTTTTTCCTTCCAGTGATTCAGCGTTTTATGCTCCTCTAAAAGACTATTTTTTGGGAAGATTCAGGAGGGTTTTTTTTTTGAAATTTGGCCCATTTTATTGATTTCAACATTTTGGACTTCCTCTTCAAACTTTCCATGGATTTCATTTGAAGATAAAATTGTTTCTTCTGACTTTCCTTTCTTTAATTTTCCATGCGTGGTAACTGAGATTCTTGCGCCCACTCACTGGTTATGACCCATTTGGAGAACGGAAAGAACGGCTGGAAAAAGGAGCCCAAGGACGAAAGTTCTCAAGGTTAAGAAGGGGAATTGGAATAGCTCTTTCGAAATCTTCTCAATCATAACATTTGTTACTTTTCCTTCACAGTTCTAATGAAAAGATCTTGTTAATTTTTGATTTTTTTTTTATGAATTTGCACCTATTCCGGAAAAATTCTTTTTTTACTCAAGAAATTTGGACAGCGACGCGTTGTTTGATAAAGTTCCTTGGTTGAAAAACCGGTTGTGTTTTGGACTGAAATAGTACTCTTAATCGGAAAAAAACGTTGAAATTAGTTTTTTTGTACTAATTGCATCTTCTTATAAATTTATTCATGAAATAAAAAAATTATTTTTTTCTCCTTCTTTTATTATTCCGCGGCTCAAAAATTTTTTTACGCTCTATTTTTTTACTCCACTTTCTGCGTTAACTGAAAAAATCTCATAGTCAGTTTTCAAATTCCCTTTAACAGAATTCTCAATTTTTTTTAAAAATTTATGTTCATTATTACGTTGAAAAAAAGGAAGAGACTTACAGAAAAAAGAAAAAATTTCCTGGAAAAAAAATCAGTAATTGATTTGTTATTCAAACTCGAAATTTATATACGCGGGCTTCATGAATAAGGAAAAAGTGCTCAGGAAATTCGAGTACTCTGAAATCTTCGATTTCACCAATTTTTTGCATTTATTTTTTTCGAAAAAAAAAAATCGTGTTTGCTATTTTTTTTTCTTTTTTTTTCCGCTAATATTTTTGTGTAGACTATTTAAGTAATATTTTGAAATAGTCATCATTAAAAAAATATTCAAAAAAAGCGATATTTTCGGTCCTTCTCACTGGCTTTAATCACGCAGAAGGAACAATAGGAAGGTTTTACATCCAGACGAGTGCGTCACAAAAGACGGCCCACTCACCTTTTACCTGTAATACTCGAGTTGGCCGTATTTGGTGTTGTGGGCACAGTCGAGCACCCACACACCTCCACTTGAACCCATCCGATCGATTGGAGGATACCTTTTGTCGAGGTGCTTGTATAACTGTCTCGCATCTAATATACGGCCTTGGGAATCTTCCTTGGTCCGATTTTCGGTCAAGATTGGCTCGAAATAATTTATAGAAACAAGAAAACTTTATTTTTCGTGACCTACACTCTTAAGAAGGTTTTTCTTCTTATCCAGTATTTATTGACTGTTCCATCGAAATTTAGAAATCATCGATATTCCATGCGTCATAACAGTAAGGAGGGTGAGAAGTTAATGTGAAAAAATCAATGTTGTTGATATTTTTTATCTGCTTCGGGTTCATAACTTTTCTTTCCTTTTTTTATCTGATTTGATTAAAATTTTGATAATTTTTTTATTTCTAGTTTCGGCAAACGCCCTACTACCTAACTAGTAACTAAAAATTTAATTAACAAGAAACAGAAACTAGCCGAAATTCGGGTATTTAAACTTGCTCTTTTTTTCCTTTAATGGCATTTTTTTCTTTATTGTTTTCTAGTTTTGAGCATTTCTCATATTTTATAAGTGGTATTTATCTTTACAGTAAATGAACAAGAAAATTTTTCTCATTCCTCTTTTAAGAAAAACGAAGTTTTGAAAAGCGTTCCAAAGCTCTTAAAAGTGGATTTCTCGATTTCAAGCTCAACAAAATCGATAGAGATCTGAAAATGTTAAAGATCAAAGATCCGTTTCATTTGGAGACGAAGTGACATCCAATGAGATACTCGGTCCGTTCGGCGGAGAATTGAAGAAAGCGGGGTCGCCGCTGATTTTTATCGTAGACGTCGTCGCCCATTTTGACGTTTTTGCAGTACCTAACCGTTGCGAGGATAACCGAGAAAAAAAAGCGCCCTGAAATAAAAATGCTCAGTCTAATTAATTTCCTTTTTTCTAAACAACCACGAACATGTGCGACAAAACGCCAATGTGCATCATCGTCCCAATATTGCGCACATCTGGTCGCCCGGCTGCTGAAGTTATATTGCACTTTTTCTCTTTCTAGAAAGTCTCTGAAGAATTGGGAAGAGTTGAACAAGTTTCTATGATTATTATCTCACTCAAATTCGTAGAAAGATAGTTTCTTCAATTCGAAAAAAAGGAGACTAGCCAACAGGAATGACAATTTTTTTCAAAAAAAGCAAAAAAAGAAAAACAACTTTTTTTCTGTTAAAATATCTATGATATTATCATTTTTTTTATCTTGATTTCACTTCAATGTTTTTCCTGGCATTTTTTTGTACGCGATTCTTGAGTTTCTTAGGAAATGGGCATTTTTTGAATAAAGAAATAAACACAAAACTCGACAATTAGTAGTAAACTCCATCATTCCCGGCTCCGAAAGTCCTTGCTTCGTGAAGTAAGAAAGACAATTTTTGAGATCCGAACAATTTCAATTGTAAGGGCCAGTGCCGGGCTCTTTTTTGATTTTCAAAAAGCTCAGTTTCCGGTTCAAATGACCATCAAGTCTTATTAACTCCCAGAACGACGCTCAAGGCGATTGTTTAGATATACATATATAAACAAAAAGACGTCCGCGTCTTCGACGGCTGTAAATCCTGTTTGGTCTTGCGTAAACTGACCTTTTGGGGTCACTCGAGGTCGAGAAAATTCGGACAAAGGGTCTTCGGAATTCCTTTTTACGAAAAAAAAAGTTCAGGATCAAAGTTTTTATCAACTAACTTCACTAGGAGTACTTTGAAAAGAAATCTAGCAAGTATCCAGCACTGAAAAATAGGTCGATAAATATTTTTTGTTTTTAGTTCTTTATATAACTTTTTGGACGTAAATTACGATATTTGAAAAACTGTAACTAAACATAGTTTTAAATTTTCGAAGTTTTTTCAAAGCTTATTTTAGACTTTGATAAGTGTCACAGAATCGCCGTGCTGGGCTTTCAGGAAGTTGCAGACTGTTTCTTCTCTCTTTTTCCTGGCTCTTCCTCACTGGAACGAACTCTCTCTTCCTCGACGAATTTCCGTCGCGGAGCAAACACTAGGTGACAGTTACGGTTGACCACCTCTTGTGTGTAGGTAGAAATGCCATTTTCTCCATCTTTTTTTTCCTCCGCAGTTCTTTTTTCCTTTGAGTTGGTGTTTGTTCGGCTGGGGACTTGAGGATTCAGTATGGAATGGTACTTTGCGGCAATCTCAACGAGGAATTGGTGTTACTCATGTCGAAAAAAGGGAATATAGGGGGATACCAGTTGAAAAATGGAAAATCCCGAAAAATTATGAATAATAAGAAAGCAGAATCTTAACTTGTTTGAAAGGTTGGGTCATCATAAAACGGGGCTTGTGAAGAAAAGAGGAAGTTCGATTTGTTTACCGTCTTTTTTAGCAATGTAAGAATGCTTCAACTCGGTTTGAATTTTTTCCGGTCCCGAGGAAACTGACTTCAACAATGAATAATTTTTCAAGGTTCTCAGTAACCTTGATGATTTTTAAGAAGTAAAAAGGGATAAAATCTCAAAGTTAAAAAATCGCAATAAATTTTTTAGTGCTGCAAGTAAAAGATATAGAAAATTAAGGGGATTTCTGATGAAAAAATAAACTGTGGTCAAACACCTTCTCGATCAATAATTCTGAATTCATTTCTGTCAGCTAAAGTAACTTCCGCGTCGGATCGTGTGGTGGCAAAAAATGGTCGGCGAGCAAGCAAACTCAGTTCTTTACAGTGCTCTTTCCTCTCTCTTTCTCTCTTGGGAAGCAATTCGATCTGCCTCGCCCTTTTTCGGCTTTTCTTTTGGCTCAAACTTGCCTCAAAAGAAGACCCCGCCAGTTTTTGTCCACAAAAATCGAGGAGAAACTCAAAAATAGATTTGAAATTCTTCAACTCAAAAGATGACATTCCAGAAGAAAAGCGAGAAGAAAATGAAGGGAAGATGGAGAAATTATGATGGAATATGAAATATTTGCAGAACAGCTCCACGCGTCCTTCCAAACCGTCAGCCTCGGTATCGAACCTGCCGTATGGTACGTTTTTAGGGGTCTAGAGATTTATTGTATTATCATGAGAAATAATTAATTTAAAAAAATGTATGGTATAGTTGTTCTGAGTTCGAGTCGGAGGATAAGAAAAAAATCTCAAAAATACGGGTTTTCCTGCTGTGATTAGTAATGTGGAAAATTTACTATATAGTAATTAAGAGTTTTTTTTTGGTTAGAATCATTTTTTAACCCAAAACTAAACTAGGAAGACTTGTAAGTTTAATTTTGTTGAAAAGAGAGCTGTTCAAAGAACCAGGATGAGAAAATTGTTCCTTTTTTGTATTTCATATTTTTCCAAGGTTTTCTAAGCATTTGTATTTTTAAAAGGGATCAAAATAAGCAAGAATGGAAGGCATCGGCAAAACTTCCAATAAATTCTAAGTAGGGGACATTTATTTTCAAGGGAAATGAATTTTTATGTAATTTTCGGATGAGCCCATCTAGATAAACTTTAAAAATCAGTGGAGAGAAACGAAAAATTGTAAACCTGAATCGAGTCGTTTTCTTGTAACACGTTTCAAGTTCCGTGTAAAAAAAAAAGTGATGGATTTTCCGAGAAATGCGTATATTCTTGAAAGTGTTGTTTTATGACTTTAAGCTGTACGCATCAAAGTAATTAATGTCTCAAAATTGTTCTTTTTTAGTTCAAATGAAACTTTTTTCAAATAAAACATTCTATCCGGTATTTTCTCAGGCAAGGTTTGTTTTCTCAAAATGCCTCTGATTCCTATTATATCAAGTTCCAATCAGCTGATCGAGATAAAAATGGGGCCTTTTCAGCGACCGAGAGACGAAAATCGAAGGCGAAGTTGTGGTCAGAGCCCGCGGGCTGCCCTGGCAAGCCTCGGACCACCACGTCGCCCAGTTCTTCGCTGGCCTTGAAATCGCGCCGTTCGTTTTCCTTCTTTCATTCTAACTCGTCCAATCTCCGTCTTTTCCAAAACAAGGCTATTAATCTCTGAGTTTGTCGTGTATGATTCACGATTGTTGATAGTAGCCCAGTTTCGAGTCCGTTCACCTTTGGGTTGAGATTTTATAGGTTTCTCGACGATTAGCGGAATTAAAACGAAAAGAAAAGGTTCAGACATCTTTGTGGTATTTTTTAGTTTGAGAAATGTTTCGTCGATGTTTCCAATTCCGATCAAGTTCTACTGACAAGGGAACTTTTTCATCCTTTCTTTGAACTTTTAATGCCAGTTGGTCAAAGTCTACTTAGACCTCCTGATTTTACCACAAAAAAATAAAATAAAATCTCATGATCTATTCCGAGCTGTGACACGCTACCAAACTTTTAAATAATGTTCATTCTCACTATCTGTGTAATATGCGGTCTTTGAAATGACGTAACTCGAAAACAAGCTCAACCTTATTCTGCAATCAGAAGTTTTTGGTCACAAAATCAGCCTAGATTTCGACGACCAGGGGCTGTAAAAGTCGCCTTGTGAGATTTTTTCAGAGCAGATTTTGGTAAAGATATCAAAATCTTTGAAAGAGTCAAAAATGTTCGAATAAAACTTTTCTCTAGTGGAGGAGTCGCCCTGTGTTTGTCGTCAGAAGGCCGACGAAATGGTGAGGCGTTGGTCCGTTTCACGACGCCGCAGATGAGGGAAATGGCCCTGAAACGTCATCGACATTTCCTCCTATCCAGGTACTTTCTCTCTTCTTCTGGATTCTTTCTTTTCCAATAAACTTTATATACTGTATAAGGATCAATATAATCGATCAATCATTTCTTTTGTTGTTTTGGAATTTTTGAACGGTTCCTTATTTTTTGCCAAAGAATTAGTCGAAAGTCTTAGGAAACGCTAACTGAAAAAAAGTTTGAAAACCGAAAAATCTGACCAAAAATATCTACATAATCGATTCAGCGCTAGATTGTCACAAAAGATTCACTCAAGAACCTATGAATTTCAATTTTTGAGCGAATTCCACGCAAATAACCTCAAGACTAATATTATATAAAAAGGTGCGAATGAAATTCATTAAATGAAAGTCTGTGGATATTTTTTTGAAACGGATCAATCCATTCTAATCATCCTTCGGAGCATGCATTTTTTCTTTCTCTAATTTTGATTTTTGTTTTCCTCCGAACTCCGTTTGAAAAAATATTTTGAATAATGAATTCTCGATTGAACATTTCCATTATCTATTTTATCAACTCAATTCAAACTTCCACAAATTTCGAATGAATCATGAAAAAAAAAACTTTTGCAGATATATCGAGGTTTACAAGGCAACCGCGGAGGAGTTTCTTCACGTCGCTGCAGGTAATAATTTTCCCAACTTCTTTTTTTTTCTGTCATTTCTTCGAAGCTTTTTGAAGGTTTCTAGCTATGATTCTGTTCATTTCCACTTCTATCACTAACGAAGATTTCTCAGAGAGTTTTCTAACTTTTCTTTCGATTTTTCACTGTGGATCTTTTGGATCAATTATTTTGGCGTATATCAAAATTTTCCTTCGGTAGTAGTAAGCTGGCTCCTCTTTTTTCTATCTATTCCCTTCGGTTACGTGAACTTTTTGGCAGAGGAAAAGACAAAAAAGCGACGAAATGTGGCAAGAAGCCTCTGAAAGGAGGAAAAAAGCTGGTCAGTTACCACGCAACAGAATGAAAATTTGAAATTTTTCTGCCGCCCTTGCTGGTCCTTAGCCTTCCGAAATTTTCGTCTTTTCTTTCCAAATATGATGGGTTTTGCGGTTTTTCCTTCATTTGTATGAGATATTCCGAAACCATATTGAAACGATATAAAGAAGAAAGTTTTGACGGAAATCTGGAAGTTAAAATTCTTATCTCTTCAGATGCAAAATGAACTCAATTTTATAGTTTGTTCGAAAACTTTTCTGGACTTTTTCAAGATGGATAGACGCATTTTATGAAATATTCCGAGGCGATGAACCGCTCTTATTATTTGGCTAGAAAAGACTTTTGACTCTTTAAAACTATTTTTAATCAATCAATCAATCTCATTTTTTTCGAGAAAAATTGTTGAAAGTGCATTTCATTGATCTTTCAATATTTCAATCTTTTTGTTTTTTACTCCATTTACCCTCAGCTTATCGAAACTTGGAATAGTTTCAAATGAGTTGATAGGTTGAAGTAGGTTATTTTTTTTAACATAACGGTTTCGGCATGATAAAGCGGTGAAAAAAAGACAAACTTTTGCATTTTTTATCTTCTAGACCAGCTTTCGCTTAATTGAGGACATGTTTATGTTACGTAACTTGAACAGTTTAAAAATCCTTCACAATTTTTCCAATTTTAATTTATTTGCTTCAAACAATTCAAAGTTGAAACAACTCGAATGATGTCGGAAATGACAATATTTTGATCCAGAACAGGGTTCAGCGGTGTTGTTACCTGACCACTCGTTATCTTTTTTATCATTTTCCAGTCATCGGCCTATCACTCATCTCTTTGAGCGACGAATTCTCCCTAGTTTGAATTTCAATGTCCACTCAGCTCCTTATTTTTGCTGCCGAATAGATTTTTATTGAGTATATTCGATTTGAAAAAGGTTTTCTAGAATTTTTCAGAGTAAAAAAATCCAAATTTATGAAGAAAGGATTTTTTTTAATTATCAAGTTGATTAGAAAAAAATTTTTTTACATTAACTTCGTTTTTTTACATTAGTTCAATTGATAATGTGTAATATTTTTTTGCAAAAATTAGACACTGGAAATTTGGAATTTTACCCGGAAACAACGGGGGAGCGCCACGTGTAATCACCACGTGGCACTTTTAGATTATCTTTTTTTCGAATCACTTCGTTTGACTTCTTTTTCTTTTTTTTTTATAATCCATTTTCGAGTGAACCTTTTTTCTAACTACCTTTAAGTTAAACCTTCCAATTATCCTATCAAGACTGCTTTTTAAATGGTTTTTTTTGAATTGGTCTTTGCAAAGAAGGTCTTAATTCAGCCATAATCTTGAGTTACACGCTCAAAATCCTATTTATTCGAAAAAATTTTAAATTTTTAGTGAAAGTGTAAAAAATGGAAAAAAGAATGTCAGACTGGCTGGGAATTTGGCTGAATAGTGCGAGCGAGGTTTCGCCCACAAATCTCGATTAATCTCCATTTTTCGGTGAAAACTGGCAAAATCACAACGATACACCTTCTCAATTCATAGTTTTTGCTCCATTCGATTCTGAATATTATACTCCTGTCGAAGATTCAGGTATTTCTTTCTAACAATAGTTCTCTATCACTACGAACTCAGAAGAAACTGTTCGTTGCCTGAAGAAATCGAGAAATATTTTGCCCGTTATCAAAACCGATGAATGTATTTCTTTGAAAGAAGGCAATTTTGTTGTATTCTGCCCTTTTTTGTTGTAAAATGGAATGGTTCGGCTCGCGAAATCGCTTTTTTATGGGAATAATGTGAGAAGCCGTTTTCAATGGTGCACAGCGAAGGGCCTTTATGTATTTTTGATCCTTTTTTTATTTCCGAGTGGGAGAGATTTTTCAGAACGTTTCGATGATCTGTAAAAATTTGGACAGTTTTTTTCTACAGTGTATGAAAATATAGTCGATTTTCGGAAATCAAATTCATTTGTTCAAAAAAAGTTCAAGACTATAGAACAACTTTCTTAGTGAGAAGTTTTATATTTCTCACCCCCATTAAAAAATTGAAGAGACCTAGACTTTTTCATAAGAAATCCAACGGGTGTCCTGAGTTCCACTATCTTCTTTCTGTAACTTTTGACAAGGATAGTTCGAAACAATTGATATTTTGGCTCTTTCGTTGCAACTTTTGTATCAGGAACACCTTCCTGATCTTTTGAGAGGTTCCTTTTTTGAATTTTGCTCTTTGTTTAATTTTCGCAGGAAATGGTTTTCGCTCCTGTTCCCTCACCCACGCAGAGACGAGAACAAACGTTCTGTGAATGGGGCTTTTGGTGGTGTTAAACTACAATAACACCATAAACAAGGCCGGGCAGTTGAGATATGATACGCATCATATGCACATCGATAAAAAGAGCCGTGGCCCCCGTCCTTTCAGTTTTGTTTGTGCCTGGCGTCGACCTCTTTCTCTACATTTCTTCTTACCATTTTGTACAGGCGCCTACACATACAAACGTCCAATTTGGCTCTGAATGCGTTTGATTTCCATCGCCGTGCGTCATGGGCGTCACTCTAGGGCTGCCGAGAACTCATAAAGCTACAGAGTTGATAAATCAATTTTCCCACGAAGAGAGATCCTAGAATCGCTGAGAGAAAGTCAATAAAACATTAAGTACAAAACTGTGCGCAGTTCGGCGAAGAATAAAAGAATAAGCTGGTACGATTGAAAAAACAACTAACAAGCGAGGTCATTTTACTGTTTGGTTGAGAATTTCCTGAAAACTGCCCTTGACGCTCATTGATTTACCAGACGAAGATACGAGAAGTATTGATCTGGAAAACTCCTTAGTTTTTAAAAAAGGACGATTCAAAGTCGAAGAAAGTCCCCGAGATCCATCAAAATACGTATTTTTGGGCATCAAGCCCTTTTTCTTGAAAAATAGGAAGTTTTGCTGTTTGAGACTTTAAGAATCTTCTTTCATTTCATCGAACAGTATTATGGCCAATTTTTCGGGAACTTTTAACCACAAAGTAGGATGACCTTTTTTTTTTTAAAAAGTTTGAGCCCTAGTTTTGAATCAACCGAAAAGAAGAACATCCGATTCAGAAGTCACTCAATAATAGCGGAGAAAAGTAAAAAGGACCATTTTCCCATTGATCACTAATTTTTTTTCGAGCTGCTCTCCTTGGATAATTTTTTTGAGTGGGACTCCTTTCAAATGTGTACCAATTTTCTGAGAAGTCTTGAAGCGAACCAACGTAAATTTTGAATCAGTACTAAATGCCTATGTTTGAATGAACAGTTGAACGGAAAAACATCCTGAAACAGATTTTCAATCTTTATAGTTGCGAAGTGCACGGTGTTTTCCGGAGAGAATGAATAATTGGAGATCACAATTTCAAAGTTTGATCTTTACATAAGCCTACTATCAGTTATCAACGCTGGATGGTTTTTGTTTTCGACCATTCACCTATTTTTTCCTGTTTTTTTGCTGTCGTCGCGGCTTCTGTTCAGGCGATCCTCTCAAGTTTTCGGTTTACTAATCATTTTTCTAAGCATTCCAGTTATTCAAAATTGTTCTCGGCAGTTACAAAAAGCTTGATATCATATTAGCGGTCAGGAATCTTTTAGTCTCACCTTCTTAGATTGTTCTAAGAAACGGTTTTTATTCGATACAGAATCTTTTTAGATGGTCAGTTTTCATCAGTATTTTAATTCAAACGTATTCATTTATACTTGTGTGTTTAATCGTTTTTCCTTGAATTTTTCAAACAACCTTGATTGAAATTTTGCTTTACCTCTCTAGGAGAGAAAAAATTTAAGGATGAGACGTCAAAAAAAGAAATATTTTGAAGTGAGTAACGTGTCGCCACGTCCTCGTTTCTCTTTTTGGGCAAGCCACGCCCATTTTTGGGACGTCTTCGTCTTTTTTTTCGCTTTTTTTCCGTTTCATCAAGCTTCTCGTGGAGATTGAGGCAATAAGTTGCTGAGCGAGCCAGTTTTTATCTGTCTCTGCTTTAAAAAACAGTTCTAGGGCTTTTCAACTTTAGGAAAGGAACATACTTTGAATCCACATGAGAAGAGTGAAGTTCAATTATTTCATCCGGGAATATTCCCAACTTTTGTTCCAGTAGCTTGACAGCAGTAGACACAAGAGATGAAGGTTCGAATCCGACGGATGGCTTGGTAGATAATGCTCGATTCAGTGTTGGCACAGCTTTTCATCCCGTATTTCCGATGTGGGCGAATGTTTTCGGATATGTGCTCTACGTTGCCTTTTTGATTAAATTTTGATGCTCTCGTTTTGAGTAATTTTCACATTTTTCTATACGTTTCGGAGTCGGCTTGCAAAAGCTTTTCAGTTGCTCTTCATCGTTGACTTTTCCAATTTAAGAATTTGCTTCAGCGAAAAGTACTACTTAGTTTTTAGGTTGAAAAACGAAGGCTATTGATTATTTTTGAGTCAGCTTGTACTTTAAAAAAGAGATTTCCAACTAATACTCTGCATAAGTAAGTTTCCTGGTGGGAAAACTATAGGTTTTTTTTCGAAAACTACTAGTGAAACAATTTTCGAGTTTTTTGAAAAGATTTTTGAAAAAGATTTTCATTTTCTACACGTTTTCTCGATTTTATTGTTTTTTTTTCCGCTCTCTTTCAAAAGGCCGCGATTCGCGTCTAAAGCGTTTTATTGGGATGTAACTCTTGAGAATAAAAATGTAAAGTTTTCGGAATAAAATCTGGGAAATTCGTTGCGTGGATATTGTACAACGTTTTCTTTCTTTTCTAGTTTTTATTTCACACGGAAAAATTGAGATTCCTTTTTGCTATAGTTTGATAAAAATTCGAGGTTTGAGCTAAAAATGATCCAAACTTCATCTCTGAATATTTTAGAAACAATATTACAAAAATCGGATGCGAATTTTTCAGCCACCCTTTTTACATCCTTCTAGATTTGGTGTGTTTCGAAAAATGGATAAGCTTAAAATTTTAGTTCAACACTTTGAAAGTTTATCCAATATTTTCAAGAAATCCTCACCCCATGTTTGAAACAAGGTTCAGTTTCATGTTCATGTCTCTCACAAGTTAATTAACTTTTTAAAAGAAACAATTCCATCGGATCCCACAACCACCCCCATTTTCAGTCCAAATATTGGAAAATAGCGCACGCCCCTTTTTCGGAATGGAGCGCGATCGGCCCACCAAAACCACCACCTGCACATCATTTGTGCCGTTTTATTCTATCCGTCTCGTTGGCACATTTTTCCAAAGGCTTTGACTTCCCCTGAATACTTTTGGATTTCGAGTAGACTTCTATCAAGCTCATAGGAACAGCTCAAGAGATTCCTTCGTTTCAAAGCTTTCAAGATCAATATTTTCCTCTTCGTTCAAAAGTTCCCGATAGTCACTTCAGACTCCTAATGAAGTGCTCTTTTTCCAGGCTCCTCCACAGAAGCCATGTCCTTCGTTTCGACGGGAGCCGCTGTGACGATCCGGATGCGTGGCCTGCCCTACGACTGCACCGAACAGCAAATCGTTAGTTTTGATTTTTTTTAAAGTTTCAGGCTCTTGAAAAAATAATCAAAACACAGAAAAATCATGAGGAGACTTCAGAGCAACTGAAGAAGGTGAAGTTTACCAAACTTTGTGGTTACGTGTATTGAATTCCTTAGGAATATTTTCAAAACTAGAAAATTCAAAAGTGGATCCTCCACTTCACAGTACCAAAAGGCGAACTTTTCAAGACCGTCGGAATTTTCAAATTCAAAGTTTGGAACGCGCAAATATTCAAGGATCATAATTTTCCGCCTAAACATATTCTGATCGAGATTCGAAGAAGTGACTAAAATAAGTTTTCACAACTACAACAACGTTAGTGATCCCGAAATGAACTCAAAACCTTTCTTTTCAAAGAAAGGCGGGCAATTCAGCTGGAGCTGGTATAAAACAACTTTCAAATCTAATGAAAGTCTTAAGAGCAGTTGAACATTTTTTCCTGGGGAACTTTATTCAAAAAATAAAAGTTTCGGGTTTTTCTCTGAAATTACGGTTTTTCATCAAGTTTTCTCCAATCGAGTGGGGAGTTCATTCCGAATCTTTCTACAAGATTCAACTCACGAGCAAAATTATGTGGATCGAACTGTGTTTCTCGACAGAAAAAGTTTCGTAGAAAGTCCCACGTTTTATCTGATCTCCAATCGTTCCATGGGAGTGGTACTTTCCCACAGATTAAAAACGAGCACAAAGACAATTTTTGCATAAATTGAAGGGGAATTGACTATTAACGACCTTATGGGAACGTATAGTTTTTTGGGAAAGTCAAACAAAATGTTTAATTATCGAATGGGAATCTTAATCATCGCGGTTCTCTTTGACTTGAGAAAGTTAATCTTCAAAAGAAACGTCATGTGGTTTTCTCAAAAACGGGTGTGTCTGCAACTGGAAAAGAACTGATAAGGACTTCCTGGACCGGCGCCGAAGCAAGTGGAGGAACAGCTGACCAAACTGTTGGATCTGGATCGAATCGACAAATCGAGACAGTACTGAGAGGGGCGTCTATAACTGTCCACAAAGCTGCCAGAAAGCCGCGGCCGGCGACTGATCAAATACGCCCCGGTGCAACCGTCCGCATTCATTCTGTTTGTCTGATATTGGCTCTCCACAAAAGGTCATCACGTCTTATCGGAGTCATGATTAATCGGTTCCGAAAGTTACAAGCTTTCAAAAGTTGGATCGGGAACGAAAGTTTTCCCTGTATCCGACCTCTTCAAGAATTATGGCTCTCATGGCAAGCTTAAGTTCCACGTTCCATTGAAAAAACGTTTCTATGAGAAAATTCATTTTTTTAAGTTCAATTAAATCAGATGAGGCTCATAGGTAAAACCCGAAAGCGGTTTGGTTGCTGTTTTATTCATCAAGAAGATTTTGATAACCGAAACTTTTTGAATAAGCTCGGAATGTAATGAAAAAGATCCTGAAGAAATGACAGAAATTATAAAAAAATGAATATTTTACGGAGAAAAACTTTATTATTATTCGACAAATACGCTTTTTCGTTCGGCACTTAAATTCGTGAGAGTTGACCAAAAATAATTTTTGATATACTCATTTTTTTCCTTGAGTTTTGAAGTTTGAGGCTAGACACATTTCATACCAAAAACTTTTGAAATAAAGAGTAGAAATGTATTATTTTCATCAAAATTTAATTCACGAATTTTAACAGGCAAAAAAAAAACCCTGGATGTCCTTTTTTCTGAGTTTATAAAAACCCAGAAAACTGTGAAAGTACGCTGTATTGAAAATTAAAAACTTTTCTATCTGTTAAATTCAAAACAAATTGTAGACCTTTTTGGAAATTTAATTCATGGAGATTGCTTTCAGCGAGAGTTTTTCGCTCGCGAGCCGGAATGCTGCAAAGTGATGGAGCAGATGCTGTTCGTGACGAGGAACGACGGCCGACCCACAGGTTTTTCAGAATTCCTGCGGTTCATCCGAATCCGACGACTTCAGGTGACGCATTCGTGCAGTTCGCCACGGAAGAAGAGGGCTCCAGGGCGTTGACCAAACATCGCCAGACGATCGGTAATCGGTACATCGAGCTGTTCAGAAGCACTTCTGCCGAAGTCCAACAGGTGCGAAGACGTCACGACCTCTTTTGATAATCTTGGACGATTTGTAGGTGGTGAAACGGTCGAGCGAGCCGAGTGCTCAGTCCGGCTCTCGGAGGGAATGTATCCGTCTGCGAGGACTTCCCTACGAGGCGCAGGTCCAGCACGTTGTCGACTTCCTGGGCGAACACGCCAGGAGTATCCAATACCAAGGCGTCCATATGGTTTTCAATAGCCAAGGTAAAAGAATTAAAGATAGAGAGTAAAAAAAAATTTGACTTCAAACTCGAAAACTCTTTCTTCTAATAGGTCACTATAGAATTGCTTTCTCAGCGGTTCGAATTTTTTAAAATAAATTCCCGATCGTTATTTTAAGCTAGTCATCAAAAAATGATAAGCTTGACAAAAAATTTATAAATCGGAGAGAAGATTTGAAACTTTGAAACACGTAGATATTGTTGTTGTCTAGAAAGCAGTATAATAATTTTTTTTGAAACTTTGAAATTGTTTTTAGCAGTGCAGAGAAACGTGCTTGCACAGTCCTAAAGTGAGAACTTCCAGGTCACCCATCCGGTGAAGCCTTCATCCAAATGAACAGCGAACAGGCCGCCGCCGCCGCTGCCTCTGCCGTCCACAACCGATTCATGACGATGGGCAAGAAGCAACGCTACATCGAGGTTTCCCGGAGTAACCTCCTTCCGCAACCAAGGCCTTCTCCAGGTCTTCCAATGCTCACCTGACGACATGAATCTGATCGTGGCGCAGCCGCCTCAAGCTCCGCCTCCGCCGCCGGTCCACCACACGCAGCCGATCCTTCTGCCTCAGCGGGCCTTCATGCCAGGACTCGTCCCCATGATCTGGCCTTATCCATCGCCGCCCGTCTCGCCCAACATGATGCTACCTGGACAGGTCAACCAGCTCGTCGTCTACGGCATCGCTCCGAATGTCGGCGTGCCGGAGTTGGTCGCCCAGTTCAACTCACCCGATGTCGTCGTTGATAATGTGAGCATTGACGAAAAGTCTTCATGGAGACACAGTTTTTTGTGAAACTATGCTGACAAGAAGGTCATTCATGTGTGAAATTGGGAATCGTCTATGAATTTGCTCGAAAATTCTCTGAAGACCTTAAGACTGCTTCTTTATAGTCACGCATTGAGCGAAAATGTTTTTTTTTTGATTTATAATTTCTCAAAGTTTGCGTTTACCATTAGGCCTGAATCCCATTTTTTACAACTTTTAACCAAAACTAAAACTTTTTGCGGGGAGGAACTATGAGAGAGCTTCAGAGAAAGTTTGAGCTAACTTTCCGAAAACTTTGAAATACATTCAATCGAGCCTCTTTGTGAGAAGATCCTCAGAGAATCATGATCAGCTGTGAAAAATGTTAAGCGAAAAACAAGTATCCCATATTGGCATAAAAATTTATTTAGTAGATAATCAAGATTTTCTATAAAGCAATTCATCGGATTCTCCTACTCTTTTCTTGCAACTGCTTTGTGAGAAAAAAAAAAAGTGAAACAGGCTTTTGGTTCCTTCCTGTGCTCTTTGAAATCAAAATACTCAGTGGTTTCAGTATTGAAACATTCAGGTGATGTTCACAAGGCTGGCGAGTCCGACTTCAGCAGGCGAGGCGATCGTCACGCTTCGTCCACGTACGCCTACCGATCCGCCTTTTGGCGTCATCGATCCACAATACCTGACAAAGGTTGAAAAACCCTCTGCTTTACTGTAATCGTGCTTTTCGTTCCAGATCCCTCTGGACCAAGCTCAGTTCATCGCAGCGCCTAACGTGCCGCTGACGATTCCGCAACCTCTGCACCATCATCATCAGCAACCAATTTTCACCGTTATCCAGTCTTAAGCATCTCTGTGTTCTATCCTGAGATTCCTTCTTCTATAGTGCCCCTGACGAATCATTCCGTGGCTGTGATAGAATACCTTAACGAAGCCCCCTTCACCACCAACACTTCCATATCAAATTTTGTTACCGAGCTGGTCTTCTTGTTCTATTTTCTGTTGAAACTTGTTCTAGCCTAATTTTTTATGAATTGTCAACTTTTACTTAGTTTAGTTTGCCGTTCCCTTACTGCATTGAAGAATTCCCTATCGAGGCTTTCTGTGAACCCGATATCTTCAGAATTCTGGTAGCCTCTTGCCTCTGGCCACGCCTTCATCTTTTATTCTGTGACCATTGTTCAAACTACACACACTTCCAACAAGCGCACACACAAAAAAAAACCTTCGGTGTATCTTGTAAATATGAGACTGACCAGAATTATTCAGCCAAACTTCTAATCGCATTTATTCACTTTTAATTTATTTCTTCTATGTTCACATTGAAAAAAGTATTACAAAGTTATTCACTAGTTTGCCTGAAAAAAATTCCCTGTTGAAAGAGAAAATATCACTTTAAATGAAACGCGTTGTTGTGCATTTTGACCCACCACTATGATTGTGATAAATTGCATGAAATGTTAACGGAGAAATTGTTTTTATTTTTATTTTTTATTTCTCGACAATTTTTTGACTTTTCCTTGAAAAAGTCTTCTTTTGTGATATTTTTTTCAAGAGCCACTTTGCATAATTTTAAACGATGATTATAATAATAATAATAATTTATTTTTGCAATAACAATGTGATTTTCGTGTCTTCCTCAATTGCAATCGAATAAACTTTGTCGCTTTCGTGAGTAATTCCGGAAAACTTGGAAGCTTCGAAATCATCAGGACTTGGCGAAGGATAGACGAAAAAACCATGCTTTCCGGACTCTAATTCTGGCAACTTTTTAAACTTAATTTCAAGTCACAATTATATTAATACTTACTTTACTATAGTCAGTCTATTCCAACTTGAAAGGCCAGGGAAGCGAAAAAATGGGCGCGACGCGCAGCATTCGCGTTTGCGGTTCTGGGCACGAGTTCAATTCAACCGCCAGCGACTATTCGGAGAGCTTTATTGTCGCTTTTTTTTTATTTATTTTTCATTTCTCTGTTGATTTTTTCAATTTTGTGTTTGTAATAATACAATAGATACGAAAAGAAAGACGAAAGAGCATTTTAAATCTTCGGTGGCGCTTGAATCGAACTCGTGCCAAGAACCGCGTACGCACACGCTACGCGTCCCGCCCTCTGCATCGCCTCCCTCGTTTTTCAAGTCGGGGTGGATTGACTGTAATTTCTCAATTGTATTTTTCACTTATCGAAACCACTTCTTTCAATGTTTTGCAAAGAATGAGCAGAAAGATTATTGAAAAGACGCATGTAGTCAATTTTCACAGACTTGCTTCTGGAAGTGCGCAAAATATTCCTGTCCTTGGAAAATCCGTAACTCGAGGTTGATCAGGGCTTTTTAACTCAACCATACATCCTCGTACATGAAAACGCGTCAAAATCGTGGAAGCTGTCGACTTGGAGACTGCAAACTGTTGAGCAAGCTGAGAAAGAGGTCGTCCTTCTTGGTGGCTTCTGACAATGGCCTGCTGAGGATTTTCATCAAGAGATTTTGACGCACGTGTTCGCGACATTGCCTTATATAACAAACATTAAAAAGAGGTTGAAAATTTCGAGCACAACTTCATTAAAAATTAAATAATAAAATCTAGGAAAAAACGATTTTGAAGAATATCGAAAAAAATTTAAAATCAAAGCTTAAAATAATTTTAAATTTGTGAAACGTCAACTACACATGTTTGGGAAAATTTGAAAGGAATCCATAAAGTTGAAAAAAAAAGTTATGGCGAAAAACCTTAGGTTTGATTTCTTTTTGAACGGTACTGTACCCATATCGCCTGTCAAGTCGGAAAAAATTGACTGTATTCACCGACGTCCACTCACAGGGACAATTTATCTAGTTTTTAAAGCGTCATCGACTATTTTTTACTAGTCAAAAAGTAAGTTGTTGCTGAACTGGTAGAAAGAAACCGTTTTGAAACAAAAAATGTTGGTGCGAAAGGCGGGGCTTTTTGCTCGCCGCGAAAGCCGATGATATTGAATTTGTCCCTTGTGTTGGGATAGCTGTTGATCAGTTTTCCATTCAAAGCACTGTCCTTGTTTATGTGTTCAAAAAGCGGGAACAGTCGAGGAAAACATTTTGATCAGTTATTTTGTTAGTTCATGCTACTTTTGTGGAAGCGATCACATATAAAAAGTGGGCTCACGGTTGTAAACAAGTTTGAAAAGCTTTTATAAAAGGCGCGGGTGGATCTCTAGTGGCAAGTCGACCTCGACTAGCATCAACTTTCCGTTTCTACGCAAAATGCAGTTCACCACCGTCCTTCTGGCTATTCTGGCTCTTTTGGCCGTCGGATTCGCTCCAACGAACGCCGAGACTTGCCGCAGAACGAAGTGCCACACTCACAGTTCCCAGAACGAATGCGAAGGTCCGATTCCTCAAATATGAGAGTTGTAATCATTACTTGCAGGAGATGAGCACGTCGGAAACTGGGGCTACTGCTGGGGCGTCGCTGGAAAAATGGGAGAGCTGCTGCAAAAAAACTGAAATGATTTCTTCAACCATTGATTATCTGCACATTCATTCCTAATAAAAAAATAAAAAAAGTATTTCGAAGAAAAATTAAGTACGAAGAACGTGGAGGGTCTGTTATTTCACAGCCGTCTTCCCTGATGAGCTCGTTTTTATTGAATCTATTCTTTGTTTTCGGCGTTTTAGCAGAAGTTTCTCTTAAAAAAACGTGCCCTGATGGCTGGATGCAAACGAGAAAAGATGTCTGTTGGAAGGTTCGACTGCTCTTGATTTTATGATTGCGTTTCTTCCGCAGATGCTGCGCTTGAATTCAACGTCGGAGTACCTGAGCGCTTGCGCCAAATTTTCCGCCTTTGCTCCAAAAATGGAAACGGTCGAAGACTTGGCCCTTGTCACTGGTCAGGGGTCTTCGAAAACTATAAATGACCTTCCTTTTTCAGAATTGCAGAAGGAAATGTGTGGTGGAAAGCGGTGTGGAGCGGTCTGTATCGATAAAAACAAAGGATCTGACTTTTTCGAGGTTTTTTGGAGCTTTGACATAGAAAATAGAGAAATTTTGAACAATTAGGATAATATATACATAGGCGAATCGAGAAAGGGTATCGCGAGACCCTCTGAGGTATATCGAAGGGCCTGAAGTCTATCGATGGTACCTCGAGTCTGAGGATTTTGAGCAAAAAGAGTTAGAATTGAGATAAACTCTCAAGGACTCGAGATGGCTCAGATATAGCTAAAAAGTGTGCTGGAGGCCTCACGATGGACACATTATGGCACCTTCTCGATTCTTCTGTGGTAGCGCTGTCGGAATATACCAACCGATCGAAGTAATTTAGAATTTTAAAAAAAATGAAAAGAACCTGATCTGTTTGTTACCAAGTTTTGATAATAAGAAATGGTTTCTCATCCACAGTTTCCGCATCATGTCTGAAAAACTTCAAAATAGAGCTTCATCTGAAAAAACTTTCATATCAAACATTTTCCAGCGAAAACAAGCCTCAGTTTACTACGCGAATGAGGCCACGTACAGAGAAGAATCAACGGAATTTGTGACTCTTTTCAAGGAACCTCCTATTGCTGAAGACAACATCTACATAAAGTTTTCCATGATGAAGAGGAGTTATACGTAAGTTTTTTTGTTGAAAGTTGAAAAATTAAATAAAAGCAAAAAAAAGTTCTCCCCCCGGGGTGCGGCCTACCCCCAAACTCTTTAGGACGTTACGGCATTGTGACCCACACACACAGCACATCCACTTTCACCTCAAAGGCATAGGGGCAGGAAAAAAAGGGATTTGAGGTGAAGAGTACCTTGTAGAGCTTTTTATTGCTGATCAAACGGTCTACCTAATAAATCACAGATAGGAGTAACTATGGAGAAAAATTCTATTTTTGTTTTCCCGCCTTTTAATTTTGAAATTTTCTTTGGATGGGTGTACAGAAAACTGATTACAGTAGCCGTGCACGCAATGTTGCGGACGTGTCCTTAGACTCCTAATTTGTGAGAAATGACCGGATATCTGCTACGAATTAGAGCTTTTTTCTCTGAAAAAACAATTAGGCGAACAAAAACACACCGATTTTTAAGGACCCGCAAGGTATATATTTCTCAATCGAACTCCGTATGAAATCAACATTTTTCACCAGAGAAGCATTTCGCGAGCGAAATTTGCAAGTTTCATATAAGTAAAAAGCTTTCATTACGGAAAAAAAAAACTTTGATGAAAAGTACAACGTTTGACATGCTTTTTTTGCAGTGTGGTCTTCACCTTTCTCACTATTCCTGACTCCAACCTCAGCCAGGCGACCACAGCCCTCCTTTTAAAATTCCAAAGATCGAAGTCGGAGAACGGAAAATATTCCACAGTGAGTTGAGCTGATTATAATTCAAGCCTGTGATAGACATACCATGTTGAATGCGGTAAGTGGCAAAGCGATTCTGGCAAATGTTCAAGCGATCCCGGAATGTTCAGCGAATTTGAAAACCTGATTACGCTTAAGTAAGACTTCCTTATCTTTTTTCAAATCGATTGGAAGAAGTTCTAGGTTCCAAGAATCAGGGATAACACTTCTGATCAATTCCGAGTCGGCTTGTTCTTTTATCCCGTTTTCTCCGCGCGAATCGGAAATCAACGGCTTCAAATTTACATCGAAAGGCGGTTTGGGGGCCGAAATCATAGAAGTTATCGCTGGCAACGTGTAAACCATTTTTATATCAAACAGTCAATCATTGTATCTCACAAGAATGAAAACCCCCTCGAAAATATCCTACAAAAATAAAAACAATCCACGTTCAAAGCCCTAATAGAAAAGCAGTTACAGTTCAAGTAGTATAGAAAAAAGACATCGTTTGAATTAGCCAGCGATTTATAGTGCGGAGATGACTTCGAACTAATTTGAAAAATCCTTCTTTTCATTCATTTTTTTCATGATTGCGTTTTTCTCGAGTTCCGCGCCAAAAAGCCGCGTCGCAACGCTTCATCCTTTCCATTCTACCAGCTCGCCTTTTGAGTCGGGAAAACGCGGCTATAAAAACATAGAGGAAAATGTCACTCCTGATGATAATAGGAATAATTTTGCTTGCGAGAAGCCAACGTTTTTCGCTTGATTTCTCATTCCGTCTTCATTTCTCTCATTTATCTGTTCAGAGATCTCCAGCCAACATATGTTTCGCCATACTGTAACTGGGGGATGGACGAAGTACAGTAAACCTCCGATTACCGTATCATCCCTTTTTTTGCAGGATTCTCTTTTTGTTCCTTACATTGATGGATCAGTAGAAAAAGAACAGTTTATTGTGTGTCAAAAAGGTGAATTTTTATTCCATCATCGTGTTACAAAAATGTGTATTTCCAATAAAATTTATGATGTTTCGATTTTGTTAGCTTTCAAAAAAACTTTGAACTCTCAAAAACTTGCTTTATACATCGGATAGTCAGTTACATGTAATGATAAATATTCGCAGACAAAATAGAATCAAAAACGCCAGCAGGACTTGCCGCTTCTACTGATCAAGCTGAGACACAAGCTGAGATGGAAGAGCGTGAGAAGTTTCTCTTCGATTCAAAACTCACCTTTACCTTTCTTCAGGTACCTACAAGTTGATGATTCTTGTCGTTGGTAGCATCACAATCTTCGTAGCCGTTCTCGCCGCAGCTTTCGTCGTAAAATGAGATTACGCGCTTTTCATTTCTCTATGAAATTTTCACTGTTGAGAAGAACATAGGATGACAGCTGTTGATCAGTTTTCCATTCAGAGCACTGTCCTTGTTTATGTGTTCAAAAAGCGGGAACAGTCGAGGAAAACATTTTGATCAGTTATTTTGTTAGTTCATGCTACTTTTGTGGAAGCGATCACATATAAAAAGTGGGCTCACGGTTGTAAACAAGTTTGAAAAGCTTTTATAAAAGGCGCGGGTGGATCTCTAGTGGCAAGTCGACCTCGACTAGCATCAACTTTCCGTTTCTACGCAAAATGCAGTTCACCACCGTCCTTCTGGCTATTCTGGCTCTTTTGGCCGTCGGATTCGCTCCAACGAACGCCGAGACTTGCCGCAGAACGAAGTGCCACACTCACAGTTCCCAGAACGAATGCGAAGGTCCGATTCCTCAAATATGAGAGTTGTAATCATTACTTGCAGGAGATGAGCACGTCGGAAACTGGGGCTACTGCTGGGGCGTCGCTGGAAAATGGGAGAGCTGCTGCAAAAACTGAAATGATTTCTTCAACCATTGATTATCTGCACATTCATTCCTAATAAAAATAAAAAGTATTTCGAAGAAAATTAAGTACGAAGAACGTGGAGGGTCTGTTATTTCACAGCCGTCTTCCCTGATGAGCTCGTTTTTATTGAGTCTATTCTTTGTTTTCGGCGTTTTAGCAGAAGTTTCTCTTAAAAAAACGTGCCCTGATGGCTGGATGCAAACGAGAAAAGATGTCTGTTGGAAGGTTCGACTGCTCTTGATTTTATGATTGCGTTTCTTCCGCAGATGCTGCGCTTGAATTCAACTTCGGAGTATCTGAGCGCTTGCGCCAAATTTTCCGCCTTTCCTCCAAAAATGGAAACGGCCGAAGACTTGGCCCTTGTCACTGGTCAGGGGTCTTTGAAGACAATAAATGACCTTCCTTTTTCAGAATTGCAGAAGGAAATGTGTGGTGGAAAGCGGTGTGGAGCGGTCTGTATCGATAAAAACGGAGGATCTGACTTTTTCGAGGTTTTTTGGAGCTTTGACAAAGAAAATAGAGAAAGCTTAAACAATTGGGATAATATCTAGAAGTAATGTAGCACTAAAACAGCAGTTTCGGCCCATTTTATTGAGTATTTCATTTCATTTCAAGTGTTTATTCGCCATTCCGCAATCAGCACGACAAATACAAAAAAAATAAAACATCAAGACAATCAAATAAATCTAACAGCTGATCTGTGGAAACGGCTGGAGGAAAAGATTGTCTGAGTAGACGGTGCTAACCCCCATTTGGTATTTAAGTTTGTTCTTTGTTTTTTTAATAAGTTAGAATTTTTCTAGATTTTAGTAGGATCTAATGATTTTAAAAACGATGTGTTTGATTCGAACCATGAGGTGAGCATAATCTGAAACTTGCCGATTTCGTATTCAATGATAATTTCTCTCTCCAGTTGGTTCCAAATGGGTATGACTCTATGATTTAGGAAGCGTTGTTTGATCAATTCATTCATTGGTTGAACAAGTCTCATTCCATTTCCTCTGAGTTGATTATTTCTACTCGAATTCATCATTAATTTAACAGGCGACTCACTCCAAAAAAATATCCATGAATGTATTTTTTTGAACGCAACAAACGTCTTTAAAAAAAGTCTTCTAGTCCATAACGTCGATAGTTTCAGTTTGGCTAATCTACTGCGATAATCCAATTTCGGATATAATCTTTTGGTAAATTTTTCTCTGGACTGATTCTAGTTGATTTATATCATTCAAATTTAGCGGGCACATTAGTTCGGATCCGTACTCAATGATAGGCAAGATGAGAATTCTTCCCTAACAACTTTTTTTTCTTGGCACCTTTTTGGTTTGAAACCACCAAAGTTCCGAGGCCGCGACTGACCTTGTGATTCCCTAGTTAATGTCGGAATTTGTAACAACCGTTCGAAGCAATTTATAAAAAAACTGTAAAAAAATTACAAATACCAGATCTGTTTGTTACCAAGTTTTGCTCATAAGGAATGAGTTCAGAAGACTCAGGCACAGTTTCTGATTACCTCCTGAAAAAAATTACTTTAAAGGCATGGGGGCAGTAAAAACCGGGTAAGAGATAGATGTGCCCTTTCGTAAAACACTTCATTGCCTTTTTAATTGGAAACGTACAGTTTTCTTCGTTTTGGTTTTTTATGATTTCGTTTGGACAAAATACTGCATCACAAAAAGTGAAAAGTGGTAGACATATAGATAGCGACCGCAGACGAATTTTCAAAAAATTTTTTTCAGCATCGAGCTTTGTATGGTTTGATAGCTGTTTCGATTCAAAACTCAGAACCGTTTAGTTTTTCGAAAAAAAGATTGAGGATGAAAAAAAGTTATGACGAAAAATGTGGCGCGCCGCGCACCATTTTTAGTACTGAAATTTTAGTATTATTCATTTTTTTGACATTTTTTTCTCGATTTTTTTCTTCTAGAAAAAAAGTTTTGATACTGGTCTATTATGATGTAACAAATCATAATAGAGTGCTAAAATGATGCTAATCAGCTATTTTGCCGAAAAAAGTCGGTATTTTTCCAGAAAAACAAAAAAACTGATGCTTGCGGGTATCGAACTCGCGACCTAAAAATGAAAAAAATCGCAGCGCACGCACTGCGCCAAGCTGTCAGGTCTAGCGCGGGGAGCTTCCATCCGCCTTACCCTTGAGCCGTTTAAATAGCACAGATTGTCTATTTCAAAAAAAGAAAAAAACTTGAAGTAATTTAGCTATTTTTTTATCAGAATATGTTCGCAAATCTTTACTCAAACGTTTCGTGGAAATTCACTTCGAAAAAAACTGTTTTTTTCAGTGCTTTTTGCCTCTTTTTAACGATCGCTGCCTTAAAACGGCCCCGTAAATTTTTTTGGCAAAGACGAATTTTTTTATTTTATTCTTTTAATTGAAAGATTTTTTTACTAATAAATGTATATAATCGTTTGAAAAAAACCTGCGTTCGACCGCTTTCGGTGTGATAAACGCCGCTAATTTTATTCTCTAGTTTCAAGAGCATTTTTTTGCGTATCACAAAAACTTTTTTTCAAGTACATATGCTGTGGAGAAAAAAATTTAAGTAAGCCCATGGTCTAAATTTTGAAAAAAACAAAAAAACTCGATTATATTCGCTTGTTAACGATATTTTTGAATTATGACTTTCGGCACTCCCTAAAAATTTTTTTGGCAAAGACGAATTTTTTATTTTATTGTTTCAAAATTACCGTTACTTGAATCAAAATCATTATATAAAAAAAGAAAGAGTGCGTTCGACCTGAAAACACATGAAAAAGCAAAAAATTACAAAATTTTTTAGTTCCATTCACGTTTTTGTACGACATTCCGCGAGAACGCATCAAGAAAGCGTGAAATATTTTTTAAACGAAAGAGGAAGCTTTTCTGTACATGTGTGTCAAATTTTATTCGCCAGTTCCACATATTTTACAACTACAACAAAATGAAAGTTGAAAACCAAAAAAAAGCCACTTTTTCTATCGCGAAAAGGGGCGTGGCTTTGCGGTCCCTACATATAGAGTAAAGCTTCCTCTCAGCTAATATACTTTTTACTCAGGTCATATTTGTTTTTTTTCGAAAATAATTCACAGGGTTTCAAAACGGGCGAGCGCAGGCGAAAACAATGGTCGTCTCAATTGGGCGAAAACGCGAGTTCCTTCTAACGCAACGCGGTGCGGCGCGTGTCAACCTCTCATAATTTCATTCAATTTAAATATAGTTTTTTCTCTTTTTCTCGCGTATTTTTTTAGATTTTTGAATCGTTTTACTTTCTGTTGTGTAATATAACTGTGTTGGATGCGTTTGAGAGGTACTTGAGTTAATTTTTTTGATCGAGATGGTCCCGAAATTTCGGCAAAAAAATGACATTTTGATGAGTAACATTTTTTTGCAGAAGCTACTTGGTTCATTTTTTTGTTTTAAAATGCTCAGAATGAGTTTCTCAAGATAAACGCCCACAGCTTTTTTTTTTTAAATTTTTTTTTCGACGTTTTACAAAACATATGTTGTCTAAAATGACTTTTTGAGTTATACATTTTTGTGCCGAAGCCAATTGATTCTTTTTTATGTTTCAGAATATTCAGAATGCGTTTTTTGAGGGAACCGTCATGGGTTTTTTCTTTCAAAAAATATTTTAGGACTTCACGCGACGAATTTTCCTGAAAAAAGGCATTTCGTGTGATAAATCTTTTGGCAAAAGCGATTCCGTTCATATTCCATTTTCAATAGGTTTATTGTGCGTTGGACTATATTAAAACTATTATAAAAGTTCAAGGAGGCCTTGAAAAACGCTATTCAACGTTATTTTTTCATCCAGTAAATGCACAAAAATCGGCTCTCAATGTCGCGCCACTATTGCAATAAGCCGCGCCCCCATTGCATACAGCCACGCCCAATGACCACATCTGCCGCCTGTTTGGGAACACTGTGAATTCTCGATTCGAAAATATTTCGAAGTAGTTGAAATCTGTTGATAAACTTTTTGGAGGCCGTGTTCTCATGTACAGTAGCGAGAATGGGCGAGGCAACAAACGGGTTTTTAACGATAACTCCGCTGAAATTGATTGGTTTGAGCTGAAATTTTGCAGGAATGTATTAATCAGAGTGACCAAAAATATTGCGAAAAATAATCATCTTACTCGGAGTCAAGGCTGAGAATAACTCTTTTCAGAAAAATTCATGAAATACGAAAAACTGCTGTACAACAATAAACACGCGAAGAAAAAAATATATGATGAGTAAAATACATTTTTATTAAAAAATCTGAGAAATAGAGTTAATATTTTGTTGCATGACCATTTGTATCAAGAACCGCCTGACATCGACGTGGCATGGACTCGATGAGTTCGTCAAGGACGTTTCGTGGGATTGCCTTCCATACTTCCTCAATTTGCTCGAACTTCTCTTGACCATCTCTTACTCGCTTGCTCTTCAATTGACGCTCACAGTGTTCCCAAAGAAGTTCAATGAGATTAAAGTCGGTAATTCGACTTGGCCAGTCCATCAGAGGCGCTCTCTTTCGATTGAACCAGTTTCGGACGACATGACTGGAGTTCTTCGGATCATTATCCTGCTGGAACAGGAAGCAACAATCAAGTTTGGCTCTGGCATATGGAATCATGATGTCTTCAAGAATCTTTAGGTGCATGTTTTTTTCCATGATACCTTCGGTCCTGTGAATGGGGCCGACTCCTTTGCCAGAGAAGGCGCCCCACAGAATGGATCAGTGGAGGACAGTGATCTGGAGTGATGAAAGCAAGTTTATGCTGTTCGGAAGTGATGAAATAAAGTATGTGAGAGGCCCTGTAGGTACTCGTTTCAATTTCAAGTAACAGCTGCCAACAATGAAGCACGGCGGAGGATAGGTGATGGTAATATTGTTGGTCACTCTGATTAATACATTCCTGCAAAACTTCAACTCAAATCAATCAATTTCAGCGGAGTTATCGTTAAAAAACCGTTCGTTGCCTCATCCATTCTCGCTACTGTAAACCAATCAAACGCGCAAAAATTTTTATTTTTTTTGATTTTTAAACCAAATTGAATATTCATCAATCTTTCGTAAAAAGAAATAAAAAAATTTAGTTTGCCGATCTTCATGTTAAGAAAAAGCTGATTCAAATCGTGCATTTCATTATTAGGTAGCACTGCGGGCCACAATTTAATCCACAAGTTAAAATGAAAATGTTTTACTTACACGCTCTCGAAACCGAGTACAAAATTTTCAACTTTCCGCGGCCTCACGAAGATTAGGCATCGTGGAAGTTTTAATTTTTTGTCTTAAAAGATTTGTTTTTCACTTAAAAACCAAGTTCGGGGGCATATTACAGTATAGCCCCCCGCATATGTTGGATATCACCCCCCCGCGACACGTTCGAACAAGCCCCCACACTTATCCAATATAGCCCCCCCGGAACTATCCAGTATAACCCCCCCACACCGAAAAAAAGGTCACGCAACGATCACGCAGGACACGTGTCAGAGCTTCCATTTTTTAATTTATTTTCTAATTTTTTCGTATCATTCGTCGTTCTTGGTTGTTTCAAATGGTTTTTTTTTTGTATTTTCGCATGTAAATTCGTGTTCTTTTTGTGAATTTAATAATTTTTGTGATTTGTTTTTTAGACCATGGAAGAAATTAGGTCGCTGACCGAGTTTCATGAGAAGTTCAAGTCAGACAAAGACGTTTACGGGTACGTCTCGCCGAGATACGTACGAATATCATAAAATTATGGGGCGCTGACCACTTAGAAAAATTTAAGATGAACTTTATTAGTTTTCGATAAAGTAATTGTTCTGAGGAATATAATTTTTTTGCTTTTTTTCTTTTCATGCACATTAATTAATAAATTACTTAGGAAAAATAGGCTTAGTTTTAAGGCTTCACACGGAGGCGGAGCGCGCATAGCGCAAAGCCGACTGTGGCTCGCTTCGAAAAAACTGAGCCACAGTGAACAATTCGTCAAATAAATGAAATACTTGACATAGAGGGGGGTAATTCTGAAATGGAGGGGAGCATTCTGAAATGAGAGGGGGTCATTCTGAAATGGGAGGGGGGCTTGTTCGAATGAGCTCTGGGGGGACTATTTCAAAGCCGTGCGGGGGCAAATATGAAAGATTGCCTAGGCATTTCAGAATCGCCCCCCGTTTTTGTACTGTGGGGGTCATTCTAGAATACATATTCACCCCCCGCGTTCGATTCTTCCCCCACATGAAGTCCTCTTATTTTACCCCCGCAGATCGGAACTTGGCTTGGTGGGGGGGCTTGTTGGAACGCGGGGGGCAAAAAAACAGTGTGGGGGGCGATTCTGGGCCTCACGAAGATTAGGCATCGTGGAAGTTTTAATTTTTTGTCTTAAAAGATTTGTTTTTCACTTAAAAATCAAATTCGAAAATAAAAAAAGGCGCCAACGACATGAAACTAGGTTAAAAACCCGAAGAAAAAAAAAGTAGTTTTGGTTTTTTGTACGACACTCCGCTAAAGCGTTTCGAAAATTGGGTGAAAAGTATATCAGATTGAAGAGGAAGATTTCCTCTATGTTACTCCCAAATTTCTCGGTTTTCGGTTCAGTATTGCGTTTGTACGAAAACAACGAACACAAAGTCTAAAAAACCAGTGCATTTCACCATCGCAAAAAGGGGCGTGGCTCTGCGGTCTCTACACTGCGGCGCCTGACAGCCAAATATGGCCCGTTCAGATTTTGCATGTCAATTAGAATGACGTCATTCGAAAACACTCTGTGGATGGCTCGCTCTCTGATTGGTTTATCGCGCCATTAGGAGGCGGAGCTTGAGCGAGTACTTGATATTTGAAATCTGAACACATATATTTTTAGAAGTGAAAAAATATATTCCTTTAAGAGATGTTAGTAGCCGTGCGGCATTTGCCGAAAAGACGAGAGCAATCTGTCTGACTTTGCGGAAAATCAAAATTTCAGTGCACTCGCATGCTGGTGAGTAGCACCCGCGGGTGCTACCACCTGTTTAACCACAGCCGAACACTTGAAACGCAATTTTCAGCCGGGTGCTACTCACTCGCATGCTGCCGTGCTAACAAGGGGTCTCCGCGGGTCCTCCCGTATTAAACCCGCATAGGTAGGGACCGCAGACGAATTTTCAAAAAATTTTTTTCAGCGTTGAGCTTTGTATGGTTTGATAGCTGTTTCGATTCAAAACTCAGAACCGTTTAGTTTTTCGAAAAAGATTGAGGATGAAAAAAGTTATGACGAAAAATGTGGCGCGCCGCGCACCATTTTTTTAGTACTGAAATTTTGGTATTATCCATTTTTTTGACATTTTTTTCTCGATTTTTTTCTTCTAGAAAAAAAGTTTTTGATACTGGTCTATTATGATGTAACAAATCATAATAGAGTGCTAAAATGATGCTAATCAACTAGTTTGCCGAAAAAGTCGGTATTTTCCAGAAAACAAAAAACTGACGCTTGTGGGCATCGAACTCGCGACCTCAAAATGAAAAATCGCAGCGCACGCGCTGCGCCAAGCTGTTAGTTCTAGCGAGGGGAGCTTCCATCCTCCATACCCTTAAGCCGTTTGAATAGCACAGATTGCCTATTTCAAAAATAAAAATTTGAAGTAGTTTAGCTATTTCTATCAGAATATGTTCGCAAATCTTTACTCAAACTTTCCGTGGAAATTCACTTCAAAAAAACTGTTTTTTTCAGTGCTTTTTGCCTAGTTAAACGATCGCTGCATTAAAAAGGCCTCATAAATTTTTGGCAAAGACGAATTTTTTATTTTATTCTTTTAATTGGAAGATTTTTCACTAATAAATGCATATAATCGTTTGAAAAACCTGCGTTCGACCGCTTTCTGTGTGATAAACGCCGTTAATTTTATTATCTATTTTCAAGAGCATTTTTGCGTACTAAAAAACTTTTTCAAGCACATATGCTGTAGAGAAATATTTAAGTAAGCCCATGGTCTAAATTTTGAAAAAACAAAAACTCGATTATATTCGCTTATTAACGATATTTTGAATTATGACTTTCGGCCCTCCCTAAAATTTTTGGCAAAGACGAATTTTTTATTTTATTGTTTTAAAATTACCTTTACTTGAATCAAAATCATTATTTAGAAAAAGAAAGAGTGCGTTCGACCTGAAAACACATGAAAAAGCAAAAAATGACAAAATTTTTTAGTTCCATTCACGTTTTTGTACGACATTCCGCGAGAACGCATCAAAAAAGCGTGAAATATTTTTTAAACGAAAGAGGAAGCTTTTTCGTGCATGTGTGTCAAATTTTATTAGTCAGTTCCACATATTTTGCAACTACAACAAAATGAAAGTTGAAAACCAAAAAAAAGCCACTTTTTTATCGCGAAAAGGGGCGTGGCTTTGCGGTCCCTGCGCATAGGCACAGTTGGTAGAACTTTTCGCAATCATGCCTTTAAAATAGAGCTTCATCTAAAAAACTTTTTCTAATATTAAACATTTTCCAGCGAAAACAAGCTTCAGTTTTCCATGCGAATGAGGCCACGTTCAGTAATGAATCAACGGAATTTGTTACTCTTTTCAAGGAACCTCCTATTGCTGAAGACAACATCTACATAAAATTTTCCATGAGGGACAGTGATTTGTAAGTTTTTTTGAATGACGTTTTTTATGAAAAATTAACTAACTCGAATGCTGAGCAGGGTAACCCAGCCGTCCAATACGTAGAAACGATCAGATATCCCACCCAGTGACCTTCGAAAGATACAGCTTAGAAGGTTCACTTGATCCCGCCCAGACATTGAGGCTTCAGAAATAGGTCAGCTCGAGCGATCCTCGGCCATACATCGGCTTGGAGCAGGCATTAAATTGCCATTGAAATCGTTCAAAAAGGGTTCAAAGAGTTGAACGCCAGAAACAGAGGCTCAAGGCTCAAGGAAAAGGGATACAGTACCGGTCACACCACGAGAGAAAAAGTGGGCAGGCGCACTTTCAAAAAATCTCATAACTGAGAAAAATTTGAAAACATCTCCTTGCGCTAGACAGGCAAACCACAATAAACCACAAATATCAAGGTGACGGGAACCCGTTCATTAAGTATCTCTGGTAAAGAGTACGCGTAATGAACGAAGAGCTTTGAACAGCTGGAAATGAGTCTCACTACGCAGAGCTCGTGAGATCGGCTCACGCGATCTGATAGATCACGTATACGCAGAATTTAAAGTTCAGACCATAAGGGCAAACAGCCATAAGCTATGTGATCGTTTCTACGTATTAGGACATAATAAATATTTTACTTCAACAACTACGTTGTCTAGCAAAATATAACAATAATTTGTTTCTTTTTCTTTTCCTTTTTTAAACCAGGGAGAAAAAGAAAAACCTCAAGATCTGAAATTAAACGATATGTGTGTTGTTAGATTTTTTTTTTTGCTTTGCAGTGCGAATTTCACCTTTCTTACAATTTCTGACTCCAACATCAGCCACGCGACCACAGCCCTTCTTTTAAAATTCCAAAGATCGATGTCGGAGAACGGAAAATATTCGACAGTGAGTTGAGCTGATTATAATTCATGCCTGTGATAGACATACCATGTTGACTGCGGTATTTGGGCAAGCAAACTTCTAAGATGTACGTCCGATCCCGGAATGTTCAGCGAATTCGAAAACCTGATTACGCTTAAGTAAGACTTTCTAATCTCTCTTCAAATCGATTGGAAGAAGTTCTAGGTTCCAAGAATCAAGGATAACACTTCTGATCAATTCCGAGTCGGCTTGTTCTTTTATCCCGTTTTCTCCGCGCGAATCGGAAATCAACGGCTTCAAATTTACATCGAAAGGCGGTTTGGGAGCCGAAATCCTAGAAGTTATCGCGGGCAACATGTAAACCATTTTTATATTGATGATTGGATAACGCTCCCTAATCAGTAGAAGAATTTATTATCTGTAAAAATAAACAGAAAAATCGGAACATGACTCGTTAGGTTATTTTGATTTTTCTTCACGACCAAAAAAAGTTTGCTTACATTTGAACTACTACATTATAAGCACTTAAAATGAACATCACTTGAATAAACCAGCGATTTATAGTGATGGACTTCAAAACTAACTTGAAAAATCCTTCTTTTCATTCATTTTTTTTCATTATTGCGCTTTTCTCGAGTTCCGCGCCAAAAAGCCGCGTCGCAACGCTTCATCCTTTCCATTCTACCAGCTCGCCTTTTGAGTCGGGAAAACGCGGCTATAACGTCATAGAGGGAAATGTCACTTCTGATGAAAATAAAAACAACTTTTCTTGCGAGAAGCTAAAGTTTTTCGCTTGGTTTCTCATTCCGTCTTCATTTCTCTCATTTATCTGTTCAGAGATCTCCAGCCAACATATGTTTCGCCATACTGTAACTGGGGGATGGACGAAGTACAGTAAATCTCCGACTACCGTATCATCCCTTTTTTTGCAGGATTCTCTTTTTGTTCCTTACATTGATGGATCAGTAAAAAGAGAACAGTTTATTGTGTGTCAAAAAGGTGAATTTTTATTCCATCATCGTGTTACAAAAATGTGTATTTCCAATAAAAAGTCATAATATTTCGATTTTACTAGCTTGAAAAAAAAACTTAACACTACCTTCTTCTTAAAAAACTTGCTTATAGTCAGTCAAATGTAATGATAAATATTCGCAGACAAAATAGAATCAAAAACGCCAGCAGGACTTTCCGCTTCTACTGATCAAGCTGAGACACAAGCTGAGATGGAAGAGCGTGAGAAGTTTCTCTTCGATTCAAAACTCACCTTTACCTTTCTTCAGGTACCTACAAGTTGACGATTCTTATCGTTGGTAGCATCACAATCTTCGTAGCCGTTCTCGCCGCAGCTTTCGTCGTAAAATGAGATTACGCGCTTTTCATTTCTCTATGAAATTTTCACTGTTGAGAAGAACATAGGATGACAGCTGTTGATCAGTTTTCCATTCAGAGCACTGTCCTTGTTTATGTGTTCAAAAAGCGGGAACAGTCGAGGAAAACATTTTGATCAGTTATTTTGTTAGTTCATGCTACTTTTGTGGAAGCGATCACATATAAAAAGTGGGCTCACGGTTGTAAACAAGTTTGAAAAGCTTTTATAAAAGGCGCGGGTGGATCTCTAGTGGCAAGTCGACCTCGACTAGCATCAACTTTCCGTTTCAACGCAAAATGCAGTTCACCACCGTCCTTCTGGCTGTTCTGGCTCTTCTGGCCGTCGGATTCGCTCCAACGAACGCCGAGACTTGCCGCAGAACCAAGTGCCACACTCACAGTTCCCAGAACGAATGCGAAGGTCCGATTCCTCAAATATGAGAGTTGTAATCATTACTTGCAGGAGATGAGCACGTCGGAAACTGGGGCTACTGCTGGGGCGTCGCTGGAAAATGGGAGAGCTGCTGCAAAAACTGAAATGATTTCTTCAACCATTGATTATCTGCACATTCATTCCTAATAAAAAAATAAAAAAAGTATTTCGAAGAAAAATTAAGTACGAAGAACGTGGAGGGTCTGTTATTTCACAGCCGTCTTCCCTGATGAGCTCGTTTTTTTATTGAGTCTATTCTTTGTTTTTCGGCGTTTTAGCAGAAGTTTCTCTTAAAAAAACGTGCCCTGATGGCTGGATGCAAACGAGAAAAAGATGTCTGTTGGAAGGTTCGACTGCTCTTGATTTTATGATTGCGTTTCTTCCGCAGATGCTGCGCTTGAATTCAACTTCGGAGTATCTGAGCGCTTGCGCCAAATTTTCCGCCTTTCCTCCAAAAATGGAAACGGCCGAAGACTTGGCCCTTGTCACTGGTCAGGGGTCTTTGAAGACAATAAATGACCTTCCTTTTTCAGAATTGCAGAAGGAAATGTGTGGTGGAAAGCGGTGTGGAGCGGTCTGTATCGATAAAAAAAAAGGATCTGACTTTTTCGAGGTTTTTCGAAGCTTTGACAAAGAAAATAGAGAAAGTTTAAACAATTAGGATACTATCTAGAAGTAATGTAGCACTAAAACCACAGTTTCTGCCCATATTATTGAATTTGAGGTATCTTCCTCAGGAACTTTTTTCTTGGCACCTTTTAGGTTTCAGCAAATCTTCTCATGAATTTCTTGAAACCACCAAATTTTCAACTGCATTCCATGTGATTTGTTTCATCAAACATTTTCCAGCGACAACAAGCTTTAGTTTACTTCGCGAACTTTGACGCGATTATCTATGGATCATCAGGAAAATGGATTTCTTTCTTCGAGAAATCTCCGACTATGAACGACATCATCTACATAAAATTTGACCCAAAAAGCAGTAGTTAGTAAGTCTTTTTTTCAAAAATTCTTCAAAAATTTTAAAAAAATCAACAGAAAAACAGATAAAAAAATTTAGCTGCAGTGTATTCAACTTTTCCCGACTTGAAAGGCGAGGGAGGCGGGACGCGTAGCGTGTGCGTACGCGGTTATTGGCACGAGTTCGATTAAGCGCCACCGACTACTTGGAGAGCTCATTTATCGCTTTTTTCATTTCTTTTTTAATTCTCTATTGATTTTTTTCATTGATGCATTAAAAAATAGTAGAATAGAAAAAAAAGAACAGTGACCGAACTTTTTTTTTGTTAAATACTCAGTGGCGCTTCAATTGAATTAGTGCAAAGAAGTGGCGCTTCAATTGAATTCGTGCAAAGCACGTCCCGCCTATTTCTCCGCCTCCCTCGCCTTGCAAGTCGGGAAAAATTGACTACAGTTTACAAGCATCTTATCGAACCCTTTGCCCAAGCCGAGGTTATTCAGAATATTATAAACAGTGCGTTCAGTTTTCGCTTTCAAAACTTTGACGGTTTTTCTAGCGAGAGGCTTGGTACTTGTCTTTATCTCCTCTTAAAATCTAAAAGAAGATGAAAAGCTAGAAAATATAAAAATAAAAGGAGTTTGTGTAATTATATCATTTTTTTAGTATTGTTTTCAACTTTCTTACTCTTCCGAACTCCAACATTAGCCAGGCAATCATCGCTCTGCATATAAAATTCGAAAATTCGAGGATAGTGATAGATGCAGAGAGCGCAGTAAGTTCAGCCTTTTGTAATTTGAGTCTGTGATACGACTTTTTTTTTCAGCGCGGCACCTGGGCAAGTAATTATCCCAAATGCGAGAGCAATCCGAGAATTATCAACACAGGAGAAAAACTGATTACGTTGAAGTGAGACTTGATGATTTCTTTTTGAACAGATTGGAAAAGGTTCAAACAAATCTGTTCAAACAATCTAGGTTCAAACAAACTGGACTGCAACTTCTGATTGATTCCGTGTCAGTGTGTCTTAATATCCCGTATAATACGAACAGTTTGGAAATAAATGGCTTCACATTCACAACGACCCTCAATGAAAAGGCCCAGGTCAAGGAATTTATCGCCAGCAACGCGTAATTATTTTGATATTGAAAAATTGGATTACTTTAGAGATTTACTCGCCTATAGCGAAAGTGAAATTGTGCCCATAGACATCATACTGCCCAACTCAAAACTTTCAGCGGTTCTGAAAAAACTGAATTGTTCAATTAAACCTAGGGGGCGCAAAGCCCCGCCCCTTCACGCCACCAAAATGACGATTTTTTTGTTGCAAAAACGGTTTTGAGGCGTTTATACTAGCTAAAGTCTCACTTTGAAAATCAACTGTTTCTGTTAAGCTATGTAATCGACAACGCTCTACAAGACTGAATATTTTTTTAAAACTACGTATTTTTTTCAAAAAAATAAGCGAAAATGTAAGATTTAACACGAAAAAAACTGACAAGTTTCATAAAAATCGTCGCGTTTCAGAAAAGCAAGTGAGGAACGCTTCTAAATTTTGAGTATGTTATATAATAACACTTTCTTCATTTTTTTAGAGTAAAAAAATTTTTAAAAAAATCTAACGACGCGAAAAAAATCGAAGCTTGTAAAGTGACACCAAACTTTGAAGCTGAAACGTGAAAAAAATTTCAGCGACTTGGTATACTTTTTTTATTTGATTTAAAAATCACAACGTGTTCAAAAATAAAAATTCAGAGTGAAAACACTTATTGCGACAGCGAATCAAATTATATTTGAATTTTACCAAAACCTCCTTTTTTCGTCTGCCTCGTTTACGCATGAGAGAATAGGATCGCGTCTATATTTTTGATTATGTTATTAAGCGTTCAAAATTCTATCAATGAGAAATTAAAAAAAAAAATCTAACGACGCGAAAAAAAATAACGGCTTTGAAAACCTCGAAAAATGGCAATTTTTTTTGAAACTTTGGAAGAATTCGTGCAAGCGTCCGTAGGTGTGTTTGCGTCAAACACACCGATGCGCCCTTTTAAATGTTGCAGGAGTCATTTTTCGTATTCAAACTGCCCTTTATCCTGTTTTATTTAGAAATGACATTATTTTTTTCATTTTTTTCTTTTTTTTCCAAACCAAATGATAATAATTTTTTTCTGATTAGAAAAAAAGAAAAAAATAAGCTGAAAAATTCCTTCTGACATTTTTTTACTAAGTAGTTTTTTTGATATTTTATCAAAAAAATTCTTATGAGGATTGTACAAAAAGATTCATACCAAAACATGAAGCTCAGTTCGGACAACCTCTCAGAACAAAAAACCAATTTAAAAACGGTCCAGAAATGCGCAAAGACAATTAAAAAGAAAGCGTGCGGCAGCGGGTAAACCGTGGGATTTTGCCTCCAGTTGTACGCCGCGCGCGCCAGTTTTTTGGCCATAACTTTTTTCTTAGTGGGGTTTTTTTTAAAAACTAAACGAATTATGAAAAATTTAAAGTCTCTTCTATCGAATAGTGTGAAAAACATATTCTTTGGATCGTTTTGAAGAAATGGCTTGCGGTCCCTAATTAAACCAGTATACAATAAATAATCAACCGAAAAAAATCGGCAATGTACTTTGCAGAAAAAAAGTTCATTTTACAAAAATTTAGCAAAAAAATTTTTTTATTTTGCGCAATAATCTAGAAGAAAATTGAACGCCTGATAAAAATTTTAAAGAATTCGGCTTCAAAAGTCAAACATTTTCATTTTCTTATTTTGTTTCCATTTTTCTCATTTCATCTTCCAGAGATCTCGTGCTCAATATTCCGCCATTTTGTAACTGGGGCCTGAACGAAGTACAGTGAGCCCCCAATAACCTTGTTATTCTCTTTTTTTCCAGGATTCTTTTTTTATGTTCCTTACATTGATGAATCAGTAGAAAGGGAACAGTTTATTGTGTGCCAGAAAGGTAGATTTTCATTTTACACACAGATTCCTATAAAAATTCGTATTTCCGATATGAAATTTTAGTTTTGCAAGTTGTTTTGGTCACCTTTAATAATTTTCTTTAAAAATCAAACTTCGAGCATCGATTATGTGAAGCAACTCAAATAGCTTTCAAAAAAACTTTGAACTCTCAAAAACTTGCTTTATACATCGGATAGTCAGTCACATGTAATGATAAATATTCGCAGACAAAATAGAATCAAAAACGCCAGCAGAACTTTCCGCTTCTACTGTTCAAGCTGAGACACAAGCTGAGATGGAAGAGCGTGAGAAGCTCCTTTTCGATCCAAAACTCACTTCTACTTTTCTTCAGGTACCTACAGGATGGCCATGTTTATTGCTGGTAGCACCACAGTTTTCGTGGCCGTTCTCGCCGCAGCTTTCGTTATCAAATGAGACTACATGCTTCAAATTTCTCTATAAAATTTTCACTAATTTTCGTTGATATTTCATCACTTTTCTCTAGAAGTTTCAAAATTGGGTGTTTAAATAAACGTATAGCCTTATACCAGATTTTTTCACACTTGCGCGAAAAATATTTATCATGATTTATTTGAAATGACTTTTTTTGCACACCATAAATGGTCTCGTTCATTTCAATGAATGTATAGACCATGTCTCATTGGTAAAAGAAAATCAAGTATTTTTCTACATGAAACGTTTTTGAGGATATGATTTTTCAAGGCTCAGAGCATGATAAGAAAACTTGGGCGCGGTGTGATATTGCGATTCGACGGCTGTCTAAAGCAATGTCAGCGAGAAGCAGTGAGAAGACGGCGAAATCAACCAAAGGGCTTTAGAAAAAAAAAAGAAAGTCTTAGATGGCGTGACATTCTGAATACCTATTGATGATTATGGAAAGAAAATCAAAGCTTTTCGAGTTTTTTTTTAAAGTTTAAAGTGGAGCGAAAAGCCCAGAACATTTGATCAGAGAATAGAAAGACAGGCATGTTGGGGTGTGCATCTCTTAAAAATAATTATTGCGAAACGCACATTTTGATGTGTATAGTCTGTTCAGATTTTTAATGTCAAGTGCAATGACGTCATTCAAAAACACTCTTTGGATGACTCGCTCTCTGATTGGTTTATCGCACCATTAGGGGCGGAGCTTGAGCAACGACTCGACATTCAAAATCTGAACAGACTATAGGAGCCAAAGTGTGACGGAAAAATACTCTTATTCGTGCTAGAAACTTATTTCAAACATTAAAATCAAGGCACATGCTTCATAGGAACAAATATTTAACTTTCCAACGTGAGAACTGACGAAGGTTTTTCGCATTTGAGCATGAATGTGCGCGCCAAACGCCGTCTGTTGACACTGCTCCGCCCCCTTTGCTTATCAGTTATTTATTGATTTCTCCGATTGAAACGTCGTCATTTATTTCACTTGAAAACTAAGTAACACTTGAGATCGTCCAAAATATGATAAGAAAGTCCTGTTTCAGTTGAGAACACAGTTTGAGAGATTATTTTAGAAAATATAAAGAGTTTCACAAAAAGCTTTCTCTTGCTGAGCGGCTTTGAGAATTCTGATTTTTTTTAAAAATCACTCTTTAAATCTACGCATGCTACTCTTAATCTCTTTCAAAAGTCCCAATAGGAGTTTAGACCACAGTCTGGTGGAAAAGTTTTCCTTCGATCGAAAAAAAAAATTGCTCATAAAATAATTCTTCTTAAAACTGGTTATTTATTAATCTTTAGTTCACCTGAGAAGCTCCTCCGTCGTTCTGATTTGTGAAGAGATTTTCGAAAAAAAACCCTTTGTTCAACTTTTTGCCCTTTTGAACAGCTACATTTGCCTCCGCAAACTACAAAAAACCTCATATTTCTCTGGAGTATTTGAAACTTTATAATTTTGGTCTCAATCATTTGAAAACTTCTATCAGCCTAAACTTGAGGAATTTTCTTGAACTAGGCGATTGAAAGACTGTTATTTGTTGGACTTGACAACGCATGGTGATAATAAATGATAAGCGACGCCAGAACTCGTCGCTTTTCCAGTAATTACTTCATTTCGACACCTTGAAACTTTTTTTTTGTTGAGAAAAATTATTGAACTAGATTATCTGATGAGAAAACGTTATTGAATTAAGCATGATATTCTATAAAAAACGTTTTGGCTTTTTGTTTCTTTCGTTTTTTACTTACTCCTAATTCAATTTTTTGAGTATTGAATTGAATACTGTCCAAATAAAATCTCAGAAAAGGATCTAACAATAAGGCATGAAAAATAAAAATCTGCGGTTGCATGTCCCCCTTGAAGTAGCTTTTTCAAATAAAAAAACTCGAGTTTTAAAAATTTAACCGGTTCATCAGCTCTGAAATGTTTCATTCGCAGTCTTTCTCGCCTACTTTTTATTTGGCTCATTTTTCAGTGCTCCGAGTAAATAAAAACAAATGAATTACCCTTGAACGCCAAAAAACAAACAGATGATAGAAAAATAAAAACGGACATTTTCTTCGAATTTTTTTTTCTTCAAAACGCAAATTTATGGCTGGGAATCTCGCTGTTTTTCTTGTTCTTGTTGAGAAAAATTGGTACGATTGCCAAAACGTTGGTTCCCATTCTTCTTTTTCCTTTTCGTGTAGAATCTATGATGTTAACTTTTTTTAGAATACAAGTTTGAAAACACGTTAAAAAAATTTGTGTATGAGCAATTTGGAATTCAAAAAAATTTTTTTCTTATAGTCTTTTTAGTCGACTCAATCGAAATCGCAGTTTTAAGCCTAGTACTCGTTTGAAGTCAATTTCCCGGCCGAAATTTAATCCTTGACGTTCAAGCGCTTGAAAAAAAACTCTTTAAAGAAGGAACAACGTCTTTCTCATTCTTATCGAGCATTACGATATGATAAAATGAGCTGACAAAAGACGATCGATTGCTTCAGCGCCACCTTTTCATCACTTTTGTTGTATTTTTTGTTTTAGTTATGATTTTCAAATAGCGACGATACTTGTGATCAGAAGGTCGCGTTGACATTCAAGTTTCGATAAACTTTTTAAAGCTGAGATTAGTTACCTATTTTTTTCACTTTTGCAAGTTTGATTTTTTTTTTTGCTTCGGCGACACGAGTGATCAATTAAGAGTTTTCCTCTGTTCGAATATTGTTTTCCAAATTATTTTTTCTTCAGGTAACCTCCGTGAAGATGCAAGAAACAGAACCGCGGGTTTTCTGCGGACTTCCTGTAGGGGTAAGCTTTTTCACTGCCTTTAAAAGTAGGTACAAGAGGAGGACTTTTTCTCGCAATGGTTAATGCGTTGCGGATCGAGTAAATAATAATTCAAACCTATCTTATATCACTTTGGTCGCTCTCCAATGGCGCAAGTCGCTTTTCGGGCGGTCTCGTTTTCATGGTCCGCCACCGTTATGCGCTGAGCCATTCCCCGTGCAAAAACATGATGTGAAGCTCGTCAATTTGAATCTGCTCAAAATATCCATTCAATTTGTGAAAAAATGGATTGCTTACTCTTTCTTACTCGAAATGATAACTTTTTTTTTTTCACAAAAAAAGACTAGTTTTTCATTTTGATGGGTAGTAGAATAACAGCCGCCTCCTTTCTCGAAAAAAAAGTTTGTGTCATCTCCCTTTTTCAGGGAGCGGTGAGCATTTTGGGCTCTTCGATCATCGTCTGCCAGATCTTCGGCCTTTTCGCTATTTCTCCTTTCGTCCTCTACTTTTTCGAGATCGCCATCGGCTTCGGGATGATGTTCATCTTGTCGACCGGTGCCAAGAGGAGGAAATTGGCCTACATCACGGCCTACATGCTGTATATTGTCGGTTTTCAGTTCTTCTTCATAATATTGAAGCAAAATTACCATGTTTTTTGACTAACATCGTTATAGTAAGTAGACTTCATAGAATTTCAGACCAAGAAGTTGATCCAGAAATCAAAATTTAACAAAATCCGGCAAGAACAAATGTGCGCATAGAGGGTATCAAAACTTTCAATTTGATTTTTTGTGGGCCATGCCTGTGGATAACAGTTTACTTGATTTGATTTTTTCAGCTTATTATAGTTGAAAAACTCTGACAACGGAGGTCATAATAATGTGACGTTTGGAGATTTCAATAAACTTTCGTAAACAACTCTCTGAAGTTTCAGAGAAAAAAAAAGCGAATTTTCAGCTCGAACGAATTTGCTTGAGTTTCAATTAATGAGACGAAACTTGCAGTCCATGTACACGTTCTGGGTGTTTTTCACAATTCTCGGAGCAATTTTGGCCACAGTATACCTCGTCAACGACGCCGTGGTTTGCCCACCGCGCGGAGGTTTTTCCCCAATGAAAAAATTTCTGATTCAAAAGAACTTTTAGATGTGACCACAACCCCAAAGCCAGGAAGTTGCATCGAAAATAAATTTACAACTTCTGGTAGAACAGTTGTATTTAAGAACTGGACAATTCTTCGAAACTTCAGACGTGATCATCGTCTCGATTTCTTGCTTTTTCCTGGGCATTAGTATCGTGGTTGCTTTAGTGCAACTCCGTTTCCTTCTCATCCTTTACAACTTCATCCGGCATTCCAGAAGAGCGTGAGTTAGTAAAAAGCAATCCCCAAATAAAAACTAGTGACATTTTGATTTCAACGTCTTATATTTAATTAAATAATAATCATGGTTAACAAAAATTTCATTTTTCCGAATAAAAAAAGCTTTCGAAAATATAGTAGGGAAGTTACCGACTTTTATTGATTCGAAACTAAATCTGGTGAAATATCTTTCCTGAAGTGCACAAAAACCCAGCTCTCCCACATATGTCTTGCAGACGTTAGGGTTGACCGAAGAATGTGGAGGAAATAAAAAACAAAGGAAAAACTATTTTCGAAACTTCCGCTTGCCTATTATATTTTATTTTATTTTATTTTTTGAATTCTAATCTTTGTGCAATTTTTACCTTTCCCACGCCGTTAAACGCGGTCATTAAAATTTTTTTCGGGTATTCATTCTTCTTCTTCTTCTTCTTCTTCCTACGCCTTTGTACCGCTTGAGCGGCGTCGGCGCCCCAAGTCGATTAGCCGAGGTCCTATCCTGATGTCATTGATAATCAGTGGATTGGCTCGAGTGACATATCCGACCTTGTGTGTGACGGCTGGGGATTATGAAGCCGTGGTTTCCCACTACCAATATTTCTTAAACCCCTTGGTTGGGTCGAGGCGGGGATCGAACTTGTGACCCTGTGGACCGTAGACAGGCACACAACCTGTTGCGCTACGGCGCGCCCATTTCGGGTACTTTTATTATACATTCTTATTCAATTGTTTATATCAACCTGATAGTTCAAATGATTTTAAAAACTGTAGGTCGAACACGAATCTGAATGTGCAGTATGTGGTACCTTCAAGTCCAAGCGGCATGCCGCCACCGCCGAGATATGCCGAGCACTCGGGACACCCGATTCCAGAGCCCAGTCATTCGTCCCAAACAGCCGCCCAAGCTGGACCTTTGCCGTCTAAGCCGCCGCTCTACTCGGAAGTGCAGAAGTCAACCGGCATAGCGGTCCGTCCTTTGCAGCCTGAAGACCTCTCCAACACCGACGACGTCGCCCAACTGGCCCAAGCAAGCAGCTCTGCCGCCACAGTTGGACTCAGCAACGAAGGTTTAACTTGCCTTTCGAAATAACTCTGACTATTGAAAAAAAATTTAGCCGAAGCAATTTAAGTTGGTCTGTCTTGAGAAAATATTTTTCGGCATTATGAGCAAGCCAGTTCATATTATATATGCTAAAACTTCCCTGCAAAAAAATTTATAACTAATATTAAGGTTACGACAATGGAAGCTTCGTAACGATTGACATTTCGGATGAAACAACGTCTCCGAGCAGCGATTCGCGAGATAGGACTATTTCTTTGCCACCAGCCTACGAAGAAGACCCGAACGGCTTGGGACCTGCAGCCTCGACCGCCCCGACTTTGACCAATGACCCTAATTCCCATTCACTAATTTAAGAGCAATTCAGAAGTAAGAAAAATAATGTGACCATAAAAAGCTTCAAAAGGTTTGGTCTCTTTGAAAAAAATTTTTCACGACTATTTATATATTGATGAACACCGTGAGAAAGAACTAGATTTTGTTTTCTATTTCTACTGTAATCTGTAATCTGGGCCTGGATTTTATGAGAATTTAAAGTTACTTGATGATATATTTTCGCTCACTACTTAGTTAGGCCTGCATAGTCCTTGAAAAAAAAAAGCCAAATATGTTATGGAAATTTATGGAAAAACGTTCGTTTCTCTTTCTTCTCTTGCTCATCTGTACACTTCGCCGACATACTTTAATAATTTCAATTCATCGTCTATCGTTATAAAAACTTTACCGGTAATAAAAATCCATTTTTTTTTATTGCGCAACTATGGTAGAATTTTCACTCATCATGAAATGTCATTGAAAAAAAAAGTTTTCTAGTTTGACCTCCTCGACCTTTCTTTTCCTTTTTTTTAAGAGAAATGACAGGAAAAACTAACAGAAAACTCCTGTGCGGAGTGTGCTCCGAAAAAAAGACAAGAACACAAAAAAGCTTACAACACTAAAGTAGATTCTTCAGACTCTAATTGGGCGACTAAAAAGAAAGGTAAGTTACTTTTTGAAAAATATTAAAAAAGTTGGTCAGAAAATCATTTAATACACAAAGATCCTAGAAAGTCCAATTTGCACAACTTCGAAGTTATCGATAAAAGATCCCTTTATGTACCAATAAATTTATTATTTTGAAAACTTGAAACGCTGATTGGCGAAAAGTAGAGTTTTTCAAGTTACCGTTTGAATGATAAACATATGGTACATTCAAAAATTGTTATGAACAAATTTTAGAATATTTAAGAGTGAGAAAACTTTCCCTTATGAAGGACTGACACTGTTATGAAGTTATACAGGTTGGAAAGCAAAAAGACAAAATTGCTACGAAACAAATTTTTTTGAATCTTCAATCTCGAGATATTCCTCATCGACACCCCCTCGAAAGATAAAATAAAAATCGTACTTTACTCCATAATTCCATAACGGCAAGATTTTCAAATCATTTGTTGACTGAAAATATCTTGTTCACAGGGCGTCAACCCGTTCGTGTTCTAAAACAAACAATCTTGTTGAAAGGAGGTGTTTTTTTTTACAAAGAAGGAAGTTGAAAAAAAAGATTTCATTGAAATCGCAACTAATAAACAAAACTCTCCACGCGATGACGGTGTAAAAAAGGAACCGTTTTAATCTTTGGTCACTTCAGAAATGGAACAATATCTTCTTCCTACCCAGTTTCCAGGCCACCAAAGTCTAAAGACAGTGTAGTTCTGGAGGTTGGAGAGAAACTATCAAGACGTTCGTTGAGGAATCGGAAGACTTTGTTTTCCAACAGATTCGCGGTATAAAAGGTTGCCAACGGCAGGACGAGATCAGCAGTTGCCTTGATCGACATGCGCTTTTCGACCATCCTCATCGCCTTTTTCGCCATCTTCGCCGTCGGCCTTTTGCCCAGCAATCAAGTCTCGGCGGAGACCTGTCGCCGTACTTCCTGCCACACGCACAGCTCCCAGAACGAGTGCAACGGTGAGTTACCGGGAGACTCAATCTCATACGGACCAAAACTCGTGAAACACCTTGATTCACGGTATTTCCTACATAAGTGTTTCGATACTCAAGTCTCCTCCTAAATTTCCCAACGTAACCTCAAATCTCATTTTTATGAGGATTGTTCGAGAAAATTTGAAAGTCTAGCCCTACTTGTGACATTCGCCAACGAAGATTTTTTGATCCGTTGCCGAGCAAATAATAAGCCTCTGAAATCAAGAAAAACTGAAGTCACCAATAATAAGGAAACAAACCAGTAAATAGAAATTTGTAAAACCGAAAGCTCTCGCTTTTGAAAATGAAAAAAACTATTTTAAAATTGTCGAATCGGAAAGAATAATTTTCAAGCACAATCATTTTCATTTCCACAAAAAAATTGAGAGCTTGCGGAAATTAAAAGTAGTTTATTAAACGTCTGTTAGTGGTAAAATTGTAATTTTTAATTTGATTTCTCCCTCAGAACCACAAAAGACCCTCATATGAAATATTTCGAACTTTTAAATTGAACTTTTTCGGAAAAAGCTGAAACATACCAGTAGGTCTGAAGTGTTCTCATTTTCTCGAGTTTTCAGGCGACGAACACGTCGGCAACTGGGGCTATTGCTGGGGCGTCGCCGGAAAGTGGGAGAGCTGCTGCAAATAAATCTTCGCTTTCGAAATCATGGAAAATATTGTAAATATGTAATCAGAACTACAATATTCGGAATAAATAGCTTGAAAGAAAAAGGGTAAACCGGAGAACAAAACATATTGAAAAAACACGATTAAAAAAAATATTAAAATTATCTTTTTTCATTATTCGTGCCCGCTTCATCGCGTTCTTTTTGAGCTTACCCAATAAAAGACACAATACAAACTAGGACTGTCAAAAAGAATTCTAACTGTAGTAAAAACAAAAAAATATCTTCATTATTTTCAGTTAGGACTTTCTGTGATAAGCGAGCCGTGAATGGAGTGTAGCTTGACCCTCTCGACCCATTTTTTTTTCCTTTTTCGCAGAGTGACGGAAGAAAACAAACAGACAATTACGGTGCGTGGGTTTCTCCGACAAAAACACACAAGAAAACAAGAAGCTTTCTTATCCAATTCACTATATAAGCATGCGAATATCTTTATTCCTCATCAACTTCTTTCCAATCGACAAAAATGCGCCCTACCTTCCTGCTTCTTGCCTTCTTCGCCATTCTGAGCATCGCCGTTCTCCCGAAAAACGTCGTCGAGGCGGGCTGTAGAAGAACAAGTTGCCATCCACACAGCAGCCAGAACGAGTGCAACGGTATCTTTTTCGAGCAGTCAATCTTATTGTTGAAATCCTTGCAGGAGATGAACGAGTCGCCAAATGGGGCTACTGCTGGGGCGTCGCCGGCAAATGGGAGAGCTGTTGTAAATAAAACACAAATTAGCTTTTAACTAATATCCAGACTTCCGTTCTGCCGATCTTCATTTTGGAATTTTGTTTTGAACATGTTTTTTTTTGTCCAATGAACACAACATCACAATTTTCGAAGCAATATTGAAACTTTTATGATTAATAAATTTCAATTGTTTTAAACCTGGCTGATAACGAGATGAAAGATCGTTCGTTCTTTAGAATCTGAAAAAGATAACTTTTATCAAACCAAGGTATTCGATGGAAACTAACGACAGGTTCAAGGAGAGCAATATAAAGCAACCAGCGATCAATTATTTATTTCACTGAATGAATTTTACATGGGTTCGCATAAAATTGTTATTTCTCATGGGTTTATGGTTAGTAGGCACACTCGGGGAGGTCGGATAGAGGTCTGCAGGAGCCGGTTCGCTTCGAGAACAGCTTGCCCTGGTCGCACTGGAACGAGTAAAGACGGCCGTCGATACACTGGCGGAAAGACGCCGAGCAGCGGCCGGTCGATTGCACGCCGTCGACGCATCGTTTTTCAGAAGAGTCGTTGGCTGCAGATCGGCTGCTGCTCTTGCCGTAGTTTGATCCGGTCGACTGCAAACGCCAAAAGTTAAGAATCTACTCAGAGGCTATATTCATATAACGAATTCTATTTTCGTTGAATATTGAATCTCGCGGAATTATTCTGAATACGACATAAAATCAATTGAATATTCATGCCATCATAGACTGACAGTAGCTCTAAATGTTAACCAATAGTTTTGAAAAGGCTTGAAAATCGTTCAGCAAAAGACTCATTGGAACAAACTTTCTTTTTGGTTTCTATTCATTCATCACACAGTACTGGCTTCGGAAAACCCCATTATTCACTTTCATTGACACTACCTCAGAAACGTCGTTTCCAACGGCTTCTTCGCTTCCGTTTCCACTTCCATAGTAGTAGCCAGAAGTAGTCTAAATAATTTTGAATTTTAAGTTCAAAAGTTGGAAGAAAAACCTCAGGAGCGTCGTTTCCAGTTTGTTCGTCTCCATTGCCACTGCCGTAACCGTAATCAGAAGAGGAAGTGGACTGAAAACCCAAGTTTAGGCTTAAAAAAACTGATTTGATTACCGAAGGAACATCGTTGCCAATCATTTCTCCGCTACCGTACTCGTAGCCGCTTCCATTTCCAGAAGCCTCGTTGGATTCAGATCCAGAAGCTTCGATTTCAGTGCTGCTGCTGGGGGCAACTTCCGTCGAAGGCTCGTCGAAGCTGGCTCCTGTAAACTTTCGTATTGTAGAGTTCGCAAAGCTTATTTCTGTAAAATAGACCTTGGAACTTCAAAAAACTTGCTCTCACTCTCTGAATACTCGCCATACTGAAATTTGTAGAAATTGGCAACTTTTGCGAACTTTTCGTTTTGGGAATTAGTTTACAATTTTCTGAAAAACATTTTCACAGACTTCAGTGTCAATGGACGAAATCGACAGCAGAGGGAAAATTTTAGCATATTTATGCATCATTTTTTGAAGGATAAATGATGATTATAGTCTGTTCAGTTTTTGAATGTCAAGCAGCTGACTCCACCCCCACGGCTACAATATCTCGCGTCAATGTTTTATCTACATATGCCAATGGTCCTTTAATAAGGCTGCTTTTTTGACTTCTTTTTCTATCTTTTAGAAAAAAGATCAAAATTAGTCCCGCGCGATAAAACATCGACGTGAAAAAGTACCGTCTCAGCAGGGGCGGAGTTAGCTGGTTGACATTCAAAATCTGAACAGACTATACGCTCTTGGAAGCCAAGTCTAAAAAATGAAAACATTTTTTTTAAGTCTATGAGAAATCCTGAAATTATGAGGAAACCTTATGCATTTGCTGAAAAAGCTCTGCTTTTTTTTTGAGGGAGTGAACATTTTATTGATTTCATACATGGGTAGACGATTTTCAGAGGCTCCTATTTCAAACTCTTCTTGAATTAAGGTGAAAAATTCATAAGGTTAAAACTTTTTTCTATCAAAACTCCCTGATTAAAAAATTGCTTATTCCTTATTCCCCATTCCCTCAAATTTGTTTTAGACGACCCCACACGGACTAATGAGGTTCTGAACTTGCCCAAGAAAGATTGCTCGTCAAGAAGGCTCACAGAAACCGTACCGTTGGCGCACTCAGGAACGGCCAGAGGGTAGTCGCAAAGTTGGCGTTGCTCATCGAAGGCGAGCTGTGCAGGACACGACATCTCGATCGAGCGTCCGTTCGTGCAGGCCGTGAACTTGTCGCTGCAGCGGCCGAACGAGAAAAAGCCGTCCTCTGTCTGAAAATCATTGGTATAAAGAAAAAAAAAACTCATAGCGACCAGTCACAACTAATTATTCGAAAAGAAAAAAACTTCCAGTGAGTCAATCAGAGGTTTTTTGAATCAGTTAAAAAAGAGAATGACGATTGCATCTATACGCCATTAAACTTCTACACAGTTTATGACTGAGTTCTAAGATATAATTGAAACACTAACTTTTGGAAAAAAGGGAATTTAATTATTATGGGAAAAAGGGTTGAATTTGTTAACGTTACAAAGGACGGTATAGTCTGTTCAGATTTTGAATGTCAAGCAGCTAACTCCACCCCCAAGGCTACAATATCTTTCGCGTCAATGTTTTATCTACATATGCCAATGGTCCTTTAATAAGGCTGCTTTTTTGACTTCTTTTTCTATCTTTTAGATCGAAAAAGATCAAAATTAGTCCCGCGCGATGAAACATCGACGCGAAAAGGAACCGTCTCAGCAGGGGCGGAGTGAGCTTCTTGACATTCAAAATCTGAACAGACTATATGTGCAAAGAAAAAATGTCAAAAAGTCTTAACTGGAGAAATCTTAAATCCAGCCCATCATTTGATGTTTATTAGAAGCTTTATCCACGAGTAACACACAAGACATACCGAACAGGTAGTGGGGCGCGACGTCGTCGTCGATTCGACTTCCTCGGTGCTGGTGACGTCAGCCTCGGTTGACGTCTCAGGCTGGACAGAAGAGCTGCTAGGTGGGAGCGAAGTACTGCCATCGGATGAGCAACCGGCGACGGCCATAGGATAGTCGCAGGCCAGGAACTCGTTGTTGTAGACCAACTGCGCCGGACAGTCCATGATGCGGGCGATGCCGCCAGAACACGTCAGGAACTTGGTCGAACAGCTGTTGATGGGGTAGACGCCGTCAGTCTTCCCCGTGCAGTCTGAAACTCCGAGTCAATCAAGATTATGGACGTTAGACGAACCAGTGTCATCTTTTTCTGAGGCTCCAAGGCCAGAAGCTTCCGTGGAGGTTTCGACTGGCACGTCTTCTGAAAGGAGCTCGGCATCACTGGATGAGACAACCTGAATCTTCTTCGTAGGAGTTGTATAGCCTATTCCGCGCCAGCTTGTAACGTTTTTCTTCCCGCTAAAAAGACCGTATACCAAATTAGATCGAATTTCTGCTTTTATAACGGCAAGAAACAGAGGTCTTGAAGCGAGAGTTGGTTAAATTTGACCTGGCCTTTCGGCGGAAAGAAAAACGTGACAAGCTAGCGCGGAATGACCTATAAGAACAGCATAAAAACGGATACCGTAGAAACAGTTTTTTTTTTTTTGCACTTTTGCTTTACACGACTGCAAAAAAAAAGCAAAATTATTGAAGCCAGTTTAAATCAAATTTGATCTCATTTGGAACACGGTCTTTTGAAAAAACAAAAAAAGTGACAAGCTGATGTAGAAAGAGTTATAGTTTTCTTTAAACTCAACTTTTAGAAAAATATTCGAAAAAAAAAATAATGACTCTTATAAGAAAAAATAAGAAAAACTACGTGTTGGATTGAATAATTTAAAATAATCAGAAGTTTTAAAATCAAACGGTGGTATAAAAATAAACCATCGAAAATTCGAACGACGACTTTTCAGATTTTTTCATATCGCTAGGGAACTTTCCGACGGCCATCTTTCCGACGAAATTGGTTCCGACATTTTTTTTCTTGATAATATCTTCGTTTTTTTAATCTTCCTATATGAAGTAGGCAATTCATTCACGTTTAAAACACAAAGAAATATAAAAAAAAGTTAATAGATGTTTATAAACCGAAAAAAATATGAGGGAAAAAATTCGGAAAGGGATTCAGCGAAAAGGTGGCCGTCGGAAAGTTCCCTAGCGATACGAAAAAATCGGAAAAGTCGCCGTTCGAACTTTCGCTGAAATTTTTTTCATACATCAAACTTCCCAAAAAAGAACTTGTGCAAAAAGAATATGCTCCTCATTATGTGTTCCGCGCGCGACAATCACGTTTTGAAACAACAGCGAAAAAAAAATACCGTAAATACAGGTTTTTTTCAACAAGCTAGCGCGGAATGCGTTATAGGCCATTCCGCGCCAGCTTGTCACGTTTTTCTTTCCGCCAAAAGGTCAGGTCAAATTTAACCAACTTTCGCTTCAAGACCTTTTTTTTACCGTTATAAAAGCAGAAATTTGATCTAATTCGGTATACGGTCTTTTTGGCGGGAAGGAAAACGTGACAAGCTGGCGCGGAATAGGCTATATATTAACCTCTTCGCTCGGTCGTTGACTGTTCATGTGATGCCACGAGTGTTGTGGCGGGAGGAAATGGCCGCTGACGACGCCGAGGAGCAGAACGACCGACAGCACAACAGTCCGAGCCATGACGAGCAAGAAGTGAACACTCACGTCGCAATCAGCTCTTTATAGGCCCCCTTCGGATGGCGCTAACTTTTTCGCGCCATCTTTTGACCAACTTGCGGTAGGTCCATTTTCATCATGCTTCGATATGATCTTGTTAAAAATCGCTGGAAATATGTTGTTCTCGATGTTTTCAAAAATTTCTTTCTAATAAGCGTTAAAAATAGTCGAATGATGCTATGCGTATGGGGAGACAGAGAAAACTTTCTTTCTAATTTCAATTGTTCTGACCTGATTCAGAATTTAAGTTTTCAGTCTCAAAAAATTGAAAATCAGAACCAACTATTCCAAACCAACAATGCGACACTGTGAAAAAATCCTGTTGAAAAACAAATTTATCACTAAAAATCAGAAATATTTCAGTGTTCACATTGATAATAGACGGATCGAAAAAGAGAACAAAAATTTAATGAAAACCTACGTTTCAGCACCTTTGTACGGAGAATGCCTACTATCGAAGTACCAGAACCCAATAAAGTTTTACATTTAAATTTAAAAATGTGAGAAAACACTAAGAATAACTGCCGAGATAAACGCGAGACACTGGCGGTACATTGACGAGCTCGCAAACATCTCGCTTTTTTTCTCGCGCCGGTCTCGCATTTTTCTGGGCGCGAGCTCGCATTTTTCTAGGCGCGAGCTCGCATTTCTCTCGCAATTTGAAAATTTCCGAAGTGCGAGATAAATGCGAGATGGCGCCAAGAAAAATGCGAGGTCGCGCCGAGAGAAATGCAAGATCGCGCCTTGAAAAAAGCGAGATGTTTGCGAGCTCGTCAATGTACCGCCACCGACCTCGCTTTTATCTCGTCAGTTATTCTTAGTGAAATTGCAAAAAATTTTTAGTCGTGATACATCATGCATTCTGTGCGGAAGGGAACCATCGGCATACTGTAACAAAAAATTTCTTTATAATTTATAATTTTTTTCCGTCTCATCAATGAGACAGGGAAAAAAACTTAACTATAGAGCTCAACAATTTATAATTATATAATTTAGCAGCTCCTTGTTTGACAGTTTAATACTTATAAGTCCTTTCTACATATTTGTCAAACATGTTTCTTCTCATAAAATGTACTCCCGAGGGTGTGGAGTTTTCAAGTCGCACTAAGGTCGCATTGTGATTCATAATCAATTATTTGTTTTCACGTTATTCTTTTCAGATGACTCTTCAACTCCCAAGGATGTACAACTCATCGTCGATGTACCGTGCTTTGTCATCAGCTTGCAAGTTAGCTTCCAATTAATATTTTTCATTCAAAAATGCCAACAACTTGTTTTTCAATGCAATTAAAGTGTTTTCAACTGTCATTTGATTAGTTATTCACTTCTTTGTAGGTAATTTGCACGGAAAAGATGAAGCTAATTGTTTGAGTATGTCGTTAAGATGAGTTGATTTTCGAGCTCTCGCACGGCTCATATTCATATGACTTATCATTTTACAGTAGATGACCTTATCAATAATTTCTCGTTTCGGTAATTGGAAGATTGCGAAGAAAGATGATATTAGTAGTAAGTAAGAGGGGGGCAAAAACGACTTTCGTCATTGAAAGCAAAGTCAGAGTACAGATTGAAGAAGTTCGGCGTCATAAAAGGAAATTTAATAAGTATGTATTTTTATAGAAGCAATAGGAAATGTTTGCGCTTTAAGAGTAATGGAATTATTGCGTCAAATATTCTTTGCATCTTCCTATGGGTGGACCTTCGAGGAATATTCAAACTTCTCATAAAGTATTCATAGTATTTTGTGTCTAGGCGATAAGATTAATGGAGAATCAATATGAAAGTCTTTGACCAATACATGTGCACCTTGATAAGAGAGTTTAATATTTTAATTTAACCAACTGCGCTTTAAAAAAAGTTTATAATTCTCCTGAGTTTTCGAAATCCTAATATTCTTACTTTATAGTTGACCCATTTAAAAAAATATTCAACAGGATATTCGAATCATTTTAAAAAAATTAAGTTGTTTTTTTCAAAAACATACAAAAATTTCCCACCGTTTTAAAAAGTGATAATCTCAAAAAAATTTTTTTTAAATTGTTTTTTTTAAATTATTATTGCATAATTTTTATATGGTGGAAAAAAATGCTACTTTTTATTCAGCTTGAAATGTTTGAATAGACTCACCTACTCAATTGAGCGGCGACTCTGAATGGAATTTAATGAGATTGGTATTTTGAAAAAAGAACGAGCAGTCATTTCGGGTCTTGAACCTCTACATGTTTTTAATTTTTAAAATTTGACGTAACACTATCAGCATACGATATTCACGCACTTTCGGAAAATCTGAAATTGAGAGCTCATGTCCTACTTCATATAGTAAGAAATCGTTAAGTTTCGGCTTAGATACCATCGTCAATCGAATATAAAAAAGTTTTTCTGTTGAATCTTCTTTTTCACGAAGAGAAAGGGATCGAAAATTTCCTGTTGCAATTTTGGAAAAAGGAAAACTTTCGATTGATCGGAAAAGCGAGATTCTGTAAAAGAAACGTTTTAGTTTCGAATGACAGATATAAAACTTCCCTGTTCTCTGACCTGAAAATTGTACTTCAATTTTCTCTCAATATCGCATCCCAATTTATAGTTTCGAATGGTTTTTTTTTAAAGATTATTTGAGATAGTTTGGAACGTCCAGCTGTACAAATAGTTAGTTCATTGTATGTTGAATTCCGATTGCAACAGTTGGGATTTTTCATTTTCAACCAAATGCTTCGCTCCGAACAACTAACTTTGCTCGAATTAGCCTAGCCATCAAAAATCGCCATTTTTTCTCGCAGTTCCGTCTCCGTTTCCTGATAAAATCAGCTCCAAAGAACTTTCATTTGCAGGTAGAAAATATTTTCGTTCTTTTTAATCTCTTCATAAAGGTCACAAAATCAAGTCTTTTCTGCGGATTCTCTTTTCAATGTGTACCTGGCTCTCCGAAGGTAAGTATGAAGTACTAGTAATTCTTTGAATGAGAAGCTAAGAGATGATTAGAAGAGATAAAAGGTTGAATTTAATTGAATAATGAGCTCTTGTTGTTACCCATCCTCTGCAAGTCACGCCCATTTTTTGACGTGACTGAAATTTGTCAGAAGTTTTCAGTTTCATTCCCAACCAGATTTCCTGCAGCTCTATCTCAACCACTCTGGAATATAACGAACTGTACTCTTCGCTCTTTTTCCACCTTTTCCGAGTCTTTCTAAGCTTCCAGTTAGTTTCTTTTTCAGCACAACTATCGTTAGTGAAGTGGGAGAAATCGTACTAGTTGCATCCTAAAAAACAGGAATTTCCATCAGAAAGGGCTATTGAAAGCTTTAAAAAACGGGGCGTCTCTCAACTGGAAGATATCCATAAATTATTAACCACCAATTTCAATGAGAATATTTTTGCCCCAAATTTTTAACGTCATTCCCACAATGGTCACCGTTTCAGGTGAAAGTCAGTTGGGTTCCTTCGACAATTTTTTCCTCTGCGAGTTTTCATGACTGTCTTTTTGTTACTACTTCTCCATCAGACCATCGGAAACTTGCGATGAAATTTCTCGGAATTCGACCGAAATTGGAGGGTTGCCAGATTGAATTAGAACCACGCAAAAAGGTTTATGACAATATGATTCGCTGCCGATACGGAATTTATCAAATTACCATGCGACTTATTATATTTGCTTGCAATTCCAGGAGATTCTGGGAAATTTGATTGAATACGGTGTTTTATTAAGATTCGTAAAGTCTGTGTATAGTCTGCAAGTTTTTCTTCCTACTTTCAGGTTTTCTGAACTCTCAATTTTTGCAAAAAAATTTCTCTTCAAACAATTTTTAGGTATCCTAGTAATCCAATCTTCATTTGGGATACTAGGCTACCTGAAAAGATTATACGACTGGATCTATGGATCTTTAAAAAAATACAATAGCAAAAATCAGACGTTCAAATTAACGTTCCGGAATTTTTTGTACTCTGACGAAATTCAAGAAAAAAATAATTTTAATTTATCGGTATATTCTTTTTTGTCAGTTTTAGAAAATTTTAAAAATTGAAAAGTGAAATCATGATCAGCTATATCGTGAAAAACAAAACAATCCCTTTTCGAGAGAAACTTTCCATTATTTTTGGAAATAATCGCAGAAAACAAAGTGCATTGTGTTGTTTATAGTTTTCTGAATTGAACTAGAATCGTGCCAAAAATTCCAATTTGCGAGGACTTTTTCGATTTCCATAACATCCGCTCCCTAGTAGGTTTATTTTCGCTGCTGAAAACGGATTCACGATTGGCTACCTCCAAATTCTTTTCTGAAGAAAGTTCTGCCGTGACTCAATTTTTGTTTTCCCAAAAGTTCCTGACTCATTCTCAACGTCATAACCTTGCCTTGGATGAGTTTGAATGCTCATTATTTTGGGAAAATTTCCACGCAATGTTAACCTTTTTCATGTAATCTGCGACAATTCAAAAAAAAAAAAAGATTTTCAGCGTAGTGTTCCGAGATGAGAAGTTCAAACGTTTCTGCTCGGTGTTCTTGCAAAAAGTTTTCCAACGCAACTTTTGAAATTTTCACCAACCTCGAGGGAAAAAGTTAATAATTCATGTAAAAAAGGACTTTTAGCCCATTCCATTCGTGTTTTTTGGCCCGTTCAACCTACATTTTCTCATCATAGAAAATGTTCGAATTTTCAAATAAGAACCAGCAAAGCAGCATCTCCATTGCGGTGTTTTTAAAAGTCTGAAGCCCTTGATCTACAAATTTAATTGCGTTTGTGGCGATTTTCGCTCAGATATCTGCCCTCGAGGCTTTTTGAAACATCCAGTTTTTCTACGTCTCACAAAAAACTTCGTCATTTTATCTCATCACACAGAGGTTTTTAGAAAAAATTGGTGGACGTAGATTCGGCGATGAAAAAAAAAACGGAGATCACACTTATTCATGAGGATTAGGAAAGCAAAGAGAAAAGGTACTTTAAAGGTTGAAGAAGTAGGTTGAAAACCTCACCAAAAAGCGTTGGATATGTCAGTCGCTCTTTTCCCCCTTTTTCTTTCCTTTTAAGAAAAGGTTTTTTTTTGTTTTAATGTAAGTGTTAAAAAAATGAGTAAACAAAAAAATTCCCGAGGAAAACTTTTGTTGGAGTTACGTGAGAAAAAAAATTTTAAAAAAAAACTATGATTTGATTCCTTTCAACATTTTTTCAAATGGGGTAAAAAGTATGAAAATATCGAAAATATAAGATTTCTTCAATTTTTAATTAGGAAAGCTGTTTGAAATGAAATAATTTTTGATAAAAAGTCGTACTGAAGTAACCTTTTTCATTAGGACCTCGTTATGAGAGGTTGGACTACGGTAATTGGTTGATAAGATACTTCGGAATTCGATTTCCATGGTTTGGTCTGCGTTCACCTCAATTAAGAGCCAATTTTTCGGTAGAGCAGAGATTCTTGCTCTTTTGCGACATTTCTGGCAGATGTTCTTGACAGTCTGGAATGCCTTTTTTGCTCGTTGCCCTCAAAATGCCTCTAAAAGGTTCAATCTACGTTCTTTTTTGCTCTTTTCGGGTTTTTCTTTTCTTACGCAACACCTCATTGATGACGTCAAAGCTCCGCCTCCAAGGTTACAACAAAATCTCTTAGTTTCCCCGTTTTTTTTTTCTCATTCTTCTGGCTGAGTTCATAATTCAGGCTGGTGTTCTTTCGCTTTTTTTTTGTCTATGAGGGGTTTTCAATGACCACATGTTATTTTGGGATGGACCGATTTTTTCTTCGAAAATTCACATTTTTTTTTGATATTCGTTCGAGATCAAGTCTCAATTTTGGTTTTTAAAAAATACTTTTTTTCCGTAGATTTTTTCAAACTCGAGAAACCACTGGGTTAAGGAAGTTTTTTTTTTCTTCGTTCGTTTTTTTTCTTTCGATTTTTAGTTGAATATACAAATGAAAGGTTTCGGAATAGACTTCAAATATCTTTTTTAGAGTAACCTGCCGAATTTCAATGAAATTTCAGACGATGATTAGAGCTTTGGAAAGTGAATAAAGAATCTTTTCTTCCGATGGAAACATAATTTTCGAGGGTCCTTCGAAAGAATAATCCAATTATGAATCTGGGCGTTAGCCGGAAAACAAGACCGATTGGGAGGGCCGCCCAATTAAAAGCAGTTTTTTTCAGTTTCTGGAAGTTGCGAGACGCTTTTTTTTCGTTGCTCATCGTCTTTGCATATTGCATGGGTGTGAAATTAAACGGGCTGATTCAGGATGAGGCGTTCTGTTGAAATTTTCTTCCGGATTCCCTAGGACACCAACTTGCAATTAGAAATGGAACCGAGTCTAGGTCTGGCAAATTCAGACTGAGAAAAAAATATTCAAAGATTTCGTTTTGATCCAATCGAATGAGATCTCAGATTCCAACCGTCTTGATCGGGATCCGCTCGATTTTTTTCTCAATAGTTTCGCTTCTCTCAAAAAAATTTTTCTGAGTGAATATTTTATTTTTTTTTCTTTTTACCTTTTGAAAATGATCGGCTAGACTATCCGTGCGGGTTAAAACTTTCCGGAACAGTTTTTAAATTTAGTTTATCGAGTTATTCAGCTACTTTCTCAACGGTTCTCTAACTTGGAGGCTCATGAACCTCGGTCCATTTTTTTTACAAACCCGAGCAACCCACTTGTTATTTTTCTCACAAAAAACGCTCTCTTGTGGTTATTTTCGAACAGAATTATTGAGAAGGCGTGTGACGACAGAAAATCTGAAACTTGAAGCTCCAACGTCTGAAATAATTTTAACACGTATTCCCTTTAATTAACTTTATTTCTCGTGCTTTTCGTCTCTTGAAATCTTCTCAAACGCCAAGTTCCTCTGGAATGAGACACAATAAATCAGCACAAAATGTATCAAGACACGAACTAGGATTTTCTGCGTGATGTTCCCAACGATCGCGAATATTTCTATTGCATTTTTTCATCTTCTAACCTTTGTGCTTCGCAAAAAGTTTCCTTCTCTTGATTTTTTCATAATATTTTTGAACCGCTAGCACATGAGTACGGTAGCTTCTTTTAAGCTTATTTTTCTATTTTATTCTTGTTTGTTCTCTATTTCAAGCCAGTGCTCTACCCTAGGTTGTCCTTTCGAACTGAGCTTATTAGATTAATTAAAAGTTTCGGCTCATAAATTCTTAATTTTCTGCTCTTTTTTTATTTCAATCTATGCAGAAAAAACTTTTGCATAAAGAGGAACTTATTCCAAATGTATTCCCGCAGCTTTCAGCTACATTTTTCTTTCAAAGTGTATTAAAAATTCCAAGAATCATGCTCTACAGAAAAAAAATGTTTTCGTTTAAAAGTGTTCTTTGCCATGGCATTGGGCTCCAAAAAGCGGAAAAAATGAGATTATTTTTTTGCCCGAACCTAAAAATTGTCTCGGAAAGCGGTATTGGCTTCCTTATTCTGCTCGCTCGGACGCTCCGAAAATCTGACATTTCTCAGTTTCTTGCAAGATTTGCACTTATAAATAACGCATTTCATTATCATCCTCAACTCATCTCTTTTTTTTTTCCTTTTCAAAAGGTTCATCGAGGTTCACTTGTGAAGAAGGACAACAATCAAAAAATATCCCTTCCTCTTTTTTTTCTTTATTTTTTTCTGTTGGAGATTTTTATACTTGATGCGAAAGAAATAATATCTTTGAAAGTAAACTTGAGTTTTTTTCATGGAAGAAAGCAATACATAAAACAATTAATAATAATACTCAATTTTTGATATCAAATCCCCGTTAAACGAAAGATGAAAGGAAAGAAAAGATTTTTTGTCTTTAAATGAGCTTTTTTTTCGATTTACCCAACTTGTGGAACGCTTCTTCCGGACAATATATGCCCCAAGAGAATTAGAAAAACCAACCATTTCTTTTCTTCAAAGCGGTGCTTTCTCTACTGGTTTTGTTGCTTTTCTCTCTCAATTTGAATTTTGTTTAGAATATGAAAAACTATATTTTTTGTTCAGAATCAATGTACAATTTGATTCACGCCATTTTAAATTTTTAAATTTTTTTCCTACACGATTTTTTCTAGTAATAACCACGTATTTTTGATTTTAACCGTTGTGGTTCGCCAGAATAACAAGAATAAAAGAGACGTTTTTTCAACTCTGTACTTTCTCTGGCGCTTCAATTTTCATTTGAAGGGATGAAAACAAAGAGAAAAAAAAATCTCGAAAGCCACACTTAATCTCATCGTTCTTTATGCATTTCGATGATTTTAGGGCTTCGCTCTTTTTTTCTTACTTGGCAGTTTGACGCTGTTTTTTCCTCCAAACTTTGTGAACTTTCATATCAGAAAAATGTTTCAGGAACGACGATGTTCCATCAAAAGCCGCATTTCCGAAAGTCCCTAACAGGACGGCCACTCGACGCTCGTCCCATGGACTTCTTCGATCGAATGCCGCCATCTTTGAAAAATGTTTGTTCTTTTTTCGTTTTTCTATCAGTAAGACGCGTTTGTTGCGACACTAGAGGAAGCTGTGAAATATTTTCTACGCACTATTGTTCTCTATTCTGAAATTCTTTAGTGAATTACGGCTTGGCTCAGAACTGAATAATCACTAAAAAAGACTCTTCACGGGGACAAATTTCCTTCAAATTTTTTTTTTATGAATTTCCAGCAAATAACTCTTGAAACGAAGTTGAGTTCTTGAACGTGTTAGGCGGGCTGGGAAGGCGTTATTGATCTGAAAAATTAAAACTAGATGTTTTCTTTCAGAAGTTAATCTGGAAGGTCATGATTATCTAGAAAACTTATTGACGAAATACCTCTTTCGCTGTTTCTCGAGAAATTGCCTAAAAATAAATTTGATTAGAGTAAGAATTTCCGAAGGCATTCAGAACTGGAATAGTCCCAGAAGTGAGGAAGGCCGAGGCGGCGTCTATTTTCTATTCTTCCACGAATTTTTTTGTTAAAATTTCCGCCTCGATTTAACACAGAGCATACTAATTTTCAGCGCGAATTCTTTCATTCTTCTTTTTTTCTTCCTTTTTCTTATTGTGTTCATTTCTGCTTAACAAGTGCTCTTCTTAGAACGGTTCCAATTTTTTCCACTGGCCTCATGACTTCTGCACGAAAATTGGCAAAAAAGTAGTTAATAAATTTGAAGTTTCAGTAAAGGATTCTTGCACTCAAAAAAAATTTTTATACGTTAATGAAATGAAGGAAAACTCTATGAAGAAACTCATAAAGGAAAAGACTTTAATGGAAAAAAAAGTCGGAATTGTTATTTTTGTTCAAGTTAGAGGTTAGTCTTCTTTGTCAGTCTGAAAAATAATGCGCTCCAAGGATATTCATCCATCTTTTCACCCAATTTTCAATTCCAGATATCTTTTGACTTTTTAGTTATTCACCAAAGAATCATCAACTCACTAATTTTTTGATCTAAATAAGTTTTCAGACACTTATTACATCTAACAAAACTATTAATGATAGTGAATATTCGTGCATTGAGAAAAAACTTTTTTAAACCAAATTTGAGGTTATCAACTAATAAAAGTGTCATTTTTTTTTTCTTCAACCTGTTTTTAGAACTATGTAAGATCTAAAAATATGCCGTGTGAATAAATAGCGAGTTTGCGTGTCAGTCTATCATTGCTGAAGAAATAACCAAAAAGAGAGTTTTATAGGTTTAGGTGAATTTGTCGTGTAAGACGATGACCAAACATTAGATTCGCTCCCAAACTCAATAAATATTTCTACTTTGGAGAACCCCGCAAGGCGAAGAACCTATGCTCTTCGCTTTTTTCGCGGAACTTCCTCTTTTTTTTTGACTTTCAAACCCAGACTTACAAGATCCCCACTATGTAAAGCTGTGAGCGTTCTCAATCAGATAGAGACTTTCAGATGATTTTCAACTTTTCGCGATAGTTCGAAATTCAACTTTTTTCAAAAAAATTTTTCTTAAACTATTGGACGCTTTTCATCTGTCACGCGGAATTTTTTTAGCCTGATTTTGATTGAAAGTTCTTAAAGATTTTTTTTTTTGAATGACCCGAAAATTTGTATAATCGGTCTTGAGTATTATTAAGTCAAGTTGGCGCTCGTATGTTGGTTATCGAGGCTTGAAACGGTAAAAGCGGTGGATTTTATGTAACAAAAGTAATCGAAAATTAGCCCTGCGGGTCCATCTTCGAGCACATCCGATGCATGGAAACTTGACGTCATTTTTCGCCTGTCATGTACAATATGACGTCATTTTTGAGAGCTTTGCTCCATCTTTTCCATGTCTCATGTATGAGTCATTGTTCAGTTTGAGACATAGACTTCTTTTTTTTTGTAATGTCTTTCTTTCTTCTTTTTGTTATCCGTATTTTTTAAGCCATTGAATATCGCCATATAACGCTTATCTTACAAAACCAACTTATCAATAATTTTTTTTTAAAAACGATCGCAGCCTGTCCAATGAATCTTTTCAAAGGTTTGCAAAGTTTTCTTTTTTATAAAAAGTGCTTTGGAAAAATTTTCTTAAACTTTCCCGGTAATAGACGTGCTCACGTATGTCTGCAACTCCCGTTCCCTATCATTATTTTCCGAATAATCTGTCATTTTGTCTTCATTTATAGACTATTTTATCAAACAGCAGTACAACGGTTACGTACGCAACTCGTGCACTTTGGTTGAATGGCTTGTTTTGTAAGCCAAAGGTCACGATTCCCGCCCATTTTCAGCTAAAACGAATAGCTTCGGCAATATTTTCCGATTCATCGCGCTCATTTTTGGTGAACCTGTAAGAGCCCCATCCTTTTCTTGCTGATGCTCATCAGTTTTTCACAAATGTTTATCACAACATTCGGTAGGAAATACTGCAGGTTGTGCAACAAGAAACGTTGGATGACACTCATTTTGTGACGTCAAATCCTATTTTTGTTTTCGCAAAAATATTAATGAAAAGAATGGCCGCCCTGAGTTTCCTGTTATTTTTGCTATTTTCGGTGATGGGAGGCGGCTTCGTTTCTATTTGTTTATTGTGTTTCATGAGGTGCAAACTGGGGGATGAAGAAACAGTGCCAAAGGCGATGAACTAGTTCATTTCAGCTGTTCTTTGGCATTGCGTCTCATTTTCAAAAGTTTCTTCTTCAAATTTGAACTCGAAAGCTCGAAATTATTCCGAGAGAGTCTTCTAGGGAGGTTTTAGCGGAAAAAATAGCTTTTTTCGAAGTTTCTCACGGGTTAAATATTCACAGACACGTGCCTCTCAAGCGGCTCAGTTTATTGCTAGAAGAGCGAAAAAAAGAACACTTTGGTCTTCATTCTTTCTTTCTTTTTTCATCTTAGTCTGGCTTCGAGAAGGAAAACCTATCCGATTTCTAGAAACTGTCGATGGTATTCAGGCCGTAGAAGAGGTTTTCTTGAAACTTGGCTCTATTCAATCAAAAATTTCATTAAACATTGTTAAGAAATTCGTTTGACTAATAACTAACGCCTCAGAAAATCACAAACACAACGAAAAAGGTGAGTTGAAAAGTTTGAAGCAAGCTGTCTTTTTCTTTCGACACACTTAATTTCATGTTTTCTCTGCAAAGGTTCATACTTTGATTCATCCCTCCAAAACGAATTTCATGTAGGCGGCGATTTCAGTTTAGTTTTTTTTTGTTTCTAAATTGCATCCAAACACGAACTTTGGCGTTTTAAAACATTTTCGAGGTGAAATTTCTCTTCGCGAACCCGCGTTTCACAAACCGAACGTTAGATTGATTCCCTCACAGAACATTTTCTTTTTTTGAGAATCTAAAAAAAAAATTCTAATTATTTGTTATTTTTTCCATCTAGCCATAATTTAAAAGTTAATAATCAGGAAAATGATTAAAACACATCTTCGATCGAAAAAGATATTTCAGTAGACATTTAGGATGAAGGACAAGAAAATTCTTTTTTTTTCCTGAGTTAAACGGTCAAATTTCTTTCTTCACGGACCTTTATAAAGTGCGTTCTCACTGGAATTCTCTAGTCTGAAAGTTTTCTGAGAGATCCAATTAGAAAGTTTAATTGGAATAACACGTCCCCTAGATAATTTTTGCCGTGTTCTTACCCAAAATATTTGGAATTTCTCTGAAAAGGGTTCTTTAGACTCGCTTTCCGGTCCCTGGTGTGAATTTCAGCAAAAAGACCTATTTTTCCAAAAATCATTAATTATTTTCTGGTTCCTGGGCGTGTCTGGGTGCCTACGCATGAGAATGACAGGCTCATTTTTGTGATAATTTATTTTTAAACCCATTGAAAATAATATCGGCTTTTACCTTTTTGGAATTTCATTCAAGTTCCTAAGGTTAGATTCTTGCTCCTTATGATGCTATGCCACAAAAACAGTGATAAAAAGTTTTATGCTTGCGAGATTTTTGAAATTTGTGGATGATTTAAAAGTTCGATTAAAAAAGGATTTTTTTTATTTTGCATCTGTCAAAAAGTTCAAATCTATTCATTGCGGTTGGATACGTTCAGCTTTCGCTACATACGGAGCCTTTTAAGTCCAAAAATGATTTTCCATGCGATTTACTTCTTGTTAAAGAACTCTTCCGACATCCCCTTACTGTTTCGACTACTTGCTGCACTTTTCATATCGAAAAAAAAAATCGCTTGCTTTAAGATTATTCAGACTATAAAAAAATGATACTTCTAGTGAGTCTCATTAGTTGTTATTTTTTTGAATCTTAAAAAAATACTCGAATTTGATTCGGTTTTTGATTTCAAAAAAACGCTATTAAGGTCACCATCTTTTTGGCTTATAACGCGTCACTCGAATGTATTTTTTTACTGATGCTTTCGTTTCACGACATAGTTCCTTTTCTGGTGAAGTTCGGCTATGAATTTCCCCCACGAAGATTAAATAATTGATGAATTTTTTTAACAATCGTCTTTTTGAAGAAATGCTTCTCACTTTATTTCCATTAAAATGAACTTTTTTTGTTTTACATATCGAAGAAAAACTTCAAAAAGCCCTCGATTCGAATTCAGTTCCACACTTCGAACAATCACTAATTCTATCAACTATTCTTTTCAATCCTTACACCGCACGCTCAAAACAACTTTAAAAAATTGAAAAAAAAAAATAAAAACGAGTGGGCAGAAGGGACAGAGGAAGTTCTCTCCAAAGATTTCTTACAGGGTATAATTTGGCGGAGGCAACTCAAAAAGTTTGCAGAAGAAGGATCCACCCTAATCGGCTTATTTACCTGATCTTTAACACCTTACTCAACCAAGCATTATTTTAGCGTTGGAAGGAGGAAATAATCAGTCTCGTTCAGTTCTCCCGACGCCTTTTGGCTATCCCAGAGAAACCTTTGCCTTCAAAGCCTCCTTATAGTTTTGCTCCAAGCGCAGTTCAAAAGAGAACTTGTTTCTACTTCCTTTTTTCGTTCCTGCATTGCTCGACTAGGACAAAATTACTCAGAGCAAAGCTGTGCTCAAGTTTTACTTCCTTTGACGTTTATTTTCCAGCTGTTCAATCAAATGTCGGCCATCGGAATGGAAGAGAACGATCAACAAAATACTTCGGTAGAGCAGGTTTGGTCCAAACTCTCAGATTGAAAAATAAAATTTTAATTTTGCTCAGATTCATCTTGCCGCTCTAAAAAGAGGATTGCAAGATTATCAGTTTTGAAAAAAAAGGATATGTTCAAATCAATTATTCAAGTCTTATATATAAGTCTTCCCACATCTTTTAGGTTATTGTGTTTGAAGAAGTTATTGAAAATCTGAAGACATTTTTTGAAACTATTATTAAAATCTCGAAATAACTTGAGTCGGCGAATATTTTTTTGAAGAACATAAACCTACTATCGAAATAAATAAGTGGTTCAAGAATAAAAATTGTTTTACGCGGATTTTTTATATTCTTTTATACCAACATACGGTGCGATAAAAGGTTAGAACTTCGGTTTTGAGAGAATTTTTTTAGGCTCTGGGAGACCAGCCCTCGCTGGAGATGATGATGTTGTACACGATGGCGATCATCATGCTCACGTTGATCGGAAATTCTCTGCTCATCTACGTCATTCTCAAAAACAACAGTGTCTTGCGTCGGAAACGAGTGACTCCTGTTCAGGTGAGAATCGGAAAAAAAAAATTACTCGGAGTGTAAATAGGATTTTTGAAAATGAGTTTTGTATCCCTAGGAGTTGGGATCCCGCCCACGTATGATCAAAAGACATAAATTTCTCTCTTCAATAAGAAAATTAAGATGTTGATGTTGCACATGTGCGCGGCCGACCTGCTTTTCGCTCTGATCGCCATGGCGCCGACGATTTTGATCGCGGCCACCGTCCCGACCTTCCACGGACCTAACTGGCTCTGCAAATTCGTCAAGTTCCTAGCTGTACGTTATCAAAATGGAAATTTATTTGATTTTGTTCTTTGCTTTATTTCCAAAGAACATTATGTCTTCACTGTCTTCTGCTTCATATTTTGAAACGGGAGAACGAAGTTCGAGTTCCAGGTTCTGCCGATGTACGCCTCGTCGTTCCTGCTCGTGGCGATCAGCGCCGACCGTTACCAGGCATCGGACTTGTTTTGACGCGTTCTCTCAACTCGCAGTTTCAGGCGATCTGCCGTCCGCTCGCCTCGATGAAGTCTTCGGCCTACAATCGACCCTCCATGTACGCCGCCTTGGCCTGGTCGGCCGCTCTTCTCTTCAGCACGCCCCAGATAACTTTCTTCGAGAAGATCGACGGCGAATGTGTCGGCCACTATACCGACGACTACCAAGTCAGCATTTCGTTCCAGAAAGATCCTCAACTAAAACTGAAAAACCCTTAAAATTTCGGTTCTGAAGGCCAGTAAATCATGCGGTTATTAATGACACCCCGTTATTTTTCTTTGTTTTTCAGTTGGAATTTTCAGAGAAGTCTTTATTATTTTTTCCAAAGACCAATACTTGGTGCCAATGTCGAAAAAAATTTACATTCCCGCATAAACGTGCTTTTTGCATCTGCAAAGTTGCTCTATGGAGACATGGTTTTGTCAATTTTCATTTCTTCATTTCTTTTTATCCGGTTTAAATATTTTTTCTTATGCTCGAAAAATCCTCCGTTCTGGAAAGTTCTGATGAGGATAAGGCTGAGAAATATTGTTCGCTTTTTTTTTATCAATAATTTGTAATTAGTGAATTTTAACCTGAGTTTCAATAAAACTCGAAAAATTTTTTAGTACGCTCTGTACGTGACGGTGTTCAACACGGTGGTGTGGCTGCTGCCGTCGGCCATCGCCGGATATCTCTATTTCTGCGTTTGTCGCGCCGTCTGGAGAAGCACCTCGTTCGGCAGCTCCATCCGAAACGTCCACAACAACAACAAGAACGAAAGCTACTGCAACAAGGAGCTCATCGCCAGGTTCGACATCAAAGAAGAATGCGTGAGAAAATCAGAGTTTCAGAAAGAAGGAAGAAGTTCTCCTTGCACCGCTCAGCGGCGGAATGCAAGCCCACCACAATGGTTCGATTTCTCGAAATTCCAAATGATTCCGGAATTTGTTCAGGAGCGACGATGCAATGCGTGGAACTGGACCGACGTCGTGTCCAGACCGTCAAACTCACCCTGACCATCGTCGCCGCCAACTTCCTTCTTTGGGCACCCTTCTGCATCACCAGCGTCATCGATGCCCTTTGGCCCGGTGCCCTCAGTCAGTTTCCCCAAAAACTTTGGCCTCTTTAAAAACAATCCTTCTTTCAGTAATCAACTATCTGTGTTATACATTATTGAAAGTAATATAACGCATTTCAAAAATTGAGCCAAACTTCTCATTTCAATGGTTTTTTTTGAAAGAAAGTCTCGAAGCTTGAAATATACACGTATATCGGCATGAGTCATTTCAAGGGACCTTTTTCTGAATAGAGTCGGTTTCAGACCCGACGTTTGCCACCTACATCATGACGTTCGGAAACATCAACAGCTGCGTGAATCCCTGGCTCTGGTTCCACTTCAACCGTCCGCAATTGCGTCGTGCGATGCCCTGCGGCAAAACCACCGAGCCGTTCATCGCCTCGTCAGTTTCCTTTTCGAATCTTCAGGAATTCCCTTCAAAACTTTCAAAAAAAAGTTATAATTCTCATGAAACATTGCATCGTGACTTTTCCTCTTGACATGTTTTGTATGTGAGAGCTTGCGTTGCGGTGAATTCGATCTCGAATCGTACTGTCCGTTCTTTTTTCTTATCAACGAAACAGCACTGCTAGTTATATTTCTGAATTGTTTCCTAGTATAAGCCGGAAATCGATACGTAATAACTAGCCATTAGTGAGAAAAACCCCTAACAGTTGGCTAGAAAAACAAGGTTTAGACTTTTTTCCAGTCAGAAAGTCACCCTAAGAAGATTGAATTGTCTGAATTAGAGAGGTTGTCAAGAAAATATTCAGACTTTTTTCGAAGATTATTTTATTTTTTTCGCAAAAGAGAATGATCAACTTATGTAACTTTGGAATTTATTCCTCGAAAAATTCGAAATTTTTCGAAAATTTCGCTGTAGATACGCTGCAATATATCAGATGTGTGATCAGAGGTCATATGCATGAAAGTTTGCGGTTTATAAATGCTCGGTTGTGAATGAACTTTGAAAAAAAAAATTTTAAATGCTCAATATTTGCTTATCACAAGTTTTGAGTTTTGAAGCCGTCGGGGCTTTGCGTTTTTAGACTGGGAAATTTCATGAATGAAGAAACTGGATGTGATGCTACAAAAAATCAAAATTTAGAAGCAACCCAAATCTAACTTCATTCTTAAGTTTCTGATGTGAAAATATGCGCTCTGTTTCATGATTAGCCGAATTACGCAGAACCGCAAGTAACGTATACGACGTTCGCCGCGATTTGAAACTTTTCGAGTGTCTGCGTCTCTCTGTTCCCTCATCGGCGATTTCAGAGAAACATGAAAATAGCACGTAATGATATGTTCAAAGTAATTTTGACGAAATGCAAAATTATCTCTGAGTTATTTTTTTCTTTCTCTTCACTTTTTGGATTCCGCGGAATCACTTGAAAAAGGCGTGAATATTAGAGCGTTGCCGAGAGAGCAAGAGGAAGTAGAGAAAAACATCAGTTTCAAGTCGCGGCGAACGCGGGAAAAAATTTCAATAAAAGCATCTTGAGTTTTGTTGCAATGGTCAACGCGTCTTGAAATGCCGTTTTTGCTCGACGAGTTTGGAGTTGCAGCCGCCGGACAGACAACCAGAACACGGAGATGACCAACGACGCGAACAACGGATCCGACTCGAAAGGATCGCTCTGAGCACCGTCCATGCACAAATTGTCTGCAGCACCCTTGCCAGTTCCGCTATTCGTGCTCTGTCTGCTGTAAGTTTCCGACTTTCCCTGTCGATTATCCGACTTTTGCCTAAAAGTTTCGAATCCAAAAGTCAAAAAAACATCTGTTTGGAAAATTAATTGGATTAGTCAACTTCAAAGAATGATCTTTCTCAGTTTTGCTTTGGAAAAAAGCTTTAAAAAAACGACATTTTTCTCAAAATGTTTTTTCCATCGTCAAATAAAATTTATGAAGAGTCATCAAAATCAAAGCTATTGCTTCAAAGAAAATTTCGAAAAACTAGAATTTTGGGGCTTTATTCTCAGTATCTAAACAATCTCAAGTTTGCGAACTTCAGGTTCTTCAACTAACTAATCAATGTTCAAATGAGAAAATTCCAGAGTAAATGTAGAATATGTAAATAAGCGTGATAGATCACGTTAAAAGATAGACCAAGGAAAAGTATAAAAGGAAAGAATTATCCAGCGGGTCTACAACCGACTTCTCGAGCTCCCCACCGCATCTCCCGACTCCGAGCCTACTTCGCCTCGCGACGAAGACGCTCTACAACTTCATTTTTCCACACTTTTATATCTTTGTGCGTGGTCAATGAGACAGAACGTCACACCAAATATTTATTATTGAGGTGTGGAAAAATGAAGTTGTAGAGGTGCCTATTCGTCGCGAGGCGAAGTAGGCTCGGAGTCGGGAGATGCGGTGGGGAGCTCGAGAAGTCGGTGGTAGACCCGCTGGATAATTCTTTCCTTTTATACTTTTCCTTGGTCTATCTTTTAACGTGATCTATCACGCTTATTTACATATTCTACAGTAAAATAATCTTTTCTGACTAGTGAGAAAATTTTAAATAAATTGTACCTTTCTGAGCACTTTCGCTGTGAGAAAGTCTTTCGATTTGAGAGAAACACGATTTTCGATGAATCTTTTCTTGAAAACAAACAAAATGAGCATTTTTCAGAACTTCCTGCTACCAACCTTCGATTCGGCGACCAGTCAAAGTAATCTATACGGAAAAAAAGCCGGTCAAATTCTCCAAAAGCACACATTTTTAATGATTTTTTCTTTCTATTTGAAAGTTTTTATTTCATATCAAGTTTCCTACATTTTCTCGGCACTCTCTAACATATCATTCATCCTCTCAGATCTCACAGAAATGCATGATCTCTTTTACTTTTTCCGTATAATTTTTCTCTTCTAACACCTTGTTTAATGTGAATTTACAATATTTAAACTTTCAAACCAAATGAAAAAATTTATTGGAAAAGTGTGATTTTGTTTTTTGGGAAAAGGGACACATTTAAGTTGATAAGTTTATTAATAATTAAAAAAACAATTCGGGTAGAAAGATAAGTTTTAAGTAAGTTTTATCGAAGATACCTGTTAAAGTTCACCCGAAATGTCGAAACGAAAGCGCATTTAAATAGAATATTTTGAACAGAGATTGGAGTTTGTAAATATATAATTTCTATCGGAAATTGCGACTAATGAGAGAATTAGGAAGAAAACTAATCAAAAAAAAGGACAAAAAAGAACGGGGTTGAATCACATTTAAGAGAATCGGTCAGATCAATCTGGCTGGAAAATATAACAAACAAAAGAAGGGAAGGGATCGGCGAGTGCAGAACACGTAGAGCGAAAAGTTTGTCGAAATGAACGAGAATCGCTATTTTTTTTGGCTGCGCCTTCACTTGCGTTGACGCCTTTCAGGATCCCTCGATGGAAGATTCTAAAATGTATACTATTTTAGAAATAATCTCTTTTTCTGGAGCATTACCACGCCAGTACACAAAAAATTCTCATTAAATTTGAAATAAAATGACGGCAGATGTAATCTTAATTTGAATAGTGAAATTTTCTATGAATTTGTCCCGAACGCTCTTTTAAACTAATTTTTTGAAGTTACAAACTTTGTTTTAGACCTGATTTTGCGGTCAAGGCTATGCAAGTTTTTCGGCAAATCCATGAAAAATTTCAAACTTCTTTATGAGAATGCGTGACTAACAAGTAATTGTAAGTAAAGAATATATTTTAAAAAAATTATATATAGGTTTCTCTCAATTATAATTTCTAAATAGAAAAATTTTTTTTATGAAAGACTACTAATTATATGAAAGGAAGAAAAAAAAAAATAACCGAAGAGTTGTCGTGGCCTTTGTTATCGCGGAAATTCGTGGTTGAAGCCGTCGGCAATGCAGATGAACGAGACTGACCCTTAAAAAGGCTCATAGAAAGAGGATTTCAGACGTTAAGCCTTTTTAGCTATTCAGCAAGTTAAGAATCGTTGATTGAAAAGTTATAACTCTTGATTTTGCTTTAAAGAAGATAAATTACCGAATAATTGCGATCACTCGGGCCTCGGTCTTCATGAATATTCGAGTTGGGAGGAGATGAAAAGTGACTTTCTCGATTCTGAATCAAGATGATTTTTTTTTGATTTTATATTAGTACTTGAAAATATTTTCATGGTACATAAGTATTTTCTTGTTCTCTTTCACTGCAATCTTAACACATACTTGAGTGAAACTTCTGAAAAGATGTTCAAGTGCTCAATAACATTACATCTTTGAAATGAAAAGTTCATATCTTGCTTCATCGACAAAATAATGATGCCGGAGTTCAAAAATGTGCATAAAACTGAAATATTGTTCTTTTTAAAAGAAGAACATGATATCAAACCACCAGACGGATTTTCATTGATGAGCTTTTGTATACCTTTCGCAGCTCTGAGATGAAACTTGGTTTAACTGAATTGTCTAGCTACATGCTCAAAAACCGTAAAAAAAAAAGAAGGACTGAATCGAAAACTGACGGGCAAAACCGGCGGAGGTGGGACAGCGAAAACTCTGCTGGAAGAAGGCCCTTCACAAGCTCTGTTCAAAGAATCGCCACTCTGCTGGCGTTGTCTGTTCGGAGTTCCTTCATAAGTCAGCTGCGGCCTCGGCACCGGTTGCGGCACTGGAATCTGCTCCGGAGGCGGACGCGACGGCGGCAACGGAATGTACTGCGGCAGCGGAGGCGGCACTGGCATCAGTCCCGGAGGCGTATAACTTGAATAATTCGGGTATTCTTGCTGCATGGCTGCAAAACTGCCGCAGATAAACAGAAATCGACTAAATCTTGACTAGCAAAAAACTATAACTCAGATATTTTTTTCCTGAACTGTGCACTCAAAAAAAAACTTGTATCCTAAAACTAAAATTAAAAATAAAATCATTTTTCGAGGTTCGTCTTTAACATAGGAAATAACTTAACTTTGCGGTTTGGATTTTCTTACCAACTCTCTTAGAAACTCTCTAAATGTCTAGATGAAGATCCATCATAGGCGTTACCTGCGCTAACTTCCAGTATCAGAGTTGCAATATGCGCTAGTTTATAGATTTAAAAAAATAATTAATTTTTGGAGTTCATCTAGACATTCAGAGATTATTTGATCAAATCCGTATAAATTTCCGAACCGCGGAGAAAAAAATGACCTCCCTTTGTAAAATAAATTTGAAACGGCAGAAAAAAATTATTTTGAGTAGTAAATTAACCCCTAACAAACTGAAATTTCAGAAGCTCGACGAATAAATCACAATAAAAATTATCAGTGGTATGGTCAATATCATGATTTATAAAACAGTTTTTTTCTCATTCGAACATTATCAGATTCTACTGGCCGTACGCTTCTGATATTTAAAAAAACGTAGCATTATTTTTTTTAATTTTAAAAAGTGATGCTTACGATTCCTCCCTTTGTGTTGCGAAATACGGTTCGTAGAAAAACATCTGAGGGTGGTAATAAAAACCCGGATTTGGACCTTGAGGCATCGACTGGTGGTAAGGCTGATTCGGCCAATTCGGCTGCGGCATGAGCATCTGATGCGGATTTCGCGGAATTGCGACTACGCCCGAGTTCTGCGACGCAGCCGTAGTTTGACTCGGAAGCTGGTGATTTTTGTCCGGTGGCGGTTGGTGTGAATCGTTCGGCTTTCGTTCTCTTCCGGGCTGAGGCTGAGGATCCGGGTTAGCCGCAATCAGCTCAGCCACGTTGGAACTGTTTTTCTGGCCTTCCGCTGCAGAAGCAGAAGGTGGCTGCGTTTGAGCTGGCGCAGGAGCTCGAGGAGCTCGAGCGACGACGTTGGCCCGTGAGAAGCTTGATTTTTCCTTTTGGCGGTCATCTTTAGTTGGAGGTTGAGGCCGCTGAACGTTTGCAGATCGACTTGGAGGTACAGGCGTAGATTCGGAGTTTTTCGAAGAGCCGGCGGCGACGCGTGGCTCGTGGGAAGACGTCGTAATCCAGTTTTCGAAAAGCGTGTGAGCCGTCGAGGCCGGCGCCGCCGGCTTCGGTGCGGCTTTCTGGCGCTCCATCGTTTCTTTGACTTGCTCGGTTATTGAAACCTGGAAAACGTTTTTTTTTTCTTGGTACAGGCGAAAGTAGGGTTAAAAATTGATTTTAGAAAGTTTCCAAACTAATGACGATGGAAAAATACCGGAAAAAAACATTGCCTTCTTCACGATCATTTTTTAAAACTATCGAAGGAAATTCGCAAAAAACTTTTTTCTAAAAAGTTCTTGGTTTTAACTGTTCATGGGTTCACTACTGAAATTTTCCCATCAGGACATTCGTTTCAAATACTAAAAATTTCTTTTTTTATTAAGTGAAAATAACTCCCGCTAAACTCGACAATAAAACTCCATTTTCTAAATTCAATTATAATAGATGAAGATTTGAGTTGTGAATAAAAAAAAACAAACTTGTTGCGCGGTGCATTTCGCCAGGAGCTCTTCTTCTTTCCGGATCTTCTCTCGATCTCGCACCTCCAAACTCGCCTTTATCGCTTTTTGTCTGTTTTGAAGATCCAGAAGGTCGTCCATTGTATCGTCTCTTGCTTTTTTCGCTGCGGAACCTTCGTCGCTGTAGCCCGGATGGCGTCTTTTGTCGGCGCTTGACGGCTGAAACCCTTCAATATTGCCCTTTGAAAATAAGAAGCTTGATATAACCGAAAAAATATTTTTGTGTCATAAGTGGCTCAATATTTTCATTTCACGTTTTCTTACTTTTAGGTTTTATTTGATGTTCATTTTAATTTTTGATGACCATTTAAAGAGAAAAGTTTGGAAAACAAACTTTTTGTCGATATCAAGGTCATTTCATGGCCAAAGCATAATGCGCCTCCTATTCGAAAAAAATCGGATTTCTTTTTGACTTTTGGAGCTATTTTTCTTTTTTTATTTAACTACTGAATGTTGAACAAAAAAATTCAGCCAAAAAAACCGGAAAAAAAGAGTCGATAAAGATTTTTTTAATAATTAAAAAAACCTGAGGTGGCTCTATAATTATGTGGATTGGAAAAACGCCATTTTTCGAAAAAAAAAAATGGACTTTTTTCTGCAGCCGGTTTTTAAGTGAATTTCTTTATATGCGTATACATAATGAATCAATCTTTAAAAACTCTTGATAACCCATCATCAGAAATGCGGAAGCAACTTTTTTCAAAGTCATTCCCTCTTACTGTAGCCGGGTTACGGTAGTGGGTGGCCACTTGTTGGTTTTTTGGTCACTTTGAGCACAAATGCCATTTGCCGTAAAAGTTACTACTCTCAAAGATGTGTTCTTCCATTAGTGTCAATTTGATGCCATTTCATGGGGAGATTTCGAAGAACATCATGTCGCGAAATCACGCCGAATGCGCGCAACTTAACCTCTCGCCCCAAGAGTACGTCTTGGGAAATGGTCAAAATTATTTTTTTCTTGTCAAACTCTTGCTGAATGTTAAACTTGGAGCTAAATCCCCTGTGTTATCGTTTAAAGCCATTTACAGGCAAATAAGTCGACTAATTAGTTGAAATTTCGTTTTGAACGAAAATTTGGTCTAAAAACGTAAGTTTTCGAGGTTCAATGCCTTGCCTTTTTTGGAGGTTTTTCCACAAGACCCTTCTGTCATCACTTTTTTATTTTGAACCTACATCAACCAAGTCACTTTTCAAGTCGGAAAAATCGAACTTTCGCAAGACCATCGGTCTGAATTTACGTTTTTAACGTCATTTTGGTCTCTCGGTGCTCCTCGGAGCCCAGCATTGTGAAAAGTTTTCAACAGAGTCGAGGTTTGTGGCTCGCAATGATTCGACCGCTGAAGGTCTTGCAAAACACGTTTTCAAGCAAACTTTACCTTCAAAACAAATTTACCTTTTGAGGTAATTCTAAATTTAAAAGAAAAAATTTATTAATACAAACATAACTTACGCCAGCGCTTGGTTCTCCGGGGGACCTCGCGTCGTTCCACTGAAAAAAGGATCATTGAGAACTCGTCCAGGAAGGAAAGAAAAACATGTTCTGAAGGCGAGCAAGGATAACGGTTGGGGCTCGCCGAGCCCGCCCTGCTCCCATGATAATTAAAAGACTTGTTTGGCGACTTTGCCGGCGGCCTCAGATCAGCCCCGTCTTGGATGAGGTATTTCATTTTCTGGCTGGGTGGCGGACGACGAACCGTCGATGAACGGTCGGTCGGCGTCTTGTTGCCCCCTGAAAGAAATTCTCGTCAATTCAAATCCTGCTGAAAAAGTCTTTTTTTCCCCAAGACCAGGTACGTGCTGCAGTCGATGCGGGATTACCAAAACATTGAAAATTTGTCATAAAAGAATATTTCCATGCAATTTTACTTGAGAAAAATCGCAATAATAGTTTCCACGTGAAGTTATCGACGCTCACTATTAGAAATTCGTAGTTTTCAGGTCATTTTTCTCTTCACTAAAAAAAGAGCCAAGAAAATCGATAAAATTATTTTTTCTTGAACATTTTTTTGATTCAGTTTTCTTTGATCGAGCGATTTTTGTTGCTGATTTTAAAGATAATTTTGTAGCTTTCAAGTTGTGAGAAGTTTCAAAAATCAAAGTGCTTCATTTTATCTGCCAGTGCACAAAAGTAGATTTGTGAAGAATTCTCGAAGGTTTTGGGACTTTCAAATGAAAACATGTTTGAAGTGTTGAGATGAGACCTTTTTCTACTCAGATTTAAAAAAAATTTTCTTAGTTTGATTTCATCAAGCTCACCAAACGAATTCCTAGAAAACTGCGGAACCGGGTTGACGGAAGGCGATTTAGATCGCGATCGGAAAGCGTTTGGAGCCTGAAGATGAGCATGAAGATGTGCGGCTTTTTCAGCTCAACTGACCGTTTTGTATGAAACGCCCGACCTTTCGCACGACTTCCCCAAACGCGGAAAGAAATTATCAGGCACCTGCAATTCCGAAAATTTTTCGCATTTTCTCAACTTTAAATTCCCCATAATAGCAAAACAGTTTACCCACTGTAATTCCCATGAAGAGTATATTATGATGCAAGAGATTCAGCGGAAGTGTGTTCAAATACTCTCAGATTTGTTAAACTAATCGGTCGCTTTTTCAAACAATGTTCAAAAAACTAGACATTAAAAAAGAAGAAGATGAATATTTTGAGAGACTTGTGAGCATAATCACAGAGAACGGATAATTATTTTCTAGTTAACAGGGTGAAACTATCTTCGTTATGATATTATCGCGCCAAATGTCGAGTCAAATAAGTTGGAATATTTATTTCAGGTTTTATTCCCTTTTTTTTTTCAAAGGTGGATAAACTATAACGGCATAATGTTTCTTTTTTCTGTGCGGAAATATCATTTTGTTCTGATAAAGATTGGATTGTCAAATAGAAAAGATAAAAAATAAAATGACTTACGACTCGACTGGCGGGCGGCGAGCCTCTCGATTTGCTTCGTGCTGCCTTTCTATTCGGCGTAGCGAACCTCTGCCTCGTGGGGGTTTTTCTAACGTGCCCTCTAGCATTTGGGCCTCCCGTCCGCAGCGGAGTGACTGCTCTCGAAGGCGTTTTCGGTTCGGCTCTTTGGTTTTTCGTGGCTGAACTGCCAGAGAAGTTTCTTTCAGGAGTTCTCGGAGCAGATCTCTGGCTAGACATCGATCTTTGCGCAGGTTCTTTCGAAGCAAATGGAGCATTTTTCTTTTTGGGAAGAACTGGTTCTGACGTCTCCGGCTCCACTTTTATGAAATCCGTCGGGTCTCCGCCAATTTGACATTCTTTGAAGTTCGAAGGACCAGGTCGGCACGGCACGGCCTTGTCCTGCGCAGAAAAAGCGTTCGACCTTCTTGCCAACGGACGGCCTCTCGATGGTGCTGGCGGTGTCGGAGGCACAACTTCTTGCGTCTCCGGTTCTTTCGACTCAGCTCTTCTCGCCCCCGGTCTTTTCGCCTCCGGTTCTTTCGACTCAGCTCTTCTCGCCCCCGGTCTTTTCGCCTCCGGTTCTTTCGACTCAGCTCTTCTCGCCCCCGGTCTTTTCGTCTCCGGTTCTTTCGACTCAGATCTTCTCGCCCCCGGTCTTTTCGCCTCCGGTTCTTTCGACTCAGCTCTTCTCGCCCCCGGTCTTTTCGCTTCCGGTTCTTTCGACTCAGCTCTTCTCGCCCCCGGTCTTTTCGTCTCCGGTTCTTTCGACTCAGATCTTCTCGCCCCCGGTCTTTTCGTCTCCGGTTCTTTCGACTCAGATCTTTTCGCCCCCGGTTTTTTCGCCTCCGGTTTCTCCGCACTTGGTTTTTTCGCCTAAAAACAAAATTACATTGCCAAAAACTTTTGCATATATATTTTCCCAATGCACAGAAATGTCGGTAATAAAACTTTCAGGTAAGCGAAAAAAAAACCCCCGGACTGAATCTTCAATTTTTGTGAAAAGTTCAGAAAAAGCTTCATTGTAAGACCCAAACGTTTTTTTGAATTTAACGAATGCGAAACTTTTTTGAGAAGGCGTTCTGTTACGAAAAAAATCGACTATATCACAAGGAACGGTAAAAATAAAAAGGAAAAATTAGACTCAACTTCAAGTGAAACTAATTATTTTATCAAACTCGAAACATTTTATTTAATTAAAACGAGGGAAAACGGAAATTTCTACTACATTATAACGGCATCAATTGCTATGTTTAAATATTAAAAATTTCACTAACTATGACAATGCGGTCTTGTTGGTTCAATGCCAAAAAAAAAAAATCAAGCTACCGTCTTGGTTTTTCCTTTGTGCACTCTCCAGTCAAAATATGAGTTTTAGGTGAAAATCTGGAGTAACTCACCCCCGTGTCCTCTTCCGCGTTAGTTTTTCTTCCTTTGGCGGAGGTTGTTGGCTCAGGAGTTCTTGATGACCTGGGTGGTCGACCACGTGGCTTGCTTCCTTTTTCAGACGTCTTCTTTTTCGTCGACGTCTCCTGCTCAGATTCCTCGGACGACGAAAACACGTAGCGAGGAGACATCGATAATCGCGAAGCCACTGATTTCTCTCGAGACCTCGAGCGAGTTGTCATTGAGTGCATCGAGGGCGACTTTGATCTCGCTACACTTTGTCGCTGTCGGGCTCTCTCTCGAGGTTGAGGATCTTGCAGTAGACGTGCGCTATCACTCAATCTGTCAAAGAGAGGTTTCATTTTAAATGGTCAACGCTATCGATTCGGCATGAGGAAAAAAGTTGAAAAAAAAATCATACAAAACCAGCAAACATAAGTTCAAAGAAAATTTGAAAAAAAAAGGTTGATCTTAAACCTCAAATGGGAGCAATTTCGACTCTTATTGCGCACAGTTCTATTTTCCATTGATTCGAGTCTGTTTTCCGCTCCAATAAAGGATGCACGAGATGTGATTTTTTGAGATTGAGACAAAAAATTTTCTCAAAAAAAATTTCGAGGCGAGAGCAAGCTCGTCTTGAGAATCAATACGAGATCGAGAGAATTCAAGACGAGATCGAGAAAAGAAATAAATAAATCTATTTGAATGAAAAAAAAGCTTAAGAACGATTTTAAAAAAAAGCGAAAACTTTGCGTAGCATTACCGGGCAGATAAAAAAGAAGCATAAAACGATAAGAATTCGTAACTGAACAATGATTTTAAAAAATGTCCGAAATAGCGAAACTTCATATTTCCGATTTTTTTTAAAACTGTTTTTTTGATCATTCATGTCATTTTACAGTCAAATTCCTTACTTACTTTGCTTTTGGTGCATCGGGGCCACCACATTTTACGCCAAATTTTTGTCTTCTTGCTCCCATTATTTATTATTTTTTTGTCTCGGAGATCACATTCAAAGACCTTATCTTATAATATTAAAAACCCTGATTAATACAAAAAGGGCTGGTTTTTTTAGATTAGAAAGGAAAGTTTGGTGTTTGCAAACGCTAGTTTGTTGAGTATTAAAAAATGATCCCCAATCAAGAAATTTTAGTTATTAAACCGTTTTCGTATACACGCACACACAAACATATACAAAAATATAATTATAAGCACTACATTGAAGTTGAAATCCGTCGTTAGTCAAAATTCGTGAAAAATGGACATTTACTAAAAAGAGCCAATGCACCAAAATTTTGTGAGAATATGTAATAATTTAGAATAATAATGAAACCATGAACTAGAAGTGTCAGGGGAAAAAAAAATGTAACTCACGGATCCACAGTGCCGAGAGATGCGATTTTATCCCTTTTGCAACCGTCCTCTGTGAGAAAAATTCATATAAATTTGAACATTTAAAACCAGAACTTCCAAAAAAATAGTCGTATTGCAAAGACAACACCGATGAAAACTTTTTTTCAAAGTAAATTTCGTTTTTGATTTTTACAACTTCGACAGTTTTCGCTGCTTTCTTAGCTTTGAAAATTCGTTTGAAAACAAGTCAGGAAACTCTTTAGTTTTCTCATTCAGTCTTATCATAATTCCTTCAAGTCTCACACGCGAACCAACAAAGAACATACCGCTGCATTCCAATGTGTTTTTATTGCAAAACTTCAGGAAATCTGCATGGTCGTTCTCGTCGAACTTCTGGACTTGCAAGTTGTGACGTGTTTTCTGAAAGAAAAAAGGAAATTAAACAAATTTCATTACGCTTACAGCTGTGCATGTAAACGTTCTGTCAAAGATGACGAAAGATTTCCCGCAGTCGCGACATATTAACGGGAAAATGTCTCCTTTTTTCGGGCTGAAGCAACAATTTCTTATGCCGTGTTCAGAGTGATTCCGCGAAATGCAAAATAGCCGTCAGAGAGAGGGAAAAAGATAAATGAGGAGAGTCGGAGATAATTTTGCCTTTTGCGGAAATTACTTGAACACGACATTATATTAATTGACAGAGGATCAAATATTCAAATAAAAAAAATAAAAAAATTACAGCTCGAGCCGACTGTGATTCAATACAGCTTTTATAGAGAAGAAAAAACCAACCACTTTTTGATGAAGTGATCGGCACAGTGTGTCATGAACTCCGTGATAGTGAAATCTTTGTCTGGCCGTTCTTCTTCAAAACAGTTTTGACAAAAAAGCCCACATTTTTTGCCTTTCATCCTGCAATAAAAACTTATTCAAAAACGATTGCGTACAAAGTGAAAAAAAAAATTATTCAAACGTTTCGCTTTTCGTAAAGTGCGGGCGTTTGAAAAATGTGAAACGAACGCCTTTTTGTGCCCCATCGCAAATTGATAAAAAAAGAGATTTTTTTGAATTTTTATGATTTGTTTGAAATACAGCAAAAACTTAACCTTTTCAGTTTTTTTATATAAATGGCGGTTCTTCTTATATATAAATCTTTGACAAAAATCATTTCTCCCAAAAATTTTTTTCATTATTTTTTTAATTCCCATAATATTTTTCTTCTTTTTCGCTTTCGGTTTATTACAGAAACTGTAGAAAGCTCTTCGGGAGAAGCTCAAATTTTTTGAAAATGAAATGGAAGTTCGTTATAATGGATTAATTGACTTTGTCATAATGCTTTTTTTGAGTCGATTTTTGAAGCAGTATAACTATATGAATTTGAGAAAAATTGAAAGAAGTGTCAAAAAAAAAGTTAAAACTGAAGAACACCCGTTTTGTTTATTCATATGTGATATATATCACAAAGTTTTGATAAATTGATCAATTTTCCAACTTGAAAGTTGAGATGGGAAAAAGCGTTGCGTACGCGACGCGGCTGTTGGCGGGAAGCTCGAGGTCAATGGTAACTCGCGTTTGACTCCGAGTTTTCCGCCAAAAGCCCCATCAAGTACGCAATGCGTTACCCTTGCCAATATGCCTATATCGTCTTTCGGATCGGAAAGGATCGCCTATATAAGTTCATGTGAACAAAAAAGATGAAAATGAGAATAGACCCGCCAAGGTGCCTGAGTAACTTTTCCTTCCTTTTTTTTACTTTTCTTCTATCCAAAGTTAAGACAAAGTTTTCCGTTTTGAAAGCTTCCGATCAAGACGCATTTATGAAACTTTGGCTAGGAAATGTTTATCAAGGGTTACTTGATGATTTAAAAAAATGTTGAAACAAAAATTTGAAATAGGTATGCATCCAAAAAGCAAAAAAATTTTTCAGAACCCGCAGCCCGCACTTCGCTTCAAGACCTTTGTTTCTTACTGTTTTAAAAGCAGAATTACTGAGAAAGCTGTTTTTAAGGTAGCGTTTTTTTTCTGCTTTTCTTCAAAAACGTGACCGCCACGCTCGGAACTCTGCAAACTTGCAAAAAAAAAAAACGAAAACAAAAACCATATTCCTTGAAGCGAAGTTGGTCAGATTTGATCAAATTTGGTATACATATACGGTCTTTTTGGCGGAAAAAAAAATCGTGAAAATTTTTTGTAAACGCTTCGTGTTGTTTTGCGGTGCGCATTCGAAAAGAATATTCTTGAACCACACTCAAAAATATTGATAAACAAAGTTGAATAAGATGTGTCCTGAGGGAATATAAAATTCATTCGAGTATTTGATATAGGCCATTCCGCGCCAGCTTGTCACGTTTTTCTTCCCACCAAAAGGCCAGGTCAAATTAGGACAACTTTGCTTCAAGACCTTTGTGTCTTGCCGTTATAAAAGCAGAAATTTGATCTAATTTGGTATACGGTCTTTTTGGCGGGAAAGAAAACGTGACAAGCTGGCGCGGAATAGGCTATAAAACAGGTCAGTAGGTCTCCCTCTGATGATCATCTATACTCAAACTAGAGTGGCCACTAGTGGTGATAAGTTAAGCGATAAGCGATGATATAAAATATTTTGTTGTAAGTAGTATATGGAAACTTACTCAACCATTTCCGCCGAGAGTTCCATGGTAATTTTCAGATTTTCTGTAAAAAAAAACATTAAATTCCAATCAACAGATTTAATAAAATAGCAAAGTTCATTCATGATTGTACTCGGATAATGTTCAATAAGGCTCTTCTCGGGCAAAACTGAAAAGCTCCCCAAAAGCTTTTCTCAAAAAAAAGACCTTGAAAGGGTCCCCAGCAGATCTTTTTCACATCATTTCAATTCTTTTTTGCATCTTTTTCACATCCTCTGACAAAAAGGATGCTGGAAAGCAACTAAAAAGATTCGAGAGGATTCAAAAAGGATCCTCTGAGGCTATGAAAAAGGTGCTCAAAAGCTTTTTTACATCATTTTAGAAGCTTTTAGAGGAAGCTTTTTATCTCCCTCTCAGGATCTTTTAAGGATCCTCAAAGGAACTTTTCAGTTTTACCTATGTTCGAAAAATGGGAGATTAGAGTGCGAATTAGACATATATATCATTGATGCGTTTTGGACCCGACCGAGCTGCGAATATATATTATCTTTTCAGAAATCGGAAAAATGAATCAAGTTGTGAAATTACGCAGCGCAAGTTAAAAAAAAACCAGATTTATATACCGCTTGCTTGTCTAAAAATCTACTGAGGGAAACTGTTTTGTTTTGCGTTGATTTCCTGTTTTAAAGATTTTTATCTTGGAATTCATTGAATTTCTTCGAGACGAGGCCAATCGAGTGTAGCGGCAATGAGTCACCTAAAAAACGCTTGCTCATACTAGACCGACTTTTTGGTCTGATTCTCTTCCCCCGCCTCCTCTCTCTCCTCCAAGCTCGGAGACGCGGCTGTTAAAAGATGAAAAAAAGGAGAAAAAATAGAAATGTGCGGGGCGATTCCAGAATAGTATAATTGAGAAAAAGGCCTAGGTAACACTTTAATGATTAATAGGAAGGAACTTAAAAATTGAAAATTAAAATTTTTATAAAAAGCTCTGATTGTTGGTGGAACCGTTTTTTTTTTGGATTCTGTTTCCATACTTTAAAATCGTGTTCTTTCAAGGAGAAATGAATCTCCGTTAACTGGATGCTTTTTACCAATGCGCAAGCTTTGAAAGTAGTAGGCTTTGGAAAAAGAAAAACTGAAAAAGCCGTGAAAATGAAAAAGATTTCAAGTGAGGATTAACTCAATTTTAAAAATTTTGAAAAATTTTTTTCATACAAGCTGAATTTATATAAATTTTGAGAAAAAAATTATCTTTTATAAATATAAAGTCGCAGAAAAATGGAAGAACACTACTAAAAAAAGTTTCATTATTTTTATATTTGAGGGTATTTACAGAAATGAACTTTTTAAACTTCAGAGTAAAGAAAATAACAACAAAAGGTTAAAGGAAAAAAAAACATGGCGGGAAAACTGTTTTCATTGAAGGACGCCGGCGGAGGAAAAAGGAGGGACGTTAGGGCGCGAAGAAATAGCACGTGATGGTTGCACACGCTTTCCGTTGAACGAATGCGAAAGTCGTTGCCAGTCCGCTGCACTGCACTACCGGGTGAATGTCAGATGCGTTTGCACTTCACCTCTGGTTCCTTTGCATTTGACCGAGAAAATCTTTCGCCTTTTACTAAAGATTTCCGTGCAAAGGAGCAATCTTATGAGTATTGCTCAATTTTTGGATTCCCCTCGAAAGAGCGGGATAAAATACAGTCTGTGTGCCACGACTTGATGTTTCGCCGAACGACATTCCGCTGTTCCGCTGCGCAGCTGGTTGCGTTCGTGAGGCGTCTTTCGAATCTAGGTCGTTTTCAATTGATTGTTTTTGCTATGGGAAGACATGAAGGAAGAGTACCTTGAAAAAAAAAATTAATGAAAAGCGCGTCCAAAGTTCGCAAAGGCGCGCAGCGGCAAAGCGGAATGTCGTTGGGTGAAATTCCAAGTCGTAGCACACAGACTATAATAATAATAACACCAGCTGATTATAGCGAAGTATCGCAAAAACTTTAATGCCTTTATCGAAACACGTTAAAGAGTAAAAAAGAAAACGAAAATTTCGGAGAGTCAGACATGATCATTCCAGAAAAGTGTGATATCATCAGCTACGAGCATTTCCAACCTATATGAACCTAAAGAAAGGAGAATTTCAAAGAGAGATCTCTTTTTTTTTGCTTATAGTAAGAGATCAGAAGATCTCTTGGCTCTTTTGCTGGGGCCAGAAGCCGATGACGCAACGGACCGTCACCCTCCAGACGCTCTTAAAGGCCATTAGAGCAGCCAAAACATAGGTGTCTGGCGCGAGGCAACCGCGCGGGCGGATTGATAGAGCCTGCGTCCTAGCACAGCTTCTCGCCAGACGCCTTCACTTTCCAAAGGCAAAAATAACCTTGTCTTTACAGAAAAGTTGGAGCCGACGGACCACGGGCGAGCCATGCAGTGCCATCGCCATTCGCGCCGAAGCGGACGCCGTCCTGCTTTCTCGTTCCCAGGCCATTCCCTCCCTTTTAATTTCTGTCATCTTTTGTCTGATTGTCTGTAGGATAAATCATTAATCTAAAAGGATTTTACGCACCCTTCAACTTCACTGTGGAGGTAGTGGAAATATAAAAATAACACGTAAACGCGAGAGAGTCGCCGAGAGAAAAGAGAGCGGAGAGAAATCAGCATTTCATTTTGTCGCAAACGGCAACACTAGAATTGGTCTGTTTTTTTCGAAGCTAGTTCATTCAAATCAGTTTATTTTCGCTTTACTCGTATTTTATTTTCTTGGAAAATTCTTTCATAATTTTATTAGGAGAATTGGAAATGAATGTGCAGATAATCAATGGTTGAAGGAGTCATTTCAGTCTTTGCAGCAGCTCTCCCATTTCCCAGCGACGCCCCAGCAGTAGCCCCAGTTACCGACGTGCTCATCTCCTGCAAGTAATGATTACAACTCTCATATTTGAGGAATCGGACCTTCGCATTCGTTTTGGGAACTGTGAGTGTGGCACTTGGTTCTGCGGCAAGTCTCGGCGTTCGTTGGAGCGAATCCGACGGCCAAAAGAGCCAGAATCTATAACGTAGAAGGAGACCGTTGAAAGATCTTAGGACAAAAAAATAAAATAGTACATAAAATTTTTAAATAAAATAATTTTTTTGATAATTTGTTTTCAACCGTTTTCAGCTCATCTTAAAACTGAATTCGCTTTTATAGCTTTTGGATTCCCAGATCACTGCTCAAATGTCCACAAATAAATCTGTTTGGTTATATTACACATCCAAGTCAAATAGAACAGATGATCGCTTTTTTGTAAAAGGAATAAAAAAAGTGTCCTCGAAATGAACGGTGTAATTGGTGATTGAACTCTTGTCGTTGTTGTTTGTTAGCTTGTATTCGGCAATAAAAGACTATAAAAGGGTGTATTTTGCGACAAGAGTAGTCTACTTCCTTCTCAGCAAAACTCCAGCTTTTTTTAAATGACTAATTTTAAATAGCATCAACTTTTCTTTTTTCAGATTCACTTCTGTTAAAAAATGCAGTTCACCACCGTCCTTCTGGCTGTTCTGGCTCTTTTGGCCGTCGGGATCGCTCCAACGAACGCCGAGACTTGCCGCAGAACCAAGTGCCACACTCACAGTTCCCAAAACGAATGCGAAGGTCCGATTCCTTAAATATGAGAGTTGTAATCATTACTTACAGGAGATGAGCACGTCGGTAACTGGGGCTACTGCTGGGGCGTCGCTGGAAAATGGGAGAGCTGCTGCAAAAACTGAAATGATTTCTTCAGCCATCTGCATTGATTATCTGCACATTCATTTCCATCATATAATAAATCATATCCAACTATTTTGATACCTAACAAGGAAAGTGCAAAAAGACATAGTTTGAGAATTCGATAAAACTTTGCTGAGATGTATTTCCAGATCCCCTGAATCGAGAAATAGAAAACAATTTTACGCATTTTGCCTGTTAGCGGAGTTATGGCCCCTCATAGTTTGCACGCAAGAAATGGCTTCGCACGCAAGAGCTAATATCACTCGCGACGTTGGCATTTCTTATATAGTCAATTTTTCCCGAATTGAAAGTCGAGAGAGGCGGGTAAAGGGGCGGGACGCGTACGCGGTTCTTGGCACGAGTTCAATTCGAACGCCAGCGAGCATTCAGAGATTTTTCGCTCTTTTCACTCCTTTTTTAATTATTTATTGATTATGTTCATGTGTGCATCGAAAAATAGTAGAAAATACAGAAAAAGAACGGTCGCCGAGCTTTTTAGATAGTCGGCGGCGATTGAATTGAACTGGCGCCAAGAACCGCGTACGCACACGCTACGCGTCCCGCCCCCTGCTCCGCCTCCTTCGCCTTTCAAGTCGGGAAACATTGACTATAACTGGCAGCGTGGTGTAGTGGTTAGCGTCATTTCAATGCGGAAGCTGTGGTCAGTGTACGAATCTGTTTTGGAAATTTTTTTTTGCGTTTGATTTTACACGGTCCTTCACTTCACATGATCAGGTGACCTTATTTTGAGAAAGTCCGAAAAAAAAAATTTAAAAGAGGGTTTTCTTGTTTAGAAAGAAAAGTAAGTCGTTTTAGTCAAACATTCAATTGAAGAAAATCAATAAAAAGGACTTTAATATGAATAATGGCGAGTTTTTGGTAATGAAAAATGATCAAAAAGGGACATTAGTCGACAATAATTTGATCAAGACGAAAATTGTTGAAGAGTAAGCCCAAACGATTTTAAGTCGATAAATATTTGAACAGAGTTCGAAATAAAAAGTTTTTAATCAAACAGATCATTTAGTCTGTGTGCGACAACTTGAAGTTTCCGGGAACGACGCTCCACTGGGTGGCCTTGCAGCCGTGAAAGCGTCTTTGCCTTTGCAAAATTCGGTCGCGCTGTCCATTTTTTTAAATTTCAAACTTTCACTGTTTTAATCATGTTTTAATAGTTTTCATTGTGAAAAACTCATGATTACCATTGCTAGTGAATAGGCTGTTTCATTAGAAACGCAAAAAGTTGAGTACTTTTCAAATTTTGAACAAAAAATTGCGTTTATGATATTCGACAGTTTTTCATGAGATGGTTCTTGATTTTGTTCGATAAAATACTGAAAATACATCTCAGCATAGTTTTGTAAAACTCTCAAACTGTATTTATTCGCACTTCCCTTGTAAAAATGAAAATATAATGAAATGCCATATAAATAAATTTCTTTTACGTGTTCATGGAACAAAACATATCACGGTGTTTCTTTTGCGACGCCCCGCCCACTTTTCTCCGTCAATTAGGACGTGTTTAGTGCATGCACAAAAAATTTGGAAAATAAGGTTAACCGATGATATAAGTGTGAGAAACGAATGAACATTGAAGAAAAAAAGACGAGGAAATTAAAAAGAGATTAAATAAAAATATATTGCTGTGGAGAAACAAAAAGATGGGACAGTCTATATATATATATAGACTGTCCCGAAACAAAACTGCATGCTTCAAAACAATTAATGGATTTTGAAGCAACTTTGTCGCTGAAGACCACTTTTTGCGATGATATGAAAAAAAGCCAGCGAATTTTGAGAATCCTTTTCCGACTTTTTCCATCATTTCTTCCGGTTTATAAGACATTTTTCCCTTTTTTTTGTGTTTTAAGCATTAGTTAATTAACGTTAACGGTTAACGTTAACCACCTATTTGATTTAAGACAATTCAAAACGAAGAGATTATCGAGGAAAAAAAGTCGCAAAAGGAATAGTCGGAAACGTCGCTGTCGGAAAGTTTCCTAGCGAAATGAAAAATCGGAAAGTCGCCTTTCGAAAATTTACTGGCTTTTATTTAATACCTCCTTTTTGCGTTTTGGTTTCTGTTCTGCATGCAGATGCATTGAACAAGCCAACAATTTTTTGACTCATCACTTATTTTATTGGTCAGTTGTGTTGTTTTTTCTCTCGTTAAAATAATGTGAAATTTTGAGTTTCATTTTATTGTTTGATCAACTTCATTTTTTATTTAAAAAAGTTTTTTTTCCTTTTCAGTACAAAAAGTTTTTTTTTTTCGTTCACGTTTCCGTGTCTTTGAAATTTTCTATTTTAGATTCCCATCGCCTTTTCTCTCATTTGCATCGTACAGTAGAAATTTATTGGTAGCTGCTTTGGATTGCATTTAATAAATGCAAAAAAATTAATAATTCAATCTGTTAATGAGAAAATGTGGAAATGCTAATAAAAAGCGAAAAAGTCCATTTTTTCTGGTCTTTCTTCAAATGGCATCTTCTAGATTGCTTTTACGTACAGTGAGTTTTTGCTTTGTTTGGGCGATAGTTTATATTATGCTTTTTTTGCCGTGACTTGGGCCAGATCTATTTATCTGCGTAGTCTTCATCCTGTGCAGCTCTCGCAATCATTCTTCTCTTTTCACTTTTTTTGTGCAGAGAAAAGAGCGCAGACATGTCAGGCTGTCTCAAGTCATGGTGAAAGAGGAAGAAAGAACTGCTGTTTCAGGTCTTGACAATCTTTGCTTTTGACGCCATCAATGCACAGGTTAATGGGCAGAAACAACTGAGAGCGAAGGAACTTTCAGAGTGTCTGGGGAAGTTGGAAAGTCGACGTACCATGCACCAAGGATTGCGGATTCTGCGGCAACATGACAATGTCTAGAACCTGCCAAGACAAGGGCTGTCCTTGCAAGTGAGTTATAGCTGAATCACGGCTGGCTTGAGCCATCGAAAAAATAGTCCTGGCACGATAATGCACGAGATAGCGCCTGGCTCGTGGAGAGCGCAGACTGGACACGCCCCTTAGCGTCCCAAGCTGGCCGTGAATCAGCTATACAAGGATGGGAGTTAGCATTTTCCGTTTCTTCAAAAGCATTTGCAGTTTGAACAACTTGAAAAATATGAAATCAAAGGAGTCCTCGAAACTAAATAACAATAAAAAAAAATTTAATCTCAGAATTTTTTTTTTGCACAAGACCAACTTATTTCCAGAGGAGAGTCTACTTATACCGGCCCTTGTGGTGGTCCAAAAATGTGCGGTTTCCCGCTAACATCTTGCTGTAAACCCTCCAAAGTGATCTCCGGAGTCTGCGGCCCGACTCCACCAAACTTGCCGGACACGAGTTTGGTTCCTGTGCCGGAGTGCTGTCCTGGCGGAACCTGGAGCGCCTGGAGCGAGTGGAACGGTGGCTGTCCTCAGGAGTGCGGCATCGTCGGCGTCTCCATCATTCGCACACGCGTCTGCACTTCTCTCACCGGCGAACCATCTTGTCCCTGCTCGTCAGTTTCAGATCTTGCAGTTAAAAATTGCACCTGGCCAGGCCTGGGTTTTTTTTCTCGCAAAACTGGTGCTTCATAAAGTTTTGCCCTGAAGTCTGTAAGACGAGAGAAAAAAACAGGAGCTTTGCAGTATATATTCAAATTCTAAAAAATTAAAAAAAAATGGAGTATTTGGTAACGCGTCTTAGGGTTCATACATCCCAAGCACCCTAATTCACGAAATGTTTTCATTGACCAATTAAAAAAAAACGGTGTGCTCATGCCGTGTCCAATGTAATTTTGGCGATTTTGAAATTAACGCATTTGAAATAGGCAGAATTGGTATTCCAGGAAGGCGCAAAAAAAAAAAAGACGACTCCCATAACGATATATCGGTAGATATACATTTTTTTAATGTAACTTCTACGCATGAACTCGAAATTTTAGAACTAATTGGGCATTTTTTACGAAAGTTTCGAATTCGCGCATAAACCCCTCGTATGAATGCACATCTCCTTTGTTCTACGCCTTGACGGAATACCTTTTCTGCCTATTTCCCGAAATCTTTTTAATCGAATAACGGGTCAATTTTGAAATCGCCGAAATTACTTTAAACACGGCATCATGAAAATTTCAGGATCATATTTTCAGAGGCAGCGACATCGAAACTAAAGATTGTGTGAATGCAAATTGCCCACCTCTACCCTCGCCGAAATGCTGTTTGGCTACAGGTTTTTCTAATTTCAAAGGAAAATTGATTTTTTCAAAGCCGCTTGTGGTTTCCCAGGAAAAGGAAATTTATTTTCGTCTTTTTAAATTTCTTCGTTTTTTATTGCACATTCCGACAAGGAAGGTTTCAGTGTGAAACTCGGTTTTCTGAAAATTTGCTCAAACATTCTCTGACAGTCCAGACGACTGGTTGAAGATCCCTCTTAGTAGTTGCCTGTGTGCAAATTTGAAGTTTTGAGATTTTATTTTCCGAAATTCGATTGTAACAGAAACAGGTCGTTAATATTTCAAGGCTCTGAAAGAACATTGTTTCCAAAACTAGTCGCACAGGTAGACACTATGGGGAATCTTCATCTGGACCTTCAGTAATTTTTTTGAAACTTCGGATGGTTTCAAAGTGTTCACTAAAATGATCTTCTGTGAGTTGGAAAGACTGCTATTCATAATTTTTGTTTCTCTTGTGGAGGAATCTGGAGCGAGTGGTTCGAAACGAAACGCTGCAACCGCATCTGCGGCTCTTGTGGGTACGGAGAGAAGAGAAGGACGTGTTTGAGTGAAGCGGATGGCTGTCCTTGCATGCGAGTAGACGACTGAAAGTCTTGAAACGTTTTGTTTTTGCAGAGGCGACAGTACTTACCAGGGTCCTTGCGCGATAGCTGTTTGCAACATACCTAACTGGAATCTCTGCTGCGACGGATTTGTACCGTTGACCGATCCGAAGACCGGAATGAAGTACTGCGGGCCCCTCGCCCAGTTTCCTCTGACCTACGAAAATCCGACAAAATGTTGCACAAATCCGGACGGAAACTGGAACTCCTGGAGCGAATGGACGCCCTGCAGTCATACCTGTGGCCTTTGTGGAATCAAGAAAAAGACGCGAACTTGCGAATCGGCGAAGTATGGATGTCCATGCAAGTGAGCAGATATCAAAGCCATTTCTGTTAATTCGAATAATGCGTTTTTAACAGTATTGTACTACTTTCCGGTTGGTGCTAGAACAGAAGCGCGTCTTCCAGTTCCGCCTTTTTTCCATTTTGTTTTTGAACTTCATCAAAATTAATTATAATGAAAGCGATAAAAAAGCATTAATTATCCATCATAATGGAAAGACTCAAATTATTGTCAATTTTTCCCGACTTGAACGGCGACGAAGGTGGAGAAGTGAGCATGACGCGTAGCGTGCGCGTACGCGTACGCGGTTCTTGCCACGATTTCACTATTTTTAACGCACACATGCAAAAAAAAATCAATAAATAATTAGAAAAAAAAATGAGAAGAGCGATAAACGAGATGTCCCAATATTCGATGACGTTTGAATTGAATTTGTGCCGAGAACCGCGTACGCGTCATACTCTCCGCCTCCCTCGCCGTTCAATTCGGGAAAAATTAACTATAAAAAGCAGACAAGCTATTCGAGAAAAAAGAACGCGAACATTTCCTAGCACCCTCCGGTAAATGCCAACTGTTTCCTGGTATTCACCTGACAACTATTTTGAAGCTCAGGAATAAAAAAAAATGAAAAAAGAAACTATTTGTCTTCTTGGACTTCCCTGAATTTTTGCTCGAACTTTCTTTGATTTACTTGATTCTGACAGTCACGGCCTGTATATCTTTTCGATAGCAGACCACCCCCTTTAAAGTCGAAAAATGCTATATTTCTGTTTTCTATCACCTCCAACATATAACTTCTAAATTCTCCAGTTTTACAGAGGACCTTCGAGTGATGTAGAGTTTTGCGAGACGGTTGCTTGCCCTGGAGACATGTGCTGCGCGGGCGACGTCAAGAAGACCTCTCAAGGAGCCACCTGCGAAGTCAACTTCGGATACAGTTCGCCACCGACCGACACTTGCTGTCCATCTTTAGGTGGGCGCTTTTGGAATCTGAGGAAATAACGGTTGCTTAAAGGGATTTGGAGCGAGTGGACCGTGTCCGTTCCGTGCAACGACACCTGTGGAACTTGTGGATACACGGAGAAGTACAGGACCTGTATTTCTGATCTTTACGGCTGTCCTTGCGCGTAGGTTTTTTGGGTTTCATGTTCGTTTTCTCCTGAGAAGAAACATCACTTAGTCAGATGAACAAGCTTGTTTTTGAGGTTTTCAAAGGCACGTCAGTCTTTTCATGAATTTAAATAACACTGAAAAGCATTTCGAAACTTTTTTCACTTTTTCTTTATCTGTATGCTCTTTTAAATACTCCAGCAAAATCAGAGAAGACTCCAAATGTTTTGAACACTCGGCTCAAAGAGTATTTAAAATAACGATAAAATGTTTCTTGAAAGCCTTTAAAATTTAAAACCAGCCTACAAGTAGGCACCCTTGAAACGTTAAAAATGTAGCTTTTATCTAAGAAAAAAATATCCCATAAATCAGCTACAATAAACTTTTTTTTCAGTGGATCTGCCAATTACAAAGGCAGCTGTGCACAGAACGTATGCCTATTCCCACGCACATCATGCTGTCCGGGATTCACGAAGATGATAAACTCAAAGGAGAAGCTTTTCTACTGCGGCCCAATTGTCGGCTACCCGGTAGACCTGTCTACCGGCGGCTGCTGTCGCGACGGCTTCGTCTCACCTTTTGTGAATCCAGTGCCGGACTGTCAAGCGAACGACTGTGGACACTGTATGCACGCCACTTACAACAGGACGTGCGCATCGGAAAAATACGGATGCCCATGCAAGTAAGAGGGTAGTGTCCAAGAAAAGTCAGCCCTGAAGTTCAGGCCAATGATTTTTAGACCAAGAGTCTTCGGGAAGAAATCCTTTTTTTTCTAAATGATTTTTCAAAAATATTTTTTTTCAAAGTGCCACATATAGGATGTTCTACGCAAGTAGTCAAAGATTTCAAAAAGCTAGCCGAAAATGAAACACTTCATATCAAGCTGACCTTTGGAGAATATATTTCGGGACCATTAATTAGTAGGCCATTTCGCAAGTTTTCACAATCCTTTTTTATTCACAAGGAACATCACTGTTTTCATGATTTTCAATTTTATTGAAATAGGAAAATGTGTATTGAATTTAAAAAGGGGCTTAAGAAAAATTTTTCCGCCCAAGATTTTTTTAAATTTTTGTACTTGCATCGAATTAAAGCTTCTCTGCAATGTTTTTCTCCAGCTGTTAATGAGGGAAGTTGGACTGGTGTCAAAAAGTAGTCGTTCTCTTGTCTTATTTGTTTTCTTATAGTTTTCGAACAAACAATTTGAAAAATACTGAACTCTATTCCATCTCTATGTAGAAGTGATATTAGTTTTTTTTTTTGGCTGGTTTTCCGAAACCATAAAAAAACTTGATTTAGCTTACTTTCGTGCTTACCAGGTTGAAACAACAGTATTCGGTGTCGTGCTCAGCAACTCCATGCAACTCGACGCTGCCGTGTTGCGAAGGAGTTCTGCAGAAAGATTTCACTGGAGCCCAGTTCTGCGGAACTCCGCCGACGACGGCTTGCGACCTGACCTGCTGTCCTCCGTCTGGTGAGGCTTCTTTGAGATCTGAAAGAAGTATCTCCTTCCTTCAGGCGGCATCTGGAGCGAGTGGACGGCGACTGCTCCTTGCAGCGAAACCTGTGGAGGCTGCGGAACGCAAACGTTGAAAAGGACATGCCTTTCCGACCCTAATACCTGTCCTTGCAGGTTTTTCCATTTTTTTTCAGACAAACACTGTGATTGAGTTTTGTACATTGCATCTGAAAACCCTCTTGGTTTGTTTAGGTTGCTTAGCTCGTGTATCACATTGAAAAGACATGGAAACGTGTATGAAGTCGAGATTCTCATAAAAGCCTTTTTTTTAAACTCATTGACCTCTTTCAAATTATAAAATTAAAAAAACGGAAAATTTGCAGTGGAATACCAGAAATTGTGCAGAACTGCAATTTCGATGTGTGTCTGTTCCCGAAGATTTCTTGCTGTCCCGGATTCACCAAAATGGCTTGGCACAAAAACTTTATATGTGGACCAAAGCCAGCCGATCCTGATCCGCAGCTCGTTTCGACCTGTTGCAGAAACAGACGTGAGTTTTTTTTTTTGCGCACACGATATATGACACTGTCTGAATGAAGCCGCGTTCAAAAAAGATTTCGAATATTTTGGAAAGTCAGAGATTACAGGGTCAAAGTCGAAACGGCCTTAAAGAGATTAGCACAGAACTTTTATTTATTTATTTTTTTTGCGACATCAATTTTAGAAGCGTGTATTGAAATCTCGGATTTTCAGCCGTGTGGGGAGAATGGACTTGGTGGACAACGACGTGCACCGCCAACTGTGGCGGTTGCAGCAACATCAGAAGGACGAGAGAGTGTTTGACAGAAAGCCAAGGCTGTCCTTGCGGGTCAGCTCATACATATGTTTACTCCCTGGCTGGAGCCAATATTTCGAGAACCCAAGTGATGAGTGTTGAAATAATAAGGTGGTTCGCGTGTGAAATTCTGAGGTCGATAAAGTTTTTTTTTGTCTCAAGCTAACGCTGAATACTTTGCTGCATGATAAAAAATAACAGGTCATGAAATCAAGCCAACATATATCGAATTTTTCGCGCACTTCAGAAATAACCATCTACTTTGATTCACAAAGATTTTTTTTTGGTTTTCATCAGGTTATTGATGATTTCTTTTCAGAGACGATAAAATCGAGATTCGAGAGTGCAATTTCGGGGGAACGCTGGCCAATCGGTACAAACCGTGCACCATCTCGCCTACTGGCTATAAATCTCAATGTTGTGCGCCTTATACATTGGTTGGAGGAGTGTGTGTGAAGTCTTGAATGAAGCAAGTTTTCGATGAATAAATAAAGTTCTGTTACCCCTTTTTTCTTTTTTTTTTTAACTGTACATATAAAACGGTGTTTGCACTCTCTGCAAGCATCAAACATGACGCCTGTTTTTTGAACGCATTTCAAAAAATTTAACTTTTTTTTGTATTTTCCGATTCAGCTTATTATAATATTTTTTGGATTCGCCGCAAATCATGAATGAACAAAAATCTGCAGAATATTACCAAAGATTCCGGGAAGTCACTGAGAAGGTTTTAATATTGAAAGTTGTTGCTTAAATGTTTTCTAAAAGTTGTCTCCTAGGAAGTTAACGACATCAAAGATGTCATATATCAACGGGAGACACTTATCAGCGAATGTAAAGGATTATGCGAACGATTAGAAGAACTTCCAAAGCGATTAGAGCATAAAATTCTGGTCTGCTTTACTTCACTTTCTTCCCAAATTTTCAAGTTCTAGGCACCTGTTTGCGCCGTTGGATATTTTCCTGCCAAGATTGTAAGGAGTAATGAGGTAAATTTTCTGAATTTTCAACCAATTTTTTCTTCGTTTTTGGTTCTAATGTCTATCGGCGATGATTATTTCGTTGAATGTTCTACCTTCACCGCACAGATAGTGCTAAGAAAGCGAATCGAAGGTTTTTTTTTTGTTCCATCTGTGGAAAACTGGTTTGCAGAATACGAAAAAAATGTTGAAAAAGGCAGGAATTCAATCAAATTGAGACAAGACAAGCTTGATTACTTCGAAAAAATGTTCAAAGAGGGCGCAGTTAGTATACTTTCTTTTTTTCTTTTTGAGTAATTTTCTTTCAGGCGAATCAAACAAGCGATGAGGTAGAAATCAATGAGCCTTATGATGAAAAAGCAGAGGAAGAGTTCAGAAGTGAGCTTGAAATGAATTGAACAATTCATAAAAAAAGTTAAGAAAAAAGAAAAGAAAGAGCTGAGAAGAAGTCATTCGAGCGGCTTCACAAGCTGCAGAAAGATGTGGTCAAGGATTTTGTATCACCCGTAGATTTCCAAGCGAAACCGATCGCTCCAGTTGAAAAGGTCGCAGTTCAAAAATATGCAGTTGAACCGCCTGAATGCCGAAGCGACGTTAGTTCTTTCTTTTTTTCTTGTTAATGATTTTCTGCTCAGGAAGAAGTTTTCCGTCGGCTGGAACAATTAGAAGTACAGGAAATAAAAGGGAAAGAATTGGAGGTGCCGGAAGATGATCAAGAGCTTCCCAAACTGGAGAAGGAAGATATGGAGAAGCACAGACAACGCATCAAAAGCATTCCCGGAGTTTCTCCCGAGGTTTTCCTGCTTTTTGAAGGAAAATAATCTCTTACCACTTATCTTGCGACATTGCGGTTTTGTCAGGGTACCATTCCAACAAATAAAAACAGCACATATTTGTATTTTATTTGGATATTTTTCAGGAGTACAAGCTTTATATGGACATCCTCGACAGCATTGATTCCAGTGAAGGCGATGATAGTTCAAGGTTCATACTTTAATACGCAAAATTGTTCAAATTACTTTTCCCCATTTTCGGAGGGTGCAAGTTAAGAAGCAGAATTTCAAAGATGTTTTATTTACAAAGAATATTTTTTCACTGTTCGCTTTATAATAATCAAATTTTCTTTCAGCTCAGATGAACGGGAAGATAGTGAAGAGCTGGACTCCGACGATTTGTCCGAACCGGAAATTGCTGAGAAGAAAATCGTGAAGAAAGAAAAAAAAGTTGTAGCTGAACATGGAAAAGTTGTGGAGGTCGAAGAAAGCACTCAGGTCAATTTTCCTTATTTCGGTTTGGTTTTCTGGATATTAGTTTGGTTTTTAGCTCAGAGTACATATCGCACGTAGTTTCAAATAAATGACAACCTGTTTTATTTTCAAAAAGTTTATTTTTCGAAAGCAGAATTTTCATAAATTTCATCAGATCATCTTTTGACGTTGGAAAATCAATTCTGAAAACTTTAAAGCGACGATTTTTGAACTTGTTGGCCAGGATGTGGCCTTCAAGGTCTTCGTTTAGCGCTTCGAGGTAGTGTTTAAGAACATGTTCCAGAGAAATCCGGAGGTAGGATACAAGTACTTCCCTTCTAAAATATTTCTTGAACTCTGTCTCTTTTTTGCATCACCCGCTATATGTATTTGAGTGAAATGAACTTTTGAATATTCAGGCTCTGTCTCGAATCGAAAAAGAAAAGTCCGCTCAAAATTCGAACGATTCGAAGCCAAAACGCCGGCTGAGCGTGCGATTCGCGGAGAAATTGGAGGAGTCTCGGATAATTTCGGAGATCGTTGAAAAGCCCCAAGATTCAACGCCGAAATCGCCGACGACGTCGATTCTGAGGCCGACGGCCGCGACTCCAGTCGATCGAGAGGCCGTCGAACGTGCCGATCGCATTACTGAAGGTTGGGTTTTCAGTGGAAAACGTGACTAATATTCGTTCGGATACAAGAAATCAGACTTTTGGATGGAATCATAAAAATGTTATAATTTTAAGAATTGCAAAATGAAACTACCATATTGAAGGCACAGGGGCAGTAAAAAACGGGGTTTCAGGTAAAAGCAGTATCTTATATAGTTTTTCTTTGTGAATCGAATGGTGTACTCAAAAAAATTACAGATGTGACAGCTTTAGAAGAAAAACGCGATTTCACTTTCCCGCCTTTCTTTTTGAAAAATGCTTTGGATCGGCCTACGGACAACTGTTTACAGTAGCTGTGCACGCGATGTTGCGGACGTCTCATTAGACTCGCATTTTGTGAGAAATAACCGGATTTCTGCTTCAAATCAAGGGTTTCTACTCTGAAAAATCGATTAAGAAAACAGAAAACACACATCGGTAATAAAGAAAACACAAATAATCGATATCCCAATCGAAAACTGCGTAAAACCATCATTTTTTCACCAGAGAAGCATTTTTGCGATCAAAATTTGCAAATCATACATGAATAGAAAGCTTTCGTGACGAAAAGAACTTTGATGACAGAAAACAGAAAAAATTAAAATTTGAAAGAAACGAAGAAAAAAGCGAAAATCCGGAAGATGGCGAAGCCTGTTGTCCATAAGCAACTTTAGTTCAAAGCGCCCTTTTCGCGGGAACTCAAACTTTCCTCTTTCCGACTCTGAATTATTTTTTCTCCAAAACTAGGAACTTCTGTACGTTTTCAAGTTCACCGTTCGATTCACAATGAAAAACACTACAAAGTACTGCTTTGAACTAAAACACCGTTTTTTACTGCCCTATGCCTTTGAGTTCGGAGACGTAGCCAAGTGAATTGAAAAGACACTGCTGAGAATTTTTATGTTTAGTCGAAATTATGCAATTCCGATATTCTGCTTCAGATTTCAGACAACCATTTCGCGTCTGAAATTGTAATAACTTATTTTAAAAATGAGAGAATAATAATAATAATTTACAAAAATGCTGCTGTATCTACCCGAGAAAATTTTTTTAGAATCAAAATCTCTAGTTTTTGACCGGATTGTTTTCACATGTTCAATCGAGAAAAATATTCAGGCGCCCGGAAAATCGTGAAAGGCAGTGTTTCGGCGTTCCCTGGGGCCGTTGTTGAACGAGGTAATTTGAATCTATTATTTCCTTCGAATTCAAAGATTGTGTATGAATTCATTATTCAGATCCTACAGGTCATTTATCCAAAGACAGTTCGAAGCCCTCCGAGCCTGCGGAGCCTCGTGTTTCAAAGTTCAAACAGTCAAGACTGCGAAGATAACTAATTATATATTCAGCCAACTTATTTTTCTAATTTCGTTTTTGTTTTTGCCATTTTTTGTCATCCCTTGATCATCCCGTTGAGTTCACTTTAGCCAATTTGTTCATCTTGCTCATTGAACCGGTTCATGAAAATGTTTTATATTTTGTTGAGTTTGAGTAAATTGATATTTTTCCAGAAAATGTTCAGTTATCAATGCGGTTATAGCTCCTTTTTTTCTTCTTTGAAAATAATAAGACTTCAAATTTATTATTGAAGCCCAAGATTGAATTTATGTGAAAGCTGAATTTGTAAAATAATTTGTTGAAAGAAATCTTAAAAAAACAATTTCTCTAGTCGCGGAAAAAGTAAAATTTGAAGAAAAATAGTTTATTCGGAGTTTTTTTAATCCAAAAATTTTTTTAGTGAGAAATTTTTTTCTATCCTCGTTCATTTTCATTTTTTTCGTTTCAAGTGTTTATTCGCCATTCCGCAATCAGCACGACAAATACATAAAAACATCAAAACAATCAAATAAATCTAACAGCTGATCTGTGGAAACGGCTGGAGGAAAAAGATTGTCCGAATAGACGGTGCTAACCCCCATTTGGTATTTAAGTTTGATCTTTGTTTTTTTAATAAGTTAGAATTTTTCTAGATTTTAGTAGGATCTAATGATTTTAAAAACGATGTGTTTGATTCGAACCATGAGGTGAGCATAATCTGAAACTTGCCGATTTCGTATTCAATGATAATTTCTCTCTCCAGTTGGTTCCAAATGGGTATGACTCTATGATTTAGGAAGCGTTGTTTGATCAATTCATTCATTGGTTGAACAAGTCTCATTCCATTTCCTCTGAGTTGATTATTTCTACTCGAATTCATCATTAATTTAACAGGCGACTCACTCCAAAAATATCCATGAATGTATTTTTGAACGCAACAAACGTCTTTAAAAATTCTTCTAGTCCATAACGTCGATAGTTTCAGTTTGGCTAATCTACTGCGATAATCCAATTTCGGATATAATCTTTTGGTAAATTTTCTCTGGACTGATTCTAGTTGATTTATATCATTCAGATTTAGCGGGCACATTAGTTCGGATCCGTACTCAATGATAGGCAAGATTTTGGCTTTATAGCATTTTAGAAAGTTATTTTGAGAGAAATGAAAACAGCGAAATAAGAGAAATGAGAGATTGAGAGAAATGAAATTGAGAGAAATGAAAACAGCGAAATTGAGAGAAATGAAAACAGCGAAATTCCTCTTTCCTTTTCATATTTCAAGATTTTAAACTGTTTTAGGCCTTCTGAATGGCTTCGAAGCTGCTGAGGCTTCTAACACGAAGAAGTATTTTCTGCTCCCCAACGGCTTCCAGCGCGGCTGGCAGTTCTCCGCCACCACCAGCCGAAGGAACGTCGGCCATTTCTTCCAACTTCGAGACGGATTTCTCCCAGCTTGAGCCCTCGGAAGCGTTCGTCGCGACGCTCCGTCCCGATCAGAAGACGTTGCTTCCGAAGGTCGTCGAGGAGCTCCGTCTGTTCGCCTATATGGGCAACTATGTACCTGAGAAGATGTCAGACTACGACTGGAAACGGACGATGGAGCTGAAGACGATTACTGAAAAGGTGAAAAGACATCATGAATAAGCTGGGCTTTCCCAAGAAAATATTATTTATTGAAAAAGAAAAAAGTTCTCTTCGGATAATGAAAAACTAAACGTTTGCTTGTATCGCTGACTTTCGCTATCCTACTTGAAATATTGTATGAAGCCAACGACAAATCGAGTACATGAAGAATCGGAATTCTTGTCATGAGAAATTTTGGAACTTTCGCAAACAGTTCAATTGATTAACTTTTGAGATTACTCGGTAAAAAGTACGGAGAAAAAAATATAAGGACCAGAACCGGATTTTCTTTTAATAATTCGAGCAAAAAGATGAAAAACAGTGAGGCCAATTTTTAAGCCATTGGTGTTTGATGAGATAATCTTTCTTTAAAACAAAGCTTCAATTTTGCGCAGAAAGTTGAAATGTCTTTACATTTTCAGCATAGAATTTCAAGTGTGTTCGAACTATTCCGGGATTATTGACGCAAAAGCCTTTTCACCTGAAAATAAAATTAAAAGGCTTTGTTTCTAAGCAATACATCGACTTTTTATTTTTCGAAAGCTTTAGCAAAATTTATTTCTTCAAGTTCATTTATTGAGTTGAGGTAACTTTCTGGGAGTACGTAGCGTTGACGCAACGGCGGCAGAAAATGAAGGAGAGACGAAGAACGAAATTCGCGATCCGTTTCGCTGACGATCCCGAGGAAGTGGCGCGGTACGAGGCCGGCGGCATGGGCTACGGTCCGAATCTTCACGCTTTGGTCCAGAATCCTTTCCGGATGAAGGAAAGAGTGCGGCGGATCGAAGGGGCTCGTGTCTTCCACAGTATGCAGATCGATGCGCCAAAGGTACTGTACTTCCTAGTCCATTATTTTCGAGCCATTGTCCGCAGAACGTTTTCCTTTGCACGTCTGGCACAACTAAATATAATGTAATAAATGGAAATACGTTTTTGCGCAGTTTCAAAGAGGAATAAAAATACAAAACATTTGAGGATCATTGGGAAGTAAAATTTATTAATCTTCTTTTTGAGGCGAAACTTGAAAATTCTCTCAATTGTTTTAGAAGCTTTCAAGTTTACTTCAACCTTATTTGGACCACGAAAAGTTTTTGTAGATATCTGAGCTTGAATTCAAATCGGCATCAATTATTTGTCTATATAGTTCCTTGAAGCTTTGCACAGAGCTGTTTGACTTTGAAAATCTCCGTTTCTGTGATTTAATACGAGAAATTCCAGATTGCTTTTGATCTGCAGTACATGGAGGGCTACTCCAGACGCACGCAAATGGAATTGGGTAGCCAAATACAGTACACCATCAGTGAAAATTTCCAGGTAAAGATTTTTTTGATCTCGGCAAGAGAAAAGTTGAGCAGTTTTTTTCAAGAAGCGGAATAGTGGTAAGGGAGAAGGCCGCAGAAAGGCAGTAAAAGAATCTTCCATCTTCCTAGATTTTAGGCTTAGGAAAGGATGAAAAAAGGGTAAATGATGCAAAAAGACAGCGAAAAACGAACAATTCTATGGAGCTTTTTTCGATATCTTCTGACTTTGTCTATGTATGAGAAAGCGGGGCCGACTCTCACAACTAGCCGCTTTCGGCTAGTTGTGAGAGCCGCTTTCGGCTAGTTGTGAGAATCACCTGAAATGTACTCCAGAGTCTTTCTATTATTCTGGTTTTTCAAAAAGGCAAACAGCCTAGGCATTCCATGGTAGATGGGAAAGGAGTTTTTCCTAGTTTGAAAGATTGTTCACCATGGGAAATTTGCAGGCAAAAAGGCCGCTGCAGCTGTCGTTCGTCAATTCTCCGTCGGGTGACTTTACCGAGAAGTGGCTCTCCAACACGGTCGGCTTCTACAACGCCGAACAAGGACAGACGATATTGCCTGACTTCACGAGCAAAGGGATCCGCGAGACGTTTCCCGAAGACCGCGAAGTGGTCTACATCTCGAGATTCGCGCGCGACGTCCTCGACGGCCCTCTCCGCGCGGACGTCTTCGGCATCTGCGTGACGATGGACATGCAACGGGAATCGTTGGGAGCCGCACGACGAGGCCGTTATCGGGCAGTCCGTCTGCCGATCCACAAGTACGTCAAGTGGGTGAGCGGCCCTCAGTACCTGCCCTTCCCCAACCTACTCAACATCCTGCGACACGTCTACAGCAGCGGGGGCGACTGGCACGCCGCCTTCCACAAGTTCATCGCCAAACGTCATCTGCAGCCAGTCTCCGACGAGCAGCGGATCATCAACGCCGCCAAGCGAAAACAGAAAATTGAGGCCAAGAAAGAGCTCATCGATGTTATAACAAATGCAACCGGAAACTCCTGAGCCTTTTTCCACCGAATCATTCATTAATGGCTCTCACGATAAGCTTCAGAGATATCAACGCCTTTCCTTGTGGAACAATTTTTTTGATAGTTGAAAACTTTTTCTAGAATTTTATGTTTCCTAAGACGAGTTAGGAAGGGAACTAGCGAACTTATTGAATTTTCTTTAAAATTTTCTTTTTGTTTTAGAGTCAGATTTCCAATCTTTTTTCGCTCTGAGTTTAATTGCTCTTCGAGTTTTAATTGAGTATACAGAGGGGTTTATTAGAGCATTGTTCGTAATCTAATGAATTTTCTTGTTACTTATTACGTTGTTTCATTGGCCTGTTATGAAAATGAAGTCTTGTTATACTATTAGTTTCAAAAGAATTTAACTCAGTTTGTATATAAAAGATTTATTCAAAATCTCATATGCTTCGACCACACATGAGAAAAGAATAAATGAAGATGTTTGCATGGTTTAGACGAAGAATTGAGGAGCACGAGCCTGAAAAAAAAAGAAATTAAAGATTTTGAATCGAAAAGAAACCTTTTCGGCGGAAACGGCGACGGCGGCGACGAGGACGGCTCCGATGAGGGCGTAGAAGTTCATGTTGGAGATGTTCAGCGGACTGATGTCTTCCTCCGACTTTTTCCGACTTTTGTACCCAGAATCTTTCTCACGCTAGAGTGCTTTTATCAGGTATGATTCAGAACGTAAAAAAGTTGTGAAAAGTCGGAAAGTCGTACTGGAATAGTAACAAAGGAAGAAAGTTAAGCGTGGAACAGCATAAAGCTCAAGCTTAGCATGTTTCGTGCACTTGATACCGATTCGGTGCACCAGTTTATCGTGAGAACCCCATCAAAATCTGAGTATAAAAGCCGGAAAAAGTCGAAGGAAGACATCAGTCCGCTGAACATCTCCAACATGAACTTCTACGCCCTCATCGGAGCCGTCCTCGTCGCCGCAGTCGCCGTTTCCGCCGAAAAGGTTTCGTTTCATTCAAAATCTCCAAATTCTTTCATTTTCAGGCTCGTGCTCCTCAATTCTTCGTTTAAACTAGGAATATGTCAAATGCCCTCAACTGTTTTATAACTTTGAATGGAGCAGCGAATAAAAGTTTTATTGAAAGTTCGACGCAAAAAAAAAAAACAATTACATGGCTAAAGATTCGCAGTCATAGGCGAATCGAGAAAGGGTATCGCGAGACCCTCTGAGGTATATCGAAGGGCCTGAAGTCTATCGATGGTACCTCGAGTCTGAGGATTTTGAGCAAAAAGAGTTAGAATTGAGATATACTCTCAAGGACTCGAGATGGCTCAGATGTAGCTAAAAAGTATGCTGAAGGTCTCACGATGGACACATTATGGGGTCTTCACGATTCGTCTTTGGTCTTAGGCATAAAAGTGGGAAGCGTTTTCAACGTTCTTGTAGTTGGAGATTTCGGAATAGTTCATTATTTTCGACTATCTTTGATGCAACACGGTTTTATAATTATTTCATGGATAAAGACGGAATAAAATATAGTCTATATATTATATAATTGTTTCTAATAAAAAGAAAAAAATTTGAAAAAAATGTCATTTAAAAATGGTATGTGTGTTAGATCTTCAAAATAAGAGATTCATCAGAAATCTGATGAAATAATGGAATATTCGAAGAGGCCCAGCGGGAAGAGATCATTTTTTTTTTTGCTTCAATTGATCAAGGCTCAGGTAGTCCTCAAAAAGATGCATAAAAAAATGTTTTGATTTCTTGCAAAAATTTTTTTCTCAATTTTTTAAACTTTTCGAACTTCAAAAACCTTCAATTTTTTCAAGTTTTCAGGAGTGTGAAAATCGCAGTGGAGGGAAACGACTCGGTACGATGAGAATGTCGTTTAATCCGACTCAGGAGAACTGCCGGTATATTTTTTGTTTTTCTAAAACCCTTGAACAATGTTTTATGTTAGAAATGCTTGTAACATTATCAAATTGCGTAAAGTCAATTACTCTGAAGACATTTGAAAGTTTTCTAATTTGGTTTCTTATTCATCTTTTTACTTCTGTTCTCTAGACCCATCATATATTCACCCTGAGTGCTCCCATCACCGCAGTGATGAACCAGCATATTTTTCGATCTCGATGTTTTATATCATTCAATTGAAGTTTCTCGGGAATTCATGAAAAATGAAAAATAAATTTATTCATTGCTCCTTCGAAAGTTATACGTTGATAAAAACTGAGGGCACGGAAGTATTTCTAGTTTAGACGAAGAATTGAGGAGCACGAGCCTGAAAATGAAAGAATTTGGAGATTTCGGATGAAACGAAACCTTTTCGGCAGAAACGGCGACGGCGGCGACGAGGACGGCTCCGATGAGGGCGTAGAAGTTCATGTTGGAGATGTTCAGCGGACTGATGTCTTCCTTCGACTTTTTCCGGCTTTTATACTCAGATTTTGATGGGGTTCTCACGATAAACTGGTGCACCGAATCGGTATCAAGTGCACGAAACATGCTAAGCTTGAGCTTTATGCTGTTCCACGCTTAACTTTCTTCCTTTGTTACTATTCCAGTACGACTTTCCGACTTTTCACAACTTTTTTACGTTCTGAATCATACCTGATAAAAGCACTCTAGCGTGAGAAAGATTCTGGGTACAAAAGTCGGAAAAAGTCGGAGGAAGACATCAGTCCGCTGAACATCTCCAACATGAACTTCTACGCCCTCATCGGAGCCGTCCTCGTCGCCGCCGTCGCCGTTTCCGCCGAAAAGGTTTCGTTTCTTCCGAAATCTCCAAATTCTTTCATTTTCAGGCTCGTGCTCCTCAATTCTTCGTCTAAATTAGAAATACTTCAGTGCCCTCAGTAGTTTTCAACGTATAACTTTCGAAGGAGCAATGAATAAATGATTTTTTCATCATTTTGCCAGTCATAGTTTCACAGAAGATGAGAATGAAATCAAGCGAGAAGAAAAATTTGAGAGAAAATGCATAACTATCTTGAATTGCTCGGCTACACGATCAAATACTTTAGTAACACTCGTTTTTTTCCATGGACACGCCGAACCTTCTTCTGAGATTTTCGCAACATTTTTATGATCAATTCTCTTTTTTGCTTTTCTTCTTTTTTGTTGTTGAAAGGAATACCCTTTTGGGATCTACACAGTCATGAATCACTTTCTGCCAGCGTCCAGGCGGACGCTCAGTACCGTCTTCCCAAAAAGATGCTGGTCGCGAGAGAATCCGGTTCGACTTTTCTGTTCGAAATACCTATCCGTTTATTGGGGATGAAAGAAGAGATGGTAGGCCGAGAGATCGGTGTCTGAACTGTACGTTGGCAGAGCTTAAACGAGTCAGCCGTAGATCTGCAGCTCAGTATTAGTAAAATTCGTCGGTGTAGCGTTGTTATGTAGAAGCGTGATCTTGCCCTGCTATTCTCGAGTGGATATGGCTCAGAACTCAGCTTTTGCAGCTGATAAGAATACTTGTTCGTGGTGTCAGTGTCGCTGACCTTCAGAAGCTCCTCCCACTAGGTGCCGGTATGAGCTTTTAAAAGTTTTTGTTTGGGATATTAGATGTGCGATTCCAGAAAAAGGTTTTGTTAGAGGGTAGTGCGGATTTTTGTACCTCTTAAAGGCAGTGATCACTTGTCGAGTAAAAATGTTTCATCTATATTCGAAACCCACTGAATGAGCTAAATGAAAAAAATACACAGGATAGTCTGCAAAATCTGAATGAATGGGAGAGATTCAAGTTACTCAGTTTTCTTAAAATCTTCGTTTTCAACTTGTACTATGCGAATTTTTTTTTTCATTTGCTTCACAAAATATGAACTTCCTAATCTAACCAGTGAGCGAAAAACTGTCCAGCTTATTATTCGCTCGACCCACTCTTTCACAGAAAACCATATCAAAAATTAGAAAAAAAGTTTATTCATTGCACCATTCAAAGTTATACAACAGTTGAGGGCATTTGACATCTTTCTAATTTAGACGAAGAATTGAGGAGCACGAGCCTGAAAATGAAAGAATTTGGAGATTTTGAATGAAACGAAACCTTTTCGGCGGAAACGGCGACGGCGGCGACGAGGACGGCTCCGATGAGGGCGTAGAAGTTCATGTTGGAGATGTTCAGCGGACTGATGTCTTCCTCCGACTTTTTCCGGCTTTTATACCCAGATTTTGATGGGGTTCTCACGATGAAATATGACATAGGACTGTTATCACATGAGAGTCATGAATACTGTTAGGATTGCTTGATGGAGTCCCACGCTAAACTTTTTCTGTGTTACTATTCCAGCACGACTTTCCGACTTTTCACGCCTTTTCTCTTATGCGTGAGAAAGATTCTGGGTATAAAAGCCGGAAAAAGTCGGAGGAAGACATCAGTCCGCTGAACATCTCCAACATGAACTTCTACGCCCTCATCGGAGCCGTCCTCGTCGCCGCCGTCGCCGTTTCTGCCGAAAAGGTTTCGTTTCATCCGAAATCTCCAAATTCTTTCATTTTCAGGCTCGTGCTCCTCAATTCTTCGTTTAAACTAGAAATACTTCCGTGCCCTCAACTGTTGTATAACTTTGAATGGAGCAATGAATAAATTAGTTTTTTTATTGTAATTTTTTTATAGAAAGTATTGTCGTGAAAAGATCTCAACTTACTACAATTAAATCCGACTCTTTCTTGGTTTGTTATTGTACTCCTTACGTGGGAATAAGGTTACTTTACACACGGCTGAAAAAAAATGATAAAATTGTGCGAAGCCAATGATTTTTCGAATTTCCTTCCGCTCAGTATTCTCAAAAAACCTGCTAAAAAAAATTTTAGTTTCATCAAAAAAAAGCTCTGAAATCTTTAAAAAGTGAATGATTCAAAAGTTGTCTAAAAGACGAAAGAGGGTCGATTTAACAAGTTTTCTGCGACTTCAAAATATTAATAATGACGCCTCGAAATCATGTTTTCGGGGTGAAGAGACATCTCAACATGCAGACTAAACTTTGGTTATTTGCGACATTTTAGTCGTTTTTTGACTATGAATTGATTTCTTATCAATTTTTTTACACAGACAACACCTCTTACGTGATTAACAATATTAACAGATTTCATTACTAAAATCTTCAGGAATGCGCCACAGCATCTTCTTCTTGAACTTTAAAAAAACTTTTCAAATTTAAAAATTTATTTGTTTCGATTTTCGCCCATAAGCAAACTAGTGACTGAAAAAAATTCAATTAGGAAAGACATATCAATATTTTTTTAAAAAAATCACCAAATATGTAGAATGCTGTTCCAAATTTTTTCCATTTTCATGAACGCTGAAAGATTTTAGCGACTCACAAAAATGTCCAGATGTTCTAGGGACCTGAGAGGCTCTTCTTGTGGAGAAGAGAAAATAAAAAAAAAATCAACTTCGAGAAAAAAAAAACAAACGAGCCAAAATTTCGCTATTCCCCAGAGCACGGTTCAAACTTGCTCTCCATAAGTCAAAATGGGTTTTCTTCATACAGAACCTTCCATAAGAGTTTTTTCATACAGCGTCATCAAACTTTTTGATTATTATGTGCAATACTGGGCCATTCAACATTTTAATTTTTGTTCATTGTCCCGACTGAAAAAATTTCAAACAAAATTATAAAAAGTTTCCCCCAGCCAGAATACGTTTGATGTTTGATCTCAATCATTTTTTTCAATAAGTTTATTATTTGAAAATAGAAAAAAATTTTTATTCATTGCACCATTCAAAGTTATACAACATTTGAGGGCATTTGACATCTTCCTAGTTTAAACGAAGAATTGAGGAGCACGACCCTGAAAATGAAAGAATTTGGAGATTTCGGTTCAAACGAAACCTTTTCGGCAGAAACGGCGACTGCGGCGACGAGGACAGCTCCGATGAGGGCGTAGAAGTTCATGTTGGAGATGTTCAGCGGACTGATGTCTTCCTCCGACTTTTTCCGGCTTTTATATCCAGAATCTTTCTCACGCTAGAGTGCTTTTATCAGGTATGATTCAGCACGCCAAAAAGTTGTCAAAAGTCGGAAAGTCGTGCTGGGATAGTAACAAAAGAAGAAAGTTTGGCGTGGGACTGCATAAAGCTCAAGCTTAGCATGTTTTGTGCACTTGATACCGATTCGGTGCACCAGTTTATCGTGAGAACCCCATCAAAATCTGGATATAAAAGCCGGAAAAAGTCGGAGGAAGACATCAGTCCGCTGAACATCTCCAACATGAACTTCTACGCCCTCATCGGAGCCGTCCTCGTCGCCGCAGTCGCCGTTTCTGCCGAAAAGGTTTCGTTTCATCCGAAATCTCCAAATTCTTTCATTTTCAGGCTCGTGCTCCTCAATTCTTCGTCTAAATTAGAAAGATGTCAAATGCCCTCAACTGTTGTATAACTTTGAATGGTGCAATGAATAAACGTTTTTTAAATTTTCAAATAATAAGCTTATTGAAAAATGATTGAGGTCAAAAATCGAAATGTATTCTGGCTGGGGAGAACAAATTTGAGAGCAAACACATAAATCTCTTGAATGGCTCTGAAATACTATCAAATACTTTGGTATATCACACAAGTTCTTTTTTTGCATGCCATGAACTCGCCGAAACTTCTTCTGGGGTTTTCGAAATTTTTTTGAGGTCAATTTTCTTTTTTACTTTTCTTCTTTTTTGTTGAAGTAAGGACTACCTTTTTTGGATCTACATAGTCATGAATCACTTTCTGCCAGCGTCCAGGCGGACGCTCAATACCGTCTTCCCAAAAAGATGCTGGTCGCGAGAGAATTCGATTCGACTTTTCTGTTCGAAATACCTATCCGTTTATTGGGGATGAAAGAAGAGATGGTAGGCCGAGAGATCGGTGTCTGAACTGTACGTTGGCAGAGCTTAAACGAGTCAGCCGTAGATCTGCAGCTCAGTATTAGTAAAATTCGTCGGTGTAGCGTTGTTATGTAGAAGCGTGATCTTGCCCTGCTATTCTCGAGTGGATATGGCTCAGAACTCAGCTTTTGCAGCTGATAAGAATACTTGTTCGTGGTGTCAGTGTCGCTGACCTTCAGAAGCACCTCCCACTAGGTGCCGGTATGAAACAAGCAACAGCAGAACTACTTTTCCTCGAGCGGAAACTTCGGTTCAGCGATATTTACTATTGCTTTCTTTTTTATGCAATCACTTTTTCTTGATATTTTGTGATGTTGTGTCTTATCAACTCAGTTTTCAATATCAAAACATGTTTTCTATTTTTCGGCCCAAAGACACGAACTACTGCGAGATTAATTTTTTTTTTTCTTCTTTTCTCAACAACTCTAGAGGAAAAAGTAATTTGTTCAGTCAACTTTATCAAACAGTTGAGAGCAAATGACATGATGTTCGTTTAGACGAAGAATTGAGGAGCACGAGCTTGCAAGAAGTTGGAGAAGTCCGGGAAAGGATACGGACCATTTCCAGCAGACACAGCGGCGACGAGGACGGCTCCGATGAGGGCGCAGAAGTTCATGCTGGAAAAGTTCGAGGGATTGGTGCCGTTCTTCGTGTTTCTCCGCTTTTTGTACTCCGGATTCGATGAGATTCTCACAGTAAAAAGAAGTTTATTATTTTCGTCATTCTAGTGTCTCTATTCACAGAAAATGACTAATCTCATGTCCTGAAAAATAGGTAATATAAGTTCAGGCAATCTGGTGATTGGCCCTTATGCAGTCCCACGCTTAACTTTCTTTTTTTGCGTTATTTCTCCAGTACGACTTTCCGACTTTTCACAACTTTTTTACGTTCTGAATCATACCTGATAAAAGCACTCTAGCGTGAGAAAGATTCTGGGTACAAAAGCTGGAGAAAGTCGAAGGAAGACATCAGTCCGCTGAACATCTCCAACATGAACTTCTACGCCCTCATCGGAGCCGTCCTCGTCGCCGCAGTCGCCGTTTCTGCCGAAAAGGTTTCGTTTCATCCGAAATCTCCAAATTCTTTCATTTTCAGGCTCGTGCTCCTCAATTCTTCGTTTAAACCATGTAAACATCTTCATTCATTCTTTTCTCATGTGCTGTCGACGCATATGATAAATTGAATAAACGTTTTCATCAACTAACATTATTTTTCTCACACGGAAAAACAATTCAAATCTTCAATGAAGTTGAGAGTGGCAACCCCGTGAATTCGGTATTTTTCAACCTTGATTGGGAAATTTGATAAAGGTACCAAGGATACACTGTAGCCTAAATAAGAAACAGACATTATTTCTATTCGTTCCCATGCGTCTTCTCCTGATTTATAAAGTATTTGATAATCCTTTTTTTTTTCCGTTTTCAGGAAGAACCAGAGGAATGGCTCGGGAATGGAGGCGGCTGAAGAAAGTTGAAGAGGATATATTTGTGTTAGTTTTCGAAATAGTCAATTTTCTTCTTATTGATTGATAAAAAATGCTTTCTGGATTATTTGAGGAAGTGCGAAAGCTGTTTTTGGTTTGAGTTAGCACTGTAAAATGAGTTTCGTCGCAATTTTTCAAAATTTTTTTCATTACACACGAGATCAAACGAACTGGATATTTTTGAATTAAAATCAAAGGATGATTATTTTTGGAAAAAAAATAAAAAAGAAAAAAAAAAGTTTAGGGGAGAATGCGATTCGGACAGTCCGGAAGGACGTATCTACGGAGGCCAGGTCCTGGCTCAGTCCATGTCCGCCGCCTATTTCACCGCTCCCCATGGTTTCTACGTTCATGCTCTTCACTGTTACTTCGTCCGCGCAGGTATCCATTTCAAGTACTGACCTTTTTTTGATATTCAGTCATCTTTGAACTATTCAGCAAAGTTCTGGGCTGTTAAAATGAATCGGAAAGTGTATTGCCGTGTTTTCCTGAAACAAAAACAGGCTTTGAGTCTTTGGTTTGAATGGAAGAATTTTGCCTCGAATGTAGGAAATAAAAACTGCATATTTTTCAAGTTCTAAACTTCAGCTTTAAACAAACGGAAAACTCTTTGTCTTTTTCGGTTTCTAGACATTGAAAACTTTTCTGATGCAGGAGAAGAAGGCGCTCCTATCATCTACAACGTGAAAAGAATCCGCGACGGTCGCAACTTCGCTCTCCGATGTGTGGATGCCGTTCAGCACGGGAAGGTGATCCACATCGCGGAGTTCTCCCTCCAGAAAGTTTTTTCCTTAATTTTCTTTCAATATTTCAAATCTGAAGCTAAACAGCGTCACCGAGAACTTCTCACTGACGCCTGCTTTCCCTGACGTTCCGGCGCCAGAAACCCTTCAGAACAAGTTAGAAGCGAGAAAAAGCCGCCTCGCCGAAGGCCACGACGAGAAGAAACTTCGCGGACTCGTTCGACCGATTTGAGCTTCGAAAAACTTGAAACGGTTAAGGATACTGAGCGGATGGCGCCTTCAATCGAAGTGAGGCCATGCGACATCGATATGTATTTCGACGGAACGGGCGGCGTCAACAAAAAGCAGTATTTCTGGATGAAATACAAGCCTCCAGTCGGTGGGATTTCGGGACAAGCGTATTCAGAATGCTGATATTATTTAGAGAGCGAAGATTATATGATGCGCCACGCCTCCCTCGTCTACCTGTCTGACCTCGAGCTTGTAACCACAGGTTAGATTTAATTTAATAGGTTTTGTAATTCAGAAAAGTAGGAATTACAGTACAAAGCTTTCCCATGGTTTCAGAGTGATTTGGAAAACTTTTATGTTCTTACATGTTCTGTAACAAAAACCACAAGAAAGCGTTCATGAAAGAAAAAAAAAACGAAGACCAGAAAAACAGATTTTGAAGGATCTTAATTCCTAATTTGTCATATTATATCGAGTTTCATCAACTCCTTAACATACATAGATAAAACTATTGAAAAAATTGCTCGGAAATATTTTAATTTCAGGAGTTTTGTGCTTCGATGAACCGAAGTTCAAACTGACGACATCACTGGACCATTCCGTGTGGATCCATCAATTCGAGTGAGTTACCAGGTCCAACTCCTAGCCGGGACTTGCTTCAGCTTCGACATCAACGAATGGATCCTCTACGAGCAGGAATGCGTGGCCAACTCGAAACACAGGTGTCTGATCAACGGACGGATGTGGACTCGCGACGGCCGTCTCATCATGTCGACCTCTCAAGAAGCGCTCATTTACAAACTCCCCTCCTCACATCTGTAAACACTCTAGTCGTTTTCCAATTCATGATGAAGACTAGGAACGCTCCTTTACGGTTCAACGTCTAAAATTATCAAGGCAAAACATATTTTAGTTGATCATGGATGATATGAATAAGGCTTCTAAGGCACTATGTGAAGCTTTTCTTTTTGAGATTCTTACAGAATCGAAATCTTACTCCGTAACAATTTTTTGATGAATTCATCCTTTCTAGTTTCTTCTTTTTAACTAGGGAAACAAAAAAAGTTTTAACATTTATCTTTGATCTGATAAAAATATTCAAATTGATCACCGATTATAACGCAATGTAAAGAGACAAAACTATGCTGACTAAAAGATAAAAATTAAACCGTAATGACATAAAAGCATGCAAAATGTCGAAACTTCGAAAGTGAGGTTATGCTTGGAAAAATCGGGTTCAAAGTGAGGCTGAATTATCACGAGAGGGCAAGATAATTACATACATATTTACATGTTACAACATCTTTTGAAATAAAAACATTCACTCTTCAAGAAGCTCGAAGCCGTCGTCAATGTCGTAGTTAGGCGCTCCCATGTCGTCGAATTCTGTAAATCGGATCCTGGTTTCAGAACGCTTCTCTTAATTCTTACCGTTCATTTCGATCTTTGCTTTGACGCCTACGTACGGCTCAAACGGCGGCCAATACGACGGCCGTTTTTCCAGAAGCTCGAAAAGTGGAGGCGACGAGGCCGGGAACACTTTCTGAACAAATTACTGGTTCCGAACATGCTTCGCTGATGGGAAACCTCTCTTAACTGAACTGTCAATTTATCGAACTCTTCCGCTGTCTCACAGAAAAATGCCAGGGCCAATGATGGATCAACCTGAACATCACAGTTCTCAGAATGTGGAAGGAACCGACAGACCAGGTCATAATCGATGTGAAGAAGCATTTGACAATGGTAGGTGGAGTCGTCCAGCTTCAGCTCGTCGTTCGACGTTGAAGAAGGCAAAGGCTCAAGCTGAAAAGTTGGAAATTTCTCATCATGTGCAATAATTTGAAACGAGTTGCTAAAAAAGGCTTTCTCAATTTAATGAAACCTTCAGGAACATCTGAAGGTGTAAACCAAGAGATTTATTGCAAGTTTTCTGATAAGAAAATGAGCATTTAGAACAAAAAACGTTTGATTATCATTTATTCTATGAATCTAACGATTTAATACAAAAAGTTTAAAAGAACGAACTTCTTCGAGTTGGCTGAATCCGTCGTCAAAGCCATAAGCAAAGGCTCGTGGAGATGATGTCGAGGGTCCTTTGGACTCTGGAGACGGCTGCTTGATGACGTCACTCTCTTCGCCTTCTGGATTCATGACGAAGCCTTCAGACAGCATCGAGGAGCTAGAAGACGTCGTGATCGTGGGACGACAGTAATGAGGGTCCAGGAAAAACGAGCTGGAAAAACGATGGATTAGTGAAATACTTGAAATATATGCAAAATTTTTATTTTAGTAAGGTATATTTGAATCAGGAAATTTTTTTCTGGAATGCTTGAAATAGTTATGAAATTGATATTGAATATCAATTTTTGAAACATGATGAAGTTTACAAGAGAAAAAAAAAACCTTTTGGCCAGCGATGCCTAGAAAATAAAGAGCGTGGTTGGGTCTTCCGCCGATGATTCCGACGCAAGAATCGAGTTTGAAAACTTCCTGAAAAAGCTTTTTTCGTTGGAAAAAGGTCTACTCCAACCTGAATGGCCCCCAGATAACACTTGTTGATGGTCCGGAGCCCGAGACGGAGAGGAATAATAAGAAGAAGAGGTCGCCATTCGTCGGGGTTCACAGAAAAAGAAGTCGAACTGCGGTTCCGGCCCGACTTCTCGTTGACGGGCTCTTGCCGCAGATGCGACTCGTCGACGTTTCCATCGGCTTGAAACAGAAGTTGGACGTCTTCGACGACAAGTTCCTAACCCATGATGAGTTTGACGGCGTCGGTGGGCGGGACGATGGTGGCCATCGTCTGGACGTCGCGCACCACCACGATGTTGTCCATGGCGACGTGCACGGCGACGTTCGACCACGCGTCGAACACTGCCAACTTCTTGATCACCTTAACCAAACATTCACGATCAAAAGAAAGAACTTTTCCTTCCGAAAAATCCTTTTCTTAAATTCTAGAAGATCCTTTCACAGGAAATCTCTGTTTTTTTATCAGTTTTCTCATTTGAGTTTTTTTCATTTTTCGTTTTTTTCGTTTTTGAGCTCTCATTATGAAAAAAAGAGTAAAAAAACTTTTATAAATTTCTATAAAACTTTGCAGAAATTTTTCCAAAAAAAAAAAAATGGAGTGGAATCTTCGAAGAAATAACCTTTTTAAAACGGAAAGTACTACATCCAGCCCTAGGTTGCCACTTTGAAATCTAGTAATCGAAAGGAAAATCTAAAGAATTTAAAAATTGGCAAAAATGGATTATAAATAAATATCCAGTTTTCTTTGTACTCAAACCTTGGATGTGCTCCAGATTAATGAACTCGCAAAAAAAAATTAACAAGGTCTAGAATATTTTTCTTCAACTAAATAGACAAGAAAGACAGTTCTGACGGCAAGTTGAACATGAGAAAGCGGAAGAAAGTATTAAAAACTTAAGGGTTTCATTTTAAAAAACTTGTTCTTTCTTGGGCTATTTTAATTTTTAAGCCCTTTTGGCCACACGTACCTGCGCTGCCGTATTTGGTCCGAACCACTCCCCGACAGCTTTTCCTTCAGAAACGCCCATTTGAGCTGTAAGAACGGTTTTTCCTTTCCATTTATAGAAAAATCAATGAACCGATTTGATGAATTGAATAGAGTGCTGTTTTCTCGTCGAAAAACATTCTGAGGATCCTTTCGTAGTCGCCGGAAGGCTCGACGCCCACCTTCCACTTGTAGTGTCGGCCGATGTGACGACGGAGCAGAGTCTCTCCGAGAAGCATCTAAATCAAACTTGTCCTTTTTTTTACATTACTATAACGAAAATGTTGATTCCGTTCAACATCTGTTTTCTATGAACTAGTTCTTAAATTTTCAATTATAAGAATAGAAAATTTTCCAAACAGTAGTACTCCATTTCAAGGTGTTTCGAACTCGCCGTTGATACCAAAGAATCGCAATTTTTGAAGGACAATTGTGTGAAAAGCTTTGATATTTATGATCCCAAAGTAGGGATTAATGAATTTTATTACCATTGAGAAAGCTTCTCAATCCGATAACTATAAGTATTTTAACTCTTAAAAACTAAAATTGACTGAAAATAATTTTTTGCGAATTATTCTCTGAAATTTTTATCCGAAAACAAAAACCTGAGCGCATCGGAGCATACACCCCCAGCCTTGGTCGCTTTCGGGACCAGTACCGCCTAAAATTTGATTTATTTTCACGATTTCGAGCACTTCTTAAGTTCAAACCCTTGCAAACTCACCGATAGGAGCAAAATTTTTCCGATAAGTGAACCAAAACCTCGATCTGACATAGTCTTTCAACTCATCGAGACCTGAAAAGCGGTTAGAATCCTTTCTCCCTCAATTCTCAGAAAACCTTGCTGCTCCTTCGTGAACTTTTTGCCCAGGACATAGGCCGGACAGTCTTCCAGGAGACGGTTCTCAATCGTCTCCCAAAACGGTACATCGCCCGTCACGCAAGTTTCGAGCATGCTCACGCGTTGGATGATGTCCTCCAGATCCATACAGATTTGACTACCTAAACTTCTCAATTTCAAAAGCTTTTCCATCGTCGAAAATTATATTAGAAAAACAACTGTAAAATAACATATACAAAGTACATTGACTGAGCCGCGAAAGCGTGACCCTAGCTCCGCCTTTATTTGCGCTACACGCACATCAATCTTGCCAAGTGCGGCAGGATTTTTTGGTTCTCCGTAAATCGTCCTCACATACTTTTTTTCTTTTTTTTTTGCAAATAAATTAGGCTTTCGTTTTTCAGCTATGGAAGAACAACAAGCAGATAACGTGGTTGTAAAAACTGCAGATGGCCCCAACAAATCCGGCCGCTGGTGGAAGGAAAAACAAACGGCTAGGTTTGAAACTTGCTTTTCCTTTTTTTCTTTTCGATGAGTTTTTTTAACTTATTGAAAACACACACTCTGAGATTATTAATCGAGCGGTTACAGGCATTCGTCTATCGTCAAAGTCAAACCTTTGAAGTCTACTTGGGATAAGAAAATGAGCTTGAAGGCGAAGAAAAATCAAGTAAAGTTGTTACAGTCTTCCATCCGAGAACGTAAGCAGCAGGAAAAAGAGGTTTGATATGATTCATCTTTTTTTCAACTCTTCGAGCCAAAAAATTTCAAATGAGGATTTTTTTTCAGGAAAAAATTGAAGCTAGAAAGGAGCAAGAAAAAAGAAAGCTGGAAAACGAAAGGAAGAACGAAATTGTTCAGGTTCGTTATTTGAACGGTTTTTTTTTTTTGGAATAAGGCCCTACGATCTCTTTTCTTTTTCAGTCTCAAATATTCATAAATTTGCAAACTTTCCAAGTAGTTTTTTTCAACATTAATAGATGATTTTGAAGAAAGAAAGAAGAGAACTGGTCTTCCAGTTGTTTCTCTGTTTATCTTTCAAGTCGAAATCTACATCGTTTTGCAGAAAAATCACGAATATTAATAAGTTGAAAAAGACGAAAAAAACGGCAGCTACGAACCGTCGTCAAACGCGATACAAATTGATAACTCTTTTCTTGTTTTCTTTTGCACTTTACTTGTTGATTTTGCTTGTTTTTGTGTCCGAAATGAAATTTGTGAAAATTTCAATATATTTATTGCCGATCGAGTATTAAAAACATCTTTTATTAGAAAAAGAAACTCATTGAGATCATTAAAAATATGTTATGAAATAAGAAAGCCAAAAATTTCATTAGATAAAACAATAAATAAATTCAAAGAAAAAAATAATAAACGCTACCCTTTCGAAATTGAAACTATTGATTGCAACTTATTATTGACTTTACTGAGCGGAAAGCTAAGAAAAAGTTGATGGTTTCAATTTTATTGAAAAAAAACTTTTCCTTTTTTTCCCGCGTTTGCGTGAAATTTGAGCGGACATGAATATTGCTCACATGAAATTATAATAAATACATGAATTAAACAGAGAAAAAAATATAAGTGAAATTGCATGAAAATTATTATCTTTTTTCTGTCTAATAAACAATTTCTATAAATTTAAAAAATAAAGGAAAAAGTGAATCAGGCCTCGGGAAATTTGGTTAGGAAACGGTAAAGAGAAAGCACTAAAAAAAGAAGTTTGAGACAACGTAGCTGTTAACATAATGTAAGTAGCGTAGCAAAAATGTTTTCGACTTTTGGAGTTGTCAGAAAAGATCAGAGAAAATGAAAGAACACCCTAATTTTAATGCTATTTTCAATTTGGAATGTTGAAGTATGTCAATCCGGAGGGAATTTCTTTCGCGTCGTTTATCCGCCAGCAACCGCATCGTAACTGCTGCGTTGAAGCTTTTTGTGGAGTTCAAACTTCCAAACGATGCCTGAGCCCAGGATACACAAGATTATCAAAACGAAAACGGCGATCTGCAAAAAGAGTTAGTTCAGCATATGTTGGTAAAACGTGTCACCGACCATAGTGGTGTTGGAGTCGTCGGGGATCGGGGGTTGAGTTGGCTTCTCGAAGATGAACGTCTTCTCCGTGGTGCCTTCCTCTTCCTCTTCTTCGGCCTCTTCTTCCTCTTCCTCTTTCGCCTCTTCCTTTTCCTTTTCCTTTTCTTTCTCTGTCTCTTTCTCCTTCTTGCTCTCTTCCTCCTCTACTCGGTCTGCGCGGCTTGGTCCTGTTCCTCGTTAGTTAGTCCTACTATCTTCAGAAACACCTACCTTTTCGAGCTTTTCCTTTCGGCTCGGCCTCTTCCTCTTCGAATCCTTCTTCGCCTTCTTCTTCGTACTCAATCTCCATTTTTTGCTTCGGTTTTCTGAAAATCGGATTATGTTGCAAACTTGGAAAAAAAGTTACTTTGATCCTTTCCGGGCCGATTGACGCCGTTGCGGGACCTCTTTATTGGCAAGAGCTCGACGAACCGCCGACTTGTCCTTGGTCTGCAACTTGTTGGTTTTTGGTTTTAATGGACGAATTTATGATGAATCACAAAATGTGCCTTACGAAGGTCCTTTAAGTGACAAATAATTTCTCTCGTTTACCTATTTTAATCAAAAAGATTGAACTATCTCTAATGCTACGGCTTAGATACCTAGAAAGCTTGGAGAGAGATTAGTACCGAGTGATATAGAGAGTTTTGAAAAAAATAAAAAAATAATAAAAATGACCGGTTAGTTAACCGGTCATTTTTTTATTTATTTTTCAATCTGATCACAAAAACAAAAATATAAACATGGGGCTTCTACAAGGTTTCAATAATGTACCATCGTGCTCAAAAAGTTAGAAAAAGGAACCTGGAAGCAGGTTTCGACGGTGAGGCTCTCGGAGACGAACTTGGCACAGCCGGTTGGATCGAGCTCCTCGGGGAGCGGATCTTCTCCGGTGAAAGAAGCGCATCCGTAGGTCGTGTAGTGCGAGATGTGTCCCAACGTCGACTTCATGTTCACCTACAAAAGTTTCTCTTTCCAAACAAAAAATATTTTGTTTATTGAGCTTTCTTGCGTATAAAACCAAATAGGTTTGTTGTTAGACCACACCGGCGACATATCTTCCAAATCCAAGAAATTCTTTCAAATAGGTTGCAGAATTTTTTTTGGTAGGAATTAAGCCTAATATTTTCTACAACTTGGTTAGACTTTTTAAACGGTTTTTCAAAAATTCAACCTTTTTCGAAATCCACTTTGGTTTTTTTTTTGCTTTTTTTTCCCCAAAAGAAGTTCGTTTCAATGAACTTTGACGATAATTTCGTGGTGGAAAAAGTATCTTCAATAATAACGTACCTTGAAACAAAACTCGCCGTCGCAGGAAATGTTCTTGCTTTTCATCTGGAATTCCCCAAAATTTCAAGAAAGATTCGGATCGAACTGACGTGGTTGCCCATGGCGTTGGCCTCGACGTAGGCGCGGCATTTCTCGTTTTCTTTCACCGTAATCTCCGGCTTCTCACTGTTACAGTAGTCCGTTCCGCAGACACATGATTCGGTAACCAAAAGGTCTTGAGCGGTCTGAAAATTTAGACGCTTAATAGGTTTCAGTTGTTGAAACTCTTTTTTCTGAGCTTTTTCGACAAAAGTTTCTTTTTCGGAAACGGCGCTGAATTTTCGGATGAAAACATAGGATCACAGCAAATTGAACAAACAAAATTTTCTATTGGACCACGAAAAATCCTTTAAAAAAATTTTACATCATCTACAACTCACGATTCCGGCGAGTGGAGACCCCTAGATCAAAGAAGGTCTCTCACAGTTTTGTCAGTTTCGGAAGTTTACAAGGAAGGTCATTTAAGTTTGTTTTTGGTAATTTTCTGAAAGTTGACCGGAATACTTTACGATTAACCGGGTGAAGAAACCTTCACAACCTTCTACTTTTTGAGAAAGAACCCCTGAAAAGTTCAGGTATATCAATGAATGTTCTAACGAATTTTCCGGGAATTTCCAACCGCAAATTAAAACGAGCTTCCTTGTTGAACAAGCAAAGGAAAAAGAACCTTGGAAACGGTGTGATACATGGCTCCAGTGATGGGCGGCGCCATGCAAGATCCCATCGTTCTTCTTTCGATCAAGGGGACTGTCGCGTTCACGCAGCCCTCAAATAATCAACAATGAAAAAAAGAAACTTTCGAGCAAAAGCAGAGGAAAACCGAAGAGCAACCTGTTCTACGGCCTTGGTTTTGTGGTTGATGACGTAGGAACAGAATTCGCCGAGGCAGGTTCGATCCTTGTTGCAGTGCGGCCCTTTGCATACGCAAGTCACCTGAAAAATCGAGTCTATTTCAAAAAAAGTTTACTAAAAGGTGAAATTCAGTTTTTTTAATATTCAATTCCTTACTTTGAAATTAAAAAAAAGGTTCAAAAATACTGCAAAATTGGAAGCTTTGCAGAAAAAAAGGCGGCTGCACATGTTTGAAACCACAGATTTAAGTATTTTTTCGAATATCGGAAAGTTTCAAAATTTCTTGAAAATCAATCAAGAATAAGCTTTGCTCAAAATCCATTGAATTGAACAACTCAAGAAAGGAAATTATAACTGAACTCACCAACTCGACGCGTTCTTCTTCGAGTTTCTGAAGTTGTCTGCCGCCGTTGCAGTTGTCTTTGCTGTTACAGAAGCACGTGAATGGCTCCTGTAAAAAACAACCTTTACTTTGTTTTTTGTTCAGATCTGCTTATCTCTTTCAAAGAAAAATCAGTTTTTTGTTCTTGTTTCACCAATTTCCTTCTGAGATTTATGCAAGGCGCGCAGCCGTTTTTCAAGTGAAAATAAACTCGGAGAATATTTCGAAGACGTCTTTCGAAGACGTCTTCTCGCTGGACCGTTGACATGTCTTCCGACCTCATCCGTCCCCTTTGAAATATGTTCCCAATCACCTCCGTGTCCGTATTTTCTTGTTTTGCGAAGAGTTGTCTCGACAACGAGGCAGAAAAGACAAGCCGAATCAACAGCCTGCCCGTCTATATTATTTTTTGTCGGTCCTAGTCAAAAGAACAAAAAAAGAGGCCATTAATGGCTGACGTATTGCACGTGAATGTCTTCTCGGCACGAAGCTTCTTCGTCTTTTTTTCCATGCAAAGCGTAAGTCTTGTAGGTTTTTGCGTTAAGGTTTCAGAGAAATAGGTTTTCTCTGAATCCTGAGAATTTTCATTTCGATCCCAAAAGTTAGCGCAAAATGAAAGAGAAGTGCAGTTATCAGATGTTGAAAGTTTGAAAGATAAAATTCGAAAAATAATTGAAAAACCGACAACAAAAAGCCAGAAACTTCCTATTTCCTCCAAGTTTGGTTCTAAGATGAGCAATGCTCCCGACAGAAAGCCTCCGACGCCAATTTCCTCCACACTCGCAACTTTTTCTCAGCTAATCGTTTCCCGTGGCCCGAAGACTCGCCGGAAGTGATGTCACTCCCATTTTTCGCATTCCTCCTTTCTAACACGGTGATTCGTGACCCAATGGAGCTTAAGAGGAAATGAGATGCACCTAAAAAACCGGAAAGGATAGGCGTTTCTTAAAATCAGCATTATATCCGCGGAACAAGTTCTTTTTGTCAGGGTGCTTTATTGGCTTTCGTAAAGCTCAAAATATTCAATGACTATATAGTTTTTTTAATTGATAAAAAAAGGAAACAAAAAAGTTAAGCATTTCGAAAAGCAAGAAAACCTAGCAGGATCTTTAAACAGCTTTCGCTTTCATCATGTTAATCAGAGATGCACGGAACAGTTCCGCAAGAAAAACGCGGAAGTGAGAATTTTTCGATGGGAAAAATATTTTAATCAAAAATAAGTAGATAATCGTGAAGCTATGCCTATTGGGAAAGTATAGAACAAAAAACTGTTTTGAATTTGGCTGTCATAGCTCAGAAAAGTGGAAAAAACAGGTCAAAGTTTCGCAAAAAAGTGCGGAACGCGGAACTCGGAAAAGATTGCTGTTTTTTTGGATTTTTATTGAAAATGGTAGCTTTATTTTGGAATCTTTTTTGTTCTATACTTTTCCATAAGCATATAGACAATTCACGGCTAGCTTGAGACGTAAAAAGGCGTGGCCTGTCTGCACCTCCACCAACCAGGGCACTGTCTCGTCTCTTTTCGTGGCACTGTCTCGTCTCTTTTCGTGGCAGGACCCTTTTCTCGATGGCTCAAGCCAGCCATGGATCAGCTATAGCTTCACAATTATCCTCTTATTTTTGAATAAAAAATTTTTCCCTTCAAAAAATTCCCACTTCCGCGTTTTTTTTGCGGAACTGTTCCGTGCATCTCTGATGTTAATGATAAGGGAACAACGCATTTTTTAAAAGTCTTTTCATCTCAGTTTCCAAACTTTGTTTAGCAATCAATTCTGGTAGTTTCCAAGTACCTCTACCCAAATCTCCTGAAAGTATCTCAACATGCAAAATAATTCTATTCAGTTAATTATTAAGTAAGAGCTTTAAGATCCCGAAAAAATCTCAACTTTATTTCTGCGAGCTTACTTCCAAAAAACGAAAAAATGACATCACTTCCAACCCCAACGCCCTTATCGGGCAAGATCGGATTTTTTTTTTCTGCGTTTGCTTTTGAGCGTTTTATGGCTTGCCACGGCTCAAGTGGGTGCGAGGCTTTCAAATATCGGGTTTCCCGCCATCCCTTTCTGCCTTTCCATCACGTTTTCTGGCAGGAAAGCTCAAATGATTACGATTTTTGGTGCGGCCGGAAACGGACGATTACATATTCAAACGTGGTCTATGAAGAACTGCACACACTGCATTTGATTACAAAGATCTTCAAGATTTTTCAGAAATATTGAAGGCAAAGTTAAGAGCCTTCTGACTGGGAAACCCCTGAGACTCCGATTCGAGAATACATCTAAAACTTCAGACTTTTGATGAGCTTTTGACGAAAAAACTTTCTATATTTTTTAGGATTTCTAGGAAACCACTATGCGCCTTTTCCGACCTCACCTTTTTGGGAGCCGCCATGATTACCGACAGAATTTATATTAAAACTGTATAGCTGAAGCTTGAAAACTGTCAAAGTGTACTTTTTTAACACTAATCTCTTGGAAAACGCTATGCAACGACCATCAAAAATCATTAGGATCGAGGTTTTTGAAAGAAGAAGAGCTTATCAGACATCCTCAATTACCGAGAACTCCACGCAGATCTGCCATCCGCGAGAAGTTAAGGTCAACTATCAATCCCGAATAGAAGTTCTTTCCCTATTCAGCAAGACATCAAAAGCTCGTCATGGCTCCGTTTTCCTCGTGTTTCAGGCGGCCCAGACTAATGGCTTCGATCGGCTTGATGAAATTATCACGAGGCCGCGGGTCTGGTTTTAGATCTGCTCCGAAAATAAAACAAAACTCACGTCAGCTCCAACGGCGATTTCGCAATGATCGCGCAAGTCTTTGCTGACCATCCGTCCAGACAGACAGCCCTGAAGATTTTGAATTAAAAGCTGAAGTGATAAGCGAAAAAGACTGTGAATTGGAATCATTATTGGAATGGCTCGAAAAATTAGCAAAGAACATCATCTTCCTCTTCAAAAAAAAAGTGGTTGGACAGGATTTGCGATATGTTCTTCACAATTTGAAGAAACAATAATTTTTTCCTCATTTATCTAGTAATGTGTAAAAAAACCTTCAAAAATTATTTTCTCTATAGAAAAATTGTTAAAATTATAAAAATGCGACTTGGAAACCTTGACGATTTCTGGTTTGCCCCATTCGATGGTACCCCAGCGCGGAGCGTACTGCGACAGCATACAATAGTCTCCCTCGCAGAAGGATCCCATGCAGTCGGCGCCGACACAGTCGAGACATTTCACGGCCAGCGTCGACGGCACAACCGCCGCCAGCACCTGCACAAGCGTGCTCCACCGCATTCTCGTAAGCCGCGCCTCGGGTCGTCCTGCAGAACGATGTAGTAGTTCAGAATCATATCAGAAAGAGTTCAACGTAAAATATCTCGAACATGAATGGCAGGCAGATCAGAGTACTGATAAAGAAAAAGGTGAATCGGCGTGATAATTCATTCGAGAATGCTTAAACTACAGAAGTGGCATTTAGAATATCTCAACGCGTTGTGTCTTAACTATGGCCGCTTCAAAGCACGTCAAGCCATTCTAGAAGGAAACTGCTGAAACCTTCTAGAAAATGTGAAAAATAAGAGCTGCATCAAGTATGAATAAGAATAGGAGGGACCAAAAAAGCCACGAGCCTTTAGAGTTCTCAATTTGTTCCAAATTCTGAATCCACGGACTTTTGAAACAAATTGTTAATTTTTTTTTTCAAGCGACCGCAGAAAACTTCAAATAAAAGTATCGTAGAGTTTTCAAACTTTTCTTGTGTTTTTGCTTGTGGAATAATGGAAGCTGAAAACAAAGCTAGCAAAGGGAGTGACGAGAGAATATTGGTAACAGAATAGAGGAAACTTGGAAACTTCGATTGTGGTCTTTTTGCCGATTCGCCACCTTTCAAGTCTGAACAAAACGTCCACAAACAATTAAACTTCGTCTTTTCAATTTTTCCGATTTTCCTGTTTTCAAAAGAGAAATGAAAACTTATAAACTTTTGTTATATGTTTCAAACACAAAAGACAATATGAAACAAAAGAAAAAGCCAAAATGCCATGAGAAGGCGATTAGTTCAGACGAGCGGTGTATGGAAAAGGAGAGAGGAGCTTTCTGGGAAATGAATCATTCATCGTGCGTCCTCCCATCTCCTCTTTTTCAGAATATTCGAGATTAGGTGCACTTGCTCACGCTGTGGAACGCAATAACTGCTGTACCAAAACATCCATAAAAAATTAGTCGAGGACAAAAAAAAGCTGTCATCCGCAGGATTCGAACCTGCGCCCTCCGAAGAGGACTGCGACCTGAACGCAGCGCCTTAGACCACTCGGCCAGAATGACACGGACCCTACGACGCACACTCTCATACTCACACTTTCTGTTATCACAGTGTGGTGAGTTTTGGTACCAATGGTAAATAATCCAAAAATTGGCAAAAACTGGAATCTATTTGAATACTAGGAAATTCTTTATCTGACTTTTTGATTCTTTAAAAAAAAGTAGAGAAACGAATCATCACTAATTGCAAGAAGAGCAGTTGCATTTCATTCAAAATTTTCGGCCTACTTGATATTTTTCGAGGTATTTACACCCAAAATTGTGAACTATATAACAGCGAGAGTGACGCTATACCGCGGGGGAGCCGCGAGCGATATCGCTCGCTTCTCGCTGCGACCTCGCAAACGTCTTGCGCTACAGTACCGCTCAAAAGTCTATTAAGTTTTGGTTTTTTGGGGATATCTCAGCGAGTACTTATCCGATTTATATATAACTTTCAGGGATTATGTAAAATATACTTTGAAACATATACGGTATACAAAGACATGTCCGCAATGACTGTGACGCGTTTTAGGCATTTTTTATTGAATTCCATTTTTTTTGTTTTTTATGCTTTTATTTTTATTTATTTTTATTACCGATCCAAGACTCAGCGTCCCTGCGATCAGACGGGAAGTTTGCTTGAATTCTCCATCTCCGCCATCCGTCTCGACCGTGAAACAACGTCTGAATGCTGCTGGAATCATGGGAAGACGTCCAGTGAACAAACCGCTGATTTCTGAAAAGAATCGAGTCGCCAGGGTGAAGTGGGCGAAGGAGCATCTCAACTGGACCCGTCAAGACTGGAACAAGATTCTGTCGTCCGACGAAACGGTCCTCCACCATGTTTCACAAAGGGTAATTGGTATTTCGGATGATATCTGGACCCAATTGGTCTACGAACTCATTGAATTCCGTCACTTCCGAAGAGGAGGAACTTGATTTCGTCGGACGACAGAATCTTGTTGCAGTCTTGACGGGTCCAGTTGAGATGCTCCTTCGCCCACTTCACCCTGGCGACTCGATTCTTTTCAGAAATCAGCGGTTTGTTCACTGGACGTCTTCCCATGATTCCAGCAGCATTCAGACGTTGTTTCACGGTCGAGACGGATGGCGGAGATGGCGAATTCAAGCAAACTTCCCGTCTGATCGCAGGGACGCTGAGTCTTGGATCGGTTCTAGACGTCTTCAAAATGTTTCTATCGTCATTACCATCAGTGACACGTGATCTTCCAGTGCGTTGGCTCTTAGTAGAGCCATCTTGAGCTTTCTGACGCTTTAGGAACTGAGAAATGCACGCCTCTGTCCCGCCGAACATTCCTGCCAACGACATCATGGTCAGTCCATTTTGACGACCCACAACGATGGCTCTTTTGTCGTTATCAGTCAAATCCTTTTTTTCAGAGGTTCTTCCTATGTCTGAAAACATGAAAAAAAATATATGGCAACATTATTACTTTTAAAAAATTTAATAGAAATAAATAAAAATAAAAGCATAAAAAACAAAAAAAAATTGAATTCGAAAAAAAATTCCTAAAACGCGTCGCAGTGACTGCGAACATGTATTTGTATACCGTATATGTTTCAAAGTATATTTTACATAATCCCTGAAAGTTATATATAAATCGGATGAGTACTCGCTGAGATATCCTCAAAAAAACCAAAACTTAATAGACTTTTGAGCGGTACTGTATATCGCTCTTTGAAAAAAATTTTTTTCTTTAAAAAAATGTTTTTTTCTTGAATTTGATTGATTTCATCATGAAAGTCAAAAAAATAAAGCGAAAAAAATGTTTTTTTCAAATTTCAAATTTTTTTGAGTGGGAGCGATATGGCAGCGAGACTTTGACGAGGTCGCAGCGACATGTTGACGAGATCGCAGCGAGAAGCCTTGGCTATATCGCGTGCGGCCCGCTGCGATATCGGCAATTATGTTGGGTGATAATTAAGCTGACATTTTATACTCTTAAAACTTTTGCATGGGTTTTGGTTCTTCTCAAAAAGTTTGTCTGAAAATTTTCGGCCATTGTTTTGAACAATCCTTCCTGAATTTTTGACTATTTTCTTTTTAGGAAAAATATTTGAAATGCACAGCTGAAAACTCGATGAAAAAAAGAAAGATAACTTTGGAGGAAGTAAATAGATAGAAAACTGAACATAGGGACCGCAGGCATTTTTCTAGAAGATATGAACAGGATAATTTTACGTATTTCCGAAAGACTTTAGAAAACGGTTTTCGGTGAAAAAAACTCGCAATATTTTCTTTTATTCGGATGGAAACTTTAAAAATGTTATTGGGCTTTCTCAATGACCAGCAGGCATCTCAAGAAAACTGAAATTGGGAATCGAGCCAAACGCCAATTTGAATAAAGCTCAGAAGAAGGCGTTAGGAGCCCTCTCAACTGGAGCGAGAACGTGTTCGCCGGACGAGGCTAGGCTTAAAACAGCGAAAAGAATGAAGCGGTGGTTGATTGGCGGCAGAATGGCCCCAGGATATTGTTACCAAGAGGCATCTCCTGCCTCGCGTCATCAGATTCCGCTCGATTTCCTCTCGCCGTTTCCGGCCCTCCGAAATGGTCCGACCCATCCTTCCGTCACCATCCACACGTTCCGAATCCTTTTTGGGTGGGACATTCAAGAAACAAACTTTCGTTAAGAGCATGATTAACCCAAGTCTAGAGGTTTTCACGTTTTGGACTCAAAACTTCAAACTGACTTCCAAATACATAAAAAAAAACTCAAGAAGAAGAGTAAGCATTATATAAAGATCAACCGAAATACGGAAAATTGGACATAAATAATATTACATAAGAAGTTTTTACTTGAAAAATCGTACAAATTGAAGGCGCCTCAAGCCAAGTCCAGTCTAGTTTTAATTTATTGATTTAGAATGTACAATGAGGACTACTCGAACGTTTTTTTGTTAAACCATTCAGGATTTCTCATTTACAGATCGCAATGAATAAATAAATATTCGTAAATATTTACAGATCGTCAATAAACTCGTTAAGAAAATTTTTCTTTCCTTACTTTATTTTGAAGCTAAATTGAATTCAATGAAAAATAAGGCGAAAGATGTTTAAAGAATTGTGATAATTGAACATTTTTTCTCGTTATTTTGAAATATTCTTAACTTTTTGAAGATGGCCCTTTGGAATTTCAATAATTCTGAGTTGGAAAAAAAAAAGTTGAAAGCCAGGATTAACAAATTCTTGTCCAACTTTTGTTTTACAATAAAGTTTTCAAACCGAACTTTCAAACTAATAAAGTCGTAGTTTTGAAAACATTAAGTTGAAGCTGTTATTTATAAAAACCAACTTGTGAAAAAAATATAAGAAAAACTGCAGAAAAAAACCTCTTTGTTGACTTCTTCAAGAAGATATCGACTCAAAAGAACTCGGACAAGAAGAGAGAATTTTCGCGATTGTATGTCATTTGCATGATTATACCCCATAATCAAAGATAATGCAGCTTTTGCTAATGGCGAGTTTGCGGAGAAAAGGAAAAGAAAAGAAGGGAAAATCCGAGCGGATAACGAGGAGTTGAGCGTTGAAGTAGGAGAAATCCGTGGAGAAGGAGCGGAAAAAGGAGAGAAGCAAGGGTCGGAGGAAAAAAAATAGTTGGTCCTTGCTGGGCGGTGCTTGCGGAGCCCAAGAAGATTGAGCGAGAGCGAGAGCGAGTGCTGCCGTCAGAATTTCCCGTCAGAAAATGGAAGGAGGCGAGAAAAATGGAAAAACGCTCGGCTCTGCGACTACATGCAGAAGCCGTAGGCGCAGGCTCCCGTGAGAATCGATGAGCCGAGGGGCCGACCTCAGCCAGCTCTTTTTCGTCGCCACGGCAAACTTACCGGCACCTGAAACATGCATCTCAAGGAAGGAAACCATGCAAACGAAGTACATTAGAAACATTCCTTTCTTCTCTTCTTTTTGGGAAAAACTTAGACTCCTACAGTGACCACTAATTTTTAGCCACTTACGTGACCACTACTGGGAAAATTTTTAGTAACCTTTTAATGAATTTTTGACGTTTTATTGGTCACAATAGTATTCGAATTAGAGGCCTTTCAGGTTAATAAAATTTAGCCGTCTCTTTAGAAGTTATTGTGATTCTAGGCATTGAAAACTACTGAAGTGGCCACTAAGACGCAAAATAGTGGCTTCTATAGAAGTGATTTAAGTGGCCACTTTAGAAGGCTCTCAAAAAAGCCCTAGAAGAACCTTTTAAGCGGCCACTAGTTTTTACCAGGACGCTTATTTCTCCCTGACTACGTTAGCGACCACTAAAAGGTCAAAACCCTAGAGTGGTCAGTAAAAAATTTTCCTGGTTTTTTGAGTCGACTATAAGGTTCTAGCTTTCGTTTTCCTACGTTCAAATTAACAAAGAAAGAAGTCGAAGAAAATTATCCAGTTATTTCTCATCGCCACAGGAAAATCAAGAATTTCTCTGGCATATGAAAGTCAAAACAGCAATTTTAATTCCGAAATTTGCAAAATAGAACGGTGTGAATGAAATGAGTGAAACTAATGGAAAAAAGTCCGCTAAAGAAAAATACAGTTCCTCCGTCAGTATATGTAAAATTCATAAAAGTAAAATACAAACTCCGAGTACTGTAAAGATGCACCCGACCATGAAACGACTTGCCCGAGTTGGTAAAGGAGTCAATTCACGTGTAAGCTTTGAAGGCTCAACTTTTAAAGAGAGCCGCGACGGATTGAGCCATTCTACATGCGACCAGAAAAGTTTGATTAAAATCTTTTGTTTCTTCACAAAAATTCCGAAAAACGTTATTTTGATTATGCGAGAGGAGAAGGGGAAAGCATACTCTGTTTCTTGAGCCGGAATAATTGCAAAAATGACTGGGTTATCAATATTTTCTCGTAGTCACAGAGACATTCTTTTTTATTCGTTGTAAGCCAGCTTAACCAGTTTTTGAGGCTGCTTTCAAAATCTCTGCGCGTGAACCTTTTTTTTTTATCAAAGTAAGGAAATGAGCTCTTTTTCTTTCTTTTTTTATTGATCAGTACACACCTGTTTAGTTAGAATTTTAGTACTAGGAGCGCTTCATGACATTATCCGTTTTCCGAGCTTCCTAAACTTAATTTGGCCTATTTTTTCGAATGTCCTTCGAATAGAGCTTTGCTTTAAACGAATATATTCCCCATGAAAAGATTTTTCTTGACGACAGGGAAAAATAACCTCAAAAAAAATCGTTCAATGGAGAAACAGAACATTTCTCGGCGGAAAGTTTTTTTTTCCATCCGAGAGAAAACACTTTTATCAGGCTTCGAAGCTTTTTGATTGATTTTACAGTCCCATTTTGAACTCCGAGTGAGTCAAAAAAAAACGACATTCTTATCTTCTTACAGGGAAGTTTCTTGATAATTTTATTAATTTTTTGGTCTTTCTCACGACGTGCAAAACTTTGTTTCATAGCCGACGGCGCGTGTACACAGATCGTCGTTTTGTTTCAAAGTTATACATTTGGGTCGGCGTCCGTTTTTCTCAGACATCGATTCGAATCGCGCCGTTGCGCGTCTCTCAGTTTGGCTCGCGATCCGCCGCTTTTTCCTCCCCTTACTGTTCTAATGTGAGCAATCGGCCGTTGTTTACTTCTTCACACTTCTTCGCAAAGCTCATCTTTTTTCTCGCAAAGCTCATCTTTTTTCTTTTTTCAGCGCACCTTCAAATGAACTTTTCGAATCCCAACATTTTCACCATTTACAGGTAAAACCTTTAACAGTAAATAAAACAAAAAATTAGTGAACAGTGACGGCGCATGAAGACACGCTACTTTCTCTCGAAAAAGCTTTTTTTCGTTTTTCTTTTTGTAGTTTGAAAATAATCAATGTTTTCGGCTCCTTTCTGCAGCTTTTTGAAAAGTATTCAGATAAAATGTAAAAACTTATTTGGAGTAAAAAATGGAAAGTCAATGCTTCGCGGCTTCTTTCTACGCAGATCCCCGGAAAAATTAATTTTCTTCGATAGCCTGTTTTTATCATAGCCCTTCATAGGCGAATCGAGGAAGGGTATCGCGATACTCCCTGTAGTATATACCTGAAGTTTATCGATGTTACCTCGAATATACCTCTGAAGACTTTGAACAAAATGAGATAGACTTGAGAGAGGCTCTCAAGAACCTCCGAGATGGGTTAGACAAAAAGGTTTGCTGGAGGTTTCGCGAGGGACACATTATGGTATCTTCCCGATTCGCCAGTGTATATTCTGATATAGTCTGTGTGCCACGACTTGTAATTTCACCGAACGACATTCCGCTGCGCGTCTTACTCTACCAGAACGGCGCACGGTGCCAGCACCAATAACCCGCTGCACGGTGCATGTCGTAGTGCGGCTCCTCGCGTTTTTTAGACATTTTGTTGCAAGTTGAGTGGATGCACACGATGCAGCAGCATGCCTCCTTAAGGAAGTTCAATTTAGCTTTTTAGTCATATTCAGATAAAGCTAGAGCTCTTGCTTTTTCGATTCAGGATTCAATAAAAACTTAACTGGCATCAAGTTCTCGAATATACAGTTTCAAAATTTTTGTTACAAAAAAAATTATCTATTATAGTCTGTGTGCCACGACTTGAAATTTCATCGGACGACATTCCGCTGTGCCGCTGCGCGCCTTTGCGAACCTTGGTCGCGCTTTTAACTTTTTTTTCTTTTTTTAGGTACTCTACTTTCCTGTGCTACTACAGCAATAACAATCATTTGAAAGTGTGACCCAGATTCGAAAGACGCTTCGCGAACGCACGCAGCGGAACAGCGGAATGTCGTCCGGTGAAATTACAAGTCGTGACACACAGACTATAGCACTGAAAGAAAAAGAAAAACAGAAAGAACAGTCTAGCCTTTTGCACTACCGTGCGTAACTTGTGCCTGCACCGTGCAATATCGGTAATTTTTTGGTGCCACATGCTGAAAGCACTGTTTGGACACCTATGCACCCGTGTGGCACCAAAAAATCACTGAGAATGCACGGTGCAGGCCCAAGTTAGGCACCGAAGTGCAAAAAGCTAGACTGCATCGTGCGCCATTCTGGCAGATTATAAGCATCCAAAAATAACTAAACGCGCGGAACCGTGTGAGTGGGAGAAAGAGTTGTGCTCTCTTTTTTTAAAACTGGTCCTAAAAAAATTGCTTTCAAAACGGGAGCGTCTAGCGCAGAACAGGCTTGTGCGTCAGGCCGGGCGGACCGGTCCGTGCCGGCCTGGCCCGGGCTTGGGCTTACAATTAAAAAAAAAAAGCCTGCGTGGGCTCGGGCCAGGCTGGGTTTCGTAAGAAATCTTAAATTTCATTTTGATAAGATTTCACGGAAAAGTTATTTTTACTTGTTGAATCATAGTTTCTAATAACTCTATGAGAAAAAATAAGCAAAAATACCACTTTTCTCGTTAAAAAAGCGAAAAATTCGACTTGAAGAGAATTTGAGTTTTTTGGGCCGGGCCGGGCTTGGGAAGTGCTCTACAAGGAGCTTGCACGGTGCGAGCACTGATTTTGCACTTTTTTGTTGCACGGTGCATGTTGTCGTTTTGCACCTCGCAGTTTTGGGTCTTTTTCAGTGCGCATGTGGTGCAACACCGCACGGTGCTGACACTCCGAATCAAAAAATTGGGTATAGGCCATTCCGCGCTAGCTTGTCACGTTTTTCTTTCCGCCAAAAGGCCAGGTCAAATTTAACTAACTTTCGCTTCAAGACCTTTGTTTCTTGCCGTTATAAAAGCAGAAATTTGATCTAATTTGGTAAACGGTCTTTTTGGCGGAAAGAAAAACGTGACAAGCTGGCGCGGAATAGGCTATATTCGAAATCCTCTCAATTCAGTCAATTTCTATCAGTTCTACATGTTATTTATACTTTTTTTTCGTTTTAGTGATGATTTTTTTCGTTAGAAAAGTCGGATGATGGAGAAAGAAAAGGCCTAAATCGAGTAGCGAAGCATGTTTAGTTTTGTGGTCCAGAGTGTCAGCACCGTGCGGTATTGCACCTCATGCGCACTGAAAAAGACCCAAAATTGCGAGGTGCAAAACGACAACATGCACCGTGCAACATAAAAGTGCACTTAAGTGCAAAATCAGTGCTCGCACCGTGCGTGCACGCTTCTTGTAGAGTGGCCGGGGGCCGAGAGGTTGACGGGCCGGCCCTCGCACAAGCATGGCGCAGAACACGTTATATGAGATCCGTTTTTTACGGATGATTGAGAAAATTGAAGTTTTTTTGTGAATTTTTTTCTCTGTTTTCATTTCACTTTTGGTTGCTTATGTTTTTACTTTCGTTATAATCAGATATAGATAGATCTATAGAAAGTTTTAATAAGAACATATAATATAATTATCTCGAAAAACTTCATAAAATGTCTCGCTTGAAAAAAATATATAATAAAGTCACCAGCGCCAAAAATTTTTTTCAGAGCAAACTCAAAATTTAAAATTTCTTTTTCTTTAAAGACCGAAAAAAAGCTCTTGAAGAAAAAAAGATACGGTTTCTATTCATGAAGGGGTTTTTTTCATTTCGAAGATTTCAATGTGTAAGATTTGCGAGAGTCTCACTTTTTATAAAATATCAAATTCGTTTAAGACCTGTCCGGTCCGAAATACCCTGGAGTGTTCCACAATATGTTCGTTGGAGCGCAGTACATCAGGAGCCGTTCGAATTACGCGCTCCTCCGAGGTTGGTTCCTTTTAGTTTATTTAAATATTTTTAATTTCCATTTCAATTTATTCAGTCTTCAGAGTAAGATGAAGAAAATCTCTGTTGAATCGTGGTATAATGATGCAATATTTTTATTTAAAAAATTTTTTTTTAGTTTAACACTCTTGAAACTTTTTTTATTTTTTTCATCTTTCGACAATATTATAATAGAAATAATTTTTTTCATTAAGTTTTTTTCCTTCTCAGTTTCAATACCCAACATCAGAAACATTTTTTTGAACATTTCTCGCAATGAAATAAAAACCTTTCTTTATTTGAAATTTTTTTCAGACCTGTCTGTCCAGTAAGAGTTTCGAACGCTCCTCAGAATTTCATATTTACCGCAGCTCAACAGACGGTGTTCCCTGTCGACTATTCGAGGTTTCTTTTATTTCGAAGTTCTTTTTTTCCTCAGTGTTATGTTTTTTTGGTGATTTTTTAAGTTTTAACAGAAGTTTTTTTTTGCAGATGCTTTCCCCCTTTTGTCAATAACTCCCTCGGAATGAGCTTCCCTGTTCCTGAGCAATCAAACTTGATTGTCCAAAAAAATGTGGCACAATTAAAGTTCGAGATTCCGATTCACGCGAATGAATCAGAAGTGCGATTTCAGGATCTCAGCTCAAGCCCTGTAAGATATTTTTGCATTCAAAAATATAAACGTTTCAGGAACTGTTCCCACATTTTTCGATAAGAGTTGTGAGTCGTCACGAGATCAGAGAAGACGGGGATCCATATGTCGTAATAACCTATGAGGTTTCCCTGAAGGAATTCCAATTCCAAGAATTCACCTCCTCATAACATTGCAGCTGAGTTCCGTTCACAAGCTGGACAAGAGGTTTCTTCAGAACCTGTTGGTATATTACCAAAAATCCTTCATCGCAATCCAGGTTGCTTTATTTTTTTTTTCCAATCTTCAAACTTGATTCAAGAGGATGATTTGTCGAGCGGATGCTCTTGGAACCTTGATTCTGCACGACTCCGAACTCTTCAACCCGGATTTCATGTGGAGTTCTCCGTCTTTTTTCTCTTATAACTTTTTTTGTAGTTTCAAGTATGAAGTCAACTCTGAATATCTCAAATTTGGAAACATCCTAAATGGTTGTTTCTACAATCACTGGGAGGTTCGTTGATTTTTCCGAGTAGTTTTTGATAAATATTCACTTGAGGTTCCACTTGGACGTGAGACCGGTCACAGGCTTCAGTCCGGTAAACAGATGAAAAATACTTTTTTCGAGTTTGCCAACAGACACATCTTGACTTTCCATTTCGACAATTATCGCGTCTCGGTGAGTTTGGGAAGCGAAAAATCTTTTCAACTACGAAAATTTCGTTTTCTGAAGTTGTTTACAATGAAAGGGTATTGAAAATGTTGATTTAATACCAAAATCGATAGAAATCGAAGAAGGATGAATTTTGAAGCTTCAATGTATGTTTTTTGGAAGAACTTTTGCAATACGCTAAGTTTTCTTTGATCTGAAATCAGACGATCCGACGTTATAAGTTTGTTTGAAAGCTTGTATAAATCGAAAACATTTCATTTAACAAGTTGTGACTGAGTTCCATCCAATGTGTAACTCACAAAAGAAGCTTTCTTTTCCAGGTTTTCCCATCGACGATCCGACGAATCGTCTGCGATTTGATGCCTTCGGCGGATTCCTCGGGAATGGTTCGTCTGTACTTCTTCCTGCTGGCGCCTCCGACGATCCGATACTCCGAGACGGGTCTCAAGTCCTTCGAGAACTTCGCCCGGTGCACCTCCATCAAGCTGAACGGCCGCGAATCGCATCCGCTCGCCATTTCCGACAGTCCCGTACTCAGCGTCGCGTTCTACGTCGCAGAGGTTTTTTCTTGATTGTGACGTTTGAAGTGTTTGAAAATAGGCGATTCCTGAGAAGGTGTTAGGAAGGTAACCAGCCGCAGGTTGGAAGGTTAATGGAAGCTAGAAGTTATTGAGAAGGTCTTCAGAAGGTAGTAGGCAGGTCTTTTGAAAGTAAAAAAAAATTGAAAATGCCTGCCAGAATCCTTCCAGCAGGCTTTTGGAAGGTAAGTAGAGATGTTGGAAGGTTTGTGGAAGACATTTGACCACTCGCAAAAAACTTTCAAACGCCTTCCAAGGAACCGAAAGCAGAAGCTTCCTAAATTCTGCCTGAGAAAGCAAATTAAAAGTGAGAAGTCGGAAAAAAAAACCTATGCTTGCTTTGTAACGCCGTTGGTGATCTCTCGATCAAATTATTTATTATTTTCGATTGGAAACTATAAATAAAGGTAATTTCACTTTGAGAATTGGCCAGAGCACTCCTTGATATACCATATAGAGAGCCTGAAAGTTTTAACCCGCTCAAATTCTTAATTTTTTGAGAAAGGACACCTCGAAGCCAAAGAAAACTTTTTAACTCCGTTAATTGGGAGCTTATTTCTTGAAACTAAGTATTTTTGTGTTTATACTTTCAAAACGTTAAATTGGTATGTCAAGGGATATTCTGACAATTTTTCAGAAAGTTCCCTAGCGGAAAGTAAAATGACCGTCCTTGTAAGAAGTTTTGCGGAACACTTTTCACGGAAAAGTGTCGTTATTAGGATTTTTCCTTCTGAGAAATGCCTACTTTTCCAAACGCAACTGAGGGATTCAGATAGGCGACCTGCACAGTGTCCTCTCGCGGTTCCGCTTCAAACTGAATATCGGCATCGAATTCACTCTCATCAAGGTCAGTTCTTGACCGTTCCTGTTGAGATTTTCAACACCAGGAGCTGCCCCCTCTGATTTACTACATCAACGAGAATCCATACCACAAATGGACTCGAGGCCGAAAACCGACAGATCCCGAGGAGAAGATGTTTAGATGGTTCTTGTGGGAGGTGCGTCGAAAAAGGCTGGATTCTTAGGAATTCCTCAATTTTCTAGGCTTTCAATGAATTTTCGACGGAAAACAACGTCGACCCAAATCCCGCAGAAACTTATAAAAGGAGGAAGGCGAGACTCGTTCAGAAAATCCTCGAAAGACGCTTTTCCTACATTTACCTCATCGAATGTCTTCTGTCCAGGTTTGTGGCCCAAAACTCAGAAACATGGAATATTAATGCAAGAATCATGAGAAGCGAACTAATTTTGACCGATGGTAACTTTAAAAAATATCTGTTTTCGTGGTTATTTTAGTCTTTACATTTAAAAAGTATATTGGATTCTATCGAGTGATAGTTAGAAACTTCATTTTTTAAATCTTCGCTCTACCTTTTGAAAAAAGTCTGGATTTTTTAAAAATCGTACTCAACGTAAATTATAGTCTGAAACGAGGATAATTGAAATTTTCGTCAGAGGGTTTCTGAAATTTTTTGGTGTGCATACTTATATTATTTCTATACTTGATTGGTACCCTTTTCTGAAGAAAAAAAAAACAATAAATGAGTTATCCACCAGAAAAGGAGTGTTTAAAGAAAAACATCTTTTGAAAATTATCTGTAATCAAAAAAAGTGTTCAGAGGGGCTGTCGTGAAAGATCAGTTATTGCTTGATGAAGGGAAATGGCTCAACTTCCTGCAGACCATCATTTATCACTACGATGATGACGAGAAACACGAGGTTTCCTTCAAAATTCTTTCATTTTACTGGGGCCCTCGAAAGTTTTGGTAGTTTGTGGAGAGTCTTCTTGATAAATCTGATGAGGACCTTGAAAGCCGAATTTTGCAGAGCTACTTTTTTTTTTGAAAGAAGGCCTTTCATGGTAGGAAAAAAAAGCAAGTTTAGTGAGCCATTTTGAAACGATAAGACCCTATTTGTTCAAAACTTGGAAATTTGAAAAAAAAACATCAAAGAGTATAACTTTCAAAAATTCCCAATCGTGAAATAAAATTACTAACCTTGTCAGGAAACTCTGTAAATTGACTGCAATTTTATGAAATGCGTACGGACATTTCAAACTTGCCAACTTTCTAATTCTTGGAGTTTTTCACGCCTGGAATCTGGTTTTTCGTGTCTTTTGCTGTTGATCAGAGGATCAGACGTCTTTTCTCATAAACTAGACATGTTAGGCCCCCAGGGCTCTCACCCAGAATATCGAGAAGGGTCTTAACAAATTTTTAGAATTTTGAAGTTCCCAGTAAAATGACCTTTTTGGAGGCATTTTGAACCAGTTCAGTTCAGTTTTGCGAGTCTGCGCTCCAAAAACTCATCCAGATGATCGACCAAAACCAACGTATCAAAGACATCAGCCAGGTCTGATTTGGGTGCAACTTCTGGGAATCTTTGGTGTTCAGACGCTCCGCGAACTGTGTACCAAACACAAGAATCTCCGTATCGACAGCAATTTCGACGCCAAAATGTACGACAACGGCTACAGAAGAGTCCGAAAAGTCGGTGAAATTTGTTATTTATTGATGAACAAACTCGAATTTGAAGGTCATTTTGACTCCGACGAGAATGATTTTGAGCTTACCCGAAATCATCATGGGCAACCGAGCACTTCGAGAGTTCGATTTCGACGGAACCATGATCCTTCGCGTCAATTTCCGGTTTGTATTTTCCCAGTATGTTGTAGAAGGAGTCAAAATAGGAATGTTGTTAATGAATGATAGGTTTATTCACTGTTTACGACAAAAGATAAGTAGTTAAAATAATAAAAGACAGGAGTACAGAATCCAGTACGGGAAGTAGTCCACCCTAACGAGTAGAATCGGACTCGGGCAAAGTTGGAATGGCGGATAACGGCCGCTAAAAGGGAGAGACTCAAAAAAGGCCGCAGTAAGACAGTAAAAAGAATCCCTTTATCGAGCCTTCAAACATTTTCAAGAGGCTCAAGAGATGATGCAAAAGGCAGAGACAGCAAAAATAGTGTATAAGAGCCAATGAAATGGCGCGAAAAGGCAGCTAAAAATGAGCCTTTGTCGCACGATAGAGATCAACCTGAAGTAACGTTTACGTTAACTTTTTTTGAGTGTTAAAAACAGCTCTCCCGGACGAATATCTTTGACTCGCATTCTCTAGATTTTGCTTCAAAATCAGCGAGCAAAGAATTAGATATTTTTCTTCACAGAAAAAATCAGGAAGGTATAATTTTAGAAGGAAAAAAGGTGACCGTAAAAATAAATAATTTTTGCTTCGATTAATGAGCACCTTTTTTTTTTAACCAATACCAACTTCCGAAAAACAGAAGATTGTAAAATATGGTTTGTAGATCTGGCTCGAAAAAAACACCTCAATTATGTTGGTTATAAGTGAAAGATATCCGGAATAAAATTATCTTTCTCGTAAATTTCAGGGACGATGACATGAGAAGGATGTACAAAAACGAACTGGGCGATCTGCTCAGCAAAACTGTGATGGGCTATCTCACTGACGGGATCGTCGTTTGTGGTTCTGATCCATTTTTCCAACAGAATATTCAGATATTTCTTTTTCAGGCTTCTATTTCAATTATTTCGGGAGCTCTTGCTCGCAAATGCGTGACACTGGCGGCTATTTCATGCTGAGGTTGTTGTTTTTCGAGAAAATCCCGTAAACCTTCCTTTCTTCAGAATTTCCAAACAAGACTTGAAAAAGTACAAGAGAGAAAACGGAAACCAAGATCCGCCGCCATCTCACAAACCGCGAATTCTCCACTGTCGCCAAAAACTTGGAAGGTCAGGCTTTTGTTGAGGCGGGCTTGTGCTTCCGGCGGAGCCCGGGGCGACCTGTTTTGAAAATGAGTTGAAAAGGAATAAATGTATGGAAAAAGGTGATGCAAAAAATTGAGAAAAATGGCTCTTCCGACAATGTGGCCGCTTCACGCGTCGGATCATCAGCAACTCTATTTTTTAAGCTCCAGGAAAAGTTATATTTGGTCAACGAAAAGTTAAAAAACGTAGAATGTTAGGAGAAAGTTGAGTTTATTCAATAACTATGAGTTTGATGTTCAGGTTCGACGAAATGGAAAGCATTCCGAAAGTGATGGCCCGTCTTGGGCAATGTTTCACACAGGCGCGCGAGGTTTCTTTTTGCTTTCCGTATCTGTAAAGTACAAACGTCATGTAAAGTTGTATAATGTAACTTCTTTGATTTTTGATCTGAGGTAACTTTTTTTCGAGGGTAAATGAATTGATCGGTGAATAGATTATCTTAATACTGTTTTTAGGCTGCGAAGTTGGGTCGTCAAAACTACTTCGTGTTGAACGATGATTTAGGTGGCCGCAACATCAGCGGGTGCGTTAGAAAAAAAAACGAGAAATGTTTGAGTTTCATTTTCCGTCTTTTCTCGTAGATCCAAAAAGGTGAAAAGCTTGACGAAATGCTGGAACAAAATTCATCAATCATTAGAAATTCATTTCCTTTTGATTAAAAAAAATTCTAGACTTGAAACAAAAATTACCTTTTATTGAAAGTTCCAAATTTGGTCGAATTCAATCTTTTATTCAGCAAAAATAGAACGTGTGAAGGATCGAAAAGCATAAATTGGACTGGAACTTTTTGAAGGCTGAAATCAAAAAGAGAGTTATAATTTCTCAGAAAACCGTACACTTTCACCGATGGAGTCGGCATTATCAGTGAAGATTTTGCGTGGAAGTTGGCCCTTGGCATGAGATTGGGCCCAAATCTCCCGAGTGCTTTTCAGGTATAATATGACTTGAAGTTTTTAAAAATATGTTCAAATTTTAGTTCCGGTTCCGTGGAATGAAAGGAGTTTTGGTGGTCGAGCCGTTGCTCGACGAAATCCGCGACTGGGCGGCCAAAGACGAAGTTCTGACGCAAAACGGGCCGCAATTCCCCAAATCAACGTCTTGGCAAATCGACTGCGTTTTTCGGCCAAGCCAGATCAAGTCACTTTTTGATTTATTGTGTTATATTTTGGAGCTATTTTCGTTTCTATTGATTTTTGGCGTCTTTGAGCTTTTTTATAACTTTATTAAAACCAATTAGAACATTTGAAACGAGGGACACTAGAGAAAAACTCAGAACATCATTATAAAAATTTTTTTTCGAGCTTTTTTTTGTTAGAAGAAGGAGACGGTATAATGAGATGGGATCTTAAAGAAAAAAAAAAGAAAAAAGATTATTTGGGACAATTGACGAGTTGAGCCAAATTCGGAACTTTTTGGAAACTTATTGTAAATTCAAAACTATGGTTTGTCCTGATTTTTTCGATTTTCAGATTCATCACGGCCAAAGCCACTGACGATTTCTATCCGATCGAGGTTGTCAAGTTCTCGAGCACCTCCCCTGTGACACTGAACCGTCCACTTATCAATATTCTGGATCAGGTCTGGCAGAAACCTTTCATATCTTTCGAACCGCTCTCAAAGAAACCGTTCTCGACCTTTCAGGTATCTGAGATGCAGTCCTACGCGTGTCATCGACGGGTCTGCAACCGGATCGAAGAGCTTCTCGACATGGAAATCTCGACGTTCGCCAAGTTGATGGGCGACGAAAACAGATGTCGCGAAAGGATCAAGGTTATCCCCAGACCCACCCGAAAAGTACCCTTTTGCGGTAGGAAATGACTCGCCGTGTGAATGTCGACGTCCTCAAAAGAAACTCTGGCTTCATGCTCACCACGGAGCCCTTCTTCCGATCTTTGATCAAAGCGGCCATTCGCGCTGTCACAGGTATTAAGATTCCCAAAATTCTCGAATTATCGTTTGGTTTTTGATTGAAAATTGATTATCTTCTTGATGGGTGTCATTAATCAAAAAGTAGTATTCAAGACGTTTCTGCGCAATTTTGATGGACTTTTCATCGAGATTTCGTGTATTATAGCAGAAAATCTCTCACTAAAATGTTGAAGAAGTTGATTATGCCTTGAGTTTCCTCTTGATGATGGACATAATCTCATTCTTACAACTTGTAGAATCTGCTCGTGGAACATCAGATCCAAGAATCACCGAAGGATTTGAAAAATAACAAAAGTCGGATTAATGAACTAAAATCGTTCTGCGAAAAACCTCGCAAGGATAAGCAGAGATTTTTCGTTTTGAAGATTTTTAAACAATGATTTCAAGTCTATTATTGTGCTAGACGCGAACTTTGCTACATTTTTTCTTGATAGAAAAATTTGCTCAGATAGTGACAAACTTCTCACTAAAATGATATTTAACTTCCTCACACACAGTGGAAAATGTTCAGAACGGATGCTGAGAAAGACGAAAATTCCGATTCCATACCACCTGGGAAGGACAATGTACGGTGTGTCTGACGAAACGGGCCGTCTGCAGTATGGACAAGTCTTCGTCCAGTACACCAAGAACATCCATTCGCGGAACAACCGACGAGCGACGGCGGCGCAGCGACAAATCGTCTGCGGTGGGTCGCGTCCTGCGAAGACTGATGATCGGACGCTGCAGGTCCGGTGATGATCACCAAGTCGCCGTCGGTCTGCGAAGGCGACGTGCGCATGTTCGACGCCGTCGACATCCCCGAGCTGAGGCATCTCTGCGACGTCGTCGTCTTCCCCAAGCATGGACCGAGGCCTCACGCCGATGAGATGGCTGGTAGGGTGCAAGGAACTAAAACGAAGTGGAACTAAGGAATCGAGCGGTTTCGTGGATGATTTGATCAGTTTTCTATCAGAGTTTTCGTGGTCTTTTACCGAATTCAAAATGGTCACAGAAGTTTTCAGCCTCCTTTCACCCTCAAATTTTCAACAGACCACGTTTAAAAGATCGACATTTCAAGAATTATATCTTTTCTATTTCAAGCTGATCCTTAGGAAAAAGACTCCAAGAACTGCCGCTCATATCTTTGTTTTTACTGATTGAATCTTCTAGTTCCTCTGATTGAAACATTTTCACTAGACCAGAATGCAAAGCATTGATAAAAAAGCATTCCGCCAAAAGCATAGCGACTCGGATAAAATGAGAAACCCAGGCTCTGACCTCGACGGCGACGAGTACGCCGTGATGTGGGACCGTGAACTGTTTCTCGAGCGAAACCAGCCGGCTTTCCACTTCGACGGCAGCAAGGCGCCCCTCGAGTACGACCCTGCCCAAATGGTTCACATTGTTCAAAAGTTCAAATCAACGGAAGATTCGGTCGCAGGACAAACTGATGAACGAGTTCTACATCCGCTACATGGAGCAGGACAGCGTGGGAACTCTGTCTCTCAATCATTTGCACCAGTCCGACCAGTACGGGCTCAACTCGGAGGTTTTCGATTCAAAAGGGGTGAACAATCCATCTTGAGGGTTAGGTCTGCATGAACCTGGCGGCCAAGCTGTCGCAGGCCCTCGACTTTGCCAAATCCGGTGTGGCACCGCCTCCGGCGACAAAAGAATGGCAGATAAGTTTCAGAAATTCTTATTTCAAGTTCATCGAGAAACAGCTTGAGCACAGTGTTTTTACGTTTTTAATAAAATATTGCGCCTAGCTGTAATTTTCAAAAACTAATTCACACTTTTTTGAATTAATGCGCGACGAAAAATTCTGAGGATACAGCCCTGTAAACCGTCATTTTTAAAGACCTAAAATGTGATATTTCAGGATTTCATATAAATTAGGTCAATTTATACGGATATCGAATATAATATAATCTTTTTTACGTCGTGAACCGGAACGGAGTCGAGGTCAAAATACCTCCGGAGTATCCGGAAATGTCGCCGGACTTCAGCTGCAACTCCACTTTCACCACCTACGCCAGCCCGGGCTTGCTAGGAAAACTTTATAGGTAAATCGAAACAATCCATGAAAAAAACGACGAAGTTCCTTTGCAGAAGAACCAAGGCGATCGAGGAAGTCGTGAGGACAGCCGAAGAGAAAGAAGAGCAGGTGGAGGTTCAACTCGACGAGATGATTCTCGTCGACGGCTGGCAGAAGTACGCCGACGTCGCCAAGCAGGAAATGGTCCGCTACAACGCTTGTCTCCAGGTTTCTGACCTCTTTTTTCCGTATGAAGTCGATCCCTTTCAATCATCAAAGTTCTATGAAGACAAACAAGAATTCAGACACGAATCGCCTTTTTTATTTGTATTTTTTCCGCTTGTGCTAGTTTTTTGGCTTCTTTTTCATTTATTTTTTCTTCAAAGTTCAAAAATACGTTTCCGGCGCTGATGGAGGCTTACGGCGTCGCGACAGAGGCCGAGCTTTTCTCCGGCTGCTACATTGACCTCCGGAACCGGATCAACGAGCGGGAGACCGACAGCATCTCCTACTTCAGCACCGACCAGATCATCGACGAGAAGGTCACCCTCTACTTCAAGACCTTCCGCGAGGAGTTTTTCGGGGTTCGAAAAAGAGAAGAGACGGTTATTTTCGGGTGTTGAGGAGTTCGGGGGACACCTAGCGGCGACGGAAAGCGAAAATCCGTGGTCCGACGACCAAGACGCCCTTCGGCGAGTTTGCAGATCTCCTTCAGAGGAAATGATGCAGAAGGCGGTCGCCTACTATCGTTGCTGCTACGGTTTGTAGATCCCCCGCCCCCCTAAAGGGCTTTTGAAAGACGTCATTTCTTGACCTTCAACATCCGAAAAGACAATAGCACAGGTAATTTCCAGAAGAGGCGTCGAAATCGCGAAACAAGAAGCTGTCGTTCGCCTGGATCGCCTTCGACGTTTTGCAGGCGGTTCGACAGAAGGCGGTCCTTGCCGCTGACAAAATCTCTTTCTCCGCCGACCCACTTCTGACGGTATTCAGCCAACCTCGGCAGTTTGTAACGATCGGCTCTCATAGATGATCAAAGAACATCGGGAGAGTTATTGCTTGGAAAAAACGACCGATCTCCAGAAAAAGTTCTTCTCTGACGCGCAAACCCCGTCGTTCGATACAAGACAAAGTCTGGCTGCAGACATCATCCAGAAATACCTTGATCGTTATCCAGGTTATCTCATTCACGGAACATGTTTCTGAAAAATTATTGAGCTCTTGGATGAGTGTTAAGCTGTCGAAAAAATAATCAGCCAAAAAAAAAAAAATATTATGTGAGCAGAGCTGTGTGCTGGGCCAGCAGGGCTGGTTCTAGTGTTGCAACGCGGTCGAAAATTTGCCACTTTTCGAACCCTTTTGTCTCGAAATTTTCACAGAGTGTGTAATTCGGGGAGTGAGTAATCGAAAATATGTGATGTAAAATATGAAATGAGATTGAAAAAAAATTTCGCGAATGCGACTGATTTTGGGCCGATTAGGCCAATACCCTCAGGTCAACGCTCAGATCTGGTTGTGAGGCATATATTTATACTAAAAACGAAAAGACTTGGGATGGCTAAACTTTTTTGCGATGCTATCAAGGTGTTTCGAGCCGGGGTGTACCCTATGATTCAACTTTCAGGTCTGGAGAAAGTGCTTTTCATCGTTTTGAAATGGGCCGAGACGACGGAGTTGTTCAAAACTCGTCTGAAGCGCTACCACTGCGCCTTGTTGCTGATCATGTTCGGGGCGAACTTGGTCTTCCCCAAGGATCCCGTCGATTCACGCGATCTGCTGCCCTTCTTCGAGCCGGTCTGCGGACATTTCTTTTCTGAACACTAGTATTCTTTTCAGATCGAGATCAAGGAAGTTGGCGAGAAGACTCCTGAGCCGCTGGTCGACGAGGCGATGGACCGCCTGACCGTCGACTTTCTGCGATTTCTCTCCTCGCAGGCCTTCCGCAACCTGACGCATCTGAGCTTCTTGCCCGTCGGATTCCGATCTGTCTTCGTCCGCAAAGAGTGGCTTCCTTATCACCTTGTCAGTTCTTCGATGCGTCGAAAATCCAGTTCTTCATAAAATCACCGAATATCTGTTTTCGAATCAACGAGTTGAATTTTTACCTCAACACTAATTCAACGATCAACGATTCGACAGATATTTTTTGGTACAGAAATCAAGAAAGGTTGAAAATTGATATTTCCTATACCTTAATGAAAAGCGCAGTTTTGTTTTTGTAGGCGGCTACCCGGACCTTCTACAACCTGTTGCTGAACATGAGGTTCGACGAGTTGCCTCTTTCGACGGATGCGGCGGTCGTCAAGGCGCGTCTTTGCCGCGACATCGAGCCATTCTCAGTGCATTTGCCCAGTTTCGTCCGCGACCTCAAGACAACGGATTTCATTTACAAAGGTCTGAAGCTGGATAAAACATCACAATTTCGTCGGGGAAAAAGCTTTGAAACGGAGTCGCGATTGAAATCGGATGAAAGTCTTGAATTTTCCAAAATCGGACCAAATAGTTGTAGGTACTGTCAATCTGCGGTTCATCGAAATGGCTATCAAGATGAAAACGGAGGTCGAAATAATTCGAATGAAACAGATGAAACTCGTGGAGGGCACAGGTATTGCTCATGTTATAGACAACGAGCAACTTTTCCCGTTTCAGCCCGATGTGTGGTGACGGCCAGAGGAACTTTTGAACAATTGAACAAATTGAAAAAGCTTCTGGCCATGGAGGTTTGCTTTGATTCTCGACGATCCTCGAATTCTACTAAATCTCTATCGAAGTGTGATTTTTCAGATCCCTCGCCATTCCTTTGCAAAAAACGGGCATATGCTAGAGCCTCTGGCTCATTTGTGCTTCGAGAAAATCACTAAAATGCGTTAATCGACTGATTGTTGTCTACTTGTTGATTATGTATAATTGTTGTCTTTTTTGCCTACTTATTGATTGTTTTGTTTTTTCTTCTTGTACTTATTCTTGGACTATTCCCGCGAAAACCTCAATTTCCTAACTCTTAATCAAATCGCTTTAGCCATGACAGCTTTAATCTCAAACCAAACTTACTGCATTTTGAAATCTATCTATTTCTACTGAGTAAGAAATCTTTCCAAGAAAAATAAAAGGACGGCAATTCGGAGAAACGTTGCAATGTTTTGAGTGGGATGCTTTCAAAAATCCTATCAGACGATTGGAAAATCGACAGAGCCAATCCTTCCTTCTTTCCCTTTCACCGATGGGCTGCTGTCGGTGCTGCTTCTGCTCCGGCCTCCTTCTTCTGTGCGTCTTGCTCGCCGGACTGTTCTACGGGCTGGAAACGGGCCTTTTCGATGGATCCAACAGCCGCAACTCCACTCAGCTCGTCAACCTCCGCGAAACAACTAAGAACACACCGACGCCGGTAATTGATTCATTCAATCAACTACTTCAAACCTAGGAAATCGATTAAATCTTCAAAATAAATCCTAAAGTTAGGCGGACGCTTCTGGGACTGAGGGCGAAGGGCAGGCGAAGCAAAAAATGACTTTTCGTTTAGCGTTTCCAGTAGACTTGAACATTTTTGAAACTGTACACAGGGTTGGAAAGGCTCAACGGAAAACTTTGAAAAAATTTAACAAGCAGTTAATCACTAAGAATAACTGACGAGATAAATGCGAGCTCGGTGGCGGTACATTGACTAACTCGCAAAAATGTCGCTTTTTTCTAGGCGCGATCCCGCATTTCTCTCGGCGCGACCTCGCATTTTTCTCGGCGCCATCTCGCATTTATCTTGCATTTCGGAAATTTTCAAATTGCGAGGGAAATGCGAGCTCGCGCCTAGAAAAATGCGAGCTCGCGCCCAAACAAATGCGAAACCGGCGCGAGAAAAAATGCGAGATGTTTGCGAGCTCGTCAATGTACCGCCAGTGTCTCGCGTTTATCTCGGCAGTTATTCTTAGTGAATAAGTCTTTAGAGGCTCTTACAATTGGTGACGAATTTTAACTGTTGCTCGTGCTGTACAATTAGATTTTTTCTGAATGTCGGAACTTTGAATGAAAGTTCAGAATCCAGAAACGACACTAGCGCCGAGTTTTCTGATAGTACAGGACTACGTCGACGAGGATTTTTTGCACCAGATCATTAAAAGTGCCAAAGATCGTGAGTTCTGGACTTTTCTTCCATTGACACCATTTCTTCCAGAAGAAAACTACGCCGAAGACGAGGGCACGATAAATTGAAAGATGAATTCGTCTTCTCAACTATTTCCCACTTTTCAAAAGTTGTCAATGTTTTGGCTTTCCAAATAAAAACCAAGAATTTATCCACTTGAGTGAAGTTTCTAGTGACCGAATTGTACAACATAATGTTGAGAAACTGAAAAATTCCAAAATGATAATAATGAAGAGAATACAAGAGTTTATGAAACCGTTGAAAGGAACCATTCCAATAAAATATATTATTTATAAGAAAAAAACCGAAGAAAGTTTAGGCAAAGGAAAAAAATAAAGCGCATACATGTATGAACACATCAGCAGTCAGTTCACCTTGATAGACTAAAGAAAAAAATTAATAAACAGAAATTATGCTCAAAGAGGGTGTTTCATGGAACATCAATAAGATCAGAAAAGGGGATGAAAATAAAAAAGAACCTGTGTAATCAACTAGAAGGATGTAAAAGATTGAAGAGGTCCTGAGGGAATTTCTAGCCGAGTGAGGTTTTGCAAGTTTTCGTACAACTCATTTAGTGTCTGTATAAATAGGGAAGAGATTAAAATTCGGAATTGATCCGAATCAACTGCTGTAAAAGAAAAAGAAATGGTTATTGGAAATTCACAAACCATCGTGATATACGATAGAGTTACGGTACTCAACTTGGAGATAAAACTCTCCCTAAACTACGAAATTTTACATACAGATAAACTTTGTAATATCTCAGTTAACCTTTTTTTTTCGTTTTTTTTAAGTACTTTCTTATCCGAATAAACGTCAAAGCAAAATTTTCTACAGTAACTCAACATTTTTTACAGATTCGTTGAATACCGTATCAAAATAATAACAATTTTCTGAAATAAATACCGATTTGAGGAGAAGCAAACTCTAAATCTAGACGAAAGAAGCTCTCGAAACAAGTCAGACGATATCTACAGAAACAAGGGGCGGTCTATGTATAACAATGTATAGGTTGCATAATTTAAACTATCCGTATGGTTGAGGACAAAGAACATCTACATGCACATAGAAAAGAGGAAGGGAAAATCACCAGTGATGAGGTAAAAAGGAGGGAAATGAACTAGAAAAGATTCTTGAAACTATACATCATGAGGACAAAATTGGATGAGGCGTAAGAGGAACCCAGAGGGAAAAAGGCAAAGTTTGAAATGCGGCTTGAATATGTTCAAAACAAAAAAACTTCCAATCGAACCCGATGGAGAAAAAGAAAAGACACGTATTTCTCGCAATGGAAAGGGCTTCAAACCGTCGTCAGAGAGCTAGCTTCTTCAGAAATGACGTCAGAGTGTGTCTTCTCGGAGACGTCTTCCTCTTGGGTCTTCATTTTCGCGACTTTTTCCGGAGTACACGCCGACAAATTCCTCAGCTCTTTCGGTAGATGTTCGGATGAAAGTCTGAAGATTCGAAAGCGTTATTTTGTGAGAAACTTTTTAAATTTCAAAATTTATTCAAGATAAGTTGCAACTTTGAGTTAACATTAATCACGAAACTATCTCCATTTCATAAAATCAGGCTATCAGGCTTGTGCGAGGGCCGGCCCGTCAGCCTATCGACTCCTGGCCGTTCTCTAAACACAGCCCTGCCCGGCCTCAAGCAAAAACGAAAACCGGGCCGGCACAGGCCGTCCAACTTGACGCACAAGCCTGCTTCAGATTCATTGACTTGATTCAGTAGAACACACTTTGTCAATTGGAAGCAAAAAACGGACCGAGCTCGAGTCGCTTTGGCATAAGTAGGCGTGACCGGATACTTCATCGGCGTTTCATCGAGAAACTGAAAGAGAGAGAGTGAGAATTCGCAAGAGAGGATAGGCGAACCAAAGGAATCGCACTATTGAGGAGCCAGCCTCTGTCGCTCCGACGGCGGCGATTTCTTCCGTTCGTCTCGTCGCTCTCTTCATCTTCATCTTCAAATTTCTTCACTCTCGGCGACTCAAAGATACCCTGGAAAAAAGCTTTCAAAACAAATTTTGATGAAAAAAGAAACCGTTCTCTCCATGTCTCTTATCCGCATCAGAGTTTGCAGATGATGAACTCGTACCTAAACATTGGAGATTTGGATGAAAAAGGGCAGAAAAAACGGACCTTCTCAGGTTCGAACTGGAGTCGACCTTCGGGATTGCCACAGTTGCCAGAGGAGCACCAGCACGGAAAAGTCTCGTTTTCGTCCAAATCCGAAAAGCCGTCGACCTGAACCGACTGGATTGATGATAGATGGGGATCTAGGTCCTCGAAAAAGCCCCTTTCTGTCTAACTAAAGGAAGGAAGAGAAGGCAGCGCTCACCTGACATTGGACGCCTTCCAAAATGCATCGGCACGTCTCCGGCCTGCAAATTCCGTCACGACATTCGCATCCGCAGGCGCGACGGCCGGCCCGCAAGAGTTCCAGACTTTCCGTCGACTAAAAAATATATATACTTTGAGGACTTCAAGGTTCTAGACAACGTTTGCTCGCAGAAGTTAATTCAAAAATTGAAAAATAAAAATTCCCCCTCTAAGATTGAGCCATGTTTAAGAGTTAATATCATAGTCAATCGAAAGGCTATCTCTCTTTCTCTCAAATTTCACATTTTTCAGAAACAATTCTGAATACTTCCGGTGTTTTTTGATTACTGTCAGAGGTTCATTTGTGAATAAAGTGTCCTCAAACCGACCCTTTCGATAACGACTCCACTCTTTTTGAGCAATCGGACGCGTTTCTTGGCTTCGATCTTGGAGATGGTCTTGGTGGTGGCCACCTCTTCGTCGTTGTCGCTTTCCGGACCGGCGAGCTCGCCCTCCGACAGTTCTTCCTGCAATCCGTCCTGTCGACACGCATCCCTCGACCTCACGGAAACCTCTTCTTCCTGATCCACGCAGGACAGATTCGGCCGTCTGCCACTGAGTAGCGAGTAGATCCGCGAGGCGTAGTGATGCGTTTGCATGGCCAGAGTGACTTCGCCGTCCGAAGGGACCGTGGCTCCGCCCTGCTGTCGGTCGAAGTAGAAAACTTCGACGTTGTTGTAGCGGATCCGTCGTCTCCGTGGCTTAGGCGGGCCCGGAGTCGCTATCGACGGCTGCACCGTCTTCAGAATCGACTTCGGTGAAGCTTTTGCTGTCCCCATTGGGCTGTAAAAAATCCTCTTCTTTCAGAACTCTCAATCGATTTTTCGGATGAAAAACACGACTATTTTTTTTTTCTAGAAGAGGAGCTAATTTCCCGTTAATGACCGATTCAATCAGAATGACTTTTTCTATACACTTCTAAGGGAGCTAGATATTAATGGCCTTACCTTTCAACTTCAGAGACGGTGAACCTCTTCTTCCAGACGGGAGTGCTGCTCATCGACTGCGTTCTCGGCAACGCTTCCAGAACACTTGGAACGACTGGCGAGTTCGGCGTGCTTTTCGTGATGGCGTCGACCAGCGGCGAGGTCCTCAGGAACGTCGAAGGCGATACTTTGAAGCGAAAAGAAGCCGAATTGCGTCGGTCGACGTTCGGGGTCCCGGACGACGGCAAAGACGGCGTCGAGTTCGAGAGCTTCTGGAAAAACTGCTCAGTGAGGAACATCGAAAGCAAATTACAGAATGAGAGGAAGCGAAAAAGGCTCATACGAAATGAACCTATCGAGCACGTGAAATTTTTTTTATAAAGTGTACAAAAGGAAGTTTGATGAGAAGTAATATAACAAATATTAGATGGACCTTCCTTTTTTAGAAGTTTTTAGTATAAATATTTTTTCATACAGAGTCGGTTGAAAGATTACAGAAACCATCACTTTTTTTGGACAACAAACCAACCTCATTAGCCGCTACGGACTCCTTGGGCTCTTCGAGCAGTTTGTTGAGCTTCAAGGAGACGCTCCGAGCGAGAAGAGCGCCCTGACCTCGACGGATCGTCTCCAGGGCACTGCCGCAGTTGAAGACGTCGTCGTCCTCGTCTTCGTCGGCCCGGTGCTGTGTCGCGTGCATAAGAAGGAATCTCTCTCGCTTGGTCGGCGTCAGCGGCGGCGTCGATCCCTGCGAGGAGATGGGAGCCAGAGACTCGTCGGTCGAGCCAACTGACACCGACGACATGATCGTCGCCGGCTCAGGCGGATTGGCGATGAACAGCGACTTGAGGGAGTTCATTTGCGAGTAAGACGCGGTCGTCGTCATTTTATTCTCGTTGCTGACGTCGTTGCCACCGCTGACAGCGCCGCCACTCGCAGTTACCGCGTCTTCGTGCCGCGCTAATTCTGGAAAAAACCAATTGATTTTGATAAGAAAAACAATGAAAGTTTGAATGCTAGCCTCACGATTCTGAGACCAAAACGAAAAAAAGATGGAGGTTTATCCGAAAATTCAAGCTTAAAACCGGCGAGAAAGGTCAAGCGTAAAGAAAAAAAGCGTCACCCACGGCGAGATAAGTTCCGCTATTCGATATCAGTTGAGAGAAAAAAAAGAAGATGGAAAAGCCGAAGAGATATGATAGATGCGGCCAGGAAGTCCGCCCGAACTCGTCAAAATCACACAGATCCTGCCTTAGGGCCGGTGCACCAAGTGTAACATACACGGACTACAAGATCTTTGGAAACGACGCGAAAAAAAGTGCTCGAAAACTTTTTGAACAAAAAGCTACATGGAATCGCTCCGTTTGTTGTTCAGTAGAAACGATTTCCGAGCACTTAAAACGCCCTTCTTTTTGTAGCATTAAAAAGTACGAAATGCTCAAAATAGATTCAAAATGTACGCCTTTTATCAGTTTACAGATTTTGAGTGCCAAATTTTACAATAAACTTTTTTTGAAGAGGATTTTGAAAGAAAAGCGACTTCAACACAAAAGTATCCGGTATTAAATAAAAGGTCTCGAAACTATAAAAAAAAATCTATTTTTTTAACTGAGTATAGAAGCCTTTTGGACCTAACATTGAAAAAAAGTTTATTGGCTCAATAGTGACGTAAGATGTCGAGTGGCTTACAACGGGTTCAGGTTGCCGCCAAAAAGTTCAAACAGTTGGTTGTTCCTTGGAGCTGACACGACTTTCTATCGCCTTTCAGCTACTTTATTTTTATCACCAAGGACAGATAAATAAAATTTCGGAGTTCGATCATCGCTTATCAGTCCGACGCTTTGTACAAGGAACTGTCGTTGGCGCCCCGAAAACACAAAGGAATTGGTATATCTAACAAAAATCATGCCATTATCGTCTGAGTGATAAAAGTTGATTGATCAGATTCGGGAGACACAAACTCAAGACAATGTACAGCTCACCAAACAGGCAAACAAGGTCATTACGAGAAAAAGCTGAAAGTGGGAAATTTGAGATTTTTTGAGGCGAAAATTGCGAAATAAACGACATATCAAAATCCTGCCGAGAAATCACGCGGATCGTAAAAAGCAAAAGATACATGTCAAACTGTTGAATCACAAGCCGACGCCCTCAAATCGAATATCGAAAGTTTATGGTTGAAAGAGTAAATAAATGAGAAGGATTGGAGAGAAGCGATAAATTTCGAATCGTAAAACTTCATTGAGAAAAAATAAAATATTGCGGAGAAAGGACGAATTATTAATAATTGGCACGTGAAAAGAGAGGGTGATTGCGGGCTTTCAGAAGGAATAAGTCAAGCTGTAGCCTAGACGTCTGGCCGAACTTATCGTAGTCAGATATTAATGCAACATCCGGTTCAAAGACAATTAAAAATTTATTCAGCGGATATAGTTGATACAAAGATTTGACTACTAGTGTTGAGACAGGAAGGTGTGGAAATGAAAATAGAAAGACGAACTTTGATGAAACTTTGCTGAAAAGAGCGAATGCCACTCCTCACCGCCCGCCTCGAACCAAAAAAAGATAACAAGAAGGCTCAAAAAGCGACTGCGATGGAGCCACTCTGTCTAACCGCCGAGTGCCGTTCCGCCCCCAGGAATCGCGGGAAAAGCCGAGAAACCGAAAAAAAAAGAAGAAGACAGTACTCCACTCGACGATGTCTGTGGGCGTAAGTGGACCTTGACGGATACCAGCGATTTTTGGAGAAGAACAACCTTTTCTTCGAATCTCTACGTTTGAGTGTTCCTCGTCTTTTGTTTCACAAGTTCTTTGTAAATAAGCAAAAAAATAATTAGTCATAGTTCGAAAAATCGAAATTATCTCGCAGAGGGGGTTTACTTATTCATCTTTGAATCACAAAACTTTGAAAGTACGGTATCAGCTACTTTATCCATACGAAGTTATATATGTCTTTTAAACAAATTAACTAACTTTTCCGATCAAACTTAGAACGAAAAAACTATTTCTCAACAATCGACCTCTCAAAAAAGATCTTCTTTCACAAAACTTCTATTCGAAGCCGAAGAAAATCTTTTTGTCTTGGTTCTTTGCGCCAAAAGTCTCAAAACCGTCCGACACTTCAAGACCCTCAGAATCCAAAGAAAGCGCTGAATTCGAGGAAAAAGCTCACGTGTTCGCACTCGAGCTGTTTACTCGCAAAGAAAGAAGAAATCAGCCAACTTTGGGCCGAAAAAGCTGCGACCGCAAAAATCGCCGCCGCTGTGTACTTTTACGTCGTTGCGCTCTAAACGCCTAGGTCTAGAAACCAAACAAAAAACGAAATGAGAAAGCGCGCAAACAGCCCCGACGAAGCCGAAATCACCGCGACAATCAGAGTCCAGCGCCTTTTTTATCACTTTGACCGGGGACACTCGAAAGCAAGAAATCGCAACACTTTTGGTACCAAAGACACTTATTTTCCGCCGAAAATGATCAAAATTCACTTAGGGCTACGAGCACGTGAAAGTATCATGGATGCTGATCTGACTTTTGAAAGGTACTGATAAAACCAGGAAGTTAGGACTTTTCTGTAGTACTCGGTAATATAGAATATTTTCAAAAAAAAGTTGAATGTCAAGACAATGAAATCAAAAAAAAAAAGACATTTTTTATTAGCGTTTCAGATTTGTAAGAGGCACAAAAAAATGAAGAAAAAAAGTGAAAAAAAATTTTTTTACACTTACTTCAAATTCAAATGTTTGGTATCCTTAGTAAAAATAGACTACGGTAAACCGAAATTCTTAAAGAAATCCTACTGAGTTGAAGCATTTAGAACTAAAAAAAGGAAAACTTTCAATATTCAAGTCAAATTTATACAAAGATCATGAGAAGGTTGAAGATTCCACAGATTTCCCTTTCAATCAGATCTTGCAAGCCTACGAAAACAGTTGTAAAACAACGTAGTCCGTTTCTCCCGCGGGTGTTTGCCATTCTACTTCGCACGGGCCTAAAGATACAAAAGAAGACGGCGACGATTTTGCCCCGCCGAACAGATCAAAAATCGAAGCTGAAAGACAGAAAAAGACGCTTGCTCCAGTACGAATCGAACCATAACACATGAACCCATCCCAAAGATCGCCAAAACAATTTTCATATCGGAATTTCCCAACGAAAAAAATGTTTTTCCTCTCAATGCTTACAAACATGAATTAAGCCTCTTTTGAATGGCATAAACTGAAAACAAACATCGAAAACCATAGGAAACTATCGTCGAATGATCCACGTAGCCATCGAAAAATGCCAATCAGACTCGGCAAGACTGAAAAGTCGATTTTAGGATAACTCGAGAGACTTCAAAAATGATCAAGGAAGTATGAAAAGCAAGCGAATTCCATCGCATGACGTACCTTGAGCACAAAAGCATACAAGGTGAATGTAACCCAATTCGACCACACCCGGCGAGGCTCCGAGAAAAACCAAAGAATATGGAAAGGAAGGAAAACTGACGGCCGCAAACCCGAGGCATTTCCTTTCAAGCTTGATCGCCTCACAAAACACACACAAACGAATAACAGAAGAGAGATTGCCGAGGAAATGAGTTAATTAACTGCCGAAAGACGGAGAAAAACAGAAGAAAGCAGTTGAGCTCAAAGGAAATATAGTTCGTCGAGCTTTCTCTGAGAATGATAAGGAAGGATAAAGAAAAGGCGGATCGAGAGTTTCTTTTGTCCTTCACATACCTTTGAAAAAACCTGATCCTTCTTTTCAGGATTAGTAATACAAGAAGCTGAAAGGATTAAGAAATTCACGACAAAGAGAGTTGATTTTTGATTCAAATAAAAAAAAACCATAAAACTAAGAAAATAAGAATGTGGATCATTTTCAGCGATGGAACCACAAAAGGCGACACTTGAAGAAAATTGTGGGCGTGGCCGGAAAAAGAGGCGTGTCTTATCTTTTCATCTATTCACCACTGAAGAGGAATCACATGTCCACCGTATCCTCCAACTGCTGATGGCAGAAAAAAGATCGGTGTGGCAAAAAAGGAGGAGCTTTGACACCTCAGCATAACCCTTATCATTCTATTTCAGCTTTTTAAATTTTTATGAACCGACAATGCTATGAAAAAACTGACCAACATCAGGGGTACTCGTATTTCAAGAGAGGCAAAGGCGCACTCATCAAGGCTAAAAGAGCAGTTCGGATTTCAAAGCGACCAGTACGTTTCCTCACTCACTATATACAGCAAAAAAGGAAAAATATACTATTTTTATAGCAAAACGTTCTGATTAATCGCAGGACCTCTATGAAACACTGGAAACATCAGCTTTTCGAAGTCTCAGCAAAAAGAACTTGATTTCACATCAAAATTACCCTAGTAAAAGATGTAATCTTCGCTATCTCCTGAAGACTTTTATCTAGGTATGGGCTCAAAATCTCTTATTCAAGATTTATAAATTAAGTAGAGTGAAAAAATAACTAATTATGAAATTAATATGAAACTCTCGCATCGTTTACTCTGAGCCGAAAGAATGAACCGGAAATAGTTGAAAGTTCATCTGAAGCGGGCAAAGAGAGAAATCGCGCTTTTTGATGTTTCAAAGGACAAACGGCTCGAGCCACGAAAACACCCGGAAAACGATTAATCTGGTGGTACGCCGCTGATTTTTCCACATTTCCCTCGAGCTTTTCCCTTGCAAACAATTTCGAATCCTGTTGAGAGGTCAACAAAAGTATTTTGTAGTGTGGTCAGATTGAAGCGCGAGACCAAACTAGAATTTAGCGAATGTAACCTTTTTCTAAATTATCTGAATCTTTAATTCTAATTTCTTCATGGAGTACGGTCACACCTAAAACACAAAAACCATTTGAAACAGCAAAAAATCAAGTTATTCGTTCTTTTGCAAAATCTGTCTTGGAACATAAACAGTCAAAAAACCACCGATAGGTGAAATAGAATAAAAAGGTCGACAGTGGGAAATAAACTGTTCCAAGTTTCGAAATCAGGAGGAAACTCTTTGAACAATAGAACTTTTAAGACCATTCTTTCAATAGTTAATACCCATAATTTCAACTTGAAGGGTGATCGATTTTATGCGAGAAGAGAAAAATTCAGCTTTTTCAACTGGACTGAAGTCTTAGCTTGTTACTAAAGAGTTCAGATGAGATCAAGTGGATCAAAAATGCAAAAAATGTTTGCGGAGACGCGGCGGCTCCGATTTTGTCTGAGATCAAAAATTGCTGACGTCAGCCTTCTATCCAAAGAGGAGTCGAATAAAATACGTGAAAAGACGAAAAAGTAACCAGAAGCGCGGGTTATTTGCACAGGAAATGAGCCAGTCTATCCGGCGCCACCGACTCCAAAAAATAACCGTCAAAATCAAAAAGAACAGATATCGATAAAACAGACTTTTTCTGCTCACTTCTGATTTTTTTAAAATTTATTTTGAATTTTCAAAACCAAAAAAAGACCAGCTGATCTAGAGCATGTTTTCAAAAACTATTTTCGGATTTTAAAAGGCTGGATGCATAACAAAAATATTCTTTTTCAATTCATATTTTTGGCCGAACGATCAAATTTCAATTAAATCTTTCAGAATAAAATCGAAGGCCTTTTTATTTTGACTTTGAGATTTTGAAATTCGCGGAAACTCGAAAACACTTGAGAACGATTTTTGTTCCGCAATTCACTTTTATTTTGTCTTTTGCGGCTCTTCTTGAGAGGTTCGCCGTAGTTGAAGCTCGTCGGATTGCTTAACCTTTTCCGTTCACGTTGAATCAACATGGCAGCTATCAAAACAGAAATGAGACTCCACTGCATTCGAAAAATAATCAAAAGTCAATAGTCGTAGAAGCGGCTGAAAAATACTTTGACTTACTGTTTAGGACCGTCCAAATGAGCTTCGACATAACTACTCAAACTGAAAAAAACCTTTTCTGGGAAGAACTATTCGAAGTTCCTGTGAATCTGATCTTTTCAAATTCAGCCGTAAAAAAATTAAGTGCTTGGATGAATTACTGACTTTTTCAGGGTTTTCAAATTTTGAAATCGCAATCTTCAACAATAAAGAAATTTTTTCGTTTCGAACGGAGTTTATACTTCATCATTTTCTGTTGCAAATCCCTAGAATGTCTTTCGACGTCACTGATCACCAGAGACGACCCAAAAAACGAAAAAATCTGTGAATTTGGCGAAAAAAGAGCGACAAAGTTGGTCAAAATAGTGCGGCCGACGACATCAGTTCGAAGAACGCCAATTTCTTCTTTTAGCAGTATTGAAAAATCAAGAGCAAACAACATGATTTGGTGATTTCTTACACTTAAAAAAACGTTAAGAAATATAGACAAATTCAATAAATTGTCACAAGATCTGACTGGATTTTAAAAACGTGAAAACTATGAGAAAAAACAATTGCGTTTTTCGAATTTGATGGCTTTCCAAATTCTAAAAACTATTGGAAAATTTCTTGAACTCAATTTGTGAGAATGTGTTCCTTTCACTGACAAATCAAAGTTAGCGGACTTTCAACTTGTTGCGATATGCTCCAAGTTCTCCAGTGTAAACTCGATAAATCTCGACGAGCCAAAGTCTCACTTTTTTGGGTTGCAAGGTAATGAGAAGCCCAACAGTTGCTCTCTTTTTTCAGAGATTTTTACTGCCATAAAATTAACTACTTCCGGACGTTCAAACAGCTGTTTTCTTTCAAAGTCCTGTCGCATCAAAAATTCAACCACGTCTAAACTTTCAGTTGTGTTTGATAATTCGGAGGTCAGGGTGCAAAAGTTGAACAATTCCAGCCATGGACAAAAACTATTGATTGATTCAAGGAGACTAACAAGAGCCTGTGATGATCAGTGAAAAGATTAAAGCTCAAGAAGCAAAAAAAAAAGTGATTTTCGACGACAGACTCGCAGAAAAACAGAGCACTGCCAGGCACCCTCTCAGCCTGATTATTATTATTTTTATCAGCTGAGTTTTGAAAAAGTCGTAGGATTTTCGGGAAAAGTTACACTTTGCCTGGTACAAGTCGCCGTCGACAGTTGTAAAACTCGGAAGGTTCGAAGTTCCGGCTTTTCTAGGTTGCAAAAGAGACTTAGTCCTCTGAATTCAACTTTATATTGTTTGATTGAACACTAGGCGAGTGGAATTGAACACAAAACGGCCTTCAAAAACTTTAAAAACCACCTTACTTGAATGACTTGAAACCAACAAGAGTTTATAACAACTCAGAGTGAAAATTGACGCATTTCTTTTGCGATTCCCATAACCCTACTGAAGTCAGCTTCTCTCGAAAAAAAAAAGATGGAAAAATAAATCAAAGAACAAAAAAGAACAGTGCGATTTTTGAAGTTCGCCCCAAAAGCACCCGAAACAATATTTGCATCCTCAAGAAGCTTATTTGCTCCTCTGTCTAGCCGTCTCCGTGTACACAGTTAAAACACAACGCGACACATAGCAAAAACACGAGATTTTGAAGAACAAACCAAGATTAAAGAAAATCCATCGCGAAAAGATTCACTCGGCTCACTACTTATTCCTTATTTGAATTTTACTTTCCGTTTCTTTTTTTCAATGAAGACATTAATTTTGATAAAGATGTTCTCTTTTTGTTCCCTATATTATACTGCATTAATCTCCTAAAAGTTGTTGGAAAATTATTCTTTTAATCTTTAAACTGAAGATGAATTGAGAACTTCGTAAATTATTTTTTCATTACTACGAAGAAATCGAATGCCTTTATCCTTCTGTTATATTTAACCTTGAGAAACACCCCGCAATAATAATGTTACAACTGTTTCCTGAAGCGCCGAGTTTGAAAAGACCAAAAAAAAACCAACGTGAAGGCGCAAAAATTTGCAAAACGACGGGAGTCGTGAAATAAAATAAACAGAAACGGTCCGAAATAATGGATTGTCCAAACAATATGTCCAGAAAAAGGCACTTGCATCGAAGCGTTGGCAGAGAACGATCAAATTCCTTTTCAACGTTTGGAACTGGAGAGGAAAAAGTTCAAAACAGAGAGGAAAAAAAGCTGAATTCACCCGGAACAGCTTGCAAAAACCTCAAGTAACTCGGATTCCACCGATATATACAAATATATTTTTTGTTAGTCGTTGCTGTGCTGCCACATGTCTCGCCAAGAAAAAAGAAAAACGTTCTTTTTACGACGCCAAAGCATAATTGCAAAAGCGTAACCAGGCTATTCCGCTTTGGCGCTAAGAAAGAAAAAAAAAAATACAAAAAATGTGCATCGTAAAAAATAATAAGTTTTGAAGGGATGAAATGGCCAAGAAAAGGAAAATGTAAAATTTCTACAAATTGCGTCAGTCACGGGGCGATAAAACTCTTAAAATGACATCCTAAAATCTCTACCGTAATCTTTGAACACGAATAAATTATTGTCTTGAGAAAAAAAAAATAATAAACGTGAATGATGTCTTTTTTATTCTTCTGTTCTTTTGTGTTTGTATCTGTTCAGTTCTTGGTTCTTCTCAGCCATATTCTAGGCTACAACTCTTTTTCAGCTGTAATAACTGAAGTCTCGAAAAACCACGCGATTCCCCGCAGTAAACCTTATAACCTAGGATCGGCCCCATAAAACACAGAAAGAGAAAAAATTCTTTCAGTGGAGTTGATCAGAAACCGAGAGCAACAGCTGGTCCGATCGACCCATTACTTGGGTGGTTGAAGCCTGTGACGTCACGACGGAATGAGTTCCAGGGCTCGATAAAAACAACATGGAGAAGCTCAAAAATTCAGTTTCAGAAGCCAATCTTGTAAGATTGTCCCTCTTTTCATCCAGTAAAAAAAGGAAAAATATGATACTTTTCACAATTCCCAAGCAGTATTTGCAGAGAAAAGAAATCAAATAATGAATTTCTATGATTTGTGTCATATCCTATCATATTCCCAATGGAGACTGAATTAATCCTGGCAACTGTATAGTTTTTAAGGAATACTTCTCTTTCAGTATTGCTCATATTATAGAAAAATGACTAGGCAATTGCTTTGATACATTTTTTTACTCTAACATAAACAAAAAAATTTTTCAACCCTCAAAAAAACTTTTTGGTATTTTTCGAAGACTGGGACGCTGTCCGAAAAAAAAACCAGAGTGATCTGTGTTGCTGGAAAAGATGAAAACGGGCGGGAAAAAGGTGCCAAAAAAGGTAAGCCGAGAGTTGTTATGTGACGTGGTTGGTCTACGTTCTTCGTGGAAAACGGCCGCACTGTCGATTCTTCTTTTTCCATCTGGTTTCTTGCTGATCGGTAAATGTTTGACCTTGGAACACCAAAAAAAGAAAAATAGTTTAGCTCACAACCTTTGAAAATTTCAAACTTTCTGAAAAAAAGTAAACTGCAGACTTCAAAAGACCCTCTGACATGGGCAGTGCTTCTCCATTTCTAGTGAGAAATATAATAAGAAATAGAAAAATTATTTGAGGTTCAATTGAAAAAAGAAGCTTTTATATTCTGATCGATTTTGTTCTATTATTTCGTTATATTAAATTCATTTTCGGAAAATTTTTTCTTTTTATATTCTATCATGAAACAAACCTCATCTCCATATTTTTATGTTATCACATAGTATCAAGGCCAAAAAAAAAAAAATTGTATAATTGCTCAATTTTTTTTTAAATCTCTCTTTTTTGTCATATTTTTGCAATCAAAATCCGTCACTTCCTGGCAATATGTTCAAAAGTCCGAAAAATGAGAAGTTGTTATCGTCTTATCGTCGCCAACAACTTCTTTTCCCGCTTCAATGATCACAGAAAGAAAAATGGCGCCCTGCAGAACCAGTCCAGACACGATTACGAAAAAAAGAGAAGGGATCTCCCAACCTTTTTTGTTCTCCTACCTGGAAGACTGTGTCTTTCTTTCGAAATGGGAAGAAAGTACAGTTATCTTATCAGAAAACACAGAAGTTTCTAGTGTACCTAGGCAGAAAAAAACTATAATTTGTGTCATACTCATCCAAAGAACATTCACTGGAACTTGATTATCAAAATTTACCATCAATTTGAAATCACTGTTCATTTCTAAAAAAATCTTTGAAAAAAATATTTTTTTAACTATAATTTATTTCCGAATATATTTCGCAATGAAAAATGCCTATATTAGCCCTGCTCATAGTTCCACATCCACAAAAAAAACGAGGACTCCTTTTTGGAGAGAAATATTCCCATGGCGCATGAGACAACCACAGGGATGATATCAACGGATAAAGGATGTAGGAAAAGTTCAAAAAAAAAAAATTAGTTGAATAAGAAAAGTTTTAAAAAATTCACATATCGAAGATCAGAATAAAGACTATATTGAAAATGGTTTTGCTTTTTTTAAACTTGATCAGCTCCTTTCTAACTTGATTAGCAGCATTTTTCCAAAAAAAAAAGATTATTTCAATAGCTCAAAAAACCATCTGAACGCTTCTATTCCATAAATATTGAATGAAACAATCCTCCGGGTGTGAAAACAAATGTATTAAAACAAGCCATTATTCCTAACATAAAAGAAAAAAAACGCGTCTTTCTTCGGAAAAAAAAAGAATGGAAAAGGAGAACAAAACACGGAACCAGAAGTCACTGAGGCTTTCATTATTGACCGAGAAAAGGTTCAAAAACATATCAGAATTCATGGAACCATGAAAGAAGTTCAGTCAAAAGGAGAACTATTTCCAGCAGTTGCCGAAAAACCACGAGAAAAGGATTAAATTCTCTCTTCAAAGTTTTCGTTGGTTAATCTCAACTTGGTTTCGGCCAGAAAAAACCACAAAAAAAAGATTTGAAAATCAACTTTTTTTGTTTGACCACATTGAAGAGCTTTTTGAATGATTTTTTCTTCTTTTCCTTCCCTTAAAATCGTGAGGTTGTGGAACCCAACAGAAAGCATATTGAATTGCAAATAATTCTGGCCATTTTTGATGTGAATCCGCGCTATTTTCGACTGATCGAGGAGAAACGCTAATAAATTATTCCGCTTTTTTTTTAGCTGAGTGTAGAAACTGCTCAAAAACGTCTTTTGATAACTCAAGAAAATTATGAAGTCTTTTTTTTCCGCTTTTGAAAACAGATGTTCAAAATGTTAAGAAAAATATAAAAAAGCGAGATTCAGAACGGTCCGAATCACATTACAGCAAAAAAAAAGACTGAAAACAAAAATATTCATTAGAACGTAGGTCAACGTCAACAATAAAAAAAATCAGCTGCATTTGATGTATGGAGTCAGTTTCCGTTGCAGTACATTAAGAAGACCGAAAGATGTTCGGTACACAAAGTTATAAAACCGAATTCAGACCAAAAACGTGCGCCTTTCAAAAAACGCGAGGTTGGTTCCACAATAAAAAATTGATTTTTCAACTTTTCATGACATCCTTCGAAATTTTTTTCGAAAACAGCAGTTCGACTTCAAATTCAAGAATGAACTTAGCCAAAAAAAAAAACCATGCGATTCCATTTTCGCCCCCAAACCTTTCTCTTTCGATAAGTTAACTCTTTTCTCATTCACATCGTGGTCAGAAAAAGATCAAAAGATCACCCGCTCAGAAATCCTAAAACGCTGAAATCTAAGGATCTACAAGAAGTCCTTTCAAGAAAACACGAATTAGAGATGTCACACAAAAAAATGCGCTATTTTTAAAAATCAATTTTCAGCTTTTTCTTGGTGCAGATTATGGTACTTTGCCGAATCCATGACTTAACATCTTTCGAAAAATTCTCTGTGAAATCCTCGAAAAAAGGATAGGCTTCAAGACTCGCGGACAAGGACGAAAGGATAAGAAGACGTGTCACATTATCGAAGCGGACGACCAAAAAAAGCAAAGAAAAACGCCAAAGAAGACGTCTGATGACGTAGATTCCATTGGTGGGACCGAAAAATACGACGTGACACAAACCGAAGGAACGCGGCCATTTTTTCGCCCGAGAAAACCGGCAATCACCAAATGAAGCTTGTATCAGTGACAACTAGGAAATTCGAGAAAGTCTACGAAAAAACAAACTAATGACCTAAAAAATAATGCAATAGAGTTGTTCGACAAACTATTAAATAAGGTTGCTAAGTTTCAGGCAGACAAGAAATCTTTTTTAGATCATCAAAAACTCTTTAAAAGTTGCTATACGATATAAACACCATTGTGAAGAGAAACTGGAAACACAGGAAAACACTCAAAAAGATGACGCAATCAATCGTCAACAGAGGACATGACAAAGCTCGCCGAAAAGGGAAGTCGCGGCTCGATGATTTCTCGATTGTGAAAAAACCGCCAGTGATTCACTCGATTATTGTTTTCACTTCTTCGCGCAGCCTGATCCTTCGAAATTTGTTCGGCGGTTCCAACAAGCTTACAAATCAGCCGGCAAAGACCGGTGTAACAGTTCAAAAGCGTCATCTTTGATAAAGAGAGAAGGCTAAAGCGCGATCGTCACAAAAAACGGAAGCTCGTCTTGGTCTTCCTTCGATTCGATTCGATGTGATTTTTTTCTTTTTCTTGCGCCGTAGAAGTGTAGTTTGCAGGGTTCAAGTGACCTGAACCACGAGGTTTGGGAGAGAAAATTCAGGTCGAAGGACAAATTTCTCGGTTTCGCAATTTGTTGGTTCCCATGGAGTCATCGATGATTTAATTGTCTCTTCGGAACACGAATGCCTTGAGGGAAAAATATGTTTTTTTCATTTTTGAAAAATTAGGTTTTTTTAAAATTATACTATAGTATTTGCCAAACAAGTTTCAGTCCTAGGTGAACAGAAATTCTTGAGAATTTCATAAAGGAAAAAAAAAACTGGAGCTCGTTTCTGAATTCATACGGATTTCGCCAAAAACTTCATGAAGATGAGGAAAAATTCCGAAAACTACTTTTAATACGAGAACTGTGTATAACTGTGAACAGCTTGAAACGGCAGATTTGAGACTCTCGTGTCTATTTGGATCAAAGTCTTTTTCGATCGAAAAACTTCATCTTCCAAGAAAACGATCAAAAAAGATCGGAAAACAGAGAGCGAATTCCACACCACTGCCACGACATCTGGCCATTTGTCGATGACAGATTCACAACTTCCGAAGATGGTTTTTTCTCGAGAAGATGGCCGCGAATCTCTCCAAACGGCCCACAAACAACTTGAAATAGGCACATTTTTGCACAGACGACGTGACCAGGTGAGAATGATTGAAGACGACTTTCGAGGTCAGGTAAACAGGCAACCGAAGAACGGTCGCCTTCGTTAAACGGTCAGCTTCCGGCTCAAAAAATCCCGGCGTTCTTTGCCGTCTCCACTTTTTCTCCTTCAGTTCGAACCGGATTCGTAGGTTTGTCAGAGGGACACTTCAACAAGAGAACTATGGAAAAAATACGTACTGTGAGAAAATGAAAAACTTGACAGGAAGACTTTCTAAGTATTCTGGGGACGTGAGATATTCAACGTATTCTGAGCGACTTCTGAAATAACGCACCTTGAATATCAAATCCCATCGTGAGCGACTCCCTCGGCGTCACGAAGACGTCGACGGATTCTTGCGATTCTGCACTGGTTTCTTTCGAAAGACAAGAAAAATATGCGGTTTCTGAAGAGCCAGAAACCATCTTTTTCACTTCACAGTCCTTGAGTTCGGATACGGGCGGCTGTAAAGAGAGAATACTTGAATTGAAAAAAAACTTTGATTTTTTTGAGACCAATCAATGCAAAGAAAACATGCGCTTCTTAGAAGAATATTTTAATATTTTGATAAACTTGATTAATCACGACTAAATTATTATCTAATAATGATATCAAGATTCAATTACTCTTTTTTTCTCAGACAACGCAAAATAGAGAGAAAACAGAATCAGAAAAAGTATAATTATTTATAAAGACTGTTTTTAAGACTTCTTCACCAAAAACTACTTCCTTCGAAATTACTTTTTTTTTCCATTTGATTCACCTCAACGGCCACATCGACTGGCAGTTCCATGTTCCAGCGTTCCTCGAAAGCCTTGAGAAGCCGCGGATTCCTCTTGGCGCGAGTGATCGGGGCGGCCAGAGGCGTCAAGAAGACGTCTGTTTCCAGAAGTCGCGACGACGGCGTCGTCCGCTGCACCGTCGCTGTCGCCATCCCGTTCGGCGTCCCTGAGCGAGCCTGAAAACGCGGAAAATAATATAAACGTTCTACTCTTTTGGCAGTTGCAGACGCATTCAAGAACAAAGTTTTTTCTTCCTCTGTCGTTTGAAAATTTCTGGAAAGTACGTTATAGAAAAATTCCGAGAACAAAACAGAATTCCCTCTTAAGATTCTCAACGCGATATAGTTAACAGGTTCTTAGCTGCCAATTTCCTAATTAATTTCTCTCTTGAGTCCAAAAGAATGAAATACAATGAATAGATTCCCACTTCCCTCATAATACAAAAATATCATATTCGCAAAAAAATATGAATTTGAAAATATAAGACGGATAATCACGTTCCGTGGTATTTTATGATGTGTAAACATTTTAGAACTCACTTTCAAAACTAATACAAAAATGAAGAAGAAAGTTTCCGTTGAACCTGTTCGCATTTTCCACAACGATAAAAAAGCTCAAAAAGTACCTACTATTATTTTTAAAACTTGAACAAAAAAACATTATTCGAAAACCCTAGTGTTCAGAGGAGATCCCCGGAATGGCTTTCGAACACTTTTTAAAAATTTCGCGCAGAAAAAGAGGAAGGAAAACAGAAATGAACGGTAACTATTCTGGACTTTTCCAACACTTTTCTCCGTGAATGATGCAATTCGAGAGAATGATAGAGAAGAGAACGGTCAACGTCGGCGGAAAGCTGCAGGATCCGTGCAAAAACCGCTCGCCATCAATCAAAAAGGTACAAGAACACGGATGGATTAAAGTGATAGGAGGAAGGTGGATTCGTCGTCGGTACATTGAACCGACAAACAAAAATCGGTTTCTTGGAAAGTTTAGAATGACAGGCTACAAAGAAAAAAGATCCATTAGGATATTTCTCAGAGATCTAACACTGAAGCGAGACAAACAAGAGAACAGTCCGAAATCAGCCGAGAAATAGGAAGCGACCTCGTAAAAGGAAGAAAATGAGCACAGGAGGAGGCAAAAGAAAGATCATGATTCCCGCGGAACACTCGAGAAAAACTCCAGAAGCCGAACACCCGGGAACGACTCGAGTGGTCAAGCATGAGCAACAAAGATCAGAAGGACAACAGTGTTCAGAGACCTGGACGGAAGAAAATTCTCTCAAACTGCCAGACCAATAAAAAAGGGAAGTTTTGAAAATTGTGAAGGAATGCTCACACTACAACTGAAAAGGATAATCTCGTCTCCTAAGTCCAGATTGAGAAAAATTATTTCAATATTGTTTCTATGACTTTAAGAAGATATTGAATCATTCTCGGGAAATTCAACCTACGCTAGATTATTTTTGAGCAACGTTATTTTTCAGATGAATGAGCTTTCAAGTCGATTTCTTCTAGCAACAGAAGATCCCTTCAGAAACTTTCTAAACTGATAAAAAACAACCAAAAGAATTGAAGAAAGCCAAAACTGAAGACAAAAGAAGATCCAATGAGACGACAACAATAACGGTTGTTCATTAATGCACAATGCTCGACGGCGAATAGCCTCCAGGCGAAAATTTTCGCTTTGTTTGCCTTCTCTTTCCGATTTCCCGCCCAGATCACAATACACGTTCTGCAGCCTATTGTCCACTTGAAGCAAAACTGTTATTTCATTCAAAAAGGCGTGAAAACGGATTTCGCATTGAGCTATTTGGCATGGACCAAAAATGGATTATAAATATTGCTGTGCTGAAAGTTCGAAGAATTTGTTTCGAACCGTTTGGACAAAAAAAGTTTTAAATTTCTCCAAGTTGAAATTTTGCAAGGAGAATCCTTCCATAATTTAATTTCTAAATACTTTTTTTGAACGATGACTAATCTTCCCATCAAGCCTTAGTGTAGCCAAGCGAAGTCTTGAAAAGAGCCAGAGAACCTCCAAAAAACGTTTCGAATCATGTACTTTGGTCCCAAACAAAAACATTTCAATGGACACACGACCTTTGAAATTTTCGAAGGTTTCTTTTTTCACGCAGAACAAATCAAAACAATTGATGACTCATCGGACGCCCGGTTTTTTTTCGCGCAGACGTCGAAAAGCTACAAAAAGCTAATCGGCCGGACAAACCCTCGATAAAACAATTGCGGTGAGACATAATGAGTAATAACGAAGAAAGAAGCTGAGAAAGTGACTAATTAATGAGGTTTGACTAACAAGAACAATTTGATAATGAACTTTTGATTCAAAAACTTTTCGGAAATGAAAATTGTAAATACTTCAAACTTGAAAAATATTCCCTTTGATTTGAAAAAAACGCTCAATGAATCAAAAATTCAAAAAAATTTGAAAAATAAACTTTAATATATAAAAAATTTTGCGGTTGGGAATTTCCTGAAAATTGGCCGAAATACTTTTTGCTGTACCAAAAGAAGGATTTTAGGAAGCCTCCGCCTGAAAACCTTCTATCCTTCGATAAACAAAGACTCCAATCACCGAAATGGCGTATTTTCCCCGGTTTTTAAAGGGTTTCATTGACTTTGATGTTTTCTCTCTCAAAAACTAGAAAATTTTGCAGGTTAGGACTTTTAGAATCTTTGTCCGGTATACCAAGGAGGATTCAGGCCGTTCCGGAAACTCTCAGCCGCAAAGTGAAATGGACTTCCTTGCTCTATGAAACGGAATCCCTTTGGCCTTCAGATTCTTTCAAACTATTCTCGATAAATTCAAACTAACCGAATTTGATGGAGATGGAGTCCTAAGTTTGGCTTTTTTCAAAGTCGGCGATTCTCGTTTCAACTTTGGCGTTTTTTTCGTTTTCGCCAGTGTTGGAGTTTCATCTCGTTGAACTATTTTCGGCGTTCCCAAAGTCTCCGAATTGGCGCGAGCTCGTCGTCTTGTGTTAGGAGTGGCGCTGAGCGGCTCCTGGAGCCAAAATTGAAAATTTAATTTTTGCTGAATACGGTCATTTTTGATGGTCTTTAAGGAGGGTAATATGAATTAGAACGTTGATTATTGAAAAACTTGGAATTTATGTCTCCTTATAGTTTCCAAATTAGTTAAAATGTAGAAAAATTCATTTTTCTAAAGAATAAAAATCCGCCTGTAATGAAATTAACTTTTGCTTTGTACTTTAGAAGATGAGATCAATAGAAAACTGACTTTCGGGGTCGGAATCTCGAGGAGAGGCGAGCAACGTCCGAATCTCGACTTCACTGGTGACGAAGCCTTAAAAAGCCCTTTTTCGTACTTTCGATTCAATCTTCAGGAATCAAACTTTTTGGCTCTTTTGCGACGTCCTGATCGTCTTTTTCTCTGCTGGCGACGCGTTTTCTATCGTCTTCGGGGAGTTTTTCTTGGCGTCCGATTTCTCTTTCGGCTTTTTCTTTTGGTTCAACTTGGCCAAAGAATCGACACTGACGCTGCGTCTCATCGCAGGAAAAACATACAAACTTGAAAACTGTAAAAAAAGATCTTCTATCCAATTATTGTTGAGAAAAATACCGATTCCGACTGTCTCCGTATCCTTTTCGGGTACCTCCGCTCCGATTCTTCCTCTATTTTTGGCGGCTCTTCTTCTTTTTTGCGATCACATAACGCCGAGACGCTACTAGAACGCCGACGGACAACTCTTGGTTTGATCTCCTGAAAACGGAAAGATGTTTCGAGATATACTTCGATAAAAACTTTCTCAAGAAACACTAGTCGCTTACGTCCATAATGAACACATTTTTTTAATAAAAAGCGTCATTTTACCTTGGATTATTCCTAAAAGATTTTCAATCTCTACACATTTTGATCATTTAATTAATTATCTATTTTCCTCGTTGTTATCTCACTACAAAGCTATTGCTTGAGGACATGTTAAGTAGAAAAATTTTGTTGAGAAAAGTTTGATTATTGCGATTCTCAGCGGAAAAAGATGGATATCACAAAATCTAGGATAATAATAGATTTCAACAAACTCCCTTTTTAAAGTTCTCACAGTACTCCGTTTAGCAAAAGACCGTATTCTCGAATTCAATCCCCATCCGTCGGTTTTTATTTGACAAAACGCCTCACAGGATATATTAGCTCAAAGCTTTTGTATTTTGTAATATAATAGCTAAATATTTTTTTTCCATAATTCACTCGATCGCATACAACTAAAAATTTCACTAGGAAATGCTTTTTTTTTTTGTTTTAAAACGCTTGAAAAAATTTAGACGTGTAATTTTTCCCATGATAGAACCGACCTCATCCCTCGCCTTCCTCACAAGCGAAACTTTGGAAATAGTTCCGCCGGGCGTCTTTTCGTCGATAAAAAGGCGAAGCGGCGTGACTTTGGATGTCCGTTCCAAATTGGCGACGCTTTTGCTTGAAGACAAAAATTTCTTGTTGGATTCGTCGTTCGGTCCTGCGGGTTCTATTTTCAACGGGGCCAGCTTCTGTCTTGAAATCGACCTGTGCATCTGAAAAGTTCTCTTCCATACTTTATATACGAAAAAGTCGTTGATCGATCCAAATTTTACGTTTTCTCATTCTCATCAAAAATCTCAAGTTATTTGTATTCAGAGCTCTTATTCACGAAAATGCTACGCAGTTGAACAGAAAATATGATTTCGTGGAACTTTTATCGAAAAACTGAAATATCAATTAATTTCGAACTGACCATGTTCGTCCCGCAATCAAAAGGTAACAGATTGGCAACACTCAAGGAAGAAGAAAGGCCACTTCCGAGGGAATCCGCAGCTTGTCTCTGAGTTCTTTTCGTAGGACTTCGTGGTAAAGCATGTGACTCCTAAAATCGCGATGTTTTTGGAAATAATCTGAAAAATCTCACTTTTTCAAGTCGATTCAAGTTTTTCGAAGAGCATAATTCTGAAGGTTTGCGCATCCTCTTGGAAGGGCTCGGCGGTAGTAAATCGAGAGGCTGAAAATTTATCATTTTCCACAATTTTTAAAATTTCCACCTTCTTAGGGAAAGAACCGGTTGCAAAATTCGACAAGCTGCATGAACTTGCAAGGAATTTTTTCGGGCTGCAGGATTCTGCGACATCTTTTCTAACTTTTTTCGTGGGACTTTTATCGAAAAACTGAAATATTAATTAATTTCAACTTAGAACTTGTAACAAAATAAAAACCTTTTTAGGGATGTTGAATATAGAATGAAGATCCACAGAACTCGAAGTTGCAACTTGTGGATCCTTGGAAGATATTTCGGGTTTCCGATTTCTTTTCAAGGGACTTGATGGCATACCGTTCTATGGTAGAAAAATCAATCTAGCTCTGATTTTTTGAAAATTTTCATACCTTTAACTCAAAATTAGCCTCTGAACTTTCTTGCTTAGCGCGTTTTCTTTGACTGGGAGAAAACTCCCCGGTCTCCTGAAACGAAAACTTTGTATTTTTCTCAAAAAAAAAGTGGTCTTGAAACAGGTTAAAACATCCATCAATGTGATTTTCCATAATTAAACGTAATGTATACCGGAAATATATCCTTCATAGGTTCGAGTTTCGCCATACCCGTCATTCGCTTTAATCCTCCAGAGCTTTTTGATAGATTCGGAACCTAAAAAACCTGTTGCCTAATTATTCATGAAAATTCCATACTTCAGCAACATCTGATTTCGAAGAGCTTCTAGTCATCATTGGCTTGGCTCCAAAAGGTTTAATACTCTGAAAATATCGAGGACTCAAAACCTATTATTTTATTTTTAAATTAACCTCAGAATAACTTTCCACAGACGAATGTCCCATTTCACCGTTGCCGCTTGAAGTTGCGCTCATAATTTAACTATAAATTTACTTACTTCATGCCGTGTTCAAAGTAATTTCCGCGAAATGCAAAATACCCGTTAGAGAAAGGAAAAGATCACTAAATTTTGGAGAGTCAGAGATCATTTTGCATTTCGCGGAAATTACTTTGAACACGGCATCAAGTAAAAGCAAGAATGAGAATAAATAAGAAGCGGAGAAAAAAATTTAAATTTTTCAAATAAAAAAAGAGGCGCGCGAATTTTTTTGCCCACGCAGGTACTGTTTGAATGTGGTACGCATGCACTGCCCGCAATTTCCCATGCAGCCTAAATTTTTCGCGTTTTTGTTTTACTTTTTTAAAAAATTTTATATACTTTCACTATTTTTTGAAAGCTTTTGATATAGTGTGTTTGATATTTTGAAGGGTTAGAAAATGTCGCTCGCAACGCTGACGCCGGCAAGTGTCAAGTATGTCTTGCTGGATTCGTTGGTAATCATGAAAATCGTGAAGCACGTCGACAGCGAGCTGTACGCCGGAATGAGCGAGGTTCTTGCAAATTTGTAATTTATATTCCTTATCAGTTGGTCTTAATTTGTAGTTTTCATCTGATTGAATTCAAAAGATATCACACTTATAAAAAAATATTTTGTTGCCTTTATTTACATTGTTTTTTTAACTTTTTAAATTTCTCTGTTTAAAAGTTTTTGTAAAGCTGAAGATTAATTTAAAAAAAAGTGCGAAGCATTCAAGGTTGCTGGGGAAGCATGTCAGGGCCTTCTGACCGGTCTCGTTTCTATGGAAGAGAATCGCCTTGAAATTACCAACTGCTTCCCAACTGCGAGAACTGAACCTATCATGGACAACGACGAAAGCTCCTCTCAGGTTTTTTTTTTGACAAAAATCAGAAAAATCTGAATCGTTCAGGCCAACCAAGCATATGAAGAACTGAAGCAGCAAGAAATGCTCGATATGCTTCGGAAATTCAGGTAGGCTTCTTAGTTCATACAAAATAATTATGTATTGGATTATTATAAACATTATATTTTCAGAAACATGAACATCGATTACGAAATTGTTGGTTTCTACCAAGCTCATCCATTCGGCGCTTGCTTCACACAGGTGAGTGGAGAAGATATATCAAAAAATTGAGCTTGATCATGCGAACCTGAAACAAATATTCAGTTCTCGTTAACTTATCTTCAGTAATTTTTTGAAAATTTTGAAAAAATTATCATTTCGAGAGTTATTTTTTGCGAAAGGGAATTCCTTCGTCTTTTCATAATAGAAGAAATTTTTCTCGAAATTTTCATAGTTATCAAGCTATTCGTACATCTGACGTTGTAGGAGGAAGGTAAAATTCCTTTGAAGTTCCGAAACTTTTAGGAGCTTGTCGATTCGATGTTCGACTACCAAAGCAACGGGCCAGAAGACGTCGTGATTGTCTACGACCCCGTGAAAACTCGACAAGGTCAACTTTCTCTCAGAGCCTATCGCCTTTCTTTGCCCGCTCTCGAATTGGCCGCCAAGAACGACTGGAGTCCCGAAGCGTTTGTTTTTTTCTCTTTAAAAATATTTCTATGATTCCGAAGATATTTTGAAAACAGTAAATTTCAAAAGAGTGTTATTATCAATGTTAATTTCCAATTTTTACAGCAGTTTTCCACGATCGTATGTATTTTGTCGTTATGAATGTCTTTTTCTCATAAGATCGATTCAAATTTATTTCTTTTCGATTTTCGAATTTCCAGGTGAATTAAAACGGTTAGAAAAGTTGAAATAGTTTCAAAAAATGAGATTATTATGTATTCTATCGAAATATTGTGAAGGTTAGTTAGTCAAATCAATGTTCAAATAATGATTTACACCAGAAACAATTTTTTTTGTCATCATAAGTCTTAAAAGCGAAAATCTTCAAATGGATTTGGCCACAATTTTTTAAATGATAATATACGTTTGTTTCAAAAATGTTGTACTGTATTCTGCTTTTTATACTCTATTACAAGTCTATTTTTAATTTTTCCAGTATTTTAGTTTTTCTATCTCCTCACATAACAGGTCAAATGCTTCGAAACTGCGATTTTCTGAGTATGAGATAGAATTTTTGAAATTCAGTGTGAAAGGGGCGAATCTGACGTACGAGAACATGTTCGAAGAGCTTCCAATCGTGATCAAATCTTCATATTTGGTCAACGTGATGATGGCCGAACTCGCTCTGGCGCCAAGTCGCGTCGCCGACAAAAGATCTGCTCATCTGGAGCTCGGCACCAAGCGGTAAGTTGTCTTCTTATAAAAATATGTCGAAAAAACTTGAATGTTAAATAAATATTGATTGAAAATAAGCTTCTTCGGCATATGAAGTTTTTCTTTATAAGTAACTGGAACTTATCTGATTTCAGCAAGGTCTAAAGTGTCATCAGGTTATTATTTTTTATCTCACTTTTCTAATAAATATTCCCTCTCTGTTTTTTTCTTAAGAGATAGCTTCTTCTTTTTGAATTATTTGCTCTGTGAAGATGTGTTTTTTTCTCAGTTCACTCGAAAAGAGCGTCCGACAGTTGATGGGAAACGTTGACGAACTCAACAAATCCATTTCTGCATTCACGAAATACACTGGAGACAAGCAGAGACATGAGAACGTCGTTTTCAATTTGACACAAAAAGAGGGTAAGTTCAGAGTAAAATCGCATGAAATAATCTTTAAAATGCACAGTTTTGATTTGAAAAAATTCTTATTGGAACACGATTTGAAGTTTATTTGAGCTAGAAAATGTCTGGTATCGCAAAAATTGGACCTTTAAGAGTGCTCTTTGAATCTGCTTCTTAATATGAATCTTCATCACAAAAATTTTTAGATTTTCTTTAATAAATTCAGTTTTTTTCGCACTTTCTCTCTCGCATTAGACTTTTTCTAATGCTTGAAAAACTAATGTGTGCTTCTCAAAAATTTCTGCCAAAGCTCCACTTTCGTTACTTTGAAGATGCTCATTGTAAAAAAAAGTTAAGAGTTTTTCTTTCCCACAGAAAGATCCACGTTTTGCGATATTGATTGAAATAATCATGTTATTTTCTCAATTCTCTCCCCAAATTTTCAAAACTTTGTTAACTTTCATTTCAATTTTCCAATAATACTTCTTTCGTTGGAGAAACAAATTATACTTCAAATTTTCAGCAACAAGAAAACGAAGCGCGCGTCGCACGCGGAGAGCCGCCGATCTCGATGGAGGACATCAAGAAGATGAAGCCGCCCATGTTGCAGACCCGCAACGGAATGCTCGACTCCTTGCTTGCCAGCTGCGATTCTCACACGCTCTCCGATTTTTGCAATACGGTATGAAAAGTTTTGAAACAGTTTGATTTGTATGTGCCCTCTCTTCTCGTTAGTGAGGTAATATTTAAAAAAAAAACGTGAACGCAAGATAATCTGTGAGGAAGAAGAAACTTTTTCAAGTCGTAGAAATGCTTTTTTTAAAAATGCATATTGAATAATTTTCCTGTAACCTCAGCCTTTAAATAAAGTTTTTCTAATAAAAAAGTTCAGGTAACCGGCGAAAACCTGGCGAAACTGTTCCTCGCAGAGGCGATCGCCGACGAGAAACTCGTGGGCAAGGATCGGGCGCTGAGTTCTGTTTCATCCACCCGTTAATTTCCTTCATCATGCATTCTTTTTCGGAGCTCTTTTTAAAGACGAAATTTTACGTTCCGGCCTCTCTTCATACGTTTTTGGGTAAGGAAAATAACCGAAATCTATCTTCTTTCCTCTCCGTTTCTGGATTACTGTTTTTGCTAACTATTTCGTTAGGAGATGACGGAGGCGTATCATCTCGTTAATTGTTGTTGATTTTTCTTCTGGTTCTAACCGAATAAACTATTAAAAAATTCGTTTTTCAATCAAAAGTTGTCGAAGTAGGAAAATATGGTAGTTAGAAGTACTTGTGAAGACAAGAACGTACCCGAAGAAAGGGAAATTGTTCAGATAGGAAGATATGATTTAGGACCGTTGGTGGATATCAAAATGAGAAGAGTCAAATGTACATGGAGCCGTCGGCGGGTTTGATGTAGCCGACGGCGATGAGCACGACGTCGATGATCGTCCAGACGCCGAGGCCGCCGAAGCTGAACAGTTTCCCGATTGCCGACTTCCAAAGTCCCAGGTAGAAACGGTCGGCCCCGAAGCCGCCTGTAATCCAAATGTATTTATAACGTGACAAAAATTTGACAACTTTCGCTCAAATTATCATTCTCGACATTTTCGTCAGTTTTTTAAAGCTACAATCGTTGATTTCGTTAATTCTCTACTATAGTCAATGTTTCCCGACTTGAAAGGCGAGGGAGGCGGGGCAAGGGGCGGGACGCGTAGCGTGTGCGTACACGGTTCTTGGCACGAGTTCAATTTAATTGCCTCCGAATATTTAAAAAGCTTGGCAACCACTCTTTTTCAATGTTTTCTACTATTTTTTGATGAACATATGAACAAAATCAATAATTAATTGAAAAAGGAATGAAAAAAGCGAAAAATGAGCTCTCTGAATGCTCGCTGGCGGTTGAATTGAACTCCTGCCAAGAACCGCGTACGCACACGCTACGCGTCCCGCCCCTTGCCCCGCCTCCCTCGCCTTTCAAGTCGTGAAACATTGACTATACAAAGGTGAATATTATGATATCCAGCGGACATGAATGAATTCGCAGTACTTTATTTGAAACATCTGCTTCAAATAACATGAAATTTAGCAAGCTTCTGCTCTTACATTTTTGCAATTCGTGATAAAAAAAGTGATAAAAAAACTTTTAAAGAAGGATCTGAAACCATTTTTTTCAAAAAGCTATTCAGAGAAGTTTTCAAGTTTAAAAAAATAAATAAAATAATTTTTTTGCCCAAAAAATTAGAAAGTGTAGAATCAGTGAAAGGATCCAATTCAGTTGCTGGAGAGAAATTTTACTTTTTGAACGACATTTTTTAGAATTAGAGATTTTTCTTTTTTCTTTTTTTTCTCGCTTATGAGCAAACTTTTGAGTGGAGTGAAAAAAATTGAAATAGACAAATCCTCAGAAGCCCAGAATGAAAAATATACAATATTTTACAAACTGACCGACGACAACGGAAAGAAACATTGTGCGCGACCAACTGTGGCCCGACGACCAGTTACAACTGAAAAATCTACCGTTTTCAGATTAAAAAGAACTTCAAAAAAACCGTATTTTCTTGTGGAAGTTTCGGACTCCGATACAAATCACATTCGAATGCACCTGCAAAAAAAGATGAGAAATTCAGATTGGAAGCGTGGAAAATAACCCGACACAAGGTTTTGTGCAGACGGCCGCTGCTCGTCGAGCAGTTGGTGACCGGTTTGCAGTCGTGATCTTCGGGCCGCGTTTGCCAACAAAACCTCAAAAAGACGGTCTAGTGAACGCAGATGAAAATGAGATCCCAATTTCGATATTTTTCGAGCACGGCCGTGGGAGATTTCAAAAATTCTGAGATTTTTTTGAGATCAATTTTTTCGTGCTACCAAACAAAAATGAAAAGCGCGTCAAGACCTCTGTCTAAGGGAAACAAAATATCTATTAAAAAGATGATATCATCATTTGGGTTCGAATTTGAGAGCGCACGCCGAAATTGCATGGACTGCATGGAGGCAGAGTTGACAAAATGAAAAATAATTTTTCAGCCCGGAGTAAGTTTTGATTTTAATTCAGAAAGACTCGGAGAAATGATTGAGAGCCTTGAAAAAAGTTTAACGCGGTATACCATTATGCAAATCAGTACAAATTTGCCAAGTTTTTTCGTCCAAATTGTAATTTGATAGGCTATGAGCCTCACAACCTGTCAATTTGTTTTGGCGCGGAATGGGCAACATCGAGAAAATTGCTGAACCTGCACTCGGCCTTCTTGACGAGGCTTTTCTGAGGGCCGCACTCCTTCCCTGTCGTGCAGTTCACAGTCACAGTTTCTCCGAGGCGACAATCATCCGGGAAACGACAGTGAAGTCGCGATTTTTCGCAGTCTCTGCCGCTGAACACCAAACTTCAAGAAATCAGCAAAGTTGTGGACAATCGAAAAAAAAAGTCTGCTCACATTCCAGAAATCAAAACAGCTGGCAGGACGCCAAGAAGCAGAAAAAGCCGAAGCATTCCAAATATCTTCACCTACGATGCATCGGGGGCTGCAAAATGCTTGTAATTTTCAATTGAAAAACAGAAAATAGTTATATATTTAGTTTGTAAAATTTCTGGAAAAATTTTTTAACATTCATAAGCTGTTGTTCATGTCTTAACCAGCCATCCTTCAAGAAAAAAAAACATTGAGATTTTTTCAAGTTTGAAAACTTTTTTTGCCTATTGCTTATAACTGTGTTTTACATTATGGTCCATAGTTAACTCAATGTTCGATAAAACAGTAAAAAAAAACTTCAAGATAGTGAAAGTGAATTTTTTTGCACAAAAATATATGACTCCGCTTTTTTTTTTTATAAATTCACATCATTCGAATTTTCGCTCAAACCCAAATCAACAAAACTACACTATATTTTTTCCAAAACGTCAATACAATCTTGGAATTTAAACCAAGAGAAACCTTTAACAAATAAAAAACAAAAAATTTATTCGATAACAAAAAAAAAACAAGAACGTTCAAGCCGCATATGAAGTAACCTTATAGGAATTTGAGATCCAAGAAATTGCAAGATAAGTGAATAAGAAAAAACAAGATCGCAGAACATATAATCAAAACGTCATTCCAGAGTTAGTCAAGTGAGAAGAAATAAACTGGAACTGTTGAACAGTGGAAAAAGAAAATTTGACCCAACCAGTGAGAATAAGGAAAGTGAATAATTTTTAAGTAGAAAACACTTTTTTAACAAAGCTTATGTCATGTAACGCAGAGAAATATTGGATTTGATCGGAAAAATTTTCATTCTTTGGCCTGAACCATGAAAGGAACGAGGCGAAGCCATTTTCTTGGTTTCTCAGCCGCCGTGACGTCATCAAACTCTTTCCGAAACTCAGAATCCGGTCCTTCGTCACAATTGCAGCCGTCGTGGCGCAGAATCACGTCGCTCCAAGCCCTCGAACTCCAGTCGATTTCGCTGGAAACTCAAGTTTCAAAGATAATTTCAATATATTAAAAAAATTCAAAAACAGAGCTTGGAAAAAAACTGATATTCATTTAGTTTTCCGAATCAAGCCGAGTGAGCGAAGCTTTTTCTAGCCAATAGTGAAAATCTGTGATATATCCCTTTATTTCACTTAATTTGCTTTGGAAGCAAATGGTCGCACGTGGAATGGTCCGAGGCGGAATGGTTCGAGGCGGAATGGCTGCGAAGCGGTTTCTTCGAAGCTTGCTCGTCGAGCCATTCCACCTGCGACCGTGGCGCGACTATTCTTGGCAATTTTTCATTATATTCGACAAACAGCTCTACGAAATGCGAACAGTACGCAATAAACAAAAAAACCAACTCTTCTTCGACAAACTCGGAAACCATGCCGTCGGAGCCCAAGAGATAGACGAACAGCCGCTGGTTGTGAGACTTGATTGGTTCGATTGGAAGAGCCTAATGGGTTTCGATCAGAGAGTTTGAAAGAATTATGACGGACAGCAGTACCATGAACAACTGTCTGTTGATTTTGCGTTTGTCGACGTCGTTCAGTTCTCCACATGGCGATCCGCAACATTCGTGTGTGGAATCCTGAGCATCGCACACGTTGATCGGAATCCCTGGAAAAAAATTAATTTCAATTTTATTTATTTCTCTCGGAGAGAAACCAATAGAAGAAGGTCCTCTTCAAAATCGTTCATCGAACTGTTTTTTTTAAATCGTAAGAGATCGTAAGAGATGATTTTAAAAAAATCGTAAGAGATGATTGATAAAAGTCTCACAAAGTCTTTCTATGTGTTGAATGAAGCAAAAATTGATTTCTATCTATGCCTTAGTGGCATTAAGCTTTGAAGGACGTTAAAATTGTCCTTTTTCCAGTTTTTGAACCTCTCAATGCTCACTAATACTGATTGAAATAGACAAAAGGCGCTTCCTGCCTACATCTGAACAAGTTTTTTAATTACTTCTTGAAAAAAAAATGTCCAAAATCAGAACTAGAACGTCATCAAAGTTAAAGTTAGAATACGAGTTCCTAGACTTTATTTTCGTTTAGAAACTTTAACTTTCTACTTTTCCTTTCCTTTTTTTGAAAAAAACATGCCAAAAAAACTAACGATAGGAGAAAGAAGTCCGGATCGGGGAGCTGCCCACAAAAAAACAGCAACTTCTCTGACCGTCAATCGGTGTTTCGATCGAAAAAGGTCGCGGAGTTCTTTTCGTATCTGAAAGTAGGAAAAGATGACAAAAATAGAAACAGCAGAATGCTTAATTGAAGACTAAAACTCCTTTGTTTTTTTTTCGTCTCAAGAAGTCTTGAAACTCTAAAAAATATAATGAACTTGTAAAACCCTTCGAATCTCACATTTTCAAATCCGTTGAGCGTTTTTATCAAGCCTTGAGGTGCTGGATCTGGGATCAACGTCAACGGGCAGTTCAAGAACCCGTGTCTAAAATGAGATTTCTCAACTATCACGATGAGAATGAAGAGGAAAACCTTATCATGAGCGATTGGATGACCAAATCGACAAACTGAAGCGAAGAATGAATGCAGACGGACCGGGACAACGAAACGTGGTGAGAATTTGAAAGACCCCGTGGCTCCGTCCGCATTTCCTAGTCAAACAAATTTCGTATTAAAAATAATCAGGGAAATATTTGAATTTTCGTTTGAGAAAAAAATCAATCTGAAATGAAAAAAATAGAAAAAAATTTTCGGTGAGTAGAATAGAACTTTGCTTCAAATATTCTTGGTGCAAAACCAAATCTAATTGAGGAAAATCGAAACTAATCAAAAATGAAGGGAAAATTTATTTGAAATAAAAAGCAAGGCAACTGGAACTGGGCTTCATCGGGGCAATGAACATGAGACAACGAAAAAGGCAACAATCGAATAAAAAACAAAACAATTGAAAAATAATAATAAATGAACGATGAAGAAAAAGACGACAACGTGGCTGGTTGAAAAACAATCAAAGAGGAGCAACGTCTGGAATTAATAATTTGACAGGTTTGTAAATCACATAATCGGCTTTTGATAAAACGTTTGATTATTGAAATGAAGAAAAAAAAAAGATTTTTTGTGATTTTATCGCGGGAAAAGTTCCCAAGATGAAGAAAAAATCTTTCGGTTGCGAACAGGAGATGATCAAAGTTCAGAACATCTTCTTTTCTTTTCAATTTGGAACTATAGGAAGTAATTAGAAGTTAAGGAAAGCCCTGTATATAATTTTCGCTGATGAGGGTATATTTCAATGATTCTTTCGCCCTTTTTGATTTCAAATTATCTGAACCTGAGACAATGCGCATAGTATATCCTACAGATAGTTATTAAGTTAAAAATTAGGCCTTTCACAGTTTAACCGTGAAAAATTGGAGTACAAAAGAAGAAAAAAAATCTTCTTTGCGGATAATCCAAATGAAAAGAGGCAACCCGTGCTAAGCATAGAAAAAAAAATCAAATTTCTTGAACTCAAATTAAAAATGCCTATATGATTGATATTAAACTGTAGACATCTGATCTCAAATTTACCATGTTCTTTTTAAAATCGAAATCAATCAGAGGTGGATATATGAACTGAAAAATAGCATCTGAAACTCTAGATTGAAGATGAAAAAATGATTGGCAGATATCCAGACTACTTTCGGAGCCCGGCGAAAAACTTTTCGAATTCGCCGATCCTTCGATTTCTCTCCGCCCTCTCCTTCTCTCTTTCCGCGAGTTCCCTCTCGCGTTCCTGCGCACTCCGCCTCTTCTCACGATCTTCCGCCCGAATCTTTTTTCTGTCTTTCGCTGACATCTCTCCAACTGCAACAATCTTTCACCTTGGTTAGAATGTCCCATGTTTTGTTACCAATCTCCGCGGAAGGACTTCGGTTTCGTTTTCGTCGTTCAATTTTCTCGCTGACTGTTTTTAATCCTGAACGGGCACGCCTATCTTCGCGATGTCGCAGAACGCTCTCGTATTTCGCCTTGGCTTCTTCCCAATCCTCTTTCACTTCGAAACTAGAATAGAAGAATTATAGATATACGCTTAAAAGTCTGCCGTGTTTTTTTAGCTATGCGGGGAATCTTTTTCATAGCTGAACATTATCATCCGATGAAACATGGAAAACCAACGTTTTTGCGTAGCTAATTAGAGTTTCGATGAGGTAAGTTTTGGCGTTTGGATGATCCGGCTGCATTTCGATCGCTTTTTTGAGATCCCGCTCCGCTCGCCAATAATCGCCCATGTTCCAATGTCTACAAATTTTCTTTTTTTATTATTTTTTTTCTTTTCTGGAGTCATCGCAAATTGTTTTTTTTTTCAATACTAAGCTAGTTCTATAGAAACGATGTGCAAAGATTGAAAATCTGACAAAGCGCCGCGAGAGACGTAGGCATCGACGAATTCTGGAAACTTCGATATGACGTCGTCGAACAGCACAAGCGCGGCTTTCGAATTTCCCGACTTCATTTCGGATATCCCCTGAACACGCCTTCATCTTTCCAAAAACTTTATAGAAACCGACTCGATTGACATCGTTTTCGGCCATCAAATTATCCTGCTTCTTTCTGATCGAAGATGCTGGCTCAGATATGTCCTCAAAAGGAAATGTTTCAACTCCAACTTTTTTGAGCTTAACTCAATTGAGTGGAAAGAGTGATTCAAACGAGAATCTAGCCAATATGTTCTCCCATAACTTCATATTTACGATTTCTAGTTAAGAAAACAACGACAATCTTTAAAAAATGGCGTGTTCATCGAACAAAACGAAAATTTGTTCTGAAAAGCAAAATTATTGCTCCAAAAGAAAAAGTAGAACTGTTTTGGAGCAACTTTGGTGCGCCAAAAAAACACTTTCCCTTTTTGAAACATTTTTCGCTTATCCAATAACACACGCCATAGGTTTTTTTTTTCTTTTTTAGAAAAACTACTTTCAGTGGAAAAAAAAATAAAGATAAAACCTCTGTGTGAGGAGAAAATAGGAAAGAATGGAGCGAGATTTCTGAAACGCCCAACTGCGAGGCCAAATAAGGATTGCAACGGTCGGGTCGTTCGTTGGCGAATTCGCGGAACTTCGTGTCCTCCAGTTTTCTCGCTTCTCTGAAAAAAATCTCAATTGGGAATCTTCTGATTTGATTATATCAATAACTTTTTTTTGTTTTTTTGTTTGAAAACCTTTTGTGAACTCACTGCGCTCTGAAAATAAAAGTGAGCATCAAAAAAAAAGAAATTAAACTCGAACGCGAATAACACTGAAAATTTTTATGGGTTTTTTTTTTACTTCTTTGTAACTTTTTAGAACAGCTTTTTTCCCTTTATAAGTTAGTCTTTTTTGCTTTAATTCAAAAAAACTTGAAAACAAAAAGTTTGTATACATGTAAAAACCAGCATTTTGCTGTAAACAATTTTTTTTTTTTGTTATCCCGCCTCTTTTCAAATGAAAAACAAAAGATGAATAGCTCAAAATCAACCTCACGAGGTGAAAATTGCTCACCTGAAAAACTCAGGCAACTCATTTTCGGCAACCGACGCAGCGCCCTCAATATTTTTGGCGATTAGAACGATCAAAAATTGAGCAAGGGGAAGAAAAAAGGAAAAATACCTCAAAAACTAGGCAAAACCAACAAAAGTATTACCTGGGCAAAAGCATATTTCGGTGGATTTGTGGACAAAACGCCCACGCGAATGATATCGTCTATTTTGACTCTTCGGTCCATGGAAGCTTGAAGGATCGGCAGCTGAAAAAAAGTCAAATTTTCATACTATTGGAGAAATATGAAAGAAAACCTCGAGTCTCAGCCATTCCAAATCACGTTTCAGACGTTTCGCGTAACACAACGGCTTGACATAAGCGCCGGCTACGTCACATCGCAAAACCTCAAAGTTTCAGGTTTTTTTCAACCCTTTCCAGATTTTCCTCAGACCTTGACATAGAGGACGTCACCGACCCGACTTTCCTCTTCAAATTTCCGTCGGGCGCTGAAAAAAATCTCTTTGAGCTTAATTCAGAGTCAAATCGGATTGAAAATTAAAGCCAAAAAATTTTCCATTTTTTATCGAATAAAAGCTATTTTCTATTGAAAACTACCTTTCCCTGTCCACATCGACAAAAGTTTCAAAGGGTGGAAATGGTGTGAAAGGTACGTAGACGTTGTCTTCTGGATCAACCGTTTGAATATCTTGCGAAGATCCTTCTGCCTCAGGAATCTTTGAGCTAGACGAGCTTGCAAACAAACTCCGAGCCATTTCAGTCAATCGCCATGTGCTCTTCTGTGAAAAGTATTTCAAGACTATTGACTTGAAAACTAACTTTTTCTGAGGACTTCGAGCGGCTTCTGCTGCGATCAGAGCGCCGACGTCGATCTGATCGTTCTGAACGGCTTCTTCTTCTCACGTTCTCTTCATCGTCTGTACTTTTGGAGGTCCGGCTTTTTCGACCCATTAAGTTCTGCAAAAAAGATTTCAAATTTTTTTTGTTCAAATGATTGACCCGAAAAATCTTCGGGTTCTGCAGAGTTCTGAGACAAAAAATCTGGAAAATCTTATTGAAGCAAACTCATAATGGGAAGCATTTAAACTAGAAAACTCTCATTAGCGGAATACATTTTTTTAAACCAGGATTTCCAGTAGACTATTTTGCATCTGGAAGCAAACATTATGTGAGCTTTATGCAAAATTGTGTTGACTACAAGGTTATCGTACAAATTTTCTGTTTTCCCTGCGTTTAGAACCGAGAAGAAGGCATAGAAAAAAGCAATCAAGTGAAGAGAAGGACGAGAAATTTGAAAAAAAAAAAAGGAAATCTGCGTTCGCCGCGGAGCACATATGGTGTCACCAGTACAGACTCGACGAGCTAATTCGAAACAAATAAATTTTTCAACTAATAACATGTTATTAGTTGAAAGCTGTTAACAGCGCATTTACGTCTTAAGAGATTTTCTGAAAGTTCCGTTTCGTTAGGCACTTTCATTTTCAAGAAAAGTCATGAAACCGGCTCTCACACCATTCGAGACGCTCTTAAAAAAACAGTCTTGCAATTCGAAAGATCTGAATAAATTATCGCACGGCGACACCAAATTAATTGATATACTATAAAAATACACATAGTTTTTTTATTGAAAAGAGAGACTTTATTATTTTTTAACAATTTTTTTCTCGAATTTATAATATTTTTTTCAGGAGCTCTAATATTGCCGAAGAAAATATTGAAGCGCTCATGCTTCAGTAAAAAAATCTTTGAAGGAACAAGAGAATACATCAACAATCGAAAGTACGTTATTTTTTTATAATTAATATCAATTATTTCAAGACCTCAATTCGAAATATAAAAATAATATAGCATCATAGAACGAAAAAAAGCACATCGTTCCCGCCAGCCATTGCAAAGTTGGTAAAAGTGAAAATAGTTTTAAAACTGTATATATTCGAGAACTTGATGCCAGTTTAGTTTTTTTATTGGAGTGCGGAGAATAGAAAAAAACTGCAAATGCTCAGATGCGAACAATTAGAATCGTCTGCTAGAATATTTCTAATTTTTGAAATACTGTTCAATTTTTCAATATTGAGCTAATAATGATATTATTCTTTTAATTTTTTTTTTCAGGATGCTTTTAAATAAAAAATCGATCCGTACGACTGTCTTCAAACTTCCGCTGCTTCAGCCGTAACCAGGTATCACTTGAAGTTCTTGAAAGCAACTGAAATTGTTTTTCATTTTCTCTTCTCTTTTTTTTGAAAATGCAAAAGAAAAGCTCCTTCTAAATGTTCAAAAACAACGAGAATGACAGGTTTCATTCTTTTTAATTTTGATTCTTTTACCTTCACAAACAGTCGCTTTGGCCCGACTCATGAATCTTGGTTAGGTCTGAAAGAGTGGTGCACAGGTTTTACATCTAATATAAAAACGATTTTTTCTTGTGTTATGGAGCCAGATCAATGGACTCATCCTTCAAACTGCAAGTTCTATTGCTAATTTGCAACAGTTTGGCGACTGACTCCCTTTTACCATCGGCTTCAATTTTCTCAGGGCTGGATGAAATAACTTGGGAATAGACTGAAAATGAAAAAAAATTTTGTCCGAAAATTTTTTAATTTTTCTTCCGTCTCTCTTATCCATGGCGCAATTTTAATTTTAGTTAATCGCCAGAGTGGTTTATTTGAATCTCGATCGAAAATAGCGGACTGGGGAACCCCTCCATCAGTAATTCCCACGTGTCGCTCACGTGAGCTGCAAACGGCGTCCCCAGAAGAAATAGCTTCATTTATTAAGAGACTCAGAGAAGATCCGCCGGTTTGACCTTCCACAAAAAGGTCAACTACCTTCCTCTTTACTGTGTCGGCTTTCTTTTCTCTAGTTCCTGCCAAATCTTTATTTTTCAAAAGGAAATCTGAAAACAACCCGAAACATTCAAGACCAGTTTTGTTGGCACTTTCCCATTAATGTGTCACTTTTGATAATGTCATTTTTGGCAATTCGCTATCGCAATACCGCCTGGATCTTTGTTTTCCAGCGAAAATCGGTTTTCGATACGCCAACCGTCACGAGAACGACTTTTTGCCCTGAAGCTTTGTTGACTTTCCTTGTCAGCAAGTCCTGAAACTGCAAAGAGCCGATAAACTAGAGGCCAACAAATGCGAAAAAACTCGCTGTAGTAAAGCGATGCTGCTCCATATCTTGGACTTTGTTCTGTTGACAATCGAAGAATTTGTTTTCAATCAGGAAATTTTCGGAAAGAAAGCGTGTTTATAGGGCGAATCCCATACTGAACTATGGCCTAAAATATTTTTTTTTTGGCATAGAAAAGGAAACGGAAACATACACATGTGACCATCGTTGTTGCACGTTCTGCAATCAATGAAAAGTGGAAAAAATGTGTTTTCAAGTCTTATTTGATTTTTTTTTTTTCTATTAGCAGAAAGCAGATTAACCTGTTTTTTGGAACGTTTCATATTTAAAACTCGAAATATTTCGGTGTTTCTCCGCAATTTTTAACTTCTATCTATTTGTCTCCCAACATACTCCGCTCGAATTTACACAAAGTTTGTACTTTGCACCATCGGATCCACACGGTAATCAGTCACTCGGTGCACTTTGACTTTCTATTCGGCTTGCAACGAGAAAAGACCTCAATTCATCGAGATTTTTTCCTAAAAGTTTTCTTTGAATTTCATTGATGAAAAAAATTGGCAGACTGTTTTTAATTAGGTTACTTTCATGTCCACAAAGTGTCAGTTAGGCGCAGACTTGTTCTGCGCCTGGGTTTAGGCTGAGTTCAAATATGTTGTAAAAATTTGTCTTCCCTTCAATCTTTTCATAGAAGTCATAGACATCAAAGAAGAGATTCATGAACTATTTTTCTTTTCTTTAACCTTTTTTTCTGAAATTTTGCAGAAGGAAATAAGGAATTGCACCGCTTCGAAACCCGTGATCAATCAAAAAATCTTTTGGTTGCGAGACACAAAGAAGTCACGTTGTCCTCTTATCAGTTTCTTATCAGAGAAGAATTGGGTACAAACTGCTCTTCTTAATTGATGAAGTTCACTGAGATTTGTGAACTTTCCGTTTTTAATACTCAAAAGTCATAAAATAAAGGCGATCTCATATAATATCAAAGTACACGAGAAATGGGAAAGAAAGATTATTGTGCAACTTTTTCGTGCTCAGTCGTCTTCAAACTTCAGTTTTGGTTCGAAAAACACACTTTGAAATTTAGAAAGCCTTCGAAAAAAAAACGTTTAAAAAACGGGAGACTAATTTCCAATAAGCGAAGTTATCATGAGTTTTTTTTTAATAATCTCAGTAATAAAATAGATATAAATTCCCTCAATCAATTTTGAACTGATTATCGTGTTGCAAAAAAATTGTTGATAATTTAACGAGTGACACCAAAAACCTCTTTTTTTTACCATTCCATGAACCTCCGAAACTGGTTTTTCAGTAGTTTCCGGACCCTTTCGTCGAAACCAATAGGAATTCTGATTGTCTCAACCTGATCGTATTTCATTTCTCGCGTTCTCTTGATTTTTTTTCTCAAAGGTTTATTGCAAGATTTTTGGCCGTTAGGACAGTTTTGAAAAAGTTGACTTCCCTAATTTTTACTTGAAGGAACGAAAATTTTTTTAAAGGTTTGAAATAATGCATCTAAAAAAAGAACGTTTTCAAAGCAAAAGAAACGCCGCACAAGGTCCGAAAATTTTTTTAGCCAAAAACATTGGGAAGAGGTTATATTACTGCGAACTTTCGAAGAAAAAAAGGATTTAATGTTAGAATCAATTAATTTTTATCAGGTATCCGTGATAATCACGTGTTGCTCGTTCGATGCACCTTTTTTTGATACGGGGAAGTCCGAGTCAAAGAAATGAAGGCGGAGTCTTGTGGGCACGCCCACTTTTTCGGTGTGTCCCCGGCCCACACTTCGGCATATCTGTGATTCGAGTAGTTTCCTACCAAAACCGAATTATTTTTGCGTTTTTTATCTATTGGCGATCCGCATGCCTATTCTCTCTCTTTGAACACTTACCGTAAGCTTTCTGAGTTATTAAAATATGCAGCGTTTTGTGCGCCCAATCCTTTCGTTGAAAGATTCCAATACTTCATTGAACTTTATTTTAATTTCTCAGTGATGCTCTGACAAAAAATTTGTTCATGAGTACCGCGATATCAGGTTTCATCTCTCGTTCCAGTCTATTCAACTTTTTGATAAAAACGAAGATTTTTTGTTGAAATTCTGAGAGCGAGAATACTCAACCCCTGTTACTTTACTTTTGTACAAAGGATTTCTGATCTTTTAACCATCAGTCAAACTTTGAAAATAAAAAAGAACAGCAATATAACAGATATGAGATCACTTCAGCTGCAAAGGCAAACAAACAGATTTTCACGTGGTTGTCTGCAACAAAAGCGTCTTCAAAAATCACCTTGTTTTTATTTTGTCTCTTTTATTACAAGTCAATATTTTCGAAACTTTCGCGCACTTTTGATTTCAAAGTGATTATTTAAGACGTGAAATGAGAAGGAAAATGGAAAGATTTTCGAGCTGAACATCAACTTAAAGGAGGCAAAAGTTTCCAAGCATACTATACAGAGAAAAAAAAAATGTATACCTTATTCTGACCATAATTTCAACCGTTTTTTTTATAAATTTCTTCATTCGTTTTTTAAAATTGAAGATTCCAATCCACCCTATTACTTTACACCAGAAGAGTGTAGCGAGACAAAAGAAAGCGTTGAAAAAAGAGGAAAGGTTGAACGAAAAAAGCGATAAGGAGCACGTGGCGGCGGCATGGACGGTGGCCCGAGACCAGCTGACTGCCGACCGACGCCAGTTCCTTTCCTTCCAATCCATTTACTTTTTCCTTTTTTTCTTTCAGTTACCTTCGTATTCTTGGCCGTGCTCATGAACATTACTGTTCGCGACTTTCTTAATTGATCACGACTGCTCAAAGTTTCCCTCTTGATTCGCTGGCTAGATGAATGATGAACAAGATAGGATTCAGTTCGCTTTTTTTTTAATTCTACAAGTCCTTAACGAATTCAATTCTATCATTGGAATTTTGATTTTCTTTTTCATATTCTGAATCTACAAAGCGCTACTCTGTTTCTATATTTTTTTCTTACTGAACAGCTATTTTCATAACTTTTTTTAGGTATATTTCCCGGATCTCCTTTCCGGCGAAGCGTTTTTCAAAAAGGAATAACTTTCAGAGTAAAACTTAATTAAAAACAAAAAAAGAAATATTGAGGAACCATTCATCATGTTTGGTAGCCTTCAAAAAAATATTTTCACCTCTCAAATCAGTTTGAGGCTTCGCGACAGAAGCAGCCTTATCGGTATTGTTTGACAGTATTTTTCTCATCCAGACAGACTTTACATTTTCAAATTAATGCTATTCTATATTTTTTTCCATATTTTTATCTAAAAGGCTCCTTTTTTTGATATTTTTTTTCCATATTTTATCTTAAAAAAATTTTTTTCAACTTTTATTCATTTCACGTATAAATGTTTCTAAGGTTTACTTTTTTTCTTTATCAAACTGAACTTTTTTTTCATTCAACTTCTGTTAGATGTTAGAGGGAAATGTAAGTTTTAGAAAAGAAAGATGTAAGGGGAATATTTTCACGTTACAACCGACAGCAATAAAACATGGCATTATAGTGTGTATGGGGTTCCCCGTGTTTTTGTGATACTCGTTTCACTTGTTCTTGCCCCACAACATCTGTCCGACAGCGGAGTTTCCCGTGATTCTCACGAGACGACGGCTTTTTCTTCCCATAATTTCTCAGGAATTTTTCTAGAATCAGATGACATTTCTGACGCTGTTTAATATTTATTAAGAGGTGTTTGTTTGTGAGAGTTAAAGCAAATCAACATTTTTGCCATCAGAACGAAATTCTTTTGATTCTTTCTTCGACTTTTTATTAAATTAAACATTTTTTATAACCTAAGGTTTTTTTAAGCATATTTCTCTATTTTTTTATCATTATTTTAGTGGTAACGTACATAGAAATGCAAACAAATCAGAACTTAGGGGTGGAGATTATGAAATATTTCGAATTAGTTTGTAGAAAGTTTTGTTTTAATTTTTCTAGTACTTAAAAAAAATCAAATAAATCATATCGTAGAAGGCGTCAACTGACATCCTGGCTTTTTTCTCGATTATATCATAAGAAAATCTTGGAAATTAGAAATACATTGGAATTTTTTTGGAACTAACCAAAACACTTGAAAGTTATGGAAGTCTTCTGCAGAAAGTTCACTTCCACTTTTGTTTCTGTGTACTTTGCTCAAACGCACCACAGAACGAAAAACGAAGGACATGCCAAATCGACCTTTCTGTCATGAGAATCTCAAAAACCGGCGCACTTGTGCTGCAAAAGGACAAAACAACACGGAGAAGCCCCTTTAGAACGCGCAAAGTTCATTGTTTTGTGGAGAGGCCTTGTTTTCCGTCGGGGAATCCCATCCGCTCCAAGTCAAAGTACTCCTGGCGTGTATTTTAGTTGGCAGCCCGCGTGACGACCGCAGTTGATAACGACTTGTTGATAGCGCCGCCAGTCGTTTTGAATGAACGTCTTTCTCGCCATTTTTCTCATTTCAAGGCTCCTTTTTTGATCATAATTTTGCATATTTTCTCAAGTTTGAGCTCTTCTTTTTTTCAAAATTTTATTTAAAAAATCTTTCAAGTAATATATTTCTAAAGTGAAAAGTTTTTAGTCTTTTTCATCAATGGTACTAATTCTTTGCTCAAATTTTTATTTGTTAGAATGTCTTTTCAACAATATTCTACATCTTATCCCATTTTCTTTTGAAATTTTTTTCTCCGTTCATCTCTATGTGCATAGTTTTTCCATCAATATTTATATCCATCAATTTTTCGAAAAAGCAGGGAAAAATTGATCAACATCTTTGAACCTGCCTTCAAAGATTGAATAACCTTCATAAAGCTTAATTTGGTTTTGGACAATCGCTTCAACAAATTTTTACTACTTCAGTTTTCATTGAAAAATAAACCTTATTCAGCTGGCAACACTTCATTGCACAGCTGCAAGCCACAGAAACCCGAAACTGAAGAAATGTACGCGTTGAAATCAGCTCAGCGTCTGTCGCGCGGCGTCCGCGTCGAGTGGGAAGACGGCGTCTGCGCCAACTTCACCTACGTCTGGCTCCGAGACAACGGCAACCGACGGCCTTCGCTCGTCCACCTTGACCTTGACGCCACCCCAAGGGTTAGTTAACTACTTCTGAAAGAATCTCAGCTCATTTTTCACTTTCCAGAATGTGGACCACAACGAGAATAACTTGAACCTCATCTGGCCTCCCTTCCTCAGCTCCTGCTACAGTTCAAAGTTCCTGCGAGACCATACTTCGGTAAAAGCGCCTCCCGTTCAGAAGAACCTGATCCCGAAGCGGGTATAGAGAATCCTCTCTTTCTGATGTACGAGTGTGACATTTAGGTATTGCCGAAGCCTTGGAGGTTCCAAGATACTCCTGAAAAGCCCGACAACTCGCACATGGCTACTGTCTCCTGGGGAGAACTTGCCACCGAGCTCGGCACCGTTTGGCCTCACTTCCAGCGGGTAGCCCGACTCACTTCTAGTCAAATAGTACGGAACTTCTTGCAGGTTCCGTCGATCATCGGCGTCGAGGCTAGAACTCCAAACGCCAAAGTGCATCTGGTGGACGCGGTGACGTGTTTGGAGATCATGTCGCACACAAATCCTGAAGAGTTCGGATTTCTGGTGAACACGCCTCTCGAATATCAACAAGGATTCTTCAATTCTTCGCACAATGTCGCCCAGGTCTACGATGGTCAAGTCATGACGGTTCGTTTTAATTCGGGAAAATTAGAATTATTATGGGAGAATTTTTTTTCGAATGAATAGCCTTCACAGAAGAAGAGAAAACTTCAAACATAAGCTTAAAAAGTACTGTCTCTGCTTTCATATGTGCTCTGGCTGTAAAACAATTTTTATTCGATGGTGACTTTTTTTGGTTCTTTTGTTCTCTTTTCTCATTTAATAACACTCTCTTCCTGTGAGGATGAGATTTTCTGTGAATAGGGCTTATCTTCCTTTTGTAATTTTGAAGTTTTGAATTTTTGAAATGAATGAACAATTTTTCCAGTCGGTGTTCAACAACGCCCTCCGAACTGCCGAAATCACGACGGCGAGCCTCGACATGCTCTATCGGAGCATGAAGGCCTTGAGCCGGATCTGCTACCAGAACCTGACGACGGAGGTCCTCCAGCCGGGAGAGCTGCTTGTCGTCGACAACGGCCAGACTTATCTCGGAGCTCCAGCTCAGATGGGTCGGCAGCTCTCCCTCAAGCTTTACAACTGATCCCCGCCATCCACATAACTTATTGTACCCCAGGAACCCAACTTTTTCATTTCGAAAGAATTTCTTCCTGAAAAGAACACGTGTATTTTGTCTCCAGAAAACTTGCTACTACCCAGGATTTTTTGTTGACGCCTTCTGTTTATTTTAGAAATCTGTACCATTGGGAGAGCATGTGAACAGAAAAAAAAAAATAAGTTAAACAACTCATGATAACCATTTGAAGTTTTGAAATTTGTACATACTTGCCTCGCAAAAGTGTTATGTTTGGAATGATAATAAAGGATGAAAATCATCGAATTAATTGTTCGGAATACATCGCGTGGAGCATTATCTCCAAATCAGGATGGAATCTGAGGGCTTTGTGAGGACATTTAAGACTCTAACATGGGAAACAAAGTGAGCGACAAAACTTGAGAACAAGGTTTGAAAAAGGATTTCTCAAACTAACACCGAGATCAAGGGTATACAGTAATAAAAAAAAATCGATTATGATATATCAAAAATCAATTATGATATATCCGTAAAAACTATATCTGAAGAAAACCTGTAGTTGCGAGAAGCGGTCGTTGACTCAAAACGGAGGCGTCTTGGTCATTACTTTTCTTCGTGCATCTGGGAGAAAGGATGATCATAGTAGCGGGATCCGCGGCACTCGTCCTCCGTCTTGAGCGTCTTGTGCATGAGACGCGCGATGCACAGCAGCAGAAGAACGACGGCGACGACGGCGACGTGCATTCGCCAGTGCGTCATCCGGTAGCCCGTGTAGGCGGGAGCCACGGGCGGCGTTTCCTCCGGCTTCGACGTCGTCAGTGGCTCGTCGACGACTTCGGCGATGTCGGCGAGGACGTCGTCTTCAGAAGCCGAGTCTCCGTCCTCCTCGCTGCTCAGCTCGATCACTTGCAGTCGTTGAGCTAGCACCGAGTCGTCCACCAACTGCGGACTGTAACGTTTTTTGGTTTTAGGAGTTTTTTTTTTCAGGCGTGATGGTTCAACAAATCTTTTTTTCACTGCAATTCTGATACCTCTATTCTGTTCATAACTATAACTTATTCAAAGTAAAGCTAATCAGGGACATAGTTCATTAGACTACTTCTTGCTTATCTGTTTATTTCCCATTTTCCTTTTGTTTCAAAAAAGAAAAGTTGCCCCGACGAACTTCAATTTTCAGTACTACATCATGAAACAAGAAAAAGTTCAGTTCCGCTTCTCACGCAAGAAACCTTTCGAGAATAATTGGAGTGGTCATTTTTTTGCCGTTTCTAATCACCGGATATCACGAAAATTGCCACCGAACTCCTTATCAGGGAAAGACCTCAGCTTATCGACTGCATTTGGGAAAAAAATGAGAAAAAATTTTTGCTCTTGAGAAAAATCTCGAGTCTCACCCTAAAACTAATTAGTTGCTTGACTCATTGAGCTTTTCAGTTCTCAAGAGAGTGGAAAATGTCTGAATCACTCAAACTTTTCATCGAAATTCACAGTAGATTCGGGTTTTTTAGAATCACAACAGTTAAATACAGCCTACTTTGAAACGGAACTTTTTCTTTTTCAGACCATCAAACTTTGTGTATCAACTTTTCCCTATACCAAGAGAAGTTGAATGTTTTTTTGTTATCTCGTTCGATTGGGAGTTCTGCGAAAAGGATCATGACTAAAGGACAAACTCAGTCTTTCGTCACAGGTTCCTTATTCCAGATAACCTTCTGAGAAAAATTGATGACGCAAACAAAACGCAGCGCATGCTACGCTTACTAATACAAAAAAACATCATCTTCCAACAAGAAAAAAAGGTGTCTTTATACGGTATATAAATTATACCTACAAATTTTGACTCACTGATTCTGCAGCTGTGTTGGCTGGCCGTCCATATGATCTGTTTCTGATATAATGCCATGGGCACCGATTCGTATGTGTTGCATCGGTTTCTCAGACTCCAGGTCAAGATACTGAAAAAAGTAGTCTGAAAGATGTTTTCGAAACAAATTTATATTCAATTAGGATGGAAAAAAAAACACTTTCTTATAGAGCCGTTTTGACTCCAAGTGACAATTACAATTACCTGGAATCTGTCGGCAACTGGATGAGTACAGGAAAGAGCAACGAAGGCGAGTAACAAAATAAAACGTTTCATTGTGAAAAGCTTCCTGTCGGGCGGAATTCTTCGATGAGCTACGACGGAAAAAAACACAGCGGCCGGTCGCCCTGGGAACGGCACTTCAAGTCTCTCTTTTTTGTGATAATCTCTTCGTGTCCGCTTCCTCCTGACCACGCCTCCAATACTTTGTTCCGCCCGGATTATGAGCAAGCCGGATACAAAAAGAAGGACGGCCGCCTTTTTTACACTTCTTGAGGATAAGAAAGACTTTCGAAAATTCGTTGACAGAAATGACATTAAGGTGAAAACGAAGGTGCGGTACAGGAAAGCGAAGTACAGATATGGATGAAAAGATTGCAAAATTTAATATGATTTCATAGAGGTAGATTTAGACACTTTTTCTTTTAAAAATTTTTCTGGAAACTATTCAGTCTGCCACTCGTAAATTTATGGCAACTAAGAAAGTTAGAATGTAAATTTTTCAGAAAATCAGGCCGTGTTTCCACATTCTCAAATATGTCGTATTCCTCAAATAAACATGCGTTTGAAGTATATGCCGTGAGATGCAAATCTCTTACTTTGAATACAGCATACAGATGGTAATTTGTTTGTTTAATTTTTTTTCTTCTCTAGTATTCAAAAAAAATTCAATCATGTGTTGGACATTCGTTTTTGTTTTTTTTTTTTTCATTTTGTAAGGTACTTACAAAATGAAAAAAGGTTTATTCTCTGACCGAAATATCACCCAGTTTCGTGGACTATATCGCAGCGAGAGTGGCGCGACATAGCAGCGACATATCTCGCTGCCATCTCGCTCAGCTCTAGCAAACTCCCGGCGCGATATCGGCGCGAGGTCGCGGATTATCGATTGGTCACTATTTACGTGCCATCAAAATTTTTACTTGAATTGTTTAATTTTTTTTCGTGTGTTATATTCTCTCTGATTTTTATGTCTATTTTTTTTCACTTAATATTTCTAAAATGTTAATTTTACAACTAATGTAACGCTCATACAGTACCGTCAGAAGAGGAAAAAAATATTTTTTTCGCTCACAACTTCCTCGTATAGAGCTCAATCTTTCTGAAACTTTTTTTCAGCTGTGTTTCTAAGTTTTTCACCACGGTGTTACAATCAACAGTCATCATATTTCCAGAGAGTTTCAAAAGGGTGAAATCCCATTAAAGAAAGTTGTGATTTAAAAAAAGCGTTTTTGTATATATTTTGACGGCACTGCACACCTTTCTTGAATTTGAAAGTCCTTTTTTCGCATTTTTTTTTCATGTTTTAACCAATAATTTCAGGTTATTAGTACTTCAAAAAAACATCTAACATTTTTCGATCAATAAAAGTCAAGAAAGATCCGTGGGAGATGGCACCGAAACTTTGCTTTTGGATACAATCAATAAGATTCTTGGTAAACTATTTTTTTGAAACAGTATATCCATTTTTTTGCTTGAAGATATGATTTGCACTTTGGCGTCGATGGGTAAGGAAAAAGAAGAAATGAGGCATGATTTCGAGAAAGCACGAACTGCTGTCTTGATACAGTCGCTCCTGTGAGTTATTCTCTTATTCAAGGTTGGACTTTTTTTCAGTATTTCTCTTTTTTTACCGGTTTTATCATTTAGAAAAAGTTCTTGACGCAGCAAATGAAGGATATGCCGAAAAACTATCAAGTCAAAGCTTACAGTAACATTTTTTTAAAGGGAACTTAGGGTCAATCTGATTGTTTAGCTTAATTTTTCTTTTTTTCAAAAACTTCTTTCATTTTTCATTTCGAGCCTCCCTCCTTTATTTTTTTCTAATTTGAACTTTTTAAAGATCATCTACGAGCTTACAATCGGTTTACTTTTTCTGTTTTTTTATTGAAACTACTCTTTTTCCTAGTCACATTTTTTTCCTATGAAAAAAATAAACGATACACATGTTTTTTTCCTCATATTGTCCTTTTTTTATTCTTACTTGAAGCTTCACTCTTTCGCCTCAATTCAATTTTTTTCTTCTTCAGATTTGTACATACTTTCAGTTTACTTCGAATTCGAAAATGTATCATCAATTATTTGGAAATTTCTTTAATGCTCTCAAGTTTTTCATTTAAATATATTGTTTATATTAAATAAAAAAAGTAAAGAAGGTTGATAAAGACCGATATGTTATCATGTACAACCCAATAAAAGTATGAAGCATAGAAAGCAAATCAAGAAAAAAAAAAAGCCCAATCGAGCTAAAAAATTTTTTTGAAAGAGCGACATAGCAGCGAGATGTGAGCGACCTTGCGCCGAGAGGCGAGCGATATAGCTCGCGGCTCCCCCGCGATATAGCGTTTCTCTCGCTGCGACCTCGTCCGTAAAACTGGGTGTACCGTAGACCTTTTATTCAGTAGCCGTGAAGTGTACACACGAAAACTTTTAGGTCTTGAAGCGGAGCGCAGAAAAGAAGCTCTGTATACTGTGGTTTTTCCTGCTTGTTTTTTTCAATGAGACAAATTCGTGCGAAGGATCAAATCCAATTTATTGAGCTGTGTTCAAATGAATTTCGTGGATTTCAAAATTTACGTGTTTTCGTTTAAAATTATTTCGCCTACGATAAAAAATTGGGGTTTTTGAAGGCGTGAAAAAAACCCTATTGTATAAAACAAGATAGCGACTTTCCAAAACTCCGAGTTTTGAAAATTTTTAACCAAAGTTGGCTTCTTAAATTTAAATTTTGCTTGTTCGAAGGTTTTGAAGGTCGACGTTAGTCTAATTCGACATAAACGACCTTTTTTTTTTGGAAAAAAGGCAGGGCAATCGCTATAAAACAACCTCAGTTTCATAAAGTTTTATATCAACTTTCTATGAAAATTTAGCATTTTTTTAGCTTCAATAGTTGAGAAGTGAAGAAAATTTTCGTCGTAGAAATAAAAACTTGAATTATTCCTTTTTTTATGCATTCGATGAACTCGTTTTTAGCTCGTTTAATTTATTAATTCAGAAAAAAACTTCAAAGTTTACTTTCAAGTGGACGCAGTAAAATGCCAGCTTCGATGTTAGTTTTTTTTATCACTTTCATAAACTAACAAAAAAATTTTTTTCAGCAGATATTTTTGATGACGATGATGGATGGGGCGATAGTTCGTTTCATTTAAATTTACTTTTTCTGTGATTGTTTAAAGTCTTAATTTCAGGCCCTGTTCCCACTAGCGCCTCGGTCCGCTCTTATTCATTGCAAGCTCCCAACTTCGGTATTAATTTATATTTTTGCCTGTTCATTATATATTTTCTTCAGTTTTGACGAACGAAAGAAGGTCGTCGTATAGTTCAAATTTCAACCAGATTCCTGAAGAGCCAGAAGATCATACTCAAAGTTCTTTTTTACAAGTTATTATTGAACATTTTGGTAGTTTGCTTTTTTCTACTCAGATGGATACTCCCTCGCAAGCTTTCGAAAAAGTTTCAAGATGAAACGAATTCAAGTAAAGACCTTACGAGATTAAAATAACTTTTGAAAACTTTCTTGAGTATACGTTCAAACTTTCTAAAGTTAGGAACGGTTCAAAAATTAGGGGTGTACGGTTTTTTTTTTCTCTTAACGCCCTCTGATTCACCAGGGCTTTCCATCTTTCGAGCGTAGAATCATTTATTTTCCTTATATCAGAAGGCTTTGAAGAATTTTATATATTTCCAGGTCTTCAGAAAGCGGTTGGTTTGGCGGAGAAAGAGAATTCTGAATTCAGTGATGGAAGCGAAGCCTCCATTCGCTCATATCCAAGCTCTTCCTCAGAAGCTACTGTTAGATTTGTTGGAACGCGTTCTCCAAAACCTCTCTTCAACTCTACCAACAATTCGGGTTCTGGATTTGGAACGACGAAGTTGCCACTCTCTGCTACCCCGAGGAACTCCCCGAATTCGAGTTATCTCAGCCCTGCTTCTGGTCCCAACGAAGAAAAACAGGACTTCTTCAAAATGATTTCTTTGCCTCCATTCATCGGATCGCACAAGTCTGTAGAAAATCTGAGACGTTCTCACCGTCTGGATTCCGACCCCACGAGCAGCAGAAAATCGTCGAGCTCCGATCTCTCCAGTGTTTTTGGCTCCTCATCCGGGTTCGGTCCTGGCGTGTCAACTTTCTCGCGTTCCCGACAAATGAACAGCAGCTCGTCCGACACTGTGAACAGTAGCGGATTCGGCTCGAAACCCTCAGACTCTAATATTTCCAACGCGAGTTTCGGACCCTCCACCAGCACAACGTCCAGTGGCTTTGTCGAAATAGCCAGTCCTTCTGGTTCTAAACTTCAAATGCCAAGTAAGTCATAATTTTCTTAACTTTATGTCAGTGTCATTCAAAAATATGTTGGAAACATGGGAAATGTTTAATAAAAAAATAAAACAAATCAAAATGGGTGGTACCATACCCTCTTTTGTTTTTTTTTTCTTTGCCAGTTTGAGATTATTCTTTTTTTTAAATACAATATGTTTCTTAAACATGTTTTATTCGTTTAGATCTTCCTTCTAATGTAACGAAGAAGTTCCCTTCGGGCAATGGGTTCAACTCATCTGGTATTTCAAAATTGAGTTGCTGGTAATCCATGATAATTTTGAGGAGGAAGTTTTGGATTGGCGATCTTTGAGAAAGATTCCTTCTCCCGTGTTTTGCAATCGCTTGACTCTGGTTAGTTTTTTTTTGACAGAAAAAACTATGCAAGAACTTTCAATTAGTACCGTAGATGTTTTGAAAAAGAAATCTTTCAGGAATTTTGAATGAGAGCGGCAACGTTTCCGACAAGAAGTGCCGCCGATGCGACGGGGAAGGACACTTCGCTCGCGACTGCGACCAGCCGCCGCGGGAGAACGACGGCAAGTGTCGCAACTGTAGCGAAGAGGGCCACTTCTCCCGCGACTGTCCGCAGCCCAAGAAGCTCGGCGGCAACTGTTTCAACTGCGGAGATGCCGGCCACAACTCCCGCGGCTGCACCAAACCGCGCGACTTATCCCGACTGCCGACGTTTCCGTGTCGCCACTGCAGCCAGGAAGGCCACTGGGCGCGCGATTGCGTTCAGAAGCCGCCAAGACTCGATGGTCCGTATTTTGACCTCATTTGGAATTTGAAAAATCATGCTCAGTTCTTTTACGAGTAACCTAAATAGAATAAAATATGCGATTATCAGGGTCCGAAAACGTTTCAACATTTTTTGTCTGAAGAAAGGGACGGAGTAAGACAAATTTAAATCTTCATACACTAGAGAGTCGGATATTCCGCCTGTAATCATTCTTTGAAGTGATAAATAATGGAAGTTATATAAATTTATCTTATATATTTACTCATAAGTTTTCTCCTAATACGAGTTTATGAATTTGTCGAAAATATTAAAGCTTATCAGGCTTATAAAAAAAGGAATCTAATCGAAGAAATTTTTAATCTGAATAGAAAGAAAGGAAATATCCAGAGGCTGGGAATCCGCTGCCACCGCCTCTTATTCCGCAGTTCCGTGATGAGGAGGAGCTTTTCGAGATCATGAAGAAAAATCCGACGCCGATGAACTACGACGGGGAAGTCACTGTCACCAGCACGGCTATCACAAGTTCTCCTCATCTCGAGTTCGTTCTCATTCTCTAATCCGATATTTCAAAAAACAAAACGAAAGTAGTGTTGCATGAAATTTTTAAAAGAGAAAAAAAATGGTGTGAAATTTGAAGTTTGGATTTGAAATAGTTTCTGGACTAGTTTATATCGACAGAACTTTTTCCAGATCGTAAATAATTTTTAAAAAAATCTGACGAACAGTAAGAATCGTTTTGTCTGTATCCTTGTGAAAAGTTGAAAAACCAAAGAAGACGATTGGCAATGACTATAAAAATGAGTGATTTTTCTGAAAGCAGCTTTTCAGAAACTTCGAACAAATGTACGCGATTCCAGAAGAGGTCATGGCCAACCTCAAACGAATGAATTTCGCCAAGCCGACCGCCATTCAGGGTTATGCTTTCCATCATATTTTCAATGGTAATTTCAGCTGGAGCATTTTTTTTTAAATTTTTTTTTGTTTCAGGAGAGGATGTTCTTGGCTGTGCGCACACTGGCTGCGGGAAAACAGGTTGGATTTCTATTTCCGTTCAGAAGAGGAGGTTCAAAAAATACATTCGTAGTTTTCCGAACGAGACGAATGTAGGTAACTCAGTGTTGCACGCGATAACGAGTTATTAAAATTCCAATTTTAATGGAAAATCTAATTAGAATTTTCTCAACGAAACATTTTTTATCTTTTTTTCAGCTGCCTATTTACTTCCGATCGTTTCAAAAATGATTATGGAAGAGAGTTTTCAAGACGAAGATTCGGACGACGTTGCCTCTCCTCGGTTGATAGATACTTTGAGTTTAACTCACTTTACTTTTTCATGTCCAGTTGCTTGATTCTGGCCCCTTCACGTGAACTGGCCGTCCAGATTTTCGAAGACGCGCGCAGAGTTACCTTCAAGACGGGCGTCACAGCTCGGGTCATCTACGGCGAAACCAACCAGGGTGCTCAAATGCAGACACTCACTAGCGTCAAGGTTCTCCCGATTCAGAAACTTTTCTAGTCGAAAAATGTAGAAACTTGGGATTTTGGTCGCCACAATGGGCCGTTTGCGAGGTTTTCTCGACATGCTCCCCCAATTTTTGTCTCTCAAAAAGGTTTTATTTTTATTATTGACCAATACGAATAACCAAATTCCCAGATGAAATATCTAGTTTTGGACGAGGGAGATCGCATGATCACAGTGGATAATTTTGGATGCGAGCTGAAGGATCTGATCGAGACTCACATCTCCAAAGGCAGTCCTGAGGATTGGGCCCACCAGACTGTTGCCTTCAGGTCATTATTGTGCAATTAGCGCTTTCATCAGAGTAGAAACTAGATTTGAAGAAATATTTCAATCGAAAGTTTTTTTGGATTAGGACAACTGATTTTCTTTCAGCGCTTCTTTCAATGAGGCCGCTCAATTGGAAGTGAAGAATTTCCTCAAGCCAAACTTTGTCATGTTGGGAGTCGCCGAATTCGGCACGGCAAACAGTGATATTCATCAGGTTGAAATACATCAATGCAACCATTTTTTTTTTCAGGAAGTCATGGAAGTGGAAACTTCAGAAAAAGTTGAAAAGCTTTTCGAATTGCTTGGAATTGATTTTGCGAAGCACATTGTCTCAGATGGTTTGGTTTGGCAACTATTTGAAATTTCAGCATGAAAAGTACCTTGTTTTTAGTCAACTATTTTTCTCTAATCACACTGTTCCACAATATTTCAGGATGACTTGAAAATTGATTACGCCCTATTTGACTTGTTATGTGTTTAATTTGAGGTGCGCGTGTTCTCCGGGAGAAAACTTTGATTTTCGTCAACGTCCGCACTCTGGTCGATACTCTCGCCGCCCTCATCCAGCAAGCCGGAATCCCGACGACTTCGGTAGGAATAATGATTTTGAAATTATGTTTCAAGTTTTACTTGCTCAGATCCACAGTTTGCGCCATCAATCGCAGCGCGAAGAAGCTCTGGGCGCTTTCAAGGAGGGCAAGTATAAGGTAGAGAAAAAAACATTTCAACCCTCAATTATTAATTTGAAGGATTTGTAATTTTAATTTATTACCAAATACAATAAATATCAAAAAGGAGACGTGGAAATTTTCTATTATCTGTCAAAAAAACGAACCCTAACGCGAAAAACTTCTTATTTGAACATTTTGTATGGGAATTCGTATAGGAATTTTCGTATCATGTACTCGTTTGCCTATTTTAAGCGTTATTTTTTTTCAGGTTCTTGTCGCAAGCAACGTGGCGGCTCGCGGTTTGGACATCCGTCACCTGGATCATGTGATCAACTTCGATCTTCCGCCTGTGCGAGAATCTGAAGAATACATCAACAGAATAGGAAGGTTTTTTTTTCCGATTATTTGGAGTTTTTTAATGCTAGTTTGAAAATCAATGAGAATTGGGTGCAGAGCGAAATTTCCATAACTTATATGAACTAATGGTAAGATTTTGATAACTGAAATCTATATCGGAAGAACACGGAGTAAAGATTATTTTTATCTCAGAACTGGACGCGCCGGAAGTACTGGAACATCGACGACATTTTTCTGTCGATCTAAGGATCTGGAGATGGTTCCGAAGCTCATCGAAGTTCTTACCAAAGCTGGAAAAGTCTTCATCATTTTTTTTTTCTTTCACTGTATACCCCCTTTTTTTTAGGTTGTCCCAGAGTTTCTCACTGAGCTTGAGAAGCAAGTCGGTGTCTCGGCAGCCGGTTTGGATGAGGAAGAATGGTGAAATTTTTGCAATTTTTTTGTTGATTATCTGTTTTTGTTACTCATGACTTTTTGAACATGTTTCTTGCTTTGATGTACGATATACAAGCTTCAAAAGTTTTAAACATCTGTTAAGAAGTTTCCTTGTACATCTACTTATTTATTATTTATTACCGTAATTTTTTTATTTTTGCATTTTCCACATTTCCCACATTATCCATGTTTTTTTATATTACGCACCAATAAAAATATACGTTACATGACCTTCATATACCCGCGTAAAAGAAAAAAATTTCATGCAGAAGCTAGGACAATTGTGGAATTTAAAATTTTTTCTAGCGTTTTTTTATGATTTCTGAAATTGTATTTTTTCCTTTCAAAACAATATTTTCCACTCACTAGGGAACTACTCGGGTACGGGTTTCGAGTTGAAACTTCAGTGGTTTATAGACCTAAGTGAGAATACTTGAAAACAAGTGAGAATATCTGCTAAACCCGATAGAGAACTCAGAAAAAATCAGTAGAAAACGTGAAAATTAGGCCTGAAAAATTTCAGAATACTGCTTTTCAACTCATTTTATATTTTAATACATTCGCCTTGAATGATCCGGCTATGATAAACTCTAAACAATTTTTTTCCAGCCAAAAGAAGGAGGAAAGCAGAAGCTTGATAATTTTCAAGCCTAAACTGTTAATTTTCGAAAAGCTTTTTCTCAGAAGCCTATGGGGTTTTGCAGATATCCTCTCTTGTTTCCAAGTACTCTTACCCGGGTCTATAAGCCACCAAAGTTTCAACTCCAAATGCGTACCCGAGTCCGAGTAGTTCCCTAGTCAGTGTATCCACATCTTGGCCTGGCTTCGACTGGAAGTCTAAATATTCAGTCGTTTTTCTTGTCCTGAGCCCTGATTGGGCGATCGGCACCGGCAAGCCTTCGGACCTCGTCGACGCTCAGTCGGTTGACGTCGTCGGCCTCTTCTAGGGCTTCTCTGCCTTCTTGCTCTTCTTGTCGACGCAGCAGCCATCGTCGCTGCATGGGTCTCAACACGAATGGCACCAGAACCACGAGGATCGTCGCAAACGCGTTGTACAACATCCGACCAAACGCGTCGCCTGAAATTCATTTTGAATATTAAGAAATCTACGCATTTAGCAAAACTCCAAAAAAAAAAAAATGAATTTTGTTTTCTTTCTTGCAGGAAATATTCATTCGACTAGGCTGGAGAATTTTCGGAAGGTCTGAGATTTGCTTTTTTGGAGTTTTTTCTTTTATCTTTTCACGTTTGATCCTATGATAATGAAAAGGGCTCACCTGTCCACTTGCTGATCGTGTCACTCCACGTTTTCGGCCTCTCGAAGTCCCGAAGATAGCTTTCGTGCCGAGAACTGAAATCAAAATGGAAGATAAAAGTCGAATTTCAAAAACAAACATTAATCGTGCATGGTCTTCCTTCGTTTGTCTGAGCTCTTTCTCGATTTGAGCAATTTTTGCTTTGTAGTCCGTTCCCTAAATTTCTGTCTCAGAAAAATAAAAAAGAGCTGTCATCCGCAGGATTCGAACCTGCGCCCTCCGAAGAGGACTGCGACCTGAACGCAGCGCCTTAGACCACTCGGCCAGAATGACACGAGTTTGAGAGCGTGAGCTTTCACCCATAGTTTGGCAGGCGCAGCGACGCATTGAACGTGCACGGCGTTCTGCGTAGTGGAAGAAAATGTAAAATTTTTGAAAATGCGGAGCGGCTTTGAAAGGTTGCTCCACCTAGAGTTACGGTAGACAGCTTGCGCGCGAACATTTGAATTTCTTGTTTCTCAAGTGCTTCAGGTGATTTTTCATGTTTGTTTCAGTTGTATCTTTATCTGTTTTGTTCTGATTCACGGTAATTATTTTTTATTGCGACAGCAAAATGCGAAGGAACTTTTTTTTTTCAATTTTCCATATTAACTGCTGGGTTTTGACAAAATTTCCGCTTTAAAGCAAAAAAAAGCCTTTCAGCAACATTTTCAGTGTCAAATTAAATTTTTTATTCGAATCAATCAATATCTTCATTTTCGCAACATCAGAATGGTATGGCGATGTTGCAGAGGAGAAAAAATACCGCTAGGTGGATGAACTAAACTAAATCTGTAAAGAAAACTTTTTTTTTCTAAATTTTTTATAATTGGGGAAAGACACATAGAACCACAATAAGTCATTTTCGGCACAAAATTCCACGTTTTTCACTGAAAAAAGGACTTTAACTAATTTTGAGGGTGAAAGGTATAAAAAGTGTTCAGAAAAATAAGAAAAAAACTTTCACCCAAATGTTTTTTTTGTCAGCTAGAAAAAGGAATTGTGATAGGATCGATTTTTTTCACGTCTATAGTTTTGAAGAAACGCTATTTTTCGAGGAAAAAAATTATTTTCGAATTCAATGAGTATGCGAGTTAGCGTCGATCTGTGTATGCACCAAAGACGTCAAATATTACGGAAATTGTGGGAGGGGCGTCGTCAAAAAGAACGCCGTGCGTGGAAGATGTTTTTTTATCTTTCCCTTATTCTTATTTCAAAAAAAAGATCCAGTTCCTCTAAATAGTTTGCTTCACACGGGAAAAAAAATGCAATAAGAATTGCATGTACAAAAGAGAAAAAGTTGAAATAATTTGACGATAATTTTTTTTAGACTTCAAAACTTTTGTATTTTTGCTAACTTCGAAAATATAAAAACATAAAAAGATTCGAAGAAACCTCATTTTTTGGTTCGTCCGCTTTCCGGGCTTGTTTGAGGGTCTCCACGGCCTTGAGAAGGACTTCCTCGTGTCTCTTGAGGTCCATCATGTTGTGTAGAAACTGTTCGTCGTGCTCTTTTCGACGTGGGTGGTCCTCCTTGAACTTGACGTCTTTGGCACAGCAATCACATAGAGCCAATATACTGGAGGTCGCTCTCAAAAGGTAAACATGAGTTGAGAAAATAGTGTATTTTACATTTGTTTATATATCTGATTTATTGCTGAAAAACAGCTCATTTCTTTTTTTTTCCTTATAAACTTTGACCATCGAAAAACCAAAAAATCGCTGATAAAATTACAGAAAAAAAGAACTCACAACAAAATTCGAAGCAGCATTGACGAACGAAAGTACTTTCAAGCAGGAAAAAATTCTTTTTGAACTGAAGACAGTCTAAAGAAGCAGTGGAATGGAATCAATACACCGCATCTTGCAACGACACGAATTTCCTCACGAAACCTGTTTTTTTTTTCTCGATCTACGTTGAGACGCAGTTTGGGAATAGAATTTGAACTTTAGTTGAAGCTGAAACATCGAAGAAATGTACACAAGGACCTATTCGAAGAAAAAAAAAGCAAGGACCTCCTTATAAGGAGTTAACAACGTTTTTTTTTCCGAGTTGGTAAAAATTGAAGATTATGCATTTAATTTGGATATCTAATGTTGGAAAGAAATTCTTCAAAAGAATAAAACGACTTTTTTTCAATTTTTGCAGGAACGCACTTCTCACAAAATCCAGAAAAGGAAAAAAGAACTGTCATCCGCAGGATTCGAACCTGCGCCCTCCGAAGAGGACTGCGACCTGAACGCAGCGCCTTAGACCGCTCGGCCAGAATGACACCTGCACTCTCTCTTTATCGGTAGCTATTTATCAACATGCGTTTCACGTGTCTCTGTGATAACAAAAACGTGAAATAAAAAACGGCAAAGGGACGTAAAATAGGATCATTCCTTGAAACAGTCTAAGATATGAAAGCTGTTATCCTTCTTTTGCTTGGTGAGTTTCAAGTTCCCCAAAGATATGTGTTTTTGCGACTTTCAGGATTAAACGAAATACACTTCGCCATGGGTATCTCGCCATGCGTCGATCATAATGAGGTTTTGAAATTTAAACAAAAATTCCATCTGAAGCAGGAAACTTTCAGAAAAAGATGCATCCTGAATTGAATTCCCTCTTTGCTTTCATGTTCTGGAACACTCTTATCTTCGGACTCAACGTTCTTGTTTTCTTGTACCTGAGAAAGAGAGTTAGAAAAAAAAAGAAAATGTGAAAACAGGCGATTTGAAGGTGGCACCTTTGGTGAACGACATCATTTTGTCTTCATGTGCGATTTTTGACAATATTCTGCTTCAGCAGATCCCCGATGTGAAAAATCGACGCTTTTCAACTTTATTTCCGATATATTTCAGAAAGTTCGGAAGAACTTGGGATGCCCTCCACGGATAGTCCGTTCTAAAGAACCCAAGGTAGCAAACAACTTTTTTTGACAGACAAAAAATTTGAAAAAAGGGAATGAATCAGCGGATGTTCTGGATGAAACTTCTTTCTAGTTATAGTTTTTCACGCCGGTTCTGAGCTCAAAAGCTGCCGCAGAGGTCTATTGAAAACAGTTGTGGCTGCTTTAAAAAAAAAGTCAAGGTTTTCAAACGAACTTTCTTTTGATTTATAGCTAGAGAACACACATGTGATCAGATGTCACTTTTGTTGCGCACAAATTGTTTTTCAACATTTTCTCAAAGAGAGATTATTCATTTTTTAAAAATTTTATCTAAACCTTTCAAAATTCTGCGCGGCTTTTTTTGAGCTCATTTTATTAAATAAAACTAAGCGTCATTTAGAAGTCTTAATCATGCTCTGATAAAAAGACGAAAATTGAATCCCGAAGTTTGATGGAAATATTTAGGGTTCCAAGGGAGGAAAAACATCGAAAGAATCGAAGAACTCGAAAAAATCAAAGAAGTCAACCGACAAGAGCAAGGTAAAATTCTAAATTCTGCCAAAAACACAGGTTAATTTTAGACCCCGAAATCCACAGGCACAAAGTCCACAGACACAAAGTCCTCAAACAAAAAATCTTCGAAGAAAACCGAGGGCCCGCACAGCGACGATTACTTCGGGGTCAAATAAGAGACTGTTCCCTTTTGGCCTATCGGTTACTTCAATAAAAACGACGACTTTTGGGTAGATAAGAAAAGTTTCATTGAATATACAGGAATGTTTAAAAACAAATTGAAAATATTTCTCACAAAACTGCGCTTTGTCGGCTGTTTTCTTCGTCTTCTTCTTCTGGTTCGACCTTCGGTTCAATGGAATCATTCGAATTTTCATTATCGTTCGCGACTGGCTCAAGCGTTTTTTTACTCGTTTTCCTCTTCGTGGGTTGAACCTTACGCCTCTTTTTCCTGTAAAAATCGTTTTCTTTTGAAGATCCGCAAGAAATTTATCAATTTCTTCCAGTTACCCTATCAAGTTAAGTTCAGAAATGCATAAACCTAGCTGCCCGTGCAAGGAACACCTTGACTGATTAAAAAGCCTAAAAATTGTATTCTGGCATTTGGAGTGAAAAAAGTGTACAATCGAGGCGTTCCACCTCTTTATGTATCCTGAAACTGGATTTCTTTTAACTATTCTTTCTGCAAATGTTAAGGGAAACGTGGAAATAACCTATTCAACATATCAATTCAAATAAGAGCTCCTAATTCGCATGAAAATATTTTTAGAAAAAAATTTGGATTTATTTTTTTAACACAAATTATCAAACTTAAAAAAACACGAAAGAAGAAAAATTTGGAGAAATGAGCAACTTTGAGTCAAAATAATAAAGAATAGTCTTTAAAAAGAACACGAAAACTTTTTCGAAAAAAAGGAAAAAAACGGTTTCTTCGACTTTTTTTTCACCTTTCCACGTTCGAATAATAATGGGAAACGGACACCTTTAAAGAAAAATACTTGTTTGAATTCAAAAAAATATGGCTTAATTAATAATAATTTTTCTCACTTTTTTTAAACCTACTCTGTTTGTTTGACCTACACCGAAAACTGGAAGCTAACTCTTGAATTTCAGAAACTCATCCACAAGGTGGGCACTTAAAACTATGCGGCCTTTGAATACTCTTTATCCTAGAGCTGTAGTTTGATGAGTGGCTTTCATATTTCGGAAAAAAAAAAAATTGAAAATGACTGTGGCTCTGAAGCGTCGACGTTCTCCCGAGACATCTTTTCCCGAAGAACTCGCATGTTGATACGGAAATCCCGATGACCAATCGTGTTATCCTGAAACAAAATTCCTACAAAGTATATGGTTTGGTGCCGAGAGGAACCTTGACTTGCAAGTCGAGTCTTTCGTCGCGCAGAGCATTCGACAGAAGCAAAATCTGACTCTGGAGTTGCTCTCTTTGCCAGGCGTACTTGACGTACATCACCTCGTCTTTTTTCGACTTTTGCTCCCTAAAGGATTTTGAAAAGGATAATTCATTTTGCAATTTTTAGACTTTGTTTTTTTATTGGCCCGAGAAGATTCCTCGCTGCGAATATATCCAATATTTTCGTCGCAAATCGCCATCATAGGAGCCAACTATGAAATAATGATAATATTTGGAAAAATTAGATTAACCTTTTTATCGATCAAATTTGCCAGCGATTCAATACATTTCCATTCGCCGATCCCCGAAATGACTTTGTTGAATTGCAGAAGCTAAACTTATAGTGAGTTTTTTTAAATATCAAATTTAAGTTTTTCAAAAAAAGGTATTATGATGATGATCATGATTTAAAAAAACTTCTATCCCTAAAACGAAAATCCCAGTTTCTCATGTCGACAATGTTTCTTGGAAAAAAAAATGAACACCTTCCCTTTGTGTATTTTCTCATTTAACGGCAAAAAGGACTGTCATCCGCAGGATTCGAACCTGCGCCCTCCGAAGAGGACTGCGACCTGAACGCAGCGCCTTAGACCGCTCGGCCAGAATGACACGGGAGTGAGAGGGGCCCATTGCGTACCAGTTTGACAGGCGCCTCGAGTGTGCAGTAGAGAGCCGTCGTCAGGCTGGTCACTCGCTCCTTTTGCACGTGGAACTGAGTATGAATTTGGAGGAGCCGTGACACGAAATCCATGCATTCGTCGCACTTGGCGAAAACGGAAACAAGGAGATTATCCACTGGAATAAAAGTAGACGATACCGTGAATAAAGTTTATAAATCGTCTAAAAGAATATTCATCCAATGGCCTCTGAAAGACATAGACAGCAAATTTTTCATAATTCTCTCTTCTGAGATTATTTTGAAAGAAATAAGAAATTGAAAAAACAGCAAAAAAGAGTGTAACCGAAAATGGCAAAAAAAAAAGAAACAGAATTTACATGGAGATCTCTCTCGAAAAAAAGAAATTTTTTACTTACATTTTTCGTCTTTGCTGCTGAACTCTGCGGCAAAAGTGATGAGATCTCGAATCGTCGTCATCAATTTTTCGATGAACGTCGTCAAAAACTCGCAGACGACGTTTTGCGTTGTTGCCTTTACGAAAGCATACTTCTGCACATCGTCTTCCTGAAAACCTTCGGAGTTGATGCAGAAGACGAGGGAAGTTCACATCATCTGAAAGGCTCTGAAGCAAATCCTCGACGATAGTTGCGATCGTCTTCAACACGTTGATTTCCGAGTCGCTGGAGTGGAAAGCGACCGTCGACAGAAATTTGAGCATGTCTCGGAGCATTTGATTATTTCCTGGGAACAAGATCTTCAAATTGTGTTCCAGTGAACTTGCGCCGAGGTCAGTCAAAGGCCTAGTTTGCTATAAAAAAAACTTCGAGAATTCAGAAAATGTATGAATGAAAAAAGCGTAGAGCTGGAATTTTCGAATTTCATTTCTTGCAAGCCTTCCTTTTCTTTACATTTGCATTATATAAGCTTTTACATGAACCTGAAACTGATATAATAAACATGAATCGAACCGAATTCGGCCGTCTCCAGCATTTTGACGACGGCTCTGAAGATTGCCGACCACGCCTTCGGGATCGTCGTCACAGAAAGCACACTTTGAGCGACCTTTCCAATCCTCTTGAAATTCTTTTTCAGTAATTTCTCACCTTCAACAATGCTCGAGCCTGTTTCTCGTGCTGAGCACACGGTCTTTTTTCCTCAATCGACTCTTTTTCGAGTCCCAAAACGGTCCGATAATACTTGCAAGCCAATTGGTTTGCATGTCGAACCTGGAAATAAATTTTGAGAATTTCCGAATGAAGAATTATGATTCTCTGTCAGTGTCGAGAGTGTCCAACCCGTATATTTTTTCCTTAACTTAATTTTTTTGCTGCTTTTTCTGTAACCGTCACCTGAAAGTTTGAGAAAAAAAACTCTATGGAATAAGGTAAGAGAAAAAATAATGAAAAACAAAAATGAAGATTACTTATTTAACACATAAAATATTAATTTTCATTAACTTCTCCGAATTTTAACCGTACTTAAAAAGCTATTTTCAGGTTGAGTAAATTCAAACCACCAAAGCGTTGGAGCTTCTCCGTCGGTCTGCTGTTTCATTCAAATCTTCCTTGTGCCCTGGAAATTTATCTTGTTCAATTGTTCAGGGGGCTTTACTGGCTCATAAAGACACGTTTTACAGCCCTCATTCAGGCTAGAAAAATTTTTCCGATAACAAAAACTCTCAAAAGCGTCTCACTTTGATACGCTCAAAACTCACAAATTTGGGTAATTTTGGGCAAGTTGTGTCGGTATTTTGTAATCATGAATTTGATGATGTTGGCGTAGCTCTCAATGGCCTGAAATGTAGGAATTTGTTCCAAACAAGTCGAAAAGAAATGCGAAATATTTTTTTTTGTTGGAATCAGCCTAGATTTCAAAAATATCCTGGAAAAAAACCTTGGTTTTGACGGGGGCGCCTCCATCCACATCTTCCAGCCATTTGACGACGTTTCCACCATAGTAAAAAAATCGTGTAAATAACTAAAAAAATCAATCAAATTGGATAAAAGCTTTCGAGGAAACCTTCCAATCGTGACCAAATTCTGGGTTCCAGTTAGAATTGAATGTAGCGGATGGTACTCCTGTTTTGAAATAATTCTCAGAAAAATGGATGATGATTTAGGAAAAAAATAGAATAGAAAAAAACTTTTTAAAAGTCATTTTTAAACAACGTCTGAAGCTTTTTTTATCCAGAAATTTTCAATAACCTGGAACCATTTTTTTATTTTTTTCGGAGCGTTCGGTTTATTTTTTTATTGAAATCTGAAAAAAACCCATTTTTTTAAAAATCAAAATTTTAGATCTCTACTCTCTAAACTTCAAATCGTTCTATCCAAAGACCAAAAAGAAACCTTGACGATTGCCTGAGTCAAAGCGCTCGTTCGGTCGACACACCAAAGGAACATGTCCATTTGGATGTCGTCCAAAAGTTCTTTCTCCAGGTTTATGACTGGCTCCTCTTCGTCTTCTCTTCTGGAAAAAGGCCATTTCGATGTCTTCGAAGTTCTCAAACTAACGGCGGTACGAGTTTCGACAATATCTGGGCGATTGTTCTGGAGCAAGTGAAGATTTCGACCTGGGAGACATCGATTCCCGGTCCGTCAGGTTGATTTCCGGCGCTTTTCGCTTCTTTCGTTCGCGTTGTTTTCTCGTTAAGTTCCTTAAACCCCGGTTATAACCCGTGGGTGTCTGAGTATACTAAATTTGTTCAAAATCAAGAGGATTTGATACAAAAGTGAGGAGAAAAAAAAAATTGAAAAGTCACCTGTTGACGAAAGTTCAATAGAAAAGTTCAAAGATTTTTATTTTATTTTTAAAATTTGGCTTGGAAAAACTTGAGGTATCTGCAGGCAACTAGAAGAATAGCACACCAGAAAGATAATCTGTTGGCGGAATTTCCAGAAAGTTCATCATTTTGCAAATAATTTTATTATTATTCTCTGCGAATTCTTCTCAATCGTCGTAATAAAAACCTCGCAATCTTTGAATTTGGACTTTTCGGACCTACAAAATGACTTTTTCAATCATCAAAGCATATGGAACTACCAGATTCGGATGGCTTTTTCGGAAAATTCTCATACCTCCAGGAGATCATGACGACGTTTCAGCAACATGATCAGATGCTCGCTGTCTTCACGTCTGAAGAGCAGATAATCGATGAGAATTCTCGAGAAGAGGCAGACTTTTTCGAGGTGGAAGCACGACGCCAGACGTACTCGATGAGCACGTCGTAGACGCTGATCATGGCGTGGGCGAACAGGAGATTCGACCTTCCAGCATTCGTTGTTCCACTCCAGTCCGAAGCCTTGTCCAGACCTTTGTTCATTGATTTTAATTCAGTTTTCTGTAGGGATTTTCGTCCTCTTTTTTATTTTTAGTTTGCGCCATAGATGCAAACTTCAACATTTAAGAATATGATTCGAAAAAATCGTATGGATTCCGATAAACTCACCCAAATCATGAACATCTTCTGTTGTCGCTTTTTTCACCCATTCATCCATCAATTTCAGAGCCTGAAATGTTGTGAATTTCTCAAAATAAGGTGAAAGATCTGGAAATTATTTCCCATCTAAAGATAATTTTTGAATTTTAAACTCGAACTACAGCTTTCCTGAGGCGAGAAAAGCATTTCGATTCGATATTTTTGAAGTTACTCGAAAATACTGATTTCAATCGAATCTAATTTTACCCTGGCCGCAGGTCCATTTGCAGCCAAGGACTGGCTCGTCGCAGCTTCACAGATCAAAAAGTCGATTGCCTTCAAAAGTGTTTGAACTCATTTTGAAGGAACGCCAACCTGGATGAACTGAGGCAGAGGTTCTTTGAGTTCAGTGAGATTTTTTCCCGCGTAGACGATCTTTTCGGGCTTCCAATCTGGCACTGTAATTGAGCAAATAATAATAAAAAAACTAATTTATAGATTCATTCGTGGTAGACATTTTTTCAATGAGTATTTCTCCGAAGACAAGTTTTTAATTCAAATATTTTTTAAAATACTAGGCCAAAGTTATGCTGTAAGACTTGTGAGATCTTGTATTAATCCTGAAAAAGTCTGTAATCAGCCTTTCTAACAAAAGTTAGCTTCAAGATATCATTTCGAAATTAAATATTCTTTTATTTCTTTGACTCCTTTTCTGTGAAAAGTTAGCAATATTCGGCTGAAAAATCTGCGCCTTTATTTCAATTTCCACGCAATCATTCTGAATATAATTGTGCGCGCATAGATCGAAAAGCTACGAAATTGTTTTGTTTTTACTTTTGAGGGCCTTGTTACTGATGTATTATTGTCACGGATTTTTTGAAATGTTCAAATTTGAACCTGTAGGAGCGTGAGAAACCAAGAGATCCAGGCACTGATCGACCAAAGTCGGGGATCGCGACGCCAGTTCACAAATGCCTTGGTACAGGGCTATCCTATAAACATTTGTTTATTGTTGCGAGAAGAAATATTGGAAAGGAGACATTTTAAAAGCATACATTTTTATTTGAACAAGAACAGACTTTCAAAGAATAATCACTAGTACAAGAGCCAAGAATTTCAATTGAACTTTTTGAATAACATTTTCCTTAATTTGTCAAAGTATTTTCGGTCGCACAGAATCCGTCAGTGCGCGCGCAACACAGAAAAGTGGCGGACTCGTAATAATGAATGGATTTTAAGGCAAACTTCGTAGGAGAACTTTGTGTGAGGCATCTTTTGATGACTCCAATCAGTTCCAACGCGACGTTCTCATCAACTGTCCGCTCCAGTCCCATGTGTTCCAACGCCTCAAAACGCTCCAAAATGATTGGAAAGCTGGGTTTTCGGTGCCTGGGTCGAGAAGCTTCCGAAAGACTGCGACATGGAAAATTCTTCGGCGCCAGTCCTGGTCGGCTGTCTTTTGGTGACACTTCGAAGCAACAAAAGGGTGATCGGGACTGCGGAAGCGACGGTATTGCTGGCTATCACGTCTTTCTGCAAAGCTCCCGGGTTTAACCTTTTCGAAAACCCTCGATGGTGTGTTTAAAGGCGCAGGGACTTTTCATGAGAAAGTATAAAGAAGAAGAGCCGATGTCAATTTCAGTTTGTGTTTTCCCGACTTTTAGCATTTTTATTTGAAAAAAAACTTGATAATAAATAACAGCAAAAAAACACCAAAAGTATCAGAAAGGCTTCAAAAATGCTTTTTTTGGTATTTTTTTAAGCAACTTTGGACTGTTATTTCAATCTTTTTGGTTCAAAAAACCAAGGATCTTTGTGATATCCAGACGATTGAAAGAAAAAACTATAAAAACGGAAAAGAAATTGTTTAAAATTCTTGAACCAATAGATTCTTGCGAAAGAAAAATAGCCGTGTTTTATTTTTGAGAACTTCTTGCAAACCTCAGCTAACATGAGAAACACACCTTCAAAGTCTGAAAAAGGAGTTGGCGCAAATTTTGGCGATTATTAATCACCGGCAAAAGACTTCGAATCAACGAAACTGCGACGTCCCTGGGAAGGTCAGAAGTTAGTTTCCTCCGAGTTTCAAAGGAAACTTTCTCATTTTACAGACATCCTCGAAAAGTCCATTCAGTAACTGTGAATTGTTGAGCACTTCCACAGTACATTTCTTCACCAAATCCAGAAGAACGTCTGAAAAATGGGATGAACCAAAAGATCAGGAAGATTAATCAGAAAATGGGACCAATGAGAACGAGGGCGGCGCCACCAGAAGAAAATGTGATCGCATGAAAAAGATTGGCCAAATGACGGTCCAAACAGCTTTGAGCGGCGTAAACCTAACAAAAATCGGATGGAATTTTCTTCAAATTTAATGAAAATACATTTTCTTTGATCGACTTCATTTTAATGGAAAAATATTATTCTACACGATTTGCAGAAAAATTATCTTCGTTATACCTTATTGAGAGCGTCTTTGGCGAACATCCACAATGAACAGCCGTCAGCGACTCGTCCATCCACAATCGCTACCTAATCTTCTTCTTTCATAATTATTTAACTTTCTGTGGCGGAAAAAAAAAAACAGAAAAAAGTATTTGAACCAGATAAAATTTCATATCTATAAAGCAAAAAAAAAAAAAACAAAAGTTTACTAAAAATCTTTTTCAAACCGGGAAAAATTAAAAAAATATGCGGATCTTGTAGTGTAGATCTGCTAAATAAAAAAATAAAAAAATTTATTAGGCGCTGACCTGTTCTGCGCCATTTCGGTTTAGGCTGGTTTGGAAAAAAAGGCGTTTTGTTAACTTTTTTTCTCTTAATCAAATATGTTGTAAAACACGACTTTTTAGGATTAATATTTAATTTTGGAATATTGGTGCCGCTTCACAAATGTTCACGCAAAGGATGATGGTATGAATAAAAAGCCGTATGCAGGAAATTTATCGACAAGTCTTCCAAATTGAACTTCTTACCGATTTTAATTGTGCAATTACTTTTTGGCTAAAAAAATATTCAAGTTTTTTGGTTCGTGAGTCAAAATCGAGTCCAGGCAAAATATTTGTAAACTTAAAACTTTCAGACATCCTACTAAATTATTCCTTTCTCGAAATTTATTCATCTTTATAAATAAAAAGAAACCTCCTTCTGATGGGCCGAAGTGTCGAGAAGCGATAAGAAAAGGTTAATCAGAGGCGTGCTGAACAACTGGCGCGTAGTCGGGTCGCCGACGATTCTGCTCAAAATCTGATTCATCTGCAACTTTTATATGTTTTGAACCATGAGGCAAGGTTCCCACCCGACATTCCACCAAACTGAGGAACGAGCCGGCCGAAGTCTCAGCCAGCCAGGCACATTCCTTCGCCTCGTCTCCGAACCGCCAAATGTGCTGGATCGTCTTCTTCATTTCCGTAGTGCAAGCCGTCTGGAAATACCGACTTATCGAAAGTGTATTAGTAACTGAGAACACCGTTCAACTGCACAGGAAAAAAAGTTTTTTTTTTGAAATCCAATTTTTTCAACGAGAATCATAGTCTTGATTTTTGATTTATTTTCTCTAATTTACATGATTTCATTCAATCAAAAATATATCTACTAAAAAGCAAGAATGCTCAGATTTGGGGGCAAAAATTTTTCTACAATAACTTCGAGTAACATGAAAATCGTTCGTTTTCTTCCTTTTTTTTTATACTTTTAGCCTTTTTTTTCAAATAGAAAGCAGAAGAAGGCATTTTTCTTTCGTTTTTATCGTCATTATTTTTATTCTTTTCACAGTATCTCTTAATTCCAAAATGAAGAAGAAAACAAATGGACTCACTTGATTTTTGGGATCATTGCACATCAGAACAGCCAGAGCAAAACCGAATTCGCTTGTCAGAACCAGATTTTTCTCATTCTTGAAATTGAAAAAGAAGTTTCCAGACTCTTCAGTCGCAGGAACCTTCATCAAGTAGACGAACGCCTTGGCGGCGGCACCGGAGCGATCGATGCTGGCGAACGCTGAACGGACGGCGCGAACGACGTCCGGCGACATCTCTCCAGTCGCCTTCTGATCGTCGTCGCGCGTCCACGCCGCCAGGAGAGCTCTCCATGTACGGGATATCCTGAGATTGCCGATGACCGAATAAAATATCTCCGCGAACTCTTTCTCTTCGATGAAGGGGGCGATATTTGCCGCCTTCCAGGATAGATCAGGTTTTCTCGCCTCGTCGAGCAACAAGTCGCCGACCAACTCGTCCAGGTACTTGGCTATCACGGCTTTCGAGTCGTCGAACCCTCTGCCAATCGAAAATTGTTAAAGAGATGGTAAAAATTTAGCGGTAGGGGACTTTGAATATAACCTTATTTGAAATCTCGAATCATGGTCTTATTTCTGACGTGGTACAAAACAAAAAGCAATTCTTTCGTGAAACTAAAACCTTTCAAAAAACTTTGAAACCTGATAAATCTCAAGAATCTGTTTCAAACCTCAAAAACATATTCTCTCATTTAAAAAAAAAATTTAAAAAATCGAAATCTTTTTTCCTATTTGAAATATTACGAAATTAAGTTACAAGCCATAATTTGGGTCAATTACCCACTTGATTAATGAAATAACGAGCAAAAAGTTGTGTTCGCAGGAAGAATGAAGGAGCCACTGGAAGAGGACTTTCCGACGAGCCTCCGAGCCGCTGGAAACTTCTCCGGTCAGCGTCACCTCCAAATTCTCTTCTAGCTTTTTTTTTTCTCAAATGGAAAACCAACTTCTCTAAATTCGCTCAACTTCAGAAGCAACGACATCACACAGTCTTTCCATCTGAAACTTGTTTCTTCTATCAAACTCTAACTTTTGTCATCCAAACGGTTTGTTTTTCATAGATTAAAAATTTGAAAAAAATATGATTTTTTTCTACTGATCTGACCTAGTTGATATTTTGTCGAGAGCTCCCCGAGGTCTGTCTGGGTCCTGCGAATCCGGACAATCGCTGATTTTCTTGGAGCATTCGCCGAGCAAGTCCAGAACGGCACAAAGTTCGAGGTCCTTGAGCTTTAAAAAGTAACAAATTCAACAAAACCTCTATATTCGTATTAAAATCGTATTGAACCTTAGGGAATATCAAATTGATTCAAAATTTGATTTTTTTTTAAATTGAGATTTCAAAAACAAATTATCATTATTATTATTATCATTGTAGAAGTCATATCCTTCACTCGCCTTCTTAATGTGCCCATTTAGGTTCAACGTTGAAAACTGAAAAAACAAAGATTTCTAGCGGAAACACCAAGTTCGCCTTTGGAAGTCCAGTAAGATGTTTCGAAATTCTCCGAAAATTGACTAAAAAGAAGGTTTAGGGGCAATCGGCAACTTTCAACTATCTTTATTTTTTTGAAGAAGTTATAATCATGAAAAGATAAAGGAAACTGAGGAATAAAGAGAAAGAAACAATAAAAATTATTTTGAGCATGGAGGACTCATTAAATAAGAAATAGATCAGGTGGAAGGAAATATCAAGGAAATAGAATAAAAGGGTCTGATTCTGCAGATTGTCATTCAAAGTCTATTCATAATGGCCACCACAACTTCTTGGCTTCCTCTTACATCACAAAAGATTACTTTCTTCTATATTTATAGCTTCTAATTTGTCAATTTTCCTGCACCTGCTCGTGGAGCAAGTTGTAGACGACGTAAAACGAATGTATGCCGATGGGTTCATCGGAGAAGACGTCGAAAATGACGCGAAGCATGTTATAACGATGAATCCGACGCATTTCCTCGTCTTCGATGCAGCTCATCATGAAAAACCTGGAAAGACACATTTCTCCTTAATCGAACTGTGACAAAAACCAAGAATCTGCAAATGCAGCCAACTTTTTCCCCTCATCTAAAGCCGTCGTTTCGTGAAAAGAATGTCTCATCTTTTTCTGAAAACCTTTTATTTTTTCCGTATTGCAGAGAAAACGACCAACCATTCGTTCTTCATTGTCCAATAATCTGAAATTTTCCCGAATGGCGCTTAAATTTTCCTGCGGCAACACGCCATTGTTCTGTTCTTTTGCCTAAATTTGAAAAAAAAATCGTTCCCTTCTCGTTAATTTTTGCGAGTCTTATTAAATTTTTCCTAACTAATTTTTTTTAATGGAGACGATAATTTTTCTGAAAGAGCTTTCTGAGCTGTTTGAAGCCGTAGGAACACATATTCCTAGAAAACTGTTTTGTTATTCCTTCACAAACTATAACTTAACTTTTAATTAAGCTTTTTCCTTCCAAACTTCAAAAATCTTTTCAATATTTCAGATTTTTTTTTTCTCACTTTCTAGAATATTCAAACGTACCGACACTGAAATGATGATAAACTTGTCTATAAGTGTGCTCAAAGAAGCTTTTTTCGGGGCCGACCCCGGTTGAGAGCATTGTGTCATAAGCATTTTGAGAGAAGGTCTGAAGACTCCGAAGCTCCAAGCGGATAGGAATTATTATGAGGTTCCCAAGTTAGTATGGGTTAGTAGCCGGAAAACCCCACAAAATATGAAAGCAACCAAGGCGATGCACACGAAACTTCACAGCAAAAATTAATTTTCAAATCTTGAGTGATAGCCAAAAAACCCAATTTATTGTCAAAATGAAAAACTCCAACTTAATTGAGGTTCAAAAAAAAACAATAATAAATTATTACTTATTATGGGAACAATAATATTACAATCAAGGCGCCGAGCGCTACAGAAATGTATAGAACATATGAAAAACTCACTGACAACGTAACATTTTTCAGATCAATTCAGAAAATAATTGCAAAGTGTAACTAAAAGGATGCAATCGGTGGATGACTTAATAAATTAAAGGAGATAAAGATATCAAAATGAAAAAAAAAATATCAAATTCAATAGAGAAAATGAACATAATGTACATATTTGATTAATTGAAAGTCTTTTTTATTTAAATTTAGTAGAGTGAGATGTACAAGACGGAAGATGTTAGGTGACGAAGAATTCTCCGAGAAGATCCATGTCCAAGTCGTCCTGAACGGCCATCGCCTGGTGTAAAGCTGGAGCTCCGACGAGATCGGCTGGTACGGCGTGAGCGGCGACCTGAAACCAGAGCTCGTTTCTGGACGGGGAAACCGAGAAAATTCAGTTATTTTGAATTCTTCCGTATGAAATTGATAATGAGAGCCATGAAATTTCAACGCTGGAAACAAGAAGAATATTTATTGTTGTCCATTTTTCGGGGAAGCTCGGCTGTAATGTGTCAGTTTTGATGGATTTAACTCTTTTTCTATCTTTTCTCGCAGAATTGAAATGAGATGAACCACCAGCTTTCTTCTCCAAATTTTGAGATAATCGAAAAGTGTATCTTGACGCTTCCCAGCTGTTTCCGTACTGCAACCGACCTGCTGAACGAGTTGTTGCTGGATCTGACCGGCGAGCCGCGTCTCGAGGGGTCCCGGACCAGGGACCTTCGACAGAGTGATCGGCGGCGCCATCGAAAGCCGTTGATGTTGCAAAGAGGCCAAATCAACGATCGCCTGGCCTGTGTGGTTGAGTTGCGACTGAAAACCCAAGCCATTTTCTTTCTTTTGGAAGCTGTTCAGATTTTAAAAAAATTTTTCAGTACTTTTTGTTTGAGACTTTGCCCACGTATATAACTCTTATAAGAAATGTCACGTGGCTCGAAATTTCCTGAACATTCGCCAGAAAGCTCTTTATTGCACCGGATGAAAGTTCTTAAAGTTTAAGCTTACACAATGTTCTAGTTTTCGAGAAAGAACACCTCAAAGTTCAAAAAAACCTTCAAAATCGATTAAAATATGCTACTCAGCCTTCATTTCTTGTGAAATAAGAAGTTGTTCGGATGGAAACTTTCAGAACCTTCTTCTGGTACATCTAGAGATGACCTTGTCAACTTTTGAAAAAGTTTCCAATCTTGTCATTTCTGATAGTTAATTTTCTCCAAACGAAACTATCTTTTACAGTGACAAGGAATCAGTAATTTTCGCATAACATGTTTCATTTCGGTTGCTTTTCTAAAATTTGGAGCAGAGAATTTAGATTGGCATACATCTCTGAATAAAAATTTATGATAACGAACCTGAATATCTTGCGGTTCTTCTTTGGGAGCGTTGGCCTGCTTCTTGAAGTCGTCGACGAAAGAGACGTCGATGCCGAGATTCTCCAAAGACTTCACCTCGTCCATCAAGCTCCATATGTCCACCGGATCCTGACATAACAAAGGTGACAAAACTTTCACAAAACTCAAAATAGAGGCTATTTTTGTGAACAGCTAGGAATATTTTTTTCTCCAAAAAGATTGATCGAATGAGAAACTATAGGTTGCGCTTCCTCAGGTTAAAATCTAGATTTGGAAGAGAAAATTCTCAAATTTGCTCATTTTTGTCATCCTAATGATTGAAAAATGTTAACATTGAGATACACTTTTTAAAAATTATAAAACTACAATTTTGGGTTCCCAAAATTGAATTTTACGCAACAATTATCTTGCCCGATGGCAAAATTTGATGGGAAATAATTTCTCAAGGAGTAGGTTTTTTGATTGATGGAGTGACTTCTCTCCAAAATTTTTCACTCCATGGAATATCCGAACAAACTTGGAAATGAACTCTACCGCTCATTTCTTTTTTTAAACATCTTTCAATTGCTTCCCGTTAACCAAGTACTAAGATCAACTCTAAAAACGTACAGGATCATCTTGTTTGATTTCCTTTTCCTTGTCTTCGAGCTGTTTCATCGTCCTCGAGTGCTCACCATCAGTGAGTGTGTCGAGCAAATCGTCAACAACCTGAGGATTTGTACTTGTACATGTTGAAGGAACGCAGAAAAACCTTCAAAAAGTGGGTGCCAGTATCGAAACTGACCAAGTTCCTCAGAGCGAACGCATCCGAAATGTTTGCCCGGTCGCCATAGGTTCTGAAAAGTGGGAAGTATAGGGAATAGTGGAAGAAAACAGAGAAACCTCATCAGAAGGTCGGAATCTCGTTTGCTGAGAGTGGACCACGTCGAGTCGTACTGTGGAGCGAAAGAGCAGAAAGGTCCGTAGTTCAGGTAAGTGAGGGGCGTCTGCATCGACAATCTGCAACCGTTTTGCTCGTCCGAGAAACTCTTTTTCATCTTCGATGCAAAATTTCCTCTCACAAGCATTCTCAATGAAAAGAAGATTGAAATCAACTTCTTCAATTCAATTTCAATTTGATCAGTTTATTTTCGCAACATCGGGATGGTATGGCGATGCTTGAAAGAAAGAGGCAAATTAATTAAATATAACGAAAAAAAATTGGACTAGATTCTCACTGTCTTTCAAAAAATTGGACTTTCAAACTTCTTTCTCAAAAAAAAAAAGGATAATCTTCCCTCCTTTCTCTATAAAACGATTAATCCGTTTTTCTGTGATCTGTGGAAACCTGTGATCGCTCATCGTAATCATCCCAGGATTTCCCTCCTCGAGAGTCCCAACGATATCGCCCATTTTCAGAATCTTCTGCTCGCCGTCCGGAGCGTCGCCTTCGTCCGAAATGACGTTCAAAACCGTTGCTCCGTCCTGAAGAAAAATTACAGGTTAGGTTAAAGCAATAAGTTAATCAGTCCGATTTTATCCTTTAAAGGACAAAAATATATCGGCCTCTTACAGGTATCTTGAAGATATTCAAAAAAAAATATTTATTTCAAAGAAATAAAAATCGCCAATAAACTTCTCTCATGGCGGCTACTTTCAACGTTCCTTTTTGTTCCAATAGCTTTGAGGACTGATATTTCAAATCCAAAAAACAAAGCGAATAAGGAATATTCATGATTTCTAATTGAAAACAAACCTTGTTGCTCAAGAATCCCATTTTGGCTTTTGGCTTTCTTGGAGTCAGTTTCTCTCGGATCTGAACGTTCATGGCTTGAGGATTGAAAAAGACAAAAAAAAACCTTGGGATCAGCAGAATTCAAGCAAATTTCCGCCGTCATTCCGTCGCTAATCGCAGCTTTTCGTGCATTTTCCGGCTTTGATGGAACCCGCGACAACGGCGCCAAACCAGCCTTTTCCAGAGGAATCTGAAAAAAAGAAACAGTTGAGCAGGCCTAATTCTGGAATTTTGAAGAATTGGCTGAATTACACTGATTTTGGTTCCCAGTGGGAAATTTCGCTTTAAATAATTTTTTCAGATCCATAAGCCGCTTTTTTCGATCGTCTTTGTAATTATGTCCCAACTTGAAAAGAATATCTACTTTTTGTGCCGCTTTGCTATTATTTCATATTTTTTTAATCACAATAACCAACCCTATTAGCAAAAGGCAACGTGTGGAAAATGAATCGTAGATATTGCTCAGAATAATAATATTTGACAATTGAAACGAGTCTTGATGCCGCCAAATGGTAAACCTGAAAAAAAGTAATTATTTTGTCCATCGAAGAATACTTTACCGTATTTGGAGGATTATAACTCATCGCATTATTCACAATCAACTCGCAGTCTGTTTTCATCTCCGGGATCGTTGAGTATTTGTCGTCTTCGATCTTTTGCCTATACATTTATCTTCAAGAAAACAATTTAAACTTCTCGAGAAAAAAACGCTCGAGTTCTAGAAAAATTCGATACGGAATGAGTAATATCAAAATCCTTAAGAGCGTTGCAAAATCCCGTTTAACCCCTTATTTCAAAGATTATTGTTCAAAAAGCTTGACAGCGTTTACAAAGAAAAAACGAAGAGAGAGAAAAATTATTTATAAACCCAATGTTTTAATGGTAACTTTTGTTTCGAAACCGTGTAAATTTTCACAAAGAAATGAGCAATAATTAATAGATCTCGTAGAAAAAACCCTGCGCCTACAATAGCACCAACATGACACTGTGAACAGCCGCTACTTCTCGAAATAACCAGAAATGGGTGATTTTCGCAGTCAGTACTTTAGCTGAGATTCTAATCATAGAGTAAAAATATTTTTTCAATTGGAAAACGAACCGCATAGTGGAAAAATCCATCGGCGAGGCAATGACCGTATGGTAATCTGGGGCCATCGATGGTGTCACGGGAAACGCGAAATATTCTTCCGGGTCCTTAAGAAAACAACACTTTTCAAGCAAAAACCACAAGAAACCTTTGACATTAGTTTACGGAGCAAATGATCGCACATTAGCTGAATCGGCGAATATTTCGTCAGTGATGGGACTTTCATCACGGGTTCCGGCGTCTTTTCCTTCTCTGGTGTCGCTGATTTCTGGAAATTTATTCCTAGCCGGAACTTCATGAAGCGATAAGCAAGTGTCAATCAGCAGAAAAAAGTGTCAATCAGCAGTAAAATATAAACCTCTTTTTCTTTCTCCTCAGCCTTTTCAGCTTCTCTGGCGGCTTTTCTGGCTAAAATCTTTTTCTTCTTCAGATGATAATCGGTCAACGGAGCTCTTCTTTTCTGAAAAAATGCATTAATTTTTGTTATTTCAAAAGATGAGAAACCTTTCTTGGAGCTTTTTTGGAATTCGAAGGCGTCGCTGGTTCATCTTCTCCGTCTTCTGCCGATTCTTCCAAATCGCCAGTATCACTGTCTATGGGCTAGAAACGAAAAAATACCCAAAAAAGTGTAAAATTGAACCTTTTCGCTGCCGCTTTCCTGATCATCGTCCGACTCAATTTCGCGCTTCGGGCGTTTTGCCGATCGTGGAGGTCGACTGCTTGTTACTGGAGCTTCTAGAAAGTATCTTTATAACAGAGAGCAATTTTTTTTTGTTAAGTCCTAAATTGAACTTTTCATAGACTCAATGAAAATAAATGAAATTCCCACTTATTGGCCTCTTTGCTGACGGCGGCGCACCGACCATTGAGCGACGTTCAACACGTTCTTCTTCTGGCATCGCTCCCCTAAAGTGCAAAAATGTTAACACAGAAACTTTATAACAAAAAAACACTAAATATATTTATTTAAATATAAGAGAAATTTAAAAATCGAGGCGTGCTTTGCGACGGATTCCAGTGGCGCGTACTTGCTCAAAAATTCGGCGGCATTGCACGATCTTCCGCAAGAATTGAGAATTGTAAAAAGAAAGCAAACTGGAATAATATAATGTGTATTTTAGGAAAGAGTTTGAATAAATGAATAAATGCTGAATGTTAAATTTTAAACTACTTTTTTTTCGTGAAAGGAAGTAATTTTTTCTGCCGTTTCTTTTTCTTATCAGTTTCCCGATCGTAAAAAACTCGTAATAGTAGAGTGAAAAGAAAGTGAAAGAACGAGAATTCACGATCGTTGTTGGAAGCCAAAATCAGAAAACACCGTCCCAACCATGCACAAAGCGTGACCGGCAAAGAAATCATATTGTAAAATATCACTGCAGAGGCTTGTCTCAAACCACGTGCAAGAAAACGACAAAACTTCGACCACGGCTAGATTTGAACCTGCCTACCTCGGCTCCGTAAGCAGACGCGCCATCCATTGCGCTATGCGAACAGTTGAGACTAAAGCCGGTCGATTCAGGCCAAGTCGAGAACATTTTGCGCCTTATTAGGAAAGCATTCGTCTTTCACAATCACCTCGTATCTAAATGAAAAACGAAAAAAGGCTTATAAAACCGAAAAATCGAGGAAATGAAACCATTTCTGAATAAATATCCCCTTTCGATTAGACAATTTCGAGCTCTTCATGAAAAACTGGGGAAATGTCTAGAAGAAAGAAAAACCTAAAATTGGATACTCCGCCTTTTTTTTTATTTCAAACAAAATTTGGGTTCTCCGCTTCTAGTTTTTTTGTATCATATATACCTATATTCTTGGGTATTCGTTATATTCTTTATGAAATTCAAATACATTATTTTTTTCAACAGATATTTTCGTAAGCCTAATATATTTTTTTACATAAATAACTTGGGAACATTTTCCGATCGCTCAAAAACCAAATGATCTACCTTCATGAAGGTGAAGCTTCATTAATTTCTTACTGTTCGTGTCAAAAATTCTATTAAAAGTTCGTAAAACCTATTTTTTTGGAAATATATATTTTTTTAATCTTTCAAAAAAAGAAAAGAAATGAGAGTATTTTTCCCTATCGGTTCAAAAAGTTGAACCTTCGAAGCCCCTGATTCCTAACCCGAGACAAGACCTTCCCTGACTCCATTCGAGTTGTCCTTGTACCATTTTTTGCAACCTCCGAAACTTTTTCCGTCAACTTGACAACAATGGCAATTATATTTCGAACAAGTTGCAATTTGAATTGGTTTCCAAGCTTCCAATAACAGTAATTTCCTCGGACAAATTACCTTTTCGTGGTGAAAGTAGCGGCAAAACTGAAAATTCAAAAAAAAAAAAGGTTGAATTGTCCTCTTTTCGAACTCTAACGGCTTCGACACAAAACAGCAAATCAAAAAAGGCCGATCAAGAATAAGCCACACCTACTTTACAGCCGTTTTTGCCGAGATTCTCCCTTCAAGGCTGTTCGAAACGGCATTGATCGTAAGATTTGTGAGATAAACGAAGATTCTTTATTGAACAAAAAACAGAAACTCACGGGTTTTCTCAAATTGGCGAATTTCGAAAAAGTTTCCAAACTTTTCTGAATTCAACACGAAAAACGACAAACCTTGAATTTCTTTCCGGCTACTGCAAAAATCTTTTAAAAGATTGTTTGATTCCTCCTGATAAACAGGAAAAAATGATTATTTTCCAAGACAATTCGGGAGAAAGTTTGAACGTTTGCTTTTTTTGAAACCCCTCCGGAAAAATTTTTTTTCAAATATATTTTCAACTAATTTCAATATTTTTTTCGTTTAATTTTTTTGTTTTTTTAGCAAGGCGATGAATTTTTTTGAAAAAAATAATTTTTTTGTAAAAAAATTGGCTCATTTCTTGACTATTGTGTAGTCAGAGATCCAGTTTTGAAAAAAGAAATTTTGAACTGTTAAAGTCGTAAATTACTATTTGTCAATTAATCTGACTTTGAAAACTTTAAATTTTAAACTAAAAATGTAACCCGCAGTTTCATGTCAAAACGTATAACCTCGAGGATTTTTTTAATGAAGAATGAATGAACCCAAGAAAGCAATGAAGGTAATTCATTAAGAAATTGAGACTTATCGCACAGGTTCAAGTACTTATTCGAGTTACGATTTCCCTACTTCTAAAACGGATCTGTTTGGAAAAACAAAGACTTATCGGATCAATTACGAACTGTCGATTGTCTCGACTCAACTGCGAATCTTTGAAAATCGCCACGTTTGGGCATAGTGATGGACCGCCTCCACGGACCGAACTTTCACTGTCTCACTACTTTTCGTCTGCCACCGAGGTTTGGAAGAACGACTGAGAGGCCGAATCTCTTCATTTTTTCGTCCCCGATGGGCCAGTTTCCACTTCCTTTTTTTGGCCTCGTCGTCACCTTGACGTGCCATTTCGACGACTATCGTTATCTCTTCAATCAACCACGGAGAAATAGCTTCGAGGAAAAATAGTTTAGATTGAACGGTTACAGTAGCGATTCGCTTTCAATCGTGTTAATTTATTGGATAAACAACGTCGGTTTTCTCTTGAATGATTGGATGAAAACTTTATTGGAGGCTCACAGGGACTATTTCAAAGATTGGTTTCTCTTACTCAAGGAACCGTTTCTAGCCCTTTTTCAGAATACAAGTCCAATAACTCTTTTTGTGAAAAACTATTCTCACAGCCTCTTGATCAAAGAAAACTTTCAACTATAAATGTCTCATATTTCCGAATACCTGTCAACTCGTTAAGGTTGACTCATTCCCGTGTACTGTTATTCCTCTGCTCATCCTCTTCTTGATCACTTTTTTCAAAGCATTTTCCACTGATAAATAATAGCCGTGAATAAACTATTATTATTACTAACAAAAATTATTTCTTCTGGTCAAATTATATGTCTTTCTTGCATTCTCTTAACATTTTCGCGACTTTTGGTCTGATAACTTCAATTGATTTTTTTGAATAATTTCAAAGAATTTTTTTCCACTAAAAAAATGTAAAATTCAGAATTCTCTACTGAAAATTTTTTTAATAATACCGTGTTACTCATACTTAGCGTGTTTTTCAATCATAGTCTTAACAATTAAAGAAGTTTTTGCCTTCCAAGCCGCAGCATGAACTTGTTTTCCAAATAAGAAAGATCGAATTAATGTCCAAATTCAATGAAATACGCTGAAGTTCAACTGCAAGCTCGACAATTCGAACATTCCAATGACCTTAAAGCTAGTACAAGGATAATTTCAAAGATTTATAGAAGACCTGACTTTCCAGAGGAGAAGACAAACTTTTTGAATCCGAGTATGGCCCAAAAAAAGATCGAAGTATTCAAGATTCAACAAAAAAAAAACTTGTTTTCTCCAGTTCCTTCTGAGCCTTTGACGTCTTAATATTTAAAAAAAACTTTAAAATTAAAAAGGAAAAAAATTAGCTGTTCCTTGATTTTTCGGCTCAAAATCATTTTTTTTGTCGATGGTGTCAAACTTTTTTTTATTGGAGGTCACGTTTTATCGATCGTTTTTACAATAAGCTCTTCTTTTTTCGCTCAATTAGAAAACCCGGAAGAAAGGGACATCCAAGATGCTTTAATCTGTTAATCACCGCTGTTTTTGGCCTGATCTGATGCCCCAAGGGCACGCAACAACTCGTTTCGCGGCATCTTTTTTACCGATGATCACGACCCGATCGCTTCAGACAACCCTAAACACGACTCAAACCACAAGAACAACTCGAAAGTTGCGTTTCTCTATCTTTCCTGGCCTTGTACTCTCCAAAACTTCCTTTTCGCACCTTTTTTCGCCCCGACATCGCTGATTGGGCCACACTTTCAGGACTAATAAATTTGATTTCACCTCAATTTATCTTTTTCTTCATTTTTTTGCTTAAAAACCTTTTTACAGTAATACCATAAATGATAATACGGGCAATCCTTTGTATATATTCGGCGGCATTAATTGTGAACATATCAGGACTCGACACGAAAAATGAAACTAAAAGAGATGGGTTGGTGAGAAACACTGGAATTCCATTTTCCGGATTATTTCAGACCATTCAAAGTTTTTCGGATCCTTCCAGCCAATAACGAACAGCTCCTCCACATGATTCGTCTTTTCGAAACGGCAGACAGTGAGGTTAAAATCTTTCCCTTCATCTCAATTGTGAGACGAAAACTTCGCCACTGAATTCTTTCTACAGAGAGCAGACTTCTGGCACGCCCCTAGCGTCGTCAATCAGACGATCGACGTGATGGTCGGTCCAGAGCACACGGACCAGTTTTCCTTGTTCCTGGAGAAACACCAGTACCCCTTCCAAGTCGCCATCCACGACCTCAGACAGTTCAGTCCTGCTCCTCCCTCCTGAAGTTCATGCCTCGACTTCAGAGCCTTGATCGACCGAGAAGGAGACTTGGAGACACACGCCATCGACGACAGCTCCTTTCTGAGAAGACTGAATGACGACGACATCGGCTTCCACTCTCGACTCAAGTTTGAAGCAACTTCTTTTCAATTTCAACGTCTTCAGAATGGGCGAGTACTATTCCTACAACGTTCTGTCGACGTGGATGCATCGGATAGCCGAGAATCTTCCCGGAATAGCGACGATCGTCGAGATCGGCACGACTGTGGAAGGCAGGACAATCACCGGTCTCAAGGTTGACTGGAAAGAGTTCCGTGAACCGATGAGTTTCAGTTCGGAAACGACACTCCAGACAAGAAAGTAGTGGTGATCGACGCTGGAATCCATGCCAGAGAATGGGCCGCCATCCACACGGCCACCTACTTCATCCACTTGGTGAGGCTGGTTCTCGGAAGTCATAGAGGAAGAAGTTAAGATGATCAACTCACGAGAGACGGACGACAGAATTGGCTCTTACCTGGACAACCTGGTCATCTACATCTTTCCGGTGCTGAACCCCGACGGCTACGAGTACACCAGAACAGATAAGACCAATCCAAGGGTGAATCGCCACAAAAAAACATAACTAACTGGAGAAATTGAGGCGCGAATGTGGAGAAAATCGCGGTCTGCGGCGAAATGTGCGTTCGACGGGCTGAGCGACGCTTGCTGTATGGGCGTCGATCTAAATCGCAACTTTGAGTTCCGTTTCGGAGGTTTCTCAGCTACCCTGAGCAATAAGCAGATAGTATGATTTCAGAGATCGGCGCTTCGCGGTATCCTTGTTCGGAGATCTACCACGGTCCAACAGCTGTCAGTGAGCCAGAAACCAAGTGAGTTCTGTACTATTTGAATCTTTCAAACCTTTCAAAAAGGCATAAAGAGAAATTGAACAGTTTTTTGTTCAAGATATTTCCATTCCTATTTATTTTCCATCAAAAATATGTTTTATTTCTGCTGAATCTGTGATATTCTTTCGATTATGTGAAAGAATGAGTTCTGATTCTTTCTATATTAACCTTAAGCAAAACAAAGTTCAGAGCGTACTCCCAGTTCCTGAGATCTCTGAAAGGCCGCATGGAAGCCTACATAACCCTCCATTCCTACTCGCAGCTCTGGATCTACTCCTACTCACACAGAAAATTCACCTACGCCCCCGATATCGATGAGACGGTTTTTCGAGTTTATTTTGAAACGGTAATTGAATGTTCCAGAGAAGAGTGGCGGCAAAGGCCGTGGCCGAGTTGGGACGCCTGTACGGGACGAAATATCGTCATGGCACGGGACCGGAAATCATCTGTGAGTCAAAAAAAAATCGATAATTTATTACACAACCCGGGGAATGAGCAGTGGAATCGGAGAACAGGATTTACAGATATAGCACATGGAAAAGCAGAAAGACGAGGGAAATCGGCAAATAAGTTATAGGTTCACTTAAAAACTTCAAATATGCGGGGCATAAAAAACCGGTAGTGAATAAAAGCCAGTAGATATTTCGAAGCGCTTATAAATATGACGATTGACACGTTTTTCAGGCGGTTAGCTTATTCAAAAACCTTGCTGAATTGTTGGAGAGTTCGAGATTGATATAATGAAAAATTTTCATGCGAATTGCAGTGCTGTTTCAAGACATGCGCCTTTGACATCACAGCAAGGATTTTTGAAAAGACCAATAAATATTATGACGAATTGCAATAAAAAGAAAGTGAAGAAAGGCAGGAAAGGCTTAAGATCTAAAAACAAAAATACTATTCGACACGGTCGACAAGGGTCTCGGCACGACATCTAACGTACTCGTCCCTTCGGATGATGTGCGTCGCGGCGATCAGAATCCGGAAGTTGTTCTGAACGGCGAGAAGCCGGAGCGCAGCCACTTCCGCATAAGTCACGCCTCCCAGGAAGAACACCATTATGGCCTGCAAAGAGCAGAGAAGAGTTGTGAGATGAGCAATGATGAGCAACCTTCTTCATGCGGTTGTCAGGCTTGGTGCAAGGCGGCACGTAGCTGTTCTGCTCGACAAGGACGTGCTCGCAGCCTCGCTCGTACTGTTCCGTGTTCCATCCATGCGTCATCGTGTTGGAGACGACTTGGCAGAACAGCGGCGTGTAGGTGCCGCCGAAGACGTAGCTCATCGAGCTCGGATTCCGGAGGTCGACCTCCCTATCGTTTGGTTCTGGAACCATCAACCTTACTCAAAAAAAGAAGCAACCAAAATAAGAAGCATGGGATTATATTTTCTAGAAACGTTTGTTTCAATAATTACTTTGAAAGAGTTTCAATTTGAATTAATTTGTTTATTTTCTATAAGAAGATAATTTCACAAAAACAATAGTGAGCCAATTTTTAATTTTTTTATAGATTTTATAGTGGATGATTATATTTATATTTCTGGCGTAAAAGTCAACTTTCCCTCTAAAAAAAGAGACCAAAAGGCAGCTTTAAAGTTGGTTTTTTTGATAAGTTATAAAAAAATAACTAGTCTAATCTACAGGGAGCAATGAATCTGCGTATTAGAAAAAAAATTTTTGAGAACGTCGTTCATTGAATAATTAAGAAATTAAAAATTAAAAAATGGAGAATTTTGAAAATTTTATACCGGGAGAGTGCTAAATTTAGAGAGATTGCAAACCTCGGAACAGCCGGAGTCGCTTGGAAATGTTGCGGAACAAAACAGAGCACTTGGCGATTTCCCTGCGCTGCTTGGCGACGTTCTTGGAGTAAAGGAGGCCTTGCTCTCGCAAATTGTACACGGCCATGATGTACTCGAAGCCGTAGACCTTGTAGAAATGGCCGAGCAGAGACTCGTACTGAGCGTCGGGGATGCCGTTGAGCAGCACCGTCGCCAGGCACAACAAGGAGAGGACCGTGAACGGCGGGTCCTCCTGCAGCATTCGCTCGTTGACGAACGCGACAAAATCGCCGAGGTTGACGTCGCCGACGGAGAGCTGTTGTTCGAACAGATTCCGCGAGGGACAGCCGGACTCTTTCGTTTTCCGGAGTATGACTTCGCAAGCCGATATGTGCAGCTCGAGCTGCCGATGCTGCGCTCGCAGGTTCCGCAGCTGACTCTCCACGAAAACCCGCATGTCGGAGACCTTAACAACTCCAGTTTGCGGCATTCATGTTTTTCGGGACTAAGCTCGTTTTGATGGAATGTCAAATTAAAATGTTCATTGAAAACAAAAAAAGAAATATCCTTGATTATATTTTCTTTTTCTTATTAATTAAAGCGTCCACTTCAATACAATACCTTAAAAGTTTTAAATTTTCAAGAACTTAAGCTGAAGTTCTGAATAGCCAACTCGATCGAATTTTGATGATTCTTTGATTTTGAGACGTTCTTTCTTAAAAAAATAAAAATAGAAACATTGCAAATTGAAAATATGAGGGCCTGATACAAGATAAATTAGAGGATCTCCTATTTTTGGTCAAAAAAATACATTTCCACCTGACATTTTCCTCTCGAACTTTCTAAGTTGCCGCGAAATACCAACCTGTTCCGTGGCGGTCGCCTTAGACACGTCGGACTGCATCTCCTTCGTCTTGGAGCTCAAGAAAGACGAAACTCCGGTGATGAACTTGTTCCGAATTGACGCGTATACGCCGTCGTTGTTGTTGAGCTTGTAGACGTGAGCCTTCGGCTTGGCTTCCTCCTCCGGCTGCTGTTTCTCTCGGAAAACCTCGGCAAAGTCGACCTTGCCGCAGTCGATGTTGAAGACGTTGTGAACCAACGCTTCGTAGGTGCCGGCTGTGAGGAGCGTCGTCACCGGATCGATGGAACGATCGAAAACGAAAAGATGGCTGATGGGTTGGTCGGGCCGTGCGCGCGGCTCGTTGTTCTCGCAAAGCTTGTGAACGATGCTCCACATCTTCTTCGTGGCTTTTCCCAGACCGTAGACGGTCGGAATGACGCCGTAAAGGCCTTGTAAGGCCACAAAAGAGTTGGCGACCGAGAAAATGTCTCCGTGTGGCGATTCTGGATGTTCCAGGGAGAAAAGGTCCGTTTCGATTGGCAGCAAGCACATGGCCAGGTCGAACGACTGCACTTTCCCATAGATTCCGCTCGACTCGAACTCAAAGTCGCAGTGTGACAGCTTGGCGTTGCACCAGATGGCCGCGTAGCTTTTCCCTGGAATCGCACGGACGTGTTCGCAGATGAGTCGCGCATTTTGGCGACTGGGACGGACGAGGTAGACGCGATGGACGACGCCGTCAATCCAGGCAGGCACCGAGGCGTCCGGATTGAGGGTGAAGACGCGCTGCACGCCGTGCTTCTTCAGCTCCGTGTTCGAGGTGAAGCCGTCGAGGGGACGCAGCAAGGAGCGATCCACGACGAGCTCCTTCGGCCCCGGGAGCTCTTCCAAATGGTGGATCAGCTCTCTTTCCGTCACCATCCGCAGCAGCTCCAGCGGCTGATCTTCCGAGCTCGCCGCTGTCATCTCGCCTGCAATACAGCCCTCTTTCTCCATTTCTCTACTTAATGTACAACTCCCAAGGAGCTGAATTGAATCGGCAACATAAAAAATTTTCCGAAATTTTACCAATAAATTCCACAAATTATTAAAATTGAAAAAAAATTCAATTGCGTTCTATGAGTATTAACATCTCCATATAGAAGATCATGAAATTAATTTATACGGAATCAAATGCATTAAAAAAAGATTATAAGTGACGGCTTGAATATAAGCGACTTTTTTTGCAGATGCCTTTTCTGGTGGCTCTACAGACTGGGCAAAAAGAAACTCTAAAAGTCAAATATTCCTACACTATTGAGTTGCGACCAACCTACGAAGGTATTATAGGTTCATTTTTCGCATCATATTCCTTTTTTCAAATTTATAGTAGTAGAATCATTCTTTTTCAATTTGTTTTTCCCTAACGTAGGAATATTTTACAGAATGGAATGGATTTATTCTCGACCGTAAAGAGCTTGTTCCAACTGCCAAAGAGACATGGGCTGGAGTTTCGGTAGTTCTCGACGAAGTTCTGTCTCAATACTTGGCAGGGATCGGTCTTTATTATTTTCATATTCGCAAAAAGCTTTTCATTTCAGAACAAGAGTCGGAACTGATGAGATTGCGGCAGCAAAAATGCTTCGATAAACTAAGCGGATGCGGATTTTGGGTTCGTAACACGCCAGACATTTGCAGGTGAATAGTTAAAACTGACCAAGTTCTTGAAGTGATAAATAAGCCAAGACAAACCTCAACTTCAGGAAATCGCCGGGGTCGATGGTGCGAGACTGCGCACGAACCTGCAACCTCTGTCACTTGATAGCCGTCCGTACCAACTGAAAACTTTTCTTTTATTAATGTCAAACCAAATTTCCTAGTCTATGCATTCATTCCGCGCTATTCTCAGTGCTACTTTCCACGATACTCTGCTTTTTATTTGATGCTTATTTTTTTTTTTCAATACCGGTGGACTTTCGCGTCGGGATACCACAAAACAACCGCTTCATTACTTCATCTTTCTTATAAAATAAAAGTATTCTACTTTGAAATTGCAAACCAAAATGAAAACGTCTTAGCGGAAGGTTCACGGGAAAATTATCGATGAAAAAAGGGATTGATGACGAGTTAAAAGTGATTTAGCATCAAAGTTATAACTGAAAGGGCCCTAGAAGTAAATTATCCTCATGAGATTATTCGATAAATTCCTTAAAATCTTAAAAAATCACTTTGAACGCGTTTCAAACTCTCAAAAAGACCAAATGAATAAATGAAACTAAAAAATAAGAATTAAATTAAAAACGGCTCGTAAATCGACAAACAACGCCCCTTAAGAGGCTTTTAAAACACGCCAATTGTCACTCGAGCGAAACTGCTGAAACCACGAGGCTAACCGCGTCGCGTGTCCCCGTTCTCGTTCGAAACACTCTCTTTCTTTTCTCTCCTTTCCTTTTTTATTAGTTTTTTTTGTTGATGTTATTTCTTCACTCATTTTCATCAAACTATAATAAAACATCTTTTATCCATTAGTAGCGATTCTTGACCGGCTTTTAAGCGGTCTTTTCGCATTATTATAGCTCCATATAAAGTCACTGTAATATACAATTTTTGACCTATGTTAAAGTATCGAATTATTTTTTTCCTTTTTTTATCGACGAAAAACCTTTCCATTTTTTTCTCAAATTAGGTTCTCATGACTTAATTTGTAGATTTCGTTTTTCAAAGAAATGTAAAGGAGTTTTTTTAAAAAAACATAGGTTTCATGAATTCCATATGAAAAAAATAAACGGTTCTTTGAATATATGTGAGAAAAAAAGGTTGCTTTTTATTTCAAAGGTGAGGTTCCATAGTTCATGAGTTTTCCGTTTCCAACCTCTGCGATAAGCAATCGCGCCAGAGAGAGATATCGATCGACTGTTGGTCTGGCGCCCGGCCGGTTCTTCGCCTCGCTCTCGCGGTTGCTTTCATTTCCTCAACAATCGCGCAACTCGAATACCCTGTATGTTCACAGCCGCTTCTCACAGAGTTTCGTGATTTCGATAGCGTCAGATCTTTTAAGTCTTGAACGCAAGGTTCACACCTGAAATCTTACCTTGAAAATACTGACAAGTTGATCAGTTTTTGCTTTTTTTTGCATGGTTTTGTCAGAAATAATTCTGATTTTGGTATAATCTTAAATTTTCATAGTTTTTTTGCATAATGGTTATCATGCAACGAAACAATCACCGAATCACATATATATATATATATATATATATATATATATATATTGAATTTGAAAAGCAAACGGCGGCTGAATTTTACTTTTTATCTTTTTTTACTAATAGTTCGAGTCCTCAAACACAAGCTTCTCGTCAAACTTGAGTACGTAATAAAAAAAGAAATTTTGGGAAATATTTTTTTCGGCATGTAAGCTTATATACTATATACATTTTACTCTCAAAAACTAATTTTTTTATAAAAAAATAAATTTTTTTGATTTGCTCAAGGATGTCGAAATAAAATTTCCCTATCAAAATACGAACCGTGGAAAATCAATTGCGTTCTATACTATAGTTTTTCTGCGAGTGGTATCAATATATCGGGATTAGGTCAACGATAGATTCTATATTTTTTCGTTTCTGACTTTCCTTTCCTTCTGTTCTCTAGCTCACTGACCATCCTGGAACTTGCGTCACAGTTAAAGCTGACCTTGCATAATGAAGACCGTGGAAAATATTCGTGCGCCAGTCTTTTATATTACAAAGAAGTGGTGCCTTCTCGAAATAATCATATAGTAACCAAAAAACATTTAGTTGATAGGCATTTTCCGTTTTAAAATTCTTCATAACATTTTTTGAAAATATTGGTTTGATGTGAGGACAAATAATTTTTGATTTATATATATAGTTAATTTATTTGTCCTGAAAAAAACACGACGAGAGTTTGTTCGAACTCGAGGCTGGTCCCCCAGGAAAAAAAGTTGTGACAAATTTTTTTATGAGGACTTTTAAAGAAATTTTTTTAAAAAAAGTCGATAGAGTTGGGTACTTTGCTGTGAACTTTCAATTTGAGCTCTCCAATGTATTTATTTTTACGTTTTTTTCCGTGAATATAACATACCCATTTTAATGTCTAATGTAATTTTTTGCAGCTCCTTATCGATTTCGAGCCAAATCTGACTTTTCTTACTTTTGTCGAATTTCGTCCATGATTCGAGTGCTGGCCGCTCAGCAAAGCGTTTCATCTATGTTGAACGGCGGCGAAACAGGTTTGCCCTTCTTTTTATGCTTTTATTTTTCAACTGTTGCTATGATTCTCTTTGTCACCCACACGAGTTTAACAAAATTTTATTGTTTCTTCTCTTCCCTTAAATAATTTTCGAAGTAGTCAAAACTAAAAATTATTTGGGGTTTTTCCTAGTTTTGTTTTGTTTGAGCGTTCAATAAAGCGAAAAGTTTTTTTTCTTTTTGTCAGTATTCATCATTTTTTTTTTTTGTAATCGAGTTCTCCTGTTATATTTCCAATATGAATAAGTTTTTTTGGCTTTATAAAATCGTTTGTTTCACTGCGTTTTTCCTTTTTCTTGTTTGTTCATCATCTACTTTTAATGAAAGCAAAATCTCGATATTTGGTATCTCATGGTCATTTTCTAAATAATATTTCAATTGCGGGATTCCACGCTGTACTAATGCGCTATTTTTGTGTTTTATCTCAAAATATGGTGTGTGCAGAATCTATTAATTGTATCTATTTTGATGTTCTCCGAAATTAAGAATGCAACCATATGATAATTTTGTTTTTTTCCTGATTTGCAGTTCAAATTGTGAAAAAATCTGAACGAATCTCGTCTTTCTTTTGATTGAAATTATGTAGAAGCTTTTTAAGGAAAATTTCTCACTCAGTCAGTTCAATAGCTAATGGAGTAGTTCTGGATAATATTGAAAAAGACAGCGTAGTCAAGGACCGTATGCACCAAAGTTCGCGATCCAATTTATTTAGGTGTGATAGGTGAATGTTTGGGGAAAAACATGTTTTTTTGATTTATAACGATTTGTAGCTTTTAGAATCGAATTGTTATTTCAATCAGTTTCAATCAATTTTACTTATTTTCTGTTTCATCCCTAAATATTACCGATGAGACGGTCAGTAAGTGCTTGAAAGAAGCCGCAAGAATATCTTCAAACTTTTATTCGGAAAAGTCGAAAGAATCAGCCTTTTTTGCAATTAGTTCAGCTGATCGCGGCAAAGTCGGCTTGATGGTGTGGAAAAAAGTTTAGAAAGTCGTGAAATTTTGATTGAACGCATGTGGAATTGGCATTGAAATCAGAGAAGTCATATGAAATGGGAAAGAAATCACGATTAAAAATTGAAAGACGCTGTTTAGAAGAAATTTTTTTGAATTGCAAACGTGAAAAAAACAACACGTTAAAACAATCGAAAACGAGTTGATTCGAAGAATGTTTCATTTCAGAAAGGATCGGTTCTTCGAGCACTCCAAAAAAATTTCTGCTTTCACTGATCCTTTATCAGCCTTGAACATGCACGGCGAAGGACCGCTTGTCAGGATGAATCCGTGAGTTTTCAGAAGTCTTGTGATAAGAATACTTTGGAGAATTTTACCAAATACAAGAATAAATATTTTTTATCTGAATTACAGAAAAAAGAGTAGAAAGCCACGTTTTTGAAACGTTATATAAAGAGCTATTTAGGACGTTATTTTGATTTTTGCTGAAGGGTGTTATTTACATAGTTATCTCAATAAACAAGGTGAAAATTTGAAAATCTGTCAAAAGTCAAGAAAAATGGAGCCAATAAAAATCGCGCGTGAATAAATTACCGTGGAAGAATTAGCGTTGAACGAGGAGCCGTGAGAAATTTTTTGTAAGAAGGTTTCATGCGCGCTCCACGGATAACTACTCGATATTTCGAAAAGAATTTCCTAATGCCGTGTTTAATTTGATGACGCGAAATGCAAAATACCCGTTAAAGAAGGAAAAGATCAGTAAATTTTGGAGAGTCCGAGATCATTTTGCATTTCTCGGAATCAAATTGAACACGGCATTAATGATACCCCAGATAAATATTTGAATTGGAATAATTAACACAAAAAAAACACTGTAACCGGTTTTGTTCAAGTATTAGGTCAAGAAAAATTAGCATACGGATGAATTTCCTTGCTTGTTTTCTGCAAAACTATGAAATTCTATTTTTTTTTTTCCTCAAACTTTTCTTCCTATATGTTTTTCTTTTTCTTTTGCTAGACATAGTTTACCCGTCCGCAATAAATACCGGAATCTTTTTCCACGTTTATTTTCTGAATTTTTGAAGTACAAACTTCTTTCTGCGATGGAAGTTTTTGACGGAAAGAGTATACATTTGAAGAAAAAAATATCATTTCAAAAAAATTTCTCCTAAATAAAACTGAACTTAACTTAGGAAATATTCAGTAGTACAAAGTACAGAAATTTATAGAAATTTGTGTTGCAGTTCGGTGGAGGACGGTCCATCTTCTTCTACGGCGACTTCTCAGCCACCCAGCGTCAACACTAGTGACCGCAACTCTTGAAGACTCATTCCAAACAAGTACCTTTTTCAGGTCCTGCCACGGTAACCTACAAAAGCTCGTCGATAATCCGACGCAAGCGAGTGGCCAACGATCCGATGGACCCTGGATCGCAGAGCAAACGGCCCACTTTGCCGCATTTGTTAAATGTAATTGCCTTGTTCTTTTTGTACAATAAACCTTTGAAGCATGTTATATACAGGGTCGGTTCTCTGTTGAAAACATTGCCGTTTCTTGTCCCCTTCCAGTTCATATATTTATTACATATTTCAACGCATTTTTTGAGCGAATTATTCGTGCCAGATTTTCTAAAATTATGAGACGCAGTTCATTTTATAAACATTTTCTCTAGACAAAAAAACAGTTCGGTTAGAAGGCTCCGTTCTCTTTTATATTTCAGAACACACTCTTTTTTAGACTTTTCTGAGAGTTCATTTTTTCGATTTAGTCTTCATAGGTTTTTAATGTACAATGTTAGGAGTCGATTTCTCGTTAGTCGGGAGTTTCATCTCCATTTTTGAGCTTCTAACTTTCAAAGGGACATTTATTCTTCTCTATTCCTGATAACTTACCCTTGAACTACTAATTATTTCGCTCATGGCATTCAATGAGATTTCGAGCACGGAAAGTTATCGAGATGGAAAAAAGTGCTCAACTCAATGAGTTTCCGTATCAAAATATCACTAAATGCTCATGGGTTTTTTTTTTGCAGATTGAAAAAAAACTTGAGTTTCAGACTCCATTGAAACCGATCCTTCGCCGAACTCTCTATGGCTGTGGACCTCCACGAAGGCCGATCCGGTTCGCAGACGACCATGGAATGCCGTTGGTGCACATCCGCGAGATCCCAGCCATCGACCACAGCAACAGTATGTGCTCACCAACTAAATCATTTAGATATCAAAATGTTATAATCGTACATTACAAAGCTAGCAAGTGTAAACTCGAGGAAGTTGAAGCCACAGAGTGGAAGGAAAGGTCATTTTACTTGTGAGTGTCCTAAAAGTCGGATAGATTACTCTTTGGTGTAATAGATGAAGATTATTAAACATCTTGAAATGCAAAACTTGTTTTTTTGTTGATTAAGTCATACGTCGGCTGGATCCCACCCCATGGTGCGGCCTTCTCCCGAAAAGGGCTGCCAGTACATTTTCAAATTTTTTTTTCGCGCTCAAAGGGCTGGGGTGGGATCCACCTGGTGTATGAACCAAGTTTCAGATATTCTCAACGCAAAATAAATTGCGACTCCCTCTTGAGTAGTTTAAGATCAAACATTTCAGATGAAGTATTAAGCATGTTTTTTTTTCGTTTTAAACTGATCTAAATGTGTACTCGTAGATCGATTTCATTCAAATTACGCCTTTTAGCTGTTATCACTCATAATATCGCGAAAGTTCCTTTTTAGTTCTTCACCAAACATTTTTGCGATAATTGACGAACTTCTAGGAATTATTCACGATCCAGTGTGGTTAATCGATCTAATCTTAGAGGTTTTTCTAAGCTCACCCTTTACCTAAAAATTCCAAAGGATAGGATTTGATTTTTTGTGTCTCATACACCTCGATTGTTTCTTCAAACAGCTTTTGGTCTAAACAAAGGACCGAAAAATCTGATCTTCAGGCCTCCAAGCTCGCGAAGAACTTCGCCACCTTTTGAATTGCGAACGTTTTGATCGGTCTACATTTCCCGATGAAATCAGCTCAAGTTCTGATGTAAGACTTTTTTTTGTTTTTCGCCTTCAACGGAACTTTCAGGGAGGTAACTGGCGCATGCCGCTGATTGTAAATGCGCCAAACAAAAAGGTGCCCCAAGGAGAATCCGAGGCGAGACTTATCGAAGAACGACGCGTCCAAGGCACCCTGTCCTCTCTCGCTTTCAATGCGTGGGTGTCCTTTCATTTAAATCCAGAATTAAAAGTGAATTGAACTTTATAGGGAAAGTTGTTCTACGTTTGTATTTCTACAGGTATAGTTTTCATACGAGTAATGTTTACTTTTTGGTCTTTCCCCCAAAAAAATACCTTCTCAGAAGCAATTTCCAGTCAGGAGTCATCATTTGCACTCCAGAAATATGTTTATTGAAAATAAAAATCTAGTATTCGACCATAATTTTTAGACTCAATGGAAGTCCAAAAATCGTTGAAAGAGTGCATTTGGCCAAGTTTTTCAATCAAGAAAAAAATTGAGCTTTAAGTTTCCGAAATTTGGAATACTTTTTCATAAATTCATATTTCAATAAGAAACTAGAACTTCCCTTGTCCTGAAAAAGCGGCTTTCGTTTCAGAGAAGTGTCGCTGGAAGACGACTCGCGACTGATGGACGAAGCCTGCCAAGCGATGTTCGTTCGCCCGAAAACAATTCCTCTGAATTCTGCGTCGGCGATGAAGGCCGCCGCCGCGGCCGCCCAGTCTTCGATTCGCAGCAAATCGGCGATTCTCGACCTCCCACTGCCTGGTCGTCCGCGTCCAGCGCCGTCCACGGCGACCGTCTCTCCGCCACCTTCCCAAGAATTGCCCGCGACTTCTCCTCCTCCTCCTTCAGTCGCCACCTCAACCACCCCCGCTGCGACTCCTCAGCTCCCTGACAATTTGAGGAGCATGCTGGAAAAACTGAAGAGCTCTGTGCGTACTTTGTCGAGTTTACCGGGTGTCTCTCGTGCGATTAATAAACCGTTTGTGAAATTTGCTTCGGAAACGGAAATGAAGCACTTTTTGCGAGATAATGACAAGGTTGAAAGAGATAGCTTTTCTGAAAACTAGAGTGAAAATATTTTCTATTACAAGGTAAGTTTGAATTATTATCATTTATGATGCAGTTTGAAATTTTGCAATGTTCGGAGGGACGCAGTTTTGACTTTTTTTTTCTCTACGTTATGTATTTTCCATGTCTTTTTTTCTGCATATTTTTTAAAATTACGCACAAGATGTACACATCGAACAAGAAGATTGCTATGAGCAAATCGCGGCTGAACCTGAAGAATTAATTTTTTTTTTTGAAGCTTATTTATCAATTTTTTTTTCACATTTACTGTTACGTACTACCAGACTTGATTATTTATTGATACTTCAGAAGATATTTCCTAAATTGTTTTTTTTTTCCTGCAATTTCTTGATATTAACTCAGAGAAACGAGATCAAAGTTACAATTATGTGAAGATTCAGAATATTTTAACTTTTGGACGCTAGTTGTGTTACTCGTTATTAAATGGAAAAAAAAAGATTGCGCAGATTAGTTTATAGACGTTTGAACCAATTTTTTTTGCACACATCTCATTAATCGTGTTAAAACATTTTCGTGAATACCTAAGAGAGAGAGATAAGTAAAATACACCCTTTAAAAGCGTCATAGGCGGCATTTTCTCTTGAAAGTCTAATTTCATGTTTTGGAATTGATTTTCACTCTGTTTAGGCAAAAGTCCCAACTCAGACTCATTCATTTATCCTTATTCAAAAAAATTACCACTTTAGGTCCCACTATTCGAAAAAAATCCGCTAGCATAAAAAAGTTCAACTGATTTCAGTTAAACTTATTAGAAAAACTAGGTCTATAATAGAAAAACCCAGAATATTCTTGTCAGCTACGTCAATATTCGCTTCGAAGATGTTTCTGAAGTTTAAAAGCACGGGGGACTTGATTCTTGAACAGCGGGAATACACATGAGTACGGAGATTCTTTCAGGGCCTCGTCGGAGGCGGCGTTGTCGCAAAAGAACCGCAGCCGCAGGTCGGAGGCTACGTCGCGCATTTCGCAGCGACGGCGCCACAGGAACACGTCTACACGGCGACGATGGATCTTCCTTCTTCTTCTTGGCCTTCTCAGCAGCCGTTGTCGCAGGACCTCCATCACTCGCAGAACTCTATCACGGTTTGTGTTCGTATTGAGTCCGTTTTAGCTGATTTTTCAAAAAAAAAAATACGATTTGGTAGATAATTTTATTATTTTATTGATAGTATTTGATCTGAAGAACCGATTTTTGCTTAGGTCTTCGCTAAAACTTCTCCAGAATATGTAAAATCTAGAACTTCAAAACCCTTTTTTAAGTTGAGACCTCCTTATGTCGATTGTATACGAATAACTATCGGTATTTTGTTTAAATTAGTGACCTTCATGATATATTCACCAAGTTCCTCCTAGGCGTTCAGAGCGGTCTCGAAAATTTCACTTTTTGCTAAAACGCAGTTAGACTCAGGGATGTACAGTCTTCAAATATCAAGTCGAGGCGGAAGTTCCACGTCTTTCAGATTTTGAACAACGTCGATGTGCATTCGATGGCGTCCGCCGAAGACGATTACGGAGTTCCGGGACCTTCTGGAGGATTTGCGTCGCGTCGTGGAAGCCTCGCCGTCTGTCACTACTTCCGCAGGCCTGAGGGATGTCAGCGCATGAACTGCCGTTTCGCCCACGACGAATCAGTCAGTTTCCATTAATTCCCCATATTTTTTATCTCACTACGTTTAAAAATACATAAATTGTTTGATGGGAATAGTAGAAAATCAGCATTCATTATTGATATCACGATAAAAAGCTGCTGCCTTTATCTTTTCATCGTAAAGCTATCTGTAAATATTTTTTCCATTATTTTTTTTGTAACTTTTCTGCAGCGATTTTTTTTCGATCTCCGGAAAATTTATTTTTCCCGCAACAAAAACTACTAAGATTTTTCCCCGTTGAACTCCTCAATTTTTGAGTACATAAAACATTTATCTTCTTTTCTTCAAAATATTGAGTTTTTTCTTCAGGCAGCCCCGACCAACTTCCGTGAGCGCCCGCCCTACAAGTACCCGCCGAGACGACCCTACGGATCGCTGCCTTTCCGAGGCGGCAGCCGCTTCCAACGTCCAGGACCGGGCAACGGATTCGCGACGTCACGACGCAAGGAGGAGCAATCGTCGCCGCGAAGCCTCGAAAGCCCTCCTCAACAACAATAATCCTCGATATAGTCTATTTCGACGGGTTCAATCCAATTTTCGTTGTGATTCCTGGGAAAACTCCCTTAGAGAAGATCGTTTCCACGGGCAATTATTGGGCATTTCTTCTCGGTTGCTCGAAAGAAAACGTCTCGGGAACTTCTCCAACTGTAGCCTTCAAATGTTGCCCTGATTGCCTCCTATCAGTGTTTTCAAGAGATTTTGAGTCGAGGATAACCAAGTCCTCGGCCCCTGTCGTATATTATTGTAATGAGTTTTTTTTTTGGTATATTTTTCTTTCTTGGTTAAATTTCAGTATATTGCTAGTAATGGGTTAAGAAATGATTGTTCATCATCACGATTCGTTTGAAACATTTTCGTGTTTTTTCTCGATTAGTCCCCTCTCAACTTTTTTTCTGTAGTGATAGAAATGCCTGTCGCGTTTTTTTTCATTCCATTGTTTTTTAATCATAAAAAGTGAAAATAAACTTTCATTTAACTTTATTTGTTTTTTCAAAGAGAGGTGAAAAAGATATTTAACTTTTGGAGGGTTAGAGATAGTTCAAAATCCGGAAAACTCCTTTGAAAGAGTTGCAAAATAACGGATCGATTACAGGAAAAAATGCTCGTTAATTAAAAATAACCTGTCGAAGATTAATCAAACGTGTATGATGTCGCGAATGAAAAGAAGGATGTCTTCTCATTTTGAGTCGAAAAATGCTGAAAATTGTGGTTTTTGCGGCTTTTATAGCCACGGCAGAAGCAAAGTTGATCCGTCGACTTCATTGCTCTCCTCCTGTGAGGAAAAAACTTCGGAGAAAAGTAAATCCGTAGTTTAGGATGCTCCGATGACGATTTTGCCCGAAGAGTTCCCGATTTCCTTGGCTTTTGAACGGCCTTTGAAGAATGGCGACCGGTTTCGTTTCTCCTTCGTCTTCAATTCTGACGGCGAAGACGAGTTCGTATTTCTTCGAAGTATTCATAAGTTCAATTTCATGTGTTTCCTACTATTTCGACCGCTTTAACATACTTCTTTCCAGACAGCTCAAATCTGTTGAGCCTCATCCTGTAAATCCAAAAATAGTTTTTCCAGTTTCCAGGGAGTTTCCAACCTTGATAAATGATAAAAGTTAAATAATAAAACAAACCAATAAAGAGTTTCGCTCTGTCTGCTCGTCGTTAGACCTCGCGTTGAAATTGCCCCTCTTGCCAGTCTGATCCGCTCTTTTCACATTATTCAACAGAAATCTCTTTGAACTTGAACTATCGGGAACTCCTTTCACTAAGAAGATCGCTGCAGCTCGACAATCGACGTGCAGCAATACGGCAACGTGCCGACCTTCATAACGCTCCATTTGCGCTTCAGGTCCGACGAAAAGCGCCTCGTCATCAACGCACACGAGGTCCTTCTTATCTTTTTTCAACTTCTCACGTTCGCAGAAAACAAAAATTAGGAACTCAACCTTTTCATAAAAAAAGGCGATTTTCGCAGGTGACAGGAATCTGGCAACAGGGCAAGGAGAAGTCGGTTCCCTGGAAGGACCACTGGAGGCCAAACGCCACTATCACAATCGAAATTCGGTTGGCTTTTCCATTAAAGTTCTATTTTTCCATTTCAACTCAATCTGAATATATTAATAAATAAGGAGCTTCATTTGCACAAAAAAGTTTTTTTAAATCTTTATCAGGGGCAGAGATTAGGGGAACAGTTCCACATCTGATTAATCATTTTCACAGTTATCTACTTTTTTCGGCCAACTGTTCCGCGCATTTCAGTAGGCCATTTTATGTCTCATTGGAGATCTTTTCAGTTACATGAACACCATATTCGAAATATACGAGGTGACTCCGAACGGAGCTCAGCTGTTGACCAAGTTCTCGAACACGGTTATCCGCCACGATATGTTCACCACCTCTGGAAAGGCCTTTTCTCTGAACGCGGTTCAATTAGTTTGTGTCTGATGTCGTCATTCTTTTTCTTTTCTCAGTATCAATAAAAAACTTGACAAATTTTTTTCGTTCGAAAAATCTCTAGCCTTGAAAAAAAAGAGCTCTTTGATGCCGAAGAACATTCAAAACAACAGTTCAGGAGAATTTGAAAAAAATTTAAAAAAACTTTTTATGCTGTTTTTTTGTATAATCAGGTCGTCAAACTTTTAGGCATCATTTTGGCGGCTACTTCTTGAAAAAAATGTTCAGCCTTTCACGGCGACACCAAATTTGATTTAAAAAAACAAATCGACGCCTGGCGTCACGTGTGCACACCCACCGCAACGGCGAAAAAAATGAAATGTGTTGTACGCAGTGAACACGATGCATGGAAAGCGACGCGCAAAAAGCGAGATTGAATGTTTAATATGAAAAAGTTATTTTCTGACTGTAATTTTTCCAGGGATCGCCGAAAGAAAGTTTTACAATATTGACATTCTAAAAAAAATCTCATCTAGAACTAATGAAAAGAATTATGAATTTAACTATTCCGACAAAAAAGGTGGAACAATTTGAAAAAGGGATTTGGGGAAAAAAAAGATATGGAAGAAGGGACCTTGGGGGAAAAATTTCTTCAGAGTTTCTGATAGTCTATATACATCAAATAGGATTACATACAATCGAAAGGCAATAGAGATAAAATTGAGAATTGAGCGGCCACTGAGAAAAAAATGTAGCGAATAAAGTTTTAAAAAAAGAATAATCATACGTGTATCTTATCGCGAACGAAGAGGATGATATCTGTTCATTCTGGATCGAAAAATGCTGGGAGTTTTCCTTTTTTTCGCAGCTCTGATCGGCGCGGCCCATCAAGAGGACGTTATGATCCGTCGACTCCATTGTTCCAGACCTGTGAGGAATTCTCCAAAGAGCTCAGAAATCTTCGGTTCAGGATGCTCCGTTGACGATGTTGGCCAACGATTGGCCTCTTCACCTGGCGTTTGAACGGCCTTTGAAAATTGGCGACATATTACGTTACTCCTTCGTTTTCAATTCCGACGGGAAAGCAGAGTTCGTGGTTTCCTTCAACTAGTCAAATGATGCAACATTTTTCCATGGTTTACCAAAATCAAATTTCTACTGAGACGTTGGCTGTTTTGGGTCGCGAAGAGGCGTGACATTGTCTCAATCAGACAGTATTTCTTTTAATCGTGTTAGGACCCTTTTTTCGTTGACCCAAGCCAGCTGTGTTTCGGCTATATCTAAATCCATGTATAAATCAAATGCTGCAGCTCGACGGTCGACCTGCGGAGCTACGACGAAAGTTTGCCGTTTGATGAGGACCTCATAACTCTTCATTTACGCTTCAGGAGCCAAGAGAAACGCCTCGTCGTCAACGCCCATGAGGTCAGCAGTCTGTGAAGCCTTTCTTTTTGACTTTGCACGTTCCTTAATTCGCCGAAGAGGACTATGAATGTGATTGATTTGTCTTGAAGTTGTAGAAAATGACATGTTCAGCCCTTAAAAAACGTTAAAAGCAAAAAAATAGGCTCACTAATTCTTCTCACCAGCCAAAAAAAGATTTTCACAGACGCCAGGAGTCTGGCAGTCAGATCACGAGCAGTCGATTCCGTGGAAGGACCATTGGGCTCCTAACCACTTGATCACCATTGAAATTCGGTTTGTTTTCCATTTCAACGCCTTTTTTCTAGTCGTTTATACGTCATTTAGTCTCTTTTCTCTCCATTTTGGTTCAGACTCGTTCATGATTTATCGGTTTAGCTATACAAACGCCGGATTCGAGATCTACGAGTTGGATCCGAACGGGGCTCAGCCGATCACGACGTTCCCCAACAAGCATTCCAAACACGACCTGTTCACAGCCTCCGAACAGCCCTTCTTTATCAACGCCGCCCAGCTCATTTGCAACGGAAACTGATGTCGTCCTTTTTTACTTCTGTTTCCATTACCACTAATAAAGTGCTTTTTTTTTTCAAGTTTGGCGAAAGTTGATGAAAAAGTTGAAAGTTTTGTCTTTTTCTGTCCAAAAACTTTCTCTCTTTTGCTAAAAAAAAAATGGCTCGATACTCGGCCGGCGAATCAGGCTTGTCGGGGCATTTTTAGTGACCAATTCTGTAGCGTAATCATTCTTATGTGATACCATCGCCCTGACACGACCGATTCGCGTTACCTAGTTCCGATAAATTTCTTTTCTTTCTCTGCTTGACTTTGTGTAAAGCTAAAATCCCAACAAAAACTATTTTATTAACAGTGTAGGATCTTCATTCTTCTTCCGCAACGTCAGGTTCAGGATCGTCGCCGTAGCAAATATGCTGGACCTTGTAGAGAAAGAATTGCACGTTGGTGGCGCTCAAGTACTCGGTGTATTCGTGGATGTTTCGGAAATCCGTGATCCAAACGTATCCCACCACGGTCCTTTCGTAGATTTCGAACATGGTGTTGTGGTAGCTGAAGCCTCACAATAAGGATGCCCATTTAATTGAACACCAACCGGACTTCAATGTGGGCTGTTCTGCCGGGCAACCACCAGGACCGGAACACATGCGACTGCTCATAGTTCTGCCATTTTCCCTCCTCCTAAAGGTCGTCGTTCTGGATGAGAAGATTGGAAACAGACGTCATGGGCATTGATAACGAGTCGATTTTCGTCCTGTTTGAAGCGCATATGCAGCGTAATGATGTTCTTGTCCAGCCGAACGCCTCTGTCGTACTTGCGGAAGTCGATCGTCGCACTGAATTCTCTGAACTTGCTCTCTTCACAGGACTTGTTACAAACTCGGTAGGGACGTCGTCGTTGCGGAAGGTGAAGGAGAAGCGGACCCAGTCACCGTGTTTCAAAGGCCGGTCGAAGGCTAGAAACTTCGGCCAACCATCATATGGCAGTTCCGTCATCGGGGCCCTCTGGAACAAAACAAATCCGAAGCTCTTAGAAAACTTTGCTCACTTCGTTAGGGGAACATTTGAGGATACCCAGTTGAACTTGACGTTGAGCCGAGGCCAGGAAAGCCATAGAAAACCAAATAGCGACCAACATATCTCGGTCCAAAATGAACCAGAATTCTTCTTCTGAATCGCGTTGACACACACGTATTTATTTATTCGGTTGTCTCATCTAACTCACCTTTTGAACCTCGCATAACTTTCTTCTTTTCTTTCAAAGAGGCTTCAGGAGGCTGGGTTCCACAAAAACTATATTTAATTGGGTGAAAAATAACCTCCACTCTATTATCATGAATATCCAAAAACGCTGGGATATTACCGTTTTTCCGGAAACCTCTCATTTTGGCCGAGTCAAATAAATATTAAAGTTCCGAACTACTGTAGTTGAAGAAGCTAGTTGAAGAAGTTAAAAAAAATTGAATCGAAGTATCATTTTTCCAAACTTTCAAGATCATGAAACTGCAAAGCTTTTCTGAGCTGAAGCCCTTAATAGTTGAGATTGATTTTTTGCTTGGGCAACTTAGTTATTTCGTGTCGAATAACCAGAAAAAAAGTTTCAAATACAAGTTGCTTAAACCGTACATACAGCAGAAAACAAAACTCTTTCTAAATTCAGCTCAAAACAGGTCTATCTACTTCAATCAAAAAAAAAATTGAAACTGGTAGTCCAAACAGAAAAAAAACGTACAAAAATGTTTTTATTATCAGTGGGAAAAAAAGGGACTTCATTCGTCTTCCACAACCTAAGGCTGAGGATCGTTGCCGAAGCAAATATGCTGGACTTTGTAGAGGAAGAAATGTCGGCCGGTGGTACTTAGGTACTCTGTTTTTTGGTGAATGTTTCTGAAGTTCGTGATCCAAACGTATCCGACCACCGTGCGTTCGTAGATTTCGAACATAGTGTTGTGGTAGCTGAAATATCCATCAAATCACCCGAATCTACTCGATTCAGGCTTGAGCGTCAGGCTGGCTGGTCCGGTCTGCCCCGGACTTTGAACCTTTTTTTTGAGAAAAGGCCTGCGTCGGTATGAGCCAGGCTCCGAAAAAAATTTCATGCAAAAAAATTTTACGGACGGGTCGGGCTTTGAAAATGACCGTGGGGGCCGATAGGCTGACGGGCAGGCCCTTGCACAAGCCTGATTCGATTCCATAACATCAAATACTGACCGGACTTCAATGTTAGCCGTCCTGCCAGGCAACCACCATGCACGGAACGGGATAGACTGCTCGTGATTCTGCCATTTTCCATCCTCCTAAATCTTTTCGGCTTCGTTCTGGATGGACAGGCAGGACACAGACGTCATGGGCATTGACGACGAGACGATTCTCCCTCTCGATGAAGCGCATATGCAGCGTAATGGTGTTCTCGTCTAGTTTAAGACTTCTGTCGTATTTACGAAAGTCGATTGCCGCACTGAAATCTCCAGAGTTTCTTTCCCAAGTTCCCCACGAACTCGGTAGTGACTTCGTCGTTGCGGAAGGTGAAGGAATAGCGGACCCAGTCGCCGTGTTTCAAAGGCCGTTCGAAGGCCAGGATCTTCGGCCAACTTTCATAGGGTAGTTCTGTCATCTGAGCTTTCTGGAAAAAAATCCGAAGTTCTCACACAATAAAGTCCTCACTTCATCGGGGGAACATTTGAGGAGAGCCAGATGCGGCTGACGTTGAGCCGAGGCAAGGAGCGCCATAGAAAACCAAATAGCGGCCAACATATCTCGCTTCAGAATGACCCGAAATTTTTCTTCTCAGTTGCGTTGACATAAACGTGTGAATTAATTGGAATAATAACTGGAATCAACTTTTTTGATATGAATGATGAAGCCGTCGAGAGAAACGCTTCAATGTGGTCAAATAGCGCTGGTACTTCCATTTCCTTTTCGATTTCATTTGTGAACTTCGAATCTAAAAATATGGGATATGTATGGAAGACGAACACCTATGTATTTGATTCATTCTCTGCTCGTAGTCAATACTTTGGACTTTTCGAGAGGAAAACCAATTTCATAAAAATGATCACGTGTGTTTGCGGAGAAGAAGTCGGGTCATTCTGGATCGAAACATGCTGGGAGTTCTGTTTGCCGCGGTCCTCTTCGCCACGGCTCAAGGCGACATGATACGTCGACTCCATTGCTCTTCTTATGTGAGAAAACACTTCGGAAAAGGAAGTCCACAGTTCAGAATGATCCGATGACGACCTTGGGCCGTTCTTGGCCTGTGTATCTTTCCTTGGAACGGCCCTTGGAATACGGGGACCGTCTCCGGTTTTCCTTCGTTTTCAATTCTCAAAACAACGAGTTCGTTTTATGTCCATACATATAACAGTAATTCACATATGTATCCAAAGCTGGCTAACCTGCAAGTAGAACTTTTAAAGTTCTAAAATCCTTGGAATCTAGAGATTTTTAAGTTTCCGTTCTTTTCACCCTTCCAGACAAAACATTAGTTTTCGCCAGTCCAAAACATTAATTTCATATGATCACTTCACTTTTTGAACGGTGTTCCGCCGTAACCCCTTGAAAAGAAACAGAAAACGGCAATATAAGATTTTGGTAAATTTTCACCAAGGTTATTTGTCTTCCAGTCATAATATTCATCTGCAATGCTTCTAAAAAGAAGCGCCATTCTTCCTATCATTTGTAGTTTTTGTTAACCTGAGAACGATGCAGCTTGGGGATCGACCTGCGAAGCTACGACAGGGATCTTCCATGGGACCAGAACCTCATCACGCTGCATTTGCGCTTCAACCAGAACCAACATCGTCTCGTAATCAACGCGCATGACGTCAGTGTTCAACAACTATTTGCCAAATGTGCACAGATCGATTTCAGACGCCTGGAAACTGGCAGAACAACGAGCAGTCCATCCCGTGGCGAGACAACTGGAGACACAACAGTCTGTACAAGATAGAAATTCTGTGAGTTCTACCTCACGACTTTGTCGTAACAGTAAATGGAATCGTTTTGATTCTTGATTGTTTCAGGTACACAAGAGGAGGTTTCGAGATCTACGAGTTGTCATCTCAGGGAACCGAGTTGATCGCGACTTTTGCGAACAAACACCGCCGCCACGAGCTGATCACATCCACGGACAATTCTTTCACCTTCAGCGAGGCCCAGTTCGTTTGCATGGGACACTGATGTCGACAGCACGTTTCCTCTCTATTTTTCTACTCGTATAATAAAAAGTTTTGCAAGGTTGATTGTTTTAAGAAAAAAGTAATGTACGTTCACGCGATTGATAACAAGGTCTCATTTCATTGTAAAGGAGGAATGCTGGCTGCTCTTTGGCTTCCATTGGCTCTCGTAGCCTCGGTTCAAGCTTCCAGTGTACTTCTCCTTCCATGTACCCACGATGAAGTGAGGAAATACTCTGGCAGCTCAGAAGTGTTCTTTTCAGAATGGTCCGATGACAAGGACACAGTTCACCGATTGGCCAAAGTATTTCGTCTTCGAACGGCCTTTGAAACATGGCGATTATATTCTCTTCTCCTTCGTTTTCCGCGTCGATCGTCCGGCCGAGTTCGTGGTTGTTTTTTTTTTTTGAGTTTCAAAGAGAAGGCTGCAGCACGTCGATCGACTTCCGCATGTACGACAAAACAGTTCCATTAGAGGATAACCTCATCACGCTGCATTTGCGCTTCAACGCGTTGGAGAAACGTCTCATCGTCAACGCCCATGAAGTTCGTGGCCTTGGCAGTCAGGGAAAAACGACCGGTTTCAGACTCCGGGAGTCTGGCAGAACCAGGAGCAGTCAATCGCTTATCGGGACTGGTGGCTGCCTGGCAGAACGGTTAAAGTTGAAGTCCGGTTGGTATCAAATTCAATATAACGGAATGAGGTTGTATCTAAAGTTCGAACGGTCTCTTTCTGAAAACAAAAGAGACCTCTCAGGACGGATCTTCTGTGGTTTTAGTTTCTTTATCATGATTTGTCAACCAAAAACTAATCATTTAAAAATTTCCAGCTACCACAGTGATATGTTCGAAATCTACGAAAGGACGGTCGAGGGATACTTGCTGATCACAAACTTTCGAAACCTGCACAAAAAGACAGAACTCCTAACCGGCACCGGCAGGCTTCTTCAGATCTACGAATTCCAGTTGATTTGCTACGGCGACGATATCAAGTTCTAGCGTCAGTTACCGCAGAACGGCTTCTCTTCCTATTTTCCTTCTTTCTGATAATTAACCTCATTCTATTCGAAGCTTTAGCTTTGATCTTTTAAAGAATAAAGCAGAACCTTTTCAAAAAATAAAGCAAAACACTGAATAAGACAAGGTTCAGAGAACTTTCATAAAGAGAGGCGTAGTTCATAAAACTTTGTGAATCGAAGTACAGGAAGATAAAGTTTCAATGTAAAAATGGAATTTTTTTGTTAAAAAGATAAATCATCCTCAGAAAAAAATCCTACCATATCCATATAATTCTAACTTACAATTAATTAATAAAGAAGGAAAAAATATCATTGATTATTAATGAGATAGGGAGAGATGGAAAAGGAACTATGATCTGCGGTCAAACGTAGAGCAAAATACGGTTTGTTCTTGAAAGAAGTGCATCTGAAAGTTATTTTTCAAATTTGAGTTTTTTTTTTGTGGCAAAGAGATCTCGAGTGGAAGAAATCGTCGAATTTGAGGGAATACACAAGGAAAAAATATTTTATACGTGTACGTAGTAGAAAAGAGGAATCATGACTTATTCTGGAGCGAAAAATGTTGGCTACAATATGGTTATCACTGGCGCTTTTCGACACGGCTCAAGCTGACATAATGGGTCTTCTCCGATGCTCCGGCAGCGAAGTGAGAACTCTAAACTTTTCTGGAAACTCACGGATTCTCCCTTCAGAAAGATCCGATGACCAAGCTGCAGCTGTTTTGGCCAGCGTTTATGGTCTTCGAGCGGCGTTTGAAGCACGGCGACTGGGTCCGACTATCTTTCGCGTTTCGTCGTGAGGTCTCTATCGAGTACGTAGTACCTTTCAAGAGGTCAAGTACAACTTGAAGAGTTCAGCTCGGCGCTCGACTTTCGGAAGTACGACAGAAGACTGAGTTTAGACGAGAACATCGTCACGCTGCATATGCGCTTCATCGAGAAGGAAAATCGTCTCAGCATCAATGCCCATGACGTCTGTTTTCTACCGTGACTCGAGAAAAGAGTCTGGTTCAGACGCCGGGAGTCTGGCAGAACAACGAGCAGTCCATCCCGTGGCGGGAAAACTGGAAGCGTGGCTCCCTTCTCAAAATCGAAATTCGGTTAGTTTTTTTTTCGGATTTTTTTCCTCCTCCTGTCTGAATGTAAGCAATTGGTTTCCAGCTACCGCAATTCTATGTTCGAAATCTACGAAATGACGTCGATGGGCACCTTGTTGATCTCGAAATTCTTGAATCGACACCGGGACACGGAGTTAATAACCGCGACGGGCGACTTCTTCTACATCACCGAGGCCCAATTAATTTGCTACGGCAACGATCCTGACGTCGGGCGTTAGGTTTCGAAGAAAGAAGATTCAAACATTTTTGCCTTAATTTTTTCTTTTCAATAACGGTACGCGGGTCATGGTTAATAAAAATATTTTTGACTATAGGTGTTGTTTTGTTGGAACTTGAACTTGAACTACAGGCCTTCTCAATAAATTTTGAGCTCTTAAATTTAAAATGCTTATTTTTTGGGGTTCTTTTCATCGTTTCAATTTTTGCACTGCTAGATTTTTTCATTTTTTTTTTCTATCGATAGTTTTTTGGACGCTTGACAACGTAACTATTTTCCTTCTATCTGATAATTAACCTCATTCTGTTCGAGGCTTTATGTTTGATGCTGGTTAGCTTTGAACTTCCAAGGAACAAAGCCGATAAGATAATACTAGGTCAGGCGATATTCAAAGAGCTTTCGCAGTAAGAGGCATATTTACTGTACATAAATATAGTTTGTTAAGAAGTGAGTCCATAAGTTGTTTTCAAATTTGAGTTTTTGTTGGTGCAAAGTTGGAAGGAATCGTCAAAGTTGAGGAAGATATACAAAGAAAAAAGATTTATATACGTGTACGTAATGGAAAAAAGGAATCGTGACTTATTCTGGATCGAAAAATGTTGGCGATAACATGGTTATCACTGGCGCTTTTCGTCACGTCTCAAGCTGAGCTGATGGGTCTTCTCCGATGCTCCCGCACCGAAGTGAGAACTCCAAACCTTTTCGGAAGCTTACGGATTCTCCCTTCAGAAAGATCCGATAACCAAACTAGAGCTGTTCTGGCCAAAGTTTATGGTATTCGAACGGCGTTTGAAGCACGGCGACTGGGTCCGACTATCTTTCGGATTCCGCCGTGAGGTCTCTATCGAGTATGTAGCACCTTTGGAGAACTCAAATGAAACCCGAAAAGTTCAGCTCCGCGCTCGACTTTCGGAAGTACGACAGAAGACTGAATTTAGACGAGAACATCATCACGCTGCATATGCGCTTCATCGAGAAGGAAAATCGTCTCAGCATCAATGCCCATGACGTCTGTTTCCTACCGTGACTTGAGATAAAGGTGGAGGATGGCTGCCCCTGGCTGCCCCTGGCCGCTCTGCCTGCCGTGCCATGAGCGCCCAAAAGGCAGTAGTAAATTTTTAAAAGTCAGCAAGTCATTTGTATGGCGAAATCGCCCCAGCATCTAGCGCTTCTTTCGAGCATTGTATGAAACCCGTGTACACAACGGAATCGGAGTTTGTAATTGCTAAAAAAAACACGAACAAAACAATTTTCGCCTAAATCTAATTAGGGAACTACTCGGACTCGGGGACGAAAGTCAAGTGGAAAGTTTTGTGGCGTGTAGAAAGCACACGAAAAAATCCAGGAAGAGACCTGCAGGGATGTACGCGCCCGGACCTTCCTTTCTTAAAGAGGTGGCCTGGCGTCGTGATTAAAGGGTCAGTCCCATGGCTTTTTTTTGTGTATGTTCGATTCCTGTCTAGCCCGAGTTTTTTTTTTTGGATTTTTTCCGAACAAAACAGCTTGAAAAGTACGAAAATCGAAAATAATTTTTGAAACTTTCATCATGTAGTTCATCATTTCCAAACAAAATCCACATAGATTTCACAAGATATAAAAAAAAGGTTGACAGACACCGTAGCTGTACTGAAGTTGACTTTTTTGAAAACCAAATAAATCGAATGAAAATCTTTTGCATCAATTTCATGGCATCTCAATAGTTTTTGGTCCGAGTAGTTCTCAAGTGAGATTGAAAATGTAGCCTGCTGACCCGTTTTAGAAAAAATTTCCTGCTGAAACATCCGTTACAGTAGGTTAAAAGCGTTAATACGGAGTTGCGAAAAAAAAAATTCAAAATTCACAAAATTGACAATGATTTGTTCAGGGCGTTATCGCCGCGTACTTGACCTACCATAGTTGCCCAAGACCACGTAAATAACGGCACATTTCTATCGTTTGGATAAATGGCTTGGCTTATCCGCTAAGCCAAAGGCTGCCTTCCCAATCCTCCACCTCTTACTTGAGAAAAGAGTCTGGTTCAGACGCCGGGAGTCTGGCAGAACAACGAGCAGTCCATCCCGTGGCGGGACAACTGGAAGCGTGGCTCCCTCCTCAAAATCGAAATTCGGTTCGTTCTTTTCAGATTGTTTCCTCCTCCTGTTTGAATGTGAGCAGTTGGATGCAATTCGTTTTGGGGAAAATTAAGAGGATAGAAAATAAGTTGACATGCATTCAACTTCCAGCTACCGCAATTCTATGTTCGAAATCTACGAAATGACGTCGATGGGCACCTTGTTGATCTCGAAATTCTTGAATCGACACCGGGACACGGAGTTAATAACCGCGACGGGCGACTTCTTCTACATCACCGAGGCCCAATTAATTTGCTACGGCAACGATCCTGAAGTCGGGCGTTAGGTTTCGAAGAAAGAAGATTCAAACATTTTTGCATCAATTCTTTTTTTCAAGAACGGTATGCCTAATAAAAATATTGTTTATTATATCTGTTGTTTTTGTTGGATTCGAACTTCAAGCTCAATTTCGTAGAACAAAAATCATAGTATTTCTGAACCTAAAATGATGTTGAAAGATTCTTTTTGATTTCGAAAACCAAGTTCAGAGATCCCAAAAAATGATAGAGCATGTTGAGGGGGATTTCACCACCGACTGAGGAAGCCTTGGGATGGGGCGATCGTCTGAAAGGTATTCCATCACCTGGCGCCGACATGCAATATTCATGCGGCACGCGATCTTCCAGGCTCATTTGCCGCTTAACTTCGGTTTCGCCTAGCCATTTCCTCCTCCTCCTCCTCCTCAGACTTCGTCATCGTAGCTTCTCGAATTTTCTTCTCTTTTGGACTTCTCCATTTATTCACTTATTATTTGGCCCTAAGTGTCTCTTATTGATGCATCACTTGAATTCCGGCAGATTTCGACTTTAGCCAGCCTCGAGCTATCCAAACCTTTTTACAAGCCTTGTCAGGAATTTTCGAGCTCTTAATCTAAGGAATTTCATTTCAACTTCATTTAGATCACCCCTTATGAGCTCGGACCACCTTCTAATGGGCTTGTCTTTCAAGATTTCATAAACTCCTATAATCTATCAAACTGTCCGAGTTACAAAACTACCCGATTACGATATATTCATAGTAAAATTCTGATTTTGGCGAGTTGAGATTTTTTTTTAGATTCGATTCGAAGTTGTACGCGCAGGTGCTGGACTGAGTTTAGGTCCTTCCGTATTTCATGGTATGTTTTTTTTCTCATTAAAGAGACCTCAAACCGATCGGATTGTGGTTTTACCTCAGATCCCGAAAATTCAGACTTATAAGAATTGAGTGATCTTAGTCGTATCTTAATAAAGAATGAATCTTATCTTACAATTTTACAAACATTTTTTCAGGTCTTGTATAAAACTGTTTTTGTTTCTGAAATACTTGTTTTCAGTTCGGTTGGATACACGAAAGCTTTCGTCAACTCGTTACTCGCAAGTATGGAAAGGATATTTGGCAGAAAATTGTGTAAGTGGATTAAAGTTATTTTCTCTTTTTTTTAACTTTTTTTGTTGATTAAACTGTAGCTATACAACGAATTTGGTTTTTATTATACTTTTTTGTTGTAGCGAGCTGGCAAAGTTTGAGCTCGGCACGGAGAATGAAATCGCGCATTATTACAACGATGACGAGACAATGAGGATCGTCAACGCTATGGCCAATGTCATCGGTTTGTCTGACTTTCCTAGAAGACAAAAAATACTCGTAGTGATAGTTCTTACTTTGGTCTTTAAGGAATACCTATCGAAGAAATTTGGGAAGCGTATGGCGGGTTTCTCATTCAGTTCACAATGGAAACGGGTTGGGACGAATTGCTCCGAGCGATGGCCCCCGATCTTGAGGTATTCTTTGAACTCATATAATCTCTCCAATAACAGGAACTACTGCTGACTTTTTGTTTCAAGGGGTTCTTGGACTCTCTCGATTCTTTGCACTATTTTATCGACCACGTCGTGTACAAGACGAAACTGCGCGGTCCTTCCTTCCGATGTGACGTCCAACCCGACGGAACCCTTCTTCTCCACTACTACTCCAAGAGAAGCGGTCTCTACCCGATCGTCAAAGGTAACGAAAAGCTCAGTCTTCAATCATATTTTACTCTTCTAGGCGTGGTCCGTGAGGTGGCAAGGCGAATTTACGACACGGAAGTCGTCATGAAAGTTCAGGAAAGAAAGCAGGAGCATCTCGGTTTTTCCTGTCCTTCTCCTTTTGCGAAATTTCGCGGATTCAGATGCTTTTGTGACCGAACACGTCGTTTTTGTGATCAGCCAGATCGAGAACGGCAACAGCGCGATTCAGAAGTCGATATCCTCCAAGAGCGACTCCCAGATCGATCTTTCGGCAGTAAAACATTTCACACAGGCGTGGCAAGACTGTTTGGCTATATTCCAGGGGATATACGAAATGTCGTCTTCGGACTTTTCGACGGCTTTTCCCTACCACATCTGCTTCGACCGCGACCTCTACCTCGAGCACTACGGAAGCTTCATCAAAGTCAGCTTTATCCTATATATTGACAAGGCAACTTAAAAAGCCAGTCGAATCAGGGTCACGGGTGAAATCGAGTCTAATCAATATCCGAATGGAAACTTTTCATTTTCTTTCTCACATACCCATGACGAAAACCAAATGAATTGAGAAGTGAAAGTTATATTTTGTTTCCAGAAATCTTACCCGAATGCCGTTCGACAGGAGACCAAGGTCACTGACATCATGGAACTCGTTCATCCCGAGGTTGTCTTATAAACTCATAAAAGAGCCTCAAAAATAATTTTAGGTGCCATTTTCTTACGATTCTATCAAGTACTTCAAGAACAGTTTATTCGTGTTCAGGCTCAAGGTTTGCAATTTCAGAATTAGAAAGAACTGAGTCACTTTTTTAAACTTTCAATTGATTTTTGTTTCCAGGGAATAGGTGATATTGTGCACGCCAACAAGGAGGAAATGAAGTCGGTTCTGCTCAAAGGTTTGAAAATCTGATTGAATAATTCATCTCCTGTCAAGGATCCATGGTTTTCATCGACGACGGAAAATACATCCTCTATCTGTGCTCAGTTAACGTCACAACGGTTCAAATCGATATTTTCTCTTTTCAAAGAGAGAAAAATATCTTTCAGGTCAGAGAGCTGATCGAGAGGAATTTGCACCTTTCGGATATGCAGAGACACGACGGAACTCGCGATTTGATCATGTTGAATCAGAGCAGAATGAGCCAAGTCGAACTGAAGTCAGTGGAGATAGAAACAAGCTCGATTTTTAAGAATTTTCTCATAAGTCGTATCTTTTGAACTAGAAGTTTGTGCAGGTAGCCATTGCCGAGCCTCAAAGTAATATGACTCTCCTTGTAAGAAGAAAGCTTTCAAAGCAGGAATTCGGGAAAGTTGAAACTTTTCGCCACCAAGAAGTTTTTTGACCGATTTTGAAGGAAGTCTGAATTTTCTGATAAAATGAGCTTTTCTTTCAAAAGTTTATTTTCAACTCTCAACTGGCTATAAATATTTGCGTCATGCAAGCTTTGCAAAAGAGTACATTTTTTGGTAATGGCCTATATAATGAAAAAGTTTTTTGATAAATGGGGAAAATGTTGATTTCCAGCCGAACTCTTGAAGAGACGACGAAAAAGCTGAAGAAGATGGCGGCGGAGCTGGAGGTTGAGAAGCAGAAGACGGACGAGCTGCTCTGCGAGCTGATGCCGCCCTCTGTGGCCGACTCGCTCAGACAGGGCCGCACGATGGACGCCAGTCAGTCCAATTCTTCCGTCTGTTCTCCGAAAGGAGCCTTCTTCAGAAGAGTTCTCTGACTGCACGCTCCTCTTCACGGACATCGTCACCTTCACGAACATCTGCGCATTGTGCACGCCCTACGACGTCGTCACGCTCCTCAACGACTTGTATCTTCGTTTCGATCGTCTCGTCGGATTGGTTTGTTCTATTCACTCACGAAAATTGAATTCTATAAAATTCTGAAAGTGGTGAATACTAAAGTAAATCTTCTTTTTCCTTCTTTTTCCTACGCCTTCGTACCGCTTGAGCGACGCCGGCGCCCCAAGTCGATTGGCCGAAGCGCTATCCTGATATCAGTGATAATCAGTGAACTGGCTCTAGTGACATATTCGTCTTTTTTTACTCCCAACATTTCTTAAGCCCCGTGGTTGGTTGGGTCGCGACGGAGATCGAACTTTTGACCCTCGTAGACAAGCGCACAACCTGTTGCGCTACGGCGCGCCCCGAATACTTGAGAAAATGAAGTGCATTTGAAATTTAGTTCTAAAAAATTTTAAATCAAAGCGATTTTCATGTCTGTTTGTTTTCTTTTGAAGTCCTTCATTTTATCGATGACTTCTTCGTTTTAAAAAGGCAAAAAAAAACGAAAATTGCTCAATTTTCGGTACTGATTAGACATAGCGGGAATTTTTTTGTTGAGCAATCTAGCTGAGAAGATTCACTGTTCCCAAGAAAAAAAAAGCATTCGTTTCATTTTTCGACGTTTTTTTCTAGCACGACGCCTACAAAGTGGAAACAATCGGCGACGCCTACATGATCGTCGGCGGCGTGCCTGAACACTGCGACAATCACGCAGAGCGAGTTCTCAACATTTCTATCGGTATGCTCTTTTCGAGTGAAGATTGTTGTCGATTTCGAAAAGTTATCGGCTTTATATTTTCTTTTATCGTGACTTTGAAACTTTTTACTTTCTATATTTAATATTAAATTTCAACGGCATTATTATTTTCCATGAATGCTAGGGCAACTGTGAACAGAGAAGCCAGACTGTTTCAAGATATAGAGACAATTGATTCTTCAACCGTTTCACAGACATCTTCCCCTAATTCCCATGCTCAAAAATTGAAGGAATGTTGATGGAGTCGAAACTTGTCCTCTCGCCGATCACCCACAAGCCCATCAAAATGCGGATCGGCGTCCACAGTGGTCCCGTCGTCGCAGGCGTCGTCGGCATCAAAATGCCGCGGTATTGTCTTTTCGGCGACTCGGTCAACACCGCCAACAAGATGGAGTCCAACGGCGTTCAGTGCAAGATCCACGTCAGCGAGTCTGCCAAGGTCATTCCTACCTTCTAAAAGATTTTTGCATTTTTTCTCAATCCTAAACTTTTGAAAATGGGCTAAAAAGATCCTAGGAGTCTCTAAATGCACGACTTTCATTAAGAGTAGCCCACTATCCTAGATAATCTTGAGACAATAAGATATTCGAGCTTCTTTTTCGATTAAAAATTAAAAAAAGAGCAGATTGTACTTTTAAAAATATTCCCAAAACTTTGAGAAGATTACGAGTAATAAAAAATCATTCGAACGTCTCAAAATAATAAACTGTTTTTTTGAAAGAAAAATAAACTTTACTGGTGTTCGAAATGCTTGACTTTTCTTTCAAATCTAAACCCAAAATCCAAAATCAAAGTCTTTGAAACCCGCTATTGTTCCTCACATACATTACCAAACAAGAAAATTGCTTGAGATTCAATTTTTTTGGTTCAGAACAACGGACTGAAGGCGAATCCGTGCTACGTTTTCGCTGACAGAGGCAACACAGAAATTCGGGTGAGCCTCTCTTTCAAAAAGTTTCGAATTTTTTCGTAGGGGAAAGGAATAATGTACACGTACTTCCTGGAGCGAAACGACCGGAAAAGCGTCTGGGAGATCTGCGCCCGACCGAGATGTGAGTTCGAGGGAGACTTGAAGTAGGGAGCGGAGATTTGCAGCCGGAGAGCAGACGATCGACGGCTACATGGAACTGCACGACCAGAGCATCTACCAGGAAGATCCGGTCACGGTGCCGTCGTCCGCGGCCAACGGCCACGACGCCAAGGCCAAACCTGTGGTGAGCGACTCTGGAAAAAAGAGTAGAAGAATCGGATAAACTTGAAGATTGACATCGTTTCATGGTTTTTCCTTGTTTCTGAATGATTTGTAATCTTTAAGAAGCTAATAAATTCATAAGAAGTCAAAAAAAAAGCTCTGGATTTTCAAGTTTCTGCTATTTTCCTCAGAGAACTCAAACTGCTCATTTTCTCTGCTAATTAAAAACTGATTTTTTTCTTTTTATTTAGTTTTAAATTCACAAGAATACGCTGAACTTTCTTCGCTTTTTAAAATAACTCGAAATGCGAGAAAAAGTCATGATCAGAGTAATTTCCGCGAAATGCAAAATTTTATCTGACTCTACAAAAATTAGTTATCTTTTTCTCTCTCTGATGCCGTGTTCAAAGTGATTCCGCGAAATTCAAAATAGCCGTCAGAGAAAGAGAAAGATAACTAAATTTTGGAGGGTCAGAGACCATTTTGCATTTCGCGGAAATTACTTTGAACACGGCATGACAGCTATTTTGAATTTCGCGGAATCACTTTGAACACGGCATGAGATTCTAAAAGCCGAAAAGTTTTCTGGATTCAAAAATCCTTCTTCATTTTTATTGAGAATGGTCCCTTTGGGTTCTGGTTGTGGAGTCTACGTTTGAATTTTCGAAAGTTAGGGAGCGTTCAAAATGAGAGGGCGGGCGTTTCTTTTTCTCTCGAAGCTCTTTTGTTTCCCAGTGCTCTCATGCTTTCGAAGGTTCAGTTCCAACAGAGATTTGCTAGTCAAAATATTTTTCAAATGAGCGAAGGATGTTTTTGTGGAATGTCAGTTCGATTCTTTGCTGTCTTGATCCATCCGATGTTTCATTCTATTAGGTTGGCATGAAAGAAATGCGGCTCGTTTTTGTCGGCTTCTAATTAATCCAAGAAGCAATATTATTTGGAAAGGTATCTTTTGTCGAAAAGGGCTTGTCCTTGTGCGTCATTGGATATATGCCACCCTAATATAATTCGAATTCAGGCGAATGGCAACTCGAGTGTCGATCCCGGCAGCCATCACATAAGGTCGCCCACGTGTAACATATTATAACTACAGTAAACCGATTCTCCTCGAATGTACAGTAATGTTCATATATTTCTCTTAAGTGTCTGTCAACTCAGAGTTTTTCATCAAATGGATTTTTTGTTCTTTTCCAAGAAGCTTTTGAAAAATAGTCCCAATTTTTGTCCCGATTCGACATCCAAACTTATGGTATTAACTATTTACTAGAGTCCATATATTTTATTTTTTTGAACCTTTCTATTCCTTCCCAATTTCATAAACTTTTCGGTTAATAAATAACTCTTTATTAATATCGAATAACTGAAACAAAAAAAGAAAAAGAAAAACAATCGAAAAACAGTAGCACGTTATACTTTGCATTATGTAAGCAAATAAATTATAGTAATGAGCCAAAAAAAAGTTGGGAATTAGTATCAAAACATTTTCTCGTGGGTTTTGTTTCTCTATCCTCAAATTTTGAGAATAATTAAAGGATAACAACTTGAATTAATCGCATCAACTCTGAAAATGACAAAAAAAAAACACAATCAACTTTCAAAGCTCGAAACGCATTGGGACTCATAAAAATAATTAATAAAATGGTACAAGGGAATTGAAGGTTTTTATTAACATTAACCTCTCAAGTTAAAAAATGGATAATTCACAATTCAGAAACGTTAGCATAATGATGGGGGAAATGCAAAGTGGTTAGGCTATGAAAAACAGGAAGATAAAATAATTTAAAAAAATGAATTGGGCAAATTTCATCGAAGTGCATGCAAAAAAGGCGATTCATTTTTGTTCAGGTGAAACATGTTGAGTTGGTACTTGACCCAAACTCAGTGAAGACAAAGTTATAGCTTTTGAAAGTTCTCTGCAAACGTATGCGGATGAAAAAAATCAAGTATTATGAGTTATATTACCTCAATATTTAGGTCGAAAATGGAGATGGTACGTACAATGTGTAGAATGCACGTCTGGAAGAAGCCGCGGTAGCAACGGCGGTGTTCAGAAAAGTGTTCCGAGTGGTCTTAGCGTTGTGGGGCCACGATTGGGATCACCTTTTTCTCACGAGGCGGTGGAGGTTGACGAAGAACCTGCAATTGTATAATCAAAGAGAGAATGGCAATATTAAGATGTTGAGACGAGATATACTTATATTTTTTAAGGTTTTCATCGTTCCTGTATTGATTTCTCATCCCATATATATTTTCCTGAACGAGCAAGAATAACTCGTGAATTTTTTCAAAAAGCAGCATCCCCAACATCAAAAAACCAATTTCTTTCAGTTCTTTCAAACGGTGATTTTTCTTGAAGTTCAGCCTGATAACTTTTTTTTCAATCACTAGAAAAAACGACTATCCAGATAGAAAATAACGCATCAGTTCTGAGATTTGCTTTCTTTTCGCTATCAAGTGATAACTACTAGTCAATTCAACACTTTACAAATGCTTTTTGACCGAGTAACGAACCGGCTGCTGAGCAGGATCGAAGTAGACGACGTCGGTGGGCTGTCGCTGCGCTGGGAAGCTCTTGGAGCCGTGGTGAAGCGGTGGCGGCGGCGTGTGATGCGGATGAGCGACGCCGTGGGCCATTTGAGGCGGCGGCACACTTGTCTGCATCATGTTCAGCGACATCATCGGGGCAATCGGCGCCATCGGAGGTGGCCCGTTCATCCTCAAATTTGGAAGGTTTTCGGGTTTTCAAGACGAATTCGTTGTTTTGAAGCTTTTCAATGTATCTTTAAATGCAGGAAATCAATACTTCAACAAGCAGATATTTATGCAAAAGTGGCTTGGTCAATTTATCCCTTGAAAGAAAACCTTTCGGCTACACTTCGTTCATCTCTAGCCTGAGAAAAGATTTTTTACACACTTGGTGAAAGAGTGTGCAAAAAGAAAAGGTTCAGAAGTTTATATTTTCGTTCGAAGCTAACGATGAATGAAATGAACGCTCTGGAACAGAATTTTGTTGCTAAAATAACTTCAAGCTGACTCTTTAACAAAAAAATCAATTCAAAGCACTACCTTCTCGGATGAACAGCTCCTGTGCCACGTTGTGGAGCTGGAGGACCCCTTGGAAGTGGGGGGAAGTCTTGAGAATTGGTGAAGGGAGCCGAAGAAGGTGCGACGCCGTTGGTGACGCCTCCTCCGCGACCGACGAAACCGCCACGAGAAAAGCCGCGAGCCGTCGAAGGCGGCGGGCCACGGTAGTCGTTCGAACCTTCAAGTAAGTTTTAAATTTCTCTTCCGTAAATAACTTCTCGCGTTTAGAAACCCGAGCAGGACCAAAGTAGGTTTTCCAATATTTGAAATTTACCTCGTTGTGGCGGCGGTGGTTGATGTGTCTGGTAGCGATCATCGTTTTCGCTGCTATTTCTGCGAGGTCCACGGAAACTCGTGGAAGAAGTCCCTCCGCGTCCACGATAGGCGCCTTCCCGACTGTGTCCTCGTGTGTATCCGGTTGCAGCTCCTCGAGTCACTCCTCAAAACAAATTCTTGGTTGGATACGTACAGAACGAGCGGAAAAAAGTGAGGAAATACTCGAGAAGTCGTATTTCTAACAAACACTTGGCCTTCACCCTTAGTTCGCCACGCACTGAAATTCTGTAGCGGAAAGTGCAGTTAAAACAAATATCTTTTTTTTTCTACAAAGATATCAAAATTCTGTTAGGGTTTGTCAGCTTATTCATGTTACTAGAACCCTGAAAATAAAAAGGCTTACCACGAGTGAAACCGCGACCTCCTCGAATCACGCCCCGGCGATGATTTTCAAATCGTTCGCTGTTGTCTTTTTCTCTCTCCCTTCTGTCTTCGAAATCCTCATCGCGATCGTCGTGGCGAGTGCTCCGGTAGTCGCGCTGCGGCCGTTCATACCTGGGACCACGACCTCTTGGACCTTCCCGCGAATCTCTGAAAGCTCTCATTATGATTAATTGATCACTTTTTAAAAACTTGAGAGAGTAAAATTTAAATGAAACAAAGACCATACAGAAACCCTCGAAATCGAGCTGTTTTCAAGCGAAAAAAAATTTCCATAATAACTTTTCTTTTCTTTGTCACTTTTCAATTAAATGCGCAAATTGCGGTACAATCTCCAATTATCTCGGAAGAAATAATTGCGTGAAAATAAACTCCAAAGTTTGATTCAATTTTTTTTCTTTAAAATCCTAATGCTGTGTTTAAAGTGATTCCGCGAAATTCAAAGTAGCCGTCAGAGAAAGAAAAAGATAACTGAAATTCGGAGAGTCAGAGGAAATTTTGCATTTCGCGGAAATTAATTTGAACACGGCATATAATTTCGCAAGTATTTGAACCTTTCTGCGAAAACACATACTTTTAATTATTTGTACAAAAACTTCGAATAGAGCTTAAACAGACCTGTGAGAAACCTCCTGTCGACCAGATCCACCCCGTGGCGCTCCACGAGAAAGTCGCGGAGCAGTGCCATTGACATTAGTCCTGGATTCGCGACGAGGCGGGCCCCCGCGACCACCCGAAAGTCTGCCGCGACTTCGCGACGGGACCGTTCTTCGGACTCCACGTCGCTCCACGTTTTCTTCCTGTTCGTCGCTGCTTCGGCTATCGCGAGCTGAAAAAAAAAAATATTATTTAATCTCATCGGACGATATGTCACCTTAGAGGGAATATCTATAGGAAAGATAACTATAATCGAAAAACACCATTTTCCTAATAACTGTCATCTGCCACCAGAACTTCAATCTTTCTTGATTAAACTGGAGATAAAGAAAATTTTTATCATCGATTAAACCAACCTTCTGGCTCGTTGAACTGTTTTCTGGGAGCTTCTTTTTGCGGTTCTCGTTTCTGCTCGTGTCGCGGAGGTTCCTTTCGGACTTCGCGCTCCTCTTCGTCTTTCACCCGTTCTTCTTCATGCTGAGGAGCCCTCCGAGGTCCTCGGTTAGTTCTGGCCCCACCTACAAAAGATTGATGACGAGAAAATTAATCGAGTTATATGAACAAAAATATTTTATGAAAACACCAAGAAGTGTAATCCATGAGCGGACTATCAATTACAATTAAGCAGACGGACCCTTCTTTTACTCGTTCTCATTCTGTTTGCAACACAATTGTTTATTATTATTTTTTTTCAGATGCAGGAAATCTACTAATTCAAAAAAAAAAAATAATATTAAACTCCAACCTCTTCGTACTCGCCGCGGTCGTTCTTGCGACTTTCTCTGCGATGTTTGTTTCACATCGGTTTCTTCCTCCGTTGAGTCTCGCCCAGCCTTCAAATCGAAAGGAATCACGCACTTCCGAATTCAAATTTTACCGATTCGCTTTTTCGACCATCGCCTTCCTCTTTCGTTTCATTTTTATTCGTTCGAATGTCAAAACCATATTTTGTAACGATTTGTTTCTTAGATTTAGGCCTTTGGAACTTCTCGTCGAAACTGCAAAATAAATTTTTCATTTCAGTAATAAACGACAAGAACTGTGCAATAAGAAAACAAAATCAAACCGATCGTGTTTCCAAGCGCCATCCGCGCGGCTGGGCCTCGGCTCTTCCTCTTCTGGCTCCTCAGCTTCCTGTCTTTGAGAATTCTCATCACTCAGCCGATCGTCGTCATGCATAAAATATCTTCCTGTAAAATATATTTCATTACACTCGATGCAATTAAAATATAACTGTGTCGAGGGATATAAGCAGGATTTTCAGCGTTTTCGTCGTCATCAAGCTTCTCTTTCTCCTCTTCATCATCTTTACTGTCAACTTCGTCGTTTTGACTGGACCCTCCTTCTTTTTCCTTTTTTGCATCGGCTTTGTCTGGAAGAAAATACACTTTTTTCATCCAAAAATCGCAGACATACCGATCACTGTTTCATCCTCGTCTTCCTCCGATTTTACTTGTTGGCGCTTTTTAGCTGGTGCTGGTTCATCATCTTCTTCGAGTTCCTTCAATTTCAGTGTTTGTTGAAACTCGAGATAGGGGTAATGAAATAATCGCTCGAACTTTTACCTTCGGTTCTGTTTTTCCATTAGGTACCGCAGTGTCTGAATTTACTTCAGCAGTCTTTTCTTTACTCTCTGCTTCGGATACGACAGCCTTCTTTTTTTCGCCCTCTGCTGGAACCGTTGCAGACAACTCCTCAGTCATCTTAAATAAATATATAGACGAACAACAATCGTGAAAAAACTTGAATAAAAAAATAAATATTTTTTTAAATAAACAAAATGAATAGCAAAAAAATGTTGTAAAATACCGGGAACTAACGAGGAAACAGTCTACAGAAAAACTAGGAGAGCGGCGTAATAACTGCCTCAAAAAAACCTTCTTCTTCTGAGTTAAGCTAATAAGCAGAACAAAAAGAAGAAAGATTCAGAGAAGCGAACGAAAAAAAACGCGAGAAGATGCGGGAAAATGCAAGCCGCTTGGAAGCGGCGCGCTATTGCGATTTTCAGGTCTCGCAAGGACTTTTACAGTAAGCAGCGCCCTCAGCCGCTGTTCTCGTTTAATTTCCTAAAGTCCTTTTTTTATTATTTTTTGAATTTTACAATTTTTAATAGTAATTTTTTCGCTCTACTTATTACAGAATGGTTTATTTCTTGTGCTTGTAGATTTTTTTTCGTTTTTGGCCTTTTCTTGATCAAGGAATGGCTTTTCTCAATTTATTTTAATTTTCGTCTTTTGAATTTTTTAACTATGAAAGAACAAAAAATTTCAAAATAAAAACATTTTTCTCTAATTCTGTTAATCCAAATCCTTAACTGTAAGCTTAACAGGGATTTTCATTCGTGTGCTTTTGCAAAAAATGCTGCTGGTGATGATTTACTGGTTTAACTTTTTTTTTTTGTGAAACAGCTCAATTCAGGTTTTTTTTTCTGTCAGAGAAGTTCATACAAACTTTGAAACAAAAGTTATCTATGAATGAACAACTTATCATAGGTGTACATACTTCGTTTCCCAGAAAATTTTATTTTCGATTATTTTCGTTTCTCATCAAAACATGCATTCAAAAGTTTTTCGCTCTTTTATCAGAGTTGACTCAAACGACTGAAGGTTTTGGATATATATTTCTTTCAGAACATGGTTTTCCACCGTGTCGTTCAAGTTGGGCGCGTCGTCTTTATCTCGGAAGGCAAAGACGAAGGCAAGCTCGCCACTATTGTCAACGTTATCGATGGAAACAGAGTTAGTTGGCTTATTAGAATTTTTAAACGGTGGAGTTTTTAGCGTTACATTTTTTAACCTAATCATCATAGTGAGAAAAAAAAACGAGTTTAGCTATATTATATAAACGAAAAAGACAAAAAATGAGAAGATTCACCCGCCTGAAGCTTCACGCACGCGCTACCAGTGTCAAAGGTTTTTTTTTTGTAGTCCTCAGAGACAAATAACTTTTCTAAGTCACTATGATGTTTTTTTTTACTTCTGAACGTAATGAGATCACAGAATTTTGCTGCTCTCTGGCCTGACAGAATGATAAACAAAGTAAAAAAAAAAACATTGAGAGGTCGCAGGTTTAATTGCATTGAGTGTTTTCGAGGTTCGTTTGTTCTCTTTTAACTTGGGTCATGGTCGTCGGAATTGCGTTCAAAAAGCTATTGGAAATTTATGGCGGAAATTGTTTAGAAAAGAAAAAAAATGCGCTCATCGGCGCACCAAAGTTGCTCCAAAATTAACTAATTCTTGTTTTGGAGCAATTTTCATTTTGTCTGATAAACACGTCATAAAAGTTCCATTCGTTACTACTTTTTTTTTTCGAGTTAGTAAAAGGACTACTAATTTTTTTTTTCTTTAACTTCAATTTAAAACAAAAAGATTTTATAGGATTTGAGCTCCTTTTCAGTTAACCGGTATCATCGAACTCACTTTATTTTTTAAATACTACATGTCTTCAAGTAGCGGAGAAATATTTCAATCTATTTTTTTCTGTCAACTTTTCAAACTTAACAAACATTTTCTATAGGTCACTGTCTATTTGCCCAACTCTGATTTTTTTGTTAATTATTCTTTTTTTCCTATAATTTTCCTTTAAAGTAAAAATACTGAAAAAAATGAATTTTGTTGAATAGATATTGAATGCAAGTACGTTTAATATATTTATGCTTGGAATTTCAACTTATGTTTTTTTCCAGCTCCTTGAAGATTTTTTTGGGAATTGAGGCCATTTGAAGGAAAGAGCAAGATTTTTTTTTTTCAGTAAAAATTCCTATATTAAAAAAACTATTTCCGTTTTGAACGTCTCCGTACAATTAAATTTTGTCGAACAAATCAATTAATTTGGAGCCAGTTTGATAAAGTATGTTTTAGGAAAACAGTTGTACCATATTTCACTTTTGTGCATACGGCCTTAGATTTCACTCCAAAATGGAAAAACCAGTGCTGAAGAAAAAAAAAACCGAGCCTAACGAAACTATTTTCGAATTACAGGGTGACAAATAAATATTGAAACGCGTTTGAAACGTTATAACTTTCTCAAAAGTCAACCAAACACCACCAAACTTGGAACAAATTTTATTCATACAATATAGAAACAAAATTCAAAAATAGTTTTCAAAACGTCCTCCTTTAGCTTTGATAACGGCCTTCAGTCTCTTCGGATACGCATCGATCACGGCACGAAGGTAGTCGTCGTCGATTTCGTCCGATTTCTTGATGAGCGCGGTCTTCAGAGCTTTGATACTTGGGTAGTTCTTAGAAGAGACCTTCTCGGTCAGATATATCCACACGGCATAGTCCATCGGGTTGAGGTCGGGCGAGGAAGCAGGCCAATCAGCAGCCGAGATGAACTCGGAAAATTGGCGCGATACCACTCTTGAGTCCCTTTGGCGCGATGAGCGGGGGCGCCGTCTTGCTGGAAGGTCCGTGGTCGGTTTCCGTAGTGAGAATTGGCTCAGGGCAACACCCTCAACTTCAAAATCTACGCCCTGTAGTATACTTGGTTCACTTTGACTCCAGGATCCACAAAAATCAGCGGAGTTTTGCCGTCAGCGGTAATTCCGGCAAAAACCATCACGGAAGCCGGATACGAAGTTTTATTCAGATTTTTTCCTTTTTCACAGGCACTCTGATAGTCAGTAGCGATGATCGGATGGTTTCGGCCGTTCTTGTTCGTCTCCACAGTGAAGATTTTCTCGTCGGTAAATAGCGTCGTCAGATGCGAGCCATCTTTCGTGCCAGCGAGCAGCTTTCGAGCCTTTTCCATCCGCAATGTCTTGTTTTTTTTTGATTCAGGAAGGCATCTTTCTGCATACGGTAGGGAATCATCTTCAGCTTGTCCTTGACAATAGTTCTCATCGATCCTTGACTCATTTCGTATTCTTTTGACATCTTTCTCATGCTTCTTTCCGGAGTGCGTCTGATTTTCTCTCGATCGGCTTTGACTGCTTCTGTAGTCGTGACGGTGACTGGACGTCACTTTCTTTGCATGTCATCTGAAGTACCGAGACGCCGATAGCGTTGTGCAGTTCGAAAAACGAGAACACGAGACGCTTTCAGCTTTTTAACGATCTCTGAATTTGTCATTCCGCTTTTGACACAATCAATGACTGCGGTACGGTACGGAGATGGGGCCACCATTACCTGAAAACTGAAAAGTATGAGCTGTAACTTCAAACACATGATAAGTGAGCATGAATGAACGAAATAAATAAAAAAATTCAAAGGCCAGTCCTTTGTGCAAAAAGCAGCGATCAAACAAAAAACGGTTTCAATATTTATTTGTCACCCTGTAATTCTGGCGATTCCAACATTGACAGGAGAGTTGGAATTTCGAAAAAGGAATAAAATTGAGTCTTCAATGATATACAACTTACGTGCAAAAACCTTAAATTTGAAATTATTTAGGCATTGTTCAACAAAAATTTGATTTCGCATATAAAAATCACTATATCCCGATAAAATGTTTAAGATCAAATTGTCTAAGGGCTTCCGAAATTCCAGTTTTGCAAATAACGTCAAATCATTTTATGCCGTGTTCAAAGCTGATTTGGCGCGCGCAGCGAAAATTTTTGCTGGTTCAAAAGCACGAGCCGAAACGCAGGTTCCCACGACGTGATTGGTTGGCTCCGCCTTTTTGGCAAATGTCCCATATAAATTTATTTTCAAAATATTTTTCTTGCCAGTTGGGCGGGACCAACAAATCACGTCGTAAGAATCTGCTGCTTTTCGCCGCGTTTCGGCTCGTGCTTTTGAACCAGAAAAACTTTTTCGCTGCGCGCGTCTAATTAGCTTCTAACGCGGCATTAAACAAATACTGCGTTGTTTTAGAAATCGCCGTAAATTCTCTTTCCGTGTTCGAAGTAATTGCAACGATTTCAAAAATTGACGCCTTATTCATTCAAATGATTTCGAGAAATAGGCAGAACTGGTTTTCCGCGAGAGCGAATATAGTGTAAATTTTGAAATCGCCGAAGTTATTTTGAACACGGCATCTGATCAAGGCAAAGGCTCTCGGTATACCCATTTTACTCATATAGAAATTGTGGTGAACATCCTGTAAATCAACTTTATCATCATGTTTCCAGGTTATCGATCAATAATATGAAAACAAAATTGTTCTCCTTGTTTACATTAGTAAAAATTATTAAAATAGTTGGAGCCGAAATCTTGCAAAATTTTCAAAAGTTCTCACGAGAAATTTCAGGTACTCATCGACGGACCCACTTCTGGCGTCGTCCGCGGAGTTCGCAATTTGAAGGAACTTCAGCTGACCAAATTCACCGTGAAAGTCCGTGTTGGTCAACGCACCAAGGGAGTTAAGGCCGCCGTCGAGGAAGCCAAAGTCGATGAGCAGTTCAAGAAGTCCGCGTGGGCCAAGAAGATCCAACAAAAGGCCTTGGTCAGTTTAAAAAAATAATTTTTTTAATGATAATTTTTCATACAAATAATAATTCTTTTTTTCAGAAGAGCAGGATGACTGACTTCGACCGGTACAAGCTGATGCGAGCAAAGCAGATGCGCAACCGTATCATCAGAGTTGAACTGGCCAAATTGAAAAAGGCGCAGAAGTAATTTTTCTTGTTATGTTGTTTTTCAATAAAAAAACGTTATTATTAATTAACTATTTTTATGGTAAATAAAAAAATCACAATAACAAAAATGTTGCAATAAGTGAAAAATTTGGCTATAATTGGAAAGTGGTCCATCGATACAGCACTTTTTCTGCTTCCTGCCCAAGCCGATCATCTCGCCGAAACACTGAAATTGATTTAATTTATCTTATGTTCCGCATTAATATACCTTGTTCCTTTGGCTCTCTGTGCATTCCTTCTCAAATGGACACCGCCCTTCTAGAAAAGGCTTCGTGCCGTCGATGTTAAAAATGTAGGATTTCACACAGGAAGTAGCCGCCTTTCCGCAGTACACCGGCTGAATGCGTTTATTATCTTGAGTTGAGATGAATCAAACGAAACCCGTCGATTTGTTTCGTTCAATTCCATATATGCGGGCACGCGATAGGAATAACATTGTGTAGCTGCACAACACGATACAATTGCCGCCAACATTAGCAACCGCATCTGTAAACTCAATTTCATTCGACGAACCATGAGAAAAAAAAAACTAGAACCCAATCTGAGTTTCTTCTTTTATGTTTTTCCCCGTCTACATTTTCTTCAATAATGCATATAATTGTAGATTCAATGCTACTGCGAGAGGAAAAAAAAAGCATGCATTTCCGGTTACAGTGGGCTGAAGGACAGCCAAAAAACAAGGGCGTTCGCCAGCGCGTCTCAACGCGTTACATGATCTTTACCCTATTTGAATAAAGAACTTTTTCGGAAAAATTTAACCATTTTTTTTCTTATGCCCTGTTCAAAGTGTTCACGAATTTAAATTTCGAAAGACTCTTTCTTTCCTCCGAAATTTGCTAGAACATCATATTAGAGCTTTTTAATATGCATTCAAAAGATTTATAGTCTGTTCAGATTTTGAATATCAAGTCATCCCTCAAACTCCGCCCCTTATGCGTAGATCAAACCAATCAGAGAGCGAGCCATCTACAGAGCGTTGTTATGGGCGGAGTCTGCTGCTTGACATTCAAAATGTGAACAGACTATATCAGCAGATCTATGTGGATGGAAATTTAAAAAAAAAGAAAAAAAAACTGACCAAATTAGTACTCAAACTGATAAGGCCAAACCGTTTATTAAGAAGTTTAAAACTATATTTGTTAAAGACTGAACCCACATCAGATGGAATTCAGTTCAGCAATTTGAAGCTCACGTTCTCATGGTTAAACATTAAAAATTTTACATCTGCGTGGCCATGCAAGCATTCACTAAAATTTTGAAAACTTCGGGTCATTCAAGTGTATCCTAATTGTTTCCTGAATGCTTTGACGTTTCTTTTTTTCCTCAAAATACTTTTAACTTCGAACGATTATCTTGATTTTCCCTATTTTTTTTATTATTTCATCACAAAGAAGGTACATATAAATTGAGTTGAAAGAAGCTTTGAAATATTTAGACTAAATTCAATCGGAAATAAGACATAAGTAGTAGAGTTCACCAAACCGATCGTTCGATCAAACGTTCAACCAATATTTTCATGACATGTTACCAAAATATGATTGTTTAACATTTCTTGCTACCGAACGATTAACATGTCTCATGATTATGATCTCTCGTTTTTTCGACATGTCAACATTCCATTTAAATAAAAGATCAACTTATTAAGTAGCAACCGGGTAGCTAAACCAAAATCAATCGGTGGTCATTTATCAGCTCACAAATACCATCTCTACTTTATGGTACATTGAAGTGGTATCTAATAATATCCCTATCCAACCTGTCTTTTGCGAGTGCTCCCAGGTTAGTATCAATTTTACCTGACTTGGCCGGCGAGATGGGTTGGCAAAAGTGACTTGTTGAGTACTCGACCCTGATTATGGCGGGAAGTTCGAAGTCAAACGCAATGGTAGACAAAAAGGAAAAAAAGTTTGCCATTCAACTAAATTCTCACAAAACCATAGAAATATGAATTATTGCAAAACTACCGAAAAAAGAGAGAAATTAGAAAAAATGGTAGTTCGGGACAGGCCTCGCCTCGAATGACCTATCTTGCCTTTGAAGTCGGGAGAGATTGCCTATAGTACTTTCTATCAACTAGGCATCACATAGTATTTAAACACCTTTAGCTTACAAATGACCACCGATTAGTAAGAACGAACAGTGAAGAACAAGTTACCACGAAACACTACAGTAGAGAATAAAGAGAGAAGAGCTAAACTCTGAGCGTTTCTCAAGATATTTTGAGCCGGAAGTTTCGGGTTCTGAAATGAACATCTTTCATAAATATGTCACCTACGACGAAAAGATTGGAACGCTTCTTTCAAAACAGACTCCACCCATTTTTTTTTCTTGGGTCGGCTTTTTTTCTGGTATTTTCGTCCAAACTACGAAAAAGCAAAAAGTATGAAAAAGTGGAAAGGAAACACAAAAAAAAAACATTCACGCAAATGATGAGAGTAAAGAAAAAATCCAGAGTTCAAAACTTCGCGAAAAGTTTTGAGTTAACGCAGATTCGGAAGATCTTTCAGAAATTATTTCGCTGTGAAATTCCAATTAAAGGCAACATTCTGAGGTTTTGAGCTAAAAAAAAGCCTTAAATACAGAAAAAAAAAAACTGAAGTCCATTTATTTTCTTTCAGTTGAATTCAAATTGGCAGGTAGATGGCTATTTTTCAAACCGTTAAAACGCGCGCAAATTTGTTTCCTAGGAGAAACGACAGGATCCGTATTTTTACGCCGCTTTATGAATGCAAAGGTTGAATTTGTTTTCGAAGAGCATTTTGGGTTCTCAAAATAAAGTTATGTGAAAAAAGATGGGGAGTAGTCTTTGAAAACTTGCGATGACTTTATTAATGCTTCATCTCTGTGGAATTCTCTGGAATTCATCTATTCCCATGCATTTCACAGTTTAACAAATCGGTCCGCGCAGCGAAACAAAACACATGTGCGGAAATGTTTCATTTACGAAAATTTCCACAATTATCTACGTGGAGTTTTTTCTCTCTGTAAAACGCTAGACTAGAGAAACTACTTAAAATTGAAGCTTTGAAAAAAAAAGTCTTTTCAACATTTTTTAATACTTCTCTTTTTATCCTGATTGCTACGACAAAATTATTAAAAGGAAACAACAAATTCAAAATCAGAAAACTGAATAGTAGGCCTTAGTATCAACTTCGATGACATTGTCCGAGAAGTATAAAAATACAATACAGAAAAAAATTTTCTATTTAGACTTGCTCATGAAAAAATCAATTATTATTTTTTTTTTTTTGGAAAAATCATGCAACAAAAATATTAATATTTATGTAACATTCTTCAATTAGATACGCTACCACACAAACCGTTAAAGAAATTATCGACCTTCTGGAGATCTCATTCGAGGATATTTTAACTTTACATATAGAAGAATTATTTTTCACAAAAAGCTTTAGTTGGGGAACACATTTGATCGGGCGGCTCAGTTGTTAAAAACACAGACCACAAATAATACTTTTTTTGAAGGATAATATACAAACCCGCGTAAAAAAATCAAAAAATTAGGAGAAACAAAATCTGAATAATTTTTGCGTCACGGAAAGGATGCACTCGAAATGCGCCAGTTTTAAAAAAACAAAGCGTAAATCATGTCAGCCAGTAATTAAATCTTTTTTCCTTGAACTTATCTATTTCGTCGAAATATTTTTCTCTGGTTTTGTTTTGAATATTCCTTTGAAGCCACATTAGACATTATAAAACGAAAATCAATTTATATAGAATCAAAACACAATAGAAATTTGCAAGGAAAAAGCTGCAGTTTTGGAGTAGTTGGGAAACACTGGAAATGGATAAAGTTGAGAAAGTGAAGTTTTTCCGCCACGATATAGAATATGTATGTGCATAGGGGCATATCACAATGTTCTCGGAGTTCAGCGACAACGACGCATTTGTCGCATCTGAGTGCAAAAAATAATCACAAAATAAAAGGAAAGCAAGTTAAAATGCTGTGCGTGAGAGAATGGAGAAAAAAAAAAATTAAATACATATTGAGGGTTTAAAAGGCAAATCGCGGTGGGAAGGACATGTATAAGAGAAAACTTAAATTACATCGTGTCAAAGAATTTTTCCTCAGTATTCAGTGCATGGGAGGAGGCAATACAACCGTAATGTTGACAGACGAAACAAAAAAAGAAAAAAAAACAACAAGATGATTAAAAGAACAAGAGAAAGAAGGGCGAATCCGTGTGGGTCTTGCATAAACTTGGTAAATAAATTAACTGACTTTCTTTGCTCAAAATGTTTTCACATACAATTCTTACAAAACATCTCAACAAAATATCACAAAAGTCTGATAAAACAAGCGCATTTTGATGCGAATCACTAGAGGAAATGACAGTGGGAAAATGGATAAATATCGAAACAAAAAAATCACACAAGAGCACTTTGCATGTTTGATTTGGCGATGATGAAAAGGCATTTACAGCAATAAGGAAATGGAAAAAAAGTTTAAAAAATCAATTCGACAAGATATGGATCTGGGAAATTCACATCACAGCTATAGTTTTCTAGGGTAGATTGGTATCGAAAAGGGTTGAACTTCAAGAATAAGGTGAAAAAAGCAATCGATCACAAGAAGATTTTTGGTACTTTGTGGAAACCTAGCAAATGATACAGCAACACGTGCTCTTCTGTCGTCGGTTCGAATCTCCGTTGACCCGCAAGTCTTGCATGTCTCCTGGAAAGCATCAAAAATACTTTTGTTCCAAAGATATTGCTTCAAAATGAATTTTTATCAGAAGCCTTCCGGAGATAAAACTATAAACGGAACATCGTTTCGAAAATTGAAAAAATAAAGCTCATATTTTCTTCATTCCGTGTATTTTCTTCACTCGAGGTGGTAGCTCTCTCAGTCGGCCAAGGCTACCCTAGAGTGTACACGGGGTCCGTGCCCGAGCCCCACCATCACCGCCGTGCCCGTACAAGCGAAACTGAGGGATCAAATTGTGGAAGAACGAGGCGAAGGACCGTAAGACCATGCTTTCTATTCAATCAACTACACGTTTTGACTTCTTTTTCGCCAAAGGCGGTGTTAGTGCCGCTCAAAAGAGCAATTTTTTTTTTGATTGATGATACTGAGAATATAAACTGGTCGAAAATTCCTTCTTTCACTGATAACCTTCCAGGATATTTCATAACTTATTATTTCTGAACTGTTCTTGAAACTTTAATCGTAACAAAGTATTTTAAAACAAAAACAATAAGAAATGAGAGATTTCTAGAAAATTTTAAATTTTCTGGAAAGGAAATATGATTTAAGAAAAGTGGGGCTGATCCCATTTGCAGAATTTCAACTTATTTTCAAGTCTTGAAAAAACGAGTTGTGCACCATACTGTCATGGAAAAAAATTCTTAAAAATTGCGACTTGATTAATTCGAAGAAAGGCTGGTGATTTTCTTCCCTCTCCAAGCAGAAACTAAAACCTAACAAAACTTCAAATTCTCACCGTTTTGACCCTTTTTGGGCCGTCTCCGCTGGCTTCCTGCGCGTTTGGGCGTCGAGTCCAAGTCGTCGTCGCCGTTCGTCTCGAGTTTCCGAAGCCATTCGTCGGGGCTCATCGGCTTCGCCTTGTTCTGCGATCCCTGTAGCCCATCACGTTTATTGAAGGATTAGCATCATTTCTTCATTAGTGTCAGAAATACAACAATGATCATTTTCGTAAAATAATACAATTTGATCCATCTACAATAATTTTTTTTTAAATGATTCATATCTCCATACCATTTTTTGAACTTCACATTCAGTATAGTCGTTTCATTTTAAAATCGAAATTCTGGCAAATCTGAACACGGTTCAATGCGTATAAAAATTTCAATTGATGCGATCCCAATTTGTAATGATTTTTTTAAACTCGATTTAAATCTTACCTCATCTTTCTCTTTTTGCTCCTAATCACTGTTAGAAGATATCGCTTCTTCAGATTTTTATCAGGAAAAAAAATTTGAGCAAAAACTGCAAAACTATCTGAAACGTCACGAGCCTAAACATTGAGGTTGACAAAAATGAAATTCCTTTTTTTTCAATACAATCCGAATTTTCTGAAGCATGACAAGTATTTCACTTTTCCGAAAATAAGATGAAGCATTAAAGTTTCTTTATCTAGTCATCAAATGAAATCACCTTGAGAACGCGCTTGTTGGGCGAGTCGCGAGGGACGGGCTGCGGTGTCGGATGGACGTCGGAGGAGACGTCTTCCTTCGACCACGACCTGCAAAATGACGTCATCAGACTCCGAAGCCAAGGCGGAGACGTGCCTGAGAATGTCGGCTCCTTCCTTTTGGGCCTCGATTCGCGCCGGCGTCATCCCGCTGCGATCGCGAAGCGACTGGCGACGAATCGCACCTCTCGCCGAGAAAGGATTGTCGCCGGTGACTGTTCCCTGCTGCGGCGACTCGAACTTCTTCCGTCTGCAAGTCGTTCAGCTTGATTTGAAAGAAATACAAAAGATGAAACGGCTCTGATAAAAGTCAACAGAAAATATTGACTGTTAATGGAAAAGGATGAGAATACAAAGTTCGAAAAGCTTGAATACTCGTCCAAATCGGTAGAAAATAATGAAAAACATCAATTTTGCTCTCTCAACACAAAGAAGGTAAATTTCAAATGAATTTTTGAGTTTCTCCGGAAAAAAATATTGCTCAAAACTCTCTAAATGCCCTGCAAAAACTTCCAGTTCTTGAGATAACAATTTTTTAAGTCGAAATATTGAAACGCGACCTTCAAAATTGACATTTCAAAAACAAGAAGTTTGCGCGGGTGCGTACTGCGAGAAACCTTCATATAGGCTTTTAGATAATAATCAAGACAATTTCCACAAAATTCCAAAATAGCAAAGAAATGACGGAAAATGCTCGAGTGAGCAAAAACTTAAAAAAAAAAATTGTTCAAAGTTTCTTCGAGGTTCTCAGGAATTAAGAAAATAAGTGGAAAATTCGATCCGAAAACTCTTCTCAGTTTTTGAACGAAAATTTCTGAGCATTGTGAAAAAAACCCTTTACGAAATTTGAATCAATGGAGAAACAAAAATTAACAAAGGCTTTGTACATTTATCAGACAATCAGAACATAGAATGATGTCGAGAAATCATAGGAGGTTTCTTCCTTTTGCGAGTTGATGGAGAACTGAACCAGAGCGTGAAATAAAAGGGGAAAAGCCCAAAAGAGACGAAAAACCGACTTTTTGCTCTGTCGACGGCTGTCCCGGACGCCGAAGGCCAGCCGACGCCTTCTTTCGCTCTGAACGACGGTGCTGATCACAGAGCGCGTCGTCGGGTCTTCGCAGAGGTCTGCAATCGGAGAAAATCAAAAGATTATTCGAATAACATGAGAGCACAGTCTTTTGTTAGAAGTTTTTCTCAAAGAGGGTCTTTTTATTGTCAATTTCATACGCTTAAGATCAAAAAGATACCCATAGGGGTTTCCCCAGTGCTGGTCTTGGCGTTGATGTCCCCGCCGTACTCGCAGATGAGTTCTATGAGATCCGGCTGGGCCCAACAGGCGGCCGCGTGGACCGGCTGCCACAAGTCGTTGTCTCTGAAAGAGGAACTGTCCCGGAAAGACGCGGATCGGTCGAACCTGGCGCCAGGAGACGCTCCACACCTCAGCAGGAAGGCGGCGACGTCGTAGTAGCCGTTGGCTGCGGCGACGTGGAGCTGAAAAACTACCACTGACTAAATATTTTATTAATCCAAGAAATATGTTTTTTTCTATTAATTCGAAAAACAAAAAGAAAAACTTGGAAATTCCCAGAATAGTTTCTCGTGATTGCAATGAAAATTGCGTTTATTCTCACAAAATTGTAAAAAGAAGCAGAAAATTTCGGTTTTTTACGTTTTTTTCCGTTTTCTTTTTTTTCAAACTAACGTAGGTAGATCCGTCGGATCCGCGGGCGTCTAGCGGGCGTCCCTGTTGATGGAGGGCTTTCATGTCGTCGAGCATCGCCTTCTCAGGCGCTCCTCTTTGTTCGTCGATGTACGCCTCAAAAAAATATCTTTTTTTGAATCGAAAAGTTTCTGAAAGAGATTGATCACAGTTTGTGAAGAAAAAAATGACTATAAGGAAATTGTAATTCCAATAGTCAGCAACAAAAATTTTTCGAAATTTCTCCACGAAAATTTGGATTAAACCAAAGTTGTTTCAGTTTTTTTTCCCAGAATGGAAAAAAAGTTGATAATGTCTAATGAATGGTATTTCTAAGTCTATTCGAACTCCGTATTGAACTATTTGAAAGCCATCTTCCCTAATAAATCAACTAACAAAATAATTTCGGAGGGATGACTCTCAGAGAGCTTTCCGCAATTCGAATATATTTCCAGAATCGGAAAAATCCAAACTTTCGAAGAAAACTGGATTCAAAATTCTGACGAAGGAGGTGTGAACTTACGTGTGTTTGAACTTCTGAGGTAAAGTTTCTCTACGAAAAAAAAAAGGAAAAAGCTGTCTTTGAAAATTAATTTCCAGGTTTTTCTTGAATGTAAAAAGTACCCTGACGGAAAAAAGATGAAGAAGTACCTGAGTGATTCCGCGGGCGGCCATTTCGCTCTCAATGGCGTCGAGGGTGGTTTCGTCGTCGCAAATGTCGTAGGGCATGTTGCCGTCGGCGTTGACCGCCAGCAGATTCGCGTTGCTGGAAAAACAGCACGAAAATGAATATTTTACACATTTGCAAGATCGAGAAAAAAGGATAAGCAGATGCTCTTAACGCAGCTGCGGGAAACGATTCAATTCGGAGAAAAAAAAAAAGTTGGATCCGTACGAATTTTTTTTCCTTCAAAAATTTGCCCTACTCACACAGCTGCTAACATCTGAGAGATGAAAAAGTTCAGGAATACTGTATTTAAGAGAAAAAATTTTTTGTTCGGAGCGAAAAAGGGCAGTTTCAAATATAGCAAAACTGTGAAAAAAAAAAAAAGCGATTTACTGCTTTTTCTCCAAAATTTTTTTTTTTTTTTTGTACTTTATTCGAACCTTAGTTCAAGTGAAATCACTGACAAATGGTACATTCGATATAAAAAAATAAAATGTCTTATTTTTCATGATCTAGATAACGAGAAGCCGTGGATTCTAAATGGTTCGAAAATCTTGCTCGTTTTCTCCTTATGAAAAAACTCAAATTTTGCTTCTTTTTTTTTTAACTTTTCCGTTTTATTGATTCTCTTAGACGTGAAAATTTAAAAATTCTGATTTAAAAAGCTTTCCGGACGGTTTTTCTGGCCCGAATTGCCGGTGGAAAAAAACTCATCACTGCGAGACATTCAGCGTATACGCCTTCAAAGCTTCACGGCATACATGGGCGGACAATTTATAAAACCCTCAACTCTTCCCTTAATTGAAATCAATACTACTTCCATGAGGTTAAAATTCGACGTGATCCTTGCCAACTCTACTTTTTTTAAAGTGAACAGTTATTTTTATGGGCTATTTTTAAAAACTTTTAAAAGTCAACCACTCCTGGTGAGCTAATTCAGCTGTGTATCTGTCCAGGTATACTTTTGTGTTAATTATGTGTAAAGAACATAGGAAACATGTGACGATGAAAGAAAGGAAAACAAAACGGACTGGGCGATGAGGATTCGGACGACGTTGATATGGGCACAGCAGGCGGCGGCGTGCAGAGGCGTCCATTGCTCCGTGTCCTGGGCGTTCACATTTGCGCCCCGTTCCAGCAGCAACACCATTATCTTCAAGACCAGCTCTTCTTCACAGATATTCGCTCATTAGAACGCCCAGTTTTAACATGATAGATAAATGTTTATTCAGCACTCTATTCGGTATGATTTGAAATTTTACCAAAATTGAGAAATTGTGCAAATGAGTCACTCGACAGTAGCAAAAGAACATTTGCTTCCAAGATTTTTTCCATATCTTTTTCTTTGGAGCTTATTTACGTTTATTGGAAATCAATCTACTGTGAAAATATTTGTAAGCTTGAAAAAACTATACGAAGCTTAAAAGAAAATCGACCACTTTTCCAGATTTCAAAAATATTAGCATTAACGTTGAAAAATTCAAAAACTTATTCTAAGAATTATTTTTCTTTACTGCTTCCAAAGCGTTTTGAGAAGAATAACCGATTCCGACCTGTTGATTGTCGTCGATGGCACACTGGTGGAGGGGCGTGAGTCCGTCCTCGTTGTGCGAATTCGGATTGGCTCCCTCATTGAGCAACCGCTCGACTGAAATAAATATATTCGTTCGGACAAAGACGGCCTTGCAAAATAATCTCGAAAAAGAAAAACAAGGATTTCTTCGAAAATGGAATTTGGTTGGACCTTCGGCGACGTCGGCCCTTCCCGTCGCCTCCAGAAGAGCCACCTCTGCCGAGAATTTCAGACGAGGTCGACGTGGCCGTGGAGGCGGCAGCGCCCGTTCTCGTTCGTCATTTTTCCGCAGTTGTAGCCGTCGGCGTTCCCTCAAATCATCAAAGATGAAAAACAACCAAGAAACGTCTTTTCTGGTTCATTCTTCAGGTAATTTTTGCCCAAAGAAACTTTTGACTTCGAATTTCTAAACTGCTGCGATAAAACCTTTTTAGGATTTTTCAAGCATCTGGCCTTTTTTGGAATAGTATCAAAAAACGCGAAAATTTATTTATTTATTTTTTTGATAGAACTGATTTCAAAAGAAGGAACAAACTTTGCGAGTGCGATGCGCTCCTGGGGCGTCATTTTCTCGATTTCGGGCAGCTCGGAGATGAGATCCGAGTGGTCCATGGCTACTGTGGCACTTGGGCGGCCCAATTCTCCCAAGTTTCAATTTCGTTGTTTGGTCAGTCACTGCGACGCCTCTTGCGGCACTGTAAGTTAAAAATGATACATTTAACAACCTCCTACCCTTTTTAAGTTTTTTCAAAAATTCAACGTGGTTTCAGTTTTTTTTCCTCATGTAAAGTTAGAATAAAAGTTTCTTTGTCCAGGTGTAAAGTTACAATAAAATAAAGACATTATCTGTCAAAAAATTAGAGAACTACTTTAACTTTTTTTTAAACTGTCTCTGGTAGGAGTGGGATGAAATGTCGCGGAAGATCTACTGGGAACTGATTAATTGAGAGAATAAACTACTGTGAATCGAATTTAATAGAAGAGTAACGGACAAACTTTTGAAAATTTCAGGCAAACATGAGATCCGAAAATCTAAAAAAAAAAATGCTGTTAAAATTAAACTTTTGTCAAAGTATCAAATGAGGAATATTTCAAAAATATTTGAGAGAAAAAAGAAATCAAATTGAAATTATCTTCAAATAAAATTTTTACATTTGTTTGAATTTTCAAGCTGAAATCCCGAAGAAAAGCCACTTCTCGCGTAATTTGAAGAAAGAACCGACAACCACTAAAACTCGAAGAGAAAATTGAGCCGACAGAAAAAAAAACAGAACGTAAAAGTGCATTTGTTCGGGGGGTTTCGAGCAAAACTAATGGGAAGTCCGCGCAAAATGGACAAAGCCAAGAAGCTTTGAACCAACAAGAAAAACGAGAAAAAAAGTTCAATTCGTAGTTTGGGCATGACGTTGGTGTTTCTCAAGAACCGCCAGTTATAGATATCAATGATGAATAACTGAGAAAAAGCAGTTTTTTTTGGACATTGTCCCCATATTAGAGATATCCTTTCAGTATACCGTGCTCCATGAGAAAAATTACCTTGAATATTCATCAAAAACACTGAAACCTAGGAAAAAAATTAATTCTTATTACTTCTGTACGGTGTTCAATCAGAATCTAAAATTTAAAAAAACAGAATAATTTTTCAAAGGTGTCAAACTCTCGAATAATCAGAAAACAGATTCAATTTGTAAATAGAAATTTACCCTCTTCCTCGAGCAAAACTGTCGGGACTTCGTCGTTTTTTCTAAATACACGAGTTTTTTAAATCAATATTTCCCATATTTCATTGCAAAAAACATAGACGTATTGAGTTTGAATGAAAAAAATTTTTTTTTACCCTATTGCAAACTCAAAAGATTTTTTTTTGAAATCACTTAATTATTGGGATAAATTATGGAGAAAAGAGAAGAAATTCACTCAAGCACACTTGATGGTTAAAAAAAATCGATGAAAACTCTAAAAAGTTGAAAAAAAATCTCTAGCTGCTGGTTGTACAGATAATTGAGGAAAACTTCAGAGAAGCATGTTTCCAAGAGAGAAAAAAAAAACACATAAACTTGAAGCAAATGCACAAGACGGCGGGACGGAAAATTTCACGTCTCTTGCCAAGGAAAAACGCTCGGGGCAAAATCCGATGCGCTTGGGAATGGCAAATTAAGTGGAAGGTCCAATGTGCAAACAACCAACACGAAAATCCTCCGGTTTCAATTTTTGCTTTTTTTTCAAGTTGCAGCAGGATAAGTTGGAACGAACTTGGGAGCGACATAAAAAAAAATTACTGAAATCGTACGAATTTCCAGATTTGCTTCAGGATAAGTTGCTTTTATTTTTGAGTTATATACCGTTTAAAATATAAAAATTTCGAACCGGTCTTGAAACAGCTATCCTCCATTTTGAGACATTTCCTGACTGCTTTTTTTTTAATTTTTGCAATATCATTATGAGTCTATCCGTTTTCCTAAATATCGTTTCTCGAAAGAGCACAATTATAGACTCCTTTATTTTTATTAATTAATACCAAAAATTATTTTATTAATTTATACCAAAAAAATCTTTTTAATCTGTCTTTTTTTACATCCATTAAAAAGTCAAGCGGAAACCCTAAAAAAAATCTAGATATTTTCCAACTTTGAACAAAGAAAATCTTTTCACGCCTTGATAACCTCCGAAACGGGTAAACCGCAAAAAAAAGAAATAAATGAACAGAAAAAAGTGTCACGCGATTAGGACCAAGCCGCCGCGGAAAATGTGAGCAAAAAAGAGAGGGAAGAAAAATGAGATTTCCGATGGGCTAAAAACGGCGAAATCACCTGCTTCGGGGGCTTTCGGAAATTCATAAGACCTAAAAAGGTGCTTGGGAAAAAGGAAAAACTTTTTGGAACGCCAAAAATGTCGGATGATAAATCCGGAGCGCAGATACATAAATCACACAAGAAGTTGGGTCTCTCGGCGGCATCTAATTTACGGCCGCCGCTTCAGAAATTCCTCGGAGATGCTGTTTTTCAGACAAAATCAGGTTGAATATAAACTATTTTTCATATAAAGCTTTCAAAATCACAGCTTGCAAAATCTCTGCGCATATCAAGTGAAAAAAAGATAGGGAAACACGAAATGAAACTTATTTTGATAAGGCATAAAGTTTTCGACAGAAATCATATTTGAGATATTAAGGGAATAGTTCCAGAAGAAGATCCTATGGTAAAGTCAAGAAATGAAAGAGAAAACTTAGAAAGTGGAATAAAACTGACCCACATACCATTTCAAAAGCTACACTATAAACTGAATCTCAACCGTTCGAATTAAAATAATTGTTCTGGCTTTAAGATAATTATTCGAAAAACGCAAAAAAAAATTAAGAGAATCGGACAGTAGTACTCAAGTTTTCAAATTTTGAAACGTGTATTAAAATAAAGCTACTATTCATTGTCAAAATTACTGCAAAACATAATTTTTAAAAAAAAATCCAGTTTTTTAAAATGTTCAGAATCAAACTGCTAAACTTCTAGTCTCGTACACGAAATACACTTTCAAAATCAGAAAAAAGCAAACCTTGACGGATGAACGGCAAAATTCAGCCCTTGGCAAGCCACATTAGCGGCGAAAAACCGAAATGAAGATGGAAAAAAGGGAGGAAAATCGCCTTAGAAGACACAATAACCGCCGGCCGATGCGGTGGCGAACGAGAGCCGCTGGAGCACACTTGCGCGGAAAAACGGCGGTCCGAACGCTGCAAATGCAAACACATTAGGGCGTCCTCGACCATCGTTTTGTTGCAACAATCCGCAACACAACCTGCGGCTATTCCTCGATCGGTTCTCTTGATAAAAAGAACAAAAAAACGACTTCGGAAAAGATCAAAATACAAAAGACAGTCAAATGAGAAAAAGGAAAACTCGGAGAACATAAGATTTTTTTGAAGTCATTTAGACAAAAAGCAAAAAATCTGATGAATAATTAATATAGATAATTGCCAGAGATTATCGACGTTCTGAATAAGGAAGGCTTTGGTTAACTGGCTGGATTAAAACTACTGCCTAGTACTGGCACGTGGAATGGATAGACGCGTGGCGGCTGCGAAGCGGCTACTTGAAGAGGCGCCCGAGACAAAAATAACTAGCTCAATACTTTTTCAAGGTTCAATGCATTTTTTTTTTGATTCTATTTGAGTTTGTTCGCATGAAGAAGAGAGAAAAGGAAAAACCTTTCTTTTAAACCGAAAACAAAGAAAAACGAAAGAACGGCAGCTATATTTTCGGAAAGGTTGCTCTGTGGACAATAAATATTTTCAGGCTTCAATGAACTTCGTTTTCTTCAATTTTTTTCATTCTAGACATAAGGAAGCCTTGTTTTGATTTTCCAGAATTTTTTAAATTCAAGATTTGAAGCGAAAATTTGAAAACATGTTTATGAATATTTCGAGGATGAATCTTGAGTAAAAAAATAGCATGACTTAGCATATGATTGAAAAACGTGCGATCTTGTTTTTAAACAGCTCAAGACGTGAAAATGAATCTAAAATATTATTGTTCTGGTAAGAAAGAAAGAGTCCACACGAAAATCTATCAGCTGTCTTGGAGTCGAACCCGAGACCCGATAATCGGAGATTTTTCGGGCCCAGAGGCCAGGCTAGCGAGAAAAGCCCTCGCAAACAACATCCTAGTCACATTCTTCGGATTTTTTCAAAAAATTTACTTTTTGCATTCGAGGATAATGACAGGAAATCCTTGGTTGCAAAAATTTCCATATTTCTATTGAAAAAGGAAAAGAACGAAGTAATAGGACATGAAGAGAATGATTTTCTGCCCAGTTTTGTCCTATTGATTAAGTTTAACTCATTGCATAGGGACCGCAGACGAATTTTCAAAAAATTTTTTTCAGCATCGAGCTTTGTATGATTTGATAGCTGTTTCGATTCAAAACTCAGAACCGTTTAGTTTTTCAAAAAAGATTGAGGATGAAAAAAGTTATGACGGAAAATGTGGCGCGCCGCGCACCAATTTTTAGTACTGAAAATTTGGTATTATCCATTTTTGACGTTTTTCTCGATTTTTTTCTTATAAAAACAAGTTTCGATACTGGTCTATTATGATGTAACAAATCATAATAGGGTGCTAAAATGATAAAAATTTGCTAGTTTGCCGAAAAAGTCGGTATTTTCCAGAAAACAAAAAACTGGCGCTTGCGGGCATTGAACTCGCGATCACAAAATGAAAATTCGCAGCGCACGCGCTGCGCCAAGCTGTTAAGTCCAGCAAGAGGAGCTTCCATCCGCCATAGCCTTGAGCCGTTTGAAAAGCACAGATTGCCTATTTCAAAAAAATAAAAAAATTTGAAGTAATTTAGCTATTTTTTTATCAGAATTTGTTCGCAAATCTTTACTCAAACTTTTCGTGGAAATTCACGTCGAAAAAACTGTTTTTTTTAGTGCTTTTTGCCTTGTTTAACGATTGTTGCATTAAAACGGTCCCGTAAATTTTTTTGGCAAAGACGAATTTTTTTATTTTATTCTTTTAATTGGAAGATTTTTTTACTAATAAATGCATATAATCGTTTGAAAAACCTGCGTTCGACCGTTTTCTGTGTGATAAACGCCGCTAATTTTATCCTCTAGTTTCAAGAGCATTTTTTTGCGTATTAAACAACTTTTTTTCAAGCACAGATGCTGTAGAGGAATATTTAAGTAAGCCCATGATCTAAATTTCGAAAAAAACAAAAAAACTCGATTATATTCGCTTATTAACGATATTTTGAAGTATGACTTTCGGCACTCCCTAAAAATTTTTGGCAAAGACGAATTTTTTTATTTTATTGTTTTAAAATTACCGTTACTTAAATTAAAAATCATTATATAAAAAAAGAAAGAGTGCGTTCGACTTGAAAAACACATGAAAAAAAGCAAAAAAATGACAAAAATTTTTTTAGTTCCATTCACGTTTTTTTGTACGACATTCCGCGCGAACGCATCAAAAAAAGCGTGAAATATTTTTTTAAAACGAAAGAGGAAGCTTTTTCTGTACATGTGTGTCGAATTTTATTAGCCAGTTCCACATATTTTGCAACTACAACAAAATGAAAGTTGAAAACCAAAAAAAGCCACTTTTTCTATCGCGAAAAGGGGCGTGGCTTTGCGGTCCCTATCATTGCAGTTAAATATTGATTTCAGAAAAGTAGGAAAAAATGAAAAGTAGAGGAAAACAGAGCGAAACAGACAAAACTCGAGTGAACAATCATTTTCGAGAGCATTTCGAGGAGCACCGCTGAGTATTACGGACTCGTGGCTCAGAGCTCAAAGGCGAAATCGTTTCAACTCGGTGTGGGCGGTGCCTAGCTCATCCCATTGCTCAGATTAGAGAAAAACCGCCAAAAGTACACGTTTTTTCAAAAGAAAATATTATTTTTTTGATTAGTACAAAACTCTGTCTTCATCAATTTACTGATTGGATAGCATGAAACACTTTTGTTCAAATAAAAATACCTCACTAAAAAAACTTATTTTCCGACCAAAATTTTTTAGGAAAAAAAAGATTCAAAATTACATATGTATACAGATTTCGAGCTACTTTTCTTGTTAGAAAAAACTGAGAAAAAAGACAAATTTGAGACCAAAAGCCCATCACATTCCCTACGTTTTGTATGCAAGAGTATTCGAGTGTTGAAACAAGAGAAAAGTAAATTATTCATTTATCCCCTTCTTCCAATGTTTTTTTCTCTCAAGAAGTTCATTCCTGTAAAGTTTTGCCAGAAGCTTTTTTTGGTTTGAGGTTTAAACTGTAGTTTTTTTGTTGAAAAATGAATCAATATTTAAATTTGAGAGCGGTGATGTCGAAAGGTAAATAAAACGTTCACGCAGAGAAAAAAATGAAGAGAGAATTGCGCAATCTGAACAATTTTGTATATTTTTTTGTACTTAAAAAAATCTAATTTCGCCCAATTTTAGAAAGAAAAAAATTCATCATAAAGAAAAAAAGAAGACAAAGATGCGTTTCGTTTTTTTCGAATTAAGACTTCTCCTGCTCTTCACACTGGAAAAGAAGTCGTTCCCGTGTTTAACCGAGGGCAGAACTACAAAAACCAATATTGCTTTATAATACCTATTGAGGCATCGAAAACAGATATATGAAAGACCGAAGAGATAGAATTGTGGTCGGGGCAGAGAATAAGTGGAAAAGATAGGCAGAAAACAAGTTTTCTTCGTTTCCGCACCACTGGCAACTCGCCAACATTCTATCTCCATTGATTGATTGATTGATTGATCGATTGAAGATTTGTTGATCAGATAAAAAAAAGGTGTGGAAAAACCCTGACCAATAGATGTATTCGATATTAAAAGCTTCAAACCCATTAAGCTCCCATATTTTGCAAACATTAAAGGACCTAAAAAATGGTTAACTAGCTTTGTAAAGACCAATCAAAAAGCCAAGGAAATAGAAAGGAGCCGGATATTTGCAATTTCCGCCTATTTTCTTGCTTTCAGACTCATGAGAAGACAAAAATTTGAATAAAACGACGAGAAAAATAGAAAATTCGGTAAATGAGCCTATGAAAAGCACGATAACCCACCCTCTGAAAAAAAAGAAAATGAAAACGCGCAAGTCTAGGGAAAACAACTATCTCAGATTTCCGATAGTTGTAAAGAAAGCTGGAAACTCAAGACTTGAACAAAGTAATTTCTGATTTTTCAAAAAAAATCATAGAAAGGACTAAAAAATAAAAAGTTCAAAAATAATTTCAAGATAATTTCTCATGTTATACGTTGAACAAAAATAATTCAATAGAAGATATTCAACTATTTAGAAAGTGTTAAGCTTACAGAAAAATTGAGAGAATGGACAAGTAGGTTTTCTGCTCGAAGTCCCAGACAATTATAAGATAAAGACAGCAAAATAATAATTAATTTGATGAGCAAAACATGAGAAGAATTAAAATTGAAAGGTGAAGGTCACCGAGGAACGGCCGTGTATGCACAAGTCACAAAATCCGCACGCGAAATCGCACAAAAACCAAATATTTTCCAAATTTTCTAGAGCGCCGTTCAAGTTTTAAGAAATATTTAATGACGCCTCTCATTAGGAATATTTTTTTGCCTGCAATAAAAAAACTTTGGAATTAAAAAATAAACAGTTATAAAAAATGCCGATTGTATTTTTTTTTGCAATTAACTTCATTCTCAATTGTCGATCTCATTTATAAAAACCTATGACGGTGGAAAGAAAGGAAAAGAGCAAAATAATTGGAAACTGAATGGCCTCCGCTTCAATTAACTCAGGCCGAGCGGCAGCTAAATGAAAAATTCGACACTTAATCGATGTTCACCGACATTTTCACGTATTCAGGAGAAACGAATGAGAAAGCAACAATATCTGTTTTAAATATTCCAGGTGGATAATAAGAAAGATTCTCAGGAAAAATACCCAACCCTAAGCTGTTCCCTAAATGGAAAACGGAAAAAAAAACCTCTTTTTTTTGCTAGCGCTTTATGACGTTTTCCTATAAGACAAAAAGCCAACGGAAAAGTGTTCTTAGATGGATTAATCGACGAAAATAGGCGTGAAAAGCTCAACTACAAACAGCCCCTAAATAGACATGAGAAAAGGGAGAAAAGCTTCCGGACGGAAGAAGGAAGCCGAAATTCCTAATTAATTGAAAATTTATTGAGTAAAGAGGCTTTTTGTAAAAAGTACGAAGTCCGGGACGAAACAAAATGCATCGCAAAGATGAATCGCAAACAAAATTAGCCGACAAAAGAAGACGGAAGAGGCAGAAGCGAATTAAACAAAACTGCATTAGCCGTCGCGATCCTTTTTCCTCATCCTCCAGAAAAAGCAACGTTGGCCATTCCTAGCTTTTATTTATTGTATAAAGAATTGCGAGAAACATTTATTTAAAAAAAGCCATTTATCCATAGCTTGCGGCGGTTAATAAAAGATTGTGCGCTGAATTTCTGATCAGCAGGAAGGATTTTGGGTCGAGAAATTCTGCGGATTCCAGGCTACTCCAATGTCTTCAGATCGCCGCACAACTTAACAGAGAAATTTGAGGTGTCACTTAAGTGGATGCAGTCTTTTTTCGTTACATCTTTTGCGCGTTTAACGATAAATGAATTCTAATATGTAGCCTGAGTATGGAAACCTTGTATTTAACAAGAAAGCAAAAGTTTAATAAATTTCTCGCGTTGAAGAAAATAAGAAATCCGTTTCGCTTTTCAGTTAGAATGATTTAAATTGATGCTTCGTACAGCTTATCTTTTTAAGCCTCGAATTGGCCTCTTTTCTCTTATCATACTTGAAAATGATTAGGACGCCAAAATCTTGATTTCAGTTTGAACTTTTGATAAACTTTCGAAAGCGTTATTTAGTAAAAAAGGTAAGAGAAATATTTTAAAAAAGATTCGCGAGCCGAACAGACCGATGTGGACGTTGAAAAATGGAACAAGGTCGCCGGAATGGAATCAGATTGAAAAAAATCGGTTTGAAAAGAAAAAAGACTCGGTTTTGACGTTCTTATTGCCACGCCTGGGTTGGTCGACTATTTGCCAAACGCCTTAATTTCCCAGAGCAAATAAATAAATGGGCGATTCGGCAGAGCTGTGGTCGAGTTGCTAAGTACGTTGAATTCGAGCTCGTTCATTATTTTGTTTCTTTTCCAGACTCAGATTTTAATTTGGATAGGACAACTATTTATTTTCAACTAAACATTGAGTCTCTCTTTAAAAAAAAAATATACGGAAAGTGGAAATGAGTCCAAGTAATATGTAAAAGATATAACATAATATCAGCGATTGGAACGGTTACACGGGCAAAAAGTGAATTAGAACGATGACGAATTCTTCGTACAAAAGATGACGTCACCTTCTGTCCCCAATGGAAATATTGAAATTCATGCTTACCGTTCACTGCAGTTTTCGTTAAAAAAGTTTTTTTCATTCTTTCTAATCGTGAATTTTTTCAAAAACTTTCCAGTGAGACGAGAAATTAAATAAGCTTTTTACGGAAAAGTAAATCAGAAAGTCATAAATGAACTTGAAAAATTAGAAGTTATTTTTAAAAATAGTATAATTTTTTTAAACATACACCTTACAGCTCCCTGACAAAGAAAAAAAAAATCACATGTGAAAACTAAAACATTCCGATTTTCTTAATTTTCAATTGAAAAAAAAAGTTTTTTTTTTCTCAATCGTCGAACATTTCTCGAATTATCAGATTTTCGATAAACCGTCAATAGCATCAGAGGGCTAAATGTGAAATCGGAATATTCCAAACGGGAACCACCGAAAATGTTGATTGACAGCGCGATAGAATGCGAATAATCGATAAATGATAATGCCTGTGGGGGAGTAAAAGATGCGCGGCGAAAACGGCGATTGATATGTTCGGATGGTCACTTTAGGGCGTGTGAATAAAGTCTTGCATAAACAGGCAATAGAAATATAACAAAAATTAACTTTTTTAGATACTGTCTCATAAAAATAGGTGTGAAGCTTTAAAAAAAGAAAAACTAAAGAAAAAAATTCAGAATTTTTTTAGTATAATTCTATAGATTATTAATAAAATAATATCTATATACGGCGGCAGAACCTTGAATTTATAAAAAAAGAGTTTTTCCGAGAGATTTCGCGCATTCAACGGAGGAACCAAACATTTTTTTAAACAATACTTTTTTTGCGGAGCAGTTTTAGCGAGTTTCTCCGTTTCTCCAATAAACTCGCCAAAAAAATTGAACGTCTTAAAAATGAGAGCTTGCAGAAGTTAAACAAAAAAATAAGGAGATATACATATAATATATTTTATTTATCAATTTAAATTGAATTAAAGAAAAAAAGATTAAAGGGATTATCAATGGAGCAAACTTTGCCGGTCATTTTTTTCTTTACTCACGAGAGGGTTCAATCTTCTTCCGAACAAAAAAATTAACCAAAGTCTTACTCAAAGTTTTTTTTTGGCATGGATAATAAAACTTAAAATTTAGCACTAACATAAACGAGAAGAAGATAAAGTTCGATAACCGGCCAAAATACAAGAGGAAAAGGAGTTGAGATGCGGTAAATCGGTGTGCGTTGGGGGGAGTGCGCGGAAAGTTGGCCACACCTGTATTATCCAACCGTCGCCGAGGAGGCCTCAGACGGCCAGAGAACCTCGTCGTCGTTGAACGTGGAGACGAAACAGTACGTGGGTCCGAATGGAGAGAGAGAGACTGGCAGTGGCGGCGGACCACCACTCCCACCAAACAACACAAAAACCTCAATGAGGAGAGAAAGAGAAGGAGTCAGACAGGTGTGCGCAAATCGATCGATATATTAAAGGTGACCCGCGCTCCTTCGCTGGAAAATTGACGCCCTTGGTCACCGTGCAAATTCGTGTTCTGCGTGGATTATGGTAAAAAGGAATCCGCAGCGATAGATTTCCTTCATGAATAATACAATTTCTCATCTTAGTGAGCATTTTTTGATACCAGGGTCATTCGTAAAATTGGTTTTTACGGGCTGATTATGTACTGACAAATTCAGCTAGTTCTAATTTAAAAAAAAAAAAAACTCTTTCATGTTTTTTTTTGTTTACTTTTGAATGACGAGCTTCAGTGCTGACTTCATTATTATGCAAAAACTGCGAAAAAAATTTTGTATGCCCCAAATCTAGAAAGCTGATCCATTGAAAGAATGAGCCGCAACAAATTTTAATTTTATGACGACCCAGAAAACAAGCAAAAAAAAACCAGAAATATTGAGAAACGTGTGAAAATCTGGCACCTATAAACAAACACGGGAACTCAGTTTTTGGGTGAAAAAATGAGAAAATTGGATTTTGCAAAATTGTTTATTTCAAATCCTATTCCATCGATGCCGTGAAAATAATTTTCAGAAATTTAAATTGTATCCAAACTTTATAGATATCTTTTTTGTGAAATGGACAGTCAAGATCCGTTCTGAACAAATCCAACGTATCAAAAGATATAGCAGATGAAAAACATTGGATTGGAAGAAGCTGAGGTCGAGCTGCCAGCGGGTAGTCTCCCCTTGATTGTTTAATTAGCCCAAATCTGCCAGGTGCTCCATTTCCTTGTTTTCCCAATCAAATTCGAGGTCATGTATGAGGACTGACTCGGGCTTTCTCGGAAAAATCTTCAATAATCTTTCGATGATAAATCTTTTCTTTTCCAACTGTAATTGAGAGCGACCGCTCGGGCCAGGGCTTGGGCCTCATTTCTGAGAACAAGTTGCACGGCCTCGGGCCAGACTCTGAGAAAAAAATGTAAATTTCATTGAAAAAAATTTTCACCGAAAAAAATCTTCTCACTTTTTTTGAATCATAGTTCTTTATAAGGCCGGGCCGGGCCGTGATGGGAAATAGCCGGGTGTTGATAGGCTAGCGGGCCGGCCCTCGCACAGGCCTGGCTCCTCTTTGGGGAAACAGAACAATTTTTTTGAAATTCTATCAGTTCAGAAAACGTATAAAAAGTCATTCCAACGTGAAACCTTCATGAACCTACGACATTTTCATAATTTCGACAGCTGCTGTCGGCTCGGTGTGAAAAGCCCGGGCAACCTAAAAACTTGACTTTTTCTTTCCTGCAGAACTCGACTTGCAACACTTTACTTGAATCAATCGAATAACTGCTTCTGGAAAATGTCAATGGAGAAAATGAACATACAGGAATTTCTGAAGAGACATCTCCGCGCCTCGAGCTACGCCAATGAGAGATCGGTCCGCATTTTCTTTCGAAATTTATAGTTTAAAAAATGCTGTCGCATGGAAAATAACGAATTTTTTTAAAAATTTGTTAGAAGACTTTCAGGTGAACTACACACCGGAGGAGCTGATAGAAGTAGTGAAACGAGCGATGGAACTGTTCAGAAAGGAGCCAAGTCTCGCTCGGATGTCGCCGCCATGTATCGTCGTCGGCGACATCCACGGACAGGTCAGAAATTTTTCGAGTCCAGAAAATTTTTTTTTTTCAGTACCTCGACCTCATCCGAATACTCAACGCTAAGAACGACGACAAAATGGCCTTGTCGTCGAAAAGATTCATGTTTCTAGGCGACTACGTGGACAGAGGTCGTCGTTCCGTCGAGTGTATCACGCTCATGTTCACGCTCAAAGTCTGTCCTGTCGCTCCTTCCCGAAGAAAAACAGATCTGTAGATCATGTATCCTACGCACTACGTCTTGCTGCGCGGCAACCACGAGAGCAAAGCCATCAACCACGCCTACGGGTTCAAGGTAGTCTGCTTTTTTTTTTTGGTTGACTGACACATGAAAACTTTTTTTTTCAATTCTATAATACGGTCAAAAAGTTTCACATTTGAGCGTTTCAGACTCCCGAGTGTAGAAAAAATTTTCTATAACTGGCTCTAAAAAAGGAAATTAGCATTGGGCCTTCCATTGGAAAGAGACAAACGCAAACTAGCAGAAAAGAAGTTTTGAGTCGAATTCCATGTTCAAAGTAATTTCCGCGAAATGCCAAATTTACTCTGATTCTCCACAATACAGTTATCGTTCTCTTTTTCTGACGGCTATTTTGAATTCCGCGGGATCACTCTGAACACGCAAAAAAAAAATCGTTGAAAAGACTATGTTTTCAAATTATACTGTATATTTTATACAGGGTTGTACTGAAATTCTCGGAAATGAAAAAAATATCATGAATTATCAGCCAATTTAAAACTCGAAAAGGGAGATAATTTGAATTTAATTTTCAAAAACCGTAAAAAAAAAACAGAATTGAAACATTCAGGACGAGCTGTGCGATAAGTTTGGCGAAGCGGAAGGTCTAAAGGTCTGGGAGCTGTACAACGAGGTCGGTGCCGACGCCTCAGACCTCCTTCAGCTCGATTTCAGGCTTTCGCCTTGATGCCGCTGGCTGGAATTATCGGCTCGAAAATTCTCTGCATGCACGGAGGCATCTCCAAGCACCTCACTTGCCTTGAGGATATTGAGAAAGTAAAGCGTATTGTATCTTTTCCAATACTGTAACGCTAACAGATCAAACGTCCAATCATGGAAGTTGCCGAATGTCCATTGGCGATCGATCTCATGTGGGCCGACCCTATTGATACGTTCAATGGCGGTTCCCTCGATCCGTGAGTTCGATGGCGGCGTTTTGGTAAGGAATAATGCCTTACAGTACGCCAAGGTACGTGGAAAATACTCTCCGTGGCCTCGCGTGCATGTTCAACGAAGCGGCAGTCAAAGAAATGTGCCTGCGGCTCAAGATCGAACTTATCGTTCGCGCCCATCAGGTCAGTCTTCTTGAGACTCTCTTTTTACTGAACTCTTGGCTGAACCCATTACTTTGACCGTGTCTACGATTTTCAGATGATGGAGTATGGTTTCAAATTCTACGCCGAACGGAAACTCGTCACCATCTTCTCTGCGCCGAGATATCTCAACGAAACCGAGGCATCTTGATCTTCGTCCTACGAAAACCAACTATATTGTTGCAGAACAAGGGAGCCATTCTGAAAGTGTCGAAAAGCGGGTCAGTTTCGCTGGTTCTTCTCAAACCTCGTGCCGAGGGTAGGTATTGCTTTGCTGGAGCCTACTTCAACTTTAGAGTCTGCAGAGAAGGCAACGGCGGGCAGTGATGAAAAGACGAAATTCCTTACAGAAGTGTAAGTTCTCTGTCTTAAGAGCCGCTGCCACCGAAGAATATTCAGACCTAATGGGAAAAAGTCGAGGAAACTGTCTCTCCGGAGCGCACCTCGTGTATGACGTAGTACTAGATAAAGGCATTTCAAAACATTTTCCGTCTCGAATCGATAACAATTTAATTCAAAACAACAAAACAAGAGAAATAACAGTCAAATATTCTAGACCTGAAAGCTCGTAAAAAAAAGGTACAGTTGTGTAATCTGGGAGATAGAAACTAAAATGTTCGAGATGGACTTAAGTGATGGGTTTGCCGCGACCGGCTTTTTTGAACGACGTCGCGTCTTTTTGTCGCAGGTCTGCCAGCGACGGCGGCGCCGCTTTCCCTTCTGAACTTCTATTCATTTTTCTAGTAAGAAGGTTTTGCTCTGAACTCTGGGATTTTCTGGAAGTGAATCAAAGTTTTTTTAAGATTCAAAAATGTGCCCGATTTCCTATTTCTAAACGACGGAAATTTTAAAGTTTCTCGCAAAAAGTGCAGAAAAGCGAGGTTCCACAGGCCAGCTTTTGAAAACTAGCTAGCCTAATATTCCTTTTATCAAGAATTTCAGACTTGTCTCTCCCACAAACCTCTATAATTCTGCAAAGCTTCACTGAAAGCCGATTTTTTGCCGGCAGTCGGCGGCGCTGGCACTACTGGAGGGATGCCAAACACCTGAAAACTTCCATTGTGAATTTTCAATGGAAATAAGAGGAACATTTCTGATTGGCTGTGCTTTAAATGCAGCTGAATAGATCAAAGACATGGCGTTTGAAGTACACCAATATACACAGAGGGCCTGGAAAATGAATATTAAACGGGAGAGTGAGTAGAAACGGGAAAACCGAGGAAAATTGAGAGGAAACGCCGAAAATGATGACAGGCAGGCCGTACTGCATGAAGACGCGCATCGTCGGGGGCATCTGGTCCGAAGACGTGCCCATTTCGATTCCCACCTGAGTTCCTCGACTTTTACTTGAGGTCTCATTCCACTTATGGACGGAAGCACAATCATGTGTTCCTCCTTAAGTTCTCTATAGCAAAGGAAAGTCATTTCACTTTGCGGTCAGGATTTTGCTGGAAAGAGACATCTTGAAGCCATCGAAACCTGTGGATCTCAAGCTTCTCTATTAAAATCTCGTGAATTTCACAGAGTTAATCTTTCACAATTTTTCAGCACCGCAAAACTAGCCAATTTGCAGCAAGAAATGCAAAGCGAAATCACCTACTTTGTGAATTCTTCCCGTGGAACACGTGAAATCTCTAGCTAACGTTCGTTTTTAACCGAAAAAGTCAATAATTTTCTTCAAGTTGGAAACTTTGGTGACGGCAGCCATGGTGAGAGCGGAGATCAGCGGCAGTGCATAATAGGGATCGGAGACGGTCAAATCGGTGAACCAAGCCGTTCCTCCAGTGGACAACCCAGGGTAGTTGACCTCAAGAAGGACGGATCTCGTGCTCATCTACCATTTTAAAACCAACTTCGACCATTTTCTTGATGGCGAAGAATTGCGTGGCGAAGACGGTGCCGTTGGCCAGAAGGACGCCAAGTTGGCGGCCCATTCTGATGTCTTTCGACTTGAGAAAGTCGCGCTGTTCGAGGAAAATCTGCTGCTGGAGGAGGTTGTTGCCTTCTTTGCGCGCGTCTTCGATCCTGTTCTTGAACTCGTTCAGCTCCTTGCGGTATCTGCTCTGCTTCGCCACCAGCTTCTGAGACATCACCGGCACCCCGATGAGCAGCAGTCGGAGAGCCACCGTCGCTGCAACTTTTTCTTGCAAGCAGCTCTCTAGAGATGTCATTCCCGTTTGGAAAATGCTAAAAAACTTTTTTGTGAAGGAACGTTTTTAGGCCCTAGTTCAACTTTTGTTGAAGCTTTTCTGAAGTGTACGTTAGGACCTCCTGAATCCAGAAAAGAAAAAAAATACTCACAATAGATCTTGTCCTCAATTTTGATCTTCAAACTTTGCAAAATACGCAAATAATGACAAAAAAGTTCTTTTCCAAGCGTTTGAAGCGTTCTAACTCGAATCGCAGATTTTTTTTTGAGAAGTTTGTTCCTTGTTCTGAAATCAAGAGCTCCTAAAGTACACTTCAGCAAAGCTTCATTGAAAATTCAGCGGGGGGCTAAAAAAGTTTCCTAGTGAGCAGAAATCAAGTTTTCAAAACTTAGAGTTTCTCAGTGATCACTTCTGTCAGAAATTGAATGTCGACTACAACGAAGCAGATTAGATTCTCTGAGAAATTATTATTTTTTCTTTCAAGTTTTGAGTTGCGGGAAATTCCCTTTTTTTAATGGGTTTTTTGAAAATCCATAATTTTTTTTCTTTTCTTTTTGTTTTACCTGTGAGCCTATAAAAACAGTTTATTTTATTTTCTTCCAAGCCAAGAACGAAAGTTTTGGAAAATGAAAAAAAGCTGTCGTACTTCGAAAGCGCTTACATTGGCAAAAAGATACTTAACTTTGAGAAAAAAATATTTCGAAGGTAGGGATCTCAGTAGAATACAATCAGCCACTAACGAAAAGAGAAAATGAAACTGGACTAAAAATTTGAAAGTGATGATAGAAAAAAAAACTTTAAGTTTTTCAAAAACGTCTTTCGAGTAGTTATTTCAAAAGCAACAAACCACATATTCTAATTTTAGTCTAAAGAATTTTTTCTCGTTCTTTCCAAGGTTGAATATTCACCTGTGACAATAGTGGCCCACCAAGGAAGGTCGCAATAAGTATGGATTCCCTCGAGAGCCATTCGGAAATAACTCGACGGCTTCCACCAGGAGATCAGTCCCAGCTCATCAAGAACTGATTCGCCAGCCTGAAACCAAAAACTTTGCCATAACTAGTGTTTGCCGCGGACGCTTCAAAAAAAAAGTGCTAGAACCTGGGCGCGTTTTATCAAATCGCTTCTTTGCTTTTTAAAAAATTATAATGGATATTTGATGCTTACCGCTTCCTTTCTTTATAATAAGTTTCAATAAAAATCAAAATGAGAAAAACGCGGAAATAGAAAACGCTCCCGTATATACACCCTAAAAACGACCGAAATATAGCATTTTCCCACCAATTTGACACCAATTCTAGAGATAGGTATCCCTTTTGATAAAAACGAAAACGTCACGAAATGCAATACGATGTTTTGAAATCAAAATTTACTCTTTTTAATAGCCAATTGAACATGAAATTAAACTTGAGAAGATTCTCATTTTTTTGGAGGCTCTAGAGACTTTTATAAAATATTATTTGAACGGGTTGAATGAATTAAATGAGAAATAGGAAGCAAAAAGAATTTGAGAGCTTTTCCAAAAGGTTTGTAAATAATGGAGTTCCTAATTTTCGAAACCCATTGTAGAAGAAAAACTTACCGAAACCATATCTTCAATGGTTCGGCCTGGTAATGGTGGAACTGGCAGCGGTGGAATGTCTGCCGATAGCTGAGAAACAGAAATTTTCAAGTGGACAAGATGAGAGATTCTCAACGAACCGGTACATCTGTTGACCGGAAAATGTCACCTGCCGATATATTTCGTACCTAAAATGAAATTGGAACAATAGTCGGAAGAATCTTTATCATTTTCAGAATACTGATATATACATGAAAAGACTACTAACTTCTGTATTCTTTATGAAAGCCAAGAAAAATTTTTTTCTAAACAGTGGCCGTATGAGTCATTATAGTCCATGAGTATAATACGATAAATTCGGGTTTAAAGATCAAAAATTTGAGGTTTTCAACAAATATGCAGAAAAATTGCTTCGTGAGATAAGTGAGAACGAATCTTCACATGTCAAAGGATTCAGTTCAAGAATCCATAACCGGATATTGATTTTCTCAATCAAGCCATTAAAATCTATTCAAATTATGTTTTTGAAGGAAGAGAAGTTTTTTTATTCATAGCAAAAGAATTTGGAAACTCGAAAATTCAGCAGGGATTTTTTCTCGAACAGTAAATATGTTCTGGCCGCTTTGAGGAACCCCCGAAAAATTAAAATCTCCTTTGGTAATTTCACTTCTCTTTGAGCCACAGGTTTTTCCTACGATCCAAGTTTTCGAACTATCAACCTGTAGAGGCGCTGAAAATGCAGCTGAACCCGTGGCGATGCGCGACTTGGAGCCGGCGGCAGAAGCCGTCCTACAAGAGGACAACGCCGCCCGCCGCAGCGGCAACGACAGCATTTGGACCCTTTATCATGTTATCACAATGTCCTGGGACTGGATGAAACGAAAAAGAATGGTAGCAAACCTTCTCAAAACTCTCTCAACAACATCAGTAACTTTGTAATGAATTTATTTTGGCGGGGAAAGGATCAATTGTACAATGAAGGAATGAAAGAGAGAAACTAGTATAACAAATGACCCTTATCTCGTATTTACAGTCGAGGAACAACGTTTTAAGCGAAGGAAAAATAATAATGAAGGATAGTGAAACCAAGACATTCCTGTCAAAAAGAGGACCTGAGGAATCTCGATCGTATTCTCAGAAAGTTCTAGAGCTGGACGGGAAAAGCATGGATAGAAGGACTGAGATCTTATCCGGTTGAGGTTCCAAAAGAGTGTCCAGGACTAATAATAGAGAGGATTATAGGTGACCCAATTTCCTTCCGGTTTGTTTTTGGCCTCCTCGCAGGTGGTGAACAACCGTTTGTAGGCCTCGGTTTTGGTCGGATCGGACTGAATATCTGAAGTCGTCGCTTTCCGTTTCTCCGCCTTTTTGCCATCCTTTCCTAGCAGCTCCTTTTTGATCTCTTCTGAAAAATAAGAACAGTGAGTCATTTGACAAGATAGTTGAGAATTCTTTCTTAAGATTCTTGTTACTTTCCTTCTAAATCATGACAATCTCATAGGTGGTTCACAACAAACCTACAAAAAACATTAATCTTCAAAATGTTGTTCTATTTACAATGTTCTTGTGAAACATTGAGAACTCATTTTTGATACAACATTTTTTGGTTTATTTTTTTTTCTTTTTGCAATATTCAACAATCCTTTCAATCTTTTTTCTCATATGACCTATCATACCCCTTCAAGTACCACCTCTACGCGGTGATGGGGAGGCAACGCCATTTATGGCGGCTAACGGTACACCGGTCACGCAATTCGGCTTGCTTCTGCTAACAGAATGGGCGGTCTTTTTTTAGCCCTGGCAAGGCAAAAAAAGGATAATAAGACCACAATTATGCTATAACACGTTCAACACCACGGATGGAATTTTTTTCGCAAGAATACCAGTCAACCAGGACGACAACACTGGATGACCGATTGCATAAGACCTCCTGGAAAAACGTGTGGTCCACGCTTCGATCAATAAAAAGGCACTAAAAGGCAATAAAAGGTCGAAAGCGAAGATGGACCATCTAAGTATCTAAGTAAGTAAGTAAGACCTATCATAATATATTTGCAACAAGTTTCTACACCACCATCTTCAATTTTTGTTGAAATCCGACCTCGTTTCTTTTTCTTCTCGGCGGCTTCTAAAGCAGCAACGTCATTGGCCGGTTCGCCATTCGTCGTTTTCAACTCTTTTTTCGCCTTTTTCTCGGCTCTTTCGGCCAAAAGCTTGCGCTCGTACTCGGCGAGTTTCTCCTCCTCTGGATAGAGCTGCACCGACTTCTCCGCGTCCCAGGGACCGTTGCAGCCGTGGCAACGATCCGTTTTCACCTGCAAGAAATCTTTATCATACTCTCCTAAAGAAAAAAAATAGGAAAAAAGCATTTATTTCCTCAGTTAACGATGATATTTCTTGGAATATCGACTGAAAAAATGATATTTAACTTGACTGGATATTGAAATTATATCCCAAAAAATTTGAACCTTTTAAAAATGAAGTGATAAGCCTAGAAAAAATCCAAAATATCTTTTTCCATTTTATCAAGCACCGAAAATAATTTTCCAACGAATTTGGGGTAGTTCATAGAAAACATGCCAACTTATGTTTCGATTAGATGAAAATTGGAATATGAAGCCAAAAGCCAAAAAATTTAATACTGGTGAAAATTTTAAGAAATTATTTGCTTTTCTAATGATGGAAACCCTAATTTTCAAATCCTTGAAACATATGACGAACGTAACTTTCTCCAAAGTCAGTCAAATAAATTCAAGAATTTGGACGATCAAAAATACTGGAAAGGACAAAAAAAAAATCCTTTCAAAATTATTCTGCATAAAAACCGACCTCAACAAGGGCTTTTTCGGAGAAAACGCAGCCGCATTGCCAATTCACAACAAAGTTGTGATTTCCATTCATAGGAGTTCCCGTAACTGGACACAGGTACGGCGTCTTCAAAACAACAAACTGAAAAAATTAATGTAAATTTGCAAAACCTGATTCACGTCGTTGTACTCGTCTCCCTTGGCGTCGTCCCCTTTAAAATCCTTGTTTTCTGTGAGTTTGAGCTCAACGAAATCCTGAAAGCAAAAGTATAAAAAATTATTTATTGTGTTTTTATTCAAGACTTGAAACTTTCAAACCGAGTCTTTCAACTAGAAAGAAAATGCTCAAACCTTGGTTCCCTTAATGTGAGAAGCAGAGAGAGATTTGGCAATCTGCTTGGTCAAAATCGCCTCTATCACGTCTTTTTTGTTGTAGAGTTTGCCAAACCGGCATGCAATGATGGGCTTCTAAAACTATTTCCAGTTAAATTGTAAAAACCATCCAGAAACCTTCAAAGTGCTCTGGGTAAGCTGACAATTTCTCCATTTCGTCGCATTTTTAACGTGTTTATCGAGTTTTTCCTTCTTCGTCCGCTTCTTCACAAGCTCGCAACGCTTGGGAATAGTTCCTCCATCGGCTCCCATGTCGAGTTATCTGCAAATTCAGAAATATAACCAAACGATGAGCCCTTAATATATTTGAAGCATAGCAGTACAAAAACTATGTAAAAACAAGAAACAAATCTGTTCAAAGATGATAGATTCCCTTTCAAAAAAAGCATATCACCGAATATATTCTGAAACGATAAAACTTTTTTTCCAGTTTGCAGGGAGCAAAAAAAATCAAATCAATAGTTTTTGCGTTAAACAAAAAATCGTATATTTTTTTCAGTACCTTTGATTAAATTGATTCAATGGCTTCAATATATTTGAATCAATTCTCGATGATCCCATTTCATCAAAAATGGTTGTTATCGAATTAAAATATTAATATTTGATATATATATCATTGTAATGCCTTATGGAAGTGATTTCGCGTAAAGGCTAAAGAGTGACGAATACAATTAATTTTTGTAGATGCAGAGAAAATTCGAATTTCTTAGAATTAATTCAATTTGATCAAACACGGAATAAGTAAACTAGAAAAATAATAAATTTTCTCAAAAGGGAGAGAAATCACTTAAGTGATCATGTTATTGCGAAAGGCGCCTTTTCAGTAGTCTCCTCGCAGCGCGAATGCTTTTTTCTCCGTAAATCGACAAATACATCGCAATTAAAAAGTTTTTTTGTAAAAAAAAGCAAACGGTCTTCAAAGCTTTCTTTAAAGCTAATTCACGTCTGACTTGAAAAATCATTGTGAGGATAGAAAGACTTTTCTTGACAGGACAAAATAAATAGCATGTGATATTAATTCAGACGTTACCAAGTTTCCTTATTTGCCAAGGCAGTTGTCAAAGCACAATAGAATAACTTTCTGTAAATTTCTATATGAAAATTGAAGGCTCAGAAGATGTCTTTAAAGTATCACTATTCTCCAAAGGCCACTTCTCCGTGGTGAGAGAGTTACGAAATCTGCTTCTCATTGACGTCACTTGTTTACATCTGAGTCATTGCCCCGATCGCGTTTCCTTTTATTCTTCTATTCGTTTGAAATTTTCAGTCATTGGCAATCATCATGAACTTCTTCTCGAAACCCGACCCAAAAGGTTTTTTTCTTTTCATATCGTTTAGAGGTTTAATTTTTCAGAGCAAATGCGAGAAAACAAACGTGATTTGCGTAAAGCAAACCGGGAGTTGGAATCGGATCGAAGAGGGATGGAAAGGCGAGAGAAAGAACTGGTCAGTTACACGAATAAGTTTTCTTGCAGTTTAGAAAGTTTCCAGGAGGCAGAAATTAAGAAGTTGGCAAAGCAAGGTCACACAGACTCAGCCAAGCAATTAGCGCGACAGCTCATTCAACTCCGCAATCAGAGGACGAAAAGCGTCGGGATGAGCGCCAAAATCAGCGGCGTACAGGCTCAACAAACGTAATTTTTTTTTCTTCTTAAAAAAACTAATATTGCAGTTTTGATAGAAATTTTCCTTTTCAGACACCTTCATAGCATGTCGAAGATGTCGAATGTGATGGGTCAGACGGTAAACGTGATGAAGACGATGGAGAAGCAGATGCCGTTGGACAAAATGGCCAAGAATATGCGCGATTTCCAAATGGCGCAGGAGAAAATGGGCCTCACCGAAGAGGTTCTCTTCATTTTTGTTGATTGACTCGAAAGGGTTCAGATGATGAACGACACGTTGGACGCCATCATGGACGACGGCGACGAGGCCGAGCAGGACGCCATCGTCAACCAGGTCCTCGACGAGATCGGCATCGAGACCAACAGCAAGGTTTCAACTTTTTTTCAGTTTTAGAATTAATATCTACTATTTTGATTAGTTCAAAGAAAGGAAAACAACAATTCCAGTATAAAAAAACGAGTATGGTTTGTAGGTTACTTTTGTTAGTTTCCATGAAGTAAGATTAAGTAAAAACTTAAAAAGATATATTGATAAAATAACGTTTCAGTCGAAGAGAAAGTTTTGCAGATTCCTGATTTTTGGCACCTCCCAAACCTTTCTATCAAGCTCACGATATATTGACTTGAAAATAATGTTAAAATTTTCTATGATAAATTTTTTCGGAATTTTCGGATACATTTATTGAAATACAACTCTCACAAGGCTATATTTCGTGAATTTCAGCGTGGTTATATCTATATCAAAATTTCAGCTTTCTTCGCTGCCAGCGATGCCGAAAAGCATGGGACAAGAAAACGTATCACTCGACGACCTCGAAAAACAGCTGGGGCGATTGAGAAGCTGAGTTTCTCCTATTTAACAAATAATTTGCCGATTATTTTTCTGCCCAAAGAAGCTTTCGGTAGTGTTTTTTTCTTTTCAATCAGTGTATATAATGTATAAATCGAACTTTTCTTTTCGAATAAAATTTCTATTTCTCCATTTGAAAGTTCACAATCATTTATTCGTTGGGAGAAAAAAACGTGTCGATCGGTTGTGTAATGCGGATTCGTTGCTGAAAAAACCTCTTGATCAAAGCAGTGATCAAAATAATTGCTCATGTTAGCTAATATGAGCAGCAATTGGTTCAAGAACTGAAGACGAACTTTTGATGATTTCAAAAAAAGCAGAGCTTCGAGGATAGGCGGACAGCAGAGCCATTGGAACCTGCCGAAAATTTTATTTTAATAATTTATTGCGTTTAAATCAATAATCATTGTAGAAAGCTTCATTTCGTGAAATCGAGAATATTTTTCGTTTTAAATAAAGGATTTCAGTATATGACGCACGTTTTGATGAGGTTAGTAGTGAGTTAGATGTAGGTCGCGGCAGACTTTCCGTTTATATCCTGAAAAAAAGTTTTTATTATTACTATGTGTTTCTAAGAACTCGCTTTCTTTTTCTTCAAGTTAGGCGTGAAAGGAACCGTCTTCTTCTCACCGTAGGGCTGTTTTCTGAATAGCGAAACTAATTCAAAAGCCAAAATGGATATTTTCTCACTTGTCGTAGATAATCGTCTTTTGCGGTTTTATGAACGACATCGGTTTACGCGCCGTTGATGCCATCTGCGAAGAAAAGTTTCATTTTTACATTTTTGGTTTGGCATGTGAAATTTCGCGTTTGATGAAAAAAAAAAATTTATAAGACCGTATTGAAAAGGTATGCTTTCCGGATCTTTTTTAAATAACCACATGATATGACCTAATTTGAACATTCAAGACTCATTTACGCTGTCCGTAGCATCGGGAGTTTTTTGCTGCATTATTACGGCCTTGGCGTCCATCATGCCCAGAAGCGAGCGAACCGTGTTGCTGATCAGCTAAAATTCAGATTTGGAAGAATCGCTTTCAAGATTTCGATTACTCGATTCCGTTTGTAGAAGAAGTTTTCATCGCGTTGTCGCATGGCCGACACGTCTCCGTAGACGTCGAAGAGCCTGATTCGACGATTTTTGCTGGCTATCATCGCGCACACACAGAGTTGCGCAAGAAAGTGCCCTACTTCCAAAAAAAAAAGAAGTGGTCAGATCATTTACAAAATCTCACAAAAACTAGGTAGTCAGTTCGGAGGATGGTTTTTGTCATTTCGAAAAAACTATGCATGTAGGTGCATTTTAAACCTCTGTACTAAAATCTTACAAAACGATTCACTCAATAAAAAAAATCAGTCTTCTCGAAAAATGCTTTTTTGAATCGTACGTTCTGAGCGTAATTTTTCCTAAAATAGGAATTTTTCTATTAGCAACCTTTTTTTGATAATTTTTTTCCTCAAAACAGCTTTCAAATAAAAATCAGTTTCTTCGTAGATCGGAAAAGATAAACGCCGATCGCCGTATAGTTCTGGCAGCAAAAAAAGAAAAGTCCTACGGAAGAGGTTCCTTGGGAGAGATTGGCCACTTGCCAAGGTAGACTTCTGTGATGAGCTCTGAATAGACGTAGAAAGCGATCGTCGGCGGTTTCTCGTCTTTCAACGCCCAGAAAGGCCGACCCTAGACTTTTGTCGGAACAGGAGTTCTCCGGAGTCGGGGAACCTTGACGAAGAGTTTGCCGTCGTTCTCGTAGTTCTCCGTGTCGTTTGACTCTGCCGGCGCGTCTTGTTCGTTGTCATAGTCGGGACAGATGTCGTTCTTTCCGTCGTCGAGACTTCAAAATTCGCTACTGACTGGGAATGTGCCTCGTTTTTCGCTTTTTCATGAACTCTTTGGCTCAAAATGGTTTTTTCCAGGTTACCAATTTTCTGAGTTCTCGAAACAACGAAAACACTTTTCTTATTACAAAGGCTAAACTCACGCAATGAAGGTGTCGTCGCCTTTCCGTAACTAAATAAAATATAAAACTATCAAAATTACTCTACTTCAGAGAAATACCTTGGTCATGTCAAAAGATCTTTTCGCCCTATTGAACAGACTTGCAACAAATCCTTCTGGAAAATAAGTCCTGCGGATATTCGAATTCATAGAACTTTTACCTTTTTTTGCTTTCGTAGAAGGCAATTTTGGCTGCAAAACTTTTTTTTCGAAATACGCTCATATAAAAGTCTTCAAAAAGAATTAAAACGATATTCGTAAGGTAAAGTCCATTTCTTTCAATGAACAGGTTTCTTTTCAAGTTAAAAGAACCTTCTTTTTGCCGGTCTTGTTCGGCGGCACAGCGACAGATACAGGTTTTTCCTGAATTTATATAATTTTTTTCGAATTTCTCAATCCAGAAAAAAAACCTTCTCTTGCCCTTTTAAACGGATGCTTTTCTGAAAAAATTTTTTATGAATTTTCTCCCTTGGTAATAGGATATTTTACTCATTGGGAGGTTATCGCTGCAAATCACGAATAAATCTTCGTGTTTTTAATTTTCGGGTTTTTTGTTTCCCTAGGTGATATGGAGACACGGATTGTTAAGGTTTTTTTTTTGAAAATTGAAGAGAAAACAGACTTCCTGCTTAAGAGGGTCGTTCCGCGACGGTATTCTATCATCAACCATTTTTTTCGCATCTTTCTGAGCTTTCTGGAAAATCAATGAATCAATCTATCGATTTATGATCGACTTCAGAATGCTCATTTACCTGAAAAAAAATTGCAGTCGTATTAGATTTTGTTTGAAGTGTGAAAAACCGACTGTAGTTCCTTACGAGACCCAACTTTTTATAGTTTATTTGAGGATATCCTCAAAGGAATAATCTCGTTGCGATGCTTACTAATCGAAAAATGCGGCAGTTACGGTGAAAGTGTGAAACTATCGTCTTTTACATGCTAGCGCACTGATTTTTTCATTTTCAAGGAAATTTTACAGCTCATGTCATTTAAGTATCTCACAAGAATGTCGGTTTTACCGACTGATTGACCTTTTGCGCCCCCTTCGCTTTCGATACCGGAGATGCTGCAACTGTGGCAGCATGCGTCAAAGACGGTTTCTGGGTTGGCTTTTTTCCTTTCTTCAAGATAAAACATTTTGGAATTAAAATCCGTGAAGGTCGAAACCTTGGGGTCTTCTTTCTCGCAGGAAAAGGTCGGCTTCGCGTTCTTTTCAACTTTTTTCGGCGTCTTTTCTCTTCCGGTTTTTGTCTTTTGTTCAAATTTCTGAGAAACATGAATTCGAAGCATGTCGAAGTCGAACGAACCGATCTTTTCTCGGTCGGAACTTCATCCTCCACGACGACGGCGGCTGTCGTGTTGCCAAGATCGTTTTTGATCTTTGACTTTTTTCCAAAACCCTGAAAGTTGGCAAACAAAGTCAACTCAAAAACCTTGAGAATGGTTTTTCGGAAAGAATGGAATTATTTTTAGAAACATTTAAAGGTAATTCAGTGTCATTTCAGGTCAAGACTTGTGCGCCTCGAAACAGCCAAACAAGGAAGAAAGAAATAAAGACATGTTCAGATTTTAATGAAAATAACTGGAACAAGAAACAGGATCTTTGGCTTTACTCGTCAAAAATGTCGTTCGGAAGACATTTCTCGGGAAACTTTTTTCAGTTTTTTTTCGGAAAAGTATAATAATTTTTCACCTCCAAAAAAATGAATGGGATTAGACTGACCGATTTCTTCTCCTCTGCTCCAAACTCCTCGTCGCCCACTACAACTCCCACCGCGTTGCCTGGATCTGACTTCGGCTTTGCTTTCCCCTTTTTGGCGAAAGTCGGGACATCCTAGAAATTATCACCTCGGCAATGATCAAAAAAGCGTTTCTCTTCGAATGAAAGACATTTTACAGAAAGCTACTCATTACCTCACATATGATTTGCTTCAAATTTTCATTAAAAGAGCTGCTATTCAGTTTCTATTTTTTTTATTCAGAGGTCTAAATGAACGCAGAAAAATTCGCGATTTTTGGAAAAGCTTGATTAAATTTTGAAAATTTGCAAAAAAATAAAACCTTTCGCGAATTTTTTTTCGAACTCAAAAAAATGAAAAATAAACTCTAAACGACACAGAATTGAAGTCTTTTCCTAATGATTCACCGCTCTGAAAAACCAATTCTTTTGTCACCACAGATATTCCTGCTTTAAGTTTTATAAAATATTGATTCAAGCCAATTACATTGACGTTATCTTCTTCAGCGTGGCCGCCTCTTTTCGAAGATCCTTTTTTCTTCCTCTTCTTCATCTTTGGATCCTCTATATTTGACGCAGTGAGGTGTAGAGAAGCATCCTAAGGAAAAATAGCTGATCTTGAACAAAGGGGAACGTTTCTCGCCTTTCTCTTACTGTCGATCTTTTCCCTCGACTTCTTGGCCTTAAGTCCCAACATCAAATCTTCCAACTTAAATCTAACTTTCGGGACAGAATCCGGCTGCAACCAACTTTCTTATCAAAGTTGCCGACTTCGACGTCCCGTTCTTCCGGCGGCGTCCTACATTTCATCGCTTCCGTCGACTGAAAACTCTCCCTCAGAATACAATTTGTGTTTCTTTCAAAAAATGAAGCTCTTCAGCTCTCTTCCAGGAATAAAGGAGAGCAGATTCTAGTTTCGCTGCCGCGTCTCAAAAAAATCTAATTCAATTATCCACTGCAGGTTCGAACTGAGTTTCTTATAAAGTTAGTTTCGTGAAGGAAACGGTACGTTCTTTATGTTGCGATTCGACTCAACTGACCGCAAAAATCTCTTCGTTATTTCCTGGCGACACGACCGGCTCCACGGCCTTTTCGTTACGTTCCCGCTGTACCTTCTCATTTCTGGATAAAATTTCATATTTTATTTTCAAAAATCTTCAGGAAATTAAAGAACATGAAAAAAAAAACTGACCCTACGTCTTCATGACTCGCGATTTTTCTGAAATTAATAAAACATGACCAAACTTGAAAATCAGACCAACTCGAGAGGAATTTCAATAACAGGCTCCTGAGCAGGTACTACACTAAAAATTTCTGATATAATAAAAAAATAACAAAAATCTATTTTAACTCTTCTGTAACTTTCCTCACGCTCGTACGACTTTTAGAAATCGGCGTTCTCTTCTTTGCTTCTTTTTTTTCTTTGACCGCCTTTTCGCCCCTTCTAAACAGAAATACGCTATGTACTGTAAAAAGACTTTAGAAAAGATAACTTCATTCGAAACTATTGTGAATTCATAAACTCAACGCAATGTAAAGTAATGCCCCTGGCAGAGGCCAGAGACGCAGGCGAAGACCGCCTCCTACCTATAAAAGGCAGGGACGATCTTCAGCTGGGTCGAAATCCTCCCGGCCTGAGGTCAATCCCTCGATTCCTATTTTGATTATATAATACTTTCTAATCGACTAATGAATTTATTCTAATATGATCAGTCTATATTCGGACCACATCGAAACTACCGATGGAGTCTCGGCATGGCCAAAGCCGAGGACTCACAGCAATATCGAGAGATGAAACTTCACGAATTTCCGAAAAATGCGAAACATTTAAATTTCGAAAAAAATTAAGTTGATTTTGAGTTCTTTTACTTTCAGAGTTCTAATAAAAACTTGTAAGACTGACTGATCATACCATTTTTTTTCAAATTTTCCTTAGTAAAAACTCACCCAGGAACGATATAGAAAAAAAGTCTGCTTAACTTTTCAAGAAATAAAACAAAACTGGCAAGACCGGTTCGATTTCCAACAAAGAATCCGCAAAAATTTTAAAAAGACATTTTCTCCAAATCGTAACACTCCATGATTTCTTGTGTCAATAAGACTGTAACATACACGGAAGTATTGCTCGCTGCCTTTCTGATCGTTTTTTCGGATGCTTTTACTCGCTGTAAAAATTCCATTCATCAAAAAAGCTGTTTAGAAACGGCCTCAATTTTCAGCGAACCTCTCCGTTCTCTCCTTCGTCCATCGCTCAACCACCGACGGAGAAAAGCACTGCTAGAAATAGCAATACGACGAACAGAAACCCACGCTCGACGTCAGAAAAGAATAATTTCTATTTCTCACAAGAAGCCAGAGTTATCTTCGGAATGTCTTATGATTTTTTCCGAGTAGTTTGAAGATCCAGGTAATCATTTCTCAGAATCTCTGCTTAAGCTTCCTTTTTTAGTGTTACTTTTATTAATAAGTTGCTTTTGGTTGCAGACTTGGGTTGAACGTAATCTTAAAATCTCTTATCTCCAATTCAGAAGCTTTCGAGAGACAGAAACTTTTAAGGTTTCTGGTAAAAAATTTTCAGTCACTTAGCAAATTCTTGGAAAGTTTCGAAACCAACACCTAAATTAACTCACTTGTCGGTTTTTTTTTTTGACTTTCGATGATAAGGGCAGTAAGAAGGTGGAATGAGTACTCGAAAATAGAAAGAGTTCTCTGCTAAAGGGTACTGAGAAAAAACCCGTCGAAAATGTACGGAAAAGGCTCAAAAACTGATTTTCTTCGATTTTCGGTTTTTATTTTCAGAGTTAACTTTATCAAAAGTGACACGAAAAATATTTTTTCATTACCTTCAAACCCCAAAAATTTTGATAAACCAGAGCTTTCAAATTCGCAAAAGAGTTCAATTTATCTGACAGAAAAAAAAAACGGTAAGAAGGTGAGATAACGTTGAGAATCATAATACACGTGAGTATCTTGGAATGTGAGTGGATTATTGACAAAGTTAAAACGTAATATCTAAAATTACAGGACAATGGTCGCTTCCAGTGACAGTGCGCATTATTCCACTAGTTTTGACCTGAAAAAGACCGTTGAATTCACAAAGAAAAAAGTCTTTAATTTTCTGTTTGTTAATTTTATTACTTTTTTTCAAAGAGAATTATCATGTTCGAATTTTTGATTTCTGCTGGCTACATTATTTACGGATAGTTGATATGTGAAATAATTTATTTTTGCAATTCGAAATTTTTTTCGAAAATCGGCTAGAAGACTTTGTTTGGTACTTATACTAGTAGGTATCTTTGATGATGAATGAAATATTTATTTCGCTCCCAGACAGATCTGTGGCGTGGAGGAAGCGAACCAAGAAAGTTATAATCTAAAAAACAGTTATTTTTAAGCCTTTCTGAAAACATCCAGTTTTAAAGGTGAAACTCGAAATCACAAGCCAAAGTGAACCTTTTCCATGATTCGATTGCTCACAACGTAATAGTCCAAACGCCATCCGACGTCGTTTTCCCGCGCGGAGCCGATATAAGACCAGTACGTGTAAGCCTTCTCGTCAGGATGTAAAGTTCGGAACGTGTCCTCAAGATTTATTTTTAGAAATTTAGCCACAGAACATTCTGAAAACTTTTTCAGAAATATGCAATTAAATTTTTGTGTCAAGATTTTTTCGATCGGGAGCGATGTATCGTGAAAATTTTGACCCCTGATCTTTTTTTTCAAACACATGAGGATGAAAGCTGGAGAAGTTATTAGGCTGAAAAAAGAAGTTTAAACGTTTTCTGACACTAGTCCACAGTAGACAGTAAGAAAAACACCCAATGGTGAGAAAACAAAAAGAAAAAATGAAGGGGCTCAAATGTAATAGAAATTTGAAGCAATAATTGGTGACACCCTAACACGTACTTTAACATTATCAGGCTACCTTGAATCCTGCGGCAAGAAGATCTGTGAACCATCCTCTTTCTTGATCCGTGAACCCAGCCGTCTTGTTTCTGTTGCTTTCCGGATTTCGTAGATCTGCAGAGGAAGTTAATCTTAGAATTTCGAAAAGTTTTTCTAGTGAACTAAATTTTTCAGGGGCGGAGTCACGATAAAAAAGACAACGTACACATACCGAAAATATTTTTTGAATTGGCTACTAGATGAGAGAACCCGAATTTTTTTCAATTACATGTTTCCGTTCTCTAAACACTTTGAAAGTGGCTTGAAACTTGAAGAAACCCAACCTTTTTCAAAAAAACTGAAAACCAACACCTTTTTCATTTTCAATTTTTCAATTATTTTTTTAAATGAAAAACTTTCCTGTTGTTTTTAAATATTGACAGGCAAAAAAATTGAGGAAACAGCTGTTTACATAGAACAGCTTTGATTATCGGAGCACTAAACATCAGCTGATCATTATTTACTCCGTTTTCTTTCTAACGCTCGAGATAACAGTTAAAACTCATCAAAAAATTGATAGTGAAAAGAATTTAGAAGAAGAGGAAATCTTTCAAGAGTATTTCAACTTCTTAAAAAAATTATGTGAGAATTTTTTTCAACTTCCCAGTGTTTCGTTAAATACACCTCAACGCTCTCGATTAGCGCAATCGGTCACCACATTTTAATTACAAAAATGAAACTCTGCTACTAACACACCATTTAACTTTTCAAAGTTTACTGACCCTTAAAAGACTAATTCAAAACGACAATGGATTAACTTTAAATTAAATTTTTGCAAACCTTCAAACGCGGTAACTTTTCCAGGAATTTAAAAAAAAAGGAGGAAAAGATATAAGGAACCTCCTCCTAAGAACCGTTATAAAATTGATTACCATAATTATGCACAAATATGGAAATGAAGAAAGTCAACGTGAAGATTATTTGAAATAGAGAAAAAAAAACCTATTTCGCTGTGAGCCACGTTCAAATCGCCGCCATAAATAACGGGCTTGGTTTTGTCGAGGTCCTGTATTTTCTCCAAAAAAATCTTCTCCCAACGTTCGCGCTTAGAAAGGTTGACGAGTCCGCGACCAGAATTGGGTACATAGACGCCGATGAAGAAAAAATGACTGTATTCGGCGATTATCAGTCGACCTTCTTTGTCAAATTCCTCGTCTCCGATCCCTTGGATCACCTGTTATGAAGGTCAAAAAGTTATAATATACAAATTTCATCAAGACAGGAACGTACTTTTATTGGTGCGACCTTCGATAACAGTCCTACGCCAGCATAACCTCCTTTCTGCGAAGCGACTAACGTTTTCTTGTAGTCCTTAATATCTGATAATTTATATAAATGTATTCTAACTGAAAGGCTCATGGTCTTCATAAGTTTGACGTTTTTTTTTTCCAAGTTCTCATTTCAACGACGAGCATAGGTAAAGAAAAACTGCTAAACCTTGAACTTTGTTTCGATCAACGGAGGCCACTCGTTGCATTTCGTTTCACCCAAAAATATCAAATCAGGACTTTCGCTCAATATCTTTTCGAAATCATTTTTCTGAACTGCTCAAATTAATCATTAATCGTTCCATAGTAAATACCTTGACACATGCACGGAGACCGGCAACATTCCATGACAAAATGCGCCAGCTCTTTTTTTCACCTGCATCAGCGACGAAAGAAGGCTTGACGCGGGTGAAAATTGGCGCAATAGCTTCTGCCGAAGGAACAGATGATTCACAAGGTGATGCCTTTCTCTTTGGCATGAATCTGCTCAAGGCTTTCAACTTAAGGAGAACCGTCGGGAAAATGGTGCGATAATTCTCATTGGGTTGTAATTTTTTTCTTTTCGAGTGCAATACTTTAGCTTATGAATACAGTTTGAGATAACAAAAAAATCGCAATAACATTTAAAAGTTTATTTCTGAAGCAACACAATGAAGAATATTAACGATACAAACGATGTTCAATAAAATTAATTCATTGGAATGGTGTACAATGGTAGTCGAGATCGTGACTGAGGAGTCATTTACTTGTTGGCGTAGTTGACACGGAGGTTGCGGCCATTGAATGACATGCCGTTGAGGGTCTCTACTGCCGCTTGTGCTCCAGCCTCATCCGCGAACTCGCAGAATCCGAATCCCTTCGGGCGGCCAGTTTCCCTGTCGTAGACGATTCTGAATGTAAATGAGTAGGTAATTTGTTTCTGAAACTTGAAACTAACCTGACATTCGTGACTGTTCCAGCCTGGCTGAAGTAGTTACCGATATCATTTTCGGTCGTCTGGTATGGGATGTTTCCAACTATAAAGAAATACTGTTATACATTGACAGCGATTGATTGAAAAAAACAAAACCCGCTCAGTTATATATGCACTGAGAAAGCAGTTACAAGGCGAGGCACCCTACACTACACTACTAAGACTCCTACGAGAATAATTGTAGAAGTGCCTTCACCATACTTTATCATTTTCGTCGCTCTGCGCAGAAGCACTTCCGTCGCGTGGGTTGCTTGGATTATTTATCTAACCAGGGGGTTCTACCTGAAATATCGGAAAGTTTCAATTCGTCGCTGGCGAAACCATTGAGAACACCGATGAAAACTGTCGATAGCGTCATACAATAATAACTAATGGGAACTTAAGGGGAAATTCACATTATTATTTCACATTATTGAAAAGTAAGAAGTCCTTCAATTATTTAAAAAAAATTCTTTCATTGAAATCTTAACATATTCAGTTATTGAAACCAACCGTAAACTGAGAATCCTTGACGAGCGGTGGCCATCATAATTTTAGGATTTGAAAAAAAAAGGGAGAGGAGAAGATTCAACCGGGCTGCGACACGCGAAGACGGTGGAATGACAATTGGGACGCTGAGACGCGACGCGTTGACCGCAACGTACTCAGCGCTGCAGCGCATTCCATTGGTCTTGCCACGATAAGTATGAAAGTTTGGCAAATATCCAACTCCAGTAAATTGTATTTCTTCTGTTTTCTTTTAATCATTCTCATTGGGTTCAGCTCATGATCGTTCTCATTGATCCATTTTCGGGCTTTGATATTATGTAGTAACTTGTTTTATTTAAATAAAATAATCTTCAAGAACGGTTTGAAATAAAATCGTAATATTGTTTTATGCAATAATTTTTTTCGTTAATTGATAAGTACTGATGTAAAGAATGAATCAGATTAATTTTCCAGGGGGAATGCCTCTAACAAAGCGTTCTATATCACCTGTCACAGTAAGCCGAGGAACTCTTCCACCGAACATCCAAAGAGACGAGCTTCAATGTGTGGCCAACGGCACTCTGGCAAACTTGATACGACAGTTGGGATCGCTCAGCAAGCATTCTGAGGACGTTTTCGGAGAGATCTATCACGACGCTATGAAGATTCAACACAAAACGAACACTCTAGAACAGAGAGTGAGTAGACTTCATGAAAAGATCAAAGATTTGGACATCAACAATGACCAAGGTATGCTCGAGCTCGTTTCAATTAAAAAAAAAACTTTTTCAGCAAGCCTAAACCAGGCGAACATGAGGAAAGCGTTCAAAAGCTCGATGTTGGTCGATCAGCACGTTTTCGACAGAAGCACGCTTCCAACGGCTCTTTCGGAAAGATACGCCATGTGCGACCAGCCTCCTAATTTGAATGCGCTGAACCAGTACAGGTAGACCTTCGTGGAGCTTTGTAGGAACATATGAATTTTTTTTTTTCCAGAGACTCTTCGGAGCCGGCTCTGAAATTGTACACAGATCCGGCGTTCTTTTTCGATTTGTGGAAGAGTGAAATCCTCAAAGACGTTGCCGAGAGGCCACGTCGTGTCAAATCTCCAGCAGATGGAAGCAAAAGCCCAAAAAAGAGAAGGCAACGGAATCCAAATGCTCCTCAAGAATTTGACGAAGTACCAAGGCAAAAAGCAAATCGGTCGGTTTCAGATTCATTATTATTAAAAAATTTTTTTTTAGATATATGGCTTCGCTTCGAAATCAACAAACTGCAGTTTTCTCTTTTCCTGACGAGTATCAAGCTCCACAAGCGTTGGGAATCAACTTCAATCGCGGAAATCAGGTATTTATCATTCAAAAAAGGAAACGAAGAAAAAAATTCCTTATAAATTACTATTTTTTTCAAATTGAAAAATAAGAAAAAGTTTAACTCATTACAATAATTCACAGCAAAACTTTTTTTTAAATTTTCAACGATAGAAACGTTGAAAAATACTACAGCGAAAAGTTTTGAAACTTATCTTTAAAACGGAAATTTTCAATGTCAATCGGCTCTTTATAGAACGTTATCTTAAACAAAGTAAAAAAAAAACGTTTTCCCAAAAAATTTGAATTAGAATTTAAAAATATCAATCAAAGAATTTCAAAATAATTATAAATTTGAAAGAAAGACGCAGTTTGAGTATTTCATTCACGCTCGCATTACAAACAAAAGTTTTTCGAGTCTTCAGAGAATATTCTGTTATGGAATAATCGAATATTTTTGTCGGTGCGCGAAAATGTCTCCTACCAAGCGCATAGATCTTCACGCCATTCTCGTGAAAAGAAGTCGAATTTTAAGCGGTGCGCCGATCAGTTGCTTCTCCAGTGTCCACTCCCCGAAAATTTCTGTTGCTTTTTTCCATGTCCTGTGTTTCCTGTTTCGACTTTCTTGACCCTTCCCCATTTCAGCAACACGGAATGACATCTTCGGCTCCGATGGTGCCACCTATCGGAATGTCTCTTCAATCGGCGCACTTGACTCACCAAAACGAAGCTCCCTATCCTTCCATTTCGTCTCATCGCCAAGCACCTGTGGCCATTCGTAGCAGCCCTCAGAGGGATGTTGAAAAGGTTTTTTTCTTTTCCATGTGTGGAAACGCTCTGTAGTTATCCTGTTGTGCGTCTAAATGACAGCTCATTTATATTGTCTCTTTTTTTTAATATTTTAATTTTTCAAAACGGTCAAAAAACTAAAAACTATTTTGTTACAAAAGTTGGATTGATCTCTGCAGAGACACAATGATCTGCCGTTGCCGGACATGGCTATTCTGGCGATTGACGACGACGACGAAGAACTACCGCCGCCGCCTCCCATGCTCATGCACTCCTCGATTGTCCATCAACTTCCAGCCGAAGTCCCTTCGGCCATTCAATTTGTCGAGCCCAGCGCCGAACCGGCCAACGTAAGTTTCATAAACAGTTTTGTGTTTGTTGGGACCATTTATCAAAAGCTTTTTCACTCAACACTCGCTTGGTTTTTTTGTTCGCTTGTTTGAACTAATCGATATCTTTCGTCACTTAGTCGGAACGATGATGTTTTGTTGATACTCGGGAAAGTTTTCTTTACTTTTTCAAAATTTTACAAAAAGGTCACAAAATTTTTCGCAAGAAAAATAAAAATTCTAGCTCTCGGCTTACTAAATTATGTGAATTCTGTCTCTGAAATGGAGCGCCACAACTCTTTCTTTGACATACACTATTCCATCGTTTTCTCGCAGCTAGATAACGACGAAACAGTGCGTCATAGAAAGATTTGTGGTGCTCCATGTCAGTGGATATATCAAGGCCCTGAGAAGTTATTATTGTGTTTCTTACCCCGCTGTTAACCGAATCCTGTGTTCCTAATGTGCCGTGGCTCTCTTCTGAAAGGCCCACGTCTTCCAGGTCCCGCCGCCTCCTCCTCCGCCACCACCGCCTCCGCCGATCTTCAACCAACCTGCTGCCGCCACTTTTGCGTCCAAGGTTCTTTTTTCTTTTTGGGGCTTTGCTGGCTCTTTATGTCGCTTCTGGTTCCTTTGTTACCTTCGAACAATTGCCGGGCGCCTAGAGATCGGCACAACTCTTTCTCCGACGCTATGTCGTAGTTTTTCGCGCAGCTGCGTAGCTAGATAACTACGAAAAGGGTGTGTCAGAGAAAAAATTGTGGCAATCTATAGGCGCCGCATTCTCATAACTAAATATATTTCCTGAAAAGTTTTGCTGACAAGCTTCCTAGAACTTTTACAGTACTATGTGGCGACTATTTGAAACACACGAGTATTTTTCCAAAAAATTATGAGAGAAAAAAAGTTACAATATCTAAAAAAACGTAATAAATCAAGTTCTGTAGAGTTTTTTTAAATTTTATTCCAATAAATTTTTTTAAATCTTCACGATCTTGTTTCCGCACAGAGCTCTTATAATAAGAGCGAATTGAAAACCTCCAGTTCTTCTATCTCGTTTCTTTCGCGCACTTTTTCTGTAAAAATTATCAGAGATTTTTAAATTAAAGTTTATGAAGAATTAGTTTGTATATAAATTTTTTTTTTTCAGTTTCAGTTTTTTTTCTGATTTACCGTGTCCTTTTTCAGCCGCAGCCAGACGGTTCGACCGCACCGGTTGCCGAGAAGAAGCCCGATGCTCGAGGAGATTTGTTGGCTCAGATTCAAAGTGGCATAAAGTTGAAAAAGGTATGAATTATTATCATTATTCTTTTCGAAAAGTTGTATTCAAATTTTTCATTCAAATGCATGAAAAGTTGTTTTACTAGTTCACCTGGTTAATTTATACTAGTCACGTTTTCAATAGTTAGTCCTAGATACTTCGTATTAGATAAAGTTGATAAACTGCAAAATAGAATCTGATAAACAAATCAGAGCCATAATTGACTAGGGCGAGTAATTATCAAGTTAAAGTCGAATTTGGTCAGTTTTTGCGATAAACCAGAGTATCGTGGAATATATTTCTAAATATTTCTCGTAAGTACTCAATTTTTTGGAAAATCTCCTTCGGTTATAGAACTCAAATCTCAAATCTTTCTTAGGTTATCATTTCAATTTGGTAATCTTGCAGGTGCGACTAGCGGAAGAAGCAGCTGCGGAGAAGGCGGCGACGGAGATGAACGACGTCGCGGCGATTCTGAAGCGAAGGATGGAGCACGTCTTGGGCAACGACGACACCAGCGACGAGGCCGAATACGACGACGATGAGTGGGACGACTAATCCTCCATTTCCATGTTTCTCTTTACATTTTTTGGGTAATTTTCCCGGTGATCATTTCTTCCTATTTGAAAAATGACGAACTTTTCAATGGCTCTTATCATTCAACCTAACCTGTATTTTTTTACCTTAATTCTTGTGAAATTTTATTCAAATTGGTTCTTTGTCATATTTGCGATTATTCTATTCTATTCAGTTGACTATTTTTTTATTAGCCTTGCCTGGAAAATAGTGGTGCTTTCAATATTATCCGTTTTCTGTGACGCCTAGCTTTAGTGTGAGCATTTTTATGCTGTACGTGTACGATAAATTTTATTATTTAGTTTTGTGAATGCCTTGTTAAAATTCGTTTTAACAATGAATATCATTCGGAAAGATTTTCCTATCAAGTTAGAAAAGAGTCAGCGAAGAAGCTCGTTAGATTAACAAATAATATTGATTGAAAGAAAAAAGAAAGAATGAATTATAAATGAAATGATTTTTTTTTCACACTTGATGGAAAATAAAGAAACTAAAAAATACATAAATGATCGGCTCATAGAATGACTTTTGCAGAATGTTTTTTTTCGGCTTCCGGTGCCTCTATCGGTGTTTCATGCCAAAAATGAGATCCAATTCAGAAAATACGCCGTTTTTTATTCCATACATCTTTTTGAGGATTTCTCAGATCGTATGGGCAGCCGGGCGTTGATCGAAAAAGCGCTGCCGGCGCTGAAAAAACGGTTTATCGGCGTCGTTTGTTCGAGACTCCCTTTCGAGGGTCCAGAGCATGACTTGGCCTTATACCGAACCAGGCAGGTACATTTTTATCTTTTTCCTTTCCTTTTTCTTCAATTCAAAGGGGGAATTTTAATTGGTTTCCTGAAAGATATATCGTATTAAAAAGTTCTTTCTTACTGATTTTATTTTTAAAATTAATTTTGAAAAAAGTGAAGTTACAAATTAGTCCTCAATTTACGAAAAATACGAATATTTCCTATTTATCAGTTGAAAAGCTAACTCGATTGTCCAGATCTGAGAAAGGAAGTTAAAAACTACATTTTTTTTTTCTTTTGCACTCGAGAAAGTTTCTAATTTGACTGTTTCCTGCCTCTCAAAAGGTACACTGCAGCTGTTCGACTACACGGTCGTCGGTGGGAAATACGCGAGAGCGACTCTTTCGCTCGACGCGACGCGAGCCTTGCAGCCGCATCTGCAGCCCGAAAGCCGCGAGATGAGCGCCATCGCCGTCGCTTCCTCCACCATGGAGATGGTACGGCTCCAGCGGAGCTCGGAAATGATTCCTCCTCAGATACAAAGCTACTATCTGATCGCGGACGACATCATGGACAAGTCTGAGATGAGAAGAGGAAAGCCCTGCTGGTACAAGCAGGTGAGCCTCTGTCAACAAAGGCTTCTTCATAGTTTTGTCAAGTTTTTTCGGGACAAATAACCCCCTCATCTCCTTATTCACAAGCCTATTATTTGTCACGGTCGAACTTGACAAATCTATGAGGAAGCCTGCATTAAAAACAAAAATAGAGACGTAACAAAAATCGAATCAAAAGCCTCTCTTTTATATGCGAAATCATTATAGAATAACACCCACGTTCCCAGAAATATTTTAAACAACCATTCACACAATAAACATTTTATGGGAACAAATCGATTTTTGGGAAAGAGAAAAGATCGCTTTGCGACACAAAACCTTATCATAGGAAAATGTCTGAAATGTGGTCAAACTTCCGTGGTAGGTAGTCCAAGAGAGAAGTTCAGGTACAAGTTTTTATTGAGTGGCATTTATTATCAAGAAAATTCAGTCATACTGCTTCTCTCACTTACCCAGTCAGAATCCCACTTTTCCAGCCAGGAATCGGGTTCAGTGCGATAAACGACGCTTTCCTGCTGGACTCCGTCGTGGAGGACATTCTGAGGGCCGAACTTCCAGGCCACGTCAATATCGACCGGGTCTGCGAAGCGTACAGAAGGGTCGGTCAGAAATTCCGTCTGAATGACGGATCGAAGGATCTCAGGCGAAGCAGAAGACGTTGGTCGGTCAGATGCTGGACACCTCTTCCTGTGGCCAAGTCGAGTCGTTCACCTGGGACAGGTGAGGGGGATATTGCTCATGTTAGCCACGACCATTCTCTCAGATACGAGTTGATCGTCGAGAACAAGACCTCGCACTACTCCGTCTTCCATCCGATCGAGCAGGCGTTGCTCATTTCCGACGTCTTGGCCTTTCACGGCGACGTCAAACGTGTCGCCTACCAAATCGGATTTTTGTTCCAGTCCCAGGTCCTCAATACGACATTCACTGAGGAGTTTTCGACAAGAATTAAGTCTAGCAACTGAAAAACAAATCTTATAAGCTTCCTTGTGAGAACATCTATTTTCTTTTCTAAGAAACTTTTTCGCAAGTGAGTTTTTAATGTTAATTCAACCTCTTCAGAAATTTTTTTTTTAACCTCGAAAAAGATTCTAGAGCATCTCATCTAGAGGATTACAAAAAAAAAATCTAATCTCTATATCAGTAATTTAAAACGCATTTCCGGCATTTCAGGACGACATTCTCGACGTCTACGGCGATCCCGAAACGACCGGCAAAATTGGAACAGACATCGAAGACGGGAAATGCACGTGGCTGACAGTCAGAGCTCTTCAGAAGATCCAGTCGGCTCAGAATCGCGATCTTTTCGAAAAGTTCAAAGTGAATATTTCTCATCAAAACTTCGCAAAAGAAATTGACAAGTTTTGGAACTTTTCTGATAAAAGAGTTCTCAGAGAACAAAAAAAAATATTGATTTCAGAAAAACTATGGAAAGCCTGAAAAAGAAGCCGGAGACATCGTGAAACAAATGTTCAGAGATTTGCGACTTCTGGATGAATTCCGAGTATTCGAATCGAAGTTTGCCGAACAGGTTTGGCTAAATTTCAGTTGGACCTTTTTTCTCATCTCTGAGGACAGTAGTTAGTTTGAAAGTGCGTCTCAAACTTCCAGATTTCAACGAGCATTGAGAATTTGCCTGAAGAAGTTGGACTGCTGCGGCCAATCCTCAACGATTTTGTCGGAAAAATGAGAGCCCGCAAATATTAATGTTTCTTATTCTCCATCAGTTTTCCTTTTCCCCTACTTTATCCGAAATTCTGCCATATGTGAAACATTTCAATTCTGTTCAAAATTGCCCGAGTGTTTTACTAATCTCTGCCATTGGAGCTTTTCATGTCGAATAACCACCTCGCTTATTTTTTTTTTGCGGGTCAACAAAAACCTTTAATAAATGAGACTTATTATTCAAGTTCGATTCAACCAGTATTCCCGGTCCCAAAAGATGAAGAAGAAGTTTGATATTAAAAAGCTGCTCACGAACCAAGTTGTAACCCAAAAAAACAGGAGGAGTACGAAAAAATAACGAAAAACGAGCAGTTTTCCAGTGGAAAATTGCTGTTTTTGACAAGAAAAATGTCTGGGAAATAGTGAAAATCGAATAAAACAGCAGAAAGAAGTCATTGACACACGGAAAGTAGAGGAAATGATCACAAATAATTAGCCATCCTCATTTGGTTTCAAGTAGAAAGCGAAAAGTAGAAAGTGAACGTGTTAAATAATAAATGCAATGAAAATCTCAAGCTAATTATTAACAAAAAAATTGCTATCACAATTAAGAAAAATACACCGAATGAAAAATTTCGTTGTTTCAAGCAAAACGATATTAAAAATAAATAAAAATAAAATAAGATCTAAAATCTCTAAAAGCCTACTTGAACAATAAAAGCTAAAAAAAACAAAATAAAACGGACATCTAGTAGAACTTTGGCTTTTCCGGTCTTCCTCTGAAAATTATATGCTTGATAAACTTTTTTTCTGAGAGAATAAACCTCAAGAAAATGACAACGACGATGACAACACTCTGCATGAAGATGATCACCAGGAAGAGCGTCGAAGAAATACAGCTAATGTTTGGACAATTGCCAGCGCCAGCGGCTCCAGTTCCCGATACCTGGAAAAAACGTAATTTTTAAATAAAAAATCAAAAAAGGGCTGCAAAATGGTCTCATAGAAGGAGATTCTACACTGACAGTCAGTACGTGAACAGTAATATAGTTTTATAATCATAGACCGGCGCGCGGAGGACCCGAACACGCGACCTCGCAGGCGTGGGTCGAGCATTCTACCGATTGCGCCATAGCGAACGCAGCAATCGAAAGCGGCAGACTCACCTGTTGTATCTGCGTGGCTCTAACTGCGCGCAACTCGTTCAGCAGACTGTCCACTTTCTGATGCATCGAACTGTCGACGCCGCCGCCTGCTCCACCACTTGGGGCACTCTGAACGTACAAAAATTGCTGAATGAAAAGGAAATTTGAACCAAAAAAAAAAGATTCATGGCATTTCTCAAAAATGTCGAAGTGAATTCGCGGTTCGAAGTTTTTTTTAAATTTCTCCGAAACACTTTTTGAAGGTCGAGATCAAGATTCCTTATAGTCGCTATTTGCGCAAACTTCTATTTTTGGAGATATTAATACACAAAGTGATTGGTTTCAAGCCCGTTTTTTGTTAAACGCCAATTTTGATAATCATAAACTAGGAACTTGCGTAGCGACTATGAGGATTTGTAGAATCGTAGATATGGAGAAAACTTTCGGTAAATTACAAAATCGAAGTGAATTTAAATCCATACATGGGCAAAGAGGCCGCCCATCATGTCCTCTCAAGTATTTTTAAATCAAAACCATTGCTTTAATGTCATTTTGTTAAGTTACCTCCCTGAAATAAAGTTTATTTCAATTTTAATTTTTTTTTTTTTTGTAAGTCAACTAATCTCCCCGGACTTATTGCATTTTTTTACTGGCTCACCTCTTTACATTTTTTTATTTATCCTTTTCGAGACATTTTTAAAAGCTTTTCTTTTCAATTTTAGGAGAATATAAACCTAAAGAAGCCATAGTGGAATCTATTCCAAAACGGAAAAGATGGAAACGGATGAAAAAGAAAGGAACCTGTCCCCATCGCTGCTCGAGATTGTAGGTCTTGGTGAAGATCTCGTTGACGTACTGCTTCATGTCGCGGATCGTGGTGGAAAGATCTCTGAGGGACTGCATCACCTCGTTCTTCTCGTGCTGCTGGAAGCCGCCGCCGATCGCCGGGACAGCTGCAAACGTTTATCGCCTCATTGTTCATTTTTATTCCCGGCTAATCATCTCAACCCTGATCAGTCTGATCAATTCCATTATTGTGCTCATCTTTTTCGAAGTTCATTTTCTTATTATTTAACAATTATTTTTTTCTTCAGAATTAAGTTTCCTCTGCTGAATTATTATTATTATTATTTTTTTAATTTGGGAGATATTTCTGTTCGCAACAATAATTGAAACAGTTTAGGATAAAACTTTCCCTTTTTAAACATTTTTTTGTGAGATGTAGAAACTCTAACCTATCAATTAAAATTATTCGAAAAAGTGTTGAGACGGCATCGCGACTGTAAAACTGCTATTTAAAACTAAACTCTAACAAACTAAAAAGACCAATAAAAATCCAAGTCCCAACCTTGTCCGCCCGTCTGAGGCTGGATCTGAGCTCCTCCCGCCAATTGCGACTGTTGGATCTGCTGCAGCCGCTGGTCCATGTTTTGCATAACCTGAAGAATCCCAACGAACTATTTGACAACCAAACTTCAAAAAAAGGAAGATTCGGAACGAGTTCTACCTGATGAATGGCATTTTGGCTCTCGTAAATCAAACGGAGCTCCCGAGCAGTTGCATCTTCGTAATATTTGCTGAAAAAAAAGGATTATTCTGAAGGAAAAACTCTGAAAATAATTCTGCGACTAGTTAATAACACTAATGGTACGATAAAATATGGAATTTTTGATGAATTGACACCTGATCGAAATATTGTAAAGAAAAAAATGTTCATCTCTCAGAAATGAGATTGAAATTTAAAAAAAAAAAAGCTTACTTTGGGTCTTCAAATTCGTCCTCCTTAACCTTGTCAGGATGCTGTTCCTTGAATCTGAAAAAAAAGGATTTTAGTTTATAAAAATTACAGTTATCTTGAAGAATCAGAGTTTTCAGAACAAAAAACCGAGAAAGACTTTTAGAAGTGGTGCTGATTTTGTTCTGAAAAGTGTATTTTGCTTCTTTACTAACACCTTTTCAGAGCCTCTATGAAATTTCGAATCAAAACGGTTGAAGTTAACGAAAATCGCAGTAATTAAAGGGGATTCTGCAGTTTCTTACCCTTTAAGAAACCTGATAAGTTCAAATGAATAGAAGAACGGGAAAACTTTGAATAAAAGCCATTTCTTGAAAACGTTGGACCCTATAAATGAGTGAGCTGAGCATGAAATTTTGAACGAAATGACTTTTCTGTTGTTAAAGTTCAAATTGTAGTTCTTGGATTCCTTTCATTTATCTCTGAAAAATCGAAAGCCGTTCTTGGAGCTTCTACATGGCTAACACAAAACTCGCCCAACAAAGATATTTGAAAATATTCTCCGGTGAAAGCCAATTGAAAATCCCCATAAACACAAGCCGAAAAACGAACTTGGCTCGTTCGGCCTCGTATTCCTTCATCTGCCGCTCGAATTCCTCGTCGTACTTCTGCTTCTCGGCCTGAGGAAGCTGAGTGTTGGTCTGGGCCGGTTTCTGTTGTTCGTTGAACAGAGAGAAGACCGAGTAGTCGAGGATGTCGTGGTCATCTGAAAGCAGTCGCTTAGCCGGAGAGGAAATTTTAAGACTATTTTTCATTCAAAAAAAAAAATCATCCTGCTTTTCCCGAGGGTTGACAATAACACTCTTTGGCATCAAAAAAAGACGCTAAAATTTTCAACCTTCGAAACTTTCTAGTTTACGAAAAAACTTCGAAATTCTATGAAAATGTAGAGCCAAGCGATCTCTTCCGCATTAAAAATAAAAATTTGGGCACGTTGAGAATCTAAGTACCTTCATTAGGTATATAAAAAGAGTTTTGACCAAATTCCAGACCCTCAAGTAGGTTCATCTTTAAAACATTGTTCAATTTCAAACTTCGAAATTGCTAAAGCGAACTTTCAGAATCACTTTTCTTGGAATGAAGTCGTTCCAATCACATCCATTTTTCGACATTTTCTTGAATTACGGCAGAAAAAAGACTTAGTGTTCCACAAAAAAAGATAAGATATGATATTTAAAAAAGAGGTAATTCTTCTCAAAATTTCAAATTTTTTTGTTCGGTCAAATCGATTCTCTTCCGCATTAAGAATAAAAATTCGGACACATTGATAATCTAAGTATCTTCATTAGGTATATAAAAAGAGTTTTGACCAAATTCCAGACCCTCAAGTAGGTCTTTCTTTAAAAAAATTTTTGATTTGATTTGAGAAAAAAGACAACGCCAAAATTTTCTCACCGGCAAGTCCTCCGGTCGCCGCCGAAACTCCGAAGTAACCGTTGCGAGGCAGGAAAAATGTTTTTCAGCTCTGTAAAAAAATTTATATCAGTATAACTTTTATCAGTATTTTAAAAATTAAAAATGATTCGAGTTCTCTATTTTTTTGTGTGTGTTTTTGTTTCACATAGTTCAATGAATATTACCTGGTTTAAGCATTGATCGAAAAATAAAGGGAAAAAGTTTTGTTATTATAAGTAAAAAAATCTATGTAGAATACTTTGAGAAATATGTAAACTAGAAATTTTTGCAAACTCTATTCATATTCAGTGTTAACCAACCGGTTTGAAAGTTTTTCTCTTTCATTTTTTCATAATTTTGTTTAATTCGTTTATCTCATATTTTTTATAACTTTAATTTTTTCACTTTTTCAAATTCTAATCGAAGGTTTCCCAAAACTTCAAAAACTTCAAGCAGTTTTCAGATTCACAGTTAAATGAGGGAACGAAAAATGAGAATCTGCCGGAGAGGATAAATTTCTTCTTCTCCAAAAGTGCTTTTGACCTCTAGTTAAACCGCCAAAAGCGACACTAAATATCCAGTTTTTTCTCTCCTCGACCATATTCTCCTTCTTCTTATCAAGGCTTTTTTCCTCTTTCAAGCCGATGGAAAGCCTCTCCCGCTTGGTCTGGCCACGAACCTCATGCAGAGTTCGTATCTGGGGACCTGCTGCATGCCATCGTCGATGTGCACGGTGAGGACGTTCTTCATGTACTCGATGCGGACGCGGACGGGGAATGGCTTGTTGCGGAAGTCGCGCTGGCAGCCTGCCAATCGACGCCGAGTGGATCATTCTTTGACGGCCGAAACTCACTGCTCAGGATCTGCTGGCTTCCGTCCGTGTGGTGATCGTAGGAACGAGTTCCGTCGTTGAGCATCAGAGAGACCTGCGGATTGTTCTTCTGGCCGTCGTTGTCGAAAGAGTCGAGGAACAGCCCTGGAAAAGAGACATAATGATCTTCCAGGATTCTCTGACTTCACGTATTTAGAAGCTTTTGGAACTTCTTTCCCTTTATCTTTAAGAGAAAACTTTGAATTTCTAACAGTTCACAGTGGAAAAACTAATCCAAAAAACCAATTTATCTATTTTGAGAAAAAATGAAATAAACAAACCCATTCCGGTCCAAAAGTCGTTGGCACCAAATACCGGTCCAAGGGAGCCAAGTTGGGATGTATACCTGAGAAATTCGAACATTTATCTTTTTCCTGCACCATTTCGTTCCTCTTCGTTCCTCTTCGTGCTTTTTTTTGAATTTGTTAACGAAAGAAAACAAAAATCAGTGAGAAAACATTTTTGGCAATTTTTTTAAATTACTTACACACGTTTCCTTGGTTTTTTTGAATTAAAAAAAAAACTTTTCGGATTTTTCAATAAATATACCAGTTAGACGTAAAGCGAAAAAAGGATCCTATCAAAAAAAAAGGAAGAAACGAACCAAATACCCAATCCATCGGCTCCAATGCGGCCTTGTCCAGTGATTTTCAAGCTGACGTCGATCTGAAGTAATGATTTGAGAAAGAAGACGAAAGAAAGGGGGAACCTGGAAATTCTCGCTCTCCGTGAAGGCTCTTTTGTTCCAGGCGATGCCTTTCCGGGATCGCATCGACGGCGCCAGACGGAGTTGTTCGCCTGAGGCAAGCGCATCGCCGCTCACCTCAAATAATTGATGACCAGCTGATCAAAATTCTCAAAACGTCACCTAATATATTTACAGAACTGAAGAAAAAAATGGGATAGTTTGAGATAATTTCCTTTCATTTCAAATAAAACGGATCGATCAAAGATAGAAAAAAAAAACAGTAATTTTTTCAAATTCCGCTCTGTCGTAAAAAAATTTTCAACGTTACGTTCATCCTAATCAGAAGTCATTTTGATGGAAATTTCGACAATTTTGAACAAAAAAATTTTTCACAAAATGCTGATTTTAGGACGGTTAGTTTTCACGATACACCTGAATATTGAACTCTAATTATGATTCAAAGAACCGAAAACTTTTGATTGCCCAAAAAGTCACCGATTACCTCAAAATGGTTCAAATAAATTAGTTTTTTTGAAACAGTAAGTAGTTGAACCAGAGGAAAGTGTTACCAGCCAGAAAGGAATGGACCCATCGCGTTGGGCGAGATTCGGCGCTTTGAACGAGTGTTTGTACTCGAACTTCTTGAACACGGGGTTGTTCTGAGCGACGACGACGCCTAGAAGGGCAGCCAGGACGACGGCCAGCGCCTTTGCAGTCATCCCCTGTAAATGGGCGGAACTCCGTTGCACCATGAATCCCGGACGGAACGACTTGAACTTTTCCTTATGAACTTTCCAATTTGTTTTCATTCGAATTGGACAATAATAAAGGCAACCAGCATGAAGAAGAATTCCCGTTGAACCGGTAAAAATTGGAAATTAGAAACAAAAAAACACAAAAAAAAGTTTACTATAACTAAAACCAGGGTTATAGCTTATAAGGTAACTTATAATGCATGAGAAAAAAATTTATACAAGGTTTTTTTGTGAAAATTCCAAAAAATGCATTTTCCTAATTATATAACTTTTTTTCTTCGAATTACAAAATGCCTTTTATCCCTTATTATATATATATTTTTTTAAAAATTATTATATAACTTTTTTTCTAAAAAAATAATACATCGTAGTTTGAGTTACAGTAATCACTTGATGCTTTTGAAATAGAATAAACCACACTAATAAACTAACTTATTATTATTACCCTGAGAAAAACTATAAAATGCGCAAGGCCTGAAAAAAAATGAGAAGAAATGCATAAAAATCTCACGGCTCTCGTTTTTTCCTGCTCATTGACCTAAAAATCAACCGAAACGTTGAAATCATAAAAAGAGAGCTGTTGAATATGAAAAGGTGTGCAAACAATAAAATAAGCACCTAAAAAGGGGACACGTCAGCCCGAAAGGCTGCAAGCACTCGCCGAAATTTTGCGACGGATAGGTTATGAAAATCTTGAGAAACTGCCTATTTCAAAGAGATTTGAAGCTTTTTATGCTGCTGGTAATATGCTAAGTTTCTTTAAGCCTAATTGTGTACTCAAAGAAAACTTCTTTAAAGGTTTTACTTTCAAAAATTGGTTAAAAACTTGGAGCTACATAGCTTTTCAAACTTGAAGGAAAAAACTTTCGAAAGAAAATAAACTTCAAAAAAATTACAACAGAATTTGAACTGCCGAATTTTTCCATTATTAAACAAAAAGCTAATCAAACATTTATTTTTTACAGAAATAAGATAAAAACACATTTAAAAATAAGGTAACGATCCATAAAAAAACAATGGGTTAGGCACCGGTTTCGATTTAAAACAAAAACCCTAAATGTACAAGGAAAATACTTTACAGAAATTAATACATCCTACATGAAAAATAGTTAGATTCTCAGATTCTGGAAATAAAACACGACGGAGAGCAGGTCGTCGCCAATTTTCGTCGACAGATCTGCAAGTAGGCAATAGGAATATGAGTGTACAAATCGAATATTTAGTTTCTCGAAAGTGAAAAGAAACGGCTGCAAAGGAAATCTGTAGTGGTTAACGTGCGGCTCCAAGATTGATCCGCAATGACGGGAAATTTCATTTGACAATGCCTATCTCAATTAAAAATTAAATTATTTCTATAAAAAGTACTGTAGAATATGAAATAAGCGTGATAGATCACGTTAAAAGATAGACCAGGAAAAGTATAAAAAGGAAAGATTATCAGCGGGTCACAACCGACTTCTCGAGCTCCCACCGCATCTCCCGACTCGAGCCTACTTCGCCTCGCGACGAATAGGCACCTCTACAACTTCTCACACCAAATATTTATTATTGAGGTATATTTGGTGTGAAAAAAATGAAGTTGTAGAGGTGCCTATTCGTCGCGAGGCGAAGTAGGCTCGGAGTCGGGAGATGCGGTTGGGAGCTCGAGAAGTCGGTTGTGGACCCGCTGGATAATTCTTTCCTTTTATACTTTTCCTTGGTCTATCTTTTAACGTGATCTATCACGCTTATTTACATATTCTACAAGTACCTTGTAGATTTTGGTTTTTTTTTCTGAATCCTTCTCCCATATGATAAAAATCAAAATGTAACCTTCTAAGCTTCGTCGGAAACTATCAGACGGTCTGAAGGAGGGGTTCATCGACAAGAACATCCCGTAGTCCATGAAAGGTCCCTTGAAATCCTTCTTATCAACCGAACTTCAAGAGAAATTGCACGAACTCGTTCAGAGATCAAGACCTTAATCCGATTGATCGGAACTGGAGAAGGTGCCGGTTGATCAGGAAGAAAAGCGGCGAATCCGTTGGGCTTCTCCGATTCCTCTATTCTCTTTTGACATACTTCCATTGGCGCCTAAAAAGAGTTTTTTCTTGCGAAAATTAAAGAATCCAGTTGATGAACCCATTGAAAAGATTGATCACAGAGGAGTTCGCTGGGTCGGAATTTGGCCTTGTAGCGCATTTTGGGACAAGAATGAATGTAGTAGCCCATGTAGTAGTATAGGAAGTCCGGCGATTGCTCGTGCAACTTTTTTGTTAAGGCGATTTCTCTGAAGGCTGAGTTTGAGGATTTTGAAAACGCCGGAAGATCTGATTCCGAGTTCGAAGGGATTTCCGCGAAATGCACAATTATCTCCGACTTTCCAGAATTTAGTTGCCTCTTTGTTTCTCTTTAAGATATTTTTGATTCCGCAGAATCATTTTTAACATCGAAGACTTCTGAAGAGGTCATTTTACACTGTGTTCGAAAAGTTTTCATAGTATGGCCAGAAAACTCCTCAATTAGCCGGATGAGTGTTCTGAAAGTCTGCAAAATTTTTAAGTTTCAGAAAAAGAAACTTCAAATCCAAAGAAAATCATCAAAATCTGCTTAAGTAAGTTGTCCCGGGAGTTTGAGCCCTCATTTTTCGATAACTAAAGTTGTACAGGTTTCAGGGCTTATTTTTCATCAATGTCCTGGCCAATTGTCAGGAAGTTCATAACCGCGAAGCAAAATGATCTTCTTGTGAGTTCGCAACTACTTTGTTTTTTTATTCTTTCATCGAATAGAGAAGTTCAAGATAACCTGAGGGCGGTATAAGTTCCGAGGCTGAGAAAGGCGAAGTCGGGGTTGTAGAAGAGGTATTTGGCAGAAAGACACTTGGGAAGGAGGTCGACCACTCCGACGGCGACGAGTTTGTCGTCCAGCAAGTACCACATGTGGAAAGATCCGAGTTCCACCGAAGAACTGAGAGAAAGAATTTTCAACATATATTACAAAAAGCTCTGTGATTCCTCTGAAATACACTCACATTTTTTTCAAAAATTTTTTTGAGTTCAACAGTTTTTTTGTGTCTTTTTCTTTTAAAAAAAGACGATAAAAAAAGCCATCAAATCGTTATAAAAAAAGGGTCGATCTACTCCAAAAAAATTGGGTATTGAACCATTTTCATTTCACTTCGACTACTGTGAACATCATTGAATTCTCTCCTCCGAATGTATTATAAAAGAGTTTTCTTCCAACCAACCGTCCTCTTGAAGTATTTCTGAGCGGTGATTCGCACAGAAAACGCCGATATCCCCTTTGACTTTTGTCGAAATCTTTGTGGACCTGAAGATGTAGATAAATAAGGAAATCTCAGTTCTCGTACTTCACTCTGATATCTGACGAAAAGCTCAAAAGATTCCTTAGCACGGCTTTCGAATTCTTCGGAATTGAGCGCCACTAGTTTGACCTGAAGCTTGAGAAAAAAAAATTAGTTTTTATTTTCTTTAATAAGCCTCTAGTTTATGTTTATCGGTGGGCTTAGCCGGAATAATATAAGATTCGATGGTACGTCTTCTTGATTCTTCCTGAAAAACAAGCATAAATATATAAGCATTCAACACGATTAGAGTTAAAAATCTGATGTTCTAATTCTCACTTTTCCTTGCGGCTAAGGTCATAGAAAAATAGAAAAGAGCTTTCAAAAAGGTCAGACTGTTTGGGATTTTGATGATTTATTCCTAGAGCCACTCTTCCAAAACTTCTCCCAATACTTCCTCCACAATATTTTCGAAATTCACCTTGACTCGTCTTTTCTCTCTCTCAACTTCCACGTCGAAACCTCTTTTTCGGCATTTTTCCTCGAATTTGGCCCTTCGAATCTCCTTTTTCTTGAGAACAGGCCTGGTCGGATCTCTTTCCTTGTGAACAACGGGCTCCATTAATTTTGCACGCTTGAAACAATCAGAAAATGTCTTTGATTGAATGAATATGAAACCTTGGCACTTCTGTCTCCACTTCCATGCGCTTCTGATGAATCCTGATGTTTCGATTGCTGAAATTAATTAGAAATAATTTTTTTAATTGCATGAGATCAAAAATAATTTTAACTAATATCTCTGAAATTCCAAGTCAGATTTTTTTGATTGTACATATCTCTCTGAGAAAAAAATTTCCGTCAAGTTTTTTTAAAAAGTAAAGCCGGAAAATGAAAAATAAATAAAAAAACATTGACGAGTTTTCGTTACAAAAATAGTTTTTTTAGATTTTCTTGATCTCAACGAACACCTTTTTTTCTCGGATACATCTTGCTCTTCTTTAATCCCACAACGAGGTTTTTTGCCCGTTTCCAGAAAATCGTTCATTTGTTGAAGTGTCCGTCGCTGACTTCGGGACAGGTAGAACTGAGTCGAATCGAGACTGCAATTTCGAACTTTTTGAAGATAATAATGGAACTCCATGTTTCAGATTAATTTTTTCCGTAAATTTAACTGAAAACGAACCGAATTGTGTATTGTGGACAGCAAGTCGTCTCATTTTTTGGCTTGTAAAGATATCTTCCAGATCTTGAAAAAAAAAATTAGAAATCGGAGCAAAAAAAAGCCATTAGAAGTATCAAGGAGGACGGTTAGAATGTTATAAATAAATTTGTGTCTATGAAACTTAATTCAGCTCAATTCTATGTTTTCCCCCCTTCTTACCTGCGAATCAATTAAAAACAGCTGTACTGTCTCATACTTGATTTTTAAATATTTCAGGTAATTGCACGACATTTTGACTACAAAAATATGAAAAAAATTATGCCAGAACATTCTCATTTGGCAACGTGAATGTCAAATGGTTCTTTAATACTTTGCAGCTCTAGATTCAAATAAAAAAACAACCTCCGCCAGCCACGATCGAGCAGCTTCAGGTAATCCGAAGTGCTCAGCGTGTCCGCCCAAACTCCTGCAAACTTCCAAGAATATTGTGAAAAGAAGAAGAAAATAACTTTGCAACTTGATATCCGTTTTTATGCGAAAGACAATTTCTTTGAATTTGCACGAGTTTGGGTGTTCTGGCTTAAGTACGAAACAAGTTTGAGAAAAAGTAGCTTATATTCATTGAACTTTGGTTGAAACCGAAAAATTATATTAAATGAAAAAAATCCTATAAATTTCTAAAGTAACTTGTGCGTGCAAATCAGTGAAAAGCTAGTAAAAAAGGAAGATCCACACTCAATAAAATTAAGTGGAAGCCAAAATATCAAGAGAATAGGTTTTCCAAGGCTTGAAACGTCCTTTTTCGCAGAATATGATTCAACGCGTAGCGGTCGCGAAGCGGTTACGGCCGGTTTACGGGATGCGAAAGTAGGGCGTGGCTCTGTCTGCACTCTCCACCAGCTATATAGTATTTCTATCTTGTTATGTTTCAAAAATAAACTTTTTCCGAATCAAACTGCGAAATTTGAGTCATTCAACGTGATTTCCTGACCTTCAATGCAAAACCTTGTGAGAAAATTTGAAGATGCGCCTAGAAAAAAAAAACCAGAACACCCACTTACTCGCTGAAACCCAACTCCAAAAACTTCATCAGATGTTCGGGACTCAGGCCGCCGCAATAAAAACCTTAACAAAAGAATAAAAAAATGAGGAATGATGACAAATATTAGGAAATTTTTCATGATTTTTATGCAGAGTAACTGAAAAATCGAGAAAATATAATGGTATCTCTAGGTTTTCTATTGAACTTTGCGACTCGCCTTCTTTAATGTTAGGAACGAGAATTTATTTCGTCCTAACCGCGTCACTTATGTTGAAGATAAGGTTTTTTGGATTCTCACGAAAAACATTAACGACAAGCTCTTGCAAAATAATGTATCTTGGAAATGAGAACTTGTTTTGAAAAGAAAATTCATATCGATTATCGGGATCGGTTCCAAATCCTCATGAGACACTGATAAAGACGCAGAAACGGCCCATGAAGAAAGGCCTCACCTAGGCTTTCCGAACTGCCACGAGCCTCTTCCTCCTTTTTTTCTTCCTTTTCACCTAGTTTAGAAGATCTCCGGGGGCTTCCGTTGCAGTAGCCGCAAGAGTTGGAAGATTCGCCAGCGTACTCAAGAATCGATTCCACCGCCATCTGAGTTTGACTCATCGAAATGATCAAGTTGACAAAAAAAAAGTGAGAATGTTAAACGAATATTCCATACCGATGTGTTTTATAACAATTTGTCGCGAAAAAAAAGCTGCGAACAAGAAAACGCTAGTCGCCTCAAAACTTTCAGTTCTTCAAGTATTCATGGAATTTCTAAGAAATTCAATCAGTGTTGTTAGAAGAAAAATTTTCACATGGAGAAAGAAAACATTTATTATTTTTTTTACATTTATGTAACCGAGGTAAAAAAATAAGGCTCAAAACCAATAGAAGAGTTTAGAAAATACCAAATCAATTAAAAAACTTTATTGTAAAAATGAATGTACATTCGTAACAAAAAAAAACAAATCCTAAACTGGAATAAACTAAAACTGAAAAACTCTTCATCAAGCATTTTCGGCAAACTTTTTTTCTTCTGAACTTCTTGTCGCTTTGCCATCTTTGCAGCCTGAAAAAAACAATTAAAAAAGATCGACGAGAAAAATTTGAGTATTGACGGTTATAATTTGAAGAAGAAAAAAACTGAATAACCTTCTTTTTCTTCTTGTTCTTTCTGCTGCAACATAACTTCAAACCGCGGATCCTTAGGATCCATCCAATAGCCGAAGTATTCTTGAATCTCCCTGGAAGTAGATATTAAAGAAGTTGCGAAAGAAGAATGTTCTCAATCTTTAACCAAAATGTGAGAAAAAAAAAAATCAAAAAATTCCTATTCAAACTGTCTCTCAAAACTATCATTTTTTACATACTTTGTGTGGCCTTTTTTTGGTCTTCTTGACGAACCGTGAAATTTAACTTTCAAGTCACTTTTGGTTCGTCAAATTTCATCACACATTCAAACAGACCACTCCAAACTTTAGCTGAAACAAAAAGGCGATGCCGAATACTTTTTCCGTTTTCTCTTATAATCATAAGTAGAAGAGATTGTCATGAAAATAAGAACTAACCGTATTCTTTTTTCGAGAGCCAACTCCTTGGCGTCTTTTTCTCGCTCTGATTTAACCAAACTCGCCTCGTATTTGGCCAATTTTTGCGGATAACTTTTCAAGTTTTTTTCCAATTCGGCTAACCTGAGAATTGAAATATTTCACAACAAAGTTGAACCAAAAAATAAACCGTGCCGCCTCCTTGATTTTTTTCTTGGCTTGCAAATCTGTGTGTTCCCGCATAACGTCATTCAGCTCTCGATAAAGACCAAGAGCCTTTTCTTCTTCGAGTTCCTGATGAATGAAATATGAACATTAAAAGGCGTAATTTTCATTCACTAAACTCTCAACAAAAATCGAAGAAACTGAAAAATTGATTTTCTTCAAAAAAAATTTCCATAAATTCTTATTTTGCCTCCTGTAGCATTTTTTCACGACTTTGTAAATCTTTTCAGCGCCCATTTCTCATGAACCACGCTACCATGCTATTTTTTAAACAGTCAGACTATTCGCGAGTAGAATATTCCGATATTGTTCAATTCGGATCGAACCTCAACAGTGGGAAACAATTCTTCGACTGGAACTCCGCTTTTCAGTCCGAAACGACCGAAACGTTCTCGGCGCGCTGCTCTTTCCCGTTCGAATTCGAATTCAACGGGAGGCATACCGCCTGCGGCCAATATTCGATGTCGGGACCGCATACTGGAAAAGGTTAAAAACATGATATTCAAAGTCTATGGAAAGCGAGGCATCACTAAGGCAAAAAAAAAACGTGAAACAACTTTTTGAATTGCTTCAGATCGAAGAAGCATTTTCACATTAGGTAGTTTTATTTGCGTTTAGATCTAGAACTCCAAATGATGAAATTGATCTCGATCCTTTCGACAACAAAAACATTTCAAGCTCATTTCTTCAAGTTTTGTTCGTTCCCCGCTAACTCAACTTTTTTCTGACAACTTCTTCGAATGATTCGCGACAATAGTGAGAATGGAAAAGTTATTCATACTTTTGCAAGTGTTCGTGGACGGTGAATGAAAACAAAAGTTGGAAAGTCTTTCTGGAAGGTTCTCTTGGAAACAATATAGAACGTTTATTCAGTTATTTATCACGATATTCTCACTTTCCATTAGTATTTTCTACCCATGTATAGTTTTGTCGATTAATTCGAGAACTTTGGAAAGACCTACTAGCTAACGTCGACAGACGGATTCGTCGAGGCCGTCGCCTGGTCGAGGACTTCCGAAGTCGTTGAGAAGCTGCGCCGCAGTCGTAGACGACAAAGGCTTTTCAGCATTCTGTGCGATAATATTTTCAATTTGATTTAGAAAAACTATACGGACCAAAAATAAATGCCGAAGTTGTGTTTCGTGATAATTGTTAGTATTAATCAAGATCTTGTCTTTTCTTGTACAGGATGGTATAAAAGTAATGTCGCAAAGAAAAAACGATGTAACTTTCAAAAGAAAGGAGCGAATGGAATGAAACTACATCAACGGTGGCACGCAAGTACTCAGGGCTGAGATTTTCACATTCCTTAACCGAGGTTTGCTTCCGCGATGTGCAGCTTGATTAATAATTCTACCTTTTTCATTGGCATCCAGAGACGGAAGTCCTAGACGGTTTTGCGGGTTGAACTCAGCTTCAACAGTGGAAAAGCTTTTCGTCGGTGAAAAGAGTTTTGAGGTGGCTGTTTTGGCGCGTGCCGGCAAGCAGCATCTCACACCTTTTCGGCCGTGCTTTCTTGTTGCTTTCGTATAGAATGGCTGTCTTTCGAAAACGATTAGGGGTGAGTCCGAGCTCCCTTTTGACAATCCTTCCGACCGACGTACGGCTCGCATTTATGTCTCTGGCGATTTTTCGAATGCTTCAATGTGGACTTCGATGAATTCTCACCTGAACTGCCTTGGTTCTCTCAGGGGTGACTGAAATGCGCGGTCTTTATTTTCTAGGACGGTCCTGGACACCTATTGTCTCCTTCCATAGCTTGATAGTTCTTTCCAGTTATTCGCCCGGCGGCGAGCAATCTACAGATGGTCATCGTCGATTTTCCTTCTTCCCTCAGCTTGACGACTGCATCTAGATGAGGGTAAGAGCTACCATTTCTTTGAAAATGAACCGATCATAAAGTAACTTAAAGGCAGTATATAAAAATACTTAAGGAACAAAAAAAATTCAAACTATCACGGAATATGCGCTAAAGCGCACCCCACTGGCGCAAAATTTAGAGACAATACTTTTGGACCATCCTGTATCACTAAGAATAACTGTCGAGATAAACGAGAGGTCGGTGGCGGTACATTGACGAACTCGCAAACATGTCGCTTTTTTCTAGGCGCGATCTCGCATTTATCTTGCTTTTCGGAAATTTTCAGATTGCGAGAGAAATGCGAAATTTTTGCGAGCTCGTCAATGTACCGCAAGCGTCTCCCGTTTATCCCGGCAGTTATTCTTAGTGATATCATATAGAGAGCTGTTAAGAAAGACGTAAAATTCATTTTCTTTTTTTCATATTTCATTTTTTCCGTTCAAGTATATCGCATAGTCGTAACAAATTTTGATTAAGCAAAGATCAACCTGTGACAAATTTTTATTTGTACAGTCATCAGACTTGGTAATATAAATTATAATAGGGATGAGATGCGTCGTGAAAAGATTTTTGAAACAACATAGATAAATTAGCGAAGTTAGTATCAATTCACTGAAAATATCTTAATATGAACAAGCATTAAAATCATGGAATAGTTTGAATTGATCAGCTTTCGAGCTGGTCGCCGCTCACTTCTTCGTCTCCTTCATTGTAGATGTTGTCTGCCATCTGCCAAACCTTGAAAAGAAACAAATCAGAAAAGATTCCAATGAGGAAAGTTACCTGTAGGATATTGTCTTCAGAAACGCTGCAGACGACCCAGGGTTCATTGGGATTCCAGGAGAAGTCGCTGATCTTCGCCGTGTGTCCGCCGTGGATGAACAAAAGCTCCGGCGGACCATCTTCGGCGTCTTCCGCAGTCTGTTCTTCGCCAATCTTCGACAAGTCCCAGACGTGAAGTCTTCTAAAAAAACTTTTAATAAGAAAAAAGATCTAAAAATTGAAGTTTGTACGTTTTTCTCTCAACTGAAAACATTTCTCCAAAGCAAGACTAAAAATTCTTCGTGAGTAAATTAAAGTTTTTTATTGTGTGCTTCACTAATTCGAACATTTGCTTACCCGAAAAAGTAAAAATTTTTTTTCAAAGTTATCACTGTCTTAGTGTAACTAAGCATTGTCGCATTTATCAACTCTGACTGGCCATATTACTCGGTTTTTTTTTTTTTGAAAGAATTCAAATTCAATAATATTTTAATCTACAAAATGGCATCTATCTAGAGACGGCCTACAATTTTTCGGAAAAAAATTTACATCACGAAGATATGTGATAACTTTCTGTGAGATTCGGAAGTTTCAAACAATAGTCAAAAAAAAAGTATGAACGAACCGGTCCGTGCCGCTACTAGCCAAAATGGTCTCGTTATGAGGACTCCACTGAACTTGGAAGATTTCGTCTTTGTGCGATTCAAACGAATGCAACTTCAATTTGAGGTTTCTTAAATCCCATAGTGCGACAGTCTAGAAACAAACATTGAAATCAAAATTTTCTAATAACAAAAAGAACCTTGTCAGCACTGCCAGTAGCTAAGATGAACTCGGAATATGGATTGAACGCGAGACAATTAACTTCAGCCGAATGGGCTTCCACTGAATGCACTGGAGCATTGTTTCTGACATCCCAAACAAGAAGTTTATGGTCATCGCCAACGGAGCCAAAGAGGAATTCGTGCAGGACATGCCAAGCCACGTCTTCAACAACCTGAAAGAAGACATTTTATGGGAAAATTATTCATTCATTACCGCAGTATGACCTTTGAACGTCGTTTTGGCATTTAATATACCGGCTGTCGTTTGAGATGCTTGAATGTCCCAGTGACAAACCTGATAAAGATTTTTATAAATCGTGAAAAAAAAAATAACGGAATAATCCGACGTTACCAACATGTTTGATTTTCAGCATGAAAGTATAACCATTCGATCCGTCTCATTGAGATACGTACGAATATCATAAAATTATTGGGCGCTAGTAGGGAGAAATAACTTTATGGTGTGCAAAAACCAGAAAAAAAAACTCCAAAAATGTCAAAAATTTCGCTGCATTTTTCGAAGCTGATTAAATTCAACTATCGCTACTACGCCATGAGAAGAAAAAATCTTTTAAAATAAGAAAAAAATTGAAAATTATTCGAAAAAACAATGCAAAATAAGAAAAAAAAAATGAAATCACAGTAAAAATAACCGACCGCGTCGGAGCCCACGCTTACGCACAGTATGCTCCTTTAATATTTTTTCTTTCTTTTTTTTTGGGAAATAAATTTTTACAGATTTTTTTTAACTATCAAAGAATTAAAAAAATATGCATATATGAATCTGAGCGACTGCAGACAAACTTAAAACATACAGTGTGATCATCAGAAGCCGAAAGAATAAATCCTTCTCGGTTGGGGTTCCAAGACAGGCCGTAACCTTCTTTTGTATGTCCTCGCAAGCGAATTTGTGGTTTAAACAAATTTCCTTCTGGCACAGACGGGTGTTTCGTGTAATCGAAAATGTAAACCTTGAAAGTAAAATTGAAATAAATAGAATACATCTTTTTTACTTCAGAGCTAGGTGATTTCGTGGCGATTATAACTGGGTTTTGCGGCATATAGCGAGCTCGATTTACTTCTCCCTCGTGGTTGATTTTGATCTCAGGCTCTATTCTTCCAGTGATCGCTCCAAAACCTCCGAATTCTACAAAAAAAAAATGAACTGAGCTGTCATGTGACTACTTTTATCCAACCTCCTTTTTCCGTATCGTACCGTGAGGCGTCAAATTGTGCATCGTCCGTTGGAAGCGCTAGCTTTGAAATCAACAAATGATTCTGCTCGTCGGAAGTGTGCGTTCCAAGAATAAGACGGTGTGTAGTGCTATCTGTTCCTTCATTCTGAAATCCCATCATTTCGATAGATAAAATTTCCATAAAAAATTATTCTGAATTGATATTTTACCTTGATAACGTCAGGCAACCACTGAACTGTGAGACTTGGCCATTCTAGGGCGTGTGTCATGACCATGTCATAAAGAAACGGGGTATTTTTCTTCCAAATTTTATATTCTTCATTTATCATCCGCTCCTCGGTTGGCTCATCCAAAACAGCAGCCATTTCCTATATAAGTTTTTATCAGAAGATTTATAAAAGACCCACGAGAAGAATTTGAAAAAGACCTTGCAAGGGAAACAATGTGGAAAATTTTTTTTCAACTATGAAAATATTTTTATAGCTGTGATTATGCGGTCGGTGTTAGTCTTGTTAGGATTGAAAATAAGTATAAAATGCATGCATAATGGCGTGTTCATCGGAAAAAACGAAAATTGCTTCGAAACGCAAGAATATGCTCCAAAACAAAAATTATTACTGTTTTGGAGCAACTTTGGCGCGCCGATGAACACGATTTTTCGTTTAGAAGCATGTTCCGTTCCTCCGATGAACACGCCATAAATTAAAATAAAGAAATGATAATAAAAAACGAAGAGTAGAGCAAAAAATTTAAAGCGATCCAAAGAGAGTTTGTTCCCGCGCCCGCCTTGCGTCTTACATTACCACGAAGAGACGAATTACTGTATTCCGCGGGAATAATTTATTTATTCTTTTTGAATTTGCATATCAAATGCTTTGCAAAGCTTTGTATAATTCAACTATAATGCATTTTTTTCTCCCGTGCCGTACCGTTTCCTATACTTTTTATCTGAACTGGAATTCATTTTTCTTGATTTTTTTAAAAAAATAAAGTTACTATTTTATTGATAGTAACGCTTTTTATGTTTTGATTAAAGAGATTTCATTAGGATAATACTTTCAATTTTTTTGAAATAATTCTTCTTTCCAAGAAACCTTTTTTTCAGATGCAGGAAGAAATTTTGGACGTTTTGAGGAATCCGTTCATAGTTTTCTCTCTGTCTTTCTTGCTCACCGTATGTGTGGTGAGATTTGTTCGTTATTATTATCATTTTTTTTCATTTATCGTTTCAGGTGAGTGGTTCACACCAGCTTGGAGACGCGGTCGATCTTGAATTCCAAGCATACCGACTGCAGCAATATGAAATTAGTGGCAATATGTACGGAAGTTATAACTATCGCTTGCAATATGAAGCAGTTTCTTTAAATTCTAAAGCATTAAGAAGGTAAAACACAGATTTTAAATGTTTTGGAGCATTATGTTTGAGATGTTTTGTGGCGACATGGAGAGAAGTCGCCAGGAGAGATTTGGACGAGTTGTTGTCGTTGAGCTCTGGAGCGTTGCTCATTTTCATCCCATCTGATTTGGATGTTCTCACGGAAGCCGACCGCAAGGTATATATTTGCAATTTCCCTTTCACAATGCTTTTTTTTAATGTTAATCGATACATTTTTTAAAAAGTACCTTTTTAGAATGTTTTTTTATTTCACTAAAGTTGTTTCGGTATCATTTTTATTTTGACATCTTTTGAACTGCTTCATTTTTTTTTTTGAAATTAAGTTATGCATAATAAATGCCATTTTCATTATGCCTTGTTTAAAGTTATTTCCACGAAATTCAAAAATAATTCTGACTGACGGCTATTTTTAGTTTTGCGCAATCTCTTTGAACACGGCATTCTTTTTCACATCGTATGCTAAAGCTCGACAATAATCGAAGAAGTTAAGTTATTCATCGATCTCGAAACTCGTCTGAGAAGGACGAAGACAGATTTGGCGGTGTACGTCGCTCCGACGTCTTCTGAAGGGCCGGCGGTGTTGGCGGACATTGAAGCGACAAGCAGCGTAGAATCGACGGCTACCCAACAGCTTGTTAGATCTGTTGCGGCCAATACGATTCAGGTGATTCATTGAAACATTTTTCTATTAATTTTTTCTGAAATGTAGCATTATATTTTCTTTCTTTGCAGTTCACATCTTCTGACACGCAGACCGGGGACGCAATCACATATAAGCCCAACAATATTGTGGTTTTTTCAGTCCTCTCGCTTCGATTAATGAGCATGTTTTCTTTTAGGGACGCCTTAATAGTGGCGAAAGATCCGCTCCGACCATTGCTTTCGTCGCTCATTACGACTCACACGCTGTTTTCCCGGTTAATTCCTTTTTGGAAACTTCGAATCACGCAAATATTTATTTAAAAAATTTTCAGGGAATTGCCAACGGTTCGGATTCCAACGGAAGTGGTATTGTTGCGTTGCTAGAACTTTTGGCAGTTTTCAGCAAATTTTACGAAAAACCTTCCACTCGCCCACCTTATAACTTGGTGGGAAAATATTGGATTATCTAAGAGATATTCAAAAAAATTTAGGTTTTTATTTGGACTGCAGCTGGAAAATACAATTACCAAGGTGCTCGTCAGTGGATTGAAGACTATCAAAAGGGAACCGAAGGTCTCTTTTTTTTTACTCGTATTTCTTTGGTGTTGATTCAAAATCATATGCAAACTTCCGTAATTTTTTCGACTTAGTAGAAAAAAAAATTTACGTTGTTTTATAATAATCAAGAAACCCGCATTTTGTTATAGTTCTTCCATCCTTTTTCTGTCGTAAAAACCAGCTCATTTTATCTTTGCGAAGATCTGAATATTTATTAAAAACGAAATCATTTTGAATTGAAAAAAATTTTTTTAACTGGACCTAATAACTGAAAAACATGTGGTCTTCGATATGTTGATGAAATTATGAAGAAAAACTTCTAAAAAAAATTAAGTTTCTTGAAAGTTTTTCAACTCTCTTCTCAAAATTTCTATATTTGGCCTTACAGCCTATCAGTCTACGATCATAACACATAGTTAATTCATAGACGAAAAACTGGAAATTGCGCTTTGCATCGAGGGAATCGGTTCGAACGGCGACCTGAAGATGCACACTTCAAAGCAGCCTTCGGAGAACTCTGTGGCCGCCCGGATCCTCCGGCGTCTCCGTTCTGTCTCGCCGAACAAGACCGTCGATCTAGTCACCAAGAAGATCAGCCTCACCGCCGTCAATTCTTGGGAGCACGAGAAGTCATTCTTCAACCTTTTACAACCTTTTTATATTCAACAACAAATAATTTGATTGGAAACAGCTTTTTGGAAACGTTCAGTTTTTGAGTTTCTGAATCTTGCAGATTCAACATCAAGCGGCTTCCAGCTGTTACCATTTCTTCATTCGGATCTCCCACCGACAGTTTGAGAAACTCGGTTCTCGATGGACCTTCCAATATCAACCTTGACGATTTGATGGCCAATATCAGGTCTGTTTTTTTTTCTGAACTGTTTTGTTCGAAAAAACAGAGAGAAAATCATCATTTCCATCATGGGTATTCGAAAAAAAAAATTCATTCAAAAAAAAAATGAGAAACATGAAATATTTAAATCTTGCTATGAAGAAGGGCACAATGTCTCAAAAAAAAAACTCGTTGATTGTCTTTTCAAGGATTAATGAATGAAATACAGAACTATTGCCGAAGCTGTGTTGGGACACATGCTCTCGTTGCCCGAAGGGGGCGTGTCTGGCGATGTCCGAGTGACGTCAGAGACGACGATGCTGTCGCGCGACGCGGTCGACCGCCAACGGGTCCATCATTTTGTCCGGCAATTCGCCAGCAAGCCTCGCCCGGTCGGCGACAAAGTCGCCACAGAGTCCGCGTCTGCGAACATTGCCGTCGCAGCTTCCAGCTACGCACAGGTGAGAGGTGAAAAGTCAAATTTTCAAAATATCCTCACTTTTGAGGAAATAAAGGTCAGTGAAGTTTTTTGGGTAATAATTCAATAGAAGGAATAAGAAGGGCTTTGAAATTTTTTTAAAATCTTGCAGCGGATCCGTTACGGTCTTTCACAAGTCTTCACTATATGCAGTAATTCTATCAGTAATGAAAGAAAAACACGGTTCATAGACCATCCTTAAATGTTAGTTGTTAGGGCGCGCCTAACTTGGGGAGAAACTTTCCTGAAACAGCATAAATTTGGCTCCTAGAAAAGTGTCAGGAAAGTTATTTGAACCTTACACTAGTTCTTTTGATGTTTTTTAAATTTCCGTCGATGCATATTGAAATTACAACTCTTGAGACAATGAATCAAATCTTCAAATTGGTCTCTCTCTAAATAATCAAATAAAGAGCTGATAGACCTGATATGGACATATTTTTCCAATTTGCGGTGAGTGCATTCACTAGAATTGCGTATTTTCTGTTAGAATATGCGCAGATCAATAAATGAATAGTTTATTTATTTTTTTTCCATTTCCGCGTATTAATGCTTCAAACATTTTTTGAAGGATTAAGCGCCCATCTATGAGAAAACTTCTTCTAGACCAAACAGGAAATCGCAGAACTTTTAAGATATGCTCTCAATTCTGCTCGAATAATGTTTTCTCATTCTCACACTTTCAGGTTTCGGTATCTCAAGTGACGTTCTCGGACGTGAAAGTCTACGGCGGAGTGGCTAACAAGGTGGTAGCCGAACGGGTGAAGCCAGCCGTTTTCGAACTCGTAATCGCTGCGGGTGTCTCCGCGTATCTCTATGCTTTCTACTTTGTATGTTTACTTACATATAATCCCGAATTTTATCAGAATGGGTCGATTTTTTTTTTCTGAAACCGTTTCTCAATTTTCGAAAAAAGAAAGAAAGAGAGTTTGCATAACCCCATTAAAATATTCCCTATTTGCAGACAGCGACTCATGCGCAACGCTTCGTAGAAGGCGCCGTACACAAAATCAAAAAAAGCCTTTAGAATTTCCGAATCTTCATTTTTTATTCTTTTATCAATAGTTAATATGAAAGCTCAAGTATTTATTGTTTCAATACATTTCTTGTTATCTACTGTTGTTAAGATAAAGATAATTGCTCACTGACGGGAAACTTCGCTTTTTCGCAAATCCGAAAAATTGGCTGCTTAGAGAGACCAAAACTTTTCTCTTTTGAGTGAAAAACAGGACTTTTTGAGAAAAAATGAAAAAAGAAACTTCGAGACGCAGCTTTTCGACGATGAAATCATCTCTAATTTCGTGTTCAAAGTAAATTCGGCGTTTTAAAAATTGAGACGTTATTCGTCTTATTATTTCGCGAAATAAGCAAAATTAAACATTTCGCCATCACGCATGTTTGAGACAGTACTACGGCGGCCGGTCAATATTGCGCAGTCAGCCAGGAAATTTTTTTTCTTTTTTTTTTGCAATTTATTGAGGACCTATTTCTCGAGGTTACAAGGCAAGATACGTCACAAAAAGTTCACAAGATTTCGTTTTATTATTGAAAACCCTATCCAAACTACCGTAACACGACCGGCCACCTTAAACAGGCGTGTCATACGAGGTTTTTTTCTAAAATTTCTGCTCTATCCATTTGTTTTTCTGAAGCTAGGTTTTCAAGGTATATAAAAGGTGCTATGAAAAAAAGACTAGCGAAAACTCAAACGGCGACTTTTCCGATTATTTCATATCGCTAGGGAACTTTCCGACGGCCACCTTTCCGACTTTTTTTCTCGATAAACTTTTCGTTTTAAATCTCCCTATATAAAGTAGGTAGTTGGTTAATGATTAAAACACAAAGAAATAGGGAAAAAAGCGTTTATAGATGTTTTATAAACTGAAAAACATAAGGGAAAAAAGTCGGAAAGGGATCCGTCGGAAAGGTGGCCGTCGGAAAGTTCCCTAGCGATATGAAAAAATCCGAAAAGTCGCCGTTTGAATTTTCGCTGGTGGTTTTTTTCATACCACCATATAAAAATATTAATTTTTTTATTTTCTCCTTGAATTTTCCTTATTTCAATCTTTTTTTCATGTTGATAATTGCTTATTCAATGGGAGCTGATTCATTTTCATAATATTTTTTTAGTAATTTAGAGTTTTTCCCCTTTCGAAATCGTTCCTAAATGTTTTTTTAACGTAAGTGAATGTTTTTTTCACATTATATTCTTCAAACTGACAACTTTCGAACATTTCAGGAGCTATTATCCTAAAATTGCAAATTTTAAAATTGAAAAAAAAACAATTCTGAGTATGCGATAGTGCGTCTGACGTAGTGAAAAAACACCGTGCCCTACCAAAGATCAAAAGACAGCAAAAAGGTCTTGAAGGGAAAATTCTCCGTTTTGATCTAATTTGGTATACGGTATTTTTGGCGGAAAGACAAGCGCGACAAGCTGGCGCAGAAATGGTAGTAACACGAAACATGTTTTGTCCATAATTTGAATGTGTTAAATTTTCGATTTGGCAAAACAACAATAATGATAACATTTATAAAATCAACAAAAAAAAATTATAACTCGGCAGGTCGGGCAGTTTGCCGGAGTTCGGTAGCGATTCTGTCGAGATCTTTGCGACCCTAAACATAGCTTAATCATGCAAATTTTCGTGGAAAATCAGAATCTTATCAATGCTGTCGGCGTATCTGGTTTAATTTTCAAACATTGAAGAGCTTCATTGAAGTAACCACTTGATTTAAAATAAAAACTTTGAAATCGAAAATATAACGTAACGTTCGTTTTTTTCGTGTTCGAATTTCGAATAATCAAAAAAACGCTGCAATTTTGACCACTCGCCTGTAGGCTATCTCTCGATTTTACGGCAGCGAAAAATATAATTTCGTCGAAAACAGAGGTATTATTATGTCCTAGGAGTCCTTGGTTTTTTTTTGACGTAAAAATGGTGTTCGATGGAGAGGTAAAGAACGTACGGGTTCTCCTTTTCTCAAAAGCTTGTAGTGCTGCGTTCAAAGCTAATTTGACGCGCGTAGCAAAACAGTTTTGCTGGTTCAAAATTAAGAGCCGAATCGCAACAGATTCCCCCAAAGTGATTGGTTGGCCCCGCCCAGCTGGTAAGAAAAATATTTTGAAAATAAGTTTATATTGAACATTTGCCACAAGAAGGCAAAGCCCTCTACAAGAAACGTGCACGGTGCATGTTGTCCTTTTGCACCTCGCAATTTTGGGTCTTTTTAGTGCGGGTGTGGTGCAACACCGCACGGTGCTGACACTCTGAACCACAAAACTGAACATGCTTTGATACTCAATTTAGGCCTTTACTTTCTCCATCATCCGACTTTTCTAACGAAAAAAAAAAAAATTACATGTAGAACTGAGCGGCATAGCTCATTTCTAACGTCCGCAAGGTCGTAGGTTCGAATCCCCCCCGAGGTCGACCAAGCCTTTCATCCCTCCGGGGTAGATAAAATTGGGAGCTGCATGCAGAAAAAATCTCTGCCATCGGCCTTTGGAAAGCCGGCACCGTAACTCTTCCTACGACCTCTCTTGTACCTGATGTTCTACGAGCGAAATTCACAACTTCTCTGCCTAAGCCACAGCTCCTACCGCCGTTTAAACACAGACAAATCAATCAAAGTCAATTGCACATGTACTCTTACATTGAATATGCAATAAACAATAAACAGTAGAACTGAGAGAAATGGGCTGAATGGAGGAGAGTTCGGATACCCAATTTTCTGATTCGAAGTGTCAGCACCGTGCGGTGTTGCACCACATGCGCGGTTCAAAACGACAACATGCACCGTGCAACAAAAAAAGTGCAAAATCAGTGCTCGCACCGTGCACGCTCCTTGTAGAGCCGTCTGATCACGCCGTGGGAATCTGCTGCGCTTCGGCTCGTACCGTTAAACCAGAAAAATGTTTCCCAGCGCGTCAAATTAGCTTTGAACGCTGCATAAAAAATTTATTCTTAAAAGCTTTTGAAAATTGATGAAAAATAATCTTAGTCACACGCTTACAATGTTACAAAGATGTTACCACTTCAGAGCGCACTTTATCAGTTACTCATTAGCAACTTTAAATAACAAAACGGACTACAATTTTTGGTCAAAAAATGAAGTTTTTCAAATTACAATTTATGTGTAATTCCACACCAGTTCAGACCTAAAGGGACCCGTCCGGTTTGCACTGCGCCGTCTTCGCTGGCCATACTAGACCATTTTTGATCATTTTTTGTATTGAATACAATTAAGAAGGCAATTTCTGACATTAATAGATAAAAAAATTACAGAAAAAAAGACTTCTCACTTACTAAAGACGCATTTCCCAAATTAGGCCATTTTCCAAGGCTTGCCAGCGTTCGCAAAAAAACTTGATTATTAAAACTAAATTTTTATCTTTGAATGTTTTATATGTGTTTTTCTTCCAAATTGTTCATTTTTTCGTACAAAAAGCGCGTTAATAACGAAGATATCGCCCAAAAACCGCTATTGGTGTATGCACAATTTAAACGTACAGTGTGCCAAACCGGACGGGCTGAAAAGATGTGAATATTCACACACGAAAGGCAACAGAAAAATTATATTATTGTTTGTGAAAAGGAAAAACTAAAAAAAAAAAACAAACCTGCTTAGACAAAACGCGGCCCTTTCCATCACGGTGCTTCTCAACCCAATTGATTTTTTCAAGAGCTTGGATGGCTTTGCGGATAGCGTTTCCAGTAGCGGTTTGGAAGTGGTTAGGAGCAACTCCTCGACCTTTGTTGCCACCGTAAACGCGTTTGAAGGCACCAACGCCTGTGAACTTCGAAGCTTTATTAATAAAGAAAAATTTACCGGCTGGTCGGAAGTATAAATGGCGGGCCAAGCTAGCCGCGCGAGTGTAGAACCAATCGGGGTCTACTGGAGCAAGTTGCTTATGAACACCGAGCTTGACAAGGTCAGACCATTCGGGGACCTTGACCTTGCCGCTCTTTTTCAAGAAGAAAGCAATGCTTTTGACAGCATCGTGCTGATCAACGTCTTTCACACTGGTGGCCTTGACCATTTTACCTGCAAACTTCAGGAATACTTCAGAAATCAAATGTGAAAAAGGAGGAATTCTCTTCCTTTTTTTTAAATACGATAAATCTAAAATAACGGAAAGAGTCGTAGCGAGCCTGAGGCAATATACTTATTGTTTTGCAAATATGCCCCTGCGAATGCGCTTAAAAATTAAACAGAGAAAAAAGTTTTCCTCTTTTTTTTTTCGAATTTATTGACTATATTTCAGACTCCGTACATTTTGATCTGCCTGCGCGATTGAGAGATGTTCCAAATCTTCAAATCTTATAAAGAAATCTTTTTCCATTTCTGCGAAACGACTTTTTTTCTTGTTCTACTCTTTCCAAAAAAATCTGCGTTTATTTTTACATTACCATATTCCATATAAGTTTCAGCGGTTTTCTATATGTCGCTTTCAAAGTAATTTCCGCAAAATGTAAAACTATCTCTGACTCTCTTTAAATTTTCTCTTTCTCTGACGACTATTTTGCCTTTTGAGGAATAATTTTGAACACGGCAAATTTTACAAAAAATCTGAACGCACTCGATCAGCTTTCAAAAAAAGGAGAAAAAGATCGGTAAAATAAACGGATTTTCCACTGAAGAATAATTTAATTCGGCGCTAGGAAACTTTTTTTTCAGCGTCGCAAAAAAAAAAATACACTGAAACTAAACTTTCATAGAGAAAAACTAATTCGGTGTTCAGTGATTCCGCAAAATCCAAAAATAGCATTCAGAGATTGAAAAAGATAATTTATTTTTTTGTAGACCCAGAGACAACTTATGTGTGCATTTCGCGGAAATTACTTTGAACACGGCATATTCCACAGAAATGAAAAAAAATAGTTAGAAGTAACTATGCTCCATGGGAAACTATTTCGACTCGGACATTGGTAACGCGAAACGGACGTGCTCCGGACGTTTCTGGGCGATTCTAGGGATCACTTAAGAGGGCTGAGGCTTCTAAAGTGGTCACTAGAAATGCCCCGACACGTCCGATTCGCGTTACCAAGGTCCGAGGAGGCAAAATTTTATACGATTTTGCGTAGTTACGTAATGAAAATGAAAAACATAATAAAAAAAAATCATATTTTAAAAACTAATGGATCTGAAAGAAATTTTTCTAAAGAGCACCTTAGCGCGAGACAGTAACGAGGTCGCGCTAGGAAGGGAACGATCTTAGTGAAACAAAAAGTTAAAGTTGCATGAAATTTGTAAATCCATATTGGACATTTGCCAAGAAGGCGGAGCAATATAATCCGACGTTACCAACATGTTTGATTTTCATCATAAAAGTATAACCATTCGATCCGTCTCAAAATAAGGAAAGAAAGAAAAATACAGCGAAAATCGTAAAAAGAAGACAATCAATCTTCTTTAATGGACTGGTTTCCATACTAGCCGCTGTACTAGTGGGTGCAAATCAGGGATGTTTGGGACGAAGCTTTTCATCTTGAGACGAAAAAAAATATCTCGAGACCATCCAAAATGAAAAAAAAACCCCAAAATTTTGTTTCAAAATAAGGTGGTATGAAAATAACACCTACAAAAATTCAAACGGCGACTTTTCCGATTTTTTCATATCGCTAGGGAACTTTCCGACGGCCACTTTCCCGCCGAATCCCATCCCTTCTTGACTTTTTTCCCTCATGTTTTTCGGTTTATAAAACATCTATTAACATTTTTTTTTCCTATTTCTGTGTTTTAATCGTGAACCAACTACCTACTTTATATAAGAAGATTTAAAACGAAGATTTTATCGAGATAAAAAAATCAGAAAAAGATTCGTCGGAAAGTTCCCTAGTGATATGAAAAAATCAAAAAAGTCGTCGTTTGAGATTTCTCTTGCGTTTTTTCATACCACCCAAAATAACACTGGAAAACGACCACAACTCAAAAATGTGCGAAAACTTCTCATTATTGAGAAAAATTACAAAAAATCTGACAGGTCTTTTTTTTCACTTAGAAAAGTCTCGAGACGAGATCGTCTCTCGTGCATCCCTGGTGCATATGCAACTCATTTGCCACTACTCTGAGATAAAATTACTATGAAAATATAGACGCCATTATATAGATAGCACTCCAAAAGTCTCCTAATGGCGAATTAATCTACACAATCTCCTATTATATCTGAATTTTTTTTTCTATACCGTATTTTTTTTGTGACACGCCAGCCTTGAATGCCCTAATCAGTTAAAAAAACCTAGTTTGTAGTTTAAAGGACGAAATACAGCGTTCAAAGTAATTTCGCGAAATTCGAAATTTTGTTTTAAAAGTTATTTATTTCATAATTATCTACACAACACTACAACAAAAAAATCTTTTCTTTTTCACCATCTGACGGCTATTTTAAATTTCGCGGGATGACTTTGAACACGGCACTGCACCAAAAAAAGTCTTGATTCGAAAAAAATTCCGAAAAATAACACTGAAAAAAACGACTCAACGTTTCGATAATTTTTTTCAGATCTTTTCAAACAGATCAGAAAGAAATTTGAAAATATGACCAAAAAAATTTTTTTCAATCCTGAAAAATTTTTTTTTAGGCTTCTATCGGATGTGTTACCATAAACAAAGAAAAAAATTAGTTCCGCGGCAGAAATTTCGATAATGCGATTAAACAAGAAAACGAGAATTCAAATTTGAGAATCCTAAAAAATTAAACGGTCGTTACGATGATTATGAAAAATTATATAAAGTGCTCATTTTATCAAATAGAAATGTTATCGATACCTTTTGAGATTGTTAAAGTAAGTTTTAAAATTCTATAATGAAAAAAAAAAATAATAAAAATTCTAGCGGCCACCGTACGCTCGCTGTTCACTGTGCCGAATTAGCTGCGCATCAACTGCACGCTCCGCGTCCAAAAATACTGGTGAAACGCTTCTTCTTTTTTTTTATTCAAATGTATTTTTATGTTTTACAAATCACTTTAACTTTACTCAAAGAGTATAAATTAGGGTTTTCGATAATGAAGCTATGAAAATTGAGTTCTTTAAGAAAAGGATTTTTCAAAGCACTTCTTAATAAGACACGAAAAAACAATTCTCATTGAAAAATATTTTTGCGACTTCCATTGCTTCTTTTGATGTTTGAGAGTTTGGATGGAGCTTCGGTTTCATTATCACTATCAATATAGTTAGAATATTTCCCAAGGGCTACATTTTGATAGAGGTTGATACTATGAAACTTCTTATTTTGCATGATCTTTTCCGATAGCTAAAAACTTGATACATTCGTTCAGAATGAAAGAGTGAAAGAGTTTTTCGAAAATACTTGAAAGTCGCAAAATCTTTAAATTACACCTCATTCCTTTTTCAAGATTGGATATTCAAATTTTCCTTTTTTTCATTGATTGTTTTTTGGTTGTTTTAACATGAATAGAGCAGAAGAAAAAGCAGAAAAAAATCATGAAAAAGCTTCACAGATTCTATTAAATAAATGAATCAGTTATAAAGTTAATTTTATTCAAGCTTTTTCTAACTATTATTTTCAGATGAAAACCTTTGATATCTGTTTCATTCACTTGATCAATTTTTTTCAGAAATCGAATTGTACATAGAGCTATGGAAGTGACTAATGCGGAAATCGGTAAATTATTTTGTTTTTTGTTCTAATAGCTGTGTTGAAAGTTTAATTATTAGTACGTTTGCATAAGGAACTCGTTATCTGAGAATGCAACGTGAAGTTCATGATTAAAAAAATTTGTTTTTTATTACCTTGTCTTACACTAGCAGTCGATAAGATTTGCGAACCTCAAAAAAAAAATCCTGAAAAAATTACGTATTCATGTGTTTCGCGTTAATTCGGATGCAAATGGGTTTTTGATACTGATAAAGGGATTTTCAGGGAACTCCTTCAATGATAATATCTCCGATGATCTTAGAAGGTAAAGTTCTTGTTTTATAGAATGTTTCAAAATTCTATTTTCAGTCCTTCAAGCTCTTCTTCGTCTTTGCTGAACAGAAAAGGCTTATTTGGGAACTCTGGAGGACGTCTAAATGTTTGTTGAATTGGTTTTCGAGATTTAGAATATTTTTTTTTTTTAAGAAGGCGATGGAGATCTCTTCTATGGAAGTTGATGGTAACTTACAAAAAAACGAACATAACGGAGTTGAAGAAAAAGGTAAGTTCGATGATATTCAATTTAAATATCATTCTCTTTGAGATTCCGCTGTTTTGGAAAGGTTGGGGAACTCAGCAGGTGGTATTCCCGTGGTCGAGAAAAATATAAACGGCGTACCAGCCGTTGAAAATGAGTACACAAAGTCGGGCAGCTCTGACGACGTCTCGAACGTCCCTAATAAGACTGCTCAGGATCCCAAGGAAGACACAAGTGTAAGTGAAAGTGTGAAGTGTTTTTTTCAAATTTCTTGATTTTCATATTGAAAGTTTTTTTTTTCAGTTTTTGGAAGATGACAACGACAATGAGCAGAAAGAGCCCCGCAGCGACGTAACTGAGATTTTCGAGAAGAAGATTCTCTCCATGGACACCTCTTTGAATGATACTGAGGTAATTTCGATTCAATATTTTTAAGTTTCTTGTATTTTTTAGATTGATATTCCTCCACAGGAAAAACCTGAACTCGTATCCGAAGATAGTGAAGTGGTAGAAGAGAATCTGAACGATGTCAAAGAAAAGGGGGAAAGCCCGAAGACTTCAAACCACATGAAAGACAAACAAGAAGTTCCAGAACGTTTGGACGACATGAAAGAAGAGCAGCGAATCCTTGAATTCTCAGATAATATGGGAGAAAAAAAAGAAGTTTCGGAACAGTTGGACGACATGAAAGAAGAGGAGCAAATTCTTGGAATTTCAAATGATGTGGAAAAAAAAGAAATTCCTGAAACTTCAAATGAAAAAGAAGCCGACGCGACGTTGCATATTCTCGAAGAATCTGATAAAGACGGACTTGAGGATAAAGAACCAAATAATACAGCTGTGGGAAGCGAGGAATTACGATCCGCTGAGGAGAGTTCATCTACCGAGGAGATCGTACCTAGCGAGCCAAAAGAGAGGTATATGAACTTCTTCTTTCTATTTTTCAGTGAATTAACGATTTTTTTTTTTGAAGTGTAAATGTGGCTGACCATCGAGAGGTGGAGAGTCCAACTCAAGAAGTAGTCGTTGCTGAGCAAACTAGCACGCCGAGCACTTCTGAAGATCAGGAAAAATTGGACCTACAACCGGAAGAGGTTCATCCAACACAGCGAACTCCTCGTGGAAAAAGTCGAAAATCTTTGTCGGTATGTCTTCTTTTTGAATTTTGTGAATTTATTTTTTGATTCAGAAAGGTGAAAGGGTTGATCTCGAAGAGAAAAGTGAACAAGACTCTGGAGAAAGAGAAGATGTGCCACCACCTACGAAACGGCGTTCTGTAAGACAATCTCAGGTGAATGCATTTTCGCTTTGATGGTAATCACCAGAATTTAGTTGTTGTTTTTTTCGCACATCAAAATTTAACTCAACAAGATAATAGTTTACAAAAAAAAATTAATGAAGAAGACGGCAAGTTTCGAAAAGTTCGCTGGCAAAATGAAAAAGATCAGCTATGTATAGCATAACCTTTACAAGATCCAATATTCGTAAATTTCATCTTTTTAATTCCCTCAGGTGCAAGTCGATTCGTTGCCAGTAATAAGTAAGCGCAAAGAAAAGGCGCCAAATACGGAAGAAGATCAACATGTTCCACCGGAGAACTCTTCCGGTCGCCGCTCTTTACGCGCTCGTGCCCCGACGGAGATCCCTCCCACTCCCGAACCCAAAACCAAAACGTAAGTGTGAAATTCAAAAAAGTCGGAGCAGTGTTCTTTTTTTTAAATCATATCCACGCTTTCAGCCCTGCAACGAAGAATAGGCGATCGACGAAAGATCAGGAAGAGATAGTTGAGGAGGAAAAAGTAGAAGATGAAGCTAAAAACGATAAAAATAAGACGCCCGAATCCGATCAAGATCTGAAAAAGACACCTTCTCGTTCTAAACGTTCGTTTTCAAGTTTTTTTCTTTTTTTTTGTTTGAGGTTGAGTAGGCCCTTTGAATTTTTTGGTAATGAACAATAGAAAGTTCAACGAAAACGACTTCTCTCAATTTTTGTTTTGAAGTAATGTTAACTTTTTTCTAAAAGTTTTTTATTCATTTTTTTGCAAATTTCAAGGCGTCAAGACTACCGAACCGGCAGAAACGCCGGTTTCTGAAACCAAGAAAACACTTTCTTCTGAAAAGTCGGCAAGTAAAGCAAAAACTCCGACGACGCAAGCTAGGGCCAAGTCGACTACAAAAAAGAAGGCTGAAGCTGAAGCAGAACCGGACCCATATGATATTGATACCAAAATCGATGAACATCCAGAACCTCTCAAAAAAATATTCACGTATGTTCAGTTTTAAATTTAAGAAGTTATAATATAAAAATTTTTTTCAGATGCAAGTTCAGTCATTCGGATCAGTGAAGTACGAGAAAGTTGGTATCGGAAAATATGAACAGACGGAAAAAGCTGCTGAATCTCGAATTGGAAATTTGGTGACTCCCAAGGCTACCAATCGAAAATCTCTAGCGGAAATGACTCCTAGTCGGCAAGCTTCATCGCACGCCACATCATCAGCCAAGTTTACAATCTTTCAAGAATTTTTTTTTGAAATTTTTTTAGAAGTTATAATTTTTTGAATTTCAGAAGATCACGACCGCAAAAGCTATCGGAGAAGGAAGACGTTTTCGCAGATGAGCCTATGGACTTTGAGGATACCGACACTACTAAATCTGAACAGAACAAGACTGCTCGCAAGAGAAAGTAATTTTTCCAAACTTTTTTTTGTTCAAATTAATTTTGGAACGCTCCAGGATAAGTAAAACCTGGCTAAGAACGTGCTTCATGATCACTAAAAAGTTTCCCTTTTACTTGGTTCAATTTGTTTTCAATAGAAACTTTTCGTTTTAAAAATTATTATGATTGCATCCGCATGGCCCTTTTCAAAGTTGTTTCTATTGTCCAAATCTCAGAGCTGATACGGAAACGACGCCTGTTTCTGCGAAGAAGCCTCACGTTGAGATCCCGGAGTTCACCTCGGAGCAGCAGTGGATGATCGACCATCCTGAAGACGAACACGCGCCCCACCAAAAAGGGGCTCGAGTTTATGCTCTCTTCGCCAAAATCTATTATCCCGCTATCGTCGTCGATGAGTGAGCTTTCTACATTTTCTAAGTTTTTCTGAGGAGATTCATTTTGTTTTTCTTTTTTTACGGTTTCAAGAGCAGCTTTTTTCACATTAAAAAGAAAACGCTAAAAAACGGATCAAGTTAAAAAGTTGCAGTTTTCAGATTTTCCAATTTCTTTAAAAATCGAAGTAGTGCGGAAAATATTTATAACATACTAAGTTGTATAGTCAATGTTTCCCGACTTGAAAGGCGAGGGAGACGGGGCAAGGGGCGGGACGCGTAGCGTGTGCGTTCGCGGTTCTTTGCACGAGTACAATTAAATTGCCGCCGACTATTTAAAAAGCTCGGCAGCCGCTCTTTTTCAATTTTTTCTACAATTTTTTGATGCACACATGGATATAATCAATAAATAATTGAAAAAGGAATGAAAAGAGCGAAAAACGGGCTTCTCAAAAAGTCGATGGCGGTTGAATTGAACACGTGCCAAGAACCGCGAACGCACACGATACGTGTCCTGCCCCCTGCCCCGCCTCCCTCGCCTTTCAAGTCGAGAAACATTGACTATAACAATTCTTTTCGTTATTTTTAAACTTCTGCTAAATTACAATTGATTACAGTTATCCTTTGAAGGTGTTTCACTATCCAAAAATTTGCAGTCGTGATGCTCTGGGCCGTTTCAAAGTTTACTTCACGGCTGACCAAATTGTCAAGGATGTCCCAACTGCCGGCGTGATTCCTTTGAGGGCCGTTGTATCTGAGAAAACGGTTCGGAAAAAAATTTTTTATTTCTGTTTAATTGCTTGGTTTGAGTGCTTTTACGAAGATAATGTTGCTCAAGTGCTGGCCTGTCCTAATGCGGCTTCGGCTGATGAATGGACGGAGGGACAGTTCAAAATAGTGGTTTTGGATGAAGACATGGAACCAAACGGAGAGACTTTGAGGTTCTTTTTTTCTTCCTCGACAAGAATTAAATTTCTTTTAGTGTAAATTGGAAAAATATCTCGCTTGACATGAACGATTGGAAAGAGTACATTCAGAAGAAATCAAGTGAAGCCACTCAGATTATCACTGGTTAATATTATACATGTTTTCGATGAGGCGAAACTTGCTTTTAGATAATATTTCTTCGATTGACAATCGTCAAAGGAGGTCGACTGCCGCTTCTGCGGTGGCCGTTGCTACGCCAACGGCTACAAAGGCTCAACCGAAAACGCCCAAAAGTGCAAAAACGACAGAAAAAACCCCGCCATCGTCCTCTTCACAACGTTTGACCTTTTTTTGGGTTTAATGAAAGACCGCGAAAAACAAAATTACTGAATTTGATCTGCAAAGCGCGTTCTCATCCTCTCCAAAAAAACGTACCTTTTTTTTTTTGTTGTTTATTTCTTCTTCAGATTAACAATTGTTTCGTTTGAATTCAAAGCTTTTTGTCCTTAAATTATTAATTTATTGCTTTTTCACGTCATCTTTTTTTAATTTAGAGTTTTATTTGAAAAAAACTATATGAAAATTTTTTTCCAATTTTTTTGTCCTCCGAGTATAATAAAGATTTTTAATTCACAAGGAAAAAAATAACGGTCACCAGTTCTCCATTTTCTGGCGACTCAACATCTTTTTTTCTTACTGGGCTTTTTTTATATTATCATTAATGAATCTTTTTTTAATCGTTGCAAATTTACAGGTAAAGGCCGTGGCAGCAGATCAAAACGAGGAACGCCACCTCCGAAGTTGGAATCCAGTCTGATGGCCGAAGAAGAGATTCCTCGTGAGTTTTTTTTCCTCTTAATCGAAATATATATATTTATATATATATATATATATTCTTTTTTTGAAGCTCCAACTGGTGCAGCCGTTCACCTTTTCGAAGGTAAAGCTTTCATTTTGACTTCTGCCAATCGGCCGTCGCCCGATGGATCGTTATTCCGCAAGAAGTTCATGCATGAACACATCGTCATGCGGATGGGAACTGTTGTCGAAGATTTCAAGGTTTTTTTAACCTATATTTTATGTTTTATGTTGGTGTACGAGTAGTGAACCAGATTCTCTGGTAATGAAAGAGACTCACTTCTTGCCGTCCAGCTGAAAATTTTCATTTATTGCGATTTATATTCGATTATGATAGTAATCTGGCGAAGAACCACCGAAGCATATGTTATAGCTTTTTTTAAAACTTTTTTTTAGATATACCCTGTAGAAGATCAAAACCAATAAAACGTTGAAACAGGCTTACTCTCCAGTTTTTAATTTTTTTTTTTTCACGGCCAACTTGAATTGGGGTCAACACGAAATTATATTTAAGGATTTCGATGACCATCCTGAGTTGGAGCCTTTCCTGATATCTGACACTCATTATCGAACTCATAAGTATTTGGCGGCGATGGCTCGTGGAATGCCTTGTGTTTCACATAAATGGGTGCGACAATGTTTGAAAGAAGTAAGCCGATTTTTCTTTCAACACTTTTTCGATTACTTTTTTCGTGTATAGAAAAAATAAATATTCTTTTCAGGGTGTTTTGGTTGATTATGAAGAGTTTCTACTTCCAGCCGGGGTTTCGATTTTGGATCATAAACTTTATCCACTGTTCGTTTTTTTTTTATCTGTCAGAAATTGTTTTATTTTTTTTTCAGTTCAAGAGAAGCCGGGGTTTTGCTTAAAAACAAAAGGGTTTTTGTTCATTCGCGACATCCCTTGACTGGTGAATGCAAAAACATGTCTTTTAATGAGATTTGGAAGCCGATCGTCAAGTTTCTTGGAGGAGAACTTTTTGAAGAAGAACCTGAAAGTTTGTTTTTAATTCTCAGAAGATGCATTAAGAAATCACCTTGAAACGGCTCATTTGCAGGCGAATACGAAGTTTTACTTACTGACAACAGTGCGAATCCTAAAGTTGTCGAGAACGCGTCAAAAAAGAAAGCGGACATCGTTTCTTCTGAATATATTATCCAGGTTTGTTGTTTTCGTTGATGTCCTTCATTCAAATTCAAGGAGATTCCATCTGAAAATGAAATGTTTCCAGGCTATCATCATGAACAAGCTTCCACCCGTCAATGGTCATGTTCGCTTCAAGCCTGAAGGTCTTACGCGCAGCTCGAAAGATACCAAAAAGCGCCATTGATTCACATTGATGAATTTTTCTCATTCATTTGATACATGTTTCTCACAATTTTCACACTTATTTTTTATTTTGCACTCTGATAAATTCTCCAAATATTAAGCTATAACTCACCATAGCTTGAGACAGCATTTTAAGAAAAAAAAATTTATGACACTAATATTTACATTCTGGCAAAAAAGTTTGATTTGCGTAAATAATATTTTTGACTTTTTTTTTTAGTAACTTTGGTCGCAAGCTCTCGGTGAGTGGAGTATTACTGTATTTCTACATTGAAAACCTTTATAATAAACGTTTTTAGCAGAACTAATTCTAATTCGTCCTTGATCGAAAGCCTAATTCGGAGTAAAAAAATCTCCTATCCCTGTGTATTAAACTTGTGTTGTTGTATTGTATAGTTTGGCCTTAGGCTGCCGCTCCCTGTATTGCTCTGTCAAATGGTGAGTCTGTCTCAAACTTTTTTTTTATTATAAAGATCTCACACTTTTAACTTCTAAAATATTCTAACTTATTCTGTTCTGTTCATAATAAACTGTATTTAAAAAAATTTGTTAGACGGAGCCTTGAGGTTTTATCGCCTCCTCGCAGTTTATTTCAGCAAACAGTTTTGGGTCTATATGGTGGTTCTTGCGACAACTCTTATAGTTTACAAACAACGAGAAAGTTTTTCTTGATTAGTCGCCCTTCGTGAACTGAATAGCTGATTTATGATGGCTCTTATGTTTTCATATCTTCAACATTTCAATTTTTTTTTTCACAAAGTTTCAAAAAAAGTATTTATTCTTTTTAGCGCTCACATAGGCAAAGTCGGAAGGACCCTTCACGGGCCTTTGAGCGTCCGTTACGGATCCGTCTGTTTCCGGAAATTGTTCCTAAACGGTTTCCTTTTTTCTGCCTTTTTGCGTCCTTTCATCGGCCTTCATCCACCCTTTTTAGACCCTTTTGAGAAATACAATTTTTTTTAAATTGAGAATAATCTTTAAAAGTGACTGCGTATGAACCGAAATAAGCTACAGTAATAACATCGGAAATCATCAATAACAGAGACTTTCAGAACCTTTTTGAACCCCCACTCTTTCTTCACCCTTTTCGCGGCCTCTCCCTTTTTTCGCCCTTTTATGACCCTTTTTAACCCACCAAAAATGAAAGGCTCAATAAAGGCCGTAAAAAGGGACCCTTTTAGCGGCCATTTTGCAGTCACTCCCTTTTTGCACCCGTTTTCCGCACTTCCGAATTTGGCAGTGCATTTGAATCAATTCTATCCGAAGAGAGGATTATCAAGAAGATTAAATGAATAACGTTCAAATGTTAGATGTTCAGATTTCGCCACAGTTTCTTAATCTTCCCAGAGATGTACTGGACTCGAATTTTTTGGAAAAACGGATGGTACGACAAAATCTCAAGTCCGCAAATCTCGAGGACCGTAATCTTGTGTACACAGATCCAAAGTCCCATAATCTTGGAGACCAAAATCTTGGAAACCACAATCTTGGAAAGTAAAAATCAACGCTTTTGCGAATAGATTTTATCACAAATTGTATTCGGTGATCCAAACAAGAGAATATAAGTAGATAAAGTGCAATAAAGAAGACTAAAAAGGAAGATTTCTGCTTTCCAAGAGTGTGGTTTCCAAGGTTATGGGACTTTAGATCTGCGTACACAAGATTACGGTCCTCGAGATTTGCGGACTTGAGATTTTGTCGTACCATCGAAAAACGCGGTCTCAATGGGGCGCATTTTCGCTGTCGTTTCTGTCTTTCGGCTCTCTCGTTTTTTTTTTGTTTTCAAGTTACACGTAGATTCCTCTTCAAAAGAACAAGTTGCGCCTCTATTTGAACTGGACCCAATCAAATTCACAACATTCCCAACATTTCCGAAATTAATAATTTCATTTAAGAAAAAAAATAACTACTTTACTACTTTTAGGATTTCGGAACTAATTTTTTTTTCTAATTTTTATCACTCTTCAACACTTTTTATAAAAACTAAGGTTTATACCGTTGATGAACTTAAAATATAATGGTTTTCTGTGCCAGAAAGAGAGAAAAAAAAAACACACATTTATACTCTTAGACCTGCAACTGCCGTCTTATGGTTAGCGCAAAGTTTCTTTAAATAGAGATATACAGTACCGCTCAAAAGTCTATTAAGTTTTGGTTTTTTGGGGATATCTCAGCGAGTACTTATCCGATTTATATATAACTTTCAGGGATAATGTAAAATATACTTTGAAACATATACGGTATACAAAGACATGTCCGCAATGACTGTGACGCGTTTTAGGCATTTTTTTATTGAATTCCATTTTTTTGTTTTTTTATGCTTTTTATTTTTTTTATTTATTTTTTTATTAAATTTTTTTAAAAATTAATAATGTTGCCATATGATTTTTTTTCATGTTTTTCAGACATGGGAAGAACCTTTGGAAATAAGAATTTGGCTGATAACGACAAAAGAGCCATCGTTGTGGGTCGTCAAAATGGACTGACCATGATGACGTTGGCAGGAATGTTCGGCGTGACAGAGGCGGGCATTTCTCAGTTCCTAAAGCGTCAGAAAGCTCAAGATGGCTCTACTAACAGCCAACGCACTGGAAGATCACGTGTCACTGATCGTAATGACGATAGGAACATTTTGAAGACGTCTAGAACCAATCCAAGACACCGCCCCTGCGATCAGACGGGAAGTTTTCTTGAATTCGCCATCTCCGCCATCCGTCTCGACCGTGAAACGACGTCTGAATGCTGCTGGAATCATGGGAAGACGTCCAGTGAAGAAACCGCTGATTTCTGTAAAGAATCGAGCCGCCAGGGTGAAGTGGGCGAAGGAGCATCTCAACTGGACCCGTCAAGACTGGAACAAGATTCTGTGGTCCGACGAAAGCAAGTTCCTCCTCTTCGGGAGTGACGGAATTCAGTGGGTTCGTAGACCAATTGGGTCCAGATATCATCCGAAATACCAATTACCCACCGTGAAACATGGTGGAGGTTCTTGCATGGTGTGGGGCGCCTTCTCTGGAAGTGGCATCGGACCGCTTCATCGCGTGAACGGCATCATGGACAAGCACGTCTACAAAGACATTCTCCAGAACCAGATGTTGCCGCACTTGAGAGCCATGGGCCGTGGGAGTGTTTATCAACAGGATAACGATCCCAAACACACTTCACTGTTCGTCAAGGTGAGAAAAATTGACAAGTAATTCGTATGGTTTTGAAACTCAGGACTGGTTCAAGAGCCGTCGGGTCAATGTCATGGGGTGGCCAAGTCAATCTCCGGACCTGAACCCGATCGAACATCTCTGGGAAGAGTTGGAGCGACGTTGTGCCAACAAAAGAGCCAAGAATTGCAACGAGAAGTTTGCTCAACTGCTGTCTGAATGGAATCAGATCCCCATGTCTACCATCGACACTTTGCTCAATTCTATGCAGAGAAGATGCCAGGCAGTGATTGACGCCAGGGGCTTCGCAACCAAGTACTAGGTCCCGAATATTGTTTTAACAATGTTTTGTGTTGATAAAAATTTTTTTTGTTGAGCTATGATTTTTTAATTGAAAATAGCAAAAGTTCGATTTTTTCGAAAATTCGTTTTTTTCTCGAAAAATTATTATTCTTTGAGCTAGCAACTTGAAATTTTGCCAGAACACGTATTTCTCTCTCAGAAAACTATGAAAAAAAATTTGAATCGATATCGCATTTCAAAAAAAATTTATCCCCAAAAAACCAAAACTTAATAGACTTTTGAGCGGTACTGTAGAAAGTTTGATTGACCGAAAATTATTAATTTTTTTTAAAAGAAAGCAATAATTTCTGGTCGCTTCAATTTCTCATTACTGAATGACACAATTGTTTTTTTATGGTAATTTTTTTCTTGAAAGAATGTTTCTGTTATTTTTTTCGTTGATCTTAAAAATTTTCAGAACGTATCAAGTGTAAGAGTTTTCCAGGAAGATAAGTGAATGAACTACGGCGATTCGGACCCTCGCAGCCGAAGCGATGGGTGAATTCTTGTCATTATTTCTTTTCCAACTTTCAGAAAATATACTCTTCTTAACCAAAAAGTTTCAATAAAAATAAATACGGCTAAAAATTGCGTCAAAAGAAGAAAATTAAAGATTTCAGACTTCATCTTACATCTTATTCTTATGATAAGAAAAAAAGAGGATTATATATACGAACTTAGAAAATGGAGAGTTCAGCGGAGGACGGCGAGGCGTCGAAGCGACGACATTTCGCGGCGTTCCTTCATATCACGAGATTCCGCCAAGAGGAGGAAACTCCGGCAGAAGACCCAAGAGAAAGAGGTTTCGTGGAAAATTAAGCATTTTAGAGTGCGCAACGACAAGAAATTCGAAAAACGTAGACGAAAATAAACATTTCGATATATTTTTCGAGTACATTGACTGAGCTTCATCATTTGTAACCTTTTTGAACAAGATATTTGGTTGCCTAGAGACCAGGGTTGTATTGAAGGGTAGGGATAACGCCTGTTAGAGCGAAGAAAATGGAGAGAAAAAGACGCTAAAAGGCTTTTCGAATTTTTCTTTCGAACGCAATTTTCAATCCAAAACGATGATAGAGAACGATAGTTTCTGAGATGAAACCTTTCTCGTCAAACATGTCTCTGACAGTTTTTGTTCCGGTAGATAAAAAGGTCAAAAAGTGATGGAACGAGATCAAAAAAGGTGTTTACTCAGAAAATGGCGGCCAATGGTTCCTGTTTTCAATGAGAGAAGGTTTCTATTCTGATTCCGTGTTCAAAGTGATTCCGCCAAATCCAAAACAGCCGTCAGAGAAAGCAAAAGATAACTGACTTTCGGAGAGTCAGAGATAGGTTTGCATTTCGCGGAAAACTACTTTGAACACAGCACTAAGTGTTTTTGATGTTTTTTTTTTTTGGAGTATCGTTTTGATGGTTCATGTTTGGAGTACCTTTTGGATGGTTCCAGAGGTGGCAACCATCAGCCGAGGAACGACCGAGAGCCTGACTACCAGGGTGATCGGAGGTTTCTCTGTGGCCAAGGTTGGTTTATTTTCCAAAAGTGTTGAAAGAAAAGTCGTCGCAAACACACAGAAGATATTTTCTTTCGACAATCCAGAGTTTCCTGAAAGTTTTCCCTTCTAAAAGAAAGTTACGGAAATTCAAAAATTTGTATGTTTGTCTGTGTTCTGATAAAGGAAACTATTAAAATCGCCTATTCTTGCGCAGAAAAACATTTTCCTACCGTTTCTTTTTCAAGAAAAAACTTTTTCCAGGCTGATATTTTTGGGAAACTTGCCGAGAACAAAGAATTTTGAACCAGTTTAAAAAAATTGTCAGAAATTCTCATTTAATTCTTTCTCATGAGTTCTTTGTGCTTGAGACAGAATCGAACGTCATAAAAAAAGCTAAAGAAGCCTTATAATCCTAATAGTGAAAAAATTCGGAAATTCGAAAATATCTTTTCTTTATTTTGGTGCATTTCTCATACTTTCTTTTATCGCAGAGCGTTTGAGGGAAAAAGATCATTTTGTGGGTATAGTTTTTAATTAAATTGAACTCCTTGAAAAAATAAGGCACTGAAGATACAAGAAGCTTCTTTTATGAATTTCTCAGAGACCGAGCTTTTGAGTGTTTGTAACGAAGGCGAGCACACGACCGCTGCGCTACGAAAACCTATTTGTGGATTCTCCGAATTCAGGTGCCGAGTCTTCGGATCAGTTCCAAGTAGAAGTTGGCACAATAATGAGACGTTCGACGACTTCGAGGGGCGACGACCATCAGGACATTTTTCAGTTCGTTGCCTATATTTGAAAAAAATGTTTGTGTTTCTCAGAAATTAATAAGTGATAAAGTTAATTAGAAAATGTGACGGTTTTTTTTATTCCCCATTTTTATTGAAAAATTGGGATAATTGATGAAGCAACCGTTTTGCAGCCGATAAGCTATTCCAGATGGTTTGAAGCTAACTGAGAATATAACGAAAATAAATGCCCAAAAGGAAAAACGGTTAAAGTTGCCACTAATGAACATACGTGTATGAAACTCTCAGTTATTATTTCTTTTTTTTTAAACTGAAAACTCTTCAGTCTCATTTATTTTTCTGTTACCCGATCTCAGCTTCAATATTTTCTTATTTTAGTCGTCGAATATCTCCATCTTTTCTTTTCCAGCAATGAAAAGAGTCAGGAAATGAAGTTTGGAAGGAGGCCTTTTCGACTATTTTTCGATTCATGTTTGACCTTACCTGGAATCAAACTATTCTATCCATATTCATTTATTCGTTTTCTTGATCTACTAATTTCAAGGCCGATAGACGCTTTGGAGGCAGAAGGACGGTACACGTTGCCGAAAAATGGCATCAACAACTTGAACGGCGCCTATTCTTCTCACAGGTTCAAAATTCCTCGTTCCGCATAACTTTCTCTTTTTGAAGGCTGGCTCCAAGACGCTCAAACGTTACTTATGGTTATACTAACAGGTATCTTGACGGAATAAGAGAATATTATAAATTGTGAGAATATTCTCTAGAAAATGGAAAAGGAAAAAAAAGAAGTTCTGAAAAAATATTTTTGAATTATTTCTATGAGTTTTTATTAAAAATATCAATGTAGAACTAGTACCTGCAATGCTAGGAGTTTTTCAGATCGGCAAATAACAATAGGAATTCAAATAGGTTTGAACAAAGAAACGAAGGTTTCAACCGCAGGAATCCTCACGAGAAGTAAGCCAAAAAGTTGGAAGCAGAGTTGAAATTTGATTTCAGTGATTACCACGGCCAAAGCTTTCGAGACACGCCGACAAACCAAAATCGGAGGTTTTCCAAAGTTTTCTACACGAACAGCCCAAGAATTTTACGTTCAGAAATCCCGATTACGTAACTCCGACACGAGGCAACGATATGTACAATAGGAGGAATCAGAATGAAGGTTTCGCAGTCATTTAGAAGTAGTCGTGATATCCAGAAATCATGTATAAATAGTGAAGTTCATTGAGGACATTTTGAATTCACTTCTCGTTCTGCCTTTTCGAAAAAAAAAATATTTCAACGATTTTCAATGGTTCCCAACGATGCTGTGAGGAACTTTTGTTCTGAATGTACCATAATGATGCCTAATAGTTCAGGAGTTCGAGAGCTGATAAGATCGAACAACGACTCCTACGGACTGGTGACTCCGCCCATCTCGACGCAGGCTTCGAGGGAGCGCAACTTGGCCGACGACTACCACTCGAGAGCCGCCGTCCGCAACCTCTCTTCGCAGTGTATGCAGCCGTCGAGCTACTACGACGACACTCCATATAAACAGAACGTCCCACAGAACGGCGTTCCTCGCGTTTATTACGCTGAAAAAGAGCCGCAGTCCTCAATTCGAAGATATCCCAACGGAGCAGGAAACAGCGACCGCGGAACGTCTTCTGGAAAGTCGCTCAATGGGTCAAAAGAAGACGATTCTTTGAGACTCGTTTCGGCAATTTCCAACGTCTCCTCGATTGAGACACGGCATGGACCGGGGGACCATTCTGAAGAAGACGGGTCTCCCAGAAAGAACGACGGCGACTTCGGATCTCAGAGGAGGGTGTTCCCTTCTAACTACTCGCCCATGTCGTTCCAAACTTTGAGAGGGGAAACTTCTCAGAACTTGTATGATGACTACGAAGAAGAAGATCTCCGCGAAAGTCCCGAATCCATCGAGTTCCAACGTCTCGAAGGGATTTTCGACACAAGTCGTTTCGAGTCTTCCACTGCGCGAATGGGTATGAGCTCAAAGAATATTCGGAAAGTTTTTCTTTCCCGTAGTTTTCGCACTCTTGGCCTCGATTTGCAATTTGCTCCGCGTCGTTATTAGCTAGAACTGAAAACAAAAATCAATTCTCAAAAAACTACTTTTTTTTTCGCGTGAAACGGTTCTCTTCTCATTTTTCAAAAGTTTCCCTTTTTATATCTGAATTTGAAATTGAATATCTGAACGTTGATAACTATCAATTTTCAAATCTTCCTCGGTTATTTTCTTTCGTATTAATTTAGAAAGGAGAAGCATACATTGTTGAAAAAATGAGGAAAGTTGATAGAAGGACAGGTTTTTATTGAAAATTGATAACCTTTTTCCGCGCTCAAATTAATAATAAATAAAACCCTAGTCGCCATCGTGGGGGAGCCACGAAACAAAAGGATTTGGGTTCCCCCCGCAGTTTTTCAAAATGTAATCAACCTGAACTCAACAAAAGTTGAAAATTCAATCCATCAAAAATTTTTAAATCTGAAAAACACATTCCCAAATTGCGTGCAAAAAAAACGCTTGTGTTTTATAGTCTGTTCAGATTTTGAATATCAAGCAGCTAACTCCACCCCCAAGGCTACAATATCTTACTTGTCAATGTTTTATATCCAGAGGACGATGAACCTTTAATAAGGCTGCATTTTGACTTCTTTTTCTATCTTTTAGATCAAAAAAGATCAAAATTAGTCCCGCGCGATAAAACATCGACGCAAAAAGGTACCGTCTCAACAGGGGCGGAGTTAGCTGGTTGAAATTCAGAATCTGAACAGACTATAAGAAAGGCACACAATTTGGGAAGCGAAAAACTTCGAAAATTTTCATCCCAGGGCATACAATTTTTTCGGTTCCCGGACAGAATTTTTTTTTTTGTGAAAAATTTTTTATTTTGTTTCGATCTGGAAATGACTTAGTAGATGTAAAAATGCGTGCTAATCACGATTTTACTAGTTTCGAGCCAAAAAAAAACAGAAGATAAAAAAGTTATTTGGGAAACTCACCCAAAATTTCATATTTTGGATTTTTCGGGTCTTAGATGGAAAATTCGCTTAATCCATGTTTGGCTCAATAGATAGAGTATTTTTTTGTGGTTTTGATGAAGGCGAGAGAAAACGCCGGCTCGCAACGTCATATACTGGTTTTGATTTTTTTGAGTTTCGTTGATTTTTTGTGGATATATAGATTTTTGAAGGGTTCTACCGTATTTGTCTATCGATTTTTTTATCCAATAAGAAGAGATATTTTCAAATTGTTTTTTTGAAAATGTAAAACGATAAGAGAGAAAGTGTGTACTACAGTCAGAGGCTTCCCAGAGAAAAAAAGAAAACCCCATTTTCGCAAATTTTCGTTTAACTAGTTTATATACAATTTTTTCTGCGCGCGAACGTCATTTTTTCGTATTCTGATACGCTGCTCTCTATTTTGAGATTGAACAAGTAATTGATAAAAAAACTATAAAACTACAAAGGCTGCCCATTTTCGAAACGCGTCATTTTTCGAAATCAAGTAGCTTTATCTATGGGATTTGGTATGTACTTTTTCAAGTTGCAGAAGCGATTCGGGAGGAAATGAAACGTCGGGAAATTCAGTTCGAAGTGATGCGAGAATACCAAAGGCAAGCCGAATCGAGCGAGAGATTGCGCGCAGAACTCAGCAGGTGGGATCTTCATTTGGGTTGAAAAATTCCGAAATAAGTTCATATAATCTTTTTATTATCAGGAGAGAAAGAGAGCGTAGGACACATTTTTTTTCGGAATTTGACTTTTTTTCGATTTCCCGGAAACCATGGTGACGATCGTGATTTTTTCGAGAGCATCGCTTTCATATGAAATGCCGGAATCCGCAGTTTTAGAGCGACTCAAGAATCTGGCCGTTTTGAAGTCATCATTGTTCTGTAATTAATTTTATATTTAATTTTATACTTTCTCAATTATTCAGTCTTTTCCTTCTTAATTGTTTTTTCCGAGTGCTCAGAATCTATGACACGCTATAAATAACCTTCAATTCATTTTTGAATGACATAAATTTTTCAGAAACTGTCGGTCTCCGAGCGGCAATCGAGATTTTGAGTGCGAGTTGCAGTTCAGAAGGTCGAACAGTCCCCAGCGTCGTCTGGAGTACGACGACAACTCCAGAAGACGACGCGACTTAGAACTCCCGCCGCCATCGATGACGGTGCAAAGCCGCGGAGTTCACCCAATAAGTGGAGCTGAATCGTGGCAAATCTTCCCACGGGACGCTTCTGTCGAGCCGGAGTTCGATCCTGTGACGTCACCCTGGACGACGACGACTGCGAAAATTCAGAAGTCTGCTGAAAGCTTTGAGGAAGATGGTTAGTTCGTTTTTTTTGCTTCGAACTTCGGCGCAAACTTGGAAAAGAAACTTCTTTAATCTTTTATTTTTTCGAAGTTTGTGCTCTTGGAGTTCTAATTTTTTTGAAAATCAATCATAAGAAGATCTTTTCCTCTTGTCGTGTAGGAGTTTCCGGCAATTTCACAGGCAAAGTCCAAATGACCTTAAAAAGATCTTAAAAAGAAGAGCCTAAAGCTTCTCTTTGAGTTCTTAAAAAGGTGTCAAAAGTTTCTCGGAATCGCCTTTTTTTTTATTTTTTTTGTCTCCTTTTTTACCTCCTTGAAAAGTCGTTTTCAGAAAAAGGTCTCGAAAAAAGACGCCTTTGAGGCCTTTTTTTCCAAAAGTTCTTTTTGAGACCTTTCGGACTTTGCCCGTGTTCATTCCACTTCAATACATTTTTCTTAAACTTTAATTCTCACTGGTCAGTTTAATATTTTTATCGGCTTTCTTTTCGAAATAACGTAGCGAAGATTCGGTAGATACCTTTTTTTCGTAGAAAGAACTCAGAAAATATGATATGTTCCGTTGAAAACGTTCTGGTGTATCCTATTCAGAACTTCTTTGTTTGAAGGAGCATGAAAAAGTTTTGAAGTTTTTTTTCGTGTTTTTTTTGAAAATAACAACAGTACAACAAGGGTTTTTAAAACGACCGTATCAACGCTTCTGAAAGTTGCAGTAATGTTTTTCTAACTGGCTTTAGCCCATTTCTCAACTTTTTCGATTCCATTCTCCATCTGAAAGTTTTTGGACGGCTTCTATCTTGAAAGTTCTGCAATTGCTCATACTATTGCGAACGAAGGAAAGAGACGTCGGGCAGTGGCTGGGCAGACGAACAGACAAATTCTCTTTTCCTTGTCCCTTGTTTCGAAACGCGTTCTCTCGCTCAACGCGACGTCTCTTATCTTCGTTGCTCATATTAAGCGTTTAAATAACGGGGTTTCTGTTGGAGAAATCATTTTTCCATATCAACTGAGTGCCTAATGATTGCTCGTTTTCATGATTCCACTATTTGAAATTTCAAAGAATCAATGGGATCTTCCGATTTTCCTTCTGCGTATAAATTGTCTCAAAAAATGACCTGAGAGTTTCTTTACTATAACATAATAGACTTGTTGCTGGAAGGACAGCATCTGAGGAACCAATAAAAGGTAATGGCACAGCCCTTTACGCTTATCACTTTTGACCCATAGGTAAAGATTTTTTCATCGGAATATCTCCTTTTTTTTGATGAAGTTGGATAAAGTTGCGATCTCTTTTTTTTTCGCGGAAGAAATCGATTCGAGGTTATTTTGCATGGTTCACAGTTTCAAGGAGAAAAACCTTCTATTTCCTAGGAAAAAAAATCCCCTTTTTTTGTCATTTCAGAAATATAAAATTGAGAATCCAAATTCCAAACGTGAATTTAGCTCATTTCTGTCCTTTTCTATCACTATTGGCACCATCTTATCTGATTCCACGTTGTCAGAGTAATTTCGGCGAATTAGTCTCTGACTCTCCAAAGTTTCCGTTATCTTCTCACTTCCTGACAGTTAACATCAGATTTTATTTCTCAAAGGAACAATTTTATGCGCTTTTTTAAGCCGTAAAGTGATTCGAAACTTATTTATCTAGCTTATCATTCGCCTTTTTTATCGTTTTCTAACTTTCTGGACAATAAAAAAAGTTGACATTACAGTTTCAAAACAATAAAACTCGGCAGATCTTATTCCTGCAATTATGTTCAATCTCCAAAAGCAATTGGATACGAAAGCACCTCCCAGTGGAAGAAAGGGTAAAATTGTTTGAAAATATGGGTTTAAAATTCACAACCATCATTTTAATAAATATTCATTTGGGAAAGAAACTTCCATTTCTCCGAAAACTAGGACACTGTTTTCCTGTGTGTTGATGGTCAAGATTTCATCACAAAACGGGAAATACCTAAGTGATACGAATTGTTGATACATTCGTTTTCTGGTCAAAAAAAAAACCAACTTTTAAACGGTCTCTTGCAAATTCAGCCTTCAGACTATTTTTGTTCTGGCAAATATTAGGTTTCCATTTCAAAATACCTACTGGGTCAGTGATAACTTTCTGAGTTTTTTTCGGTGGTCTGAGAATGGAAAACTTCAGGAAAAAACCAACGGCGCCGACAAAATCAAAGGAATGCCCGAGCGCAGAGTGAGGCGGTTTCTGAACCGGCCGTTCCTTCGCCTCCGACCAACTCGGCGGCCCAAGTTCCTCCACAAATCGGCACGGTTCGCAGCCGAGAAGATCAATAACTTAGTGCTGACCCTCGAAATTTCCAGCCGCCGACTGCCGAAATCGATCCGAGGTCTCCAAAAAGCGTTGTCGCCGCCAAGCTGGCGCCAGCTGATCGAACCAACAAACAGAAGGTGTTTTTGAAAAAAAAATGGAAAGAAAGAAGAAGAAATGGAATAGTTTTGAATGATGTTATCGAAGGCTTGTGACTGAGTCCGAACTGGAACTTTTCTTTAAATTTTTTTTTTTGATTAACATGATTATTTGAGTCACTGAACTTTCAAGTTTAATTTTAAAAAAAATGTTTTTTTCCAACAGCCAGTCCAAAAAGGATTCATTCTATATAACCTAAAGCGGAAAGGATCTTTGCCAAATTTGGAAAAAGCTTTGTGGAATGCTCCCTAAACCTTTGCTCATGTGATTCTGTTTCAGTTCAATCTGCTAAGCAACTTCTGGGATATCAAAATCGGCCACAAGATCGTCTACAAGTACGACGTCGAAGTGAGCGGCGTGACGAAAAATCAGCGAAAAGTCGGCTTCACGAAAGGAGCCAGAGACGAGTGAGTTCGGAAAGCTGGTTCGGGTCGGGACACTGGATTCAGCGGTCCGAAGACGAATCGACAGCGGCTGTGTCTGGCCGCGTTGCGAGCCGCTCTGCAGGCCTACGGCGCCTTCCGGACTATGGCCGCCACGGTGTACGACGGCGCCGCGCAGCTCTACACTTCCGAAGACATGGCCGAGGCCCTCAAGCAGGTCTCTTTTGATGTCCAGCAATAATTGGAGGGTTGACTGAGGAATAAGAAGCTGCGAGAAAGAACTTTGGAACATTTCTAACGATCCAAGAGATATGAACAACTAAACTGAGCCGAAAAGTCTCATCTTCATTGAAATAGGAACTGAAGTCTGAAAAAATCTAAAAAAGCCAGACGCTACGAACGCTAACAATTCTTTACGAAACCAATTTCGAAAGAAAAAAAAGCTTCATTTCACAAGATTTTAGCTTTTCCCGAGTAAAGTTGGACAAACTTTTCGAAAAAATTCAGCAAATATTTTTTATGTCTTGAAAAGGCTGCTGTAAGACTTTTCTTGATAAAATTTCCCACGTTGCAGTATTTTTTTGAAGTTTATTTATTCTAATTCACAGCAATGAAAAAAATAACTTGAAAAATACAAAAATACACTAATTTTCTTTGTACCATAGCCGAAATCGCAATAAAATTTGAGTTCAGTCTGGCGGAATTTTCACGATTCGAGTAGAAGAATTGGATGCGACGATTCGGCAACTGATCCGCGACCCTGACATGGAACACATTGAGATTCTGATCCAGCCGTGCTACCAGGAAGGCGACCGTTTCGACATCGGAGATCTGGATTCCGAAGTGAGAACTGATCGAAATTTTTCGAAAGAAATTGTCTGACTCTAGACAAATCCCAACATGGCCGAGCTGAAACGGAGTCGGAAGAATTTCCTGCACCTCCTGACGAATCAGGACGCCTCCGTCAGGGCTGGAATGACCGTGTTCGGTGGCGGCCATCTGTATAACATGAACGACAGGGGACGACCCATCGGAAAGGGATTCGAGCAACGCCAAGGAATGGACAAGGGCATCAAGTGAGCTGCAATTCTTAACACAAGATTTATCAAGGACAAGAAGAGCTGGAAAGGCTTAGATGATGACTTTTTCGTTGGTAAATACAGCTGGTTCACTTGAGCCATAAAAGGGTCCTGACACGATAGTAAAAGAGACAGCACCTGGCTGCTGGAGAGCGCAGACAGGCCACGCCTCCTTAGTGTCCCAAACTAGCCGTGAATCGGCTCAACCAAAAAGTGTCTCGAAACCCGACAGGAAAAATTTACTTTTCAAAAAGTTCTAATGAATTTGAATGGAAGTTTTTTGTCGACTTGTAGTATTGAATCGAACCTTTAATTCAAGTTCTATAAAGTTTTTTTGCAGATTCATCGAGAACAAGAAGAGCAAATCAGGTGGAGCTTCAGCCGCAATGATTTTGGATTGTAGGAGAACATTTGTTTTTAATTCTCATGTAGGATGTGTTAAGCCAAAGTCGGAACCTTTTTCAAAAATCAGTCGCTGGCGAACTCTCTGCTAGAAACGGTCAGCGGCGGTCTCGGCATGTCGTTCGCCAGAGATGAAAGAGGCCGTGTGATTGATCCAAAATGGACGAAAATCAATCGATATGTGAAGGGTGAGATCAAAGTCGTGAGACAGAATGAGCCGTTCTTTTTGGAGGACTTCGAGTCGAAACGCTCGCAGGAAACATGACGATGATCGCCAGTGGAATTTCCGACGTTCCCATTTCCCAACTGACCGAAGAGCCTTTCAATCCGAAAAAGTGGGTTGGAAGTTGTGATGCTGAATATGGTTAGGAAAGTGTCTGAGGTCAAACTTTCGACTGGATCCAAACTTTCCTAGTAGAAAAAATAGGAAAAGTAGAAAAATCCTGTCGAAAAATTGTGTGAATAGAATATGTATGGATAGAATACCTAAGACTACTTCCCACTGAAGTTTGAACTAGATCTGCGATATATGTACACCTCGAAAACTTCAATAAAGTGCCATGCAAACTTGAATCTCTTCAAAAAACAATTATTGGATGGCCTATGGGAAACTAATTTCTTCATCTTGCAGAGACAAAAGCGCATCTTCGCAGCGGCCCGTCTACGTTCTACAGAAGTTCGAGGATCTGACCAACCGTCATTACGACAGAAATCTTCCGGCCGTTGTTTTCCGCAGAGCCACCGGCGTAGTCTTCTATCCCATCGAGGAGCTTATCGTCTCCAAGAACCAACGTGTTCCCAACCAGAAGTTGGACATCAAGGTCCAGTTCTGTTGAAACGAAAGACTTGTTTGATGACGAGTTTTTGAAGATTTCTAACCCTTCATATGAACTAACAGAAAAAATTCCCAATTTTTCAATTTTTACAAGCTCAGTGACGATTGCTTGATTTTTTTTTCTGATCCAACCCACTTGCTCTGACTCGAAATTCCATTGTCGCACTTGGAATGGCTCAGAATCTTGAGGTGGGGATCAGGTATACAGTCGACTCGAAAGTCGTTTTCATTTGAATGCTCTTTTTTAAGGCGAAATTACTGCTCGAGCCATTCCAAGTGCGACCATTAGCTTCAGTACATGAACGTATTACGATCCAATCTATTTCAATCAAAAAAGGAAGTTTTGCATTTCAGCCAGCTCCAGTGAAGCCCGAACTGCGGTGGAATCAGATTTTGGAGTCCCTGGCGGCACTGAATCTCCACTCCGGCGGATCGAGGAACGAATTTCTCAGAATGTTGGTTTTGAAGCATGCGGAAAGAACTGGAAGTTTGCCATTCCAGGTTTGGCGTGACTTTGTCGGCGAGTCCCAAAATGGTGGAAGGATTCCGGCGGCCGATGCCCCGAGTCGTCTACGGCGGAAAAGTTGAGCCTGAGTACAATCAGGCCAGGGTGAGTTTGGAAATGAGTGGAAAAGGGAGATCGCATTCGAAATATTGCACGATTCTAATCGAAAATGACCGTCTTGAAAAAATGAGGATTCAGGCGAGTTGGGAGTCCCGCGGGCAGAAGATGGTGATCAATGGCCAGGCGGATCTCATCATCATTGCCCACACTTGCCATCCTAGCATTGCTGCGTGAGTTTTGAAGTCTTCTTTTCTCTGAAATATGTGCAAAAAATAAAATTTTGGACAAAACCTCAGACACTTTTCTTTTTCGAAAATTGAATAATTCGAAATTTTTTGCACACTACTCCATGATTATATTACAGAGATGTGAAGAACGTTCTGGAAAAGGCATGTGCCCAGGCGGGAATCAAAGTGGGAAAATGGTTCGCCCGGCCGATTCCGCAGCCGATGCGACGGCAAAAAGAGTTCCTCAATGCTGTAGGAGCTTCGTTTTCTTTCTTTTACTCAAAATGAACTTTTGAGGTTTTCGAAAAAGCTTCTGAATCCTCTGTATCTGCCGTCATCTTCATCGATGATCGCGATTCTCCTTCCCATGGTTTCTTTCCTTTTTCTCATTTTTTGTAAACTTTCAAGCAAAATCTCACTAACTTTCAATTTTCAAGCATTTAAAAAAAAAGAACTTTGATAAAAATAAGGTTGGAAAGATACTTCAATTAAATATGAAAATTGTTCATAGATCTTTTTTCCTTGCTCTCAAATGAGTTTCATGTTGAAGATCTTCTGAAACTAATGGAGAGAAGACATCTTGTTCCAAGCCAGCAAATCACAACCGAAGTCGCAAAAATGATGTACAAGTGAGTTTTTTATTCCTCGTGAATTCACGGCGTTTTCTGCTAGGGGAAGTAAATGAAAACAAAAAAGCGGGGGGCGGCGTCGAAACCTCCGTCGTTCCCATGTGATGTCATGGGAACGGCGGAGTTTTCGACTCTGACCGTAAATAACAGGACAATAACAGGGCATATGAAAGGTGCATGCGAGCGCACTTTCATGGGTCTTTGAGACGAATCGCACTAAGAATAACTGACGAGATAAACGCGAGGTCGGTGACGGTACATTGACGAGCTCGCAAACATCTCGCTTTTTTCTAGGCGCGATCTCGCATTTATCTTGCATTTCGGAAATTTTCAAAATGCGAGAGAAATGCGAGCTCGCGCCTAGAAAAGTGCGAGCTTGCGCCCAGAAAAATGCGACCGGCGCGAGAAGAAAAGCGAGATGTTTGCGAGCTCGTCAATGTACCGCCAGCGTCTCGCGTTTATCTCGGCAGTTATTCTTAGTGCGATTTCTCACTAAATAAGAGCCATTTTTCTGTGCGAGACCGTCGTAGTGTATGCACATGACACACGACACTTTACATTTTTTTTTACTTATTTTGATTAATTAAAAAATTTTCCAGGCAACCGAAGACGACGACGAACATCATCCGCAAGCTGAATTTGAAGCTCAACGGCTTCAACAACGAAGTCATTCCAGAGGCCTATGCGTTAGTCCGAACCGGTCTGAAAGGCTTGAAAATGATCGGAATTTTCAGGAAAAACCATTGGATGGCCAACAAACCCATCTTGGTCATAGGATACGATGTCGCCCATCCCGGACCTCAGCCTCCGGGAGAAATTCAGGCCAAGTTGCCCCCGTCGCAGGCTTCTGTCGTTGGTGTGAGTTTCCGGATAGCCCAGCAGAATCACATTGAAAATACAAAATATGAGAATTTCTAGAAGGGAATTCTTTAGGCAGGGTCCTCAAGTCGTCATGAGACATTCTAGAATCAGCTTTATATGAGCGCTATGCTTCAACATACATAATAATCAACATTCTGTGCTTTCTTTTCTATGGAGTCCTTTTTCGGTCTCATTATGCTCGACAGACTTTTTTCTGGAACCCTGAAATGTACACTCTAAATTCTTTCCTAGTAAGACCGAAAATAATCAGGAGTATCTGGCAAAAAAAGTATTTTCTACAATTATCTTCCAGTTTTCGTTCAACGGCGGAGTGCATAAAGAAGCCTTTGTCGGCGATTTCCACTTCCAGTTGCCTCGATCTGAAAGAGTTTGACCTGGAACGTCTAGCCGCGATCATAGTTCATTTTTCAGGTCGAGGACAAAGTTTTGATCGATCGGATGAAGTGGATGCTTCGCAGCTACATAAAAAATCGAGGCGTTTGGCCCGAGTCGATTCTTGTGATTCGCGACGGCGTCTCCGAAGGACAATATCAGATGGTGAGCAGTGCGAACAGCTGAAAAAGTTGGAGTCCTGTCAGAAGTGATTCTCTAGGAAAGTTGCGAGGCTTTATTAGAGAAATCGCTTGAAAAATATCGCAAAAATGCAGATATCTGATGCTAAAAAAAATGAAAATAATTTGAAGAACAATAGAAAATAGTATATAAAAATACGTGCGTGGCGCGATTTCGAAGAGAAAAACGTATTACGAGTGACACCTGTTCCCTTGATTGGAAATCGATTGAAAAAAATTCAGTAAAAAATAACTTTTCGTTTTTTCGAGGAAAAGCTGTTTAGACCTAATAGGAAAAGAAAATGAAATCGGAGAAAAAAGAATCGGAGCCAAAAACCGTCTTTTTCTTCGTTCAGGCGATGGAAGAAGAACTCGGAGCGTTGCGGATCGGCTGTGAGGAGTACGGTAACTTGCACGGTCGGGAGAATTGGTCGCCGCCTTTTGGACTCATTATTGTCACGAAACGCAACGCCGCTCGTTTCTTCTCCCAGCGAAACGGTTTGTCAACGGATTCTCTTCGGCCTACTTTGCACCTGGTTTAAACTTCATTTATAAAATGATCGAAAAATGAGGAAATGCGTTTTAAAAAATGCCAAATGAAGAAGGTGTTTGAAAAATGGATCTAATAAAGCAATAGAATCTTTCACGAATAATGTGAACGTGAAGTAGAAGACGTTTCGTTAGTTTTTTCATTTCCTTTTCTGGAGTTCCTCAGTCTTTTCATTTACAGTTTTCGGTTATATAAGGTTAGTCGGGATTGAAGTTTTCTATTTTGATAGAATCGTGAAATATCACTTTTTTTTCAAGATAAGTACAAGCTTTTTAACGGGTATTTCTTGCGAGACACGTTAAACTTGGTGTATCCGCTCCTCTGCACATTTTCCCGATAAAATGAAATTGCGATTGGCTTTGAGATTTCAGGGTTTTTTTGGCGGCTCAAAGTAGGGTTTCAAAGACGGGACAAAAAAAGTCTCCCAGAGGGAAAACTTTTTTTAAATCTTCAAATGTAGAAAGAAGCGAAGAAGAGGCGAGTTTCAGGCCGAGTCGAGAATGTCCAACCCCTGATGACCATCGACCAAGACGTCGTCCGGCCCAACGTCAACGAGGTCTACATGGTGACGTCACACGCGATTCAAGGGACCGCCAAGCCGATTTGCTACCAACTTCTGGTCAACGAGATCGGAATCGAGAATATGGACGCTTTTCAAGCGCTGCTTACTGCCCTCACGTATACACATCAGGTCCGATTTAGGGAGAGACAAATTGAGGCACTTCATTACTACTCAATTACAGTGAAAAAGAGAGTTGTCTAGAAATCCGCTCATGATGAAGGTAGTTTTACTACAAAAAATTCGAAACTTGCCAAGAAAATTCCTCTATAAACCAGAGGCAGCTCCTGGGAGACTTAACCTACACATCTTCCTGGCTTCCGAGAAATAAGGGCTCGGAGCCCCGGAATAGCTTATTTTAACGAATTTTGAGATTTTCTTTGAATTTTTGTACGCAAAAATAGTCACAACTTGAAACAGTCTGACCTGTCTGCGTCTCTTTACTCTCACCGGTGTCGTGGAAACGTGAGAGCTGCTCGTAACACGAGAGTTTGTGAAGAGAGTGCAGAGTAGTTAAAAAATTTCAAGTTTTTTTCAGTTTGGGAAAGCGGCGAGTTAAGCCTTAAGAATACATAAGAACTTGAATCTCAAATCAATACCCAGTGACGTCATCGTCTTTATATCTTTAAGCTCTGGTAATTTCGTATAAGTTCGCGTTTAGTTTTTCTTTTTTCATACGGAAAAGTTGTCCACTGAATAAGGCCTCTTGCATTGCTTGAGCCTGTTTCTAGTTGGCAGCCTACCTCTTTTAAATCGAAAAAAGACCATAAGATTTTCAAAAAATGAACAGAGTACAAGAAAAAAGAAACGATGACGTCACTAAGAAGCGATATGAGATTTAAAAAATTTCCTGACCTAACAAGAAGGTCATCTAACTTTGAGGTCGAGAATTTCATGAAAGTTGGCCAGGCCAGGCCAGTCCTAGGTGTACCAGAAAAAAAATTCCGAAAGTCCTTACCTGCCCAATTTCTAGAAAAAAAATTTATATGGAAATTTTATGAAATTGCTCGTTTCAGATCAATGATTCGCCGATCAGTATTCCGGAGCCGGTGTTCCAGGCAGATGAATGGGCGAAACGCGGAAACAACATGTGGAAAGTCTACAAGTGGGTGGAAGTTGCCTCGGAAATGTTGCAATATCAGTGTTCAGCGAATATTACCAAATGTCGCGTCTGCCCCACAACGGCGAGTACTCCTCGCCGCCCATCGACTACGATCGCATGACCGAGACTTTGTCGTATTGGAACACGAAGTTCTCGAATTCGAGGATCAACGCCTAGTTTCCCCCTTGTTTTCTTTGTCATTATTGTTGATACGGTGTTTCAGGCATTATAGATGAACCTTTGAACGAATCGGTTAATAGACCAGTTTTTGACTTTCAAATCATTTTTTTTCTTCTAATCCTGTGACCTAACTGTTATTCCATTTCCTGTACTTACGCACACCACCCCATGATCTTTTTCCAAATACTCTTTAAATTGAAGCTTTAATATCTCCATATTAAGGTTTATGTGATAATTTTTCATTGAACTCGGGCTCATTTCAAAAAAATCTCGACCTTCTCTTCTATCACTCATAACTTAATAAAAAAATGTTTGTTAGCCCTTCGTCTCATTGCCTCGAACATTGTACGTTTTACCGTGTTTTCTTCAGTTTTTTTGATCTTTTTTTCTAGGTTCCTTCTCGTTTTTTTCGCTTTTATTCACTAAAAAAATAGATATATATATATATATAAGACTAATAAACTCTGGAACTGCTCTTTGGCATTTGAAACTCGTTTTTTTACATTAAAAAAATACTTCAGAAATTATGCTACTAAAGTGGCCCTTTCCTGAAACGTCCGATTTGCGTTACCAACGTTCGAGTAATTTTTCAACTGGAGCTCGGACCTCGGTTACAAAAACCGGACACGCTCCGGCTTATTTCTAAGCGTTTCTAGGGGCCCCTTAAGAGTGCTGACGCCGTTAAAGTGTCCAATAGAAGTGACCCGACACGTCTGATTCGCGTTATCGAGGACTGAGGGTTCCTTCCGGCAATAGAGCGCTTCTCACCAAAATAGCGTGTGGCGGCAGGAGGCCAGGTGTGAAATGGGAGCACTCATCGATTACTTGGAAAATAAGGATCAGCGTGGAAAAAGTCCAAATTTTCACTCTGAATCGAGCATCTTTTTCCTTAAAGTGGCATCATCAACGCAGCAATCTTCGGATATGTTGTAATTTTTCAAATTCTGAGAACTTTAAAACCCAATCGCCAGACAGGTTCTGAATTGTCAGAACGACGGCTACAAATTGAATGTTTTATGTGACCGTACTCAAGGCTGACTTCTGAAAGGCTGATGCCCACTGAAAACAGATTTCGGGAAAAATCGAAGAGGAAAGCAAATTCTGTGATTGAATTGCAATGAAAGCTGGAAAAAAGCAAGCAAACACGATAAAACAGAAATATGACTACAAGGAGAGCAAAGACTAAACTAAGAAGATTCTACACAGCGGAAAATGATACACGCAAAAACACAGAAATATAAGGGAAAGATCGCAAAAAAAAAAATCAGTCATTAAGGCGACTCCTTTTCATAGTCAATCCTTCCCTTCATTAAGGCGACTCCTTTTCATAGTCAATCCTTCCCTTCATTAAGGCGACTTCTTTTCATAGTCAATCCTTCCCGACTTGAAAGACGAGATGGGTTGATAGGCGAGCGTTGCGTGTGCGAAGCGGCTCATGGCGGAGAACTCGAATTCAAACGCGAGTTATCTTTTTTCTCTCCTTTTTCGAAATTTTTTTTCAATAAGCCGTGATTTTTTATGGGCTTGAAAATATTCAGTGGAACGGGTAGAAGCATAAAAATAATTAGAATTTCTTTCTGCATTTTTCCATCATTGAATTTAACTTCGAGTTGTCCGCCAAAAGCCGCGCCGCACACGCAACGCTTCACGCTTGCGAATCTGCCCAAATCGAGAAAAATTGACCATATCGAAACCAAGGAACTAGCCTTTGTTTGACACTGTGATATCAAAAAAAGATGATATTGGAGAATGAATATTAATTAACATAACGGTTCAGAATAGGAAATAGTGACAAGAGAGATACACCGGATGTAATAAAGAAAAAATTGATGAAAAATACAGAATAAAATTAGAACAAGAAAAGTAACAATAAAAAAATCGCAAGATCATAGAAAAGTTGTATTTATTTCCGCTCAAAACTGCGACCGTCCGGAGAGCCATAATGATGCGGTAGTTGGGGAATCGTCGGAAATTGGTCCAAATTGTCTTGGTCCGGAATCACCGGAAACGTCTCGTCCTGACAAGAATGAACGATTAAAGATGTCATTTCATGAACTCTCGAAAGTTTTTCAGTTGACTTTTCGCAGAATCAGTTCGTTAATTTTCTGTTTCTTAAACAAAATCCATCAAAATTTTTAGATATTTTTTATCCTCAAATCTTCACTCTTTGAAGAAGAAAATAAGAGAAAGTATACCAAATTGTCGAGAAGAGCTGGATTCGCAATGTTGGAATGAGCAACCTCTCCATCTTGTATCACCTTCTAGAAGAATTTTTCATTTCAAGTTCTAGGTCATCGAAGAAACAATTCACTTTATTTTCAAAATATCAACTTACTTTGACATGTTTCTTCTCTTGTTTTAATTTTCATTTCCCCTTCTTTATTTTTCTTTACATTTTTAGCCGGAGGAAGCAAGCAAGAAAACAAAGAACACATTTAATGATATTTCAAGGTCTCTATTCTCATGTCGAATCATTCTATCGAACGATTTTGGATTCCTTGCAGAGAAATCTCCTGAAGTTACCTGAGGCGACGCAGTGGGATTGTACTCGAGTTCTAGCGGATTGGAGGAAGTTCCCTCCAAGGCCAACTGCCCTCCTCCGTTCATCCCATAGTTGGAATCGTCGCCGAAATCCTCAAAAAAAGTGGTTAAAAAAATTCAAAAAAATAAATAAATAGATTTTTCCTTTTTAATGTCCAAAAATAAAACGAAAAAAATTGAAATTTGATTGTATTCATTCAAGTTTATGCTTTCATTGAACCTAAAAAGTGATTCTATTAAAATTGAATTTTTTTACCACATGGAGCATATCAAAAAAATTGAAAAAAATAGATGTCACGAAAAAAATTTAGTGAAAAACAATATTGAAATTAGAAATTTTTTTCCAATTTTTACAATATAAGCGTTTCTACAATAATATATATTTACTGTTTTCTACAATTTCCTCCTCTTTCCTCATCTCAATCTTCCCGAACAAGTTTTTAGTTGAGCAGTCCTCCAAATCGTGGTACCAAAAAAAACGAACTTCCATGAAGTCGTAGTTGTTCCATTCAGTACCGGCGGCGGCAAGCAGGTCGCGACAATTGTCGATGGAGAAGTCGACGCCGGAAAGGTAGTCCTGTAAAGTGGATCCGATTGCTGCAGAGTTCCCGGACTGCAAACAACACGAAACATCACGCCAACAAAGGAAGTTTGCATTCTGTGATTAATATAAGGGAGGGAAATAGTGAAGTACAGTCTGTATAAACCGGTTGCTGGGTCAGAAGTTGAAAGACTTGCGGACTCAAAAACACGTTTCTAGTAATTCTTCGACAGCCAAGAATCAAGAATCAACAATTTGCTTGGTTTGAAACAGTCATTAATCAGATCTTGGGCCTTCAAAGACCTCCTGGAGAGTTTTCGAACAGACTGTGAACATAAAAATGTTTGTGAACAAACTAAAGCCACAGTGATACACAGAAAAAGAAACACAAGAACAAGTGCGCTCATGGAAAAAAAGTTATTTTTTATCCTCGAAAATTGAAAACTTTTTGATTTTGAAGCACACCCAAAAATGACTCTCTATTATCAACAAAATAGCGAAGACGTAAACCAAATCCAACCCTTATCTATTTTTTTCTACTCTAAACCGACGAAAAAAGTGTACCTTGGAAATAAAACAGGATCAACAGAGCGCACAAATTCGCTATATTTCAATTTTTTAAGCTTTTCTTTTCTTGGAAACACCAGACAGGGGGAACACAAAAAAACCGGACACCCGAAATAAATGTTCTTTGAAAGAACCTGAAGCTCCTGGGAAATCTGACGTTCCAGAGAGGGCGACATGGAAATGGTGGGCGAGAAAGTGTCGCTTCTGTCCGGCAGCTGCAGATCCCACGCCTTATTTTCAGTTTCGGAGACTTTCGGCTGCACTTGGAGGGACGTGTTGGGCGGAGGCAACAGCGGCTTTTCTTCAAAGTTGTTACTCAGCAACTGCTCCAAATTCTGCGACATTGCGGACAAATTCTGCGACTCCTGGAAAAGATCGAATTTCATTTTCTTTTTCTTCCGACGGCAAAAAAAGTGTGTGACTTTTTTTTATTCAAGCTGATAGGATCACTTTTATTTTGCCTTCAAGATTTTCCATAGCCAAATACAAAACTCTATCGACAATTGAAAGATAATATATTTTTATGGCAAGTTTTCGCGCAAAACGCTCCTATCTTCGTTGAAAGAATGGATCAATGAGCAACCAGTGAATTGCCAAAAATTTGATTTCTTTTTTTAAACTTTTCAATACCTATCTGTTCTATCGTCTTAAAAAGTCATTCACCCTAGCCAGATTCTTGCGAGGCGCCGCGGGCGTAGTGAACCGCGGCTGCTGCGACGAGGTCGAGGGGACAGGCGAATACTTGGTCGCAGACGGCGGAGAGGGAGCCATGTCGATGGTGTAGGCACCGCTTCCCATGTACGCGGTCGTCGGAACGGAAGCCGTCGTCGGCTTGGCGGCTCGCGCCGGCTGCGTCGCATTCGCTTGGAAGCTCCGTCGCGGACTCGGATTCGTGATGAGGGGCTGCGGCGAGGCTTCGCGCGACGAGAAATGTCCGATTGGAGAGCCCGTTTCGTCGGTCACCTGCACAGACGGAAATTATTTCGGAGTTTGCAATAATTTTAAAACAAATTTCATTCCTCTCTCTGTCATGTTCGAAAAATAATCAAAAGAGTGCAAGAAATTTTTTTTCATAATCAGGAATCAAAGTCTTTTTTTTGAAGTTTACTTGTCATTGAGTAGAAAACTTGCGATGATTAAACCTTTTTTCAGGAGAACTAATATCCTAATAGATAGAAGAGCCTTCAAAAAAGACTTTGGGATGTATAGAAGAAAAGTTACCTCAGCAATGACTGGACCCGCGTCTGGCGCTCGTCTAAACGCCGCACTATCTCTGCCATCCCGTTGAAGAAGCTCGAGAAGCTGAAAAATTTGCGAACTTTGAGAATGTCTCGAAAAATTCATGAGAAAATATTCAAGCCTTATACTCTCTTCTGATAGTTTATCCGAAAAAAAAGAAGAAGGTGCTCAAAAAATTTAGGTTTACGCAGCTATTTCGAGGGGCCTATGAACTTCATTTACCGTTTCTCTATTTAAGATTTTTCCTCAAAGAAAGACTTGATTGGCATCATATCCTTTTTGATACTGGTCAAAAATTCACTTCCGTTTAATTTTTTTGATATTTTCTTTACTCTCTGCTTTCAATTATAGTAGCTCGAGAGATTTTTCGTAAAAACGTGGCCTACGCGAGACTGCGAAACCTTCGAAAAGAAAGAACAAAATGGCGATTGCAACAAGTTTTGTGATGGCCGGCCCTCCCACATCTCGGCGATAGATAATTTCAATGAATAAAAGCCGAACCTCGGAGAGATGATTGGCGTTGGCGCTAGTGTTGAAGTTGATGGGGTTGAGAGCCCCGGGATTCGGGACAGGAGGACCTGCGTCGGCGGCGTTGCGCGGCCTCTTCTGCGGCGACGTGTAGTCGTCGATCGCGAGGACGCCTCTCTTGTTGACGCGCTTCGAAATGTTGGGCTGGACCATCGAGACGAGGAACTGCACGAGCTTGTTCACTATGTGATTCTGTCGGTTGTACTGCTGCCTCATGCTCTGCATCTGGTCCCACAACGTCCGATTCTCCCTGAAATCACTGTCGATGCAGGAATACCGCCGTTTTTTTCATTTTCAAAAAATGTTTCTTAGGGCTGTGAATGATAGCAGAAATGCCCAAAGATACTAAAAAAGTATTTTTTACATGCTTCTCTTCTTCATATTTCATGTGATTTCTCAATCAACTGGTAAAATATAAATGTTTGAGTCTCGCTAAATTTGCAAACATATAATGTACACATGTTTTTCATTAATTTGTGACAAAACTCAGCAAAAAAACAATCATGAAAATCTATTAAAAAAACGACAACCTCCGCATTTTACTCTTTTAACGAAAAAAATTGATATAATTGGTCAACTTTTTATAGAAAAAAATATTTGAGGTGACCTCACAAGAAGAAAAATATGAAAAAAACAATTTTTTTAACCCAATCGATTTTCAGTTGTTTATTCATCAAGGTTGAAGCTGCCTCTTTTACTGAGTCTTAAGAAAAATTTCTATTATGGCCTTAAAACTTTTAAATTGAGAAAAAATGAAATTGATGAAAATCTGATGAATGAAATATTCACAAACTTGGTGATTTCGTTGATCTTGGTCTCCATTGAGCGCTGTTTCTCCCGAAGAGATCGCATCTCGGTCAAGACCATGTCGAGACTTTGCTGTGTCTGTACCGAAGACTTCTCCTCTGTTCCTTTTCCCGATTGCTTAAGAAACGAAAATATTCAGTCAAAAGCAAGGGAAAACCTTCCTCTTGATGTTCCCCAGAAGTTCCGGATGGTTTTGGACAAAATAAGGATGACTGAATTCCAAATGATCTTGGTCGGATTCTGTTCTTGTGAGGCCGCCTTGATTCAGGGGAGTCATTTTCCGGAAACCATCTTAAGTTTATCGTTGAAAAACTTGGCATCATGAAAGCTCAGAGACTATTCTCCGCTAAACAACTGAATTGCGTGAAAATAGGAAATTGTTATAGTTGAATGGATAGTTCAAAAAATGAACTGATGCCTCAAGGTGTAAAAACCTGCATAACTCAGTATTACATTTGAAAAGGGTCTCAATGCTGAGATCTTTCTGGAACCAATACATTTGCACTCAAAAAGTCAACGAGGATTTTTAAGGAAACTATTAGAGCAATCTTTTTTTTTGTCTCGACGACTGTCTCGAATTTCTCTTTTATCGTTCGACAAGTTTTCATATCACTATGTTTTTTAAATTCAAAAACTTCGGAAAAAGACAACATAATCTAACAGTAATTAGAGAAGAAAGTTTTGTAAACCTTTGAAAACGCTAAGGGACGTCGAAAATCTGGAAACGCAAGTTTGAAAAAAAAAAAACGAACACATATTCAATTGGCGGATCAAACTGTTCAAATTGTTGTGCTTGAAGTAGTGAGGCAATACATTGCGGCAAAACGAATAGGGATCCGCGATGTGAAAAACTGACGCCCGACTGAAAAAAACTTATACGAATAATTTTAACAGTAAAAGCTTTTCCATACCCGATTAGAAAAATAGAAAGGAAAAAAAGGAAAAACACGAAATGATAAAAAAACATTTTATTCATCCCAAGTCGCTCTAATGATTTTTTTTTTCGCAGTCGTCGATTAGGTAAAGGTAAAACTACCTCATCCCAATGAACGATTTGCTGAATGTTGGGATCCTCAACGATATTCCACAGCTTGATCAAAAATAAGGGCAATTTTTCCTCATCAAAGCGAGCTGGTTGGTTTGCCTGTAAAACGAAATTAATTTCCTAACTTTTGAACGATTCCTGATCACATTTTTCTTGTTTGAAAAGTCATCATCTTTCAAAGGAACGTACCACTTCTTGAAGCTGAGCAGTCGGAATTTCTTCGAAAATCTGACAAATTGTTCGAGGAGCCGGATTGTTGGTGTTCAGAAGCGCGACGCGGGGCGGACTTGAGCCGCGTTCTGGCTTCGGCAACCGATTCATCGACTTTTAACTCGTCTTCCGATTGTTCTAAATCTCATGAAACAATTATGAAAATGGAAGGAACTTTGAAACGATTTTTAGATTTCGCAAATGGATAAATGAGGTTTTACGATATCGCACAAAGCTATACACCTTTGAAAGAAACTAAAGCAACATCAAAAAAGTGTTTTGAAAAACAAATATTTAAAAAAAAATAGATTCTATTTGAAAAATTTGAAACGAAAGAGTATAGAGCATTTGTACTTTGAAGCTGCTAGCAGCTTCAAAGTATAAATTACGAGGAAAAAACCACCTCAGCGACAATTGACATTATAATGCGCTTGCATGATCATCTTTTCGCCTTTCAAATAATGATTGCTAGTGGTATATTGAAATCGCTCTAAAAAAAAAACTTAAAAGTTGATTTTTGCAAAACCGAAAATTGTTACCCGAAAATAAAAAGATGGCTGAATCACTGCTTTCGATAAGTGAAAAAAGGAAACAAAACTAAATTTCAAAATTAAAATTTTATACTTTTGCAAAAAAAACTTTTCAACTGGAAAGAAAAAGGCTCATTTCTTTAAAAAAATCCAACGTCAAAAAAATTTTAAAGTGCTCTATTTCCTAAGAGTAACCATCAAAAAAACTATTCATGTTGATACTAAGCGAGCGTTATTAATCTTAATTACCTTATGTTTAAAAAAAAAAAAATGTAAGCATAAGCTTGATTACAAATTATGACGAAATAAATGGAAAAGTTGATTGTTGAAAATTTTCAGCCAGGTTCGCGCACAGTAGCTAATTTTTGCCATGGAGCTCACTTACTTACGAAGGGGAGAAATATTTTTTTCGAAGGAATTCAGCTTGCGAAGCAACGATTCTTCAAAGCTGAAAAGCTCGTAGAAACAAAAAAATTTATTATTTTTTTCTGGAGATCAGCAGAATCCTCTCCACTTGCCAAAGTTAAACTTCAAATCTAAACTCCAATACAGAAAAAGTAAAAACAGAGAATGTTTGTAAAACTTCTACAACCTCACATATGAAGCAATGACTTTCATATTTTCTTGAAGATTACCACTGACGTAGAGTCTGACATCAGATAACTTTCAAGCGTCATTTTTCGATTTGGCTTTGGGTTATCCTCTGAAACGAGGCTAAATCGGGATTATTTCGTGCCGTCATAGTAAGGATTCACTTCGTTTTTCTCGAACGTCCCCGAGTTTTGAAATGTGAACTTTGTGTTTATTTCAAGAATGATTTTCTTGAGTATATATTTTTGGATTGTTTCATAAGTTGTTTTTTGAAAACACTCTTCTTGAAAAAAGGCTTTCTCTCTGAAAATACTCCTACGTTTTCAAGTATAAACTTTCATTTTGCGAGTTGATTCGAAAGACGCAATGCAAGCCACTGTCCAGTCGCGTCGTCGCAAAGTTTCATTGAAAGGATATCCAGATCGGAGGCTTCCAAATTGTTGCCGTCCGTTGCAAATCGCTGCCTTCGTCGATTTTGATGAAATGCCTATGGGTTTTTGCTTTTAAATCAAAACAGGAAACAGAAATTATTTTTTTTGTAACTTCCCTCAGCGACTTCTTATTTTCATTCATATTAAAAATAGCGGTTTCAATCAGGTCTACCGCCAAAGTGACATACTCACAATTAAAATTCCCAGTTTTTCCTTTTCTCCTTCTCATTTTCCTGTAAAAAAGAGAAGCTGCCTTATCAGATGGAGAAAACAGCGCGGGGTCAGCCACTGAGGGAGTCGACTGTTTGTCCGGCTGCTCGTTCTCGTTTTCCGCGGCGGTTCTCACCTCACCGGCCATTGATATTGCTCGACTCTCGCTGTCCTTTTTTGCTCAAGTATATGCCTCTGATGGCTTTCGGTCTGTGTATCAACTTCGCTACAAACAATCGGATTTAGTTTGAGAAGAAAAATAGAAATTGACCTGGAAATGACCAGAATCATTTTTTTTACTAATTCACAATTGAGGAAAGGATCTTTAACGAGATAATAACCTGGACACCCTGAAAAAAAAACTCGGTTTTTTTGTAAGTTTTCCACTTTCACTCTCCTCTTACAAAATCTTGTTAGGTAATGATTTCAATGTTTATTTTCTGGGTCTGAGAGAAATTAGTTTTTTTTTTCCTCAAAGTTTTCTCAATATGCTCTTTTAACTTTGCCCCTAATATACCATTTTCTTGAAACTAAGATTCCTGTTAACTTATTTTTCGTCTTGCTTGTTTCCTGTGGTTTCTGTACGGAGGTTCCACCTCGATTTCATCCATTCAACTTTTTCGTCGGTTGTTTCCCCCTTGAATGGCCAGCTTTGAGAAGCGACAACGCACTGCACCCAACCCCAAACACTTCTTTTTGTTTGCGTCTCCGCAATTTTTTGTGCGTTTTTTTTTTCGAAACTCCACTAAACTAGAGTTTTCCGAATCACAAAATGATAAATAGCGAAGAAGTTTTTGATCTTTTGCAACTTCTATACTCGATGAGTAATGTATTTCTCCAATCCATTAAATCCTTTATTCGATTCTAGCCTTGTAGTCTTTAATGTTTCACACTTTGAAAAAAGTTTTCGACAAAAAGAAAAAATAATAATTTCGAATAATTTTCGACTGATGCTCTAGCGCACTTTTCATTTATATAGTTTGTTCAGATTTTTACTGTCAAGGGCAATGACGTCATTTAAAAACACTCTGTGGATGGCTCGCTCTCTGATTGGTTTTTCGCACCATAAGGGGTGGAGCTTGAGCGACGACTTGACATTCAAAATCTGAACAGACTATACTCAGGCTTGTGCGAGGGCCGGCCCGTCACCCTCCCGGCCCTCCGACCATTTCGTAAGCCCGGCCCGGCCCGGCCTTAGCGGGCCTCAAGAAAAAATGGCCCGCCCGGCCCGAATCGCGCAATTTTTTTCTAGTCGGATGTCAAGTTTTTTTACGACAAAAATTACGTTTTTGCTCATTTTTTCTATTAAAGTTTAACAAAAACTATGATTTCAGAAGTAAAAGTCACATTTCGGTGAAAATTTTTTAAATGAAATTTTAAAAATTTTTTTGAAGCCCGACCCGAGCCCACGTGGGCTTTTTTTCCTGAAAAATAAGGCCCAAAGCCCGGGCCGCTCGGCCTGACGCACAACCCTGCTTTATACTGTAAAGTACGCAAACTCCGCCCCCTCGATTTAATTTAATTATTATTTTTCGATTCATTCGGTTTTTTTCTTATAAGTTTTTTTTTGAATCATTTTTGGTATAATGGTGTTTTCATTTTCAGAAGTCCGCTCATACTTTTCCTAAAAGTATCCCTACCAATTTTTTTTTGACTGGACTCATATATATGAGTCATGATTCACAAGCTCTTCACTCAGCTCTTCTATCATTTCGTAAAAATTCCACTTGATAAATTTTTCAGCGATCCCAACCAGAATGGCTCTGAGGAGTTGCGAAAAAAGTACATGAATATTTTAGAAGAATGCAGCGGTACATTTTTTTAAATTTTACGCCTTAACCATTATCTATTGAGCTTTCCGGAATTTAATTCATACATAAACATTCTTACCTTCCAGAACCGCGATCCTTTCTATTTAATTTTGTTTTCCTGTCGCAAAAAACATTTCGCGAATTTCCGCCTACGTGAATGGAATACTCAACTGTGCTCACTTTCGAGTGTTAATAACCGACAGTTTTTTCTTCTCAATGGGTGAAACCATGCGAGAATCGGGTTTCGGGCGGTCCACACAATGGCCACCGACAAATATTCTCTCATTCAATTTCTTTCGAGTTCTTTCAGGCTCCCGCCTCACAAAATGCTGGTCAAATAACCCTCGTTTCATGAGTCACGAAATTCTTTTTCATTAGAAATTTATTGGGGTTATTTCAAACTTCTGGTCTTTCTCACCTTTGTTGAATAAGTCCGATGAGAAGATTTTTTTAACAGAGTAATCAAATCATAGGTTTATTTTTACAAAAAGTTAACTGTTAAGGGTGCTTAAAAACGTTTTTTTAATAGTCATTATGAGTTTCTCAGAGAATCAAAATTTTGAAAAAAATGGCTATTATTGAGAATTAAAAACTTTTTGACAAATTTATTCACGGGTTTGGTCTCTGTCATTTCTTTAAAATTTTCAATTGTATGATGATAATGAAGAGGATGAGGGCAAAAAATGGGGAAAGGAAAGAAAAGACGGCACTTCAAAGGCGTCGAGTGCGTTGTTTTCATTGCTTGTGCCGTCCGATTCTCGGCAGCCTTCTTTTTTTCTTCTTATCATGTGTAATCTGGATTTCTTTCTTTCGAGGATGGAAAAAGTCATAAGTTTCTTAGACACATTTCAAAAGTTTTGAACTTTTCTTCTATATTTTCTCTTGTCAAAACCCAATTTCAAATGAGATTATCTATTTCTACGTTCCGAGTGGTCGGTCTTCATTTCTCGCCTGAATTTAATCCGACTCCCGCCAGCCCTGGACAAGCTGGGCGTCGTACTGTTTCTACACGGAGAAGCAGCTGATCTTAGAAATGCTCAAAACTTTTCTACTACTATCTTTTTGATTCGAAAAAAAATTCGCGTTCAAGAAAGATTTTGAAATAGTTCATATAGTACTAGTGAACTATATGCTGTATACTTGGCTCAATTTGCGAGAAGATCAGGTACTTTCCACAGCTTCTGATGTTGAACTAATGGCTGAAAAAATGTGAAAGTTCAAAAATTTTGCAATAATCTTGTATTTTTTGAAAGCCTAAAATCTTTAGAGACACTTGCAAGGTGCTCAATTTGCACGGCAGAATCCGACTTTGAGATCGATTCTTGGTACTTGCTAAGAGCTTGAATTCATGGTGTGATATTCAGATTACTCGGCATGGATTGGAAACAAACAGAGAGGCGAGTGGCCCCGAGGAAATTAAGGACATTAGGGCCGTATCACTGCGGAGATCGTAAACCGCGTGGGATTGGCTTAGGTTGAGGGGAAATCCTCGGACGAGTTCCGACCCATCATTTCTCTTCGTTTCGCCTCCAGACCTTTTTTCCTCGCCATTTCTCGCGTATCCGCGTCATTTGTACAGCGCGCCGTGGCGAGATATCCAATTTATCTCAAGCGATCGTTTCCGGCGTCCCTTTTCAACTTTTTCTTTTCATTTTTTTTTACCTTGAGATCGTATAATTTATCGTCTCTGATTTTTGGGCCTTATATACTACGAATTTCAGACTTTTTTTTTCACAATTTCTGGCGTACTTTTTTTGCTGATGAGTGACAAGACGAAAAGCCATAAAATTATAGAAAAAGAATATAGAGTCAAAGGGTGAATAAGATTAATTTTTTCGAGTACTTTTGCACTTCAATAAAGTTCATATTTTGTCAAAGGATGTTGGAAGTTTCCAAACTAAACATTTTCCTTTCTGTAAAACACTTTGAATTTATGATTCTTCGAGTAGAATCAGCCGTGTTTGATTTGCTCAATTGCGTTTGACGGAGAAGTATCAACAAATATCTGAAAACCTCAAGTTTTCCGTGTTAGTCAGTTTTTTTCCTCATAAAACTCGAATCTTGTCATTTCTGTCAGAATTGACCCTTTTCATAATCCCTTGAGTGATCTTTCCTCAGTGTCCGTTATTAATCTCTCCGACGCATCGTTTTTTTTTTTCTCTTTGAGGGCGATCGGAATCGAGAAGTCATCGTAGAAGAAGATTTCAACAAGAAGTCAAAGAAAACTGAAATAATTGGGTCTGATTTTGATTGTTCCATCGAAATAAGTTTTTTGTGTCGTCGCTGTACGAGAAAATAGTTTTTCTCTCTTTTGTGAGCCCTTTTTCTGTGACATTTGAAGCGCCGTTCTCTTTCAATAATGGGTCTATTCTGATGCATCCAATTCATCGTTTTCTCACGATGGAGTCTTTTGGAACGAACTTTTTCGATTTTATTTCAAAAAATCTTTCAAAATTAGAAAAAGCTGGCTTAAAGACATGTGTTGGACTTCTCATTCTTTGCACAAAAACCATGGAGTTTTCCTTGTTCATTTGTGGGGAGTGATGGAGAGAAAATAAGAAGAGGTGGATGAGGAGGTGTTGGGACGGAAAATTGGGACGGACGAACGATAGTAAAGGAGGGGTTGGCAAAAGAAGAAGAAGAAGAAGAAGAAGAAGACAGCCGCCGGACGCCCCTCCGCCGGACCGTTCACTTTTACGAATATGCAAAGTCGCTGGATCCGCCGAGTTATACAGCCATTCGGAACCTTTCCATCTCTCTCTTTCTTTCTTTTCTACCGTTTCTGATGAATTAACCTTCTTTTTCTCATCGTTTCAAACTTATTTTCGCCAATTCTTTTGATGCATTCTATGTTGAATATTCCGGAACTGGGATACATTACACAAGATCGTTTTATATTTACTAATCTAATACGAACAATTACCTTAATCTTCTTAAAGGCCTGCATTTGCAAGACTCGTTTTTTTAAATAACCTTTTTTTTAAAATAACTTACGATTATGTATCTTTCGCTCATTTTCAAGATTTTTGTCGAGCTTCACATCGTATTACTCTTTCTAAATCTCTACTTTTTTCTTTGTCTCAGCTTTCCGGTACAGACTATTATCATTTATTTTGTTTCAAACTTTTGAAAGTGCACGTTTTTTTTCTTTTGATTCGATATTTCAAGACTAGAGTTTTTCTTCTGATTTTCGTTCTTATTATTCGTTTATTTTATGATTGTACGTTGTTATTATATGCCGAACTAAAATACCTTTTTTTTAATTTTCAAAAACATTGATCGCTTCGAAATTGTTTTTGGGACCCGAAACGGCTGCGCGACATAAAATATTCTCATCTTTAAATCCTTTCTCTTCTAAGAAATTTCAGAAATCCTAAAACTTTTTCATAGTAATGTCCTCTTCATATGTATTTTCTCACCCTTCATATTGATTAAACACACTGAATTGCAGTTATTGGACGAATGCAACAAGAAAATAGGCCATGATCAGCAGCAATTCTTCCTCGACGAGTCTCAACGTGGAAACGGTTTTTTTTGAATTCGTTGTTCTTATCAACAAACACGTTCATTTTGATCAAAATACATTTTTTCGAAGTTTATAATTCTAAAATTTTACTTTTCTTCTTTTCTTGCAATTCAAAAATCGCATGTGCAATAACGGATCGACGCGTAAGCCTCCAAAACGGTTCTTCAACTTTTGCCCGACTTAAAACGACTTACGCTTCGGAATCAATCAGATCAAGCTGTCCGATGTCTACGTATCTTTGAGTCATTTTAAGTGCGACCTCATCGATTCACAAAAAATCAATTATACTTTAAAATTTTGTCTTCTTTCCTTTTTTTCGGTTTGAATTGAAAAAAAATTTTTTTCTCAAAAATTCTAAATGATCCTAAAAAAAAAATCTTATTCTCTACTTTTCACATCAAACTTTGTTCAGCGCATCGACTCGCAGGAGAGCATTTCGAGCCACGGAAAGAAGCCCCTTAAGGAGGGCTCTGTACAGCTGACGTCACTCTCGACGCTCCTCAGCCATCATCGTTACTTCTTCCTCTACCATGACACTTTGATCGTCTCGAAGCTAAAGTGACGGAAATACCGAACAAATCTTCCAACAACTGATTTCGTTTCAGAGGCGCTTGCTCTTACAAACTGAAGGAGAAACTCCGGCTGGAGCGTGTCTGGATCGCCTCCAGCAACACTGTTGACTCTTTTCTCATCGGCTGGCCTTTCACCAATTATCTCGTCCATTTCAGGTTTCTTTTTTACCCTTTTTTCATTTTTGTTAATGTTTCAGAAGTTTTCTGGGAGATTTCTTAGTTTTCTATAGTACCGTTCTCGAAGTCCTAATCTGATAAAATTTCACAATTTTAGAAAACTTACGTCTCGAAGTAGCAACGAATCATCTTTCCAGGTTAATTAAGGCTTTGGAACATTCGCTCTCAAAAAAATAAAAAAATAAATAAATAAAAAAATTCGTTCAGGCCGCGATTTTTCGGTATTTCAAATCAAACAGTACATCAAAGCATTTTCGGAAAAATTCAAGTAATTGTAGAATTTTCAGTCAAACTTATACTCTTTGTAAAAAATGGAGATTTCACAAATTACGACGGAAACGAATTTCTTACCAATATTTTCCAACTTTAGAAGCGCCGAAGAAAAAGAAGAATGGTTTGAACTGTTGTCCTGCTGCGTCCAACAATGCATGCGTCCGCTTTGGACCACCATTTCCATGGACATCAACGTTCGCGGCAGGAAGCAGGTTTTTTTTGTTTTGAAACCCCTCCGAAAAGCAACATTTTGAAGACGATCCGTCGACGAGTGGAAAACGGCAAGAAGAGCGGGGAAATCGTGGTGGACACGGCCTGCGATTTGGGCCTTCCCCACACGTCCTATCAGTTGACCTTAACTGTCGGTCAGTCACTTTTCCAATATATATATATATATATATATATATATATATATATATATATATATATATATATATATATATATATATATATATATATATATATATATATATATATATATATATATATAGTTTATTCACTGCCGTTATTTAACAGAAAAAAAAAATAATTGAAGAATAAATGATACGATCTGTCTTTGAAGTAAAAATTTTTTTAAAAATTGAATTTCAAATAAAGTACCCTTGGTAGTGTTAAAAGGCGCCAAGTTGTTGCATAACCTAGAAAAACACATAGCTTAGCATTCGTACTTATTCTGTATAGAAAAAACTCATTTTGCCCTGTGAAGATCAGTTTTGAGTCGTTTATTATTGAAAAAATCACAATGTTTTGGTAGGACGAACATTAGATTTGACAGTGCGGCTGAGAACAAAACTTGATTGAACCATCGATTTCTCAGGTGACGGCTCCGGAAGGTCTCTTCAAGGTCCCGAGAACGTCTACGTCGTCGTCATGAGCGAGATCGAACGGCAGGGCTTACGGTAGGAGTCCACAGTTCTTTTTCCCACAAATTGAGTCTCTAGATTGTCCGAAAGTCAGAAAAAGTCTCTCGACACGTGTCCCATCGCCAATGCTCGTCTCACTTTGTCGACGATCAAATCGAACTCTGGACCTTCGGCGCGGCAAATCGTCAATAGCATCAAGTGAGCCTTCGTCGAAGTACCGTAATTCCGAATCGTACAGTAACATCAGGAAGAAAGTTTTGGCACGAGGCGACGGCCGCAGCATCTTCGGCAAAGAACTGACGGGCCCGACGCCGCCGCAGCCGATCATGACCGTCGTGGACCATCTCCGGATGGACGGCTTCGACTCCGAAGGAATCTTCCGGTTGGTTCTGAATCTGGCAACACCGATCCGAACGACGTCTTCAGCAAGTCTCCCAAGCAAAGCACCTTCAAAGAGCTCAAAAGTGAGCTGGACAAAGGCCTCGTTCCCGACTTCCACAAGTACAACACCCATGTCCTGGCATCTATTTTGAAGGTTTTTCTGCTCCCTCAGAAACTTCCAAGGTTTTTGAGAAATATTGGAATATCTTATATTCAAGTTAAAGTCAAATATTTTTTTCACTCAAGTAGTTTTTGTCAGTAATAATCAGTTTTTTTAAAAATGTAGAAATTGAAAAAAAGTAAAAAAAGTTTAGCACTTAATAAAGTTGATCAACGAAGTTCGAAGACACTTCAGAACTGAAATTCCAGCCTTTTGGCGTTTCGAAGCCCAAAAATTGAATAAAATATCTTTTAGATATATCGAAAGTGGTCGATTTCAGGAATACTTGCGGAGCATCCCTGGAAAGATCTTGCTGAGCGGGAACTACGAGTTGTGGATGCGCGAGGTCGCCGATGAGCCCGATCTCGAAAAGAAGGTCTCTACCCAAGAAGACGGAGTTCCAGACCTCCCACAGTTCAGATCTCCTCGTGTCGAAGTCTCCTGTCGCACCTGCCGACCTCGCACTCGATACTGCTGGCCAACGTGCTGAAGCTCCTCAACAAGATTTCCAACTCGGAAACCTCCAAAATGACCGCTTCTTCGTTGTCCGTCTGTCTGGCGCCGAGCTTCCTTGAAAGCCCAGGTCCGCTGTGTTTCCTTATCAAATTAACGGGCAAATTGAGTTCATTCGACTCAAAGGCTGGAACAAAATATTTGAACTGAAAAACAGCCTCAAATTTCAACAAAAGAAGCTTTTTTTCTGAATTAAACATTTCTCAATGAGTTGTTGATGTTTTTCGTCACCAGAAAGAAAATCTTTCAGCCAGTGGGGAGAACTTCATAGGAGAAATTTATTGTAAGGCTACTTCAAAAAAAAATTTATAATGATACTTTTTTTGTCTCGCGACGCGAAAAATGCGGCCATCCTGAGGAGAAAATCAAACGAGATATATCATAACACAGCTGTCAGAGACTCGATACCCTTATCACTCATTATCACGTAATATAAAACGGAACGGGCTGTTGTTGTTGGTTCGCGCCTTTCATGGATTCTCCCGCCGCGCAGACCAATTTTGTTTGTCGACCGGCGAATTCGCCCAAAATGTGGGTCATCCCGAAATTTCGGTTGTTGCAACCAAACGTTTTCAATTAGGTGGATCGAGGCAAAGCTTAAGGACAAATTGATTGATCGAGAGAAAAGAAAAGCATCTCGCAGCTGTGAAAAATAGTGAGATTTCGTCACAAGAAATGTTGCGAAGCTTTGGGAAGTCTATAGTATTCCACGCTTAGCTGCACTAACAACATGTACTCCGTTCCTTGCAAACATTAATTTTGAAAGTTTAGTGACAATTAAAAAAAACTTCTGGCAAATTTGGGAAAAAATTGAGCGAAAAAAGAGAATTTATAAAAAAAGATAGTTTTGTGACTTTATAATTTTTGAAGTATTCAGTACGGAGTGGCTTCACGGTTTTCATCATGACTCCTTTCAGATTAGAACAAGCCATAATAATTACAAAATTTTTTTTTCCCAAAGTCGGAACTTTTAAAGATTCACTCTTGTCCATCACTGATAATAGAAAAAAAGGAGCAAAGTTCATATTTTGGTAAAACCAAGGAAGAGAAAAATAATTGTTAAAAGAATCGTCCATACAAAAATAATCAGGATTGAAATATTAGATGTATTGAAAGTGAAAAATGTACAGATTCGGACCCGATGGAAGGGGGAAAAAAGATCCCGCCACTCATCGAGTTCTTGATCACCCACGCCGTCCAAGTCGTTCCTGGATTCTCCACGGACAATGTTTTTTCCATCATGAAGACGGTAACACCTTTTTTCTCTTTCTCTCTTGATTCATAAAGACTTCAGGTTGATCACAACGCGAATATGGTCTGTAGTCCAACTCCAAGTTCTTCGCATTCGGACGACGGTTCTCAGAAAACTCCGATCATCGAGGAGATCATGGGTTTGCTTTCATTTCGAGTTCAGGATCCAAAATATGTTAATAAAACAAAATTTTAGCTATTTTTTCCTTCGTGAACTCCATTTTTTTTTTTCAAAGCCCCGTAAAGTTATGGAGTATGACGGAACAAGGCCATTGACAATGTGACAGGACGCTAGTTGACCTGACCTCAATGCCATATGTACTATCATGTAGGCGTGCCAATGGCACGCCGCCTACTTGTATTGTCACTCTTGCGCTCAGCACGCATACCAACTGGCGGTGCTGAGTTGCTCTAATAAAGATCCAAGAGCAATGTCGGTTCTACACACATCTAAATAACATGTCAAGGCCCGGTGAAGCCTTGCGCGGTTATATGGAGGTACCACCGTAGAATCCGGCTGCTTGGACTAATTCACCTATTCCATCTGTTCTACCTCGTCCATCAGCCGCCTGCAGAAGCTACCTTCTTCTGCAGGGAACTCGACCTATTCTATTCTGCTAGCAGTTTTCGCATATCGTGTTCGGGATTCCAGCGAGGCTACAACTTTCTTCTGAAGCCGCTCCAGTGAAGCAGCGCACGAGTCCGGTCACAAGTAACGTCGACTCCTCCACATTGACAAGTTTTTGAACTTTTTCACCGCGATTTTGACCCCTTTGTTGGTACGCGATACACGGTTGGGATGGTGGGATGTGTAGAGTGATATATATCGCCTGGCCTGTGAGCCCTTTTTCTCGTCGATGACGACTTCAATCGCTAGTTCAATTGTGTTGAGAGTTTTTCCGTGCTTGTCTCGTTTTATTTTTGTTGTAAGCCCCCGATGTAGTTTACAAAAACTCTTTTCTTCGATTTCCTTTTTCTCATTCAATCTTTGACCGGATACGTCCTTTACCTTGTCTTTTGATTGGGTTCCTAGATAAATAAGTGACGTAGGAATCGTTGTATAAGAGTCTGCTAGTGCTTAGAATTGTGTTGTAGAACTGATTTAGAGCGCAATTGTCCTCTTGCGTTAATATCTGTATTTTTTGTTAGACCGTCCTTGATTGCCTAGTCCTTAAAAGTTGTCTTAGTTTCACTAATTCACGCTTCGGGACGAAGCTTTCTTGGAGCGGAGGGATGTGACAGGACGCTAGTTGACCTGACCTCAATGCCATATGTACTATCATGTAGGCGTGCCAATGGCACGCCGCCTACTTGTATTGTCACTCTTGCGCTCAGCACGCATACCAACTGGCGGTGCTGAGTTGCTCTAATAAAGATCCAAGAGCAATGTCGGTTCTACACACATCTAAATAACACGTCAAGGCCCGGTGAAGCCTTGCGCGGTTATAACAATCCGAATCTTTTTTTTTGGAAGTTTGGTAGATGTTCAAAAAATCTGAGAAAGTTGAGATGAAAGTTCTACATAGTACGCTACAAAACTCAAAAATCTGCTAAAATTATTTTTGAGGTTGCGAAATATGATTTTAAGCCGATTTCCGCGGCGAAAGAAAATTTCAAAAATGACATAAGCAAAAAAAAGTTTTTTTTTTACTGAAACTCATTTTTTTTCAAAGTTTTTTACTTCTATTTTATCCTGTTTTCCTATTTTGAGCTTTTTTGATCCGTTCAGCGTTTCTTTATCGACATTTTTTCCAGACGAGTGCGCCTCACAGTCGAGCCTGGCGGAAAGCGAGCTGCCAGAAGAACCTCGAAGTTCGACCCATCTGGAGACGATCTCCGAGATGACGGAACCTCTGGGAGATGAACGGCTCAGCTTCTCCGACTCCGAGGATTCGGATGACGAAGAAATTCTCCGACGACATCCCAACTTCCGGTCGTTCTCCTCGCGGACGTCGTTCGTGTCGGAGACGTTGCGGAGCTCGACGGAGGAGATGGAGCGGACGACGCCCGTCGTTTCCACCAAAATCGAGAAGACAGACACGCCGCGCTCGCCCTGTCTCAAGCGGATACACTTTCAGCGAACTGAGGCTCAGCATAGGAACAAGGTTGAGTCCACGTCGCCAACAGCCCTCAAAGAAATGTCTTCAGGAAGCCTCTACACTAGAAGCGCTGAAGCTGCATCGTCCAGGAAGGAAGAACTCACTGGAAGAAGTGGCACGCAAGAATTCGGCGGAGTCGATCCTTTCCTCGCGACTCGACGACTTCTCATCGGCGACGCCTTCTAGGAAGGAATCGAGGGAAGAGGCGACGCAGACGTCGGACTGCGGCCTTCCTTCCATCTCTGAAAGATTTCCCGCCTTCCGGAGCAACGCCGCCCTCATCGAGGAGGTTAGACACGTCTTTTTATTTATAGTCAAGCGTTTTCGTTAGCTCCAAATTGCTTTGGTCACTTTGAACATGATTTTAGGTTCTTCAGAATCGTAGGAAATCGTGGAAAAAACCGAGAATATCCTCCGTCAAAGTACAAGGAAACACTAATAGTTTTTTATTAAATTCAGAACCTCAACGAAATTTTGAAAACAGAGCTTAAATTTACTCAACTCACTGTTGGCTTGGGACACAAATTACTAAATAGCCTAGAACTCTTCAGTTCACAAGTTTTTTCGCTAATCATTTTAAACCTTGTTCATTTCCATCCAGCAGTGAACAAAGTGTTGACGCTTTTTTTTTCTCATTTTCCCATCTCTCTTTCTGTTTCCTTTTTCTCTGAGAGCTAGTGCACGCTATCACCTTTCCGCGGCCTCTATTGCGAGCAAACTTCACCCAACGCCATCAGTCATTCTGGCCGAGTGGTCTAAGGCGCTGCGTTCAGGTCGCAGTCCTCTTCGGAGGGCGCAGGTTCGAATCCTGCGGATGACATTCCTTTTTGCTCTTTCGGTTGTAATCAGATTCATTTCAGGCATCAAGTTCTCCAAAAAACGGAAGCCCTCCAGTGCCGGCAGATCCAGCCCCGACTGTTTTTTTCGAAAACGATGTTCCAAAAGTAGAACACGTACTGAACAAGGACAACTTGGTGATGGAGAAGGATTTTCGGCCTTGTTACAGGAACGAAGAGCAACAAACGATGCCAACAAAGCCAACAGTACAAGTATTCAGGAATATTTTTGAGGAGGTGATTAAAAAAAGTTTCAGGTTGCGCCATTCTCCCAAGAGCCGTCTTTGAAGACGATAAATGAACGTTTGGCATCGCTGAGGCTGAATTGTCTTCAGGATCGAGCGGAGAGTCAGCGGTCAGAGATTTTCCTCATTTTCTCATTTCGATTTATTCAACATGTTGCATACTACGCCCTTGAAAAACTAAGAATTGAAAAGAAACAAAAATATCAATTGAAATATAGTAGTTGAGACGTGATGAAAATCAACCCTTTCTGCTTTCCAAGCATTTTTTTTTCTGCATTACAATAGTTTTCTCACGTCTGGTTTTCTGTTTTAGGGCGTGCGGAAACCAGATAAATCAAAATAAAAACCTCAAACCGCATTTGCATGTGCATGTATCGATTTGTCTTGAGATTTCCTCTTTTATTCTTTTTTGAATTAAGAAGTTGACTTTTAGGAATCAGCGAAAGTCGTACATCCCGCCAGAGCCGTACTATTCGGCGCCGAACGTCTCCAGAGGCCTGCCGACGTCGTCAAGCTTCGAGCCTTCAGAATCGCCGTCGCTGACGAGAAGATTCCGAAGAGACGACGTCGCTCGAAGTCTCACAAACAGTCCGATCATGGCGCGGAGCACGCCAGTCAGCAATGACTACCAAATTCCGTACCAACATCTTCAGGAAGGTTTGTGATCAGGACACAGATAGTTTGATCATCTTCTTCATTTGGCGCACAATCTTTCTTTTAGTTGTTTTCCCCAATTCTCCTTCAAGAACATTTTAAAAACCCGAAAATGAGTCGAAAATGCAGGAGCATCGAATGTGTGCCAAATGATTTCTTTTGGTATAAAATTTTTATGTTGACTCAGGAAAACATCGAAAACTCTTCAGAAACGATTCGAAGGGGCAATCGGAAGGTGGAACTGCAGCGATCGTCTTCACATCGCGGAGCAGCGCCGTTTTCTCAGGCTAGAGACGTGCACAGGTGAATTGATGTTGCAGTAACTTAAGAAGACAATTTTTTTGTGACAGTCTGAAAACTAGAAGGAAAGAGCGGCACCATTTTGAAAGGAGTTTAAAAAAGACATTGTCCTCTCTGGCTTCTCTCTAGGTTACCCCTGCTCTCTCGTTTCCGCTTTTTTGAACTGTTTTTCGAACTCATTTTTATTTTATTTCATATTTTGAAAATCAGTGGTCCATTGTGAACAGATGTTGGGCTTTCCGTAAACCTCATAGACGAAGAGCTTCAGAGCCTCGTCGGTGAAGGCGGGACGGCGCTTTGAGAGGGCGACGGACGCCTGTGTAGGCATGGACCCTCTGGAGATCAACTGGAGCGTCCGAAAACTCAAGACGCTTTTCCAGGACACCAAGGCGCCTGCGATAGACACCGACTACACACTCGCCTAGCCCTTCATCTTCTAAGCTTTTTCAAAACGTTCATTTCAGTTATTCAAGAGAAGCGATCCAGAATTTCAAAAAGTTTATCTGAAGTATTGTAATAACTAACGAGAATATATAATACTTTCATTGCCTTACATTCCATTGCCTTATCATTGTCTTTCTCACTTTCACTTATTGAATCACTTCATGTTTAAAGTCTTTGTATTCTTACTTTTGAATCTTCTCTCGCCTGATTTAATCAGTATTATTTAATCGTTTCAGGTGCTTTTCAAAATGAAAAAAAAATAAATATTCATGATTTTTTTGGACAGAGCATGTAAAAAGCCTAAAATAGGAGGTTATCACAAGAATAACTGTCATGGAGGAGCTTCGATGCAAAAAATGTCAATCTGACAAGATTACTACAAGGACGGAAAAATAAAGACATAGAACCAGTAGAAAAACTTGGAAACGTTTCGTTAAGCTAGAAATAACTAGGCGATTCGAATATATCTGTTCTGGGCAAAATCTCGACAAAACCTAGGCTTCTCTGAATTTCGAGTCGATGTAGAATACAAAAGAATTTGGTTGTTACCGGAAATAAGATAGGAAAGTAGAAAGTTACAAAAGAAATACCAAAGTACACGATGAAACACATGAAAAAGGTACAGGAAGTTGTGGAATGAAAGAGTGAGTCAGTACAATAAAAAAGAAAAGAAGGCGAGGGAATATCACAACTTACTCGCTTTAGCAGGAAGGAGTTCAGCTCAGCTTGGTCGCCCACTTCAGGTCGTCCTCTCTCGGCTTCATCCCCGTCACTTTCGTCACGACCCATTCAGCTTTCCGCCAGAAACCTGGATTTTTCTATTTAGAGCGCACTTTTCCACGAACATAAAGCCAAATTTTAGACCCTTCATGGGAAAATTGAAAAATAAAACTGTGTTTTTATATTTTTTTAAGTTTCAAGTTTCTGTGCGGACAATGCCAAATTAATTTTGGTTTTAAAAACTTTTAAGGTTCTACATAGAAAACAGAACGGATTAAAACTTCAACTCTGCTGGATATTTCAAGAGTTTTCTCCACGACCTCGGAAAAAGGGAATCAAACGAACCAATGACTTCCAATGGCCAGTTGAGCCAACCCGTTGTGATGCAGTAATAGCACGCATGAGGAGAAATGTGGTGGATCTTGAGAAAGGAAAGTTGAATTGAATCACGATGAGTTCCTTTTTGAACCTTGTGATGGTGTCGGGGCAAGATAATGTGCGCTTTCTGAAGGAAGACCACCCATCCAGACAGTCCGAAGTAGGTGTGCGACCATTTGTGAATCTCAAACCGTTACCATAACTGAGAATTGTCCAACGGTCAAATGACCGTATTATAATAGCTTCGAAATTCAATATTTTTCCTTTCAAACTTTCGTTCTACCTCCACTATCAGAAACTGGATTGAAAATCTTTTCTCCGTTCTTTTTTTTGCGTAATTTTCTTTTCCATACTCGAACTCAAAGTTTTTCCATTGCGATAAACTTCAAAAACTTAAAAATTAACGCTATATACGCTACATATCTTTGAATTATTCACTGGATCTTACAAAATCATTTTGTCCCTCTACGAAATTTTGTATGGAGTGTGATGAAACTTTTAATACATCCTGTGAAACAATTGAAAAGTTCTTTATGACACCGATACATTCAAACTTTGTAAAGCTTCAAAACTACAGTTTTTATTCCTTTTCATTGGTTCCAAATATTTAGTCTACTTTATGACAAGAGAAGTGGAAACCTGAAAATTACGAGCACTCTATGAAAAGTAGCGAGCATTTCGATTCTAATTTTAAAAAAAAACGTTAACTTCCTTTTTCTATCAACTTTATTATTGGTTCGATCTGAAACTCTTTATGAAATGAAATGTTTATTTCGCTCACAGACAGATCTGTGGCGTGGAGGAAGAGAACCATGAAAGTTATATTTGCCTCCACTTCGATAAAGTTCCACTTTAATCTAAAAATATTTTAGGTTTTTTTAATGATTTTTTTTTAAAGTTTCAGCAAACTCTTGAAGTTGTACGTTTGCACGAGCAAAACTTTCTTCAAAGTCTTCGAATTCCGAATAACCCGAGTGCGAACTCTACCTGGTTGGTCAAGGCGACGTAGATGCCGAGGAGAAGGATATACCAATGGAAACTGGCCCAGTCGTGAAGCTGCTCCCACGTGTACGTCATCTGCTGGTAGAAGATCGACGCCAGCGGGATTACGCACAGCATGAAGTTGTCGCCGTTCACCTCAAGAGCCCTTTCAGATAACTACTCCGACTTGAGGGAACCTCGATGAAATCGTGGCGAATGATGGCGGTGGGATCCACATGGTGCTCTCGGAAAGGTCGGATGAACGACTACAACTTTGACTGCTTCAGAATCGCGAGCTAGGCGAGAGATTACCCTTCCGAACCAGGTGTCGACGCTGCCGAAGGTATCTGCGCCCCAATGGACAACACCGGAGGCGAAATCGGCCGTAGTTATTCCCAATACCGCGTAAAACAACACAGAGCCTGAAGTTTCCTGATTGTAAGTCCATTCAAGAGGCAACGGTGATACGAATTCGAACTAGAACGGAAGTTTGAAATAATTTATTGTGTCAAAGTTGAATAGGTAAAACCAAGGAAAAAAAGAAATTTTATCTAGACTTCTAAATGAGTTTCTAAAAAATTTTCAGAAAATTTCTAAACATCGCACTGAAAAACACCTTTTTCTTTTGTAAGTTCTACTCTTTTTTTTTCTAACCTGAGCAGTAATTGTTTTCCTTGAAGTTTGTCGCTCATGAGTCTAAGGATCACTGACTTTTTTTTCGAAAAATTATCTTCGATAATATTCATCTTGATGAAAATTTTCATTTGAGATTACCAAAAAAGCTATTTACTTCGAAAGCCAACTTCATTACAATAATTGCCCGTAGTACCAATTCTTTCTTTCAAAAGCCGAATAAATCTAATTTTTCGATGCACTCACCCCATATTGAGCTGTTCCAGTTGCGAATGAGGTTCAATAAAACAGCTATGAACAATATGACGGCAGCGATGACTGAGACGATTTCCTGTACTCGTTTTTCTGCAAAGATCCCTTTTTTGCAAGTTCCTGAAGTGTACTTTAGTGCATGGCCATAAAATGTTTTCCAAGTCAATAAGTTGGAGGAGAGGAAATCAGCTGGTGATCGACCAGAAAATGATATTTATAAGGCAGACGTCAATCAGAATGTAATCGGTGAATGTCACGAAAAATCGCCAAATGAGAGTTCAAGAAGCAAAGTACACATGCGCCTTCGTTGAACGAAAATACCTCGACTGTACATGGAGGCGAGTTTTTTGGCGCCGGCGTGTTGCGGACCCCAACGAGCCACGGGACAGCCCATCTCCTGGTTGACGTTTCCGTTGGGGTCGTCTTCCGGCATCGACGGCAGCGTCGGGTCGTTCTCGTCTTCGAGCGTCGGCGCCGGATCAGGCGACATGAACCTGACGCGAGCGAAATGTTGGTTCTTGTGCAACAGAACAAGCTTTTCGATTGAATCAAAATCAAAAACTGATCGCGAGAATCATTCAAATTACTGACGAACGGAAGAGTTCATTGACAAGATTTCTTCGGATTGTCTTCTCTCTCTCTCTCTCCAACTCATAGATATCATACCAAAACTCCTAACACCGAGAATTATTACAATTAAGCTCGAAAACGCTCTGAAGGTCTATACGGAGATTTTTCAATTCGTTAACTATTGAAAACTTACTGAACCGTTTTCAAAATTCTCAAATATAAGTAATGCTTGAAGCCCAGCTCATCTTAATAGCAAAAGGAGCGAAAATCTACCGTTTCTCCTCGAGTTTCAAACATTCCTTCTCGTCGAAGTCGGCGTAACATGTAGCCGTCGGCTCATCGGAAGACGAAAAGTGTGGCTCCGTCATCGTGCTGCAAAGACATTCTTGCAAAAGAAGGATTCGAACTTTCGAAATATGGCTTCCCGAACAGAAATAGAAACGATAACTATTTGGCGTCTATTCTTCGAAAAGTTCAATGTCTACGACATCGCTCCCATAGAAAATTCGAGATTAGATGCTGGGAAAATGCCACTTCGTCATGAATGAAAGAGGCAAGAGTGAAGAAAACTCAAAATAAATGAGCCGAAATGTAATAATCGCGTGAGGGAAAACATGTCAACGAGGCGATTGTAACACAGGTTTAGGCAGAAGGGAAAAAAAGATGATGGATGAAAAACAAGGCGAAAAATTCTTCCTGAACTTTTATTGGGGACCTCGAGAGGAGCCGAATAATCAGTCAAACTGCTGGCCCCGATGTGAGAAGCCTGATAAAAGACAGTTTTCGTTGAAAAAACTGTTGATAAAGGGAAAACCTTCAAGTTTATGACAAGAGTTGGGGCTTCGGCAAAGTTTTTAGTGTTTTGTGAAACAATAAAAGCTTTTTCGTGATGAATTTTTGAACTTAGGTTTATGAAATTTTTAGGTATTTCAATCTTTTTCTGTATCCCTCATGCCGAGTTTTTCAGGAAAAAAAATCGCAGAATATATTATTAAACAAAGGAAAAACAAAGAAACAAAGGAAAAATCCAATGACCAAGGGAAAAGCAATTGCCTTCGGAATGAAGATAATTCTCGACGTTTGGCCTTCCGTTCGTCTGTTTTTTCTTTTTGCGTGTTGGCCGGAAAATAAGCAGGCGAGCGAAGGAAATGGGATATTACTTCTCTTGTTTTTGTCCCATATTCTGGAAGAATCCATGGCGGCTTTTGATGCGAAGGCCTGCAAGGTTTCTGGTTCAATAATCGTCTGAAAAGGTTTGTTTCTTTGTTGATTGAGGAGAAGTGCACATAAAGAGTCATAGATTTGTAACCAGAGTACTGTAATCTTCTTGATTAGCTTTAAAACCTGAGCAACTTCTGTAAAAAAGGTTAACTCAAAACTCCGAGTATTTTAAGAGTTAACTTTTAAGATTGAATTTTTGTTTTTGCAACAAAAATTACCTGTACAAGTGGCCCTCCACTTTTCTACTCAATTATTTGAATCAAGTATTCGAAAGTCACTTACAACAATTCAAGTCTTCCAAATCAATTCGAAATAGGAATTCAGGTTGTTTGTTGAAGTGAAGTTTTCTGACATATGAAATAAAACCAGAAATTGTGTATTGACCTTTTCGAACAATACCCTATAGGAAACCAGTCTTCTTCAAATTTGGATAGTCACAAAAAAGGCAAAGAAGAGACTCAAAACGGGATTGGCAAAATCAAAAAGGTCACAATTTCAGCCAAAAAAGAGAATGCGAAAGGGAGAAATTAACATATATGTGACCGAGTTTCTCATGGAACAATTTGAAACGACGTAAAAAAAATAATGAGAAAAAGAGAAAATCGACGTGTGTCGGCAAATTTTTTAAACTAAAAATCGACCTCGACCAAACGCCAGAAATCGTCCTCCTCGTAGTGCGAAACCGGAAATTACTACAACACGGTCAAAATCGGTCCACTAAAAATTTCTTCGAGTCTTTTCACTTCTGAAGTTTCTAACAAGTTGCTTTGTAAAAAAGTTCGCCCGTAAAGTCAAACTGAATCAATTTTTCGTAGATTTATTTTCAAAGATTGAAGTCACTTCAACTTTAATCTTTAATGTAAGATCTCTCGGGATAAGTCAAGGAAAAACCCGACTCTCAGTAGTTCAAGACTTTTTTCGGTGTGACATTTCATGAAATTTCGAAGAAGTCCCACGAGGAATCTTTCATGGAAGGCAAAAAGCTCCACTACAAGCACAAGAGTACTCGAAGAACAGCAAAATCAACAAAATGACACCAAAAACAACAAAAAGCCGACGTCATGTCTGGGAGAGCGCGCCAAAATGGGCGGAGTTTGTCACGCGGTCTTTTGTTGCTCATTTTTCGGTTGTAAACAGAAAAAACGGACGGAAATAAATAAGCATATGCTGATTCTTCCCACGTAAGAAGAATCTCAATTACTTAAGACAGACGGAAGCTATTCTTCAATGGCTTCCTTCGGCCTATTTAACTTGAAAAATGATTATGAAATCAATTTTTTTTCTTTTTTTTATGCAGCAATAATAACAGTTGCAAAAAACTTTCTCCCCTCCATCCGTTTTTTGAAAAAAAAAATATTAAAAAAATTTAATAGTCTTTTTGTATTTTTATGTCAAAATTTTATGTTTTTGGAAGCTTCTATGAAAGCCTTTTTTTGTTAAAAGACAAAAAGTTACAAAAACTGGATTATTTCATTACATTTCATGTTTTTTTAGATAAAAATATGTAACAGAAAAACAGAAAATTCACAAAAAATGATCCTAAAGTTCGCCCTAACATCTAAAACCATAGTACGAAAACAGTTTACCTGAACGAAATGGCCATAAAACAGTATTATCGCGGGCAAAGAGGATGAAAAGCTCAAAAGTCAAAAAAATCATCAAAGCTGTGGTGCGGCAGAGAGCAAAAAACGAAAAGCAAACAAAGAAAGAAAAGCAGAAAAATAAATCCCAGAACAATAATCTTCGAAAGAAGGGATCAAATCGAATGATAAGAATGATACGAGGAGATAACGGAAAAAGGACGTTGTCAAGGGCACTGGAAAGCAATTTCTTTCTCGCCGGAAATGAGCTGCGCTCAGTTGAGCAACCTTGCTCTTTCGCTAATCAAGTCATCTAGGGATCTAACCGCGGAAGTCGAAAATTGAAAAAAAAACTTAACACACGTAGAACTTTATTTCAGCCTCGCGGAAGAGTTCAACTTTTATTTCCTACCCACAGAGAAACTTGATAAGTGAGAGTTTGATCGCTACACTATATAGTTTTGTTTTGATCTATTCCCAAGCCAATTAATGGGATCTCAAAACATTTTGTTTGAATAATTAAAAATGTTTAGAATAATGCTTATTAATTGCAACGAGAACTATCAAAAAGAAAGAAGAGAATTGATTATTTCACTTCACAGCGCACAAAGCCGATTTTTCCAGAAACCAACTCTGTCAGAAAGAATGAAAAGTATATTATTTTTGATAAGGTAGTGGTGGTATAAATTTTGTTTTCACACCTTGAAAAAGTATTAGAATGACTGAAAGTTTGAATGAATTATTTTTTTCATTTTTTGTCCTTAATGAAGCTTTCTTTGCTCACAAGAAAAAAAAAATAAATAATCATTTTTTCGAAGATTTTTATCTTGATGATAATTTGAAAAAGCTCAGGAAAATCCAAGTCTATTTCAACGGTCGAACGCAAACAAATCAACCTACACAGTTCAAAGTTTGTCAACAGAGCAAGAAGCTCAAGAAAAGATCAAAAATGGTCGAAATTCATTGGGACAGGGATGAGTAACGCGGCTCGGCGGAGCTCAATCGCTAGAGAAAATGTTAAAATATTCGTGAACTTTGTGCAATCAGACCACCGAAGCTTATCGATGAGCGGAGAATTCGCCGCAATCAATTTTACCCGACAAGTGACGGCGTCCATCAAGCCGTTTCCTTCGTTTCTAACTTCCTCAGTCCAAAATCAACCTTTTGTTTTAATTATTTTCTAAATACAATTTTTACTTCGAGAGTTCAGAAGAATCGAAAAACATTTGCATCAACAGAAAAAAAGCCCTCGTTATCAGTTTAAGAACGCGTTTCATGACAGTTTTGACATGTGGAAAGCTGATGAAGAATGCGGAAGTGCTCAAGAAAAAAAAAATCCGAACCCAACATGTACCTTGATTGACTTTTTGAACTGTAGTATGTCTCAAGATGAAAAAGAAGCTATAAACTCATGTCCGCTGGTTTTTTTTCCATTAGAATTATTTTTGAAAAAAAAAGTTGATTCTCATCAATTAGCTAATTTGAGCTTTTCATTTTTTATCTATTTACTGTCTTTTCTTAGACTTAAAAACAGCTGTTTCGAGCACTTTGGCGAGCAAACGAAAAGTAGAACGAAGATGAGAAGTACTCGAGATTTCATCTAAAGATGAACTTTTTAATTTGAAAAGTGGGCGGAAACCTAATTGACAACACCCTCAGGAAATTCTTTTGAAATTCTCATACCTGCAGTTTTCTAAATTTGAAAAACCGAAACCAAGACGACGAGAAAGAAGCCAGACAGAACAAAAAGCCGCGAAATGAACATATAAACGACATATGGTGTGGATTTTACACATCTACGCAACGAGAAAAACACGGGAAGAGGAGCGATTTTCCTCTGATTTGTGGTGGAAGCGAAATGAGGGAGAATTTCCCCTTCAAAAAAAGCTCGTTTCGATGTATTTCATTCTATTCCAAAGAATCAACAGAACATATTCTATCAGAAGCTCGAAAGAAATCCTGTTTCTTGAACATTTAATTTTTTTTTCTTTAAGTTTTATGTTATTCAGGAAACTAGTTGCATATTAGGAGTTGATATGCACGCAGAAATTTCGAATTTGAAAAGAACATGGAAAACTTCTTCTGACAGGGAAGAAATAGTTATTTTTCGATTGTTCCGAGAAGCGTCATAATTTAGAAAATAAGCATCAACGTGGTCATATGCGAATAAGCCGAAAAGAATCTAAGATAAGCATTTCCCTTTGTTTTGGAAATTTCAAAGCTTCAAGGACATTCAAATGGAAGAAACACTGTCTTCAAAAACAACAAAAAGTTTTTGAGGAGAGGTTTTTAAGTCAGCTTTTAAGGAAAATTCTTTTCTTTTTCTCACGGCTCTTCAAAGATGAAAATGCTTCGAATCGATTGCCTTCCACTTTTTCCCGATGCAATTTGGGATCCAAAACTTTCGATCGTTTGGCATCGAAAAAATGTAAATCACGTTGGTTATTCGCACAGATAAGGCTCAAAATGCTGACCGAAGATGAAAATTAGAGAAAAATAAGCGATAACACGTTTTTATCAGATGTTACGTCTCGTGCTCGACAGTAACGTAATCGTTAGATTGTACTTTCGACCCTGGAGAGCAGAGCTTGAAAAGAATGGAGTTAGTCCAGAGAAAACGACGAAACAAAATATTTGAGGTAGAACAAAAAAGGAAATTGGAGAAGCTCTTGGAGCTCGGTTGCCTAATGATGAGCTCGGCGGAAATGGCAAGAAAACGCGGACCTGTTACCTATGAGTGGCAGGTCCCTTGCGTCCACTAATTGACGGCTCTTCCTTCGCGTCGAATGTGCGCCGTCGGACACGCCCCTTTTCCAGTCACTTCAGTTGTGTTCTTGTCTTTCCTGCAGAGAAATGTTGTTTTTTCTGAGAGCAAAGTTTTCAGGCACTTTGAACCGCGAAATTTAAAAATGAAATAATAAAAATCATTGAATAACTCTTGTTCATTATTTCCCTTCGATAAATCTTCTTATGCTTTCCAGAAACAAGCATTAGACTTCAAACAGGAAAAAGATCTTTTTAGAAACTATCCAAAAAAACTTTTTAAAAAAAGTTTTTTTAACGGTATTACCAGAAGATCAAAAAGTGGTTATCATTTTTCGATTTTCAAGCGGCCAAAAATTACTTCTCTAAGAATTTAAGGTTCCGTCTGATTTTCGAACACATTCATCTCACAAAACGGTGCCGAACCAATGGATTCATGACAAAATCCATTAAATCTTCTGATAGATCGACAAAATCGAGGAAAAACGAGGAATGCGAAAAGTGCTCGGAAAATAATTCATACTCAATTCGTGCTGGCAAAAAAAGAAAACGAAAACGAAGGCTATTACATTCTTAACGAGATTGAGACTTGCCATCGATGTTATTTTCAGAGTAGCAAGTTTTCCAGAAAAGAACTTTCTCGAGAGGTTTCTAATTGAGACGAATCCCTGGTTCTAGATCTAAGCATCCGCACTTCAAAAAATTGGGGAAAAAATTTTAAACGAGATCTGAACTCGTCGCCATCCTTCAAATAACTTGGACCGTTCTTTTTCTAATATTATATTTTTTTCAGGATGTGTCTGAAAAATGCGTAAAAATTTTCTGTAAATTTTTTCTAGTTTTCAACTGGAAATCGCACTACACAAAGGAGATTTGCTCAGAATAAAACAAAAAAAGGTAAATTAAGGCGAAGTCGGCACAAATAGAATTGGTAGCAAACACATAATGGCCATTGTTCTGCCGAAAAGGGGAAATGATAATCTTCCCTATGATAAAATCGAAAATCGCTGATAGTTCCTAGCGCTGGTTCTGATTAAACCTATCAGAACGGCGCGGGTCGGAAATGAGTGCGATTTATCAAAAACTTCCAAAAACCAATTGAAAAGGGGCTTTGAAATCATTTTTTTTTTTTTCGAAAAGTAAAAAGAAGAGAATGTTGACACATAACGAATTTTTTTACAAGACTAGAGTTTAAAAAGGATAAAATAACAAAGTTTCTCAACAATGCATTCCCATAGAACATTTTTTTAGAGTTTAAAGCTAATTTTTTTCCTTTTTTTAATTACTCTTGCATTCAAACTAGATAAGAATCTTGATTATTTTTTTCGCATTTCGGTTCAATAAATAAGAGAAAAAAATTCATAAAATTTCGAAAAAGTTTGAGTGAGATATTTTTTTATAATAATGTGATTTATAGAAGTTAAGAAAAAAACAGGATATTACATTAAAAAAAGAATCGAATGAACAAACAAATCTCCACTCCTGAAAGTATACATAGGAACAACTTTTTTTCTTTTTAATCATTACACATGAATTTAAAGTTTTGATTTATGAACTGAAAGAAAAAACCTCAAAAATATAATTCAGTCGAAAATTAATAAATTCGGCAAACTTTAAATGATGTTTCCCTTTTTCCAAATTCAACTTTAAAAAAATAATTTTTGAGCACAAGAAATTCCTTCGAATGTAATATTATGCCGTGTTCATAGTGATTCCGTGAAATTCAAAACGGTCTCTGACCCTCCAAAATTCAGTTATCTTTTTTTTTCTCTGACGGCTACAGTCTGTTCAGAAATCAAATGTCAAGACCTCGCTCAAGCTCCGCCCCTAATGGCGCGGTAAACCAATCAGAAAGCGAGCCATCCACAGAGCATTTTCGAATGACGTCATTCTGCTTAAAATTCAAAATGTGAACGGACTATATTTCGCAGAATCACTTTACACACGACATAAAGGAAAACAATTTTCAAATTGAAGTTTGAAAAAAAATTGCCAGGATTCCTTAAAAACTTTAAAAAATGCTCTTCGTGTCATATTTTTCGATGAGTTTTTCCCATGATCCTTTAATAAGCTGCTGTCATTTCTCTTTTTTATCATGCACCCAATATTATGGACTATATCGCAGCGAGAGTAATGCTATACCACGGGGGAGCCGCGAGCAATATCGCTCGCCTCTCGCTGCGACCTCGTATACGTTTTGCGCTATATCGCTCTCTGAAAAATTTTTCTTCAAAAATGGTTTTTTTTTCTCGAATTTGATTGATTTCATCATAAAAGTCAAAAATAAAGCAAAAAAATGTTTTCAAATTTCAAATTTTTGAGAGGGAGCGATATGGCAGCGAGACTTTGACGAGGTCGCAGCGAGAAGCCTTGGCTATATCGCCTGCGGCCCGCTGCGATATCGGCAATAATGTTGGGTGTGATCTTTTCAACTTGTTTAAAATCTGCTGAACTGGTGAACGGTTCATGTTTCCAAACTCAAGAAGTGTTCATGAAGCCCCATAGTTTTTTCGAAAAAATTAAAAGTTACTTCGAATAATTTTCGCTTTGGAAAAATCATTTTATTTTTTCGAATCAACTTATCATGATAATTTTTTGTGATCTCTTCTCGTTATACTATTTTCAAGAATTTTTTGCGTAAAACTCTGTTTTTCTCTACAACCAGAGATTAACATTCATTGTTTCGTGAACAAGGAATATTTCCAATTAGATTATCTGTCAAATAGATTATATTACCTCCGTCAAATATAATTTTATAGGTATTTCGTACTTCTTCCATTTTTTTTTCTCAACTAACTTTAATTTTTTTTTAAATGTTTTAAGTAGCTTTAATAATATTATTCTTCGATGATATTTCATTTCAATAGTTTTTTTTGAAGTGCCGCCCCGCTATTTTTATAGCTGGACATGGTTGAATTAAAAAATCAAATTTAACATCATAATAGAGTTCAAGCTCTTTTTCGGCCTTTGGAAAGTAAAACTGAGTGGAATGTTTGCTCCATTGACAAAGCGCGCGTTGTACGCGATCCCGCGTTTCACCCCAGCCGCCGAATTCAATTTCGAAAATTCACCCCTGATCATTTTGCAGTTTTTTTCCTTTTACAATTTTTTTTTAAAATAAAATGTTTATTGGAGATACGGAACGTTTTTTAAAAGCGTGTTCATCGGCGCACTAAAGTTGCTCCAAAATATTAACTAATTTTCATGCTTTTCGAAATAATTTTCGCTTTGTCCGATGATAACGCCATAACTTTTTTTTAGAATTAGAGGCCATGCAATCTCATTCAAAGAAACGCGTGTCCTACTACTATGACGGTAAGCTTTACTAGGAGCTTCTCTTTCAAAGGTTTTCTCCTGTTTCAGGGGATGTCGGAAATTACTACTATGGTCAAGGGCACCCGATGAAGCCGCAAAGAATTCGAATGGCTCATAACCTCCTTCTGAACTATGGTCTGTACCGAAAGATGGAAGTTTTTGTGAGTAGTTTGCACTGAAGTCAAAAAACCCTAACGATTGTTTTAGAGGCCGCGGCCAGCGACATTCGAGGAAATGACTCGGTATCATTCTGACGAGTACATCAACTTTTTGAAAAATGTTTGTCCCGAGAAAATGCACGAGCAGAAGGTTCCGCTGAACAAGTTCAACCTTGGCGAGGTGCGGAGTTCGTTTCAGTACTGAATTTCCCATTATTGGTTTTTTTTAGGATTGTCCAGTCTTTGACGGAGTTTATGAGTTTTGCCAATTATCTTGTGGTGGCTCTCTGGGTAAGTTCTCCAAACTCAATATAGAAAATAGCCAGATTTTCAGCGGCTGCCTCTCGTTTGAATCGCAACGATTCGGACATTTGTATAAACTGGATGGGGGGCTTGCATCACGCCAAAAAAGCCGAAGCCAGCGGTTTTTGTTATAGCAATGATATTGTGCTAGCTATTCTGGAGCTTCTGAAAATTCACCCGGTATATTCATTTTGAACTGAAGCAACATTAGGTGCTCTAAAAGATTACACTTTTGATTTTTGCTGTGTTCTTTGGAAAGTATGTTCTCACGGACCCAGATTTAGCTTGTCGCCTATAGCTGATTCACGGATACCTTGAGCCATCGAAAAATGAGTCCTGACACGATAAAAGAAGAGACAGTGTCTGGTTGGTGGAGAGTGCAGACAAGCCACGCCTCCTAGCGCCCCAAGTTAGCCGTGAATCGGTTATATAACTTTTTACTGAACCGTTTAGTTCGAATTAAAATAATTTTTTGGGAACTTAAAAGAATTTATTGCAATATTATTTTTTAAAAAAACGTTTTTTTTTCTCCTGGAAAACCTCCCAGACTTTTTTAGAGATACGTGGAACTTTTTTTGCTCTTTGAATTACATAAACTTATTTTTCAGCGAGTTTTATACATCGACATTGATATCCATCACGGCGACGGCGTAGAAGAAGCTTTCTACACGACGGATCGTGTAATGACTGTTTCTTTCCACAAATATGGAGAATATTTCCCCGGAACTGGCGATTCCAAGGTTAGCTTTATTTTGTGTGGAATAATCATATCTCCAGTTCTTTTTCCAGGATATTGGCGCTGATAAGGGGATGTATTACGCCCTGAACTTTCCTTTGAGAGATGGGATCGATGATGATGCCTATGAGGTTTCCAAAGGCTTTGTACTGGTAGAATAAGATTAATTTTCCAGAAAATTTTCAAGCCGGTCATTTCGAGGGTGATGGAACATTTCCGGCCCTCGGCTGTCGTTTTACAATGCGGCGCTGATTCCTTGACGGGAGACCGATTAGGATGTTTCAATTTAACACTGAAAGGTAATAACTGCAAATTGTAAGCCATCACAGTGACATCGTGAAAAAAAAAAGAAAGATCGGTTCGAAATAGAGAAAAAGCAATCACCCTGCAAAAAGAAGGTAATGCTAACTACGAATAATCGCGATTATTTTTTGGATAGTTCCATTTCTGTTATCGGTTTGCAGGCCACGGACAGTGCGTCGAGTTCCTCAAGTCGTTCAACGTGCCTCTGATGTTGGTCGGCGGCGGCGGATACACGATCCGCAATGTTTCCCGTTGTTGGTGTTACGAGACCGCCGTGGCGGTCGACGAAGAAATTCCCAACGGTACTCCTTTCCCTCCTCCTCGACTCCACTACTCATTGCTCAGACCTTCCCTTCAACGACTACTTCGAGTACTTCGGTCCCGACTACAAGCTGCACATTATGCCGTCCAACATGCCCAATATGAACACTCGAGAGTACTTGGAGTCGACGATGTCGTCTCTTTTCGAGTACATGCGAAATCTGCCGTTCGCGCCGTCCGTTCAGATGCAGCCTCTGCAGAAGGAGCACGACGTCGTCAGGTTTTACGACAAGAGTCTCGTCGAGGATCACATCGATCCTGATGTAGGTTTTCGGAGTAATCACGTCTAGGTTTGTATTGGAAACGTTATTAGAAACTGCGAATTTCATCTTGTGACATTGTTTTAAAAAACAATCATAATTTCTGAAAATTAGCCAATATTAATGAATATAAGAATGTTATTTTTTCGTATGATTTTCAATAAAGGAGCAAATTGAATTTTTGAAAATGAAGAAAAAAATTTCAGAGTTTTTGAACTTTCTTTGATGAACGGTGAAAACATGAAATTCCACCAGTTTTGACATCGAAATCTTCTCCCTTACTCATAGATTATCTGTGTTTGTTTTCTTTTTCTTATCTTCAAAATGATAGCTCTTTCAGTTTTCCACAGCTTTTCTTTTTTCAAGGTACGGGAGTCGACCTCGCAAATCGACCAGGCCGTGGAACATGTCGCCGAGTTCTACGACGAAAAAGAGCCGACGAAGCGGCTCGACGAGGTAATGATCCCGCGCGATTTATCCTTCAGTGAGACTTTTCAGGCACCTGTGAAAAGGACAGCGTCCAGTCCACCTCTTGAAATGGAAAGCGCGAAAAAGACGAAAGTTTTGTCCACTGAGGAGCCGAATGGCGACCAAGTCGTGCTAATGGAAACTGAAACGGTGAGTTGCAGGAAAGTGCAGGAAAGGTTCCGCGCGGAAAGAAAAATGTTATGTTTATGAAATTTCACGAAAAAAAGATTTAAGATAATTCATGTGCGAAAAACCGTATTTTACAAAGGTATTCCAGTCAAGAGAACTACAGAATTATTTCGTTTAATACTCGCTTTTTTCAGGTCACTCGAACACTTATCGTCAGTGAACCAAACAACGAAGACTTGGGCGGAGACGAATCCAGCGACAAATCTTGAATTCAATTTTAATTACATTTTTTTTTGCCATTCTCTTTGATTTGTACAATTGATCTCTTTGAATCTCCTACGATGTTTTCCTGTGACTTTTTCTTTTTTATTTTTCGCTTTCACTCATACGAACTTTTATTCTTTTTTTTAGGTTTCAAATGACTTGCGGGATGTATTTATGTATTTATTATTTGAATAATTAATCAGTATGCTTGGAATTAATTCTGGCGAAATGAGTGATTATCTTCCGATTGTATCTCAAATTTTTGTTAACCACTTTTTTTCGATTTCTTTTTTTGGTTATACATGACTAAAATTAAAATAACATTTTTTTTTCTTTTGAGTTGTTTTTTGACGGTCGGTCACCGTTCTGATATTTTGAGTTGTTTTCCACATTTTCAGACTTCAGTTGATACTTGCAGAATGAGCAACGGAGATAACGCGTCTAACGACTTTTACGTCCGCTATTATGTCGGACACAAGGTAAAATTCAGTTTTTGTTACGTTTCCTGAGAAAAAGTTTCATTGAACCCTATAATCCAAACTCAAGTTTTTTTTGATGAGATAATTTTTGAACTTATACTTCATCCGAAAATATAATGTAACTTTCAGGGAAAATTCGGTCACGAGTTCCTGGAGTTTGAGTTCCGCCCCAATGGACAATTACGTTATGCCAACAATTCGAACTACAAAAAAATGATACGATTATCCGAAAAGAGGTGAGGGGAAAAACAAGATTAATTTCAAAAAGAGTTTCATAATTAGGAACAGATTATGTCGAGAATTCGCGAGATTTCAATGTTTTTTTCACATGCCCAAAACATCGAATCCCTTTTGGGTTTAAGACAAAGCTTTGATAATCGTTCGGCGAAAAACGAGTCCCATGAAAAAATGTATTTATTTTCTCTACCAAAAACGATATGCAGCTTATCTGCGAATTGAAATTGAATACCATTCAGAATAGATTCTCTATAATATTATTTAATGGGAAAGAAGTCTCATACAAACTGATGAAGTTTCAAAAAAATTCAAAATTATAAATAGAAAAAGTAGGTTCGAGGAAATTAGTCCTATGATTCGATCCAAGTGAGAGCGGATGAGCGTCGATTGGTGGTTTCCCACTCAAAAGAGACGATTTAGCTTCATTTTCCAGTTGAAAAAGAAATCGGAAAAAGTTTAAACTTTAAAAAAACATGTTTTGTGAATTTGAGTGCGTGGTGTCGGAATCGGTACTGGCGGAGCTGAAGCGGATCGTCGAAGACTCGGAAATCATGCAAGAAGACGACTCTAGCTGGCCAGATCCTGACAAAATCGGCCGTCAGGAGCTCGAAATCCTCTTCAACAACGAACACATTTCTTTCACGACAGGCAAGATCGGCGCTCTCGCCGACGTCAACGGCAGCAAGGTTCTTTTTTCACTGATAAATATTAGCGACAGAACGGAAACGGGCTGAAACAATATGTGGCCCAAAATAAAAAAGTGTTCAAATTCGGGTTTTTTTTTTTCTGAGTAACTTATAAGATAGAGATGAGATCGACTGCAACACATCTGAATTATTATGATCGAAATTAAAAAGTATTAGGGAAATACTTTTTTAGGCCAAAATTTTTCTTTCGTCTTTTTTAAATGAAAGAGTTGTCCAAAATTCTTTATTTAATTCTAAAATCATTTTTCTAGACGAGTTTCTCCAATGAAGAACGTTTTCAGGACCCCGCCGGTCTGCGCTCTTTCTACTATCTGGTGCAAGATCTCAAGTGTCTCGTCTTCTCTCTCATCGGCCTTCACTTCAAGATCAAGCCCATCTAGAGCCTCGATCTCGTTATCAGTTCGTCTGTTGTTCCTCCTGTTTTATCCGATTAATTTATATGATTACTGTTTTTCTTTTCCGTTATCATTTCCATTCTCAATACTGTACTTTCTCAATAAATACTGACACCGTGTCAAAAGAAGAAAGTTTTATACCGGGACAAAAAATTGTGAAGAATGGTAAAAAGAGATATACACTGTGACAATCCGTCGCTAAAACCATTATTGGGGGGAGACAAGGCCAAATGCAGCACTTTTTTTTTTTGTTAGACCGAGTACAAAGGAAAAGGCATGAAAGTTAACAGTAGCGTTGGATATACTCGCGGGCGCGGTGGGAGAAAGCCTCGCGGTTCTGCGACCACTGCTGAGCCGCCTGAAACATTTCTGACAGTTGCAAATTTTGAAGTTGTAGCAAATATTACTAGCCCTCGGAGATCAGTTAATGTTTCAAAGCTTGCCTGAAACTTTGAGAATGAAGCTACACTTTCTTGAGTACCGGGATGGAGCTCGCAACAAAATGAAAAAAATGGTTCCAAGGAACTTATCTCGGTTCTGATGCAACTGTAAAAAAAGACCTGTATGTTAAGAGCATCGTCGAAGTCGATCAAGTCGGTGAACAATGATGTCAGGCCGTGGACCACCTGAAATTATTCCTTTCAAATTCTGTTCTCTGAAACTTTCGACAAATTGAACTTTACAATGTGTAAGTCTTCCTGTGAGAATCAGAAACAGTAGAGGATCTGGGCTAACTTTCAATAAAAATGACTGGAAAGACAATAAAAAAGGTTGACAAAACATAGAAGCGGATAAAATGATTTTTTTTTTTCGTCAAGGTTGTTGGACAGTCTGTAACTGACTTCAACCGTCTGATTCAACACGTTTTTCTGATCATAAAAAATAACTCAAGTTGCAAAGATTTTCGCAAGGGTTTGTGAAAAATTTTCTGTCTGGGGTGGAGTCCTCTGAGATTGTGAATTTTTTGTTGATGCACCTTTTCATCATTTCAAATTTTTTTCACCTGAGTTTCATTTTTTTTTTTTGATCGTAAGCTGCTTTTTTACCGGTTAGAAGAAAGTTCTATTCATAGAGAGCAGACCTCGGTCAAGTTACGAGTTGGCCGCCAGCCAAAAGCGTCGAGCGAATTTTGGCGCAAAATTGACAGACAAATGCTGCCTTCCTCGTTGATATTTGGATGCCAAACTCTGGTCAGGCACTTCACATTTGGTGGCTGAAAACGAGTGTTTTATATATCAAAAAACTCATTATATAGTATATTTAGAATTATTCTAACATTTTTATTACGAAACTTTGGAAAAAAAAGGAGGTGCAAAAAACTTGTGTGTGAGGAAGTGTAGAGCAGCTCATCGAGGCACATTAGTGTTTTTCAAACTTTCGGAAAAAATTTCTTTTGAGAAAATTCTAGACTCTGAATAAGTCTGACGATGATCAACTTCATTAATTTTGAATATTGGGCATATGGTCAGCACCTCCTAGAAAATGAAAGAATTTCCACTCTGCTGAAAGCTGCCCGCATTTTTTTTTTACGATGATTCAAATTTCTCAGGTTCTTTTTCCATTTTAATTTGTGCATAATTAGATATAAGCAAAACAAAACGGTCACCACGTTATTGTACTCTGGCGGAACTGAAATCGAGAACCGAAATCTGCCACCGCGGTAAATTCCTTCCTGAAAAAATGATTCTCGATCATTGTCGAAGAAGGTATGTACCTGGGGCGTGACGAGTAATTCGAGCTCGTGTCTTTGTGAAGTCGAAGGAATCGATAACCGACATTGATTTTGATTTTTCAAATTCACTTCTAGGTCTTTTAGTTCTGAAAAAATGAAATCCTTCAATTCTCTTTCAGTTTGAAGCTTTGAAAATAAGTAAACTTTTTCTTTACTGAAGTCTATCAAACCTTGAGCTAGAAGTCGTTCGCGGATAGCGATTCGCGTTTGAAGATACTGCCTGTCGTCATCTTCGCCGTTAATTCTTTTTTGCAGGTTCAGCATTTTCGACTGAAGAAAATAACTTCTTATTTTCGAAAAAAGATGATTTTTACTTTTCAAACAGTGCTCCCTATTAGTACCTTATAAACTGGACAAAAAAAAAACGTTTATAACCACGTTAGCTAATTTCTGAAAACGCGAATTCATTAGAAAAAGCTATTATTTCAATTTCTCATGATGATTATCGATGATTTGCTCCAAAAAGTTATGAAGTTGAAAATTTCTAACATCAAAAAAACCTTGAAAAATTTACTCTTGAGACGGAAGCAGAAATTGCGAAAGCTCCTTTACCGATTTCGGCGTGTGATTAAACGTGTCTTGTTCACATAGAGACGTGTGCTCACAAAGGGCGCAATTTCTCCCGCGCAAACATTAAATGAGATTTTTTTCCTTTTTCAAAAGTTTTCGTATATTCTAGTTCAAATTGAGTTTCGAGGCCTTTGCATGGACTTCACTCAGCTTTAATCTGAGCGCGCTATTAACCTTAATAAAATAATAATACTGGAAAAATGTCTCTCGGGTAAGCGAATCTTGTGGGCTGGAAGTGTTGAATTAGTAGAGATAGAAATATTATTATTTGTAAAACGGCTTAATTGCATATTTTTACGCTGTGTAAATTATCAGGTATATTTTCTAAAACCGCGGAAAGTTTTAGTAAACGTTCTTCAGACGGAAATAGTTCTAAATACATAATCGTTTTTTTTTTCTGTCTAGAATATTACTTCTTGTAAAAACTGTTGCATTCTCAACTTTTTTTTCAGAATGGAAGACTCCGGGGAAATGACGGAAACCGTTGATGAACTGCTGGACGATGTAAGGAAGAAAGTGACGGACTATTTGAACGATTCTCCCTTGAACTTTCGCCCACACGATCTTTTCCTCTACTTTGAGGTTTCTTAAATGTTACTTTTTTGATGATGCTAATGATGATGCGTTGTAGGACGACAATATTGTGGCAGAGGAAGACTTAGATCTGACTTTTCCGGAGTTTCGAAAGAAGTACGCGACCGACGAAGAAAAACAAGATGAGATGATTGATTCGCTGAAGAAAACATTGCTTCTGGGATCAGTTTACGTCGATAATCTCTCAATAAGTGCGTTTTTCTTTCGGATCAAGCTCTGAGTGGAGATTTCAGGCACGATAATTGGGTTTTGTCGCGATTTGATGAGCATTCCCGAGGCCTTGGCCAACTACCCAGGCTTTCCGAAAGCTCCGTCGACAAGTTTTCGCCATTTTTTCGTCAAATCTTTTGGCGAACGGTCTTCTACTACAAGAGATGAAGATATAATGGTAAGTATGGACATTTTTACCAGAAAAATAATCTTAAAAAGACTTTTCAATTTTCTTTTTTTAGGATCGATTGAACAAATTAACGTCAGAACGGGTTATAGATCATTTGTCGGGATGGCGCGATGAAGTTGTTTTTTATTTCTGAACTTGTCCATAGAAAACGTTTTGCAGGTCTCTCAGTACATCGAAGATCTCGAAAGGTTCGAAGGAGAGTTTGGAATGGAGTTGAGCTCAAAACAGAAGGAACGGATCCATTTGTACGTGGAACGAAGCACGTCGTTAGTGAACCAAATCGAACAGAAAATTGATACCAAGGTTTTTTTTTTAAATCAAACAGCTTTCGTTCTGATTGCCAAAATTTAGAAAGAGTCGGCATCTGAAGACGAGCAAGTTTGGCTGGGATTTCGGGAGGTTTCGCGTTTTTTTTTTGTTTTTCGGCCAATATCATTACATTTCAGCGCTATACTGTTTCACTTGACGAACAGATTTTTCTTGGTATTTTTTTTATTTTCTTTATTTTGCAGGCAATGCTGGGCAGTTTCTCTCACCTGCCTCGCGGAGAACAAGAATCCGCGTGTCGCGAATTGTTCGAGAAAACGGATTCGCGCGTGCGAACAGAGTTGGGAAGACACGCGAGTGGGATCGGCACTTCGAAGGCTCCGTCGGCGAAGAAACGTCGCCGGATCGAGTTCTCGCCGTTCGTCAGAAAATCGTCCTCCGTTCCACGCTCAAATTCCGTTTCTTCGACGAACTCCTACAGCAAGGTGAGGTCCTAAAACTCTGGTCTAATGAGAATTCGACGAAAGTTATTCCTTGGACTTTCCCTTTTCATATTGTCTTCTTACCTTTTTGAACGAGACCATTTTCAAAAGGTTTCATAGTCCAGCTGGGTCTTTTTTTCTATTGATTTTTAATGAATTTCATCTTCAGAATATTTAAAATGGCAGCTCTGTTTTTAGTAAGAAAATTTTTTTCAATAGAAAATTCGCTAAATTTGGCTCTTGAGCCTGTAAAATCGAGACTGACTCGAGAGAAAAATGAAGAAAATATCAGTTAATATTGATGAAAAATGACCTTGAATAAGCAAAATAGTCTCATCACTGTCTCCCTTTGAGTTCTATATATTCACTTCTCTCTAAAGTGTATGTTCGAAGGTGCGGTTGGAAAGTCGAGAGCCGTCGTTCTCGCCCGGCTCATCTTCATACACGAAAGAAGAAGAAGAAAAGACGCCTTCTCCTAGGGCCGAAGAACAGAATATCGCGCCCACAACGTCGCCTTCTTCCATGAAAAACCACAAGGAACCGTCAGCGACGTCTTCGATTTCGCTCTCGGAAAAGCGCGTCCGCAAAAAGTCGAAACTACTTGGCGACGACTTCGCTCTTGGTAAAATCTCATGAAAAAACCGTTTTTGTATAACTTCAATTAACTTCGAGATACAGAGGAAAGTAGTGATTACTGTTATTTCAATCAGATTTTCCGAGTGAGATTTATTCAATCGGCGACTTTTCCCATTTACGATTGTAACTTATTTCAACTTTTAATTTGATTACTGTAACAGCAAAGTTTCCATTTTTCCTGACAACACGTTTAAATACAAAGTTTGGTTTTTCTCCATCTTTTTCGAGTTTTTCAATAAAAATTAAAAAGAGGAAAACGTATTATATCAAAAAATAATCCACAATGTCCCACTTTGTTGATTGGGTTGTTGCTTTAAAAAAAAACTAACTCTCCGTAGCCGAAAAAAACATTCTTTGGCCCTAGTTATATTTTTTTCAACAATTTAAGAATTTGAATTCGCAAAATGGCCTATTACATAGGGAATTGCGGTGAAAACGGAAACTATAAGCTTTTGCGATATTTTCTTGGATTGAAAGGAAGTTTGAAGCTGAGATGACATTCCTTCACATCGATAGCCAATGAAATATCGAAAACGAAACCTTTTTCTGAAGGTCAAAAGTGAACAAAATAGTATTCTTGCGATTTTCTGAAGTTATTTCTGTTGAATATATACGAGTTCCAGATCCTCATTCATGATTCGATGACTTGAATAGCTTTAATTGTTAATTATATCATAACCGGCCGTCTTTTTTATTCAAGGTGTTCTCATTTTGGTCAATGTTATATGTTGATTCATTTCGAATTGCAGTTTTAAATTTGCCTCAATTTCATCTATATTTTAATTGTATTGGATCGATGACATTTATATCAACTTTTAACTTTTGGACGTCTTTTCTTTTCTCTTTTTCCAGTTAGTAGGAACACTAATTGATAGATTTTCACTCGTACACAGGCAAAGTCCAAACGACCTTCAAAAGGCCTTAAAAATAATAGGCTAAAGCCCCTTTTTGAGTTCTAAAAAGGTGTCAAAATTTTCTCGGAATCTCCTTTTTTCCATCTTTTTCCGCCTTATTGTTTAAGAACCTCTTAAAAGGCCTAAAAAAAAGGCGCGTTTGAGGCTTTTAAATGCATTTTTTCCAAAAGTCCTTTTTGAGACCTTCTGAACTTTGCCCGTGATTTGGCCGCAATTGTGTTTTTTTTTAGAATCGGGTAGTTACGCATAATTGATTGATTTCATTTTTTTTTTGTGTTGGACACGTTTTCATACTTCATTTTCTTGTTTTTTTGTTGTCGATATAATAAATTATTTTGAATAATCATTTTGTTTTTAGTGTTCTGGTTCTGACCCCAATGATGTTTATTTGAAGTCTTTTTCTTTTTTAATCTTCAGTGATTTTTTTTTCATTAAGTCGAGAGCTCGGGCATATTACAGTATAGCCCCCCGCATATGTTGGATATCACCCCCCCGCGACACGTTCGAACAAGCCCCCACACTTATCCAATATAGCCCCCCGGAACTGTCCAGTATAACCCCCCACACCGAAAAAAGGTCACGCAACGATCACGCAGGACACGTGTCAGAGCTTCCATTTTTTAATTTATTTTCTAATTTTTTCGTATCATTCGTCGTTCTTGGTTGTTTCAAATGGTTTTTTTTTGAATTTCGCATGTAAATTCGTGTTCTTTTTGTGAATTCAATAATTTTTGTGATTTGATTTGTAGATCATGGAAGAAATTAGGTCGCTGACCGAGTTTCATGAGAAGTTCAAGTCAGACAAAGAAGTTTACGGGTACGTCTCGCCGAGATACGTACGAATATCATAAAATTATGGGGCGCTGACCACTTAGAAAAAAATTTAAGATGAACTTTATTAGTTTTTAAATCAAGTAATTGTTCTGAGGAATAGAATTTTTTTGCTTTTTTTCTTTTTCATGCACATTAATTAATAAATTGCTTAGGAAAAATAGGCTTAGTTTTTAAGGCTTCACACGGAGGCGGAGCGCGCATAGCACGAAGCCGACTGTGGCTCGCTTCGAAAAAAACTGAGCCGCAGTGAACAATTCGTCAAAGAAATAAAAATACTTGACATGGAGGGGGTCATTCTGAAATAGAGGGGGTCATTCTGAAATGGGAGGGGGCCATTCTGAAATGGGAGGGGGCCATTCTGAAATGAGAGGGGGTCATTCTGAAATGGGAGGGGGCTTGTTCGAATGAGCTCTGGGGGACTATTTCAAAGCCGTGCGGGGGGCAAATATGAAAGATTGCCTAGGCATTTCAGAATTGCCCCCCGTTTTGTACTGCGGGGGGGGGGCCATTCTAGAATAAATATTCACCCCCCGCGTTCGATTCTTCCCCCCACATGAAGTCCTCTTATTTTACCCCCCGCAGATCGGAACTTGGCTTGGTGGGGGGCTTGTTGGAACGCGGGGGGCAAAAACAGTGTGGGGGGCGATTCTGGAATTTTCCCGACAGCTTCTCAAACTGTAAAACCGTACAGTTCGTACTAACTCAGGATGTTTTGAAATCGGTAATATATACGATTTTGAGCGGAAAACAGCCACGCATTGAACGATTAATCAGTTATATTGCAAATGATAAGAAAAGACCATTGTCGTCAATTCATTTTCTTTTTTTCTACACGCGTAGCGCGGTTTTCTCCTGGAAAGCAAAAATCACCCCACTCGTGTCTTCTCTGTTGAAAAAATCGGCGTATTTTTTTTGCTTTCGATTAATCTCAACCTACTCGTTTTATTGTTTATTCTGAGAATCTGAATACCATCCAAAAATGTAGACTTTGGAAAGTTCTCACTGGGGAATTAGGCGAACTCGTATCCGCGGATTGAATTCCAACTTTGCTGGTTTATAGATCTAGGTAATATTACTTGAAAACAGGAAATATTATCTGCTAAACATGAGAAGGTAGAGAGAAAAACGTGTTGAAAATTAACAGTTTAGGCTTGAAAGTTATCAAATTTCTGTTTTTCTAATATTTTTTGGATACAAAAATTTTTTTAGCGTTCAAGGCTATTGTATTGAAAGATTAAAAAAGGTAAGAAAGCAGTGTTCGAAAACTTTCAAGTCTAATCTGCCCCATTTCTACAATTTCACTTCCTAGTTTTCTTTGGGTTTAGCAGATATCCTCCCTTGTTTTCAATTCTTCTGACCTGAATCTATATACCACTAGAGTTTGGACTCGATCCGTGAATAATCGCCTATTTCCCTAGTCAATACGAGTCTTAATTGACGGCTAAATTGAGAAAATTGGAAAGATTTCTTGACACGACACTTTTTTAAATAGAGCGTGCAAAAAGAAGATTTTAGTTTTCTCCATAACGGTTTTTGCCTCTTTCAACAGTTATCGTTTCCTGGTATAATTTCTCTATTAATCAAATTATTATTCCAGAAGAAAACCTCATACATCGGAAATGACCCTTTCTGTAAGTCTTGAATATTGAGAACGAAAATCTGAAAAGAAAAGGTTTAGTTCGACGACGCAGCATCTAAAGTGAAGAGTTTGAAGACGTCGCCGAGCAACGAGGAACTCCTCGCTCTCTACGCCCTTTTCAAGCAGGTTAGTTTTTCCAAGGAATTACGGAAATTACCGCTATATGTGATGAGGCTGGCTTGAGCCACCCAAAAAAAAAGTTCTGACATGATAAAAAAAAAAAGGAGACAGTGTCTGGTTAGTGGAGAGCGCAGACAGGCTCCGCCTCTTATTGTCTCAAACTAATCGTGAATTGGCTACGATTAATGTGGGACTCTTGTTAAGAACGAGCATTTTTTCTGCCTTTCCTTCAAGATACGGCGTCAAAATGGTATAAATTTGCTGAAATTTACATTGTTGACAAAAATCGAAAAAAAGCTGCAAAAAGAAAGAAAATGAAGATCAGTTCCATTGAAGGGAACTGTTGGCGACAACAACACCTCAAAGCCAGGAATGCTCGACTTCAAAGGAAAAGCCAAGTGGGAAGCCTGGGAGGCCAAGAAAGGTTGGTTTCGAGGATTCTGCAAGGATTCTAACATGCGTCAATATAATGGCATTTCTTGAGGATTTGACTTTGCAAATCAAAGTTTTCCTTATATTTTTCAATTGTAAAAGTCATTTTTTTGTGATCCAGAATCACTGTTCGTTGGACATGAGTGGGGTATTCATTTGTTCCTTTTCGGAAGAAAGCTATTTCCAATTTTCCCATTTTAGATATTCTTCAATTTCTCAATTAAGTTTCGATAAAACATATTGCTTTTCTGAGTCCATTCACTGACCGTGAAAGGCTTCGAAGATTTGAATTTTGTAAAAAAAAGTTTATGGAACACTACCGGCAACTGAAAAAATCTCAAATTTACAGGAACTAACTCTGAAGATGCCAAGAAGGCCTACGTCGACCTCGTCGAGAAGCTCATCGAGAAATATGGCTCCAACTGAGTCCAGAGTCCACGTCAATCAGTGCCTTTTTGAAACGTTTTTATTGCCAAACATATTTTAAGGAAATTATTGCCAGCACTCCTGATTTTCATATGAATAAAATTTGAAGAGCATTATTTAAAAACGAATTGTAATTTATTAACTTATCTCAAGGAAAAATAAAATAACACCAGGGAAAAAACTTGTAAAAAAAAACTCTTGGTATTTTTAGCGCTTGCGTTTGCGCGACGTCGACCGTTTCCTGGAAGATTTTTCTGCTTTTTCCAGCTTTTTCAGCACCTCTTTGATGCGCTTCTCGCGGAACTCTTCGACCTGGACAGATAATGAGGATTCGAAGAAAACCGTGCTTTCGATACCTTTTGTTTGACTTTCGGATCATTTTTGGCCTCCAGCTCATCGCTCAGAGTCATGGCTTCAACCTAGAAAACTTCTTATTTGAGAAGAAAATCTTTCGGAAAAACTCACTTCGACTTGTCTCATCAACTTCCGCTTCTCGTCTTCCTTGTTGGCATTTCTGGGAAAAAAAAGTTGGTTTTAAGATATCAGACATGATTGAAACCTGGAAGCTTCCGACTTCGAGCCGGAACTTCTGGAGGAAGATTCCCTGGACTTTCTGGAGTCTCTGGCCTCCGGACTCTTCTTCCTCTCACGAGACGACCGTCTTTTCTCTCGATCCCGCTCCTTCTTATCGCTTCTCTGAAAAACACCCTTCATTTCAGAAAATCTTCTGTGTTTTCAAATGATTCGTGCTTCAGACAATCTTATGATTAGCACTATTTTTCAAAAAACCTTTCGGCGTTTGTTTGAGGAAAGTTTTCTTTATTAAAACTTCTTTTCTCTCATTTTTTTTTTCGACAGAATAAAGAATAATACTCTAACTTTTCAGAAAAACTTCAAATTTTTATCAAAGCGTGACGTGTGGGCGGAAAAACGGAAACGCTCATTTATTGAAGTTTCAATATGTTTCAAATTTTGCTTCCTTTGAACCTACCGTATCGGACGAGGTTTTGCTCTTTTTCGCTTCGGGGCCCTGAGTGCTGTCACTGTCGTCGTCATTGTCCCACTTGGAGGCGACGTGATGATCGACGGTCTCCTGATCGTATTGCTCATACTACGGCTACTAGCCTCAATTACCTTCTTCGGAGCTGCCGGCGCGTCGAAAACCGGCTTGAAAAAGTTAGCAAAGCGATTTTTGTCGTTAGTCACAGGAGGAGCCTTAAATTGGGTTTAAAGTGGAACATTATCGAAAAATAATCAATTTCGAAGTTGACTCACTTCAATATCGATCGGAACACCATCGATTTCGTCGTCGATCGGGACGCCATCCAGATCTTCATCATCGTCGTCTTCTTCAACGACTTTGCTCTTCTTGGCCGAAACTTCGGGAATCTCTTCCTGCAAATTTCTTTTAGAGTCGAAGAAGTTCTTATACGTAATTGATCAACTTATAGTTGAAAGTTTTTTCCTATTTGGGTCTTTTGGCGCTTTTTTGAGTGTCACGTCACGTCAGCATCATCAGATTTCAGAAAATAATAATTATTTTTTCCAACCTCTTCCTTCAAGCTCAACCCGTGGAAAACGTCTAAAGCGTTCATTAGCTTCTCCTTCGTGAAAATGTTTTCCTCGTCCCAAGCTCTAAAAATAGTTGAAAGCGATCATTCGGGTCTTTCCAGTTACCGGATGCAATTATTCACGCGACTCTTGAAGTTTTCCTTCTTCAGACGCGCTTCAATCGATTGATGCGTCTTTCTCGTTGATTTCATGATCTCAAAATATGAAAAGGATGAAAAAATATTTATTTCCCTCGAATCGCTTCAAGTTCTCCCCATCCATGGACACTCGCGGAATCGGTTGACCCGGAGAAATTCAAAAAAAAATCCCATCAAAAAATGTTTTCAAAGCTATCAAAAACCTCTACACTTTAATACTCAGAGAAAAAAATTTTTCAGAACTGAACATTTTTTTCGGAATAAATATTTTTGAAGATAAATATTTTTCGAAAGGAAATTGCAAGCTATATTATCAAACCCGAAACTAGTTTTTACAATAGTTGTGAGTTCGTAAATCTGAAATGAAAAGAAACTGAGACTTACGCCATATCGGAACTCAAATATTCAGAAATCTTGAAAATAAGTTTGTACTTGAAGATGAAATGTCCTATCTCACAAAACTAAATTTTACCTCCTCAAGCCGTTGCTCGAAGTAAAATCGAACATAAAAAGCATCGCGAATGCCTCGTTTGGAAGTGTTGTGCAAGATGTCGTTGATCAAGTACAATCTGGAGATTTTCGACATCAGAAGGAGAGAGAAAATGAAGGGAACCTGGCGATGACATTATAAAGAGGCCCAGTCAAACTCTCGGCAAACGAGTCGCAAATGATGTTGCAAATCTCCTTGGCGTGTTTTGCAAAATGGTCCAAACACCAGACCATCAGCTCTCCGATCTAACCATTTACAAGCATGGAACTTCCGAGAATGCTGTCCAACCTTCCTCTTCTCCGGTGTCAACTCTTTCAAGCGGTTCTTCAGCTTTTCGCGTTGCTTTCTTTTCAGTTCGGCCACTTTTGGTTTCGGTTTCTCCTTTTGCGGAATTTCTCGTTCCTTCTGAAGTCCTTTGATGAGATTTTGGAATCAAGAAAATCGTGGAACCTTGGGAAACATCTTTTCCTTGTAATTGAGGAACCAACGTTCAGGATAAACATTATTGCAAGAAAATCGGTATAAATCGGGCGGCATAGCGCCTTGAAGTTCCGCCGAAGGCCGCGGCGGCTCCCACCAAGAGCCGTCATCCACCATCCTTCAAAATTATAATTTCTACCGATTCCATCGAATTTTAAGTCATATGATTACTTTCACGGCTCAGAAAATATTTCTATATTTCAGAAGTTTGCGTTTTTTTGACCTCATTTCGGATGTCAAACTAAATTACTACTTTCTAGACAAAATTCCGACCAACATAAAACATTTATCGTTTCAAAAGTTCCGAAACTAAATTTCTCCATGCAAATATACAAAACTTTTACCTGAACTTTTGCCTCCTCCAGGCCTTCACCGAATCTCCATGCATCAGTGAGAAAATTCTCCATCGATAATAAGCATGAGATGGGTGGTTGTACTCGAAAAGAAATCTAAAGTTCAAAAAAAAGCTGTTGAGTCTTCCAAGTTTGACTGGAAAGGAGACTGACTTGAACAGCGGATTTCCGAATTCTCTGGCCATAATCATGTGCTCAAAAATGGGTCCGTCGTTCACAACATAGGCCGCCATCCGATTTATCAGCCGCAAAACTTTCCTTAAACATTTATTTTCTCATTTTTTCTTCTAGGAGAATCTCACTTATCCGTTGGGATTGCTACACGAACAGTTGCGTTTCGGATCATCTGAAAAGATTCAAAAATTCGATACTACACAACAGCTCTTATTAAAAATATCTTTTTCTCAAAAAAAGGTTTTTCTATTTTTTTGTATGAATTTCTCGTGAAACGATCGAAAACGCTTGCGACAATCGGATCTCAGACTTTATATGAATGTTTTTTTAGATTTTTTTAATTAAAAAAACTCACAAATCAGGCTTGGAAAAAAATACATCAATTTCTGCAGATGAAAAATTCGAAGATATAAAAAAATTATTTTTAGATAAGGTTTATTCGCCTACTTTTTCAAAGTTACTAATGCAGAATCCCAATTTTTGAGTACTCACTCGACAACTAACCTTCTGGTAGTCTAGGAACATCGGGTCGCCCTGACTGGGCATTTCAGCAAGTCTGGGGAAGGAGCCATGTTTCTTGAGAAAGGCCAGGGCCTGAAAAGAAGCAGAAATGGACTGAATTTTCGGATGATCAACATCAACGGCGAGTGGACGGGCGTTGAATGGAAGACCTGTGAACGGGTCGGGGCACACGCGTTTGAGAAGCACCGGCGGCACGTAGAATGGCTTAAGAGAGAGGAAATCAAGAGGAAAAGCTATCAAAAGGGCGGATTGAAACATCATTTTGAACCCTTTTTCCCGATTTACAAACATGAAAAAAAGTTTTAGAGCGTTTTTTGAAAGGCAAATTTACCAAAGACTAGTTTCTATCCTAAAAGTGGTCTAAGAAAAGAAAAACATACCAATTTCGGGATCGGAACAATTTTTCCGAAAGCCACGCGTATGGGTTCCCCACGTATGATCAAGTTTGGAAGTTCTGCCATAACTCTTTCGAAATCGGAGCGATGCCTCAAAAAAAGACTTGAAAACGGCCAAAAAATCATTTTTGCTGGAAGCTTAAATTTTGAAGAGGGAAACCAACATGTAAGCGACGAAGGCGCAAATGAACGGCCGAAGTTCTTCTTCTTCATTTCTTGGGTACAAAACCTTCACGGAAGCCAGTGGGCCAAAAGATCCGAAAGAAAGCAAAAGATCTTCCTTGGTGACCTAAAATCAAATGTCTTTTCTTGAAATGTTCTACAAGACAGGTCTGAATTTTTGGCTTTTTATGAGTTTTTGCGATACTTAGAACGTATTCATGAAGCTCGATCTTTTTTTTTCCAAGTTCGGCGCACCTCATGAGGCAAGTGACTGATGTAAATGTTGGTGGTGAGTGCTCGATCCGTTGTCAAAGCGCTGTTCTCCTCCCTGAAAAGTGAAATGAAACAATCTGTTAATAAATTGTGAGAAACATACGGCTCAAACTTCGGCTTGACATCTCTTTGTGGGTAAATGCCGCTTCGATTTTGTTGAGCTCTACAAAAAAAAGTTATAAGTTTTCGTTTCCCATTCAACTTCAACTGAACTACAAGAAAACCGCCTTGAAGAAATTAATGTTGGGTTGGTCTTTTCAAATACATTACCTCCGCCTTTTTTTTTTGGAAAAAAAAGTTTAATCATAATTATTAAGCAAAAAACTCAATGATGGTTTTTAGACCTAGGTCAAGATATTTGAAAAAAAAAATATATTATCTGCTAAACCCGAGAAGACGCTAACCAAGTAAGAAACATCTTGTTGAAAATGAATAGTTGAGGCTTGATGATTATGAAAAAAAAAAAATCACGAACAGATTCATCTCCTGCTGGAGTAGCTCCAAATTGCTCAGTTTTTTGGCGTGGCTCGAGCCGGGCTTGGGCGGTCGCTTGGGCATCGGCGAGGATGAAGAAGACTGCTTGGGAGCTTCTTCTTTCAGCTTTTTCGCCTCCGCCACCATTATTTTCGCCTGAACTTAGTTTTTAAACATATATTTTTTTCCTTATTTACTTCATTTTGGCAAAGCCTATTAATTATCGACTCATAATCACCATAATAAGTTCTTATTCATTTCGCAATAAATGAAAAATCCTTTTTTTATTGATTTTTTTGAAAAAGTTTGATAACTACATTTTGAAGAGTCAGTGAAAAGATAAAACCTTTTTCAAATACAAAAACTTCGAAAAAATAAGAGCGTCTTCTCTTTTTTCGAAGAGAATTCTTACGGTACTTTTTTTTCTTAGCTCACCTTTGCTTCGGCAATTTTCTTGGCAACTTCAAAATTGACGGCCTGTTTGAAAACGTTCGAAGCGTTTGGAGCTAGTTTCTCCGTGTGAACTCAAAAAGAAAATTATTCTTCCAAAAACCTTTTGTTCATTAAAACCTGTGTTCCCTTCAACGGTTGCTCCAAAAACAAATTTTTGCGACTTGACTGTTTTCGACTCAGTTTCGCCGAAGTCTCGCTGAAACTCTGCCAGTGTTGCATTTAACATGGCTTGTTCATCGTCAGGTCCCTGAGAAGAGATTTTTTTGTGGAAAAAAGTGAAACGCAACCTTTTTCCGTGATTTAGAAGCCATTTTTGGAATGAGGAATCTAAATTTTAAAAAAATTAATTTTCGAGAAATTTTAATGAACAGGTAAAACACGCAATAACAAGCCGAATGATGCAATGAAAAAAATTTTTAAAAAATTAATAAATGAAGATAAGTTTACTAGTTCAATCACCAAAATATTTTTTTAGCGGAATGATCCTATTAAACTGGGTCGTCCCCTTTTTATTTGAAAAAAAGCTGAAATAATTTTTTTGGTAAATGAGCTAAAAAAATTTTTTTTTGGTGAATGAGCTAAAAAAAGAAAGAAAAAGAAAGTGCTGTTTTTTTCAATGACAAGGGGAAGTTTTAAAAAAATCAAGTTCAAATGAAATGGACAAAAAAAGCAAGAATTATCAAAAAAACGACGTTTAAAAAAACGGAAAGGAAAGTGCGCTCCTGGGAAAAACTCCGCCCATTTTCCCGCCAGAAATTGGAGGATTTATTTTGCCGGCTTTTTCGCCTTAATCGTTATCAATGTTTTCGTTTTGGTCTCTCTCATGTTTCATAGTTGTTTCTATCGAAATTGTATGTATTTTTTTCCGTGAAAAGCAGTCACGAACTTTAAGTGATTAAATGTTACCGTAACCCAATTAGTTTTTCTTTTTTTCTCTATAGAGATCTAATCATTCTTTTAATTGACATCTCTTCCAGGGTAGAAAAAATGAAGGCCGAATTCGCAGAAGACACTGTTTTGGAAACGGATGATCCACTACTCTCTAACGAAATGGTGAATAAAGCTGCTACGGTTTAGCATTAAATAAGATGTGCTGTGTAGCAATTAGTAGTAAAAGTGATTCAAGCTTTTTGATTTTCAATGATTTTCGGAGGGTTTGACGCATTAAATGACGTTTTGCAGTTTTATTTGACTTCTTCGAAAAACGGTTTACAGTACGATGAGGTGCCTTCAGAATCGGAATACACGCGCGCACCTCATCAGTGTAACGTTTGCAACAAGATCTTCGTTTCGTATAAAGGTTGGCTTGTTTTTTTTATGAGGAAAGATTACATGATTCAAAGTTGACAGGAAAAGTGAGAAAAAGTTTCAGTGTTAAAAAAGAAACATGTAAAATGTTGTTACCAGGAAATTTTACCGATCGTAAAAAACTCGAATTTTGTTAACATATTTAGGAAAAAAAAATTGCAGGTCTCCAGCAGCACGCGGTGATTCACACGGACATGAAGCCATTCCAGTGCGAAGTTTGTTCCAAAGAGTTCCGTTTCAAGTCGAATCTCTTCGAACACCGGTCTATCCACACTGGGTACCAGGTCTATCAATGCTCGTTTTGTGGAAAATCGTGCAGGTATATTTCAAGTTGCAGCCCTTCAAAAAAAAAAAGATGAATGGAAATCCCACCTTGGTATTAACAGCAAAAAGACAGCTTTGTTTTTTCTACAGACTCAAGGGAAATCTGAAAAAGCACATGAGGACACACGTGTCAACGAATGAAGAGCTGGAGGAGGCCTGGAAACCGTTTTCTAGGTTGAAAATGATTCTTATTAGAGAAAATCCCAGTTACAGTAATCGACGGCCAGCCATGAGACTTCCTGAAAATCCCGTCATTTTGCAATCTTCGTCTTTCGAAACTGGGTTCGGCTCACTACAACTTCGCCCTCGCGTGCCAAAGTGAGCACTTTGGGTTTTAAAAGATACAGTACTCCGTTCAGACGGCAATCGTTCAACTTGGACCCCAGTTATTGGGTGAATCGCGTGCTAAGTGGCGATATATGCCCCACGGCGCCTCTTGAAGATAAGGTGAAAAAAAAAAATCAAATTAATAGCAAAAAATATTCAAAAAGCGTCATCTACGAGAACCCCCAAAAAAATATTTAAAAAAAATAGTATTAGGAAATAAAAAAAATTGATTCTCGCCAGGAAACATGTTTCATTCTGATTAAACCTGAAGAATCTTACAAGGCGAAAGTTTAATAGAATATTTCATGTGATAAGTGGTTTCTTCGAGAGAAAATTGATTTAGAGCGGGAAAAGGGGAAAACTAACTTCCTTCCTACGTTAATGTTCATAATAATTGCCTACAATAAATATTTCTCAGCTTTTCCGTTAACTCAGATTCTAGAGAATTCCGAGATGCCATAAAAAAAAGGTAAAAAGTTTTCAGAATCAACTGATATCTGAAGTATAATTTTCAGTTGTGTTATGAGGATCATCACAAAAAAAAAATGAAATTGAAAATATTTTATTGATTTTTTGTAATCTAAAAAACTGCATAAAGATTCTTCAATGCTTCCAAAGCAAACTTTAAAAGATTCAAACTAAAAAAATAATCTAAAAACTAAATAAAGGATTCATATGGTGTTAGCAGAAGATGCGAGAAAAGCATACCTAATAAAGAAAGCTCAGCTTTGAAAGATTCTTGAAAAAAAAAAACGTATTTTCACTAAACGATTTTTTATAAAATGAATTTTGAAAAAGGTATACAGGGCCCGTTTCTTTGAGTAACTTGTTTCAGAATCATTTTTCTTCAGATTGAGCAAATCCAAAAAGAAATGGAACGCTGTTCAACGATCGACGAAATCCTTGCTCAAACCGTTCCATTCGAAACGTGATAAAAGCCCACAAAAAGTCGATAAAAGTGTTGTTTTTGAAGAGTGGGGTGCTCCCTGTGCAATTCTTCCTACTTGAGCCGTTCGAATGTCCGCGATCACGAGCTCATCGAACACGCCCTCGCCACCAAAAGTCACAACTTTTGCAACGTGAGTAAAAGCTCCGATATAATTGAATAAAACCATTTCTTTCGCCAATTTCCTTACTAGGGAACTACTCGGACTCGGGTACGCGTTTCGAGTTGAAACTTTGGTGGCTTATAAACCGGGGTAAGAGTACTTGGAAACAAGAGAGATTATCTGCTAAACCCTATAGGCTTCTGAGAAAAACCTTATTGAAAATGAACAGTTTAGGCTTGAGAATCATCAAATTTCTGCTTTCCTCCTTCTTTTGGCTGGAAAAAAAGTTTTTCAAAGTTGATCTTAGCCGGATTGTATTAAAATATAAAATAAGGTAAAAAGCATTATTCTGAAAATTTTCAGGCCTAATTTTCAAATTTTTCACTAATTTTTTCTCAGTTCTCTATCGGGTTTAGCAGATATTCTCTCTTGTTTTGGGTCTATTAACCACTAAAGTTTGAACTCGATCCGCGATTACGAGTTCGAGTAGTTCCCTAGTCAGTAAAAATTGAAAGAGCTCGCAAAGTTTTGAGTCTGAAATGAAAATGCTTTTTTAACGATTCTGTGACAAGTTTAATATATTTTTCGAATTTTCAAAAAGTTCACATTTGTTCCCTTTTGAGTCGCGCCTAAAAAGAAAATTTCACAAACTTCAAAATATTTTTTAAAGCGGGAAATTGAATTGATGAAAGATTTTTAAAAAAAAGCGATTCAATTGACGCGTCAGTTCTACCCATGTTGACTCAGATCTGCCACCGCTTGTTCAACGACGAGACGAGCATGACCCAGCACACGAGTTATCACAAGAGAGTTCAGCAGCTGCTGCAGTTCGTCAACGACGACTACACCATCTACGAGTTGAGCGGCTTCGGAGGATCCCATTCTGGTGAATAACTACTACATTCATTTCAGAACTTTTCTGAGACAAACCCTAAAAAGGAAACAAAAACGGGGGATATCTCCAAAGCTAACGTCGAAATGTCTACATTGACCAGAAAATTCACAAAGACCTTTTCTTTTCTTTTCATCTTCTTCAAATAGATATACCAGTCGAAAATTATAAAGTCAATTGAAAATTAGTTATCTCTAACTGTAAAAAAATTTTTTTTAAAGAACTGAAAAAGAAATCTTGCTCAAGAATCAAACCCTAATAAAGCTACTAAGTTTGTATGAAAATGAAATTAGGCCCTAATTTTGAAACTTGAAACTTTTTGATTCGAATATACGATTTTTCCTCCTTTTTAATGTTCTATTCTCTGCTTGAAAAAATAATGAATTGGGTTTAGTGAGACTTTTTTTTTCATTTTTTTTTCTTCACTTTGTCTTCACTTTTTCTGTCTTTTTTTCAAATCTTTTCACACTGTTCAAACCTCGGTGCGAAGTTTGTGGTCCGTCAGTGTTACTCTAAAATTTAAATGTTCTCGTACCGATTTGAGATTATCGTAGATTTTGCTGTGTTCTTGCCTCCTGAAAATTTTCAGATTTTACATCTTTTCAGAGTTACTCTTTCGTTTTGGTATAAATTTGAAAAACACGTTTGGTTCGTTATTGATCTTCATTGTTTTTCAGCACTTGTTATAGTTTTCTTTTTGCATTTCTTTAACACTTTTTTTTTCAAATAGTGTTCATAATCCGAATTAGTTTTTTTTTTGACAAAGTTATTTTCAACAAATGTATACATGAGCGTTATGGAAACATATATGTACGAGATCAAAGTCGGATTAAAATTGTTGGAAAATTTACATTGAATCATTTGGCGGGTTTTTGCTCGGGTAGGGCCAAGTCCAATGGACTATCGGGGAACCGTTGATTGACGAGGCGGCGTGCCAAAACATGCAAGTTGTAGCTGAAAAGATGGCGTTTTTCTTCTCTGGAAAGACTACACATGCAGCTTTCATGAGTGTGAGAAAGCCAAAGAATAATCAAAAAAGCTTTTAGGTTTTTTTTTCTTCTCCCTAATCGCATTACTTTCGGTTTTCGCTAATTGTTTGAATGAATTAATCATTTTAATAATCCAACTTGTGTACTAGAATCAACTTTTTCAAAGTCTGTAGTTCTCAAAAAAATCTATTACATCACTTTTTGTACAAAAATGTTTTTTCGATTCAATGGAGTATGCCAGTTAGCGCCGTTCTGTGTATGCACCAAAGACGTCATATATCACGAAAATTGTGGGCGGGGCATCATAAAAAACGCCGTGATTATAGTCTAGTATTACCTGAGTGGCTATGAGAAAAAAAAGTTGCACTAACTTAAATTTAAAAAAAAAATAATTTTAAAAGCTATATCACAATTTTTATTTCCACTAACAAGGATAGTTTTTTTTTTTCGAGTTACGAGTTTTCAAAATGCGCAAACTACACAAATAATGAAAGAAACAACGCGATTTGAGAGATTCGAAGCTTTATAATTCGGAAACAAGATCTATCGCGAGAATTATGTTTTTTCCTGGATTCAGGAGGTTCTGAAGTTACATTTCAGCCGAATTTCATCAAAAGTTCAACCGGGGCTAAGAAGGTTTCCCTTTTAGATATTTTTGAACCAACCCGTAACGGTAATAATCAGTATCGACTCCATTAAAACTGTAACAATTATTGAACATCCGCATGAGGTCGGCGATGAACAAATGTTGCTGAAAATTAGAAGGATTTCTTTCGTCAAGAACTGGAAAAATACATGAGTATAATATCTCCGCTTCAGCCGCTCATTCATTGTTTTCAAATCAATCGGGAACTTGATATAGTCGTAATATTCCGGGACCTGAAAAATATCAAGTTATAGTTTTAATTCAGAACAATAGCGCTCTTTTGAAAGCGTTTTGGTAAATTCCTCAAAAAAAGCTTCTTTTGTCGGAAAAAACTCTTTACTCAAGAATCTAAAGATGGAATTTATTCTATTTTTTCCCATTTTACCTCGTCTGCTTTCACGGGCTCCCTGAAAGGCCAGGCGTAATCTTCATCTCTCAATTTCTTGATAATCTCGCTGATTTTGGCCTCCAAGTCCTCCTCGACTTCAGGCATTTCGTAGATTTTCGCATTTTCCAGTCCCGGAATCTTCTTCCAGGCAGTCGGGTAAGGCATATCTGTATTTCAGGAAGTTTATCGCAAGTGTTCGATTGGAACCTTTGAAGAGGTGCTCGACGCCGCCGTAAACGCGGCTTCCATTGGCGATTCCGCTGGAATGGCAAAGGGCCTCGTGCAAATCGCGCACAGTTTTCGAGTAGGAGGCGAATTTCGTGTAGCTGATCCTGAAAGAGTCATTCGAATCGGCCGATCTGCGGCTGGACGAACTGAGGATGAAGCTGACATCCCATTAAAGTGGCCCCTTCGTAGTCCTTTATGAAGCCTTTGTACTTCTTCTCGGGAATTTCCAGCTTCTTCGAAAAACCTTGCTTGCTTAAGGTATCGAAATTTCGGAAGTTAGAGAATATTGTTCCAAACCAAAAGTATCCAATCGCAAATTCGTCGGCGAACGTCAGCAAATGATAGATTTTCGATTTGATTTGCGAGTCTTTGAATTGATTCATCAGATGAGATCCGTACCCTTTGACCTGAAAAGTTCAATTTATGCCGTAAATTTCTGAGAAAATCTCAAACTTGTTCGTTTGCGGTGATAGCGCAGAAAACAATCTCGACGAAACTTCGAGAAGGAAAAGGACGGAAGCAGATTCCGCCAATCACCCCTTTGTCTGAAAAAAAAAAATCATTTTCTGACTTCATTCAGTTGGTTCAAAATGGGCTTAAACCTTAGAGACTTTAGTGAAGTTTTTTTCAAAATTAATTATCCAGGCAGTGTATTTTTCAATGATTTCTTTCAATATATTTTTTAAACATTATTACATTTCAACATAATTGACATTTTTAGTGTTAACGGCTTCGCATTATCAATTTAAAAGATTGGAAATATATGGTTCCAAATCATAAAGAGTTCACAAAGTTGAAGCACAACATTTCCAATACCTTTCTTGACGATGACCATATTCTGGTGTCGATCATCGAAAACGAGCCGCGTGATGTATTCCTTTGGCATTTTCGGCAGTTGAACTGAGAAAAGAGTTTGGAGCTGGACCAGGTAGGCGAGTTTTTCTCTTTCTTGGAAAGGATCCAAGTCGTTGCCGATAATCCGGAACCTTCAAAAAAGCCCAATAAATGAGAGTCTAGATGAATAGAATATTCGTCATGCGTTTCCCAGTAGAAAAGGCGTTTCTCGCAGAACTGTATAATAAAAAAAAAAGAAAATTCACTCAAGGAGGAGCAAAAACTCCATTGGTCCCGCGCAATGTCTGAAAACCTTCAGGGCGATTTTCGCCATTTCGAAACATCTTGGTGGCATTTTGGCTACCAACAAACATAATCATACCGATGAATGTTCGAGTTGATTTATTGTTATTATTATTCCAATGTCTCAAGTTATTTTTGATAAAATACTCTTTTTATGAGATTCAGAAGAAAAACCAGAGGAAATGAACGAACTGAATGAGGCCGTTGTGTTCTTCTCTGACAGCCGCGCGACTTCGCTCCACGTCGACGGCTATCGAATCCACAGTATCACTCGTTTCCATCTCGTTGTTCTCCTTTGAAACAAATCGCTATACTAAAACGTTTCCAACAGGAAAATAAACCTTGGAAGTGAGCCAAACGACCGTTTTCAGCTTGGCTGTGTAGTCTGGATCGCTCTGAGAACGCTGAAACTCTCGTATGTGCGATTCTTTCTTTTTTTCAGGCGATTTCGAAAAATTTCCTTTCATTTGGTTTTAGGTGCAGTGTATACATCATTCAAATAATTTGTGACGTCATGGCCGCATGTGGAATGGCTCAAAAAGACGCGGACAGAGTTTGATTACTAACTTGAGATTAACACCTGACGCGCACTTTCCAATGCCTCAACGTGTGACTCGTTTCTGGTCCGCCTTGCCTTTTAGTGGCCGCTTCGCAATTCAGCTATTTGAATTTAACAAATCAGAAGAAACGGGAAATGACAAAAACTACTTTTTCTACGTGCTATTTTCATTTCTCAATGACCTTGCCGTTTAGGGAAAAAGTGAAGCAGAAAGGTCAGAGACTTCCGAATAGTTAAAGTTACCGTCTCTTTCTTTCGTATAGATCTTATTGGCATCTAGTTCAAATTAGATACTTCCTTTCTTATTTTTAGTTCGAGATGAGAAGAATGAAAACCCTTTTGAACCATTCAAAAGTGCGCTGATTTCGTTCAAATTCATAGAAAAAAATTACTGAGAAAAAATGCCGGTTAAATACTCGACCAACGTATCATTTTTATTATTTATGAGCCTGATTCCACAGATTCTTTTTCGAAGCACCTCATCGTCCGATCCTCGCTCCTTTTTCTTCCGGTTCCTTGGCACCAACGGCTTCGCTTCGGCTTCTGAAGCCTTTGAAGACGTCGACGGACCATCTTCCGTTGATAACTTCTCCTTCTTTTCGAATCTACAGGAAAAAGAGTAATCCTTGCAATTTCTGGCGATTTCTACCTGAGTCCTTCGAAAACTGGACCAGACTTTGTGGAAATATCAACGTCGCCGCCTTCATTCACAAACTGCATCAATTTTTCGGCAAAGTCCGTAATAGAGTGTTTGATCTGAAAATTTCTTTCTAATTCTTTTCGAATCAGGATTATTCTCACCTCCTGAAACTTTTTCTGCGTGATTGTAACAGGGACAAAAGTGTCGTTGGCCGTGTTGACCAAGAAGTTGAGGAAATGCAAAAGCGCCTTTCTGCCGAAGATTTTGACGGCTTGAAATTGCGTCAGGGTGCAAAATTTCGTCGGCATGTTTATGTAATACTCCCAGCGTGTGAAGAGCATACGGTAGCGACTTCGCTCAATTTTTTCCACTGAAGAAAAATATACTTTTTTTAAAAAACAAAGTTATCGATATCAAGTGGGTTCAACGGCTCATAACCGAAACAATTCGATTTAGAACTCGTCAAAAAATTGGGACTTTCGAGATTAGTCGATTGCTAAACAAAGAAAATATTGATTACCATACTTTCAATAAAAAATCGAAAATCGCGCTTTTTTTCCAAACTTTTACTCTTTCATGATTGTCTTCCTTTCAAACGCAAAAAAAAAAAAACTAAAAATTCAGGTGTCCATACCTTTTTTGCAGAACTCGTCGTATGACGGCAAATTCCAAAAATTCATTTCGGACAAAATAATCGATCCGTACTCTGCTTTCAGTCTTTTCACCCTGAAAGCAGACTTTTTATTTGTGGGAGCTGAAGATATTTTCATCCATTGAGACCCAGATAATTCTTCGTGAAGAAAGCCTTTTGCATAGAAGTCCTTGCAATTTAAAAAAAGAGAAGTTAAAAGCAAACATTTTTTTTTCATCACAGTGCATTTTTGATCAATATTTACAATTAAAATCCGAAAATATTCAGAATCTTTTGGCCCATTAATTTCACTACTATAAACTTTTACGATTTACCCGCCTCTTTTCAAATATTTTCCACAACCAATTTTATCAACTTTTTATTTTTATAAAAACCGACTCGACGTTTGCTTCATTGAACTCGGCTTCCAGATAAGCGCTGACAATGTTCAAAGGACTTGGACTGGTTGGCTCGAAATTCGGCTCTCCGAAAGAGGGAACGCCAGTTCTGACCTCCAGACAACGCAGCGACTTCATTAACAGTTGCATCGTGTTGTAAAGAACCTTGAAAATTCAATTGGGAGACATGAGAGGCCTTCTCAAGACTAACATATAGAGACTCGTGTTCCGGTTCAACATAGGACAACATTGAACAGCACTGTTTTATGTCCTGTAACTTCTGGTGAAACTTTTCAACGTCCTTCTCGCTCATTTGCTGGATTTTATCGGAATGATCTCCTATATTCATATATTAACTCTCTGAAAATAAGTACTATCACCTATAGAATGTCCACACGCGGCACATGCGTTGTCTTCTACTCTCAACAATCTATCCAGTTCTATCTGAAAAATGCATTTAAACATTTAAAAGCGAACAAAACAAAAAAAAAACCTCCAACGGCGTCATTTCGCCATCATCGAAACTGCCGCTTATGTCTATGACTCTCGGTTCCTAAATTGAAACTAACTAAGTATTTTTTTTCGAAAAATATATCGAAACCATTTTTGTCTCTCTGGAAGGTTTTCTACCATATGTGTTCTCATTTTTCGGTCGAAATCCTTTACAGCTGCAGTTGGAGCTGCATGGACAGAAAAACGTCAGTACCCGACGTCGTTCATCTATCAGAACGGCGTCTTTAGCACGCATGATGTCTAGAAGATTAGTAAACGATACAAACGTTCGTGAAACATGAAAAAGATCAGCGAACAAACCGATAATTTTAAAACTGAATCGAAGCTCCGTAAATCGGTGGAGCTGACCAGTGGGGCGAGTTTACCTCCTTTCGCAATTTCAAATAATTTCGATGCTTTTGAAGTTTTTCCAAAGAACTGAACAGTTTTTTTCTCTCCAATTGATTTCTGTTGTATATTTTTTGCCCCCAGAATGATTCAAAATATTTATTCAGAGGCATCCAGCATGAGCAAGCGCTATGAGACCATAAAACATTTAGGTGAAGGACAGGTTACAATTTTCTTTGGAACACTCTCAAATGTTTATTTTCAGTTTGCTAATGTTTACAAGGCCAAAGACTTGAAGACCGGAGAGTTTGTGGCTATCAAGAAGGTTTTTTTTATTTCAAATAATCCAAAACTAAAGTGTAAATTCAAATTTTAGATCAAACTGGGCTCTAGGACAGAGGCCAAAGATGGAATCAATCGAACAGCTCTGCGCGAAATTAAGCTTTTAAAGGAAATACAGCACGAGAATATCATAGGAGTGAGTTTCGAGAATGTCAAAAAATCAAAAAACGCAGTTACGCGACGTAATTGGACATCGAACCAGCATCCAGTTGGTTTTCGATTTTATGGAGACGGATTTGGAGGTTTCATATAGACCATATTGCCAGAAAATGGGTATTTTCAGCACGTTGTGAAAGATCAGTCGACGATTTTAATGCCTGCACATATCAAAAATATGACAATGCAGACGCTTCTTGGTCTCGAATTTTTGCATGCTCATTGGATTTTGCACAGGGTTTGTCTTTTTTTCAGTACGAGGTCAGGTAAATGTAAATTATGAGATGAGAATGGATTATTTAAACTTTTTTTGCCGTTCTTTATGTCAGTTTTTTAGGATTTGAAACCAAATAACTTGTTAATGAACAGTATGGGACGTGTGAAACTTGCTGACTTTGGTTTGGCGCGGTTCTTTGGCTCTCCGAATCGGGTTTACACTCATCAGGTCTACAAATGCGGACGATTATGTGTATTAGTGTCGGTTCAGGTTGTCACAAGGTGGTATCGCTGTCCAGAACTTCTTTACGGCGCGAGATCTTATGGCGTCGGAATCGACATCTGGTCTATCGGCTGCATTTTAGCCGAGCTTCTTCTGAGGGTTCGTTTTTTATTTCTTTTAAAAGTGTTTCTTGAGAGTTTGATGGATATTCCCATTTATATTTTTAAAAACGGACATTTTTTTGACTTCAGAAAAAGATATTATCTTTTTTTGAAAGGTAGCACAAGATATCAACAGAAATGCGCTTTTTGAGACTTATTGAAGATTTTGTGCGTTTTTTTAAAATTTTGTTATGATAGTTTAATATTATCCCAAGCTCATATCTCAAATCTACGCGACTTTACAATAATTTTCAGCGCAGAATAAAGTATCAGCATTTTTTCAAACTTTAATAACCACCATCCGCTTTAAGCAACCTATATTTCCTGGAGATAGCGATATCGATCAGCTTGTCAAAATCTACAACGTTCTGGGGGCGCCGAAAGAAGTAGACTGGCCGGTGATGACGTCACTGCCGAGTTATGTTGAAATTAGGTGAGAAAGAACAAAAAAGATAAAGATGGTTCGAATGTAGGCTGAGTAGTTTCCACTTTTTTCGAGAAGATTTTTAAAAAAAAACTTTAAATTCGGCATCGAAAGACTGCTGCCGGAACGTGCTTAATGAAGAAACGGAAAATTTCTCGATATATTGAGTCACTTATTGCATAGGATTTTTTTTGTGTGGAGCTCAGCACTTTTCTCAACAGTTTCATGCCAAACAAGTTTTGATGTCTTTCTAACCCACTGTAGGAAAACGAAAACTCTCTGCTTTTCTCAGCAGTTCCATGGAAGTTTCGCTTTTCTTCAGACCCGACAACGAAAAGCCGCCGGAGTTGCGCCAAATCTTTACCGCCGCGACCCCAGACCTTCTAGATTTGCTCAGCGCGATGCTTACATTCGATCCGACCAAACGCTGCACGACGACGCAGGCTCTTCAAATGGAATACTTCAGGTCGGGTCCTGCCGCGAAATGCGAACCCGGCTGTTGCAGGACGATGCCGTACTCGTGTCCCGACGAAGAATTGCCGCTCCCCAACGCCAACAAAAACAAACGGCGCAAGTTCGAGGACGGCATGGTCGCACGTCGTCTCAACTTTGACTAACTCTTTTTTTATTTTCCACTCAATTAATTCATACTTTCTGTTTAAGGGGTTTCCTGTAGTATTTTGCGTGAACTTTTGTATAACGGGTCCATCGTCCCATGCTTGATTAATGAATTTTACGGTTTCATGGCCATGTTTCTATGACTTGGGTCAAAAATAAGATTTCTATTTCACAAGTAGAAAATGTAAGGTAAGAAGGTCCTATATATATATATATATATATATAAAGATCCCTCCGATGGCTAAATTTTTTTAATTTTTCGACTTTTTTTAGTTAACACAAATTTAGGCCTGAAACCGATATTTGCAAGTAGTATGTAAAAAATTGACTCTGGTGCACCTTTTTGCCCAATTTCAAATATTAAACTTTTTCAACTGTTTTAATGCATTTTCGGCGAATGCCTAAAAAGCTGCACCAATTATTTTTGGTCATTTTTCAGAAATGACGGATTTTTGGTTAGTTAGGACATACTTTCGAGGAAACAATGCACCTTTAGATTAAATGTTGCACGAATTTCGTTTATGGAGGATCTTGATCTAAATTCTCAAAGAGGGTACTTAGGGGAAAAAATGATTTTCTTTTGACCCTCTGTCTAATCTTTAACCTTTTCATGGTACACAATCCCAAATTTCCCAAGAAAACCTATTTATGGAGACGTTTTTTAGTTTTGGAACCATCATCTTACCATTCTAGGACGGCAAAAATCTTTCCATCTCTGAAGAAATCGAACCCTGGTATCTCTCCTGAAAAAGAAGCCCAGGTTAGACGGTCGACCATCTTGGAAATTCTCGCAGTTCATCAAAGATTCAGAACTTTTAAGACGGGGGCAAAATGTCTAGTTGTATCATTTATACTTTGCGTTCGAGACGTCGCGGGTTCAAACTCCACTTCGGTCCATCTTTTTTGCCGTTTTCTGATGGCCTTCAAGACAGACAGTTTCTTTTTCTCGCTCGTTGTTCTCACGAAGGTGTTAGAAGAATTTAAGGAACCAGTGATCTTCCAACGCATTACTGTTTGGCCTTGGTTTCTGCTGGGGTAATTATGATGTCGACTTGTTTATTTTTTTTGATGTTTCTTGGTTTGCAAAATGTTTCAATGATCTTCAATCCGAAAAAAAATTACCTTTGTTTAGATTTTGACGACTTTTTGATAGGATTTATTTATCTTGGAAATAGGTCGTCCTGAGAACATTAAATGACAATATTGCAGCGGAAGGATGATGATAAATAGAATTATCACATAAAATGAAAAACAGAAGTACACTCGACGTTGTGCGATTTACCGGAATTCCAGAACAAAGGAAATTTGAGGTCAATAGGGCTCATTGATGCAATGAAAAGACACTTTCTACTTCAGACCAAGTCACGATGGTTCGGGAAGGACATTCAGACCAACGAATGGATTATTTGTTGTGTTCGGTCCCACAGAGCGTCCTGGAGTTCGACTTTCCGGGCCGTCTTGTTCAGCTTGTTCTCGTCGTCCCAGCAGTCTTCCCAGTACTTTCCGGAGACCTGAATAATGGGATTATCGGTGCGAGTCGAACAATTTCTCACCTTTTCAACATCCGGGGAGCCTGCGCAATATACCGTAGTCGCTGCGCCTTGGGACAAAGTCTTCGTGAACGGTCGCCACGCGAGCCAAATCAGCGACCCCAGGACGCCCATGTCCCTTTTTATGCCTTCAAAAGGTTTTAGTTTTCCCTTGCAGCCTTAATTTTATCTCTGGAAACGAAAGAATCAAATTTTAGCAGTTATGGGGAAATAAAGGGAAAATTTTGTTCATTCTAAATTTTTTTTTGTTTCATTTTCTCTATTTTATGATTCAAAGATGGTATGAAAAAAAGACCAGCGAAAATTCGAACAGCGACTTTTCCGATTTTTTCATGTCGCTAGGGAACTTTCCGACAAATCTTTTTCCGACTTTTTTTTATCGATAAATTCCTCATTTTGAATCTTCCTCTATAAAGTAGGCAAGTCTTTCATGATTAAAACACAAAGTAATAGGAAAAAATGATATCAACAGATTTTTTATGAACAGAAAAATATGAGGAAAAAAGTCGGAAAAAATTTCGTCGGAAAGGTGGTCGTCGGAAAATCCCTGGCAATATGAAAGCATCGGAAAAGTCGCCGGCTTTTTTTATACCACCGATTCAAAGACTTTGAACTACCTCGATTTCGCGAATAATTTTCTCAACTCGGGTCTTGGCAAAGCGAATTGGACTCACCCCGGGCGTTTTGGAGAATTCCTAGTGACCACTTTAGTAGCGTCAGCACTTTTAAGTGATCCCAAGAGTTGCTCAGAAACGTTCGAAGCGCGTTCGGTTTTCGTTTACGAAGACCGAGAAACTTTTTAATGCGAATACAATTGTCACAAGAGCTGGTAAGCATTTTTAGCTTCTCCGCTGACGGATATTTAATGAATTATAATTAGAGCAGAATATTTGTTTGAACTGATCAATGGGATACTCCGAATTCTAGATACCAACTTGTGTTAATGATTCCAGGATGAAGGACATAGACGGAAATTCCATTCGCGTGTTCCTGTCTGTGTAGTTTGAACGCCGTCAAAACGTTGCACATTTTCGACATCGAGTAGAGCCTAAGAATTGGTTTCGATGCGTTTGCGGTCGCGTTGCGGTTCGGCTCACGTCATAAAGTCCTTTTTGGACTCGTTTGGACACAGGTATTCGGCTTTTTCCGAAGGCGTCGTTTTTCTTGGCACCTGAAAAAAAAGTTTTATTTCTCAGATTCGAAGAACTATGCATGAAATTGAGTTATTAATGCTGAAAAGTGATCTTTTTCTTTTAAGGTTGTAGTTTAAAATACAAACCCTAGCGGAATAATGAAGTTTCGACGAAACTAGAACGATTCTCGAAGGGGCGGATTGCCTTAAAACGGGCAGTAGTTCCTGAAATCTCACTTTTTGAAAAATGAGGGGGATCTAGAAAAATATGATGAAAATAATCTGATCAAGCACTCACATTGATAAGAAGAACATGGGCGACATGATTGACTCCGAAATGAGATTCCAGGCCGTCTTCTGTCGTTTTCTGAGCAGGAGACAGAACACCGGCGTTCAGAACCAGCACATGTAACGGCCTGAAAAAACATCACATCTTCCAAAAGTATTGAAGGAATAGTTTTTAAAAATATCTGTGAGTCTAGAACATAAACATCACTGTATTATCTTCGTTCCTTTACTTTTCATTCTATTCGCCGAGGATAAAGAAAATCTGACCTTTTTGGTCTCTCTTTTTGCACCCGCGAGCTCCTAGACACAGTCAAATAGCATGGGCATACAAGAGCTTTGCCAATAAAAGTTAAATCAGAATGTTTTCAATTGTAGTGAATGGAAGCTGATCATCCTTATTCATGATGATTGGAGATTATTATTGATGGAAAAAAGAAGAAACAGAAAGGTTTATCATTGACCCAAAAAGACGCACCATTTTTTGTCCTTGAAATCCTCGGCGGCGCGTTTGACGGACTTAAGGCAGCTCAGATTGCACTCGATGACGTCAATCTGAGCGTCCGCCTGCAAAAAACAGCTATCGTGGGCTAGCCTGAGCAACACGGCTCTTTATGTATTTAGACGAAACACACTTAAAAAAATATATTGTTTTTTTTGCTCAAAAATTTTTGTGATAAAACGTGAGCGAAACAATTTTTCGGGACCAGTTTTGGAAAAGAAAAATTTGATTACTTCATTATTATTTTTTTTCAAAAACTTCGAGTTGGAAAGTTCAAGAGTATAACTTTTTTCAGTTCACTCTTCCGCCCACAGAAATTGAAGTTTTGCAAAAAAAAAGGTTGATTGGAAAATTCCTGAACAAAAATTTTTTCGAAATTCTTATCCGGTTATTTTCGTTTGACCGGTTGTTTTCTTAGTTTTTCAATGTTAATTGGCAGAAAGAAACTTGGGAAATTTCAGTTTAGCATTGGAAAATCATGAAAAGCCTCGAAGGTTTTGGTTTCTCAGGTATGAGCTACGCAGTACCTTTTCCTTGAGAATCGAGTCTCTTTGGTCTTGAGAGGCCTTGACGTTCCTGTTGAGCATCACCACGTGAGCTCCCTTCAGGGCCAGGGCCCGGGCCGTCTCGCTTCCGATGCCGTTGGTCGTGCCGGTGATGGCGTAGGTCTTTCCGGACAGATCAACCCCTTCCAACGTCTCAAATTCAATCAGTTATTCAAAAAATGACACTAGGGAAACTCCTACTTATGCTGAATTCTGATATATTTCGAGATCTACAACATTACCAGCGTTTCCACAACTTTTTTTCAAACAAAAAAAATTGATGAACTCGAAGAAGGCGAAAAAAAAGGTTCAAGATCTAACCTCGATCGCGTTTGAGCTGAAACCGAACCGCCGTCTCCTTTCAGTTGAATTCTTCTTTCTCCACATTTCTCTTCTAAAAAACAAATAGATGATAGTCCACAAACTAAAATAAAATGCAAAATGACGAAAACAGTGGAGGACCGAAGACCAGAAAAAAGGCGGCGGAAATCGCTTAAATAACCCGCCTGTTCGCCAAAAATGGGGGAACCTAAACAATTGCGGTCCGCCCATCTTATTTGGGCTTTCGGAGGAAACGGTGACAACGGAAAATAGGCTACAAAGCATAGAAACAACAGTGCATCGTTTCATTTCGTGTCCAATCAAGGTCATTCGAGCGGCGAGAGATGCAAAAATCATTTCGCGCGAAAAAGCGTTTCATTTCAGAGTTTTTGCTTGGAACTGCTTAAGCCAAAGTTTGAAAAATCAGTTTAAAAACATCTTGTGCGTCTCATATGGATAAGGCAGTGCTGACACGTCCGGTTACCGGTCATCATTGAGCCGTCCGTTCCGAATCAAGAAAACTTCTTAAATTTTTTTTTTCGCTTCGCTTTTTGTTTACAGCTTATCTCTCGCGATAAAAATAGTATCCACGTCTCGATACGTACTCGAAAATCTCTTTTATTACCAAAAGGCATTTCTAAACTACCGTAATACGGGGGAGGCGTGGCTAGGAGATGGCGTAATAAGAAAGGAGGTCTGTTTGTACACTACAAATGCAAAACTCTGAAATTTCGCCTGTGAGAAATTAAATCTCTATGAATAATAAATAAAAACACTGTAAATTAAAGAGAAGCAAATATATTGAAGCGTATCGTGAAAACAAAATACGAGTAATTTCAAAAGGTTTTATTTCTTAATTTCACCCCCGAATTTATTTCAATAGCTCGATGCAGCATAACTACTGAAAATTGGTTGCTTTTGTCGGATTCGAAACGGCTTACAATTTACAAATTTATGCTCGTAATTACCCGATTACAACCGCAGCGCATCCGTTCCGCTTTTTGGAGCCATTTTACGTGCTGAAACAACGAGGAACTTGAGAATTATTCTTTTAGTTGGAATTTGATGAAAAAGAAAATAGTATATGGAATTCCTTCCCTTCATTTGCTGACTTGATCCTGCGTCTTTAAAAAGCTTTTAAGCTTCATGAAGCCTTCAAAAGTATACTCTAGTTTACGTTAAACGTTGTTCTTGTTTTTCTTGAGAAAAAAAGTTCTCAACTGTCACAACATTTGTAGACGAGAGGTGTATCTTAATAGCGGAAGGGCAACAAAAACGGACGAAATTCGAATCTCGATTTATTACTTCTCTTCTTATTTGACCGGTGGCTACAACGTTCAAGGTCGTTCTGAAAATGAAAAGGACTGAAGAGAAAGGATCTCTTAACTTGTTGCAAAAATTAGAAAAAATGACGACGTTCTTGAAGACGACTGTTGTGAAACAACAACCGAGTGGAACATTTCTTTGTCGCGAGAAATGAGAAACGAGGTTTTTTTAAGCAAGGAGACGTTCCGAAATATTGATAATGTGAAGTAATTGACGTGACTAGTTCAAGGTCCAAGTCTATTTCAGAACTGGTTGCAGTTTTTAAAACAGATCGAGCTCAACACTTGCACAGCTTCAAAACCATGAGGAAAAATACAACGACTTTTCTAAATCGAGGTCCAAAAGAGAAATAAATAGTTTTCTCTACTATAAGGCTGATTGGGATGTTCAAAACTTTGAGCTCAACATATCATTGTTTATTATGCTCCAGTCTTTAAACAAATCATATGAAGTTAGAAATCACTTAAATTCCATGTTTGAATTTCAATAATGTTACGTAAATCAAAAATTATTTCTGAATTTACAAGATTCAATTATCTTTTTCACTCTCTGGCGGTTATTTTTCAATTTCCCAGGGATATTTTTTTAACACAGTATATATTTTTACTTCTGTAGATTGATAATTTTAAAAATGAAATGATTTTTTTGAAAAGGAAGCTCATTTTAGTCAGATAAATGAGTGCTTTTCTCACTGGAACGTTCCAACTCTTCTTTCATATTTCTACAAGTTTCTTTTGAGTAGCAAAATTTTGCTTAATCCTAAGCAATCACATTAATCTTCCAATCTATCTAAAAAATTTGCGCCCCTGCGAATGAAACTGAGCGGGAAACCAGCCGTTCCATTGCCTCTCTCGTCATGGAACTCCGTCGATTGCGTCGCGGCTCGCGTCGCGGTCCCCGTGGAAAAGCGGACCCCTCTGTCTGCGCTCTCCCACTCTCTGGCCTCTGTCGCCGTCTTTCAGCCCTTTCGTCCTGTGTTTCTATTCCGATAACACACGTTCAGATTCATATCTTGTCTTTGTCCCGAGGATTCTCTCTTGCGTAGAAGTTTCCGGTCCTTTTTGCGCTTTTAAATGACGCTTTATGTACCAATTCATCGATTTATATTAAAGGTTTTTCTCGAGTTCCAACCAGTTACACGAAAGTCTCGATCAGTTTAAATTGGTATGAAATGAAAACGTATTTGCTTTCAACTGTGACACAAAACCGAAACAAAAAAGCGGTAGGTGAGTTCTAAAAATTTCCTTATTCGCTCGTACGTTTTGCTTATTATATAAATTTTTTTTTTTTCTGATGACGACTCAGCAAAATAAACTTTCAAAACTTTTCGCGAATGTTTCATCAAGCTGAATCGCAGAGTAAGCTTTTAGAAAAGACATAATTTTTTATCTTTGTTCTGATTATCTAATCAAATCATATTGCGAAACGATATTAGTATTTTTTGCCTTATCCGCTCTAGAATGGTTAAGCTTGAAAACAGACGTCGTGTTTTTTTCTTTTCGAATCATCTGCAAACCAAGGTTGGTCAGCTTGTTTCCATCGATCTCTGGAGGTTAGTAGGCCAGGCGCTAAAATGGCCTTCGAATTTGATCGTCAAAAACGGGCCTGTACTTTTAACGTTTTTTTTTTCTTCTTGAACTTTCATGAGAACGTTTTCTTAGTTATAGTCAGAAACAAGCAGGGAATGTTCAGCCTAACCTTGAAAAAACTTGAAGAATCTGTATCTAACCTTACAAATTTTTTTAATTTGCAAAAGTTCAATTTAACATTGTATTTCACCTTTCTTAAATAGATTACTATCAATTTCTCTCTGAGAAATTGTAATTTCTGCCTTTACATTACGAAATTATGTCAGGTGTTGAACTTTTTCCGAGAAATCCTTGAAAAACGTGGTGCAATGAAAAACGATTGGGAGAGAAGAGCAGATTTGACAGCTGGCGCGCAAATGTTTAGACTTTCCCCATGCCTATTTCAGTCCAACAACAATAGTTTTCATTTCTTTTTTCGATATTTCTAAGTTTGAGAAAACTATTTTACGATTTTTGCCGAAAGTAAAGGAACAATCTACCATAACGCTCATTTTTTTTTCCAACTCATCGATTTGGGTTTAGGATATCCTAAACCCAAATGGCGCAGAAAAAGTCTGCGCCTAATGTAAAAAAAATTCCTAGTCACGAAAATATGCTTCACATTTTTTCCGCTCTTCTCGTAAATGAAACCATATGATTCGGTACCTTTCAGCCTTTTCTGCTCTGAATCAAAACCGCGGTTAACCACGAAGTGCTTGTTTTACAGTTTAAAATAACAATATCGGGCTCTTGCGATGTTGTCAGCTGGCGTGTTTGATTTTCGACGCCCATTTTTGGACTCATGATAACGACTTGGTTTGTAAGCGTCATTTTTGCCGCTTTTTTCTTCTCACTTGTCAACTTTTTTCTCGATTATCAATGCGTATTATATTCCATTAATTTTCTTGTTGCAAGATATCCTGATGCCGATGAAGATAAACATTTTCCGCTTCTTTTTTTTTTACTTTTATCTTTAACATTCCATTATTTTCTAGTTTGAAAAGCAATCATTCGGATCGTTGGGACTTTCTTTCAAACTTCCATTGCATCTTGCGGCCTTGCCCAAGCTTCAACCGATAACCATCGGCAGCCCGTACCGAAAGGCTGGATTTTTATCTATGGAATCTAGAATCATTAGTTTTATTCTTTATTCTGGAAGTACATGTTACATGAAGTGGTTCTAATCACTTTTTAATCTATTTCTCGTCTTCGAGGTCATTTTATATCTTCCAAGAAGATATAGTAAATTCGACGAACAGTGAAGAAACATAAATAACTTTAAATAATTATGTTTCCAAATTATTAGAACATGAACAGTTTTTTTCATAGACGAAGATATTAATTGATAGTTTGATATTCAAAAAAAGGCAGCTTTCATCCTTCGAAATTCACGGGCAAAGTCCAGAAGACTTTAAAAAAAGCAACTTTGGAAAGGTTTTTAAAAGGCTTCAAAGACCTCTTTTTCTTGCACCCTTCAAAAAAAAAATGTTTCTTTTAGAGAAAAAAAAAGAAAGAGTCGGAAAAAAAAAATGAAAAAAAGGAGTCCAACAAACATTCCAGTAACGGTAAAATGAGCTCTAGGCTCTTTTCTTTTAAGTCCCTTTTGAGGCCATTTGGCCTTTGCCCGTGTTGAACCAGCGCTAAAGTGAACAAATATAAAACATGATTTGAAACAAAAATATCTCTATCAGATCTCCAATATTGAACTGGAGCTCGATAATATCTCTTCCGGCTTACAAATTCTTTTTCTTCCTTTTCTGCACACAAAAAGAAGCGTTTCTTTTTTCTTGCTCATCATTTCTACGCGCGGTATCCCAGCGACCGGTGTTCTGACTCCGTTTTCACGTACATTCTCTCTAACATTCTTTTTTTCTCAAAACTATCGGTTTACTAGTTTCAGTAACGCCGATCTCCTGGTCAACAATCTTTTCGGGGTAATTTTTGTCCTGGGCGAGCAATATGTCAGAGGGAATCGTCCAGAGACGCCGGAAAGTAGAAGAGGTTTCATTTCAGTCCATTCTTTTGAAGTTAACTTGTCTCTTTTTGGACGATTGTGCTGTTTTTATTTTTCTGTGAAGCATTGGTACTTTGTGCTTTTCAGCAAGAAACAATTTCGATTTTGCTAAAAAAGAAAACTTCAAATTCAAAATTTAAAAAAAAACGATGTCCAATGTGATCCTCGAAGTTTAATAGCTATTAGGCAGTTTTTGGATATATTCTTTTGTCCAAGCCTGATGGATAAAAAGCGGAATACTGAACCTAATAAGTTGAAATGAGTGGCGAAAAGCGCGCATTGAGATTTTTCAACTTGATAAACAGCGGGTTTTGCATCGCGTCCTCTTTTTTTTGAGGCTTTTCGAATAAACTTGAGGAGACGTTTGTGAACTTCTCCTAAGACCAAAATGAGAAAAAATCGAGTGTTATTAAGTTTGTACGTTTGATTAGTCTCAAAATTTTACTTTCACAAAGAAAATGGAAGGGTTATTTGTGCGTGTCAGAAACGGCAGTGTAAATACACTCCTAGCAATAATATTAGTATTGATTCGATTATTTTTTTATCTTTTTGCCAGGAATATTTTATTCTAAAAACTTTACACGAAATAAAGAAAAGCAAGGAGTTTTTTCAGCAGCCGGGCGATCGTAATGAGGATGCCAGCGCAGATTCGGCTCATTCTTCCGATCAGGTTATTAATTTTCTCCCAACTTTTCACAAGTATCATTTTCCCCTCATTCATGCCATTTTTGTATCTCTCTTCATGAATGTTCAGAAAAAGCTGATTTTCAGGAAGACAATGACAAATCTACACGTCTCACGCTGATGGAACAGATTTTATTGCTTGGGTTGAAAGATCGCGAGGTACACAACCATTTTTATATTAAATCTGAATAGAAAAATCGGATTCTCGTTGTGTTAAAAATATTTTAGCATTTCATTTTTTTGTCAATGAATTCTCACTTGAATTTTTTTCATTAGATAGGGAGACAAAAAAATAAGGATCTCAAGTTATATTTTGTCAAATTAAAGGAAAAAAATTGAAATTGAAACTTTTTTTCATCAGGGGAGAACGAGAAAGTTTTTTTGGTCTGCCGAGAATTTTTCAAATATAAAAACCTCTAAAAAGTGCTTTTTTTCTTTTCATTCGGGTCTTCATGATTTTTTTAATAACTTCAAATTAATTTCAACCCAAAATGAATAAATAATTGTTTGAATGTTTGAATAATTCACTTCACGGGAGTATCAAGCTCTCTATATTAATAATTTCATTTTTCCCTTTTCTAGAACTTGAAGTAATCGATATGTTCGAAATTGTATCAAAAACGCCATAAATGGCTTTTGCAATGCTCGTTTTATGTGACGCCAACTCATGTCGCCGAAAATTTTTGGTTTATTTGTCCAGGTGTTTCTCTACAGTTTTTGCAGCACTTTCCTTTCAGTGAGATAAATCTTTTTTGAAATCCGGACAAGAAAAGAAAGATGGGTGATTTTTGAGCGAACATGTGTTTATTTTTTTTTGAGAGGATTTTAAGTGAATCTACACAATAAAAATTTTTTCCAATATCTCAAAAAAGATGAATTATGATAGTCTCCATTTCAATAAAGCGATGATTCATGAATTAGTAAAAAAATTATGCATCGCAAACGCTTTTAACACGACAATATGGATTATACTCAGTTTATAAAAGATCAGTTGAAGATATTTCTCGTTTGGCAACATTGGTTGTTTTGCAGGGGTACACTTCGTTCTGGAACGACTGCATCTCCTCGGGCCTCCGCGGCTGCGTTCTCGTCGAGCTCGCCCTTCGCGGCAGAATCCAGCTCGAGGGCAGCGGAATGAGGCGCAAAAGCCTCCTCAACAGAAAAGTACTTTCTTAATGAGCCAACGCCGTTTGAATAGCTTTTTCATCATGTCAACAGTAACAGAAACAATCAGCATGTTGAGAACTTTTCACAATAGTTGAAGGAATAGTGAAGTTATATTTTAACAAATATAGGGGGATAAGTTGGAAAAAAGAATAGAGGTCCATAAACCTCTACAGTTTTTTGTGAAGACAAGCTGGCGATGAAAGCTTAATTAAAAGTCGTTGTCGTCGATTCATTATTGCTATTTATTCCTGTTGAACCTTTTGAACCGGTAACTTTTGAATCCGCAATATGATCTCCAGAAGCTCACTCATCGGACGTAGGAACTTTGCTTAATAAGGTATTCTGATAAATTGAAATGAAAATAAATTTTCATTTTTTATCGCAATGCTCCGTCGCGCAAAGATAATATTTCCGGCTTATCTCGTGATTTATCCTGAATAGCGTAAATTTAAGTATCTATATTTATCATCTTCAGGTGATCGTGAAGAGTGCGGAGCCGACGGGTGACGTCATCTTAGACGAAGCTCTGCGACACATGAAGGAGACCTCGGCGCCGGAGACGGTCACCAGTTGGGTCGAGTATCTCAGTGGCGAGGTTCGTTCAATATACATTTCCAAGTCTTGAAAGTAGAAGTTTTGTGCCACCACGGATTTCAAGTCGTGAAAAAAAGAGAAAATCTCTGAAAAATGCCTAATTTACTCTCCAACGCAGACAGAGGTTTTAGAAGCTGGAAATTGCTATAAACTTTAATTATTAAAAAACCATCACCTCAAAAAATGTTGAATTTTATCTACTCCCGAATATTTTTTCCTGATAGACGTTTTGTAGACTTGGAATCCCTTGAAACTTCGTTATCAACTGCGAAATGTACGCGAACGTCTGGCCAAGAATCTTGTCGAGAAAGGCGTTTTGACGACCGACAAACAGAATTTCTTGCTCTTCGAGATCACCACCCATCCGTTGTCTGATGGAAACGCGAAGACCAAACTCATCAAGGTGGGCGAAATCAAATGAAGCCAGAATCATCGGCCGGTTATCGTGTGAAAGTTTTCAATAATTTTTGTGCTGATAATTGAAAAAAAGTATATTTAAAATTTTTAAATTAATCAATAGTCTTCATCTCTGAAGCGAGATCTTCGAAGAGTCCTTCTGAGCGTTTTTTTAGTCGGCTAACTACTTCCTTGGAAGTCATTTTAAAACTATCGGGAAAAATCTGCTTTTCAAATGCTTCTTTGTGACCATTACATTTCTTCACAAGCTTTGCAGGAAGTCCAAGAGACAGTGCTGGGCAAATGGACCAACGACGTGCACCGAATCGACCGCAAAATGCTGTCTTTGATCGTTTTGGCACACGCGAGCGACGTTCTCGAGAACGCTTTCGCGCCGCTCAGCGACCAGGACTACGAGGTACTCCCCGTTTCATGGCCGTTTGGGTGCTATCTGAACATGTTGACTGCAGGAAAAAAAATCTCGAAATTCGCCTTTTTTAGTCGCGTAGCCGCGAAATTCACGACTCCACCGACAGCGTTCTAGCTTTAATAATTATGAGCAAAATCTTGCGTTTTTCTTAAACTTCAGATCCGCGCGCAACTAATTTTCATCCTTGCTCATACGTTTTTTTATCGTTCTGTTTTTGCTGTGAGGTAATTGGAGAAAAGTTTGATGGCCGATGGATTTCATCATGAAACTCTTTGACGCCCTCATGTTTACGCTGCGTGAATTCTCCTGCATATGGCTTTTGGATAGACTAATTGATAGTTATCCGTCCTTGATCGGGTCCATTCTGATTTATCTGAACGGCCTATGATCTGAATGTTCTCAGCTGGCGATGAAGCGCGTCCGCTCTCTTTTGGAATTGGACTACGACGGACAGGCGGAGAAGAAGGGAAACGAAGTGATGTGGGCCGTCTTCGAGGCGTTCAGCAAGTGAGGCTAATTTTTCCCCTTTTTTGGATTGAAGGAAATCGACTGTTTTTGTTCGTTTTTGAGCAGTTTTTTTCTCACAAGAGTGGTGATTTTGGTGTTTGGATCTTTCACGGTGTTTTTTTCATTACGCAAGGTCAAGACTTTTCGTAAATTATGATGCTTAGGGTGTAAGCACACCGAGACGCACTATCGCATACTCAAAAATGTTTTTTTAATTTTAGAATTTGCGATTTCAGGATAATAGCTCCTGAAATGTTCGAAAGTTGTCATTTTGAAGAATATGATGTGAAAAAATTCACTTTCGTTGAAAAAAACATTTAGGAACGATTTCGAAAGGGGAAAAACTCTAAATTACTGATTACAAAATAAAAAAACAAAAAAATATTATGTAAAATGAATCAGCTCCCATTGAATAAGCATTTATAAATACGAAAAAAATATTGAAATGAGGAAAAATTCGAGGAGCAAATGAAAAAAACATTTTATATACCTCGAAAAACCTAGCTTCAGAAAAAAACAAGTAATGGATAGAAAGCAGAAATTTTAGAAAAAAACCTCGTATGGCGAAATTTTTTTGTTTAAATCCGAAAAACCATCAAAAAAACTAGAAAAAAATATATAATTTAGATGATGCATATATCAAAAATCATTAAACTGCATCAGCAAATTCAATTTGGCTCTAATTTACACGAAACCGGTTTCAAACTACGTCAAAGGAACTAGATAATAACTTTTTATTATTAACTGATTAAATTAAAAACTATAGTTTCCGAAATAGAGTTACTCTTTTCATGTCGCGAAACAGATTTCAAAATTTTGAAAAATTAGGACTTTTAGAAAAATCTTCAACTATTTTGAGAAAAAAGTTAAAGATCTGAAACCGGTTTAGAAAAGTGCGCAATTTAAAACTCCACAAAATGTACCCATAGAGAGGCGGATCACATAAATGCAAGAAATAGAAAAAAGTAAAAAACCAATGAAAAAAGTGTAGAAATTCAATTTTTGCATCAGAAACGATGAGAAGGGCGCAATGATGCGCCACGGATAATATGCCGCTGGGACCCAAAATTTCGCATTTTTTTTCATTGCGCGGAACACCGTGCTTTCTATAAACCTCCTCAAAGATTATTTAGAGGACTATATGCAGATCTTTCATATCCAATTATTGTGTAAATTTTTCCGAGATTTCAATTTTTAATTTGCTGAGAAATTCCAAACTGTAAGTTCCTCGAACTTGTTAGAGGCTAATAGCAGTCGTAAAAAGGGAAATAGAAACCTATTTTTTTCAGGTAAATACCACGAACTCGTCCTTCCAGCTGTACCGTTCTTTTTTTCAATCATTCATTCTTTAATTTCGTCGCCCAACCTTTTTTTTCCAATCCAATTTTATGAATTTTGGTTTTCGATGGTTTTTTCTCAATTAATAGTATCGTTTTTGTTCTCAAAATCGAGAAATTTTATAGTTTATTAGTTGTATTTTAGATTTCCTTTTTTTTCTTGCTAAAACTGGGATCACGGTCTTTATTCAATCCGCAATATTGTGATGATTTAGGGGTTGACGCGAATTTATTTATGACTTCTAATATAAATGGAATAGAGTAATATGGGCAGATTTCCTGAAATTCTCGCCCACAGCTTTTCTTTCTTGGGTTTTGGGCAAATACCGCTTCCTTCCTATTCGAATATTTTTTATTGGGAACCTTTTGTGTACATAATCAATCTTTCTCCGTGTGACACAACATAAAATCTAGAAACCCAACAACTACGCCGTTTTTTCTTCTTTTTTTTTGTTCACGTAGCTCCTTTCTCGTTGTGCCTTTTCCTTCTTCATTTTCTAAATGTATTGTGTCCTTTTTTATTCTGGGGTTCTTTTTTTTGCTCGTCTTGTAAATGTTTACAGATGCCGTGTTTACCGGTGCGTAGCCGCCTTTGAAAAACTTCGTTTTTTGGGATTTTTTCGGACTTTTCTCGTCTCATTGTAGTTTTCCTAGGTGATGCCGGGAATCATCCTGAAATAATGAATTTTTCTTTTACTATATCTGAAAGTGCAATTGGCACCCGTCGGATTTGAATTGATTCATATGATAAGCTTTTTCTCACTTTTATCGACTTTATTCGCCTTTTCCTGTGATAGAAAAAACTTGCAACACATTAAGGTTTCCATATTTGGTCTTATCCTTGCAAATAACTTCCGCACGACTTTCGTAATTTCATTTTGATAGCGTCCTATTTTCCTGTTGTTAGCTTTTTTTTTAACGCAAAAGATACTTTCTAACAAATAAATTATGAAAAAAAGTTGCTTTTTATAATATTGAAGAAACTATTCATCACAAATAAAAATTTGAGATATGAAATCCCCCGGAGCATAATTCCACAAGAAATGATACAATCCAACACTTTCTTACAGAAACGTGATTTACCCAGAAAACCCGGAGTCAGTGCGATATGAACAAAACAAAAGAACATGAAGAACCCAATTGATTAGTGTGACTGACCATTGCAATTATTACTGACATATCCTGGAATATTGAAGAGTAATTGTGATAATTACAATAAGCGACTGGTAATAGGATGCAGAGTAGTTTAAAAAGCGCTATAAATTCTACATGAAAAAACTGAGCTATTTCTCTAGTAAAAAAAAAGATTATAAAATTAGACCTCAGAAATTCAGCGACGAACTTCTTGGATTTTTGTACAATCACGACTAAGTACAATAGAAGTGGGATCCAAACTACAGAATGAGCCAAAGAAGTTGAACGGCACATATAACGGATACAAATATCAACATAATCATGCATCCTCGGACAGCAGCAGCTTTCGCGTGTCTTCCGACGAAAGTTCGTTGGTCGGCCGCGATCTGCAACTTCCAAAACCATTTTAGGAACAAAAAACAGGAAAGCACATGAAGCACATGCAAAAGTTTCAAATCTTTCATTTTTCGAAAAAGAAAATATTTACTCCCAATTTGTTTTCACATGCCAGTTTGACAAAAAGTTCTAAACTGAAGTCAAGATATGACCCGAATCCCGAAGAAAAACATTGAATTGGCCGGAGAAAAAAACTGATGGAGGAGAAAATCATGCAATAGAATATTTGCAATCTCGAAACGTATAGCCGATTTTCGGGCCGCGTTTATGGAAAAAGGGTAAAGAAAGAAGCTTTAAATAATTAAGCACTTATTTAAAACGTAAAGTCAGAAATATTTTTATCCCGAAAAAAGTTTTTATCACTTCCAATGAAGCTCATTTTTCATGCTCAAGGACTTGCTGCATAGAAATGCACTTCAAATTTTCACGCGCCAGCTTGTCACGTTTTTCTTTCCGCCAAAAAGTATATAGTCTGTTCAGATTTTGAATGTCAACCCACTAACTCCGCCCCTGCTGAGAAGGTACTTTTTCGCGTGGAGGTTTTATCGCGCGGGACTAATTTTGATCTTTTTTGATCTAAAAGATAGAAACAGAAGTCAAAAATGCAGCCTTATTAAATGGCCATCGTCATCTGGATATAAAACATTGGCGCGAAAGATATTTTGTAGCCTTGGGGGTGGAGTTAGCTGCTTGACATTCAAAATCTGAAGAGACTATACCAAATTAGATCAAATTTCTGCTTTCATAACGGCAAGAAACAACGGTCTTGAAGCGAAAGTTGGTTAAATTTGACCTGGCCTTTTGGCGGAAAGAAAAACGTGACAAGCTGGCGCGGAATGGCCTATAATACATTTTCTTTCTTTGCTTTTTTCATGCGAATGTCAACTTACGTTCGATTTTGATGAAAAGAATGCTCACTGAAACGTGAACAAAGTAAGTGTTCAGAGGCAAATTAGATAATTAGGTGGATTCGATAAAAGAAGAAAAATTCTTCACGGTTTGAACCAAGGTTGTGAGATTCGAAAGTACATTGAAAATTATTTTTCTGATTACACGATTTGAAGATTTCACAAGCGAATTCAAAAATTATTTGAGGAAGTGTTTAACGCGCCGAGAAGAGCTATAAGGAATGGAATTTAGCTTTAGCATTTTCTGTCTTAGATTAGCTGTGTGATCTTGAAGCGACTTTTCAGTTTTTTTTGTGCTTCTTCAAACCGTTGTTCAATAGTGAAATGAAGCTCGAATAAACCCATAATTCAAGCTTCGGGAATTCCTCACAACACTGATTCAAATCAAGAGAGAACTGAAAAAAGGAAGGCGAAATAAAGGGTCGAAATCGTCGAGCCTCCGGGGTTAGACGGACTTTGCCGAGGTCAACAGCGGCTTGGAATCCGCCGCCAGCAAATTCCTGCATTCCACTCATTGCTCCGTTAATTCAAACTTCTTTTTTTCTGGGGGGAATGGTTAGTTCAAATCGTGACAGAAACTATGAAAATTTCATATAGCTTATAAAAATCGTTTGCTCTATTGACTTTTATGGGATTTTTCAAAATAACACTCGAGATTCAATATTCTCAATGTTTTCTTTTTTGGAAAACCTTAAAAAAAGTTTTCTCGCGTAACGCAAAAAAATAAAAAATAAAAAAACTAAAAAAATAAATAAAAGTTAGAAATAGAGTTAATAGGATTGAAATAGAACTTTTCAGAAAGAAAGTAGATACAAACCTTTGTCGTCGTCTCGTCATCGCGTGGACGAGCATCCCCGACAGACACAAGACAAGGCCGACCACGTTCACCTGCAAAATATCCCCTCTCTCCGTTATACTTCAAAAAAGAGATATAGACGTCTTGGTGTTTTTGAAGCTGAGTAGTATTCGAAAGGACTTCATTTTTTGCAGACTTCTTCAATCTCTCTCTTAGGTTAACTCACAGTTCTTCTAAGGGTTTTAAAAAACTCATGTGCTTTTAAAGGTCATCTAATTGATTTTTTCTCCTTTTATTTATTTAGGTTGTTTTTTTCCGCCGAATATTATTTGTTTCTGAATTCACGAGGCTATTTTGAAACGAAATGAAAACCAAAACACAACTCTATAAAAAGAGAAAATAGCCTGTTTATGCCTTGAAACCATTTGTTTTTTTGAAAATTTCGATTCATTTGAACCATTTCCATACCTGCGTCAATCTGTCGTGATTCACAACATGAGCGAGTAACAAAGTCGCGACTTCTTTCACGATTCCGAAAATGTTCAAAGTGATCCCTGAAGTGTTGACCAGCAGCAAGTATTCTGCAAGTATCCCACTTGGTTTCGAATATTTAATAAAACAAAAACTGAGAAAAGATATTCATCCCAGGTAGCCTCTAACAACTTCTTAAACAAAGAATAATAATTGAGAATGAGTGAATTTCAAAGAGTAAGATCCTAGAACAATCAGATAAAAAAGAGGAATGAAACAAGAAAGCTTTTTGTGATTCACGCATTTTTGTGCAAACCTAAGAGTCGAAAAAAACTAAAATCTGGAAAAAATCATTTAAAAAAATTAAATTATTATATACATGTTTTAAACGCTTACGAAAATAACGAAAATAAAAAAGCGACAAATTTCCGATACGCCAAAAACATAAAAAATCTTCTTCAAACTAACAAACATTTTTGGTTCCTTATGTTTATTCTGTTTCCATCGATGTTTTTTGTCACCCCTGGAAGAGAAACTAACCACTGAGTTCCATGCAGAAAGCGAGAATTCCGCCGGCGGCGATCAGACAAAAAACGAGCCAAGGATCGTAGGACCGATTGTAGGACAAAACTGCGTCCCAACTCAGTTCTGGTCCTAAAAATCCGGGAGTTTGGGAGCGAAAAAGGGATTTTATTCCTTGTCAAAGCCGAAAAGCTATAAAATTCTTTGGGATTGAGTATTGTTCAAAGCGAAAATCTTATTGGATTTATTAATTGACTCTTCAGTTATATTAATCTCTTGAAAAAGCTTTCTCGTACGTTAAAATTTATTCTCGTGGCCAAGAGAAATCATCGTTTTATTTCGAAGGTTTCACAGTCTTTCGATACGGCAAAGTATCATTTTTCCCAATCTTTTCTTTTCCTCTGAAGGCCTACATCTATAAAATCAAAAAGGCAAAAAAGTGTAAAATCCTACAGAAGAAGCGCAATGATGTAGGGTTAGTTTATCTTCCTTTGCAAATCGGAAACTTGTACAAAAAAGGTGTAAACGAGCCTTCGAAGAAAAATATCATGGGGATAATGGGAATCATCATCCAAGGCTGCACATGGGCCACCATGTCCAGCGGATTTCGGACAGTCGATTCATCTTTTTGCATCACCAGCTGCGAAACCGTCCATCTCAAATTCTGCATCATTAAAACTGGTCGGATATATTTCAAAAATAACTCCTTTATCAGGCTAAAAAACAGAACAAGTCTTTTCTGCAGTTTTTGGATATCCTGTTTGGAAATAACCTTTGATGTAAAACTGAAATTATTGAAGTGAAACATTTAACTTCAAAAAAAGAATTTATCATGCATCAGTCGTCGCAGAAATTTTAAAAATGTCAGAAAATTTTGTGAGCAGTGCAGCAAGGTTGTACGAGATGTGCTTTCTTGAAATCGATACGAAACAAATTTTTCGAAGTTTTTTCGAGAGAAAAAGCTCAAAGATTGCAATTTCGACCTAAAAATCGACATATTTATCTCGAAAAAAAGGATTTTGTCTCGCGAGGTCGAGACATTTCGAGTTCTCAAGCAACCTTTCTGTACAGAGACCGAATGAATAAAAGATAAAAAGCCCGAAATAATAACGTCTTTTCATAGGGTAGAAAGATAACGGAACTATTCGCGGGACATGATTATTTCTACTATTTCCACTTTAATTTTGAACAATGAGAAGGTTATCGACCAACCTGACTCCTGTGCAGGCGGCGGCCAGTTCGACGAGCATCAGTCCGGTCAAGTCGAGTTGGGAAGATTGCCAAGTGAAGAGGAACAATCCGCAGGCGATGAGGGCCGTTTCAAAGCCAAGAGTCGGGCGCCATCTTCAAAAAAAAAGGCTTTTATAAGCCTAAATATGTGGGCCAAGCAGCGGTCAAATCCATTTTTCTGCTTTCTTACCAGGGAATGGTCTCAGCTCACAGTGGGACTTCTGAAAGAGACCATATTTTCTAGATGTAGTGTTTTACGCTGATTCCAAATCCGTTTTCAAAAGCTGCCACCGAGGTCTGTGAAAAAAGTTATGGACCCTCAAAAGTCGAAAATTTCATAGTCTCCGATCGAGCTCATTTTCAGAGGGTATATAGGTCTTGTCCCCCTGGCCACAAAAAACTATCGAATTCTTCTCGAAAAAATTCCGAAGCCAAGATATGACCTTTCAAAGCCCCGCCGCACACAAGAGATTGCGCGCGCGGTGTCCTATTGCGATCTGACGGCTGTCGAAGCAACGGCAGCGAGGAGCAGTGGAAAGGCGGCGGACTGGGGATCACGAGGTCATAGGTTCGGTGCCCACGCTGTGCAAACTTTTTTTGCAGTTTTTTCTTTTTTGGATATTTCCGTGTAAGTGCTCCTTTTTTGAGTTTCGAAACGTAGAAACATGAAAACACTGCGTTTTGAGCCTATTCAAACAGCTGGACTTCTTTTTGTCGCAAATTTTTTTCATGGTTTTTTTCGTGATTTTCCATGTGTTGGAGTGTCAAAATTTTCAGAAAAATTTTTTTTGTTTTCTTTTTTTTTTTTGAACGCTGGCTAGACGCAAGTTTTCATAACGGCGATGGTAGAAAACGCAGACATTTTTTTTCGGAATTTTTGGCTCTGGTTTTTACTTACCACTCTACGAGAAGAAAAAAACTTTCAATTTCATTTCTGGTTGTGGCTGAAATTCCCGAGGAGGTTTCTTTGATTCATAAATAAAAAATTTAGAACAAACTCCCCAAAAAAATGTTTCGTTCAATGTAATTCCTGAAAGTTCATAGTCAGACGGAAAAAAACGACGGTCATAGGTGAGCCCACTGCAAAGCACGAAGAGTTTATTGAAGTAAAAAAAAATGTTTTTCTGTGATCGACAAGCGTAGCCATGATGACTTGTGGTTAGACTATATTTGGAAAAAGAAAAGATTCAAAAAAAAAGCCATGAAAATTTTTCTGAAAATTTCGATACTCTAACCTATGCTCATACACATGGAAAATCACGAAAAAATCCATGAAAAAAATTTGCGACAAAAAGAAGTCCAGCTGTTTGAATAGGCTCAAAACGCAGTGTTTTCATGTTTCTACGTTTCGAAACTCAAAAAAGGAGCACTTACACGGAAATATCCAAAAAAGAAAAAACTGCAAAAAAAGTTTGCACAGCGTGGGCACCGAACCTATGACCTCGTGATCCCCAGTCCGCCGCCTTTCCACTGCTCCTCGCTGCCGTTGCTTCGACAGCCGTCAGATCGCAATAGGACACCGCGCGCGCAATCTCTTGTGTGCGGCGGGGCTTTGAAAGGTCATATCTTGGCTTCGGAATTTTTTCGAGAAGAATTCGATGGTTTTTTGTGGCCAGGGGGACAAGACCTATATACCCTCCAAAAATGAGCTCGATCGGAGACTATGAAATTTTCGACATTTGAGGGTCCATAACTTTTTTCACAGACCTCGGTGGCAGCTTTTGAAAACGGATTTGGAATCAGCGTAAAAAACTACATCTAGAAAATATGGTCTCTTTCAGAAGTCCCACTGTGAGCTGAGACCATTCCCTGGTTAGAAGTGAACTTAATTGTAGAACCTTTTAAATGTCGCAAATAGTTTTAGAAGACCAACAAAAAAAAAAAACCATTCCTAGGAAATGTTAGAAACGCCTTTCTGTGGTCAAATCATACACCGTATAGCTTGAATTTCAATTTAAAAAAAAAAACCTTTCCAGCTTCAGTAGAAGAGAAAAAGCGACGATGAAGAGAATACAAGACGATTTGGCCATTGTGTAGAGGCTGATCGTCACGTATTCCAGAGCCCAATTCGACAAGCCGATGTCCAGAGAAGCGCATATTCCGATAGGGGCCAGCCATCTGTAGAAAAAGTATTTGTATACTCCGTTTCTCACGAATTGAGACGACATGGCGAAAAACTGTTCAAAACGGCGCGAGGAGAAAAGCTTGAGGTCGGGTGCAATTAAGGAACGAGCACCAAAATCGGAACGCAAACTCGAAATGACGAAAATATGCAAACGTGTTGTTTTGAGCCATTCCGTGTGCTTTTATGGCGTTTCAACAAGTGTTAAAAATAATACCAAATTAATTGCTAAGAGACAAACTTTGGAATATTGATTAAAATTAGCGACTGATATCCAACCTCAACTGATCCCTTAAGGAGACTCTTGCGCGTGGCCCTTTGACACATTCGTACAGAGCGCGAATGACGACGGCCAACGTGTATTTGACGACATAGTGTCCACTGACCACGAGAAGCGGAAGTTTATATGTCTGAAACAATTAACGTCGCTATCAAGCAACTTTACTTCGATTTCTTCTAAGCAAAGTAAACAGAAAGAGGGTAGAAAAAACTAGATTGAGTAATTTACAAATATTTGGTTCTTTTTAAATATGTATATAATCCTATTTATGAACGGACCTTGATGAACCATTTCTGGTAGAAAGTCAAGCCGATGGAGAGCGGATAGTAGAGAAGCGCTATGAGAGCAATTTTCAGGACCATATTTGGCGGTGACGCGACTTTCGCCGACGGCGGATCTTCGGCGTCGTCGTCGTCGTCCTCGTCGCAGGCGTGCTCGTAGTCGCTGGCGTCGCTGCTCAACAAAACGGACTCGTGCCGCGACGGCTGCTCTTCCAGTGGAATCGACGAGGCTTCTGAACAGAGCTATTTTCAGGATATTTTACTAAATTTGAGTGTTTCTTCAAGAAAAAAATTTAGAAATAGCAGAGAAGACATATTTTGGACAAAACTGAATACCAAAACGCGACGTAAATTCGAAAATAACAGCATTTAAAACATTTTACTATAATTAAATTGTTATGCCGCGATGCGATTTTACATCCCTGATTTTCTGCGACAAAAAAAACCTCGTGAAAAACTACCCACCTTCCTTCATGCTGAAACTGGAAAAAGACTTGGTCCTTATCTTTTTCGAAGTTTTGATTGACAAGTTTGATAGTAAACTACATTTAAAACATTAACATTAAACAAAGCGGAAAGAAAAATCAACATTTCTAGGAAACTTTTGAGAAATTATCTTGGTTGAGAAAAGTAACTCCTAAATTGAAACGATATTTTTTATATGATAACGAACCTAGCCAGTTGACAATTTCGGAAGACTTCGAACTCGACTTTCCGTGCCTCACTGTCGTGGTCATTCACGACTTTGTGGCCGGCGACATTCCAATTTACTGCAAAAAGATAGTTGTATCAGTTATAGCCATAAATAGTATACAAGGAAGTATAGGAAAAAAAAATCGAAAACTGAAGAACCGTGAAAAAGAAAATACTGATCAGCACAACATTTAGAAATTAAATAATTAAACGAATTTTTAAAATTGAACAAAAAAAGAAAAATTAAAGTTAATAAACGTTTTGGCGTGGCAGGCGTTTGCAGAGGTTTTCGATCTGCAGGCGCGGCTTCTATACTACAGTAACCTAAAAGTTTCGATTCTCCAGTGAAGCGGGTGTATCCTCCGTCGAAATGCGGTTTTCATCCGCCGGAATCGCAATTTAAAAACTTTTAAAGGGATTTTATAAATATATTCATTTGAAGCTTAACACGGCCAGAAGAAGCCACGCTTTTCATGTATAAACTCAATGAACAAGCTTGTTTTTGTTTTTTTTTTTTGCGCATGAGCGTTGAGAGGACAAAAATAAATTCTTGAAACAAACTGTTCCACGTAGATTTTTTTCTTTTATGGCAATAAAAAAAGAACAAACGCCTGAGAAAACGATTCTCTATCGATCACTTTTATCGGATAGTTTTCCCATGTTCTTAAATCGGGGAACGGGAGGGAATACGCGACGGATGAAAAAGGAATTGAGAAGAAAGTGAAAAGGGAAAGTTTATACGCGAAGGAGGCTTCATCGTTTTTCGAATTGAATTAAAAGTGATGAAAATTATTCTTTATTTATTCTCTTAATTGGTTTTTAGTAAACTAAACTAATTTAGAAAATAATTCCTGAAAAAAAAAACCGGAAACGGAAACAACTTCATCTTCTTGAATATGACTAAAGTTCAGCTCAAACTTTGGAATAGAGAAAAGTAGAATATCTTTAAAAACTGGTCGATCATCAAATTCCTAGAAAGCAGCCAACAAACAAATATAGGTGAGTTGTTCTCAAAAACAGGCTCAAACGTTTGAAAAACACCAAAAATCAGAAGTTTGTGGGAAACGAGAGTTTATTTGTGTTGGAAGCACGGATGTTGAAGCGAGACCGAACATTTTACGAGATGAAAAGAAAAAAAAAATAGGAAAACAAGCATTTTTTACTCGTTATATCTGATCTTACAACGCCGGATCCACTTTTTCTAGGGTTGATGAAAACTTTTTCTACCGATCACAATCACGAGAGGAGATGAAATTGGAATTTTATTGATCAACAACTGAATGATTCGAAATATATTTTATCTACAGTCTGAAGAGATTTTGAGAAAAACGGACACTTCTTTAGAAAGCAAACAGTGCCATTTGCATTCCCTCCGTCAACCTTATCGAAATGTTTCGAACTTTGCTATCTTCCGAACAAAAACGGCGCTTCATATGTAAACATTTGGCCTCAATCATGAAAACAACATTTATTAACAAATTCATCAAACCAAAACAATGAGAGCGATATTGTACCAAAACTAGCAATGAATATTTATGAACTGAATTCTATTTTTCGTGACAAAACTGTAACTTATTCATAAACAAGAAAGAACATAATGTAACAGTAAAGGAATCGGAAAAATCAACAAGGGCTGATGGCAAGCTGATGAGAAATCAAAGGTTAAAGCCAAACGTAAAGAAAACACGGTATTGCAAAAATGACATGAAATTCAAACATCTCGTTTGATAAAAAAGGCACAAAGAACGTTTAAAAAGGCAAAGAAAAAAAGGTATTGGTTAGTTATCTCAATCAAAAAGATATTTACATAGCTGAAACTGAGAAAAAAGTTAAAATGATGGTTGTGTAGAAATCTCTTTCCTTTCAGAAAAAAAAAATTGTTATTATGTATGAAATGTTATGTAACTTTCAAAAATATTTTTAAAAAAAGACTCCGAGAAAAAAAGTCGCCAACAGGGAGTTTTTTTTTTTGAACGGTCACTCCAGGGGTCACTCAGCTTTATTAGTTTATTTAAAAGTCACGAAAGAAATTTAAAAAAAGTTGTTTTTCAAATCGTTTTTTTTTTCTCAATGATTTTTGATAACACTAAAAACTATTTCGGTCATCTCAGGACCCTAAAGTGACCATTTCATTTCTTCGGCTACGCGAAATCATATTTTGAAATGCAGCTTATTCGGAATCATGAACTATTGGTTAGGAGTTCATTCGTCATCGATTGTTAACATATCAACATCTGAAGGACTAGGCCTGGAGGACAGTTCGACGTCGATTTCTTCTTCTTGCGACGTATCTCCTTCCGGAAGGTCGGCCTCCATGGCAGCCTGCAGATCCCGTTCGAGCTTCTTTTTCTCAGCGTTCTTCTTCTTCTTCTTATAGAATTTCAGCGTATCTTGGTGTTTTTTCTTGGAGATCCTCCGTTCTTTCATCTGCCGACTGACGTGAGTTGCTTCGTCGAACGTGTAGTTTGCAGGAAGTGTCGTTTTTCTCGCGAATCCGGCCAAGTGACGAGCCGAGATGAAGCAACCGTGCTCTTTGACTGTCCTGCAATCAGGGCATGATTCAGTGACCAGCAAAAATTCCATGTTTATCAGGCAAACCTCCTCTTTTAAATCAGGAGAAACTTTTAAAAAATTCGTTTTTGAGGAACTATGGACCAATATCTAGTTCTTATCTAGTTCTATAACCTGTTCGCCGCGACTTGAAATTTTCGAGTGTCTGTGTCTCTGTTCTCTCACCGGCGAGGTCAGAGAAACATGAAAATAACACGGCAACATGAGAGGGTCGCCGAGAGTCGAGGAGAACGCAGAGAAAAAAAGCAGTTTCAAGTCGCGACCCACAGAGTACAAGATTCCTTATCTTTCCAGACCTCGGTATGGAAAATTGGCAATGTTGGCTCGTTACTTAACGAAGCGACTTGTTGACGGGGAGCTGGAAGTCAAAACGAGCTACCTTTTACGTTTTTCTCTTTTTTCTAATTTGAAAAAAATAAAAAAACAAGAACTTCTTTTCATCCTTGAGTTTGACTTCGATCTTCCCACCCAAAAAGTCACGTCACGTCAAAAAATCACTGTTGCCAATATACCCAAATTGACTTTTAAGTCGGAAAAATTGACTATAACTGCGTAAAAACCCGGATGAAATTTTCTGAAATCCGCTTTTAATACAGGGTCACAGGATGCCAAGAAAATTCAAGGAGAATTTTAAATTCAGACGAAAATGACCTAAATCAGAGACAAGATAACAAAACGAGAGAAACATTTTTGCGCATGTGCGACATAAGAAGCAAATGGCAAGCAAGTCAAAATTTCCACCTAAAACGTTCATTTTGGAAATGAGTTTTTGAACCTTTTCAGGAAATAGATAGGCAAATGAGCCACACAAAAAGTATTCAAACGGACCGGAGGAGATCTTGATAAGCCGGGACTCCGCTATGCCACAGGAGCTGACTGCTGCCGATCATCATCACCTGGAGCTTGGCTCTCGTGATGGCGACGTTGATTCGCTTGACATCGGATAGAAACCCAATGTTATCTGAAAGATATCTTCATTTCTCATTGGGTTTTCCCAGAAGCGCACAGTTTTTGTTGTTTCGAACAAAAGAGATGATGATGACGTCGCGTTCTTGTCCTTGGAAGGCGTCTACCGTGTCGACGTGGACCTCCAACGCCTTCCGCTGGATCTCCGGCGTCAATCGAATCAGCGGGTCACAGCGCTCCGTCACACACAGACTTTGCATCAGAGACCGGATCGTTTCCACCTCAAACCATTTCCTACGAAAAAGACAACCGCTGTAGCGTAAGAAAAGGAGCAACTTCTATTTTATTCCTTTTTCTCAAATATTTCAAACAGAGCACCAGAACACTACGGCAGGAAGCAACTGGACGCCAAAGCGACGATAGCTCGTCAAGGTGCAACTAAAGGGACTGCGCGCAGAAGAACTAGGCGAGAGACCATAAGACCATGCTTTCAATTTGATCAACTACACGTTTAGACTTCCAGTTCGCGACGGTTTCTTGTTATAGCTTCCTACGTTTTTCGCCTCCATGTCGGTTTCATCTATGACTACAATAAGAAATGTTTTGATTGACCCAACGAAAAAAAGAAGGAACTGAAAGGCCGTGGCAACCTGTGCACTGTACGGAGTGATGATGCCGATCGCCCCGGGGGCGATTCCCGCGTTCAAGAGACGAATCAAGTGCAGACACACGAGTTCTGCCTCGCCCTCATTGCACTTGCTGGACACCGAAACGCGTTCAGAGTACTTTTCGCAGATACTTTCGTAGTTTGCCACGTCCAGGTAATAGTCGGCAAAGACCAACGGCCCCAAGACAGCACAGTTTTCTTCAGTCGTGAAAGCCCTAGAAGTTTCATCTTTGTTTTCGAATAATTTCGAAGAAATTTCTGTTATTGGTGACATTTCGAAGCATCTTTCGTGGCTAAAACTCTGATGGAAATAATTGAACTTCGATATTCCCTGTGCAAAAGAGTTTGAGTCTAATTTTTGAGGTGACTGTGCCATAGTTTTTAGAACTAAAAGCCAGAAAACTATTTCAGTTTTTTTTTGTTATCTACCCTAAATTTTTCCGGTTTTTGGTGATTCAATATCGATTAACACAAGGTCAATTAATTTGAGAATCTAATGATTTCTCTCTAAAAAATAGAATCAATCAAAAATCAAAAACACCTCGAGTCTAGTTCTAAATTTTCTGGTGAAAACGGTTTTTCAGATCTTTCCGATAGTAGATACATTAACCAACATCTTCAGTATCTATATTGCAAAAAAATTTTTTGCGAAAATCTGTAATTCCGATAGGTTCCAACTGTTGAGTCAGTTTTTTCTCATAATTATTACGAATGTCCCTGGATTTTCGCACCAATTTTCATAGAAAGGTTCAGATAAAGACAACACACTCGAGATGGCGATTAGCGACGGAGGCGTCGGCTTCCAATTGATCGTCATAGAAACACTTAGAGGACCACTTCATGATATTCTCGTTCATTCTGAAAATCCGAGAGATGGACCGAACCACTTGGAAAGAACCTACCGATACTGTTTCATCAACATTATTTTGTTATTTTTCAAGGGCAACGTCTCTTCATCAAATCTATTCAACAATGTTTTATCTGCTTCCTTTTTCCGATCTCTGCAAAAAAAAAAAATGGAATTCGAGAAAAAATTTGAGAAATTTTTTAAATCTCGCTATACAACCATAGTTTGTGGTTTAAAAACTATCAAAGTTTGACTGTTTTTTTCTGCTCTATCGATTCTCACGATGAAAAGCATCAAGGAAGCATCTCAGAACAACTCAAAAAACAGGGTCTAGAAAAAAAAAACTTTCTTGGTCTTTTACTCTCAGAAAAAAAAACCTGGTTAGTTTCAAGCAACATCAAACTCCAACGAATCTTCATCACGATTTTTTTTAATAACTCAGGATTTGTTTTTTTTCAAATTTACTACCCTTTTTATCGCCTCTTTTTTCTGAACTCCCTTTCTCATTGCTGTCCATTAAAATCAATTTTTTAACTCCGTTTTTATATTCGTCGACGGACTTTTTGATGACAGGAGGGAGCTGATGATGGTCTCCGGCCAGAATGACACGTTCCGACTTGTGGATCACCGGCCAGATGTTTTCATCGAGGATTTGAGCGGCTTCGTCTGAAAAAACTTCTGAGTAGTCGAGTTTCTCTTTCAAAGTCAAGAAAAATAAGATGATATGTGGAAATATTCCAAACAGTTCTTCTGGTGATTGAGTGCGTTTTCATCATATTAATGTGTCCCGTAAACCCAGGGCTGAATGGACTCAAAATCTCTCAACCAACCAATCACGACAACTTCTGCATCGAATCCATTTGCGTGCAGCTTGGGTAGAGCCGTTTTCGTGATGGTCGAAAAGTAAGCCATAGTCATCTCTAACCGATTCTGAAAGACGTTGTTGATCAACATAATCTATTTCAGTTTCCACCGCAATGATCTTGTTCCGCAAACGGTCCATTTCGCGAAGAGCCGCGTTTTCATTTTCTTTGTTTTCGGCCAGCTCCGCATTTTTCCTCTAAAAATCTCAACTTGTAGAAACTTCTTTTTCTTTTTTCTGCAAAATCTGATTCCATTACTTTTTATTAAATGTTTAATGTCGATAATTATTAAAATTCACCCAACATTTTGTTTAGGCCAAAGAAAAGTCGCTCTGTGTTTCAGGATGAATCTATTGATTCTTGAACACATTCAAACTTTGTTCATAAAAATGTTGGTCCTTCAATAAAAAAAGAACTTCGAAAAAAAAAACCTGATCAATCATGTTTTGGAAATGAGAGCTTCTCATCAAAACTTCCTCATCTTCATGCATAGCCGGATAAAGCACTGAAAACTCAAAAATAACGCCCTTCTTGTCGATTTCCTCACAATCAGTGTTTATTCCCAGGCTTTGGAGACGACTTTTCGTCATGTCGAACACATTTTCCACTGCGACGTGCGTCGGCGCGCAAACAATCATCTGAAATCTTCCCTTTCTCTTCGTCTTTCAAGATTCTTTCTGCCAAGCTATGACTTCTACTCTAAATCCCGGAAAAATACATTCTCAATCTTCCGTTCTGACTCACTATCAATTTCGGAAAGAAGAAATTCTGATACACCATTGCAAATTTAAAAAAGAAAAGAAAGAGGAACCTTGATATTCCGTTTGATCATGTTGACAATGATTTCCGTCAAGGTTTTTGTTTTTCCAGTGCCTGGAGGTCCCTGAAATTCCAAACCATGAGCTCCTTTTTTTCTCAGGCGATACTTGGAAATCGAAACTTACATGAACATAAACCATGTTGCGTTTGTTGTTCATCGCCATGTTTAAAGCTTTTCTCTGCACTTCGTTCAGTTTGTTGGGGAACAGAGGTTCTCCTGGAAACGACCATTTTCTTTTTCGAGCAAGTCTTTAACAATTCATTCTAAGTTTCTGGCCGATGACGTTTTCTTGAAATTTGATAAAAAGAACAGGATTCAGATTTTTTCAAGCCGCAAATTGAATAATCCCTCTCAAAAATTGTATATAACTGATTCCTGTTGAATTTCGCCGAACTTTCTTTTGGTTGTTTCGAAAAATAAACGCTTTATGAAGAACGGAGGAATGTTCTCTTTCATTTTTCGCTGTTTCGGTTCAATTTTCCATTTTCGTAAGTGAGTTGTTACCGTGATTATCGTCATAATGAGGGTCCGTGTCGTCGATCCGATTCTCGAAGTTGTGAGCTGAATTGTTCGGCACTGGCGGCACGGTTCTTTTGCCGTCTGAAACTTCCATGGCACAGAGAGGGACGCCATGCGACTCCAACAAGTGCGGATTGCCCCAAAAATCCTCGTTGCTGCAAGATTTCCTTCTATTTTCCTTCATGAAATACAAGGCCGTAATTAATAACTTGCGAATTGTGAACTTGCAAAAGAGAATCTCGAAAAAAAAGCTTCTTAACCCTCAATTGTTACCTACAGTTCCTACAGAACGACTTTTCTGGAAGATAAAACCTATTCTCGGGACTCGCTGAGTAGTTTACACATCTCGGAAAATTATTAGCTTGGGCTGCCCAAGTAAAATCGGATGAAAATATGACATCTGGCACAAAAACTCCAAAAAAAAATACCAAAGACCTAAAAAAAAATTATCGCAACAACAATCTTACGCGTCCTGGTGCTAATAATAAAAAAAATTCTTTCTAAGTCGCTATTCGTGAAAAGTCATCAAAGATTTTCCATTGGCCGCAACTTAAAACTGTTTTTTTTTCGACAAAAATTTCCTTTTTGCCGTACTTTTTTCATATTTCTATGAACTCGAAAGATGAAACTTCTTCAAATCATGGCAAACGGGAGATACGACTGATATATTTCTTGAGAAAAAGGGGAAAGAACAACTTTCGCCCTAATATTTCCTCTGAAAAAACGAGAAAATGAAATGTTTGTTCACTTGTAATATTCGAGATGAGTATCGACGATTCCCGCCCGAAGACGGACGACCTTTCCCAAAGCGAGACGGTCCATTTTCCACTCTGACTTCATTTTTATCCCAATCTAAACTAAAATATTGAAGCAAAAATCGGAAAAAAAAGGTTCAAACTAGAGGTTTTCCGTGCTTTCTATGGATTTGCATGATAAATCCGCGAATCCAATAAGTGGGAAAGTTAGGGAAATTGTTCTCGTCTCTGGTCAATTCAACATTATCCTCTGGGTGCTTCGCATCGATATTGATCGGCGTTTCTGAAAAACAGGTCGGTGAGTTCTGAAAATATTGAGAAGAGATGAAAAAACTTTTATAGCCCACCTATTGAGGAAAGTTTTTTCGGTTTTCTTCAAGAGCTGTTTCGAATCATCTAGAAAATTCATACTTGAAACTGCCTTTTCGACTTTGAGCCCATGAGACAAACATGGTGCCTTTTTATGAAATGCCAATAGAATAATTATTCTTCCCATTCCTCAAGTCTATTTTTACACGGCACTACCCATGACATAAATATACTGATAGAACAACCCTAACACGTCTGCCATCCGTTTCAGAGAGTTTCTCGACTCGCTCAGCAACTATAGTCGATTCACGGCTAGCTTGGGACTCTAGGGGGCCTGTCTGTGCTCTCCACTAACCAGGCACTATCTCTTTTCTTATCATGTCAGGACCATTTTCTCGATGGCTCAAGTCAGCTGCGAATCAGCTTTAAGAACTCTTTTGCAACATTTCTCTCCGTCTCTTCATTCCCCATACCGGTAAATTCGCTCGCGAGGGCTTACAAAAATCGGTGCTTTTCATATAACTTCTGCTGAAGTTGTGGCTCTTTAAGTGCATCTCATCTCGTTCCGAGTAAAAATTCGAATATTCAAATGCTGACGTTTGTTGAAGGACTTGATCAGTTTGAAAACGTCTTCGTCGTTGCTGAGCGGCGTCAAGACGTAAACGTTTGCGTAGATCGGATCTTCGACTCTTTCGGTCACTTCGACCAAACCGATGTTGTACAGCTTCGTGTCGAGCTCCTGTGATAAATAGTTATTCTTCGTCCAAAAACTCTTTTCGTGAAAAAAAGAGGAATCAACAGAACAGTCATAAAAATAGAAGATTTGAAGAGTACAGGTGAAAGAGAAGAGGGCCTAGACAGGCTACACAGATTCAAATTGAGGTCAACGAAGTATACAACAACTATGAACTTTTCAAATAAAAAAACTCGAAGACGAAATTAGTAAAAAAAAAAGTTTAGTCTCGGAGCTTCGATATTCTCTTTGTTGTGAAAAGCATTTCATCGAAAAAGTAAAGCTTTCCGAGATAGCTTTTTCATACTTATTTTTTTACAGAACCAAATAAAATTTATAATATTTTTAAGGAATGAGAGTTTTGTGCCGTAGACAGCAAGTTATTCTGCTTTCAAGGTTTTTTTTCACGACTTGTTAAATATACTTTCAAAAAAAAAATAAGTAAGCTAAGTTCTGTGATCTTTTTCATCCAGCGAAGTATAGTCGTCAATTCCAACAGTTCAATCTTTCTTCAATAATTGACCTGGTTTCAAACATGTTCAACAGTGGATTTTCTACCGTTCAACTATTTCAGACGGTCAGATGGTGAAAATTAAAAAGGAGTTGAAATTTCAAATGCTCAACCCTTTAGAAAAAAACTTGTGTAAGTTTCAAACATTTTGAAATTGACTTTTCAAACTCAACGCTTGAGAACAGAAAGTTCAAACGGTTTGAATAATAATTAAACGGTCATTACGTATGACCGTTTAATTATTATTTCAATCGGGGGCTTTTTCGAAAAATGTGCAAAACTCTTACAACCTTCCTCTAGTCGATCAAAGAATTTTTTGACTGATTTTCGTAAAACTACTGAAACAAGAAATACTTCTCGATATCAAACTAAACAATTTAGGAATTGTAAAGTTCATTTCTCGACCTCACCTTGACGTTCTCGTAGTTCTCAGTACTCAGTAGGATTGGCACGATACTCTTATACCGCTCCATCTCTTCGAGACCCTGTAATGAAAAGTGATATCAGGAAAAAGAGAAAGAGAAACCTTTTCCGAAGTTTTGTAGACATTTGCAGCTTTGACTATCAAAAACGAATGCTTTTGGTCGCACTCATTTCTTTGACGGCGAATTGTCAGAAAATATCTGGAAATATCCTTTCAAAGTCTTTTCCAACCTCTCCTCTCCGATCCTAATAATGTAAGTTATGGAGTCAATTCCAAAAAAAAAATCGTTCCAGGAATTTTTCTTTGTTTTAAATCAAGAACTCTTAACCCCGAAACATGTTGAAAGTGCTCACTCGTTATCTTTTTTTCCTTTTATAAGGTTGTCTGGATCGGCGAGAAATCCGAAAAACTCGTGGAGAATGATATCATCGTTTTTGAAAGCGGGGCTGACCATTGTTCGACAGTTTATCTACAAAGAAGAACAAGTTTACCGACGGAACCAGATTCAGAAACTCACCAAAACTGTTGTTCCAAAAACTCGAGTGAAGTGACAATCAGGAATGATTTTGATGGAGTTTGCTTCGATAAGGCGACGTTTTTCCACTGATCGCGCCTCGAACTCCGACTTTCTGAAAAATAAAACTCATTCTTGATCTTCGCGCGCAAAACTAAAATGTTCGGAAAGAATCGAGAAGGAGTAATTTGGTAAACTAATTACTTTATTTGAATAATTTGTTTTAAAAAATCTCAACCAAGCTCAAAAAAAAAATATTAGAACCAGAAGACGGAAAGCCACTGAACAAATCTTTGAAAATTTAAAAAATCGCATTTAGAAAAATCAATTCTATCTCCTTTGGCGCTGACAAGGGACGTGAAAAATAGGAAAAATTTGAGAAATCCCACGCTTTTTCATCAAGAATGTTTTTCACGTCTTCTGGTTTTTGTTCAGCTATTTCTTCACTTCTGAATTTCTTAATATCGACAAAAGAAAATTTTTTTTTTGAAAAACCTTACAACTGGACAATCAAGACTGAAAATACTTCTGAAAAACCTGGAGCTGAAGGAAATCCAATTTCCGAGATTTATTTCATCGAATCGTTTTTCGTCGAGCTCGGCGATCATGTCGGTTTCGGCATTGCACAAAGACGTGTAAACGTAAAGAAAATTTTTTGAATTCTCTCTTTTGATTGATTTTGCGACGACAACTCCAATCTGATCAGTTACCAGGGGCTGAAAAAAATCAACTTTTTGAGAAACTCAGTTTATCTCAAATTTAATTTTAATGAATTGATTTTGATTGAGGTTGCCCAAGCTTTCGAACTCTTGAGGATACTCAAAATATGAAAAAAAAAAGCCAAACACAAAAAAAGTTCAGATCTCAATGATCAGTCATCGGGAAGTATGAACTTCTGAACTTGATTCTGACGATCCACTTGTAACTTTCCCAGCCTACCGTCAATTATAAGATCGGGAATGAACGTAAAAAGGTCAAGATCAAATTCGATGAAAAAGTAAATTTTGGAAAAAAATTGATAGACTTTTTGTCTTTTTGCCTTATCGTTAATTGTACCTCGAGCAGAAAAAAGTGAAAAATTTAGTTTTTTTATCCGAAATTGTTTTGAAATTTAAAATTAAGATTCTCGAGCAAAAACACTTTTTCTTCTTGCCACGATCGAAATGCATCCCCTGAACTTTTTTTACGATAATTTATATGAGCAGCTTGTTAAAAAGTAAATGAAATAATAGATTAACGTTAACTAAACGATAATTTTCTATTTTTCATTCATTACTTCTTCAAACCTCGTTCTCTGTCTTTTTTATCCGGGATGCCGAATCGTACATCAACTCTTCCATTTCAGTGAATAATGGCTGAAGGAAGAAAATAAAAATACCAAGAAACGCAAAATCATTTTCTAACATAGGATAATAGATTCATATTCCATTTTGAGGACATAGATCCAAAATCATCAGGGATCTCGTTTAACGCTCCAAACTGAAAATATATAAACGATAGTGACCTTCTTCTTCAAAAAACTAACCGAAGAACGAGAATCAAGGGCGTTTTCATTTGAAAAGGGAAGGGAGTTTTCACTTTGAATTCCTTCTGCTGTTGGGATCTAAAAATGAAGCTTCCTTGTCCAAAATTTATCTTTTCTTTCTCTAAGTTTTTTTATAGATCAATAAAATTTCACAATTGAAAGTTTGCAAACGACCGACCTCATTTGTTCGCTCCCCGTTTCCATCGTTTTCCAACGAGTGATCCGGGGTTTCCTCTCTCTGACGGTCTTCTTCTTCTTCGATGTCAATCAAAATAGCATCCGTCTAAAAACTCCCTTGTATTTCCAATATTAAAAAATGACCTTTCAAAAAATGTTACATTTCTGGAAGTTTATTTGAACATTTAAACAAACATGGCTAGGAGTGAAGTTTTCCATCGCTGGATCGACTCCCATCAGACATTCCCGATCACCCATAATCTTCTTTTAGACATAAAAACGACGAATTAAGTGGAAGCGAGAGATTTACACGCTGAAAATAAAACCTTATAGTGTTCGAAGGGATTTTGCTGAATTCTAACTCTCAGAATTGAACAGGTTCTCAAAAGGATCTAAAACATTCTCAAGGGAAACGAACGATTCCGTCGAATCGCCCAAAGCCACTTTGAACGCGCGCCATAGCGCCATAAATTTCAAATTTGAACTAAAAAAATCTGCAGAGGATGGGCGCCCAAAAGATGGTACTCAGCAGCTACGAAAAAATGCACAAAATTCGAAAAATTAGTGAAAAAAGTTGAGAAAACTCTTGCAATTATTTGAAAAGATTTTTTGGAGAAAAAAAAAAGAAATTTATTTCCAAGAATCCAGTTTTTGGGTGGAGGCGAGAACCCTAAAGTTCGTGAGTTTCGTTAAGAAATCATTTAGCTCTGATTTCTAATATTGTTTACAAACAAATTTATTCTATTAAAATTTTCATATTATCCAAAAAAATGATAAAAAAATTTTTCTCAGTACAATTTAATATTGTGAAATCCAGTGCGCTGAATTTTGTATACACGGAAGCAGTAGCGTTCGGTATATAAGAACAAAAAAATATTATATAGGTAGATTACCTCTCATTGAATAAACATTTATAAATATGGAAAAGATTGAAATGAGAAAAGTTCAAGAGCATTTAAAAAAAGGGGGTTTTTTGATTAAGTTCGAAAAACCATCAAAAAAATTTAAAAATAATGTAATTTAGATTATTTATATAATAAAACTTCAAACTTCATCAGCAAATTCAATTATTTAAGTTACACGAATTATGTTCACAAGAGGACAAAAAAAAGATACAAAACCGTAGAAACAAATGAAGAACCCGAAAATTAAAAACTTCAAACTTTAGAAAGTTTCCATATGACCCAAAGTTTATTCAAAATAAACATTTTATTCTCTGCAAAAAAAAAACGTGAAACCCGTGGCAATGTGTCATTTTTCTGATATCGAAAAAATTCACTGCAAAAAACCACGTAACAACGTGTCATTTATTCTTGTATAACCTGGCTTCAAATATCATTTCTGCTTCCCTCACGTGTCGTCTTGCTACTGCAGCCAACGTCAAGATGAGTTTTGAACTTCCATAAAACGTCTAATTTCCAAAATAAGTTTCTAAGTTGTAAGCGCTAGTAGATTAGGCCCGCGGGACTCCCGGAGTGCCGATCCTTTTTGCTCGCAAATTGGATACGCAAAGTCACGCCGAAGCCCATTCCGGTGGCCGAAGCACAAACTGTTGGCAGCGCGAAACTGACAAAGCGATGATGGGACCCCCGCGGAAAATGCCGTCACGGCTTTCGGCGTCTAGGATTCTTAGTTATGACAAGGCCGAGCGGAGCTCTAGCGCACCGCCTAGTTAGTTCTTTCTGACTGGATAAAGTTTCTCTAACTTACTTACGACTTTACATAGCTAATCAATCAAAGCATTCAAAACAACTATTTATATCCTCTTTCTCCGCATTTGAAAGTCTCTTATCTTTGGAATTCAGTTAATCGCTATGACAAGAATTCCGCCTTCCTTGATCAAAGTCGCAACGACGTTGTCAAACTAGACCCATGGCGGACGGAGTTAGATCAACTGCGGCTGAACAATACCAGGTACCAGCCCAATGCTCTTAAAAGCAGCTGAGGGTTTTTGTGTTCTGTGTTAAATTGCAAAGGAGAAAATAAATAAAAGTAACTTCACAATGGCTGAATCGCTCCTCACTAGTACAAAAAATGAATTATCGTTTATTCAAAACTGAATAACATATGTTCAAAACAGGCTAACCAGGCTTGTGCGAGGTCCCGATTGAAAATGAATTGAACATTTCTCATATCAATCTTTTTCATATTCATAAATTTTCATTCGATAAGAGGTAATCTACCTATATATTTTGTTTTTAATTTGCAATGAAAAGAGATGGTAAATGTTCGCTCACAGACAGAATTACGTCAAATACATGGCAGTGAAAAATCGTTAATTCTAATTTTTCGTTTTTTCAAATACACTGCTCCACATAATTATATATCCACCTGAGATTTTTTTGAAAAAAATCGAATATTTTTGAGAGTTTCTGAAAAATCTTTTTGTTGTCAAAAAGATGGGAATTTCGATCAGATTAATATAGCTATCAACAAAGTTCCTATTGAAAAAAATAATTTTTTTTAAATTTCAATTTTTCAAAAAAAACCGAATTTTCCGTTCCACATAATTATATATCCACCTAAAACTTTAAACTTTTTGAATCATTTTTTCCGGTTTTTTGTATCAGTTATCATTTTCTCATCATTTTTGTTTGAAAATAAGAAGAATAAGAGCAAAAAGGTTTTCCAAGAAGTTGAGGAACCTTGGATTTAATCAGAAAACGGTCGCGGTGCTCTTCATTACATCAGCTACTCTTGAATCGATTATGATGTGAATATTTTGATTCCATAAGTACCTTTGTACTTGTGAGCAACAATTTAAGTTCAAAAAACTTCAGTAAAATATTTTTTTGCACTGAAAGGAGGGAGTTTTCCGATAACATTTATGAATTTTTTGCAGTTTTGCCAAAAATAGGAAACTTAAAATGTCTTCGGACCATTTCTGTAAACTTTTTCTGAGATAAAATCGTTTTTTTACTTCAAGAATAGTCGGTCTCATCAAAAAAACCTGCTTCTAGCAAAGAAGAATGACCGAATGCGGTAAATAACTAAGGGAATTTCAAGTCAAATTCATAGGGATCTGAACTTTTTTTTCTTCGAATTTTAAATTACTTTTTTCTTCTCATGATTGAAGATTACAGTTATATTTTTGTTTTAAAACATTGAATAGTCCATAATTATCCTTATTCAGCGAAAAAAATTAAACAGAAAGTCAACACAATCGAAATCACGAAATATCCTTTTTTGACTCTTGTTTCTCTGAAATTTTTTCAGCTTTGAGATTTTTTTTGTCAGGTTTTTCTGAGTTAAACTATTTCTGATTCCCTCCTCAGCCTTGTTGCATTGTAGATTAAGAATTTCTCCGCTCAATGACTGAGAAAAGCGAGTTCAAGTTGAAAAAAACTGATAATTTTGTCAAAGGCGCTCACGGTTTTTGAAATTTTTTCAAAAATTTGACGCCCATTTAGGAATCTTTTTGTGATAAACTTTTTTTCAAAACTTCTGAGTTAATCCTGCATATGAAAAATTCAACCCTCACATTGATGACTGTGGAGCTGGAGTACAAAACAGCACCGCGACCGTTTTGTGATAAAATCCAAGGTTCCCCCACTTTTTCGAAAATCGTTTTGCTCTTATTTTTCTTATTTTCAAACAAAAATGAGGAGAAAATGATAACTGATACAAAAAACCGGAAAAATTGGTTCAAAAAGTTTAAAGTCTTAGGTGGATATATAATTATGTGGAACGGAAAATTCGGTTTTTTTGAAAAATTGAAATTTTTTAAAACATTTATTTTTCAATAGGAATTTTGTTGATAGCTATGTTAATCTGATCGAAATTCCCATCTTTTGACAACAAAAGTTTTCAGAAACTCTCAAAATATTCGATTTTTCGAAAAATATCAGGTGGATATATAATTATGTGGAGCAGTGTAGAGCGGTAAACGGCTAAGGAGCGACGTTATACAACCAATTTAAATGGAGTTATTCTAAATAAATAATAAATGTTTATTCTATGAGAGGTAATCTGCCTATATATATAGCTATATAATATTTTTGTTTTTTTAAAAAAAGCCTGTTTAAGGCGGCCGGTCGGATCACGTTAGTCAGAATAGGTTTTTCGGTAATAAAATAAAAGCGAATGTACTTTTTGCGGCGCAATATTGCAATATTGAACGGCCGCCGTAACAATTACTTTGAAATGAAATGAAATTTTCATTGTTCGCAATCTTTTTCATATTTATAAATGTTTATTCGATGAGAGGTAAATCACCTATGTAATATTTTTTGTTTTTATTTCGCAATGAAATGAAACGTTTATTGTTTGCTCACAGACTAAATTCTGTGGCGTGAAAGAAGAGAACCAGAGACTTTAATAGCGTCAGCATTTTCAAGTGATCCCTAAAACTGCTCAGAAACGTCCGCAACACAGAAAAAATGAATCAAAGAGGTGTGAAAAAGCGCGCTTTCAAAGATAAATCTCTTGTCCATTTACGTGAGGCAAGATGTACAAATACCGGAGGCTGGGAGTAGTAAGAAAAATTGAATAAAAAAGAAAAATATCAAGTTCATAAAGTTAACACGCCTGTTTAAGGTGGCCGGTCGTATTTCGGTAGTTTGGATAGGTTTTTCAATAATCAAATGAAAACTTGTGTACTTTTTGTGACGTAGCTTACCTTGTAACCTCGAGAAATAAGTCCTTGACAGAGTGAGAAAGAAAATTTAAAAAATTTCCTGGCTCCGAAACTGACGGCGCAATATTGACCGGCCACTAGCCGCCGTAGTACTGTCTCAAACATGCGTGTTAACCGGTTGAAAAGTTTCCGCGTTTGCGCTTCTCGAGGTTTTCGTAATTACACAATAATATCGTTCTCTTGACGTAATGTTGCACACAAACGCTTTATTTGACGCAAATGTTAATTTCCTGTTTTTGACTGACCAAATTGGTATATAGTCTGTTCAGATTTTGAATGTCATGCCGTGTTCAAAGTAATTTACGCGAAATGCAAAATGATCTCTGACTCTCCAAAATTTAGTGATCTTTTCCTTTCTCTAACTGGTATTTTGCATTTCGCGGAATCAAATTGAACACGGCATCAAGCAGCTAACTCCACCCCCAAGGCTACAATATCCTTCGCGTCAATGTTTTATATCCAGATGACGATGAACCTTTAATAATGCTGCCTTTTTGACTTCTTTTTCTATCCTTTAGATCAAAAAAGATCAAAATTAGTCCCGCGCGATAAAACATCGACGCGAAAAGGTACCGTCTCAGCAGGGGCGGAGTTAGCTGGTTGACATTCAAAATCTGAACAGACTATATTAATTTAGTCAAAAAATTTATGTATCATTTACATATAATATGTCATATACTTTTTTTTTGTTATCGATTAATGATTTCGATCGAGAACGGCCGTCCGTTAACGGATGGAATGAGGTTGGTACTTTTTTCTTTAACTTTCAAATTTGTACCTAAAGCCGTCGAAATTGAAATGGTGGACAAGAAAAAGTTTTAAGGTTTTTACTCTGATAACCGCATCTCTAGGAAGGCAGTTCGCATACATGACCTTCAGAAGCACATGATTACTTCGAATGTACGGCTTCGATACTCTCGCCCTCATTAGGTTTCTTCTATCTATTCAGAATTCTGACCGGGAGGGATTTTTGAAATATTTTCCTATTTGATCCAGTATACTGGTACAGTCGCTCAATATGCCGGCTTTCAAAATATCACTTTCAATTGCATTTAATCAAAAAAAAAAATAAACGCTTTTTCTGAAATTTCGAAGCTGCCTTCGCTAACTGTTAATGAATTTCAAATTTCTACTGGTCGGCTAATCGGTGCTTGTTTATTAAACACCAGTGCTTTGTTAACCGGCCAAAATGAAAATTTTGTATTTTCCTGGTGCAAAATTTTAAATAAAATTAAACTTCTCATTTCATCTCTTCGGAGAGCTGTGTTTTTTTCCACTATTTTTGGAATGCTAGTGTTTTGAAACTCTTAGTACATCTTTATAAAGGTTACGCGCTCTTGCAGGTTGCCGCGGCAACCAACCCCTCCTCCGCTCGATTTCTTGACCGCTAACTATATTAGTTGAGCTATCCTTAGTTTGATATTCTCTTTTTTTTCCCTTGGATCTTATTAGATGAGTCTTTTCGGAATTTTTCAGCTCGCATTTTGAATATTAGGTTGGCCTGTTAGAAATGAGCGTTGAGTTGATCTAATCATGTTTTACACCCAAGCTGGAACTTGAAAATGACATTCTTTCTTCGCATATGCCTCGGTGACTGTTCCAAGATGGTTGGAACATACCATTCAGATATATTCATTTGTATAATTTGTTTTAATGGTAATTTTTTTAGTGGGCTTACCTATAGTTTTCAAAATAAATAGAAACTTAGAAATAATTTTTATCAGTTACAAAAAATTATTGCGTTTTTCAGATATAAAAAAAAATGAAGGATCGAATTTTTGTTTGAACAAAAACTGGCCTAATGTCACAAATCGGCGGGATGGACTTTGCCGGGTTGGAAGATCTGTTGAGAAGTGACGGCGAGTCCGAAGAAGAAATATTAAATTGGTATGAAAAGATCGCCGAGGTTTGTTGCTGCCTTTTTTCGGGGTTCAATTTTTCTAGCGGACAGAAATATGATGAAAACCACCATTTTTTTCTATATGAATAAATATCAAAAACTCACCGATAACAGACAATTTCAGTATGAAATCGACGGAAATGAGTCGACCGACGAGATCAACTTGCTGTTTCAAGCCACCAAGTGTGTTTCGATTTGCTAGAAGTTCAACATTTATCGATTAAAAGGTACCTGATGAGCTACGCTTTCACTTCGGCCGAGGAACTGCGAAGCGTGACGGAAGCTGAAGCCGTGGCGATGGCGGAGAGAGAAAACGCCTGGGAAGAACAGCGGGCTCTTCTCAAGGTTTTCCCTTCCGAGATCGGAATGAAAGAATCCCTGAAATCGTTTTCTCAGTTTCACCTCTCTTTTAGTTACGATCATTGAATGAAATTTCAATTTAAACTTATCAGAAATTATTTAAAAAGTCTATTTGAATTGAAAGACTTTCAGGAGGAACTTGAAGAGCTACGTGAACAAATAACTTCAAAAGCAGATATTGGAGATTCGACAGCCACTTTTAGGTTATTTTTCCTCTTAAAATGTATTTCGTGCGGCACGATTCGACACTTTTCGGTCACATGTTGAATGGTTCGACTCTTGCCGGTCGTGCTGCGGTTTCAGTTGAACTATCAAGATCCGCTTCGTATCCGCTTCGCAGTTTTTTTCAAGTTTTGAAGCCATTCCCCATGCGACCGAAGGGCTCCTAGTCGAGACGAGTCAACTATATCAGATATTTTTTTTTTGAAAATAGAACTCTTTGATTGAAACTCAAAAATAGTTTTTAGAGCTCAAATCGAAAGTTTGAAAGAAGAAAACCTGCAGTTACAACAGTTTGGAAGGGACCGCGACAGAGAGATGGCCGACCAGAGAGACAGGTTTCGTTCTTTTTAATTCCCCTCATTTTTTGAAACAATATTTATAATTTTTGAAATTGAGTTCGATCATACGTGGGCGCCGACCACTTTTTTCACTTTCGCACGGTCCCACGCGTGACGTCACATGACGTCATAGCGGCCAAAACTGTAAACAACCCAGCGCGCTCTCGCGGCGTTCGCGCGCGCTGAAACGCTCACAGAGTTTTTGAATATTTTACTTATGAAAGACTTTTTATAATAATGCAAACAACTTTTTTTCCTTTTCTATTTTTTTCAATCATTAATGTTTTTTTATAAAAAAAGTTCCGTGGAGAAAAAAATCGGAAAAAAAGGCTAGAAAAATGTTTTTTTGGTTTTTTTCTTGATATTTTTTTGTGCGAAAAGAGAAGTTTTAAGTCACAAAATGCTCTTATTTTTTTCTCTAGAAATTTTAAATGCCGCTAAAATTTGCTTCAGTGAGAAACCTTACAAAAAAATTTTTAAATAACTACTGAAAAAGAACAATACACATTTAAAAAAAGTTTGAAATATAGATTAAATCTTATTATGAAAAACATTCGAAGTTCATATAGAAATCTAATTCTAACTATTGAAAAAAATTTAATAATCATTGCATCATGAAGACATTTACAGGAAATGCTTTCATGTTAACAAGAGCGAAACCTGCCTTGGTCTCCTTCAATTTTTTTTCTACCTCATCAGACTCATCAATGTTCAGAACGAAATTTATTCTGGAATATTAGTATAATAAGAGAGGTAGATAAGAAAAAAATACATATATAAAAACCATGTTTTTAGAGTATTTATGCAGAAAAATTTTGGCGCGAGCATATTTTTTTAAATAGTTTATAAGTTTGCGCCGTAAGTAAAAACTTGTTTTGGTTCTACTTTTCCTTTCTCACTCATATGAAAGTTTTCCTTTAAAAAATGGGAGTTTGTTAACACTCCTCGTGGCCTTTTCCCTCCCCTGTAGCATTTCCATATCATCTCAATATTACGAAAAAAGTGATTTTATTTGAAGAAAAGAAGCCGAAAACTTCCGAGTTTTCTCAAAGTTTAAAGTTCTGTGAAAAAAATAATTAAGCTGAAATTTCTGAAAAGTCGTAACTCCATCAACGATTTGAAAAAAATTCCACTAAATTGGAATCCAATCAAAGTTTTGAAGTCACGTAATCAATTTTTTTTAAATAGTTTAACAATTGCTCACTATTTTCATAAAGATTCCTAACTCCAAAACTTCCATTTTAGGTTTCTTTTTTGCTTGGTGATACATAATTTCCCCGGACTTCAAAACATAAAAAAATTGATGCAGTTGATGAGAAGCTCTCGATTTGATTTTTTCGAATAGAACGGAGAAAGGGAGGGCGAAAAATTTGAGGTTTCTTTCCCAAAAACTTCTTCTGTAATATTGTTTGAGCGCCTATTAATCTGACACTCTGAAGTTGTTGGCAAAAACAAAAAAACTGATATTACAATATTAAAAATATACTCCTTTTTTTCAATAAAACAGCCTAAAAAATGTTTCGCATTGTTTTCCTGAGAAGTTACTAGCATTTAGATGAAATTTTCAACTATTTTCTTCAACTCACCTTTTTGTTTCAAAGCGTAGGCGTTTCGCGCAAAAATTTGTCACTTTTGTCCAGGCTTGTGCGGCAGGCCGGCCGGCCGGCCTGCCCGGGCTTTGGGCCCCAATTTTTTTAAAAAAGCCTACGCGAGCTCGGGTCAGGCCGGACTTTGGAAAAAAAAAATCTTGAATTTCATTTTTTTCGAAATTTCGCCGAAAAATAATTTTACTTGTTAAATCATAGTTTCTTATAACTCTATGAGGATAAATAAGTAAAAAATCCCACTTTTCTCGTTAAAAAAGCGAAAAGTTGAAAATGAAAAAAATTTGAGCTTTTTGGGCCGGGCCGGCCATTTTTGCTTGAGGCCCTTCTAAGGCCGGGCCGGGCCGGGCTTGGGAAGTGACCGGAAGGCCGAGAGGTTGACGGGCCGCCCCTCGCACCTGCTTTTGTCATACTGCTTTTCATGACTCATATTAGTCTTCATTGTGCTCTGGTCTACTACTATTCGGGAAATATGGAAAATTGTTTCAAATCGAGATCATATCCGAGCATCCCCAAGTGTACAAGTGCAAAAATGGGGCAAAAAAAAAAAAAGCATAATGAAAATCCCAATTTTTTTAAATTTCCTAATATCAACGTACCTCAGAAACACAATGAAACCAAAGAAAAATTCATAGACGAAAACAGAAATAAAGGAATAAATCGAAAAAAATCTTGGACCAAATTCCATCTCCAGTTTTGAAATTTTTACATTTACAATTACTGGTACACTCGGAGACATGATTCATCAAAAAAATTCAATGAAAAAAATTAGGTCTGCCAATAATAACTTCAAACTGTGAAAAATAATTTTTTTCTTTTTTTCCTTAAGAAAAATTATTTTCAAAACCGAAATTTTTTTATAGAGATGCCTATTCTAGTTTAAAAAATTGATCGTTCGACCGACCGTTCGAACAATAGTTTTTCAACGCGTCATAATAAATGGTCATTGGTCGAACGGTTGGAGTTTCAACATTTCAACATGTCACTTAAGAGTGACATGTTGGTTTTTGACTGTTCTAAATGTCACTCTCAAAATGGTCGGTTTAGTAGATTTCAGAAACTGGTCGGTCAAACGAACGGTCAGAAAAATGACATGTTATAACCGTTCGAAAACTGAACAGTGAAATCATTCGAACGGTCTTATTGATCGACGGTCAAATTTTAAAACACTAATGTCCACCAAGTTTTGACGTCTACTTTCTTTTATAGTCTCTTACTGAAAAATTCCAAAAAAAAGAACAGCCTCTAACTTGAACAGTTTTGTTAACAAAACATGGTTCTTGACCAGTTTCTCTTTTAGTAAGTAGATGTAAAGGTTGTTTTATTGACTTCGTTGGTTTGGCATGGTGCGCCAGTTGGACTGGGTAGGGTGCGCCCGGGGCTATAACTCGTCTCAAAATGGTCAAATCAAGTTCCAAACTGACTTTTAGCCTTAAAACAATGACCTCACTCATTTATGAGAAAACTGGATCAAAAAGTCCGCATTTTCCCAATTTTCAGTTTTTACCGGTCCATACCGGTGCTCACCGGTTAATGATAAAATTTGCTCAAAAAAGGCTTCTAGGCATTCAAATCGTCTGGAAAATGATTTTTCATGAATAAAAAGTGGAAAAAGTTAACTTTTTGATGGTTTGGCATGGTGCGCCAGTTGGACTGGGTAGGGTGCGCCCGGGGCTATAACTCGGCTCAAAATGGTCAAATCAAGTTCCAAACTGACTTGTAGCCTTAAAACAATGACCTCACTCATTTATGAGAAAACTGGATCGAAAAGTTCGCATTTTCTCAATTTTCAGTTTTTACCGGTCCATACCGGTGCTCACCGGTTAATGATAAAATTTGCTCAAAAAAGGCTTCTAGGCATTCAAATCGTCTGGAAAATGATTTTTCATGAATAAAAAGTGGAAAAAGTTAACTTTTTGATAGTTTGGCATGGTGCGCCAGTTGGACTGGGTAGGGTGCGCCCGGGGCTATAACTCGGCTCAAAATGGTCAAATCAAGTTCCAAACTGACTTGTAGCCTTAAAACAATGACCTCACTCATTTATGAGAAAACTGGATCGAAAAGTTCGCATTTTCTCAATTTTCAGTTTTTACCGGTCCGTACCGGTGCTCACCGGTTCGTTGTCTGGGAACTCCAAAAAAGGGCCAAACCAATTGAGAAAAAAGATGAATCAAGATTGAAACCTAAAAAAAGTCGTCTGCATTGTTTTTTTTTTTTGATATTAGTCCTCTTAAAATGCAAAAAAGTTAAAATCTATGATTAGGGACCGCAGACGAATTTTCAAAAAAATTTTTTCAGCATTGAGCTTTGTATGGTTCGATAGCTGTTTCGATTCAAAAACTCAGAACCGTTTAGTTTTTTTCAAAAAAAGATTGAGGATGAAAAAAAGTTATGACGGAAAAGGTGGCGCGCCGCGCACCATGTTTTTTTAGTACTGAAAAATTTGGTATTTCCATTTTTTTGACATTTTTTTCTCGATTTTTTTCTTCTAGAACAAGTTTTTGATACTGGTCTATTATGATGTAACAAATCATAATAGAGTGCTGAAATGATGCTAATCAGCTAGTTTGCCGAAAAAGTCGGTATTTTCCAGAAAACAAAAAACTGGCGCTTCCGGGCATCGAACTCGCGACCTCAAAATGTAAAATCGGAGCGCACGCGTTGCGCCAAGCTGTTAGGTCCAATGCGGGGAGCTTCCATCCGCCATACCCTTGAGCCGTTTGAATAGCACAGATTGCCTATTTCAAAAATAAAAACTTGAAGTAATTTAGCTATTTTTTTATCAGAATATGTTCGCAAATCTTTACTCAAACGTTTCGTGGAAATTCACTTCGAAAAAAACTGTTTTTTTAGTGCTTTTTTTGCCTCGTTTAACGATCGCTGCATTAAAACGGCCCCGTAAATTTTTGGCAAAGACGAATTTTTTATTTTATTCTTTTAATTGAAAGATTTTTTACTAATAAATGTATATAATCATTTGAAAAACCTGCGTTCGACCGCTTTCTGTGTGATAAACGCCGCTAATTTTTTTCTCTAGTTTCAAGAGCATTTTTGCGTATTAAACAACTTTTTCAAGCACAGGTGCTGTGGAGAAAAATTTAAGTAAGACCATGGTCTAAATTTTGAAAAAACAAAAACTCGATTATATTCGCTTATTAACGATATTTTGAATTATGACTTTCGGCGCTCCCTAAAATTTTTGGCAAAGACGAATTTTTTATTTTATTGTTTTAAAATTACCGTTACTTGAATCAAAAATCATTATTTAAAAAAAGAAAGAGTGCGTTCGACCTAAAAAAACACATGAAAAAAAGCAAAAAAACGACAAAATTTTTTTAGTTCCATTCACGTTTTTGTACGACATTCCGCGAGAACGCATCAAAAAAGCGTGAAATATTTTTTAAACGAAAGAGGAGGCTTTTCTGTACATGTGTGTCAAATTTTATTCGCCAGTTCCACATATTTTACAACTACAACAAAATGAAAGTTGAAAACCAAAAAAAAGCCACTTTTTCTATCGCGAAAAGGGGCGTGGCTTTGCGGTCCCTATCTATGATCCCATTAAAAAAAATATTATATAGCGGAAAAAACGAAAATGCACAATATGGACGATTGCTTTGCGACAGTGAGCGAAAATGACATCATGTGACGTCAAAAAACGCTTTTGGTATGGTGCGACGAAAATTGGGTATGGTGCGCTGCCAGTTGGGGAGGGTGCGACATGACGTCACTATTAAATTTAACCGCCGCCCACGTATGAGTTCGATTCAAAATGTTTATAGGTTTGAAAGTATCGTTTCGAGAGTTGAAGCCGTAACAAGGGAGCGAGACGGACTGATCGACCATGTAAGTTTTCTCCAATTTACTTCAACTTTTCATTTCACCGAGGGAGTACTCTGGGTGAGCAGTTAGAATTTTATTTTAAGTTTATCCGAACTCTCTCTAAAGTTCTGATTTAGAGATGGCGGTCCGCATTCCGCGAAAAAAATGTTTTGTTTTTCGAATTCATAGGCAGTTTCATAGAAATGTTCCTTTTAAGGTGAGAGAGGTTCCTTTTTTGGCTCAATAAAGGGACTCTTTTTGCTGCCTTTCTGCGGCCTTTTTAGAGCCTCTTCCTTTCAGCGGCCATTACCCACCATTCCGTTTCTGCCCGAGTTTCGCGTTTTTCGATATGACTTCTCAAAATGTACTTTGATTCTTTTCAAGTTTTTTTACAGTTCAGTCGTTTGTTCGCACCCGCTAACTGTCGGAAAATACATAGCTACCACCTTTACAATCCAAAAAAATTCTGAAAAAAAATTGTTCCGCATTCCGCGATTTGAAAATTCAGTTCAGTCCATCTCTGTTTTGAATAATGACGTCATGCGCAAGTTTTTTTTTGTTTTTTTTTTAAGGTGTGGTTTTCAAATTTTCAAAGTTCACTTCAGAAATAGGCCTGCAACAAAATTCCCGGAACTTGAAAAAAAAAACATTATTTTGAACTAAAATCTAAAAAAATGTCGGGATGAGGACCTTTTAATGAAGTTTTGCGTATTTCCGAGTTAGAGCTAACTTTTCTATGCAGAAAATCCACCTGGAAGACACGATACGAGAGCTAAACCGGCGTATTTCGGCGAAAAGTGAAGAAAGTTCGTCGGATTGGGAGGGCCGAAAGTTGCGCCAACGCAACGAACAAGCTCTGACTCTGAGTCGCCAACTCCAGGTGTCACATTTGTTCTGTCCAAAAGCGAAACCTTGGTTTTCAGGCCGTTGTTGCTCAGAACGAAGAGCTCCGCGAAGAAATTGAACGGGTCAGTGAAGCTCTTCAGGAAGCGACGCGAATTATTGAAGATAGCGCTTTGAGGTTTGAAGATAACAATGTTTCCATTATCCCAATAATTTCTTCTTGCTATTTTCGATGTTTGAGGTACACGGACTTGTCCGAAGAGCTGGAGAACGCTCAAAAACGGGTCCAAGAGCTGGCCGACCAGAATCGGAGATTGACCGAAGGACTTCCTGACAAGGTTCAAAGACAAAAAAGAAAGCCTCTTCTAGAAGAATCCTATATTATATTCCCACCGAGAAAAAATCCTTGATTCGAAAAAAAAATACGCGGTTAAAATTCATTAAATTCATATGATAATGAGACAGAAAAACAATCAATTCGAAGCTCTAAATTTTTATGATTTTCGGTGTTGACATCAGTTCAAAATCGAAAAATAATTCTAGATCGTGGAAAACTTGCCCAAATGCATTTCTGCAGCGGAAAAGATGCTTTCTGGCGCCAGTACCGACAAAATTGACTTCCTATGGCAGGTAAGCTTGCAAGAAACAAAACGCAAAATTTTTGGGCCGAACCGGGGATTGAACCCGGGACCTCTCGCACCCAAAGCGAGAATCATACCACTAGACCATTCGGCCGACGAGGGTCGTGGCGCCGCTTTTCGGCCTCCTTCCACTTGCCTTCCAGTGTTGAACATGTGTCCTTCAGATGTCAGAACTGCTTTTGCCGAGTTTTTTGACGGATCAAGATTTTCAAGCTCTGCAGGACACTACGGGAAGGACTTTGGAATTGGAGTTACAGGTGAATTTTATTCTTTTCGAGTAAAAGGTCGTAGTTCATTGTTAAAAGTTTTTATAAAACATAAAAAAAAATTTGAATTTTTGATATCAGTTTACCGAAATGAAAAGAAAAGAAAACAAATTTTAGGACAAAATCGATCGTTCAGAACAGAAAATTGGATCGCTACAAGAAGAGTTGGCGGCGTCAGTTGTGAGTTTTTGTGAAAATTCAATTTTCGAAATTGATGGCGTTCAGGAGGAAACCAACAATTTGAGAAGACTGATCAGAGAAGATCGAACGGCAGAAAAAGAAGAGGAGCTGGAGCAACTCAGAATGGAGCTTGTGTCAGCTACCAGGTTAGCGAAATGAAATCATATCAATTACAGAGAAACAAAATGAACTCAGAACGAAAGTGAGCTTTGGAGATATCCCTTTGTCATGAAAATCTTCTATCAAGTATTGAAAAACTAGAAAGAATTGACCACACTGGAATGGCTTAACGCGTAATGCGTAATAACGCGTAATAAACGCCAAACGGTTCCTATGAGCGGCCCAGGTCATTTTCAGATATCTCTTTTTCGTTAGAAATTCTTGAGGTCTTCTCTTATGAAATTATCAGAGAACTCAGTTCTGAAGAATATAGGAAAATGTGTTTTTGAATCGTGTCAGCACAGAAAAAAAAACGAAGAAAGTTGGAAAGCTTCCCTTTTCGTAAACGGATAAAAACCATGTCATTTTGAGTCTTGCTCGGAATTTGTTTGGCGAAGCGATGCTCGACAAGTCCGGCGGCGATGCGACCTTAACTCTGCAAATGAGGATTTTCCAACTGGAACAGGCTGGCGATGAACTTCGGAAGAAGGTTTTCTTGGGAAATAGATTGGACTCTGAAATTTTCATTCAGATTGAAGAGAACGAGAAGAAAGAGGCCGAATTGCTGAGTTCGATGGAGGAAAAAGACATGCTCAACATGGACTTGGCGGCGGAACTGGAGAGATTCAAAAACGTTTGCTTTTTTCTTTTTCCAATACCTTCTTTTTGTTATTTATATTGAATGAAAAAAGTACATGTTCAACTATTTAGCATATAGACTTGCAAAAACTGGAAAAAGTTAGAAAAACTAGAATTTAATAATTACATGAGAGGCTGTTTAAACATCTTGTTTTGTGTTTTTTTCAAGCTTTTTTTGAATTTTATTCCGTTTTCTGCACATTGACAGGTGACTTTTGGATCGGCGAGAGAGGAAATTCGACGGCTCGAAACTCAGCTGAAGTTCCGCGACGAGCAAATCGCAGAACTGCGGCGCCGATGCACGTTGCTCCACGTCGAGTTGGGCCAGTACGCCGAGAAGTTAGATGGAAATCCCGAACAGCGTCTGAAGACGTCGATCAAGAAGCCAACAACTTTGAAGACTGCTGGCTCTGATCGAAAGGTGCTTCATAAACTGAATACAAGGATGCAAAAACCGATTTGGACGTGTTTTAGAGTATTTTGGGGCCCTTTTAAAGTCCACAATCTCACATAGATTTTCGATGAATTAGATGGAGTTTTTGGCCAATTTCAACGCTTTTTTTTTCTTGGTTTCTGAGGTTGAACTTTCGAAAAACTGCGGTTTTCTAGTAAATTTTCAAGAAATTCTACCGAAAACTGTCATGTATTCTATTGTCACTTTTTCTGATTGTACGAAAAATGTAATAACGATGAAAAACGTCTGAGAGCTGAAAAAATCTGTTACAACTTTTCGGGCTGGACTTTGAAGTTTGAAGTTTCAGAAGCCACCTTCGACCCTTCCCAGAAAACCAAAGGAGCTGCCTTCGCCCCCTTTCACCGAAGAAGCGACGTCATCTGAACCAGAAGAAAGAAAACTTCTTCCGAAAAAGTCCGATCAAGTCGAAAAGTCGCGTGAAGCTCCGCCCAAAGACGTCGATTACTCAGAAGTTGCACATCAGGCCGTTCTTATCTCCAACCTCTACTTCGAGCTCATGCAACTTTTAGAGGTGAAATAATGATTTAAAAAAAGTTAGAAAGTGATGTTTTGATATTCGATTTCACTAGTTTTCGATCGATTAGCCTCACTTGAAACATCAGTAACACAATTTTTTCCAGGAACTTTCTCAGAAAGACGGCCAGCTGGCTCAAATGAAAGCAGCCGTGTCCGGAGCTCGAAAGAGCACAGAACAACTGAAAGCGCAGCTAAACGTGATTCTCAACCTTCTTCGCCTAAAATATGTTCAAAAAACGAATTTAGCTGGCTTATGACGAAATTCGAGAACTAAAACGCGACCACGACAATATTGTCGAAAAGACTTTGCTCGAAGCGAGGAAAACAGAAGAATCTCAGCTCAGGGTCAGCTTTTTTCCTCTAACTCACTGTGATAATATTTGCAGGCTCTGGTAGATTCATTGGGAAATCAAACAGAGCAGCAGAACGGCGAGGCAACCAGAAGATTGGTTATAGAGCGAATCGAAAGGATACGGTAGCTTCATTTTGACTGTGTCTTCTGTCCAACTAACGACTACAGCTTGGCCCGACAATGCGCGATTCTGAAAATGAAATGCTCGAGGGCCGAGGTAGCCGGACGAAGGATCAGAGATAACGCGAAAATAAGAGAGAGTGAGGATGGCAGACGAATTGTACGAATGAGATATCAGATGGTAAGTTAACATGAGCAATGGAATAAGTTTTAAAAAACATATTTTTGATTAACCGCGATCCTAAGACATTTCTCAAAGATGAGACTTAAGAATCTCCAGATTTACCCAAACTGAGCTTTTTTTTTCAAAAGTAAACAATTGATCGATTTGATTAAAATAAAAGAGAAGGACAAATTGCAGGATAATCTGAGCATTGAAATGGGTCGGCTGCAGAATCGAGTCCTTCAATCAGTCCACATCGAAGAACACGAAAAACTGCTTCGCAAGTACAAACAATTGGTGAAGGAAACGGTCGGAGTCGAAACCGCCGGTGACGTAAGTCTATTCAAAGGACGTCGTCAGAATGAGAAGCGGAAAATCTATGAACATGAAATATTGCATCGATTATAACAGATAACTTCAACCCATCATCTTACACGGGAAGTGCGAAAGGTCGAGGTATTGGAATTTAATAAAACTTGGTATATAGGTACTTCCGAACACCCTGAATCCAAAGCAGTTGAAAAAAAGTGCGCCTTTTTGGTTTTAGTCGAGTTAGGGCGCCTCAAAGTTTGCACGCAAAAAATGCATTGGAAGGGAGGAGGGAATGTGTTGCGGCGGCTAACTCTTGCTGCCAGCAGGCGGCGTGGTGTAGTGGCTAGAGGCCTTGCACTGTGAAACCTATGATGCAGGTTCGGTCCCTTATTGGTGAAATTTATTTTTGCCATTTTTTTTTGAAAAATGAGGAAGTTTTGATGATGGAGTGGAAGAACAGCTCAAAATTTTGAAATTCACCATTTTATGCCCATCTGAGAAAAAATTTCGACAAAAAATTTTTTTGCTCCATTTTCCTTGGCTAACCATAAGGCTTATGGTCGAACCATTCCTTCAAAAAAAATTTCTGATGAACCAATATGAACCAATAAAATCGAAGTTTTATGAGATTTATTCTTCCTTCCTCCTTTATGACGTTATGTGTTTAAAAATGTGTATTAAAGCCCAGCTTCACTTTATTTTCACAATCGAGATGATATGGCGAATCGCGATGCTGCAGGAATGAAAAAAAAGACAAGGAAAAGGGTTAACTAACCGCCATCTTTGAAGAAAAAAATCGTTTGATGAATAAGAATAGAAGCATAGAACTACAATAAGTTGTTATTTATGAAATAAAACTATGAACTCTCGCAAGAATAAACACGACGCCCAAATTTCCTGCACAGAGCATGACAAAAAAAGACTAAAAAAATTTTTTGTTGAAAGTCTTTCTCAAAACGACATAAAATAGTGAATTTTAACACTTTGAACGGTATTTTTCGTTCCATCTTCAAAAATTCATCAATTTTTTCGAAAAACTTTATGGCAAAAATAAATTTCACCAAAAAGGGACCGAACCTGCATAGGTTTCACAGCGCAAGGCCGCTAGCCACTACACCACGCCGCCTGCTGGCAGCTAGAGTTAGCCGCCGCAACACATTCCCTCCTCCCTTCCAATGCATTTTTTGCGTGCAAACTTTGAGGCGCCCTAACTCGACTAAAACCAAAAAGGCGCACTTTTTTTCAACTGCTTTGGATTCAGGGTGTTCGGAAGTACCTATATACCAAGTTTTATTAAATTCCAATACCTCGACCTTTCGCACTTCCCGTGTTAGATGCATATGAATGAACTGCAAACTCACAATTTAATATTAAGAAAGAAAAAAAATCGACGAAATTCGCACCTGAAACCAACTCGGCAGGTTCCATGTAGGTTCTAAGCCAAAAACGTCGGTGTCTGAAATAACTGAGATTCTCCCAATTAGAAAGATTAAGATAACTTAAAGTGTATTTTCAAGGTGCCAATAGGATCTCTCACCAACTTCCATTCGTAAAATGAAAGCTTTTTTTTAATCTTTGGAATGAGATATGAATCGAGGCTTCCAGTGCTCATTTCTAGAATTTCGTTCCTAATGAAACATTTCAGGAAATTCCACGGCAGACTGTTTCGATAACTCCGTCGTCGGTGACCAGCCCAGAACATGATGCCGAGACGACGATGCTGAAGAAGATGAATGACGTCATCAGCGAGCAGCACGACTTCTGGAGAGACGAGGCGTCGATGCTGCAGGAGGAGAACCACGAGCTGAAGAAGTTCATCGAGGACATGGAAAACGAGAGCGATTTGAGGAGCGTCTTGGGTGAGGCTTGAGGAGAGACTCTTTGAAGGAGACGACCCGCTTCAGGAGCTGTGGAACGACGTCTTCTGACGACGATTCGGGAGTTGCGGCAGAACGGGCGCGAGCAGGCGAGGGACAAGAAAAGCCGAGGCGACGCCAAGACGGAGTTGACGTTGGGACGCGAGAAATGGCGACACGAAAGGAGCGCCATCATCAATGTTGTGCAGATATTGCAGCGCGAGAATACGGTTGGTTTCGACAGAAAAGTTTTCTCGAAAAATTAGTTGATGGATTTAACGGATTCCCATAATACCACTAGCTGGATTAACACTTGTAAAGGAAAGTAATTTTTTTTGATGTGTGATAGAAGAAACATAGAACCATAATAAGTTGATACGTTGAGGAGATATTGACTGAAAAGACATATCTCAATGTTATTTATCTTCTAACCTTCAGACGGAGAATTCGAATTCGATTTACTGCAAGCTTATCATTTTTTTTTCAAAAATCATGTGAATCAACTGTTTATTAACATGACTAAAACTGAATTTTCTTAACTGTACCGTTTGCGCGTGGTTTCTGAATGACCTTGGGCAGTTCAGCTGCTTCGTTCGCAGTCCGTCGGAACCGTCAGTCTTCAACAATTGGAACTTTTACGAAAGAAAATTGTCGAAGCGAGAGAACTTCAGAGTTCTGCAACTGTGATTCGGAACGAGGTTTCGAAATATTTTTTTTTTGAGTCTGTTGTTTTTTTATTTGAGGCGAATCGACAAAAAGAGGAGGTCGAAATGGAGGCCCAGAAGTGGAGGGCAGCTAAATCTGCAAGGTTGCAAAGCTTTTTCTGAGAGTGCGAACAAAATATTTCAATTAACAAGATTTGGAATGGTCGCATGTGGAATGGCTCAATTTTCGACTGCTGCGTAGCAGATTATGTCCACCCAACAAAAAAAAGATTCTCGCTGGAAATAAAGCAAAAACTTGCAAAACCTATTTTTAGTGCGTAGATTTGAGCCGTTCTGCAAGCGAGAGGGTTCCAATTGGTCGCGAGTGAATCGTAGAACGGAAGAGTATTTTCAGTGATGTCCTACACATGTACCGGGACCTGGAAGTGGTCGAGAAACAGCTCGAAATCGCGTTTCTGAATAGTTCACAGCAGAGCGCAAAGGCGAAAACTCTGGAAAGATCGGTTCGATTCTATCTTTTGCTGATAAGGTTAAGATTTATTTCAGCTTCACACGAAAGAGCGACAGCTTGCCAACGTCAACGAGGAGCTGGAGGAGCTCAAAGAGCACAACACGGAGCTCATGACGGCTCTGGAAAATCTCAGAGATTTTCGTAAAGTCGCCACCCAACTGTCTGAGTTTCCGAAAAAGGAAGAGAACCTGACTTTGAGTTTGACCTCCGGAACATCTGTCAAATTACCGATGGCTGTGGAAAGCGACTACGAGAGCGACATCGCGTCTTCCAGTGGAGGTTTTTCGAAGAATACATTGTAACATGGGGAAAGAATATATTTTCTGGTTTTTTATATTTTTCGAATAAATCTTGGATTTTTCGTAGAATTTCGCTTTATTTCTAAAGCACAACTGGAAAATAGTTCCAGTATACTGTTTTTAAGAAGTAGGGAAGCTTGATATTAATGTAAAAGGTGGACAAATATTTCAACAAATCCTTCTCAAGTTTGCGAAAAGTCGAAATGATGTTCAAAAGGGAAAGATTACAGGTTTTCATTGGTTACTTCAACTTTCAGATTCGAGTCACGCGGAGAATTTCGTTGTGAGAACCGTGGTTCAAGACAATACCAAAGAGTTCGAAGCGAGGATACGACAGCTCAAGGAAACCGCCGAGGTCGCCCTGCGCGGATACAGGGTCACTTCCGAATCTTCTTCCGATGCTTTGTAAAAAGGAGAAAATCCTGATATTAGAGGGCGACCCTTGATTCGAACTTTTTCCTCTCGCATAAATTAGAAAAAGTATTGAATTTTCTAGGCTACTATACTTAAGTAAGATACTTTATTCAAACATAGAAAGCAAGACAAGAACAAGAAAAACGTATGATAGAAAAAAGAAAAAGAATATTGGTCAATAAGTGATGGAGAGGATAGCGACAAACAATGATCCGTGGTCAAATAAAAATATTTGGAAAACACTAATTCAATTTTTTCAATATAATTCAAAACTTTTTTTCAAAAATACTATTTTCTTTTGCCACACGCCATTTAAAAAAAGGTTCACTGAGCTTTTCTTTAGTTTTTCTCTCTTGTGAGCCGATTTGTTCAGGATTTCACATAAATTTCTTTTTCACCGCACTTACCTGACCATAAATCAGGCGAAAGAAGAAAAAGGCGAATAAAAGGTTTTTTCGTTTAGGAGCAATTGGCGCAAAAAGACGTGGCATTGGAGCAGTACAAGGAGCTGTTGAGAGAGCGACTGGGTTTGGAGCACGAAGAGACTCAGAGAAACGAAAAGCTCCGCGAGCAGCTCGAGCACGACTTGCGCGGGGAGCTGCAGGAGGCTGAGACTCGCAGCCGTCGACTTGAGGTTCGCCGCCAAACTCCTTATACTCTTTCTTGCTGAGAATGTTCAAAACAGTCAGCTTTCGCCTTGAGGTCGGCTTCTTTCATTTTGGCATGATATTGCTTTTTCTGATTTAAAACTGCTCTCTATTGGCTTTTCACATTTTTGACTCTTTGAAGCGTGAAAAGTGAAGTTTAACTTCAACTTTCTTCAATTACACACTTTTTTTTTTGAACATAAAAAAATGGATATCCTTCTTATATTATATATTGAATGAACGTTAAGTTCTTCAAAATCAGTTTAGGCCCTCAGTTTGAAATTTTCCAAAACACTCTTAGCTGTGTCCACCGCACCGGATTCATGGGCAAAGTTCAGAAAAACCTCGAAGAACTGACAGAAGCAAATAGAATTCTCTACTCGGAGCGTCGTCGCGAAGTTATTCTCAACGATGTAAGATTTCGAAGCGATCAGCTTTTTAAGATAGTTGTTTCAAAGGAATGGACTCAAACTCGGGAAGTACTAACGGAGAGGGAAGAACAGCAGCCGACGCCCAAGACGAACAACAGTAATTTGGCGATGAACGACGAAGATCCAAGGAGTTTGGACGTTGACAAGCTGTCGAGGAAGGTTCATCAGATCATATGATTCTTGGCCGAAGGAGAGTGTTCAGGAACTGGAGGAAGAAGTTAAAATGTTGACGGAAGAACTGAACAATCGTCACAAAGCTGATGCGGAACTCCAGCGTCAAAAGGCAGAAATCCGGTCGTTGAGGTCTAAATATCAACGGCTTAACATCACTAATAAGGTGAGAAACAGGAAAAACAGAAACCTTTTGAACGATTTCGGACTTGCAGGAGCTTCTGGCGACCTGCGAACAGATCCGAGCGGACGCACTTGCAGAATTGTCCTCTTTCAAAAGAAATAACGACAATGTTGATGCAAACGAAGTCGTCGGAATGAGGTATGATGAGCAATAAACAAAACAGTTCCATTTTGGAAGGAAATTTGTTTTCTTTGAATTATTTGAGGAACCTCGAGCATTAGGGTTGAAAATCATCCCATACCAATCTTTTTTTTTTGAGATTCGCGATACTTTAATACCCCTTAAAACAATTGTTGAAAGTATTTTCATCAAATCAAAATCTACTGATTTGAATATTCGACATTTCTATTCAAGCTGAGTTTCAGACTAGAGCTGGAGAAGCTCCGTGGCTCAAACCGAACGATGCGATCTCTCAACCAAAGTTTGAAGTCTGAAATTGTTGTTTTGAAGAATGAATTGTCTAGAATGGTCGAAAAAAAGGTTTACCCTTGTTTTTGGAATTAAACTTCGAGTTCTTCTTCAGATGGACGTCAACGAATGGGAACGGAAGAAAAGAAATGAAGAGCTGATTGCGAGTTTGAAAAAACGTCTTGTTGGTCAGTTTATGTTTTTTTCGGGTAATGACTATAATTTTGAAGAAAGAGAACGAAGTGAGAAAGAAGCGATTGCGAAATTGGCAAAAAGAGAAAAGTTACTGGAAGATTTGAGGCGCGAACAGACAGTAAGACATTTAGAATTCGAGAAATCTCAACGACGTCTGAAAGATGTTAGAAATGATAAGGTAATATTTTATCAGAAGGAAGAATATAATGAAATTTCTTCTTTCAGGAAGTCATGCAAAAATCTTTGGAAAATGTTAAAAATTTGAACGAGAAGGCGGCATCGTTCGAGGAAAAACTAAGGAAAAAAGAGCAGGTTTGTTTGATCCAAAATGATGTGATTTTTAAAAAGGATGAATCAAAAGTTAAAAAATTTGAATTTGCGTAGAAATGGAAATTTAGTGAAATACAGGCGTGATAACGCAGAATCATCGAAAGTTTTAACAAACCAATTTTTTCCACTTTTCTCTTTCCTATCAGGAACTTTCGACGATCACCGCGACGCTGCGACAATCTCAGCGCGACTTCGCCGACTACCGTAACCAAAAGGAGCAGACAATACTCGAGCTGCGTAACCAGAACGGCAGCTTGCAAACCGAACTTCAAAAATGGAGATTCGAAACAGAAAATCGATCTCAACGACAAAAGACTGAGAGAATAGCCGTCGAAACGCAGACGACCAAGCCTCGAGTGACCATTTCCGACAAAGTTCGTACAAGACTTTTTCGAAAACAAATTTGAAACAATAGAATTGAAACCAGCCGACCTTTTCTTCAGTAAATTTTTTTTGAAGCTGAAGTCTTTGGAGTGAAAAAGCTAAATTTTTCGCAGAGTTTTGATTGAAAGGCTCAGATCGAATGTATAGTTGTTCAAGTTCTTCGATAGTAATTTCGAATATTTGTTAGATTGAAACCATCATCATCAGTTTATTCATTTTACAATAAATAAAAGATTTCTAAGGGCCATAAGACCTCTTACCAACTCTAAGCAATAAACTCTTTCCAGGACTGAACTTTTCCAATTTGATTCGAGAAACTATAAGTGAATAACCCTTCGAGTTTAACATGGGAAAATGCCAGGAAACCTTTGCCCCGCCCCCTGCCCCGATGACGTCATCCTCATCGTCACCTCCACAGTCCTCATCCAGTTCTTCTTCGTCATCACGCAGTCAATCGGTCGAGAATTGGTCGTCGATAGTCACGACGTCGACCATGAAGATGACGTCATCCACTTCTTCTGATTTCAACGAGGTCGATTTGAAGAAGAAGCTAAGATTGGTGAGTGATGGGTTATCTGCTGAAACTGAAGCGTTCGCAGACCGAGCTGAGGTTGGCTGAATGCCAAGAGAAGCTGGAGGATCTCGAACGGGACCACGGCAGATTGCTCGACCAGTTCCAGCGGCTTGTTGCTAGATCTACAGGTAGAGTGATCCATTCTCTTTTTGACAACGTTTTTCTTTGAAATGTTAACAGTTTTAAATTGGGGTAAATTTATCGTTCAAATTCTTCAGAATTTATTTTTAACAATAAGGCCCTGAAGGAAAAAGTGAAAATAAAAAAGATTATGTATATATTTTTTTGATTTTGAAATAAAATTTGAAAAATACAGCTGCTCCAAGTCGTGAGGAGAAGCCGTTGGGAGCTGTGCGGGTGCTTTCCGACAAACTCGAAGCAAAAGACCGCGAAATCATGCAGCTGGTGAGTTTTGGGCTTTCTTCCAATAAAAAATTGAAGGCTAGACAAAAAGACTCTTTTTGCTGCCCTTCTGCGATCTTTTTTGAGCATCTCCCTTTTAGCGGCCATTATCCACCATTCCGACTTTGCCCAAAGAATCCCTTCGAACAGAATAGTATTTCAAAAAAATCGACAGGTTTCACGCACTCACAGATATAGTCAATGTTTCCCGACTTGAAAGGCGAGGGAGGCGGGGCAAGGGGCGGGACGCGTAGCGTGTGCGTTCGCGGTCCTTGTTACGTGTTCAATTCAACCGCCATCGACTCTTTGAAAATCCCTTTTTTCGCTCTTTTCATTCCCTTTTCAATTATTTATCGATTATGTTCATGTGTGCATCAAAAAAATAGTAGAAAAATACAGAAAAAAAGAACGGTTGCCGAGCTTTTTTTAGATAGTCGGCGGCGATTTAATTGAACTGACGCCAAGAACCGCGAACGCACACGCTACGCGTCCCGCCCCTTGCCCCGCCTACCTCGCCTTTCAAGTCGGGAAACATTGACTATAATGAATAAAATTTTTTTTTGAGTCATGAAAAAAATCTGAATGACTGAAATATTTCACTTATAATTTTTTTCCACATTCTTCTCGTCATTGTGAAAAATAAAATTGCCTTTTCAGAAAGCCCACATCGCTCATTTGGAACGACGGGTCATTTTCCCCATCGTACCATAACCATTTTCATATTTCAACATACTTCGAAACCTAATTTTTTTTTAAAGATGAAAAGCTTCAATTTTCACCCGGGTTGTTCTTATTTTATATGACAGAAACTTCTATTGCAATTGATATTACCACTATGTATGGAGCAAGTTTATAACAATTTTCATTCCCAACTTTTTTTTTTCAAATAATAATAACTAGGAAATCGCATCGTTGTAATAACAGCCAATAACTGCCAACAGATCTCACTTACATATGAATGGTCTTTCTTGTTTCAGAAATAAAACGTTTTATCAACAAACTGGCGAAAACTCAAAAAATAAGGTTGAATTGAGTAGGTGAGTGAAAATGAGAATTTTAAATAAAGTTATGTAAAAATAAGATAAAAAAATGAAAGTAAATTATTTTGAATCATTGAAAACGAAAGAAAAGATGGAAACTAGATCATTTTCAATCTTCAATGAAGTATACCCGAGTGGAAAAAAAAATATATCTTATTTATGATTCACTTGGGTCTTCGTTTGGCAGGCGGTCCGCCGGCCTTTCCCTTCGCGGCTCCTTTTTTGGCTTTTTCCTTCTCCTCGGCCGCTTTCCTTTTCGCCGCTGTCGTACACTTTACTTGTGCCGAAACCGTGAAGAACGAATCAATTCGACCCTAAAATTGTAAATTGGAGATATTAAACAAACACTAGAATCTCACTTTTGAATAGAAAAACCCGTCTCAATCGGAGAATCCAATGTTTAAAAACAATAGAAAGTTCGAGAAATTTCAGTCTTTAATTTCATTTCTAATATTATCCTACGATAAATTATGAGAAGAACTTGAGCTTCATAAGCCGTAACCTCAAAAGAGAGAAATCCTCTGTCAGTTGATTTATTTCAAAACAATCATTCAGAAAAAAGTTATGTATTCTTTTTTCTCAATTATACTACCGCATTACACGATGGAAGAAAAGTCTCAAAGCCTCTGAATTTCAAGGATTGTGAACAGTAACAATCGCGTTGCTTTCTTTAATTTCTTGTCTGAGCTGACATTAATGTCTTTATCTCCCAATCATCTACGATTCTCAGCAATTTCCTACTCGCTTTTATAGAAAACCACACTCATAGCTAACTTAAGAATATTTTATGCTATTTTATCCACTTTCTCGCGTTACACAAAATTTTCCCCAAAAAAAAAGAAACCTGAGTTCCGGCGTTGCGACTTTTCTGCATCCGCGACAGCGATGATCGGATTCGATCCTCACTGGAAAATTATTTCGAACTGCTCAAGAAAAAATCGATCAACTAACTTGAAATTCTTCTCGCCGCACATGAACTCCACGATTCCCTCAACATCGGGCTCTTTCCAATTCAGCTGAAAGAAAACATATTGAACGGAAAATGGATAAGTTCACTGTTCTACAGTTAGAGATAGAAAGGTTAAATATACGTGCGAAAAAAAGTTATAACTTCTACTATCAATACAAAACCCACACTTTTTGCAAAAAATATATTCAGGAAAGTTTTTAAACGATGGTAGGAAGGAATTTTGGGTTCCCGAATATTCGTGAGCGTTAATTGTGCATACACCAATCTTGGAGGCTCGAGCCTATGAAAACTTGAATCTTTGCAAACGATTCTTGGGAATATTCACCTCTTTTCTGATTTTTTATAATTTTTCCAATGTTTTTGTTAACAGAAGTTGATGGAGAATATTTACAGAGTGAATGAAAAATGTGGGAGCCGTTCTGCAGCGAATAATTGACTACGTGTATGCGAGAAAGACGCATTATTTGATAAAAAAAGTTAGTTGAAAAAAATCATACAGTGTTCATTTGTGGTCTAAACACGGCAACTTCACAATAAAACGACAAAGAAAAAAAAATGTAGGAAAAAAAAGAAGGAAATTTAAAAAAGAGGGGAATATTCCCAAGAACCGTTTGCAAAAATTCAAAATTTCAAAGATTCGAGCCTCCAAGATTGGTGTATGCACAATTAACGCTCACAAATATTCGGGAACCCAAAATTCCTTCCTACCATCTTTTAAACACATTTAATTTCATAAGCAGAATTGCAAGAACACGCCAAAACACTCTACTTTGGCAGTAGCTTGATTTTTTGACGTTATAAGAAATACTTTTTACCCCTTTCATGCAGACTTTAAAAAAACCCTAAAAAAACTGGTAATGTGATTATATATAATAACTGTAATATCGTCGTCATTGGCGACATCAGGCTGAAGGAAAAGCTCCCGTGCACGTTTATACGGCCAGTCTTCGGGTGGAGGGTATTTCTGAACATTTTAATCATCTAGTTTACGTAAATAGTTTTTTTTTTTCATTTGAAGTACCGAAAAAACTAACCGTTTGATCGATATTTTCAAGAATCGTTTCAATATCTTTGTGTTGCTTGATGAGTTCGAGAGCTTTTTTCGGCCCGATCCCCTGAAACAAATTTGTTGTGAGCTTGAAAACAAGGTCTTCCATACCCTAATAGTTCCACAGTAATCGCAACCGAGCAAAATGCACAAATCGACGAATTGCTCCATCGTCACTTCCATTTCTTCAAGCACTCTGGCCAGATTGAACTCCTAAAACAGAGTTCATAAATAACTGTTTTTTTTTTCACTTTTTTCAACCCTATCCAAGTAATCTATTCTAGTAAACTTTTATAAAACATTAAACAAAAAGATGTTGTACCTTGATTCTTGAACTTTTTTGTTTCTTTCACCCAAATTTATAGTTTCAAACGGTCATGCATTATATGAAAACAAAATTTTAAAAAAATTGACTTTGCTTGAAAAATCATTTTCGAGTTAGGAAATTAATAATTTGGCGCTCTAAAATCAGAAATCCAATTTGTTTGTTTGTTATTGCTAGATCGTGATTACCTTGATGGGCATTTTTTTAGCCTCGGAAAAGGTCATGTGTCTGAGGAGCATGTTCGAACCGAACGTCAGTGCGTCCATGTCTTCGGTAGCCGTGGCGAAGACCTGATTTCCTTATTTCAGAGGATCGCTTCGAGACCAACCTTCCCGTGACGGACGAGAGCTGCACACTGTGCTTCGGCCTCGCAGGGTGCTTCCACCAAAGGAACGCCCATCAGTTGGAGTAGCTTCTTGACTTCTTCGTTCTGCTGCTTCGTCACCTTCAAATCAAAATGTGCAAATGAAAATCGTGAAAGTCAATGAATACTCGATTAGCTCCCACTTAAAAATCTCGGCCGCACGCGGAATGGCTAGAAGCGTCGCGGTTGATATCAATTTTTCAGTGGACTTGACATTTTGTTTCAAATTATACAGTTTTTTACGCTTCGAACCATTTCTTGAGCCATTATTTCTTTTCAATTTTTACAAGCCGGGCAATATTCGATAGTATCTCAACTGCTCACAGTAAAAGTGATTTTATATGTTCCCACATGGGAAAGAAGGTTTTAGGGCTGCAAATTGGCCTTTCCAGAGCAATAGACTTCAATTTCGAAAAAAAAGTGAACTACGGGTCACACCTTGACAAGCCTCCGCTCAAACTTGTCGACTTCTTTCGCGTCTCCCTTCTCTCGAGCTTCTACAAGTTGTTTCTCCGCTTCAGCTCTGAAAAATAATTACACTGAGGTTTATTCTAGAAATAGAAAATCTTGCCTTTTCTCGGTTCTCTTTTCAAGTTCCCCGCTTTTCATGTCAGGCGGCTTACCGTCGAAAACATAAACGGGCTGAAAAAAAAAGATGAAAAAAAACTTGATTGAAACAAGAACCTTGATGCCATTGTCAATCATCCGAATCGTACGATAGAACATTCCCATCAAATGACTGAAAGATCTTTTTTCAATTAGAAGCTGATAATGCTCAAGAACCTCGTCGTTTCGCCGTCTTCTGATTGCAATTGAGATCCATCTTGGCGCACAGCGATAAGAAATTGATACAGGCACATGGATGCGTCGATTGCTACCTCAAACGCAACTACTTTCAATTAGTAATGAAAGCTATTTATCGACTCCTTGGAATCCCTCATTCGTTTCGTTCTCCCCTTAATCTTTCAAAAAAATCTTCGAAAACGAATCTAACCTTTCTGCCAAAATAGGTCTTCATTTCGTTGAGCTTCAACGCTGACGCGGCGTTGTCGGCAATAACTTGAGATAAGTTTTTAATTCCCATGACGTATTTGTATTCCTCTAAATCCCAAAAAAATTTTGCAAAAACTGTGAAAAACCAAAAAATTTTTATTAAAGAATAAACTAAAATTGTACATTTTAGTTCATTCATCGCTACCTTGAGGAATTTCAGTGAAGGTTTTTTTTTCGCAAGATGGTGGACAACAATGTAAATGTAAAATTAAGAAGTGAATACTAAAAAGAAAAAAGACAGAAGACATGAAAATGAGATTTGAAAAATTTTTTAAAAAAGGTTTAGCGACTCGGAAACGCGTTGACGCAGTCCAGGCCTTTATGAGCCCCTTTAGTAATAACTTTAGCGCTTTTAAGTGATCCCTAGAATGTCTGATGTGAGTTTCCGGGCGCGTCGAGTTTCCGTTATAACGGTATATATACATAGCGTTATAACCTATATAGGTCCGAGCACTTTGAATTTTGGCGCGCAAATATCCTACTAATTTCCATGGAGCGTGGTTGCCTCTCGTTCCAAAAAAATTTCATGCCGTGCACGCCAGGAATTCCTTCCTACTCGGGCAAAACTGAAAAGCTCTTCAAAAGCTTTTCTCAAAAAAAGACCTTGAAAGGGTCTTTTTCACATCATTTCAATTCTTTTTTGCATCTTTTTCACATCCTCTGACAAAAAGGATGCTGGAAAGCAACTAAAAAGATTCGAGAGGATTCAAAAAGGATCCTCTGAGGCTATGAAAAAGGTGCTCAAAAGCTTTTTTACATCATTCTAGGAGCTTTTAGAGGAAGCTTTTTATCTCCCTCTCAGGATCCTTTAAGGATCCTCAAAGGAACTTTTCCGTTTTACCTATGTAGGAAGTGCGTCAAACCGGGCTAGCCTCATTTTTGAAAAAAGCTTACGTGGACTCGGGCCAGGCCAGGCTTTGAAAAATTTTCAATTTCTTTAACAACATTTTCTAAAGACTGGGCCGGGGGCCGATAGGCTGACTTGGCGGCTCTCTCACGAGCCTGGCGTTCACGTATCCAAAGCAATTTTTCATTCTAAATGACGGTGAGAGATGGAAAAGAGTAACGGAACTTTGGAGATTCAAAGATAATTTTGAAATACGCCGAAATTACTTTGAAAATGGAATTAATATCTTTAGATTAGGAAGTATAACAAGAGTTTGCATGTTCGAACTTGGAACGGAACAAAACGCTGCACGCATAGCTCGAAAAAGCACAAGACATGAAAAATCCGGGCATATTACAGTATAGCCCCCCGCATATGTTGGATATCACCCCCCCGCGACACGTTCGAACAAGCCCCCCACACTTATCCAATATAGCCCCCTGAACTATCCAGTATAACCCCCCACACCGAAAAAGTCACGCAACGATCACGCAGGACACGTGTCAGAGCTTCCATTTTTAAATTTATTTTCTAATTTTTTCGTATCATTCGTCGTTCTTGGTTGTTTCAAATGGTTTTTTTTTGTATTTTCGCATGTAAATTCGTGTTCTTTTTGTGAATTTAATAATTTTTGTGATTTGATTTGTAGATCATGGAAGAAATTAGGTCGCTGTCCGAGTTTCATGAGAAGTTCAAGTCAGACAAAGAAGTTTACGGGTACGTCTCGCCGAGATACGTACGAATATCATAAAATTATGGGGCGCTGACCACTTAGAAAAATTTAAGATGAACTTTATTAGTTTTTCAATCAAGTAATTGTTCTGAGGAATAGAATTTTTTTGCTTTTTTTCTTTTCATGCACATTAATTAATAAATTACTTAGGAAAAATAGGCTTAGTTTTAAGGCTTCACACGGAGGCGGAGCGCGCATAGCGCGAAGCCGACTGTGGCTCGCTTCGAAAAAAACTGAGCCACAGTGAACAATTCGTCAAATAAATAAAAATACTTGACATGGAGGGGGTCATTCTGAAATAGAGGGGGCCATTCTGAAATGGGAGGGGGCCATTCTGAAATGGAGGGGGCCATTCTGAAATGAGAGGGGGGTCATTCTAAAATGGGAGGGGGCTTGTTCGAATGAGCTCTGGGGGACTATTTCAAAGCCGTGCGGGGGGCAAATATGAAAGATTGCCTAGGCATTTCAGAATCGCCCCCCGTTTTGTACTGTGGGGGGCCATTCTAGAATACATATTCACCCCCCGCGTTCGATTCTTCCCCCCACATGAAGTCCTCCTATTTTACCCCCCACAGATCGGAACTTGGCTTGGTGGGGGGCTTGTTGGAACGCGGGGGGCAAAAACAGTGTGGGGGGCGATTCTGGAATTTTCCCAAAAATCCTACAAAAAATCGAGAGGAATGAGGGAAACAATTGAATTGGATTGAAAATCGAGAAAATAGATTCGAAACTTTTTTTTCCTAATAGTGTGGAATTCCGTGTCCGAGGAACTTAGGCTAGCCAAACCTTGGAAATTGCTATAGAACGATGGAACCAAATAAAAAGGAGTTGGTAAGTACTACTATTTTGTCAAACGTTTTTCAAAGCGCATTTTTCTTTCGTGAAAAACCATATATCCGTTATGAAACCATCTCCGTCGATTGAAAGACAGTCTGTTAGGATTTCTTTGCAATTGTAAACTCTCTAAGATGATCTTTCACTCGCTTTTCAATGGCGACTTAATCAGATCTGATAATCATGAAAAATTTATTAGTCAGTTCGCGAGAGTGAATACCGGTCATGCAAAAGCAAGCAAAAACAAGAAAAATGTAACAAAAAAAAAAATCAATAATCGTCCTCTCCGAGGTTGTCGTCGGAGCCGACGTCGCCTTCGCCGTTGTCAAAGTAGTTGGAGATGTAATCGTTGTCCTCCTCGGCGTAGTCTTCTTCGGACAATGTCTCTTGCTCTTCTGTGTCAGATTTCTCGCTTTTTTCATCCTGAAAAAATAAAATATTCTCATAGATTTAGTCGACGTGTCGGTTTATTAAGCTCTTTTCCATATTAAAAAAATTATATAACCTTCGTTTTAAGAAAAAAAAACCTCTTCCTCCTTCTCATCTCCGTCCTCGTCGTTCTCCGCGTGTTTCTCGCGCTTTTCGAGCTCTTCCAACTTGCGGAGCTTTTTGTCGATGACGTCATCTACGCTTTCAACGTCTTCTTTCCTTCTTTTCGCAGCTGGTTTCTCAACTTTTGTCTCTCTTCGCCACGCGAGCTCCACCGGTAGTCGAGACATGTCTTCAAACAATAAAAATTACAGAGTTTCGAGTCATCATCAAGAGCGAAAAATCTTATTCCTCGCTTCAACTGAATATTACGTGGGCTGGATCGAAATTTATGTAAAATGAGATCTAGCGAAATTATTCGGAGTCGTCCCTAGAGGGCCGCTTGTTGAAATTGTAGCAACCCGGTCAGATAATGCTTCGACTTTTTATAGTTACGATAAGTTTTTGAGCAACATTCCTGAGCAAAATGAACGATCGGTGGTATGAAAAAAAAAAATCGGCGCGGTTTCAAACAGCGACTTTTCCGATTTTTTTTTATCGCTATGGAACATCCGACCTTTTCACTTATATTTTCCGGTTCATAGTAGATCTATTAACATGTTTGTTTTATTTGTGTTTTAATTATGACTCAGCTACCTATTTCATATAGGAACATCCAAAACGAAGAGTTTATCGAGAAAAAAAATGTCGGAAAAGGAATAATGAAAGAATAAAAATGTCAGACTGTGAAAAACCAAAAAAAATCGCGCCGACCTAAAAAGACCTCAGAGAATGGAGATTTTTTTCATCTTCAAGTTAGAATACAGTCCTTACATCTCAACTTCACCTACACATAGAGTGTTAAAAAACCCTTCAGAGAACACTTTCAACAAGAGATAAATTCCAAAATCAGCAAAACAAACTTTTTGATATGCGCGAAGTCAACAAAATCGATGACCTAGTTGAGCTTAACTCAGAAGATTCAAGCTCAACTTCGAAAAGCAGATCAGAACTACCATAATCAGCAAAATTTTGAGGTTGCTGAACCTCCAATAGCGCGATTTCAATAACTTTGTTCTTGCTGAATATGTACACCCTACCGATTTGCAACTTTCCGCGTTTGACCACAGAATATTTGTCCGTGTATCGTTTGATGTCACGCGGTTCTTCTTTCTCCAAATAGTACGGTGACTCTCGGAACCTTCAAACTCCGATTTAGATTCCGTTTTTATTTTAGAAACTAACCTCTGCTCGAGCTCAACTCTCAAATTGGAGACATATATCAAGTCGGCCGTCATATCGAACGGCAAAGGCCCTCGTTGCAAGTTCTGAAAAGGATTTAGAAATAAATTTTTTTTCAAAAAAATACTTTTTTTAAAATTATTTTTTTGGTCGAGAAAAACGGAAATTTTTTTACCTCAAAGAAGGGCCGTTCTTCCCCAGTTTTCCCAAAAGGCTTTCTTTTTTCGCGCATATAATAATCTTTTTTTTTTCTCATTTCAGAATCTTTCATGGAATTTAGGTACAATAGGAAAAAGCGAAAAAGTTCTAAGTTGAAAGCCAGTTTGAAGGATTTTTTTTCCATTTTCGGAGAATTCGCTTGAATCTTTAATCTCTTTTTGCATACAACCTCAGTTCTATAAATAGTTTCAAACTTCACTCTTTTCGATTATTAGTAGAAATAAAAAAATTCGCAAACTAACCGGATAGAGTGGCGGTGGTTCGACAGACTTCAGATGCCCATATTGGCCCATTTCGTGTCTAGGGATCCCTAAAGCCGAAGCGACGCTTCGCACAGCGTTTCCGGCTCCACCGCCGCCACGACCGCGGCCTCCCATCGTCGAGGCTTCTACTAGAGAGCTTTGGTTGAGATGGAGTTGAGTTGAATTCTGAGAGTCTCATCACCAGGGTTGCACGGAAGAGAAATTTTCGAAAAATGAAGAAGGTACACGGGCTACGTAACAAAAAATTTATTAAGGAAGATGGAACACAAGTTGAGAAACAGAAAAAAAAACTTTGAGAAAAAAGAAGCGCCGGTTGCAAAAAAAAAATTTAAAAAAAAATCTCCGAATTAGCGAAAATCTTCATGAGAGCAATATGAGAATTTTCTGATAAATCAATGTTTACGATAGAACGATGAAAATAACCAGTAAACTTTAAACTAGCCAATTAAGATCAAAAATATCTTTCATAAACGTCAGAGTAAAGTTTAGTAAAAGTCAACTTATCGAGGAGCTCAAAATCTATTTCAAAAAGGTTAGGTTATCAGCTCCGAGACAGAAAAGTCGCTCTGACTCGCTGTATGTCGATTGAATAATGAGATATTTGGATGGTTGTGCGGTTTCCAAAGTAAAAATAAAAGAAACCTAACCGAACTCAGACACTGACGGCGCGTGTTTGTTGCCAAAAGTGCGCATGCGCGCACGTGCGGTGTGTTTCTTTTGTTTTTTATGCCGTGTTCAATTTGATTACGCGGAATGCAAATTACCCGTTAGAGAAAAGAAAAAAGATAAAAGATCACTAAATTTTGGAGAGTCAGGGATCATTTTGCGTTTCGCGGAATCAAATTGAACACGGCATTAGCTTTTTAACTAATTGAAAAATTATAAATTTGATATTTTTCATGTCTGTTCATCTCTTATCATTGCTCTGCACCAGTTTATAACAATTAGATTGCACAAAAATTTGGTGGTATGAAAAAAACACCAGTGAAAATTCAAACGACGACTTTTCCGATTTTTTCATATCGCTCGGGAACTCTCCGACGGCCGCCTTTCCGACGAATCTTTTTCCGACTTTTTTTTCTTGATAAATTCTTCGTTTTAAATCTTCTTTTACAAAGTAGGTAGTTGGTTCATGATTAAAACACAAAGAAGTAGGAAAAAAAATGTTTATAGATGTTTTATAAACCGAAAAGCATAAGGGAAAAAAGTCGGAAAGAGATTCGTCGAAAAGGCGGCCGTCGGAAAGTTCCCTAGCGATATGAAAAAATCGGAAAAGTCGCCGTTCGATTTTTCGCTGGTCTTTTTTTCATACCACCAAAAATTTGAAATATCTAAATTTCACTTGGCAACTTTTTTTTCGTAAATTTGTTCGAAAGTGCTCGGAACAACTTCAAAACGTGAGCAGGGGCACTGGGTAGTATCACAAAAATATAAAAAATATATTTCAAAACCGTATTTCAGTGGAAATAGCGAAAAAAGAATCAGTACCCGTGCGCGTGCGCGCACCAGTGCCTGAGAATACCGAAAAGGGTCGTCGATTATTGTGTCGTGTACGCAAGCAACGGATCCTACGCGCGACGGTGAAAATTTTTATGGCGTGTTCATAGGATCGGCGTTTTAAAAAGGCTGGAGAGGTTCGCTAGTGGGCGCGGCGTAGCGCAACTGTCGCGCAGTTTTAGGAGACGTTTCTCCGCGTAGATTTACGTTCGCGTGTAAATGTTTTTGACTGTTAAATTCTGTAAAACTGTTCTTTCCTGAGAATATCGTACGTGGAAAAGTTCATCTCATGACGGGGAACGAGAGGAAACTAAAAAAATTTATGGGAGCTTATGAAGAGTGAAAAATTAGCGATTTTTCGAAAAATCTGTTTTTTGCTCCAAAATCTTGAAAACTCGCTTTTTTCTGAAAAATTACTACGGTGAACTGTTGATCAAACAATGGAGAATAAGATAAAATCAAAGAAAGTTTTTCGAATAAAGATTGAAATATAGAAATTAGAGCTTTTCTCGAACAACCTGTTTTTCGTCATTAAATCACTAAAAAAAGTAGTCTTTTTTTGAAAAATGTTTCACGGTGAACTATCAATCAAACGATGGAGAACAAGTTAAAAAAACAAAAAAACTAATTGCAATATAAGGCTAAGGTCCAAATTTTAGACGATTTGCGAAAAGTGAAAACTTCGCGAAATCGGGAACAAGAAAAATCGTGTTCATCGAAAAATGTTCGTCTCAGTTATTAACAACTGTGGAGAAAAAAATGGAGCAAAAAAAGATCTAAAAAAACAACGAAATTAAGTGAAAAAAAGAAAAAAAGTGAATTGAAAAAAATTAATAATTATCTGATAAGAAGTGTACGCTGGCGCGAACTTGCTTTCTCCTACCGTACTCCGCCGTTAGAACTTTTTCATCAGGGCACATTTTATCGCCTGCCAGTTTTTCTCTTCACGTCCACCCTTTTTAAAACGCCGTGTAGGAGAAACGGAACATGCATCGAAACGAAAACTCGAGTTCACCAACTCGCCAAAGTTGCTCCAAAACAGTTCTAATTTTTGTTGTGGAGCAATTTTTTTAGTCCCAGAAACAAGAGGAAAAAAATCGGGCGACGAAAAATTGAGAAAGAAAAAAGAGCCAACCGTACGGAAAAGAAAAAGGTGGTAGACTGAAGAAAAAGGCGGTAGACTGACACGGGGAGTGCAAAAGGTGGTGGGTGTGAGAACCTCTAAAAGGAGGGGACTATCTTCAGCTGGGTTGAAAGTCTCCCAGTCTGGAGCCCATTCCTCGATCTTTATATTTAAATCTTATTATATTAATGTAACTAATAAATATTTATTAATATAATCTGTCTACATTCGGACCACATTGAAACTATCGATGGAGTCTCGGCATGGCCAAGCCGAGGGCTTACATTAAGAAGAATAGCCAGATTTCTGAAAATGGCGCCGGTGGTTAGTGCAGCACTCAAATCATTGAGAGTTATAATAATAATAGTTTATTCACTGTTATAAAAAAAAACATTAGGTAGTATAGAAAAATTATAAGTGATCAACATATGACGGGCAGGAGAATAACAATACGCGGGAAGGAGTCAACCCCAACGAGTTGACAGGTACCCGGAAGTAAGAAGAAATTTTTTACAGTAGGCGAGAAGGGATATTTTCATAAAAAGCTTGATTCGGAAGATTATTAGAGAGTTAATGTAAATATGTATAAAAAAATTTAATGGGGAAGGCACGTGTTAGAAATTATAATTTTTTTCGCTTGGCCTTGCTTTGAAAAACCAGGTTTTGGGGCTGCCAAAGAGAAAGAAAGGTGCTATCTGTAAAGAGAAAGAAAGGTGCTATCTGTAAAAGAAAAGGTGCTATCTGCAGAATTGATAGAAATTCAAGTCGGAAAAATCATAAAAAGTTTGAGTTCGAAAGAGTACGGTTCGAAAAACATCGAATCGGATTTCGATTCGGAAAATCCCGTTTCGGAAGAGTATCGGCCGCCAAAAATGAACATTTGAATTTAAATTTGAATACTTTGGTCAAAAATCGGAACATTTTAATTTCACTTTGGAAGTTTTCATGGGCGAATCGAGAAAGAGGTATCGCGAGACCCAATAAAACATATATTTAATAGGAAGCAGAAACTTTTCAAAAAACCTTGTATGGCGCAATGTTTAAATAAGTTCGAAAACCATCAGGAAACGAGAACTTTTGCAAGAGGACAAAAAGATACAAAATCACGACAAACTAGAGAGTCCAAAAGTTAAAAACTGAACTTTAAAAGGTTTTTGGTGTCCTTACTAGCTCTAGCTTTTTGCGTCATATGACCCAGATTTTTATTCAGAATAAAAATTTCCTTATCTGCGGTAAAAACGTGAACCCGTGGCAAGGCGTCATTTCTTTTGATATAGTTTTTTATTTCGTTGCGTTTTAATGTCATTTCCATACGACTCCGTCTTGCTACTGCAGCCAACGTCAAGATGAGTTTTGAACTTCCATAAAACGTCTAATTTCCAAAATAAGTTTCTAAGTTGTAAGCGCTAGTAGATTAGGCCCGCGGGACTCCCGGAGTGCCGATCCTTTTTTCTTGCAAATTGGATACGCAAAGTCACGCCGAAGCCCATTCCGGTGGCCGAAGCACAAACTGTTGGCAGCGCGAAACTGACAAAGCGATGATGGGACCCCCGCGGAAAATGCCGTCACGGCTTTCGGCGTCTAGGATTCTTAGTTATTAGTATACGAGCGGAGCTCTAGCGCACCGCCTAGTTAGTTCTTTCTGACTGGATAAAGTTTCTCTAACTTACTTACGACTTTACATAGCTAATCAATCAAAGCATTGCGATTCGAATAATGCAATCGACTTTGCTTTTCAATTTCGAAGTTATTGCAGGAATCTTTTCAACAAACATCTTCTGATCAGTTCATGGAGATTCAGCGACAACCTCCAGTAGTGCAGTTTTGATACATAACAGATTCTTTTGTTAATTTCTTTTCCTTCAGAAACGAACGGAGTATATACAAGATTGAAAATTCGAAAAAAAGGCGAACTGGAAAAATAACCTATCGACGACTACTGGAACAATGGATGGAGGTTTCGAAGGTTTTGGATTCGAAAACAAACTAGATTCGACTTTTGCATTCGACTCAGGCTGTCTCTGGGATTCTCAAAATCAACGAGTACAAAAACGGGTAGGTGGGTGAACACCTTCGTAGGAATTTACGAGTTTTTTTTAGGCAAGTTGTATACTAACCGATAGGTAATGCAATTTTAGAAATTTTTCAGTACTTACAATCTTGGGTTACTGTAGAATTTTCGTGATACGGTACTTTTTGTGTTCGCAAAATTTGGTGATCACCCTATTCACAAGAGGTATTCCCGTCAAAGTGACTCTAAAAGTTTTTAGGTCCTAGCTATAGCCAATGTTTCCCGACTTGAAAGGCGAAGGAGGCGGGGCAAGGGGCGGGACGCGTAGCGTGTGCGTTCGCGGTTCTTGGCACGAGTTCAATTCAATCTGTCGCCGATTATTTGAAAAGCTCGGCAACCGCTCTTTTTTCAAAAGTTTTCTACCGTTTTTGATGCACTTATGAATTTTTCAAGATTTTTGTAAAGTTTACATTTTTGTTTCGC